ATCTATAGGGGCTACCTTTCGGGGTGATCTTCCCTATTGCGATCTATTGTCTGCGCTTCCTATCTCGTTGGTCGGATATAGCCTCTATTCCCAAGGTCGTAGGTGGCCATCTCCCTTCTAACTAATGTCTGGGTTATAATCTCGATACTATAGGTGTCCTAGAATCATGTCCTTCTTAGGCCCTATTTTAATAATGTCAAATACTACTTTGGTGGTTTTTCCTTCTACTATAATCTTAAGTGGTTCTGTTTCCTATTGTACCCATTGGGTATCGAATAGTCCTTTAACAATATACTATTTCTTCTTAATCCTCTATAGGATCCTAAGTCGATTGACAAGTGCTGGCGAGATAAGGTCGACCTAAGATCCTCTATCTACTAATGCCAATGTTTGGAATCCTTTCTAGTATACTATAACCTAGATTCTATTATTGGGTTTGTCGTTCTGAATCGCAGTAGCTTCCCTTTCGCTTACTGGGAGGTTGTAGATCCTTTTCCTTACGTAGTTCTTCCTGTACCTATAGATCTATTGTCGTTATAATAGATTTAGTAGTTTCTAGGCCCCTTGGAGGGCCCTAAGCCGTTTCCTAACTCTGTCTAAGCATCTAGATAGGCATCCCTATCTTCCTATATCTCTTGGTCACCGTCCTACGGTCTAAGTCTCGGGAGTTTATCGAACAATTGTCGAATCTCGTTGGCTCTTTTTTCTTCCTATCGCCGTTCGCAAGGCGTCATCCATCTTCGTATATATATCTTGCGTTTGTAATATTCTTAGAGCTTCGCTTGCATATGGATTAAGCAATCCTGGCTCTTATACTATCGAGTGCTATTAGGCTACTACTGGCAGTCTTTTGGCTGGGTTCTTTACGGTATTACCCTAATTCTATCGTATGCGTTGGTCCTCTCGACCTTCTATAGGAACTAGTCGGCGCCGGTCCTTGCATCCCAAACCTATAGGACTGGTCGAGGTTCTCCGTTTCGGTCGGTAGGCCTATCGGGCCAAAAGTCGTTGTCAAAGTTTGATCGAAAGTAGTATCGGCATTCGTACATAATATACTGGAACTATAGAACGTAGACATAGTTATATCGCTAGGGTTAGAGTCAAAATGCATCTTATTCGTGGGGTTTGTAATATAGGCCAAATCCAATCCAGATATATACTGCATTGCTATCCCTAACGCCGTTATATAGCTTCTTGTTCCAAAAAGTGTCCCAATCTTATGGTTCCTGCCCCTTGAGTCTTCGCTGGTTCTAGGCCTTCTAGTATTCGGCCTTAGGGTTCTTAATTCTATTTTTCCTCCTATCCTGGCTTAGGTCCTATGCCGGTCCATCCTATAAGTTTGAGTAGTGCTCTTCCTAGACCCTAACCAACTTGGCCTTAATAAATTCCAGCTGGCTTATAGCCTAAGCCTTTTCTTCCGCAAGTCTTCGGGTAATCGTTCGAAGCTCGGCTTGTTCCTCTTCAGCCTCCTAAAGGCATTGAGCGAGAAAGATAGGGTTCGGGCCAATAGGTTCGTTATCCAACTATTGCGTCCTCTATTGACCTTCTTTGTCCTAGGTCAACTGGAATCCCCAACCTTCTGCGAGTTATAATGCCACGGCGGCGGCAATATTATAACCTATAATAGGCTCTTCGAACGTAACATAGGGGCTATTGCTTCCTGACCAAGAGAAGTTGTCGATGCTTCCTTTAGCTATACCCTGGTTAACTACGTCGTCGAAGTTATCCTCGGTATAGCTTACTGTAGCCACTTTAACCACGTAGGTTGACTTGTCGATCGTGGTATTTTCCTTGCCGGGCACCTGCTTCTAGTTCTTCTTGCTACGATACTCTCGTTTAAAATGCCCTTTCTTGCCGTAGTTGAAATAGGTAATCTAGGACTTATCCTTACGTCCCTTATCCTTATATTAGGTGGCGTCTATGTCTATCGGACTAGCGTAGGTACTATACGATATACTAGGGTACTATCGCTTTTTCTTATCGTTTGCCTTGACAAATATAGGCTACGTTCTATATCCCTTACGCTACTAACGCCTGGTATAAATCCGATCGTCAATATAGATAGCTATAGCAATATATTCGTCAAGCGTATCGGGTCGGTCCTTTTAATATAGTTCATTCTTAACTTCTTCCTTTAAACTATCGTAGAATAACTATATAAGACCTTTGTTATTGATCTCGTACCGAAGTAAATCCTAGCGGAACTATATAGTATAGGTAGCCGCCGACTTTATCTGCCTTAGGCGTACAAGTCGCTCCTACGCGTAGAGCTTCTCATTATAGTCTCCGAACACCTTCTGGATTTCCTGCTTAAATTTATTATACGATTTGAAGATTTCAATAGTAAAATCGTCCTAAGCGTCCGTACTATTGGTTAGCTAATCCTTTAGGGTAGGTTCAAACCATCGAAGTGCCTTCCCCTCGAGCCGCAAGGAGATAAACATGACTTTGGCGGATTCGTCCGTAAATTTGTCCGGGTAGTACTTAAGGTAGGCCCTTATAGATGTAAGGAATCTAGTGAGTCCTTCTTTGTCGCCTCTGTACTTGGGGGGTGCTTCGAGTTTGGCCTTGTCCTTGGGCTTGCCGTTATAGGCCTCGTTGACGAGTTGCTGTATATTGCCGTTCTCGGCCTCGAGCTGGGCGATCTTGTCGTTGAGAGTCTTGAGGGCCTGAGTGTTATCTTTCTGGGCCTCGAGCTGGGCAATCCTCGTGTTGAGGGCTTCGATGACCTGCTGCATCTGCTGCATGGTTGCGGTCTGACCCTGGGAGCCTGGGGTGCTGGGTGTCTGAGGTGCCATGGTGATCGATGTTACCTTCGATCTGAACCGTGCCAGAGTCAAAGGGAGTGAGCAACGTGTGACGAAACCACAGGCAGTCCTGCCTCTGAAAGGGTTCGCCGGTCGAAGGTATCTGCTGGTCGGACTGTAGGTCTCGGTGAAGCCAAAAGGTTCACAACAATGCTAGTCGCAATGTTTGCACAGTATGTGGAGGCTACTGCTTGTAATTGCTCACTGAGGAAGCTAGCTATCTGAATGAGTGATAGAATGGTAGAACTATATACAGCTTCCTCTCCTAGGTACCTTTGTACCTGGATCACCAGCTCCCAATTGATCTTGGTGATCCTGCCGTCTCTGACGGCCATTGGCCCAGGCCCCGGGGTCGTGCCCCACCCGGCCGCCATATATGGTTGGTTCATGACATAGGGTCTCTTATATTTAGTAAGAACTGTACCTGCTATATTACCTCTAGTATAATCCCTAAATCTTCTTAGAAGATTTCCTTTATATTACTACGTACTATTACTATAATAGAGGTAATTACTGCGCGGGTCGCGTGGCGCGTCACGCGTCGGACTACGCTGGGCTTCAAACTTCGTACGACGACAACCAGATCTCCGGACGCGTTGGTCGCGTCCGTACGATTACCAGAGGGCCAAATGCGAAGATCCGAAAATAATTGGCACGTGGTTTGACCTTGTTCGCATCACAATCGCGAAACATGGGATCCTGAGTCGGATATCTGGAACTTTAACGAGACTGGGTTTTTGATGGGCCAGATCTCGGCCACCCTCGTGATTACCTCGTCCAAAGGCCGTAGGAGAACTAAGAAGATGCAGCCTGGCAATCGAGAATGGGTTACATTGATCCAGGCTGTGCAGTCGGGTGGAGATGTCATCCCTCCGCACGTGGTGGTTGCGGGCAAAATGCACCTGGAAAGTTGGTACCGCGACAGTCCTTTCCCACCCGAATGGACTATCGATATCTCAGAAACTGGTTGGACGAATAACCGGATCGGTCTTAATTGGATCAAGCACTTCGACAAGTACTCTCGCCCTCGTACGACAGGTGGAAAGCGCCTCTTGGTCCTTGAGGGCACGAGAGCCACCACTCAGCCGAATTTGAAAACTACTGCAAAGAAAATAACATCATCACACTTTGCATGCCTCCACACTCATCTCACCTACTTCAGCCACTCGATATTGGGTGTTTTAGTGTATTGAAGCGGTCGTACGGCACAGAAATCGAGAAGCTCATGCGCAACCATATCCACCACATCACCAAGCCCGACTTCTTTCTCGCCTTTCACAATGCATTCCAAAAAGAAAAAAAAAAAAAGAAACATTCCACCCTGAAAACGTACGAGGAGGTTTCCGAGGGGCAGGCCTTGTCCCATTCGACCTGGAGAGGGTGACTTCCCAGCTAGATATCAAGCTTCGGACGCCAACACCCATTGCCCCCCCCCCCTTCCTCGAGAGCTCGTACGATAGTTGGGTCCCAAGACACCACAAAATGCCACTGAGGCTTCTTTGCAGACGACACACATCAACTATCACATTGCCAGACATCAAGGTAGCTCTCCAACCCCAATTTTTGGGACTCTTGACCAGATTGTGAAGGGTACGATAAAGGTTATGCATGAAGTGGTGTTGATAAAGGCTCGCGTACGAGAGCTTGAGGATGCAAATGTAGCCTTACGCAAACGCCGACGCACGAAAAATGTCGCATCCGCAGAGGAGGACCACTAAGCATACAGGATGCAGGTGATATCTTGGCTGAGAGGGATGTACAAGCCCAGCTTATGGAGGAAACGCGGTTGGGGAGTGGTCGGTCGAGGAGCAAGGCAGCAGGTTCACGGCGCTGTGGCAACTGCGGTAGAACAGGACACAACTCCCGTACGTGCCAAAAGGATGCGGAAGTGGATGAGGAATCGGATTCCGAGTAGTTCGGATTGGTCATTTTCTTTGTGGTGTTGATATATTGTACGATAGTTCAATTGCAATGGTGGAGTGCGCCACTCGCTATGGTGCGCCACTCGCTATGCAATCACGTTATTCGGTGCAATTTCCGCATCAATCTGCTCAGGCAGGATGCTGGGCCCACTACCAAGAGCTAAGAATCCGAATTGAGGTGGAATAACTATATGCCTTCCAAGAACTTGTGACATCATGAGAGAAAGTCGAAAACCTGAATAACTATCAAGCAAGAAGTGACGGGGGAGCCAATAGCTTCTCGGGTACCCGGTGTATTCTGAGTTTTAAGCGTGAATTAATGCTAGACTCGGGCTTCCCCTCCAGGCGATCACATTGGTGGGACCTATTACAAACAATCCTGGGCAGCGGTTTCGCCCATTATGAAGCATGACAAAGAACTCCACGAGCAAAACCTCTTGGCTCTCGGCACTCATCCGAAGCCCTGGCCAGCTGGCCGAAACCGGAATGTTAGCGGCCATATCTAATCTTCAAGTTCTGAAACCTGTGTTATTGAACTCAACACCCGATCCTGTCTTGGCCTCATTCTCAGAATGGCGGCTCGTGCCTCGTCATTCTCAAGACCTCTCCGCCAGAGACTTGCCCTCCTCTCTCAATTTGTCTTGGGTTGCCCCATCGTGGGATTCAGCGCTCTGTACCTTTGGACGAGCAGGTGCCGCTTTGAGCCGTTTGGCCCAGAGAACTCGACGCTTTTTCGACACCCGATACTTAAGACCATCAACCCAAGAAACAACCCGTCCTCAAATGACTGCTGCGTCCGGGCTGTCCCATTAGCCCAGGTCAGACCGGAGCTGCTAGAAGACGCACGACGGGGAGGCGCTCGCATGGTTGAAACCTTCTGTGCAGGCATGTGGGGAGGATACGGTTAGCCAGACTCATCATTCCGTCTGAAACAGAGCTTTGGACTGACGGGCGGCCCAGGGTATGGCATCCAGCGCAATATCATGCGTATGACTAAAGACGGATCGAACATCAACGATTTGTGGACCAAGCAGGAACTTCTGCGTGATAGCTATGAGCCAGGTAAAATCGTAAGGTTTGCTGCGGAGGCGTGAAACGTGCTGATGCATACCCTAGGGACCGTCATCACAAACCATTTTCTCGTTCTTGACAAGACACCATCGACTCTCACATTCAGGGGCTGCCTCGGGCCCAAGCAATTACCTCCAACACCTCAGGAGCTGGATAATATCTTTGAGCTGTCCGCTACCGTGGACGAAAAAAACCAACGGGTCGAGTTCAGGCTGAAATGCATCACCTTTGACGGCACCGATTTAACGGGCAGGGAAGACCCCTACGGTGGGTTCCCAGGATTTTTACATCGGCAGTATGCGAAGCTGCTCGTAGAAGCAGCGGTGAGCAATTGTGTACGATAGATGAGGCCTGCGTCTAATTGTAAATAATACACCACTTCGTCTAGTCACGTTCCGAACGACCTCTGATATCTGGGGCTGACTGCGAGCTTCTTTATCGTCGTGGGTACAGTGGTATTATCACGGAGCGAACCTTGGCTCATGGTAATGATCTCTACTACTACCCTACTACTATACCAATACCTACACGTTATCAGCTCCAGAACCTGTAGATAGATGATGTGGGGCACACCCCAACATCCTTTGTGGAGCGCATCGCGCATACAGGTGGTCTGTGCCACCCGCACATAAAACCCCACCTGCATTCCGCATCGCGGCCCACCTTCCTAATTCATCATCTCTTTCCTTCGCTACTTTACCTGTGTATTGCATATTCGGTGCATTTCCGCATCAAATGGTAGCTGCGACTGAGATCTGTGACCTCACCATAGTGTTTATTCGGCCGGCCTGACGAACTTGGCTAACCAGGCGCGCGCTTCGGAGCTCAACCGACTGTACTGACCGCTGGCGAACTTGGGTAACCAGTATTGGGAGCAGTCAACCGAGCAAACTTCGACCTTCGAGACCGGCGAACTTGGGTAACCGGCTCCTCGAAGACGAAGTTCAGCGACGCACTGTGTAACCGGTATCACAGCTGACGAAGCACCATCGACCGACAAACTTGGGTAGTCGGCCGATATTTATGTCAACACCCGGATCCGAGAGCTTCAAAGTTGCCGAACTTGGGTAAGCAACTGAAGCAACTCGCCACAAAGGGTTCCCTACTACACCGAACTTGGGTAAGCGATAGTGGTTTTCTCCCAACCAACCTTGAACCGACCAGCGAATTTGGGTAACTGGCCGTGGCATAGGAAGGTTCCCTTCCCATCTGCTTTGTCACTGTACTGAAAGTACGATATGTCGGCCGTAACTCCTGGTTCATTTCCAGACGATCTTTTCAACGATAGTCCTGGAGTATAAAGCAGTCCTCTAGAAACCTACCGTGCTCGGCAGAAAACACCGACCCGCGTAGCCACCGTGTTCCGGACCCTTTAGTCTAGGCTCGCGCGGGATCTTAACCTCTCTGCTTGAGCTAGCACCGTCCTCCGCGCCCTGCCCGGTAGCCCTTTGAAGCGTATTATGAACGGAAAATACGGAGCCGCGGACAAGGAAGGCTCGGAATGCCCTCGCGGAACCACTGACAATGGTAACCCGGTTTAGCGCAATAGAACCCCCTAGAACCACCTGCGATACTGTCGCGAGTCCGAGACGATGGACGGCGATCGCGTTCCTCCTGCGAATTTACCTAGGGGAACCGGCCAGCTACCGTCATGCAATTCCTTGCAAACCGACCTACTGGCTATGCAGGAAGAAGAGATACGCAAAAAAGGCTTCCTTACCTTCTATCCGGAGTAGGAAATCGTCGATGAGATGCCCGAAAGGTTGGGTAATAACAAGGAAACAATGATATGGGTTAACGGAAAGACCGACTTCTATATTGCCCGGCTTATGGACGAAATGTGCATTATAGGCGACCGCGTTTCCAGTCTCTATACCGAAATCCAAGGTGTCAAGGACCACTCTGTCAAGCTCGGTGAAATAGTGACCGGACTACTGGACAAACAAGCGGCCGGCAACGGAGTGGCGCACCAGACTATACGGGATACCATCTCGAAGCTTACCGCTGATACAAGCGTTAAATTCGCGGCCCTCAACGCGAAACTCCAGGAGCTCACTGACGCCGTGAACAAGAACCAGACGGCTTTGGGAGCCTCATCTAGTATTATAGCCGCGGATCTGGATCGTTACTTTAGAGTATGGTTAACTAGACTAGAGAATAAGATCGGCAGTAATGCAAGCGCCGTTAACCGGAGAATAGCCTATAAGACGGCCACCTCGCACACTACGATCAGCGAGTTGGACTCTAGACTGACTAAGAACCAAGCGGACTTATAAACCCGTCTAGACCAGCAAATCAGGCAGGTCGAATCGACAAAGGACTCTGCAAGCCGTATCTGGCAACACATCCAGCAGCTAGAGCAGCGAATCCCGGCTAACCTAACCGACTCGATGGGCGACCCGGGAATCGCTTAATTGAGGGAACGAATGAGCAACCTAGAAGCCATTACTAACGCCTACGTGGAGCGACGCGATGCCAGCCTTGACGACGGACCTTAGGGATAGAGAAGGCGGTGATAGGATGACTAACGTGATGACGACGATGGTGAAGACGACTCCGGCGACGGGTGCCGTGGTGATCGCGACTGTAACTGTGACGGTCTATCCCGGGACCCATACCGTCATCGTGAGGGCACCTATGATACTGGCGTCACTGCCGCCAGCCAATCGGCATTGTCGGTGAAGATTCGCCGCGAGGACATTGGCATGTTCGACCTATTTTTTGATGACCCGGACGATATGGGCATGGTATTCGACGGCAAAAACGTTATGTACATAGACGTGAATTGCTTTATTAGTCGCATCCAGTTATTCTTAGACTCCCCGGAGACTCGCGACGAAGTAGCCAGGCAGATTTTAAGTCATTTCCTAACTCTACTTGCCGGCACTGCCGTCTTGTGATGGACTAACCAGGTTAATGGGGAACGTTGGCGACGCTGGTAGGCCTAGGGCTTACCGACCATGCTCGAGAGATTAGCTTTATAGTTTGCCGTGGACGCTGCCGTGGCTACTAGTCGCTATAATGAGACGTCGTTGGCTCTGAAGCAGATTGCCAAAGACGACCAAGGCCTGGAATAATATTTCGTATGCAAGCTTCGCTGGGCTCGCGCCATGTGTATCCTGGACTCGCAGGACACCAACTGGCGTGGCGATTAACATCTGGAATACAATGGATCTGGGAATCAAGCAATTCCTTCCCCAGCCAGAGGAGCATCACGGCGATATCGAAGCCTATATGCGCGTTGTCGAAGGCAAGCGCTCAATCATTCTCACCCTAGCTCTCGAACGTTACCCCCAGTATAGCCAGAAGAAGTCGTCCACGACAACTAAAAAAGGTGGAAGACTCATCTTCAAAGCAATCTCGTCATGACTCATCTCGCAATGATTCTTCACGTCATAATTCATTGCGTTATGGCTCTTCGTGTTATGACTCTAAATCTTATAGCCGTGCTAGGTCCAGCGAACGCCGCGACCGCGACCGAAGCCAAGAGCGACTGGCATCGCAATGACCGGAGGCGGGATGACAACCGCAAGCGTGATGACAACGACCGGGACTGTCATCGTCACTGCGACCGAGTCCATTTTGCGGAAGGCCAACCCGAGTCGGGCACCGAGGCAGACCGTTCCGATTCGGAGTCATCGTATTCCTCCGCGACCGACACCGAAGTCGCATGGGTCGTCGACCACCTAAGGCCGAATCTTTTGCTGGGCAATGACTTCCTTGACGCCTACAAAGCCGTCATCAACTACGACACCAAGGCAGTCGACTTAACAGCATTGAATTTCAGGATACCTTTCTCCGTCTATTCGCATGCAGTGCCATACGTACGAAAGGTCAAAACTACGCGGCGCGTCACTCTCCTACCCGATCAGGAGGTTATGCTGCCAGTAGACTATAAGCCCCTCCCCAAGGGACGGTCCTTCCTGTTCAACTCAAAGCACGCCGCCGCATACAATGCCGTCGCACGGTCAAGACCCCCAAAGTTGTAGTCTTGAGGAACACGACCCGCTAGTGAGCCCATAGCTTGAATTCCCCCACATCTTCTGTCCTCACTCCATCCGTCTCCCCCTTCACCTTCATCAGCCGCACCTGTATCTCATGCTGCACACTCCATTCCCTTAAGAAGCCCCTGACCTTCTTCTCCGTCTCCTCATCGTCTTTCATCACCACCGCGGCGGCGTCATACCCGCCCGCCCCGGGTACCACGCTCCCGTAGACACCATCCAGCTCCTCCAGCGCATCCAACATCGCTTCCTGGCTTTCCGGCTCAATCGGCACCTCGCTATCCTGCCCCAACTTCCGCATAAGGCCCCTAAACGGCCTCATCACGGCGCCAATCTGCTCTGCCCTGCCTTCCCTCAACACCCTCGCCAGATCATCCACCTTACTCTGCAACTCCTGGTATGCCCCGGCGGCAAGGTCCGGATTCCCGTCCCGCCACGCATGCACCTTCTTCACCATGCTCACCGTCTGCGTGCCACAGTCGACGTCACACATGCGGATCGCCACGTCGGCCGGCAGGCCGACTTTGTCCTTCTGAATCTCACAGTCCCATCCGTCTCCGTTCACCAGCTCTGCGAGAGCCGACGCGAACCCCGGTTCGCCCGGGTTCGGCAGACCGGAAAGTAGCGAAGGGCTGAAGCGGCGGTAGAGGCACGAGCCGTAGACGGCGCTGGCGACGTCGAAACCGCTGCCGATCTTGCCCTGCGCCGAGCAGTGCGCAACCTGGGCCAGGTTGTGCAGCATACGCTTGCCTTGGGGAGTAGCGAGGTCGAAGAGCGCAGGGGGGAGGTAGTGGGAGAGCAGAGCGGCGGCTAGCGAGGTGACGAGGGCGGCGGAGGAGCCGAGGCCGGTTTTGTGGGCTTCACGAAGCGTGGTGCCGAAATGGCGAAACCGTGGCCGCGGTGGTTTCTCAGCCTTCCTAGTCGACGGGCTCCCATCCTCGGCCCGGATTGACGAGGAGCTGTTTGAAGATGGGTGCTCTTCAGGGGCGGGTGGTAGCAGCGTGTCGCCTGCTGACGAGCTGGATGACGGCCGTTCCGCTGCCTGCTTCGGCTTAGAATAATAGTCATTGTCCGCGAGGATGACAAGAGATGCGGGCTGAAAGCCGTGAGCACGCCGGCTCTTGTCTATAGCGGCAATGTAGCTGAGCACGTAGTTCAGTGTTGTCTCGACAAAGTGGTTCGAGTCCACTGGGGCACCCCTATTACAGTGTGAGTAAATCCAAGCCTGCTGCGTTAAAGATTGGGGGAAGCCTACGACTGCAGCTGGGTGACCTTGATGCCACCGCCGTCATCGACGAGGTGGTAACCATATCTCCAGGTGGCATTGAGGAACTGGGGGCTCTGCACCACGATTTCGGAGATGTGGACGCCTTCGCTGGTATGGATCTCCTGGGCCAGCACGTGGATGCGCGCACTCAGGCCAAAGACCAAACCCGTGTGCTTCCGGTCGAGAACAATATATCCCCCAGCGAGCAGCACCTTTCCGGGCGCCGACACAACGACGGTGCGGTCCGCCATGTTTGGCCGAAGTAGCGTGGGTGCCGTGGAAACACGCGGGTTGGGGAAGTAAACAGAAAATAGGAGTCAAGGCTCAACAGATAAACTGAACAGGCCGAAATGCGGAGAGTGTCCCAAAGACCTGCCTGGGTCCGGTATAGAAGCCAACTTTGTTGGCAAACACTTGGACGACCGATTCAGGGGTTGCGTGACAGCGGCAGTTTGAGCGTTCTTGTACGCTCCAGATTGTTAATTCTGGTTGAGCCCAACGTTATGAAGCATTCTTCCCCGAGTTTCTGGCAGCAGGAGCGGGCTCTGGCCGGAATGCGGGGCAGGCCCGACTCGGGGCTAGAAAATGCGGGGTCTCGACATACCTACATGTTAGTGACAACCCAATCCCAGCAGCACTTCAACTCATCATGACGTTGCACATGCCTGCGAAAAGGTGAGATGCCTCATGCTCTCGGTCATGGTTCGTTCACTGAGTATAAACGTTGACTCAACTTCGGAGCACTGACTACATACCTACTGGTGCAGACACTCGCCCGCCATCGGCTATACCTAATTGGCCTCAGGGTACTCCTTCTGATATCAGCCAGTGCATCCACCTGCATGCTAGGTACTGTCGACCGGAGTCCCGCCCAGCCAGCGCTTGATTGACGGCGGATGTGATACCTTATTAGGTATTAAGGTCTCTGGATCTGTACGTAGGTTTGTCTTTCAACTCATGTGACCATGCCGGGGGATAACTTGGTGATCCACAGGGCAGGCCGGGCCAGCGGGTGGGGACGGGATGTTCACGGATGGTCCACGGCGTCGTGCCGTGCAACATCAAGCCGACCATTGCGGTGAGTCTTCGTTCCTTCAGGGACATGTGACACCAAAAAGCTCAGCAAGCCTTCAGGTCTTCGACATCTGTGGACACGCTTGACACAAGGTAGGCACAGCCAGGCGCTTTACAAACCTACATACTTCCTGCCACGCCGATACGTTACGAAGTTCGAACTACTAGTAGTGAATTCGAAAAACGAAGGTTATGTGTGGAAGACCATCCCCATCAGGTACGGCGACTCTGTTGCTGCGAGGCGCTCGATCAATTTGAGGCCACATTTCAATGAGCACGCGAGCGGCTCTCCAGTAGTGTATGGGGCTGAATAGGGTTTCTGAGCGCTTCTCTGTCCTTGTTTCTTTTGGCCTGGTGCTGACAGTTTCGAGAAATGTCGCATTTCCAAATCTGTGGCTTCCCTCCCGGAGCTTTTACAAGTGCGAGCCCCGAGCCCTCGGTGCTCGTTTGACATGGATGTTAGGGGTCGAGTACTACATGATCCTAAAACCACACGTGGAAGCGGCGGAGGGAATGCCCGTGTGCTAAGGCACTAACAGACCAAGGCCGTCCCCCTAGCTGAGAGAGCTGCAATCACCAATCCAATGGAAAGCCTGGAGGCGCGGGACCGATTTCCGGCTCCACCACCCCGGTCTCCAACGTTTCGTCGAGCCCGGTTTCTCTTCGTTTGACGTGGGTCGCGGAGACATCCCCGCTCATCCGTGTCCGAGGCATCCGTGACCACCGGGTCTCATTCGTCATCCGAAGGGCTAGGCCGGTTTGGAGATCTCGATGGCAGAGATGGGCATGAGCCGCGTGAATCTGGCTAAATGCCTGAGCTGCACTTTGGAAGTCACTTATTTCGCTTGTGTCCAAATGCCATCTGTTCTTTTCTCGGGGGCGTGGCAGGATGATCGTGAGGTTAACATAGATGACGTGTTAGGTACCAGATAGGTAGTGTCGATGTCTGATGGGCTTTAGGTGGTACTGGATACCTAGACATGTTGCATGTCTGGCAATATCAATTGAGACCTCCATCTCGTATGCAGAAAGCAGGGAAATGAAACTAACACCTCACGAGCTTCATGCGCGTTGATGAGATGCAGCTCTACTTGTTGTGACGGGATGTTTGGTTTGGTGCCGTCTGACTACCTCTAGCTAAGGTGGCAGGACCTGGGTCCGTTCCGAATCCACCCGCTTGTTGGAGCGGGAAAAAAAGTTCGCAATCCACCTGCGCGTCCGCCAATCCGTCCAAGTCAGCTCCGATTGCCCGCACGGCGCTGAGCAATCCAATTCAGGTCTCCGAGTTATTTCACGTTCACCACTCCCAGCTTCACATTCTTTTTCGCCTTGATGATTTCCAAAACCCATTAAATTTCCAACCATACCTAAGGTCGCGCGTTTGTTTGACGGCTTCACTGTCGTCAAATGAACCTGCAATTGCGCATCTCTCACTCTTTCCTTGTAAGTCTGATTCTCTCTCCGAAGGTCTTCTCGGGGCTTCTTGTTCGGTCGTGTGGGCAGCCACTGCTCCCTATCTGCGTGGTCACGGTTCCGCAGATTCCAAGTTGCAACCTGTTTCCGAGTATGGATGCTTACCCTTCTTTACAGAATCCCCCTTCGCCAGGCGTCTCCTAAATGCCCTCCGTCTACTCAACCGTTTTCCAAAGCTTCATCCGACAAGGATTCTCAAAGTCTTTCACCCACGGCTACGCCCAATCGGTCGTAGCTGCCACCCACCCTCAGCATGTTCTAAACGCACAGAACCGCCCGTCGTTCGCACGACGGCGCAACAACAACACCACTCGCGTCGTTGGGCGGTTCGCGAACTTTGGGCTTCAGTCAGCCTTTCACACCTCCAACCTCCCCGGCGCCACCTCGCTAGACCACCATCGTCCTGATAAACCTGCCAGCCATGGCGGCTTAGATGCTTATTTCGAGCATCTGCAGAAATCCCAGGCGAGCGGCGAGGCCGACAAGGAATGGGTACAGTTCCAGTTTCCCAAGCGCATCGAGTGGAAGCCAACGCCAGCTTCCGTCCTCCTCGGTTCCGAAAACGCCAAGACCCTTGCCCTCCAGAGCGAGGAGTCCGGTAGCCAAGATGACGTTTCGACTGCCCCGGGTGTGCCGCCTGAGGCTAAGGCCGCCCTGGCCCACATCGATGCAGCGATTGAGAAGGAGATCGAGGCTCGCAAGAGGCTAGAGGAACTGGAAGAGAAGGTCGAATCACTGCGAGCAACTTCCCCAGAGTTGGCAGAGAAGCTGGCCGAAGAGATCCGGTCACGGTCTGTCACACCTTTCTCGCAGGCGCCAACGCCGGGCAGCGTTGCCCGCACTGTCACACCCCCGGTTGACCCGCGATCTGAGACCTACTCCGACCACCTCACCAAACTCTCCGAGGCCGGACGATATGCCGAGATTCCCGCCGCCTTCGAGGCCATGCTGGTCGGTGGCGTTCGCCCCGTTGCAGCGGCTTACAATGCCTTGCTTATGGCCGCCATCCACCTGCCCTCTGAGAAGTGGGAGGTTGTCACAAAGGCCCTCGATGTCTACGCGGACATGTTGCGCCGGAAGGTCTCGCCCGACAGTGACACCTACGACATCCTTGTTGGCCTTCTCGCATCTCGCTCGCTCGAGATCGTGTCTCTCAAGCGGGTTCTCGAGGACAAGCGGCTGCGCTTCGGCGGGATGGATGAGCCGGGCAAATTCATGTTTGCCTCCCACGAGCTCGAGTATGCCATGTTGCTCGAGGATGACCGCCTGGATCTCGCCCTGAGACTGTTCGAGACCTCAGTCATGTCGAATAAGGCGCTGTATTCCTCCGAGACCTACCACCAGCTCATCTCGGCTTGTGCCCAAGCTGGCCGGGTCTCGGATATGCTGCAGCTATTCGAGCACATGGAGGCCAACCAGATTACGCCTTTTGCTGCCACCTTCCCTGCCATGATCACGGCTTTTGCCAGTTCTGGAGACCTTGTCAGCGCCGTCGAGTGCTACAATGAGTATCGCAACCTGGCCATCGCAAACGACAAGGGCGAGAAGACCCTCAAGGATCGTCTCGACGCCCAAGTCTATGCGGCCGTGATCAACGCCTATGTCATTTCCGACAAGCTTGGAGGTGCCATGAAGTTCTATCAGAAGATTGTACAGGAGTACGGTGTCAAGGGCTCTGAGATCAAGGACGCCCTTATTGCGGGTGGCTTTGTCAAGGGCTTTGTCGAGCGTGGCATTTACCGGGAAGCTCTTCAGTGGGCCCACCGGATCGAGAGCGGCTCGAGGGGCTCTGCAATGGGTGAGGTCGCGACCGTTGCTGCGGATCACGGAGACAAGCAGACGGCTGTCGCTGCCTATGCCAACGTCGGCCCCTCGAGTGGCTCGGCGACTTCAGCCATTGCCATGCTCGCAATGAGCGTGCGCGAAGGCGATGTCGCAAATGCTGCTCGGTATTGGGACGTCTTGTGCCACCCCGGGGTCAAGCCAACAGCGTCCTTTATCGAGCCCACGGCGATGTACGCAGTCGCCATGATTGGCTCGGGCAAGGTTCTCGAGGGCTTGACTCAAGCAGAGCACATGTTTCAACGAATTCGTGAGAGCGCTCCTACCAACAAGGCGCAGCTCTCCGACGAGATCGAGGAAGGCGCCGATTTCATTTCGAGGTTTATGGCCACTCGCGGGATTACGGATCCCCGGACTGTTCCTCCTCCTGCCCCGGTGATCCCCGATGCTCCGCAGTCGTTGAAATCGTTTCCAGCTTCGCCATATCCTTCAACCGCGTCAGTGATTTCCCGGAAGCCCGAGGACAGCTTCGATCCGTATGCCCGCACCACTGACGTGAAGGGGTCATTCTCCATCGCCGAGGCGTTGGACCGTGGGCGCAAGCCTCCGATGCTGGACGAGGCCGTTGCGCGCTTCCACAAAGTTCGCAGAGCCGGTCGTCACCCCCGCTACGCCACGTATGCGAAGCTCATTTCAGCCGCCGCCAGGGAAGGGAAACTGGATCTTTGCCAGGAGATCCTCGCACTGGCGCGTGCCGACATTCCCCCGCTTCCTCAGTACCCCGCGGTCCGCTATGGCTGGGCTTCTATACTAGATGCCATGGTCGGAGCATGTATCACCTTGGGCCGCAGAAACCTGGCTGAGCAGTACCATCAGGAGTTGCTTGCCATGGGTTCGACCCCGTCCGCGAACACCTATGGGCTGTATATTACGACGATGAAGGAGTCGACCAAGACGTTCGATGAGGCCTCGGAGGCTGTCAAGATCTTCCTCCGCGCCAAGACCGAAGGTGTCGAGCCGAGCCCGTTCCTGTACAACGCGCTCATCGGAAAGCTCGGCAAGGCCCGCCGCATTGACGACTGCCTGTTCTACTTCGCCGAGATGCGCTCATTGGGAATCAAGCCAACCTCGGTTACGTATGGCACCATCGTCAACGCTCTCTGTCGTGTCAGCGACGAGAAGCATGCCGAGGAGCTCTTCAACGAGATGGAGGCGATGCCGAACTACAAGGCACGCGCGGCACCGTACAACAGCATGATGCAGTTCTTCTTGACGACGAAGCGGGACAAGGCCAAGGTCTTGGAGTACTATGCGCGCATGAGAGCCACGGGCATTGCCCCTACTGCGCATACCTTTAAGCTCCTCATTGACACTCACGGCATGCTGGAACCCGTCGACATGAACGCCGCTGAGGCGGTCCTCGAGATGATCCGAGCGGTCGGCCAAAAGCCCGAGCCTGTCCACTACGCGTCGCTTATCCACGCCCGCGGCTGTGTGCTCCACGACATGGAGGGCGCCCGCCGTGTGTTCGACTCCGTCATGGAGGACAGCAGGGTGTCGCCGAATCCGTGTCTCTTCCAGGCCCTCTTCGAAGCCATGGTTGCCAACCACCAGGTTGCGGCCACCGAGCCTCTGCTCGCGGAAATGCGTGCCAGGCGTGTCGAGCTCACGCCCTACATCGCCAACACGCTCATCCACGGCTGGGCGGCGGAGAAGAACATTGCCAAGGCCGAGGCCATCTACGCTGCCGTCGGCCAGGAGCGGCGCGAGCCGAGCACCTACGAGGCCATGACCCGGGCTTTCCTCGCCGTTCAGAAACGCGAGAATGCTAAGGCCGTGGTCACCGAAATGCTCAGCCGGGGATACCCGAGCGCGGTGGTCAACAAGGTTCTGGAGCTGCTTGGAGGCCCTCATGTTCCTCATGCTGAGGAGGCTGCTGCTGTCGCTGCGTGAAGTTGGCAACAGTGGGTCCTCCGTTTCCCTGACATGTTCTTTATCTTGCTCCGTTCTCTCTGCGTTCTTGGATTGATACCCCCTGTGCGAATTGGAGCTAGATATGTCTATGGGTTGGTAGATTCGGGATTTCAGTGACTTCAGGGGGTTTAGTATGGACCCAAGAATCGCGATGGGAATGCCGGAAGTGAAAAGGGAGATGCTTCAGATATCTCTGTATCTTCCTCCTTTCTTTTCTTTCCTATGTCTATTTTCTTTATGTCTTCTTCTAATCGGCACTCAAAAGGGGATTGCGGACAGGGGTTAGCGGGGCGTTTCATCGGATAGATCGACCGGGGGCCCCGACTACGTGCGCGTGAGGCTCGGTCTCTGGGGCTGGTGGCTGGCTTTGCTTTGCGTTTCCAAGGGGCGGACGGGTGGGACGGACCGTTACCGGCGTACCGGCGGGGGTTGCAACAGGACAGGGCGGGCCGGGATTGGTTGGCTGGTTGGCCATGCGCGGCGCGATCGGGGCGGCCCCGGGTTTTTTTTTTTTTTTTTTTTTTTTTGCTCATTCTAGAAGACACACTCCACTCTGCATAGCGAGGCAAGGGATCTTGCTTGCTATCTACCATGGCAAAAGATCTCATAAAAAATAATGAATGATGCAATAGACTGTAACAGTATATCTCTCGTTGGCTCGGCACACAGAGGTCGTCAGGGATGCTGGCTGTGTATATTCCATCCCGTTGTAAATGGGTGATTTGTTCTGTTATTACTATCACCTCTGCGTTGTGCTTCCCTCCACGATCAAGGTCGGCGCTGGTTTCAGCAAGCTGTCGCCCAATTGATTACCTTGCGGCGGGAGTTCGTGGCGCTAGGAATAGACAGTGACAACTCTGAGAGTGTTGCTATAGTTGTACCCCAAGTACAATACCAATTACTAATACCAGCAAGATTCCTTAGAAAGTAGAAACCCCCAACCCAGCGCCTCGCTATTTTCCCCGGTAACATCCCTGATCCCCTGGAACGAGTAACGCCCGTTCGCTAATAGTGATAGTTAGATAAGGTAGGTACTTCTGGTTTAGTCGATATATACATATAATCCATACTAGTGCCTGCTACATTCCCCTATTCCCATCTCATACTACGGAGGGTGTCCACCCCCCGAATCAGGGAGCCTTGCTGCCGGGGGGAAGGTCGGTCCCAACGGAGAGAGAAGGACCTGGATGTGCTTTTGCTTCCCACTCGCCTCGTTCTCGTCACTAGGACTAGTAGTACTAGTATTGCTAGTAGTGGTGGTGGTGGTAGTAGTACTTGAACTGCTAGCCGGTTGGGGCTGCATCCTCAGCCCGCTAGGCTGTTGCTGTTGTTGCTGAGCTAGTAGCTTGGGCATACTGGGATGTGTGAGTGCGGTCGGAGGGAGGTAGGTGCTGTTTGTGTGGCGCGTGGCAAAGGTCACGGGGGATAGGATGGAGGATGTGTCGGAGAAGTCGTCGTCGTCATCATCGATATCCTTGCCGCCTGCGTAGTAAGGGGTTTGGACTACCACCGAGGGTCGGCGGAGGGGCGAGCGGGGGGACGGGAAGGACTGCCTCAGCTCGGTGAACCACCGGGACAGGCGGGCGGCTGTTGGCTTGGGCTGCTGGAGGATGCCGAGGCCGACCGCGCTGCTGAAGATCTGAGATTCGCGCTCTGGGACGGATTCGTCCACGTCCCTTGATACCTGGTTCAGGTTGCTGCTCGGGTCCCGCGGCTCAGGAGGTGCAGTGGTTGTCAGCCGGGCGACGGAGGATCTGGATGCGGAGCGTTGACGGGCATCTTGATGACGCCTACGTCTGCGATAAAGTAGAAAGGCGGAGCCAGCCGCGAGGAGGAGACATGCTGCGCGGAGAAAGAATCAGTATCAAGCTTCACCGAATATAATGGCTTCAGATACACTGAGGCCATGGAGTCCATACCGATCAGACCGACCACGATTCCCGCAATCTGCCCGCCAGATAGGCTGTTGCTGTCACTTTGTGCTAGAATAGGCACACTTGACGCGGCAGCAGTGGAATGTGAGACTTCTGTTTCTATTCGAGATTAGTCGTCATTGTGTTGAGCGAGATCAGGGCTTCGTACCTGTCTTTGATGAGGGGATTGCCGTTTTTGTGACAGTTACCAACGACCTGAAAGAGATCGTTGTCGATGATGATGGCGGCAGCGGCGTGGCCTGGGGCTCGTCCAAAGAGATGATGCTGGTAGTGGTTGAGAGAGCTGATGTTTCGGACGGACTCAGTGGTTCAGACGAAGATGAAGTTGGCGTGAGCGTTTCGGTGGTCGATAAACCAGGCGGAGGAAGACGGGGGGTTGTGGTAGAGTCGTCCTTCTTCCCTTTGCCCTTCCCCTTGCCGGGATCTAAATCGTCAAAATCACCCCCATCCTCGGGCCCCTCGTCTTCGGGAGCTTCCTTGTTGTCTCTCGACTCGAGGATCACCGATGGTGATCCAAATCCACGCGACCTCCGGCGGTATCTTGGTCGAGTCATTGTTCTCGCGTGCCAACTTCGCCTCACACCGGCAGAAGGAAGGTGGACTCCGGTTCATTTTAAAGGCGATAAACAACCCCAGATCGAGAGCTGGGATGGGCTGCGGGCATGAGCGGTCATCTCCATTATGAGCCTCAGCCCCATGGACCCCATTCAGTTTGCGGCAGTTGCATGCGAGTCCTGGGTATCCTGGGACTCATTTTGCTATTCGTCAGCTCATTTTGGTAGGGAGTTTGTTCGTCACAAGGGGAGGAGGTTTGATGCAGCTCCAATGGTGACACAGGATTAGTTAGACAGGGGGTTTCTCCTGGGAGTGCTTGGTTCGTTTCAATTGTTTCTGAAACCAGAACGAAACCCTGCGCTACAACTGGGGCTCACCCCCTTCCCCACGATGCACTGCCGTGCTTGCATCAAATATGGGAAAACATGCGAGATCTGAGTGGTAGCCAGATGCGATCAGGATATGCAGGGATCAAATAGTACGACCCAGGAAGGCCCAAGAGGGCAGGCGCGAACGTCCAGAACGGTCTGGAAGTCCAGGGTGGCTCCAATAAGTGTTTGGTCCATTCTCCATGTGGCAACCACCTATGGTGCTTCCGTCCAGAGCAAATCGCTGTCTACACGTGTGTATGGTATGTTATGGCTTCAATTTGCTTGAGAGGTCGGCAGACAGTAAGTCATTGGGCTTTTGAATTGAATAGCAACGGCAACGTCACACTTCATCAGCGCATAACGGTTACTTCTATCCCTAGAATGATCACTTTGCCTCTCTAGCCTCCTTATTTTCGTTGTCTATGTCAACAGCTAGCTCAGTTTGGACCATTCCTGCATCAGCTTCGGTATCAGATCCCTTTTCTGTAGATGGCAAGTCATCTCGCCGTACTGCCCATCCCCCAGACCATCCTATCCAGCCGCTCTCTCTGGGGCCGCGGGCAAGACTGATAACGATGGCAAGTCCGACAAAGGCGACTGTGGGCACGTAAGCATTGACAAAATGTGACCAACCCGCCTCATTAAACGAAGTTGAAAACTTACTGCTACAACTGCCACTATACACCCATCCGCCCTGGGCATACAGCCTGTTTCCGACTGCCGTCCCCGTCAACTGCCCCGAGAAGGACACGACCATGTAGGCGGTGTTGACCCGGTTCCTCGCCTTCGGCTGGATGCTGTAGATGGCCGAGCGGTTCGCGATCTGCGTGAGCTGGAAGCCAAGGTCGATCGCGATCGCCTGGATCACCGGCCCCGCAACGTGGGACGACCCCGTAAAGGTGCCGACGATCACACCCACGAGCTCGACCGTCAGCGACGCCACAGCCGACGCCAGCGGCACCACCTTGTCGATCACCAGCCTGCTGTACACGGGCGCCGCGAGCACCACCACGACGCCAATCAAGCCAAACAATCCCACCACGACGCTCGAGTAGCCGTACGGCGGACTCGACAGCAGGAAGCTCAGCGTCGTCCAGTACGACGTGAACACGGCGCTCAGCAGGAACGCCACCAGCGCTGCCTGCAGCAGCAGCGGCTCCGTGGCCAGCAACCGGCCGATGCTCACCAGGACACCGACGTACTCCAGTCCGCCGGGGTTCTTGCTCGGGTAGTCTGGCAAGAAGAGATACAGCAGCGCCAGCACCAGCCACTGCACGCCCAGGCCGAACCAGTAGATGCCGCGCCAGTCGGCCGTGTAGGCGGCCATGACCCCCGCCAGGATGCGCGCGACCAGCACGCCGAGCGACAGGCCCGACACGACGATGGCGAGGCAGCTGGCGCGGCGGTGCGGCGGGGCTAGGTCGCCCACCAGCGGGAGCATGAGCTGCGGCGTGACGGTCGTGAAGCCGCAGACGAAGGAGACGGCGCTGAAGACGGGGAAGGATGTCGTTAGGCAGAGGGCTAGCCACTGGTTTTGTTAGTCTTTTCCTTTTTCACTTTTCTTGATTTTTTTCTTCTTCTTTCTTTTCTCCGTTTTGTAGCAATGGATAGACAAGGGGAAAGATAGGTAGACAGGGACCGCCTTTTCTTACCACCGTTGCGGTGAAGCCGACGAGGGCGAGGATGAAGGGCCGGCGCGGGAAAATGTCGCCCAGCGGACAGATGAGCAGCAGTCCGCCTGCATAGCCCGCCTGCATCAGGGTGGCGACCGACGAGGCCTTTTCAAAAGTGACGTCGAAGCTCTCGGCGATGCGGTTGAGGATGGCCTGGTTGTAGTAGAGGTTGGATACCGTGAAACAGGATGCCTGTGATAAAGCACTAGTCAGTCCATGGGGAATGTCCGATTTACTTAAACATAAGAAGGGCTGCTGCGACTCACAAAGGCAAACAGAATGTTGAGCCAGACGGTGAACTCCGGTGGCTTCTCCGGGTCGTAGCGAGCCGGTTTAGGCTTCCAGTTCCACGCTTGCCGAACGACCTTCCATAACTTCTGTTGTGGTGTCTTCAACATATCAACAGTCTCTCCACCGCCAATCTGCCCTTGATTCGGTGTCCTTTTTCAGACGCGCTTCGATGGCTTGTGGTTGATATCGGACCCGGGATACCACCGGCGGGCGAGATGATAGATCCACTATGTGGCAGCGGTACGCGGCCTATTGGGACGGAGATGCTTATCCGGGACCGGAATGTGCGGGTTAAAGGGTTCAAACGGAATGATATCAAATCTAGATCGTAAGAGGACGAAGCTGATTGACAATTGTTGGGGAGCTACCCTTGCGCGCGATCAGTGTGCTGCTATAGTCTGTTTGTTAATCTGCTGACGCTGTTTCCTATGATGGAATCCGTGATACCTAGCTCGAGATAGGTTCGGGTGAAATCTGATATTTTCGAACTATATAAGGTAGTAGGCAAGGCGGGTAGGTACCTTACCTTATCAGGCATGCTGCGGTGGCTACCATCGTGGCACCGTGCTCGTCATTGTGTGGTTCGGCAATAATACGGTGGACGTCATCAATTAGTACTAGGATTACAAGGAAACGGCCCTCGTTCTTCTGTGCAGTGCAGCCGTTCTTAATCTCGACTTCATGGGATGAATGCTGTTATATATCATGTCCCAATCAAAAGGAATTGTTCTATATCAGACGCACTTTTCGCCATGTCTGTCCTTTCTATTCCCTCACCTACCCTTGTAGACTCACAGTAAGGCCGACGCCTCTGACACAATGATCCTATTGAAATTGGGCGATGAGGGGATCTGTTCCTGGACATGCTACCTTTTGGTATGATCAAGATTCCGGAGACAGAGATCCTGAAGTTCCGCGCGAGGCATCTAAGAGCAGCAATTCAACCTTGCAGTCAACGAGGACTTGAATTGTTAGTCATGGTATAGTGAACACGCAGCTGAGAACCAACCAGCCCTAACGTGTTCACTCCGGAAACAAGCCAGACAAGGCGGTAAACCAAGATGTAATCGCAATAGTCATACCCTCAGCGGTAGTTGTGGTCATAGATGGTAAGCTCGTGCTCGCCCTCCTCCTTCTCCTTCTGCCGCTTCGAGCACCTCCAGATGCAGAAGTAGACAGGCACAAGAACGACCACTAGACCCAGCGCCAGCGCGACATAAGCCAGGATCAACACTAGCCTCTGCCCCGACAGTTGCATGCCCCTATGACACCTCGTCAGCAAGAAATGGAACGCTCGTTCATGAGAACTCAAGGCAGAACTTACAGCCCGACGTTGATCAGCAAAAGCGCCCATATCAGCCTGCAAGCCCAGCGATGGACGGTGGCCAACCGCTGCGTGCCCTCGGGCGGCTCCTGCCCTCGTTTCTTCGCCGACCGCTTGATCCAGGAGAGGGCGATCCCCCAGAGGAACATGATCGTCATCGCGACAATGGTAAGCAGGCCGAGGACTTGGTGGCCGGTGCGGAACTGCTGGGTCTGTCATCAGGCGCCATCAGTTACCTATTTCCGCTTCTTCACTTCAAACACGAAATGGAAAGAATATAAAAAGAACAACCCAAAACATACCGCCACATGCTGCCGACTGACAATGACGCCCGGCACCATCGCCCCGATGACGAAGGCGAAATAGGCACTCGCCGTCACGCCGTGCACCCACCCTGCCGCGCCCCGCTTGTTGCCCAACACCCCGGCCACAAGCGAGTCGAACGGGGCGACGGCCAGGGTAATGATGGCGTACAGGATCCCGTGTGCCGTCGCAGCCTTGTCGTCGTCCCGATGGAAGGCGTCTCCCTCCAAGATCGTGCTCGACGAGAGGGAGATGTTGGAAATGTTGCCTATAGTGTCGAGGCCGATGCCGCCTGGTCCGGTGGCTTTGACCAGGTCCATGGTGAACTGTCCTGTATCCGTGCGAAATGGAATCCATCAGATATCGGTTCGCCGGCTTCATTCAAGACTGTCGACTGAGAAGGGAAAGCGGACGTGGGCTACTAACCGTAGGCGGAATGCCGCCGGATCCGGGCGTCCAGGTCGTCAGAGTTGAGGACGAGACTGGGGCCGATGGCGAACATCATTGGTGCCGCCGAGGAGGTCTTGATGGAGGGCAGGGCCGGACCCAGCGCGCGGCAGCCGTTGCAAGTGGCGTTGACGGTCATGTCGGCGTTGTCGTTGATGCTGGACGCGTGGAGGGTTATCCCGACGTTGCGGGTCCAGACCGGTTCCGTGCAACCGCTGGAGTAATTATATCATGCTAGGTTAGGTGTCCCGTTCAGGGTTGCTGCTTGGAGTTGGGGGCTTGGACGTTTCCCTTACCTGCTCAACCGCGGACTGACAGTGACGCTTTTGCCGTCGGCCGATGCATACATGACCAGCATGAGCGCATCTGCCATGGACGAGCCGAAGCCGATGGCGGTGTACTGGTACCAGTCCGGCGTCGAGATGTAGAAGTTGATATCATCCGAGTCCGCGGGCAGGTTGACGGCTAGGATAGTGTTGGTGTCCGGGACTAAGAGCGTCGAGACAGCTGCTTGCGCCTTGGTGAGATGGATCTGAGTTGTGATGCCTTCGTTGTTTGTGTCAGCCCGAGGTGCTCGTATTTCTCACTCAAAATCAGAGAGCTACTTACAAAGGACCAGCCATTGCAGCCACGGGGCCCGCCAATTCGACCGCATTGTTACTTTGTCTTTCGGACGAAGACTCCCTCAACACAGTACCACGAGTGGTATTACACTCAACGAGCCTCGAGGTCTTCACGAAGATGAATTGCGAGATACGGGTCCGGGAGCATGACGGAGGAGGAAATCATCTTCAACCGTATCATTCTGCTCTTCATCACTGCTTCCATGAAGGCGGTTTCACTGCATAGAGCACCACAGGCAATGCTGGTGATGGTTCGGGATGGGCGCGTAGACGGTGCAGCAGCGCATCGATTGGTCTTCGAAGCGCCCGAACCGTTTGCCGGCCTCGGAGCCAGCCAATCATTGTACTAAACACCAGTTGGGATGTCGGCGGAGCCAAAAATAGCACGACCTGTCAGTTCAAGTCTAGACCTGTACATTTCACCAACAACATGTAAGGTATGTGTCTCCGTATGTGAGCTTTGTTGATGTGTTTGGAACACAATCGATCATCGATTTCGGGTACCCGTAGGCAAGCTCATGCCGTTCAAGTGGTTCGTGCTATCTCAACAGGGTTAGGGTTGAATCCCGTGAGGATGTGGTGACCTTGCAGGTTGGCGTCTTGTCCCTGGCAACCACCCCTTATAAGTGTTCCGATCTCAACCTCTCCTCGAGGCTCACAGAAGAACCTACGACTTGGAAAGACATACTGCTACAATTCCAGTTCAAAATGGCGCCGCTAAGGAGACAACGGGCTCGTCCAGCTCCAACGTCCACGACGCGCTCGGCACGTGATGCTCCGACTTGACTGGACTCGTCGTCGCAGACAAAATGAAGGAGCTTAGGACCCAGGTCGTACCTCCTGTGGCCACCGGACAAGGCAAATTGTCGGTCGATTGAGGTGTACGGTTGTGTTCTCCAGCCTTGAACAGGTACGTGTCTTTGTCTGCTGCTGGCGTCCCGCCACAGTTCGAGGATCGAGGGGTTCCGATCAATTGTGTGCGGATTCACCAAGGTTCGGGCGGTCTTCGCTCGGCATTCAGAAATTCACGCCGCGCAAAACCGCCCGCTGCGCCGCCCACGACGCGCCAATCGCGCATAAACTCGGCTGAACATCCCTCGAACTGCTGAAAATGACCAGCAACAGGAGGACGGAGTCCGGCGACCGTGGCGACCGTGACGACCATGGCAATGGCCACGTACCCTCTCCGGCGACGCCATTGTCGTCGAAGCAGTCAATGACGAAGGTTGCGCTGCAACCGCCGCCTCCTCAGCAGGTGCTTGTAATCTGTAGGAACAAGTGCGCTTCCTCTCCGTCTCTCCGTCGCTTCAGATCACTGCTTTCCTAGTCATCACTACGATAGAGGCCATTGTTTTTATAGTAGTTTATAGCTTTCTTCATTCGTTTACAACCACTTGTCCTGCGCCTCCTCTTCCCCGCGCACTCCCACCGTCCATCCGCCGACGACTAATTGAGGCGTGCTGTAGGCATTGGCGGTACATATCGTCTTTCCACGGACCATGGCTCCAATTGCCGCCCGAGATCCTTGAGACGATCGCGAACGCGAACTACAATACCCCTAGGCCACGGCCCATTGACCCCGCAGTCTTCTTTGACCTGGTCAAGATCAGGCGGCTCGTGGACGAGGCTACTAACCTTGCCGTACGCGCTGCCAGCGGCGTGGCCTCACTCGGTCAGAGGGGCCTTAACGGGGCATCTCCCCATGCAGCCGCCTTGGGCTTCGGCTTCGGCCGCCCGCCGCCCCAGACCAAGCTGAGCCCGGAGAGGAAACACAGGATGAGGGAACAGGCGACGCAGAAGCTGATGAGGGCATACTGCCTGGACGAAATCGCTTGCAGTGTCACCACCATGCAGAGCGCATCGTCCCTTGAGGAAGTGGCTTCCCTAGTGCTGCAGCGCAACCCTCAGGATCCGGACGCCAAGTATGTCCATTTCTTCCACGAGAAGATCCCGAGCCGTCAGCTGGCCGAGTGCACTAGCCTTGCTCCGTTGGACGAAATCATCGCCAAAAGGCCGACCGACCCCGAACCCCTGAGAACGCGGGCCACGGTGCGCGTGTTTAAGGGGGACCATCAGGGTGCTGTGGATGACTTGACAGAAGCGCTCAAGCTTTTTCGCGTGTACCGGCCTGTACATACGGCGCCCAAGTCACCGCAACAGGGCCAGATTGTGGAAAGGCAACAGCGTGGCGCGGGTCGAAGGCAGGAGGATGTAATCTTGAAGGAAGAAGAACAACCGAGCAGTTTAGAGATGCAATTACTCTTCCAGCGGGCGGGCGTGTACCTCGCCATGGCCTGCCGTCACGTTGCTGCTGCCCTCCCGGATCGCTCGACGGCTCCTCTAAGCTCGGCTGAGGCAGCCAGCAGAGATCCTAACGATGGCAGTCAAAGTGATATGGTTGGGGATCAGCTTCCGCGGCCGGAAATGTCGCCCGCGGAAAGGGAAGCGCAGAAAAGAATGGCCGAGGCACGGAAATCAGTAAGACAGAACGCGAAGCGGGCGCTGCGCGACTACACGGCCTATTTGTCGCATTTTGAGTACTCGCCAGACCTGCCCATCGAGCTCGCCGAGGACTTCACCCGTAAAGTGAACTCTCTCATTAATGGCGCCAGAGCACCGCGCCATCCCCTGTCCAGCGTGGGCGAAGGATCGACGGCCCCTCATCGCATCTACTCGCTGTCCGACCTCTTTACGGCTTCGCCTCCCTCTGGTCTGCCTCCGTATCCAAGCACGGAGGTGGTCCCGATCTCCCGCGCAGCACCATCATCTGACGGCCCCGTGCAGACGACCACGGAGACCTTAACATACCATCCTCTCCTGGTTGACGCACTTCACTCTCTTCTACTCTGTCACTCTATTATTCAGACATCCGCCAAGGAGTTGCTTCGCCACGCCTACATGGTTGCTCGCCTCTCGCGCCTAGCCGACGGCTACCCGGTGTTTCAGTCTAGCAGATGTCCCGCCAGAGCCGACTGGATGGAGGTGCTACGAGCGGGCGGCAACTGGATCCAGTTGGCCGGGTCGTGGGAAGATCTCTGCGCGCCAGCACCACTGCCTCTCTTCCAGTCCGTCGGAAACGGCGCGGCTCCCGTCCCCATTTCTTCACCGCCATCCGCTGGACGAACCAAGGCGCTCCTCCTCCCAGGCCCAGACAACGACCACGGTGCAGCAGCCACCACCGCCATCAGCGCTAGATCCCCAATCGACAAGCAGCGCAAAGACCGCATCCACCAGCAAGCCGTCCTCGACGCCCTCGTCGACGACCGCGTGACAGACGAGTCGTCGCTCCGTCTGGCCATCCGCACCCGCCAGCTGCGCGCCGAGCACGACTACCGCCTCGACAACGCAGTCGCCGAGCTGGACGCTAAGCTCATGCGGAGCGGCGCCTTGGGACCACCAGGTCCAAGCCCGAGCGCCAACCCCACTCCGGCCGCAACGAACAGCAACGGCAAGCAGGCTGTGACGTCTCCCCTCACGACTGCGACTGCACCACCCGCGAACGGGCGCCGCGCCGCATCGTCATCCGTGTTCGATGAAGGACGGGATTACCCCATTTCGTCGGAGCGTGCGAGCGCCATTGCCCGCTGGGTGCTGGAGGCGCCTCCTCCGAGCGCAGGGTCTAGCGCCGGCGGCGGTGGTGAGGGGTTGCGGAAGCGGCGGAAAAAGCCTGTCAAAAAAGGGGGCGTGCTTAGTACTACTGGTAGCGCGGGTGCAACGGTGGCCGGCAACGTCAAGGGGGAGGGCAATTTGGAAGAAGGGCGTGAGGTGGAAGGGGAAGGAGAAATTTGAACAACAGCCTGTTGTTTTCTCAAAATTATCGGCGCATCAAGGTTAGGGCGATATGTTCAGATGTCAACTCTTGTATCTCATTCATGGGTGCCCAAATAAAACCCAAAGTGAGCCAAACCAAAAAAAAGGGGGAATCATCTAAAACCAAAAGACGGGATATCCTTATCCATCCTATAAGCGCCAATCCAATTTTGACCCCAAATCTCTATCCACCCACGCCGACCCATGATTCCAAAGTGTGTTGTTGTTGGTCCGGGTGATGATATAGCTACCTCAGTGGTCAAGCAGAGAACTGTCAGTGTTGCTGTTGACCCCAGCCAGCGACACCATTCCCGCCGTTACCATCCCCAATATTCAAGAAGCTATCAATATCATTCATCCCCTCCGTCTCCAGCACATCCATCAGCTCCAGCTGCTCCTGCTGACTTAGACTGCCATGTCTTGCATTATTCCAGAACGAGTTGTAATAGTCGCTCGCGGGTGCCCCGGCAGCGGCCGCTCCCGGCGCAAGTCCGAGCCCCGGTGCAAAGCCCGCCGCCTGGGGTAGTGCTGCCTCGGTTCCCCAGCTATACCCCCAGCTATTATTTTCGGCATTTGGATTTGCATAGCCGGTATTAGAAGGTGGTCCGCCCTGGGTGAACGTTCCGTCGCCTCTCTGTCCGGCCAACCCGAGACCGAGGCCGGCAAACGGATTGGGTGCGCTGTCCCAGAAGGAGGAGGGGCCATTGTTTCCGTTTACAAAGGCATGCGGCGGGACAAACTGGGGCAAGGGGCTGAACCAGTCGGTTGTTGTACCAGTCGGTCGCGACAGTCGCTGTTGAGCGTTTTGAGGTGGCGGGGTGATGAAAGTTGGAGGGAGTGGTCTTTGGGAAGATAGGCCCGCCTGCTGCTGCTGCTGCTGATGTTGCTGCTTGAACTGGGGAGCATGGAAAAATTCTTGGGGCTTTGGCTGCACCTGAATGATGGGCACGGGGGTATGGTGGGGAATCGGTGATGGACTGATAGTGTGAAGAGTGGGCGTTGGGATTGGCGTTGCCGTCTGCGTTGTACTTGCGACCGGGCTCGGTGACTGGCCAATGTCGTTATGATGAATAGGCGGCGGCGCCACTGGCTCCGGAGGCGTGGGCAATGACCCGATCATCGGAGTGGCTGTGGGTGTTGGCTCTTGCTTGGGCATCCGTTCGCCGGCAGAAGGTTCGTCTGTCGGAGTGAAGTCAGGTGCGAGATGAGACAGTCTCCGGCCATTGGAGTCTGTGGACGGGCTTTCGAAGATGGAGTTGGACCGGAATGTGGGCTGATGCGGGAAGGGAGACGGCCCGTTGTCAAATGCGTAGTGTGCGGCCAGCGCATCAGGGGCGGCATTGAAGACATATCCAAACGCGGGTGCGTTAAAGAGGGATGTGGCCGATTGAGGGTGTGCTTGGCTGGATTCAGTGTTCCTTGAGACGTCGGACTCGGGTGAGATGGGCCCAGCGCGCGATACTGGCGTGCCGAGCTGGCTGCTGGATGGCGGTGAAGGGGACTCCTCTTCCACATTATAGCTTTGCAGGCAAGCGTTGGCGAGCGACGTATATAGTTGAACCGCAGATGACGATCCGGGCCAGCGATCTGAGAAGAGCTTAATCGCCTCGAGAGCTGCCGCCGCAAGGTCTTGAACCTCTTCTCGGGGATGCTCAGCGCGGACTTCGGGATAGGAGATCGACCACAGCAGCGCATTTAGGGAGGCGTAGATGATCATGATGGCATCCAGCGTGATGTCTGCTGTCCCTTGTTCGATCTGTTGAGAAGTCGCGTCGATTATGTAGCGGGATGCCCCGAAACACTTCACGGCTGAGGTGCTTGTTGGCCGCCGAACCTGAGGGTTAGGCCGGTAGAGGGCAATGACCATGCTGTGATAGTACCCGATAAGACTGCCCTGATCGTTAGCAGGGATACTCGGAACAAAAGCGAAGGAATGTGCGACATACAATGGCCTGCACCACGCGGGCTGTTCAGGACAAGCATTGAGCCAACTCTGCAGCTTCTGCTCCATTTCGGCAAACCATGGATGGTTCTCGTGGGTAGGCTCAGGGCGTTTCTTCTCGTAGAGCACCCGTCGGATTTCCGCCTGCAGAAGCCTCATCCTGCAAAAGTGAATGGCAACAAGTTTACGTTCACAAGGACTACCGGGACGGATCTCCTCCGGGGTGATGTCTTCGTCCGCAGCGGTTTCGAAGAACTTGACGTTCATGAGGTCGGCGCTTCTGGCGAAGCCATTCGGCCGACCCATGCTGAAGGCCAAGGCGAGCTCGTGTGAGGTGACAATCCAGCTCAACCTTCTCCGCATGTCCAAAGTCAGCCGATCGGTAACCCCCACGCCTATAGTCCTCTCGTCCCCGAGACCCATCTGTTGACATATCCTCGCCGCAAGACCGATCACATAATACACGGCGGTTCTGGTCGGCGTCATGAGAGCATACTGCCCGATCAAGATGAGGCATTGCAGTGTCTTGAGATCCTGTGGACGGACGACGTCCTCGAAACGTCGCATTGCGTTGAGATAGTAGCTGTCAGGCAGGCCAGCGTACTTGCCCACTTTCTGAAGGCTGATTGCGACCACCATGTTCACGGTGAAGTGCTTGTACGGGTCCGTATCGCCGGCAAACACAGCGTCTACGTCTTCCTCAAATGTCTTCTCGTGGAGAATGGGCGCAAAGAGTTGGACTGGCAACGGGCCATTAGCACGTCGAAAGCTCGTGGTTCAACTTCTTACAGGGGCCAGAAGATGAATGGATGCCTACCTCTGTCGTTGAACGCCCGTACCAGACCAACCACGATCTCCTTTTTCGGTAAGGAAGAGGCCGGGATGATGCTGTGCGCCGGATAGCTCTTCTTCCTCCCCGAGGGCCCGCTTATGCTGCCACCCATGACCACACTCTGCATGCGGTCTCGTTGCTCCGCCCTCCTTGCCAGCACCGCGGGAATGAGATTGGCTATCCTCCGTGACTCGGCGTATCTCTTGGCTTCCTCCATGAGCAGCCGTGTCATAGCAGTGCCACTGCTAGGGCCGAGATAGCGCGGCATCTCGTCCGTTTCGTCGAGGCGGACAATGCCGCCAGGGGAGACCATATCATCGTGATTGAGCGGATATTCGCCCTCGTGATCCGTATACTGCGCAAGTTCGTCTTCGAGCTCACGCACCTTCTTTTGGAGGCTGACGACGTAAGTGCGATTGATCTTCTTTCCCTTGGCGCTGTCATAGTACTCGCACGTCGACCCCGATCGCTCGCAGGGGAGGCAACGCGGCAGGGCAGGGTCACATCTCGTCTTTCTCTAGACGAGGATAGCAGCAGTCAGAAAACATGGATCAGCGCAGGCTTCGTGACAATGTGACGAAGCCGGGTGGCGTACCTGTCGACATCTGCAGCAAGCTGTCAGGGTGTGCGCGACGCTGCGATGGGGCGCATCATGCGCATCCTGCTCCGGGTTGTCCCATGGATACGGTCCGGGAACGGGAGGTCTGCCCGGGAAGAAGTGCTGCGACGGCCTCGGGAACCCTGTGCCCAGAGAACGGTAGAAGACGGCGGCAGGGTCCATGGATAAGCCACCGGATGCTGGGATCCAGCCCAGTAGAACCGGCGGTTTTAAAAGTGTCGGAACTCGAGTGATTCGATAGCGGGGAAGCTCTGCTCAGCTATCCGTATGCGGGTACTTCTCGCCCTCCCCGTGGAATGTTCACCGTCGTAGAATCGGCGTCGGATGGTGGGTCGTCAAGCGATACTGCCATCGGAAGGCATCACGAAGGGAATTGTGAATTGGAAGAGACACCAGATTCGGATCAAACTCGAGATGGGGAAGCCTCGTCGAAGGCAGCTCGTGCGCTCTGCTTGATTCGCTAGGTCACGCTCAACCCCTGTCGGCGTATCACGTTGTTCGTCCACACACCTACCTACTCCGTACACTAGCTGCCAAGAGCCGGGGCACATCAGACATGTTAATTTGAGATGCGCATTTCATCGAGTTCTAGCTGTGTTCTGTTCCTACTCTGCCGCTGTAATTGGTCCCATTTGCGACGTACCGTACGGCACCTCATAGTCAGTGGATGTGCGAAGGTACAGTAGAGACCTGCAGCTTAGGTCAGTCGGAGTCGGGGACTCGAGCCCCGCGGGTGTGGGGTCCACGAACCCAGCCGCGCCAAGCACCTGTATCAAAATCGCCCCACACTTTGGGTTAGGGGACCAAGATGGGGCTTCTGAGGTTCGAGTCGCATTAGCTCCAACCTTGCAGGCAAAGGGCGACGACGGGAACGCAGCGGAAGACGAAGGCGTCCAGGTACCTTATGTCTATGACCTCAAACTGCAACTCAATGGCACCTTCCTGGTGAACGGGTCTTGAGCGAGCCATCTTTGGATTCAAGGCTTTACTTTATCTTCCCCTGGGGCCACCTTGTATCATTCAAGTCCGCAACGGGTACCCGAGTGCCTCCGTGACGCACCCACATTGTGCGCATCAACGCAACCTCCCGTCCTCATCAACTGCCTCGCTCGACCAACGTCACTGAAACCGCGTGATACGGCCCGGTGTCCCAAAGCCACCACTCCACTAATTCGACTGAGACAATTTGCTAGGTTGTTTATTGTTCCCGGTCCTCTTCAACAGAGAAGCCATCTGACGGTCTCCCCGTTCTGCCTGGCGTTTGATTGATTGGGCCAGCCCTGGAATCCACTGAGACCGGAACAGACAAGCTGTTAATAAGCTTCGACGGGAGCCGGTTCTCTCAACCCAACTGCCTGTTCTAGGCACGCCGGTTCACTGATCCTAGCGAATCCCTCAGAGTCTTCCCCTAGAGGATGAACACAAGGCTCCAGGATAGACATTCCTGATTAGCCCTCGCTGTCATCATCATGCACCGATCAAGCTTGGCAGACGCTCCTCTGCTAAAGGTCTCCCGGCCGGTGTCTGCGTGCTCAAGATGTGAACAACGCCTCCCGTACCCGTTTGTTGGCTCCCGACTAACATCTCCACGCAGGCCGTCTAGCTAAAGTCAAGGTGATTCCTAGTTCCACTCCCACTCCCACGCATTGAAGTGGCCGTGACCCCCTGGCTGACCCCTAGCCAGTGCGACAACAAGCTACCCGCATGTACAGCTTGTGAAAGGGCTGGCCGTGAGAAGGAGTGCACAGCGGCTAATGACCAGTTTGCCCGCGGAAAGGAAAGAAGGTATGCGGTGGCATTCGTTACCGGTAGTTTGACGCTGATCGGTGCTAATTGGCACACATCCAGCTATGTCGCGGCGTTGGAGCTCAGGATAGAGAAGCTAGAGAGGAGACTCTCTTACGCTCGGTCAACGAAGGCCTCAGTAGCGCTGCATGGACCGGATGAACCTCCCGCTGCTGATCCGAGCCGCAAAGACTCTTTGGCATTCATCCGGGCTGCCATTCACCGGAAGGCTGCCCGCACGCAAGAAAACGCTGACATCAACGCCTTGGTTTCCGACTTTGGCTACTTGTGCGTTCATGACTTTGGCGTGGCCGAGGGCTGGAAGACCAATCTGCTAAACTTTGTCCTAGAGCCGTGAATACCACCACCCGGGACTTTGAGCCGTCCGAGTCGAACATGACCTTTGCACGCCTCGTCCTGGCAGCCTCCATCAATGACCCCGTCCCAGAGGCCAAAACCACCAACCTCCCGCCAGAATCGACCGCGAGAGCCATTGTGCAGTTCTATGAAACCAACATCTTAACTCTCTACCCTGCGTTCCCGGGAGCCTCACTTCATGCGTTGGTCAGTGACCTCTATCAGGAACTTCCACGGCCCATCCGGAGCTCAGAATATTGGATGTTCTGGATGGTACTAGCCATTGGGTCCGCCGCACAGAGCCGAAGTCTGGAGGACGAGCATTACCGGAATGCTGTCGAGTTCGTTGCACGGGCATTGCCACATGCCGACAGGGCTCTGAAGCCTGGCTATGTGACCCAGGTCCAGTCCCTGTTGCTTCTCACGCAATATGCAATGCTCGATCCAGCTCACTTTGACAGTTGGCACCCGATCGGCTTTACCTGCCGAGCCGTTGTCGACCAGGGCCTACATCAAGATCCGCCCCATGCGCAGCAGTTGGACCAAAATACGCTGGATGCGCGACGCAGGACCTTCTACTGTGTATACGCTCTGGACAGGTCAGTAATTTTACATGTGCGTCTGGTTCTCGCAAGTATGACACTAACACTGCGGTTGTTTGTGCAGGGCAATAAGCATGGTCCATGCCCGCGCCTTCTCGTTTTACGATGATGCCGTCTCCGTGGCTCTTCCATCCCCGGGGCGAGCGGTAAATGCCCTCTCCAGCGGCGGCCCTATTGCCAAGAAAGCCTCCGATGCATCTGTTCCTCTTTTCAGGCTGCGGCAACTGCAATCGGGCTGGTATCAGGCGCTCTACCAGGATAATCCATCTGAAGCCCTGCCGGACGCCACCTCATTCATCTGGCGAAAGTACTTCGAGATGTGGGAGTGGTCCGAGAGCCTCTCAGCCAACATACCGGCTGCCATCCGGGAAATGCTCGACCTGGAGCTGCGCTACAGCTATGTTTATTGCATCGCTTCCAGCGTCAGAGGCGCACAGGTCACCGCGTACGGGAGGTTCTTGATCTTCGAACACGTTATTGCGTACATTGACAGGATCTACGACATCGTCAATCTATCAACAAACGCGGCCTTCTATACCTACCATGACGCTCTACGAGTCTTCTTCATGGGGTCGCAGTTCTCTGCCGTGCTACAAGATGCACGCGACCTACTAATCTCGGGGTCGCCTATTTCTCCGCCCCTCTCCGCACCGGGAACGGTGAAGCCTCCGCCGCCGCCGGTGAGACTTGACCGTGGCGCGGGCGACAACTTGGATCGCAGCCTGCGGTGTTTGGAAAGAGTCAAGCTTACCTTGAAACTGTACGGCAACAGGTGGGGGAGTGCGCTGTCCTTGATGGAGAGCTTTGAGATGCTTTCCGGTGAGGTGTGGAAGGATCTTACGACGAGACGGGCTATGAGAAGGGCCGCCCCAACCGCACGGTGGCAACCGCTGCCCATTGTGTAGCTTTTGGCGCAGGCCCGGTCCCGAGGGACGAGCCCCCTCCGCTCTTCCGCAATGCCCCGGTCACTCAGCGCCATAATCGTTACAACATTATGTTATGTTGGATGGATATAGGTGTGATGCAACTGTCGCAACGAAGGAAGCCGCAACTGGCGCCGACGGATCACGCAGAGGCGCAGACGCAAGAAGTTAGCACGAGACTACGAACTTTCGTTCCATTGGTACTTGGTGATTCTGTTTTGGTTGTTTGTTCTTTCAGCGGGGTGTCAAGAGTTTTCGGAACCCTCGGGTAACGAATGCATGTCTGGGTATTCCGCACCCTGTGGATTGCTCTCTATGTTTGCTTCATACTAGCTGCCTCCATACTGATCTTGGTTCATCCTTGTGGTGGCCTTCCGCGGAGGATTCCGTCTCCTTGACAAGCCATACATTGGTCACGGAATCGCTCCACATCCACTTCCAACAGACAATCTGGCACAGTCGGAGTGGTTGGGCTTCAGCATAGGAAGGGGTTTCCAGCCATAAGTGGGCCGCAGAAATGGAAGCAAGCGTTTGCTCTGACGGGCAGCGGCATCATGGCCTTATGAAGCATGAATAGTGAGGAGTTGCGCATGACCTGGCAGTGAGAAGCGGAATTCGGCATACACCCATGCTTGAAGGTCGAGGAGTTCTGAAGCGTACCCTGGTGTGCCGTGTGGCGTTCCGTTGAGGTTGATGTGGGCGTTGTCGGGCGGTGTTGGCTCCGTGGTACGACTGTCGTGTGCAATGCAGAGTGACATGCAGGCTGATTTGGCAGACTGGGAAGACGATTCGGGGCCATGCCCAAATCTCGGGTGTCCGACCCGCCGCTTCGGTCCCGGGGACAAGGAACCGGACAGACACAAGATCCCGCGGAGGCCCACGGCTGCCCACCGCTGCTTTAATGCCGTGACTTCTTGGCTAGCAACAGAAGAGGTCAGTTTACGGTGAAGATACTATACATAAATGCCGCGCTCTCGGCAAGGATGTGAGTGACACGACCGCGACTGAGTTCGAGACATCAGTCTTGCCGCGCGCTAACCCGATCGCTGGCCCCATACATGAGACAACCTTCTAATTCGCATCATGGCCGCACATCTTCTTAACGATTGTGCCGTGCCCAATCACGTGGAGCTCACCACCGGGTTCGCCCTCTCGTCTGGATCGGATGCGGTCGAAGGTTGCGAGATTGTCCAGGAGATCGATGACTACTTCGCCACTAGCACGATAGACGGGAGAAGTCCGGTCCCCTTACCCGACACGAGGCTGGTTCTGAGGCTCGGTGGCGATGGCGAGCGAGATGCTCATGGCATGAGTGATGGCCAGACAAAGGCTGTGCAGGAAGATGAGACGAGGCCGCTGATGGCAACCCCCCAAACCACAATGGATTTAAATGAGGCTACTGGGCCGGAGCTGGGCCACAGGCACAGCACTCTTCTCACTGAAATGACACACAGACACCCAAAACTCGAGGCAAAGTGGGATTCAGATTTCAGTCCTGTTCCCCGCAACAAGTCGAGCAGCAACATCGACCTCGCCGGTACCAGCAAGATGAGGCATAGTGACTCGGAGGAACTCGTGCCAAAAGCCAACGGCAGCAATGCCAACGGCAACTGTTCCAGCATCCCATCGCCGAATTTTGCCAACCCGGCGTCCGATCAGAACCGGCTCCTTCATCTCGCCGACGTGATCACCCGCAACATCTCTCCCCAGGCCGCAGCAGACGATGGCCGCGGGATCAGAGCAGCCAATGCCGCTCTCGAACTGGCTGCAGCGGTTCGCCCGCCCACCGACACCGTCATGGGCTGGTTCGCCACCATGTCTGTCATATCTGCCGTGCGTCTCTTCATGCACTGGAAAGCCTTCGACATGATCCCGTCTGGCGAAGGGGAGAGCATCACATATGCTGCACTCGCCGAACGGGTGAGCGCGGAGGAGGGCCTCGTTGGTTAGTCCGCGTTCTTTTCTTTTCTTTTTTTTGTCTCACGCTGAACCGCAACTGACAAAGTGGGAAACAGTCCGTGTCGCTTCCATGCTTACGTCAAGTCATGTTCTTGCTCACCACTCCGGCTTCCCAGATGATCAAGCGCCGCGGCTTTCCCACACGCCGACATCCCTGCTTCTCCTCTCTGGCCAATCCATGGCGGCCATGTTCTCTTTGATGTACACAAACGTCGTGCAAGTGTCCTCGGTCCTTCCGGAGTACTTCGACTGTTACGGCCGCACGGAACCGCTTGGGCCAGCACACATTCCCACCTCGTATCTGGCAGGCCAGCCAGAAGAGCCTTACTTTGCCCTGTTGAAGAAGGACGAAGCCGCGCTGCGCGACTTCAACCTTGCCATGCGCATCTCGAGCAGGCGTGTGCCCGTCACGGGCATGTATGACATGAGCAGGGTCTTGCAAGCGGCCTTGGACGGCAGGGAGACGGTGTGGGTCGATGTCGGTGGCGGGGATGGCCATACCGTCAAAGAGTTCCTGAAGGCATACCCAGGTCTGAAGCCCGAGCAGTGTGTGGTCCAGGATCTCGAGGAGGTTGTGGTTGCTGCGAGAGAGCAGGATGACGAGGAACTGAGCGGGGTGAGATGGATGAAGATGGATTTCCTGCACGATGCTCCCCTGAAAGGTAATTAATTCACCCTCTGGGGCCTACCCTTTCCCACCCTCTCACCACCAGACATAAATAATCAACTAACCAAAACCCCCGGCTTAGGCGCTCTGGTGTACTACCTCCGCCACATCCTGCGCGACTACTCGGACGCCGTGGCCATCACCATCCTCTCCAACGTCGCACGCGCCCTCACTGACCCGGCCAGCCGCGTGCTTATCTCGGAGCAGCTGAACCCAGACGTGGCAAGCACGGCTGGTCCGCCCCCGCTGTACGCGGCCTTCAAGGACTTCTCGATGCTGTCCATCGGCGGCAAGGAGAGATCCCTGCGGCAGTTCGAGGAGGTGGCTGGTGCCGCCGGGCTGAAGGTATCGGGCGTGTTCCGGGATCGGGCGACGCCGCATGCTGTTGTTGAGCTTGCGCTGAAGTAGGCTCGGCGAAAATATCTATCATGATCGATTAATCCGGGTTAATATCTGGGGCTGAAGCAAGGGGTTTATGGTGGGTTATTGGCATACTACGAGACATTGGACGGGGGGATGGGAAGGGATGAGCGAATGCCAACAGGGGGGTGATCGCACCTTGTTAATGCGGGAGGAAGGGATGTCATCGGGTACCAGAGCGGTTAATAATGGACGAGAGGAATCTCACACATGGTTCGGGGATGAATGCATGGCATATGGTGGGCCGTTCTGTTATTGGTCTATGTTGTTGACTTGTCTGATTGCCTAAGAACGCTTTTCTTCCGCTTCTTCTTCCTCTTTCTCTTCCTTCTGTTCGCTTCTCATACTTGATTTGCCATTTCTCTAATCTAATCCACCTTGTTTGCCAGACAGATGCTAGGACAAAGGAGTACTGGCTAATGCTGAGATAGGGAGTGCGAGATTGAATCTAGATGTTGGCTATATAAGTAAAGTACGTACTCAGCTGGTTTAGAACAACGCAGGAACGCCCTGGGTACTTGCCCACGTGCCATCCCTCAACGCTACCTGTAGTCAGGCTTCTTTGAGTCCACGTGCATACGGCTCCGAGTTACTGGTACACCTTTCTGTGCGGGCAACTCGTTCTGGAGTACGATGCTACAGGGTTCATGATGACTCTTGACCAACAGATGTCACACGCTTATCTTACAAGTTCGAGATATAAGCGTCGACACCTACCGAGCTGGGACCGATCTCAATGACTGGAATCACTCGTATCTCAATGGTCAACACAGAGAGGAGGAACGGGCATCAAGACCGGAATGAATGCATCAAGTTATATACCTCGAAGAGAAAAAAGAAGAAGCCCGTCATCATGCATCAAGAACTATGTACAGTCAGAAGATGCTGATCTCATCCACCATTCAGCTCATTACCCAAACCCCAACATTCCCACCGCTTCCCTCCCAAGCGATGTCATCACCATCACAGGCGGAGCGTGCGCCGCTTAAAGGCACTGCGAGTACCAGTCGTTCTGCTTCCTGCAGGTGCTGCCGGCAGCGCAGTTGGTGCACCCTGTGAAGCCGTTACCACCGCATTGCGCGTACTTGGCAGCAGTGCAGCCGGTCGGGCCGCCGCCGGCCGATGTGCTGGTAGAGCTGGGCTTGGCGGTGCTGGTGGAGGTGGGGCTGGCGGCAGAGCTAGAGGAGCCGCCGCCCGGGGAGCCGCCGCCGTTGGGAAGACCCGAGACGGTGGAGCCGATGGGGCCGAACTTGATGTTGGAGAAGACGACGTTGGAGTTGGGAACCTGCGCCTCGATTTCGGACGGGACACCGGAGGTGGTCGGGCAGGCACCACGCTCGGCACCGGGCTTGCCAGCCGCGTCGACCGGGTAGGTCGAGTCGAGCCAGAGCATGTTGACGGCGTGGTCATCCCAGATGGACATGACCAGGACCATGGGCTTGGCCAGGGCCTTACCCATCTGGGCAAGACCGCCCTTCTTGTTGAAGTCGTTGATGTCACCGAAAGCGGTCTTCTGCTTGTCGCAGTAGTCCTGGGTGATGGAGTTGCCCGGAACGCCAGCAATGGTGGACTCGGAGTTGGGGATGACGACGCCGTTCTGGGCGTAGAAGCGCTTGATCTCGGACAGGTTGCCGGACGCGTCGGTAAGGAACTGCGTAACGACGGTGAGCTTCTTGGTGGTGTCGACTGTCATGCCCTTGCCGTAGAAGGTCTTGTTGCCCTGTCGGTACGCGTTGAAGTCGCATCCATCGGGGTCGCAGATACCGCCATAGCGGTCCGAGCTGTAGGTGCCGCCGCAGCTGTCGCCCTCGCAGCGAGTCTGGCCGATCGTCGTGCAAGGGTGAGGAGTGAAGGCAGTAGCCATGTTGTTGGCCTCCCAGATATCCATCTCGTCGCAGCAGCTACCGTACTTGCCAGTGCCGGCGTTGGCATCGTTGGTCGAGCCGGACCAGCCCTCAACGTTGGCCTCGCCGTTGATGAACTTGAGGTCGCGGGGGCACTGCGAGTCGCAGTAGCCGGTACCGTACTTGGCACCAGCCTTGTTGCTGGTGTACTTGGACGCACCGCCATCGGCATCCATGGTCACGAAGTACAGGGCACCGTTGAGGCCGCAGCCAATGTTGGAGACATCAACGTCAAAGGTGAACTCGTTGCCAAGCAGGGTGAACACTGTTTTTTCCGGTCAGCAACTGGCCCGCCTAGACATCTCCGCGGACCGAAGAGAAGACGTACTCTGATACTTGGTGTCGGACTCCATCAGGTAGGTACGGGAGCCGATGTTGGTCGAGTATTGGCCCTTGGTGACAAACTTGAGGTTCAGGGAGTTGCCGCTGGTGGTAATGCCGTAGGTGCCAGAGTAGTCGGCGCCATCAACGCAGCACTTGGAGGCGCAAGAAGGACCATCGTTGCAGATGGACGTATCCCACTCATTGCCGCTGTAGCAGTTCGTGGAGCCCGAGGTCTGGTGCGTCCACCGCCAGTTGGCATCGAGGGTGACGGAACCCTGGACGCTGGTGCAGCTGCCACTGGCCGTGCACTTTTGCCACGTAAGAGGAGGGTGATTCTCGGTTGTGAGCGTGCAAGCCTGCTGAGCAGCGGCGGACGCCACAAGGGCGGCGAGGGTCGCGAATTTGGCGTACATGGTGGAGGGTGTGGAAGGCGTGGCGTGCCTTGGATCGACGACAGATTAGAGACCGATGATGAGGCTTCCGAGAAGGAAACGATGGTTGGACGCCGCGGATCCAGGAGTTATATAGACGGCTCTCTACTCCCTGGATACTAGGAGTCCTCTCCGTTGGTTGATCCAGCCTCTTCCGGCTTGCCGGGCCAGCCACCCAACCTGGCCATGTGGTTCCCAAGGGGGACGACCGCCGTGTCGTCTGGACGGCTCACGGCCCGTCGACGCTCGACGCGCCACCATTCCGGCTCGCTCACATCACACGCTGACACGGCATAGCACCACTTCGCGCCCGAGGGAGCCGGAGAATGAGCAGGAAAGGGTGGGGCAGCGCGAACATGGCGGGAGGGACCATTCGAGGCCCAAAGTGTATATCGCTTGGGCTCGATGAGAACCGGCGTGGCGTGGGGAACTGGAGGGTCGTGAAAATCTGTGTGCAGCGGGACATGCCAGAACAGTCATGGTGGCCGGGGATTCCATCGGCGGCGTGACATCGTGCCTGTCATGGTCGAGGCTGGCTGTGAGCACGGGCAGAGGCGTTGTAGAAGGCGTGGAGCCGAGCGATGAGGATGATTATCCGTTAAGGTTGCCGAAGGGCCAAGAGGGTCATGTCAAAGCTGATTGGAGGGTGTTTGCGGTAGCAGCTAGGGTCCCTCGGAGGGCTTCCACCGAGTGCAACTTGAGATGTCCAGCTTGCCCCTGGGCAGAGCAGATGATCTGGTGACGGTTTGGCCCTGGCCTTTGCGGACCCGGTAGCCACGCCATCAACCTGTGGTGCTGTACGCGTAGATGCGATCCGAAGTGCCGCCTGCAGTGCCCAATCTCACCGTCAGAAGCAGAGTTGAGGCAGGAACGCGTTACTAGCAGGCATTGGTTGGTCGGACATTTGCGATTTTCTGGGGAAGGCATCCATTTCCCCACGAGTTGAAACGGTCACCCCGCATTCTAAACCTAGAACGTCGACAACCCGAGTTGGCGGCTTGGCTAGGAATGCAAATAGCAAGACGTGGATTAGCATCTGTTGGAAACAAACACATAGGTATTGTGTACATACAGCAGATCGATGGACGGGGTACTCCGAACGTCAGATCAGAGTTGGGGGCGGAGTCCAACCGGTATGAGTTGCAACCCCCATGCCGCCGGCCCGATGTGGTCACTTTGATCACTTGCATTCCGGACAACTGGGATTCAAAACCCGGGAGCTGGAATCTTGCTTAATCTACCGATATTGGGCGCCATGATGCTTGCTGCACCTGTCGTTCTTGGCTGGGTCGTGTCCCCGGTTCTCGCGCGCTCAGAGTTTGGTGGTCCGAGAGTGCGCAGGCAGGAGCGCAAGATCAAATTCCGTTCCACCAATTCGGAAAGGCGGGAGCCCCACATACCGGCCGTGTGGGTCCAAAGCGGGAGATCCATTCCATGCCGCAAAGCTTCGCGCGGCGGCTTCTATCCGTATCACGTGTGAAATCAGCTGGCGTCTGGTGAGTAAACGGTTCTAACAGCCTGTTCCCTTGTGATTGGCTCCGCCTGCTTGTTTTCATCGTCTCATCGTTCATGAAGCGCACTCCGCTACCCGCTCGCCTCGATAATATATCCACTCTGTAAGGGACTTTGACAGAACGGAGTACAGTAACCTGACCTAAAACTTGGGACATCCGATTTCAGATCTACCTACGGTACCTTGCTCGGTTTTCTTATCTCTGAACGAGGTCCTTCAGCTCCGCCGGATGGCGCAGCTTTTTCGCCCCGTCCATGGCCCTCCGACCTAACAGACGTCGAAATAATCTGCTCGCATCTTATAAGTGCCTCATTACCTAGGTACATATGAAGTATCATCCAAAGCGTAACCCCCCTAGGCCGATAGAGGACGACAAAGGTTCCAGGTTGTTTAGGATCCTAGCTTGCTGTTCCATTTGGGAGACAGTGTGGGCCACAGGCACCCGGATCGGGATCGCAGTGGTGCGGGGCACTCTCATTCGGGCTGTCTACAAGCGCCCAGCTCGAGGCGCGCCGGGACGACCAGCCGATGCGCTCAAATTTGAGCCATCATTGGACCTTTCAGGTTGGTGCAACGGAGGAGACCGGACGGCATGGCAGCACGGCGATGGCACCTCCCAGTGGGAGAGGAGACCCTTTCCTGGGATACCAAAAGAAGGTCTAAACCCAAGTAGCACATAATTATTAGACTAGTAGTATTTCCGCATATTCCGAAAGCCCCTCTTACGCCGACGATTCAAACATGTCGAACAATCTCAGACTCAGAGACGGGGGCAGCTCGCCTGATCACACTGATAAATCATCGAGCCTATCTCGTGAGTCGTGACAGCGTATCGTCTCCACAACCTCCCTGCCCGATCTCCATCTAGGCCTTGTACATCGGCTACGTTTGGGTCGATTCTCCCTCCAAGTGGCGAGACGACTCCAGCGGTGGTAAGGGACAGGCTGTGCGGAACACTAACGTACTCTCGGAGGCCGGATTAGGAGGTAGCTGAGGCTAGATTTTGCCGGCGAATATCGGTACTAAGGAAATTTGAGGGACTACAGACATGCTGTTCTTCGTCAGTTCCAAGAGTGATAAAGTGGTCTTGAAATGGAAATGAGTGGGCTAACCTTGTTTCTCCATCACGGCCATCCCTACCTGCGGTGGAAAGGGGCAGTTGATAGGCATTCCCGCTCTCGAGCGTTGTCAATCGCATCGGTGGCATCAGATTCTGCTTGTGAACACTCCAGATGGCCGCTCTCCTTCCTATCCACCTCACCGCAAAATACCAGACCAGATGGAGGCCGAGACAAGCCACGCATATTGCTGGATAAATCTGCGTCGTATTGCGCTCAAAGTCGTCCTCCGCAAGAATGGTTGCCCACTTTGTCGCACTCCCAGAGTACTAGTTGCTCCACGTCCTGCAGCTGTTTAGAAGGCCAGTGGCGGATGAAACCAGAACGCCTAGAATCACGGCCGCGATCGTGCAATCTCCGTAGAGCGTGGCCGAGCTTGGTCCCCGAGAAGCCCCTTTTCTGGCCCGTTGTGAAGCGAGAAAGATCCCGGAAGCGCATGTGTTGCCTATCAGGAGCCCAGCTATCCCAATAACAAGCCAGTGCCGGTCCGTGAAACTTGTTGTTTGCGGAGCCAACAGGGCACCAAAGGCCGTGCAGAAGCTCAGTAAAACGGGGCAGAAAGAGAGCAATAGGCAGTATATGCGGCGTTCGCCCGGGCGGTCTCCAGAATGTTGAAACGTCGGTAGAATCCCATTCTGGGCAAGTACTGCAACATCCAGATCAGGCGGATCAAGAAACGTTGTATCCTCCACGTCGACCCACGGCTTATTCTTCTTGCCGACTTCGAGTACTAGTCTCTGCAGCTGAAGGTGGATGCCGTGCAGATTGTGCCAGTCCCCAATCTGGCAACGAAGCAACGTGAGGGGGAGTAGCCAGGTGAAGATGAAACCGGCAGCAATTTTACCTCCTGATACGCCAGAGCCTCCCAGACCAGTAAGCGCAAAGAAGAGTGATATCGCGGCAACGACAACCGGACCATATCCGCTGGAGCGTCGGCGATGACACCGCAGTGCGTTGCCGACACTAAATACCAGACGGGGTTCTTGTTGGGTCACTTGCCGTATGAAATCCGAAAACGGACGTCGAGGATAGTTCTCAGGTATTATTGCTGATAAGGTGTCCATGGCGTGCAGGATAAGAATGAGACAGTGCTTGAATTGCTCCGCGGTACCTTCTCCGATGCTTATTAGGCTTTGTTGACCCAGCTGATTGGCATGAATGCTGGTCTCTTGCTCAATGCGTTCCCAGTAGCTGATAGTGCGGAAAATGGAGTAGAAGGTGTCAATTGGGTTGGCCAAAGCGTGCGTCGCCATTAGAAAGTTCGTTTCCAGACCGAAAGGCGAGATGGCAATGGACGAGGTCAGGAAGACCACTGGCCAGACCCATGACATGATCCGTTCGGCCCAATCTGACGAAAGGGCCACGCCGCTGCCGCACACGGCTTCGCAGACATCAAGTGGAATCCTTATCAGCGCGTCCGTTATATTCGAGCCGGGCGGGGCTAGGCCGTGATTCTGTTGGAATCTGTTGGCACAAGCGACTCACTCGAACGGTTCTTGGGCTTGCTTCCGGACCATAGGAAGGAAGCCGATGAGCAGCACGATTGTGACGAAGCTGCTGAAAAGGAGTAAAGCTCGGCATAAGTGCCGGTCCGCCGGACGTGTGGCAAGAAGAGACAACATGGTTGAAAAGGGGTTGTCGCCTGCTGCACTCGAAGCTGAACGGACATGTTGCTCACTTCTCTACAGACATACCTCTCTAATTTATAACCCTGGTGTTCAACGGGATCCCTCCCAGCAAGAGGCACTGCTAGACGCCTTAAACTTGACGCGCCCTGCGTTGGGGGCAAATACACTGAAGTTGTGAAGAACAAGTCTATTCCAGGTTTATCCATCCGACGCATAGTCAGATAATCTGCAGGATCGTGCTTCATTGCCATATAGTTCCCACCCCACATGCCACGCTCCGCGAACGCTGTTGGTGAATCGAGACGGGTGTGGCGGCCTCCGAGTTACACATGGCTCGAAGCATGTTGCAAGGCTCCGCGCGGGGCGGACTCGATTCGCTCCAGCTGCAAAAGACAGATAGCTGAGATCAACCTCTGGAGCGCTTCCAGACGGATGCCAGAGGGATGGAACATTATAGGTTCGCCTTCCACACTATATCATATAGGTCGTCTCTGATATGGATATCAAATCTGGAATACAGGTGTCGTGGTCGGGACTGCCGAATTCTGATTGCTCCGTGCTCCCCTGGGCGACCCACCGGGCCTGGCCGTCAGGTCCCGCGCTCGGACCACCATCTCGTACCCTTGACCAGCTCGCCTAGGTACCAGCCCCTTCTCTGATCAAGTCGCCGGGTCTTTATAAATACACCGCGCGCTCACCTGCCTACTCATTTGCAGCTTCCTCTTTTCATTTTCCTCCTACATTCCGGGTTCCAAGTCTTGCTCTGCTCGGCTAATGGCAACCGTCATGCCTTATACACTGCCGCCCTGTAGCTTTAACGTGCTCCTTTATCATCTAGTCGAGATCTGCTCTAAGGAGAAGGGGAGAGGTACCAGGCTATTTTCTTTATTTGCCTTGCCTTTTTTCTTCTCTTTTCTTTTCTCCCTAATTTCGGCCCTATACTCTAGCTAATAGTGAAGTTATACCGCGTAAATACTTATTATAGATAGGGGTATAGCTACTATAAGCATTTTTATTATCTTATAACTTAAGAGTTTGGGAGGTTAGAATAGTGTCACGGTCAGTACGAGTATTATCCCAAGTGAGAGTTGAACCTATGGCCTTCCTAGTAGAACGGACGAAGTAGGGCACAGGTCACGTGACCCATAAATCGGAAAATATCATGATGCAATTCTGAGCCAACTATCATAGTGACTGTTATTGTAGGCTGGCTCAGAGCTCTGGTGGGCAACTGACTGTATTATAAGAATATTGAACTTATAGGAGGAAAGGAATCCTCGAAGACTGCAAGATGCGAAGAAGTCTAAATATAGGATGTAGGGTATATGCCCAGATGTAGAAGATGGGGTACTAACTAGATTGACCAATCATGCATGCATGCATTAGAAGCTAGGCACATAACTAAGTAATGGCTTGTGCCATGGTACGGTGGATTCTACTGTCATAGACTCTAAACAACCTAATAGAAGTATCACAGTGACTGTCGTTGCAGGCTAGGCTCAAGGCTCTAGTGGGCAACTGACTGCATTGCAAGAATATTGAACTTGCAGGAGGAAAGGAATCCTCGAAGACTGCAAGGTGCGAAGAAGTCTAAAATACAGGATGTGGGGTATGTGCCCAGATGTGGAAGGTGGGGCACCAACTAGGTTAACCAATCAAATGGCTTGTGCCATGGTACGGTGGGTTCCACTATCACAGCGGTACTAAATATACTCTATAAGCATAAATTATTAGTTAATAAGGATAAGAGTGAATTCTACGTTATGAAAACAGTATTTCTTAGATACGAAATTTCGCCTAGTAGAATTAGGATAGAGCCAGCAGAGATTAAAGCAATCAAAAAATAGCCATAACTAATAACGATAATAAAGATATAAGGATTTATTAGATTCGCCAATTTCTACTAAATATTTATTAGAAACTTTGGCGACCTTATAAACTATTATACGAACTTATAAAGAAAGACATTGAGTTCCAGTAGGAAGCCGAGCACAAATAAGCGTTTTAAAAAATCTACGATGCAATTATCACTGATTCAGTACTCTAGTTGCCAGAACTATAGAAGCTATTCGAGGTTAAGACTGATATATTAGACTATACAATCGGAGGATAACTGTGACGGCAAGTGCGGCCTGCGGAGTGCTTACCGTCAGGGAAGATATAATCCACCGAGTTGTAAGTCCTTCGAACTTGCGGTTCCGACATTCTTTTTAGAAGGTGTGCATAGCCGAGTGGGTTAGGTTTATGCTCCACCGTCACAAAAGATCTACTAGACTAAAAGGCTGTGGTTAGGGAGGTGGCATAAGAAATACAGCCAGATAATGGCAGTGCAGAGGGAGCTCATATGAAGGTTCAGTGCTGTGGTATATGCAGCAAGCTTGGCTATAATGCACGCACTTGCTAGGAGGTTGCGGAAGCCTCAAATTCAGCTGTTTCTGATATAATTATTATCAGTTCCTAGTATTGTTGTTTTGTAATTAAGGATATTATTAGTAGTATAGTAGAGAATATTTGACTCGCTTCTATGTTCGGCTCGCTTATAATGCATGTTAGGTAATATAGTTTCTTTTATTAACTAGATTAACGTAGGTGTATAGCGAAAGTTACATACATACGAAAGTTACACTAAACCATACCAATGTGACATCTTACTTCTATACCCACTTCCTCTACAACCTAACATGCCTTAGAAAAACGACGAAAGCCAAGTTATCTTAGCCCTCCAGGCTCTAGAGAATGATCCGAAATTAAGTCTTAGAGCTATAGCTCGGATCTTTTCTATGGACCCAATAAAGCTCAGCCGCCGTCGGTGCGATCAGCAGTCACGATACGATATTCTAGCCAACTCGCGGAAATTGACCGATTTAGAGGAGGCTGTTATTATTCAATATATCCTCGACCTGGATTCTAAAGGATTTCCTCCCCGCTTATCTGGTATAGAAGATATAGCCGATCGGCTGCTTGCTGAACGCAACGCGGGATGCGTCGGAACGCGTTGGGCTTCAACCTTCGTCAAACGGCACCTAGAGCTTACTATACGTTTCAATCGGAAATATAACTACTAGAGGGCCTAATATAAAGATCCAGAGATTATTCGCGGTTGGTTTGCACTTGTACGGAATACAATCGCGAAGTATGGCATCTAGGAGGCCGATATCTATAACTTCGATAAGACTGGGTTTCAGATGGGTATTATCTCAACAGCAATAGTTATTACAAGCTCCGAACGGCATAGCAGGGCAAAGTCGAAGCAGCCTAGCAATCGCGAGTGGGCAATAGTAATCTAGGGCGTCAATACGACTAGCTAGGCGATCCCGCCGTTTATTATCGTCAAGGGCAAACATTACCTCTCCTCTTAGTATAAGAATAGCCTATTGCCGAAGGACTAGGTTATTACGACATCCGAAAACGGTTGGACAACCAACGAGAGAGGCCTAGAATAGATTTAGTACTTCGATAAGTATACTAAAGCTCGAATAGCTAGGGTTTATCGCCTCCTGGTCCTCGACGGCTACAATAGCCACCATTCGACCGACTTCGAGCTCTATTGTAAGGAGAATAACATTATCACCCTCTATATGCCTCCCTACTCGTCTTATATTCTTTAGCCGCTCGATATTAGGTGTTTTAACCTATTTAAGACGGCATATGGCAAGCAGATCGAGGGGATAATATAGGCAAGTATAACCTATATCACTAAGGAGGACTTCTTTCCTATATTCTATGCCGCTTTCTAAGCCGCTATAACTCCTAAAAATATTCAAGGAGGTTTTCGAGGTGCTAGAATTGCTCCTTTTAATCCCAAGAAAGTAATCTCGCAGCTCGATATCCGTCTAAAGACGCTAACGCCCTTAAACTCGCCGCCTAATAGTGCCTACACCTAGGTTTCCAAGACCCCGAATAACCCAATCGAAGCCTCCTCGTAGTCTACCCTTATCAAGAATCGAATTGCCCGGTATCAAAATAGCTCTCTAACCGAGATTTTAAGAGCAGTTGATATCCTTGCGAAAGGGACGTCTAAGGTTATGCATCAATTGGCATTATTAAGAGCAGAGAACCAAAGCCTCCGAGCAGCAAATGAGGCACTAAGCAAGCGCCGAAGGGTCAAAAAACAACGGCTCCGATAAGGAGGATCACTTTCTGTATAGGATGTATAGGATCTGCAGGGCCAGAGAGACGTTGAGGTATAGATTAAGGAGGAAACGCAGGCGGGTAGTGGTCGGAAGCTGAGGGTTGAGATATGCGCGCGGTATTGTGGCAACTGCGGCGAGCCTGGCCACAATGCGCGTACCTGTCAGATAGTTGTTGAAACGTCCGAGGAAGACGATTCCGAGTAGTTTCGTTCGTTTTGAGCTAGTTGGGTGGAATTAATATAGATAAAGTTAAGGGGGTATGGTTTAGTGTAACTTTCGCATGCATGTAACTTTCGCTATATACTTACGTTAACGTGGTTGATAAGCGAATGCTCCAGACAAGCGAATGCTCCACAAAGTTGCACCTATATAACAAAATGTATATCAATCCCACCAAAACCGCTTCAAACAAATGAAACTACTCGGAATCGTCTTCCTCAGACGTTTCCATAACTATTTGACAGGTACGCGCATTGTGACCAGGTTCGCCGCAGGTGCCACAGCGCCGCGCGCGCGTCTCGACCCTCGGCTTCCGACCACTACCCGCCCGTGTTTCCTCCTTTATCTGCACCTCAACCTCTCTCTAACCCTGCAAGTCCTTTGTATCTTGTACAGTAAGCAATCCTCCTTGTCGGAGCCGTTGTTTTTTAGCTCGCCGACGCCTGCTTAGTGCCTCATTTGCTGCTCGGAGGCTTTGGTTCTCTGCTCTTAATAATGCCAATTGATGCATAACCTTAGACGTCCCTTTCGCAAGGATATCAACTGCTCTTAAAATCTCGGTTAGAGAGCTATTTTGATGCCGGGCAATTCGATTCTTGATAAGGGCGGACTGCGAGGAGGCTTCGGCTGGGTTATTCGGGGTCTTGGAAACCCAGGTATGGGCACTGCCAGGCCGGGAGTTCGAGGGTATTGGTGTCTTTAGACGGATGTCGAGCTAGGAGATCACCTTCTCGGGATTAAAAGGAACGAGTCCAGTGCCTCTAAAACCTCCCTAAATGTTTCCGGGCGTTATTGCTACCTGGTGAGCTACGAGGAATACGGGAAAGAAGTCTTCTTTGGTGATATGGGTTATGCTTGCCTATATTATTGCCTCGATCTGCTTGCCGTATACCGTCTTAAACGGGCTAAAACACCTAATATCGAGCGGCTGGAGGATATAAGATGAGTGCGGAGGCATATAGAGCGTAATAATATTGTTCTCCTTGCAGTAGAGCTCGAAGTCGATCGAGTGGTGGCTATTATAGCCGTCGAGGACGAGAAGGCGATAAACCCCAGTTGTTCGAGCTCTGGTATATATATTAAAATGCTTGATCCAATCTAGACCTCTCTTATTGCTAGTCCAACCGTTTTCGGATATTGCAATAACCCATTCCTTTGGTAATAGGCTGCCCTTGTACCAAGAGGAGAGGTGATATTTGCCCTGGATGATAATAAACGGCGGGATCGCCTAGCCAGTAGCATTGATACCCTGGATCACTATTACCTACTCCCGATTACCAGGCTGCTTTGACTTTGCCCTGCTATGACATTCGGAGCTTATGATAACCATTAAGGTTGCGATAACGCCTATTAGAAACCTAGTCTCGTCGAAGTTATAGATATCTACCTCCTAGATACCGTACTTCGCGATCGTGTTCCGTATAAGCGCAAACCAGCCCCGAATAATTTCTGGGTCTTTGCATTGGGCCCTCTAATAGTTGTATTTCCGATTGAAACATATAGTAAGCTCGGGGTTCTATTTAACGAAGTTATATACCTAACGCGTACCGATATATCCTATATCGCGTTCGGCAAGTAGTCGATTTGCCATATCTTCTATATCAGACAAGCGGAGAAGAAACCCTTTGGAATCCAGGTCGAGGATATATTGAACAATAACCGATTCTTCTAAATTGGTCAACTTCTACGAATTGGCTGGAATATCGCGTTGTGATTGTATACTACGCCTACGACAGCTTAGCTTGGTATAATGAACCGCATAGATCTTAGCTGTAGCTCTTAGGCTCAAAGTGGAGTCTTTCTCAAGAGCTTGGAGGGCTAAGATTATCTGGCGTTCGTCGTCTTTTGGATGCATATTGGGTTGCAAAGAAAATGTATGCGAGGAGAAGGTGTTGTGTAGGCGCGGTGAAGTGGAGCATTCGCTTGTCTGGAGCATTCGCTTATCAACCACGTTATATGGTTTATATTTTTAAATAAGAAAAGGTTATTTAATTTATTAGCATTAATTATATTAATAAAGTCTATTAACTTTGGCAGAATTTAACTATTAATCTATAAGAATAATATTTTATCTTTATTAGAAAATAGAGCTTATTGTGACAGTGGAGCATAAACCTAACCTACTCGGCTATGTACACTATCTGAAAAGGATGTCGGAATCGCAAGTCTCTCAGACTTACAACTCAGTGGATTATATCTTCCCTGACGGCAAGCACTCCGCAAGCCGCACTTGCCGTCACACTTATAGTATACTTAAATGCTAAGTTATAATATTATAAGTCTATTTTTAATTCTAGTATATTTTGGCGAATTTCTTAGGCTATTAGAGTGGAAAGTGCATCGCTCCCTTATCTGCGTCGCATGCTTATCACGCACATTATACTCTGAACCGCATACGTAGTTATTTAACCTACACGGTACTTACACTGTGCATCCATCCTTCCCTCCCTTACCACCCGACATAGTACCCACTGTCCCAGCCTCTGGGCTCTTCACCTCACCTGTTGCGGCCGGTTTGTCCTCCTCTGCCGTCTTTTCTAACATTCTCATCAAGCCCTCCACGTCGGCCCCGACTACGCTCTCGACCATGACCCCGTCTCGGAGGAGAAGAAAAGTCGGCGTAGCGGAGATGTTAAATTTGGACAGCTTTCCCCGCAGCCCTTCATTAGGAACATCACGATTGACCTTGGCAAACCTAATGTTCGCAAAGTCCTCGTCGTAGGAGAAGCTTGGGTGATTATGAGGTTAGCCTCACCATCGACCAATAGTTGTAGATTGTGGCAACGCGATTCAATAGTAAAGAAACAGTTCCATAGTTGTTTACGTACTTGTCAAACACTGGCGATATCATTGTGCAAGGCCAGCACGTCTTGGAATATAAGTTAAGGACCACGGTACCCTTCATAAACTCGTTGTATCCTTTCTCACTAAATACAGATCAGGTCAGCCTACCAGAAAACCAAAATGCGTTAACCGTTGAGCATTGGGCTCCATACTCGCAGATTTCAGTGACGCTACAGGCCATTGCAACCGCTACATATATCCAGGACGTAAAGGGGAGAGATTCTCGGCACAGGTGAGTAGTGCAGGCAGGAAAGGTGCCTCGATTTGAGGCACCTTATGTAGATGGATGGGAGGATTCAAAGTGGGAGAAGATCAAGGGAGATTGAGCAACAACGATGCAGTTCTGGGAGAGCGGCGAAGGGGGAACAATCCGTCTTGTACCAACACACACACCCCGGGTCTTTAAATGACAAAATCAGGGCAATTGGGAAGTTCCAAGGAGCGGGGCTCCGAGTCGGTGAATCTGGAAGTCCAACCCCTCCTGATCTACCGCGCAAGGCTCCGTCTGATCATCAATTCACGGGGCCGGAGGAGGAGCGGTCTAGCAGTGGTCTCTGCTGCAGCTGCCGTCCAATATTTCACTTACCGAGTGCATGGAGGGGGAAGCAGATAATGCGGCTTATTGGCTGGTCTGTTGCCGTCATACCCTTGCCTCTGCGGCCTCTCCCACACCCTCCTCCGCGAAAGCTGCACAATTTTCGAAATTGACTCAGCCTTAGCTTTGATTTGCCGTGCCCAACTTTTAGAGGTGTCGCCGGCCTTGGGTAGGGAGGAGCGGTCTAGCAGGGGCCTTTGCTGCAGCTGCCGTTTAAGTTTTAGCTTTGATGTGCCGTGCCAAGTTCCAGAGGTGTTGCCAGCCTTGGGCAGTTTTCGTGTCCTGGAACCTTGGAATTGCTTGCTTCTTATTGCAGAGCTTGGTTCTCAAGCCCTTATCTTGTGCCCGAAAGGGTGGCATTTTTCGAATTGGTGGCAACCCGCACACTTACAGGCAGTCGATGTGGCCGAGCCCTAGACTCTGCAGCTGTAGGAACCCTCGCACCCGCTTTCCCTGCTATCGCCAATCAGACTGTCCAAGTAACAACCCCAGCTCGCTGCAGACGGGAATACTACGGCATCTATATGATGATTCTGGCATGTATGAAGGGAAATCTAGTGCGCTCGGGTGAAGAGGAGGGCATGCACGAAACAAGGCTCGCTCTCTCATCCCGCTTGCCCGGCATCTGCGCTGGAGATAAGGACTCCATATCCCGAAGTCCGCGGTTTGTGTGACGGCCCGGCATATGTGTCCTAGCAGGCAAGATGATATATTTCGCAATGTAGGCCTGCCTTGCTTTTGTCTACCCCTCCTCCCGAGAGCTGCCAGCCCCAGCCCACCGTGATAAACACCCACTATATATTGCTATCTCGGTGGCTACCTACCTGAGGTACGGCGGTACTGCACCCAAGGTATTCACTCACCTATAGAGAAACAGACGTCATCGGCTCGGCGGACAACCACCATCGAACATGGGTTCCGATAAGTCGACCGGGGAGTCCTGTGGGAACCAGGAGAAGTACCGAGGGGACGGGCCGAACATCTGCATCAAGACGTCCGAGAGCCGCGTCGCGGCCTCTTTCAAATGGCTTGACCGAGAAGCTCGCGGTACGTCTTGGTCATTGGCCCGTTTCGGTCGTTCCGCGTACAAGTGCGCTAACTAGGGTCTGCTTCTGCACCCAGACTCAACCTACACCAGCTACACCCAGGTTTCCGATCGCCCGGGGTGCTCATTTGATTTTGGGTCAAATGGCTATACAGCATCCTGCAACATGGGTGGTGAGCTGCTCCAGTTCACCATTCCGTCTAATAAAAAGGGCCTCATCTGGGCCAGGGCACAGGTCGACGGCTCTTTGGGCTCCATGGTTGCCTCGGCGCAGAAGTACAGGGGACACAAGTCCACATTTGGCCTTAAATTCAAGACGCTCAGGGCGGTCCGCAAGACTGAGACGCAACCCGTACCACCAGCACTCGTGCTGGGGGCGGTGGTCGAGCGGGGCGCCTTCAACAACCGGTGGCCATTCCACGAGTATTCCCTTGCCCGGGACGACCGGAAAGACGCCGAAGGAGGCATTTGCGCCCTCTTTTCCCACGTGCGGGGGAAATTCTTGATCCAGGTATTGCGCATAGAGCAGCAATCCTGTCGACCAGAGGCGGTAACGTGCAGTCCCGTCCAAGGGAGCAGCGTCGTCTCCCTGCAGCTCGACCTCCCTTCCAAGTTCAGGCAACTGGTGTCGCCCCAGGATGCCATAGCCAGAAACCCCCCAAAGGTCGACGCCCAGCTCTTTTGGGTTAAGCCGGGGGGAGAACGTACAAATATCAAGCTCGACACTACACGACACAATGTCAACCTGGAGACGCTCGAGATGCCCACGTGGCTCGCCGATGGATCGGTCCATGTGCCCGTCAACGTCCAGAGAGACGATCCTATTGTCTTCATCTTTACGCTGCAACTCTGCGAGAAGTCGCTGACCGAGGCCGAACCGCTGCCCGATCTCACGTCCGAGTCGGTCCACAACTGGCTGGGCATTGATCCATCAAGCGATTGGGCGACCGGGCCTATGTGGGAGACCATATTCTTCAGAAGAGATTACCTAACGAACTGCGTCTCGGAACTTTGCGAAGTAAACTTGGTCGCTCGATGCCTCGAAAAGATCCAGCACGTGGACGCAGTTCTGTTACCCAAAGGAGAATACTTCCCTCCATCCAAGAACAAAGACCCCTTGCAGCGCAGGGGAGAAGAGAAGGACGAGAAAGCACCCCTGGCCCTCGTCAGTAACACCATTTTCGGGCCCGAGCTGGACATGCAAGCATTGTTGTGAGTGCCGGAGCCTCTTTTTTCCCATCCGCAGAAGTAATTGGGGAGATGCTGACAGGTCTGCTCACCCGTGTACATGTGCAGCTGGAAAGTTCGCTTCCTGGTAAAGGCACAAGAGTTCCTCGCAAAGACCTACGAGGACACGCTCCACGAGAAGACGTCCCAAAACCCGGTCGGCGACACCGGCTTCCACCGCAACGTGGGGATTGCGGAATTACATGGCCGCCTATTACAGAGCGACATTGAGCGCATACTCCTGTTTGTCTTGAGCTTTCTGGAACCCCGGAATGGGCGCTGGCCCGCATTCTTGATGCCCCAGCCCCAGACAAAAGACGATTTCCGCTCCCCGTACTATGTCATCATCACCATCTGGTACCTGATCAAAAAGGGCTACCGAACCGCTTCCATGGGTCACATGCACACCCTAGACAAGGGCCCGTCCTGGTTAGCAGAGAGACTCCCATCTCAGCACTTCCACTTCGACAAGGACACGGAAGGCGAGGTCCTCATGCTCAATTGGATATACTATGGGTCCATCGCTCACCTCGTGGATCCGCCTGGGGACTTGAAGCCATGGCTTAACAACACGTGGGGGGTCGCCAGCGATCTCCACGACAAGGTCCTCAGGCTGAGGAGGGCGGCCAAGATTGCCCTCGCAGCCAAGGTGTCCTCCAGGAGGCCCTATGTCCCGAGCGACGAGGTTGTCGACAGACTGGCCTTCCTTGCCCACGAGCTGGATTTGGAGCAGGATCAACAGGAGCACCATGGGGCTCACGTTTGCTCGCTCGTCATGAGCCGAGTCCGAGACAGGGTCTACACCAAGACCATCAACCCGGGATCCATAGACTGGGAGGACCAAAGTGGCCACCGGGACATCAGTGCTCCGTGGGAAATATTTGTGCTGAGCCACCACAGCCGTCTCGTCATGGCAAACCTCGAAGCGGGGAAATCTGCTAACAAGGCAGGCGTGGCGCGGCGGGCCCGGGAAATAGAGAAGTACAAGGGAAGGTTCTCCGTGTTCCTGACTGCGAACGCGTCTCTCATGCCCTGCTGGGAGCGAAACAACATGGCGTCGTGCCAAGCCTGGCTTCGTTCCGAGACGCCTGCCGTCCTCGCCGCCACCCTCCTGGACATATACCAGAAGTGTATGAAGCAACATGCCACGGCACACCAGATGCAACACGCGGGCCCCCTAAGCAAGAAGGAGGAGGAGGAACTAAGCAAAGAGAAGGAGCTCGAGAGGCTCTGGGCGTTGACCAGCAAGTCTGCAGCTCGCCGCGCCGAAACCGATGACTCTCCCCCGCTTGACTGGACCAAGTTCAAACCGCCGCGGCGCTATCACCCCCGGCACTTCTTCCGATCCATGGAAGACACCCCAGAGAAATACACCAAAGTGGAGATGGGCCGCGTGCGCATTCCGAGCACTTTGAGAGACTACCTCCGACCGAAACAGAGTGACAAGTTTGTAGCGCGCGGGTGGACAAGGCCAGATCTCGAGAAGCTGGTTAAGAACATGAAGAGCACCGATACCGCAGATATATCGCTGATGGACATCCCGACCTTTGATCGGACCGTGAAGCAAGACGATAAGGCTCAAAAACTTTGCATCTTTGGAAGGCTCACGCCGTCCGACCATAGCAAACTGTTGCGGGCCGATACGGACGATTGGGATACGGCCGGAAAGCCGCAGGGCGAAGTTAACTATACCACTCTGGGTCTCAAGGACGCCGAAGAGAAAGAATTGGTCGACGCACTCTCCCGCAGCGTGAGTACCTACCTTACCTACCATACCAACCAACCCACCTGAAGAAGTGGCTGACAGGAAGGGATCGCAATCCATCGTCCGTCCAGCTTGTGATCCGACGCGTTCAGCATCGCATGATGTAAGGTGGTTTCCTCACGATTGCTCTCTCTCCGCTACCAACTCCCACTCCCATCACCCTGTCAAACTACCTAACGAAATGCTGACTCGGACTGGGTCCCATCCGCAGCGTGATGCCAGACGTCTGCAACAAGGATTTCGTGGAGCTACTGATCCACGTACTTCACCGGGAGTCGACCGACTGCGTAGCCAACCACAGCTTCCAGCTTGCGCGCTTCTCTCTGGGCGGGGGCGGGGGCACCACAGAGTAGATAGCCAGAATAACCGTGAGAAGCTGGGTGCTCAAAGATCGCGACGAGTCATGTAGGTGGGAAGCGGAGCATGATACCTTGACGCCCCAGTCAAACGAGGACGATCCGATCCGCCTATCCAGCAGCACCGAGATGAACAAAGCGCTGGAACAGCTGTCCCGGACGGACGAGTACGAGGCGATCAAGGAAAAAGCTAAGTCAAAGATGCTCGTACTGAACGCCTCGTCCGTCGTCCTCTCCACGAGCCCGTTTGGAGACTTTAGCAAGATGACCATCATTTCCAAGATCCTCCCGGGCTCCAAACTCCGGCGGGCCGGTGACGAAGCGCAGAAGCTGTGGCGACTTTTCGTCCACCAGCCACAGACGGCGCGGTGTCTGGTCTTCCTCTTGCTGCTGGGGCTGCTCTGCCAGGAGATCGCGAAGCAGTATAACATCGCCGTTGATCACTTAGTCAGCATCGATGTGAGTCCGCCCTCTCTTCTCCCTCCGCTTTACAAAATTGACACGGCATGACCCACTGATGGACGGACGCTCCATATGATGAATAGGGCGGCCGGGACCCCACTAAGTACGCCAACTGCAGCGGCACCTCGGTCGAGATGCTAGGGCTGGTGCTCTGGTGCCTGGAGTCCTCCTGCAAGCTGAGCAATAGCCTGGACGAGACGGCCAACGCCGTACAACAGGCCAGGCAGGACCTGATGGTGCAGATAGCCGAGGTAGGTAACTATTGGACCCCGGTTTTGCTGTCGACGGCTTTCGACTCACACACATTTGTACCAACCCACCAGGGTCCGGGAAGACGAAGCCCAGCCTTGGAGAACATCTGCCAAGAACAGCTGGCGGCATTCGAGACCAAGTACTTGGAGCTGATGGCAGCCGCTGTTCGGCTCCGTTCAAGGGTCGAGGTCAGCAAGCGGCAAGGAGAAGCGGTGCGTCTTTGCCTTCAACTCTCCAATTACGTCTCGGGCTAGCCAAGTCGCACTCCTGACACTGCATAATAAACCCAGGCATCAGCGATCCTCCAGCTCAACAACAGCCACATCTCGATAAACCAGAGTGCGACGATCGAGAAACTCACGTATCTGACCATTATCTACCTACCCCTGGGCCTCGTGACGGTGAGTGGATGAGAGAACAGTGCACTATTCTTCCTTCTCCCTTCCGTGACTCGATCGATTACACGCAGCATATTCTGACTCGGGTCGGTTGTCACATACGATAGGCCATCTTTGCGATCCCCGACACGCAGGAAGTCCTGTACAGCAGCATGGGACGGGCGTGGTACATTGGGGCTATTCTGATCTTTGTGGCCACCACGGGAACCGTCGCATACTTCCTCAAAGACATCGTCAACGTATTCCGGTCGCTCAAAGATGCTTTCCCCCAGCAAAAGTCGAAGGTTCAACAGCCTGCGCTCGGGCCGCCGCCAACAGGAGGAGGAGGGCAAGGTAAAGGCGCGGGTACAAACGAAGCTGACACCCTCCGGCCCACAGATGGGAGAGATTACATTCGACATGGCGGCGGTGTGTTTAGCGGTGGTGGCGGCGTCGTAACCAACATAGAGGAAGTCTCCAAGTCTCCGCTTCAGTCTCGCGAACGCGTCCTGCGCAGACACGCAGCGTGGTGGGAGGAGCGGATAGCCCGTATCGTGCAGAGGCGGCGGCGAACGACCAGCAGCAGTTTTGAGGATGACCGCAGATCAGTGGAGAGTATGCGTGCTATCGCAGGCGGAAAGGAGGATGTATAACTCCGGAGACGGAGACAGTGTGGTTCTCTCGATTGTTTTCTCTTTTTTGTGTTCGTTTCGCTAATAACGCCGGCGGTATTACGATAATGTGCGTGATAAGCGAGCCGTAAAAACAGTTCCACCCGATTTCCCTACAAATTTTTCTGACCACGGGCAATGTTACGACTTCCTCGCTCCGTTTCGGACCTCCGAAACCGTTGGTGTTGTGGCCTGGAATAGCGCCGGCCACGCGCTGTGGAATAAAAGGATCGGTCGAATCTGTCGCACGCGCAGAATCCAGGCAGATGCCGCAGGACATGAGGAAAAATTGGCTTGATTGAAGGAAAGATATCTGCAGCGCTGAAAGCGCTGTTATATACACGACCAGTTCAGGAGCTGGTCAAGGGTATGTTTTCCGGGCCGGTTTCAGGGCCTTGTTGGCCTCTTTGGGTGGCCTGCTAGTGTATTTGAGGCCATCACCACCCCAGAATTGTTGACAGAATCGCCGTTGTGGAATGGTGGTTTCGATGGATTCGATGGATCGGCGCAATGGCTGGAACGCTTGAAGCCAGGACGGGGTCTGTGACAGAACCCGCCCGTTACCGGTGCGCTCCAAATTGCTGCCAAATTCCATAATCTTCGGTGAGCAAGAAGTCGACTTGGCCGAGGCTGACTCGGAACATTTGACTCGGGACGTGGCGCCGTCAGCGAGTATACAGTTGGGGCCGACCACATCTTTTGCCGAGACGGGAAGGCGGCTTGCGGAATCTTTCACTCCCAATCGGAAACGAGGCATCGCCTTGCGACCAATATGCCGCTAGCTGGATCGGCTGTCGCGATGAGCGGAGAACGGCTTAGATGTGCATGTTTGTTGGTGGAGAGGGCGGAACCGGAAAGTCGCGTGAGGCCGTTGTCGAGCTTTTTTCAAGCAAGGAGATATCACAGCGTTTATTGGCAATAGCAACATCGGAGACGGCTGCGGCACGGATTAATGGAGAGTACGAAACGTCGTGTTCTATTTATCCCCTTCCTTGATGCAAATATAGGCGTATATTATCGGTAGATTAAGACAAGTAAAGTATTAGGCTCCTACCAACTAATCTTAAAGCCGCAAGATAAATAGTAGAGGGTACTAGTTCTTTACTATCTCTTTATTTAGCTACTGATAGTCTATATATATTTAAAGCTTCCTATTTTTTTAGAACGAATAGGACTAGGTAGCCTGCTAGTAATATTGATAGTCTAATATATCCTATCTTAAGATTCTCCTTAAGATATCTCCTTAACTTTATATCTTATTTCTTGTTGGTATAGTATACCTGTGACGAAACCAGAGGCAGTCCTGCCTCTGAAAAGGTTCGCCGGTCGAAGGTACTGCTGGTTGGACTGTAGATCTCGCTGAAGCTAAAGAGTTCACAACAATGCAAGTCGCAATGTCTGCATAGTAGGTGAAGGCTACTGTTTGAATTGCTCACTGAGGAAGCTAGCTATCTGAATGAGTAATAGAATGGTAGGACTATATATAGCTTCCTCCCTTAGGTATCCCTATATCTAGATGTCTGAAACATTTGGAACAATTGTTGTTCTCATTGTTCCATCTGGAATATTGTTCCTTGGCGTTGTTCCTTGGGAACAACTGTTCTTAGCATTGTTCCCAACCTCCCCAATTCTCATTGGTCCTTTCTGGCTCATAATGATTAGATGCGAGCGCTGTCCGTCATCCATGTAGGTCGGCCCCCACCGGCCTCTGCAGGTTAGTTCATGACATTTAGGGATGTTTTGATTTTAGCCTTATTATGACGGATTGAGCTACCTGAACTACTCGGCTAACTCGCACCTTCTACAAGGATGCCAACATCGCAAGTCCCTCGACCTTGCGATTTTGTAGTTCATATACACGTTCACGTAGGCGCGCTGCAGCGCGTGCTCTACTTGGCCACACCGAGAAGCAACCTGCCATGACACTTATCTTTAAGCTTGCTACTATAGGCCTTATTAATGAGCTATTGTATAGAGCTATTTTTAGCTTCAAGCTAGGTAATTTTAGCATTAAAAGCCTTAAAAGCCTGCTATATCTATTATATAATTATAATCTAGCCTTAGAAACTTAGTATATTAGGTATCTAGGATGTTATAATAATAGATAGTACTTTCAATCTAAACTATAATAAAGTTAAAGGGAATGAGCAATATATAATGAAATATAAGCAGTTCTACCTCTAAAAGGGTTTGCCGATCAAAGGTATCTACTAGCCGGACTATAGGTCTCAGTAAAGCTAAAAGGTTTATAATAATACTATTCGCAATATCTATATAATAGGTAGAAGCTATTGCTTGAATTGCTCACTGGTGAACTTCCTGCGTCTACTAGAACAAATGACTAGCTATCCTATATATTACGAATTCCCTATAGATCACTGCCCGCCTCTGGTGATCCCTTACACTGGATCACCCTAGATCACCAGTGATCCTCTATGAGCCTTATAGTTAGGTCACTAAGCCTTCTTTATGCCAAGCGTGATCCTCCTCTGATTGGTTGTTAAATGATTGGCTGTCAGTGCGCCCCGCGCTCCGACTGCAGCCCCTTGGCCGCTTATACGGTTGGTTCGTGACATTTACTCAGTGCGCGTTTGGGTGTGGGTCCGGTAGTACATCTCCACTAGCCAACCGGCCCTGCACTAGCAACCGGGCCCACCAGCCGCTTGCGGCTGGCAACGCTCACGAGAGTAAAGTCTGTGCCTTAAGAGACTAGCAAGGGAAGATTATAGGTTGATTGTAGCGGGATCATTATTCATCTGCTATATTATATAACCAGCGCACTCGGTTCATCAATCAATCACCGAGTGAGGCAGAACCTTTCCTTGGACGATAGCATGCGAATCTGTCTGATTTGGATGATGAACCAATGCCGAATTGCGACTGCCACTATCATTAGACACAACACATCACCACCTTCCGTTAGTGATTCCACTTTCATTGCCATGCATCAGGAAGGTACTACCTACCTGACTAGCTGGGCCTCCCAAAGCGGCCGAACCCAGGTCGCCGCGAGTCCTCAAAGCACCACCAACTCAAAACAAACATTCTCCTTTCTTCAGCTCCTATGCACTTTGTTTCCTAGAGCCTCGAATTAGTGCTCCTTGTATTCACTACCACGACACCACCCTGAACATTTCTAAATTCCAACCATGTCCCAATCACCGAATCAACGTGGCCCCCAGCGATCCCCGGATGACAACGACCCCATCAACTTAGACCTGCAGCCCGCCGCCAGCCTCAGTATTCGACACACATATCATCTCGAAGCTGCCAGTCCGATGTCAACCCCGGTTGAGCCCGAGCCGAAGACTGAGCTGGAAGAGACCACCGCCAATCTGACGCGGATGCTCTCCATAAACAGTGTGCTCTCGACCACATCTTCTGCTGCCGAACGTGACACCGCAGAACATGGTAAGGGCGAAAGGCCGTTCCGACAGATCGGGGCCGGGACATGCGGTGTCATCTTCGCCCAGGACGGAGCGTCCATCGCGATCAAGCTGGCAAAGAATAACGCGATTGCGCTTTGGAACGATTATGTGCAGCACAAGAAGATCGCCACGCAGTTCAGGCGTCTCATGATCGAGAAGGTCCAGATCCCAGCTTGTTACTTCTTTGTCCCCAAGAAACGGAGCGAGTGGTGGGAGAATTATCCGGGTTTGACAGAAGCAGCGGAAAAGTGGTGCAACCTCCCGACATGCGCACTTCTTACGGAGAGAATCGATCCCCTCCCGAAACCTACCCGTACTGCAATCATCGAGAAATACTGCAAGCCGAAAATCAAGCAGGAAGCGCTTGCGGCTCCCGGCAACAATGACTGCCTCGTTCGGGTATACCTAGGTTCCGCAAAAAAGGGGAAAACCCCGAGGTTCTTCAACCTGCGCAACTTCAAGCTCTATCTGAATCGGATGGTGGAACTCCGGCTCGATGTCGATGATCTGGCCCGCAGAATGGGGGTGGCCTTGGCCGTCATGCATTGGGCCGCCAGGACGGATGCGAATGACGTGGAGTTTGTGCTGGGGAGCTCATCCAGCACGAATTCCCCCGCTGAGGATGATGCAGAGGACCCCGAGCGAATGACACTCCTCACCTACACCGGGCCCCCGTCGAACATCACCGAAGACTTCTTCAATCGCAGGGTTAAGCTCTGGGTCCTTGATTTCGACAAAGTACGCAACATCACGATGGACGATGCAGGCGTGGCGCAGGCCGCGCGTGCTTTTATGCTCAATGCTCCGTACTTCCCCAGACCGTGTCGCGAGTCAGAGGTTGAGACAAGGATTTGGGAGGAATTTGTGGAAGCGTACCGCAAGTTGTCGCTTGCGATTCTTCGCAAGGACGAGGGAGATGACTCGGACTACCTTGAGCTTCCGGAAAAGTTTATCTCCAAGGTCATCGAGGCGGAGAGCAAGAAGTTGGCGAAGCCGAAGGATTAGGCCTTGAGGGTCTCGACTAGCGAGCGTGGGATATTGCTAGCGGAACATTGAGATTTCTAGAATTGTGTATGCTATAGCGGCCGTATTAGTTACTTTTGAATGAAGAAGTCTTAAAACTCGAGATCCGGACAATGGGCTGCGAGTGCATAGTAAAGGCTAGGTTATCAACATCGTGATATCCCAACCGGAGAGCCGATCCTAGAGGTGGGTGTCCAGAGAGTGTCCACTGGGTTGAGGATGCGTTGGTGGAGCGTGGCGGGCTGTATCGATGCTCGAGGCAGGAGGTGAAGCCGGTGCTGGTCAGGTTGTGCCGATAGGAAGGCCGCGTATCCGCTTCCTTGGAACATAAAAAGGCGTCACGGCCTTCCAGTGCCGAGACAACAATGCAGTCGCTCAGGAACTGGCAAGCCTATAAGGCAAGAGGCGCTCAAGATCCAGAGAGGATGGAGTTGGTGTTGCGCATAGAAGGACCATGCACGAGTACCGTACGCATTGTCGACATATTCCTCTTCGTTTTACAGAGGCCAGGTTGCTAATAAGTTCACAGAGACAGGAAAGGCGCTGGTAGTTGAAAGTAACCTCACACACGTAAAGCCGCCGGACCGCAAGACGCTGAAGGCCTTTTTCGCTCCAATTTCTTCCATGGACGGGCCCGGTGATACCCAAGTAATTCCCAGTTCTGGGCGGGCATAGCCCGACTCTGTACCACGATCCGAATGATCTCCTTGTGCTCCATGGCACCGAAGAGCCTGGCATACTTGCCCGTTTTCGTCCGAGACAACTTGGGTTTTCTGTTCCAGGTAACTCAGCTTGGCAACTTCATCTCATACAAATCTGAGCACGCTCCTCGCCCGTCTACTGTTACTAATTTGGCGCCATTCTTGAGGCTCTCTACAACACCACTTCGCGTGCCTAAAGCTCGTCCTCCATAAGCATCTTCGCCTTTCTCTTCGCCGCCAGCACGGGCTTGATGACCAAGGCAAAGAGATCCGAGGTCTTTGCATCGACGGCAGCGTAATACGCGAGAAATACCGCTCGTATACTCGTCTCGCATACGTACCTTGCTACGCTGCTGTCTTACCTAGTTGTCTGTGTCAGCGGTGACCTCGGGCGGCCAGGGTAATAAAGGAGGTCGGGTAAGGAGCCTGTGGATGCGTCCTAATAATAATACTTTCAACAGATGGCCAATTTTGCCAAGACTCCTGAGCGTCACGGTTTCATCTCTCTTCAAATAGTGCCAGAAACTCAAGCGGTATCGCAGCTCTAAGATATTAGGAGGACCGTCCGATGAACCCGGTTGCTGAGGGGAAGTGTTAAGTACCTAGCAGCCCACCGCCCATCCCAAAAAATGGCCGCCAGAATTCGCACTGACGCGATAGATATAACCTTACACGATTGCTCGAATGTATAGCCACACACTCACACTGCATTCCTCTCAACCTCTCAAAGAGCCGATAGCACCTGACCATCCTTTCTCGGAGTCCCACGCTCAGCTATAATACTATACGACCGAGTTTCACGCCCTGCAGACTACCCAGCGCCGACCGATGGCTCGCGAGTCAGCCTGCGCGACTTGCGGGGTGTTACTGCGTAGTAGCCGTCAGCTCGGACTTGCTTGGTGCCGTTTGTGCCCGCACCGCCCACCTAGAACGGCCGGGCATCGTTGGCATGTAGCATTCTCGTCCATCGGGGCAGCTTCCGGTCGCGCTCGTATATGAAGCCGCAGTTGTTACATAACGACTGTGATCAAACCGGTTAGTTTCCGTGCGGACGTGGAGGATAAAATGGAAATAGAACGGGCAGGGAGCAAATAGGGAGCTAAAAGGTGAAAAGGCGGCCCTACTCTTGGTCCCAGAGGCCCATCCCTCACCGCCCACACGCTCGTTCCCCATACCCTACAATGGGAACAACGCCAATTCATCCGCTCCGCCTCGGTCAGCGTCCCCCCGCCACCGTAACCCTCCCCAGCGGTCGGAGTCCCCCGCCCGCCGGGCGTGCCGGACCTCGCCAGCGGCGACAGACTCCTGAACCTCTTCTTCTTCTTATTCCTCTCTCCCCTACCCATGCGCTCCTCCTCCTGCTCGATGAGCCCGGAAAACGCAAAGCCGATCGGCACACCGCCCGCCATGCCGGTGTTGCTGCTGAACCGGGCCGTCTCGCGCCGCAATCGACGGATCTGCCGCTCGCGGTCGCCCTCCCGTTTCTCGATCTCCTCTTTGCTGAGGGTCTCGAGTTTAGGCTCCCACTCGTCAGCGAGATGCTCGGGGTCGTACCGCCAGCCGGCGCCCTCGCCGCCGGCCGTGAGGGCCGCGTCGTTGGGGAACTCGGCGCCGCCTCCCAGTGTGGTCCCGGACGCGTTGCCCCAGCCGGCGACGAGCCCGCCAGCTTCGCAGGCTTCTTTCTTGAGCTTGAGCACCGCCTCGTAGATGGCGTGCGTCATGGCGGGGATCCACTCGCCGTGGAGACCGAGATCTGCGCAGGTTTGTTTGGCAAAGATCTCGGCGGTGCCCGGCGGGTGGAGGAGCGACCACTCGAATTTGTCCGTATAGATCTGTGAGGAGAGGTTGATGTTGAGGTTGATGATGCAGCGGTACGTGTCATCTGGGCTGAAGTCATCTGGCTCTACAGGTATAGGCGTTGCCGCCGCTGTTACCTCCCCTTGGGATGTCTGCACTACGGCTGGCGTGGCCGGGGCTGGGGTCTTGGAAGGTGTTGGTGGGATATTGGTGCTGCCCATTGGTGTGTCCGCCCTGCTGAGCGACAAGGCCGCGGTTGGACCTGGGGTGGCCGACTCAAGCCCACCGTTCACCTTGGGAGGCTCGGGGCCGTTTGCGCGATTGGTGTGCGAGTGGAAGAGAGGATGGAGGGCGACGCCGGCGTACTCCTCTAATTGGGTCCGTATTTGTTTGCTGATTTCGGCGATGGTAGAGGCGCGATTGGGAAGGTCGAGGTCCTGGACCAACTGGGTGGCGAACTGGTCGGTTGTAATCAAGCTCTCGTGGAGATTCCATAGAAAGGTATCTCGCAGGCGGTACGGGACGGTCGCTTCCTGGGGTTTGTAGAAGGGATGAGTCGGGTCGACGGGCCCAGGCGCTGGCAATGGAGGCTGCGGAGTGAAAGCTGGTATGTCTAGATCGATGCGGATGGGGATTAGCGTGAGCGGGAGGCAGGCTTGAACGTAGTTCATGGCATCGGATCGGTTAGGCCGCATCTTCCCCATCCAGTCGCGGTAAATGCCCTGCACCTCTACCGGCTGGCTTGTGTCCTTGCCGACCTTCTCGCTGGGGTCGACCTTGGTGGTGCTATCGTCGCGGCGCAGGCTGCGCAGGCCGGTGGGCCGGCGGCGGCCGTCCTCTTCGTCGTCATCGTAGTCGTCATAACCGTCTTCAGCGTAATTGATGATCGTCGTGCCTCTCTTGGTGGTGCGGGCGAGCGGGTTTGAAGGCGCGGCGCCTGGGAGAACTGGCTGCAGAAGTGCATTGTTGTATGTGCGCAACCTCGGCGCATAGGACGAGAGTATCGCCTGCTGCGACTCGGATCGAACCGCCATTGTGGGATCGAGAGCAGTGATGGTGTCGTGGGGCTATTGCATATCGGCCAGCGCTTAAGCGCGCCCCGAGTTAAAGTGCAGTCGCTTCGAGTCAGCGGAAGGCACAAGTGCTTGTGATTGCCACAGCGAGCGTGATCGCAAGCAATGTGGCAATAACGATCGGAGCAGGTTGCTTCACAATGTCTGAGCGCAGATTTGTGGTGTTTTGTTCCCTGATCGAATGCGGGCAGATGTGCAACCACGTCTCTCTCCCTTGGAGGCACTGTGGACTGCAGTCAAAACGCGACGCAGCTTGTCAATCTGGGACACACGCGAGAAATTGGGTTTAGCCTGGACATGGGGCAGTTCGAGTGGGACCAGTGGGTCAAGCGCAAATCTGCCCTACCTGACCCTAACCCGACTGCCAAGACTACTAAGTGGGTCCAAGTGGAAATCGCTTTGGCCTGTGCACCAACTCTCTTTCGACTTCACCTCTTCCATCTGCACCACTGCACGCAAATGTCATGAGGCTGCGGAGAGATGTGTTTACTTTCACGGCGTCCATATATTGCTTCCATATCTTCTCCATCACTGGCCTGAGGACACTTCTGAGCAGTCAGTCAGTTTGAGAAATCCCTGGTAGGCCTTTTGAGAGGACTCCAGCGTTAGCTCTCGTAAGTTGTCTCTTCCATAACCGTGATCTTAAGCGTTGAGATGCCAATTTCCCGCAACACAAGCATTAGCAGAGCAATGCTTGGTATAAGGAAGTAAGGGCTTTGGAAAATCCCTTCCGGTATATAACTGTTCCGGCATTGAGTCTTGCTTGGGCTGTAACCGCCACAGAGTGATCATTGATGACTGCGCTGATGTAGGTATCCTGGACGCCGTTGACAATGGGATGGGACCGGCAGCGACCGTCGCCCCATGGCCGTGCTGGAATTTCACGGGCGGCGATGGGGAGAACGAATTATCGGGGTAGATCAACCACGAGCTTTCTTCTGGTGATTGAATGTGAGAAAAAGATACAGCAGCCTGCCGAGACTTCGAGGCTTGAAGATCGCATTGTGGTGAGTGCTTCCGCCATTGGCTGATATTGAGATACTCTGAACAATAGGAAGGTTGAACAGCTCTAACATCCGGCTTTCAACTATTCTGGTTCGTCCATTGCCCTGCGTCTGCCACATGCCCTGGGTATAAATTCTCATGCGCCGTCCAAACTGGGCAGCCTGAACTTTTTTTCTTTCCAACCACGTTCCGTTGAACTTTGTCTTCACGCAGTCTCCCCTTCTTCCGCCAGCACTTCATTCATTTAAGTGGTCGGAGGCCTTCCGAGCCCTGCTTTGGAAAGGTATCGATCGTATGTATGGCTTTGGCCTCTTCCTTCTCTGCCTTGACTTCCTTTCCATACCCACGCCGGAAGTTTTCCTTTCTCTCGGCGCCTCCTTTACCTCCCTCTTTACCTCCCTCTTTACCCCCCTTTTCTCCCTGAGACCTAACTTCCAGCGCAAGGCATTTTACATAATAACGTTACCCTTCATTCGCTGACTCGCAGTCTGCAGACTGTGGAAGCATTGCTTTAGACGACATCAACTTTGCATTCATCGCAACAATACTACCGTGAAGATGGTTTCACGGATTGTCGGCGCCGATGTGCGTGGATGGCTCGAGGCAGCCATTGCCGATTCCAATGCCACGCTGTCTCCTGCGTCATCATCCAACATGTCCAACCCTAAAGTGGGAGCAGAGTCTCTTACTGAGAAGGAAGTCATCGAAGTGAATCAACTCAATGGACACGATAAGTCCAACGGACTCCATCAAGCCAATGCCGTCAGCCAAGTTGAGAAAGACGAAGACGACAGAATCGACGAGATCACCAGTTTCAAGCGGAAGCTGGCCACGGTCCGCCGCGTGACTGCCGTTAACGTGGTCAACAAAAGCCACTATGTTGCGACCATCGACGGCTGGAAGGTGGTGTTTAAGAAGAGCAAGAAAATCGAGCGGGGTTCTTGGGTTCTGTTCTTTGAAGCAGACGCCTTCCTTCCGGCTCACACGCAGTTCGACGATCTCTTCAGCGAGGTTGGACCTGTCATGACCTTCAAGAAGGAGGAGGGCTACCGGGTCGGCACGACCACTTGGACGGACTGGGGGAAGAATAAGATCATTTCCCAGGGGCACATCTTCCCGCTCTTCCAGTTCCCGGACATTGACGAAAAGGTCTTCGGTCTTCACTGCGATCACCACAGCCTCACCGAGGAGCAATTCGGCGAGCTCATCCGTGAACTCGACTTTTCAGACGAGCTTGGCGTGAAGAAATGGGAGGCTTTCCCCGAAGAGGCCGAGGATGCCGACGGTGTTCTTGCTGTGCACCCCAAGCCCCCGGCGTTCATCCTCAAGACCGCTATGCAGCGGGCGCAGAACTGCCCTAATCTGTTCACGAAGCCCAAGTACCGGAAGTTTACCTTTCAGGAGTCGTTGAAGATGGACGGCGCCAACATGACGGTGTACTTCGTCACGCGGAACTCGGCCTACTTCTCCAAGCTCGCCCCGTTGCCGACCAGCAACTCGCGCAATTACAACTGGGACAAGAACTTTGTGAAGTTCGCCGTGCACCCAAACGGCCGCTTGGGGGTGTGCAGCCGCAACCACGATCTGCTTCCGCACCTGATCCCGGATCCGGCCAACGGGACCCGGACCGTGTACTGGACCACGGCGCTGTCGGCGCGCCTCTATGAGATCCTGCCGCGGCTGAACCAGGACATTGCCATCCAAGCCGAGCTCGTCGGCGCCGACATCCAGGGCAATCCCTATTCCTACCCGGCGGGCAAGCACGAGCTCTTCGTCTTCAGCATCTTCGACATCGCCACGTCCATGCGCTGGAGCCCCTGGGACGTGGAACGGTTCGCCGCCGACCACGACCTGAATCACGTCCCTGTGCTGGGCTACTACCCCCTGCCCGCCATTGCGCAGAACCACCAGGATCTCCTCGACCGTGCCGAGCTCAAGAAGGGAGAGGGCCTGGTGTTCAAGAACTGCGACGACGGCCGCTGGTTCAAGGTGCTCAGCAACCGCTGGATCCTCGAGAAGGACGAGATGTTTGCCCGGAGGAATCTGTCCGGCCCGAGCTCCTCTGGTGGTACGGGAACACGGGTGGCGGCGGCTCAGACGGGTGGCGGGAATGGGGGTGATTGGCTGGGGGAGTGCAGCCGCGAAGAGATCGAGAAGATTCGGGCCATCATGGTGAGCTTGGAGGACTGGGTGAAGAGGGAGGATGGATTAGAGAAGTGGCTCAAGGAGTGGCAGCAGGGCATGCATCGTCAGAAGGAGGAGGCAGAGGCCCGCTCCACCAATTCAGTGGCGACGACTGCCGCTGCCACTACCCCTGCCACTGCCACTGCCGCCACGGGCGGAGGGGCGAGGAACCACGGCAACGGTAATGCGAGCCGCAATGTTGGATACTCTGCGGAGAGGGCCCGGCAGATCGCGCAGTGGCTGGGCATTTGATCCTTTATCTCGGCGCTTACACTCAGCAAGCGGCATGGTGATGACATTTTGGCCAGGGCATGATTGGGTCATTGTCCTCCGGATCTTTAGATCGTTCTTTTATTTATTTTATTATTTTTTTTTTTTCCTCTCTGGTACTAGTCAGGGAGAACAAGGGTTCAGGATGTTGGCTCGACCACACTGAGTCCTACAGCCAAAACGCGATCTTTCATTCTGAAGATCTCTCTACACAGGCACCTCACTACCCAATGACACGTTGGGAGATTTAGGGGAGGGGCCTACTCATTAGTCTTAGCGTGGTCTCGAGCATATGAACACAGCATGATTTTCCTGGTTAATGATCCTCCTTCCATGTACCTCACAATGAGCGTGAATCCACTCTCCGCAACCTTTGGGCATGTTGGTGGGTATCTTGTCCTTCTGCCAGTCACTTACAGCCGGCCCTCCCCTCGTTCACTCCATCAACACTGAAATGAGTGACTACTGGTTTTCGAACTCAGTCGATCAACTAGCCTCTGATGCCCTATTCACGGATCCAGCCATCGCTATCTCAACCCAAAGCGGGACATGGTCGCTGAGCCCCCTCTCCTGCGGCGTATCCAGGATCCCCGTCCCCAGCACCTGCCCAGCTCCCCACAGCCCCTTCGACACGAACACCATATCAACCCTATCACAACTGCTCCCCCATTCCCCGGAGCGGGGATAGTATGTATACCTCCGCTCAGCGCCATGCATGGCGCGGAACACATCCACGGCATCCAGGCACCTCTCCTTCTCCTTCTCCTTCTGCTCTTCTTTCTCCTCCTCTTTCTCTCCATCCCCTCCCTCCTTATCGTGCACCCCGCAATACGCCTGCGCACGCGCATTATCCTCCGGCCCAAAGAACTTGACATTGAAATCCGCCCTGTTGGCGCAATGCTCCCTGGGGAAACTCCTCAAATTCGGATACCCGTCCAGCCGTCCGCGCGCCACGTTCACGTCCCCGGCCACGACAACATGGAAGCCGCGCGCCTCCAGCGCAAGGCACTCGTCCCGCAGACGGGAGTGGAAGGCGCGCTTGTGGTCGTGCCGCGTACCGACCGCCCTGCCGCCGTCGCGGGGAGAGCGGTAGGGGGCTGAGGTGCCGTTGACGGCGTAGACGTTGATCAGGGCGAGGGGTCTTCTGTAATCTTCGGCATCCGTTGTGTCGTCGTTATCGTGTTCGTGTTGTTGTGATTGTGTAAGCCTCCTCTTCTTCTTCTTCTTGTTCTTCAGCTCGACGATGCTCACGCGCCCCTCACGGTCCCAGTCGACGTCGCGAACGCGGGCCACGTGCTCCCGCGCGAAGTCGGTCCGCAGAATGGTGCCCACACCGTAGAGCTTGCCTTGGAAGCCCCGGACATTGAACCGGTCGCGCGGCAGGGCGGCGTCGAGCGTGTAAGTGCGGGTGTCTGCGGGGGCTTTGTCGCCCTCCGCGCTTGACGGCGTGTTGAGGGCGGATAGGAGAGCAGCCAGTGTCTTGGAGTCGCCCTCTGCGATTTTGAGTTCTTGCAGGAAGAGGACCTCGGGCCAGTTGTGGCGCGATAGAAAGGCGCGGAGTCCGTTTAGCTTGGGCTGTCCGGCTGCTGGGCTATTATCCCAGTCGCCGTTGAGAGGCTTGAAGAAAGACGTGATCCTGGTGGTCTGAGATGGGAGGAGTGGACCAATTCCGTTGATATTCCACGAGAATAGGCGTATTGATGGAAGTCTCATGTCTTCTTTTGTAATCTTGCCCTTCGACTCGGAGTCCGTGAAAGCTGATATTGCCGCTGGGGCCACTCTTCTGCGCTTTGCCGGGGGCGGGCTTATATCGCGGTTCATCATGTCGGCTCCAGCATCTCCTTAACTGATAAGGCCCCTCTCTCTACATATGCTTCCACCATCAGTGAAATTTCCGCAAAGGACAGGCGATGTATAGTGTATAAGGTGAGTGTTTTACATACCGGAGGTCACGATCATCCCCTCTGGGGATGGAGGATATTGGCAATGCATATGTGCTAGTCCCTAAGCACTACTACCTGCCGTACGTTAGTAGTCTTGAAATATATCCGTATGACGTCATACTCCGGAACACTTTGTAGACGACTTGACTACCGGCTCCTGTCGGCACCTTTTGTTTGTTCCACACCAGGATCAAGTGTTCCCTCCATTTTTGTCCTTCTCTGCAAGACACCACCATGATACGCTGCGAGTGAAGTGATGAGAATACCGCCAACGTCAAGAGTAAGAGTAGGAGTGAGAATATGAAGAGGTAAAATAGGTGTAGTGATTATCGTCTCGCGCATTCTTCATTCTCATTCCATCATCATGAAAGCGTCCAAAACCGTAGCCCTGTGTATGCCCCCAAGACCATTCCCAAAACACCATCAACTACTCAGTCGACACTGGCAATTCCCCCCTTCAGGGCCATCACTCGCTCCACATCAGAATCCTCCACCTCCAGCCCTCCAACGTTTTCACATCATGCTCCGCCAGCTCCTCACGGCCATCCTCGATCTTGGCTACAAGTCTCCTCAACCGCTTTGATACTGTCTTCGCGACGCGCAGGGAGACCTCGTTCGAGAAGATGTACAGCACCGCGAACACGAAGAAGGCGAGGCTGCCGAGTCCCGGCCGATGCACCGACGCCAGTATCCGTGAGATGAGCCCCTTGCTCTTCTTGAAGGCGTACTCGGTCCTGTTGGACGACTCGTGCTCGTCCCTAGGGCGGCGGAAGAGCCTCTTGACGAGGGGAATGAAGGAGGCGCTTGCCAATGTAGTTAGTATGCTTGAGTAAGATACCCTGGCCGTCGTTCTGTCCTTCCAGGTCTAGAGCTTTTCATATCCCCTACTCCTCTTCAAATCCTCACACTATACCACGCTTGAATCATGAACCGTGTATCCTTGGTTTATGATGCCTCCCCGCCCTGCAATGTAAGCAAAACAAAAAAAGAAAAAAAGGGGAAATACTCACACGATCCCCCCAACGAAAAACCTCCTCCACCTCTCCCCCTCCGCCCGCACCACCACCTCCCCCACCCTCTCCTGCAGGCCCCTCAAGGACCCGAGTAGCGCCCCCCTCTGCACGCGCAACCGCTCTTCCACATCGCCCGCCATCTTCCCGTCGCCAATCCCCCCAGCGCCACTATCCCCCCCATGCACACCATGGACGCCATTCACCATGGTGCGCTGCCGCCTCAGCGCAATGTACTCCTTCAGCGCCGACATGGTGCTAGAGCGGGAGTCGCGCAGAGAAGTGGCAGTGACGTCATTGTTGTTCGGGTCAAGAACAACGCCTCCTCCCCACCCTCCTCCTACCCCTTCTCCTCCTGGTACTGGTGCTGATGCTGGTGCTGGTAATAAAGTGCTTGTCCCGCTGGTGGGCGGTTTGGTGCCGGCACTAGGCCCATGGCCCAGGCCGGAGTCAGACATGGGGATGGGAAGGGCATGCGTGAGGTTGCTGCTGTTGCTGTTGCTGTTGCTGTTGCTGTAGCTGTAGCCGTTGTTGGGGTTGTTGTCCACGCCAGCGGGCGGGTAATAAGCGGCTGGGGTGTTGTTGAGCGAGGAGGGTGGTGGTGCGGATGCAGTTGAGGATGTATGCAATGTCACTTGGGCTGGAGGTGCTGATGCCGCTTGGGGAGGGGCTGGTGGTGGTGTTGGGTAATAATAAGAGTGGGATTCAGGCGGTTGTGAAGCAGAAGCAGGAGGGGCTGCCGGCCGGTAATAAGGAAGGGTGGAGGTGTCGGACTGTGGAAGATAGGAAGACGCTGCCGGAGCCGAGGGCGGCGGAATGGGTCCGTATGGGGAGGAGGAAATTGCTTCTGGGGGAGGTTGAGGTTCCATGTTCACATTCAGGGGCAACGTGGGCGATGGGCATTACAGACGAGTACAAAATTTACAGAGGACAGATGAAAGAAGGGGAAGACTAATAAGAGAGGAACAACATCGTTGGGTTGTATGCTGTCATGCCGCATACCGGGCTGCCAGATGGCGGACCGGTGTTGGCATGCGGCAGCTGAACTGTGGGGCTGATCAGCCGGCTCAGTGGGGTCAGTGCATCCCCCGCGATGGTCAAAGCTCAGGTAGAACCAAGTCAGGTTGGTGGGTCCGTGTCAAAACGGGGTCAATTGAGAAACTTGAGATTACCACCCCCAGTAAACTGACTACAGTGTGATACCACCTGCAAGAAGGATGGGGTCAGTCAGTTGCTTGTTGATGGACTGTGGGTTCCACAAGTCTTCGCAGACGAAGCTCGATACCTGAGCTCCGAGGCTCAAGTAGTGGCCCTGTTTGCACAGTTGAGCAAAACGCCCCGGAATGTAGATCGCAGATCCATCCGTCTTGGCGCACTGCTGACTTGAAAACCCGTCCGGCATAGCCTGCTTGGTCAGCTTTCTGAGTCACTCCTGCTCATGTTTGCCCCAGGGTGACTCGTTTTATTGTAGCCGCCAGGCACACAGCCTCAGTAGAGGCAGCAATGGCCTGACCAGGTTGTGGGCTGCCTTGGACTGCAGTGTTGAGCATTGCGTAGTCTTTGCTTGCCAGGCTGTCGAGACGGATCTATAAGTAGGTAGAGACCTACCTCTCGTCTTCTCTCACATCAGCCCTCGTTGCATTCATCTGGTTCCGTGCAGCATCTGGTCTCATCGCACAGAAGGACAATGGACGGCCCTCACAAGCAAGAGTTCCACGTCCGGGACCTGCCTACTCGCTCTGTCACCCTCTTCCCAGCCCGGGCCCAGGTCGTACGAGACATCAGAGATGTAGTCCTCAAGGTATGTGCTGCTCTTCTTCATCCAAATTCCAGTGTACATGTACAGTATACAGTGCATACTAACGCGCGGGGTTCCAGCCAGGTGCCAACGAAATCACAGTCGTCGGCCTGACCCCGACTGTGGATGAACACTCTATCAAAGTCGAGGGAACCGGCTCGGCCATCATCACTGACATGACCGTCGAGCTGTTACCCAACCGCGACATCTTCCAGGAAATGTACCCGGACTCGGACTCGGACCACTCAGACAAAGAGGAGTCTGACGAAGACGGTGACGATGAGACCGTCGTCGTCGAGGCACTCGAGGAGGTGCGCGATAAGCTGGCCGCATTGGGCGACGAGCAGAAGCGCGCCAAAGAGGTCATTGCTAGCGCCGAGAGCCGCCTGAAGATCCTTGACACCTACAGCACTTCGCTCGACAAGAAGTGTGGTGTCGACATCGAGGCCAGCGTGGAAAGCTACCGCAAGGAGCGCGAGAAGGTCTTCACGGACCACATGGAGGGCATCGTCCGCGAGCGCGAGCTGGCCAAGGAGATTACCAACTTGCGGCGTGAACAAGCGCGGCTTGAGAAGCTCCAGGCAAAGCAAGCCAGTAAGGCCGCCAAAGAGAAGGCCAAGACCAAGAGGGCCAAGGAGAAGCTGAGGGAGAAGGAGCGCAGACGGAAGGCAGAGCGGCAGAAGGAGAAGGCCCGGATCCGCAAGGAGCGGGAGCAGTTTTGGCCCCGGTTCTGCTATACAGTTCGCATCAGCCTCGACACCGGCGCGACTTTCACGCCGGGTTCGTCTCGCCGCAGCTCCATCGCTAGTGCTACCGATGTGCATCTTGTCTCTGACAAGGAGGCCAAGGAGGAGGAGGAGGAGGAGGAGGGGGCGGCCGCCAGCATGACCTGCGACCTGATGCTTTCTTACGTCACCTCGTCGGCCTTCTGGGCCCCGAGCTACGACCTGGCGCTGTCGTCGACGGCGAATACAGCAACGCTGTGCTTCGATGCGCGCTTGACTAACATGACGAGCGAGACATGGTCCAACTGCAAAGTGATCCTCAGCACCTCGCAGGCCAGCTTTTCGGGCTTGCAGGACGATACGCCGACTCTGGTCCCGTGGCGGCTTAAGATCTTCGGCAAGGGGGGTCCCTGGGACGCGGCAGACATTGTGCACAGCCGGGAGGAGAGAGCGCAGAAGCAGATCTGGAACTCGGCCCGGAATGCCATGGACCAGCAAAAGCCTCGCGCGGGCCTGTTCGGGATAAGCGAGGCGTTGCAAGACTATGCGCAGCAGCTGGCAATGCTGGAAGCGCAAAACCGAGCACGAATGCAAATGGCACAGCAAGTTCAACAGCAAAGAGCCGCCAAGGTCTTCAGGTCCATGGCAAATCCGAACTCGATGGGTGGCCCTGCTTTTGGCTCCCAACAGGCCGCTGTCTCCAACAGCGGCTTCGGTCAGCCAGGCTTCGGCTCCCTCAACAATGCTGCGACCGCGGTGGGAGCTCCCAACAACGTGCCACCGGCAGGATCAGGCGTCACCTTCGGTTCGTCAGTAGCACCGAAACCGGCGGGATCGGGTGGTGGCCTCTTCGGGTTATCCCAGACCGTTCAGGGCCCATCAGCCTTTGGCGGCACAAGCGGCGGCAGGGTAACCGAGGCCGAGGAGGTTCAACAGATCAGCCATGACACAGGCGGACATGACGAAGCGGACGATGCCCAGACCATGCTCGAGCCGGCCCCCGTCGTCGCCTTCCAAGAATCGTCCTTCGAAGAGACCGGCCTGACGGCAACCTACGACCTCCCGCACCTGAAGACGCTCAAGCCGTCGCCGACGGCGTCCAAGCAGCGCGTGGCGCGCATCTCGTTCAGCCACGTCACCTTCTCGCGCACCGTCGTGCCCAAGTACAAGCCGGCGGCCTATCTGAAGGCGCGGCTCCGCAACACGAGCAAGATCACGCTCCTGAGCGGGCCGACGGGCCTGACGCTCGACGGCACCTTCCTCGGCCGCGCCACGCTGCCGCGCTGCAGCGCCGGCGACAGCTTCCACGTCCCGCTGGGCATCGACCCGGCCATCCGCGTGGCCTACCCGAAGCCCGACATCGCGCGCAGCACGACGGGCAACGTCTTCACCGCCAAGGGCGAGAGCAACGTGTACACGCGGTCGGTCACGCTGGTCAACACGCGCGCGCAGGCCGGCAGGCCCCCCGTGTCGGTCACCGTGCTGGACCAGGTGCCCGTGTCGGAGGACGAGAAGATCCGGGTGGACGTGCTGCATCCGCCGGGCCTGCAGCGCGGCGGGCCGGTGGCGACGGGGGTGTCGGGGAAGGTGGAAGCGTCGGCGTCGGCGTTGGGGGAGAAGGGGGAGAAGGGGGAGAAAGGGGAGGATAAGGATTGGGGACGGGCGACGGCGGCACTGAGTGGTAAAGCCGGCGAGGTGGCGTGGGATGTGGTCCTCAATGCTGGGAGGAGTGTCAAGTTGGTGTTGCAGTACGAGGTTGCATTCCCGACGGGGGAGAGGGTAGCGCAGGTTAACTAAAGCCAGAAGAAAAGGGTTCCAAGTAGGAGTGCCTTGGGTACGCCTGGTGGCTCTCAGGTTATACGCGCTCGAGCCAGGTTGCAATAAGGAACTGGGACACACACGGATGTGAGGATATGATGGTTCAGATAAACATTCAGGAGATATAAGAACTGTAAACGCTGCGGTACAGGAATCTAGGTGTGATCTAAGTCTAACCCCTCATAGCCAGTTAACGACCGTCTTATACATGTCTTATAATTCAAGTGCGCGATAGATGCTGAGTCCAAATTACAACAGTGTTTCCATCGTTAAACCGTCTCGCATGGGTGAACTAAACCCCTGAATGGAGTGTGACTCCCGTCGTCGGTGGTAGCTCGGCTATGCTGTGACCCGACTCCCCTGCCTCTTCCGATGCACCAAACTCATGGCGAGAAGCTTCTGTAGCTCAGTGCCATCCCTGACCGTGTAACGCATCGATCGTGGCAGATTGGCAGATAGGAGGAGTTGCTTCCAGATCCGTGGCCGAGCCGAGGTTGGCCTGTCCCATTCTCCCAGTTCTGAACTTCTGACGCCCACCCCCAATCAAACTCATACCAAAGCAGAGATGCCCTGCCAGGAAAGGAAAAGAAAAGAAAAGAAAAACATGTGCGTTTACCCCATCGTCAAGTTCGCGTGCTGTGACACGCAGTTCCGGCCGGACGAGGGCCTCCCCATCGTCAAGTTCTGCCCGCGCGGCCACGGGGACACGATCGGCGAGCCGTTCCCGGGCTGCCCGGTCCGGCAGGCGCACGAGTGCCACGACTTCTTTCGGCTGCCGGTCAAGTGCCCGGACCACAAGCTGCAGTGGCTGACGCGGATGGACCTCAACGCCGAGTGCCAGGCGACGGACCGGGCGCTGGGCGAGGCCGGCGTCAGCGAGCCGCTGCGGCGCCGGTACCGCGACAAGATGGGCCGCGCGTTCGAGATGGTCGTCAAGTGCGCGCAGCTCATGGAGGCCGAGCGGCTGCAGGCCTGGAAGGTCAAGGTCTTCTGCACCGGCGCCGCGCTCGAGCTGCTGGGCACCGCCATCGTCGGCAGCGATGCGAAGCCGCTGGACTACGCCGTGCTGGAGAGCCTGCGGGAGAGGCTTGTCCGACACATCAACGCTGAAGCGCAGCAGCTGAAGGAGGATGCAATTCGCCGAGGTGGACGCAGCCCGGAAGAAGCGGAACACCCTGGCCTGGGGACGGAGAGAGAATGGTTCCGGCAATCTCAGTCGAGGACGTCAGCTTCAAGCCCTCCGCGGTCTCCGTCGCCAGCAGCGGATTGTAGACGAGTGCCTGCCCTGGAAGGCGCGCCGCCGCCTATCGGCACAGCAATCACCACAACTCCAGCACCGAATTTGCCTCTCCTGGATGACATGCAGCAACACACATCCAGAGAATTCCTTCCCGGACGACCAAGTCAACGGTTCCTGACGATGGCATTCTCACCGCCACAAGCCCCCTTCCATCAAGATCCCGCCCCGATATTTCCGTTCGCGGTCCTCCCGCTGTCCGCGAACCGATTCCCGCCGGGGCCGCCTTCATTCATGCCCTCCCGGGATGTTGGGCCAGCGTTTAGTCTAGGCGGAGTCAGCAACGGTACCTGTACAGATAACCTACCAGTGCTACCACCCTTCATTTCGCAGTATCCAATGCCCCTGCCCCTCTCCCCCGAGCGGCAGTTCCAAATGCAGCAGAGCGCCGTGACGGATGGGCAGTTTGTTGATCCAGTGTTGGGATTCTCAGCAGGTTACATGCCCAGAGGGGGACTCGGCGGTGATATGTACGATATGATGAGTGTTGGTATTGGTGAGGATGAGGCATCGGACGACGACTTGGGCCACTTGGCTCGGGCTGAGGAAGGAGCATTTGCGTTTGACGGTGGTGTCGTTGAGCGGTGCTTGATGAGCCAAGCACCTGCGCAAATGGAGGAATGACCATGACCCGGAGAGGCGTCTGTATATTTTCGGCTCAGTGAGGCTGGCAGGCGTTGGGCTTTTCATTATTTACTTGCTTTTCCCGCTTGGTGTTGAAATGAGACCAAAACTGATCTTGATCACCAACTATTGGCCGCCTGCGAAGCTGCTGTCACACATTGTCACTCACGAGGTCTCACACAAACTGGGCGTTACGCCATGTGTGCCATTGCGCCCGAGTACGATAACACTGAAGGCGAAGCAACTTGGTAAAACCAGCGCCTATAAAAGCTACATGTGAACGCCATGGCCCTCCAACGTACTGCCAATGATCTCTTTAATGGAGTTTATGGTCGACGCCAGTCCTTAGGTGTGAACGAGAGCCGCCAATCTCCATCCACTGTCCACAACTTGCCACCACTACCCCCATAGGGTGTATTTAAATCCCCACGAGGCTGCGCCATGTGCTACGAAGAATGCGTCCAGTGGCCTTGCTGCGGGAAAGAATGGGAACCGAGTTACGACCAAGAATTCCGGCGTCCGGTCAGTATCTTCTGCAAGCAGGCACATCTGGTGTCGCGAACCGACGAGTACGGAGATACGGTGTACGGAATAAGAGCCTGTAGCCACCGAGCTCGCGGTTACCCGGCAGATTGGCAGGGGACACGTCGACATGTCTTCTACCCGGGGCCCTGCAGGGACTGTCGAAGAGATCCCGAAATAGTCAGCAGCCTGATGGCACGCCTGAAAATCCAGCTCGATGCGATTCGCGACCAACTCAAGCGCCAGGACTTCATCCACCTGCATCGCCGGAAGACCATGCTGAAGTGGGCACTGCGGTCCCTCGACCCTCTGAGTCGCGGCGCGGATCGGAGAGAGTATCGCAAGGATGTCTTTGAGCTGTTCAAGGAAGACAGCGAAACTGGTCAGGCAATCGAGATCTCCAGCGCAATATGTCGCCGCCTCGGAATCAATCCCTCAAGTCTACACGCTCGACGAATGGACTTGGCTCCGGTTTAGAGAGACTGATAGCAAGGGTGAGTCTTTCTCGTCTCCTTCCGAGTTGCCGACCATGGTGTTTTCCTCTTCGGCACTTCTGGCATCTGCTCCTGATCAATTTGCTGATTGGAGTCATCAAAGTCTTACACCCTCGCAGATTGAGGCGATATGAAGCGGCGCTCTTCCCAATCCCCGTGGCATCGAGGCACGTCGGGGTTAGGCTACGTTATTAGTAACGGCAGCAGGCGGCTTATTTATGCAACGACGAGCCTCGTTTCCACTTGTCCCCTTTTCACCTCTCCAAAGGAGCCACTTCCATGTTCGGACATCAGCAGGCGCCGGTGCTTTGAAACGACCATTGGCCAGGAGCCATAATAATCGAAAGATGTGCGAAACGTCCAAGCGGGGAATGTAGGCAAGAAAATATGATAATCACAATGCTGGCTAGCCTTTCTTCGAGCGAAAAGTCTGCGGTCAATTGTCGTCGTGTAATGATAGCAAAGGATGTGAAGACGAGCTAAGCTAGCGAGGCTAGGTACACGATGATTCTGACCTGCTACGGTACTCTAGAAGTAGAATCATACAACTTGGGATGTACCTAGCTAGACTCATTTTTATCCACACAGGGCAGGATGTAGAATTTAACTACCGTAAGCTGGCGGCTACTAGTACTTAGTAGCCCTGAGATGTTGACATGCTTGGCATCTCATTTTCAGGTTGCCGGAATTGAAAACAGAGTTGCTCGGGGTTAAGGCAGAGAGTGTGGGTGATGTTAAGAAAAGTAAATGTCTCAAGTATCAATAGATTGAAGAACAAGTATTGAGGTTGGGGACCCTTGATGCTAGTGACTGTGTTTACTAACCTTGAATACTCTGACTAGGTATGAGTATGAGGAGATCCCTTTTCTGTACTAGTATATACTGTAGAAATTATTCATCTGTCACCATCCATGAGGGCAAATTGACGGGTTTGCCTTTCCCTTCGCCTGATCGTCGTAACAGTCATCAGAGAGTCGACAACTGCAGTCTCTCAGTCGCGGTTCTGTCGTCCAGCTCTTCCTCTGATCCTCAATCTCCATGGCGAGAGCATCTCGACACCTTGACGCATGTCGGACTTAAAATGCGAAGTCATTTGCCTCGTCCTCTCCGCCTACAGGCGCCACCCCTTCCCGGCGTTGGCCAAGAAGCATCGGCACAGGCCTTATTCAAAGAGCTGGTCAACTCGGTCTCTACCTCGTCGAAGCGATCTGTTCTCTGATTATCACGTCGACCTGCCTGCTCGCTGTATATGTCCTCAGGCCCCTGAAGAAGGCCTCGACATCAGGAACCGCCTCTCTCATGGCCTGCCCATTTAGGGAGCTTCATCTCCTCTGATCCAGTTGCACATTGGGGTTATATAAGATGCAAACGGCATTACAGGCAATCTGCGCGCATCGATGCAGCCGCCAATGGCGGCCGATGCCCAACACGTGCTGCTGTTTCCGAGGGGCTTCGCTGCGCAAGGGACGAGAACAACAGCCATGGATCGTTTGTCACTCATAGTCACGTACATCCAAAGGCACTCCGAATGGCTGCGCTGGTGATAGCGAATGTGTGGGGTTGCAGAGCGAACTTGAGGCTTCTCCATGGCTATAGCAGGCGAGCACCTTCATATCTGCACGCAGCAAGTACTATGTACAGTACCATATCACGCACAGGTCTTACTCAAGACTGCTTTACATGCCATTTCAGTTGTCATCCAAACAGCGAGCCGGTAACTCAGCTCTTGTCCTTGTCCTCCTTCAGCGACACTATCCGGTTGAGCACAATCTTGTCATCTGTGCTGTCTGAATCCATGGCCTAAGGAGGGAGCGAGCATTAGCAGGGATGTTGACAAAACGGGAAAGCCCACTGAGACTTACAAAGTATGCAACGCGCATGCCCTGGAACCGCACCGTCTCCGGGCCCCCCTTGTGCTGCTTGTCCTCGCCCGCGGCCTCGGGCCAAGGCGCCCGAGCCTTGACCTCGTCGAAGCCTGACTCAATCATGGCATCGGGATAGATGATCTCGCTCTCCGGGTTGATGTCATTGAGATACCCGCCCTCGGCAGCCGCCGGGTTGTCCGATTTGAACAGCGGGTTGTAGAGCCGCACCTCGCATTTCCGGGATCCCGAGCCCTCGCCAGCAGGGACCCACTGGATGAAGGTCTTGGGTTTCTTTGTCTCACGGTCAAAGACGGCGCGGATCTCCGTGACCTTGCCCGTCGCCTCGTCCTTTGTGAAGCCGGTGGCCTTGATGGGGAACGGGGCCTGCAGCAAGCCGACGGTCTTGCCGGGCGCCAGCCGGAAATAATCCTTGCTGTCGACCTCGCGGAAGTCGGACCGGTCGATGTAGACGGTCTTGCTGAACTTGATCTTGTGGTCGCCCATGGCGGCGTTCTTGGGGGAGAATGGCACCGTGAGCTCTGTACCGTCGAATTCGTCGCCGTTTTCAATCACCACGGGTACCGGGTCGAGAACAAGCATCAACCTGGGCACCGTCCGTTCGAGGTATCGCCGGATCGTCTGCTCGAAGCGGCTGTATTGGATAATGCTGTTTGTCGTTGTGACACCAAGCTCGTTAACGAACTCGAGAATGGCACCAGGAGGTACACCTCTGCGGCGAACTCCGATCAGGGTATGGAGACGCGGGTCGTCCCAGCCCCTGACGATTTTCTTGTCGACCAGCTCCTTCAGCTTGCGCTTGGAGAGCACGCTTCCTTGGACGCTGAGACGGCCGTATTCCCTCTGCATGGGCTGGAACTCGACCAGCTGCTGGTTCAGCCACTCGTAAGAGGTCCTGCTGAGGAAGAACTCGACGGTGCATAGTGAGTGGGTGATGCCCTCGAAGCTATCGCACAAGCAGTCTGCCAAAGTTAGCAACAGCGACCGCACTTGCACAGGCTGTCAGAGCTGCCTACGAGTAAAATCGTATGTGGGATAAATCTTCCACTTCGTGCCAGTCCGGTGATGGGGTTTGTCTAGAACTCGGTATGCGGCAAGATCCCACATTTGCGGGTTGCCATCAGTGATCTAAGCGTGTTAGCTGACTTGATAGTGCACCACACGGGGGCCGGATAACCCACATCCTGCTTCATGCGCAAGAAGGCTTCCCTCGGCTTGTATTTCCCGTCGCGCATATCGCGGAACTTCTGGAGGTTCTCCTCAACTGACTGCTCCGCGTGCTTGCACCGGTAGCGGGGGCTAGTGCCCTTCTCACCACCGCGTTGAAGCTTGAGCTCCTCGTCTATGGCCTGTCAGTCCTCGCAACGCCAAACCACATCTGAAAATGTTTGCCCACATACCCCCACAGTGGCAAACGTAAGCTTTCTCGAGTCCGATGAGCTTCTCAGCCAGCTCGTAAAGTCGGTCGAAGTTGTCGCTCGAATACGTGATCTTGTAGGGCTCGAATCCCAGCCAGCGCACCATTTCCTCGATGGCTTTGAAGTAGACCTCTTCCTCGGCTTCGGGGTTGGTGTCGTCGAATCTCAGGTAGCTGTCGATGTGCAGTTCCGTTCAGCTTTTATCTGGGGTAATGTTGCGGGAGGTTCAACATACCACTTGCCGCCGTGGTACCTGGCGAAGCCAAAGTTGACAGCAATGGCTTTCGCGTGGCCGATATGGAGGAAACCATTGGGTTCCGGGGGAAACCGCGTGAACACAGGCTTCACTGGGCGCTCGTTGTAGACATCGGCGAGAAAGCCCTGCTTGAACATGGCGTCCGGATCTAGAGGAGCCTCTTCCGGCTTCTCTTTGGGCTTCTTCAGAGCGGCGCCTTCTTGGGCGGTCTTGAGCGCAGCCGGTGTGTCCTTCGCAGCATCCTTGTTCTTCTCCTTGAGCGCCTTCTTTGCGCGCTTCGCCAACCGCTTCTTCAGCTCTCCCTTAGACACCCACTCTCCAGTTTCCTCGTCGAGCTGGAGCTTCGCGCCGTTGTCAGCCGGCGGCGCGTCGCCAAGTTCCAGCTTGGCAGCAGCATCCGCTACGGCGTCCGCCATGATTTCTTTGTTTATATCAGGGTTTCGCTGCCGGATTTGATCCGCTAGTTTCGCACTGAGCTGCAGTGGTCTATAATTTGCAATGTTGGACCAAGATCTGCAATCGATGTTCCTGGCTCTCTTCAAACACAGCGAGATCTACAGCTTTGCTGCGGAACGTTTGTGCCACACGTGAGTCAACTTGATCTTGTTGGGCCCCGGCAAAATTATGGAGGGGCACCGAACACCAAGGAGGAGAGCTGAAGACATGATAAGATAAGGCTGTAACGTTAGCGGGGTAATTTGCACTGTTGCTGCTTGAATTGTGTCGAAAGGTCTAGACCCTCTTGGTCCTTGGGCTTGTTTGGGTTGAATCTTGATGGGGCATTGAGCCGTACTTCGTACTTTACCAATAATGCTTTCGCCATCTCGATGTCAGTGCGGAATTCGATGGCGAACTGCATGTGAAAAGCACCGAGGGGTCATTGCGCCAAAGCCACCCCCGCCTTTCTTTCCCTTCCCATTGCAAAGGGCTGCGATCCCGCACACTTGCACTGCTGCCTCACACGGAAACCTTGGAGCAAGCTGACCTCTTTCCCGACCTGACCCTCGGCTCGCACACGACAGCTGTTTTCACTTATAATTTTCTTTACACTCGTTCCTCCACGGACAGCTTAACTTAAATCAAGCAACCAACCAACCTCCTTCTGCCACAAGATAAACCACCAAAGTCCTGCATGTCGTTCTGGAAAATGGCCTCCAAAATGCCAGTCCTCGCCAGCTCCGACGTCCCCTCACTCTCCCTCCTCTACCGGCTCAAGAAGCTCTGGCCGGCTTCCCCCGGCTCTAGCCCGCCGCCCACGCTGCTCGGCCCCAATACGAGCACCGGCCTCCCAACCCCGTCCAAATCGCTCAACGACCGCGTCGCGTTGTGGCGCGGTGACATCACGAGGCTGCAGGTCGACGCTATCGTGAATGCGGCCAACCGCTCCCTCCTCGGAGGCGGCGGCGTCGACGGCGCAATCCACCGCGCGGCCGGCCCCGACCTCTACGAGGAGTGCCGCACGCTGGGAGGCTGCGAAACAGGCTCCGCCAAGATCACGAACGGCTACGAACTGCCATGCCGGAAGGTCATCCACGCGGTGGGGCCCATATACGACCCCTTCAAGCCCGAGCAGAGCGAGCGGTTGCTGACGGGGTGCTATACGCGTTCCCTGGAGCTGGCGGTGGAGAATAGGTGCCGGAGCATAGCTTTCAGCGCGATCAGCACGGGCGTGTATGGGTACCCCAGCCAGGACGCGGCGCCGGCGGCGCTGAGCGCGATACGCAAGTTTCTTGTTGGGTCGCAGGGCGACCAGATCGACCAGGTGGTCATTGTGACCTTCGAAATGAAGGATTTGGAAGCTTACAACCAGTTCATCCCGTACGTGTCTCTTCCCGTGCTCACCCCTTGTAACCCAAGGCATGCTTGCTTGCTTGCTTACACCGGTCCATCCAACCAGGCTTTACTTCCCTCCCGTACCCGATCATGATGGCCAAAAGGCCGAGCACGAAAATCAGATACAGGAGGCAGAGGCTAGACTTGATGCTGAGGCTGAGGCCGTTGCGCGTGAGCTCCCTAACGCTCCGACATCTGACCCCTTCGATGCCGCTCACGCTGGCAAGAAGCAGAAGCACAAAGATGATTAAGTGGACAGCGAAATTGCTACGTAGATTCGGTAGACGGGGAAAATGGGACTGGTGGGTTTTGTGCCGGCGTTACGGGTAGGACATGGACGAAAAGGTCAGGGACCAGGAGACCTCGGCAAATGATATCCTCATGGGGCCAAGAGTTAAAGCTGGGGCGGACACTGGTAATCTCTCACTAGTTACAGTCATGAGTTGACATCCTCTCTCTGCCTTACACTGTCAGCATCATTTCCAGTACCTACAGACTCGATGTCCATTCACTGTCTCAATTGTCCCGTTCCATGTCCTGAACAGCCAGCTGGCACTGGAACGCCTCCTCTTTTTGGCTGGAAGTGAACATGATCTGTGATCTGGCGATGTTGAGAACTGAATGACACACCACAACTGGGACCTGACACGGTACGCAATACAGACAGAGGAAGTAACAATACATCATGATCTATATTCTCCTCTATCCTCGAGGCAGCTCCCCACCCATCCCATCTTGGTATCTCCTTTCCTGTCTGGCCGACAGAGAATCCAAACCAACCATCCCAGGGTCTCCAGTCCTGAGTGGCAGGTTTCTCCCTCCGGAGCCAGTCGTAGATACAATGGCGGGGTATGAGAGGCATTATGATCATCCCTACAAATCATGAGAAAGAAAAGCAAAACACCCATTAAGCCCAGTCCATGCAACCCGAACCGTGAAAATGAAAGCAACTTTTGTATAACCGATTGCAATACGGAGAACATTTAGAGGTCGTCATCGCTGAAGACTTCCTCACCACGCTTGCGGCGGGCCATCCGCTCCTTCTTCTTCTTCCGCGCCTCGGCGCTGGTGAGCTTGGCCTTCTTCTTGGTGGCCTCGATCTTATTTCCCATGGCGTCGAATTTCTCCTCCTCATCACCGTCGTCTTGCTTAAGGCGAGGACCAGAGCCCTGGCCTTGCACCCAGTTGTGACCCGAGGGGGTCATCTTGCCATCCATCACCGCCCAGACCTCCTCGGTCAGGTCCTTAGTGAATTCAGCGGAATGAGTGATAATGATCACACCACCCTCGAACTTCTTAAGAGCCTTCGACAGAGCACCAAGAGAGTCGCGGTCCAGGTAGTTGGTGGGCTCATCGAGGACGATCAAGTGAGGGCGTTGCCACGAGCAAGCAGCGAGAACAACCTTCACACGCTGACCACCAGAGAGACCACGCATGCGCGAGTGCGAAACCAGCTCGGCATCGAGACCGAAGTTGGCGCAGTGAGCCTCGATCTCCTTGCGGACCAGAGGGCGGAACTGACCGGAGGCGAGGGCCTCCTTCATGTCGACTTCCGCGACCATCTTCTGATGGGACGCGAGCAGTTCGTTACGGGGCAACCATGCGTTGTCGGCGGTCATCATGGGCACCCAACGCTCGTTCTTCATGCCCACGTTCTCACCGAGAGCGAACGAGCACTCGTACTCGTACGAGTTCTTGAACTTCCGGCGGCTGTGGATGCCGATGACGCGGCGCTGAGTTCCATCAACCTTGAAGATTTTGTTCATGGCCTCCTCATCGGCCTCGGTGATAATCTTGTTTGCGCGATCCATGGTTTCCCGGTCCTCGCCGGTCTGGAAACGCCACTGGATGTACTCACTTGGAGTCTTGTCCAGGTGGTTATCAATATGCGCAAATGCGTGCTGTTTAATGTACGCAATGCGGATGTTCTCGTGCTGATAGATCTCACCCCCGGTGGGGATAAGCTCGCCAGTGAGGACGTTGATAAGCGTTGACTTTCCAGCGCCGTTGGGGCCGATGACGGCGATACGTGAACCGAGCGAGCACTGGAACGAGATATCCGTGAGCTGCGGCTTCGAGGTTCCAGGGTACTGGAAGCTCATGTTGGTGGCGCGCAGAATGGCCTTGGCCTTGGTCTTGACACCTTCGAGGAATCCGGGCTCGGGGAAACTGAATTCCATCTCAGAAGCTCCAAGTTCGTAGTAAGACTTGGCCGAAGGAACACGACGAACGAACTCCTTCAGGTTGCCCTTGTAGCGCTTGAGCTTGAAGCGCTCGTAATGGATAATGTGTTGGCACACATTATCCAAGAATCCACTATCGTGGGATACGATAATGGACGTGCAAGGGGAGCTAATGAGATAGTCCTCGAGCCACTTCACGTTCTTCACGTCGAGATGGTTTGTCGGCTCATCGAGAAGAAGGATGTCGGGAGCCTCGAAGACCGCACGGCACAAGGCCAGCTTCATCTTCCAACCACCAGACAGGGAGGTGATCTCGTTCTCGATCATCTCAGTGGTGAAGCCGAACTCATGCAGGCGCTTCACGACGTCTTCGCGCGTGGTCTCAACGCCGGCCTCAGCGAGCTTCTTCATCGTCCAATCGATCGTGGTCATTTCCGTATCCGCCGAGTCCAGATCGTGCTCGACGAAGACGGTCTTGACTTCGCTCTGCTTGGGGAAACCCTCAACCTGCTCATTGTTGATGGCGCGCATCAGAGTCGACTTTCCCGAACCGTTCGGGCCGCACAGACCGTAGCGCTGGCCACGCTTGAGGCGAAGGCTGGTCTGGTTCAACAAGATTTTGGCGCCGTAGGCAAGCGAGAAGGTGCAGTTGCACAGGTCCTCGCCCTCCTCCTCATCATCCTCAACCTCCTCGTCGTCGACGAAGTTAGGAGTGGCACGCTTGCGCAGGGCATCGACGACCGACTGGGACTCGTCATCACCGACAACGACAGTCATGTAAGGCTTAACGCTCTCGGCCCACGTAGCACCATCGGTGACCTTCTCGTCGACCAGCTGGCCCGCGATAGCGGCGGCATACTCGAGAACCGCCGCATACTTCTCGAAAGCGGCGGCATGCTTGCCAGAGAGGATCTCCTTGAGGTGACCCATAACGGTGGCGACATCACCGTGGTTGCGGACCTCAGGGATCTTGCCGTCGACAACGTTACCGACGCGGATGAGGGTGTCGAGGGCCTGCTTCGTCTTTTCACGAGCCTCGGGATCGGCAAGGTTCTCAAAGTTCTTCTGCAGACCGGGCATCATTTTGGGCAGGAAAGGGGCGACGATGTTGGGGTCGTCGACCAGCTTGCACATGTTGTCGACAATGACTGCCGACTTGCGCTTGATAGCCGTGTCGCGCTCGGCAAGACCACGGTCGAGGAGAGGAACCATGAGGGCAAGGGTAGGTTCCTGGACCTCTGTGACGAAGGTGGTAGCACCAAGCAAGTGAACGGTCTCCGGGACGTTCTCAGGCTTGGCGATACACTTGATAAGCTCGGGGATGAACCGCTCAATGTCGCGGTTGACGATGAGCTGGCACACCTTTTCCATGGTCTTGTAGGCGCGGTCCTTGACTTCCTTCTTGGTGTCCCACATAGCCTCGGAGACAACAGGAATGAGGTCTGGCACGCGGAGGGCGGTCTGAGTGGGCGCGATCCGAACGATCGTGTCGATGAAGTCGAGAGCCGTCATCTTCTCGGGCCACTTCTGAGCGTTCCGAAGCGACTCGATCAGGGCCGGCAGGGTGGCCTTGACGGCGTTGGGGTTGATGGCCTCCGCGATGGCCAGGGCAGCCGCGATGGCGGCATTCTTAACGGCGGTGATTTTGTCGCCAGCACCAGCCAGAACGCTGGGAAGCAGCGCAACGAGGTAGGGCTCGACATGAGCGGAAACCTCAGAGTGGCGAGCGATAGCCTCGATGGTCACGAGCGCCTTTTCCCGGACAGTGGCATCCTTCTTGTTCCCGAGCTGTTTCTTCAACGCATCAACCGTCCTAATGTTTAACGTTACATGTCAGCCCCAATTCTCCAAATTTGTGGTGCGTGGCAAAAAATGTATCGGAAAAATTTTTCAAACTAATGCTGCAAAGGCGGCGGCATCTGATTCGGCCAGATGGCGCAGTTCAGCCAACCGAGTCCCCTCCCAGAAGGGAGGAGCCGCTGGTTGCGATTGCCACTGGCTTTGACAGCACACACAAAGCGACCATCTTGGCTTTCAAGCTGGCAGCCAAAGCCCAGAGGCGGCATGTGTAGGGAATGAGGAGGCGGGGGTTCGTTGTGGAGCGAGGGGTCGGGCTTACTTGGTGGGGGTCTCAAGGTCCTGGATGGGCCCGTTGATGAACGACGCAATCGCGCCGGCGGACTCCTTAACGGCATCGGCCTCCTTGGAGATGGTGAGCTTTTGCATCAGCTCGTCGAGCACCTTGACGCTCTTGGCGTTCTCGGCAGCCACTTGTGACGGCATTATGGGTGATGTGTATATGTTTGTGTCCGAATGAAAAAAAGAGACCCGAAGTCTATGAGCGTCGCAAGGCCGAAGATCCTGTCGTCCCGTCTATCCGGAAAGCGAAGATGTGCTCGCGTCTAATGGATATCCTGCTGTGCGAGCGGAACTTTTGCGACCGGTGAGAGCCCGTAGAACTTCGATGGAGGGTCGAAATGTCTACTCTATCCTGGCCCTTCGAGAGCGAAGTCACAAGAAAGACTGAGTGGAGAGCGTTCTTTGAATGAACGAAAACTCTAGAGAAGGAAGGGGAGAGGAAGACCTGAAGAATCAGAAGAAGAAAGGTTCTGGGTGGCAGGAGGGGTGGCTAGGTCGGTATTTAAAAAAGATTCGCCCTGCGCACAGCCTTTCTGGTGCCCCAAAAAAAAGGTTGCCCCCCGCCTCAGATAAGCATGCTGATATGGCAAACCCTTGCATATCGCCTTATCGCATGGCTGTCTAATCCCGATTCGGTAGTCTCGGAAGGCGGTGAGTTGGGGCTTCATGCAAATTTTTTGACAATTCAGTCGAGACAACGACGTTTTCGCCGCCGCCTTTCGCCATCATGATTCATTACTTTCAGACTCAGTCCCCACTTCTCGACCCCGCGGTCCAAGCGGCTGGCTGCCAGCCAATCAACTCAACTCTAGTACAGCACGTCTCGGGGACAGCGAGGCCCAAGCTTATCCACGGAGGCAAAGCACTTCAAGATGTACTGTATTATGAAACGTGGTTTGTCCCAATGGTCCGCCCGACGTAACTGTGCCACTCGCACCAGAGTCGAGCTGTCTGTTACCTTCCATCCCTCGAGCTTCCATGTGTGGGTGCGTGTTGGCCGGCACTGTGCAGAGTGAAGAAGCGATGGGCAAGCTCAACATTCTGTCGTCACTCTTGAGGTTCTGGACCTACCCGTACTTCAATGTGGCGAATATCCGTCAGCATACGTGTACAGTCGCGAACGCCGGGAGGCGGTTCCCATCACATGGAGCATGCCCACTGTTGCGTTGAGCCAATTTAGGAGCAAAGTATCAGACGGACAGGCAGCCTGAGCAGCAGCCTTATCCGTACATCAGGTAGGTAGGTAGGTAGGTGCAACTAGTTGCACTGTCGTCCGCCGACTGGAGATCGCTTTACCGTTTGATTCAACGCACTCTCACATATTGACCACTCCAACCTTCTCATAAGAAACCGCGGCGGAAAGAAGCCCGGAATTTGTCCTTGCCACCGAAAAGCGGCCTTCCAACTCTTTGTCAGCAGAAGGTTGAGCGTAGCGCAATACATGTCGTGAGGCAGGCCGCACGTGGTCGCAACCAGTGGTAAATGCTTGTGTCCGTGCTTTTGGCTGGTATCGGTTTTGACATGCATGGAACTCGGGTCGACCTGTTTGCTTCGCGGCGGGTTTCTCTAGATCTTTTCCCGAATACCCCTTCAAACTCCACTAGTAAACCTGGAAGCTATAAATCCGCATCGTGCATCCATCATGTCGAGTTCCCGAGTTCCGTCCATAGCAAGGCTCGAGCAAGGGTCACGGTAAACCCCGGGCGGTTCTCCCTTCCGTAAAGATCCTCAAAATCCGGGGTCGTTAGCCCCGCCGACGGGGAGTCCGATAAGAATTTTGTGGCGGGGTAACAGGGTGCCTACACAGTAGCGCCCCTCAAGAAAATTCTATACAGTACATGTCTGTCATACATACAGTACCTGAACCGGAGAGGCGTCGTCCCAACTCCGGGAATCAAGCAAATAGAGTCTACACGAAGAACAAAGACAGTTGGAAAAACGGAAGGAGAATGCAACGAAGAACAAAAAACGAGCTGAATTAGCTGCGTAAAATGCATTTTCTACGGCGAGAGCTGGTGTACAATACATACCGGCAGTTTGACCTTGCCCGGTTGGTGACTTGGTGTAAAGTACCTAGACTTTGCATACCCTTACGTCTACTCGCAATGTCCTATACGATTTTTGTACATATACTGTACAAGTACATCTCTCACCACCTTAGCAACGATCGGAAGTTGACACAGTTAAGGCCCACTGATGGAGCATCGCGGCCATCGGCATTCGGAAAGTTGAACTCTGAACGCTAACTCAAATCATACAACTTGACTAATAATAGCGAGAACCTTTGGTTAGCGATTACTGTGCGTACAGATGAAGTTGTTCCCAACCGTGATCGCCCCAAGCCCTCCCTCATCCATTGATGTGTCTGCCTGGCATCCGCACATTAGCACCCGGGCTGCGCCGCCCGCCTCCTTATTAGCACGTTCTTAAACGGTTCCCTGGCTCCCATACGAATTAGCCACTTCAAACCTAGCTCCAAGTAACTCAACTCAAGAGTCAGCTATCAACGCTCACTGTTCTTGTATTGTACGATTCACGATACTTGTCTCGACCGGCCCCCAGTACAACACTCCAAGAAGCTACCTTCACCTCTCCTCATGAACCCACCATGGGATCTACCCAGGTAGTATCACGCCGCTTCCGCTCAGAAACATGGACCGGGGGATGAAAGAATACAAGAGCCCGCCGTAAGTGTCGTCTTCCGTCACCATTCATCTAGGTCATCAGTCATAAGCTCGTGATGTCATTGAGGATGGGCCCTTCGCCCTCGGTTTTCAGTTCACACTCGCGGGCAACTGGGAAACCGAAAACATAGCCGGGCAGCCGGTACAAGCCTCAGTGCCTAGTTCGAAGACCGGCATCTCTTGTCAGCCTCTTCTTGGAGAGTTACCGTTAGTCTGTCGCTGCTCTGACTAGATGTTTACCGAGTAGGTTCCTGAGTATCTGCTGGGAAAGCCTGGTTGCTCACCAGATAGTCGAAGAAGCCATGAATATCAGCGCTAAAACTGGTGGTATTACTCGTCGCTACGAAGGTGAAAACATCCATGTCGCTGCTCGAATTATTTCCGACCCAAAGATCTCAACTCTGGCCGGCTATGGTAATTGTGTCTGTGGACGAGCCGATAGGAGGGAAACTACCCCCAATCTCGCGAGCCTGCGACAGCTGAGGAGTCAGTCAGCTCGACAAACTACCTGAGCAAATCCTCATGGCCCTGTTGTCCTGTTCATCGAACAAGACTTTACTTAATTCCTGTCAAGACACACCATATATCATCAGCTCGTAATCGCCGCTGCTGTGAGAATGGCCCGGATCCTCGGCCGTGAAGAGGCCATAGGCGACGTTTGCGCGGATATCGCTCGTGTTGGACTGCCACGAGACCGAAGTCGGCATACTCGTGATCGAGGCGATCGTCTGGCCGCTCGCGACCTGCTGCCCGAGTGTCGATAGCTCTTCCCATTACCTGCTGACGCGTACGACGTCCATATGGTGTCCCACTGGAGGCCACCGGCGCCGCTACTGTCAACATAGGTGCACTGCGGTCCCGTAGCCATACTGATCGCAGAGCGTAACCGCCTGTCGCCTATGCAACGGGTATGGTCCCAAGTGTGCCGCATCAGCTAGGGAGTATAAGATGGGTAGTGTTGGCTTCATTATCCTCGGTCAAAGTCTTGAGAAGACAACTAACAGGACGGCAATCCAAGTACGATCGTCCTTTGCTACTGGACCCGAGCATTTGAATCGGATAGTCTGTGATAGACAATTCTTATACCTCCGCCTGGACCATGTCTCAACCAGCCGACTCTCTGCATTAAGTCCGAAACACACTTGTATTATGTCGTTGCCCGGCTCTGGGGTTGCGTGGCCAGATCCATCACTTCGAGAGTCCGAGGTTAGAAGTCGCTAGTGTATATGTCAGGTCTCCAACAGTTACTCCGCGGTGCCTCTGGGAGGGTCTAGGAATGGTGAAGCATGGACATTCCGACGGTTGATTCAACTTGAATCCCGTGCTACCTGTGCCCGTCACTAAGAATCTAACTTCATCGGCTTCTCGCTTTCAGTCATTGAGTCAGAAGCGAAACTGCACACAATGAGCCACAGCAGATGTACGTATCAAGTTCGAGGGTTATTGGTTCGTAAGCTTGGTCTCTTCACTAACATACCTGCCTAAGTCAACATCGTCCCTGAAGGCATTTCCTGTCTGCCGGCCATGGTGTACAATGTTATAGTCGCCGCCTAAGCTCCAGGAATTCGAACAACAATAATAACCCATCAATTGAGTGTTTTCGGCAAATTCGAACCTGGAGTCCCGGACCCGGATCGGGACCCCTAGTGACGTCAACACCCGACGTTGCTAGTACATCGCATGACCTCAAGTTCTCCTCACGGAACTACAATTGAAATTTTCCTATGCTATTGACCAGGTAGAAACCAGATCTCATACTGGAAAGTACGATAAATAAAGCTCACATATAACTCGGCTAGCCGTCTAACAAAGGAACCAGCTGCAAGCCTGCAATACGAAATATCCACCATGTCCGCACCGTCCGCGCCATCGGGGAACCCGCAGAACCCCCTCTCGCAGGACCAGACCGGCCAACAGCAGGCTCATCAGCAACAACAACAACAGCAGCAGCAGCAGCAGAATGTGGGTCTCTGGACCGGTCACGCGGAGTGGATCAAGGGCGCAGCTGAGGTGTGATGCCGCTGGCTTTCTTATCCTTTTTTTCGGATTTCCTCTTCCTCTCCTGATCCTGATTCTTCTTCGTTCCCCCCTTCCCCCCGCCCCCCATCTAGCGATTAACCCCCAGAGATCATTGTCCGTCCCATTGACTGACTCGGCAACGACGCCACAACCACGCCCAGAGCACCATCGGCAGCATCATAGGCGCCGAGTCGTGGAAGACCGCGGGCGAGCAGGAGAAGGCCCGCGCGCGTGAGTGCATGCAGGCGGCGGCCCAGCAGCGCGACCCGACCAAGGCCGGGTACGGCCGGGCCGAGGAGATTGCCGGCAAGCTGACGGGCTGCGAGGGCATGAAGCACGAGGGTGCGGCGAGCAAGACCGCCGGTGCGAATAAGAGGCGGGATTGATATCTGTCTTTATCTACGGTACTTGTTAATGTTAAGGCTCCAAGGTTGAGTGAGGTGTGTATGCGTGAAGGATCATGCGAAAAGGAGTAGCTGAGATTGATAATCAACTATAAGGGTTCCTAGGAGGGAAGGACGGTGTATATCTACAACTTGAGTGGAATATGCACTTCCGCTTCCCTTACTGCGTACTTCATGGTTAACTCTCAACCCCCCTCGTGGTTGGAGGAGGGAAACATTATAGTGACCCCTGAATTCAGCGACTCGCAAACTCCTGAGCGACAGGAGGGCGAAGTGCTATCTAGGAAGTTACAGCAAAGTTGGCACACATAGACTACAGTGCTGAGCACCCGAGGCTCGCGGCTCTATTACATTGGGCTGCTTGTGATCGACAACTTACCCTTATTACAACAGATTTTTCTCAGCTCGCTATTGGTATGGCATGCTAAATGGCCGCTGCCTCTTGTACGCTCCAAATGGCCGAATAATAAGAAGCTCCTTGGCGGTATACATCCGGTATATCGCTTCAGTCATCTCCAAGTGACCTGTCTCTCGCATATTATTGGTCCATGATGTAGCCTCACGCATCATTCCGGAACATACCTTAGGTTCTGATGCATGTAGCCCCTAGGCTCTTTAGTCGTGACACGCAAGGGCTGCTTTTGGCTTTTCTCAGCCGTAGGAACTAACATAAGGTAGTTGACTTAGTAGCCCGTTATAGTAACTAGGAACCATCACTCGGAAAGAGACGCGAACACATTAATGCCGCCAGCGGCGACACTCTTTGACAGTTTGGCTTCGACATCTGTTGCTCGAGACAGCTGCTCCCTCGACCACTCATAGGTCTTGGACTTGGAAAGTCGCAACACCATCGAAAAGCCGGCGTGGCGCAATTGGTTAGCGCGTCAGACTTTTACGAAAAAGGCATCTGAATGTTGCGAGTTCGAGTCTCGCCGTTGGCGTCATATTTTTCCCTTCCCATTAAGTGCAACCACCACTTCATTTTTCACCTTTCCTGGAATCTTGATCTTTTGGCACCCGCATCCGTGTTGCATGCAACAACACCGAGTTCAGGACATTCTCCCGGATGCAGCCTACTGACGTTATGAGATTTCCACATCATCAATAGCGGGTTCATCAAGGGCTGAAATCTTGTGTCTGCCTAGTAGTTAGGGGTGCGATATGAAAGCTTCTTGAGCGGCCTCAAGCAAGCTACGGTGCCAGGGTATATCCATCAGGTAGATGTCGTCCACTTCGTAAGGTCACTCTGCCATATGCCACGCGTGATTCCCAGTCCCAGGCCGCGAAAGCCGGACTACATCATATGATTCAAAAACACTATGCTCCCGCTCCCCGACCTGTACCCAAATCCCCAGCAAAACCGATACTCCAAACATACCGATTTACGTCGTGTTCAGTATGTTCCTAATAGATAACCCGCTGAAAAGCCTTAAGCATAACGTCCCTATGAAACGCTTACCGGTCTTGGGGCCAGAGAATGGTCCGCATTGAAGTGTCGAGAAACCTTCCTCCCCTCCCTGGCCTTCTCCCCCGTGACGCTTACGACGGGCTCGGCCCCATCTGTGTAGTACTCGATCGTGATGCCCAATTCCGCCATGACCAGGTCCCGGAGCGCCTTCCTGTCCGGATCGTCCGTCTTGTACAGCGCAATCTCTCGTACGAGATCCCAGGGGAAGGTGCCCATGTGCTTCTTGAGCAGCACGTCGGCCATTTGCAGCAGACTCACGGCCGTGTCTGGCAATCGGGGTTGGTCCCAGACGCGGCGGATCAACTGCACGGCCGGTGGGTTGGGGCAGTCTTCGCCGCCGGCCGGGTCCGCCCCCTTCTCGAGGAGCAACTTCAGGATCGCCGGATTCGGGTGCTGGCAGGCGCGGTGGACATAACTGAATCGGGTCTTGGGCGGGATCTCAGGCAGGCCATATCGCGAAAGCATGTCCTCTAGGATGTCGAGACGGGCGTCGCGGATGGCGATGTCGAAGGCAGTCAAATATCGCCGCTTGACGAAACGCCATTCGTCTTCGTCCTCGTCGCCGAAGAGCTCCTGGAGCAGCTCGTCGGGTGGCACGATGAAGGGGTCGGCGACTTCCTTCATGAGCTCCACAGCAACGCATGTGAAGCTCTCGCCCACGGCGATCGACAGCGGCGTCCTCAGCTCGTGGTCGAAGACGTCAACGTCGGCTCCCCGCTCCAACAGCGCCTTGACAACTTCCAGATCACCCCACTGGCAGGCAAGATGCAGGTATGTCTGGCCACCGTGGAACCGCGGTTCGCAGATCGAGACGCCACGCTGCATTACCGCCAAGCTCAGCTCCCGGTTCTGCTGCATGATAGTCATGAGCAGCAACATTTCGTTGGTATAAACCGCTCTCCCAAAGTCCATTAGGCAATTGAACGTCTCGATCTGGCTCCACGAGTCGCACTGCCGAATGGTCAGGCCCAAGTACTCCTTCACATCCGCATCAGTAACGTTGTAGACTCTGTCTGCAAAGTCAAGGAGCAGCTTCAGTGCCTTGTGATTCCCGCCGGAGGAAGCGCAAACCCTCATGGTGCTTTTGAGTTTGGCTTCAGTGACGTTCCTCTCATCCGCTACTTTGAGCATCACCTCGAGCACATCGTCTTCTCCCCATCGAGTGTGCTTAACGGCGGTGTCTAAAGGGCTGGGATTCGGGTCCTCCTCCAGGTCCATACGGGCGCCGTGCCGGAGCAGAATGGTCGCTATCTCGGGAATTTCACCTCGATGGTCCTGCCTTACTGTCACGGCATAGCACAGTGCTGTCCTCCCGCTTCGATCTTGTGCGTGGATCTCGGCGCCGCTTTGCACGAGGGCGGCCACAGCGCGAGGCTCGGCCAGTTCGCAGGCAAGCATCAGTGGTGTTACGCCGCGGTGGCCACGTTTGTCGAACCGGGCGTTGACATCGGCGCCGGCGTCGACCAGAGCCTTGATCAGCGTTACACGGTTACCCTCGAATTCGTCATGTTTGACCGGCGCCTCGTCCATATCGAAGAAGTCGGTGCGGGGTTGCATGCAGTAATACAGTGGTCGGTAGTCCCGGAAGTTGGGAATGTGCCCGTGCGGGTCCGGATTGGCACCGATGTTCACGAGTCGATGAGCAACCGCGAAGTTGCCTCTGAAGCATGCGTTGAGAAGCGGGGTATGCCCGTTTTCGTTATGAGCCTCCAAGTCAGCGCCCAGGGCAAGGAGCTTGGTGATGGTGTCTCGAATTTCGTCCGAATCACGCGGGCTCCAGATTTCCGATGTGTAGTGCAGCGCAGTATTATCCCAGGCGTCGCGTTGGTTAACGTCGAGGTTGATGTCGTTTAGGGCCAACAGCTTGATGATGGGGATCAAGGCGTGGGCTGAGGCTGAGTGGAGAGCTGTGTGGTTATGGCCCGGTGTAGCGTCAAGGTCAAGCGAAGCCCCGCGGAAGATGAGCAGTTCGGCTACCGACCGTTCGTGGTTGCACATGGCGACGTGCAGGGCGCGCCACCGAGGCCATTCGGAGAGGCGCCGAGAGGAATGCCTTCCCGACTTAAGGGACTGGCATTCGCAAACCCTGTAAGACGGGGCGTCGATGTCGGCTCCATTATCCAGCAGCCATTCGACGACCTCGCGGTGGCCGCTCTTCGCAGCAAGATGGAGCGGTGTGCAGGACGGCTGTGGGCGTGCTTCGAGAGACTCTTCGAACAGCTCGGCCCCGGGGTCGGCATCATTCCCGTCGCTAGCCTGGTTGTCGACTTCGTCTGCGTCATTACTGCTGTCGCTCTCGCCGGCTTTGCGTGGGACCGGACCCGAAGCGTTTAGATCGGCACCCGCGGCCAGAGCATGCTTGAGGGTACCCAACTGGCCCTGGTCCGCGCCCCAAAAGAGGCACGAAGCGTTGTTCAACTTGACATTGTCACGATATATCTCCGGGTTGATAATCAAGTAGAATTTGCGATTCGTCCTGCAGAGAGCGAGCCGATCGGCGAGTTCGAGAAGGTTGTCGATAAGGAGGACTATTTCGGGCGGTAATCGCAGGATGGGCACGGATATTGCCTTCGAAGCCCGTCCTTTAGAAGCCTTGCTGTCCGACTTTTTCGTCTTCGCCTTGACAGCCGGCTTCTTAGGAGTGCCTTTCTTCCGCTGCGAAGTCATCACGATCACGCTGGCGGAGGATGGTGTTGATGTCATGGCGGGGGTGCATGGAGTGGAAACGGAAGGTTTAGGTTTAGGCTGGAGATTATAGCTAAAGACTGCCCGGCACCGAGAGCCTGAGGGGAACAGGCGGAAAGGCGCGGGGCGGTTTTGTGGGGCTCCCGGAGGCGAAGCGGCAGCTGGATTGATGAAATCTCCACAGCCAGGCGGCCGGTAGCCTGCCCTTCAGGCCACCAAAACCCTTGCCTCTGCAATGCAATGCACTGAGGATGCAGTGCTCAGCCTCGCGGTTTGGGCTACCTCCGTCACGTTTCCTGTCTTGGCCAGCCTGGATGCTGGATCAATTCCACCAAGTCTTGGTTCTCCCAGGCAACTGCGGGACTTTCATGTCTTCAACGTCGCTCAAAGATGATCAAATAAGATGTGATGAAGGATGAACGGCCGTGTTCCGCTGGCCCGCCCTAGCGTACCCGCCAGCGCCGCCGCTCTGCATGACAAGGCCGCACTCCAGACCACTCAATGTCAACTCTTCGCGCGCGAGGCCTCGCCACAGACCGCCTTGCGGCCCCATACTCCGCAACGCAGCCATGGCAGACTAGACATACAGAGGCGATTGTCCGCTTGTATGGACGTTGTATGAGACGGCGATGATGCTTGAACTCACCTGATTAACCTGACTGAAAACTGGCGATGATGAGACCGGTTTCCCGGCGGCCGCTTCTTCTGACCTACGTTAGTCGTCTACGGATTCCGCTGCAGCTCTAGACTAGGAGCCGCATACTATGTGGATACGACGATATTTATACTTGACAGTAACCGCCAAGTTATCATGAGTCACTTGTGGCATCCCATTCGCGCGTTGTTGTTCTTACAGCTCTTCTGAAACAGTTGTCTCACCCGCTGTAGAGACGTCACTCTACTCTGACTGACCTTCTTGCGCAGAGATTCGGGCATGCCGGGCGTCTAAACCGGTGGCGGCAACCTCTCGACTGCCTCTCTACGCATACAGCTGAATGTATTGGATGCACGGGCCGCAGAGGACCGTGAAGCAGTTTAGCGCGCTGAAGTACTAAAGGTTGCCGTTGTCCAGACAGCCGTCGTCCTGTCGGTGGCGTTGCTCATGGTGCCACTGCGACCCTGATGGGCGGAAGATGCACTAGTCTAGCCATCGAGGCTTCCAGCGTAGTAACCCTACGAGTCAGCAACGGAGCCGAACGTAGGTTGACATGGCCAGTCCGTGGGACCGAGCTTAACGTGCCAGAGGGGGCTGCTGCCGCCGTGGGATCACATGCCTGGGTAATGATTAGAAAGGGCTGTGATATGTCTTTTCTAGGTGAGGGTAGATACCATAGTTTATTGTCATAACATAGAGGATATTCGTGAACATCAAGAGTTTGACCTCCTTGCGCAAGGAGGATATCGAGCCCTTGCGGATGCTGTATAGGTATGTATGTCGGGTACATAGTAACCGAAGGCTGACTTGTATACTAAGGACTCGGACAGACCGCAATGGCACCAAGGAAGGCGGATAACTGGAACAGCCTCAACCGCCCGCTCATGTACTTTTCGAGAGAATCATCCGACCTAAAAACGAAGGGTGCCAGACAGGTAGATTGCAATGTGCTATTTTCAGCAGACCAGCAACTACTTAAACACCAAAGGGGGTGATAGCCATGTTGGCGTAACGGTAACGGGCGAGGGTTGAGTCCAGGAAGCAGCATTGTTGCCTCACGGATATACCCGCCCTCTGCCATGAACAGAGCACCCTTTGCTGTAGCCTCTGGCGCCGGTCCACCATTTTAGCACGCCCGGGGGGGCTTCACCATTTGGCCTCCTTGCTGTCGAGGAATGCCTTGAGGATGCCCACGATCTTGTCCAGAGACTCGAGATACTGGCGAAGTTCCGTCTTGACCTTCTCTTCGTCCTGTCCCAGTTTCACATAGAAGTCCTTCCTGTAAGGGCAAGCACTCATTGCGGCACTAAAGATCGGCTTCACCATAAAGCTGTGGTGGGGCTTCAGCGTGACACCGTAGGCGCTACGGAACGACTCGGAGAGTTCGTGGTCGGGGTTGGCCACGTTTTGGCTCAGTGCGATGCAGGTGAATTCAAGGCCTCTGTAGACATCCGAGCTGGGTCAGAAGCTGCTCCTCCATTCCTGTGGGAATGGCCTTCCTCGGGGGTCTCACCTAACAAGCCATAGCAAGCCTTCAGTCGCGGTATGGGAGCCGCTCTTGAGCTCATTCCGCACGAGGTCTTGCAGATTCTCCGACTCGGCCGGGGCAGCCAGCTGCCGTTTCCTGATTTTCTGCGGGGGGCGGAACATTAGCTGGCTGAGCCAGACAGGTTGGCGCTAGTGCTAGGGGGGCGTGACGCACCTCGATGTTGCCCATCAGGTCCTTCTTGACTGGGGAGAACGCTACGGAACCGAGAAGGTCTTGGGAGAGTCAGGTTAGCAAACCGTGACTCTCGGTTGGGTGGCGAGGAGCATCTATACCAAACATGGTGGTCAGGGACTCGGCCGCGTCCAGGAACTCGGTCGTCGAGATCGCATTGCCCTTCTCGGCATCGATAGGGACCTTGGTGAAGGATCCCTTGAAAGTATCGAGATAGGTACCTCCCTCGGGAATCTGTGCAGTAGCCATGGTGTCGTCGTGGGAAGGTATCAATACGGTTGTGGCGAGCGAGAGGGCAGTTGGGTTGTTGGGAGAGAGAATATAAAGGGACTCAGGAGGCGGTCTGAACTGGAGACGACTCCAATCAGAAACCAGACCCGTACTCGCTAGTTACAGCGTGCCCCGCTGCTACAACAGTTACCCCGCCCCCTCCATCGTCGAGGAACACGCGTTTAGGGCGGGTTTTCAACGGTGTGGCGGAGACCGGAGCTTTAGAGTCGATGCAGTGATATCCATCAAACTATAAGTATCGCTGAGATCAGACTTAGGTGGTAACAACTGGAATGGACGCAAGCTTATATGGTACTATGGTTAGTACCGAACATGATATTTTGGCCAGCCCATCGCGGACCGTTCCTGCCAAGACGGATCCGATTCAGGAGTGGAGTGCGACGGGATGGTCCAAGCGCTAGCAGCTCCGCATGGAACGTCGGATTTTGGTGACACTTGGAGACTCGGAACGTATCATGTACTGTACTGTACTGCCCTGCAGAGAATGCTAACATCAAGAACTACCCCGACGGACGGCCGGCTCAATTCTCAGCTCTAAGCCCAGGTCTTGCCATTGACGACTGTATCTATTGTGTAATGAGGCACTCTCGGAAAGAGGGAATGACTTTCGGATACGGAAGCCGATGCCGACCCCTCGATCGCATGACGTCATCCTGATTTCCTTCAGCGTTGTCCCACGGCCGTTCCCGTTTCGTACGGTACTACGGATGCCTAAGGGGAATGACGGAAACAGGTGAACATGACGGCAGTCATACTGCAAACCAAGGTGATTGTTGATAGCCACCGGGGCCACTTCCCAAACCGCCGGATATGTCAACCTTTCTTCCTACACCATATCCAGATCTCATACTCCTTGGCTGATGCTCCTTTGTCCCTTCCATGAACTTAAACGGAACGGAATAGTAGAGCTGCTGCTGGTAACTCGCTCGTGATCTCATCTACGCCCGGACACCAGACATCCCCAGCAAGTTGCTTGTTCGCACATATAGCTACACCATTCATTTTGCCTTCTTCACTCGTTGGCCTTCACAGGAGGTACTGTCAGTGATTGGAAGGGATAGACCCTCACGACATATACCGAGCTCAAGATGGCGGCCATACCGGCGCCCGATGGAACGCACGACAAGCACCATGGCAGTGACCTAGGCAGGAAACTCAAACTTCCCTTCCACAATCTTAAGGAGAAACTCGGCCACAGCCATCACCTGGGCGACGCCGGGGTCCACTTGATCCACCAAAAGTAAAGATTCCATGCTGGGTCTTCTTTTACCCCGTCGAAAGGATACTAACAGAAGCTATGTAGACACAAGATCGGCAAGTTTGCCAACTTGGTGGGCTTTGCTCTCTGAACCCTGCACTTTCTAGCTCCCGGCCAGGGCTTGCTGACGCCAAGCAGTTTAACCCCCACCATCGCCATGATGAGGCGCATGAAAAGGCCTGCGATGAGAAGCGTAGCAAGATCGCCGAGTCCCACCGGTTCGAGTCCTACTTCCCCGAGAGGGAGGGTAATATGGTGAAGTGGTACGTGGATGGTAGAGATTACTTCTGGGTACGCATACCATGATGCCCGACCCATCGGCTGGAACTTGTGTGTATTCGTTGCTGATACACATTGAGCACATTAGGCTGTGTCGGCTGCCCTAGAGAAGGCAAAGGAGACTATCTACATCGCCGACTGGTGGTTATCGCCCGAGCTGTTCCTCCGGCGCCCTCCCTATTTCAACCAGGAGTGGCGACTCGACCAGATTCTGAAGCGCCGGGCAGAGGCGGGAGTCAAGATCTACGTCATTGTCTACCGGGAGGTCGAGGCGGCTCTCACCTGCAACTCGGTGCACACCAAGCACGCACTCCAGGCACTATGCCCCGAAGGCTCTCCCGGCTTCGGCAACATCAAGGTCATGCGCCACCCTGACCACAACATCCTCGAGAATGCCGCAGACATGACCTTCTACTGGGCCCACCATGAGAAGCTCATCGTCATTGACTATGAGATAGCGTTCATTGGCGGGCTGGACCTGTGCTTTGGCCGGTGGGACAACCATCAGCATATCTTGGCGGACATGCACCCGGAGGGCGTTGCGAACGAAGTGTGGCCCGGTCAAGACTTCAACAATAACCGCATCATGGACTTCAAGAATGTCGATGACTGGAAGCAGAACGAGCTGAACAAGGCCGAGGCAGGTCGCATGCCGTGGCACGACGTTGCCATGGGCGTGATCGGGCCCTGCGTGTACGACATCGCCGAGCACTTTGTTCTCCGGTGGAACTTCGTCAAGCGCGACAAGTACAAACGGGATAAGCGGTTTGAATGGCTCGAGCTGGAGGGGCGCCAGGGCGAGAATGAGGATCTCGTTGGCGTGCAACGGCCCGCCCACCCCGTCGGCGGGTATGTGCTTCATCCCCTATCTCCCATGGCCAACAAGCACGTCGAAAACCGTGGGACCGTCCGCGCCCAGATCGTACGCTCCAGCGCCGACTGGTCAAGCGGAATTCTCACCGACCACTCCATCCAGAACGCCTACAGCGAGATCATCGGCAACGCACAGCACTACGTCTACATCGAGAACCAGTTCTTCATCACCGCTACCGGGGAGGAGCAGCCGCCGATCCGCAACACTATCGGAAGGGCCATTGTGGACGCTGTCTTGAGGGCGGCAAAGGAAGGGCGCAAGTTCCGCGTCATCATCCTGATTCCCGCCGTCCCGGGCTTTGCGGGAGACCTGCGAGAAGACGGCGCCATTGGCACGCGAGCCATCATGGACTACCAGTACAAGTCTATCTGCAGGGGCGAGCATAGCATCTTTGGACAGATCGAGAAGGAGGGCGTCGACCCAACCAAGTACCTCTTCTTCTTCAACCTGCGCACTTACGACCGTCTAAACGTGACGCCGGGCGTCAAAAAGCGGGAAGAAGAGACGGGGATCAAATACAAGGACGTCCAGCGGGCCCATGCGGAGGAGATTATGAGTGAGGGCATTCACGGCACCATGGACCCCGAGGACGGGCGCGATAAGCACATGGGAGGGCATCATGAGCAGAGTAGGCAGCGCGACCTGAGTAGGCAACGCGAGACTGTCGACGGAGAGCTCGGGGAGAACGTGGCCGAAGAACGCAGATCGACCGGCCTCCTGAACGAACTAGACGCCAAGCGGAAGTTCGAGGCAGCTGGCGCCGATGGAGACACGAACTATGACAAGGCGGACGCGCAGCCGGTCTTTAGCGTTGCCCACCATGCTATGGCCGGCCAAGGTCCCGTGTCCGAGGTCCCCTGGGACGGCGAGCCCGACGAGGAGGTCAACCATTGGATCCAGGAGGAGCTCTACATCCATGCCAAGCTGCTCATCGTCGACGACCGGATCGTCGTCTGCGGATCGAGCAACCTGAACGACCGCAGCCAGCTGGGATACCACGACAGCGAGCTGAGCATTGTCATGGAGGACACGCACCGCGTCGAGTCCACCATGGACGGGAAGCCTTACGAGGCCGGCTGGCATGCTGCCACGCTGCGGCGCTATCTCTGGCGGGAACATCTCGGTCTGCTGCCGCCACAGGACCATGATGCCAGCAATGACCCCAATGCCCAGCCACCCGGTGACGACTCGCCCAATGATGTCCGGGACAACGACGACACGTGGAAGCTGGTAGAAGACCCGCTCAGCGACGAGCTGTGGGATATGTGGACGGAGAGGGCATCGACGAACACCCAGGTCTTCAGGCAGCTGTTCCACTCTGATCCGGATGATTATGGTAAGGCCGTCGCTCATTAGCACCTGCGACCTGCGCTAGTTATGATTGGGGAAGCTGACACCGGAAATAGTCAAGACCTTTGACGACTACGACAGCTACATGCCGCCCAAGGGTGTCAAGGCTGGCCACATCTACGACCGCATAACGCCGCCGGACGAGGTGAGGCAGAAGCTGGACAAGGTCAAGGGGCACTTGGTCTGGATGCCGTTGCAGTTCCTCGAAGGCGCAAACATGGCGGAGAAGGGCTTGCAGGTGAATGCGTGGACCGAGAGTGTCTACACCTAGGCGGGTACTAGCTATCCGGCCATTCTTGAAGCGTGTGTTGTATAAAGGTTCTTAATGCATTGCTTTGGGCTCAGGGTCAATTGTCCTGTACGTGTAGTGGGCCCGATTAACTGCCTGTTGACAAACTTGACATCTCGAAAATCAGAGTTCAAGCGGCAATATGCTCTATTCTTGGAGGTTCACCTTTGGGCAGTGCTATGCCTTAGCAGTGCGTAAGCATCTTGAAGAACATGGAAAAGATAGCTGGGAAACTGAACTTACTATTTGGGCCAACTTGAAACGAAGTCACCTTGCTGATGTTGCCCGTGCGCCTTAGTACAGTCAGGCGGGCCGTATTTTTAACGTTGCCCTCTATGGACGAGTAGCTCAGGGGTAGAGCAACCGGCTGCAGTCCGGTAGGTCACGCGTTCAAATCGCGTCTCGTCCTCTTATTTTGCGTTTTTGCAGCTATGCACTGCGATGAAACTGTTCGAGACACAACCTGTAGGCATCGGATGTGCGACAATCTCACTACGTAAGCTGGTTCGTTTCACTTCTTTCCCTTCTTTTTGCTTCTCTTTTTGCCTCTTCGATCCGACTCTGTCTTGTGTGTTCAGTATAGGAACCCTAGTACCTGGTAATGATGACCTTGTCGGCTCACCATGCTCACCGGCGATCAGAGCCGCGCTTTGCGACAAATCGGAATGGGCGGGGCTGCTGGTGGCTTGGAAGGCCACTCACTGATTGAGGGATACAGATCGAAGGAACCTGTTGGTTCCAATCCGCAGCGCCTAGGGCTTGCATGATTGCCTCGGTTTGGCTCGCACTTTCTCAGCGCTCCCCCTCAGCCACACTTTCTGTACCCTTGCTGCACGACGATGTGTGCCAAGTCGTCAGCACTAACACCCGCAGCGCCGAGCCAGCTGTTTGTCTGTCTGCGAGGCCCCAACAGATTCAGGCTCGCATCTATGCGCAGCAAACAGTTCGGACCTGGTCCGGTAGCGGCTCTGGAAAGGTTTCGGCTGTTGTGCCGGTCTCTTGCTGCTTTTCATGGTCACACATCACCAATCATCAAACAACTTCATAAGTTATGGTGCGAGCCTGCGAGGTTGTGTTACCCTGGTCCACACTGTGCCACTCTAAACCGCTACGCGCCTCCCCGGCCGCAGCAACGGCCGCCACTTCCATCGGAGCAGGCTGGGAACATTCATGACGTGCATGTCCCGTCTCCGTAGCGTGCAAGCGCCTTAACTGCCATCTGTGCACTTCAACCGTGAACTCGCGGGTCCCTGGTCGAGCGCAAACATACCAGGGAGTTCCAACACAGCATATCCATGCGCGCAGCGTCTCTCGCTTCCCGGCCGCCATGGAACAACACGCCCCGGCGCGGGGGCAATCTGAAATTTATGATCCCTACCTACAACACGTGGAACAGAATGTCGGGTGGGACCCGGTAGCGGCAACACCAGACAATGTTTACTCGCCACACCGATCGCGAGGTGCTTTCGAGTCCGTGAGCCCCCTGCATGGCGATACGCCTGCCGCTGCGGGTACACCGTCCAGTGTGGGCTTGGGGATCGCGTCGGCCGACGGTGGTGGCGCTCAGTTTCCGGGATACCAATACATCGCGGCCCGGGATTCCTTCCAGCAGGACAGTCCTCCGAAGACTCCTCCGCTTGCCGACGACTCATCAAAGTCTAACCTCAAAGCCCACGAGTATGACCTCGGCACCTCGGGTGCGGCACCCTATTACTACCCGCCGCAGTATGGCGGCTCGGGCCCGCCGGGCGGCCCGAGGAGCACTCGCTTTGCGTCGTTGACCGGGTCGACACCATGGAAGATGATAGTTAGCGCATGGCCCATGTACGGCATGTTCTTCCTCGGATTTGCCTTTGCCGTCGGCCACCACATCTTTTACAGCAAACTCGACGGGAGACCAGCCGACGACCAGAAACACCAGATCCAGATGATGCGCTTCGGCGGCTTGCTGTCTTATGCTGCCAAGGCATCGCTCGTCGGCGCCGTCGTCTTCGCCTACCGGCAGCAGATTTGGGTGACGGTTATCAGCAACGTGCTTCGGCTAAGGACCATCGACAGCGTCTTTGCCGCCGTCGACGAACCGCTGACCCTGTTTAACTGGGAGTTCCTCAAGAAGGCGAGGGTGGCCGCGTGCTTGGCCGTTCTGGCATGGTTAGCACCGGGCGCAAGCTCACAATGCCCGCTCCGAGCCCCCGACATGTACGCTGACCGTCTTGTAGGCTCTTTCCCCTTACCGTCATCTTGACCCCTGCTACTCTCACCGTGTCTCGCATCACGGAGAGCAAGGATGACCACTGTTACAACGTCCGCACCCTGAACTTCGAGCAAGAAAGGGACAAGAACTGGAGACGGCCGGAGCGGATCAACAATTTCCGAGGCGTCTCTCTCTCACTTTACAACTCAACCGTCCAGAACTCGGCCGGCTTGGTCGATGTGCCCTTCAACGAGACCTTCTTTGACTACTGGACCGGAATAAGCCCCATGGTCGACCTGGTAGCATCTCAGAGTGCTCTTACCGGTTCTGTCATTCCCGGGCCCAACGTCGCCCTCGATACGTGCGGCGCTGGCTGGAACTGCAGCTACACCATCTCATTCAAAGCACCGGGGTACAAATGCGAGGAATTGGCGAAAGGCCCAAAGCTCGACGAGAAGGGCCTCATGAGCCAGAAGGGTTCGCCGTTGCACGTGGGCGAGCTGGCGCCGAATGGCAACTACAGCTACCTGGCCGAAACCCAGCTTGGCGAATACTATCCTAACCAGGTCGAGGTCTTCGCTGGAGGTGCTCCCAACATGACGCCCCCTTATCCGAAGAACCTTGGAGCCTTCAGGACGGAGCCGGTGCTGTGGATCGGCCACGCAGAATTTACAGGCCACGGAAACCCCCCGGAGAACAAGGGCGTCGAGGGGTGGGACACGGCTTTCCAGGCCGTGCTCACCCGGTGCGAGCATTATCTCGTCGACTACACTGTGCAGTTCAACCACACCTTTTCCACGCAATCCACGACGGTGCTGAAGAGGGACTACCTGCGCCCCATCATCGACACAACCTTCCTGAAGGACAAGAACGCCGAAGACGGCACCAAGGACAACATCACGGCCACGCCCGAGTCTAATTATGTCTTCCCCATCGACTACCAGAACTACCGCGAAGTCGCCGCGTACCACTCCCTCGGCTTCAGCATGCGCCGCTACCTTCCCGGCTACATCCAATACGCCCCCTTCGCCATGCCGGACGGCGACGTCACCAAGACCGGCCTGATCGACCGCGAGACCTACCTGCCCGTGCCCAACCTCATCGACCAGATCCGGGACTTCTACGAAAACATGACGCTCTCCCTGCTCTCGTACCCCAAATTCATCGTCGTCACCTGGGCGGCACGGCCCTCGGAGCGGGCCGGGCTGACCAACGCGACGGGCAACGCGACGCTCGCGTACCCGTGCACCAAGATGCGCGTCATCAACGCCTACGTGTACAACCGGCGCGACCTGTGGATCGCCTACGCGGTCGCCATCTCGGTCGCCATGGCCGCCGTCGTGCTCGGGTCGGCCGCCCTGTCGCAGAACAACTTCCACGTGCGCGACGTGCACGTCTCGAGCGTCGTCGCCGCCACCCGCGCCCCTTGCCTCGACCAGCTGCCCTGGAAGGCCAGCAAGTGGGGCGAGGTGCCCGCCGAGATCCTCGACACCCGCCTCGGTTACGGCGTCATCGCCGAACCGGGGCCGCACGGCACGCCGGCGGCGCAGTTTATGACGGGGAGTGCCGGCGGGGCTTGGACGGGCATGGGTGCTGTGGGCAGTCCGGTCGTCGTGGGCGGGAAGGTGTATTACGGGTTTGCGCCCAAGGAAGTGCTCGAGCACACGAGGGTGGCCACGTTTGGGCCCGGGAAGCCGAGGAGTCGCACCAGTGCTTGGAGCTTTAGGCGGTGGGGGGAGGACTTCCATTACAAGTGATGTATCTTCTGCAGCAATGTTGTAGCAATCAATGGTTGGTTGCCGGATCCTTTTCTTTTCTTCGAGAGCGACAGGGGTAGCATTTTCCATTTCCTTGGTGCACGGGCTAGCATTTCTCACACGCAGGTGTCATGGAGAAAGGGGCATATTGTATTGTACCTCCTTAATGTTTTGAGAGTGATACTAGGCAGTTTCTACGTCTCACATTCTCCATCTCGGCCTCACATTAATGCATGATATTGGTGGTCAATGAGATGCTGCAATGCGATATCATAAACGCGAATTTTTTTGGGGGGGTATCAATCTATCCATCCATTGCGCTAGCGGTCAATCGGGGGCACCAGGGCGTCGAAGTCGACCTGGGACCAGTAGTCTTCTTCAGCTGGGGCCTTGAGGCCGAAGGCGTCGCAGTAGTGCTGGTATGCTCGCGCTCGCCATGACGTTGCTTCTTGTTTGCTGGATAGCTCGGCGAGCTTGATTTCTGTCCGGGCAAGCCGTGCGTGCTTGGCCTTCGCTGTTCCGAGGACAGATTCGAGGAGAGTAACGGCCTCGCGGAACGACGTTCTGATCATCCCGAATGGGAAGAGGTGTCAGCAGTGAGACTACCTGATGCTGGATGGGGTTACTACCTACTTTGCCTCTTCCCGCTCACCCAGTCTCTCAAGCAGCGTGCCAATCTTGTGCAATGATGCGGCAACCGTATACTGTGTGCTGCCTGCCTGGACCCGTATATTGTAACATTCGACGTGGATGGTGTGTGCGCTTTTGACATTTCCACGAGCCGCCATGATGTTTCCGAGAATGTAGAGCCGACTACGCCGGCCAATGTCAGTACATAGGTATTCTTTTCTCTCAACGACGAAGGGTACTGCTTAACTGGCTCCTGTAATATAGCACTTCTCGTCCTTGGTCCAGTCGCGGTTCCAGTTCCTCCGCTTTTCTCAAGTAGGCCTCTGCCTCGTCGAGCCTGCCACCCATCAGCAAACTGCGGCAGATGTTGAAGTGCGAGATGATCATAATGCCCTTGGGCGTTTCGGAAGACTTGGCCCTGATTCCAATAGCCTGCTTGTGTGCCCGGACGGCGTTGTCGATTTGCCCCTGAGAGGTGTAGTAGTTCCCCATCTGCATGTAACTGTTCGCAAGCAAGGGGTCATCTTTCGGGAGAAGCTCACTGCGGATCCGCAGTCCCTCTTCGAATAACTTTCCCGCCTCCTCATAACGGTTGAGCGTCGAGAAGACACTGCCGCGGTTGACGTAGATCCGGGCGCCTTCAAGGGTGTGAAGACCAATGGTCTCGCTGCAGATGCCCTCGATCTGCTCGAGGAGCCTGAGCGCTTCGTCGTACTGCCCAATTTCCCAGAGATACCATGTACAGTCGCACATCATGTTGATATAAGCCGCATTGTCTCCGAGGGCTGGCTGCCAGTCTCGAACTGCCTTGTCGAAGGCCAGTACGTGTACGAGGAAAGCCTCGCAAGCGTCCCAGACGTTGTGCATGTGGTTTCCCAGGGTTTGGCTCGGAAAACAGATCTTTAGAGTAGACAGCGCCACGTCGAACGCCTGTTTCCTCTCTGCATCTGAGATGAGCTTCAGTCGTGTTTTCTGGACGAATCGATGAATAGACATAACGCTATTGTCGGCCATGGTGATTATGTCGTAACTGAGGAGGGGTCCTCTCGCTGCTCGGTACTCAAAGGCGTCCGTGAGAAACCCGACGTCTGGCATCTGTGGGAGCTTTTGAGGGAACAACTGCGCTGGAATTCTATCCGGATCGAAGAGACACAAAATGTTCAACAGCCTGACAGAGTCGGCTGGAAGGCTTGACATGACAGCACTCCAGGCAGCTTGGAGGCTGCTTTCATACGTGTTGTCTCTGTCCATGTACGAGTATACCTTTCCATCTGTATCTGAAGTCTTGTCCACCAGATCCAACATCTCTTGTGCACTAGTATGGGTGTATTTCATGTAGGCGCCCAACTGCCTCAAGACCAGGGGATAGCAGTGGTAGTGTCTGGCCAGTTCTCTACATACGGAGCGATTTAGCTCATCTTTGTGGTTGGACGAGGTGAGCCTTGTCAGAAGGAGCTCTTCGCCCTGTTTGTCCGTGAGGGGAGGGATTGAGAAGGTCTGAGCATTTTTGGATATGCTTTGGCAGATGTGATTGTTGCGGCTTGTCACCAGGATCGAACCCTTTCCCTTGTGCGGCGACGAAGAACACAGTAATGTTGGCTCGTCTGCGTTATCGAAGATGAGAAGCCAGCGCCTGTCTATTCTCGGTATCAGTTTCGCCATAAGCGAACAGTGAGAAATACGAAGCAGGTAGGCTCTTACGGGTGTTGGCCAGATGATCGACGACTAGGTCTCGGATTTGCCGAGTGTCCTCAGGTGTTTCGCCGCCTCCTATATTCAAGAGACGGAAGACGTCTTTGAACTCCTGAAGGAGCTTCGGCTCTGAGCCAGCGGACAGGAAGAAAGCGTAATCGTAACGGTCCTTCGTCAACTGAAAAATCCGTTTTGCAAGGCTTGTTTTCCCAATGCCCGGTGGCCCTACCAAACCCACGCACGGAGGCCACTCGGTCTTCAGATGGTCAGCCGAAACTGAAAGATGTCCCTGAATGTCCCTCATCAACCCTTTCCGACCGACAAAGTATGCGTCGTACGGGATGTAGGCCGGAAAGATGATCGGACCACGGGTGGCGGACTCGATGCCTACCGAGACGGTGGCGCTGATCCTCGAGTCCCAGTTTGAACCTTAACACCCAGACTGGTCAGCAGGGTAATTGGGATGGGAAGCCAACGAATGCTCTACTTCTCTCCCCTGAAAGTGCACGACGGACGCCCTCCACCAGAATCTGGTATGCCGAGTCATGCTTATCTTCGAATTTGCACATCTTTCTGTGTGTCGAGTTCACCGGAATAGGCGTCTCATTTGGGACATTGAGAAGTGCGGATTGTTTGGGGACAACCTGGGTGATCATGCGGACATCAGATGATCAGAACTCAGAACAGGAAGGTGCCAACGAGTCATAACATCCTTTTGAAGAAGACGAGACTGGAAGGAAGTACCCAGAGCGTAAGGTACTTACCAAAATACTCCGGAAAAATAGAGGGCTTTTGGTCTTTTCCAGCTCATAGAGGCTCAGAATCTTGATGTTGCTGTCTTGGAGAACAGGTGCAAAACTCTGGTCCAGATCAAATAGCACCTCAGAGTTCTTTCTCAACATGCGAAGGTTCCGCACCATGACAGTCCTCCAGAGAGACACGATTCGAGCGATGACTTCGCCCCAGTTTGCGGATTCCGATCCTCGGTGCGGCGTGCCGAAGAACGCAACGCAGCGAGTGCTTGCGAGGATAGGGCATACAATGCCATGGGATTTTGCTAAGGCCTGCGCAGTAAATGAAGAGAACGGATGTTAGAGCTACGGATCACCTTAATTAACAATCAAATTCAGAGAAGTAACCTACCGTTTTCAAGACTAAGCCACCAAGACTGTGTGCTATAAAGACCAGAGGACGCTTCAAGCCAGTGAATACCCATGGGGTCACCGCCATTTAACATTCCGGTGGGACGTACCTGTTCTGAACCCCTGTTCAGGACGATTCCGTCAAGTAGTCGAAGAAGCTGTTCCGCAGCCTCTTGGACTCGGCCAGTGCTTCGGGACATCACTCGAGATTCGTATCCAAAGCTCATCACACGAGCGCCAGGAAATTTGTCCGGGAGGAAGTCGCGTAGCCAGATGCGGGCGACGGGCTTGGAGCATGTCCATGTGTTTGCTCCGTGTCCGCCCAACCCATGGACGGCGACTATGCTGTAACCGCTGTCAGCTGCCGTCGAATCGATGCAAATCTCGCGCAACAAACTCAATCAAGGATGTCATTGTCGAGGTCTCAGGAGACGCAAGAGTGGTAATGCCGAGGAACGTGTCATCAACTCGGACGCTACTCAGGTTCTCGGATATGAAGTCCTTGACGATGGCGAGTGCTTTGGCTTTGTCCGCATGGGTCTTCAGAGTGATCGTGGCCTCGTAGCTCTCCTCTACCCTAGCAATTCCGGAAGACTGGATGAACTTCGAGTTCGTCTGGGATCGTATGTGGTTGGCAATCTGGGTGAACTGCTCGCCATTGGACAGCCCACGCAATCGGATGGAACTCATCGGGAAGAGCAAAACAAGATTAGAGTTCTGACAACGCTACACACCACCAATGATTGTCATGCCGGGGGAACGGGGGGGTTTGTGCAAGGAACACATGTTTGCGGGATCATGACTAACGTAAGCCTTTCAAAGCAACGCAGAGCCGCAAGAGCAACCCAACGCACGAAAATGCCAGAGATACCCAAGGTATGTACTACATCCTTCCACCTACGGGAGGTACTCTGGGCGTGCGTATGATGATTCTGTAGGCGGTGAGGCCTTAACAAAGCCTTGTTCGCTCGGTTGGTTCTCCTCGGAGACACCCACAGCAAGACGAGCAGCTGAGTGTTTCGGTCTGGTCGCCAGATGCGGCCTTGGGAACGTCACTCGGAGCCCCAGCTGGCCAGTCGCGAGCGCCTCTGGCATCTTCATTTGACAGGCAAGTTGCGTGCAACTTGAAGTCACTTGTTCAGTTGGTACAACACATAAACGGGGTCGGCCGCCTTCTAGACGGCCAATGATACCAGTATTCAGCCCACCCTCCCCCACGCCCAACGAGGTTCGTGTAGGCAACTTGTATCACCCTCCTTCCGTCACGACACCATTTCTTCCGATCGGCATACGGAAAGGCCAAGAGCTAGCATGAGGCTTGAAACCAGCATGAAATGGAGGTATTAATGCCCAACTATTAACCACCTGAGCTCTCAAGGCTGCGTCCAACTTCACCAAAACACTCATCCGCAGACACAACCGGTACGCATCGGCGGATGCAAACATGAGCAGCTCCATTACAGAGCCTACTGCAGGCCCCGGCCAGACGCAGCCATGGAGGAAGTGGTGGCCGCCCGAGACCGAGACCATGGCCGAAGACGAGCTGAAAGCCAAGCCATGGATCAACTGGAAGCCGGACCCAAAGCAACCGAATGCAAAGCCCTGGCTTCAATGGGTGCCCCGAGATGCACATATCGTTCATTCTCGCAGTGACTCGGGCCCCGGCTCAGGCTCGGGATCGGGTTCAGGTTCGGCACCTGTGTCTCCAGTGCCCCCGAGCTCCAACGCCGAGGGAGGTTAACAGGCAAGTGCAACTCGATATGCAGTCGTTGATTCGGCTCCTGACGGACAAGTTAGGTTCATGTGTTGCCCACAGCTGTTTCCTGATAGGGGACAATGCGTCCTTGAGTGGTACGGGTGTATGTGAGAGCACGACATTGTCATCGCGGGGATGGGGAAACGTGTGCTGTTGATTTCTCTCGTCTTGCCATGTGCTTCCCAGACTGCGATCCTAAGTGGAAGCCTGAAAAATGAATTGATTTGCCTTCATTCTCCTTCCTCACCCACAAACAAACTCACGCAGCTGCATAACCATATTCACCGGAGTGCAGTCATCCATCACTCGCCTGGTCCGAAAACTAGACACCGAAACTCTACGCTTTCGCGAAGCCTCGCACCCTTAGGCGTGTTCGGGTTGATGAATGACGTGTGTGCCACACCTGACTTTCCGTTAGCTCTCGTCCACAGTGCACATCCGCCCGGCCAACTTGAAGCTTACATCGAGCCACATCGGTCCTGTTGTCCCAACACTTTAGCAGCGTGAACTCGTTGGTGCGCTGTCCACTGAGGAAATGCCAACGATGGTCCGGATGCTGTGTAACCAAGTATTGTTCCCCAATGTAGTGAGGGAATATGAGGTCCGCTGGCTTGTAGTCCCTGGCTATGTCGACCGTGCGCCAGTCACAGTAGGTCAGCGGACAGTCCTCGAGTGGCCCAAAGAGCGGCCTCCAAACGCTGGGACCAGTGTCAGCCTCCGGGCCAGACTCAACGAGCAGCAAGACTGAATCTCAAAAGAACCGCTTACTTAATGATCCGGCACCGTCTTTTCAGCAGATCCGCCGCCGCCGGTCCCATGTGGAATTTGATACGATTCTCTCCGCTCAAGAGCGTTTGGTCTCAAGCGGCCGAACGGATATCAGCATTCTGTCTCCGATCACACACCTTGGACAAAGGGAAAACCTCCAAAACCACAAAAGCAAGCCGGTAACGCACCACAATGCGCAGAGAAACTGGGCTGGCGTGTTGCACGGATGTACTTCCCCGCGATCTGCAGCAGATCCGACGCGGTCTTCCGCCTGCGGACCTAAGGACGGCAGTAGAATGTTCAAGTCAGCCGTGATTCCGTCACCGAATTGCATTGCAAGCTATTTTTTTGTTGTTTGACGAACTGTGTGATCAAAGACTTTGACAACAACGTCTCCCAAGCGGGCTTTGAGCAGGCTCTCAACGACCGGATAGTAGCTTTGCTCTATCCAGGAGTCCGAGTCAAACTTGTCGACTCCTTCTTCCGACTCTTCTCCAAACCGGAAGATCTCGAATCCGTTCTCGTCGAGGGTGAACCGTGAGACATCAGCACGGATGTCATGGAACTCGATGGCGTCGTATTTCCAGGCAACCTGGTTGCTTTGCCGGCCATCCGGAGCAGGAACGTTAGAGTAGAAGGGTTTCTCAACCTTGTAGAGATCCAGTGGCGCCGTGTAATTGATAGAAGACGTCACCGTCGCCATGGTGCTCGCGGACGCTGTGGTCTATGAGCCAACAGAGCCGGATGTTGAGTTGTAACTTGTCGGCCTCTTGATAATCGTCCCACAAAAGTCGAACGTCATCTCCCAGTCTCCCCCGTGGAGCACTGACACTCTTCATACCTACCAAGATATACCCGTCGGCCGTCGGTGGCCAAACCTGACTGCCAATAACGCTTCGAAGATGCGCAAGCACTGGAATGGGCGAAGGCGTGTGGCAATTTGCAATCAGGCTTTCAGCCCTCCACTCCACTCCTCTGATGCCACATTCCGACGCCACCTGCAGTCTTGCGGTTTAGATAAACAACTTATTAGCCAGCTATGATCTACTTGTTTGACCACTGACAGCATAGTAATGTTCTGGTGTGTCGCACGGTGTAGGACAAAGCAGTGCACTCATCTCCGCGGGGTCTTATTCAGTTTCAGTTTGCTCCTGACTGCCAGGTATTGCCCAGTAACAACAGTCCATGGTCGGGTAAATGTCTTATGAGGGGCAGAACTCAAGTCCGCAAGAATTGAAGAAACACTGGACGCATCCGATCTTGTCAGACCCCACGCCCATCCTGCTGAATTACCTACCCGACCTTCTTATATTACGTGGCGTGGTGCCACATAGCTGATGCAGTCCCCCCCATCCCCTAGGTAGTTACGTAAGGTAGTTTCTCTGGTATCATTGATTTCAATTGCCTCTTGCGAGGCTTCATTTCCACCAACTCTCCCCAAGTCCGATGGCTTTCCCCTCTCGGGACACCGGTGACCGACCGGTGCGACCGCCTCATCCGAACTTGTCCTGGGCGCCGCCCCTTGCTTTGCAAGATGCCAGGATGACCTAGGTACCACGGACTTCCGAACCCCGCGCCGCTGTTCTCCCTACATGGTCATGTATGCCGGGCTGGGGCACGCTTACCTGCTGCTTATACATCCAATGCAACCACACATCGAAGTACGTACTGAGTACCTACCACTTATTCGGGTACGAGTCTCCTATGCCAGCAAACCGCGACCAGTTACCAGGGTGCTCGCCGCTCGGACCGTGGCAATTGCTTAGCCCGCCCTGAAAAAAAGGGGGTTTGTATGAGGGGAGCGTGAGAGGACGCCGAATTCAGTTCAGTTTCTTTACGCGCGGCAGCTAACCTCGCCCCATCACCGGCATTCAGTCACAATGAGGCATCTCCAAGCACGCCGTCCACGCACCGGCGTCCTAGCCGCCCAGGAAGGCTCCCTGGTCACGCTCTCCCCTGACTCGCACTACTTGGTCGCACCGCAACCGCTACCTGCTCTTCAACTAAGAGCTTACGCCGGCGAGGCATCAATATTGAAACTATCAGAACTCTGCCCTGCCACCGTTCTGCACCGGGATGCGCCCGCCAACTTACAGTCCAAGATTACTTCGTTTCGTCATGACACGGAATTCGAGCCCTGCTTTCTCGAAATCGCTATTATCGCGTGCTCTGAGAAGGTACTTTCCGGCTTGGACGACGCGGTGAAGGGGCTCTTCGATTGTGGATGTAGATCCGTATTCGTCGTCCACGGCTTAGTACCCGAGGGCCCTTACTTTGTTCGGGGACAGAGCATCTATCGCACGTGGAGGCTGTTCCCAGACGTGTATGAAGCGTTTCAACTGCCGACGCTTCAAGATGACAATTCAGAAAGGTTGGTGATCCCTTTACAGACTTATTTCATCAGTGATCTGGCTTATGACTTTTGTAAATTCACAGTTTCACCGGCGTCTCGATCATGCGCGAAGGAAAGCTGATGGTTCCTGTTCCGTCGAGGCTACATTACCCTAGAACAGCTCAAAAACCGCTGAATGGAGTCCGCGTAACTGTCAAGGACATCATCGACCTGAAAGGGGTCAAGACGACGGGTCAATCTCGATCTTATGAAAAGCTCTACGGATCCCGAGACGAAACAGCTGCCATCATCGCCAGGTTGACGGAGCTCGGCGCTATCGTTATCGGGAAGACGAAATGCACGCAGTTTGCCTCCAGCGACCAGCCCACTGCCGACTGGGTCGACTATCATTGCCCCTGGAACCCCAGGGGCGATGGCTATCTGTCTCCTCGGGGGAGCAGCACGGGCACTTGCGTGGCGCTGGCCGGATATGATTGGTGCGATGTTGGCATTGGGTCAGACAGCAAGTGACTCTCCTATCTCGTGAGCTAATCTGCTACTAGCAGTTGCTAACGAGACCTAGCCGGCGGCAGCATACGTGGCCCGGCAGCCGTTATGGGCCTCTTCGCCCTGAGGCCGACGCATACCCCTGAGCATCTTCCCGGGATCCTACCCGTTGCTGAGTAAGTGCCCGGTCGCTTCTGCTTCAACCGTCGGTGACTGATTGTTGGTCCGTAGAGACATGGATACGCCCGGTATTGTGTGCCGTGATGCCGAACTGACACATCGGGTCTCAAGCCTTCTGTTTGGGTCAACGATGGCCAGGAAGGAAGTTTCGGATATTCAAACTTCGCGCCACCTGCAAAACAAACCAGCACAGCATGTGGACAAGGCACGGATTCGGCTCTGCGGAATACCTCCCCTTAGATCTATATTCCCTTTTCGACGGAGACGATCAACGCCGCGGTCTCAGCTGAGTCCGCTATCCCGGCAACCAGCAAGCCCATCACAAAGCATTGACGCGAAGCCCGTTGTCCTGCTGTATCCTAGCGACTACTGGGACCAGTGGCCTCAGAATGCTGCACGAACAGTCATGGAAGGTGCCGTGGAGAGGCTCGAGGCATATCTCGGGGTGAAGAGGATGGTAGTTAGCCTCGCCAAAAAATGGCTTGAAGTCGACCCCTCAAGGAGCGGCTTGCCCTTGGACCAATTCTTGCAGAACGTAGGCGCAGAGACACACATCTCAATATCAGACCAGGATTGACATTCTCTAGACGTTCATGACACTTTTGTGGAGGGGCTACTACGCCAACTACCTACCGTTCCGCAAGGAATACGAGGCGAGATTCGGAAATCCGCCTTACGTCCATCCAGTCATCCAATCCTGTTGGTAAGCCCAGCTGAGCTTGGTACCGTGAAGTCGGGTATGGGAATTGACAAAAGAAACAATAGGAGACACGGAAAGGAGCTCTCCGCCGAGGATGTGGCTAGAGCCCATGAGCGTAAACGTATCTATGCCAAATGGCTGCGAGAATCCGTCTTTGGCGGTGATGATGAATTCAACACCATCATGGTGTACCCCGTCGGGGACATTAACCCATTCTACCGTGATGTGTATCGGAAGTCAGTAGCAAACTCCTCCGGTGAGGCTCTTTGGCAAAAAAACAGAATCTGACCGATGAGCAGAGACCCCCTCGACGTAAAGCCATCGTATAGCTGGAACGAACGCGAAGACCATCAAGCCAGCCTTGCTGGAATCCCAAGCATGGTTATACCAGGTATGCCGTTATCATTTCGTTTTTAGTCGCCTATCAATAGCGAATTGGATCTGGAGGCTGACAGGTCAAAGCAGTCGGCCAGGTCTCGCATCCATCGAAGGTCACCGGTGGCGAACAAGACCTTCCAGTTGCCATTTCCTTGATGAGTGGGGCCGGTGAGTGCATAACTCTACTGGGAAGGGGGAGAGACCACCTGCTGATAATCCCAAGGGACCGACTCACAGCTTACGGGACTTCTCTATGCCATGACACGGAATGACTTCTTCAGGGGCGAAGTACGTGTCGGTACACATGCATTCTAGGAAAGTGTCGAGGCGGGTGAACTCACAAAACGCTGGATGCGACATGTTCTTTTCTCGTTGTTATTTTCTTTCTTTTTCTTTTCATTCTTTCCACTATGGAATTCCCGTATCAGGTTGGTATCACTCGCCCCAAATTCTGTTCTCTCGGTTTACACAGATCGTGCGTTCCACTCACCGTCTCCTTACCATGGTACGAGTTCACGACCAGGCCCCTTGGCGTACTCGGCAGGATCCACCTGCTAGGTCTCTAGTTTTGTGCCGATTGGTCAATATTCACCACCGGCACGGCTTCCGCCCTCGATTTCAGCCTAAACCTTAACCCAGTCCAGCCTAGGCTAAACCCCCAACCCTTATGTGTCCCGCACCATCAACGTTGTCGCCCTGCCGGTGAACATATAACGTTATAAGGTTAAATGATAGGGTTTGTCCCGACAGCTCGAGTATCTCAGTAAGCTGACTTTGAAAGCAATAACAAGTGGGCAATGGGGAAAAAAACCTGCAGCTCTGATAATAGTGTAGATAAGCTCAGCAAATGGGGCCCACGCAAGCCCCCACTGCCGAATCTTCTCGCCTCCATCGGTAATCCCCATACGTGGTGGATCGGGGGTTTCGTTTCAGCTACTGCATACTGTATGTAGGTCGGTGAGATCGTATGTACAATACTTTCCGTCTCCTTCAGTTTCGGTAAGTTTATACCGTGGTTACGGTGAAGTTTCGAACAAGGCGGGAAACGGGACATGGAGAGATTCTGTGCTATCTTAGCTACCTACTTACGGGCCAGAGAGACACACAACCCTAAGTTGCTAGACATAGTCGAACTTCAAAGACGGGTAGTAATACCTCTCTTGCTATAGGTCTGGGTAATCAATGAAAGAATGTAGGGACAGGGTTATTTACACGTGGTTTATGTTACTACTGTGGTATGTAACCTTCTATGACTGCCTCCACTTCCTCTAGCGCCGAGGTGAAACAACTTCATGCGTCCAAGAAGTCGGGACACTGCAAGAACTCTGCCTCCCTATCCTGATCATCTTACGGCACGCATTCCGGCAACAAGAACTACAAATCGGCTTCGGGCCGATCCCCACTCTCGCTAAGGCTAGCCCAGCTGCCAAGGTATCTGGACCAGGGACGATGTCAGGGACGATCTCTACAAACCGTCAGATTCGCGCCAACAAGTAGGTATAGTTACACTCTGAATCGCAACCGAGATTTCGCTTGTTTGGTGTTTGCAAACTGCGGAGCCTCGAGGATGTCCTGTGCCTCACTGCCGTGGACACGAGGCTTGGCCATCGACTTGGCGGCTGTTAGCTAACCTTCGACTAAGCAGATCATCTATCACCCCCATGCATAGCCGAGGGATTGGGACGAGGCTGTCTGGTGAGTTGTTCGAGCTATAAGAACCCGTTGATTCCTGTTGTCGAAGGCTTTCAATATGCTCTCTCCAGCACCATCTTACTCTCTTTTTTTCGCGCGTCTGCGGCCGGCTGCCCTTCCTTTCGCTCTAAGAGAATATTCTGTTCCATTCGTTTTGACCTGGCGACTTGACGTCCGCTACCAATCCTTTTTCTCTCTCGCAAACCGCGCCTCGAACGACTCGCATCGACGATCCCGGATCCTCCTCGGCTCCCAACTTCCAACATGAAGACTTCTGCTGCTCTCGCCGCCATCCTCGGCCTCGTCTCGAGCGCCAGCGCTCACTACACCTTCGACAAGCTCCAGCTCAACGACAAGCAGGTTGGCGGGGACAACACCTTCATCCGGAAGCACAGCAATGGCTACATGCCCATCAAGTTCAACAAGATCCCCCAGGGCTCCATCAGCCCGCTTGATGCCGACTTTTCCTGCAACAAGGGCGCGACCGGTGCGCCCCAGGTCATTACCGTCAAGGCCGGCGACAAGATCGGCCTCCGCCAGGCCTTCGGCGCCAATGGCATTCAGCACCCGGGCCCCTCGCAGATCTACATCGCGCCGGTCAGCAACGCGAAGACGGACAAGGGCAGCGACTGGTACAAGATCCACCAGTCCCTGATCTGCAAGCAGGGCTCGCCCGAGAGCCTCCGCACCGACGCCTGGTGCAGCTGGAACGAGAACAACGTCTGGGGCATCATCCCGGCCACCATCCCCAACGGCCAGTACCTTCTGCGGGCGGAGCACATCGGCCTCCACGGCGCCCACGACGGCCAGGCCGAGTTCTACGTCTCGTGCGCCCAGATCGAGGTCACGGGCAACACGGCCACCAGCATGCCCGGAAAGGCCGTCAAGTTCCCCGGCGCCTACCAGCCCCGCGACGCCCCGCTCAACTTCAGCGTCTGGGGGCGTAGCACTGCGTACCCGGTCGCCCCCGGCCCGGACGTCATCCCCGGCGGCACCATCCGCGGCTCCGCGAACGGCGCTGGCGGCGACAAGCTCCAGACCGTCGGCGGTGGTTCCGGCTCCCAGAGCACCGGTGGCGGCAACGCCCCTGCTGCCTCGTCCCCTGCTCCCTCGTCCCCTGCTTGCAACCGCGCGTTCCCCCGTCGTGCTGCCGCCGACCTGGCTGCCCGAATGGACGCCGAACAATCCGAGCAGTAAAAAGGAGATGTGGTGTTCTTTTCACTCGTGTGTCGGTCCCGTCATACGCCTGGCTTCACCAATGACGACTCTGCTGGGGTCAGGAAGGGGATGAGGTTTGCATTTTCATATGAAAAAGGGTCTAGCAAACAGCGAGAGTCATTGTCTATGTTAGGTTTTTCTCAGTCCTGCTAGCAGGATTTCACTGTATATACGGTGTTTGGTCGCAAACAGTTCGCTTCTCAGTTGTGTAAATTAGTTGACTCACGTATATACTACCACACTTTTCGCGCGCTGTTTGGCGGTGTCCAAAACTTGAATTCGGACCGAGCATCATTCTATGAGATCGAGACGTGGAAGACCAAACAGTCAGAAAAACTCAAGGTCTGATGATGAAGGCTGATTGATTGAATGGTCAAAACGCGATTGAATTCATGCATCCCTTAACCGGCCGGGTAGTATTAGTAATAGCTCTCTGGCTGACTGAGTGATGAAAGGGACGTTGTGCCGGGGATGGTTTTTGACTCTGCCCTACCTACACTGTTTTATCGTCCCATGCCTCATAGGGTAGCTCCTTCCATCAGCACTCTCATCAGAAAGGGGGCAAAACACAAATCTCGGGGTTGTAGACCCAGGCATTAATGTAGATTAAGCTACTAAAACATTACCAACGTGAACATTATCAATACGATATACGCAAATACGTAGCGTGCGCAATGTACTTTTCGTCTGACACAATAAACCAAGCTTCTGAACCCCAAGGCCGGGGCGTGAGAGGAACCTGGAAAGCCCCGCCGCGGTGTCACGGCTTATCTAGCGAAAAAGAGCCACAACCATGGAAACTTCTAGAGGTAGATGTAGCACATCTGTCCGTCCAAGCCTCCCATGGTGTCGAGCAAGTCGTTGATGGCCACGGCCGGCGCGTTGATACCCAGGTCGACAAGGTCGGTGCCCTTGCCTTGCCGGCGGGAACCGGCGACGGAGCCGGCAACCTGCGTCAGCCGACTGGATGGATCCTGCATCTGCCAGATCCACCAGACGCGGTCGATCATGGCGTGGTGCAGGTAGAAGACCGGGTCGCCGGGAGAGGCGAAGATATCCTGCGTGTTGGGATGGTAAAATTAGTACTAATAATCACAGGGCATGCATGGATTGATGAAAGGTGAGGTGGTCGGAACTCGGAACTTAATAAAGCACTTACGCTGCCCGGATCGCCGCCGATGGTGAAGTGGCCGCCGGCATGCACACCTGGAACCCCCTGCATGGTGTCTTGGAAGCTGGCGATGTCGCGGCTGCGGGTGATGAGCGCATACGTCTTGTCGGCCGTGGTCTGCGCAGCCTGGCTCTTGCTGATGTCGCGCTTCAGACAGCGCGGGTTGTATTTCAGGGAGAGCCCGGGGCCCAGGTTGACTTGGAAGCTGGAAAAGGGGGATTATGGTGTCAGCATGACGCCCCTCTCAACCTAGCTCCTTAAAAAAATAAAAAGGAAAAAGAAAGGGGAAAAAAGAAAAGAAAAGAAAATCGACTGACTTTGCAAAGGGCCCCGACGAGACACATGCGCCATTCTTCGAGTTGCCGCTCATGCTGGACGCGTTGCCGTTGAAGAGCGGCGAATTGGCAGGGTCGGCAGCGTAGCGGTCCCAGTTCCAGTACGGCTGGAAGCCGCTGTAGCCGCACTCTTCGCGGAGAGCCTTCTCGTAGGTCCACACGTAGTACCTGTGCCAAGAGAGGAAATTGGCCGTGTTGTGGATCGAGTTGGTCTGGTTGATGTGCGTGGCCACAAAGTCGTCGAAGCGGCTGCGCGCACCCGGAACAAGCTGCTCCGGCGACTTGGGGCTTGCCGACTGCAGGCACTTGACCGCGGCAATGTACTGCTCCCGCTCGGCGACGGAGAGGTCGGACCTGTTTGTCGAGAAGAGAGTTGGCGGTCATGGGTTGGTCTCACTTTTTTCTTTCTGATTCTGATGAGCGGGTCTGGGGCGTGCACTTACCACTCACGGCGGACAGATGCGTTCTCCAGGGTGCACCCTGTATCAGAAGGCTGGCCCTCGAGATACGTCTTGAGCTTGTCCACGGTCGAGTCACGGAGCTTGTCGACAACGTCGGCGGGATAAGCGCGCGGAATACTGGTCGGCTCTGCCGCGGCGGTGCTGCTCGAGGATGCCGAACTGGGCTTGCTGCTCGAGGACGCCGAGCTGGCCTTGCCAGTGGTAGAAGTGCTGACCACGGAGGATTCCTTCGTTCGGGTGAGGAGGGTAGTCTGCGAAGGTGGTGGGACCACGCTGCTGGACCAGCTCGTTTGCGTAGTGGAAGAAATAGAGACTTGTTCGGTGCTGGTAGGGGAAATCGAGACTTGTTGGACGCTGGTGGAGGAAGATGAAGATGTCGACAGGCCTTGTGTCGTACCCTCAGCACTGGTGGAAGATGTCGACAAACCCCGTGTTGTGGTGCCGTCTGTGGATGCAAAGTCCACAGAAGACGCATCACATGTGCGCGTCGGCCTGGGAACCGGGCAGATGGTGGTGGTCGCCGTGACCACGATGGTCACAGCCGCATGAGATGCGCCTAGGAGCAGTGCTCCGACCGCCAGGGAAGCGATATGCATGTTTGTTTAGTGTTGAGCAGTGGTATGGCAAACAACGGAAACCCAAAATCAACCTCAAAATGCTTTGCCCGGGGTACTAGTAGTAGTGAACGACATGAAAAAGAATGAAGCGAGTGACCACCAGTCTAAAGATTCGACTGCGGTAGAGTGAGTACTCTAGAGGAACGAGCGACAAGACCCGACGGCTACTTACACCATCATGACCAGGAGGATGGGCAAAGGAAAGAAGAAGAGGGAGTTGCGAGTTCTATGTACGTATTATGATTATTATCCTATATCCTCCGTAGAATGTGACGATGCCTCGCGAGGTGCCATCGCGCCGGTCCTCTCGGTCGATTCCGAACGCCACGCAAGGGTTTGGTTCCATTTTGAGCCCCCCTGCCCAATCGGTTATGCATCGTAGCATTCGTACCTGAGCATCGCAGGGGTCATCGCCCATGCGACTGTGGGTCACCAAGAGACACCATGTTACGACACCAATGACGGTTGACTGCGCCTCGCCCCTTTTCTCGCTTCCAACAGCGGTTGTCCATCAACAAGGAGGGACTCGGTCACAGACCATATCAATCCTTCGACTACTACGGATAATTCGTCGGCATCCACTACCTAGATGGTATGGAAGTATCTCAACGTCCTCACCACCTTAGTAGTAGTACCCACCGCAAGCACCTCAAGCCCTCGCATTACACCACCGATTTTGCATCAACTTCCGTTCCCCAATGTCGCCTGCGGCCCCCCGCGAAGACTCTTTTGGATGCCGAGCGGCACCCTCCTTTCTTTCTCCTTTGCCTAGACCACGCTCCGAGCTCCGCAACTCCGTGCTCTCCCGCCCGACTCTCCCGAACACTCCGCCCAACTAACTGCACCTGGTCGGCGCTTTCGCGACTAGTTACCGCGGTAGAAGTCGTGATAACGTTATGGTTGACCTGAACCGCACTGGGAGAACAGCTCACTTCAGGGGCGCTAGCTATTCTTTTTATTAAGCAGCATGGCTACCTTAGGTATCAACACCGCCAAGACGCTACCTTCTTTTGGTGGTGATACTCCGTATTGGCCTGCATCATCACGTTGTGCTCAATCCTACATGTGCATGGGCAACTAAGGTACTACCTAAGGTACCTAGGGTAATAAGCTCGCTTAGCTGCCGCTTTTACCAATCCAACTCCTTCCCAGCGCAACTGCCCTTCTCGCCATCGTCTAGCTCCTTCCCCTCGGCACAACCGCCGCCACCTGCACCTTCCTGCCTCGACCATTCATACAGCCCGCCACGCTCCACAAACGCATCCTCATCCCAGTAGACACTCTCCAATGCCCTCTGGACACCGACCTCCAAGATGGGCCTCGACGGCTGCTTGCCCGTCCGATCCAAAAACCGAAGATACTCGTCCAAAATGAGGTAGCTCCTCGCCATCAGCCGGTTCGGCTCCGGCACCAAGCACGCCTGGCCCTTGTGCCTCTCGCAGAACTCGTCAAACTCGTCGTCGGAAATGGTAAACTTGTGCCCATTGCGCAGCGTCGCCTCGGAGTCATTCTCGCCCTGCACGATCAGCACCTGGAAGCACTTCCACCGGAACGGCTTCAGCGCCGCGATGTGGGCGTTCATGTCCTCGGCGACGTTCAGCTTGTTCACGACCGTGTTGAGCTTGAACATGACGCCGTACCGCCGGCACCACTCGGCGATCTGGTATAGCTTCCTGACCTGGTCGCCGCTGCCCCGGCCGATGGCGATGTTGGTCTGCTCGTTGAACGAGTCGCACGACACGGCCAGGATGTCGAGCTGGCCCGCGTGCTGGCGCAGGAAGGCCTCCCGCACTAGGCTGCCGTTGGTCACCACCGACACGGACTCTAGGCGCAGCTCGCGCTTGCAGAAGTCGATCATGGCCCCGAGCGGCTTGGCGTAGAGGAAGGGCTCGCCGCCGGCAAAGTTGATCTTGCGCATGCCGGCCTGCGCGAGGAGCCGGAGGGCGGCTTTCTGGCGCGGGAGGTCCTCGATGTGGGAAGTGGTGGCCGTGTGGAAGCAGAAGCCGCATGTTTTGTTGCAGCGCCGAGTGAAATGGTAGTTCACTGAGACGGGTATTTTGGGTTTGCGTTGCCGGGAGCGCGGGAGGACAATGCCGTCGTTGGCCAGGTAGTTGGCGTAGAGGCCGATCCAGAAGAATAAGATGAGCAGCGGGAGGAGATATTCGATAAAAGCCATTTGTGCTATGGTCACCCTGCAACAGCACACTTCCAGGTATTCCGGGGGAGCGTTCCGATGGTCAGGGATGTCGACTTCATCATCTCTCTTGCCATGGAGAAACTGCCCCCTTATATGTATATGATAGCCCCCAGTATGCTCTGGGGACGCCATACTGCAAACCTCAATCTCATGGGTGGCACCACAAACTCTTCATGCGTGTATTTGTCTAATGACTCAGCCTCTTTGTTTTTCAGCTGATTGACGCATCAGCACCCCTTTCCCAGCAAGCTGGGGCTTCGGCAGAGGGATCCCGGTTGCCAAAAGATGCTCGCAGGAAAGGGCGTCCTTGTTGTTGATTGTTGCTCTGGTTAGCAACATTGGAAAGCACCTTCCACCGTCCCAGCATTGACAGGCTGACAGCGGCTATAATAGGTAGCTGGAACTTGAAAGAAGCTGGGCCCCTCCTCTTCACTCTCTCTTTTTTAAACACCCAAGTTGGAGAATCAAATCTTTAACCCGAAAGAGCATTTTATCCTGACTCAGGTATCCAAGATGGAGTACGCAGGCGAGAAAGAGAAACACCGTTACATCTTTGTCATCGGTAACTTCTTTCTTCCAGTCCAACCAGTCAATGGCAACATCTGTTCTGCAGACGGGCTGACTTTATGGCTTGCTAGGTGCTCCCGGAGCAGGCAAAGGAACGCTGTGCAAGCAACTTGTGAAGGAGTACAACTTTACGCACATCTCGGTCGGCGACTTGCTTCGCAAGGCTGCCGAAGAAGATGAGAAGATTCGATATGACGTCGAGAAGGGCAATCTTGTGCACAGGAACTGGCTCTTCCCGATCCTTCGACAAGAGTTCAAACTCTGCCAATATGGACGCCCCATCGTCATCGATGGATTCCCTAGAGAGGAAGAGCAAGTCTGGCAGTTCGAGAAGGCGGTGAGTTGAATGAGTATTACTTGACACGACGCTTACAACCCCCTAACCTATTTCACCTTCCAGTTCGGCGACCCGGAGCTCGTTGTCCTCCTGAACTGTCGGCCAGAAGTAGCCAAACACCGCGTGGTCAACAGGAAAGACGGCCGACCGGGAGACACCAGCGAGGTGTTCGACAAGCGATACAATGAGTATTGCGAACTGAACCCCGCAATCGTGCGCCATTACGGCAAAGCCCAGGGAAAGGACAAGCTCGTTGAGGTAAGTCTACCGACTAGGTACATACCTAAGCAGTGTTGCGAGTGGTCTTCTCTGTGCTTTACTAACTGGGAGCAGATCGACAGCAGTGGAGAGACTGAATCCTCCTGGAAGAAGTTGTTGGAGGCGCTGCAGACGAGGGAGGAATGGCAACGGCTGGTGCAAGCCGATGCACCGGTGCCTCCCTCACCCTCACCCTCGCCTTAGGCTCTCAGGAATCAGTGTCTCTGGGCGGAGCATCATACATACAGTACAACTCTAGCGAATCATAGCGGACTTGTTCAAGGTAGTAATTGATGCGGATTATGGTTTATCAAGCATATGTTTGTCCCCCATACCCACTGTTACTGTCTACCTAGTCTTGCCCACATAGTAGGTACCTCACAGGTTGAGGTAATCGCGGGAGTACTCCAGTGTGGGCAGGTACCTTACCACAATCAGCCAAACAACGACTTTTCATCAGCCGATGCTCTGTCTGGGATACAGTGCTCCCCATCCGCCCCCCTCTCAGACACCCCCGTTCTTCTCCCTCATCATCATCTCAAAATACGCCGTCAATTTCCCCACCGCTTCACCAGTCTCCCAAACCCACGCATACCTCTTCATAAACCCCTCGATCCTCCGATCCATCTCCTCCATCATCACCGCCCCTCTCTCCTTCTCCGCCTCGTCAATGGGAACCTCAACCTGCAACTCCACCTCCCCAACCTCATGCCCGAAATCCATCCTGTCCCTCACGACCTTGAACTCCCCATCCACCAACCACGCTTCGCGCGTGGTGACGAACTCGGCAAGCTTCTCCAGCCCAAAGTTGTTCTCCCCCTCGTGTTGGAAGACAACAACACCGCCGCCGCTGCTGACGCCGCCCAAAATCGAACGGATGCAATTCCCGATCTCCCTGGCACCGCGCAGCTCTTCGAAGCGCGAGTTCACAAAGTCGCCGCCCCGCTTCAACTTGGCCTGCCACTCGCCGTTGCGCCGACGGATCCAGGCGCCGCCCGATGTGCAGAGCGTGTGGTCCGGCGTGTCATAGTAGATGTCGTGGATCGTGCGGGTCGGGAGGGGGACGACGGATCGGAAATTGGGATTCGGATTGTACTTGTAGCAGTAGCGATTGCTGTGGTTCTTGGTGGTGGTGGTGGTGCAGATATCGGTGAGTGTCGGCACGGCGAGGCGGCGGAACTTGCGCTCGACTTCGAGGATTGTCGTTGGTCTCGGTTTGGTCTGTCGGGCTGGGGATGGGGGCTGGGTGACCCTCATGAGGAGGGTGCGGGTTGCGCGGAGGGCCATGGCGATGATGGGCGAGGTTACAAGGTAGGTGTGGTTGTCGGTGCTGAGATGTCGTCATGCAGGCATTGCCTTGGTGGTTTCACGGAGGGCTGTTGTAGGGCCCGAGGAAATTGGAAACCTGGCAATTGCGAAGACTTGAAAGTTGAATCTGCTTTGCCCGTCAGGTATGAGTGAAATACTGCCGCCGAGTGGTCGACTCTAGCAGCAAAGGGACATCAAAAAGCACCTTTCTCTCGCCTGAACAAACGGTCTGTTTACTGTCAGGGTTGGTCGGGTTTGGGGACTGAATCTGTTTTGAAATCTCCTGGAAACGAGTCGTGATATTGGCGCTTCATGTTAAGAGCAGAGTGGTCGTTGCATCACGACAGTATCTCTTGATCATACAACGAAAGCTCGTGCCTTAGCACATCTCTTCAGGGAAGCGGTTTCGGTGGGAAGACAAGAAAAAAGATTCGGGAAACGCGTTGGTCTGTGCACGAAATGTCAGCAGTTGAGGCCTACAGTCTTCGTGACACTAAGACGCCAGACCAGATTAAATCGATCCATGAGTACTAGCGAGTCCGAGTCACTGTCGATCTGTTTACAACTAAGAGGGGCGATATGAAAGTGCTAAAGTGCCAGGTCTAATAACGCACACCAATTGTCATCTCCAACTGCCAAGAAGTAACAACCCTTCCATGGATGAAGCTCATCAGAAAGTGTAAATTTGATCCGGCCTGTACCCCAACTCTGCCAACACGCCCGTTCCCCGCCTCCCCTTCAACGCCTTCTCCATGGTGGGCGGACCGCACATCAAGACCTTCACGTCCCGATTCTTACCTCCTTCCGCACCCAAGCCAGCGTTCTCCAGCACCTGCCGGGTGATGTATCCCTTCACGTGGGGCGACCCGGCCTTCGGGTTGGACACGACATTCACCACCTTGAACCGTCCGGGGTAGTTCCGCTCCAGCGTGGCAATCTCATCCTTGAGGAAGATATCCTCATCCGTGTTATTGCCCCACACGAGCGTGATGCGTGTCCGATCGCCCGGGTTCTGCAGGATGCCACGCGCAAGCTGGTACATGGGCGTGACGCCCGCACCGCCGGCGATGAGCGCCACGTGTGCGTGCTTGTTGGGCGTCCATGCGAGTCCCTTGATCGGCGCGAACGTGAGTGTGTCGCCCGGCTTGAGGGAGTGCAGGTGGGTGCTTTGTTTGCCGTTGGGATAGAGCTTGACCATCAACTCGATGAAGCCGGGCTCATCTAGCAAAATCAGTTAGTACTGGAAATAAATACTGGACTGGGGAGGTATGAGCGCGGCGCGTACTGAGGTCATTGGTCGGAGTGTAAGGCCGGAGGACAGGAAGCCAACGGCCGTTGGGGAAGGAGATGGTCAGCAGCGCAGACGTTAGGGGAAGCCCGCCCGGTTTGCTCGCATCTGGTAGCTCGAAGCGCAACTTCTTGACGTTGTGGTTCACCAGCTCGGTGCTGTGGAGGCGCAAGGTATGAAAGCCGAAGCTGCTGAAGATGGGCTTGTCCGAGTTAGCACCACTGCTACGCAGGTACCAAGCAAATGCGCCGATGCCCGCAGCAGCGGCTGCGATGGCGACTGGGGAGCTCATTACGCTTGCTCCATGCGTGGCGCGCAGAAAAGGCCGGAACGGTGTTCCCGAAGGCATTTTCGAAATCAAGCGGCTGGTCTGTTAAGTATTTTTTGGGCGGTTGGATTATTAGCTGGCGAATGTGGTGGACGTCCGGAACACCGAAAAGTTGAGGGCGTGCCTGCGTTGTGCCACAGCTGAGAAGCCCGAGTATTATCCTGGTCGGAGTTTGGTTTTGGGGAAGTCCAACTGCAGCCAGCGGGAACCAGAAGGTTCGTTCAGGTCATGCCATTTCAATTCTTTGTTGTCGGTCCCGACTTCGCCGACCGTTTTCAAACGCGTGATGGGGAAAGACCACGAAATCGGGCATCGGGCACGTCGCGGAGCGTGCAAGTACCGGCCCCGACTCGGCCATTGCTAAAGCCCGGGCTCTACAAGCGTCCGAGACATGGCTGAGGGGGCCCATGAGACATTCATTCCTTGTTCTCGCTTGTTCAGGCCTTGAATGGTTCACACACCAACAGCCACTTTATTGAGCAAACACTGCCGTCGCGAGTCATACGTGCAATGGAACTGATGAGGGTCGGATGAGGGATCCTTGGTAATAAATCGGGCAATCAGTCCGATGGCTAGCGTCCCGGGTGCTCGGAATCAGGGGTCAGCGGCCTCCACAGGCCCATGCAGATTAGCGCGAACCCTGGTAAGTTGGTTAGCGCCTGACTCGTCAGCCCTACCATTTCTATCTCAACATGGGCAGCCGAACATTTCGGAAGAAAAGGAAGACTGGCTAAAAATGGCCTTCTCGAGTATTGCTAGATTCTCTCTCTTCTTGTGTTGAACCAACCGTTATGGCTGTTTTGCTATTTATTTTCAAAATTTCAGACCAGCAGCGTAATGTAACGTTAGTAGCGGTAACTTCCGATACACCAACATGGCTAGCTGCATGCCGACCACAGGTTTTCAACAAACAACCATGGGATCACATGATAGATCATCAAATCACGCTCGATAGGAAGTGCATGTGCAGTCATGGTAGGTACTTGCTCAGGCGTCAGTGAAAAACTGTACAGCATCTGTGCAACCAACATCGACACATGTTCCCATGGGAATGGGGGTGTCGTCGGCGAGCTTTCCATTTATGGTAAGCGGTGAAAAAGCCAAGCTCCTGGCGTATCTGTCCCACCTTTTGCTTGACGGCCAATTGCCATGCTGGCGACCGGGCGGTCGACTTTTTTCTGCCGGACATCTAAGCTCAACGATCGAGAACGGCCAAACCAGCAACCATGGCAGACGATGGCATGCTCCTGAACTTTGAGCTTGGCGATGGACCATTGAAAAGCCAAGTAAAGTTTAAGGGAGGACGCTGGAGAGACCGGCTTAAGGCGCAAAGAAGTGTCAAACAATCACAGCAGAACGGGCCCTCGTCAACCCCGCCAAGGCGAGGACCAACCGCCAGCGATCACGACTCTAGCAGACCGGCGAAGAGGCCGAGAACAGATGATGGAGACTATTACAAGAATCCAAAGATACCAAAGACGGCTGATGCCTCCACCAAGGCGCCCAGCCATGCCATGAGGACGGGGCAGATCTCGTCGAGCTTGTTCACGTCGAATCCGGCTCCTGTCACCTCGTTCGACCAACCATCGGTCGAGGAAGTCGAACCGGCGAAGCCATCCAACGCACCACTGTCCGAAGAAGCTGCGAACTTCCGCTCGCTGGGTCTGTCGCTACGTCTCGCACAACACCTCGCAACGAAGCTGGAGATGAAGGCGCCAACAGCCATCCAGAAGAACACCGTGCCGCAGCTGATAGCCGAAGACAGCGATGCCTTCCTGCAAGCTGAGACGGGTTCAGGAAAGACATTGGCATATCTTTTGCCGATCGTCCATAGGATCATGGCGCTCAGTTTGAACGAGGATGGGACGCCAAAGGACATCAAAGTGCACCGGGATTCCGGACTGTTCGCCATCATCCTGGCTCCCACGCGGGAATTGTGCAAACAGATTGCTGTGGTGCTGGAAAAGGTGCTGCGATGCGCTCCGTGGCTCGTCTGCACGACCGTCATAGGAGGCGAGAGCAAGAAGTCGGAAAAGGCCCGGATCCGCAAAGGCGTCAATATCTTGATCGCAACTCCCGGCCGGCTGGCCGATCACCTCGACAATACGAAGGTCCTCAACGTCGGCACAGTGAGGTGGCTCGTACTGGATGAAGGCGACCGGATGATGGAGATGGGGTTCGAAGACGATATTCGGGCGATTGTCGGGAAGATCAGAGCGGATAAGCTGCTGAAGCAAAATGCAGAGGGCGTTTTGCTCGAAGGCATTCTCCCTTCCCGAAGGGTAACCGTGCTGTGTTCTGCAACCATGAAAATGAACGTGCAGCGGCTAGGTGAGATCAGCCTAGAGGATGCTGTGCACATAACCGCATCCAAGTCAGAGACGGACAATGATGCCGAAGCAGGACACGAGGCTGTATTCGCCGCGCCGTCGCAGCTGAAGCAGTCTACTATCATTGTGCCAGCCAAGTTGCGCTTGGTTACGCTGGTCGCGCTCCTGAAGTCGACGTTCGCGAGACGAGGCTCGGTCATGAAGGCCATCATCTTCATCTCCTGCGCTGATTCGGTCGACTTCCATTTCGAGTTACTAAAGGACACGAAAGCTCTTGAGCCGCCGACTCCGGAGTCGTCGCCAACCGAAGACAGCCGTAGACCAGAGACGGCTTCGACTGTTGGCCCAGCCGCCTACATGACGTCTCCAGCAAACCCCAAAGTCATGCTTCACAAGCTCCACGGTTCGCTGGCACAGCCGGTGCGCTCATCAACCTTGAGCTCCTTTGCGAGCTGCAAGGACCCAGCAGTTCTCATCACTACCGACATATCATCCCGTGGCTTGGACGTCCCTGCGGTTGACCTCGTCATTGAGTACGACCCGGCCTTTGCGGTGCCTGACCACGTACACCGCATCGGGCGAACAGCTCGTGCGGGTCGCCCGGGCAAAGCCGTTCTCTTTCTTCTTCCTGGCAGCGAAGAGGGGTACACCTCGATCCTTCCTACCTCAACTCCCATCACGCCTCAGCTCTACGAGTCTATCCTTCAAAAGGGGCTGGCGACGGCAGTCAATCTGCCGTCCACCCACACTACCTCTGAGACGGAGAAACAGACGTGGACCTCTCGCGCCGAAGCACTCCAGCTCCACTTCGAACAGCGGTTACTCGCCCGCCCGGCTGGCGCCAACGCGGACGAAGACACAGAAGACACCGGCAAACCCAACGCCAAAGGGAAGGCTAAATCATGGAAATCTCAGCAAAAGGCGAACCCCAAGGACAACCCGCTCCTCGATGCCGCCCGCCAGGCTTTCCGCTCGCACATCCGCGCCTATGCCACGCACGTGCGTGAAGAGCGTGTCTACTTCGACATCACCCAGCTCCATCTTGGGCATATGGCAAAGGCGTTTGGCCTGCGGGAGACGCCAGGGGGCATCGGCGGCGGTGTCGCGAGACGCGCGCATAAGGCACCTGCTGCGGGGGAGAAGATGTCCAAGATCTCGAGCAGTGGCAAGGTTAGCAAGAGATATGATGATGACGATGACGATGGGGTTGGCGCCGTGGATGAGGATGCGGCGAGACGGATGAGGGAGAAGATGAAGATGGTCATGAACACCGCTAGCGAGTTCAATATCGGCTGAATGGGCGTGGTTTGAAGTTGGGAGCTTGGATTAGTTTCTCAGCGCTGCATATCCGATTATCATGCATGGAAGTATATACCCTTGGTGATGTCTGTTAGCTTACAGTTTAGGAATGATGTTCAAATCACGGTTGAAGGTTTCCTGTCCTTGTGGGTCCGATTCAGCATCTAACCGTAATTCCTGGTATCTAGTACCTGTACCTTACTCTGCGATAGCACCACCCTTTCAGCGCGATTGTTGGTGGTCATGCATTGCCCAGTAACGTTAGCTGTAATTTCTCTAAGGCTATGTCTTGTGTGAGTACCTCACATTAAGAAGGTATTATCACATGCTTCTTCCAGTCCTCAATATCTGGTAACGTAATTTATACATGATCATTCTGGTTACGCCTTCCAATCACCGTAACGGTCAGCGAATTTAACAATTTGTGCAACTGCTGTTACAGAATTATGTAAGATACCGAACAGGCAACACCACATCGCTCAGACACGCTGTGAAGCTCGACTCAACACAAACCTCACTTCATCCAAAGGAAACCGAAAAATCTCCCAGGATGTGTGACTTCCCCTGGCGGGCACACAGATGACGAACTCTGATTCTCTCACCACCGTGACTACAGTTCTTTGCTTGACATGTTCAACGAACCACCGCTTGAAAAGTCTAGCATCTTCACCGCTCGGTTTTGGCATCATCAGTCTTCATGGCTAGCGCGTCAAAATCTTGGATTAGAACTTAGATGTAATAAGCGAAGAAAGGAGCGCCGTCACCCTTGCAACTCCTAGTCTGGGACTCGCGATGCCCCGACAATTGCCGTGGAAAGTCGGAGCCGCGGCAACTAAGCAGACACCGTCTCGCCCCAAAGCTGCAGCGAGCCCAGCCCCATCCGCCGGCCGCAGTCCAGCGCCGTCACACCGTCCTACTCCAAGGCCCAAAGCAGAGTCGACTCCGGAGCCGAGCAGGAGGGCCAGACGCAGCCTGGCACTCAGTTCGGGTATTTACTCACCCACTGCCGACCACGTCACAACGCTGACGAGCGAGCCAGCCCGATCACCGTCCACCTCGCCGCCACCCGAGCCACCAAAGGAGGAGTACGGGCTTCCACAAAGCTCTGTGTCAAAGTGGTCACATCAGCTAATATCCGGCAGGTTCATGATAGAGGGCGTCGACCATGACGACAAGTATCGCATGGTTGAAGACGAGTTTCTCGCGGTGGCGGGCGAGTTCACGCGGCACCTCCACGCCGCAGAGTATCAGCGCCTCCGGGGTCTGGCCAAGTCCCAGAATGCTGAGACCATCCAGAACATATCGAGACCCGTGACGGGCGAGATGACAGACCTCGTAAAAAGGCGACATGCCGCCCTCGACGCCGCCTCCAAGCAGCGCAAGGGCATCGCAAGCACCCTGGGCAAGCGAGCCAAGAACGAGGAGGAGGGCTCGACGCGGCGTGCATTGACTTCACTGCAGGGCTTGATGGACAGTCCGAGAAAGCAGGCTGCTCCCTTGTCATTGACGACGGGAAGTCGGCCCGGGACCAGTTCTCGGGACGCGATGGATGCTAGCCCGTCTAGGAGGCGGCATGAGGTTAAAGGACTGCTGCGCACCAGCAGCTCGCTCGTATCGGATGGAAAATATGGAGGCCAAGCAGTCAGGTTTAAGCGAGAGCCCACACCTGACTCTGACGATGGCGACGATGACCTCGACAACCAACCTTCTTGGAGACCGAAATCCGGTGTACGGCATCCGGACCAAGCTACGGAAACATCTGCTCCACGGTCAGCTGTCGCAACACCACCGATCAGATCGAAGTCAGAGCCCAGCGCGCCAAATAATCCACTCAGGGCCGCCGGCGCTGCTCCAAGACAAGCGCTAGCTCACGGCGCTCCTAGGAGCGAAGCTACTGACGCACCCAACGATGGCGACGACGACTTCTTCTCCAGACTACGTGCCCGAAGAACGGAGCAAAAGCGGCGGCGCGAGACCAAAGCTCAGGAACGCAACATCAAGTCAGAGACCCAAACACCGCTAGACGAAATCCCCTTGATATAGACATCAACAATAATCGGACCAACAGCCTGGTCACCAAAACATGCATTCCCACCCCAAGCCAACCCATCCCCTCATTCCGAGATCCAGTAAGAACCCTAAGCTCATCAACCCTCGAACGGCGTCTCGAAGGGCCGCTCAGCCTGCGGCGTGATGCGCGCCAAATGCCGCCGCTGGCCGTCCTTCCAATCGACCAACGCCGAGTGCTGGGTTACCCGATTATCCCAAACCACCACCGTCCGCTCTTCCCACTTGACGCGGGCCTGGAAGTCGGCGCCGAAGGCCAGGTGGTCGTAGAGGAACTTGAGGATGGCGTCGGACTCTTCCTTTTTGAGGCCCACGATGTCGCGGGTGACTTTTTGTTTCGTGATGTGACTCGGTCAGTTATATCAACCCTGACGACGGCGGTCTTGAGGATTTGGGGCCGGGGTGGGAAAGGGGGCGGATCAGGATGGGGATGGAGTTCGGAGGAGAAACTCACACTGCGGGTTGACGTAAAGTGCCTTCTCTCCCGTGGCAGGATGCGTCCGCACGATGGGGTGTTCGTTGACGACGGGCTCGCGCCGCTTGATCCCACCCCTCGCCAGACTGGACTCGGCCTGCTCGATGCCCGAGTGTGTAGCCCGCAGGCCGTGCAGCCGCTGCTGGAAGAGGGGGCTCAGTCGATTGTAGGCTTCGGCCGCGTTGACGAACAGCGTGTCGCCCCCGTCGACGGCTTGTCCAGGATGTAGAGGAAGGTCGTGCCGGGCGGCTGCTGCTCGTACGACACGTCCGAGTGCCACGCCACGGAGCTTGTACGGTTGGCAAAGAACTTATCCACGCTGGTGTCGCCGGCGCCGCGGTGCACGAGGTGGATTTCCGGGTAGCCGGCTGGCGCGCCCGATGTTGGGTGGATGTGGTGGCTATCGAGGGGGTCAAGCGGTGTCAGCGTTTTTACTACTCCCAACCTCATACGACGACCAGAAAATATGTTTCATCCACTCAGTGCATACCGGCCGAAATATGCCCCAAACTCGAGCGCCTTCTCGATCGGCAGGTCGGCAAAGTCCTGGTCGCGGAAGGCAACCACCTTGCGCTCGGCCACGAACCGCGCGAGCTCGTCCTTGCCGGCCGCGGTGAGAGAGCTGAGCTGGATGCCCCTGACCTCGGTGCCGATGGTCGGCGTCAGGTGCGTCACCGAGACTTCCCCCTCCGGCAGCAGGTTCGGGTACGACGTGTCGGCGTCCTTGCCGTGCTCGTAGTGCTCGAACGGCTCAAGTGGAGGGTACTTTTGCGCGCGGTCCCAGGTCGGGAGGTAGTGCGGGTACTTCAGTTTCTGGGGGTCAGCATGGGGATCCTCCCTTTGATCCTGACGAGCTTGACATAGATAGGGTGTGTGGTCTGCGCACCTTGGCGGGCTTGTGGCCCTTTAGTCCTGCCTCAGCATCTGGGTCATACTTGTTGGCTGCCAGCTCTTTGTAGGGGCCGTTATGCGAGGCCTTGAGCTTAAGAGTCGCCAGATCTGGGACCGTGGACGTCTCGACTTCGACTGCGGAGGGTGCCATTTCGGGATGTTCCTTTGTTATGTTTGATGCCCAAAGTCCTGCAGTATCCTCTTGTTCTTTCGTGAAACGCCACAAGCTGAGCTGCCGGCCACCTCTTCTTATATCTCCCCCTTCCCGCCCCCCCCCCCCCCCCCACCCAATTACCTAGAGCCCATCTCTTGCAAGTTACTGCGGGGTCGAAGCTTGATGATGGCAATACGACATGGATGCGATTGCGTGCGTGTCCTCCTTCCAATCACAATACATGGCCAGGACGTAGCTCTCCTGTCTACGCGGCATCCGCGTGCCGATTCCGCCAAAGATATATCCCTTATTAGGCGGCGAGGTCCGACGAGGGAGGTCGTATCGATCCGATAAGCTGCACTAGCTGATGGACTATTGCTTCTACTGGTAACAGTGTCGAGATAAACCCCGGATTTAAAGCGGGGGAGTGGTCCGGGACAACGGCATGTCGAGCTTTTGTCGAGCACGTCGGTGGGCTCCGGCAACGCGATATGCGGTGATGTTAGACGCGAGCCTGATCGCGTCATCGCGTGTGGGGGGGGGGGGGGGGGGGGGGGGTGGCTTGCCTGCTGTGCGGGCGCGTTTGGAGACAACATGTGTCATCAGAATGGTGCTGTTGTATCGGGAAATGCATGGAGCACGTCATTCTCATCTACATTGGTGAATTGCCCCTAAACCTGACTACGACAGAAAAGAAGGCATTTGACATATACCCCGGTCAGCTTTCGTCTGGAGTCGGGCAAACCAAAGCAATTCTTTGGTGGACATATCCGTATAGACGCCGTAACGATCTTGAGGAGGTTCCGAGGCGTTCTAATTCTCAGCTTGGGAACATTGGGGTACCTACCCGGGACCTAGGGCTAGGAGCTCTTTCTAGGACCAGGGCGGAGGAGTAGGGACAATAGGGGTAGTACGGTTCTGGCCCTGTCGGGATTCAGACTCTAGCCTCTAGGTGCCTGCCAAAGTCATTTTCTCACATAGACTGATCTGATGGTGCGCCTAATAATGTTGCAGAGCGTGATTGAAGATCTTTGGCGCAGCCTTGCTGCTCACGCTTCCCTTCCCGGTCCCAGGAGACGCGTGAATTGAAGCGCCGGTGGTGGAAAGTGAGTGGGAGGACGCGAGGCTATCTCTCGCCTTTGGATACCTTAGGTAGCTACGCAGGACCGCAACAGAGGCTATTCGATATCTCCTCTAAGAGTCTAGATCCTCATTGCACATATAAGTGCTCAATGAGTAGTCAGTAAGAATCTCGTCCTCCTCGAATGATGTCGACTACCTCCTAGTCACAATGGTCCACCCAGCTCGAACATGAATATGAAACGGACAATGATGTCAGCATCTGAGAAGAAAAGAACGAAAACGGAAACAGGGTGAAAAAGAATGGATAGGTACGTAGCGCAATAATCATACAGCGAGAGGATCAACTCTTTCCAGAGCTGACATCTGAGTATGACCGCCTGTTTCATACGCCGCGCACGTAGCTTTGCTCTCAGCTCCTTCTCTAGTTCCTACTCGGCGATCCCTTCTATCCTTTCCTCCGCTTTCACTTCTCCAGTGACCTCTTGAGTTTGCTCTAAAGTACTTTAATCTCCTCATGCTTGAGCAGGGTTATCTTCCTCGCACCAGGAGACTAAGGAGTAAATATAACACGAAACAGGTAGAGCAAGAAAACAGTGAGCAAGAAACAAGAGCACGATAGCAAGAGAATAATGAGAGTAAGCATAACGACAGAGAAGAGAGGCGGTACAAAGACTCTGAAAAGTATGATAGAAACCGAAGTATAAAGAGTATCGGGGTTCGAAAAGTGCAGCAAGTGGTCCTTGATCTGCGGCATGGTCTTGTTCGTCCCGTTCCCTTGTCCTTCGAATCATCCGTCCGGCACACTCCAAGGAGTCAGGCTGTTCTGCCGACAGTCGGCCAGGGCGTGAGAAAGCGGCCACATCGTCCGGTAGGCTGTGTAGGTACGTTTGGAAAACGGAGGTCAACACCACTTCTGTTCAGTCCGAAACAACCCTGTACTTACACAGTTAAACAGGGGCAATTCCGGCCCCGGCCTAGAGCCTGGCAGCGCCAGATCCCTTTTCTCGGGGTTGCAAGATAGTTGCGTAATTCCCCACTGGTTTGCCAGTCGAAGAGAGCCGAATGCGCGCAGCCAGGGCATGGCACATCCCGCTCGCTTTTTACTTCAGATGTCTTGACGGAGCTGGTTGCTCATTCCTCTGTATCAGCACTAGAGCTTCTCACCGCCCCCGCACCGGTTTCCAGGGTCGAATTGGATTGCTTCAGCAACTCTTTGAAACTACTTACCCGCTGTACACTTTGTCCTCGCTCAACTGGGTCTTCTTGAGCCACGGGCTCGGTGGGCATCTCAGAGAGCGAGTCCTCTTGTCGATGTCTGGGCGCGGAGTGGCAGGGACACCCGGCCTACTGAGCATGTCGGCGGCGGTGGCGGATGAGCCAGGCTTGGGGAAGCGAGATTCTCCCGTCATGGTGCCCGGGGCGGAGGGAAGTGGCGTTCCGCGATCAATTCGGCTGCTGGAATGGTAGTTGAGATCCTAATGTTGTCAGACCCGCCCACCCTGACCGGAAGTCGCGATCAACCTTACAAAACTGAAGCCACCAGATACCTTAGGTACCTTAGGACCTTTAATTGTCACACCAATACCATCACTATCACAAAGGCCCTCGGCGAAAGTGTGGTTGAGCTTGACAGGAGAATGGTCTCCTCTACGTAACTCTCGACGACCTATCGTCACCTTGGATCCCTAACAACACAACTTCTTTTTTGCTTCTCGAGCTTCTCAGCTTTGGTTGGTAAGCTGCCAGGAGTTGTCGCTCTATAGGCGATCGTGAAGATCCATATGAAGGTTTGTTTACTTTACCAGCAAAGCATTACTAGTCGGAGTAGTCTCCTCAGTATCTCGACCATATCTCCTGAACGATGTTCCGTACATTGAGCGGTAAGAATGGCTTCAGACGATGTCACCAGCAATACCAGTAGTACAGGTTGTCTCTGAGCACATAACAACAGACGGGCTGCTATCATTACGCTGATCTAGCTTCGAATTTGCTCTCAAGGCCGAGATGAGGTGTCGTGGACTATTGTATCGGCTTTCCCCTTCTCCCAGGTGACCAGGGCTCCTGATATCGACTGCTCAGTTCAGCAAACTCGACGGACCGTAGTAGTGATTTCAGCCTGGAAGGTACCCGACAGGCAGGTCGTGCGGATACCATACGAAACCCACGAGTTTGGAAACGTGTGCAACTGGCAGTCACTCCTTCCGAAACCGCAAGCTTGTAGCACGAAAACGTCAAAGTGTTTTTGGGTATCTCAATCCCGCAAAGGTATGCAGTTTCTGGGATCAGCCAGAGAAAATTCTTCTCAGAAGTAGAAAAGGTGAGGCCTGTTGAGGAGGGTCGCGGCGAGTGATCAGGGTTGATAGGGCGTCGAAGATCTCGTGTATATTCGTCCATGATGCTGCCATTCGGTACTGATACTATACACAAGCACCGATCAGCTGAAAATGAAGGAACATTGTAGAAGTCGGTTGGGTTCCACGATGGCAAACACAGAACACGGCAGCCGCCGCTTGCCGTCTAGGTGTCATCCCACGATGTGTATGACAACTCGTTCCTTCCTCATCCAGTGTTTCTCGTTTCTGCGGCAGAATCTTGTTCCATCTCCCAAACCGACCGATGTCGTGAGCAAACTGGAAATGACTTCCCGGAGATGGGAGCCTAGCTAAGACCGACTCCTACCTACCTCAAATTCTTCCAACCATCGGTCTTCCCCTTCTGAAGGGCCTGCTGCGCCGACAGCAAGGATGGCTGACCCCGATCCATCCGTCAGCAACGGCACCTGCTTTTATGCAGCACAGCAGCTCGCCAGCAACAACTTTATCCCTTGCGGAAACTGGATATTTGGACATTACCATTGCTGCCAGAAGGGCGATTACTGTCTCGCGCACAATGCCTGCTACAACGCAGAGCACGGAACCACATACCTAGCAGGATGCACCGACATTGAGTACGACGTTCAAAACTGCCCCGACAAGGACTCGTACAAGGGTATGATAGGACTGCTGAATGTGGATGCCGATTGCCCTTTGCAGGACTGACGACAGCAATCTTCAAGATTACCCATGGGCCGGCCTCATCTACTGCAGGCCCAATCGGTGGTGCGCATCGCCTGTCCCAGATAACTCTTCACAAGTGCGGAACATATCTAACCGTGTCAAACAAAAGGGTCGCGTGCAAGGAGAAAGCTAAACCGTCAACCATCGTCAAGGGCGACTCGTGCACATGCCCCCCCGAATCCGAGAGTATGACCGTAGCTTTCTCAGCAGCAGCACAGATCGAAGGCATTGGTTCGCTTCCAAGCACCTCAGGCGGCACTATAGAGTGGGCCGAGGGTCACTTTCCCACGGTCACGGGGCTGCCGAGCCCGACAACCTCCACCCCTACCTCGGAGACCACCGATATCTTGACCTCCTCATCGTCCACCTCAGTAGTTTCAGGATCGGCACTCCCGACATCGACAAGTACGCCTGTCAGCAGCGTTGATTCGTCGACTGGTGGCCATCCCCTCAGCGACGGCGCAAAAGTAGGCATCGCTATCGGCTCAGCGTTTGGGGGCATACTCCTCCTTGGCGCGCTCTCGGCATTGTGGGTGGTGTTGCGCCGCCGGAGAACTGAGAGGAATGCACCGTTCAGTCCACAGGCAGCAGCATCAACACAAACTGACAAGAGCCCTGGGCCCGGCTCTGTATCAGGACCCGTGCCGGTGGAGATGCCCACGCCTGTGGTGCCCCCCAGGCCCGCGTATCCTGAACTCCCGGTTGGGTCGTGGGTGATGCGGCCTGAGCTGCAAGGAGATGCCATGCCAACAGGATATGGGCATGTGTCACCGCCCACCTCACCGTCCGAGAGCAGCTGGCAGAGCCCGAATCAGGCGGTGGTGGGGATGGTGCCGCTGTCTACTGTGGCGGATGGAGGGGAGCTAAGTCACCATCAATCTCACCAAGCTCATGGTCAAAGGGAGCAGTCGACGGAGAGGTCGAAGCACCATTCGGAATTTGCTTTTGAGTTACCCGCATAAGGAAAGAATACCCGACATCTCTGGTGGAGAGGCGGCAAGAGGAACCATTGTCGGAGCATGTCAGTGGGGGGCGGGGTGGGGAAAGCAGATTCCGAAGCGCAAGCATTACCATCTTGATGTTTTGCCAGAAGCTTGATACTAGACAGTTGGGCGCGCAGACGGAGGGAAGACTAGAACCGGAACCGTTAGCGGAGCTTCAGCTCCATGCACCTCACTGCGATTTATCGGGGATGTACTCTTCGGACCTCTCAGAACCTCGAGCTGCTAAGGCAGCGAGGAGCGCCTTACTCTGGTCCACGGGAAGATCATTGTGTGATGCTGCTGTCACAAAACACGATGAGTGGCTCATTGGATGCGGATTGATATCAGGGGTTCAAACTCCACGGCCATCTAGAACCCTAACCCTTCCGAGCTTCCTCCAGTGCCAAGACATGGTGTTGTTCAAGTTGCACCCGAGCAACCACCTCCGATACGCTTTCTGACATTCGTCAAAAAACGTACAACTTACACCATTCACGAGCCACGAGGTAAAGAAGAGATTAAGGATTCGGCCTGCCATCGTACTTGCTTGCGTACTTCTCCTTTCGTACTTCACCCCCGTGACTTGGATTGCTCACCCGCGTGGCTGCGTCTCTGAAAATCGCTGAAGGGGAGAAAGTCTCACTGCACAGACCCGCTTCTCTACCCACATTCCAAAATGCGCCTCCGGAGCACGAGGGGCGTCAGAAAACGCTATGTGGAAGAGCCAGTCATCTTTGATGAGGAGGACGAGGAGGAACCTATTGTTGTCCCCGACGACCAGTCAAAGGATGATGATGAATTTGAAGCACCGTCGGATGCGCCCCATGCCGAAGATGACGGAGACGGCAAGGAGGATGAGGGCGAGCCGACAAGCGATGAGGAAGCAGCACCGGACGGCGAAGGCCCTGACGTGGCAAATGACAATCCCGGCCAGCTCAAGAAACACCGCAATGCCGGAACCGGCATGATCCAGAGCCGCAAAGGCATCCATGACATCCCCCATTACCCCCTGGAGACGCGCATCGTCACCCGCGTCTATGCCGGACCTCTGAGGCGGTATGCTCGCTATAGCGCGCTCCGCGACGCCATGTACGGCCCCGAATACGAGCGCATCAAGATCATCTGGGACCTTGAGAGTCGCTGGGAAGACTTCCCTGTCCTGCCTCCGAGCCTGCCACCGGAAAGCGAGCATGGTGTTGTGCCCAGCCCATGGCTGCCCCCGGGCTTTGAGCGTAATCAGAAGAAACAGACCGCTCTATGGTATAGCACATGCCAGGCCAATGCTCCGGAATTCCAGCAGACCCATCCGCTTCCGCCCGAGGATGGCCTGCGGTTAGTCCCTGAGGCTGGGGGCGATATTGCTACGCTCGTCGGGCCCTGGGACAGGCAGAAGACGTTTAGACTCAGACAAGGGGACAGTTTATTGCTGGCCCCGTCCGGTCTTCCCGTTGAGGATCCGGACGCAGGTGACAAGACGCCAAGTGGCTGGATGCTTGATGTAGGAGGCGTCCCACTCGCCATGGCCTGGGCGCCATTGTCCAGGCAAGATATTCAAGTGCTCGCCGTGGCGTCGAGTCCGTTTTCGGACCAGGTTGTGCCGGGTCGTGATCACCCAGGCACTGATGCCGCGGACAAGTCCACAGGGTGCATCCAGCTCTGGGAGTTCGTGCCTGAGAAGCGCCCCGGACGGTTGGATTCTCCTTCCACGCGGCCTCCTCGGCTGCTCCTTTCTCAATGCTTCAATTGGGGTAGGCCGAAACGCCTTGAGTTCTGTCCGGTTCCCATGGACTCGTCCGGCTTATACGGGATGATGGCTGTCCTGTGTGGTGACGCGAGAGCCCGCGTCATCACCGCGAAGATGGTCGACGATGCGGACGTTCCTTCTTACGGTATGTTAACCGGTCCACGGGTGGAAGTACCTTACTGACTTGCCACAGAATGGATCGACTCGCCCATTGTGACTCTTGGTCTGACAGACGACTACAATGTTCAGGTCACCTGCCTGAGCTGGGTGAGTGCGAACAGAATCGTCCTCGGTCACTCGGACGGCTCTATCACGCTATGGTCCATTTACCCGCGCCAGCTATTGCAGCGAGTCGGCGCGCACACCGCCTACGTTATCGACATCTGCTCCGCATACCCTTCGTACCCTAACCTTATTGCCTCTATCCCGGTTGGCGGCTGCGCGACCCTTACGGACTTGTCCCAGCCGAGCTCTGAAATGACCTACTTCCCGGTTCCCGCCATCAACTTCCAGCCGAACCTGCTGTGCTGGAACGAGCCGATGCAGGGCTTCATGGCTCTGTACCCGTCGTCGACACCCAACACGACCGTCGCCTTCCTCCACTACCGGTATTTTTGCCAGGCAAGGAGCATGACTACCGGCCCCAACACCATCACTTGCGTCTCAGCAGGCGCAACGCACCCCTTCATTCTGGCCGGCTGCGCAGACGGATCGGTATTTGCATGCAACGCACTGCAGAAACTCTTCAAACAGAAAGGCGAGCCGATGCGTAAGCTCAAGGTCTTTGAGCACGAGTACAGGCCCGTCGATGCAGAGAACCGGGACCAGGGCAACGAGGCAGGATCCCGTCCCTTAAGAGGCGCAGCCAGGATTCTGCAGGGTTTCCTTCCTGAAGAGAATGACGATCCCAGGACTGAGAAGCGGAAAGAGATGGACAGAAAGAAGCGGGCAGCGAAGAAGAAGAAAGCGGTGAAGAAGAAGGGTAGCGGATCGAAGAAAGCCGGCGATGAGGATGAGATCGAGGACCGCGAGGCTGAGATTGACGAGAAGCTTGCATCTCGAGTGGTCATCCACGAGCCGCTGACACGTTTGACGACGATACAGTGGAACCCGAACATGCAGTGCAGCTCCTGGGCGGCATGTGCCATGGCTTCGGGGCTGATCAAAGTCGTGGATCTTGGAGTCGAGTAGAACGAAATCTCGAAAGCAGAGCAACATCCATATGGCGCCTTGCTCGGTCTCCGCAACAGGTCGAAAATCAAGAATCGATACAGACGTCTGTCTCGCTGTCTATACCCTCTATAAACCGGCGCTATCCTATGACCAGCCAACTCAACACTGTGCCCCGAGAACGCTGTGGTGAAAATCAAAGGCTCTGGTCATGCCATAGAAGTGGGTTGCTGCAGCAAGCAGGACGAAGACATGGAATATCTGATGCGAGCTGCCCCAGATATCGAACGCGCCTGGGTATTTGCGTTCTGGCCATCGGACCTGCAGACAGTCAATCACCGCCGTCACCTAGGAAGGCGAAGGGGCCGCCTCGATTGGACACTTACCGCATACAAAAAGGCGCCGAAAATGTACAGCGCACCCTGGAGGATCACCCAGTTGAGCGCCATCCTCTCATTCAGCTGCCGGTATCCGGTGAATGTGAGGGCATGGAGGATGGGAACGACGCTGGACAAGCCCAACGCAACGAACATCAAGGTCCTGTACGGCCTCCATGCAGGGGTGCGGAAGTGGTCAAACCACGACACCACTATGCATCCCGAACCCAGGAGCGCAATCTGTCACACAACAGCAGTCAGCCAAAAGCCCCGCTCAAACAAGCTTAAGACACCCCTTTCGACCCGCTCTTCCGATCCCAGGGGAGAGAGGAGGTTGACTCACCGCCCCAAGATAAACGGTCAGCAACACCTCCCAGCAGTAGAAGCCATACCACAGCGCGGGCACGAAGCTGCCGACGATCAGGAACACAATCCCCGTGTAGTCCAGCTTGTTCCCCCACGTGGCCACCTTCTCGCTGTGGTTGCACAGCGTGTGGAAGGTGGCGCTCATGCCCAGACAGCAGAAGGCGCCGCCGAAGAAACAGCCAAAGGCCAGCACGTCGGCCGCGCTGGCCGACTCGTACCGCGGCGCGACGAGCGCGTACAGGTAGACCCCGCCCACGGCGAAGGCGACGGCGCCGAGCAGGTGCGTCCAGATGTTGACCGACTCGTTGTGCAAGTACCAGAGGCTGGCGAGGGACCCGCGGATCGAGTTGGACGTGGCCCGGTAGCCCGAGAGGATGGACGGGTTGTCGCGGCGCCAGTGCGGCAGGTCGTCCCAGAGCACGAGCAGGGCGTGCTCCAGTTTGTTTTCCAGGGCTTGGGCGGTGCTGAGGAGGGTTGAGGCTGTGGACGGGCGGCGGGGGCGAGACTGCTGGGACTTGAGTTGCACTTGTTGTTGTTTTTCTTGGTGGCGGTGGTGGTCGTCCTGATGCCGTGACCGGAGCCCGGACGGCGTCGGACCCGGGTTGGGCCCGGACGCGGTGGCGCTCGGCATACTTGGCGCGGGCGAGATATAGCGTGGCGTTGTAACTTGATTCTCACGTCCGGTTTAGCTTTTCAGGGGTAAAGTTATAAACGAGGCTACAAGCGGCACCTGGGCTTCGCTTTTGTGGTTCTGTACAGCTAATGAGACAGTGGTAGTTGAATACGTGCATCGATCGTTCCTGCCACCAACTCACGGTCAAGACCCTTATGTATATCGCCGCCGCCCCGCCGTTTCGACCAGTTTTGTTGGGATTCCAGAATCCATGGGGAAGGTTCAAGGTTTCCACACTCGTTGCTTGGCCGAGGTACGTAACTGCTTCAACCAGCTGCAACGGGTCAACCAGCTGGCAGCAAGAGGCCCGGCAGCTGCAAGTTCAAGCATGTGAACGTCGTCGAGTCCCTGATGACGTTAGCTGGTGGGGAAGAACTTGACGGCCCGGGCCGGAGATCTCCAAGGAGGGCTCAGGAACTCGGGAATTTCCCGCCATCGTCAACAGACATTCAGAGGTTCCAGACACTTAATAATGCCCAAACATTGGGGGTGTCATCATCAACGTGCAATGGCTTCAACTCCGTCAATTCTAGTGCTTCTATCGTTCACATCAACAGATCTAGGATCTTGTGTTGTGTGCTAGCCAATACGTGAAATTCCGCTACGCCAATCCAAACTCCCAAGTTTGACATCAACAACTCACAGAAATTCAGGTACGTTGAAGGGAGCCAGTCTTATAGATGGTCGAAAACCAACTAACTTTGATGTAGGCCAGCCACGCGGCTAGGTGGTGGATTGATGAAAACTTTGGCTAACAGACTGATGAAAGGATGTGTCGCGAGAATAGTTTCCAGCTCTCCCAACCGGCCGTTCTATAGCCACTCACCAAGTGGCTCTTTCCCTCAGAAGCACCTACCTCCAGCATACTCAAGCAACATTTCGGACCTTGCGGACACTGTAGCTCAAATGCTTCTTTTCCTGAGACTGTCTGCGCGGGCGGCTGTTGCCAAACATCCGCGGATTGTCAGCTGTTCAGGGTCCGAGCAGCAGGGACTGATATGAAGTCTCATCACTGCGCTCTGGAGACAGAGTGCATACCATACCTGACAGGTGCTCGAGTGCAGAAATATCCTTCAGCAAAGGCGGAAAGGGGACTGGGAGCTACACAGGAACCGACCTGGTACTCTGCATCGAGCCGATGGTAGATTGCCTGCAGGTGCCAAAAAGAGACATGGGCCCGCAACGGACGGGGCCCAACCGTCCTCGTCCTCGGCAAGTCATTCCTCGCTCAGGGACCGGGTCAGGTGTTCTCACGGCTGGTTATCCCCGGATCCTGGCCCTCTCCAGGAACCCGGATCAGTAAGCGGCTTGGCCAACTTTATTTCTATGCCTGGAGACTCTTTCGGAACCGTACGACTCCGCAACGCATTGCATCATTTGCTTCATCCCGCTCTACGATACGTGTCGTGCTGCTGAGAACCCGGCCGTGATGGCGTGAATTTTGGGTAACCCATCGTACGATGGCTCGCAGCAACCGTCATCAAGAGGGGTAAGGGCGTTCTCGGGGAAAGGAAACGATCAGTGATACCGCTGCCTACCTAACCTTATCTAGTGTGCTCGCTTCGGCACGTCCGCATCAAGCTTTCTGGGCGGGCCATCATCAGTGCTGCCATGTTAGACACGTCGGAAGTTACTAAGATACCACCCGGCATCAAGCTCCCGAACATGGGGCCGGATTGCATTGGCTCTAAACCGCCATCGCAATATTGACTCTGCTTTTCACTCTTCGTCCATGGATCAGGACCAAGCGATGTCTGGTCGACCATAGCATGGGACACACACGCAAACACCATGTCAATCCAAAAATAGCAGGCACTTTCTGCACCCCGTATCTTCAGTTCGAGCGAGCTCGGGTTATCGCGGCCTTCGACCGCCGAGGACCAAAACTGGTTGGAGAGGAGTGCATATATAGGCACAATTAGTGGGAGTGCAACCTCACATTTGGCTCGCCTACTTACGGTCAGGTCTGGGCACGGCCGAGACTGGCCGAGAGACAAATAAGCACAGCGAAGTTCCCGGGTAAATATGCCGACCAGTATCTTAAGTCTGGGTCTTGCCCTCGCACTTTCATCTATTCGATATTGCTCAGAGATTGTCACCAGCAAAAGAAACAAGTCCGTGATGCGGGCCATATCGTCAAGACTCGCGTTGACCCGGGAGCCGGGCGAACGTGCGCCGTCAAATGCTGGCTTCTAAAAATATGTCGGCCAGGGGTTATGGCGTTGACATCGAAAGGGATCGATCGGACTACATGGGAGGAGGAGGTGGTCGTGGAGGGGGTCTATATCAATACGCAACGTCCTCCAGCATCCTCGTGAACGAACTGCCCTTGCTCGGCCACGGACCCTGCCGGAACGAACGAACCCACCCACTGAGCAGACGCATCCCCCGCCGCAGACATGGTCGGACCGGCCCTTGCTCTGTCCCTTCTCGGCCTCGGAGCCGTCCAGGCGCTGCCGGCCGGCAACAAGCCGGTTGAGGAACGGCAGTTCTCGATCGGAGACGGGACCGGCGTCTTCATCCCCGGCCAAGGCGACCTCCCCGTCTGCCTGACTGATGGGACTCCGCTGAACGAGCAGCCGCCCTGCCTTCTGCCACCCATCACCGGCGGCCTCGAGCCGTCCGACAAGAAGCGAGCGGCCAACAAGAAGCGGCAGTTCGTCATCGGGGACCCGTCAGGCGGATTCACCCCGGGCCAAGGAGAACTCCCTACCTGCGCGGTAGATATCCCTCTCAACGAGCAGCCGCCTTGCTTGCTGCCGCCCATCACCGGAGGTCTTGAGCCACCCACTCTGCCCCCCAAGCACAGGCGCTCGTTCACCCTGCCCCCCGATGCCGCTTCGAACCCCAAGAAGGTGATCATCCAGCTGGAGCAGGACCTCATCCGGCTGCAGAACAAGAGAGACAAGACCAAGGAGGACCTGGAGGATATCGAGGCGATCAAGGCTGCGTTGAGGTACCTTGCAGGCATAACCGACATCTCGGCCCCTCCGGGAACTGGCAGCAGCTTCACCCCTGGCAAGCGCTCGTTCGTCTTGCCGCCCGATGCGGCTTCCAACCCGAAGAAGGTGATTGCGAAGCTCGAGCTCGACCTCGAGAGGTTACAGAACAAGAAGAGCAAGTCCCAGGAGGACCTTGACGATATCAAAGCCATCAAGGCCGCCCTGTTGTATCTCGCCGGTATCACCAACATCTCGGCGCCGCCGGGAACCGGATCCACGTTTACGCCGGGCAAGCGGGCCGCCGAGTTCGATCCCAACACGGTCGGCGCCTACGCGTCCGAGTGCCCGAACCTCGAGGGCGCCGAGCTCGCCCTCGAGGCGCTCATGCACAAAGACAAGCCGACGCTCGAGGAGCGCATCATCATGCAGCAGCTGGCCGCCTTCCTCAAGGGCTGCGGCATCACCATCGTGAAGTCGCCCGACGGCACCTGGACCATCATCAAGCCCTCGGACAAGCGCGACGTGGCCACTCCGACTGCCCAGCTCGACGTTAGCGGCCTGCAAGCCGCCTACTCGGCCCTCGTACACGCCGCCGCCGAGGCCGCGCCCAGCCGGCCCTCCTTCACGAACTGGCTCGCCATGCAGCAGATCGCCGGCCTGCTCGAGATCTACGGCGCCGCTGCCCCCGCGTCGGTTTCCGCCCGGACAGCAGACCACGCCAACAACAAGCGCCAGACCAGCAGCGCCAGCACCAGCACCTGCCAGCTCGCCGACGTGATGGGCCTGCGCGCCGCCCTCGCCGCGCTGCTGACCGCCTACGGCGAGCCCGTCGCCACGCCGACCAACATCTTCCTCGTCGAGCAGGTCCTGGTCACGGCGCTCCAGCTGTGCGGCGAGTCGGTGCCCGGCTGGACCGTCATCACGCCGGGAACCCCGATCCCCGGCGGGCCCATCGTGCCCGATCCCACCATCCCCGGCGGGCCCATGGTCCCGGACCCGTACAAGCCCGGCTCGCCGCTCAAGCCGTCCGACAGGAAGAGGAAGCAGGAAGCCGACGATTCGGACTCGGATTCGGATGCGGCGGCGTTGTTGGCTGCCCTCACGGTGCTCGAGCACGCGTACGGCTCGTATGGGAGTAGTAGTAGTGCCAACGTGCCTGTGCCGGTGTGGTTGATCATGGTGAACCTGGTGACCCTCCTGCAGGCCAGCCTCGGTGTGGCGGCGCCGGGTTGGCCGCCGGTGTTGGGGCAAGGGAGTGTGGTGCTCACGCCGTCGACTTGAAAGATGATTTTGTGAATGGGCAGTGAGTTTGAACTCGGAAAGGGGACAAGAGGGGCAAGGGGGCGATTACGGTGTTTCTTGCCGAGGGAGAAGGAGAAACCCATATTTCCTTCTCTCCTGGATGGATCTACGTTTAGCCTAACTATATTTCCTCATCCTTCTTTATTTTTTATTATTTCCTTGATCTGCTCCCGCTGTACCTATACTACCTCGACTCCGTCACGCGCTCTCGCGTCGACTCTCTTCCGAGTTCTACAGAAGGCTTGATTGACTTGTGTCTGGCATCCTCCATACGATGATGGATTGCGCTCCAACCTTACTATCTATCTGTGCTTATTGTGGCTCTCGCCTGATCGATATGCTTCAGTACCTACCTAGTGAAAAGCTCAAAGGACAGGCGCTGCCATCAATCTTGTTCTTCCTTCGCCGAGTCCTTCTCACGGTGGTCTATCCCCGGGAGCAGAACAGCGCTCCTAGCATATGGATGCTAGAAATCCCCTTCCCATACTGACGCAGCACTCCGATCATGATCTCAGGGTTGTGTTAGCAGGTAAGAATGCAGCGAGGTCGTAAGGTGACCGACCACTCTGTGGGTAGAATTAGGCGGATAGGATTCACACATTAAGATAGAAGTGGCAAGAGCTATGGTGTTTCTCGAATGAAGCCAGCTCCAAGTTCCTGCCATAAGTCAACCCTCGCTGTCCAATACGGCAGTTGTGCCTTCCAAAAAGTAATCGTGCTCTCCAAACAGTAACTGTGTATGCTGACGGTAATTCATCTTTCATAACGGTAATTCAAGGTTCAAAACGGTAATTCTCTCGCTGAAGTGTAATCCGTAATAGTACAGCTTGGCAATACTGTTGTGGGTCCCAGCAATACGGATACACGTGGAGAAAACATCCCGGGCCAACTTTCGAACCTAGCAGACTCCCAATGTAAACACACCACTTCCAGAGCACATAAAAGCTTAGAACAGGGAATTCCATGGACTATCACCAGCCGGCCCGGTAGACAATATACCTCTCATCGCCGGAAGCTCAGTGACTGCTCAGTTCCTTAGCCTACCTTGGAATTCATGGGCTGCTCTCGATGTTCAAGAATCCGACGCTGTAACTTTGAGCCCCGACTCATCGGCGCCGGGCGGGGGCATCCGGCGATCCACACGGCTCGTTGTCACGCTTCGGATCCCGGAGAGGCCCACAGTTCCTGCAGGTCCGCTTTGGGCACTGACCGCCCAGCATAACGAGTTGCGCTTGACGGAGGACAGACCGAATAAAATGATTCGCACCTATTATCAGACGAATGCCGCAGATTGAGAAGTCTCAAAGAGCCGCATTCACAGTTCTCAAAATGCGGGGACGACCTGGGTTCTAGGCTATATCGTTTCGAGACATTACGTACTCCCAGACCTACCAGCACAGAGCTCCATATTGCTGACGTAGCCATGCAGCAGACCGGATTGAGTTCTCCGACCGATCGAGACACTGGACAACACAGCATGCGTCGCAAGTTGTCCAAGTCGTCGACGTCTTGCATCGCCAACGATTCTGATTCAGACATTGTCAGGTCCAAAACGCGAACTAGTTATGCCGTCGTTTTGCCGGCCCAACCAGGAGACGTTGTGCTCATGCAAGTTGCGCTGCGGTTATCCCTCACCGCCACATCGGGAGGTTGCCCAAACAACTCTCAGGCTACCTAGATCCAATCGAAGATCTGGAAGCACGGGAGTGCTCAGCGGCGGGCCTACCATGCGGCCTAATACACAGTGCACACTATAATAGTAAAGAAGCCGGCTCTGAGAGTAACTGGACGTCGGTAACAAAGTACCCAGTGTAGCGTTAGCTGTGTTCTTATGCTGTTAGGTTACCGATGACTTACGGTCCGGCCAGTTGATTGCCCGAACCCTAGGTGAAAATCTATCATTACTGGGCAACACGGTGAAAGTACCTAGAGACTGATCTGACTTCAGCCTCGACGGTCGCACTTTTGGCTGGCATGAGACATCGTTGACCGGACCTTACACTTTATTAATAAACACATAAGAGACGATACGTACTAACGAGTATGCAGGCTCATGGGCATCATCAATGATCAACATTGCCGCGCACAGTACAGATCCAGGGCGCCACGGCCTCGAGGCATCGGGAGTGGTGAAGACCAGTGAACTTTTCACCAATCTTTGAAAGGCATGCGGCGTAAAGAGCTTGCTGCCTCAATCCGTTGGGCGACAGCACAGGCGCTAACTGGCACTAGCAAGAAACTTAAGTAGGCTCAAGCTGGGATATCGTTGCTGTCGGGTGCTGTTGAATCGGCGCTCAATTCGTGATCTGCGGGACGTCCTGCCTGGTCTTCTGTACTGCAGTGGATTTCCGGCCTCAGCAGCGTCATTGGCAGAAACGAGGTATGCCATCCCTCGAGTCAGTAGCTCTCGTCATAGCCCTGTCGAGCCCGTCACGGGCGCCGCGCGATGGAAGAAGGGTGGGGGCGAACTTTTGATGCCATCACGATCACGTCACACCCTGGACGCCACCGAAGGTAAGGAACCATGACACCCGCTATTGACCCGGCCCAGTCTGCTGGGCGAGGTTGGCAGTGGGCTGTGGACATAAGACTTCACACCTTGGACGGCCGATCGCGCTAACTATAGGATGTCGATCATACCGGGATTCCTCGTCGGACTGGAGCCCCACATCTCCGGCTTTCCAAGACAGACGCCTGGGGACTTGTAGGTAACTACCGGTAGGTGACTCTTCCTGTCAGGAAGGGATTACCTATAGAAGACGCGGCCTTGCTCGTCGCGAGTCATTCGTGGTGAGGACAGTACAGATTTAACTAAGAACTGTGTAACAGAGTGGCTTATGAATACCGTGGTAACGTGCAGCAATTATTAACAGTGAAGTGAAATATAGCTGCGCCGATAGGCAGATGAATGCACGGTTTGGCTTCCCGTCACGCTTCCAGGAAAGCCATACCTCCTTGGGGATTCACGCCATCTGGTTTTCCCTTACCTGAACGGTGGCAGCTGAGAAGCACGCCGGTTCATGGTTGCCATGCATCTTCATGCAAGCAGACGGTTAGGCTGAGGGCACCGCAGCGGAGAGAAAAAGAGGGGTTGGCGCCCCGTTGTTACACCCAGTACTTCGTGCCTCCCATGGAGTGATCACGAATATCAACTTGTGAAGTTCATCATCAGGGGAGCCAGCCTGGCACTTCAAGAGCCACATCAAAAAAAGACCACCGTGGATGTAATAAAACTTGGGATTCACCTGCACCTTAGCGCTGGCGTTTAATTCCTTCCAAGTCAGGGGCCACTAAATAGTGTCAGTATAAACGAGATATCAGTATCCTCTCTCGGCAAAGGTGAAATTATCACAGCAAAGGAAAGACATGGGGAACAACTCGTCGTTCGGTTCCGCTGCAATGAACCAAGCCTGTGAGCGCCCGTCGGCTTGCCACGCTCATTTCTCATCTGCCGCACTTGCAACGGCGAAGCCAATTAAACAGCCCGCTGCGTGGGAGATGGATGCATGGAAAGCCTCACATTTCTCCTCGCTTCTGCGGAGCGGCATCCGTTGGCGGTAATTGGACGGGAGCTTTTGGAATGGTGTCCGGCGGGTGAGACTGCCTTGACGGCCCAGTTGCAATGGTGCAGTGAAACCTTCTATGCGGAGACACCGGCAGGCCAGTTCTACTGTGTACTAGCCTGGAGGCCGGACCTTCCGTTGGTACTGTACATGTATGTACAATGGAACAATACATTACCAGCCCTCTCTATGTCACAGGCAGCAAATCACTTTCTGTGGTCATCCACATACTTACCGCGTACTGTGAAGCTCCGGGACTTGGAATGGAAGATATCGTGCAGTCGATACATACATACATACAGAGTGTACCTGCTGCGTACTGTGTGAAAGGTGTCCAATATGTATCAACAAACTGCAACCCTCCAACAAAACAACGCTAAGAAAGTAGGGCGAAGGACTGCATGGGAGCAAACGTAAGGCAACGTGGCGCTACCATACTCGACCAATCAGTTCCCACATCCCAGACACACCAGAACTTGGTGGAATGATCAACTCACCCATGTATTGCATGTATTGACGCGGCGTGGGTAACGGGAGGCTGGTAGGATTGGGGCATGGGGTCCTTGGATCTGCACGTCACTTCCGTCCATCACACCAAACAGAGACATTGGGGAGTTATCTGGGCACGAAGGGAGAGCGCTGCGGGGTGTCATTGAGGATTCCAGGCTTCCTTTCGAATCTTCCTTCTGCTGCGAGGACGAAAGCCAGCCTTGAGTCGCCTAGTAGCGCAGGCTTAGTACAAGGAGAGCAAAACAAGCTGTTTTGATGTGATGGTCAGCAGAGTCACGGAAAGCGAGAATCATCAACATGTTGAATGAAGCACATGTGAAATAGTGGCACTCTTGGCTATGCCCGGTTTCGTGAGATCGTCAGGTTCAGGTCAACAGACTTCGCTGCCTTCCCAAATCAATTGCTGGCTAGCTAGCTCGAGCAGCTGGGTGGTTTTTTTGCTTTGATCATTTCCTGTCCCCATTTTCCTGGCTGTGTTATCCCCCAACCAGGAAGTAACCCAAACATTTGTTTGCGACGGCGTCGCAAAAAGGTCTATTAACCCCGTAGAATGTCTAAAGGGGGAAAATAGAGTAGCGTGTCCTTCATGTCCCATTCCCGGATTTTCCCCTTCCCAGACAGAGAGTAGTAGTGAAATCACTGCATCATACGCCTTTCCCCAGACAGGCACCAAAAAGCGCAGCAAAGGCAGACTGGTATCAAACCCAAGCAAAACAACAAGAGTGTCGTGCCTTTGCTTCCATGAAACCCTGATTCCTCTCTATGAAGAGATAAGAAAGCGGGATGATTTTGGGGTATTAAAAGACGATTGCAGCCGAGTGAAGAAAAGCAACACTGAAACAACACAAACACCCCCGTACATGACATGAACCCCCCGCCCTTGTATTCCTCATCCTCTGCGCCGGCCCATGCTTCCAGTAGTGACCCCCTTTCCAAGCGCCAAGAGTCGAAATGACAAATGAACAGAAACGGAGTAAAAAAGATACAGATTATGTTTTCTTTTCAAACGTATAGACAGATAAATCAAGACTCCCAGTATCCAAAGACCTCCGGCGGGGTATCTCAGCCTTTCCCCGTCGGATGTCCTAGGATATGAGAGAGAATGGAGATTCTCGGATCCATTAAAATCCATATAGTGTATGGTGATATTCCCTTCAAGCACCGAGTGCCGGTGTTTAATAACGTTGTTTGTCGTGTCCTAGGAACGCGACGGAGTTCATGGTTGTCCAAGTAAGGGGGGAGGAGGGGTGTCCTATAAAGGACGGCGACGGCGTTGCGTATCCATCCAGCAGACAAAGATGGATTCCCTCTTCGGTTGAGCAGGGCTCAGATATCCAGCTCCGGAAGCGACAGTAGCAGCAACACGGCGCCCTGCGTGAGTACGACAGCCGCTAGAGGGGCGGCATGTCGTACGTGAAACGTAAGAAATGAAGCTGCTAGTAGCAGCCCTGCATATGGGCAAACAGAGGAACCTGTTGATGAAACGGAATGGGGTGGTGAAGCTGTGGCACCGGAGGCGTCGGCTGCCCGTACCTCAGGATATCCCAGACATACATGTGAAGCGGAAGCTGGACTTTCGGCGCACATGCCGGCTGGACCGGAAGGGGCACGGGCGGGTGCATGTGCTCCGGAGCAGCAGCCAGAGGATAAGAGGGGAGGCACTCCTGCGGTTGCTGATGATATGGTGATACCAATCCTGAGTCCTCTGGCTCATAGATTGCCGGATCTCCGAAGGGCGCTTGCGCCTGTGGTGGGGGGGTCTTGGCCTCCGGCATCTCCTCCAGGTAGTCGTCTTCATCAAAGTCCCCGTCGCTGCTGCCGCTGTCCGAGGTGAGGGATCCTTCGTCGGACGAGTACGCCGACTCCCCGTCCGAAGAAGTCGGGGAGAGCGGCACGTGGTCGTCGTCGTTCTGGTCGTAATACTCGCTATCCATGATGAGCGATTCCTCGCAAACGTAATCCGTTGGTTGGTCCGGCGAGACAGACAGCTTCGGCAGCGGCGCTGCCGTCGGCTGCTCGGTAAACCGGGAGCAGGCCAAAATCCGAGCGCGCAGCTCGGGAAGCCTGATCCTCTCGTCCGGGTTCCGGTTGAATATCCTTCCCAGGATGTCGTTCAGTTCATCCGACACTGGGAGGATGGTCTTCAGAAAGTCCTGGCTTGTTGCGTACGCCCGGTAGGTGGAGTCCTCATAGGATGCCTGCTTCCACGGGTTGCGTCCACAGGTGAGGTTCACCAGGATGACCCCAAGGCTCCATACATCATTGGGTGCGCAGTAATAAAACGGTCTCCTTGCAGATTGGTCCAGGCATTCTAGATAGAGAAGGGAAAGACAACAAGTCAGTTTGGGCAAAAGGGGGGAAATATTGTTGGGGGAACAGAGCGAGAAAGTAAAGAGTGGACGAGTGTCTTTCCTTTCCGCGTGCGCCTTGGTCCGGAATAGGTTTGGAAAAGACTTGACTCGAAAGAGAAAAGTTAAGAAGAAGATGATGATGGAAGACCCACCTGGAGACATGTAGAAGGTCGACCCGCAGCCATAATCCTCGGATCGCTCGTCCGAGGTAGCAAGGCCAAAGTCTGCCAGCTTGACAGTCTCTCCCTGGTCGGAGACGAGAATGTTTTCCGGCTTCAAGTCCCTGTGGTAGATACCCAGGCTGTGGCAGTGCTCCACGGCATCCAGAAGCTGGAGGAAAACCTTCTTGGCCAGCTCATCCTTACCAACATACTGCCTGCGCTCAGTGATGTTGTAGAACAAGTCACCCTCAGGGCAGTACTCCAGCACAACGTAGATGCAGTCCAGGTAGTCGATGATCTTGAGGATGGACACCACATTGGCGTGGGTGGATGCGAGGTAGTGCAGCCTGATCTCCCTGGACTGGAAAGCGACTTGGCGGCGGTCCAGCGGCGTCCCGTCGGCGTTGAACTTGCTCAGGCACTTCACAGCATACCGGGCATTCGTCTCGATGTCGACGGCAGAGTACACCACCCCGTAGGCGCCGGTGCCCACAATGTCCCGCAGCTGCAACGAGTTGGTGAGGAACCTCCCTAGTCTCTCCTCCGGGGCCACCGGAGCGTACCGGGGGAGGCAGCGCTGCTGGACGGTGATGTGCTGGCTGGGGATGGCGCAGGGCTGGCCGAACGCTGGCGACGCTGGCGGAGTAGGGTATCCGAACGCTGAAACATGCTGCATGATCTTGTTCCTGGGAGCCTCTGGAAATTGGTATTGTTGAGATGAAGTCGGACCCAGGTCCAGAGGGCGGAAATAGAAAGAAAAGGAAACAGCACGAAAGCAGAGGAAACGCAATCCAGTGGCAAAAAGATCCAGCGGCGGGATTGGCAATTCTCCAGAACCAAAACGTAGAATCAGGGCGGCAACGAGCTCTTCCTTTGTCCCTGCGGGATAGCTCCGGAACTTTTCCTAGGCTTTTTTTGTGGGGGGGGGGGGGGGCGAGGCCGGGTTCGCAACAAAGGTGACCTCGAATGAACGAGTCACGCCGGGACGCTGCGGACAGGGAAACCAGCGGTTGGGCGTCAATGGGAGGGAGAGGCGGTCGAGCGTCGGCAAAGTAGCCCGGGAGCGGAGCGGTAAGAGAAGAAAGGGTGCGATTGAGAAGGAGGAGGAGGAACGGACTCCCACGACACTGGCTCAGGAAGAACCAGAGACGAAGAACGGATCGAAACGGGGGGGAAGAAGAAGGTGTTTTGAATGAGGGCGAGAAATGACGGGCGGCGGTCGGCAGCGGGAAAGTGAGGCATGAACTGCAAGCTCGCTGAAATGTCTCGTCCTCCTTGACTGGTCATCCCCCGGCCTTTTGCCCCGGCTTGTTTGGACTCCTTTTGCCTACCCCTGTTGCGATACCCCTGTTGCGCACACCCCTGCCCCCTCATCGATTTGTTGTGGGCTGGTGTCCGCCATGGTGATTGATTGGCATGGAGCGCCAATGCACAAACTGGCCCAGCCGTCGTTGACGCTTGTTGATTGCGCCGAGCCGGACCCCCTGTCAGGTGAGGGACTTATGTGAGTGGTAGCCCTGGGTGGCACGAGCCAAAACACTTCTGCTATCCGACCCACCCCTTCGCAATCCCGCTTCCATGACACACCGTATATCGTCCACTGTGTACGTAGTTACTATTGTTGTCCCTGATGTGACTGAGTCGCCGGGCGCCCGCCTGGTTGCTGGGCCGCAACGGAGGATAACGTAGGGATTACGAGGATTGTCAGTGGCTGACACAGACAGCGAGACGCCCACCTTGGGCTGTTCACTCTGGGCTGGCCACCGCTCGGCGCCCCATGCCCATGCCCTTCGCGGGCCCAGTCTCGGCAGGACACGACGGAATAGCTTACCTACGAAGGCGAGAGAGCTTGCGTCGGGAGTTGAACAAGCATGTCGCCACCTCCGGGACATGCCTTCCTTACCCACAGGACGGCTGGGGACAGCTGATGGCAAGAAAAAAAAATAAGTGCTTATCACCAGACTGATGACGGAGGCGAAGACCTTGAGACGTACGCGTACCCGTGACACCAGCCCGGCTTCTGGTCGTACTTTTGATCCCGCTTGTGGCGCGGGAAGGGCGGAGTTGCTTCTTTCACGGTCGAGATTCGTAAGGATGAAGTCACATCGCCTGGTCCGCCAGGGTTGTCCGAGACTGCATTGATTGGCTCCCACACCTTGGGTCTGAGAGGTGCTTCAAGACTGCATCATGAGCCGTTTGGATTCTGCGGATCAGCAGCCCGCTGCCAGTGGCCCGAGTGGGAAACTGCATATCGGTGGCTAGGCGGGCGTGAGGTCCTACACGTGGATATCCGATTTTGTTGGTGTTCGCACCCTACCCGGTGTACGGAGAATACTGTGTATCCGTGCTCCGTACTGCTCCTATGGTATTAGGTATGTACTTGAGTGAGTGTGTGGGACAAATAAATCTTCATGCCGTGTATCGACGCAACAGGCACACTAGCACTATGGATAAAGTAAGGTACTGTACGTGCGGTAGGTCGGCCAGCACTCCAGCTGCCTGCCGTGGCCTGCTTGGGTGCTGTGCAGGTACGGAGTACGGTATAAGCAATGACGCCCACCGAGTGACCGAGGTGAGCGAGAGCGAGGCGTGCGAGGGGCGTCTATCGAAATATCCGAGCACGCACACATCCCGTTGCAGGGAATCAATGTTACTCTCCGTGATCCCTTGGGATCCGCTAGGGCCAGAAGAGGCAAAGCTGCCGATAGGTACCCATCCCGAACTGAGGCGCAGACGGAGTGCTTGAGATTACAGAATTGTGACGGGCTGCTGGAGGCAAAGAGCCTCGGAGCCTTTGACTTGACTCATGAGGCTGGGACAATCGAACGTCCCAGGAAGTTGATTGCGTCTCCTGGTTGGCCAACAGCCAATCTTAACAGGTATCCTGTTGTCACGTGCTCGTAGGTCTGATCCCTCAGGCCAAGACTGGTATGTAAGGTACAATACATCATACACGCCAAGCTTGTAATTCCGCCAGAAACAAACCCTTTGGTAAAGCTGCCAGTACCGGTAACTTACGTGTAAGTTGCCCTGCGTCGACGACGACCACTGCCAGTCGATGTTGCGCTGGATGTGTATCACTCGTTTGTTTGGAGCTTTACACTACCTACCTAGGTCCTTACATCTAACCCCTTGAGCTTACGGCCAGCCCTGTAAAGCATACACGCGACGTCACGAACCCGGTTCTACAAGGTGAGCAATTGTGCGTTAGTAAGATGAAGAACCATTGGGATGTGTTGTTACAGTCAACAACGCGAGAAACGATACTCCTAGACTCATTATCGCTACAATGCCGTAGTCCGCTCTCAAGCACTTATTAGCGTTAGGGAGTGACAAAAGTTGCGACTGCTTTTCTTAACATTCCAGGTTCCTGTCATGCTACTGCCGGTCTCTGCCGACATATCAACCTAGAGAGGTCTGCTTTAGTAGACTTTCCCCAACTTTCGGCTCCAACCAACTAACTGGTAACCGAGGCGTCAACTCGTCAATTCGGTGACAACCAAACTCTTTGCTTTCCTACATATCATGAAATAGCAAAATCATATCATATCAACACGATTAATCGTGTGAACCCCGACGCCTATCTGAAGTATCTGGCCATGATGAGCTTTGCCAGGGAAAAGGGCGTACCATGTAACCATTTGTACGTACATGTACATACAAGCACATAGCGAGAGGCAATGACTCCCGTCCGTGGTCATTACTAAATTAATCTCCTCGAGTTTAAACATGAGCAATGGAAGATGGTAATCACATGTGGCAGCCTCGGCTTGAGGGGGTGGGCTCGCATCTCGTCATCGATTTGTACTGTTCGTTTCGTTTCTAGATCTGAGTTGTCAACAAGCCTCGATCGATCATTGACATCATTTGGTGGGGGGAGTCTACACGTGTATGCATACATTCATTACTCGTGGAGGGTTGTGTAGAAGCGTGCTCACTCCTGGCACAGGCCCTTCATCAGTTTGAACTGGGCTATTTATTATCCCGCTGTATGCAACTCGAGAAGGTCACTGTGTGACTGGCCAGCGACGGCGGCAAGTACATGTCGATTGTTTGTTGACATTGCAACTCAGGGGCTTGAACAACGACAGACGCCGCAACGACAACGAGTGCAGAGCAACCCCTAGTCTTGCTCCGACTCAATCATCTCCTAAACACGTCACATGGCTCCGGGCCTCCAAAGTCTGCCTTCGTCTGCCCAAACAGACAACTTTCGATCTTGTCCGGTGGAAAAAAACGGTGTTGAACTTGCGTCAAACCGCACCCACACTATGGTTAATACCCGTCTCTCGCAAGGAAGCAGAGGGCGTTTGCATCCCGTAAATGGCCGTTGACATTTCAAAGTTACCCAAGGACACTAGACACTGTGCTCACCGTGAGGCGCCGACAGGTTGGACCGCCCGACAGGCCGACCGCCGCGGCCGCCTTGCCCCTGCCTTGTCCTTGACCCGTCGCTGCGCCGCCAACCGCGGGATCTGGGCCACCCGTCCTCAACAGCGCTCGCTTATTATTTATTTCCCCGGCACCCCAAGTATGACTCCTGCACACAAACAGGCGCGTGGCGCCACGGATGCGGTTGCAGATGGGTCAGGCCGAAGTACAGGACAGGCAGTTTGAACGCCCAGGACCGACCGGGTTGCGGCGGCAGGCGCAGGTGTTTTCGTTCACCAACCTAGGTATAGCCTTGCATTTTACGGGGCGCATCGTTGTCCAACGATACCATGCCATGTTCCGACGCGGCTGTCCGGTGGCTGGAACATTTCTGGGCCACTGGACGCATTGTGTCGGACAGTCAGGTCGCTCGGGAGCCGCGCCGGGAGAGGGCCTGGTGAGAATGCGGCGGCTAGCCACATACGGCTTCCTTCGTGCGATCTGCCTGGGCGGCGGGTTGTGGTCTTGACAAGCCTTCTGTCTCTTGTGTTCCCCCGTCATGCACATATAGCACCTGATCATCCAGTCTCTCGGGGGGTGGCGCCTATGCCACACCACTTCCAGTTGTGTCTCGTTGGAGTCAGACTTAACGGGAGACGGCGTTGTCAGATTCTGATACCCCGAGAGCGATGAGGCATGAGCTGTTTGTTGTGTTACGTTGTTTGCGCATTGCTCTGCGGCGCTGAAGCGGCTGGCTAGCATTGGCCGGTTCGAGGCCCCGAGCGGATGAACGTTGGCCACTCGATGGGTAACGTCATCTGATATACGCGCTGGCCATGTTTCAAGGCCGAGAGGAGGTGGGAAACGGCAAATGGGCAATAAAGGAACAAGCGGAGGCGGCGCAGCGCCGTGGGAAGGGGGTCGCTTATTTACTGCGTTTCCCTGACCTCCGTCGTCGTCCAGCCATGCCTTTCCTCTGGGCTGAGCCGTTGACATGCATGGATCCGCCTGTATGTACGCGGCTGGTCTCACGGTTGCGGCGTTGATCATGGGACACTGGTACGGAGTGAGTGTGCATGTATGATTCCGAATAAAGGATCCGAGATGGTGAGCCCGCTGACCCGCGGCGACCAGCTCCTCCTGAGGAGATGAGCAACACTCTTCGCACAGCCGTACATACATACCTAGCTAGCTAAGTCGAGGCGCTGCTCTCAAAAAGTGTACCTCCCGCATGAAGACCTACTGCATCCCCAACGACTGCACAGCGGTTGCTCAGGAATACCACAGAGTGTGCAATATCCACCAGCATATCCAGCAGCACGCTGTTCTTCCCCGAGTCGGATGAGTGTCGTTGAGGGTCGTCCGTATGCGCACTCTATTTGCGATGAGTGAGGGCGACGACGACGTCCGTCAGAAGAATTGCAAATGACCGGTTCGTATTCTCATAATCTCCGTGTAGTCATAGAAAAAGCGTCATTCCACGCGCCGACTGCTGCCCCTATGCATCGCCAAAGAAAGTGGTGCCCTGAGCCGGGAGAAACCCCAATGAAACGCCCTCGCTCCCCGGTGCAGGGCCTATTTCTTGCCCGACTTCTTGATGCCCTTCGTTGTGCGTTAGAACACTTAAATAAAGAACCGGGCGGTCGTCTGGTGGCGTGGAAGTCATACCTGAGCGCCAGTGTTCTGGGGGGAAAGAGCGCGTTAGTCTACAACGTCGAAATGTCTATACAGCGGCAAACTGTGGGGTGGGGGACAACCCACCAAAGGGCCCTTCTTGCCGCCGGCCTTGGCAGCGAGTTCCTTCTTCTCCTTCTCGTCTGTTTATTTATAAGGATCCTCATGTCAGGTTCCATTGGCATAAAAAGGGAATCCCGGTGGTGCCGCTGGGCTATCCCTTACAGGCACGCTTCTTCTCGAGAAAGGCCTTGTCCTCCTCATCGAGCTCCTTGGGGCCCTTCTTTGGTGCCTATCTCCAGTTACCGCGTTAGTCCCACGGGTCTGATTCTGGCATGTCGGAAAGGTGTGTTGCCCGGTCAGCCGGTCGTGCGCACCTTGAGGGGCTTGGCCTTGCCGCCTGTTGTGATGGTGTCAGCAGCTCAGGATCTCGTGGGAAGAGCAAGGGAGGCGGCGAAAGACGTACCGTCTCTGCTGATGCCGCCCATTTTGTTGACTTCAACAAAGAGAAATAGCAATAGATTCGCGAGAAATCTCCGTCTCCGTGGGAATGGGTTTCTTTTTTGACAGAAGCGACCGCGATTCTAGAGCGAGTTAGCCCCACGACGGAAAAGCGGTGACGGTAGCGAGCTACGGTTGAATCGTGGAGTACTCAGGATATAGCGGCGGGGTAGCACGGCTTGCTCCTACAGGTAGAAGATTTCCGCCGGCTTCTCGCTCAGCCAATGGCACGCCATACCTCCCCTACTTGGCCGTGCCTGTAAGCGATATGAGTGGTTGAGATTTCCAGAGCTGTCCCACAAACCCTTCTAGATCTTCAAACGAGCCTATGGTGACCGCCCGTATTAGTAACAGCTCCACAGCCCCTTTCGGCAGGTTCCGTCATTTTAGCTTGATACAGTCGCCTTGGAAGTCCACCTCGCACTCAGACCCGTCACCACATTAATGTACGGATATTCACATGACATCACGACTATTTCCATCACCCGATCGACATAGTTGAGCTTGTCATTTGCTCTGCTTCTCGTGTTAGTCTGCAACTGGAAGCGCGACTGGTCGGGTTTAGCTCTCACATTTCTGGATTGAAGCATTACTGACGCTGCTTGCGCTCCTCAACAGGGAAGCGCGGGTTGACCAAAGGACATTCTGGGTGTTGCCGTCGGAGCAGGGACAGATATCTGATTCGAGGGTGCACTTGGCGGTCGGTACCATGGCATCTCCAGCTCCTAGCTCGGATGAGGGGGAAATCGTAGAGGCAACTCCCCTGCCTCGCTCTGAACAAAACGGTGATGTTGACCGAACCGACAGACATCGAGGGAGATACCCGTCGCGGACACCTGAGGTCGACCTGCCGCCGCGAGATACGGCGGATGGACCGCGCCGACGCAGCCGCTCACCACGAGGCTGGAAGCGGGCCCGGGATGAACCACGGGATCGACGTGACACGCGACAGTTCCGCGTCCATTACGAGGGCGGCCATCGCGATGATCGCCGCCAGTACCGCGATTTAGACCGGCCCCCTCCGCGCGGGTCCGATCGCTACGACGAGAGTTCAAACTACCAACACAGCAGCCGAGACCAACCACCTCGTGGCAGGGCCCGCCGTGCTGATGGCAGCGGCCACGATGCCGCCAACGGCCGTGACCGTGGACCCGATGGCTATCCATACAAGCGGCCCCGAAACCGCAGCCGCTCACCCCACAGCCGAGCCGACAGGGGAAGGCGAGACGGGGCTCGCCCCGGGGCTGATTTGAGGTCAGGCGAAGACAAGTACAGTGCCCCAGCTGAGAGACACTCACAAGACGCTTTGTCCAAGCGGGATACTGCGTCAGAGGCTCCCGCTGCTCCAAGCCGAAATGCTAAGATTGACGAAGGTGGTACGGTTGAACGAGGCATCGATGGCCTTGCCATCTCACAGACTAGGTAACGATTTGCCAGTTTCCAACAATCATCGAGCCGTGCTGACCTCCGAATTCCAGGGCACCTCCACAAGATCCCGAGCCTGACATGGACTGGGATCCAGACACGGCCATGGACGAAGAGTCCGCCGTCCAAGCCGAAATCGAGCGTCGTCGCCGAGCGAGAGAGGCAGCACTCAAGCGAGGTATCGGTCAGGCTAGTGACGGGCCGGCATCTACCCCTGGTGATACGCGTCAGAGCACCCCAAGGCCTCAGAAGGCGAACGGAGAAACTCCCCAGTCAAGTAAAGACCGCTAATCCCCGTCCATGGCAGGTGAGATGCTAACAAAATAAATGCAGATGGCCCTTCTTCACCAGCTCTATCTCCTGGCAGGATGCAAGACGCCTTGTCTCCAGGGGTGTTCAACTTTGCCGACGACCAAGCGCTGATCAACGCTCATGCTGCCGCCAAAGCCCGCGAGGAGGATGGCCCCTCGGCCGCCGACTATGACCCGACAGCTGACATGAGGGAAGATGAACGCCGAGATGAGATGCGCCATGGCAACGTAGGTCTGCATGGTGAACCCCGGGAGGAGCCGATCGCGCCGCCGGCCCAGGAGCCGAAAGACGAGGGTGCCAAGCAGAAGGAGGACGATGATGAGGACGAGTTTGACATGTTCGCGGATGATTTCGCCGACAGATTTGCCGCCCCAACAACTTCCAAACCCGACGCCACTCAAGAGGTCAAGGCGCCGCAGCCTGGAGCTGGCGGTGCCATTCTCGAGGGAGACGATAAGGAGGGCTATTACAAAATCCGACCCGGGGAGCTGCTAGATGGTCGCTATCAAGTCTCGACCACCTTGGGACGCGGCATGTTCTCAGGAGTTGCACGCGCCATCGACATCACGACCAAGAAGCCCGTTGCAATCAAAATCATGCGGAACAACGATGCGCTTCGCAAAGGCGGCCTTACGGAAATTGCCATCCTTGAGAAGCTCAATGCCACCGACCCGGAGGACAAGAAGCACATTGTCCGGTTCGAGCGGTCATTCGAGTACAAAGGGCATCTATGTATGGCCTTTGAAAACCTGAGCATGAACCTCCGGGAGGTCCTCAAGAAGTTTGGCAACAATGTTGGCATCAACCTGAACGCGACGCGGGCGTATGCCTACCAGATCTTCCTGGCGCTTGGCCACATGCGCAAATGTAGCATCATCCACGCCGATCTGAAGCCTGACAACATTCTGGTGAGCCGCACGTGTTGTGGTGCAGAGACTGGTCACTGACTTCTTCCAGGTGAACGAAGCCCGTAACATGCTCAAGATCTGCGATCTGGGCACGGCAATCGACCGTTCGGATGCGGCAACGGCTGCCATGGAGCCCATGCCTTACCTCGTCAGTAGGTTTTACCGGGCTCCCGAGATCATCCTGGGTGTGCCGTTTGACTACGCGGTCGACATGTGGTCCATCGGATGCACTCTCTATGAGCTGTACACCGGCAAAATCCTCTTCACGGGGGAGTCCAACAATCAGATGTTGAAGAACATCATGGAAATTCGGGGCAAGCTGAGTGCCAAGCTGTACAAGCGGGGCCAGCTTGCCCACAATCATTTCGATGACTTCGGCAACTTCATCAGCGTTGAGCGAGACAAGATCCTAGGAAAGGTGAGTCCAACCCTTCCGCAAGCGCTGAGCCAAGTCACCAATCCCCGTGCTTGTCGCTCTTTCAACTTCGCTCCGTCCCGGTTCACCACCTCTGTCCCGGTTTACCCCACTCCTCGCTCCCTCACGAATTCTAGTTCCATACTCATACGAGACGAATACTGATTATTTTTTTCTTTTTCCACTCTTGAACAGACAAGCATCAAGACCCTGGCGACTATCAAGCCAACTCGGGATCTGCGCACGCGCCTCCTGGCCGCCTCAGCCGGGATGACCGACACCGAGAGCAGAGAGCTCAACCACTTCGTCGACCTTCTCGAGCGCTGCCTGACCCTGAACCCGGAGAAGCGCCTCACGCCGGCCGACGCGCTGCGGCATCCCTTTTTCACGCACCGTTTGCATCTGCAAGTGAATGGGCATGGACACGGGCACGGGCACGGGCATGGGCATGGGCGCTAAGGGAGCGCCAAAGTGTGATTTTCCACAACGTAGAGGTCTGTGTTGCCTCGGAGGGGGAAGGGCGATTAGCTGGATCCCGGTGCGTGCCGGTTTGCTTTACGGAGACGGGATGGGATGTGTTCAGCCAGACCAGACGGGGCGAACATTAAGAGGGGATGGGGAGGAGAGCCACGAGGACCGGCTTCGCCCGCCCCATCGTGGAACGATAGGATTTAAGGTAGATACATAGTTCATGGGTATTATCAACACGCTGTGACCCGCTCTGGGTAATGGATATAAACTCTCTTGTCGAGGTATGACCCCGATTCTGTTGGTGACTAGGGGACTACGATTATCTCCTAGACATCATTGTCTTTTCCCGCAACTCAAACCCATAGCACGCCCCCAATGCCAGGCAAAATGATGTTTCGGGGGCTTTTAGCGTCTTCATAATGCCGGGATCAATATCATACACCTACCTACCCTCCGTTCTTCCTAAACGGAGCGTTCAAAAGATCGGGAAGGTGAGTGGGGTACTAGTACGGAGAGTATCTGTATCGGTTCAACTTGCCGTTACCGCCCGGCTCGAAAATGACCTTCACGCTCTGCATAGTACTAGCACTTCGTATTTGATATCTCATAATACCTTGTGTCTCAAGTTGGGGGTGTGTGGCAAAAGGATCATTGAATTGGGTATCTTAAGGTGCTGAAGTGGCTTCGCAGTCTCATCCATGCTATTACAAGATATATCTCTACAACGCAGTGCCATTGATAACGAAAAGATCATTTCGTGAGCGAGGTCAGGTAGCCAGCCCAGAATTCCCATTTCCAAAACCCTCATGAAAACCATCTAGCCTCCAACGCCGAACAATGCCCAGGGAAGATAGACCAACGTCGCTCTGCTTTCCACTTGCTCTTCGTACCTCACCCGCAGACTTCTCTCTCTGCCTGTCTGGCGAAGATATACTTATGCTCCCGGATGAAACCTTCGCCCTTCTTTTCACCCAACCCAGTGCCCCTTCCTGACCTCCGTGACCCTCCTGGGCAGCGGCGGCCTCGTGCCCGGAGGGAAATCCTAGTTCCCACCCCACATATGGCTGCCACTCCGCGTTGCTGTCCCCGGTGTCCCGCCCCCATCCCCTCTCCTATCTCTGTTCCTGTTGCCTCCCCGGAAGTAATCGTATTGGATAGGATCGTGCGGCGTCACGATTGGCGGCGACTGCACCGCCTCGATCTCTTCCTGTGGCAATCCTCCGTAACCGTGCGGGCCGCCGCCCAGCATCCCGGGCGCCCGTGTGCTCGTGCCCGCGCGGGTTGCTGAAGTTGGGATTGAGCCGCCGTCAGGTCCATATGGGCTGGCGGGGCGAGGGAAGCCAGGAGGTGACACCGGCATACCTGCCGCGTTGGCCACAAGGTTGCTATTGCTGTCGTTGCCGAGGCTGTACATGGGACTCCGGTTGTGGGAGGTTTCGTAGGGCGATGAGTAGGCTGCTTGCCCTGCATACGCGCCCGACGGGAGCGTAGGAGACATGTAGTTGTGGGGATAGGCTGAGGAGGGGCCAGAGTCTGGGTACTGTCTCCGGGTACCGCCAAAGCCCATTCCTCCGAGTGGTGTGCCGGGTCTCGAGTTTGCCTCGGAGCCAAACCCGCTGCCTATCGTGCCTGGCGTGCCCGGGCGAACCATGTCTGAATATTGGCCGAATAACTCGCCGGCGCCGTGGTCCTCCGCGAACTCGTCACGGTTCTTGTAGAACTCAAAATCGAGGCGGGACTCGGGGACCACTTCAAATCCGGGGATGGAAGGGGAGGATTTCCCGGCTTTGCCGGACGCCATATTGTCAAGAACGTAGCTATCGCTGTAGCCGCTGACTGTCATAGAGTCCTCCAAGCCGGCATCCCGGCCATCGCTCAGTCGGCCTCGGTAGACGCTCGCAAGCAGATTTTGCGCCCTCTGGTGCACCATCGGCGTGATGAGGGGCTTGTAGAGTGCAGGGTGGCCGAAGCGAGCAGCAAGACGGTCGTTCCGCAGACCCTGCTCCTTCAAGTCCAGACCTGCCTCGGCCCGCTGTTGCCCGGTGTATCGCGTCGTGTAATAATGAAGCTTGTCGTCGAAGGCACGCGCACAATAGAACTTGAAGGCGATCATCAGGAAAGGGAGAGGAGCGACGGCGTATGCTTGGACATGTGACGCATCGCCCCGAACCCAGACGACGAGGAAGACGACGAGATGGGAGAGGATAGAGCCAAACAAGAAGCGGTTGAACAAGATGCGCCAGAACATGCCGCCGCTCTCCGTCTTGGTAACGAAGACGTAGAGCAGCAGATACTTCTTGAGCCCCACATCGATGCAAAAGTATAAAGCTGCGGCGGGCAGCACAAGCGGCTGGATCGCTGCGTAACAGAGAGCGACGGTCGAGTAGAACAAGAAATAGTTGTAGTAGCTCGCATAGTCGAAAGGGGGTGGCGCAGTCAGCTCGATCAGCTCGCGGGGTGTCGGACTCGAAAATTTCCGCATGATGAAGCTGTAGAAGAGAGTCCATAGCTGAGCCAGGTCAACCGCAGCGCCTAGCTGTCTCTGGAGAAGCCAGGTAATCCAGAAGGGGGACCCTTGGCAGAGCGAGACGAAGACGGTCAAGCCAATATTCTCGTCGAGGATGGCCTTCCAAGCATCCGTGCCTCCTTCGGTCCGCTGAACGACGCCCGCTGTAAAACTCCATATGGCGCTAAATACGGAGAAGATGATGAGGTTGTTGAAGACGAAGAAGGCGTACAGCTTGGCCACGACGTGGCGTTCGCGTCCAGTTTTGGTCTGGTCGCCCGCCCGGATGGACAAGCGCCGGAAGATGATGGGGAGGATCAGGTAGACGAGCGACGTGATCGCTGGGGACGCGATACCCTGGATGATGGACCAGAGCGTGTAATTTGCCGATAAGGACACCTGGAAGGCGTGCCACACCTGCCCTAAGTTGGCCAGGTTCACCAGGAAAATGGCGATCATGGCGTTCGGCGCAATCCACAGCAGAGTGAGAACCGCGACCCAGAAGTTGTTCCAGAGCCGCCTTGTGCTCCGGGTTGACGAACTGAGCGGCATGTTCTCCCAGATAATGTCGTTCGGCCTAGGGGCGAGCTTGACAGTCGCGCCGTGAGGCTTCTTCTTGCGGCAGGCGTAGGCAATAGCGTGCGCTTCAGCGATATCCGAGTACGAGGCAAAGCCGTACGGCATGGACCCCCTCTTGTCCACTCGCTGCCGGACATCCTTGATCTCCAGCTCCAAGACCTTGATGCGCTGCGTGAGGTATTCAATGGCATCGAGCTTGTGTCCTTTCGGGTAAGTGCCGTACGAGGGGTCCTTCCTGGACGGGGAGCATTTCGGCCGTTCCGGTGGCAGGTTCTGCGGGTCCTTGAGGTAAACAGCCAGCACCTTTTCCAATTTCCGCACCGTCTTATTGTGCTCGTCGATCAGTTCCGGGAGGATCTTAACGTCACGGGCGACGGCGGTCCTCGAGAAAGACGAACTGGGGGCGACTTTGTCGATGATCCGGGCGATTCCTTCGTCAGAGCACATATTCTTGGGAATATCGTACAACTGTCTCCCACATTAGCTAAGCCTCGAAAAGGAAGAAAGGAACAAAGGAAGAACGGGCGAAAAAGGAAAAAGAGAGAAAAAGGGGCAGAAAAAGGAGTCATACCATCAAGGTCCGGGCATGGAGGCTCCGCTGGTACTCCGCGCTCTGCATATACTGCCGCCTCAGCTGTAGAACTTTCCTATAGTTCCACCAGAGAAACCCGCACACGATGATAGTCAGTAGCCACGCGAAGACGACTGTAGCCCAAAGAGGAGCGCCCCAGACATTCCTCGGCGTGACCTTGGCGAGCCATACGTCGTCGCCAGAGAAGTTGACCCAATTGACTGGAATCAGGATGCCACAACCGAGCACGGAGAGGATGACGAAGACGTTGCGGCACATCCTCGTGAAGCGCATGAAGAGCGCGGCGTCCAAGCCAACCAGGTTCACCAGATCCTGCTCTGAGGTCGACCAGAGAGGGACGACCCATGCCAAGATCCCCTTTCCCAGCGGCGGTGGGGCATGTTTCTCGTCGGCATGCTTCAACTTGGGCGCATATACAACGCTATTGTATGGTCGCAGGAAGGAGAAGCAGACGGCGATAGCGGCAGTGATACCGACAGACGAACCCAATGCAGCAAAGACGGACTTTTGTTGTAGCTGGGAACGACGGGTTCAGCGAGAAGCCAGAGGGTTGACCGGCGGTGCAATAGGGGTGCGCATACCTGAGTGGCGAAAGGGTCTGATAATAGATCCAGCAGGACCTTGGCGGGGTTGGGATCGTCATCCCTCGAGAAGAGCTGTCGTAATAGAGCCATGCCGGCTCCGATTTTAGAATGTGATGCCCGGGAAGGGCATCAAGAGCAGAGTTGCGACCAGTGACTCGGGGTTGACCTGGGAGTTGGCCAGGAGCTTGGGGCTGGTCACGAGCTATATCGAGTTTGCTAGCTGTGGGGGCCTGATCTCGCGTGGTGTTCGTCCGATGCCTTGCCTTCCCTTGTTAACTTTGCCGTCTTCTCAGGAGCCTCGTGATGTGGAAGTCCCGTGGGTAGTTCTGATGCAGTTGAGGGCGTTCCGACTCCCGCACGAAGCGATAGTATGTAGAGACTTGGCAGTCCTGGACTATGTGCAGTCGAAGCTGGGTGCCCAGTGACGTATTCGGTGGATGGAGGGGAGATCAACACGCCAAGGGGTGAACGGTGCGTCGTCAGAAAGAGCCGACGGCAGTTCGAGATCGACAACGGTAGAACCGTGGGAAGCGAACGGAGTAAATAATCAGCCGTTGAGAGTGAGTGAGCGTCAGGGTAATTCGACGTTATAGCGAGTGGTGGCCGGAGTTTCCCATGTGAGCACCAAAGAATGGGTTGAGGTAGGGTGTGGCCAGGTGATGGTCGTGTCCAAAGGAAAATGTCCTTGGAGAGCAAGGAACGCCGGAAGCTTGGAAGCTGAGTCCTGCGCCAAGATCTCGCTAGATGGAGGCCGTTGCCAAGAAACGCGACCTGGAAGCCGACACCCCCCAAAAAAATCTAGAGACCGAACCCGATGTGTATGGAGAGGTAACGTTATTTTCTTTAGAGCCATACTTCGTAACCACATAAAAAAAGGCAGTCTGCCTTGTTGCCCCGGCATTTTGGCCGGAGAACTCACGGGATCCAATGATGCCCGATGATTCTATTTTGGCACTGCCACTCATCCGGCCCCGAGTGAATCGATCTCAAGGTTCCCCGGTTTATCAATCCCAACCGCAGGCTAGCCGGTGGGGCAGTCGAGTGGGAATACGAGCTGCTGGTAAGGGTTCACAAGAACACAAGGGGGTGCACAACATCGCAACGTTGTTGAGCAGCGGTTGTGAACACAGGGCAGGCCACAATATGTAAGAGGAAGCCTGCACCGTCAACTAGGATTTGTCTGTTCGAGCCTTCGAGTTGTAGGTTTGTTGACCGCATGAACGTATGAATTCGGCCCCGGTTTGGTCGCCCGCAGCGGCGGGATTATGGGATGGCCGGTAACCGGGCGGATCGTCCCAGGTCGGGATCTCAGATTTTTGCCACATCGGGCGATTGATCTCACTGATCTCATTCAGGTCTGATCAACTCGCCTGCGCCGTGAAAGTCGCTAGGTCGATGACTGTTACCGTACCACACATTCTGGAGCGCTTCAAAGCAAAGCACCAAGTCGTTAGGTTGGACCCAATAACTACGACTTTGCGGCGTGCCCATTGTCCACAGGAGATCTGGAATAACTACGGATACCGTACATGTGATACCTACTATGCTGCAGGTGATGCGATGCACGCGCCTCCGCCGCTGTCATCATCCGGCCCGCTCAGCACCACACATTACGGTAGCTCTCCAACAAGCTCGTCAATTACAATGGAGATCAGATATCATGAACTCTACGCAGAACCACTTATCAGTCGTTCCCTAAGAGGTCCTGAGTTTATGTAAAACCTGACATTCTCATTCAAACCTTTTAAGCTTCCAGATAGGTATCCATCAATCTTGATGAGACTACTAGTAGCCAACATTGGTACTTCACTCCGTCGTAGGCCGGTGTACCTAGAAAAAAAAGAAAACTCCAACTCCAAATTTTGAGAGCCCGTTCTCCATTAACCCACCCAGACAAACATCGTTTGATAACCATGAAAGTAAATAGAAGAGAGATGACCACCCATCACTTCAACAACCTGACATCAGCGCTGCTTCAACTTCAAGGCTCAATAGGCCCCTGGCTCCTCGTCTTCCGCAACGTTCTGCCAACCGGCACTGCGGGCTTTGCCTGCTTCCTCGGACGGCCGACTTTCTTCGCAGGCGGGGCCCGCGTATCCGCTCCTCCATTGGCCTCAGCCTTGTGTTCGGCTGCCGTCTCTCCATCAGCAGTCTTGGCTTTCTTGCCATTCGGAAGGCCGGCTCCGGCATCAGCATCCGGGCCGAGGGCTTCCCCAGCTTCTCGCTTGGTGCCGGCTTCGACGGGCGCGGTTAGACCGTCTTCTTTAGCGGTGTCGGCGAACGGAGCCGCAGTAGCCGGGTCCTCCTTCATTTCCGTGTCTTTCTCCTCGGATTTACCGTTTGTGACGGGAGCTGTAGTTTCTGCGCTCTCCGTCGACTTCTCCAAAGCCGCCGCGGTCTCCCGGCCTTGCTCACTTGAGTCTTTATCCGGTTGCGCGGCGGTAGCTTCCGGCTCGGCGACAACGGGATTGGAAAGGCCATTCGTCTCCTTCGTTTCTACCGCCAGGGGAGCGGTAGGAAGCGTGGCGGGCTCAGCGGCTTCGACATTGTTATCCACGGGCGCTGAAGTAGGTTCCTTGCGCAATGCGCCTGACTCCTCCGTCGCCTCCGTGCCGTCAGTTGCAGTTGTGGGGGCTAAGCCATTTTCGCCCGAGGCGTCGCCCGGTCCGGAATCAGGCACGTTAGCCCGCACGGGTTCATCAGCCTTTCCCTTTGCGGGAGGGTCGGGCGCCGGGATTTCGGCGACGCTGGTCGCCGCAGAGACAGGCGGTGCGCCAGCTGGCTCCTGTTGACCAACTACTCGTCGCGAGAGGATCTAGCGTCAGCATCGATGCGAAGAATGGTTGTCATAAGACAGGCGACCCTAAAATACGCAAATAAACATAGCCGCGATATCGAATGCAGGGTGATGTGTGTTGCGCTGCGTATTGGCTGCGGTTTCTTACCATTCAAAGTCCCTGTTTCCCCGGACATCGCGAAAATGACGTAACGGCGAATCCTCGCACGGCCGATTTAGATGGATGAAGTCGCTCGAAGTTGAGGTCGGCAAGATTGCGATGGTGATCAACGAGCGTGAGATGGATAGTTTTGTGATTGAGGAATTGGCCACGGTTCAAAAGAACGAGCGCGCAATATGTAGAAGGGAAGAGAAGATCGGATTAACTGCCCACGGTTGGGAAGTGATGGAATACCGTAGCGGCGTGCCATCGCACACGGTACTGTGTGCCGTGCCTTTATGCAGAATTGGCAAATCAGCCCACAGACAAGGTCGCTCCACTGCTACAGGGCGCATGAGGAATGTAGCCCGCTATGTTTGTGTCGCATCTGATCTGTTAGGCAAGTGCACTGCTAGCGGTGTCCAAGCAGCTGCAAACTAACAGTTTCGTTATAGATTAACTGCACAATCCAGGTACTACACAGTACGCGATTGATTCGCCCCGTACGGCAGTGGTGTACTGTACGGACTACAGACGGAGTACTATGGCAGACGGGTCTCGATTTCTCATCGGTTACTGTTGCCACCGTATACGCCCGTGACGTGTTCCAGGATATAAGAACCAACATGGAAAAAGAGGAATGTTTCTGTTGTCCGTAGATACACTATATTCGTCCTTTCCTAATAACTCTATCGCATCCCACATGGGTAGGTTCGTTTATACCCCGGAAACGGTGTATGCAGGCTCGCCAGGTGAACTCGGTGAGCCAAGATACCAGATAACGTTGAGCCAACAGTCCCACCATTGAATCAGCGCCGGTACATAGGAATCGAACCTAATCCTGCTGAAGTACTACCAGAAAATATCAACGGATACGGCGGTACTTGCCTTTTACATCTACACTACGACCTCCACCAAGCATAGCGAGGTTAGCAAGAATGGCCGGGAAAAGACGTTCTCGGCAATCCAATCCTCCTACCAGCCGCAAGCCGCCGGCGCCTTCAGCTACCCGTAGGAACCCGTCTCTACACTATGTACCTACGATGTGAGCCTGATCCAATTCGTCGATCCTCGAAGTATGCATCGTATCAGCATGCACACCTTACCTTAGTGTACCCAACTCCGCGGCTCCGCCAAACCCACGGTAGGGCTTAGTGTATGATTGTACTAGTATGTAAGGTATGTACTCTCGTGCCGTAGCAGCGCTAATGAGAGGAGAAAAGATCGGGGTGCGGTTTGTGAATCGCCCAGGTTATAAACTCGGTGCTAAATCTGATTTTGACCAAGGGTTCCTATTCCGGGTCCAGGCAATCCGAGAGTACAGACTGACTAGACAAAGTACTCGATAGTACGATAGAAGTCTAGAAGTAGTTGAAGCTGGTCGATGGGAGACTTTATTAGTAGGTTCCAAGACCAGCCACCGTGCCCTCACCGCCCAGAGCGCGGGCAAAGACGCTTCCTGTTACCTACACTACGTATCTGTCCACGTGCCCCAGCGCCATGCTCGGCGATGGCGACATCGGGAATCAATCCCGGCTGGGAGAAAGCGTGGGAACTGCGAGCGAACCGGGGGTTAGGAGCGGAGGGCCGAGGCCGTGCCGAGAAGCCGGCCTCCCCCTCCGGTGCCAAGCGTGGGACTCGGTGGGAGCAGCAAGAACATGGCATGCCGAGAACTCGGCGCCAAGCGGGATGACCGCGATGGCCATTCCTCGACGGCGGCTCACCCTATCAGAGAGCCTGCCGGCCTGCTATTGACAAAGGACTTGCGCCAACGCCCAGCAACCGCAGAACCCGAAAGAACGCCGCTCGGGGGCCCGCTGCCACCCGATTGCAGCGTTATCATACCATGCCGCAGCCATCGGAGGCTCAACGCTTCCCACAGTGGAGCACCCAGCAACCTCTCCCACGTATAGCTGCGTCTCAACACCAGACGAAGCCTGGATGAGCTTCTTGGACTTCTTGGGCTTCTCTTGGCCTCGCAAGCCAAAACATGCTTCATGCTTCCTTCGCTGCTGTAGTTGCTGGCTTATCGGTAGACGAACAGGGTACGAGCGAAAGACTCCCCGGGCGCCCAAGAGCTCGGCGCTGTTGGTTGAACGAGGTGCGGAGTACTTAAACAAAGCCATGCCCCCGGTTCCCCATAGCTGTCGTCATCGTAACTTATCTATACACATCGACTTGACCACCATCAAGTTGAGTGAACATCGCTGTCAAGCCTCGTAGAATTCGCAGTCAATTCTACGACCCGCGAACGGGAACATCCTTTCCCATCCCTACTTCTTCTACTACTGCCAATGAAGCATACTCCTCCTCCGTACCAGTCAAGGCCCTGTCCATCGCGTGTCCGCACAGTGAAGCCGCCCTCCTCACCCGATGGCTTCCGAGTTCCCCAAGCATCCCTTTCTCCTCTCGGCCCAGGAGGTTGAGCAGGCCCTCGGCACCAGCGTCGACAAGGGCTTGTCCTCGTCCCGGGCTGCCGAGTTGCAGCAAAAGTATGGCCCCAATGAACTGGACGTGGGCGGCGGCATCGCCTGGTACACCATCTTCATCCGCCAGCTTTGCAATGCCATGATCCTGGTACGTAACCGGCCCCTACATGCACACAGTCTCCTTTCTTTTTCCTCCCCCACCCCCCTATTTCGTTACCAGGTCCTCGAGCTTACACACGGAAAACCCCAGGTTCTCTTCTTTGCCATGGCACTGAGCTTTGGCGTCGCCGACTACATCGAAGGGGGCGTCCTCGCGGCTGTCATTGTGCTCAACGTCTCGATCGGCTTCTACCAAGAGTACGGCGCCGAGAAGAAGATGGATGCCCTGCGCGCGCTGTCCTCCCCCAGCGCCAGCGTGCTCCGCGACGGCAAGACGGTTGTCATTCCCAAGTGAGTTTGTTGTTGCTGCCCTTAGCCCCTACCTACCTTTTTCCCGGCATACATATTAACACCCAGCCCCCTTTTCCCACAAAAGCGCTGAGGTCGTCCCAGGCGACATCGTCAACCTCAAGATGGGCGACACGGTCCCGGCCGACGTGCGGCTCTTTGAAGCCATGAACCTCAACTGCGACGAGTCCTCGCTGACGGGCGAGGCCATCCCCGTAGAGAAGCAGACCAACAATGACATCCTGGTCCCGGGCAGCGAGAAGGCGGCGACGACCGAGGACGAGGTCGGCATCGCGGACCGCATCAACATGGCCTACGCGACGACCACCGTGCGGAAGGGCCGCGGCCGCGGCATCGTCGTGGCCACGGGCATGCAGACCGAAGTGGGCAAGATCGCCGCGTCGACCAGCAAGAAGCGGCGCAAGGCCGGCCGCTCGATGAACTGGAAGAAGTACGGCAAGACGCAGCCCATCAAAGGCGCCGCGCGGCGCACGTACGATTTCCTGGGCAAGTTCCTGGGCCTGACCGAGGGCACGCCGCTGCAGATCAAGCTGGCCAAGCTGGCCTACTTCTTGTTCTTCTGCGCTCTGCTGTTGGCCGTCATCGTGTTTGGCGTCAACAAGTTCGTCAGCCCGCTGCCGAAGGAGGTCGTCATCTACGCCATCTCGACGGGCATTGCCATCATCCCCGAGTCGCTGGTTGCTGTCCTGACCATCTCCATGGTCGTGGCAACGACCGTTATGAGGAAGGCAAACGTGGTCGTCCGCGATCTCTCCGCGCTCGAGGCCCTCGGCGGCGTAACCAACATCTGCTCCGACAAGACCGGCACGCTCACGCAGGGCGCCATGATCGTGAAGAACGTCTGGCTGCCGCCGTCCCGGGTCTACAAGGTGTCCGGCTCGACAGATCCCAACGACCCCTACAAGGGCACGGTCGGCGAGCAGTCGCAGATGACGGAGAAGAAGCGCGACTTTGACGAGGAGCGCACGACGCAGGCCATCAAGTTCGACGGCGTGCCGGACGAGAAGCTCAACCCCAAGCCGCAGCAGGAGCAGAAGAGGATGGCGCCGCTCACGCCCGAGCTGCGCATGTTCCTGCTGTCGACCGCGCTGTGCAACCTGGCCACGGTGCGGTACGACGACGGCGAGAACGCGTGGAAGACGACGGGCGAGCCTACCGAGATCGCGCTGCAGATCTTCGCCCACCGCTTCGACCGCAACAAGAAGGCCATGGAAGCCATGGGCTGGAAGCAGGTCGCCGAGTTCCCCTTCGACAGCTCCATCAAGCGCATGTCGGTGGTCTACGACGTCCCGCCGGGCAATGACACCGAGCTCGATGCAGACAGCAGCATCGTCTTCACCAAGGGCGCCGTGGAGCGCATCCTGGACCTATGCGCCCACGTCGGTGTCGGCGAAGCACGGGAGCCCATGACGCCCGAACTGAAAGACAAGATCCTCTCGCAGATGACCGATTTCGCCTCGCTCGGCCAGCGCGTGCTGGCGGTCGCCTACCGCCCCTGGAATGGCAAGTACGTGCCCGGCCGCAGCGACGCCCTCAGCGCTGCCGCCGAGAATGAGACGGGCAACAAAGGCGAAGACGCCGCGCGCAGCGCCGTCGAAAAGGACCTCACCTTGCTCGGCCTGGCAGGGATTTACGACCCGCCGCGGCGCGAGACGTCGCCTTCCATCTACGAGTGCTCCAAAGCCGGCATCCGCGTGCACATGCTGACGGGAGACCACCCGGAGACGGCCAAGGCGATCGCGAAGGAGGTGGGCATCATCCCAACCAACACCGGGGTGCTGCCCAGCGGAACAGCCGAGACGGTCGTGATGAAGGCGACCGACTTCGACAAGATGAGCGAGGCCGAGATCGACGCGCTACCGGAGCTGCCGCTGGTCATCGCGCGGTGCGCGCCCGAGACCAAGTCGCGCATGGTGGAAGCACTGCGGCGCAGGAATGCCTTCATGGCCATGACCGGCGACGGGGTCAACGACGCGCCCTCGCTGAGCCGGGCCGACGTGGGCATCGCAATGGGCTCTGGTAGTGACGTGGCCAAGTCGGCCGCCAAGATCGTGCTGACGGACGACAAATTCAACAGTATCGTCGCGGCGATCAAGGAAGGCCGGAGGATGTTTGAAAACATTCAGAAGTTTGTCCTGCATCTTCTGAGTAGCAACGTCGGGGAGGTGATCTTATTGATCGCCGGTCTGGGGTTCCAGGACGACACCGGCTTCTCGGTGTTCCCCATCTCGCCGCTCGAAATTCTCTGGATCAACATGGTGACTTCGTCCTTCCCGGCCTTTGGCCTGGGTCGAGAGAAGGCTAGCGCCGAGGTGATGCGGAAGCCGCCGCACGACAAGAGGCGCGGCGTCTTCACCAACCAGATCCTCGCGGATATGATGGTATATGGCCTATTGATGGGAACCTGCACTCTCATGACGTTCGTCATCGTCGTGTACGGCATGTACGGGGGCCACCTCGGCCACGACTGCAACCGCGTGTACTCCGAGTCGTGTACGGCTGTCTTCCGCGCCCGCGCAGCTGTGTTTGCCGAGCTGACGTGGCTCATCCTGCTCAGTGCTTGGGAGTTCAAGGACATCCGCCGGTCCATGTTCCGGCTGAACCCCGATGACACGTCACGCTTCCCGCTGTTCAAGGACTTGTACGAGAACAGGTTCCTCTTCTGGGCTGTCACCATCGGTCTTGTCAGTGTGTTCCCGACTGTGTATATCCCATACCTCAACCGAGACGTGTTCAAACACACCGCCATCAGTTGGGAGTGGGGCGTGGTAATCGGGATGACTATCGTGTATGTGCTGGGCATCGAGGCGTGGAAGTACACCAAGCGCCGATTGAATCTCCTGGACGATCACAAGGTGGTCCAGGGCACCTGGTCGCAGGGCGAGGAGGGAGCCAAGAGGTTTTACAAGAGCATGGGCCTCGGCCACATCAAGAGTTGGCTGAGCTCGGGCCGCACTGAGTCCAGGTCGAGGGCCGGGTCGACCGGTGGCTTGACGCCCGTGACGACGCAACAGAGGACGAATTCGCTGCCACCTGCGTGAGGCCGGGTCACGACGTATTCTACCGGGCTGCTGGGTTCTTGACGGTAGCAGACTCGATGCTTGAGAACCGCTGATTGGATTGTGGCTGTGGGCGGGATCGATTGAATCCCATGTAAGCAGGTGGTGACGGGCAGGGCTGTAACTAGCTAGCTCCAAGGACAGCTTATTGACTGGAAATCTGGTCTCGTTGTCCGCTTCATCTTGAGCTGTGTCGTACCCAACAAATATATATCTGCTGCTTCGATCGGAAAACCATGGCTGCAGGCCGATGGCATAGACATCAGAAAGTGGTCACTCCAATGGGTTCCGGGAGCGGGCATTTTGTAGGTGAGCTGATACCCCTCGTGGCGGTAAATATTTGCGGCTATGCAGATATCGAAAGACGGCGGCATCTGAAAGATGAGTATAGTAGTAGTAGCATTGGAGAAGAGGCTTGGCAGATGAAAGTTTTAAGTCCTAGGTAGCCGATCGAACCTCGAGAGGCAGTCAACTTCATTTAAAGGAATTCCGGTAGAGTTGTCCGCCATGACTGGGTTAGATCTAGGTATGGAAGCGAATGGTGATGGGAGAAGGGAGACACTTCTCGAGAGAGAGCATGAACCCAAGTTTATATCCGAACTTACACGCGCATGTGCTCCAAGAGTTGCAAGTTGCGGACGCCGACCCCTGAGCAAAGTAATGACCCACATCTCTCGGCAGCTGACCAATAAAGCTCACAAATGGCTCATCTGCTCACCCGCGGGCGTGAGATTAGGCACCAGCCCCTGCACCTGCGACGTCGAGTCTCCAGGGGCCAAACTGGCCACATGCGCGTCGAGTTCACGTCTCCCGAATCCGCATCGCCCATCGAAGAGGTGCTTCCCATTGCCGCCAACTTGAACCGCAAACACAATGGCGCCAGCAAAAGCATCTTCCGGGAAGGACATCTACTCGGTGATCCTGCCCACCTTCAACGAGCGCCAGAACCTGCCCATCATCACGTGGCTGCTCAACCGCACCTTCACGGAGAAGTGCGCTCCCGCTCTTTCCCCTATCCCCCCTTTCCCCCCCACTTCACAATTCGCTCTAACAAGCGCAACACAGCAACCTTGACTGGGAACTAGTCATCGTCGATGACGGGTCACCTGACGGCACACAGGACGTTGCGCGTCAGCTGGTCAGCGCCTACTCGCCGCACGTGCAGCTCCAAACCCGCTCAGGCAAGCTCGGCCTGGGCACGGCGTATGTGCACGGCCTGAAGTTCGCGAAGGGGAACTACATCATCATCATGGACGCCGACTTCAGCCACCACCCGAAGTTTATCCCGCAGATGATTGCCAAGCAAAAAGCGCGGGACTACGACATCGTCACGGGCACGCGCTACGCGGGCGACGGCGGCGTCTACGGCTGGGACCTGAAGCGCAAGCTGACTAGCAAAGGGGCCAATATCTTTGCTGACACGCTGCTCCGCCCCGGCGTGAGCGACTTGACGGGGAGTTTTAGGCTGTATAAGCGGGCCGTGCTCGAGAAGCTGTTTGAGAGCACGGATGCAAGGGGATTCACGATGCAGATGGCGCTGGCGGTTACCGCGAAGGCGAAGGGTTACAGCATTGGGGAGGTGCCGATTTCGTTTGTGGATCGCGTGTACGGGGATAGCAAGTTGGGTGGGGAGGAGATCGTGGAGTATGCGAAGGGGGTGTTGCAGCTTTGGTGGTCGATTTGACCGCCGGCGGCAATGCTTTGGACGGTAATGATATTAAAGGATACCAACGGCGGGGAGGGGAGAGAAGTCTGCGGCTGTTGTACGATTATCTGAGGGGGGATTTGGGTTGCATGGCGTTGCATGGTTTAAGATACAGTGGGAACTGGGATCAAACCGGCTGTTTAATTGACACCCCTGAGCAGCTTCGCAGCCGGGACTGCTTACATGTTCCTCCCGCCGGTCACGCTGATGGTCTGTCCAGTGATATACGAACTCAGCGGCGAGGCAATCGCCAACACAGCACTCGCAGCCTCAGTCGCAGTTCCGGGCCTCCTGAGTGGGATATCCGCAAACGGCACGGCACCGCCCCCGGCCTTCTTTAAGTCGTTCTGCTTCTGCGGGATCCCCAGGGCCACCTTTTGCCCGCCGACCTCTACAAAGGCACCAGCTTCCTTGTTGGCCGTCAACCGGGTTTCGATGTGGCCGAAAGCGACCGTGTTGGCCCTTACGCCGAAGGCAGGGCCCCATTCTTTGGCAATCGTCTTGCTCAGTCCCACGACGCCGGCCTTGGCCATGGCGTAGTTTAGCTGGCCGGCGTTGCCATGCAGACCCGACGTGGAGGAAATGTTGACGATGTTACGAGGTTCGCCATCCTTAACCCGGAAGTAGGGAGCTGCTTCGCGGACCAGCTTGAAGGGCACAGTGCCGTGCATGGCGAGCATGGTGTCCCATTGTTTATCCGTCATCTGCGTGCTGTCAGTACGGCTGCTGTTGAGACAACTGCTGGCTGGGGCCGAGGGTTGAATTGCCTTGTGGATCACAGCGTCCCAGGTAAAGCCGGCATTGTTGACGATGATATGGATCTTGCCGTTGCCAAACTCGGCTGCTCTCTTCACCAACTCTTTGATGCACTCGTCCTTGAGCAGGTCGCCCGCGACCGCAATGGCCTCGCCGCCGTTGGCTCTGATCTTAGCTGCCACATCCTCGGCCTTGGCGGCGTCGATGTCTGACACAACCACCTTTGCGCCATCATTGGCAAATAGCCTCGCGCATTCGGCGCCGATGCCCTGACCAGATCCGGTGATGATGGCGACCTGGCCGGCGAGAAGCCCTTTGGGGTAGTTGAGCTGGCCTGCAATTTGCTTGATTCGTTCGGACATGGTGTTTCTTGTACTACGATATCTAACGAGCTGACTTTGTGATTCTAGACTTACCAGAGACTATCATGCGACTCCGCGCCCGCAATGCCGAGGTACGACCCCGGACGGACCGCGGCGATCGGCTTCCGTAGCTCAATCCGATGCCCCGCTTCGGCTGACACTCGACTCCGTACGTTTCTTTGATACGTGCGCCCTCAGCGATTTTCTACGGAACTAATTAGCCCAGTTAGTTCCATCGTTGCCCTGAACTGGGAAAAAATCATGCCCAAGGTCTTGCGTAGGACTTAGTGTCTGTGTAATACGGTGCTGCCAAACAGGAATGGAGCTGGTGCGAGGCAAGAAGTCCGGTCCGGACTCCGGGGTCCGCCCCTTCCATATTCGGCGGGAAGCCCCGGCCCGAACCGACGAAGCAGGAATGGTACCAGGTATGGTCCGGGCTGAAAATGAGTCACGCGCAGAGTCTCTCACAACCTGCGAACAGCGCACACCGCCATTTGACACTGTCCCGTCGTGGGACCACCACAGGGCCTAACAAGGGATGGATGGGAGTCATGCCTCGGATGGGCTAAATTTCGTCGTCTTTTGCTTTGGGAAGCGGTTGTGATCACTTACATCCAAGGCTCGAGAAGCATCACGCGTTGCGTTCTCTGCCAAGTCGTGGTCAGCGGGTAAGGTACATACGGTATGGACGTCTTAAGTTGTCGAGATTATGGTCAGATATTGTACGGGTTACCTACCTATTAGTATTACGGGAGGGAACGGTCGAAGAAACCGTAATCGGCAACCTATTCGGCCATCTTCTACGTCCATCACCTAGTATAGCGGCTAGAACCTGAAGTAATGGCTGTAGAGGGACATTGTTATCACACCGGTCTAAGTCTGGAAGATATAGGCACATGACTAAATGGACTAAACGTCCTTTCGGTGATCCGGTGCGAAGTTTGAGAATTGTTTGAAATTGTTTGAAAATTCAACCCCAAGGCGGATGGGTATGAGATTCAAGGGGAACACCACGGGGCAGCGAATTCCTCCAATTTTCTGTCGAGCTGTGAAGTTCTCTCAAGAGGGTGTGGCATCACCATTAATTACGGAATGGTCTCCACGATGCGGTGCGAGGTTTTAAATACGATGATGGACTTCAAGATCTTCAACCGACTGAATATGAATGCTCAGCGCCTAACTACCTATTTTACCTGCCGCCGAGCCTGATGTCCCGCTCGCCGTCTCGGAGTCCCGGCGTTGGGGCAATATCAATTACTTAATCAGAAATGAGAATCGTATTCGTCCGGCATATCGTGTTCGTCAGCGGCGTCAAATCCGGACTCGAAACGGGATTTGAACTCGTGAACAGGCCAGAGAAACGACGTTGGGAAATCATTCGTCCACACTGTCTCAAACCTCACACTTCCTCTGGCGAACTTCTCCTCCAACTCGCCAGGCACATCCTCCCAGGCCGTCGCGTTATTCTTGGAAATGTGGAGACCGACCTTGACAACTTCCAGGTTTGGATGCCCTCCGTCCGCCACGTCGCTCGCAAAGGGCTGCATGGAAGCCACCACCCATGAGGCGTCATCCCATATCGTGAGCTCCCGTAGCGTAGGCGGAAAAAGTTTGGACAGGAAAGTATCCTCCTGCGCGTGCCTGTTGTTCTTCTTCCATGCGGCTCGTAGAGCTTCCAGCGAATGCACATCCACCGCAAGGATCTCAAGCCTCGCAAAGTCAGCTAGCGAGTCCCGCCGGATCATCTCGTCATATCTAAGCCCGAGGCGTAATTCTCGGAGCGAGTCCCGGCGACACTGGATGGCCTCCCATAGGTGGTGCCCTTTCGGCAGGCCGCCGCCTTCTGCTTCATCAGCAAAGTCAAAGTGGTTGACATACCAGTCCTTGACAGACGACCCTCAGTACAGCACGAGCATCTCTAGGTTCGGGGCTGCGCATAGCATGCGACCCAGGTGCCAGGGGTTAACGGAAATGCAGTCGGTAAACTCCAGCTGGCGGAGGTGGGGGAGATCGGGAGACCAGGTCTGGATTTCCAGATGGGCAACCCATACGAAGAGTGATCAGGTTGGGGCTCGCGCGAGTGAGGACATCCATTGCGTGGCAGAAGAGCTTGAGTTGGGTGTCGTCCATGTGTATCTCTACACCGAGGAACTCGAGGTTCGTAAAGAAGGCCGGCCGGGTTTTGAGAAGCTGAGGGACGACAAACAGGTCGCAATTCTCGTCAATCTCAAGCCGGAGGCTCTTGAGGTTGGGTGTATGGGCGAGGAGGAGCTCAAGAGGGAGGAGGGCATATTGGCCTTCGCTGTTTCTGCTCCAGGAGTCTGGGATGGGGCGGAGGCCGAGCTTGACGATGGCGTCCTGGACAAATGCAAACTCGGTGTCACCGAGCTCGTCGTCAAGAGGGTCCAAGTGGATGACGTGCTTCACGTGCTGAGCAAGGCCGGGCCGCGAGATCAGCGTACGAATGAGGCAGAGTAGCTGGTATCCAGATCCCAGACTGCAGTCGGCAAACCAGTGGTATACAATGGGCTGAACGACGACGTAGAGGAGTCGACATGTCCTAGCAAGTCTGGACAGATGGGCCTGCCCAACGCACCAGATTTCAGTGTCACCACCGTCAGGGAGAGTTGCGGTATAAGTGGAGCCGATGAAGGAGCATATGCGCTGGATCAGTTCAACGGGAATGTTGGCAAGGCCGCTGCGCCGTGAAGTCGCCATAGTGAATTGGTTCGATGGTGAAGTGGCTGGTCGACCGTGGAAGTCGCGGCTGAAGGAAAGGCGGGCAATTTATAATACAAAATTTGCGTCCAGCCTTCCGGCTGCTGTCAATTTCTGCGTTTCGGTTTGCCTGGGCAAACGGATTGTAAATGCTGCCAGATACACCAAACAGTCCCACCATTGAACCAGCGCCGTTAGGAATCGAACCTCATCCTGTTTCAGTAGCAAGACACTACCTACAATACCTCCTCGAAAAAAGCAATGTTGCGCCTGGGCCACGACGACTGGGGGATGTCAGGACTGTAAGGTATCGTTAACGGGAAGTTAACGGGAGACTCCCAGGCACTCCACGGCAAACTCGGGAAGGGCACAGTGATTTAGCTGAAGGCCCTGTTGTATGCTTCTTCCCCATCTCTGACACGATTGGGGCCTTGTTCCCTACATTATCTCCACATCAGCTGTAGGTCCCTCTTGGACCGTACTAAACTCATTGCCTAGGAATGCAGTGCACCCAAGTGATGAGTCTGACGGGAGTCGCTTTCGACCGCGGCCCCCTTCTGATAAAGTTAGCCGGAAAATCTTAGCTTGTCGGGCAAGTCCGCCGAAACTGAAAAGGAGGCGGATGTCGGAGAGAACGGTCTTGACTGTTGAGAATGCCATGAATGCCCTTATTCATTCATTCTCTATGCAGCCAGCAGCGAGGTGACCTGCGGAATATTTTCCTTCCAGGTTCTTAGAGTCGTCAAACTCATATGGCGGAGCACCCAGCACCTGTGACTTAGCCTACCGAAGTAAATATGGTAAAGCTCTGAAGACGCCTGTCGTTGACACGTTGGATACCTCCTAGTTTGAGCCCCAGGATGAACTTGAATCATAGAATTGGGGAGATCCAAGCACAATCAGGGGTTTACGTTGGCCCGGCAATCGGTAGCGTTAGGCGAGGCGGGGCATCTCGCGGAGCCTCCCGTCCATCTTGTGGGGTTGCACTGCGTCACTCAGTGCTTGTGGCGGGGCAGACAAGTTACGGCTGGAGCTCCAGATCAACTTCCATACGGTATACTATCGTCAAGGCACAGTCCCTAACGCTGTCCCGATGCAGAGAAAATCCGGCAGAGCGTCGTCTGGCCACCTGTCACGACTGAAGCCCGTCGAACATGATCCGCTCACTGAATATGGGCTTCCCTCGAAAGGGGAGAAGAGGTGTGTTACAATCACAGGCCTCGACACTTACTGGCCTGTTAACCTCCCCATGTTGTCAGACTGCTCTCCACCAAAGTACAGGAGGCTTACTACACCAAGATAATCGAGCGCTATCTTGCCTTTTGCACGGAAGCCGGTGACCGTGAAGGCCTTCAAAAGCAATTCGCCCGCCTCGCGATAGCGGACCGTGGCTCATCCGCTGCCGCTTCACCTCTACCCCCACCAGCAACATCCCCATCCAAACTCCGGCCGCTCCCCTCAAACGACAAAGTCTCCCAGATTTTCTCCGCTCTCCGTAAGTTGCGGGAAGCTCTCGTTGCCTCCCACCGAACCGACGATTTTGCCACCCAAGTCTACCTTTTTTCCGCTCGCCTCGGCATCCTCGCCTCGTCGTACGAGACCTACTACCCTTCCCTTCTCCACCTCCTCCGCCGCCATCAACAAGCCCAGCGGCAGCAACGACAACAACAAGCTCACATACCGCCATCCGCAACAACCCCAACCTCGACGGGCCGCCCTTCGTCCTCCTCATCCTCATCATCTCAACCAAACAATAGCGGAGTCAGCAGCAGCAGCGCCAGCGGCGACCTCACCAGCGTGGAATACCACGAAGTGACTGCCTACCTGGTCCTCGATGCCGCCTGCCGCCGGGCCGACCTGGCCGAGGCGTACGCGCTCCGGCACGCCCACCGCCTGCGCGACCCCAAGATCGACGTCATCCTGGCCTCGCTCGTCGGCGACAACTGGGTCGTGTGGCGCCGCGTCAAGAAGCAGGTGGACGGGTACCGCGTCCGGCTGATGGAGTTTGCCGAGCCCCAGGTCAGAGCGCACACGCTGAAGGCCTTTGGACGGGCACACCTGTCTGTGCCGCTAGGGGTGCTGGAGGCGCAGACGGGGGCCTCGTGGGCGGAGCTCAGGGAGAGGTTTGGGGTCGGGTGGGAGCTGGGTGAGGGCGAGGGCGATGAGCGGAGGGTTGTTATACGGAAGGTTCAGGCGAGGTCGTGACGTGAACTGAGCGGAAGGGGTTATGTGTTTGGTGGGACGGGGGGTGGGGGTTTAAAGATGGTGCTGGGCCCCTATTTGAATTGCGATGTTACTGATACCCTTTTGATGAATTTCCGCATTCACCTTCCTGAGATGAAATGCAGGACGTAATACCTATGGTCTGGTTACACGTGATCCGAGCTTTGCCACCGGTGATTGATCAGTTTCGAAGTCGAATCAAGCTACCATTTTGCACCGGCCTCAATTGGTCAATAGATGGGGCGCAGAACGTCGAGTAACACCGCGGTGATAGTTGAATTACTGCTGTGTTCAATTAAGGCGGTATGTACATGTCCCAGCGCACAGCACATTAGATTCGGCTCATCGGCCGGCCAGACATGTGTCGACATGCCACAAGGCGGTCCTCCCTCAGCGTAGAAGTACAGACGCCACCATAACAACACCCACGTACACTATCCAGGCCGAAACACCGCGTCGCATGTTCGTCATGTGAACGGACCCTCCCTGCGCGCCGTCATATCCAGCGTCACGTCGTCAACTATTAGTTTCGCGTCTGGTTATACACCCCCGAGAGGCTCTCGAACTACAACGCGCTTATTAGAGAAGCGCGACGGCAGCCACGATGCCGCCAATGGCGCCGAGACCGGCGGCGGCGGTCGGGCGGGGACCGAGGTTGTTGCTGGTGCTGGCAGAGTTGGTGGCGGCGCTCGCGGCACCGGTGCCAGTCTGCGTCGCGGAGGTCGAGCCAGAGCCAGTGGTGGAGGCAGAGCCCGTGGTCGTCGAGGCAGCAGTGGAGGTGCAGGAGACGGCGGTCGGCAGGTCGGTCACGCCAAAGCCATTGCAGAGCTGTTTGCCACGGTCGTTGTCAGCCGACCTGTTTGGTTGCTCTCGGCGTGCGCGGGACGGGAACCAAGACTTACGCTGGCAGCAAAGGCCACAGCCGAGCTCTGGGCCGGAGCGTCGCAGACGTCCACCAGGCAGCAGGCGATGCCGCCCAGGAAGCCTTTGTCCGCGCAGATGCACTTGGGGTCACTGCCGCAGTTGCCAATGCCGCCCGTCAGAAATTTATCGGCGCAGCTTTGCTGTCATGAAAATTACACGTCAGCAATTGGGCTGCTGCTGATGACTTCAAGTTTGTTGGGGGAAGAGCAATGAGGACGCACAGCACATTTGGGAAGGGTTTGCTGTTGCGCGAACGCGGCGCTGGCCAGCCCCAGCGAGACAAGAGCAGCGGTGACCTTCATGACGGCGGAGTTGATGCCGAGTACGACCGATGGAGAGGCACTCTAATTACAGTATTAAAAAGTCGAACCGTGTGCAATTGAGGCCCAAGGGCGCAGATATCCGGGGAGAGTCGATAGACTCGCGGAGCGAGGAGCGGCTTCCCCTGCATTTAAATAGGCTACCTCAAGATCGTCCAATATCCTGGTTGACCCCCTGCCAGGGATCGCGCGCCACTTCCTACAGTCCTCTGTGGCGGTTGGCGATCACTTATTGGGCGCGGCGCTCTTATTAGCCCCTTGTTGGGCAGGCGGCCTCGACCGGCAAACGGAGGATGAATGCAAATGCAACGCAGCCGTCAGCCGTGGCTGCATCCGGTTCTGCCGGCCAGCTTCTTGCAGTTTCTCTTTGGCATGGCTGTTCTTGTCTTGGCCCCTTTCACCTCGGTGGGATGGAAGTTCCGGTCCCATGATTTTGCGTCGTCACACTGGCAGGATACGGTTGCGATTCGGACCTTCCCGTCTGATGAGAATCGGCTGGTGTACGGAGGTACACTAGGTGAAGAAGACTGGGCCCGCAGACAAAGAATTGGGTGTCGTATAATACAGATACACGGACCAGCTGTGTGGAACAGACCCGACTGCCTCCCACAACACGAAGGTGTCAGTCGATCGAGACATGCATCGTCATACATTGGGAAGGAATGGCACGGAAACTCCCCAAGACTCGTGCTTCCCCCAACCCAGGCATCACGATGGTGGTACAATCGTACCCCGCGAGCAGCTCTTCGATGCACGATACAGATCCGATACCGTGAAGCTGTCTCTGATGCCAACCAAATTCAGGTTTCCCGCGGCGAGATCGAAGGAGCCTAATAACTCGTGGATAACTAATAACATCAGTCAGGCGGAGTCTTCGGGCACCGGCAAACACCCCGAGAGATCGGCACCCCCGCAATGATGAACGTCCCAAAAGAGTCCGTGCCGCGTTACTGGGGTACTAGTTAAATCAAGGGAAAGAGGAGCCGGCGCAGCAAGTTGAGCCTGCTGCCGCATGTAAATTAGGTAGGTTGATGACTGTTGTGAGTTGATGAGAAACCCTCCGAGGCTGCTCATTGTGATCGTTCCCCCAACACCAAACTGCGCTTGGAGATCGGGTGGCTTCTCCAGAAAGGTGATAATCATTCTTTAAGATTGGCGTTCCAGAACCCCAGCTGTACTTCACACATACAGCAGCTGGTTGGACTGACCGCTGGCCTCTGCCAAGCGTGAATCGCCTGCTTGCACCCTGACTGGCTGCGCCGTTTGAGACCACCAGCCAGCTGAAGTCTCACGGTTTTGATTGGACCCCTGTCTGGCCCCAACTTTCCAGACGGCCCGGTTCCCATTTCCCAAGGAGACGACGACCACTTCCAACTGGAAGTCTTCAGCGCAAAGGATCGCCGCCTGCAAGCTGAGTCGCGATGCCGCTTCGCTAACCTAGGAACACTTGTTTTCTAGAAGCAGCACACGAGCGAGCGAGCGCAACACTCGACGCCGCGTCAAGATGGGCTTGGGCGTTCTCGAGGACAGGGCCATGGCCCATGTCCCAGGTACGGCTCAACTCTCCGCGACCGACCAACACCAACTCCGAAGCCCCTGCTGACGGTTCGTCATCACAGGGACGACCCGATACTTTGACGACCCGGAGCGACCACAGTATGCAGCCAACGGCGCAGAAGGGCTCAAGTGTGACACCAGCGGGCCGGTGCCCATCATCCTCGTCCCGCAGCCGTCGGACGACCCCAACGACCCGCTCAACTGGCCGCTGTGGAAGCGCGACCTCATCACCTTTATCCTCTCCATGACAGCCATCTTCGCGACCTGCCTGGGCCCGATCCTCGCCGCCAACACGCTGACGCTGACCTTCGACTTCACCATCCCCTTCAGCAAGGTCGCCGCGCTGACGGGGTGGTACCTGCTGGGCGTGGGCATCTCGGCCTTCATCTTCGTGCCATCGGGCCGTATCTGGGGCAAACGCCATCTGTTTGTTCTCGGGACGATCCTGCTGGTGGCCACTTCGGCATGGGGCGGAGCCTCGCGGCACAAGTACACGAGCATGGTGTGGTCGCGCGTCTTTCAGGGCGTCGCGACGGCTCCATTCGAGTCGCTGCTCAATGCTGCGGTGGGAGACCTGTATTTTGTGCACCAGAGAGGCATTCGCATGGCTTTCACCAACCTGGCCGCCTTTGGAGGCGCCTTCTTCACGCCGATTCTTGTCGGCAAGATCACCCACACGTTGGGCTGGTGGTGGACGTTCTACTTTGTCGCCATCTTCTGTGGCGTTTGCGTCCCGATCGTCTACTTTTTCTGCCCGGAGACGGCCTACCGCCGGGACACGACCCTGCAGCTTGACATGCTGAGCACCGAGAATCCTGCGGTGGGCAAGGCTGAACTGCCGGCAGGCGATCCGGAGAAGTCGGGTGCTAGCACCGGCCGTGCTTCCGACGGGACGGAGACGAATGGCGAAGCTGTCCGGGCCAATGGGGCGAACGGAGCCACCCACGGACCGGTGCCTGTCGGCGTCAAGGCACAACCGCGGCAGAAAACCTTCGTGCAGTCGCTGGCACTCTTCGACGGCCGCAAGACCGACGAGAGCTTCTGGAAGCTGCTGCTCCGCCCGTTGCCGCTCTTCCTGCAGCCAGCCTTCCTCTGGGCTTGTCTCGTCCAGGGTTGCATGATCGGCTGGACCGTCTTTATCGGCGTGATTCTTGCTCAGTTCTTCCTCTCGACGCCGCTGTGGTGGACCGAGGTGGAGACGGGATACGCCTACACGGCGGCCTTCATCGGCGCCGTCGGCGGCTTCGTCATCGCCGGCGTGCTGTCCGACTGGACTGCGCGGTACATGACGAAGCTGAACAACGGCATCTACGAGCCCGAGTTCCGTATCGTCCTCGTTCTTCCCCAGATGATCCTGGGCTGTGCGGGCCTGTACGGCTGGGGTATCACGGTTGATGGCTTGCTACACAGCAAATATCACTACACCGTCCCACTGACGTTTTTCGGGCTCGAAGTGGCCGGCATGGTGATCGGTGCCGTCGCAAGCTCGTTGTACATTGTGGATGCCTACCGTAAGTGCTTGCCTCTCCGTTATTTTGACCACAGGTAAAATGAGTGCTCACACAGCCCCCCCTAGGTGACTTGGCCATCGAGGGCTTCACTTGCATGATCGTCTTCAAGAACGTCTTCAGCTTTGGCTTAACTTTGAGGGCATTCGAGTGGCTCGTCCAGAGCGGAACCAAGGCAAAGCCCTTGTTTACCATCGTTGCCTCGGTTCAAATAGTCATCTGCCTGCTTAGCATTCCCATGTGTAAGCCGATCCGTCGCGCCAGAGTGAACTGGCCGGTTACATGCCGTGTAGCAACCGACTGACTTCCCTGCAACAGACATCTTCGGCAAACGGATCCGCAGCTTCTTCCATCGCCATGACCTGCTCGAGATTTTCAAGGTCAGATGATGATGGTACTCTAGGTTTGCAACCTGAATCTCCTCGTTTTATGCCTTGGGTAACCCTCGCCGGGACCGAATTTGGTAAAGGCAGTGTTATAATGATGGTTCTTGTATAGGTACGGTTTCAGGTTGGCACGCATGACATATAATGAGGTCCACCCGCGGAGGATGCGTTGGATTTGTAACTTGTAATAACTTCGCTCGAGGTTTGCGTATTAGTAGATTCTACATAGATTGCTATGAATTTGGCCTCTGTGTCACGCTTGAGAGCCGCGGTGCCTGTTCTGCTGGTATCTGGTGCGCATCTTTTTAGCTTCATCGTCTTCGCGCTATTGTGTATCCAGAGTCAGCCGATTGTTATCTAGTTCTGGATGTAACGGGATATCGCGGCCGTCTACATACCTCACCATCGCTCAAGACAGATGCCCAACGCACAGAGTGAGTCCAGACCGCCCCTTGACACTCCACTCTACAGCTTCGCCTTCTTCCGCCCATCCTTCACGTGCCTACTGATCTCCCCACTAATCAAAAAATCAGGATACTTCATATCCGGATCCAACCCCACCCCGGTGGCGCCCTGCCTCCTCCAGCCGGCGCCATCGACAGTGAGGATCGTGCCGTTGACATAATTGCCCGCGTCGCTGAGCAGGTAAACCGTCGCGTCGGCAATGTCGCGCACCGAACCCCATCGCCCGCTCGGCACCGCCTTGCCGTAGTCGGTGCCCGCAACGACCAGGCTACTCGCCAGCCGCTCCATCCCCTCGGTCCCCTCGATGGCGCCCGGGGCGATGCAGTTGGCCGTGACGCCCAGCGGGCCGTACTCGAGCGCCACGCTGGCCATGAGCGAGTCGATGGCCGCCTTGGCTGCCGAGACGTGCGCCTGCAACGGCATGCCCGTGAAGTGGAAGGTTGCCGAGACGGACACGAAACGGCCGCCGGTCTGGCCGGACGGGCTGGGGTTCGGGTTCCGCGAGGCTGAGGCGACGAGGTGCGGGATCGTGGCTTTGATGGTGTTGAAGGTGCCGATTGTGTCGATGTCGATGACCGTTCTGAAGGCGTTAGGGCTGAGACCGGAGATCGGCGCCACGAAGTTGCCTGCCGCGCCAGCACTGGAGGCAATGTGTCTGTTAGTATCGGCAGGAAAATTAGACGAGGGCAGGGGGGGCGTGGGTTTTGGAGTTTGTGTCTGTCTGTGACTGTGTGTGTGGTTACACTGAGTTAGATGGATTGGCTCACATGACATAGTCAATAGCACCTAGCTCCTTGACGCAGCGGTCTGCTGCGGCCTTGAGTAGATCAAACTGTGTTTATTACTGTCAGAGAAGAGCGTCTCATATCGTTGCGTGAGGATGGGCTCACATTTCGGACGTCCACGCCCCCAATGCCGAGCACACGGGCGCCGCTCCGGACTTTGGCAATTTCCTTCGCCGCGGCCTCGGTCTTCTCAACGCTGCGTCCAATGATACAGGCGTCGGCACCGAGGTACACGAGGGCCCGGGTTTGCGCACTGCCGATGGTGCCGGCGCCGCCCGTTATGAATAGCACCCGGTTGGCTGCAGCGATTGCAGTTGTGAGCGAAGCTGGTACAGTTTGTCTTTGATCTCGGGGTCAGGTACTCACCAAAGATGCCGTCGGCCCAGACATTGCTGAGATAGTCCGACTTTGGAACGGTCATCGTGTGACCGGGCCCAGAATCAGATGCAAGGAGTCAAGGATGCCGTCTGTGTCACTGAGCTGGATCGTGCCTGAAAGATGCAACAATGGAACAGGAACCGTGGGTGACTCGAACTGAGATCTATCCAAGGATCACCGGATCATACACCTTCAACCTGGGCTCTGGGCGTGCTGTCCTCAAATGGGAAGAAAGTCATGCTTCTCCTTTTAGTTCTTGTTGTTGCCTAGGTACCTCTGTACCTCGGCTGGACCCACCCTGGCGGGCCCGGGCCGATGTGGATTAGCGTGGAGAGGTTACGGAGGACACTGTCACGTTGTAACGTTAGCCGCGCCGTTACCCCACGTATGGCGACTGCGTTTGCCAGACGTTCTGAAATTCGTCCCGCCGTAATCGGTAACTTTGTCTTTCCACGACCTGAAAAGGCAGGTTGCGGCCCTATGTATTATACGTTAACCGGGCGCATAAAGCAGTATGCAGACTTCTTTCATCCTGTCTACCTGGGGAGCTGGGTAGGTAGCTGGCAATCTAGAAAATACAATAGTAGGATGGCTGATTACCGAATCCGGATGCATTCAATGGAACATAAACGCGTTTCCATCGGCCCCACCAAGCCGGTCGGCGCGGTTTTCCGCGATCGAGTTTACATGACCGGCGCCTTCCTTGTTGTTCGACATCACAATCTACCTCGCGTTCAACTGGATAGGAAGCGAAAATCCCGCCGTTTAGGCAGCAGCTGACTGCTTCTTTTGCTTGCGACATTATGGGCAAATTGAGGAAGTTTGCTTGACTAAAACAGCCGATTTAGCCCACCTTTCGGAAGTCGCACTGCGCCCGAGCGGCCCGACTAACTCTCCTTCGCCGACTACTTGATGGCAGACCTGGACGAGCCGCCCAAGAAAAGGGCGCTACCCTTTAAGCGCACCGTTGCACGGAAGCAACAGTCAAGTGCGGAGCCAGAAAAAGCAGAGGACGAGAATGACCTTGATCTTTTCAGACATTCGAAGGAGGTGTTCCCCGAAATCCTCCGGGAAGCACAGGAAGAGGACGAGCGGCAGCATGATCGCAAGCGAAGGAAGACCTCTGAGGACACTCCTCGAACAAACAGGTGCGTGTGCCATGGGCTGCCAACGCATTACGTATTGTGCTAACTGTAATGCAGGAAGCATTCATCAGGATCCTCAGATGACCTTTCCTACGGAAACAAACGATCAATCTCGGTGGACGGATCGGATGACGATCTAATCATGGACATAAAGGGGAAAGGCAAGGAAATCAGTAGAGCTAGAACAGTGTCGGTACCAAGGAAGACCGTCTCAAGGAAAGCCACTCCAAGAACGCCTGGCCCAAATGGAAACATCACTGGAACATGCGGTTCGAATCAACCGGACGGCTCACCAGCATTTCCAGTCACTATACCTGATGACAACGACGACGACGATGTCATCCCGTTAGGATCTCTTAACCGTCAGTATGCGCAGGATGATGACGGCTCGTCTGTGGTGCTAGTTGACAACAGCAACGACCCCGAGGCGGGCGAAGTCCAACAAACCGTCGAACAAGACGAATTCAGCGAATGGGTTGCGAAAGCGCGCGAACTCCAAGCACGCCAAAGCCATGACGCCATCGTCAAAGTCTTCTTGGAGTCACGCGTGCCGGGAGCCGACAAACCTATGCTCGTAAAGCGCAGGCTGAACCAGACCTGTCAGCTTATTTTGGACGTATGGGTCGCGACCGCAACACGAGAAGGCATCGAGATCCCCGATGACCTGGCAAGCAGTTTGTTCCTCGCGTGGAAGGGCAACAAAATATACGGTCATAGCACGCTCTCTTCGCTCGGTGTTGAGGTCGACGAGAGGGGAAACCTAAAACACAGTCAAGGTGATGGATATTCCCGGGGCGGCATCCAGCTTGAGATCTGGAGTGAACAAGGATATGCTGAATATCTGAAGCATAGAGGTAAAGAAAGGGCTGTGTTGGGTGCGGACGATGGAGACCTCTCAGGGTCCGAAGGGGAGGAGGAGCCGCTACCACCGCCGCCGAAGAAAAAGGGCATTAAGATCGTGCTCAAGGCGAAGGAACATGAGCCGCTGAAGCTGTCGACGAGGGATGAGACGACTGTCGAGATGCTTATCGAGGCCTTCCGGGCCCAGCGCAACGTTGGACCGGAGTGGGATGTTGCCATACACTTCGACGGCGAAAGGTTGGTTGAGGATGCTCTGGTTATGGATATCGACGTTGATCCGGACGACGTTAACCAGCTGGAGGTGCACATCAAGAAGGCTGGCCGTTAAGCCGATCATGTATCGATGATTCAAGGAGTACTGGAAAGGTTTCAGGCTATGATACCCAAGGATTTACCGCATGGAAAGGACTGCGCTTGATTTTAATCGAAACTTATCAGCCACATATTGTTTACTGCAAGCAGGATACCTGGGTATGTCGATGACTCTTGTCTATGACACGAGACCTAAACCAGAAAATCGGTAACTCCTGAACGCCGACCCCGGTCCCAATGTCCCTTCTTGATGAGTTCCCCGCCATTACAGCCTAAAACCTCTCCTTCATCCTCGAGGCGATTATCCTCAGGTTGTTGTAAACCTTGCCGGGTTGGGCACCAAGCACCAACGAGACGATGCTACTGAAATGTTAGCTGAACACTACCCCGTCAATCGAGACAGAGAGAGGCTCACCTCTCGCGGGCCATTCCGATGTTCTCGAATGCTCCCAGAATATGGACCCTCGACCCTGCGAGTACAATACGAGTTTTCGTCGCTATAAAGGTTCATCAGCCTAACGATCACAACCTTTCCCCCCTCAGAAGCTAACTCACCATTTTCGATCGCGAACTTCGTTTTCTATCCCCGAGCAGTTAGCATCTCACCCTTCACTCCACAAATACACATGCAAGACGAATCGATGGTCACACATACCCCGTCCTTCCCTGCAATGCGCCCAATCGCTCGCCCGAGCGCGTCCTGCCCAAGCGTCTGCCGCACGTCCCTGATGTCGAAGGACTGGATGTACAGTGAGTCGAGGCGCAGCAGCGCGATCGCATCGTCGATGTCGAAGCCCATGGCAAAGGCCGAGACAAAGTCGGCGCCCATCTGCAGCGCGTCGTTGCTCGCTGTGAACTTGGACGACCGCAGCTCGACACGCTTCTCCTTGATGTTCATCCGCACCTGGAGTTTGCAGTGGTCCACTAGTGGTGGGTAGCTGGAAGGTGCGGAGGTCAGGTTAGTACGGTCTTGAGAGTTCTGTTTGGTCGAGGAACGAGGGTCGGGTTGGAGGGTGGGCGTACATCTACACGGTGGTTAGCACACAGCGCTCGGACAAACAGGGCAGAGGGGGGATTAGGTACCTTAGACCAGTTGCTTTTTAGCGCAGACATGCGGTTTGGCGGGATGGGGATCTTTCTTGTCTCGGCGCGACGGACGGGATCCTGGTGACGATGGAGGACTGCCGTCAGCAATAGGTCCTCCTCTGCGTCGACTGCTGTAGCCACGTACGACATCATTCCCTGGTGCGAACCTCGGCCTCCCTTCTTCATCAATGGCCATATCTGTGTCCTCTGTAGCGGTCGGGGCCGCAACAGCGCTAGGTTCTGTGACGCTGCTCTCCTGCATGTCTACAAGGAGCTCGTCTTCCTGTTGGGGAGCGGGAGCAAGGGCCGCTTCGGGCGCCGGGCTCGGCTGTAGGAGGGCTGTCGGCGCGGGCATCGTGCCGGATCTGGTTCGAGAGCTTCAGGTATAGTCCGTAAGCAAGGGCGTAGAGCTGGGGCTCAGTCTCGAAGGTTTACGGTGTATCACTGGCTGCGCAGCGACACTACCGTTCTGGCTATCTTCTGCGATTTTGATGGTGGGGTTAGAAATTCCTATCAAGAATTTGTGGGCCTGCTGGCAAATCTAGCCTTATCTATTGGCTGTCGCTTGGCCTTACCGGACGATCCCTGTCGCACGGCCGGCCCCCGGAGTTAGCGTCATGGCTCGTCCAGTCTTTTATGCGGCCCGTGTTCCAAGGTTTGATCTCAACCCGAACCACACGCGACCACCTCATTCGAGACGCATATCAACAGCCGTCGCCGGCCATGGCTCGATATTTATATCACTGAGGCTTACGAGCTTCAGCATGTCTTTCAACAATGACTTCTAGCGCAACCACGACCCAGCTGGGTCGTCAATTTTGGGGCTCGATCCGTGATTCCGTCACCATCCTTACCGGGAGACTTTCTGGGCGCCCACCGCGGCCGAGTCATGTGTCGGTGGCGCAATTCCTTCATATATCCCCGGATCAAAGCCCGCGGCTCTTCCACTCCGCTCGTCGCTTTTTCCAGCCATATCCCTCCAGGCTCTCGCCGAAGAATGTCCGCAAGAGCTGCACGTCAGGCGGCCTGCTCCTTCTCGGACTCAGCTCCAGTCCATCCTCAACGGGTGCGGTTGTGACGACGTGCACGGCAGCGGCGGACTCAGCACTGGTGGGCAGCTCTGGGCAAAGGGCAAACCTGAGCCACATGGCCCGTCAAATGTGGCTGCAGAGCCGGCTAACTCGAAACGGCCGAGCGTGCGCTGGGAGGAAAGCCAGTAGTTCCAGCTCAAAAGGGGGTGGAGAGAGAGGCAAGGTGCCTGATCCTAAGCAGGAACCCGATGTCTCGCGGCAAGCTCCTGCAAGGCCGCCAGCTCCCGAAGCTTCCGAGGGGGAGTCACTGGCAAACTCCGTGTCCAAGTATCTGCACCTTCCGAAGATGCCGCATCGCCCAACCAAGGAGGAACTGCTTGCTGCGGCCAGCGGGTTCGGTCAACGGTTGAAAGTGCGCTTCAAATGGTTCTCCATCAGGAGCATGCGACCTTGGAACGCTGACGAATGGGGGGCATTCCTCTCCTGGTTCGTGTTTGGTCATATCGTATGGATTCTGGTGGGGACGACGACCTTTTTCTCCCTAATAATCTTGTTCATCAACACCGTATTTGCGCAAGGTAGGCGTAGGACATCCTCAATACTTGGAGAATGGTGCTGATGCGCATCTTCAGAAACCCTTGCCAAATGGATCGGCGACTACCTGACACAGTCAGCTGGCCTTACCGTCGTCTTCGAATCCGCAATCGTTCCAAAGTGGAAGGACGGCGTCATCACTCTACGCAATGTCTTTGTGTCTCGAAGGCCAGGACAAGGCAGATCTTCCGTGAAGAAGGGTTCTCCCAACGCCGCAGCTGAAGCCGCCGCCGCCAGGAAGGCAGGTCAGGAGCCAGCCGTTGCCGAGGAAGAAGATGATGGGAACTACACCCAATTTGATGTGACAATCGATACCGTCAACGTGACCCTGTCATTCATCAAGTGGTGGAATGGCAAGGGCCTCCTCAAGGACGTCGAGGTCAAAGGCGTCCGTGGCGTAGTGGATAGGACATCGGTTCGCTGGAATGGCGACGATGTGGACCCTCTCTCGTACAGACACGAGCACAACCCGGGCGATTTCGAGCTGGATTACTTCAAACTGGAAGATCTGTTGGTAACAGTCCACCAGCCAGGCGGCTTCCGCCCCTTCTCCGTCTCCATCTTCTCCTGTGAACTTCCCCAGCTACGGAAGCAGTGGCTGTTTTACGACTTCCTTTCCGCTTCACATATGTCTGGTTCATACGATGGGTCTCTGTTTACGATCCACCCGCGGCAGATCCACGGTATGTCGAATGCCACCGCTCTGCGGCAGGACGTCTCTAGCGAGCCATCACCTTGGAAAAAGTTTTCGCGACTACGGATCGACGGACTCAAGATCGACCACCTGAACCGCAATGCTGAGGGCCCGTTTGGCTGGATCTATGAGGGGAACGTCGACATAGTAGCCGATGTCATGTTCCCTGCCGATCCTGAGGAAGGCATCGGGAAGGTCGTCGCTGAGTTCTACGACAAAATGGAGGAAGCTGTAACAAGCAACCGGTACCTCAAAATCCTAGAGAGCTCCAACGGGCGCAACCGAAAACCCGAAATTGACTACATAGATAACTCCACCTCCGGCGTCTTCTACAACCTCGACGACCCTATCCCTTCGAACGAGGAAGCGCCCGTCACACTCACACCCTCGAGCATAGCCGCCAGCGCCGCCTCTTCCTCCTATTCACCAACACCACAAGAAACAGAACCCCCCTCATACCTAGTAATGGACATGCGAATCCACCTCAACGACGTGCGCGCCGCCGTCCCGCTCTTCAACAACCCGCACATCAGCTACGTCAACCAGGCCCTAGTGCGGCCCATCGTGGCCTACATCAACGCCAAGCGCACTTACATCCCCATCAACTGCCGCATCGTGAAGCGCGTGACCGACTTTGACGGGTCCTGGACGGTGTGGGACTGCGGACTCATGGACGACACCAGTGCCGAGGTGTACGCTGCTTTTGCGCGCAACGTCGAGGACCAGCAGAGCAGGGTCCGGCGCTTCAAGAGGGTCGGTTTGTGGACCGTCAGTCTGGTGGTTCATGCGCTTCTGGCTGGTGTGGCCGGGGATTTGATGTGATGTTTTCTTCAGTGTGTCGCTTCCCTACTCTGGCGTGTTGGGTATTATGATGCTGTTCATGTTGTACGAAGAAGGGATGATAAACAAAACAAAGAAGGGAGAGCGAAATGAGATTTCGTTTTGGACGGTGTGAGTGGTTTAGTCGGTTGCATGGGAGGAGCAAAACGGCGTTGGTCTGGTTTGGCATGCACGCAGCTTCTCACGACGAAGTAAGCAAGCCCTTTCCCTCCCGTCAGGGCGTGGGGTGGGCAACAGATCTGATACCCCGTACTTGTACCAATATATGATGAGCTCTATATGATAATCAGCAATACCGACTCATATCGGCTTAGGAGAATGAGGCAGAGTGGGCACGTGAATGTGACTTGTCATCAATATCCGTGATCTCAGTGCCACCTAGCTATGCCTTAAAGTTTCTTCACCTTCCAACTCACGGCTAATCTGTTCGATTTCAATGCAACTTGTACCTACACATGTCTATCTAACCTAGTACCAACTGGCAGGTATCACCCTATATTGGCCGATGCCGACCGCTCTAGCTCTGTGAGCACCTCCATATCCCCTTGGGTTAGGTTTCCCCCCCAACGCCGAGCGCCCTCAGCCCCCTACTGGTAAGCGTGTACTGCCCCTTTGTGTGCGTCCCTCAAAACCTCGCTCTGCTTCGCGAATCAGTTTCCTAGATTCCGCTGACGATCGTATTCAGGTGGCAGCGCACCCAACCAGTAGTCACACAAATCACGTCGAAGGCCTATCCTGCTACTGAAGCATTATTCTATTTTTGCCGAGCGAATTCTTCTCACGAGTGACGCCCTGACAGCTCACATAAAGTCGTCACTGGAAAACGGATGTCAGTCTCACGATTGAGTGCAACCGGGAGAGATCACTTACTCGTCAAAAGCTTCATCGTCGTATGTAGCGACGTCGCGGTCTACCGCTCCACCGCGGCTGACACCGGCGAGCGAAGTCTTAGTCTTCGCCGCCTTCGACTTCTTGCCGCCCTTCTCGGCCGCCTTCTCCTCCTTCATCTTCTCGTTACCAAGGGCCGTCAGGGTGCTGGTGACCTTCTTGATCTGGTCGCTAGGCATATCCTTCAGCAACTCCTTGGTGAACTGTTGGACGAAGGCTGTGTAGTGAGGCTTCTTGTTACAGCTCCCAATGATGCCGCCGAGAACCTTGCTCAGCTGCTCGAAGCCCGCCTTGCCCGTAGGGTTGAAGATGGGGAGCGTGGCCAGATCGATTGTGGCGTTTGGGTCGCTCGCACTGATGGGCACAGCGGTTCCGGCAGCAGCCCCCTTGCGCCCGCTGCTGATGCCGATGTCGGCGAAGAGATCTTCGGCGTGCTTCAGATCGGACTCCTTCTCTGTCCGACGCAGCCGCTCCCGCCTTTGAGCCTCGGTCTCCTCCTCGCTCTCCTCGCCGGCCTCGGCCTTGGCCTTAGCACGCTCAGCCTGGCGCTCGGCAATCCGCTGGGCCTTGCTCTTCTTAGCGGCGGCAGCTTCTGCTTCCGCCTTTGCCTTGGCCTCGGCAGCCTTTTTCGCCTTCTCGCGCTCTACCTCGGAGTCTTCGGCGTCCCATGAGTCGAGAACCTGATGCCGTGTGTTAGCCGGCGGGCACGCATTTCGCTATGAGGACGTTCGGGAAGCGGAAGACGTACGTCATTATCTGATGCCTCTTCATCATCGAACTTGCGGCGCCCGACACCGACGACTGGCGAGTTCGGCGCAGAGTCCGACTCCTCTTCGTCTTCTGCGAGAACAGTGTCAGTCCATCGTCGAGATTCAAGGCAGTCGTATGGCTAGCGCATTGCCCATACGGGTTTTGACAGGCACCGCGACCACATATGCGCATGTCTACCTCAGTGCGTTCCCTTATGGCGCACTATCCCACCTCAACCTGTCCTGAAGTAAAGTTCCTTTGAATGGAGCGCGGGGTTAGATTTCAGGAACTTACCCCACCGTTTGTTTGGCCCAGGCATCTTTACCGCAATATGGATGTGAATTCCACGTCGCAGGATTGAATGTGGATGTTCTCACGATACTTGTGAGTATACCCTGCGATGCAGATACGCGGGATGCTCTTGATAACCAGTATGACGGGAAGGTCCTAGATTTAGGTTGTGGGTTGGGCCGCCAACGAAACCGTTTTTTTGCTGCCGTCAGTGGCCGCGGGGCTACATCAATGGAAACACTGTGTCTTCGTACCGTATCCACACGGTAGCTGCAGACCCGTCTCAGCCCGTTACGTACCTGGTACAGTAGGTACTGAGTATTTCGGCTGAGGCTTTGTTGACGTAGCACCCTCATCACCTCTGTTCTCTCTTACTTTCCCCGCCCGACTAGGTATTGTACATGTTTATCAGTACGCTTTGGTTGTAGTCCTCTCGGCTTTTTACTTGAGAATAGGAGGCAGAGTGGATTGTCTGTAGCAGTGTTTCTCTGCCTAAGGCATCACACACAGTTTTTAAACGTCGTCGATTTCTATTTTCACAGATCAGTCGACAGTAAGGGCCAGCGCTCCAACTTAAACGTCGAAGATTCCATCGAGCTCGATAGGTATACCGTATACAGGTGGGCGGCTGCAAAGCAGAAGCCCTCATGACCTTCTGTGTAACCGGCCACCCGGGAAGCCGATGAACGGTCTTTTAACATGGAGTCAAAGAACCGTTTGGAATATGCCAGTGGTCTAGCCGTTGGCAGACACAGTGTAAGTGCCCAGCGTTGACTGAACTTGGCTCGAGTCAGTTGAGTGGATAAATCCCCACACCTTAAGTACCCAGTAACCCCAACCCTACTTCACGGGTATTTGCAAGGTGGTGACTTTTCGCTCTCGTCGTTCATGCCGCGTCTTCCGAAAACATCGGTATCTACCGATTCTTGCATTCCATGTTACCAACGAGTCCCTAGTAGCCTTAACTTAATACCACATACAGACCTCACGAGAGCTCTCGAATCCTCTGTTTCATCTGCCGTTGGCGCTCCGCCGAATCTGCCTTGTGGGTCTAATCACGCAATTTTATTGGTCCAAGCTGCTTGTCCTAAGGACTCAAAGTGACACGAGGCAGAATCGCATCCATCATTTGCAGCCGGTTGAATGTTTTGCGCCGGAAAGGGACTCCTGGGGTGCTGGCAGTGCCAACCATCTGTCGGTCGGCTATGGAGGACACAACTGAATGGTTCCTGCACCCTTCGCAGCTCGCACCTCAGCTCAACTTGTCCGGCACAGCAAAGAGGCAGCCAATCCCAGTCCCCCGAGTGCTGCGCCGCCGGCCCTACAGCACCGAGGTACCGCCTCAAAACCGCTTCCGAGTCCTACCAAGTCCTAAATACCTTAAGCACGCACTTGGCTGCGCGGGCTTCTCGGGCCTCGTAACAAAGATAGGACGTCGGTGACGATTCCGCAACTTTCCTCGGGCGTCCTTGCGCGGCACCATCACAACGGCACGGCAGGAAATATAACAAAAATGGGTGGCAAATGAACTGATTACACGCGTTGCTTGTTTCCTCACTTTTTCAAGATCCGCCTTTCGCACCGGTAGCTAGGCCTTTCAGTTGGTTGCACGCAGGTCGAGTTCCGTTTTCCCACAAGCGGGGCCCTCGTCAGATGGATAGCAAACAGCATTTCGCCTCCCTCATGGAGGACTACTCGTCCAGACCTGGCACCGCGTCCCTCCGGTCCCTGTCGCCCTTCCGGAGCGGACGTCGGTCGTCGTGGGCTCGGAGTGGAGATGGAGGGAGCACATGCGTCGGCCCGTCCCAGGCGGGACCCGAGCTTGACCTCAACCAGGATCAGGGCGTCTTGTCCTGCGTGTACGTGTCGGAGCCGCTGTCTTCCGCGAAGACGCTTCCGGGCCTAACCATGCGAGCAGAACCAAAGAAACGTCACAGGAAGACTGTGCCAGACACCGGTTCATCGTCTGGGCCGCCGTGAAGCGCAACTCGTCTGTGCGCATGACTGCCCAGGAGCGGTTGGAATGTCCGTTGCTGAGGTGCACGCAGCGGTTCCCGGACCACGAAGCGATGCTCAAGCATTTGGCCGGGTGTAGGTACCTCGCCTTTGGCGAGTACTGGTGCTACGACCACATGAGGGTGGAGCGGTTCGATGATCTGAAATGCAAGCGCTGCCTGGGCCATCCATCCAAGAGGAGAAAAATGCTCTACATGGCAAAGAACTTCTTCCATTCGCTCGGTCATAAGTCCAAGAAGGCGCAGACGGGAATGGCCGATGATGAATCGATACTACAGCCACCGCCGAGCTACGATTCCCTCAACATCCCCAGTCTCGATGGCCGCGCCAGTGAGCTACCGTCGACCGAGATCCTCGAGATCGACTCGATGGAAGTACACCTTTTCGAGCCTACGCCCGTGCCAACTCCTGTGCCAGCTTCCGTACCAGCACCCAGTGATGTTATTGACCCTCAGGCTCTCCTCATGCCCGTCATGCCCGCCCTTCCCACCGTGCCCGAACTCGACTCCACGACGCCCTCAAAAAATGCCTTCATGCAATGGCAACCGGCACCGACCGTTACGCAGTCCTCGTTCCCATCTATGGCACCGGGTGATGGCTTGGTCAGATTTCCCGCCGTTAAACCTGCGCTGCAGGTGACCACAGCCGGTCTTCAAGGCCGTCGTCAGAGTCCGCGGCCGGTTGCCAGGCCGGCCCCCGCCGGCCCCCGCGGCAAAGGCTTGTCCCCCAGCTCGTCGGTGAGGTCCACGGCCAGCACCGACAGCGACGCCAGCATAGCGAGCAAGGGCAGTTCCATGATCTCGCCAGTCTCGAACTGGAGTGGAGCGTGGTCCATGGGATCCGGGCTCAACACGAGCATGACTTCGCCAGTCGACGGCATTGTGGCTGACGACATGTTTGCGGACGCCTTAAACAGTCATAGTAATGACGCATGCCCCGATTTCCTTCATGACTTCTTCTCAGAGTTGCCCGCCGATATGCCGATTCTCGACAACGCCTGCGATATGGCTTCAGATGCCCTTCTCGGATTCGATGCCCCCCTACCAACTAATCTGTCATACACGCCAGACATCATTCTGACAGACGTTGTGGCTGAAAGCGTTGGGATCCAAGCCCCTGAGTCTGAGCCGGAGCCGGAGCCTGAGCGTGAGGTCGAACAGACGAACGTGTGTTGCTCGGAGACAAAAGCTTTGGTCAGCTCGGCGTGGGATGCTCTGCAAGAGCATATGGTCTCGTCCAAAATGAAAATCCAAGACGATAAGGAGAATCAGCTCGCCAACCAGCTCGGTTCGATGTCGGTTAGGACAGTGGCTGTGACGGGCTTACGAACGCTCCGGGCCCTCATAAACGGCCAGCGACCTTCCTCTGCGAGTGATGCCCTTTGCTTAGTCCATCTCGTCTACACCTTTTCGTTGGTATTGCATGAACAGGGTACCTTGGATCGTTTCACCCCGCTCTTTCTGCAATCCTTAGCATACGTCGATGGGCTGCCGTCAATCGAAAGGGACTTCTACCGCCAGCTCGTTGTCAGCATTTGGCAACCTCCCGGCCTCAATCATGCGCAAATCAACAACCGTCAGGCATTGGTATCATACAGTACATTGGGCTTGAATCCCGATCCCAAGGGGAAGTCTCCGGAGGTCGCCGAAAGGAGGGTTGCGGAGGGTAGTGATTCGCTGCTCATGGCGGCTCGTGACTTCCTTGACGGTAGGTTATCTTAGACCACCAGGTCACGGGAGAGACTCTGACTGACATGGGCCCTGTAGAGCTCGAGATCAGCATCCTCATGAGCCAAGAACCCTTGCCGCTTGATGTGCAGGTCTCCGAATTGCATATGACACATCTGAAGGACTCGAGCCCAGTTGCATCGGCGAATGGAGCATTGCTGGCGATGGTTCGAACCGTACTGGAGGCGCTTTCCCAAGGCTTCGACGATGCTGGTCTTAACAACAGACTCAGGCGAATTTATCAAAAGCTCGCCAATGGCTCCATCTGCAGCGTCCGGAGGATCGAACTTGAGATGCTCCACGCTGGCAGGGTAAGTAGCGTTCCTATTCGATTTCGTTCGTGGACTGACGAAGAGGACCAGAGTTGCTTGCCGGTCACGACATGCTTTGGCCGTTTTGTCCACATGGTGCGGAGATCGTGCGACAAGTTGTACGAGCAACATGATGTCGGACCATCTCGGCGCAACGTCTATCACGGACATTGTATCTCATTGATTGAGCATCTGATTCCCGGGTGCGACGACTCAGGTGGCAAGGCCGCAGACGCCTTTCCTCTCAACGACATCGATGCATTCTTCAATGACTTGACCTCGGAGAAGGGTGACACGACCGTCGCTTGCATAAATATGCAGCCGCCTGGGATCCAGATGCTTGAGTACGATGCCAACCAAACGGAACTGCCAACGCCGACGGCAACTTCGAGCGGGTCTCGATCTCCATCCGGCACTCAAGCTGGCAGCCCGCCAGCTGGACAGACACAACAACCGGCACCGGTCGAACCAACGGAGCAGCAGCAAGCAGGGCAGAAAGTGGAAGCCAACTCGTGTTGCGAGATCTGCGGGTATCGGCCCAAGGGTGACCCACAATGGTTTAAGGGCAGCATGGCCAAGCACAAGAAGCTGCAGCACAGCACCGAGCCGCCCAAGATCTACAAGTGCCCATACCCGGGTTGCACGAGCCAGTATAAGAACCGACCGGACAACCTACGGCAGCACCAGATCGAGAAGAACCACTTTGTTCAGGGCGAGGAGATCACGCCGCGGCGACCCAGCAAGCGAAAGAAAGTGGCAGATGGGGAATAAATGCGTAGAGAGATATAGGGATTTAAGGTCGTTTTGCAGAGCAACTCGGCCAGCGACTTTTCAGATCGGCATTTCAGGGGATATGGGAGGGCATTTTGTTCTAGGCTTGTCTAATCACTATGATACCATTCTGCACGGCGAAAGGAGTTGACGGTATTTTGGATGAAGACTTTGGATATTTCTCTGTTTCGAGGCCTCTTGGAGGGATAGATGCGGGTTGGGTACGCAGCGAGAACAGTTACCTGTTAAAGACAAACACCCGCGATTACAGCGGGGATATTCTTCCGTCAAAACAAGAAGAGGAATCTTCAAGTGAGCCATGACTGCGGTACTACTTGTGCGTCTAGACCAGCGTTTGGTATAACTTCTAGGACCATGATAGCCCCTTTCTGATATTAAAGCTTCTTTACAGCATTCAAGCTCTGTCACAGTTGAATCACGGGTATCGATATTGTTGGCAATAGGTATTCTGAAGGAACGTTGCTCGGGGCCCCGGGGGAGACGGGTACTGTCGGCACCCAAACTTCAGAATCCATTCGTAACGCTCGCCGTACACGATCGAGATCTGCTCCACAACATCTCCGGTCGTTAACGTCGCCTTTTGTCCTTTCTCCTCGCAGGACTCGCATCGAGAAAGGTCTGGGTCATCTATCGAGACACCAGGAGTCCACTTCAGAGGCTCTACCCCACCTCGGACGGTTTATATCAAGCAGTAACCTACCCTACCCTATTTATTACCCGGCAACCTCTCGCCAACAACTAACAACAGCGGCAATCACACACTTCTTACCTACCTGACCTTAGCCATCAAACCAAACAAGCGGCAGATAAATTCCTCGCAGTACAAGATGGTAACCATAAGAGAGCGATCATCCGAGACGGTAACCACAAGGGAGCGGTCACCCGAAAAGCCCCGCCGCATCCCGCTCATCATGGTCATCGGATCCCTCAACATGGACCTGGTCGCCTACGTGCCGCACCACCCCTTGCCAGGCGAGACGCTGACGGCCGACCACTTCGCCACGTCGCCCGGCGGGAAGGGCGCCAACCAGGCCGTAGCCTGCTCCAAGCTCTCCCGTCGGCGGGACGTCAGTGACCTGGTCGAGGATCCCGGACCAGCAGCCTACGTCGCCATGGTGGGCTGCGTCGGCAAAGACGACTACGGCGCCCGGCTCAAGCAGAGTCTGTGCGACTACGGGGTCCACGTGCATGGCGTCGAGCGGCGCGAAGGCGTGCAGACCGGCGTGGCGCTCATCATCGTGGACGGCCCCACGGGCGAGAATCGGATCGTGCTCCACCCCGGCGCGAACCATGCTCTCGTGCCGGCGGACCTGGCCATGCGTATTGAGTTGGACGTGAATGAAGATAGCTTGAGAGAGGGGCAGGATTGGAGGGTGCCGGATCTGTTTATCCTGCAGCTCGAGATCCCCTTCGAGACGGTGCTGGCTGTGCTGAGAATTGCCGGGCGAGCGAGGGATGTGCTGCTGAATCCGGCGCCGGCGAGGAAGTTGCCCGACGCGGTGTACGACGGGCTGGCGCACCTGGTGCTGAACGAGACGGAGGCGGCGATCCTGGGGGAGGTGGAGCAAGCCTCGCTGGACGACGAGAAGGGGCTGCAGACGGTGGCGGAGCGGTTTGTGGACAAGGGGGTGAGGAATGTGATCATTACGCTGGGCGGCAGGGGCGCGTACTACATGAGCAGTGACGGGAGGAAAGGATTGGTGCCCGCGGAGAAGGCCAAGGTGGTGGATACTACTGCCGCCGGGGACACGTTTGTGGGACAGTATGCGCTGGAGGTGGTGGGTAAGCAACAGACCGAGATCGATATTGAGGCGGCCGTGAGGAAGGCGAATAGGGCGGCTGCGAAGACGGTTGAGAGGGCCGGGGCGCAGGACTCGATTCCCTGGAGGGAAGAGCTGGAGTAGCGGCCGTCCGTTCAGGTACACACGAGGATAATTTAGAATTCAAGTCACTTTGGTTTCATCCTTGCTATCCTGCACATTGACCACGACATGATCCCCATTCCAGACCAAGCACGGTCGAACCTCACGGGTTCACGTACAACGGCGGCCTGCTCCATCCGTCGGTCCGGACCGGCTTGACGCACTTCACGTCAAACCCGTTCAGTATGCGAAGGTTCAACGGTCGCTTGTCGCTGTATGCAGTCCGGAAGTTCCGAACCGGCTCTGGAAGGGCGGCGATCTCCTCGGCCGTCAGGTCGGGGTTCAGGTCAGCCCCGATGTGCACTCCACAAGTCTTGCAGAATGACTTGCGCCAGACCCGGTTTCCGAGGGTGTAGTACGACAGGTTCTCCTGGCCCTGGATGGCGACTTGGTTCAGGGCGGGATAAATCCAGACATACGCGCCCTGGGAACAGAGTCAGCAGGATGATGGGGTAGATCTAAAAAAGGATTTAAAGGATGTTTTTGAGCACCTACGCGCTGGCAGATGCTGCAGTTGCACTCCACGATAAGTTCTTTGTACGAGCCATCCTCCAGGGAGCCGTTTACCCTGACAGCGGCAGTCACGGCTTTGCAGTGGCAGCTCCCGTAGTATGTCTTTCCGTTCTCAAAGCCGGGAGGGTTGGGTTCAGGGCCTAGGTACTTGGGTGGTTCGTATGGGGGACCGAACTTCTTCAAGTTGCCATCGTATCTAGCAGGAATCAGTCCGGAACGGATGATGAGAAGCGCCAGACGCCAGGGCACATACGACGTGACCTCCAAGCCCCAGATGTCGAGGTCTTGAATGGCCCTGACCTACAACAGGAACGCAAGTTAACCGAGCTCATCTACTACCTTACCTAAAAGCACGGCCTGTCATGCCCACCCCCCATCGACCCCACCATAGGTACTCACATTGATTCCCACCCCGGCTGGGAACAGATCACTGGTTCCGATCACGCCGATTCCGCAACTGCCGCAGAACTTTCTCGGAAGAATCCGTCAGCATTGCATACCACACACCAGTGACGCCATGATAGCACCCATTGAAAATACGAGACGTCCTCACCTGGTGGTCAATCTTGCCGGAACCGAAGGTATAATGGACGAGTTTGCCCTCGTCCTTGACGATCGTCAGGGGCTTCTGCGGCTCCATGAAGAGGTAGCCTCTTTTGCTGCAGATGCTGCAATTGCATTCGCCCGCGGCCTTGATTTCGGCGGCCTCGAACTCGAAGACGAAGGCGCCGCAGTGGCAGTTGCCCCGGTACGTTCTGGTCGGTGACTCCTCGGTCTCAGGCATCGCGGCAGTCTGCAAGTCAACAATCAAATGGGATAGGACAGATGAGGCAGCGGAGTAGAAAAGGCGAAAAGAGACAGGACTAGTAATAGTAACCAGCAGACAAGCAAGCCATTCAACTGTCAGGGAGAAAGCCAGTTAAATACATTGTGAGTGTTCACAACATGGGAGCCAGATTCCCATCTACATACTCGGAGGTACGGTAGAAGCGTGCCATGGCAGTTGAAGGATTTCGGTCGGGTAAGCAGTCGCGCCAACGGACCAATTCGATTTCCGACTCCTTACCCTCACGTGAGTCACTCCTCACCCTCACGTGAGTCACGTCTAACAGTACAGTACCAGGCATACGGATCAGTTGTTCAGGGATAACGGAATGGCACGTTTCCAGTCACGCGTCGGTCTCGACCCTGGTCTCGGAAGACAAGCGAACGCGCTGTCATGTGCAATGAGGGAGTTTTAGGAGTCACATAACATAGCGTGGGAATTCGCAAAGAATAGAAATGCTACCTCCACTTTGATGCTGAGTGTATCATTGGCTTCGAGAGGGTTTTCGTGGGTCTGCCGGGCCTGCAAGTGCTCCATCAGAGTTGCATCTTCGTCTGCCTTGCATGCTCCTGCGCCCGGGCTGCCCTCCCGTAGCCGGCGTATTGGCTATGTGCAGCCAAGAGTGGAGGTAGCATTTCTATTCTTCGCGAATTCCTACAGTAGCATCAGGGAGCACGGGACACCAGGCCGAAGCTTGCTGGGTGAGAGCTTCACCGAGGGGGCAAGGTCGAACCTCCAACCTTACATATACCGATTGTTGTCTTTCTATTACTACTAATTAACCCGCTAACCGCTTATTTCGGTTGTCATGCAGAGTCACTTGTCTAGACTTCGGCGCGACAGCAATCTATTCGATGGCTACATGGGGACGAGCAGCGACATACCGGTGCAGGTTGGGGGGGGTTGGCTAAGTTAGGAAGGCCCAACTTCGAGGCTCTTTCCTTCTCGATCTCCTTCTCATCAACTTGCGGTCAAGCAAACTTCTGCTGTCCCGGTCAAGAACCTTCTCATTGGTCGAACAATGTGAACTTGGTGCGAGCGACCCTGAATCCCCCAGATCTGCCGGTCCTCGCACTCAACTGGACGTTTCCTCTTCTCCCTCGAGTTCTCGTCCAGCACTCCCTGCAATCGCTCCTTTTCCATTCTAGTTGCTGCAGTGTCAAACCATCCGTTATAGTCATTTGATTTCCCGGTTTCCTCCATCATCTCAATGTTATAGATGGCCGCCGCTGCCACCAGTTCGAGATCATCGACATCCATCTCAGCATCTTCCTCTCGGCCCTCCTCGTTTGCGCTGACTGCGTCATGACGGGACCGGTACAATTCCCTTGCAGCCTTTGGACCAGGGAGCAGATACGGCACAGCTACGTGCCCTCTGTAGAGACGAGGTAAGCACCAGAGTTCCTACCTAGAGACATTCTTCTGCTTTTGCTTCTGGACGCACACCTTCCCCCATTTCCTCGGGATCCCACATCCCATACCGGGTTTGAGCGAATCTACCACCAAGCAGATCTCTCACCAAGCGGATCTATTATCAAGCAGATCTCTTACCAAGCAAATCTATTAACAAGAAGATCCCTTAAGCGGATCTATCGTTAACTATGTAGATTTATTATCAAACAGATCAGTTTTCAAACAGATCTCTCACCAAGCAATTCTATTAAGAAGATCTATGATAAAGCGGATCACTTACCTGCAGTCTGCAGATCTATCACCAAGCAAGTCTCTCAGCAAAGTTGTCATTGTGCGGACATCTCCATGCACATGGACAATTGGGACTATGCACTGTTGTTGAGGAGAGCCCAGAGCTTGGTATCTAATTGAGACCGTCGCGTCCAACTGAGCTCGCCTCCTTCATATCAACACCTTGCCCAGAGACGTGCCATCATTGTTCAGCAAAAGAGACGGGTCTCGGAAAGCCGACTTATCACGAAGCATGTTGCTGCTTCTGCCGGCCGGGGTCGGTCCTGTGACACCACCCAGACGCGCGTCTTGCTATCCTTTTCACCGAACATCACGGCCACTGCAGTTGAGCCGAACGACTGCTCGTGCCATCTTGGACGCAGCCTCGATGCCCGAGAACTCCGCGAGTGTGCGTCTCCGCCAGCAGCGGACAGCGAGTTTACTAACTCCGAGGCATTCAAGCAGCTCTTGTCGAGAAAGCGAGAGTAGATGGAGCTGATTGTATCATTCAATCCTTCTACAGCCCCGAGTCTTGCAAGCTTCGAAATCAAAAGGAGAGCATATTGCCAACCTCCCAGCTGTGAGCTGAACTGGGAGAATTGCTTATGGCGCAAGCTTTGGGGATTCTGATGCCAGATCTCAAAATCTCAAGATCATCGAACCTGCGGTTATCCAGCCTCTGTCTAAGCGAGACGACTGAAGTTATCAGAGAGCCTGCCATTGTCAGGAAGCTCGGTTTATCAGAACCGCGTCATATCAAAAGAGAGCGGTATTAATAAGAAGAGCTATGGACCCGTATGTTTAATAACCCTAACCCTCACCCCCCACAGGCACGACTGATCTACGGCACCGCTATCTGACGGGAGACTGCGGCGTGTTGTTCGCAACGCGGGCTACCTGGATGAAAGGGGCTTGTCTGTCTTTAACGAGCGGAATGAGAAACTGCCAGAGAACGCATGGGAGGCTAAGCTTGACAATCTACCAGGCCACCTGTTATATGAAACAGGACCCGGCGGTAGTAGTACACTGAGTATTTGACGTTCAAGTTATTACAAGCAAGCCATCCGAATCCGTGCTATTCGCCTTCTGGTCAAGCTTCGCCTCTGGCCTAAGGATTCCCTGAACACACGAAAATTTTAAACTGTCATATGTAGCACAATCGCGTTACTCGAGACAGCCGTAAGATCCATACAACACCAGAAAGACGAGAGTCTGGCAAAGCGGAGAGCTGAGCGTAATGCCGAGCATGGCACTTCTAATTCTTAAGAGGAGTAAATCAAGTCGATGTCGAAGCTGGAGTTCTTGGAACTTTGCGATCATCCTAGCAATGACAGATTGTTTGCTAACAGGTTTTTGAAAAAGCACGAAGACCTTGACGAACTAACCTGTCTCAAGATCGAGGGAAACTGGAGACAAATCTTAGAACCTTTTGTTTGAATAAGAAATAGTAATTCAAGCGAAGCGTCCTCGTTCCGAGCTTTTCTTTGGGTTACACAGTACACTGTATACACAGAGAAATCGAGGAAGGAACGCTTCGCTTGATTTACAGAGGAAAAACTCCAAACGAAGTCGAGTACTCCCCATTGGATGCCACAGCGGCACAGACCTGAGACACGGGAAGTCCGTTTACAAGCGACGGGCCAAGAAGCTCCTCTGCCAGGACATAGAAATCGCCACTCCTCCCCAAACCACCAGACACGCGGTATTCCAATTCCGCCGGCCAACGCATTGTACGTTTCCGCTTCACTCTGTAACATCTCGCGCCCATTTCGAACGTTTGTGAGCTTTATAGCGATCTCTTGATCCAGCTGAACATCGGTCCCTGCCGGAGTGAGCCTCAAGTGGGCTTGTCAGCTTTGGTGCCCTACCAGAATAGACGAAGCCGAACCCTCCTTCGCCGATCTTGCCGTCAACGCGGTATCTATCGTTTATTAGAATATCCTCGAAAGAACACTAAAGTCAACTGACATCGTTGTGCACGAAGGCCGGAAAGCCACACCTTCATGTTACAGGAACGGCTTGCGACGCAAATGTGAAGAGTGGGCGTATGTCATTATTAGAAACAGGGTGCCTGTGGGAGATACCCTCGTACTGGCACATTCAATTTCGTGAGCCGAACTACCCAAACGAGACAAGATGAATAGGATATGGTTGAAAGAAGTAGGAACCCAACGGACGCCCTCAGCTTTCATCGTCAGAATCCTCAAACCAAGTGACCCTACCATCGGAATGTTTATGGAAGTAACACCCGCTTTCTGCGTCCAATGTCCAATAGCTTTTCTTTCTGCTCGAAGGTATGGATGGCCTATGAGAGGATTTATGCGACGATGAGGCTTTCCGTTTCTGACCAGCGCGGTTATCAGCGGGTGGGAGTGACTTCAATGAGACGGAGCTTGATGCCGCAGGAGTAGGCTGGCAGGGTTGCTCGACTATTTCGTAGTCAGCTTCGTCTTCATTTTCGTTGGTCTCCTCTAACGTGCTGTCAATTGCGGGTATTTGGGCATCTTCGGTAATGGGATGGAGGTCACGACTCTGTTTCCAGTGATCCTTCAGCTGATCCCTCAAGGCGTATGACTGTTCCCTAGCGTGGTCTTGTTGATTCCTGAGCCCTCTTCGGCCGTCCTTATGCCCTTGGTGAGAGTCCTTTACGTTTGCCGACGCGTACTGATACTGATGATACTCCAGCGTACCATCCTCTGAAGGTGCAGCATAGTGTGCAAAGAAGTTGATATTAGTGCCGTCCGTGGTGAAAGTTGTGACTTCGGCGTGGCCGGGGGTGTCAGGTTTTCCGATATAGGAAAGGGCCTGGTTCCTGGCATAGACAATGGCCGCGCCGTCGTAGGCGCTCTGCAGTCTCGCTTCTTCCATGTCCTTTCCGCGTCCCTTCCACTTCCCGGCCAAGTGCGGCAGCGCCAGGGAAAAGGGATCGTCTTTGTAGAGAACAGCTCCGTTGACATGCTCCTCAATCGGGAATGGGACGTATTTTTTTTTTTCTCTAGACCCTCAGCAAAGTCGGGCTGGGGAGCAGACAAACCATTATTAAAGCCAACACCTTTCGGAAAGCCGGTGAACGGTTGGCTGAATACTCGGTTGTATCCCTCGTCGTCATACTCCTTCAGCAGCTTTACGCCAACCTCGAAGACCATGGTCGCTTCGTTTAGGGCTTTTCCCACATTGTTTACGTAACGGTTGTACTCAAACTAGGGGGGAGAAGCTGTTGCACGGGATCTAGCATGTCGTTCACGGATATTCTCCAGATTCGCAGGCGGTTTGGAGTGAAGTGGATGGACGATGCCGTTCCTACGGGCCTGGTCGGCAAAGCCAGATGACGTCGATGATACAGTCCTTGTTGATAATACCTTAACCGTGGACTCGGAGGGAACGGAAGCCGTATTGTGTCCCTTCTTTCTGGGCATCTTGTTGAACAGAGCCAAGTTTTCCCGCGTTAACTTCGCTCGCTTTGGCTGGTGTACGCTGTCATCGCCGTTGCTGTCAACCCGCCGCTTCCGCCGGGTGTCCGGAAGGACTTTCTCTTGCCCCTCGATTGTAGGCTCAGGGAGGGGGCTGTGTCTCCCAGAAATAATGTCGGCACGCATACCTGCACCGGTGCTTACGACGGCATCCAGCTGTTGTTGCTGGGACGCTTTTGGACGGAATAGCTGAGTCCGCGACTTGGAAATTCTGCCTCTCATGGCGAGGGGGTGATGGGTTTTGAAAGAGGATCGAATATTGTACCAGCTCTCAGGCTGGCCGACACAAATGGCTGTGCTGGGAGCGCAATGTCGTGGGACGGGAGTTGTATGGAAGCCCAGAGGTGAGTTTGTAAAATATCTCCAATGTGGTCTATGCACCAATGCGCCCACACCTCCGTGACGAGATTGAATGCTACGTAGTTTGGTACATGGGTTACTGTAGTGAGTAGTAGATGCCAGAGATGGCTAGCGCAGGGTGCGAACAAGACCCGACCAGGGGGCGTGCGAATAGCCAAGCTCTTCTATGGAACCCGACTCAGCCCGAAGTCCGTCTAGTGGAACCCGGGTTCCCGGGCGTGGGGTGTTCTCTCTCATTGGTGGAGGTGACGTCGTTGAGGCTTTGCCGAAGCTGCAGCAGATCGATTGCGGAAAGCCGCAACTGCTGTTGGTAAGATGGACCGACTGCAATTGTTGTGCCTGGTTTGGACATTCCGGCCGTCGAAGGTGACGCTGGAACGCAGGAACACGCGCCCTTTGGTACCATCCCCAGATCCAGGCCATCATGGTAAGGCGTCAGCTGGTTGTCGATGGTTGCTTCAAAGTACGTCGCAAGTCTCTTAGCTCGGGGGTCTTTTGTCATCCACGATCCGAGTTGTCGAAGGTATCGGTTCCGGACGGGGTAGTTCCTGATTCCAAAACCAGAAGGGCTCCCGGTCTGTTTATTAAAGGTGCGTCAAGCGTGCCGTTCACGATTTCCACATCTCCGGACGCGGGCCGTTGAAGACAAGCGAAACCTGCTGTCCCGGAGGGCACGGCGTCTTGATTGAACGCGGGGTTCCCCCATGCGAGAGGGGTAATAGAGGGGGAGTTCAGTTCAATTGGCCTGATGCCGTTCGATTCCGTCAACTTGCATCTTGACGAGGCTTGGGGAATCAAGTACTGCATTGCTCAGGATACAAGCCTTAGCTCAATCTCGAACACCCAGCCCGCTGAGCTGTCTCAGAAGCTCAGATGTTCCAGAGCTAGTTCTACCTAGAGCTCGAATGGAGTAGAGAGGACGATACTGTGGGTCAGGAAGCCCATTGTAATTGTCGTGATGAAGCGTGGGCGAAGTCTGAGAAGTTGGCGGCTCGACGGCGGGTCACTGGAGTGTTGAGAGTCAGTTCAAGACGAGAGGACCAGGCCAGTGCCTGGCAGACGCACGTTGAATGCAGGTCCTTGCTACACATAGGCAGCCATCAGCATCGCACCTTCCAGCAAGAATGGAAGGCACCACGAGCTCGATGGCAAGCACCATTCTTCCCGTCCTTGCCAATCCGGTGACCTCTCACTAATCAGATCCGACTCAAACAACGTGGGAGCTTGGTCCTCGAATCTTGGTTGTTGCTTTGCCCTGCCAGGAAGTCAGGGACACATACCCCACTGTGGAGCACCGGTTTCCCCGCCGTCTTGTGCCGGGCGTGGGGCCCGAAGCTCCCGCGATCAGGTGCTGGCTTGCGATTTGTCCGACATTGCAACCTCCCACTTCTCATCAGCCTGAGGTGAAGCTCGTGGCATTCTCATGACAAAACGATTTCGTCGTGCTCGGCCGTTCAGTGCGGCGGTTGCATGGCGCTTTCCGTACAGGCCTCCGCCCGCTAGTGGATCTCTTCTGGATCGGGACCAGACACAGTGCCGATAGCAGCGCGGTCGAACATGCACAGTACTCTCGACGCAGTACTCTGCCCCAGACACGACGGAATACCCCATCAGTGCCCATCACGAAGTGTCGACGGCGACTTGGCAGGCACCACACGCCCTTGGAGTCCTCGCCGTTCCTGTTGTCTCAAGCTCTGACGGTTTCTCGCAGACTTCTCCATCTGACCCCATCTTAGCTGCCTTGATTGGCGACGGATGACGAAGCCATGATGGGGCTCCTCACGCTCGTACTTCGCAGTATAGGTACATGTACCTCGAATGTACCGAATGGTCTGGATCCGTCGGCAATTAGCGGCCGCGCCGCTTGTAAAATCCATCGATCGTTTGGCCCCAACGTAGAGGGGATCAACTTGGCTGTCCATGCTCTATTGCCTTTCTCATTGGCAAGGACGGGACGATGCGAGATGGGGGGTACCCGGTACCTAGAATGTGCTCTCCGTTGTGAATCTCCAGTACTGGACTTGATTCCAACCCATCTTTGTACTTCAGTTGGACGGAACCATCGGGCTACCCAAGTACTTATATAAATAATCGATTCCGTCATTCCCTGACTGGCCAAACCTTCCGGTTTCAGCAACATCGAGATTTGGCAGAACATGCCTAGCGTACAAGAAGCCACCATGATGCCAAATGGTGCCGCCGCCCGTTTGGGGGCAATCAAGGAGAAGAAGGGGGTGCCAGACCTTCACACGGCTGCTGCCGAGCCGCAGCCGGACATCATTGACATCCGCCGCGCGGCGGTCGAGGTCAACCTGAAGACCGAGATCCTCTCCATGTTTCAGGCAAGGGATGGGCCGAGACAGCTCCCCACGCTCCTTCTCTACGATGAGCGAGGCTTGCAACTGTTTGAGAGGGTGAGGCTTTGTGAGGCTTGCCACGGTGTGCACATCCCGCGCTAACTCGTTCTAGATCACCTACTTGGCGGAGTACTACTTGACCAATGATGAGATTGAAGTGCTCAGGTCGTTTGCCGCAGACATCACCACGAGCATTCCGTCTGGAGCTATGGTCATCGAGCTTGGGAGTGGGTCAGTAGCACTCGGGCGTGCTGCTCCCCTTTCATTCTTGGAGTGTGGACTGACAGCATGTGTGTACCTAGGAATCTTCGAAAGGTGAACCTCCTGCTCCAGGCCTTCGAAGACGCGGGCAAGAGCATCGATTACTACGCGTTGGACCTCTCGCAGCAAGAGCTGGAGCGTACGCTTGCCCAGCTTCCCCAATACAAGCACGTTCGCGCCCACGGGTTGCTGGGGACTTACGATGACGGACGTTTCTGGCTCAAAGAGCCATCCCATGCCTCGCGGCGGAAGTGCATCTTGAGCCTCGGCTCGAGTGTTGGTGAGTTCAGTTGGGCTTCAACAGCTCCGCTCCGGCCGTCCTGACACCGTGGCAGGCAATTTTGATCGAGAGGACGCTGCTGCTTTCCTCAAGACGTTCGCTGATGTCCTCGGACCGGGAGACACCATGTTGATCGGCTTGGACGCCTGCAGTGATCCAGCCAAAGTATAGTGAGTGCCAATAAGGTATCCCTTGCTCTTTCCAGATTCGTCAGAAATGCTAACGGCGGGCTAATTAGCCATGCATACAACGGTTTGTGTCACCACACCCCGTCTTGCCGCCCCACTGACCCTAACTGCTCGCCGTGCAGACAAGGAAGGTCTCACCCACGAGTATGCCACGCCCGTCCCGCATATTTGAGATGCAAATTGGCCGATCCGGAATGACACTGACGAATCTAGGTTCATCTTAAATGGTCTCCGCCATGCAAACCGAGTCCTTGGGGAAACCGCTTTCATCGAGAATGACTGGAGGGTCATCGGCGAATATGTATACGACGCTCAAGGGGGCCGCCATCAAGCCTTCTATGCTCCCGTCCGTGAAACGACGGTCCGGGGCGAGCTGATTCGCCCTCACGAGCGAATCCAAGTGGAACAGAGCCTGAAATACTCCCCAGCCGAGGCTGAAGTGCTCTGGCAGCGGGCCGGTGTGGTCGAGATTAGCCAATGGAGGCACCGCGAGGAATATGGTGAGTAACTCTAAACGCCTTTACTTGTTGGATGGGCATCTCGTGATGCCGGACACGCATGCTTAACCCCACGTTTTCCACGTGGGGCCTAGTCGTACGATTCGCGGGTGTAAGTGAGCACAACAATGGTGTGTCGTCACTGGCCTACGTACCGAACTGTGTGCGGCTGTCGGGCTGCGGGGGTCTGCATCTCATCCAAGTTCTGAGCAACTTCTTATCCCGAACGCTGGGGAACTTCTTGATCTAACTTTGAACCACATACGCATAGGCCTTCACATGCTTGCCAAACCCCAAATGGCATTCAGCCTGATTCCCTCCTTCTACGCGCGCACCGCCCTTCCGTCTCTCGAGGACTGGAAGGGAATTTGGGCGGCTTGGGATGTCGTCACTCGTGAAATGCTCCCTCCAGAGGAGTTGATGGAGAAGCCCATCAAGCTCCGCAATGCCTGCGTCTTCTACCTGGGCCACATTCCCACGTTCTTGGACATCCAACTGAGCAAGACCACCCAGAAGCCGGCCACGGACCCCGCCCACTACCGCAACATCTTTGAGAGAGGCATCGACCCCGATGTCGACAATCCGGAGCTGTGCCATGCACACTCGGAGATTCCCGACGAGTGGCCTCCTGTCGATGAGATCCTGGCCTATCAAAGCCGAGTGCGCGCCCGGGTGCAGAGCCTCTATGCGGATGGCATCAACACCATCCCGCGCCATGTGGGCAGAGCGATCTGGGTTGGGTTCGAGCATGAGCTCATGCATCTGGAGACCCTTCTCTACATGATGCTGCAGAGTGACAAGACGCGGCCGCCACCTCACGTCCCGGCGCCGGACTTTGCAAAGCTCGCGGCCAAGGCCCGTTCCGAGAGGGTCCCGAACGAGTGGTTTGACATCCCCGCTCAGGAGATCACAATCGGCTTGCATGACCCCGAGGATGGAACAGATCCCGATTGCCACTATGGATGGTAAGTCGGTCAACGCTTCAGACCGCCGATAGTAACAGTCTTGTTGATGAATCCTAGGGATAATGAGAAGCCGGTTCGACGTGCGACCGTCCATGCCTTCAAGGCGAAGGGAAGACCCATCAGCAATGAAGAGGTAAGGAGAACGATTAAAAAGCACATATACAGTTGGATATGCCCAGAACGGTGCTAACTAGGTAGCTTAGTATGCGAGATACATGTACAACACGCACGTGTCCAAAATCCCGGCATCTTGGGCGCACACGACGGACACCTCTACGGAACAACAGACCAATGGCGCAGAAACTGCTCTCACGGATGGTGCTGACGCGCTCCCCGACTCCTTCCTTGAAGACAAGGCCGTCCGGACGGTGTACGGACTGGTGCCTCTCAAGTACGCGCTTGACTGGCCGGTCTTTGCCTCGTACGACGAGCTCGCGGGCTGCGCCGCCTGGATGGGCGGACGCATCCCCACGTTCGAGGAGGCTCGGAGCATCTACAGCCATGTGGAAGCCCTGAAGAAGAAACAGGCTCAGAACCAGCGGAGCCAGACGATTCCAGCAGTGAACGGGTAAGTGGCAAGATCAACAACCTGTCCTACCGAATTTGAGCGAAGCAAGTACATGCATGCTGAACTCCAGATCCCAGGCACCTCAGCAATAACGGAGTCGAGATCTCGCCCCCGGCCACACCCCCGGGCGGCGCCGCGTCCGAGGCCGATGACGACGACAACAACAACAACCGTCAAGCAGACGGACTGTTCATCGACCTCGACGGCGCCAACGTCGGCTTCCAGCACTGGCACCCCGTGCCCGTCACATCGCGCGGCAACGTCCTGGCGGGCCAGGCCGAGATGGGCGGCGTGTGGGAGTGGACGAGCTCGGTGCTGCGCCGCTGGGACGGCTTCGAGCCCATGCCGCTGTACCCGGGCTACACCGCCGACTTCTTTGACGAGAAGCACAACATTGTGCTGGGCGGGTCGTGGGCTACCCATCCGCGCATTGCTGGGCGGAAGAGCTTGTGAGTGTTGTTGTTCCCCCGCTTTTGTGACCTTTTTCTTTTCGGGGAGGGGGGAGGGGAGACGGGGGAGTATCCAACAGGAAGAGAGAGCTCAGTTGCTAATGTGAGTGATATAAACAGTGTCAACTGGTACCAGCGCAACTACCCCTATGCCTGGGTGGGTGCCCGGCTCGTCCATGATCTGGAGTAAGTGCTTGTTGCGCACTTGGTGCTATTATTTGCACGCCTTCCTTCGCTTGGCCGGAGAATGGTAGTTCAGCGGTCATATAGGTAGTTTAGGTCATTCGCTTTCAAGTCGATTGGTTTCACTTGTAGTTTTCTCACCACCTTAAAAAAGGGCCAAGTAGCTGTTTGCATAACTGTGGGCCGTCTGAATCACGACAAGGTTCATGACAGAAACTGTCCCCTAGCCCAGACGGTCCTGCTGAGATTTTTCCACCCTCATTCTCCTGTGAGGGACTGCCAGCGCCTGCATGCTCCGTCGATGGATGGAAAAGAAATGCATCCTCACCAATTGGACCACCCAAAACAAATCAAACCGACACTCCAACCAACCCCTTTGCCCCTTTTCCGTAAACCCAAAAACGCCCAAATGATGCTCTAGCTCCCCTGACAAGCCATGGATGAGGCGTGCCAGATCACACCGGGCCACCTCGCATAGGTACTCAGCCAGCAATACAGCAGATGAGATACCAGAGCGACCAGTCATTTTGCCGGCCACTCGACTCAGAGATATACATCCACCATCTCCCAGATCGCCGACGCCATCTTGACGCCCTGCTCGGTGATGATGCCGTCGATGAGCTCCGGATCCGTGTAGTCCACCTCGTCCTGCTCGGCAAGCATGCCGGCGGTTTCCGGGTCCAGGCCCACGTCCACGCCGACATTGTCGAACTTGCTGATATCCTTCTGGTTCACGCCGACGCGGTTCACCATGGGATACGCAATCGGGGTCTTGCGGCAGATCTTGTGCGTCTCGGCGGCGACGTAGAACCGCTTGATGCCGCCCTTCACCGTCTTGGTCAGGTGCGCCAGCTGGGCCGTGCCCATGCCCGAGATGATGCCGCCGTTCTGCATCACCACCTCGGTGCCGACCAGCACGAGGTTGATGAGCTTCTGGTTGCCCAGCACGTAGGCGACCTTGTGCGGCGAGATGGTCTCGACCTCGAGCCCGGCCTCGCGGAGCTGCGCGACCGCCACGTCGCTCCGCTTGTTGCGCCCGTCCACCACGTAGATTACCTTGAAGTGCTTGCTCGGATCGGCCGCCGCGCGCAGGAGGATCTTGGTCACCGTCCGGCTGCCGCCCGCCGTGAGCACGATGCGCCCGTCCGACACGTACCGGCTGCCCCAGATGGCGATGCTATCCCGCGCGGCCTTAGCGCGCTGCGCGAAGAGCTGCTTGTTGTTGAGCAGGTGCTGCCGCGTCTCCTCGAAGCTGAGCACCCGGTCCGACGCGCTCCCTGTTACGCCCTCTGCGGTCGGCCCTCTAAGCGACCGCAGCAAGTACTGCTCGAATAGATCGGCGCCGGCGAGTAACGGGAGCGGGTTTGGTGTGGACGCCAGGAGTTTGGCCTTTTCTTTCTTAACGACCTCGACTGTCTCCATGGCCGTGGACGAAGGAGTCGCGCGAAGAACCTCGATGAGCGATTCGATAGCAGCGACGCCCATCGTGAGTTCTCGGTCGGAGTTGAGGAGCTCGCGGTAAGTCTGGACGACGCTGTGGGCGTGATTTAGCTGGGGTGCACACTGTCGTGACGGAACTGTGGTGATGCTCACTCAAATGCGCCAGATGTATTTTTTTCTGGTGAGGGACTGGGACGGCTGGGTTTGTCCTGCCAAGGAAACCCTTGGGGTTCGCCCCTTGCGGCTGACGATGATGGCCCGTCAGCGGACATAGTCGATGCAAAGAAAACGGATGCTCTGAAAGGAGGGAGCAAGCGGCACCGGAGCATGCAGCTGCTCCTACTCCGTAATGCTGCTGTAAGTTTGCTTTAATACTGGATTTCGGTGGTAGTAAAAGTGGCGGCGGGCCCCGGCTCCTAATTAACGCACAAATACGCAACTGTGTAGAGATAGTGAGCTTTCATATCATCTTTGTTCTTTGTTGGTGTTGCAGCTAACTTCCCAGCTATGACTCAATTGGAGACCAGGGCCCCCGCGGAGCAATTTCTGCCAGCTCAGACCGCCCTATATCCGTCTGCTATAGTGGGGTAGATCCGCGGGGCAATGGCGGGGTCAGTGCCTGGGACTCCTTTAATTACTACTAAGGGGACTCTATGTTCCAACCAGGTCACCCCCAGGTCAACCTGGAAGTGCTCGAGATATAATTCACGAACCCTTTCTCATTCCAACTCCTTGCTCATGAAACTGTCAAAGCCGGAGTTTACCTAAAACAACGACGATATTATCATGGACGTGCCAGCCACAATCGACCCGGCGACAGGGCGACCTCTCCCGCCGGATGCCATCGTGCGAATCCTCCGTACGTTCCCCCTTAGAACCCCGACCACCGCATAAGTAGCAATTCGAAAGAAAGAGCTAACAACAATCCACAGATATAACCCCCAAAGTACACGTCTACTCCATCCCTCGTGACTCAGTCGCCACGGCAGCAGGCTATGCAGCCGCATCCTGGACGTCAGACCCCCGCAACCACATCTTCACCGCCCGCCTGCGCGTGCTCGAGACCTCGTTCTCCACCTCCTCGTCCTCTTCCGCATCAGAAGAACAACAGCAACAACAGCAACGACAAACCTCGGAAGAAGAAGATGAGGAAATGCAAATAAAAATCGACATCCTCCTCGAAGACCCCAGCACAGGCGCGCTCTTCGCCGCCGCGCCCTACACCACCCCGGCCTCGGTTGAGCCGACAACAGACAGCAGCCGGTTCTTTGCGGTGCGGGTGCAGGACCCGACGAGCAAGCAGAAGGCCACGCTGGGCGTGGGGTTTGAGGAGCGGAGCGAGGCGTTCGATTTCGGCGTTGCGCTGCAGGAGGCCGGGCGGGCGCTGCGGTGGTCTTCTTCGTCCTCCTCTTCTGCGGCATCTTCTTCGCAATCGCATCACATAACGCGGGCTGTAGGAGGTACCGGCGGGACAGGGGGAGAAGCCGGTGTGACCGCCAGTAAAGGGAAAGGAGGAGGAGAGGAAGAAGAGAAGAGGGATCTGAGTTTGAAAGAAGGCGAGACGATCACCGTCAACCTAAGCGGCACGAGGTTTGGCCGGCGGGCCGGGAGACAGCAGCAGTCAGAAGAGGATACAAAGGGGTCAGGCGGAGAGGAAGGGAAGAGTCTAGCGTCGTTTTCTCTCCCCCCGCCGCCGCCACCAAGCGCGAGGGAAGTACGAGCGCAGAAGAGGTTGAGCGCGCAGCAGTTGGGTTTTGACGATGGGCAGTTTGGCGAGTTTGCTTGATAAGATCGCAGGCGGTCGTGGTCGTAATGGCGTCATTTGTTGTCGGATTTAGATAACGTAGTCGTCCAGCCTAGGCAAGGTATTGTACCTGTCAGGCCCATCCAACCAGATACCCCTCCCTTGGTGTAGAGGGTGAACGCTGAATCGAGATGAGGACCATCCGACTGTGTAACCATATCCTAAAGAGCCTTTTTTGGCTCTCTGTTTGGCTGCCCTTATCCGACCGAATGCAGACTGCTCCTCCGAGACTTGGACCACATGTTCTTCACGTAAGGCAAGCTCCTCCGCTTGTCTTCTGCTTTGAGAAACTTCCATGGGAAGTGGAACGAGGCTCTCCGCAGCTTAGCCCGCCAATTCTGACTGTCCTCGAGGCCCGCGTCCAACTCGGCGTTCCAGTCCTCAGAGTGGGTGCAGTCGTCGTTCTCCTCGTGGCCCGGACTGTATTGTTCCACCTCGTGGCACGCTTCGCCCTTGACTTGGTCGCCCTCAGGTTCCCGACTCACTTGCCTCCCGACCTCCTGACTCCGCTGACTTCCTTCGTCGGCCTCATCAGCCGACTCTGGAGGCGCAGACCCATCCTCTGCCTCCTTCTCGGCTGACGTCTTCGAGGCCCTTGACCAGATATCCTCGGAAAAGGCCACGCCGGGCGTGAAGCACGGCGACAGCGGGCTCAGCACGGAGCCCGAGCGCGAACCGCAAGTAAAGTATTCAGTAGACCGCTCCGTGGCCGGCGTGTCCTGCTCCTGGCAGGGGCTGAGACAACATGCTTCGCTCAGGTTCGAGCCCGAGGTCCGAAGGGGAGCAAGAGCAGGGAGCGGATACACTAGCACGGATTGTGTCTGTACGAATGGTTGATGGTGTACCTGCATCCAGCGGTCTCTGTTTTGCAGCTCAACGTGGATCTCTCCCAGCCTGAGGAGGATCAGTTGCTCCTGCTGGGTGCTCTCGGCGATCTTGGTTCTGACCAAGGCGGCTTCCTTCTTGCACTTCCTCGTTTCGGCCGCTGTTTGGGCGCCGGCGAGACGTGCCTCGATGGCAGCGTACCGTTCAAAAAGTCTCGTTGCGCGATCGCCCTGTTTCTGGAGCTCGTAGAGAAGGTATGACCGCTCGTTGTGTAGCCCTTCCAGAGGCCGGGGGTCCAGGCTTTGCACTGCCGACATGTAGTTGTTTGCAGGGAATGCTGACCGGCATTTGGCCTCCGGCTTAGACTTTGTCGGCCGCATTGTGGGACATCGAGCCCGAGAGCTTCGCGGCGGAACTTCCTTGTCGCTGCCCTGCTCCCCGCAGGTAGGAAGTCGAGGGATCGTCGTTGGAGAAACGGACCTGGACATTCTCGTACCGGGGGTGGGAACTGGGAAGCGTCTGTTGATACACAGGACTTTGCTTCGTTTTGTGATGAGCTTTGCTATTGATTTAATTAGACAGGACCGATAGAGTCGAGTCTAGTCTCGTGAGCCTTGTCTCATGCAAGGGCTTTAAGCCCGCAGTGGCCCTCCTCGGGGCGGGTAGGACAAAGGGGTGAGAGTAGTCCAGTACGTACCGTACTGCTTGGTCCTCAACAACCCCTGTTCGTCCTTTGTTTGTCCTCGCCATTGAACGCCCCGCCACGGACCACATGGATCCCCGGTAAGGCGTTCCGAGTGCAAAGGCAAGACAATGTTTGCCGCGGGTTCCGAGGCTCTACTGTTGGTGCTGAGAGTTGAAATGGGAACGAGCTGTAACGGCAAAATCCCCTGCATCAAGCTCTAGAACGTTCGCTCCAAAGATCTTCGGGCGCTTAGAGGCTGAAGCCGTCGTGTCTTGGGGGGTCGCAGAACCTCCAAAGGCCTGCTGCCTCGGCCGCCTTCCGTACGCTGGAGATCTCGTCCTTGGTCACAGCACGGTTGATATCCGCGTACCGTCTCTCACTAGCACTGTCGTCTTTGTCGGCGGCAGATCGTTTTGACCGGCTCTTAGGCTTGCCTACGTAGGCGTCAGGGTGGTACTGCTCCATTATATTGACGAAGCAGTCCTTGGAGACCTCGTTTGCGAGGAAGTTCATGATCTCGGCGCTCTCCGCCTCAAAGCCTGGCATGACGAGGTGGCGCACAAGCAACCCTCTCTTGGCGATGCCATCCGCGGTGAAGCACAGATCCCCAACCTGAGCATGCATGGCTTTGATGCTCTCCCTCGCCGTAGCTGCATAATCCTCTGCTTTCAAGAGACGCCGCGAACTGACAGGAAACCACAGCTTGAAGTCCGGGAGGTAGATATCCACTAAGCCGTCCAGCAGTTCAAGAGACGCCAAAGAGTCGTAAGCAGACGTATTGTAGACGATGGGCAGAGTTAGCCCGTTGTCCCGCGCATGGAGGATGCTTAAAGCAACCTGAGGAACCACACTGTCATGGACGCTCAGTCAAAGCAAGATCCAGCCAATGACATGCCGTCGGCCACTCACTGTTCAGGGGTGATGAGGTTGATATTGTGGACGTTGCCCACCTCCTGCAGCTTGAGGTACCTGTCCGGCATGTCAGCCCCGGTTCTGGACCGCACCTCGGAGGAATGCACACTGTCTCCGGGCGGCTCGCGAGACAAACAAGACAAACAAGTCCGAAAATGGACGGGATACATACCAATCCCCGAGTTCCTCCGGGGTCAGATCCTGGCCATTGCGCTGGTGCGCAATGTCATGGTTCTGGCAAAAGACACAGCGTAGGTTACACATACTGAAGAAGACAGAGCCGCTGCCGTTGTGGCCCTGGATGCAAGGCTCCTCGCCAAAGTGCGGCGCAATGGTGTTCACCTTGACGTTGTGGCCGATGAGACACATGCCCGTCGTCTCGTAGCGGTTGACGCCGCATAAACGGGGACACAGGTTGCAGTTGCGAAGGTGCGCATAAGCTTTCGAGCGCTTCTTGGCGGCGTCCACCGAGCTAAGTGTCATGTATCGGGGTGTGTAGTCGTCCAAAAGAAAGGGGGGCGCCAGGTGCAGAGACCGTTTGTTCCCAAGCTGTGATGCATGCAGGGCCGCCGGTCTGCGCATCAGCCGACTCATCAAATGCACTGGCATTTTGGACTGAAGGCATTTCAAGCTGAGCAGGTTGTCCAATGACAGAGCAGACTGAGCGTGCCTTCCCCGAAGGAGTTAAGAATCCGGAATGCTACAGAACTTAATGTCTGGAGAGAGATCGCACTTGCCACGCTCGAAAAGTCTACGGCTTTCACTTCACTAACAATTTTTACCCTCGTGGGTCAGCATCACTCACAACCCGAACCACTCAACTATCACCAGGCATCACTCCTGGACCAACTGAAAGAGAACTAGAAACATCTAAAATCAGTTTATCCAGATGATTAGGTATGTGTTGTACATACATATACATGTTCATTACTAGACTTCTTCATACACGATCCTCCCTAGCCTCGGTCGCCATTCCGGCCCTCGGAGCCGAAACAGACCCAACGACCGGCCGTCCCACCCTCAGCCAGAGAGAAAGAGCTTTGTTCCGCTGGGTGACTGAGCTGCAAACTGCCTGGTACAGGCCTTCTTTGGACCCCGCCGACTCACTGGATTGAGCCGATTAAGAATACCAATGACTGTCAGTATGCGCCGCTATGCGGAGTGATCAAACGAAAAAGGGACGCGCATCACGTCGCAACCCGCAAGCAGCGGAGCATGAGATATCCGTCTTGATGTAGTCAGTATCCGGGAGTTGATCCAAGCGACACCTTACTTAGTAACATCGACAATATATAGTGGGTAAGGTACCTTAGGTTTACCTTTTCGCAGCCCCTCGAAAGAACATCAGACTCTCTCACCCGCACTAGTCTACCTATTTCCGCCTCTTCCCCCCGCCACCTCCCACATCGCCGGGCTTCCTCTTCTTCCCTTCCCTCTCCCAGTAAGCCTGCTTCTCCCGCTTCTCCTTGTTCTCCAGCCGCTCCTCAATCTCGGCGATCTTCTTGCGGTACTCGGCGCGCTTCTCTTCCTTCTTGGCCCGCCGCTTCGCGACCTGCTCCTTGCGGATCGTCGTGAGCTTCTGCATGAGGTCGCGGGCCTTGCGTTCCTCGCCGCGCACCACCACGGCGCGCTTCTGCATGTACGTCTCCTTCTTCTGCGCTTTGGTCTGCACGATCTGCGACTTGAAGGGCAGCTCGGCCGCGAGTGCCCTGGGCACCCTGAGCGGGTTGAAGTGCCGCGTGGGCCGCTCAATCTTGCGGTACTGGCTGTTCCGGTCGAGCGGCGTTGGGATGTTCTCGTCGCGCCGGATCTCGCCCGTCAGCCGCATGCTCTGCCAGCCGATGAGGTTGGTCACGGGGTTGTAGAAGCGGTGCGGCTTGATCGGGTACCACGCGCGGAGGAAGACGATGTCGCTGAGCAGGATCTTGTCCTCGAACGTCGCGCGGAAGTGGCCGTCTGGCTTGGCGAGCGCCCGCTTAATCTGACCGCGGATACCGGACACTGTCTTGATGGCGGCCCCTTCGAACTTGGCAATCTCGAGGGCCGAGTTGAACATGTCCTTGATGAAAGCCGTATTCTTGAAGATCTTATATGGCGTGCCTGTCTGCGTTCAGGTCAGTAATTGTAGAGCGTAGTACAGTGGCCCGGTACAACATACAAGCTTGAGCTTCTTGACGATCTCTGTGGACTCGTCAACGCTCAGAACGGTGCCAGTCGCAGCGATCCGGAAGCCGGGGTTGGAGGCGGAGAAGGACTGGAAGCACGCGAAGCCGGTATTTGGCGCGATCAGGGGCCCATAGAAAGTGCCAAAACAGTGCATGTGTTCCGGGGTGTACTTCAGCATCCTGTTTCGGGTCCGCGAATCCGAGATAGAGTAGATGGGGAGGGTCTGGAACCTCCTCCAGCCGAGAGAGAAGATTAACGGGTCGCCGGTTTTGACTGATTGACACGGGCGTTAGTATGTTGCGGCCCAGACTCGTTCCCCGGTTAACTTACGAATCTTTTTATGCCAGCGATGTCTCTTGATTCTGACCTGGACGAACCCGAATCTGTCTTCCGTCGGTGACAGACCGCCGACAATGATAGGCAGTCGCGCCTGGAATCGGTTGACGAACTCGGCCGGGACTCCCTCGATGACCATTTTGGCGTACTTGCCCGCCCTGTAGCCCTCGACCGCAATCCGCTGGCTCTCATCAAGCTCCTCAAACTCGGCCTTGTTGATGTCGAGTTGCTTCTGGAGCATGGCCTTTTGTGCATCGTACCACTCATCCTCTCCGAACTCTTGGTCGCCGCCTTCTCTCCTGGCGATGGCCTTGTCGTTCTTGAAACCTTCGCGATCCTCTTCCTCGAATCGGAGCTTGAGTTCCTCCTTGCGGCGCGCGTTCTTCTCTCTCTCAGCCTCCAAGCTTATCTCGGGCTCCTCTTCGCCCTTATCCTCGGCCTCTTCAAGACCGTGAGACTCGCCGGTTTCGAGATCCTCAAAGGCACCGTCCCCCTCGTCGTCTTCATCCTCATCTCCGAAACCGTCTTCGTCATCATCGCCGCCATCTTCATCGCCCTCCTCTTCGTCAAGCAGGTTGGCCGTGGCGAACCTCTTTCGCAAGGCTTCGACGGCATCCTGGTTCGACCACTTGGCAGCCAGCTCCTCATAGTTGAACCGAGGGACCGCCCGGTCCTCCTCCAGCTCCTCCTTATCCTCCTTGCCGATTTTCCGGAAGAACGTGTCGTCATCCTCTTCGATATCCTCTTCTATCTCCTCGTCCTCCTCGCCTTTCCATCTTTGAAGAGCTTCCTTTGGTGTGAGCGTTACATCATACATGAACCTCGCAAGATCCTTCGGCCTATATGGTGGCCTCTTCCCGTGCCTCATCTTTGCGAGTTCCATCATGTTGTCCTTCCACCTCACGGCTGCCCCCTCCTCGTCTGAGTCGAGTTCCTCATCCTCGTTGTCTGAGTCTAGGTCATCGTCGGCATTCTCTTCCCCCGAAAGCGAGCCAAGGTCAGAGTCACTATCCGCGAAGGCGATATCATCTCCTTGGTCCTTGTCGTCCTGTTTCCTGAACAACTTGCCCAGTTTTGTCTCGTCGAATTCGTCCTCCACGTCAGACCCGTCTGGTTCCTCCCAGCTGACGAACCCTTCGTCCTCGGGCACCTCGGCTTCATCACCTGAGCCATCGCGTTCCAAGAACCGCGCCGTCCTCTGCGTTTTCCTCCCCCTATCGTCCTCTTCAGGGACCTCGGCAATCTGCTCGCCATTCGCGAAGAGCTTGACGCCCTTCTCGGTTTGACCCAGAAGCTTCCTCTCGCCTTGCAGATCAACAATCAGCTGTTCGCCTTCCCCGCGCTCAACACCCTCGGCGTCCTTGTCGAAGGCGAAGCCATTTTCCCTAGTGATGACGATGTGGTCACCTGTAATCTTCATGCCGCTTCGGTCGGCCATGGGGGCCCACAGCTTCTTATCTTTCTCATCTAGGCGCCTCCTGCCCTTTTTCCCGGTTATCTTTGCCATTGCCTGCTCCATGGCGGGCGTTGGGCAGGGATCCGGCAAGGTCTCGATACTTGATATTGTGAAGTCGCCCAGCCCAGCGATATGCACCCGCTGCCCCTGGGCGGCAAAGTTGGTGCCCCGGAGGTATCCGGAAAGCTCGATTGAACGGTCGCACTTCTCATCCTCCTCAATCTTGGTCGGATGGGTAATGTCGCGGTAGTTGTCGATGATGGTGTACGGGTGCGTGTTTCTCCAGACGAGGGGTCTCGGGTTCTTCATGACGGAGAGGAACCGGGAGAGGTTGTGGATTTCCCGATCGGGATAGCGGCCGTTCCAGATGCCGGAGAGGTAGAACAAGTGAGCACCTTGGTAGAGCTCATTCCATAGCCTGTGCTTTAACCTCTTCTTTGCATCCTTGAGCGCATGCTGTTTCTTGATCAAGTCGAGATGGGTCAAGATGCCGAAGACGTTGCCCGGCATGCCTGTCGCGGCGAGGATGTTGAGGAACTCCATCGTCTCCATCTCGAAGCCGTAGTTCCCGTCGATCATCAACAGCACGATATCGGCCACCTTAGCAATGTCGACCATTGCCTCCAGCTCGTTCGGACATTCGATGAAGGTTAACCTTTGTTTCTTGGAGGTAACGACCGTGATGGGCCCCACAGGGTCCGAGATGTTCTCTTTCGCATATCGGCGGATCAGGGATTTGCTGTGTCAACAACATATTAGCATATTTCCGTAACCCTGGCATCCTAAGCAGTGAGGCGTCTTACAGTAATGTGGTCTTGCCGACGCCGGGAGGGCCGACGATGGTAACGAGACGCGGTGGCGGTTCATCGGGAAGGCGGTCGACGAGCGGGACGTGGAGGCGCTTCTCTTTGATCTGTCAGGGGCCAAGTTAGTGCCCGCTCTTGGAAGAATCATGCGAGTATCAAGCATACATCGTGGGAACGGGCCGCCTGTCTTGCGAGCTTGCCGGGGTTGGAGACAGCAAATGCCTTTAGATTCGAGCCTGGGTCGTGTGAGCACGGACGATCAGCGAAACGGGCGTTCGCACGCTGATAATACTGACCTGATGTATTCTGCTTCTTTTTGTCCTTGGACTTCTTAGACTGCCGATGCGGCTTATGTGATTGCTCCTCCATTTTGGCAGGCCCCTTTTGGCGCTTGCAAGTTCGCTGCAAAGGTTCCGTGTCGTCGCGTAGAGTTCCAGAAATTTTGGGCGTGTTGATCGATAAGCGATAAGATAAGCGATAGGAGCGGAGGTGGAGCTTGGCACAGCGGGGCAGCGGGGTTACTGAAGAGGCGTGAGAGACTCAGAGCAGCCCTCAGGGTCCTCCACCTCTCACAAGTACTGTACCCTTGTGTACATGGTAGACATAGAGCGTTATGATCAGGTTCATCAGGACGACAAGCAACAAATCGTAAATATTCCGTTGTATGAAGGGCTTTTCCGGGCTGAAGCCATCGTCCTTCATATAGGGAAAATGGCACAACAACGCGAACAGGATGGCCGGCGGGCCATGGCCGTTGACAGCCTGGACTTGCCTGGGAGTCACTGGCCTGGTCATGCATGAACCTCCAACCGGAGTTGACAATGCAAACCAAATCGCAGTCAACACAACACCCGTTTGGCTGGCGGCAGCCATGAACACCTCTGACTTTCCTCTCTGGGCTAGAACGAGCCGGAGGTAACCGCGGTTGTTGGAAACTCCCACCCGCTTGCAACACTGCCATGATAGGAGCCCAAAGCCAAATGTTGGCCGCATGACGTATGCCCCTCTCCTGTGGCCTCTTCCGTAATCACTGTCGCGTCAGGCAACCTGCTCCGCCTACTCCCGTCCCCGTTAAACGCTAAGCCTCTCTGTGTATAAGTAGCTTACCTGCTTCACATACCAGCCCAAGCAACCAGCAACTACCCAGACACTCCTAATATTAAATCCTGCTGTTGGAACTATCAAGCCGAAACAGTCACGCAACAACAACCTAACGATCGCCATGCCTTCCTACATCGTATGTCTATGCGACGGGATTTCCACTTGCAATGCGGCACTCTGACCAGGCGCCATAGGTAACCTGCAAGCAGGACGCGACCGCCGAGGATGTCGAGAGGTAAGGGTCCTCGGCATGACTCGAGGTTAGGTAGGAAGTTCTTTGCTCACACAAGCTAGGGTCAAGCAACAAGTTCGGGACCAGGGCGGCCAGATCGGCCATGAGTATGCGCTGATAAAGGGCTTCCAGTAAGGAACCAGCAGATGCTACCAGCCAATAGAGAGAGAGTTCAAACTGCTGACACGGCGATCAACAGAGCTATTTACCCGGAAGGCACTGTCCAAACCCTCGGCGAGCACGAGCACGTCCAGCATGTCGAGGAGGATGCGGAAGTTCGGACGCAATAGTTAGCTCCTGGTGAGGATGCGGGGCAATCATCGCGGGGCTGCGGACTTTCAGCTGCAAGTTCAGCTGCCGGCTCGGGCATTGGCGTTAATTAACTACCTCAAGCAACAAATCAATCTCCGTAAGAGGTGTAATGGATTGTGCTGTATATCTGATCGGCCCTCCTGAGACAGAAATCACCTTCCTTTTGACAGTAGCTGCAGTACCTGTCCCTTCTGTGACAATATCAAACCACTGTCCCGAACGTGCTGTTCCTGGGAAGACATTACCTGTGACAGTTATCCTGAAGTTCGTCTGGGCAGATCTGCAGAAACCTACTGCCTAATGCGGTTAGGGGGCTTTCGTCATAGTTAGGGGTCGTAACCTGGAAATTCGGTCTCAACTCTCAACTCTCAACAACTCACGTGCTTCCTTGACCATTGACTGACTCCTACTGCGTGCCTGTTGTTGATCCCGCGAAAAGCCATCTGGGTAATGGGCTCAGCTCTCCGCTCTGTCAATTCAAGAAGTACTTGCACTTAATTTCGAGTGCTGAGCCTTTGATCCTCTCCCAAGCTGGAATCCTTCGTCGCTGTAGGACCCATTTGATCCGCGACTAACCGTGGCCGTCCATCCGCTGGGAATCATTGGATGTGATTGCGGCGGGCTTACTCTCCTGATGTCCGTAGCTGGTGTATCACTCTGCGCAAACATGCCGACATGAGAGGCTCCATTGTGAGGCCGCTGCGGTACAGCCGCAGTGCCATTCCCCAGATCAATTGCTGGCGGAGAGCGTCCTCCACGCTGCAGCATCTGAAGAACGCCTCGACTGCCCACCACCGCCCGCAGCATCACCATCCTCATGAGCGCGAGCACGACTTTGTCCCCCACTTGGCCAAGCAGCCATTGCACCCGCTGAGTCTCGCGGATCTTGTCAAGTGCGTCCCCCGGTTCCTCCGTTCAAGCCATTTGTCTAACCTTGATGCTCCCCTCACCCTAGACACGGCCGCCCCCCGTTGTCGGCCGATGCTCTCCTCGCATCCGCTCGCTTCACGCTCTCGCTTCTGCCGATCCGCCTGGCGCACCGCATCCAGGCCCTGCGCAACCTGCCATACATCGTCGTCTCAAACCCGAATATCAGCAGGATCTACAACAACTACCAGCACTCGCTATCGACGCTGCTGCCCTGGCAGGGGCGCACCATCAGCAACTTGGAAGACGAGATCCGATTCACAGAGGTGCTAGCGGAGCTCGTGCAGACACACACCGACACCATCCCCATCCTGGCCCGCGGCTTCCTCGAGTGCCGCAAGTACATCTCGCCCGCCGAAGTGACCCGCTTCCTAGATGAGCACCTGCGCGCGCGCATCGGCACACGCCTCGTCGCCGAGCAGCACATCGCCCTGCACTTCAGCAGCACGCCGCACTTCGACCCGGCCGCCAGCCCGACGCCGTGCCCGGAACACCCCAGCTACATCGGCGTGATCGACACGGCGCTGCGCCCGGCGCTGACCATCGACTCGTGCGGCGGGTTCGTGGCCGACATCTGCGAGCTCAACTACGGCGTGCGCCCGCGGTGGATCGTCGACGGCGAGCCCGACACCACCTTCGCCTTCGTGCCCATGCACCTCGAGTACATCGTGACGGAGCTGCTCAAGAACGCCTTCCGCGCGACCGTCGAGAACGGCATGAACCGCGAGCCCGTGGTGATCACCATCGCGCCCGAGCCCCCCGCCGTGAAGCCCCCGCCGCCGCAGCAGGGCCAGGTGCGCCTCGAGCCGCCCAGGGAATCCCGCGGCGCCTTCGACCGCGACGCCATTGCCCCGCTCGACGACAACGCCCCCGGCGTGACCATCCGCATCCGCGATCGCGGCGGCGGCATCGGCCCGGACGTGCTCCCCCACATCTGGAGCTACTCCTTCACGACCTTCAGCGAGTCGGACGACGATGTTCCTGGCGGATCGTCGTCGTGGACCGGTGGGGACGCGCTGAACGTTATCTCGGCGGCTAGCCACGGGCGCAGTTCCATCGCCGGGCTTGGATACGGCCTGCCGCTGAGCCGGGCGTATGCCGAGTACTTTGGCGGCGGGATCGCGGTGCAGAGCCTGCATGGTTGGGGCACCGATGTATATCTGCGGTTGAAGGGGGTGGGAAAGATAGAGTGAGTTCCATCCCGTTTCCGCCCGTGTGATTTTGGGGGAAAGGAGGGAAAAGGGAGAAAGCTGAATATTGGGTAGCTAACGCATCCCGAAAACAGGCAAGAAACAACTTTTGCGAAGAAGAAGGTGCAGGATGAGAAACTATAGCCAGTAATTTCTTACCAATACCAGGTATCTACGTATCTAGACAACAGTGGTCATGGCCTTATACGTATAGATTTTGCCTACTAGAAGATAATACTCCGTACCTTTCGTCCGATCCATCCAGTGATACCTTTGAATTCGCGGATAAGCAGTGCCACCTACTTACCTAATAAACCCTCCGAACGCTCTTATCAAGGGCTGCAGGCAGATAAAAGCAAAGGCTTGCCCGACATCGAACTTCCCCCCTTCCAGCAAACTCCATCGCTCCTTAGTTGGCTCCCTGATGACCTTGGAAGAATTAGGTACCGTCGCAACCCGACTCAACGGGACGGTATGTATTGTACATGTACATGTACACATACTTCAGCTTTGCCTTGGCTCCGATATGGGCATGGCATACGAACGTAGGGCCGCGGCTTACAGAGAGGTGAGTGCGGTTGTCCGGTCACCAAGGATGTTGCAGTTGCCTGCTTCAATGCATAGAGAGGTTTGACTCCCCCTAGGGCATGGATGGTGGTTTCAGTATCTCATGATGGGCAGAATATGCCACTCTGATTCTAGACAAGCAACCAACTTGGAAGAGACACCGCTTGTTTTGTACGTACCACGTGTGTCTGCGAGAGAGAGAGATGGAATTGCGAGCAGATAAATGATGACATATAAAAGGACAGCTATGATGATTATTACCCAGGGACAAGACAGACTAGAGAGACAGCCTGATCGACAGATAGATGATAATAGATCACACACCCTGACAGAGAGATCCCGAGAAATTCAAAAAGAAATCCCCGCTGCATCTTCTTTGAGCCAAGCCGACAGTAAGCAACCAACCAAGCAGTAACCAAACCACAAATAAACACAACCAACTCAAGAACAGAAACAAGAAAGCTGCCCCTTTTCTATACCTCAACCTAGTAATGATATGCCCTCCACGCCGCCCATTACATATTCGCCAGCTCATTATCAATCTGCCGATCCATAAACGTCCGCCTCTCGCCCGTCAACTCGGTCTGCAGCCTCTGCTCCACCAGCGCGCGCACCTGCTTCTTGGTGACGGTGTCGAGATCGACCTCGCGCAGCACCGCCTGGATGGACTCGATGATGGCCGCGTCATCCACGGGGCCGCCGCCGGCACCTGTGCCCAACACGGCGGCGCCGAACGAGCCCGTGCTCAGGTCCGAGTGCAGGCCCAGCCGGCTGGGACTCGGCCCCAGCATGCTTGTCGACGCCATCGAGAGGCGGTTGGCGCCGAGCATGCCTGGCCCGCCGGGCGGCGTGCCGGTCATGCCCCGAAGGTTGGCGACGCTGCCGCGCTGGGCGGCCCCGGGGAAGTCGCTGTACGGCGCCATGGTGCCCATCGACATCATGCTCTGGCGCTGGGCGAGAGCAGGGTTCTCTGCGTAAGGGGTGCCGAGCAAGGTGCTGGTGCGGGTCATGGGTGTGAAGGGCGTGCCGGGGGTGCCGGGGGTGGGCGGCATGTAGGCCCCTGCGCCGCGGCCGGGGAAGCCGGCGAGGACGGAGGGCTGGCGGACCGATGAGTAGACGGACTTCATGTCATCCATCTCGTAGTTCTCGTCGTACATGCCCATGCCGCCGTCCATGCCCAGCTTCTCCGAAGGGCCGCCGCGGCGACCTGGGAGGTTCTTTTCGAGCGCGTAGTCGTCCCAGCGCTGGAGCGGGATGGAGCGGGGGTCGAAGCCTTCGTCGTCCACGGCGACAACCTGCTTCTTGCCCGTCTCTCCGACGACGATACGGGTGTTACCCCACGAGAAGTTGTCCTGGTTCCAGAACGAGTAGATGGGCAGGATAAGCGAGTAGATCGGGAAGGCGATCAGGTAAATGATCATCCAGCCAATATGCTGCCACTGGCGCTTGAGGATGAAAATCAAGGCCTGCAGACCGTACACGGCCGCGAGCATGGCAATCGAGACAATGGGGAACGGGCCGGTACGCGTGGCGATGGTGTAAATGAGGTAGACGAGATAGACACAGGTCGCCGGCAGCATGAGGGTACCGAACAGGTCGATGAACACCACGAAGCGCATCGAGAAGCAGCAGAAACCACACATGTCCGGCAGGAACATCAGCTCCACCAGGTTGTGGATGGTGGAATTGATCCAACGACGGCGCTGAGACAGCAGGACGCTCCATTTCTCGGGCGCGGCCGTCTGGCAGTAGGCATCCGGGATGAACTTGTACGACATGTACGGGAAGTACTTGGTCATCAGCGTGGTTAAGAAACGATCCTCGCCGAGCGATAGCAGGTTCTTCTTGTGGAGTGTGTCGACATGGCAGTCGCTATACTCGCGGATGACGTCGTCCGAGATGATCAGGGGCTTCCCGCGGTCTGCAGTCCGCAGGCGGTACATGGAGAAACTACAGCCAGTTAGTCAGGGGCTGCCGAGCATCGGGCCCGAAGGAAGAAGTGGAGCGAATTCACATACCAACCAGGCAAACAGGTGACGCTGCCGAACAGGGACTCGAAGGCCTTTGCGAGATGATGCGAAATGTAGTACTCGTAGACCTGGATCATAGTCCACCACGAGCGCTCCTCGTTCTGCAGGCTGGTTTCGCCGCAAATGCCGGCAATCTTGGCGTCGTTGGCACAGGCCGCAACGAGCCGGTTGAGCGAGTCCTCGCGCACGCAGGTATCGGCATCGACCATCAGAAGATATTCGTACAGCTCCGGGTCCACACCGATAATGTTATTGATCTGGTGGAACATTTCCAGCTCCAGCGGGTTCATCGGCGCGCGGTGGTGGACGCGGTTGAGGAAGCTCATAAGCAGAATCTGCGAATCACGCTTGCCACGGTTGCCAGGCTTGCTCTTCTCACGCTCCGACGGCTTGCCCACCTTGACAACCACGAGGTAGGGCACGACATTGCCCTCATACTCGTACAGGCCGGAGTAGACCTTGCCGTAGTTGAGCTGCTCGCTGCCGGTACCGACAGACTTGAACGCCAGGGCCGGCGGGTCAACCTTGGGGTCAACGCCGAGGATATCCAGGACGATCTTGGGCGTGGGACGGTCGTTTCCAGCACCGACGATGATACCGTCGCAGATGACGACGATCAGCTTCCGTTTGTTGTCGTACTGCAGAGCCGTGAGTGAATCGAGCGCCTTCCGCAGCGAGTCTTCGCCCTCGGTGTATGCCGGCACCTGGCAGATGACAAACTTGTCCTGTGGCGACGGCCGTCTCTTGGAGCCGAACTGGAGGGCCGAGACGAACTTGATGCCGATTACGAGACAGAGGAGGACCGTGAAGGCGATGAGGATCCACTTGCTCACCTGGCACTGGGGCGAGTTCCGGAAGTCCGTGATGCCGATGTAGAACCGGTTGTTGAGGCAGTTGAGCGTGTTGCGGACGCTGGCGTTCTCCGTGGCGTTGGAGCTCGACTTTTGGACGATGCTGGTGATCGTGTCGGTCAGATCCTGGCCCGGGTTATTCTTGATAGCAGTCCAGATCTGGGAATTGAGGAAGGCATAGCGCTCATTGTTGTTCATGACGTCCTGAGTGTGCGCGTAATCGGTCAAGTCGTACACCCTGTTCTCCCAGAGGAACCACATGTGCTGCAGGTCCTCGCCCTCCGATTTAATCTGGCTGGGATCCCATACGAGCTCACCGGTGTAGTACTCCTTCATGCGAGGCAGGAACTTCTTGGTATACCAGTCGATCTCCACCAGATCGCTTCTCGGGTCCATCGCGTACACGGGACCCGAGTCGTGGACGGCATTCTGGAACTCCTGCGTGGTGTTGAGAACGAGCCGGAGCGTGTTGTCCGACACCAGCCCCGGGCACGCCAGCGTAAGCGGCACGATGAAGTAGTTGTCCATGTCCAAACCGGCCAAGGGCTCCATGACATCGCTCGTGGTCTGTCGAGCGGTGCTGCCGTGCTGCAGCTTCCAGAACTTTGTGATGTCGTAAACCTTGCCGTGGACACTGACCCAGAAATCGCCTCCTCCCAAGTGGTGGCTGACCTCTTCCCGGCTCCAGGCCTTGTCGTAGTTCGGACAGAGCACGCGGCCAAACCAGATGATCCAGAAGACGAGTATACCGTTCAGAATGACGATGAGAATGCAGATGGCGAACTTCTCTCGCCACGCCATGCGTACATCGGGCCGCTTCATGCGGCCGACGTACCGAAGAAGCGGCGACGGGATCCAGAAGGTAAGGGCCCAGACAAAAATGACCCACCATTTTCTGCCCGCTGACACGGGCACCTCCTCGATCTTCTTGCCCTCGGCGAGGTCGGCATCCAGTTGGCCGACGAACTGGCCGTCACTATTGTAGTAGACATCGCCCTTGTGGGTGTCGCCCTTGTGGCCGAGACCGTAGTCGCCGTTGTTGACATTCCGCATGCCGGTCATGGCGGTAGGCGCGATAGAAGGGGCTACGCCGGGACGGACGCCCCCAAGAGTCGCCTGGCTCATGTTCCTCTGGTGCATAAGCTGCTCGCAGCTCCCGTTCGACGAGGCATCGTGGAAGGGCTGCGGCGGGAAGAAGCCGCTCCCCGCGCCGGCCGAATAGCCTGTGCCCAGGCCACTCGGCGGCATCATGTTGGGCATGCTGCCCAGCCGCTCGGCGTTGCCAGGGCTCAGGTCGAGCACACCCTCGGCTTCCCACCAGGCATGCTCTCTCATCCACACGCGCTCGCGGCCGACCACGACCTCTCCATTGGTCCAGCCACGCTCGAGCACGAAGCTCTCAATCCCATCCCGACCATCCATGCAGCCCAGATAACGGTAGCGCTGGACGAACTCGTCAAAGTCGAAGTCGACAGTGTAATCGAGCGCCTTGTTCCGCCGATTTGACCATTCGGGGAGCCGCCAGGCCCGGAGCTGTCGCGACACGGTCCCCGCAGACCAGGCCGAGTTGACGGATGGGAGCGCCGCCAGACTGGCCGGTGACTCGTCGGTTGGGTGTATGCTAAGGTGGTACCACGCGCGGCTGGTGCTTAGGAGAGTCGGGAGATCGATCCGGCCGCTCTTGCCAAGACTGATGCCCTCGGCAGGAACGGGGAAGACTAGTTGCTTCAGAAACCCGTCTTCCTCCGCATTCAGAGCAACCTTCTCGAGAACCTCTTCCCGCTTCTCGAACATGTGTTGCCTTTCCCTGCCGAGCGACCCAATCATGATGCCCAGCTCGGGCCCAACCTCGGCAACAGCGTTCTGCATCTCCCGCAGAACGGAACTGTTTGCCGGAGCAATCTCGATGCCGTCCTGCTTCATCTCGGCGTTGATGCCCTGGTTGTCGTCGAAGATGCTTCGCATAGCAACAGCCTTGCCCAGGTTGGGATCCGGGATCTCGAGGAAGTGCAGGCACACGGTATCACCGGTGTCCTCGAGCGGCGTCCGCCCACCTTGGCTGCCATCTAGAGACTCCTCTCCATCCCGGATGCGGCCCATTTGGGCGGCAATGGCGTCGTTGGCCTTCCTGATGACCCAATCCACCAATGCTTCGTACAGCCCTGCAAGGAGCGTGGCACGGTCCTCGGTCGAACATTGTTTCGACAGGACCTCGGGCTCGAGGCCCAGAAGCCCGCCCACGTCTTCACAGACTTCGTCGAAGGCATCTTCATCGACGGTGTAGTCGACGGTGTTGCCCAGTTTCAAGAGCCCGGCAAGGGTCGAGATGAAATTGCGATGGGTGGAACCCTTGATACCGATCCCTTTCAGGGCGGTCCGGAAGTCATCGGCAGCAGCACCGTCATCCGCAGTGGGAAGATAGGAAGGAGGATCATAAGTGCCGGAGCGTGCCAACAGGTTGTAGCTGGAGGCCCCCTTCAGACCAAGGAACTCGCGCTCAGCGGGGGTAGATGCGGATGTGAGAAGGTAGTAAAAGACATCGAAGGCACGATAGCCAGACTCTTTCGGGATGCGTAGCAAACCCTTCTCCGTGTCGATTCCGCCTTGTGACAAGGCAATTGATGCGCCGACGATCTTTCCGGTGAGGTTGAGGGTCAGGGTGACACCAAGTGCAATCTGTCTCGGCGTCGAGGGATTGTATGGCGTCACGCAGCGAAGGAAGGGCTCAATAGCTTGCAGGGACTGGAGAATGGAAGATGGGACAGATACGGGGAGCGACGAGAGTGCAGGGCGGAGAATCGAGGGCGTAGATGTGTGGAGGGAGCTACCAGCGGTTAGCGGCGAGACAGGTCACATCTTTTCCCGCGAGGATGACTTACCCCAAGATAATGCAGCCATCCTCAGCACGCCGGCGAGCATGTTCCCATGCCCTGGCTATTAATTCGGCGTCTACCGTGCCTCCCACGAGCCCAGTTGGCCCAGGTTGCGAGGCGGTAAGCCATGTGTTGACTACCAGACTTGTCCCCGCATCGAGGTGGTATGGCTGCGAGGAGAGGTAGATGTTATGCACGGCGTTCAGCAGCGTCGTTGTCGAGACTTGGGCCGACTGTTGGCCTCGAGAGCCCCCCATTCCGGACTCTGAGGCCATCGAGTACATCGACATGCGGTTGGCCATCCCGTCGAGGGAAACGCGGCGCCCCAAGAGGGACACGGCCAGGAGACGGTTGGTCCTTCAGCAGTCCAGTACGCAGTCTCCTTCGCTTTTCCTAAGCAGAGGAGATTTGCCAACCCGATAGCTCACCCGAATGGTGCTTGAGCTCGTCCGAACGCGTTGTAGGAGCCAGAAAGTCGTCGGCAGACCAAGAGCGGTGCCAAGCGAGCGTTGTCGGAGTAGCGATTGGAATCCGTGAGATGCAGGCTGGTCGCGGCGGGCAACGAGACAACGCCAGCTCGGACCCCCGGTGCCCCTTAGCAAAGCAAGCGAAAATTAGGCGAGAAGAGCGAATACTTCAGCCTCAGGAGCGGGAGGCGGAGAGAAAACAAGAGCACAGCAACGACCGGAAAGAAAACCGCCAGAGCGAGTGAGACGGTTAGCAACAAGTGGCAGCGAGGGAACCAGGAGAAAGTCGAAAGCAAATCGACAAGGTCCTCTCAACTGGCGCAAACGAGTGTTCCGGCGAGCAGCAGGGAGTGGTGTGTCCACCCCTGGCAGGTCTGGGTGCGAGTACGGGGGTGGAAACGGACCAGGTGCGCAGTTACCTGCCACGGCGCTGCCGCTGTGCATGAGGTGTGGGTCGCGTTGTGCATGATGTGCCGCGAAATTCTGGGCGTCTGGCCGGATCAAGCCTGGCATGCGACTCGACGCGAGAGGCATGCTTTTTTTCTTTACATTATTACATCTTTACACTACTACATATCCAAACCAGGCACTGTACGGATTACAATACACTACAAGTGAATCTTAGACGCGCATAGAAATTTGAAGTCTCGCATTGCATCCCACCTCTTGCTTGACAGGAAAGCAGCCAGCAACTCCCCAAGTGCCACGCACCCAAGTGAGAAAGTCCCGTCTTCCCGTAGGTAATGGACTCTCTGTTGGTGTCCCTGAATCCTCGAGGATTCGTGTTGCTGTAAGCCAGAATGGTGGCGAAACGACTGGGGAATAACCATCCGAAGAGAATGCGGCGATGCAGGCCTAAAAAAGGGTCGGGCTTTCGGCAGCACCCGCATGGTCGAATACGAGGCCCTGTCAAGACATGAGACGGCAATGACTGGACGGTTTGCTAACAGCATGCGATATCCACCACGGGACCTCTCTGAGCCTCGCGTACACTGACGGATCGTTTGGTACGTACCCCACGCATCCACGTTCCCGGTACCTAAAATGTCGTCGAAAACGAACAAACACTCAGGCTGCTTCCATTACTTTCCCTGATGCAGTTGAAGACGTAACACGTTAACTAGTAGTTACCATATGCGTACCTAGATATTCAACTGTTCCTGAAGTGTCGGCGGTAGCATGGAGTTAACTTCCGTGCCTCGCTAACGTTGACCTTTCAATTTTCCTGGAGGTTCCTGGAGATTCTTTTTTTAGCTGGTACCCACCTTCGACATTCTCTCCAAAATCTCAACCGACGGAGTGGATCTTAGAGAATAAAGGCACAAAGTGAGGCGCTCGGTAACTTCCATTGCACCAACAAGTCAACTGCCAGTGCAGCGAAGAGTAGACGTGCTTGTCCAAGCTCAAACGGAGGTATGGAGGTGGATGAGCAACACGCACCGGCGCCTCCTGAGAGGCACAAGCCATGGGTTAACAAGTTTCAATTCCTTTCCGATCCTCTGCCTAGTACGAGCCACAGAGCAACATATTCTCATACGCCCTATGCCGTCGGCGTCTGGCACAGCGAGCTTGTCTAGCTGCTGGATGCTTTCTGTGTGGCAAGCAAACCTAAGGTGATCTCTTGCTATGTCGTGGTCACCGTTGATCTCTTGGAAAATGGTGGGCTTCAGTAAGTAAGTTATTATCCGTATAGACTGGACCTCGTTATCTTGTATGCAACATCTAGCACAGCCCTATGTGTACCGTCGTCAACGATCAGTTTCGACGAGAACTACTGTAGTCATGTCATATCTATACAATACGATACGGGACCAAGACGGCGGCTTCGAACGAGCCAAGCATCAGAAGCCGGAGCTCGCGATGTAAGCCACACGACCTGTGGGCCACTACCAGTGGAGTCTGAGCGCTGCTTATGCGGGACGTATCGAAACTTTCACCCTTCGAAACGGTTTCAAGCGGGGGGTGGAAAGCATTTGGAATTACGGACGGCTTTCGAAGCATTTCCGTCAAACCGTGTATGTAGGTACATATGGAATTCTTTGGCATGGTCAAGAATGCATCAACAAAACTCCCGATATGGGCCGATAGCGTTGCGTTCCAGATCTTGTTTATTTTGAACGGCAACCGGGAACTTCGATCCAATGGAAGGCTCGGCCCCGCCCCTGCCAATCGACGGGGGATGAGCCCACTCAGCTCGTATGAAGAATCTGCACACTCGGCAGTTATAGTACGCCGTAGCATCAACAAGCTCGGAAAAAACAGTCCACTCACTCCCCTTTTCCCTGTCTCCCAGGCCAGCCCCGGACGGCCAGGCGCGCAGTGCAAGCAGTTGTTGGAAGCCTTTGGCCCAGAAGGAGTTGCATCGTCCAGGCGACTCCGGTCCCCGCTTGGCATTTTGTCGTCCTCACTCAACTGCCCAAGTCCCTTCGTTCTCAACGTTCGTTTTGACGATTTGCACTTCGCACTCGACTGACATTCGTTTGCCCTGGCTTCCCCCAGCTGCTAGCCTCAGTTTAATATTTGTCCTTTTTATTAGCATCTCATATTACCGCCCATTCCGTCGTTGCCAAGGGCGTTGGACCCCATTAGCGGTTTAGGGGAAATTTCCCAGGCTCCGGACGCCAGTCTCGGAGAGCATCAGACCAAAACACCAAGGGCACACAACCGGTCTGTTGTCGATTGTAGCGACTGTTACGCTGTGACAGCGCTCTCACGGTTACCACGACCAGCTCGCGGCAGCGTCGTCCATCATGGCGCTCAACCTGCCGCCGTTGGGCGGGAACAGCGGAGGAGCTCATACGCAACCGTCACTGCCCTCGCTGCCCGCCCATTCCCAATCCGATACGCAGTTGACGGCACACCTCGCCAGTCGCTTCCATGTCTCGCTTCCGATCTCGCGTCTCTCGTCGCACGCGCTCGTCGCCATCAACACATACACCACCTCGACCAAGGGAGATGGCTCCCGAGACTCGTCTGCCATGGCTGCCGCCGAGGACATGGCAGAAAGGGCCTTCCTCCGGCTGGGTCACCGCACAGAAAACCAAGCAATTCTTTTCCTGTAGGGCGCATTGGAAGTCGTGGTAACCCCGTGAGAAATGCTGACTCGTTGGTAGGGGTGAATCTGGCTCGGGGAAGACCACTGTGCGATCCCATCTCCTGACCGCGCTCCTTAACCGGTCCTCGACCCCCTTATCCGCCAAGATATCCCTTGCCGCCTACGTCTTCGACACGCTCACCACCACCAAGACCGCCACAACACCGACGGCCTCCAAGGCTGGTCTCTTCTATGAGCTCCAGTACGACACGGCGTCCACCACAAACCCGGTCCTGATTGGCTCCAAGCTGCTGGATCATCGGTTAGAGAGGAGCAGGATAACGGATGTCCCCACGGGTGAACGGAATTTCCACGTGCTGTACTACCTCTTGGCTGGTACGAGTGCTGCCGAGAAGTCCCACCTCGGCTTTGACGGGCCCGAGAAGAGGTGGAAGTATCTGGGGCATCCTACCCAACTCAAAGTAGGGATCAATGATGCCGAGGGGTTCCAGCTGTTCAAGACGGCACTGCGGAAACTCGAGTTCCCGCGCAGTGAGATTGCCGAGATCTGCCAAATTCTCGCCAGCATCTTGCACATCGGCCAGCTGGAGTTCGAGACGACCTCCAGCACAACCGCAACGGGAGACGACAGTGGCGGCTTTTCGCACGAGGGCGCCCAGACGGTAACGACGGTGAAGAACAAGGATGTGCTCGGCATCGTTGCTGCTTTCCTTGGGGTCGGCACCACGGAGCTCCAGACGACATTGGGCTACAAGACAAAGATGATCCACAAGGAGAGGGTGACCGTCTTGCTCGACCCGGCCGGTGCTCGGGGGAACGCGAAGGAATTGGCGAGGACGCTGTACTCTCTGCTCGTTGCCTACGTGATTGAGAGCATCAACCAGAAGCTGTGCGCTTCCGAGGAGTCCATCGCAAACACCATTTCCATCGTAGACTTCCCCGGGTTCCAGCAAGTGTCGTCGACCGGTTCGACCCTCGACCAGCTTCTCATCAACGCTGCCGCCGAGTCGCTGTACAACCTGACACTGCAGAACTTCTTCGATCGCAAGGCAGACCTGCTCGAGACAGAGGAGGTGGCGGTGGCGCCTACCAGCTACTTCGACAACTCGGACGCGGTCAAGGGGTTGCTCAAGCCGGGCAACGGCCTCCTCAGCATTCTGGACGATCAGACGCGCCGCCACCGCACTGACATGCAGCTGCTGGAGAGCCTGCGGAAACGCTTCGAAGGCAAGAACCCGGCCATCGTGGTCGGCGCAGCCACGGCCAAGCTTCCCGGTAGCAACTTCTACACCGAGAACACGGCGGCCACCTTCACCGTCAAGCACTTTGCCGGCGAGGTGGATTATCCCATCAAGGGCCTGGTCGAGGAGAACGGCGAGGTCATCTCGGGCGACCTCATGAACCTGATCAACTCCAGCAAGAGCCCATTCGTCGCCCGCCTGTTCGGTCAGGAGGTGCTGCAGACCGTCGTCCATCCTCAGGAACGGACAACCGTCATGCAGGCTTCCGTCAGCTCCAGGCCAATGCGCGCGCCCAGCGTAATGCACAAGCGCGGCCGGCCGGCGCTCAATGCCCGTTCGCGGGCTGCTGAGCGCGACGTGTCGGTTGGCCAGGGCAGCGACTCGAGCGGGCACAAGCGGACAAATAGCGCCCGCGCTGGCTCGGAGCAGGGCGCCTCAGGCCAGTTCCTCTCGGCCCTCGAGAACGTGACGCGGTCGATCACGACGCCCGGCACGAATTGCTACTTTGTTTTCTGCCTTAAGCCCAATGATCGGCGCATCGCCAACCAGTTCGACAGCAAGTGCGTGCGTGCGCAGGTGCAGACGTTCGGTATCGCCGAGATCAGCCAGCGGCTACGGTCCACCGATTTCAGCTTATTCTTGCCCTTCGGCGAGTTCCTGGGCCTGGCCGACACCGAGACCGTGCTTGTGGGCAGCGAGCGCGAGAAGGTGGAGATGGTCGTCGAGGAGAAGCGGTGGCCGAGCAACGAGGTTGCCATCGGCGCAACAGGCGTCTTCCTGAGCGAGCGCTGCTGGATGGAGATCGCCCAGCTGGGCGAGGGAGCGTCCCAGTCGGGCCGGTACGGGCTCCCGTCCGACGCAGGCGATTCCAACGCTGCCGACCCGTTTGGTGTGTCCAAGGAGCGCCTGCTCCTTGCCGGGACCCCGGGCGGCCTCGCGAACGAGAAGAAAGGAGGCTACTTTGGCGTCAAGGAGGTGGACGCACGATCCGAAGCGGGTGTGTCGGCGTACGGGGGCGGCGATTTGTTCAAGAACCTGGACACGCGCGAGCAGATGGCCGAGCGCGGCAATGAGAAGGACATGGCCGAGGTCGACGAGTACAAGGACAGCCCGGCTCGCAAGCGCTGGGTCTGGGTGACCTATGCGCTTACTTTCTTCATCCCGGATTTCCTCATCCGGACCATCGGCCGCATGCCGCGCAAGGATGTGCGGCAGGCCTGGCGTGAGAAGCTGGCCATCAACGTCATCATCTGGTTCAGCTGTCTGCTGGCCATCTTCTTCATGGTCGTCTTCCCTATGTTGATCTGCCCGCACCAGTACGTCTACAGCCCGCAGGAGTTGTCGTCCTACAACGGAAAGGACGGCCGCGAAGCCTACGCCGCCATTCGCGGCCAGATTTTCGACATCGGCGCCTTCTCGACCCGGCACTACCCCAATTATCTGCCGAAAAAGTATATCACCCAGTACGGCGGCTTGGACATCACCTCGCTCTTCCCCGTGCAGGTGTCGGCGCTCTGCCAAGGCCAGTACGGCGAAGTTGCGCCGTCCGTCCTGCTCGACTACAAGTCTACCAACTTGACCGGGTCGGCAAATGTCATCAGCAGACAAGATCTCAACGCCAGGTACCACGACTTCCGGTACTTCACCAACGACAGCCGGCCGGACTGGTTCTCGCAGCAGATGAAGATGTTGCGGGCCAACTACAAGGTCGGCAACGTGGGCTACTCTGTCGAATACGTCAAGTCGCTCAGCACGAAGGAGCAGGTCATTGCCATCCTCAACGGCCGTGTATACGACATGACAACGTACATCGTTGGGGGCCGGAGGCAGCAGGTCCCGCCAGGGGCGGCGCCGCCGACGGATCCCAAGGCGGGCGACTTCATGCACCCGCTCGTGGTCGAGCTTTTCCAGCAGCGCAACGGCGATGATATTACGACGCTCTGGCAGTCGCTGGGCATCGATGCCGAGATGAAAAAGCGGATGCAGCTATGTCTCGACAACCTCTTCTACGTCGCCGACGTGGACACGCGTGCATCCGCCAAGTGCATGTTCGCCGAGTATCTGGTCTTGGCCGTTTCCATCCTCCTTGCCGCCGTCATTGCCTTCAAGTTCTTCGCCGCTCTACAGTTCAGCACCAAGAACATGCCCGAGAATCTGGACAAGTTCGTCATCTGTCAAGTGCCGGCGTATACCGAAGACGAGGAGTCGCTGCGCCGCGCCATCGACTCATGCGCACGCATGCGCTACGATGACAAGCGCAAGCTCTTGGTCATCGTCTGCGACGGCATGATTATCGGTCAGGGCAACGATCGGCCCACGCCCCGTATCGTGCTCGACATCCTGGGCGTTTCCGAGACGATCGATCCGGAACCCCTGAGCTTCGAGTCGCTGGGCGAGGGTCAGAAGCAACACAACATGGGCAAGGTGTACTCGGGCCTGTATGAGGTCCAGGGCCATATCGTGCCCTTCCTCGTCATCGTCAAGGTCGGCAAGCCGTCGGAGGTGTCGCGGCCCGGCAACCGTGGCAAGCGTGACTCGCAGATGATCCTTATGCGCTTCCTCAACCGCGTGCATTACAACCTGCCCATGAGCCCGCTGGAGCTCGAGATGTACCACCAGATCCGCAACGTCATTGGCGTCAACCCGACCTTCTATGAGTACCTGTTTCAGGTCGACGCAGACACCGTTGTGGCCCCCGACTCGGCCACGCGCATGGTTTCGGCCTTCCTCGACGATACTCGCCTGATTGCCGTGTGCGGTGAGACGGCGCTGACCAACGCCAAGTCGTCGTTCATCACCATGATCCAAGTGTACGAGTACTACATCTCGCACAACCTGTCCAAGGCCTTTGAATCGCTCTTTGGCTCCGTGACCTGCTTGCCCGGCTGTTTCTCCATGTACCGCATCCGCGCCGCCGAGACTGGCAAGCCGCTGTTCGTCAGCCGCGAAGTTGTCGAGGCCTACTCGACCATCCGCGTCGATACGCTGCACATGAAGAACTTGCTGCACCTGGGTGAAGACCGTTACCTCACGACGCTGCTGCTCAAGTTCCACAACAAGTACAAGACCAAGTACATCTTCGACGCGCACGCCTGGACGGTCGCTCCGGACTCGTGGACCGTGTTCCTCTCGCAACGCCGCCGCTGGATTAACTCGACCGTGCACAACCTGATGGAGCTGATGCCCATGAACCAGCTGTGCGGCTTCTGCTGCTTCAGCATGCGCTTCATCGTCTTCATCGACCTGCTCTCGACCATCGTCCAGCCCGTCACCATCGCATACATCGTGTACCTGGTCGTCATGGTGGTCGAGAAGCCCGACACCATCCCCATCACGGCCTTCATCCTCCTGGGCGCCATCTACGGTCTGCAGGCCATCATCTTCATCCTGCGCCGCAAGTGGGAGATGATCGGCTGGATGATCCTGTACGTGCTCGCCATCCCCGTCTTCAGCTTCGGCCTACCGCTCTACGCCTTCTGGCACATGGACGACTTCAACTGGGGCAACACGCGTGTCGTGGCCGGCGAGAAGGGCAAGAAGATCGTCATCTCGGACGAGGGCAAGTTCGACCCGGCCAGCATCCCGCGCAAGAAGTGGGAGGAGTACCAGGCCGAGCTGTGGGAGGCCCAGACACAAGCGGGCGGCCTGCACGACGACGCCCGCTCCGAGGTCTCGGGCTACTCGTACGCCACCCGCCCGGGTGTGCCGCACTCCGAGTACGGCGGCTACGGGCCGAGCCGCCCGGGCTCCACGGTCGGGTACCCGGCCATGCCGACGGCGCCGAGCCGCATGTCGCTCGCCGCGTCCGAGATGCTCATGCAACCCGGCGTCAATAACAACAGGATGAGCCAGTTCGGCGGGTCGCAGTTCCTGGGCCCGTCGGCGTCGCAGCCCGAGCTGGAGCTGAACAACCTCGCGGGCCTGCCCAGCGACGACGCGCTGCTGGCCGAGATCCGCGAGATCCTGCGCACGGCGGACCTCATGACGGTCACTAAGAAGGGCGTCAAGCAGGAGCTAGAACGCCGGTTCGGCGTGCCGCTTGACTCGAAGAGAGCTTATATTAATAGCGGTGAGTTTTCTTTTCTTTTTTCTTCCTTTTCCCCCCCCCTCTCCTAGGTCTGTCGATGAGATGAAATAAATGGTATACTGACTTCTTTGGCGATAGCGACGGAAGCGGTTCTCTCTGGACAATTGTAGAGTTGCTTTCCTGTCCTGCGCCCGTCCCGTTTGGATATTTCGATCCCATCCGATCTGACTTGGGATATCGTAATTTAATGAGGGCTGTTCTTTTTTGCATTGTCTGGGAACGGGGTTTGTTGACCTGAGCTAAACTGAATTGGATTGGAGTGAATCCGGGTTGTTCTTGAAAAAAGAAGGACATGTGTTGTGCGCTTTTTCGTTGAGGGTTGAATGGGAATATTGTCATCGCCATCATCATCGTCATCGTCGGTCATGTTATAATGGCAGCTCATCCAGTCATCCACCCATCCATCGATTGTCGAGTTTTATCTCTTCGTCTCTTGTCATCTGCCGCGTCTGTCTTGCCGCGTCTGTCTGGTCTACATCATTGTTTTGTTTTGGGGATACACAACGGGTCATCTATCTGTATTTATCTGTAACTGGATCGCCTGTGCTTTTGCTGCCCTTTGGCTAATCTCTGTATTGCATGCGTGTTTCAAGTAAGGGTTGTGGTTGGTGGTGCGGGTGTGACTTTCGTGAGATGTGGTCTTGCTCCAGGAGGTGTTCGTGTCCCTTTGTGTATGTGCGTATGTGTGTGTGTGTGTGCCGGTACTCTCCTTTGAAGGTGTCAGATTCACAGGAGATGAGAGGACCTAAATGGGGGGAAGGATACTCGGTACTTGTGTCCGAGGGTAGGTACTATATCATACATACCGAACTTGCTCTATGTGAACTTAGGGGACATATAGGATATAGGTGATGTGACAAAAGGAACTTATGTGGCCCTTGCCATAGATTCGGCCGAGGGGTTACTTGGTGGCTTTCTTTGATTAGGTAGTTTTCTCCTCCTGATAAAGTTGTAACTATGTGTTTACTCATTGCTTTTATCATCGGCTTCAGGGCAGCACGCAATGAGGGAATAAACTAAGGTGGGAGCAACTAAAAAACAATTGCATTCCCTACCCTGGGAGGGAAAAGCTTATGACAAGAGTGGGATTCGAACCCACGCCCTTTCGGACTACGGAACCTTGGAGGTTAAATTAAGGGTACACCTTAACGTAGCGCCTTAGACCGCTCGGCCATCTTGCCTTTTGATTATGGACAGCTTATGCAAATCTTATACCTATAAGGCCCATTTACAACAGTCCACAGCCGACCCTTCCATCACGCCTGTCACTCTTACCACCTTGGATGAGTTTTCCACGCAGTTCAATTGCTTTTCATGCCATGCCTTCATTTCATTTCACTTCATCCCATTTTGTCGAATTCCATTCTCACCGATGCTGCCTAATTCGCTACATAGGGTGCTCATCCGCATTATCAATTCTCAACTAACCACTCCCGCGTCCCCCTTCCTCCCTTTTCTTTACGGAACGTTCCTTTACACAGTAGTCCTCCTCAGCGCTTCCCCTGGTAACCCACAACCACAACCTCCTGATCCAGCGGCAGGATATCCGGCACGGGCCCGACAGGCGTGATGCCGTGCGGGTTGATCTGCGGGTGCGAGCGCGTGTAATGGTTCTTGATGTGCAGGAAGTTGGTCATGTCGCGGAAGGCCGGGACGGTCCAGTACAGGTGGCGCATCCAGCGGTGCAGCGCCGGGTAGCCCGAGCGGATGTCGCGGATGTTGCACTTGAAGTGCTGCACGTAGACGGGCTGTTTCCCAGGGGATCAAGTTAGAACGATTTGAATCGTGGGGTGGTGGGGTGTGTGATCTAAATGGGAAATACTTACGTCGAACCGGATGATAGTCACAAACCTGGTGAGGATTTCATCAGCATTTCTTGGTCAAGAGAACATAGGCTAATAAGGAACTCACAGCCGGATGTCGACCTCCGTAATCGTCTGGCCGAACCAATATGGCCCCTCGGCGGCCGTCTTCTCCAGCCAGGCCTCGGCGCGGTCCAGGGCCTCGAACAGCGCCACGACGGCCTTCTCGTACGCCTGCTGGGTGGTGGCGAAGCCAGACTTGTACACGCCGTTGTTGATCAGGTCGTACTGCCACTCGTGCGTCTCGTCGATCTGCGCGCGGAGATGCGCCGGGTAGAAGTCGATGGTGCGGTGCTTCTCGTCGACCAGGTCGTTGAACTCGGTCGAGAACATGCGCAGGATCTCGCTGCTCTCGTTGTTGACGATGGTCTGCGTCTTCTTGTCGTACAGCACGGGCACGGTGAAGCGCCCTTCGTACTGCGGGTTCGCCTGGAAATAGACGTCGCGCAGGTGTGTGAACTTCTCGTGCCCCGGGACGGGGTCGGGAACGACATTCTCCCCGGCCGCGTCGGTGTCGTCGGCAGTGGGGAAGCGCCAGCCTGGGAAGTAAGTACCGGTTAATATTGACCTGTTCCAGTTCCTAAAAATTGTCAACTCACCCTTCGGCCCCATATGCCAATGCACAGACGAGAAGGAAATCACCTCCTCCAGACCCTTGAGCTTCCTCGCAATCAACACGCGTGTGGCCTATCACATATAGTATCCCTTAGTCGTCTCACTCAGTATGACCAAAAAAAAAAGGAACAGGTCCTCCACTCACCCACGGACAAGCGTAGCTCACATACAAGTGATACCTGCCCTTCTCAGGCGGGAACCGCGCCCCTGGCTCGCGCGAGATACAGTCGCGGAAGGAGCTCTGCTGGCGCTTGAACTCGCCCGACGGATCGCCGGGCTTGACCCAGTCCGTGATCTTGCCTCCTGGCGTGTCCTGGGCTGCCTGCAACTCAGGGGATGCGGGTTAGCCAAAGTTAGCAAACTATTTTAATACTGCGTTCCTCACTCCCTTCATGTTGATACCAATCCCAAACCCCAAAATGAAAGTAATAAAGTGCGACTTGCCATGGTATAAGTCCGGACTCCTGAATCCCGTGCAAGTGCAAGTACACTCCGTCGACTGGGTAACCCGCGTGGTACTTGTAGCACACCACCAGTCGATAATGATGATATCGATCTCGGTGCCTGTGGCAGAAAGCTTGGAACTCTGCGCGTGGCTGCAAGGAGAGCTGAAGGCGATTCTCGAACAAGTGACGGTGACGGGTTCTTATTAAGAAGAAGCGGGAGAGCACGTCTTCTTAAGAAGCTCATGAGGGGCTTGTCATCTAAGTATGGAGTAGGTATGACCCTTTCCCTTGGCTCTTGTATCCGGAAACGGGAGGGCAGTACTGTAACCCATACAATGTAGTGGTGTTACTAACGCTTTGTAAAGCGCCAGATCGCTCCATAAATACCTGGACTTAACCTATGCGGGCAATAAGACCCTCATCACACTATTTCCAACCGCTTAGATTTGTATTAGATAATAAAACGCCAGAGGGGCATTTGTCATTGTCGAATAATATCCCCACAGTCCTTTTCCATCTCACAATCGTGTTCTCCTCCGCGGAAGCCACCCGTTCACTGGGCCGGATGGTGACGTATGCGCGAAAGTACCCCACAATTGGCGCAAAGCGATGAGTAAGGCACTTACACAAGCCTTATATTGACCAGACAGCTGTGAACGGCATAGCACTTGTTTAGCAGGAAACACTGGACAAACGAACCAAGAAGGGGGAGCTAGGCTACTGGTGCTTCGGTTCTAGGTACCTGTAACTGTCCATGTGGAACACCTGACCCCTGAGCGTGTCGAGCTGTGTACTATCATACCAATATCGACATCCCAACCACCGGTGTAACACACGGGAGTAAACCAAACACCAAAGCCCATTGATCTAATGCATCTCCTACCAATACCATTGATTCGTCACAATACAACTGACACAACCCCTTTCTAACCATTTACCGAATCTTCGCCTTGATGTACGGCACCTCGACGTCCTCGCCGTTCGCATCCTCGACGACCACCTCAAAGATGAGCTCCGACTGGTGCGACGGGATGGGCCTCTTGCTGACCGTCTCGACCAGCTCGCTCAGCCGCATGCCGAACTTGTCCTTCTGCTTAGCCGGCGGGAAGAAGGCGGCAAACAGCAAGCTGACGCCGGAGCTCAGCATGGCGATGGTGAGGCCGCGCTTCTCGAAGTCGTCGATCAGCTCCCGCAGTGTGATGTTGCCCACCTCGAACCGGTCCCAGATCTTGTCCAGCGTCACCTTGCCGTTGGGACCCTGGTACTCGACCTTGGGGCTGGGCATCGGTTCGCTGAAGCCGAAGAAGGGCAGCGCCATGTTGACGAAGCCGTTCTTGTACTGCGTGATGTCCTTCTTGCCGTCGACGATCTTGTACAGCTCCAGGACCACCAGCCCGGTGACCAGCGCCGTCGTCGTGGCGATGGCAGGAATGATCTTACCCGCAATGAACTTGGTCTTGTGCCGGTCCGCCGGGTCGATCTTGTAGTTCTCGGCCCGCAGGTTGCTGGCCGCCGTGATGAAGTCGATGTGGTAATTTGTATCGTCATCCTTCTCGAACTCTACCGGCGTGAGCTTGAATCCCGCCAGTGTCTTGGGTTCCGGCAGCTGGTTGATCAGCCTCTGCAGCTCCTCCGTGTCATCGAAAGCACTGGTGCCAGCGTTCGGGTCCTGATCCGCATTAGTCCGAACTCATCAGTTTCAAGCCCATACCGCGCAGAGACAACTTACCGGGTCCTTGTCATCAGCTTGGATCTTAACGTTCTCGTCTGGCGAGAAATCCGGAACGAGCACCAACTCCAAGGCCTGCAGATAGTCCTGCTTAGTCTTCCCCTTAACGTTAATATTGTAGTTGAAGGCATGCAGGTTCGCGGCCGCTTCGATGAAGGAGAAGTGCGTCGGGTTGGAAGGGTCGAACTTGAGCGGATCCGGCGCCCGTTTGGGGCCGGACCAGAAGGGTGTCCCCGTAGAGGAAACGGCGTCCTTGGGGAAGTTGTAGAGGAGTTGCTGAATGGCATTGTTATACTGCTTCTCGAACAACATGCGAGCCCACTGAACGCAGTCCTCGAACGAGAGGGCCCGCTCATTCCTCAGGAAATCCACCAGCATCTCCAGCGTTGCCTTCTCGTTGCCGCCCTGCTTCAGCGTCGTCTCTAGGTAGTTGGGCTGTGTGAGGTAGAGGTTCACTGTCTCAGCCGGCTTCACGAAGGAGCTCTCGAACAGCTCCCGCGCCCACGCGATCGTGTGTTCGATCCTGTTCGGGAAGCTGCGGAGAGTGCACATGGGGAAAGACTGCTCTGGCGGGTCCTGTGACGAAGAGTACGACTCGGTAATCATAGGAAGGACCACTTGGGTGTTGCCCTTGGTTCCGAGTGTGCCGCTCTCCAGGAGAGGCTTGTGGAAGAACACACATCTCCTATCGACATATGTCCTCGCCTCGACGTTGTCCAGGGCATTCGTCACGCCATCCAGGCTGTTCCAGAAGTCCTCGTTGAAGATGTGTTCCGTCTCTGGGCCGACCCGGTCCTTCAACGAAACGATCTTGCCGTTGAGATCGGGGTTCATGGCCTGCACGGCCTTCGCCGCAACCTCGCTCTTCATCTGGCCCACGTCCTTGGGGCGGAAGAGGAACTGCCTGTTCAGGTTGCTCTTCTCGATCTGGTCATTGTCGGTCACCGTGATCCGGCCGTTGGGACCAGTTCCGAGACCCATCATTGCCCAATTCTTGAGCATCTCGCAGCCAATCGCTCCGGAGCCGACCAAGAACTGCCGCATGTTTGCGATCTTGTCCTGGAACTCGCGGCCGAAGACGGCAATCTGCCCATCATAGCGCGAGCCAGTGGGCTTACACAGCTCCTCTGAGCGAGTGCACGACGTCGGGAGCGATTCGAGCGAGTCAAAGTACATGAACTGTTTGATGGGGTGGAACTTGCCCGACACGGCTTTGAGCACTTCCTGCGCAACGAGCCCACCGAAAAACGCCGCCACGCCGCTGATATCGCCCGTCGCCTGGTAGCTGAGCTCCTTGAGAAGCTTCTCGTCGAACTCGACCTCAATGCCCTCGGCTTCTGCGAACTTCTTGGCCGAGTTGAGAATGACAAGCGCATCCTCCTCGTTCATCGGTCTAGGAAGACGGCCGTGGGTCTGGAGGAAGGCGTGCAGAGCCTGGAAGCCGATGTGGAGCTGCTGCGGACGATCGAACTTGGCGAAGTCCGAGATGACGAACTCGGGATCCTTTAGAGCAGCAGAGATGCCCTTGAAGTCGATGAACTTGGGCATCTTAACTTGCTGGTATAGTCCTCCCCGCTTGTACTGGCCTAACCCGGACACATCGCCAATCGAGAATGTGTACGGCCCTTTGACTGTAACCTTCCGGGGTTCGCAGCCATTGAGACCTTCCATACCCTCGACTTCCGAGAATGTGACATAGTCTCCGTCCTCGAGACCGTGCCGGGTTTCGTCGAGCGCAGAGACTACACCTTCTTCATCGATACCAGCAACGATACCATTCACCGGGTTCTCACCCGTTGCATCAATGACGGTGAAGTTCTTGCCAAAGTCGCAAAAGACAGAACCGAAGAGGCCAAAGGTGTCGGCAGCGATGAAATAGATGCCCTTCTCGTGGCAGTAGTCGCCGACGATTTGTTGGAGAAGGAGTGGCGTATTAGTGAGGACAACGACTTGATACTTATCGAACTGTGACAGGTTCTCTCCGAGACTGGCAAGAGACGATGAGTTGTTAGCTTCACGTAGTCCTGCTATACGGCATGAACTGAATCGACTCCCGCATACCTTGGAGTCTCGTGAATGCGAACAGGCGTGTACGCATTGAGCTCGGCGACGCGGGGCGCCGTGACCTGATCGCGCGGCTTGCCGACGTCGTCGGGGCGGAGGAAGAACTGGGAAGAGAGGTCCGCGATGGCGACCGGCGCCGGATCGTGAAGGGTGAGGCTCTTGACACCAGCAAGGGCGACGTTTTTGGCAATCTCGACACCGAGACCCTTGAGGCCGACGATGAGCACGTTGGACGCGCTCATGCGCTTCATGGCCTCGTGGCCCAGCACGTAGAGCTGCCGGCTGTAGAGTGACTCATCGATTTCCGTAGTGCCCACGACCGACTCGTCCACCTGCATCCGGGTGACGAGGTCGACCTCGCCGGGCTGCGTCTTGTCCTGCATGTCCATGGTTAGAGCGTGGTCCGTGAAGCCATATGGCTGCTGCGTTGTCTTCGGTGGGGGGTTTCAGACGGTGAAGTTGTCGGCAAAACGACAGAACTGAGGCCAACCCCGGGCAGAAGAACTCGAGCAAACCGAGGCCTCCTCTACGCCTGGCTGCCTGGGGCGTGCATGGGCCAGGGACGAGCAGCTTGTAACTCACAGTCATGGTTCTTTTGAGGGAAATAGGTAAATCCCCGTCGGACACCTTGCGCTTCCCCAGCTTGTCCAGTTTGTCGAGGTGTAGCAGGTTTCGTAAAGCTTCTTGATGATCAAATATGTGAGTGATAGCGAGAGGGTCGAAGCGGTTTGTCACAGGGAAGTTCGAGTTCTGCTCCTGTTTCTGAGAGATCGGCCAGCCCCGCCAGTGATGACGGCTGCGGGCGGAGCCGCTGTTGGCTGGGCCCATAGAGGGGTAGGAAGGATGTTAAATATACTGTGATTAACTGTATTGAGGCTCCGTCCACAACGGCTGCCCCTTGCAACCCGACCCGTCCCATTTCAGTCTCTCCCGTCCGTCGCTGTCTCATCTCCCCTTCTGTTCCAAGGTTGCTTCGTTCAGGTCTATCCGTACCAATAACCGTTTTCTGATTGGCCTTCTTCTGACTTCCGTCTGCTTCATTTTGTTCTGTTCTTGATTTTTTTCTCCCCGTTTGCCAAAGCACATCCTCCAGCCTCCCAGGTGCCATCCCAAGGTCTGGCTGACAAAACAAGCTGCTTAGCAATAAGTTACCTGGCGAGCGCCGGAGGCGAGTGTTATGAGTGCCAGTGGAACTAGGTAGGTAAGCTCGAGGTAAGGTGCCTAACCTCTCGAATACTCGGCCAAACCATGATCCGCCAGTCGTTGGCCGTCCCGGGCAGTTGTTACGTCTTCCTTCATTTCAGCCAGCTTGTCATTCCCATGGTTCCTTCCGAAGTGTTTTGTTACTGGGTAAGGAGATATCGAAGGCCATTTGATCATGGTAGAAACAACCAATGTACGCAGCGTTACCCGGGCACCTATTCCATCCCCGCATAAAAGCATGCAATCGTGGGCTCATGAAGATGCCTATTCCACAAACACGCAACCGTGAGGAACCACACGCATACATCACATAGAACCAGACCAGAAAGCCGTTTGGACAGGGTCCGTTAAGAAAAGCGCAAAACTGAGCCGAGGGCTCATTGGATGGCTTTGAGATGCACGTCGCTGAAGTGACTGTCAGAACCAGTAGCGTTTTGGCAGACTCGAAGAGAAGCTTACAAAATCAGATCTGCGTTGGGAGGGATGTGGCCGTGGAAGCCCCTGACGGATGGTTAGTCTTCAGCTCAAGATGCTGATGTCGATTTCCCCTTGTGGATGCTTACTTCTCTCCGTAGGCATAATCACTATCATTCGAGACGTTAGATAGGCTCCCTTCCCCATCACCACTGCTGTAGATGTTCGGGTCTCTGCTCACCTGGTGATGTCGAGAGTGGCTTGTTCGCCGACCTTCATTTCGAGGACTGCCTCGTCCCAGCCTGAAGAGCATCAGCCGTGGCTCGCTGGTGAAGGAGCTATCGCTTGGTGTTAGGTGTCCCTTACCCCTGATGAGTCTCCCGATTCCGATCTCCGTGACAAAGTCGCCTCGGCTGCTGGAAGAGTCGAATCTGGATGGTAGAACGAAACAAATCAGCTCACGGTCAGGTGATGATGGATGGTTCGGGTTGCCACCCACTCTTCTCCCTTGTTGTCTGGCTTGCTCGTGTCTTTCAGCCAGCCGGTATATGCAATTGTCACCTTCTGGCCACGAGCAGGTTGTGGCCCGGTGCCCTGGACGCGCGTTGTCCTCGTCACACCCATTGGAGCTGTGATGGAATGGAGGGTTGGAACTGTCTAAGGTATGTGAGGTATCTCCCTGCGATGAGATTGTGGTATAAGATGAAGCGGCGGCGCACGGTGATGGACTTTACGTGATGTTCGTGGCAAGAACAATGGCTCTGGGAAAGGATAAGGAGCAGAGCAGTTTATGGCAAGCTCAGGGACGAAACGCAGCAATGTCTGAGTCGGTCCTGACTGACAGAGTTAAGCGGGGAAGGACGAGCGTAGGTAAGAGATTTGACTCGAGGAGGAAAGGCCAAGGGGTGCTTGACCCAAGGAGAAAGGGATAGATATATGAGAAAGGGATCCTTTGGATGGATGGCAGGCGGGAATCAACAGGACTCAGTTGAAGTAAGGAACCGATCTCTACCCCAATGCTTGTTGAGGGCGTCCCTCCCCTTGGATGGAGCATGGCAATCGCTGTCATTTCGAAAAGTACATGTACTGTACATTTACCCGAGCATGAGGGTCACGACTCATAAGGGCAGGAGTACCGGGACAAGCAAGACACAACGTAAAGACTCGGTGACAGACGTGCGTATGCGGATCGACTTCCATCGTGGAGGGATACGAATGGTATGGCCAATCTTGCCTGCAGTCTTAGCCTGGTGTGCTAATTCAGGTTGGGTTTGCATGGTGGTGGAACTTGAGGAAGGGCCTGCCCTGGCCGTTGTTGGTCCAGGGAGGAGCGATGGGTGAGCTGGTTTGGTCGGCGACTTCCTGCGCACCGCTCTCGTCCCGGCTGGCCGCGTGGTCACGCAGAGCGAGATCTTACCTAGAAGTTAGCGCGGGGTCTTCCGCCAAGGTCCCATGCTTTCTCCTCAATTCACGGAGCGACTTCTGCGCCCAATCTGTCAAATGCATCTTGCATCCTCGAACACGGTGATCGTGCCCGGCACCAATGATCTGACTCGGATCGGCATTGGCTACCGAGAATGTTGCATGCACCAACGGAATTCCTTGAGCACACTGCGACCTGGCCGCAGGCAGGTCATCGGAGACCCGCCCGTCAGCAATCAGAGACATGCTTGGTGACACACAGAACACGCTCAGTCAACGAGTTGCGAGATGTATCATTCGGTCCAGTCCCCAAGCCATTGCTGCACCGCACCATCCTTCGCATTGAGCCTTCAACCATCTGTTCAGCATGGCGCGCCGAGCATATGTTGAGGAGGAAAATGAGACCAGAATCACTAGATTCTGAATACCTTACACTTCCGGTGAGTCCCCTTGATTCACCTTGCCAAGTCGCTTGATGGCGTACCCGACCCCGAGTCATGTCCACGGACCGGGTGCGGGCCGGATCTGGTGGTCGTCCCGGCCCGTACGATGGCTGCGACATAATACGACAGTATACACAGTATCTCACCGCCCAGTCTCCCATCATCCCGTCGTACATGGACGGGACAATCACACGCGGCTACCAGCACAGTATCTGGCGCATACAAGCCGCAACCGGCCGCATTCGGACGATGAGGCGACGGGATCAGTTGGTTGGGCGCAGGCAAACTCAATGCGGCGACCTAACAGCGCGTGCTATTTCACTGCCGCCTGAGACTGGGGCCGACGGACCTGCATGGCGTGCATGCAGACCCCGTATGCTGGTTGGAGTCTTGGGAGTCACCGAACATAGCATCCTGTGAGATGTCATAATCCCTACTGCCGGAGCCGAGGGCTTTGCCATCTCGACTTGCCATGTGATCAACTCCACAAGCTCGTCAAGTCAGCGCTAAAGTTTTCCCAGCTTGTGGCCATCGGAAGGCCGAAATGAGCGTCGGCACACGAAACGAACACCGGACCAGATTCCCGGGGTGGCTACGGTAGAAGCATCTGCTCTTCCACCACTCTCGCCAGGATGTACCCAGCTTCGGCTGTAGCACAAGGGTCCAATTCGGGCGATGGCATATGATGTCTCGATCTGCGCAACCGGTCTGTTGCAGTGTTTATACACTCGCAACGGGCACCGAATCTCGCACCGGATAGATCTGACCGGTCTCGGCCGGGGCACAGGACGGCACGTCGGACGAGACATCGCACGGCCGACATATCGACATCCTTGGATGAGTGGGAGTCGTCCTTCTACCTCGTCGACCGGTGAAGATGCCTGTCCTGTAATGCCTTCCCTGCGCTCGGCCGGGGGTGTGCAAACCCACGGCGCCAGCTGCGTGTTGGTGATCCTTAAGATACCCCGCAGGAAGACCCGGCCTTTCTTCTGCAGATGCAGCAAACCAGAAGCAGCTCCAACCGAGAGCCTTTCCCCATGATGACACCCACCCCTCCTTGCACGCTCGGCAGATCATGATCATGATCGATGTAAGGCCCGATCCTAGCCCCCTTGCCGGCTGCAGTTGGGCCAAACACAAAGAAGCGGTAAGCAACATCACGCCAGACGATCGTCTCAGACGCTCGCGGGATCAAGATCGGTGCGGGAGGTGCCCAAGAAACACGTGGAGCGACCCAACTGGGCCAGTCTTGCGTATCACGAGCCCGGTACACCACTACGTAGACCCTGCTCATCTGATCGATGGCGATGGTTCGGGCGGATCGGACGTGCTAGTTGTGGTTGCCATTAAGTGGGACAAGGAAAAACCTCATGCGTCTCACCCTTCCCAACTGCGTATGGGAAAGTATGGCGCCGGGTAGACACTGGTTGCCTTATATGCATCTGCCGTCACGGCAGCGCCCAATGGGCGCCCGATGGCTTTCGGCCGACCAGAACAACAACTACAACAGGGAAAAGAATAAGGCATCCAGTACATCATGAACGCTATGTGACACCGCAACGTTGCTTACTTGTCTCAACCACAACTGCCGCGTCTGTTGATTAAATCACGTGCCCCGGAAATGGAGGCTTGGTTCGGGGTCCGGAAGGCATCAGAGAAGAGGGGCGAGGCGGCCCGACGAGCTTCCATTTCAACTCGGTGAAAGCCATGAGCATCCGATCTGATTCCGCTTCTTCACGGTAAACGGAAGGGTTAAGAGTGCCGTAAGGATCGCGATTCAGACCGAGCAAGCCAGAAAACGGGAAAAGAAAGGAAAGAAAAGGCGAGGTGGAGAAGCCGAGAGAGGCACCTGGGCCCTAGCCGCCGTTACCGCCGGGGGAACGGCCGACGGACCCCGGTTTGGCCGAGCACGGAAACCGCCGCCAACGGGCCTGCTTTCATGAGCCTATATGGTGTATCCTCACACAGCAGCCATCGTTCAGGTGATATACTGTACAGCAAGCTCAATGTTCTTCACATCACACTCACCAGACAAACCCGGGGAAGCCGAAGCCAAGATGGAAACTTGGGGCCGAAGATCAGAGATCAATTCGCTAAGATCTGGGTAACGTTGCCGATCCTCAATATCTGATTATGGAGAAGAGACCAGGAGGAAGCCTGAGGAAGCCAACATTCTCCACTGAGAGGGCTGATGATGATCCAAAAGGACCAAAACCCACCTGCTGGGCTCCGAAATGGATCTCAGTTTCCTGGAGCAGGGCATAAGGTCTGAAACATCTGAGAGGAATCGATAGTGGCAGGTTACGGTGAGGCTGAATATGTTGCGCTGTGCCGTCTCGTGTGCCTATTGCGGCGCCTGCTGTGGGCGTAGGGAATCTCGTCGACTCAGGTACGTAAGGTATGTACGGTACGGGTTTTGTTGGTGTCCGCTGACGTTCTTTCTGTTGGTTGGTTGAGAGAATGAGAATATCCAAGATTTGACAGACCGCAGTTCGGGGCTCTCGCAAGCATGTTCATCTCGGATATTCTCTTTTTAATACTGCCAAGTATGCCAATCAATTGACGTAAACCTGTATGCCGGCGAGATCCTATTCCTGCAATCCAACAGCCAATTGCCAACACAGGGCTCCCGCGTCAGCCCAGTTGGTGATGACTGATGAGCCGTTCCTGCAGCTGCCGCTCGGCTCACTTATCACTGCTACGCTACGGCCCTGTCGAGAGTGAGATCAGTCAAAGGCAAAAGCGCGTTTAATTTAGCAATCCAGTCATCATCAGGTTGGCTGAAAATCACGACGGCGTATATTCGAGCGGTCTTGTTGTCAAACTGTGGTCTGTGCCGGTGCCTGTGCCTGTGCCTGTTGTAATACATGATTGAGCCGTTCTGATCTCGTGTATCAATGGATGTCTATGCGGCACATAACGTTGTGAGTCTGTTAGTCCGTGAACTATTCACACAACTCATCTAGTCTCACCTCCCCTCACGTGCACCAGCTGACTGGGAGGAAGAAGGTTTAGATGTGCGAGAGACGGGGCGTATGGGTAGAATGACCACACGTGGTGCCTAGCCCTAGAGTAGGATCCGGTTGAGGTGCGAGCGTGCGGCGGTGATGGGTGAGCCCTAGCTGCCGGGAGTCTCTTGCCCATTCGGACCCCACGGAGAGGGCCACTGCGTCCACAGCGGTCCATCCTTCCGGCTGTAGGGCTGTCGAAACCGAGAACCGAGACGCGTGACTCCATAATCGGGGACTTTATAAGCGGTTTGTGCGAATGTTCACTTCAACACACGGTCTGGATAGGGCTCGCGGCTTGCGGTTTGTACGGTACCTGACTCGGACCTGAAGTGACGACATCCCGTCGTCGATCGACGGGAGAGCGGGAGATAGATCATGGTGGCTGTGTTGCGGAAGCCACAGCGGCGTAGTTACTAACGTTGGTTCGAACTGTGAGACGCTTTAGTGGCTCGTGTTTTGGGCTTCGGTTGGATGCAATAATGCTGTAATCAGCAATTATCGAATCCATCGTCTTTCCACAATAACAAAAGGAAGATTGCGCCGCTTGCTATGCTGACACGCATGGAACGGGTTCTCAATTTGGTCAGTCCCGGCTCCCAGCACGTGTTTTCTCGAGATTGCGTCTTGGCGTGTCCTGTTTGGCCTAAGATCCCAGTAGTCTACCGTTCCGTTGGAGCCCAGCGTTTCGAAACAACAGGTCGGATCTTTGCGCGACTCCGTAACCCGCCAGGCTGGCCGTTTATTTTATAAGGATCCGATTAAGGTCCATACACGGTAGACACTAGGTGCACTATAGGTAGTGAAAGTCCGGACAAAATGTTTGATTAAGCCACATTTCGGTTGCCGCACCCCCCCATCTCTATCCGCTACACACAAGGCCATGCGCCCTCTTCTTGCTGGCCGACCAGTGCGGATAACTAAGGTACGTTCACTTACGCGGACTTGCCAATGCACCACCCGGCAAGACCCCAACGAGCTGTGCCCGTCCATCGCGTGAGCAGCAACCACCGCTCGGTGGGGCTCCGTTGCGCCAGCTAGGGACGCTCGAAGAATACGTAAGCTGTGGTGGTATTGATACCGCTGCGCAACAAGCATCTGCGGCTTGCGGGCGGTCCGTCGGGTGCAATACGATGGCCTATCGCCCGACGTTGTTCGGCGCGATGTCGTTTTGGTGAAGAGCTCCGGCGCCCGGGCATTGGCGAGCAAAATGGGGATCAACATCAGCGAGCGATATGCAGCGAACTCCTTGACGAACCAAGACGTGGTTTCTCTGCGCTGCTCAATCCATCAAGATCGATGTGCCGAGAAGCGTGCAGCCTTCTTCCAGAGCACTTGAGCTGCATGTTTCTTTCTGCCGCGATACAAGAAGTCAATGCATGACGGGACTGAGCAATATTTCTTGAGTGGAGACGCTATAGCACGCTAGTAGCCAACCACGTCGGATTGGCGCCGTCCCGCTTGGGGCCGCTTCCCTGCTCCTTAATAACGGGCAAGGTTGCTAGTACTCGACCATCCCACTGAACAGGCCAGATACCGCACTTCGACATGAAGTATCACCTACTCTTTTGCCTATTTCAATCCTGAGAACCTGCCCTTTTTGACGTGCCCGCATTCACCGTCGGCATTCACAGTGCATCGCATGTCCAGGTTGGTGTTCGTTCCTCTCTCCAAACTCAATTTGCATCTGGACTCGGTGCATTCCCAACATTGCAAGCCACGTACGAAGTAGCTTCGCGATAGTCGACTACATCGATTTTGAGGATTTTGAGGTGACTGCTTGTATCCATGATGTTTCTTGATGTTCGGTTCGGGTCGAAGAACCATCCGGGCTTCGGAACGTTACCACCGTTTTGCTGCCAAGCAAGGTTCCGTTTGACGCGTTAGGTTAAAGGTACACCTCCGCCTGGTTTAGACACATCTGTACTCGGCTTTTAGCAGACCCACCGTACCCCTGGCCAGAACGCAGCCTGGAAGCGCTCTGCGCCGGGGCCCTGGCGGGTGCAATCTTCCCTGTTGCTACCTTCTGCTTCTTGGTCTGCAACCCTTGCAGCGCTCCGCCCCAAAGCCCTTCCAATTCCAGTTTCCCCCCTCAGGGCCCCTTGTTGTTTCTTCCGCTCTGCTTTGGGGGCGTCTCTACGATTTCGTTCGTTCCGTTCCCTTCGAGACAACCCTTCCTTTCCCTTTCGCTTCACTCTGTCAACATCCGCTCCGGCCATCTCCCTCGACGACGTCCTTCCACGTGGACTGCCTCGACCAGCGCTTCCCCGTCGTCGTCGTCCGAGCTTTGCGACCTGGGACCTGAAAGAAGGGCCCTCCCGGAACGCCAGCCCACCGTGTGCTCCCGATGCCCGCCCTGTCATGACCCGTGAACGCGAGCTCCCGACGCCACGAAGGTGAAGACACGATACTTGGAAACCATAACCAATTTGACGATATTTCGTCGAGTCGCTCTTTTATACACAAAATCCATCGTTTTGACTTTTGGGGGAACTCATTCTGTGTTCCCTCAAGTCATTGAATGTAAGTTTGATCGAGCAATGGGAATGGAGGCAAATGAATCTTCGGAGGGGTTTCTGAGGAACATCAGCCAGCGAGCGCCGGCCGTGGGGTGGGACACGCAGGGAGAGCACCGCGCCCGGGGAGGTTCCCGATGTGTCCAGGTCGATCTCGCGGATCATCAATGCCGGGGGGTTCTGAAGAAATCAGCTCTGGGCCGTAAGGATACTGACAGGCTTTGAATCAGAACCACACTCGTTGACAATCTTTGTCAAGTACACTCATTAGGACTACCCTGACAAGTGAGTGTTCTCGCCGTGGCTGCTGCTATCGTGATCCTGACAATGGCATTTCTCCTTTTTGCGCGTGCAGAGCCTATACTCCTTTCGCGTGACGCTTCCCTGCGCGACAATCAATACAAGAACGATATCCAGAGCGCATGATCAAGACGGTATAGCACTATAGAATGAGAACGGTTTCAGTCTTGGCCGCCGCGCTGGCGGCGGTCTCGTCAGTCGTGGCTAGTCAGGACGCAGCAAAGCCAAAATACTACTTCCCACGCCATGTGAAGCGGCAATTCGTCAACGCGACAATATCGTTGCCCGAGAGCCTCTTACCGAGTTCGTCCACTGAGACGACCACACTGGAGACCAGCTCGAACTCGGCTTCGTCCAGCGACTCGAGGGTGACGACAATCATCATTTCAAGTACAATTGTTGTTTCGCCACCACTACCAACGTCGTCGAGTACGAACTCGGGGTCATCTTCAGCAACCGATCCATCGTCTAGCAGCGATTTCTTAGGAGGCATTGTTTCTCCGAGCGATAGCTCATCGAGCAGCGCCTCGTCGAGCGCCATCTCGTCTCGCAGCAGCGCTTCGTCAAGTGCCAGCCCGTCAGCCAGTTCCCCTGCTGGCGATAGCACATCTGCCACTCCCTCGTCGACCGGCACTTCGTCTGACACCAGCTCTGCGAGCGAGAGCTCCGCTGCCGGTGCTTCTTCGACCGAGGCGCTACCTAGCAGCACCACCTCGCCTGCTCAAAGCTCGTCTGCTCAGAGCTCGTCTGCTCAAAGTTCCTCGACCAAAAGCTCCTCGTCCCAGAGCTCCGTCCCAACTAGCGATGCCTCGACCAGTGCGGCCGAGGTGCCTTCGTCCACCCTGGTGCTCCCTCCCGCGAGCACCAGCAGCTCGGCTGGTGAGGCCACGACAACCAGCGAGCCCGGCGTGCCTTCGTCGAGCCAGGTGCTCCCACCGCCTGTCACCAACAGCACCAGCAGCTCGGCCAATGAAGCCACGACAACTAGCGCGCCCGAGTTGCCTTCGTCAACCCAGGTGCTCCCGCCTTCGGACAGCAGCAGCAGCAGCAGCGCCGCTGTTGGACCCACGACAACTAGCGAGCCCGAGTTGCCTTCATCGAGCCAGGTGCTCCCGCCCCCTATCACCAACAGCACCAGCAGCTCTACTGAGGGATTCTCGAGCAAGGACGTCTCAACATCTCAGCAGGAGTCTCTCGTCCCGACGACTACCTCATCCGAAATCCTCTTAGCCCCTACTGGCATTGTTACTACGAGTTCATCAAGCACAAGCGAGCCAGGCAACGTTCTCAGCTCCATCTTGAGCGATATCAACTCGGTCATCACGAGCGTGTTTGATCCTACTCCGAACTCGACCGTCTCTCTCCCCACGACCTTCATTACTGGACCGGGGACTGGTATTACGACAAGTGAGACTCCGACGGAGACTGTGCCGCCAACGACAGAGACTTCGACAGAGAGTGTGCCGACATCGACGGAACCTCCCACCACAACTCCCACCAGTGAACCGCCGCTACCTCCGGTTACTAACTCGACTGTTTCGGCCACTGAAACCAGCAGCAGCACTGATGTCCCGTCCGGGCCTCCCACCACGACGACACTTCCTCCTGGATCTGGAAACAACACAACGACAACGATCTCCACGGAGCCACCAGTGATCACGTCGTCCAGTATCTCGACGAACAGCTCAACCATTCCGACCGGTAGCAGCAACAGTACCGTGCTGCCTGAGACATCATCGGCCGCCCCGACCCCTACCACCACCGTGATTCCTACTACCATTACTAGTGCCACGCCCACCAGCACCTCGACCAGTGTTTCTGTTGCGACCCCAACCTCTGAGCCGGGGGTCACAAGTATTCCCCCTCTGAGTACCGTTACTATGTCGGAGCCGTGGCTTCCCACGACCATCATCGTGGACACGAGCTCGGCCTCTGCCTCCGGCGCGGTGCCGACGACAGCCAGTGGCATTCCGTCGTCCTTGCCGCAGGCGATCCAGCCCAATGACGGAACGGACGGCATGCCTGAGGACACGATGCTCATCCAGATCGGATTCCTCGAAGGATACAAATATTCGTTCGTTGTAGACAACGACAGGGCTGCGGCTCAGATCTTCAATCTGCTGCCCAAGGCTTTGAGCGACGCTGGCGGGTTTGATATCAGGAAAGCCGAGGTCAAGCGGCTTGTTCCCCTAGATACGATGAGCTCGCTGGGCTACATTACGACCTGTGCGCAGGTCACGTATCCGATCAGCATGGTGTCTACCTTGTCAACCGATATCGGGCTGCCGAACTCCAAACTGTACAGGAACCCGGACCTGCTCATCTACAACCTCACGCAGCAGATCAACCCGGCGATTCCCATCACTATCGGTGCGTTTCCCGACGGGCTTGGCGGCGGCAATGCTGGTGGTAGCAGTGGTGGTGGCAGCGGCTCTGGCGGTGGCAGCAACAGTGACCCGTTCAGCGGCGGTGGCGACAACGGTTCCGGCGGCTCGAGCAGCGCGAAGGGCACTACTGCCGGTATTGTCAGCGGCGCGGTCGCGGTGGCGGCCGCATACGGTGTGGTCATGTTTGTCGTTGCGCGGCGGTACAAGCGCAAGAAGCAGGCTCACCGGCGGGCCAGCTCCATCAGCAACCCGTCCGAAATGAGCGAGGCCGGCCGCGGGAGCCCGGCTCTCATGGGTGGCGCCCTGCTGAGCCGCGATTTCACCAGCAGCGGCTACGGGCCGAGCTACGGGGCCAGCTACGGGGCCACGCAGCCTGGTGGACGGGACAGCCACGGCAGCGGCAGGAGCGGCATGGGCAACTCGGGGCGGACGCAGTTCATCTCGGCTCCCGTCGCGGCGGAGAACTCGCTCGGCTGGAACTGATCCGCCCAACTAGTTCAAGTTCTTCCGTGCCTCTCCTCTGATGACCCAAACTGAACCTCGATCTACCATGGCGCCGTCTTCCGCTCTCCACGTCATCCTCTCGATCTCCGCCCCCAGACATCTCACCACCGAACGACGTTGAAAGATTCCGACAGTTTTTATGCTTCGATACCCCTCGGCGGCGGTCGCGGGTTTAGCCCCTACGCAAGGCGAGCGATGGCGTTGCGTGGTTGTGCCTTGCATCCGCTTTCCGGGCCCTTTTTGGTTTATTTTTTATTTGTTTTTGACCATCATCTTCTTGAAAAGCTCAAACCATATCAACTCAACCTATAGACAGAGACAAGGACCGGCAACACACACCCTGACCCTGATGAGACCCAAACCAGGTTAGACTCAGGGTCAGGCACACAAAATGCCAGGGCGGAATCCTCAATCGCATTCCTCAAAAAACCACAGTTTTTCTATCCCTCTCGCGCTTGTCTTGAAAATCTAAGCTTCTTGGCCTACCACCACCTCGATGACCGGTTCCTTGGATTGCTTCCTCCGTAACCATTGTGTATATTCTACTGGGAAACCCTGTACGGGAATCGGTCGGATTCTGTTTATTATGTTTACTCTTTGGTGTGTTTCCCCGACAAGTGCTCACTATTGCCCCAACAACATACCCCTCCTCCCTTCTGCCCCGCACCGTGTCATTCCGGGGAATTAGTCTGTCTCAGCGCCTGCCTACCTAGGTAAGGAGGGATAAACGATGTACGAAACTTATTCTGTCTGGGCGGGCGGGGGCTCTGGAATGCAAGGACGGCAGACCCGGCACGTGTTGTGTGGCATTTAACTCCTGTTTTAGGGAACACTTTCTTGTGGGTTCTGTCGTCTAGTGATTCGGGGGAGTGTCCTTTTTTGGTATTATCTAATTACTTTTTTTTTCTTCTCCCTTTTATCCCTGTCGTGGCTCGTCTTGTTTTGTGATTACCTACCCATGGTGATGCCAGGGAGGCTTGGGCGAAGGAAGGGTGGTGGTGGTGGTTGTCTTGAGATGGCGTGGAGGTGAAATGAATTGGGGGTGTCGGATGGGATGGGGGGAAGGTGACAGAGGAGGGCTTTTCTTCTTCGGGAGTCGGGGTAGCAGGGAAGGCTGAAGTGGGGGGAATGAAACTTAAAGCTTTCAGATGGGGGTTTGCTCTGTGGGAGTATGTCAATCGATATTGGGTAGGTGAGGTGAGGCGAGGTGTTGGTGGGGGAGGTTAGGTGACGCCTAGGGGAACGCGGGCTCTGGTGAGGAGATTCGATTCATTGCGTCTTCCAGCTTATTTGCCCAGAGACCCTGCGGCTGCTCTCCGCGCCCTTGGGGTCATCCCGAGTGTCGGTGGTGTGTGAAACAAACAAATTCATGGCCGCGACTTGTGTTTGTGTTTGTTGTACTGCTGCACCCTTACCTTAGCTTACATTACCTGCCTTAGCTTTCGCTGAACAGGCGCCCAGGCAAGATAGATCAAAGCTACCTAGGTACCTATGTAATATGTCCGCCGAGCTGTCCCTTGGTATGTAGTGGGTTGACATGTTTCTTGTCCACTTGATGCATGTACGAGGTATCTAAGACAGGACTCAACACTCGATCACCTAACGATGACTTCGCATAGATACGGTATTCAGCTGCCAACCAAGGAAGCTCAATGGCTCCAAGAAACAGATCGTGGTCAGTTACCAGGTAACCTTGGTGCCTCCTCATCCAACGACGATTCTCTCCGCCCCCATACTTTCAATCTCTGTGACCCCCCGGCATCAACATGACAGACGAGCCACGAACAACTGTCACGGGCAGGCGCACTCACGGCTGTGATAGGATATATCGGCTCAGAAGTCACGGCAGTAGTTATCAGCTGCTTCTGCAGCGAGGCCGTCTCGGTCTATATTCATAGCGATACTCTCTATCACGCGGTTCCATTTATACGACGTATGCGTTGTATATATGCCTGCTGCATGTCGCATGTATAGAAACCGTGAGCGAGATAGGTAGGCCCCCCTAGATTCTATGACAGCTTCCACTGTATGGGATAAGTATGGCATATTGTTCGAAATGTGTATCCGTTACTGGAGGATCCTTCTCGTTGTTAAACCCGTCCAAACTGATCTTCGCGATGTTGTCCGGAATGGGACCGGATGAATTGACAATGGGATCGACGGCAGTTACCTATTATCAGATGAATGCGACGTAAAGTTCCTGGCGGTCGTTGCGCAACTGGTGAAGCACGGGGAGCCCTGCTTGATGGCCAACAAAAAACGGCGGGCAGAAACGGACAGTTGTGTCCATCTGGTAAGTTTACGGTACTAAGTAACACGAGCTGGACTGCGCTGATGGCATTGGACGAGCTCATTTGCACCCTTCATTTCAACATGAACGTAAAACCAACAACCCAACAACCCAGCAATACATATATGGCTATTCCGGAACAAGACTCCATTCCCATACTCGATCTCTGGAAGAAGGAGAACAATCATTAATTTTCCCCCGCCGTCGTTAGCTCACTCAGTCCCGTCAACTGAAACGAACGGCGGCCCCACCCCGCCGAACGGTGGACCACTTGACTCGTTTCACCACCACACAAACGGGCCCTTACAAGCCAGGGATCGTATCTGGGGTTCGCAATGCCGTCCGAGCGGGCGGGGACGGCACACGCGGCATCATCGCGCGGGATTGAAGCCGGCAGTCGGGGCGATAATGGCAGGGTGTCATTGTCGTTGTCGACCACTTCATCGTCGTCTTCTGCAGACGGAGCAGGGACAGGACCAGAGCTGCAGAAGGGCAGGCGACTGACCCCTGATACTAGCTCGGAGGATGATGATGAGGAGGAGGAGGAGGAGGAGGAGGAGGAGGAGGAGAAAATGGCTGCTGAGTGGTATGAACTCCAGGAGGATGGGGTAGGCGGCGAGCATAAGGACGGTGCTGGAAGGCTGTATACCGCAGAGGAAGAGCGGGCTGTCGTGGCCAAGTTTGATCGGAGACTGGTGGTTTTCATGGCCGTGCTGTATCTGTTGAGCTTCGTGGACCGGTCCAGTACGTCTCGTTGCCCTTCCCGTTGCGACTACCTCACTCCACGCTGACATGTTTTGTCTGTCAGACATTGGCAATGCCCGCGTTGCCGGCATGGACGAGGACCTGCAGTCGGTCCCGCCGCGCGATGGCTGGTACGAATGGTCCCTTGGGGCCTTCTACATCGCCTACATCGGCTTTGAGTGGATGTCGTTGCTGTGGCGGATCGTCCCGGCGCACATCTACGTCGCCGCGCTGGTGCTTTCCTGGGGTGTGGCGGCCTCGCTGCAGTCGGTGGCGGTCAACTATCCCATGCTGATCTTCCTGCGCACGCTGCTCGGCATCGGCGAGGCGGGCTTTACCGGAGTGCCGTTCTACTTGTCGTTCTTCTTTAAGCGGGATGAGCTGGCACTTAGGACGGCCATCTTCATATCAGGTATAATGTCTCTTTTACTTTAAGAACTCCCCCAAGCAGCTCGAGTCCTGACAGAGCGCGAAAAAAACACAGCCGCCCCGCTAGCGACCTCCTTCGCCTCGTCCCTCGCCTGGCTGATCCTGGCCCTCGCCGAGTCCGGCCCCATCGCCCCCTGGCGCCTGCTCTTCCTCATCGAGGGCTTCCCCTCCGTCGTCGCGGCCGCCCTAGCCTGGCACATCATCCCCGACTCGCCGCAGACGGCGCCATACCTCACCGGGCGCGAGAAGAAAGTCGCCCGCTTGCGCCTGCAGCAGGAGAAACGCACTGCTACTACGATCACTACTACTACTACCACCACTGCCTCTTCTCGTACCAACCGAAACGCCACAACCCTCGACACCCTCGCGGTCCTGACCGACCCTGCTGCCTGGCTCACGGCCGCCATCTTCTTCCTCGCCAACATGGCCTACTCCTCCCTACCCGTCTTCCTCCCGACCATCCTCCGCGCCATGGGCCACTCGCCGCAGGCGGCCCAAGCCCTCTCGGCGCCGCCCTACCTTGCCGCCTTCCTGCTGGTCCTCGCCACCGCCCACGCGTCGGACGCGACCCGCGCGCGCAGCCCCTGGCTCATCGCACACGCCCTGGCCTCCGCCGCCGGCTACGCCGTCCTCGCCGCCGACCTCGGACCGGGGAGCTGGGTGGTGGTGCGGTACCTGGCCGTCTTCCCCGCGGCGGTCGGCTTCTTCAACGTCGTCGTCCTGACCATCGCGTGGAGCATCAACAACCAGCGCGGCGAGGCCCGCCAGGGCGCCGGCTTCGCGCTGCTCCAGGTCGTCGGGCAGTGTGGCCCGCTGGTTGGCACGCGGCTGTATCCCGACAGGGACGCGCCGCGCTACACGCGCGGCATGGCGGTCTGTGCTGGGGCTATGTTAGGCGTGGCGCTGCTCGCGGGGCTGTTGAGGTGCTGGTTGGCGAGGGTTAATCGGCGGTGGGATAGGGAGCAGGAGGAGGAGGAGCTGGGACGGGATGGTGGTGCTGGTGGTGATGGCGAGGAGGAGATGGCTCTTGTTGGAGGAGGAGGAGGAAGAGGAGGGTATGAGGGAAGGAGGAGGGCAAAGGGGTTTCGGTATATGTTATGACCTATGTGTTGGGGATTCACCGGGATTTTGACCAAAGTCACACTGGAGTTGGATATTTAAGGGGTAATGTAATGCTTTGGTATTTCCGGTTATACGATCAGCTCAAGACCATACATATACATCTTTATGTTTCTTCAGTTGACCGGTTTGAAACACCACAATAGAGCCATAACGAAGGTGTAATTCGGGTCATGATGTAGTCCACCCTAGTCTGCTTCTCAAGTTCTTAATACGGGGATTTTGCCACGCCCGAGAAGCACCCATTTGTTTGTGCATCAGGAACCCATGTGATTACATCCCGGTTCCGCCACGTGGGCCCTTTGGCCTGGGAATCTAGCCTACCAGGCAGGTACTCATGCAGTGACGACCAGCGGCCGGCCATCATGGTCTACCGCTTTCATATCCTAGAAATAAGTTTCCAGGATGCAGTGACGGTCCTTCCACTTGGATCGAAGGCTCCCTGGTAGGAGCCGGGCTAGACAGCGTCCTGAAAGTTCCAACTATAGGAAGGGTATCTCCACCATCAACAAACCGACGTGACCTGTCTCCGGGACTTCTTCTGCCCTTTATGCTATCCAGTTCGAAAGTGAGACCCGCAGACTATGCCGTTTCCGCCCAAAACGGAATTCGCTGGAAGTCGCCAGCAGAAATACGTACGCCCTACAACTCCGTTTCTGACCCTCGTCCGAGACGGCCTCGAGGGGGGAATGCCAACCCGCCAGGAGCTAACCGGTCCAGGCGTATAGTCCCCGAAGGTAACACTCAAATACCCAACTACCTCTCCCTCTCACGGCGCAGCCATCTTCATCTTGACCATAGCCATCTCCGAGCTCTTGGCCCACGTGCCGTCCGGTCTCTGGCGGTAGCACATGAGCTTGCCCTCGTCGCCGACACTCCCCAAGATCTGCCCATCATCGTCGAAGCCAACCCTCCACACGGGCGTGCGATGGCTGTCCAGCTTCGAGATCTCCGTCATGACATGCCGTATGCGCCCGGGCAGGTTCCCCGTCCGCCGCTCCAGGCTCTCCCTGCTCTGATCCAGCCCGGCGCGGATGGCAGACGACGCCATGAGCGAGGCCCGCGCCGTACCGGTACCAGTGCCGTCGTTGTTCACCTCGCCGCCGCTACGGCGGTGAGCGTGCTTCTTGACCCTGTCGGCGGCCCACTTCCCCCTCTCCCCGCTCTCATCATCCTCTCGTCCCGGCGCCGCCGACGAGGGGACGGCATCCAGCCGGAACACCCTCACAAACCCGTCCCGGCACGCCGTAGCAATGATGTCATACCCCCGGATATTCCCCGGCGCCCAGGCCACGTCGCGCACCAGGCCGCGATGCACGCCCTCGGCCTCGGCGCCGACCACCTCGGCTGCGAGGTAGAACCCCTTCCACGCGGCCGCCACGCCCAGCGACGTGCGGATCATGTCCCGCGTCCGGTACACCCGCACCGAGTCCATCACGGCGACGACTAGGCCGAGCGCGTCCGAAGGGACCCCGGCGCGGAGCGCCGTGTAGCACACCTCCGGGTTCGGGTCGAACCGCACGCGGAAGGACGTCTCCTCGCCGCGGGCCGCGACGCGCGGGGTTCGCTGGTGGCTTTCTTCTCCTCCTGCTCCTGTCCCTGCTGTTGCGGCTGCGGCTGCTCCTATACCTCCAGTTCCTCCTCCTGTTGCGGTAGTAGTTGTCGTAGTAGCACCAGTTGCTGTTGTTGTTAGCGGAGCGGTTGCGGTGGCGGAAGAGATGATGCTCGTGTTGTTGATGGTGGAGAACTCGTCGAGGAGGGTGAACTGGGCGAGGTTCTCGACCCGCTCGTTCTCGTAGACAGTCAGGCTGCCGTCGGCCGAGAGCAGCGCCAGGTAGGTGATGTGCGAGTCGTCGAGGTGCTTGATGGAGAAAGAGCGGTAGGGCGAGCGCGGGTTGCGGAGCTCGAAGGCCGGTTTCACTTGCGGTGCGCCACCTCCTCCTCCTCCTCCTGCTGCTGCTCCTCCGGCGAGTGTGTCCGACGATGTCGGGGGTACCGGCGCTGGGCTGCCGGGCCCGGTCGTGGGCACGCCGGGGTGGCTGGTGGTGGCGTGCGGGTAGAGTGCGCGCGCGGGGATTGTGATCAGCGGCCCGCTACGGGTGGATTCGCTAAAGCGGCGGCCTTGGGCGGCGGAGGGGTCTTCGGCCCAGAGCTTGAAGCGGCCCTCGATGCCGAGGGAGGCCAGAAGATTGGGGTAGATGATTGTTGGGAGCCATTGGATCTAAGCAGGAGAGAAAAGGCAAGAACTGCTGTTAGCGGGGAGGATGAACGGGGGGTGATGGCAAGAGAAGAATAACATCACGAAATTACCTCGAGAATCTCACTCGCATGGGCAGCCCACGTGTCGCACAGGCGCCAGGTGCCGTCCTTGTGGCGGTTGAAGACGCGGATCCTGCCATCGACTGACCCCGTCGCGCAGCGGTCGCCGTGGCCGTTGAAGGCGACCGCCTGCACGAGGTCCTGGTGCCCGTGCTTGAGGATGGTCTCGAAGCTCGGGCGATCGTCCACCGACGGCGGATCGTTTAGGAACGCAGCCGCTTTGGACATTTTATTTGGTTGGGCGGCATGCATCCGTTATTGCTTGTGGATTGGAGGGGTTGTTTGCAGATGGTGCACACTGACATCAGATGGATTGATTGATTGATTGCCGGGGGGGGTTGGAACAAACGCGGGGGTCCAAGCTTCCTGCAGGGCCTGGCCTACGGGTACCTAGCCTAGACCATCAGAATCCAGGGGTAGTTTACTGGCTGGGCCGATCTAAGGTATGTCTATCATGGTATAAAGCGAAGATTGAACAGCAGCCGCAGCAATAGAAACAAGGAAGCAATCAACTCTGACCAGCTATGCTCCAGTTGTCCTCCTTAAAGACCAGCAAGGCCAAGCGGTGCCTCACAAACAAGCCAAAGAGCCCCACAGCGGCCTGCATCGCCGTGATCTCCAGCGCCAACCGGTCCTCGCGCAGCGGGCCCCTCCAGACCAGCCAGAGGTTCAAGATGGTGAAGTTGCTCGTCTCGACCAGCCGCCCCTCCTCGTCCAGCGCCACCCGCAGCAGCCCCAGCTTCCCCAGCAGCTTCAGCGCCCACGCGACGGGCGGCCTCGGCTGCCGCTCCGGCGTCCACGGCGTGACGCTCGGCTCCAGCAGGCCCGTGCGCGCATTGAAGCGCGGCAGGCGGTGGCGCGGGCAGGGCACGAGCCCGAAGATCTGCGGCGTCGAGTAGAGGAAGTTGGCGATCTGCGGCAGCAGCAGCAGCACGAGCGTCTTGCTGAAGTGGCCCAGGATGCTAACCACCACGAACACCATCCCTGCGAAGTAGCAGTACGTGTCGCCCACAAACACCCGCGCCGGGTACCAGTTGTGCCAGAGCAGGGCGAGCGACACGCCCAGGAAGGGCAGCAGGAACGACAGCGAGAACAGGTGCGAGTCGGTCGCCGGGTGAGGGTAGGGCGTCAGCAGGTAGAGGCAGTCGTTGACGGCCAGGAGCAGGGCGATGACGATGGACTGCGCCACCTCGATGCCGTTGATACCCGCCAGGATGTTGATGCTGTTGGGGCTGAAGATGGCCACGCCCGCCATGTAGACGTAGTACAGCGCGCCCAAGTCGAGCAGCTGCCCGAGGTAGGGCTGCAGCTGCATGGGGATCACGATCGAGGTGACGCCGAAGTCGACGCGGTAGACGACGAGGAGCGGGATCGCGGCAAAGGCCGGGATGAAGAACTTGTGCCGCCAGCGGATGTCGAAGAGGTCGTCGGCGAGGCCGAGAGACGCGATCGTGTGCAGAGAGACGATGGCCGAGAGGTACGAGGAGAGCTGCATCGGTTAGCAAGCAATGCAGCGCGCCCTTCCCCTTTCTCTGTCTATCTAGCGCAACACACCTTTTCGTGCGGGAACAGGTGCAGAAGCCGGCCCTCATGCACATGCTGAACGGGAAGCACCACATCCCGATTGCCGCCGCCGCTGGTCGCCGCGACGACATCCTTGTAGAAGGCGAACGGTATGAACACGATGATGGCGAACAGGTAGACAGCCGCGCACACAGCGCCCATGCATTCGGGAATCTCCCGGCGGTGGTGCTTGCTCATGTCGACGCCCTTGAAGCCGGCCTTGATGAAGGTCGGCCCGAGCCAGCGGATGAGGGCGAACGAGGCGCAGAAGGCGAGCCCGCTCAGCGCGAGCGACACGATGAGCGGCTTGTCATCGCCCTGGAACGCGTTGGCAAGGATGGCGACGCAGGCGGCGGCGAGCGCGAAGAGACTGAGCGTCTCGGTGCGAGACAGCGACGAAGAGCTCATGGCTGGCTGCTGGTGATGCTCATCTCATGGCTTGGGATGTATCTGCCCGCGGCCGTCTTGATTTGTCGGCGGAAGGGGCGGAAGGAGCGAAAAGGCTTCAACATGAATAGTATCTCACATGAAGACAGCTTTCAACTAAACAACCGACGGGATGACGAAATGTTAACACGGCCAGGAAGGGACCCCTGGCGGCCCCACTGTGCCGACTGTTTCAATGCGAAGAAACATCCGATTGGCAGAGGAGTCAAACAGTCGAACCAAGCACGGCAGTCACTGAAGCAGCGTCACAACAAACCCGCTTGCGGGGAAACCATCTAATGCCGCTGCAAACCGGACTTCAAGGGCCAACGCTGAGAAGGATATGCGGGAATAAAACAAAGATAAATCTAAAGTAAAAATTGGCAAAAGAGAGACTCGGATACCGGGAGTCGAACCCGGGGCTGTTGAGAGAGCAGTCACTGCTTGGCAATGAGAGTCAACGATGTTACCGCTACACCATACCCGATTGGATCGCGAATGGTTTCCGATGGTTGCATTGGCTGGCGGGAAGATCAACTCATTAGTAGGCCACCTTTGCAGCATTGCATGTCCTCTACGGATTACACATTTCACAGACATAGCTCTTCACAATCCTAGGTCTCTGGCTCTCTGCTGTAACCGATCCCAAACAGCAAGCATCATCATCTATCGGCTCATAGAGTAGCGTCGAAGTTCTTTTCTTCATCTGCCCTTTTCATCAAATTGAACAAACTGGCATAGTTATCCCTCTCTCATCCACCAGCCCTGACCACCCTCTGGACCTTCCCTAAATTCTAATTCCACCAGAAGCTCACACTAAAACTGACACTCAGGCCCCTCACATAATGCCACCACCCGATGGGTATATACAGCACCTCGCCCTCGCCAAGCACACAGTCGAGGTACTCAACCTTCTTGAACTCTTCTTCCTCCTCCTTCTCCTTTTTCAATTCCCCCTCCCTTTCCCCTTCGCCCTCCCTCCCCTCCTCATCCCCAGCCCCAGGCAGGTCATCCCACCCTTCAAGCACGCCAACATCCCACGAGCTGGTATTCCCCATCTCGACCCCTCCTTCCTTCCCGCGCGCCCTCATCACATTCTTCACCCCCCACGCCGGGAGGTTGGTGTGAGCAGCAGTAGTAGTACTAGTAGTAGTACTAGTAGTAGTAGTAGCCCCCACCCACGGCGCGTACAGGCGCACGTACTTCCGCCCGACGACCTGGGCCAGCAGGTTGTGGTACGGGTCGGTGTGCAGCGGCGTGATGGTGCCCGCGGGCCCCAGCCAGGCGTTCAGCTGCGGGCCGTCGGCCAGCTCGGGCTGGTCCTGCGACGGGTCGGTCGGGTGCGGCGGCGGCGCCGTGTAGCACAGGTCCGGGATCAGGATGTCGTTGCGCAGCGCGGGGAGGTGGGTGAGGAGCGGGTGCTGGGCCAGGTAGCCCGTTCTTTTTCCCTTTGCGGGGGGAATGTTGTCCTCGTCGTCGTCGTTCTTGTTGTTGTTGTTGTTGTTGTTGTTGTTGTTGTTGTTGTTGTTGTCTGACAACTGGGCGGATGCTGATGGTTCGTTGATGATGATGATATAATCCCTGAGGAAGTCGCCGAAGCGAAGGAGCTTCTGGCTCCAGCCGGCGTCGACGTAGCTGCGGCCTAGCTCGACGGGGACGAGGCGGCGGCCGCCGAAGGTGCGCGAGAGGAGATAGGACGGTTTGGACCACGGCCGCGTGGTGCGCGCCGGCCAGGTGTCGGTCAGGCCCGTGATGATGAGCGGCAAGGGGCCCGGGTTGTTGTTCTGAGGGGAGTCCATGTAGGATTGGAACTCTTCGAGGGAGATATCATGTACGCGCTGGACGGGGTGCTTGACGGGCGGTGTGAATGGCTCGTGCTTGGAGAATGAAGGGGCCTCTTGCCAGGGGGTCGCGGTCGGTTCTCTTGTGGACTTCGTCCTTTTGGGTGGTCTCTCGTCGGGCAAGTCTGTGCTGCAAGGAGAGTGGGTTGGCGTTGAGACAGACAGAGCCTGCCAGACCTCCTCAAGCAGAGCGAACGCCCTGTCGATCCAGCTCCTACCTCGTCGTTCTCCGGCTGCGCCAGCAAGGATGACCGCAAGATCTAGCGTCTTGATCATCTCGTCTAGCTTCACCTCAGCTGCGTCTCTGTCAATCTGCACTCCGGGAGGCGGACTGACAGCCGGCCACGACATGTACAGCAGGGCAAACTTGAGAATACTGGCATCAGTGTACAGTTGCCGCCAGCACGTGGGCAATTCCTTGAAGAGGTACGCATAGAACCTGGCGTACGACACGTCTATGAGGTCGTCCAGCCGCCTACACAGGAGCCTCCTCTGCCTCCTCTCTTCTCCCTCAGCATCAAAGACAGCTGCATTTACGGCTCCCTGGCCTTCGGACAGCTTGAGCAGGTGTGAGGCCTGTCGCCGAAGTAGCTGCACCAGCGGCTCGCCACACCCTGCGAGGCCTGAGGTGGTGATCCCATCTTCCAAGAAAGAATTGCACTCCAGCACGATCTGCTCGGCGGCAGATAGGCATAGCGCCGTCAGTTGGCTATGCGCTGCTGCCATGTCTGCGCAGCGGCCGAGGAACCAGCTATCGTACCTGCGTTTGCTCTCCCCGTAAATGCGTTTAATACGGCAATAAAAATTCTGGCCGCCGTTTCATCTGGGGGAACCTCACCGCGGGACTCCTCCCGAGTCCCGATAGCTGGAAACGACTTGTGTGATTCTGGAAAGGGGGTGCGGAAAAGGGAATGCCGTGATGATAATGCATGGACGGCAGCTGCGAGTCGATGGATGGGTTCGGGGAAAGCGGGGCCATCTTCCGTGCTTCCTCACCTCAATTCCATTCCGTCTTTTATCCGGGGCCGTGACTGACGGCGGCCCGTTCCAGCGCCAAGCGCACCTTCACCTGAGGTGGTTCGATGTTTTACCGTCGCTGACGTGCTTCATGCAGCTGCATGCAAATCCTCGATAATGGCTCCGTCCCCCAGAATGCAGTACTTGGTTCGATACCGGCACCCATTCCTCTGAGGTCTCAGAGTTGCCGTCCAGGATCATCGACCCCTTCAACAAATCACGAATCTCCGTGTCTTCCAGCCAATTGTACAGGGCTCTTGACGAGTGGTGGCCTCGTGGAGACGCATCAACACCGAGTGAGACGTCGTGGTTAAATACCTAGATACGGTAGGTAGGTAGACAGACAGGGAGGCAGAAGGGAAGACGACTTAGTGCCGGATCACAAGCTTGTCAAAACACAACCTCCAACCAAGCCCGAGTCAGGTCCTAGGGTTGGGAAACGGAGAACGCATACAATAGCACTTTCAATACATATTGCGATACTACAAACCAAAGGCTGCGCATAATAAGAGCAGGTTCCAACCTCATTGGACATCACTTTGCCGGCTTGCCCACTCGAACGCGGGAGCACGGCCAAAGACGGTACTCCGAACCCCCGACATACCATGCTTCCAGAACAAGTGTGGAGGGTATGTTGGTAAGAAGCTTCTTTCAACCTCTTCAACCGCCCTGCGCCATTTACATAGGTATACGACCACCTCACCCGCCGCTCCTCCTTCTTTCTCGGTCAAGCCGAAGCATACAATTGGAGCAAAAGCATATACACTTCTGCTCTAGATCAATACAACCCAAAAGCTCCTCGCCCCCCCTTCGCAGCCCTTTCGGTGACCTCGGGCGGTTTCCCATTGAGAAAAACGACTGGCGCGAGCGAATCACAGGTCGTGGAGGGGGAGGGGGAGGGGGTGGCCGCCCTAACAGGCCCAGACACTGCATCTGCATAACTACGTGCATGCAACGCCGAGCATGACCGAGTCGAACGACAGCTGGTAACGTGGTCATGCAGGCAGCTTTGTTATCTCTGCAGTTTTTCGACGCGTGCCACATGCTGGTTGGGAGGGAGGCTGGGTGGGGCTGAAGGGGGAACCCTTTTGAGCCCGTCCGGGGCGGAGAGAGGGAGAGAGAGAGAGAGAGTGAGTGAGTTGAGGGTTCCTCTCAGATCGCAGCCCGCAAAAATGACTCGCGTGCAGATGATGGATGCGTCCCTCCCCCGAGCCGAGTGGAGTGGAGGGGCTTATGCTTTCGGTGTGAGTCTTTGGGGCGCCTTCCCGTGATTAGAGGCGAACAGTCCACCGGGAGCGTTCCGGGAATGCTTCCCCCCTTTTATTAGGGCTGGTGCTCAGGCCGGCGGTTTCTGAGCCCAGACAAAATGTACCGGCATGTAAGCGTGGATGCGCCGATTGCTCGCAGCCGCCGTGGTATTGCTGAGCAACTCCGCAATCTCCTCCCTCTCATATCCGGCTTCGACGAGCGGCCGCGCTGCCATGGCACCGAAAAAGTCCATCATGATCTCCTTGAAGTAGCCACCGAGGAGCCTCAGGTGGGCATCCCGGGCCCATTCGCCGAGGGGCATGTGGAATACCTTCCTTTGTACGTTGACGAAGCCCAAACTCTCCAGGAGATTCGGCAGGTTCTCTAGAACCCTGATCTGGAATCCGTACTTGTCTTGGAGTACTGGTATTACCATGTCGTAGAACTTGTTGATGGGATAGTCGGTTGGAATCGTGTCATCGTCAGACAGAACCTGCGGGCAAATGTCCTGGACCTCGACCCAGCCTCCTGGCTTGAGGTTCCTGATGCGGACCCTGGTTAGCAGCGTGCCGGCACCCAGCTCAGTAAGGTAGTGGCTCACTGAAAGACCTTCCGAAACATCGCCGTGTTGTCTCTGAGGAGACTGTTGACGAAGCGGAAGTGTGCAAAGTCGTAGTCGTTGGCATGGACCCATTCGTCCTCGATATCGTCCACAATGAACTCGACATTGGGCGGAATCCAGTGGGGTTGAATAGGCGACAGGTCTACACCAGTTACTTTGGCGCTCGGGAAGGCTTCACCGACTGCTGTAAGTCAGCCTCGGGCTCGTCTTTTACTGCTTAGATGGGCACTCGTAGCTGAATTCGAACCTTCGATGGCCCATTCCCCGAATCCAGTCCCCAGGTCGATGATTTTGTGAGGACTGTCGCCGAGCGGCGCCAAGTACAACTTGCCGCTCAGGAGATCCTTCAGCATCGCGTGCCTCAGTGCTTCCCTTTTGTATTCCTCCTCGTCGTTCGGTATGGGATATCTCCCGTATCGGAAGGCATGGTAGCGTCTGGCGGGGGCTTAGCACTCGGCCCATGAATGACATAGTTTAGGTAGCCCAATAGGTAGCTAGGAGACACACCTTCCGTATTCCCAGACATGGCCACTGACGCTCGAGGTCAACGAACCAAATGTGGTCTCCTCGTCACTCGGGTCATAATCCGAGGTGACCTCGCGCCCTGCCTCGGACAGTTCCTCGTCTGGGAGCGGTTCGATGATGCCGCTTTCCTCCATCCCGGCCGGGGAGCTGCCCGTCTCCTCCTGCATCCACGATCGGCTGCCTCCCTAGAAGGACCGATTGGAACACTGCTGCCTCTGATCTGTATAACAGGAACGAGAGACGGGGGGCCAAGGACATTGCTTGACCCGAGGATAGAATAGACGGGTACACTGCAGTGAGGAGCTAGGCTCTACTGGAGGGCCCGAGAGAACAGCACGCGGCCGGGACCCAAGAAACGAAGAGCCTAGTACTCGAACTAGACGGATATATATCAATCAAGTCGGTGGGTCTCACGGCCAGACGTAATCGGCAGCAGGGACTAAGTGACGAAGATCTTTCCAGGTTGTATGTGGGAAAGACCTGGAGAAACACAGACCCCATGAAGCAGACGAGCTCCGTGGAGCTCGGTCTGTAAAAGTGTTGGTCATGGCCGCCAAGAGGGGAACGGGTCTAATAAGGCGAGCCACCCAGGAAGCGAGCTAAGCATGTAATCTAGCGTCCCAAGGGCGGAGAAGACGTGGAGGCACGGAATCAATCGACTTCATCAAACGCAACTTGGGAAGCCGAGGAAGCTTCCTCCCGGAGCCCAGAGAGGTGCGAGGAGGGGTGGAGCAGTGCATATCCACTCAGCTCTCGGGCTGGAACCAATCACGGACGCTCACCTCCAGGGCCAGTGGGAGATGGTGGCATTTTTTGCAGTATGCCTGCATGAGGAAAACGCCATGTCTGCATCTCGACCGTCCGTTGGAGGTCCCTGCCACCCGGGACGCCTCGAACTGACCCAACCGAGCGGGTGGGTGCAGGCCACGGCAGACGAACCGCCGCTCCCAACCCCCTCCCCTGCGGGGGGCTTCGGAGCTCGACCAAAGCGCTGGGACGTGGAGGCAGTTCGAGCGCCGCCCAACAGCTTCAACGCGGCGTTACCCAGTTACCAGAGTGTCGGGAAGAACGGCCCCAGTGATGGATACACCAGCAAAGTCGGAAATACCGGGCAACCGGCAGAGGCCGCAACAAAGTGACTGCGGGGATGGAGGGCGTTTGTACAGATGAAGATAGAAGGACCTGGATCGTTAGAAACCCAAGGACTTGAATGCGACTCTGCGCACCTTCTGGGCAGGAGGGGAACCGATGAACCGGGGATCGGGTAGACCCCGCTGCTGGCTGGCGAGAGGGATCTGGGCGAAGACTAGGTTAATCCAAATGTGGGTTAAGGTTTCTTCTTCTCGAAGGTGGTGGCATGGTGACACCGAGACAAGAGCCATGCTGTGGAAATGATACAGATCATATGTAGTAGATAGGTGCCTCGCGAGATTCTGCTGCTGTGTCAGAACGGGCAGGTGCCCCAGAGCGTGTGATGCAGCACCCCGAGCCATGGCTAATTCCGCCTGCAGATTGAGAATCAGATAATCCAAAGAAGCGGTCAGGCAAGCCACGCTCCAGAAGCACAGTCGAGCAAAAGAGGGGCAGAATGAATGCGTGTCCCTTTTGAGGTCCATTCGCGAGGGAACGGCTGCTTCATCAGCAAAGTCAAAATGCAGACCCGTGGAAATGTGACAGCGGGGAAGAAGACACACCGGGGGCAGGCAAAGTTGGCAATAGGCCCGTGCGGCACAGCCTGGGCAGCCTGGTTGAGCCAACAGTACAGTGCCGCTCCACCGTGCGGACAGAGTCCTGCAACAGTGCATCCCTCCATCATCTGGGCAGTCGCGTCTCGAGCCGCGTCTTGCAAGCGTGTGGCCCAAATCTAAAGTCTTACCCATGCACCCAAGCATAAACACCACTCCACTGTCTGCTGGACACCAAAGCTTATTCAATTTGTCTATCGTGAACAGCTGTGACCATACAATCTTCATTCCGATCTGGTCACAATACTCTCGTCAACCGAAATCTACCCTTCCACTCTCACACTTAACCCGAAGAAATCGCGAAACCGTCGCGTCTGCGAGACAAGTGATAGAAGGCGCGATATTAGATCACAACGTTATAACAGCGCCCGCAACAACAACAATAACAACAACAACAACACAACGACAATGCCAGCAACCGCCTCCATGTGAATCCCACCATTTAACCGAGTACTCATGTTCACGTGAATCGAGCCGGCACGCCAAAACAACATATCTCTCACTTTTTAAACGAACGTCATATCACTAGTAGCAACATGTACCTCCCACGCTCGCTCATCTCCAAGCTCTACATCCACCTGCAAAACACGCGCCACCCGCTCTCGCCGCCCGTGCTCATCCTGGTCGCCCTAGAGCCCGACGCGCTGTGCGCCTGCCGCATCCTCACGCGGCTCTTCAAGCATGACTACATCCCGCACAAGATCCAACCCGTCGCGGGCTACGCGGATCTCGAGCGCGTCGGCGCCGAGCTGGTGAGCCCGATGATGGAGACACGCGGCGGCGCGGGAGGCGTGGTCGTCTGTCTCGGCGTCGGCGGCATGGCCGACCTGGGCACCGTGCTGGGCCTCGAGCTCGAGGGCGAGGAGAATACCTTTGGCAAGGTCGAAGTGTGGGTCGTAGATTCGCGGCGGCCGTGGAACCTGGGCAATGTCTTTGGCGGGTTCCCGCTGGAGCCCGAGACGGAGGAGGCCACCACCTTTGCGGCGCGCTCGCCCATTGGGGTGACCGGGGGCTGTATTGAGCGGGCGTATCGGCCGGGGAAGGGCGGGATTGTGGTGTTTGACGACGGCGATATTGAGGACGAATTGGCCAAGGAGCGTGAGGCGTACCTCGCTCTTATTGACATGCCTGATGTTGAAGACGACGGGGAGGATTTGGGTGACAGTGAGGATGATGAGGAGAGCGACAATGAGGAGGAAGAAGAAGTTGTTGCTGCTTTGCCGGCTTTGCCGACCCGCACCGGCAACAAGAGGAAGTCGTGGGATTATCTGGATGAGGACAGTGATGACGATGGTGACCGGCCGAGGCAAAGGAGACGGAGCAACTCGGTGCGTGAAGTCCCGTGGCTAAACCACCCACCCCCAGTTTGATGATTAACAGCTTTGCAGTCCACCTCGATTCCGGAGTCACCTCGGCGTCCCGCACAACGTGGCCTCATATCGTTGAGGGATGAAGCCATTTTTTCTAGTGATTCACCAGAACCACCATCGGCCGCTCAGCTACCTAAAGCGCCTTCAGCACGGACGCTGAGACGGAGGCTTCTCCGAATACGGCGGAAGAATGAGGCGATTCTCCGAGACTATTACCGTTTGGGCACGTCGTACTCGGAGCCCATTTCCTCCATGATGTATTCACTTGCCTCCGAGCTTGGTCGAGAGGATAACGACCTGCTCTGGCTGGCCATCGTCGGCGTCACGTCAATGGAGCTCTACGGGCGCTCCTCGGCTGGTGTCGCCGTTCCGGTTCGGAGTTCCGAGGCTCGTCCGGCCTCTGGCTGGCTGGGCATGCGCGGCGCGAGGATACGGCAGCTACTGCGCGACGAGGTCCGGCGTCTAAATCCTCCAGAGATAGGAAACGGAAGGGCGCCACCAGAAACCACCGGCGTTATCCCGACCACCGCTCGCAGCCCCGAAGACACCAGCATCCGTCTCTCACCAGAGCCCAAGTTTCTCCTTATCCGCCACTGGAGTCTCTACGACAGCATGCTCCACTCCCCTTACCTTTTCTCCCGCCTCAAGACATGGAGCGAAACCGGCCTCAAGCGGCTCCACAAGCTCCTGGCCAAGATGGGCGTCAGCCTTGTGCAGTGCAAACAGAGCTACGCGCACATGGACATGATGCTGAAGCGGGAGCTGCGCACCAAGCTCCTTAAGTATGCATCGCTCTACAATCTCGACGAGCTCGTCCCCACCATCGACACCGACGGCCAAGACCGCGGCGGCGCCAAAGATGGATGGGGCTTCGTCCGCAGCTGGGGCTGGCGCGCGACCCTCAGCGCGCAGGACGTGGGCGTGGTCATCGGCGCGCTCCTCGAGGTCGGCAAGAACACAACCTCCTTGTCCTCTTACTCCTCCTCCGACCCTCCCCCCAGCGCTCCCTCCCAACAACAACTCTCCACGCAGACCCCGAGCGAGGAATGGATCCCGCGTTTCTGGGAGGCGTACGACGCGCTCGAGGACATCGAAGCCCTCAAGGCTGGACTACCCACCGCGCAGTTCCTGCACAAGGCCATCTTCACGACGGGCACCACCATCCTCAAGAAGAAGCAGATCTCGCACCTGCGTGCCTTCCGCATGTGCGTCGTCAAGGACGCGCCCGATTCCGCGCTGTTCAACCACCCGGGCGCGCTGACGAAGCTGGCGTTGTGGATCGGCGAGGCCCTGACCGAGCAGGAGAAGGACAGCTTGGGCAAGCTCGCGCACGGAGGGCGCGGCACGCCGCTGGTCGTCGCCAGCCTGGACGAGAAGCGCGGCGTGTACGTGGTTGTCGGCACCGGTGGTGGCGGCGGCCCGGACACGGCGTTTGTCGATCGCGAGGCGGCAAGGAAGAGGGCCAAGGAGCGCGAGGAGAGGGCCAAGGCTAGGGAGGAGGCAAGGAAGGTCAGGGAGAGGATCCGGGAGGAGAAGAGGGCGGCTAAAAAGCGGTTGAGGGAGGAGAAGAATAAAGATAAGGATGGAGACGGCCAGGAGGAAGAGGAAGAGGAGGAGGCGGATGAGGATGAATCGGAGAGTAGCGAGGAGGAGAGTGATGAGGATGAGGAGCTCTCCGAGGATGATGAAGCGGATGCCTCGAGGGAGAGGGGATACGGGCTGAACCGGTTCGGCACGGCGTTCCAGGATGTCGTGGCCGAGACGAACGCGCGGGTACGGATCGACAGCTTTGAGCACTGCGTGGTGGAGGTCAAGAAGGAAGATCTGGGAGGGTTCCTGGAGAGTCTGAGCATGAAGACTGTTGTGGGCTGAACCCCATCTGCTGGCTAGGGTCTACGGGTTGATGGATGGGCGGATCAGTTGGTATGGGTTGGGGATGGCAACGTTGGCCGGTCTCTGTTGGTTCATTGTATTGGGTGTTGGGAGCCAGTGCTTGTCTGCCCATTGTTGAGCTGCTGCGATGTAGATGTTGTTTTGTTTTTCTGCTTTTGTTGAAGTTATTGTACTGTACATACATACCTCATGACGATGGGCTGGGACATGGAGCATGGCGAGGGAGAGGTTGAGGTGTTTGGATGGGCATGCGATAGACATCAGGTAGCTAGGTGACTTGCTTGAATAAGGTATTGTTGTTCACACATCGCGAGAGGTGCCTTTCAACCAACCATTTCACTAACGTTACTTGCCTCACTCGCATCAACATGGAAGTTAGGTGAAACGAAGGGTGCGGTTCTGGGTTGCAGGACTCTGCTATGCTATGCATTGTACCATCAGTGTTTTGCTTCCATGAGAAGGTCGCTTATTTCCGTGGTGTCACCAATCGGTTTGTCTGCCTTGCCTCATCGGAGCCTTCTCCCAAGGATGAAATCGGCATGTCGGAGTGATTGGCGCGTTAGTTATCTACAACTGCTGCCTCTCTTGTCTTGGCATGTTGCACAGCCACAATGATTCAAAACTTCTCGGCTGAAGGACCTCCCTGTTTGGTGTTGGTTTACCTTTGCAGTTGTGCCAGTCCTTCGGCGTGGATTACCGGCGTATGCAGGTTCTTATAAATAAGTAGGTACCAACTACCTAGTACTTACGAACACGGGTACTTTGAGTCTCGAATGAGTGTAGGTATATATACTAGAACTCAACTTCGGCCCTTCCTGTGGCATGATCGCTTAGTTTACATTGGTCGTGCAAGTCTCAGTACAGGTAAAAGAAGTGCTGTACCGTATAGGTAGTGTTTTATGTTGGAAGCTGAGGCTAGATTCTCCTGATCTGCTCACCCGGCACCATGACTTCATCCAGGGTCTTGTGGGAAGGGGACGGGATGACGACAGATTCGGAAGTTGTCGATGTCGGTCTGGCCCGCTAAAGGTACGCTCCACTTTGCGACTGGACCTCCAATTGATACTGTATTCGATTGATCTTGATCGATTACCATGGAAGTTGTATGTACGGATACGTCGGTTGCCCCTCAATGCCCCTCATCTCCTGAATGAAGCACTCGGGACCCCGAATCCGTTCATGTCGAGCGCCGATCCAATTGCTTGGACTTGCTGATACACTACTGTAGCAGCATAAGAACAAGTGGCTGGTCATTTGCTGCCTTGCACGGATCTATACCTTACTGACGGCAAAGTTGACCAGCCCTCAGTTAGCACTCGGAGCTTTTTAGCGCCCTCCACAAACCCCCGGCGTAGCCTCACCCCGGTCTTTCGGACCCAAAGTGTCCCAGGTGCCTGCTACAGTGCGAAGTGCCGTGCGAATGTTCCGTTGCCTCGGAGTGGAACGTCACTCCCAAACGCCCGCCTTTGACTTTGAGGTGCCCAGTCTCTTATTCCATAGTAGCCCATCCACCACTCGTGACGGGAACTTGCCATATCCGAAACAAAACCAACACTTCGACTCTCTGCGAACTTGCACTTGTTTACAGTCTAACGCTTACAACGAGTGTGTGATACATACGAAGACAGTAAACGAGTGCACAACGGCAGCGATCTGCTAGCACCGCGCCGTATCCGATCGTCGATCGACAATCGAGCTCTTAACCCTTGTCGCAACGCCCCTCCTCCCCCTCCCTCCTCAGCGCAGTCGGTCTGAGAACTTCTGGCCACGGCGGCGACGATATCCTAGCCGGTATTCAGACATGGGCAATTTGTGAGTGCGCGATCAAGTGGCCAGACACTCCTCGGGGGGGAGGTCGTTGAGTCCGAAAAGGCGGTTGGCGGGTTGTACAAGTGGCGTGGACCTCTCGCTCGCTCGCTCTCTCTCTCTCTCCCTCTCTCTCCCTCTCTCTCCCTCTCTTTGCGCCTGCTCAGCGCCTGGGACGAAACCCGGGTCGATTCCCCGCCATTGTGTTGGAGAGCCATTGTTAACACGCTGTCACTCGCAGACAGTCCAAAAAGCTCCCGGATGACCAGCTGAAGGAGCTGCAAAAGTCAACCAACTTTGACAAGAAGGAGCTGCAGCAATGGTATAGGGGTGCGTACTTGCAAATCACCTGCACACGCGCCCAGCGCACAAGCAGCGACAGCCTCAGTGTAGCAACGAACGATCTTCCCCCCTTTCTCTAACGGAAACCCGCTAGGCTTTCTCAAAGACTGCCCGTCGGGCATGCTCACCAAGGCCGAGTTCCAAAAGATCTACGCGCAGTTCTTCCCCTTCGGCGACCCGTCCACCTTCGCCGATTATGTCTTCAACGTGTTCGACACGGACAAGTCGGGCACCATCGACTTCAAGGAGTTCATCTGCGCGCTGAGCGTGACGAGCCGCGGCAAGATGGAGGACAAGCTCGACTGGGCCTTCCAGCTGTACGACATCGACGGCGACGGCAAGATCAGCTACGACGAGATGCTCAAGATTGTCGAGGCGATTTACAAGATGGTGCGTCTCACCTCCTCGTCCCGTCCCCTCGAAAATGCGAAGAAAAGGGGCTTGCTAATGATTGGTATGGTATTCTGAGGTTACAGGTCGGTTCGATGGTCAAGCTCCCCGAGGACGAGGACACGCCCGAGAAGCGGGTGCGCAAGATCTTCCGCATGATGGACAAGGACGAGAATGGTAGCCTCGATATGCAGGAGTTCAAGGAGGGCAGCCAGCGCGATGCTACTATTGTCTCGGCCCTCTCGCTGTACGATGGCTTAGTGTGACAGAATGAGTTCCGCCTCGTCGCGGATTTGGGTTTCCTCTTTGGCTCTTTTCATTTTCTTCATTCTGTGATGCTGCACACGAGATGAGCGATGCTTATATGATGCAAAGATAGGTACGCAGCGGACACGGTTTGGGGGGAGGGTTAGATCGTATTCATTCTCCTTGGGTTTTCCGGGCGGTTTCTATGTAGTCCTAGACACAACTATCCCAGGGTTCTTTTCGGCCCTATCAGCACCTTCTCATGCCTAATTAGGGTGGTCTAAGTGGTTTGTTCCAACGGATGTAGGTCCGCACACTGGTAGCGGCCCTCACTGTTTGCGGAACTCGACCAGTGAGTCTTGCGCCCTGAGAGGTATACAATACTAGTACTAGTAGTAACTGTTTGAGTTTGCAAGTGGGTGATGAGCATGAGCGCGCGCCTCAGGCTGTGCATGGTTGCTCGCGGCTCGTTGGCCTGGAACTTGTGACACAGAAGGGGGCGCATCCAAAATGGTCCAACGTGAACAGAAAAGCAGACAGGAACAGCCGAGGCTGTGTACCTTAGCGAAAGATGCTTGAGAGCACGCACGATTGTCTACTGGTCAGCTGTGTGCTGGGAGCCCCCTCCAGATTCCAACATACAACACATCCTCTCTGCAGCCCAGCATATATGCAGGTACTACTGTACTATACGACACTGTACATGTATACATCCTACATATATACACTCGCTCTCCGACAGCGGTTCAATGATCAATCTCAGCACACAACAAGGCAACACGGAGACAGAGCAAGTGTCTGGGAATGAATCGCTCGGATAAAGATAAAGTAGAATTCTAGCTAACCACCGGGACCCAGCGTCGCGCCATGGGGGAATCAGGCAGCCTGACAATCAGGAAGCCAAAGCCAAAAAGAAAGGCCCATAACCAGCTCCGGAAGCATGTATCACAAGTAATAGTCACAGTTACGCTGATTACGCTGCTCAATCACACCAGAGAACTCCTACGTCCCGCATGAGCCTCTTCTTCCGCGTCCCTCTTCAGCTTGAAGCGCCATACGCCTCGCCCACTTCCTTCCTGTACTTGTCCAGAATGCCCCTGCGGTTGAGTTTCTGGGCCGCCGTGACCAGTCCCTGTGTGTAAAATGCGTTAGTCATCACTGGCCCGTCTTTTTACTGACATTAGTGATGGGGATGGGGGATGCTTACGTTCTCTGGTGTCCACTCGTGCTCAACAATAACCACGCCGTCAATGATCTCGATGCCCGACAGTCCACCGGCACGGCCTGCGGCCTGAAGCTCCCTCAGGACAGCGGCCTGCACCTTCTTGTCATGGCAAAGCACCTCGATGCTCTCGCCCTCCACGCCAATGGAGGCGGCCAACTTCTTCAGCGCAGGCTCAGCGGGAACAATAATCGCGATGGGCTTGGCTTTCGAGATGTCGGCGTACACGCAAATGTTGGCCACGACCGGGGCCGACCGGTAGATGGACTCGAGCTTCTCGAGCGCGATGTACTCGCCGTTGAGCGTCTTGACGAGGTTCTTCTTGCGGTCGATGATCTTGAGGTGGCCGTTCTTATCCCACTCACCAATGTCGCCCGTCTTGAACCAGCCGTCCGGGGTGAGCGCCTCGGCTGTCTCCTTCTCGTTGTCGTAGTAGCCCGACAACACGGTTGGGCCGCGCAGCCAGATCTCGCCCTGCGGGTTTGGCTGGTTGGTGGCAAAGTAGCCGGCGTCGGGGAAGTCGACTAGCTTGGCCTCGACCGAGGCCGTCATGGCGCCGATCGACTCCGACGTCCACTCGAGCGGGCTCTGCAGCGTGCCCATGGCCGCCGTCTCGGTGAGGCCGTAGCCGATGATCATGGGGCAGATGGCCATGCTGATGAACCGCTGGGTTTCCTTGGAGACCGGGCCGCCGGCGCTGAGGCAGAGCTTCATACGCCCGCCCGTTGCCTCCTTGATCTTCTTGAAGACCACCGCGTCTAGTACGCCGCTGCCCGGAAGCCCCATGGCCATCAGCCTTTCCTTAAGAGCTAATGCGCCCCAGAACATGCCCCGCACAACGGGGCTGCCGGCGTTGACCTTGGCAATGATGCCCTTCTTGACCGTCTCCCAAACGGCTGGCACACCGATGAGGACGCTGGGTTTGAACTCCCGGATGTCGCCATTGCAGTTGCGCACTGACGCGTCGGACAGGGTTTTGGGGTTGCCGTAGCCCAGGGTCGCGCCCCAGTAGATGGCGGCATGCTCAAAGACGAACTCGAGGATGTGTGCGAGGGGCAGATACGTAAGCAGCCCATCGCCTGGTCCAATAAATTCCTCGACGATGACGCTAGCTCCCGCGACTGTAAGTAGCGCAAGTTAGCCGCACGTATATAGGAACGAAGCCTGACAAATGAATAACAAACTCACCAGCCGCAATAACGGCCTTGTGCGTCACAGGCACACCCTTGGGAGTGCCCGTAGAGCCAGAGGTGTACATGATACAGCAGAGGTCCTCAGGCTTGGGCGGCACCTCATCGACAGGATTTTCCTCGCCCAGTTTCCGTAGCTCTTCGAAGTTTAGGATGTTGATGTGAGGATAGGACGCCTTGAGCTTGTCGATGTGCCCCTGGTTGACCTGATGCTGGTTATTCCAGATGACGTGCTTGACATCCGTGGCGGCAGCCAAGACATTTGTGAGGGTGGGCAGGAGGTGAGGATCCAGGAAGATGGCCTTGGCCTTAGTCGCGACCATCGAGTACCGCAGACCCTCCTCGCCCAGCGTGTCGTAGGCCGTCACGATGGGCATGCTCTGCGAGCAGGCGCCGTGTGCCATGGCCAGCCAATTCGCGCTGGTCGCGGCGTAGACGTGGACGCGGTCATCCTTGACGAGCCCGAGCTTGCGCAGACCAGCACCGAGCTGCTGGATGACGCGCTGGTAGTCAGTGTAGTTGATGTACTCGTACGGGCTCATTTCGAAGTACGTCCACGACTTCTCAACCTCGCGCTCCTCGCCGTTCACCACCTTCTTGATCATCTTCTTTTCTTGGTGCGTCCGCACCAGCTTCCGCGAGCCCATGCACTTGGCATTGCCGAACTTGGCGACGCTTGCGCGGACGAGCTCATGAACGGTCGAAATCTCGGGACTGGGCCTTTCCACCAACCCATTAAGGGCCAGCGGATGTCTGCGGACGGGCGTCTCGCCCTCGACAGGCTGCTGGCCGGGCACCTCGACCGAGAAGGGCGCCTTCGCGGTCATCCGCGGCATCAGATGTGTCGGTTTTGCTGCCATTGCGGGCGATCTGGAAACGGAACGTGCGACAAATTATGAATCGGTCGTCGGCTACGTGGTTGGAGAGGCTGTCTGCGCTTTAAGAGATGCTGAAGAACACTTCGAGCGGCGATACCGGAAACCCCCGTTGCGCGTAAGGGAGTTGCAGAATTCTCGAATTGTCCGCTCGCCGCTTGCCGGATGGTGCAGCAAGGTGGCCTTTCGGAAGAAGAAGAGAAAAGGCCAATGGTCTGGAAGTGCAGACACGAGACTGCCTCGGCCTCGGGACGGAAGGGATAAGATGCAGCTTAAAAGGAGCCTAGGCAAGTGTCCGCGAGGAGCGATCCAACAAAGTGCAGTGACGGCAAGGAGCATGGGGAAAGAGCTCTCCATGCTTTTCCGGCAAAGTCCGCCCCACATCTGCTACACTAGCCTCAACTTGCATATGGGTGACCCACTTCAAGCGCGTCCCCAAGAAATCCAAGAAACAACCAAGAAGTGTGGCACTGGTCACAATGACAGCTGGACGGGGTTGCCTAGAACAAGACGGTGTAGTGATCGCTGTTTAACATGCTCCGGCGGACGAAGCTTCAGTGCGATGGTCTCGGTGTATGCATACATAGGTACTGTCGCATGGTCAAGACGGCAGACCCGGTTCATATTTCGTCGTCATGATGTATCGAACGGGGTTCGGATCACCCCCGAATCTGCCGGTAGCTTAGGTGTCGCGCTTCAAGGTCCATGTCGCATGCAAGGCACACGCATCCCTACAACTCGACGACTTCCCCGACTGCGCACCTGTACATAGGTACCTTTGTCAGGCAAACAGAGGAGCTGTCTGTTGGACTTGGGGCACCTGACAACAAACACAGCAGAGCGGAAGGCTGCAGCGTTGGCTCTCGCGATAGGACTCCGAAACCCAGAGCTTCAGCCCCGATCGATAGCATGCCTCCTCCTCAATGGAGCTTGGCGCTGCCGTCCAATTGCAGCTTGCAGTGACTTGGCGGCTGTTGCAGGGGAGTCTTGGCACGCAAGACATCAATGGACGGAGGGCAAAGCTTCCTTTCCCCGCATCTGCCCCAACTCGGATCATTTTAGCTCACCGGCAATCTTTGGATGCCAATCTTTGTGGGCTCTCGCAGGCGTTCTGATGAGTTCGACAACTGTTCACAAACGAGCTGGACGAGAAAACAACACACAATGTTCCCTGTACAGGGGCCCGTTAACGGGACAGGGTTACGACACATTGCTGCGTAACATCCACAGACCCTTACCAGGGAGGTACAGGTGGGGCTCAAATTCGAACGGTTGCCCTTCCTGCAGGTCAGGTAACGTCGGCCATGCACCTTTGGCTGTCTAACCGCATCCAGCCTGTGCCCAGCGAACACCATTGACGACGTGAAGGGATCCGGATATTGACGCATCTTGCTCGTCTGACAGTACTGTATGTATGGTATCTAGGTCAGGCCCAGACTCGGTAGTTATCACCCATTCTCGGCCTCTACATCCTCCAGGATTGGGTGCATCTTAATAGCCGAGCATTTACCCTTTTTCAGAGTCTGGCAACTTACGACCCAGGGCAGCAAATAGCGAACAGACAGAGCATGAAGTTAGAGGGCCTGTTGCAAGTGCTCGGCACACCTGTGCAATCTGCTGAGGAAGGTGGGAGGACGGAACACGCTTGTCCCACTGGCGGTCCGGGGCTGCCATATGTCTTCCTGGTGAACTGACACCCGCGGCCATCCCTCTAGAGACATTCGAGCTGTTTGCGCAGGACCTGCCATCACAGAATCTCGGCTTCATCGATGCCAAAGCTACAACTCTTGAGCTCACCGTAGCAGGGCGAGACTTGACCATCCACCAATCCCCGGCCGTCCTCTCGTCCAACCGTGCCGGCGGCACAACAGGAGCAGGTGCGTTCCACCAACCACTGTTGTATCGATTCTTCACCAAGCCAATCCGCATCTGCTGATAATCCCTTGTCTACCAAGTCGTCTGGAAGATCACTCCCCTCTTCGCAGAATGGCTCACCTCGCCAGACAACCCCTTATTTACCCACGGCGTGCTCTCGGGGTCCTCCCTAGTCCTTGAACTGGGCTGCGGCATCTCCGGCCTCGTAGCATTGCTCCTAGCGCCGCGCATCGCCGGCTACGTCCTGACCGACCAGCCGTACGTCGCCAAGCTGGTCGAGCAGAATGTCTCAGACAACCTCCACGCAACCTCCCCAGCCCCTGCCAAGACCGCCGTCCGGCCGTCAAGGTCACGACGCACCTCTTCGGACCGCCACCCGCACCCGGCCTCAGTCCACCGGAAAGCGGTGGCCAACAGCTCCCGGGCCCGGAACGGCTCCCGGGACCGCGGGGGAAGCGGAGCCGGCAGCGAAGCAGCAAGGATCCGCTTCACGCCGTTGGACTGGGAGACGGACGAAGCCACTCCCGCGCTGGCCGGAACGGGCGAAGCAAAGAGCTTTGATGCCGTCGTGGCGTGCGACTGCATCTACAACGAAGCGCTGATCGACCCGTTCGTATCGACGTGCGTTGATCTATGCAGGCTCAGGGTGAACGAGACGGCGACGGGGACGGGCACGGACGCCGGTACCGGGGCGGAGCCTTGCGTGTGTGTGGTCGCGCAGCAGCTGCGAGATCCGCTGGTCTTTGAGGCGTGGACGGCGCGGTTTGCCAGGTCGTTCCATACCTGGCGGGTTCCAGATGAATTGCTAGTTCCGGGACTACGAGCGGACTCCGGGTTCGTGGTGCATGTTGGGGTCTTGAAGGAGACTATTAACCTAGAAGAAGCGATATAAGTCGCCGTCTGTACTACTCCAAATGCATAGATAGAAGCATACCCTCAACCTGCCGCAGCAATTGTTGGTCAAACCAATGCCATCACGGCACCAGCTCCCATCGCACCAAGAAACAATAACTGTACCCGCACCGTCCCTTCCTCCTCAACCACTCTGCCTTCGTCAACCCCCTCGCGCTCTGCCCGTCTATCGTCTCGAACCCCACTAACAGCACATCCTGCCCCGGTGCCCCTAATTCCCTCGCATTCACGTCCAAGTACCACCAGAACCCATCGCTCTCCAGCGGGATGATATCCTCCTTCCTCCCGTCCACGCCCCCAATCTTCAGCCCAAACAGCATCTGCTTGCCCATGCCGTTCCGCTCCGGCGTCCAGTGCTCACACACCTTGGCAAACTGGAACCGCACGGTTCCCTGACCGCCATACACGCTGATTCTCTTCTGCGCGGGGGCAAAGTTGCTCTCGTCCAGCCCCTCGCGCGTGGCATCGCCCATCCACTCGGCCGGCTCATCGCCGGGGGCGGGGCCGACGATGTACTCCTCCCACGACGGCGGCAGGCGCCCGAGGTACCAGTGCCGGTCGTCGGCCGGGTAATGCCGCTGCCCAAAGCGCTTGTTGCTCATGGTGAAGCACTCGGGCGCGAAGCGCTGCTTGTAGGCGCCGTTGCAGAGCGCGCCCGCGCCCCAGCACGCGTCGACCAGCTTCCACGCGCCGCCGTCGATACGGACCGCGTTCCACGCGTGGCCGTCCGGCTTGCGCGGCGGCGGGCGCTCGCCCGGTTTCAAGGGGTGGAAGCCGTAGCCCTTGCCGTGGCCCGTCACGACGACGCAGCTCAAGCCCGCGCGCGTGGCGATGGCTTCGTAGACGCGCGCGTAGCCCTCGCAGACGGCCTTGCCGGAGAAGATGGTCTCGGCCGGGGTCTGTCCCCGCGGGATGCAGTTGTTGAAGAAGCCGTGCACGTCGTAGGCGATGTTGTGGTGGCACCAGGTGAAGATGGCGCGGGCCTTGTCCGTGGGGGAGGGGAAGGGCGAGCAGAGCACGTGCGCGAGGTAGCCGATCGGGTCACTGTGCCGCGGGAGGGTGGAGGTTGGGTGCTGTGAGGCGACGGTGTCCGGGCCGGAGAAGTCGCGGCACGTGAGGCAGGCTCCTCCCTGGCCTGGTGACGAGGAGTGGAGAGAGATGGAGGAGACCCGGGTTGCTACGGCGTCGATCTCGGCCACTGTTGGCCGGGAGCTCAAGGGGATTGGGGGAGGGGCGGGAGGAGGGGATGGTTTGCCGGCGCCCGAATTAAAGCCGCATTCCAGCGCTGACTTGAAGGCCCGGGGGGGAGGGGGCAGGCGTCGCGAAGGGAGTGCTGGGGATGGTTCTTCGGACGGGGCGAGTGCAGGAGAGTTGTTGTTCGGTCTCGACGGGACCCGAGGCGGCAACGAAGGCCGTGGCGGTTCGGCGACGCGTCTCGGTGGAAGAGACGGCGTGTTGCTTGCAGCTTCCTTCTCCGCAGCCTCCCTTGCCTTCGCCTCCAGCTCCCGCCGGGTTGGTGGCAGCGGGGGCAGCTTGGCTTGTTCAAGGGGCGGCGGCAACCTCCTTGGTGTTTGCCCCTCCGGTGGTCCGTTGGAAGTAGCAGACTTGGAGTGATTTAGAGATAGGCTGGACACGGTGGATAGCAGGGAGACATCGGAGGCATTCGAGTTTCTCCTAACAGATAAGGTCTGGGCGGATGGGCGGCGCGTGGGCAGCTTCGGCGGAGTGGCCTGCGGCGAGCTTCGCGCCGGTAGCGGGGGCGGCAACGGGCGCCCCGGCGATGGAGCCGATGTATGCCCCCCATTGTCTTGCCCTGTAGTCCGGCGCGGCAGTGGCGGCGGCAATCTCTCCGTAGCAGCCCGGACCGGCCGCGGAGGAATAGAAGGGCTCTTCTCGGCAGGGGCAGCATCGTGTGTTGTGTTCGCATCCGCGGTCACGCTACGGACTGGACGCGGGGGCGGGGCCCGTTTGCCGGCGGTCGATGGCGGAGTTTGGAAATTCTTCTGCTGATTGAGGGCAGCAATGCGCTCAGCGAGCGTGGTGAACCGTGGCTCTTCAACTTCCGCCATTTTGGTCGGTTAATTTGCAACAATGACTGGAGACCTTGGGGTATGACCGAGCGAACAGACGTTAATAAGAATGCTCTGAGCTGTGCCGCCGTCCGAACCGCCACCCCGAATGCTACACAAGATCCAGACAGATTATCCGCCCATGGAGCAACTAAGGCAACCCTGCTCTATCAATTGGCCCAGCTTGCACATCAACGACGGGAACAAGCCCGGAGGAATGAGGAAGGAAGGCGCAAGCGGGGCATGAAATGCAATGCAATGACTTGCAGATGGTCGACCATGTCAAACAGAAATCCCACGGACCACAGCAGGCAACGGAAGCTAGAATTGCAAATTGGCTCTAAATTCGATCAATGCTAGGAAGACCTCCAAGGCAATCCATGATATCTTAGACAGCTTAGGTACGGATGTGCTTTTGATAATGGAAGTTACAGTGGGAATAGGGCTTCTGAACTGGGAGAACACATCAGCTACGTAAGTTACCGTACCTCGGCACTGTAAGGTACTATCCAATAGTGTATGAGATGCTAGTACTGTATGCGTGCCTCAGTTATACGGTCACCAGGCGGTGCAGTAACTATGTGCGGAAATCTGCCTTGAAACTTCCGACCACCGAATTGCTTGCGGCAATACCTTCAGGTACTCAGTCTTTTCTGAATCACAATTGATCTGTCCAAACCATCCAAGTTGGACTCGATGGGAACTGGACATTTTTGTAATATGAAGTAACCTGCGGGGCGTTCAAAAGGTGGCCGTTTCAGCGCCCCCACTAGGTGGATGGCCGGAACCTTCGCCGTACAGGCAGTAACCCTGCTTGCGCAGTGGGGAAGGAACGACTGGCGGGGCTGATCAGGCCGCCTCGCCTTATGTATGGAGAGTCAAATCAGTCCCGTCATCTGTCTTTCAGTTAGTGAAACATCATCCCAGCCCGATACCGATAGTGAAGGATGTATAAAGGCGTGGCAGACTGACCTTCGGCTCTGATGTGCTACCGGCTCAGGTCACCTACACTGTATTGAAATGCAATCAGCCAGGTAAAGCAGGGCTTCCTCTACGTAACCCTGGCCGTGCGTGAACCCTCTTCCGATCGACGCCCCACTTTGTCGGCGCTAAGCTCAAAGACCCCGGCACTTGCCCGTACGTTGACCCGCCAGGGTCCTTCACCCGGGCGCCTGCACATGGAATTTGGACCGTCCATACTGTTCATCCATTCTTCCCTTTGCTGCGTTGGAAGAACGAACAAAAAGCGCACAGACGGGCACAACAGCTCTGCTCGCAGCAACTCGTGCCTCACAGTGAGCATCTTAAGACGAGCAAGTTGGCAAGCCACTGCCCCGCACCAACCTCCGCTGAGCTACCACCTCCCGTCCGACGTCCGGCTCGTACAGGTACATAGATACCGGTACCCCAAGTGGCAACTCAGCTTACTTGACTGCTCGAGCCTCCCTTCACTTTCAAGCTGCCCATCATTGCACCCTACTTTGCGTCGCTGTAATATTGGCTTTGCACTCCATTTCTTCTGACGCCGGCCCAGACATGGCTTCCTCGACCAAGCAAGAAGCCTCTGCAAACCCGCCAGCGAGGCGGGCTCTGACTTTCGTGGACTTGCCGCAAGAAGTACAGAGGGAGATAATCAAGCAATGTCCGACGCGCGATCTGATCTGCGTCGCGCTGGTTTCGAAGCATTTCCGTGACCTCGCGGCCGCTGAACTCTACCGCGACTTTTCCATCGTCTTCCCCGACGAGGATAACCCGCAGTTCGATACGCCGGTGGACGCACTGGCCGGTGGCTTCGAAACCTTCGTCACCAGCGACTACAACTATGCCCAGTACCTCAAGATCTTCTGCTTCGACACACTCTATATGGGCGACAAGGCCGAGGTTTCTTACCGCCCATATCTTGCCAACTTGAGTTGCGGCAAGTTCATGAACACCCTGCTGCTTCTCACCCTGCGCAAGGCCAAAGCACTCGAGACGTTCAAATGGAATATCCGAGTCGAGTTGAGCCGTCCAGTTTACAAGGAGCTACACAAAATCCCGGCACTATCGCATGTCCACATACGACTGCAGGCAGGCCCCTCGCAGTACGAGACACCCCCACCGCTCCCATATAACGCCTCGCATTCACCTTCACCACCACCACTGCCGGCTCACGTCGCGCCCCTTAGTTCCATTCTTCCTCCGCCAAGCTTCGGACTGATGCCGCCACCTGGGGCGCCGCCAGGCCCTCCTCAGGGGCTTTATGTGCCAGTCATGGCCGCCTCATCCGCTCCTCCTCCTCCTCTGCCCAAGCCGCCACGTCCAAAAACACCCAAAAAGGCGTCTACTGTGAAAGAGCCCCCGACGTTATCCGGCTTCAAAGGGTTGAAGAGCCTTGCTGTGCTTGACATAGAAACTCTTGACCTTGTGCCGGAGCTACAAGCATGCGTCCGGAACTCTGCCGGAACCCTGACAAAGCTGAAGCTTTCTTTCTCAGAGAAGCTCGCATCGACAGCCCGGAAGCCGTCCATGGACCCCGAACCGGAAGACTCTGATCAGGAAGACGATATGATGCCTCCGCAACCACACTATCATAACGACGAAATCAGCGGGCCTGCTCGGGCATTCCGCGCGCAAGAGGAGAGGAAACGTCAGGATTTGGTGCTGGGCAGGATCTTCGACGTGGAGCCCAACCCCGCGGATAAGGTCCACGGGGCCAGCGTCGAGAAGAAGGCGAAGAAGGGTAAGGCCAAGTCTGAGCGTGAGCTCATTGACTTCATGAAGACGATCGCGCCCAAGTTCTTGGGAGAGCTAAATGGGACCACCGACTTTGCGCCTCCGCCGGATGTGATCAATATGATCGGGCAGGCCGCTCAGAAGTACATCGACGAGGCGAAGTCGCGCAATAAGGCGCAGCCCAACCACTCCGACGCCGCTTTGTCAAGCAACAGTCAGGTGCCCGGTGACAAAGCTGAAAAGGCACCTGTCGCCGAGACAAGCGGCTCTGTGGTGACCCTGTTCAGCGGCATAGCACCAGAGAGCCAGGCGAAGAAAGTCCAACGAGACGCGAGTCCTGAGGAGATAGACATCGAAGAACCAGAGGAACAGCTTGTTATTGATCACGACGACTCGCCAGCGGGAGATGCTCCTGCCATTGATACTACAGAATCTCCCTCGATTAGCCCTATCTCCACAGCAGAGACACTGGCCGACGCCGATAATGCAGACCAGGCAGGGGCGCCGGCTACCGTCGAAGAGCGATGGGGTAAATATAATGCCGTGGCTGCAGAGCTGGAGATGGTCCTGTCCCGAGCCAGCAGTTGGACTGATGAGATGCGGCGGTCGCGGGAGAGTAACAATGCGCTCGCCATCCGCAAGGGCATCGATGAGGCGCAGTCGCTGGTACAGGATTTCGACCGAATTATTCACCAGGCAATGAGCACATGCGATGCCGTGGTCAAGGGCGTGAAGAAGCTACCAGCCGACGTTAAGGAGTCGGTCAAGCGGGACCAGGCTCACTGCATGCACGACTACCTGCGGAAAACAAGGGGTGTCGCACTTGAATCCCTCAGCATTTACCTTGTCCCCGTGAAGGCGTCAGTCCTGTCCCGAGCCATTGACATCCGTGTTCTCCGCCGCCTAACGTTGCTCAACGTCGGCGTCCAGGCGCCCATCTGGACTCTTCTGCACGGGGCGAACAAGGAAGCACCGCTGCCATTGCGGAAGATCTACACTGACAATGTCTCCCACGTATTCTTGAATTTTGTGTCTTCGCTCAATGAGCTGCATGAGCTGTTCCTCCTCGAGAGGGAAGCCAAGGCGAAGCCGGAGAGCTTCGCGCCCAGGACGCACACAACCATCGACCAGATCAGGAGGCTGGTGCTCAAGAAGCACCTGCCAACCCTGCGGGGGCTCATGATCAAGAACTTGACCGACACGTCGTGGGACCTCAACGAGAAGGCCATCTTGCTGCTATGCATGCAGGGGAAGAAGCTCGAAGAGCTGGCCTGCAACATGAGCATCCGGGCCATGGTATGTTCTAGTCACCTTCTTCTTCTTCTTCTTCTTTCCCCCCCTTTTTGTATCTTGGTTTTGTTATTTATTTATTTTATTTATTATCATTTTACTAACGTCCAACAGCACTGCCTCATGCAGCACATCGCGGGCCTGGCCTCTCTCCGCGCCCTGCACGTCGTCCACCTGCGCAACGACGACACCTGCGTATGGGTCATGCGCGAGACTAAGCGTTTCCTCATCGACAACATCTCGCACTATCCCCATCTCAAGCTCGAGTACATCGCCATCGACGAAGACGACCGCGCCGACCAGCTGATCAGAGTCTCGAATTGGTTGAAGAAGGATGGCGGCGACGGGAAGAACGCGGAGAAGGAGGAGAGCAAGGGGAAGCAGAAAGCCGCCGGGGTCAACTTGAGCTTGCTGAATCTGGGCTCGAATGGCAGCGACTTGGATATCCCGGCCATCATCTCGGCTGAGCTGGGCGGGGAAGGATCGAGCACGGGGGGTGACGACTGGGAGACGGATGAGGAGGGGGATGATGAGCCGATCGGGCAGAAGATCGAGACGGTCGAGGGGCTTCCCTTCTGCGACGTCCCCGGGGTGAGGATCTTCAAAAAGGAGATCGTTGCCGGCCGACTGTGAGATGCGATGATGGCGGGGAGGTAGTGGGCGGGTAAGGAAAAAGGGACGGGGGAAGGGGGGTTGAGAGACCCAGTGACATTTGGTTTTCCATGAATGACTTGAATGGCTAATGACGTGCCCAGAATCTCTGGTTATTTGGCTTTTTATGTTTTTCTCAGTGTTGTTGCAGTTCCTAGCGTGGAATACCCATTGTTATTCTCTGTACTTATTTGTTTCTGGGATATGGAATATGCAGTCTTGCATTTGGCGACCTTGAAGGAGGACAGAATGCAATGGAGATGTTGATTGCTATATGCGAGAAGTGGTGGACACATATCTGCTGTGCGCGCTGTTGTTTGAAGGGTCGGCTGTAAGGCACTGAATACGTACGTATCAGATAGCTGTAAGTTTTGTTTAATTAATTGAAGTTGCGCCACTCCATCGGTCAATCTACAACCTGCGTGGCTAGAGTTGTGATCCGGTGTGTAAGTCGTCGCAGGGCAGTGGCCAAATATTCTGTAATTTCATACCCCCTATTTCCGGCCTGACTCAACCCCCTTCTCCCCTTGCTACCCAACCCCATACCTGAGTTGCCTAGACTATGGTAAGGTAGGCTTAGGCACTCACTTCATCTTGAAACGGGCTGCCTAGTCAGGACTAAGTTGCCTAGTAGGTGGTAGCAATTTACGAGTGTACGGAGATAGCTGTATTTGTGTTATATATGCAATGGACTAGGTACCTTACCTACCTAAACTCCAACCCCCTATGGAAGTACTCAAGTAAGGTATTGTACCTAGTACCCAGCGCATGGCTAGGCTATCCACACCTATCCCTTACACACAACAAATACCTGCTTTATATAGTCAACATCATCATCATCATCCCAACCGCCCCCCTACCTTCCCTCCCTCCCTCGTCCCTCATCCTCTCGTCCTCTCTGTGCTTTCTTTCCCTTCTCCTACCCAACAGCCTCCCCCCTCCGCCGCATCCCCCAACCCCAATAACGCATCCCAAAGCAAAGGGAGACACCCAACACCGACCAGCGCCCTAGCCGGCACCTCGGCGCTCATTATCGACGACGACAACCATGTCCCACCATTTCTTCCCGTCGCCGTCGCCGCCGCGGCGGCCTTCTCTTTCTGGATCGTCTCCTCCACCACAGCTAGGACCCTCCTCTTCCTGCCTTGTGCGTGTTCCGTTCCTGTTGTTGAACAACAACGCTCGTGGTATTGTCTTTGTTTTTGGCAGCAGCAGCAACAGCAGTAGCTGATAATGATGGTCTCGGCAAGCAGCCTTGTCGCGGCGCTGCGTACCCCTGCGTCTGGGGTGTGTGTCGCGACTAGGTACAAGGGTCCTAGCAGGTGATTGTGGAGTTCGTTTATTGTTGTTAGCGTGCGGGTTGTCGTCATCGTCGTCGTCGTTGTTGTTGTGAATGGGATGGAGATTTGCGTGATTGGTGAGGCGGAGAGGCGCGAGGCGAGGTGGAGGATGGATGGGAGGAGGGTGAAGTCTGGGTCGTCGTTTGGGGGAGGTTGACTTTGTTGTTGTTGATGATGTTGTTGCGGTTGGTAAGGCTCGAAGGTGGTTGCGGAAAGGGGGTCGAAGGTGGGGGGGATAAGGTCGTTGCTGCTGCTGTAGGTGGTGGTGGTGGTGGACCTGGTGTTGGTACTAGTAGTGACCTTGCTGAGGAGGAACTGGGCGCAGCGAAAGTACAGCAGGTCGAGGTGCAGACCAAAAAGCTCGGCGGTCGTGGGATCCGGGTTGCCGAAGCGGGCCGGGGAGAGGAAGTCGGCTACAAGGGCGCCAATCCGAGCGCTGCGGGCTGCCATGCAAGATTGCTGTCGTTGCTGCATCGGGTCAGACCAGAATGCGCCGAGTGCCTCATCCCCGGCTGCGCCGACGGCTGCGATCTCGTGCAGGCGCGCCATGGCGTCGTGCCGGAAGCACGACAGCACGCTGCGTGCGTTGGCCACGTCGGCGAAGGGCGCATTGCCCATGCCATCATCGAAGCGGCGCATGCGGTACCCGCGCTCCGAGACAACGGGCTGGATGCCGTGGGCGAAGAAGCAGACGGAGACTTCGAGCTGGGCGAAGAGCTGGACGATATCGGGCATGTGCAGCGTCTCCCCGGCCGGGCGCCAAACGAAGACGGAGCCGTCGGCGAGGCAGTCGAAGGCAGGATCGGACAGAGACTGCAGGATGCGCAGGCCGTTGATGAGATGCGTGACGGCCACAGAATGGTTCCCCCGCAGCGTCTCGAGCGAGATGAAGGCGAGGCAGCAGACGAGGGTCACGCGGATGCTCTCCGACGCCGAGGAGCCAGCATGGCTCTGGAGCTGCTCGATCGATCTGTTGTACTGCTGGATCATGAAGACCTCGAGGTCGCCGCGACCGAGGCCGTCAATGCTGGCTTCGTGCGGGTGCCGGAACAGCTGGTAAGCCGCGGCCAGCGCCACCACGGCGCGTTTGACAGCTTCGTCCTGGCACCCCGTTGCCGGCGTCAGTCGTCGCCAGAAGGCCGAGAAGTGGCACAGGTGTGGAGCGACGCCCTCGGCCGTGGCAGCCCGGAACCGCGCAAAGAGCCGCTTTTCGGTCTCGGTCCCCTCGATGCTGGCCTCGAGCCGTCGCATCGACCGGAGCGCTTCGTTCCATTCGCACGCCCTGACGAATTCGGCCCTTGCCAGCTCGGCCGCCCGGGCCGGGTCCGGAGAGCGGTACCGCGCCAGTGCCGCTTTGTCGTAGCCGTCGCACGTTCGGCCGGTCGACGTGCATCGGAGACAGGCAGGCTTTCCCTCGTCGCATTTCACACGCCGGATTCTGGGTGCTGCTTAGTTAATCTGGGTTATCATGGTCACAAGACCTTTCCGTCCTGGGTCCCAACTACTACTAGTACTCACTTGCTGTCAGAATAGGGGGTGTCAGCCGTCACCAACAACAACCGACATATGCAGGTAACAACGGTACGGTACACACCATGTGATGCAGCCGGTCCGGACCTTCGGCTTGCTCGCCCTTGTCCGTTTCTTGGGGGGGTCCGAGGGGGTTGCCGCCGGGGACTGGGACGGGCTGCTGGGATTGCTGCTGCGCTCAACACTCGAACGGCTGGAGTAAGACGTCCCGGCCATGGTGTGAGTCGTCACTGGACTTTCAATGGCAGGAACACACACAACAACGAATAACGAATGTCGACCGAGACATACAACCGAGGCCTCTCGTATAAACTGCGGGGCCCTTCTTGGTTGGTGGAAGGCAAGACTGCCCGTTTTTATTCTCGCTGCATCTCGACACATCGCCGATGTGGGCAACGGCAACACCGTCCCCGCCCATGAGGATACGACAGGTTGGCCCAACCCGCAGCCCACACAGAAACGTACCAACTATTTTCATCGGGCAAACTCTGTTGTGTCTTCACCGCCTGGGCCGCCCCTTCGGCTACATCACCACTCTCCGGCTAGTCTCACCACCACCGTTCACCCAACCTGCCGTGCTCTCTCTGCATGGCCCGCCCAGCCCCAGACCCCAGGCTCCAGGCCCTAGGGGGGGGTTATGGGTTATGGCGGCATGGCGTCAACCTGTGGGTGGCAGTCAGTCAAACCGATGCTGTCAGCGACCAGGAACAGGAGAGGGCAGAGGGCAGAAACGAGCCGAACCGTAACTGAAAAGGGAAGGTGTACCCTGCATGGAAATCGGGTCAAAGTGGTTGATCTCATCATCTCCCACTGCTTCGGCACCCAAAGTCGATGGAAACCCGTTGCAGTTGGCAAATCAACTGGAGAGGCTCCCCCCGGGTTCTCAGTGGAGGTGGCCTTCTCCAGCGAACAACGCTGGACTGACTAAGCCAGATCTTTTGGCGGTATATTTTCCCACTAATTTTAGCGTCCAGAAATGTCGCTGCCTGGGCCGAAGGTCGACATGCGTCATGGCCATCACTAATCACTTCGCTGAATTTTCCGGATTCTTTCTGGGCGACACAGGACGCATCTGGCGAGACGGTCAGTCTGATGACAGCTGATCATTATATGTCTTCAACTTGAAGTCGATGGGTTGACAAAAGAGGTACCTTATTGAGGAAGGTACGATGTTGCATGGCTCACTTACACAGATCATAACCAATCAGAGAAAAGCTCGGCACCTATGCTTTGAACTTCTGAAGTGTGTGAGAAGCAGAAGACAACGAAACGTTCTCTTAGATAAGATACCGTAATAATAACGCCGAAAACAGCCAGTATATGCTTCACGTAGTACTATTGTGTATTCGATTCCCGTGGCGCTGCTGGTTGACATAACGATGACTCTGCGGGTGTATTCACGAACACCTCAAACAATGGATATCGGCGACCTAGTGGAGGTTGAAACCCCCCCCACCGCTGGCTACACCTGGGTGTCTGGTCAGAACCTAATCCATACTTCCGTCTGCGTTACCTAGTAGTTCTTTCCCTATTCCAGAACCCATAATAGCGTTGCAACGGCGAGTCGCTAGATCAGTTTACTACTACTAGTACTAGTATGTAAGTGATCCAAGTACCTACCTAGTCTTGGTAAACATGCCGTAATTGGTTCAGACCCGGGGATGTGTGCCCGATTCATCCATCCAGATTCCCAGATCGAAGCCCGCCTGCACTACCTAGATAAGATCAGATCAGGCAGCACAATCCGAAAATATGTAACTAGTATGAGTATGTCGAGTGCAAGCTGTCGCTCGCCGAAGTATGTACTTGTACATAGTAGTACAGTAAGCTAGGTAGGCGTTGAGGTGGACCGGAATCCTTCAGACTACATGTGCCCCCATCTGATTCAGGATACGAGAGAGGGAGGCCATCATCATGTATTGTACGCTCCGGCTAATGTGTTGAGTACCTGAGGTATCCTGGTCAAACATGGCAGTTCATGTGCCCTTGGAATAAGAGGGGAAGGTTGAGACTCAAGAGAGGGCTGAGTCGAAGCCGAGAAACGTGGTGGTATTGTGTCAGCAAGATCGGCGGCGGCGACGGTACGAGACACGGTTTCCAGGGACCAACGACCTTTCGCGGGAGTAAAAAGCTAAACCATCGTTTTGAACCACGCCACCGTGAAAGAAGTTCGAGCGTGATATCAGCCATTTGTTTTGCGCGGAGATGAGAGAACGTCGAACTTCCAATGTATTTCCACTCAGCTTCCGAGTCCCCGCCAGCTATATCATTCTCCCCGCAGACTGAGCAACAGAGCCCTCCCAAACCGAACAAGCGTGCCTTATCAGCAACGAGTTCAACGCAAAAACAGGGGATGCTATCGTCATCATCGTCGTCGTCATCAACACCCTAGGTATCATAAAACATCGCCAACCCACCCCCCTCCCACCTTCTTGGTTCCAACCCTTTTTTTCTTTTTGGTTTTCACCACTCCAACGGCTCGGTCTTGACATCCCCCCGATTCGTCTTGGGCACCGGCGCAGGCTTGACCGCGAGTTTCCCGCCCATCCCCTTACGCCGGAGATAGCCCGTCCCATCGAGCCAGGGGGTCTCGCGCGACATCTTCCGCTCAAACTCGGCGATCTTATCCTCCAGCTGCATGGTCAGGCCGATATCGTCGAGACCGTTCACAAGGCAGTGTTTCCTGAACTCCTCGACCTCAAACGCACAAAGCGTGTTGCCGTCGGCGTCCTTGATGAGCTGGTTGGGCAGGTCGATCTCGATCTCGCGGCCGGCGACCGCCTCGGCGTGCACGCGGTCCAGGTCGTCCTTGTTCTTGATGGGGATCGGCAGCATGCCGTTCTTGAACGAGTTGTTGAAGAAGATATCCGCAAACGACGGCGCGATGACGCTGCGCACGCCAAAGTCGTTGAGCGCCCAGGGGGCGTGCTCGCGCGACGAGCCGCAGCCGAAGTTGGGCCCCGTGCAGACGATGACCTTGGCCCGGCGGTACGGCTCGCGGTTGAGCACGAAGTCCGGGTTCTCGACCCCCGGCGACGTGTAGCGCATCTCGTAGAAGAGCGCGGCGCCCAGCCCCGTCCGCTTGATCGTCTTGAGGAACTGCTTGGGGATGATGGCGTCCGTGTCGATGTTGGGCTTCTCCATCGGCGCGGCGATGCCCTTGAGCACCGTGAACTTGGGCAGCCCGCTGGCGGCCGAGGCGGCGCCGCTCCGCATGACGGACGTGTTGACTTGCGGTGACGAGTCCTCGGGCTGGTCGGTGAGTGCCTCCTTCTCGTGGTCGTCGGTCTCGATGCGCTCGTCCGCGTGCGCCTTCTCCGTGGCCGGCTCCGGGGCGATGGCGGCCTCGATGTGCGGGCTGCCGTTATACTCGGAGAGCTTCCTCACGTCGGCGAGCTTGCCCGCGATGGCGGCGGCGGCGGCCATGACAGGCGACATTAGGTGGGTTCGGCCCTGGGCGCCTTGGCGGCCCTCGAAGTTCCGGTTGCTGGTGCTGGCACACCGCTCCTTGGGGGACAGGATGTCCGGGTTCATGCCCAGGCACATGCTGCAGCCTGCTTCCCGCCACTCAAACCCGGCGTCGAGGAAGACCTTGTCGAGGCCCTCCCGCTCGGCTTGCTCCTTGACGAGGCCGGACCCGGGCACGATCATGGCGCGCTTGATGTTGGACGCGATCTTCTTACCCTTGACCACGCGGGCGGCGGCGCGGAGATCCTCGATTCTCGAGTTGGTGCAAGAGCCGATGAACACCTTGTCCACCACGATCTCCTCCATCGGGGTCCCCGGGACCAGGCCCATGTACTCGAGCATACGGCGGCCGGCCAGCTTCTTGGCCTCGGTGGGGAATGTTTCCGGGTCGGGTACGACGCCGGTGATGGGGACGACGTCTTCGGGGCTGGTCCCCCAGGTGACAGTAGGGACGATGTCCTTGGCGTCGATGAAGACGTCGATGTCGTACTTGGCATCTGGGTCCGACTGCAGCGACTTCCAGTAGGCCACGGCCTTCTCCCACTCCTCGGAGCCGTACTTGGGCGCCAGCGGCCTGCCCTTGAGGTACTCGAAGGTGACGTCGTCTGGCGCCACCATGCCGGCCCTCGCACCGCCCTCAATGGACATGTTGCAGATGGACATGCGGGCCTCCATGCTGAGGGAGCGGATGACGGAGCCGCAGAACTCAATGACGGCGCCCGTGCCGCCGGCGGTCCCGATCTTGCCGATCGCGTGCAGGATCACGTCCTTGGAGCTCACACCCGGCGCCAGCTCGCCGTCGACCTGTATCCTCATGTTCTTGCTGCGCTTGGTGATCAAGCATTGTGTGGCGAGGACGTGTTCCACCTCGGAGGTGCCGATGCCGAAGGCGAGGGCGCCAAAGGCGCCGTGGGTCGACGTGTGGCTGTCGCCGCAGACGACGGTCGTGCCGGGGAGGGTGAAGCCCTGCTCGGGGCCGATGACGTGCACGATGCCTTGCCTCTTGTCGCTCAGCCCGAAGTATGTGAGGCCGAACTTCTTGACGTTCTCTTCGAGCGTAACACATTGTGTCCGGGAGTCGTCTTCCTTGATGAAGCTCGAGATATCCTTGAGAGCTTTGCGGGACGATGTGGGAACATTCTGCAGGGCATTGTTAGCGCCGCGATTCGGGGCAGCTTTGGGAGCAGCGCAGATACACGTACGTGGTCTGTCGTGGCAAGGGTGCAGTCTGGCCTCCTGACCTTGCGGCCAGCGACCTCGAGTCCTTCGAACGCTTGCTGTATTACAGGTCAGGAAGTGGCAGCCAGCGATGCTCATGTTGGGAGGACGCACCGGTGATGTGACCTCGTGCACAAGGTGGCGGTCAATGTAGAGGAGGATGGTGCCGTCGAGCTTCTCGTCGACGATATGGGCCTGGAAGACCTTGTCGTAGAGGGTCTGGGGTGTCCTTTCGGCGACCGGCATTGTGATCTGTGTAACGCAACTGGCCACTGCCAATTGGTGCCGAGTACCCAAATATTGTATGAATCGGAGACGAAATAGGTCGACAGGGAGCGCGACGTTGGACTGGAAGTCCGCTATAAACCCCGATGTATATGATGACCTTTTTAGCAAGACTGAGAACTTGCTTGTGGTAACTGCACATAGTACGGCTCGGAAGTGAATGAGAAACTCGAATCCACGATCAGCTTTGACGAAAGTCAACTTCTGCCACTTATAAAGGTCTCGGCGATGACGGTCGCCCCCGAAGCGAAAGATGTTGGAGACGCCGATGATCGGAGCATTGATTGTGCTCCGGTTCACGGAATGCGGGGTGGCCCTGCAATTGCTAAAGAACAGCCAACCATTGGTCGTGTGGGGCCGTCAAGGGCTTGGATATGTGGGGACGGAGCCAAGGTCAGGCCCCACTATGAGCGGATGGAGCAAAAAGTCAACGCCGTCGACCCGAAGCAGGAACTCGAACATTGCACGTGTCCCAAGCTTCCATGCTGCTGGGGAGGCCGCAGGAAGGATCTGGTAATGGGCCCAAAACCACCTATCTGCCGTCGAGCGTGTCTCTAAGGAGTCAATATCCTCATTTCCTGTCTTTCAAGCTGCCCGTCTGAAGGCGGCCCGGAGCGCTAACAGTACTACTAGACAGCCGGATCGGACAAGAACCTGTAATCCCGGCCGGTCAAAGATCCATCCATGATCCGACGGGTTCGCCCTGGGTCGGCGTCCCCGCATTAAACGTAACGGCATCAGCTTCGATTCGACCAGAGCGCATAGAAGACATGGAAATTCCACCAGCATCTGCGAGGCGGTAAGAAGATGCAGAAGAAGAAAAAAATATCGATCGTCCCTCAGCAGCCTCGTGGCTGTTCGGCATTCCGGTGTAAGTGAACGGTGTGTTTACACTACGAGATCGTTATCGGAATTAAAGATGGGTCTCCCCCAGGTACATAGTAGAAAACCCCTGTGCATGGCCGAATCAACACCCAGGTATGGACGGAGTATGTATAACACTGCCTATCAGAGAGAAACTGTCCATTTCAGGAAGCTGCCGCGACTAGCGTAACAGCGCGTTCCTATCTGTCCGCTTGCCTCGGCGAGTTACCTCTAGTTATGTGCGTGAGGTACTGGATATATGGCGACAAACGGACATAGTGGTATCGACTGCACGGGCATAACATCTTCTCCGTGTTTCGGTGCCCTATCTGCATCCACTCTGTCGATCCGTCGCACGACGAAAACCAAAACGGGCAGCCAGGAATTCTTGTGACAGTGAAAAAGTTGAAGAATCAGGGACACGGTTCACGATGCGGAAGGGGCTCGGAAAGATACCCCTCGATCCAGAGCCGACCTTGAACTCCCAAATAGGCAGTCCCAAATGTAGCATCACCAAAGAAATCCAACCAGAATCTGCCGGATCAGTATTTCCGACTCGCTGCTGCAGGAGCCATGCATAGCATCGGTCCAAACAAGCCTCAGCTCTTATCACGGGTATGGCTGGTTCTGCTCACCACAAGGTCTGGGCCAGGCTCTCAAGTCATGGGATTGGATGCCTGCTGAGTAGGTACAGACTAGAGTACGGTACGTCAGGTACTTCAGAGACTACTAGTAACGATGCTCACACACCACACCACACCACACTACACTATACTACTACACTACACGACACAAAACTCAAGGTTGATGTCCCACTTCTTCCCCAGACTCAGACATCATAGGTAGGTATTGACAGCGCACCCTAGGTACCTTGAGTAGCCAGCCCGGAAAAAATTCCACGAGTAGTTTCACAGTCCAGCAACAACCCTCACCACCCGACAGACCTCAGCCAGCACGCTCGCGATCCAAACCGTGGCCCGGACAGCCCACGCTCCGGCAGAGAGCACCAGCACCACAAACACGGCCGCCAGCACACACACCACGACATCTCCCCACGTCGCCTGGGCCCGGTCGACCCGTCTACGCAGGTCGGAACAGCCGTCAAACGCGGGACTGACCAGCTGCCAGTAGGCGGCCACGACCCGCTCGAAAGTCACGGCTGCCGTCCGTGTCCAGCGGACGATCAACTCGATGCTCCCTCCTCCTCCTCCTGCTCCTCCGGCGGGGGAGCTAGAGCTATTGTTGTTGTTGTTGTTGTTATTGTTGTTGTTGTCTTTTGCGTCCGCTTTGGCTTTGGCTTTGGCTTTCTTCCCTGTGCTATTGCTGTCACCGTTCCCCTTCGCGTTCTCAGCTGCGGCTGTCTGCTCCGTGTCCTCGTTCCCCTTCCCCTTTTTATTTTTCTTCGTCGGCTGCTGTTGCTGCCCTGCTCCCTTCTCATTCTTGTCCTTGTCCTCCTTCTTCCCCTTGCCCTGTGCCTGAGCCTGGCCCTTGTTTGTCGCCGCCGCCCCCTGACCCAGACCCTGATCCTGACCCCGCCCTGAGCCTCCTGGGTTCGGAACCGGCCGCAGCAGCAGCAGCCTTGCTATTGTCGTCGCCAGGGGATGGTGTTGATGGCAACGACTCAGCGTCGCATAGGCTGTTCGTGCCGCGCCACGAGCGAGATCCGCCTCCGCCTCCGCCTCTGCCGCCGGGTCCGCGGTGGGTAGGGTCATGAGGTAGGTGGACGTGCGTATGCACATGGGTGATGACCTGTTGTGGCGAGTGGTGCCGGTGCCGGTGCCGGTGGCTTCGTTTGGCTTGCGGAGTGTCTTGGGAATCCCCCAGTCTGCTGCTGCCGTGCGGCTTTGGGGCCGTGTCGTCGTCCCCTGCTCCTCCTTGGTAGGCGTCGCCGCCTTCCTCTGAGTTGTGCTGGTGGACGATGACGCAGTAGCGCTGCCTGGTTCTGGTTCGGGAGGCGGAGGGAGGATAGGGTCGCCGTTGTTGTTCTTCTTGTTGTTGTCGTCGTCCAGCGGGTCTATGCCATCCTTCTCCTTCTCCTCCTGAACAAGCGCCGGCGTCGTCGGTCCACTCTGCGGACCCGGGCTGCTGATACTCGGCCAAACGCTCAGTTGCATACCGCCCGGGGAATCCTGCTGGCCCGAACAGACGCTGCTGGGCGGCGCGGTCGACGACGGGAGTAATGCCGGTTGTGAGAGCGCTGTCCCCGTCGAAGGACACCGTGTCAGAGGAGGAGCGTCCTGAGATCCGTCGAGCGTCGCGTCGTAGGGACGGGTGTCGATGCGGTGCCGGTGACGACGGAGATGTTCGGAGCCAGTAGTGGTGGTGGTGTGTGTGCAGGCAGATGGGAATGCCCTGCCCGGGCCACTGCCGCTGGTTGCTGACGAGGTCGCTTGGAGGACCACATGGCCGTGGCTGGATGAATTCCACTGGTTCTGCCTGTCTCGGTCCTGGATCAGCCTGCCCGCCCACTGTTCTGCCGGGGCCGACCCGTCCAGTTCCGTCACTCGACCCGGAGCCAACCCTCCAACTCCGCGGTTCTCCGACGGTTTGCGCAGATCCGGGCGGACCACAATGAGGTCGCCCAGTTCCCAGCCCGGGCGATACTCCAGCAGCCGGCTTGCATCCTGCTGGCGGGAACCCCGGCGTCGGGGTACTTCTGGCGGGAACATGTACCGCGCCATCGCTTCTCTCAGCGCGACCAGAGCACCACCGTCCAGCGGCGCTCCCTCCTCCTCTTCCACCCTCTCGAGCGGCCGAGGCTGCACTATATCTCCTCCTCCCCCCATGATCAGGCGGCGGTGGCGGCTTTCCTTCATCTCCCTCGCCACCGCCGCCAAGCCTAAAAAAGAATCCGTACGCTGGGGTATGAGGACAACAGGCTGCTGCTGGTGCTGGTGCTGGTGGGGGCTGCCGCCGTCCCCGACACTCCGAGTCCGTGCCGACGAAGAAGAAGAAGCTACCGACCCGGGAATGGGACTCAGCCCGCCGCCACCACCAACAACAACAGACGACCACCCGTCCTGCCCCTTGCGCCACCTCACCCCCTGCCTCGCCAGCGCCTCGCGGAGGGCCGCCTTCCTCCTCTCGGCTTTCTCCTCTTCCCTCCGCAGCAGCACCATCTCCATCTCCTCCTCGTCCTCCTGCTCCTCTTCCTCCTCCCTCCGCATCCTAACCGCCGACAGATCGTTCTCATAAACCGCCGCCCTCATCACAGCTGCCTCAGCCAGCTGCTGTCCCGCCCCTGTACCTGCACCTGCACCTCCACCTCCACCTCCACTAGCAGAAGTAGTAGTAGCAGTAGTAGTAGTAGTAGCGAAGGTGAGCGCGGGCGAGGTGATGGCCGAGTTGCTCGTCGTCGTCGGCGGCGTGATGACGTCCATCTCGCCCGTGTGCGGGTTCACGCCCGTCACGCCCAGGAAGTCGCCCGACTCCTGCAGGGCGCGGCGCTGGCGGCGGAGGGCGCGCTTGGCGAGGAAGAGTTCGCGGGAACCGAGGTGGTTGAGGTTGAGGGTACTAGTAGTTGTTGTTGAGATGGGGTAGTTGTAGTTGTTATTGTTGTTGTAGTTGTTGTTGTTGTTAATGGGAAGAAGCGGGGCAGAGGGGAGCAACGGGGAGGTTGTTGTTGTTGTTGTCAAGGGCCTGGTGGTGGTGGTGATGGTGGTGATGGGCTGTTTGGGGGCCGGGTAGCGTGAGTGTGGGCGTGGGTGTGTGTTTGCTCTCATGCGCCGCTTTTCGTTGCCGTTGGTGGTGGTCGCGTTACTGGACGGGAACCGGGAAGCTGCCGTCCTGCTTCCTGTGCTGTGTGCCCTGCGTGGCAGCACGCCAGTGGCGTTCGGCCCATGCGTGTCGAGCGATATTGCCCTCTTCCGGCCGTGCCTCCGCTCCGCCGGTCTTCCCGGTGGTGATGTGGGCGTCGGCCCCCTCTCGTGCTCACCCACGGCGTTCTCTCCGGTCGGCCGGGCCGTACCGCCACGCTCGGGCCGCTTGCTTGGCCGGAGCTTGGAGAGGAAGCTGGTCACGCTCGTGACAGATCTGGAGAGACTCCTGCGCCTTGCAGCATCGGAGGCGGAGGGGGAAGCATGGGCCCCGTCCAGCTGGCAGATCAGGGAGCTTGTGATGCTTCCTGATGTCGTCGTCGGGGTTGTTGTTCGCCGTGACGACGGCGAGTTGGTGCCCGGTCGGCCTCCTCGGATTGGGATCGAGGCCATGGCCGCGGTTCTCTCTCTCGCAAAGGTAATAATGTCTTCTCTTCGCAATGAGGGATGCTATAGCCGCTGCATACTTATGACAGTTCAAGCATCTAATACTCGTAAGAGTGATGAACAGATTCCCACCGGGTACTGATGCCAGGCGGGCCTTCCCGACCCTTGGACGAGGCCGAACAGTAAAGCAATCCAAACTAGTTTCGCCGAGCCATCCGTTTCACGGGAATGGAGAAGGCAGCTGCCCGGGCCAAGCAAGCACGAACAAGTGCCGGCATAGGGCTTACTAGTGCGAGGCTTGTGCCCATCGTGAGGAAGGGGCGGGTACCCGGTGTATGGGGAAGGTTGGAACTTGGAACTTGGATGAGCTCCATTGATGAGTTGGGTCATTTTGGGAGAGTGTGCCAAAATTGGTGAAAACGAGGAAGGAGGCCCATGTCGTCCCGGCTTCCACGGAGCCATCCTTGGATGGCAACACCTTCCCTGTCCCGTCTTCTAGAAGCAATGCAGTTGTAGAACTTCCCGGTTTCACACCTCACCGGCCTCTTCAACATGGCACTTCCTTTCTTCCGTGGCCGAAGGCTTTCTCTATCCCCTAGGTTAAACTCCACAACGGTCAGCCTTACAACGGCCCCACCTGGCAACAGTAACAAAACGGCTCCGTAAATAAAGCCGAGTAAACACCACACTCAGCAACTGAGCAAACTAGCAGCAAACTCCACGGCGCATCCGCAATGATGCCCGACGTCCGGGCAAGGCCCCTGCAGGCAATGGACCAATTCCTGCGCGCAGCGTCAGTGGTTTAGTGGTAAAATCCATCGTTGCCATCGATGGGCCCCGCGTTCGATTCGCGGCTGACGCAAAGCTTTTGCTTTGCACCCCTCCTCTCCCTCACCCTTGTCCCTGTCTCTCGAGACTTTGAGGTGTTTTTTTTTTGTCAACCTCTCATCTCTCCTTTTTGTTTCTTGTTTATTGACGCTGAGCCTCACGTATGAGTTGTCCCAAATTCTATGGCAAGTCGGATGAAGATCCCTGTCGGCATGGGCTGCTCGGTGCTCTACACAGTACGAAGCTTTCCATGTAGGTGCAATGTGGACTCGGCTTGTGATATGACTACGTAATAGCTCTGGCCTGTTCTTCGATATGTAGTAGATCATCAGTATACCATAACAATCAGGAAATATCGAGAACCTGCGGTTTCAGGTTTCCGCCCCTTGAGAGCTTCCCCGTAGCTTGTCCAGGGAACAGTGAGGGCTGATGCTGTTGATGCCGCGTTCGTAGGTGGAGAGGTGGAGATGTAGACGTCGAGATCAGTCGGGGACGAGGAGGCATTCGTCAGGTTGGGTCGGATCTGTTAAGGTAGACGGAAGGGCGACTTGAAGTTAGCTGTGTGGTGGCTAGATGGTTTATGCTTCAGCCGCGATCCTACATATTACCACTTAGATGGAGTGTGTCTACATGTTGACGCATAGTAGTAGTTACAGTTATTCTTTGGTGCGAGACGCTATTCATTCCCGACCTGATTTAACATCCTAATCTCCTCGGAACCTAACGTAATTCCTGCCCAGCAGAACACCGTGACCGTTCAGATCCGCGCGGGCCCTGTACCCTTGGCTCAGGCCATGAGGTGTGTATATCTTCCGATTCCCCTCAGCCTACGTCTACTATGTACATCCAACAGTAACACAGTCCACCTCCACCACATTCACCATCCAAAATAATGGCTCATGGCCAACTTACTGAGTTGCTCGGGTGCGGATACCTGCAGGCTGTTCGCGGCCGAGTCTTTAATCAACGTTGAAGAGCTAAGCCCCATCACCTGGGCGCCCATAGAGATACCCAGGATGCCCCTCGGTGTTTCGCTCTCAGACAATGAAAGCAGGGCGAGCTGGAGGCCGGACAAGGAGTTTGGATCGGATATCGTCGGCTTTCGCAGTTTTGGGACCCCTTTTCGACTGCCAATGGACGTGGTGATGCCCAAGGTGGACACTGCAGGCAGAAATCAACTCCAATAACCATTTGTCTCTCCGACGCCGTAACTCCTGATTATGCTTAAGTATGAAAGTATGCACCCCTAAATACCCAGTTGCCCTGCAAGCCCTATTCCCTGATGATACGGGCGAAGCATAGGCTTATCAGCCCTCTTTGCCGCCTTCCCCCCCACCCATCTCCCAGCTTCCCTGGAAACTCTCTGCTACACGTATCTCGTGGGGAATCTCTCCTGTGTCCACCGATTCGCCCTCGCCCGCGCTAGTTTCTCGGGCGAATGGGCGAAGCTGCTCGAATCCCGCCGGTTCTCCTTGAGCGGACTGCTCTCGCGTATCATGCGCTCGGCGATCTCGCGCTGCTCCAGCGCCGCCATCTCGCGCCCGTTGCGCGGGGATGCATAGGCGCCGTTTATGTCGCCTAGGCTTGTCGCCTTCTTCAGGGGCGAGTTCATGTGCGTGTACACGCCGAGGCTGCCGCCAAAGCCCGAGTTTGGCGGAAGCTTGAAATCTGTGCCGGTGCTCGTCCCCGCGGAGGAAGTGGGTTGTTTGGTGGCGGCCGAGGGGGTGACCGGGTCCCCTCCGGCGCCTGCTGATGCCGTCGGCGTGAAATTCCGTCGCAGCGCTGACTGTCGGTGCTGCTGTACCTGAGCAGCAAACGACCGCGACCCTGACGAGTTGGGCTTCGACAGGGACGTGAATGGACTCGGCGACATTGCGGGCCGCGGTTGTGGGGACATGGCAGCCCTGTTGTGCCCAGCGTCGGGATCCACGTATTTAGCGTAGTTGGGGTTCGGGTGCGTCTGGAAAGCTCGCCGAATCACGGTCGCCGGCGTCCCAACCGTCACTTCCTCCTGATCAATCTTTCCGTCGCTGATTGACACCTGCGTCGCAACTTCACGCATCACCGGATGCAGCCGAGGGTGGACGTATTTCACATCGTACTCGTGCATGACCTCCTTGTGAATAACCGCCGTGTCCCTGCTCTGCTGCGAGAAACGGGAGTGCATGAGTAGCAGTTGTGCCGAGAGAATGACCTGCAGTAGGACGCATTTAAATACGGTGACACTCGGCCGCGGATCCAGAGTCGGGAGCGGCAGGAAGAGCATGTGGATGAGCACGTGGCCTGGGCTGAAGAGGCAGAACATGCGCAGCGTCGCCGGGTAGGGATCCCACACCTTCACCTCCCACACGTCGCGCGTCCTGTCCGGATGTGCTCGCTGCTCGGCAGTCTCGGGTCGCAGAACCTCCTGGACAAGCCGCAGGGGGGTCGACGAAGCCGGCGACGAGTCAACACGCACGCGCTGTGCCGATGGCGTTCCCGGCCCTGAGGCCTCGACATTCATCTCAAAAAACCGGTAGTGACGTGATCGCGTCATTGCGTAGAATGCGTTCAGCGCGGATATGGAGATCAGCAACCATTGGAAAAAGTTGGCCTAACCAAAGCCCGCAAGTCAGCGACACATCCCAGAGCTGTCGCGCGGCGTGCCGTTGTGACTTACCCCGAGGGTGACCCAACCATTAGCCGGTTCATCTCCAAACACGTCATCCACAGCATCGCGCGTCCTGCCGGAGTTGGCTCGCGCCAAAAGGAAAACGAAGTTGGCCGCAAGCCCAAACCGAGTCCCAAACGTTTTCGAGTCCCAGTCGAAGGTTTGTATCTCCTCGGATAGCCAGAGATAGAAGTCCATCGGGTTGAGCATGGCGCGAATCCTCTCGGTAAGCGGCCGGCGCCGCACAAGCCGTTGCGGTCGTGGAGGCATGGCTGTTGCGTAGCTTGACACTCCGTCCTGCTTTGGCAATGCGCCTCGCGGAGTTCGCGCTCCTGGTTCGTTGGCCTCGACTTCGAACCCGTTGTCACGATACGGGAGTCGTCTATTACTAGAGTCAACTACCGTACTCTAATGATAGCGGTCATTTGCTGCAGCGCAGTCGCGCAGGACAGGTCAATGGGCGTGCTATTTCTGGATTGTTGAAGATGAACGTCTCAAGTTCATGTCTTTGTTTTTTCCATACCTTTTTCAGAAGTACACTAGGCTTGCCGAAAACGTCGACTCCCCTTCGTGGACTTGCTTGGGTGGGTCTGAAAAACGGAGGGACATCCGTTGCGGCATGTGGGTCCGGTCGCCTGTTGGTCGGAGCTGCACCAGACGGCGTCATCTACAACAACCCCCTGCTGGACGGTACAACAACTCCAAAGTCAAATAACGCTTCGAGGCCGGCAGAATCTTCCTCTGAGATCAACGGAAACTGGCAGGCTATTGACTACGACGGGCCCAAATACCTGGACCTTTCCGCAGATTGTCCGCGGCCGAGATGGCGTCGCAAGCCGATTTCCGCGACAGGCAGTTCCTGGCTGTGATTGGGGACGAGGTCAGCAAGCCTCTGTTCGGAGGGCGCCTCTAGAGACGATGCTAACAGGCGCACCAACTGACAGGATTCTGTCACTGGCCTGCTCCTGGCCGGCATTGGTGTGCGTAGGAACCCCTCTTCCTGAACCACATCGCGGGACATTAACAACCCCGTCTCTAGCATGTCACACCGCCGCCAGACAACCAGAAGAACTTCCTTGTGGTAGACGCCAAGACAGATAATGCCACCATTGAAGCGACGTTTGAGAGGTTTACGACAGAGAGAAAGGACATTGGCATAGTCTTAATCAATCAACATGTTGGTCACCCCTCACTTCCCTCCGGACTGGCAGCCGGACTGTGGGCTAAGAGTCCCGCGTGCAGATTGCGGACCGGATACGACATCGGATCGATACATACACGCAGGCATTCCCGAGTATTCTCGAGATTCCAAGCAAAGACCACCCTTACGACCCAGAGAAGGACAGCGTCTTGCGGAGGGTGCGTCGGTTGTTTGGAGAATAGGTCTAGCGCTGGATTAGAGAAGGAGGGACAAATAGCGCAGCCGCCTAGCCAGCCTGGCGTTGTGAGCCAAATGATACCGATGCAATTGCCCATATTCAATTACCGCAAGCCTCGAGACTCCGCGTGCCTTAACTATGCTTAGAGTTGATGAACGAAACCCGACGAAACTCCGGGGTCAAACAAGACACCATCGACCCTTCGTGGCAAAATCCCCTATGTACGCATGCATGTCGTGACCAATCTTCATCCGCAGCCTCTCCCGCCCCGCGCACTCGTAGAGTAGACATTACTAAACGGGCTAGAGGTCGAAATCAAAAGCGTCGCCCAGTGCTTTCGCGCCAAAAGTAACCGTGGCAGTCAGGCAGGTGATGTGCTCGTCGTCCTTGGTGTAAACATCCGCATTGACGGTGTACTTGCCCTGTGCGTATTGTTAGTCACTGCCTAGTTGTCACACCGCTGAAATGGGGCATGGTCGTACCGGTGGAATCTCCTTGGGCAGGTCGACGGTCTTGATGACGGAGATCTTTCCCTTCTCAATGGGGCAGTCGAGGTCGACGTTCTTGATCTCTTTGCAGAGGTCGGCCTGCGTGCGGATCAAGCGAATGTAGCCATACTTGACTTCGAGGTTCACGTATGCGCCGTCGAGAATCGTCTCCTTTACCGTGCCGGTGGCCTCAATGACGAGAGTCGTTCCTCTGTAAAAGATACATACATCCATCAGTCTCAAGTCACCCAAGCGATCGCTTGGGCCATATGTGGTCGCACGTACGCTTCAGGCGGATTCGGCGTCAGGACGACCTCCTCGATGGAAATGAGGTCGTCATCGCGGTTGGCATCGCAGAACTTGAGCGGGTTCTGCCCGGGAACATCGAGCTCGTTGCGCGCAACGAGACTTTGCCCGGGGCGGAAGACGTTGCGGGCGTTGACGCTCGCCGCCAGAGCGAAGATAACAGTGGAGAACCTCATGGCGGTTGACGGTTTGGTGATTTGCGGGGAAACCTAGCCCGCTGCGTCCCTCCCTCAACGAACAGGAGTAATTGTAGATTGATCTTGTGTGAGTAAAGACAGACTCAGCTTGAAGAATGGGATCCTGTAGTTGAACTGTCGACGATGGGCGAGATAACAACACAGGCAAGAAGATCGAGGCTAAGTTCCAACAAGGCGGCCGAGCTGAGTGGTTGGCCTGCCACACTGACACCGCAACGTCATGGGAGCGAGCACGGGCCCGACTTGCCTGTGGCTTGACCTTTGGCTGATCCCGACGTATCATGTGAGCGTCAGTGGATCCCGCCCGGGTTGAGCAACCAATCACTGCTTCCCCTGGCGAGTCCGCGATTCAACCGGAACATCCTTGCCGGTCTGCACGATCCCACGTTCATTGGATTCGGATTTGCGTCTTCTGCACATTGAGAGACCGGAGGTCTTCGATCCAAGGCTAATGCCAAGTCAATTACTTCCTATGTTTCGATCGTTAATCCAGAGTCATTCGCCACCTTGTTCTCACTGCGCCCTAGTCCTACGAACGACCCTTGGAAGTTGGCACCCTCTGATATGCATCCGCTCGTTCCAAACTAGGCAATCCTGTACACGTCTTGATCGATCTGACGGATGGAAGAATCGCAACTACGGATACCTACTGACTGTTGACCGCTGGTCCTAGTTTAGCGAACATTTGGATTCTAACGGCGCTTTTTGAGGCACGTCTACCGAGGACTACGGCCCGTACACAGTAATTCCCACAATCACCGCCCGTCGACCGCGCGGCAGACATGCCATGTTCCAAGGACGCATATATGACACATATATATGGCTTGGCCGGAGATGATGCTCCAGCAGGATCTACTGTACCTCTAGTGTCCTCCGTTTTCACAGACACCCAGATCCAGGACTTGGACAGAAGTAGTTCGCTATTCCGCGCTGTTGTTAAGTTGGTCGGACAGGCCAGGTGTCACGCGCTGTCCCGTCGTTCACTAGCTATGCCTTCAAAGGTATGTAGTCGAGCTGCTGTAGAATACAACAACTGAGCACCAAGCTTGGCCCGGCCGATAAACTGGCGTATTCCCGATTTCCCGTAGCATGATCATTACCCGGGCTCGACTCACGACCTCGAGAGAAGATCTAGCGGTTCGAACATCGACCTTTGGTCTCGGTTACTGACGTCAGTCTTGACTGCGATCGGATTTGGAAACGACAGCCTTTTGCCGCCGAGTCTGGTGATCAGGGTGTGAATTCCACGTTCATAAGAGGGTATCTTACTACTATCCATCTGCATACCTGGTACCCTGCTCGGCCAGAGAACTCGGGCCCCGCGGCCGCCTGTCGGCTGACCATCCCGCCCCGTTCAATATGTAGGCCCAACAGTGATAACCTAGAACTTTCCCTTCTCGGCTCGTTCTACAAAACCACAATGAAGCGATGGGCAGACTGACAACCTCCATGTCTCCGAGTGCTAGGCCTGGAAGTTTCCATTGCTAGGTAGCGGACCGGTGTTAGTTATCGACATCTAAGCTCTTAGCACTGTTCGAGCGGAATACATAGTGGGCCGCCTGCCCTCACCTGAGATTCCACTTTGCTTTCCCCCTGGCCTGAGGCGGATTGCCGAAGCAACCCAGAAGCTCGTGTGGTGGAAACAGATTCACATTTTCTCGAGCTCCTTCCATTTCACTGATCTGAGTCGACATTCTCTCTGCGGACTCTTTTAAATTCTCGTTTTCTCTCAACTTCCACAAACCCACTTGATGCGGCGCCGTCTTCGTCTGTGGTCCACTTCGTTTTCTCATTTCGGTCTTACAAGACCCCTTTCAGACAATGAAGGCATCGTCACTTCGGGTTTGTATCACTTCTCATCACTGCATGCGCCCAATGCAGGATGTTGCTGATGGTCCATCTCCCTCTCTAACTATTTCTCTAACGACAACGCTTTCCCCTCCTTCCCAACTCAGGTTGCTAGGCTGTGTCGCTCCGCTTTTCTTCCGGCCTTGCCGCACTAGATCCGAGTGGCAGCTTCCCGCAACACGCGCCAACCGAAGACATTTGAGTCCTCGACCAATCCCACACCGACTTTGAAACCGCAATTCCCACCGCTTTACGGGCCCTGTTCTAGCCCAGACGTGGTGCCTCAGGCTGCAGTGCATCACAACTGCTATGGAGTCGCTGGGCACTCTGCAAGCTCGGCCTGCCGCTGCTTGCATTGTTTCCTCCCGGCTCTGCAGCGAGGAGCTCATGGGGAAGTTGCGGTTCAAGTCAAGCCTTTCCCGCTTTCTGCTTCTCTCCCAAACGTTCAATAATGCAAAGCTGCATTTTGATTGGTTCGTGCGCGCGCACTCCCGTCCTCCGTTTTCCTCTGATAAATCCTGGTCCCAAAGTCGGGACAGTACAGATTACATGGGGGGGCTTGACTGAACGCAGCGCAGCGCTCCTCTTGGTTGCCCGTGTTGGTGTGGGCCCCCCTCTCTCTTGTGCTTTCCCACTCTGGCCCTCCTCTCCCTCGCTCAAACTCTGCCTCTCTTTATTCAAACTCCAATTTTCGCGTCACCCATTCGTCCCTTCGCCCTTGCCTTTACTGGGATCTAAGCTGGATTCCTAGTCCTCTGCTCAATGATTTGATCCGGTTGACTCGAGTTTCTTTGTCCTCGAGGCGCATCCCGTTTCCACTCCGGACTATTTTCACTCTCGAGCTCTCGACATCGTCGCCACCGTTAACCTCCCAGGACAGCGACGTTTCTGCTCTCAGCCTTCCCCACGAACTTCGACAGGACAGCGAGGTCGAACAAGGGCATCGAGGCCACCCATCGTCATCCTTCAACTCGCTTCTATATCCACCACGACATCATACTTCAGGACAGTCCTCGGGCGTTTGACCAGGTTCATTCCACTTGCGACAGTGCGTTGAGACGAGCAGTATTATTGCGACCGAGTGCGACGTCGCACGCCGCGCACCCGATCCGTGTCGGCGGATGACACTCGCGTCGTCTACATTGGTCCTCTCAGCCCGCATCACTCGAATTCAATCGCGTCGAGTCGCGCGACAAGCATGCCGTTCAGACCGGCGAGATAAAGTATCCGCACAATTTCTCAGTCGTTCGGCCGCCGCGAGGCTTTTGTCAGGATTATGACAGACAGGCTGCCGCCGCTGTCCACGCCGATCGCGCTTCCGAGCCAGCCTGCGTTCTCTCTTTCGAGCGCCGTCCCAGATCGAGATGTTGCTCGAAAGCAGGAAACTGTAGACGAAGAGCCATACACCATCAAGTGTATCTGCAACTTCGCTGACGATGACGGAAACACGATATTCTGCGAGACATGCGAGACATGGCAGCATATCGAGTGCTACTACCCAGACTCGGTCGAAGATGCCCTCCGAGCCGACTTCGCACACTCCTGCGTTGAGTGCCAACCGAGGTCCTTGGACCGTCAACAGGCGATCGAGCGTCAGAGGGCGAGGGCCATTGTGCCCATTGTGGAAGAGGCAGCCGACAAGAAACCAAGGCGTCCGCCGTCAAAAAGCCACAAGAAGAAGGCTAAGCCATCGGAGCTTCACATTAACGGCATTCACCATGGCGCCTCCGAGAGCACGAAGCATGTCAATCCCCACGACAATCTCCTCCATCCCGCAAAGAAAACCAAAACGTCACACAAATCCAATCAATCAGTCAGCTCACAAGCACCGAAGCGCAGTCCTTCCCACGGGACCGCAAAGCCTCAGGTTCAGCCTCTGAGTCCCGCGACCACACCGCCCGATCTTCCAGACGACTTCGAACTGCACAACTATTCGTCGGCCTTCTTGTCACGTTACAATGACCGGACTTTCAAGATCGTCAACACGAATAGCTTTGCTGGATTGCAGGTTTCGAATACCATGTCGGCTTGGCTGCGCGACCCAGAAAAGATGCAGAAAGAAACAGGCTTGTCATACAGCGACGTTTTTCAGAAACTCCCTGCCCATATCGAATCAATACGGGTTAAGCCAGAGGTTGAACAAACCCAGGAGGTCATCCCGCCGGATACTGTTGTTCAGTGGCAGTGTCTCACGGCGCCATCAGCAATTGATAAGGACGTTCCGCTCATGGAAGTCAACGGCCAAATCGGTTTCCAAGCCCTGTATTGTGCCGAACCCGAGAATCGCTGGGCTGAGCTCACCGCGCCGCTTCCGTTTGTCCTTTTCCACCCACTGCTTCCACTCTACATTGACACGAGGAGAGAAGGCTCCGAGGCTCGATTCGTCCGAAGAAGCTGCAGGCCAAACGCTGTCCTCGAAACATACCTTTCATCAGGCAGCGAATACCATTTCTGGTTGGTGAGCGATCGACAAATTGCGGCGAGAGAGCAGATTACAATACCGTGGGATTTCCGGTTTCCGACTACCGAAAAGGCGCGCGCTCTCCGGATGCTTGGTCTTAGCGACGACACTTCGGATGATACGAGTGTTGATGAGAACGACTACCAAAAATATGCCGGCTGGGTCCATCTCATTCTTTCGGAACATGGGGGCTGTGCATGTAACCTCGGCCCGGAGTGCGCATTTGCACGGTTCCGCCGGAACTATCTAGCGAAGACGCAGCAGCGCGCCCACCCACCCAAGTCCAGAAAGAGGAAGACTAAAACACAGCATGCCATCTCACCCACAAGCACCGGACATGCAACGAACAGCCGGGCTCCTAGCGAGGGTCATTTGGAAGACGAGCAGCACCGGAGATCTCTATCTAGCTCTTCGCGGAGCAAGCCACCTAGTCGGGACATGACTCCCACAGCACGTCAAGGCTCATTTGATACCCTCGGCATACTCACCGAGCCCACGGACCGGGACAAAAGAAAAGTCGCCATGGTTGAAGACACATTCCGCCGCCTGGAGCAGCAGCAACAGCAGCCGCAACGCAAACGGAAACGAGTGTCTGATGGCACGGGAACCTCCCAGGCGAAAGCGTCAAAGACTGGCTCCGCAACCCAGACTCCAACCCTCCCGAGCGGTTTTCACGAGCGTGAGTACATGGACGTTGGAACCGGTCCGTCGATGAGTAGTCCCGGGTCACCCAGCGATGTGGGCGCTGCCTACACCAGGCCTACCCGGAAGAACCCCGGTTCCAGGAATACATCGGTGTCAGCCCGTTCTCGACCTGTCTCAGTTGCGCCGCATCGAAATTACCGCGATGCTGCCGTGCAAACGGACCTTCCTCAAGCCGACGCAAAGACTCCGGTGCGGAGAGTAGGTTCTTGCCTACGGAAGCGGCTTCTGGAGAACTGGCACCAAGCGCGCCTCGAAGAGGAAGAGAGGGCGAAACGCCGTGTGGTAGAAGGGCCACCCTCCATTGGAGCAGATGCAGATAACCCCGTCGGCCACGGTACGCCGTTAGCGGCATCTTCTCCGACGAAAGAAGCTGAGAAAAGCTTGACTGCCAAGGTAGTGGGCCTCCAAGACTATCCAATATCAGATGCGCGGCCAGTGTCGCCGAAAAACACCAGCATCAACGAAAGCATTAACGAAACCTCGACGACAAGTTCCGCCAAACCCAAATCACCCGACCTACGAGTACAGTTGCCTCCCGTCCCGGCCTTCGAAAGCCCCACGTCCGCTCATTCATCAATATCCACCCCTGTGTCCGCGGGAACGGCAACGGTCCAGTCGCCGTTCTCGATGTCCGGGTTTCCAAGTCCATTCGCGCCGCCATCAGTCAACGGCGTGGCCGCAACGCCGAGTCCGGTCAAGAAAAAGCTCAGCCTCAGCGACTACAAGAGCAGAATGAACAAAGCTGCGGTTGCCCGGCCACCGCTAGCCACTACACTGCTTAGGCCTTCAAGTTCGGAGGACCCCAAGTCGGCCACGAGTACAGAGGGCGGCGGCGCCGTGAGCTCTCCAACAGCGGAACGGAATAATGAAACCGGAACGAAATCTGCTACACATACGTGATGCGGGTTATTGAGGAAACCGAGCAAGGAAAAAGACCTTCGCAACGGCGGGTTAAGCACTGTATTAGTACATAGACAGCGAGAAAAGTCCGGTCGAGTGCAAAGACCACACGACACGGCGACGGCTTGGTTTGGCTTGGGCATTCTCATCTTTACTGGCTGCGGTATAGAGCCCGCATAGGGGAGGTTTCTCCGTCTTTCACCTTTCTCTTATCAAGGGGCGGCTATATCTTTAATTCCAATTGGGACGGACGGCGTTTCGATGGGTCGGATGGAAACTAGGGTCGGTTTTCCCGGGACCGGAAATGGTGGGGAAACGCGGTCTCTTCCGGGTATGGCAACTGAATTAGGTTTTGCTTTTGGGGTTCTGGGACTCGGGTTTCTGGGAGCGCAGCTCAGCGGAGCGGATATCTGATTCATTAGCCCTGACTTTTCGATTTGTTTGGTCTGATTGTAGGATTACTCAGGTATCTATCTTACTAGATTGCTCGCTGGCCGTGGAAGCCGGCTGAGTTGTCTTTTGTCTCTTCTCTCAATTCTCAAAAGGAACTTCTACCTTTCGATGATGATGATGGTCATATGATGATGGACTGAATGGGCTCGGACAGCACCTTCTCGGGCCGTCGCTAGTTTTACGGCCGAGAGATAGAAATGCGAGACTGAGTTTCTCAACCTACCAACTCATATACACTGTGGTTCCTTCCTTGTGAGATCGATGTGCCGACCTGGGCATCGTTCTGTGCGAGTGCTGAATGTTGTTGTGGTTGGAACGGGTCTTCTGTCCGTGACATGTTTTGGCTTGGGAGCCTGAGTGCTGTGTGTTGCTGCTTCAAAACACCAAGAAGCCATCTGTTCGCTTTGTGATGATGTCGTTTGGGCGAGTTTTGAAGGGGTGGATAACGGGGTTATCCCGAGACATGCTCGCCTTCCATGAAAGCCGTGAGTGAATGGATCGCAAGTCATTGATATATAGATATTCCGGACTTTCTTATGCAACCGATCTCCTCCAAAGTAACCAACTGGCCCAACATCAACGGAGAGCTTGGGATTCCTATAAGGGTTATGGGTTTGCGGTTGATTCGGTAAGTACCAACCAAGGACTCTGAGGGAAGTCTTCGCCGACAAGGCTGACGATGCATTCAGCAGCTGGGGAGAAAGCAAAGTAGATAAGGATAGTAAATAAACCCGTTAGGGTGCACCATCGATGAAAGAAACAACTTAAGCCAGATCTAACGGGCGTGTGTTTAACCTAAGTAACCTATGACCACATCCATCCCATCCCACCCCAGGAAGTTAAAGGCAAGCAAAAAAAAAACCCAGAACGACCGCACCGCCTCTCCGATCCGCGAGCAGCAAAACAAAGCCTGCCTCAGTCTATCTGAGTGAGACGGCATGTCAACCTTCCGACCGCCGATAGTGTCACAGTGCCACCAAACCAGCCAGCCAGCCAGCCGCATGTCACGGCGCTGAAATGACTGGTGTGAAATGACAAGACGGCGGCGGGGTAACTACTACATTCAAGTTGTCCTAAGTATGTATGTAGATCACAAAACAGCTGACTCTGCCGCAGGAAGAAACCAGAATATCGGAACCTATCTCAAAACGTTCCGACCGGCGTATGTAGAAAGAAAGACCTAAAAGTAGGCGATAACAGGGCCGTCTTCCGCATTAAAAGTTCTCCGGAATTGGCATGGTAAACGGTACAGTGACATATATATATCCCAATTTCTAAATGTCACTGGTTCATGATTCATCATTAAGTATGAGACGATGATAGGTGCCGTCGTATCTGAGAGTTGTTCTAAAGAGACAGATCAGATGGATGGTATCAGTCGCTAGTAGAGAAAACATGAATATCGCAAAAGAGAACGTCGGGGATGGACGCAAATGCGCGGGCTCGTTCCCAGGTATATGATACGTTCCAAAAATAATGTACGCCTGATTCCTTCAGTTGATACCGAAAACTCCTTCAGATTCATCAATGCCAACACCCAACTCCAGAATTACCAACGCCTCCCTTGCCGTGAGGCCGCCGCGTAATCGAATGGCTTTGTTGCCAGATCCCTGTTTTCCCTCCCGCCTGTTGACTGTACTTGTACCTCGACAGTGATTCGGGTGCCTGTACCTATTCGGGTGCCCGTACCTAGGTGGACGGGCCTTCCCCTTTCACGGTCCGGTCCGGTCCGGTCCGCTGCTGAAGTGTGGGGTCGATCATGAGCCGTATTTGACTTGCCCCCATCGACAATACCCATCTGAGTCCCTAAATTAAGCCCCCGTGCCTTGGACGTAATACCCGCTCGTGGGATTAAACGCCCCCATGGAACTGAGCTGGACGAGGTAGTTCCAATCCATCGCCGCCATGTCCGCATCTTGCATTCCCCCGGCGTTGGAGAAGACGTGACCCATGCTGTCATATCCCGGATAGGTCATGGCGTCATCCGTCATCATGCTGTTCGCTGCACTGACGCTGCCCATATGAGGTGCGGTCGTATGCTGTGGTGGCATCGGCTTGCTGGCGTAGATCCCGGCTGACATGTTAGCGGAACCAGCGCTCATGTCTCCGACGGCGGGCATGCCCGCGGCGCTGCCTTGTATGGGTGGCAGCGTAGCTTGCACTGGGACCTGTTGCCCCCCGGACGCTCCCACCATGGCAGCAGCATTCAGCGCCTGGGGGGAGGAGGAGGAGGAGGAGGAGGGGCCCGTCTCGGCCTGCCCAAGGTATTCCTAAGCAGTTGTACAATCTTTGGTGTGGGTATCGTTCGGCCGAGCTGCAACTCTGCTGCCTCGCGAGCATCCCAGGCCTTGACAAAGTAGCGGCCAAAGGCGATGTGCAAGGGGTTGCGGTTGTGGCGTCTCAGCAGGCCGCGCCGTTCGTGGTTCTCGATCATGACATTCCACGCATGCTCGCAAAGTTCGCCGGTGGTTCGATGCCGCAGCTCCGAGACCAGGCAGAGATAGGCGGGCAGGGGGAAGTGCGCGTACGTGTACCACCTGAAACACTGTAACATGGCGGAGCTCTGGATGATGTTGTCATACTCGACCATGCGGAGGGCTTCCATGAAGTAAGCGTCGCGCTCGTTTTGGTCGACATTGTCGGCGTTGGCTGTGCGGCACAGGAAGTCGATGATGCGCAGCTTGCACAGCGCTTGCCGTGTCATCAACACCGTGAAATTATGTAATGGAATCTTCGGATCGCAGTGTTTGAGGTACGTATTTTCCATATGCGAGCAGAACGCGACCAGGTTTTCCGGCAGGCTCTCATTGGCTACGTGCGACACCACGTCGGGAGAAGCAGGGGATGGGCTGTAGTGCACCATCGGCTTGTGCAACGGCCGTCCTCCGGGCGTGGTGATAGACCGACGGACATTGTCGGACGACGCCGCGATGGTGAGCTCGATGCGGGTGAGACTGAAGAGCATTTCGGTAGGACCGGCATAGGACCCTGGCTGACCCTTGGCATGGGGGTTGAGATCCGAGTCGTTGATGTTGAGCGGCAATCTCGTGTCGCAGGCGCACGAAGAGAGAGCGTTGACGGTCGAGCCCGTGATTTCGGCAATGCGCTTGTCGAAGATGACAATCTGCCACCACAGCCGCCTCCGCTGCTCTGCCTCGAACGGCGACAAACCAGAATGCGTTCCGTCTCGGTGGAGGCCTAACCGGGTGGCTATCCTAAAGGCTAAACCGAGAAGGCCGAACATAGATCGGGGGTCGACATAGGGCCGGGCACAAAGCTACCGATGCGTCAGCGATCGGGTCGACGAGGAGAATGATTGTGATTAATGGGAAGTTACCAGGTATAGGAAGAAGGCCTGCAAAACCATCAACTCGGAGGACCGCATAAAGCCAGCATTGACGAGCGCCTGCTGTGTGGCATTATGGAACTTCCCGAGGAGGATCGCCCGGTCCTCCGAAAATGTGCTCTGAACCTCCTCCTCGGTCAGCGATGTGATGGCCGCGAAGTAGATCGAAAACATCAGAGCTTCGAGAGGCTTTGGGATTCTCGCCGGGTTCGCGCTGGCGCTGATGATCTGCGCCTGCAACGTCGGCGCGTGGGTGACCTTGAGCAGCGGGTTGACGTTGCTGATGTAGATCTGCCAGAGCTGGAGTATCTGGATGCCTGCAGGGTGGGCATTGGTCACGCTGGCCGGGGAGCCGCCGACAACGAACGGAAAGCCGTCGCTGTTCTCAAACATGGTATCGTACGCATGATGTAGTGTCGGTCCCTCGTAATCCTCGTCCGAGGAATCATCATCCGGCCCTCGGTACTGCGCGCAGTCATTGGTCAGAGAAAGCCGCCACTGGGGTTGTCATCTCACACGCTCCTAGACGCAGTTCAAAAGGGAAATGAAGCCGTCGGGCAAGGTACAATGAGGTGGTGGCCACTTAGACGCGGGACAGCGAGGCGACATCAACGGAGAACGGGAACAACAAGCGGAGAAGACGCATCTATCAGCGGCGACAGAGGATGGCTTACCTCACGCATCATGGGGGCCCATTTTTGCCTTGCGTGAAGGGTCAGCTATGGTGACGGGCAGGATGACAGCTGGATGACTCGGGGGGCGGGAACTAACTTGTAATGGCCCTGGCCCGGCGAGACATGGTCAGCGGAGCTGGATGGCGAGGTCTTGAGGCCGGTGAGATCGTGCTCGAGGTCTTCCACATCGTCCACGCGGTCGGAGACCTTCAAGTCATGGGCGATGGGCTCGAAGTTGACGCCGTGCTGGGACAGCAGGGACTCATACTTCCGGAGGCGTTCGATGAGGTCCCGCTCATGCGGCTTCTTCTTCCGGCGCCGGGGCGGCTGCGGCGGGATTACGCGGCACTCGACCTGGGCCTTGACGCAGTTGGCACACGGCTTCTGCTTGTCGCAGCGCACTTTTCGCTGCTGGCACAAGACACACGAGTGGCCCCTGGTCAACTTCATCGCCGCCGGTTCGGGCACGGGCGCCCGCGGAGGCGACGGCGGCGGAGGCGGTTCGGGAGGAGGCTGTTGGACGGCCATGGCGTAGGGGGTGTATGGTTATGAAAGGGTCCTGACCTGGGGGTCCGGGTCGGCAGGACTGACGGGCGAGCCCGCTCGGTTCCGAGGAAGCGTGTAGGATCTGCCGTCCCGAATCAGGTGCCCCCTTTCAGCTTTCAGACTGCAGACCGCGGGCCTGGCCCTGGCCCGGCCCGGGGCCTGGCAGTTCCGATCGCTTTTGACAGACCCGCAATACCAGCGGGGTCGAGATCTAAAGTTGTTCGGACGATCACGCGAGATGGGGCCTCTTGGTTCGCCCGAGCGCTCGGTAACGAGTGCTGCGATGACCCGCCGGCAACAACTTTGTTGGGCGAGCCCGGAATGCCGACAGCGCGGGGCGCAGCGAGCAGACGCGAAAAGGTGTGCTTGGCAGCTGGCAGAAGGATGCGGGGTGGCGTACGCCAGTTCTTTGGGATAAAAAAAAAGCATGCGACGATGCGGGTCTCAAAGCGCGGCCCTCGCCCGGATCTTGTTGAAATGCGCAACAGGAGAGACAGCAGTTGCAGTAGGAGCAGCAGATGCAGCAAGTTGCGGAGGGCGACACAAGGAACAAGGGGCCGGCGGCGGCGAGGTGAGGAGAAAAAGAGAGCAAGGGGTGGCACACCTCCGCTACGGTGACCACAGCCAACCTCCTAAATGCCGGGGAACAATCGACGCACACGCCGCTCCCGCCAAAAGCAAAAGCAAACAACTGTGTCCCTGCCGTGCTCTCCCCCAGGAGAACCAGCACCCGCGACGGAGTTAGGAACCGCTCCTCTCCATTTCCGGCATTGGAGGGGTCGAAAACGGTGCAGGAGCCCTGCATGCGTGCTGTCAGCCGGCGACGGCCCGGCAGCCTCGATGAGACCCCAAAGTAATCCGTACATATAGCTCTGGAACAGAATAAGGGGCGTTTCGGGACCGAGCCATTGTCCGATACCATCGCCTTGGGAACCAGCGCCAGCTTGGCTGGGACGGCCGACTTCACAGTTGACTGGATGTTGGGAACTGAACATAAAAGTCAAAAGACCAGATCTGCTCTGCTGCTGTCTGGCATGAGAAACGCTGAGCCAGCCCGTGTTAATTGTAATCCCACTTGCAAGGGGGTTGAAGCGACTCCGATGGGGAAACTCCACGCCAATAAACATCGCCATAACACCAAGGCAAGACATCCATGGATGTCAGACAACAAGCAGAGCCGAGACCAAGAGTCCGGTGCTAGCTCTGAGACTGTCCGGAGGATGGAAAAGCTCAGAGTATGGAATGTATTAGCTGACTTCAGTTTGACTCCTAGATTTGCACCTGGCAGCAGCCGCATCCGCAGTCCACAGCGCAGCTGGTGCGAGGTAGGTCGCAGCTTCCATATAACACACAGTTGCCAGTGCACAACTTGAAGTGGTAATTCAACATGATCACCCTTCCGCCCGTCACCGGGTCATTTTACGGTGACCTCCCAGCATCTCCGTCTTGCAGGAAATTTCGCGGAGCCTGGCGTAACTTAAGTTCCTGCCTCTTCGTTTTCCTTCCCGCATCACATCCGCCTAGATGCACCTCCTCTCCTCTCGCCCTCTCCAAGCGTGTATTTAGAGACCTTGAACTGCCACCGACCCTACTGGTATTCTTTCCTTCGGGGCTTGGCTCTCCTTCAGTTGGTCGACAGAGGACCAGTATTCATACAGAACCAACCCACCGACTGCGGACGCCGCTGGCCGTCTCGCGGACCCTCTCACCATGGCCTCCGACTCACGGTATTCTTCGACATCCGCCGGCAGCAAACAGATCACCCCGAGCAGTGTACGGCAAGCCGAGTCCAGCGATGCCGAGAAGTTGTCGTCCTCGCGCTCGCAGCCTCTCCCGCCGCCGGGTGCAGCGAGCGAAGCAAACGCCCCGTTCAGTCCCAGGAGCGTCCGCTTCTGGCTGATCCTGTTGTGTAACTTCCTCGCCCTTTTCCTTGTCGCCCTCGACCGGACGATCGTTGCCACGGCGGTTCCCCGCATCTCGGACGAGTTCAAGGCGCTGGGCGACATCGGCTGGTATGGCTCCTCGTACATGTTGACGACGGCCTGTGCCCAGCTCGTCTTCGGCCGTATTTACAAGTTCTACGATGTGAAGTGGTACGCCGCCCCCGTGACACGCCCCCCTGCGTGGATGTTGCTCAACCGTGTTGCACAGGACCTTCTTGCTCACCATCGTGGTCTTCGAGATCGGATCGGCAATCTGTGGAGCGGCGCCGAGCTCAGCTGCCTTCATTGTCGGCCGCGCCATTGCCGGCCTTGGCTCGGCCGGCATCTTCTCCGGCTCCATGTTGATCATGATCCCCATGATCCCGCTGCATAAGCGGGCCGCCTTCCAGGGTATATTCGGCATGGTGTTTGGCGCGGCTTCTGTCCTGGGACCCTTGATCGGCGGCGGATTCACAGACGGCGTTACTTGGCGGTGGTGTTTCTACATCAACCTTCCGATCGGCGCCGTAACGTTGGCCTTCATGGTCTTCTGCTGGAACCCGCCAAAGGAGAAGCAGGAATCGGTGAGCCTCAGCGTACATCTCAAGCGACTGGATCCCCTCGGTCTCGTGTTTTTGCTGCCGGGTGTCGTCTGCCTCTTCGTCGCCTTCCAATGGGGTGGCTCGAGGTATAAATGGAACGAGTGGCGCATCATTCTGCTGTTCGTCGTCTTTGCGACTTGCACTATGGCGTTCGTCGGCATTCAGATCCTGAGGCCCGAGACCGCCATGGTTCCCCCCAAGGTGATAAAACAGCAGAGCATTGCGTTTGGAAGTGCCTACACCTTCTTTTTAGCAGGGTCGATGCTGATACTGGTGTACTACGTGCCAGTGTGGTGTAAGTTTGGACTGCTCAGTTTCCACCGCTTGGGCAATTGCTGACCCATGTGTTATAGTCCAAGCTGTCAAGCAGGTTGACCCCATGAAATCAGGCATCTACACACTACCTCTGGTGCTGAGCCTGGTTGTGTCGAGCATTGGGTCGGGCGCCATGATACAAAGGATCGGCTACTACGTCCCTTCGATGCTGATCGCTCCCTCCATCATGTGTATCGGCGAGGGTCTTCTGAGCACACTAAAGCCCGGCAGTCCTACAGCGCACTGGGTGGTCTACCAGTTCCTTGCCGGCTTTGGTTTGGGATTTGGAATGCAGACGGCGGCCCTTGCCGCCCAAGCTGTCCTACATAAGGAGGATGTCAGCATAGGCATCGCCATCAACTTCTTTGTACAACAGCTCGGCGGTGCAGTGTTTACTTCCGTAGGGCAAACCATCCTCACCAATCTGCTCGTTTCCCGGTTATCCGGCATCCCAGGATTCAACCCGAAGACCATTGTCTCGGAAGGCATGACCAACCTCTCCGACGTCTTCCCCCCAGAGCAGGTCGGATTGGTGATCGAAGCCTACAACAATGCCTGCCAAAAGATTTTCTTGACTTCCATGGGTCTTGCCTTTGCGTCACTCCTCTGTGCATTCGGCATGGAATGGAGGAGTATCAAGAAAAACAAGAACACAGCTGGCCCACCCGCTCCTCCGGGGGGCCCCGGCGAGTCACCGTCCACTCAACCGGGATCCGCTATTAGCATCGAATTGCCCATTCAGCGTCCCAATCCCAAGCCAAGTCCCGGGCCGATGCCTGGGAAGCCTTTCTTTGAGGGCGCCGGCGGCGAGGGGTCCGAGTCGTCGTGGTCGAGGGAGGAACAGGAGGGAGGGAGACGGTCGGTGGGGAGGGGGGTATTGAGGAAACCAGCCCCTGGGCAGAGCAATAAGAGGCCCATCTCAGATGGTGGATCTACTACGCTTCCAGAAGAGAGTAAGAGCGTCATGCTGGGTGCAGCAGTGAGGGAGTGGGCTCGGTACGACAAGAAGAAAGACAGAATTGGGCGGTATTGATGTTTTTCCTTTGAACGGTTGAGCGGCCCGAAGCCTAGTGTGGGGGGAAATGGGCAGGGCTTTTATCGTTAGAACTTGCATTTCAGCGACTGAAACGGCGTCTGCTTCTGATTTTAGACGGCGCTGTGCCATCCCATCGACTGCGTTGTGCCCCGGCGTTGCGGTTTTGATCTTTGTCTGGAGGGTATGGGCAAAGACGTCTATCATCTGCATGGTATGCCATACTGTACATGGCTTAAATAACACGGGATTTCCGATTGGCAGCGTTGCTATGTTACGTTCTTTGCGCCCTTTCTTTCCTCGGCTGTGTGTGCTGTTTTCTTCGCCCCCTGCCCTCTCCCTGAATCCTGAGTAGGGTATTGTACCTACGGACCAGGCTAAGGTAGTCTTAGATTGTGCAACAGATCCAAAACGGCCACCAACTTGAAAGCACATACATCTATCGACTAGACCGGACGATCCAGGCAGTCTCTCGAAGGAGCGAGTCCTCAAGCTGTTCGTGGTTTGCAGAGTGGTCTTGTCTTGATTCTGATTCAACAAGAGGTGTGGGTGTTCTAGTACTGTACAAGTACATCTTCTAGTACAAGTTGCAAGGGCACATTGCAACAACTTCCCATCGTCCAGCTCCAGAATATACCTCCATGTACAACCATTCGAGAGTATTGAGATGACAACCCTCCAAAACACCGCCCCATGCAGAATACATACAACATCCATCCATCTCTTCTAACCTTCTCTAGTTAAGTTCCTTTGCATATACAATAGACGGAAGGCAATGCCACCCAAGATACCTAGGGCACGCATCTACCTTAGGTAGGTTTGCCCTTGCTTGCCTAGCCAACTTGAAGAATCCGGAATGCCGTACCATACTGTACCGTACTGTCGTCCATTCAGTCAACCTGCCCCCTGCTGCTGCTGCGGCTTTCTCGCTTTTTGCTTTGTTTTCGTTGGGTGATGGTACTGTGCGGTGTCTACTTAGCTCATGACGAGCCGGTGCCGGATTGGTTGTTTTTCTTGGCATCAGAGTCGCCACTGCTTTCGCTGCCACTGCCGTCAGATGGCTTCTGCTGATGCGCTGGATGGTTGGTGAGGTTATGCCAGAGGGACTTCAGGAAGCCTTCGTTTTTGTGGGACTCGGGGTCGTTGTCGTTTGCGGAAGCCCTAAATGAAAGGAAGGGTCTGGTGTTAAACATCATGGCTTCCGGGGATTTTTACGATAAGCGGGTGGACGGTGTCTGGAGGGAAGGAGGAAGGTCGGGGCAAGGGAGGGATCTCACGTCGTCTTGTGCAGGTTCATGATCCGCTTGGCGGACTTGTCGCCTAGCTCGTCCGCCAGCATCTCGACAAGCGCCCGCTGGTTGGAGCTGAGGTACTTGGGCATGGCGACGCGGAACTCCACCTTGAGGTCGCCCATCCGTCCACGCCGCCCGCCAAGCTTGGGCATGCCCTTGCCCGCCAGCGTCATCTTGTCGCCTGTGTTGGTGCCGGTGGCGACACGGACCTTGGCATCGCCTTCGAGGGTCGGGATGACCACCTCGCCGCCGAGGATGGCGGTAGTGAGCGGGATGGTGGCCGTGTACAGGATGTCCGACCCCTCCCGACTGAACTGCGGGTCGCGCGCAACCTTGACGAAGACGTAGAGGTCTCCGTTGACACCGCGCACGTCCTGACCGGCGGCACGGCCGGTTAGTGGTGCGTCACCCTCCCCGCTGACCCGCAGTCGCATGCCGTCCTCTATGCCGCCGGGGATGTCGACCGTGAGCGTCTTGCGCTCCCTGACCACGCCCTCACCCCGACACGACCCGCATTCGGATCCACGGGGGATCGCGACGCCACTCCCGCCGCAGCTCGAACACGTGCTGGCCATCTGGAACCCGCCCGACATGAAGTGCACGCGCGTACCTGTCCCGCCGCACGTCTTGCAACTGGACCGCTTGGTGCCCTGCTTCAAACCGCTGCCGCTGCACGTACTGCATGTCACCAGTGGAAGCGTTGTAATGGTCTTGCTGGCTCCCTTGGCGGCCTCCATGAACGACACCGTCACTTGCACCTCGATGTCTTCGCCCTGCAAGATCTCCGTCTGGAACGGCCCGCCGCGCCCGCCGCGCCCGCCAAAGGGATTGGCCCCGCCTGTGAATGCCGAGAATATGTCGTCGAAGTTGATGTTGGCGCCGAAGCCGCCCGATCCACCGAAGCCGCTGAACGGATGCCCGCCTCCGAAGGGGTGGCCGGCGCCCGGGCCGGGGCCGGGCCCGGCACTGGGATCGAACCCGGCGGCGCCGAACTGATCGAACTGCTCCCGCTTCTTGGGGTCGGAGAGGATCTCGTAGGCTGACTGGATCTCGGCGAACTTGTCTTTGGCGTTGGGGTCCTTGTTCGTGTCTGGGTGGTACTTCTTCGCCAGGCCGTAGTAGGCTTTCTTGATCTCGGCCGCGGATGCGCTCTTGCTGACTCCCAGCGTGCCGTAGGGGTCCTTTGGTGTAGCAAGTAGTGGCCGGGTTGTGTGGAAGTAGACATGCTGTCCTCTGTGAGCAGCTGCGGGGGAGCCGGAGCGCCTCGCTTGGGGACCAACCCTTGGCCGAGAAACAGACGGCTGAGCCCGCGGTTTTGACGACGGTCGACCAGGAGCTCTACAAACCACCGAGTAGCTTGCGGCAGGGGCGGATCGGGCAGCGCATGGTTTTAACCTCTGGCGACGGCATATTTGCGCCGGGGAGAGCTGCCGGACCGGAAGCGCCGCTTTGGGGAAGATACTCGTGCTCATCGCATCCAATGTTTGCAGCTTCTAGTGATTTGCATACCCGCGACAACCACCAATTCCGAGTCGGCGTCTTGCTGTTCGTTGCTAGCACAGCACGGAAAGTCGTTGCGGCAGGTCTCTTGCCCAAGCTCGGCTTTTGCAACTTCAAGACTCGGCAACTTTTTTTGGGCCGCTCTCGTTGGACGATGGAGGATAAGTCAAGATCGCTTGACAGCCAAAGGCAGATACGCACGGACCTGCTTGTGTCACGCTAGAAACAACCATCACTTTCTGTGGGCCCCGCCGAGCGCGACCCGCGATTTCTTCAATTAATAGCTGCCGGACAAGAAAAGCCGAAGCGCTGCGCGGGTGGTGAAACATTTTCAGCTGTGTACGTAGCCACGACATCAAACTATGAACACCAATGCTCCATACGCCAAATGACCAGTAGCACGATGACATCCATGACATGCAAAAAAGTGCAGGGTATCCATCCCATACAATATACGGAGTACCTCGCTGCCAGCTATTGTTGCCGCATTATCAGCGCTCGAGATGCAAGAAAGATTTGAACTTCCCGGACCCTGTGTCGTCGTCTCGTGTGCTGCATTATCGCTCGGGTTCTTGATGTACATCTGTACTCCGTCGTAGCCTCGCCTTCGAGATATTCTGGCTCCGAACCTTGTGGAGGAAGTCGACAATGATGTCGTTCTCTTGCACGCCCAGACCATTGAAGTGCTTCCGCACCACATTGGTCAATTGGTCCTTGGTTTGCCTGCGAAACTCTTTGCGCCGTGCGATTGTCGGCGAGTAGAGGCCAATGCTTCCCGGCTGGGTGAGGACCCATTCGTGGTGGTCGCTGACGAAGGCGGTCGGCGTCTTGAGCCGGTAGGCTCGGCGGTAGGCGTGCAGAACGTCCCTGTCAAAGGCGGGCCATTGCAGCTGTTTGAACGGGGATAATGTCAGTAAATGGATCACGCAGGAGCGAATAGGCGATGGAAAGAACTGAGGGATGCTTACTCCCGGTGTGTTGGCCTCTGGTGCGTTGGCTGTCGAGTCGGCAGTTGCTGTTGCGTTCACAGCGCTCGCGTTTGTCACCTCACGCAAGTTGGAGCCCGCATTGCTCGCAACCCGCCGCATCTTGGTGCCAGCCTGGGCCCCGGTACTGCTTCCATTCTTCTCTTTGGCGGAAGCGTTGTCCGCCTTCGGATCGTCCTGACCGCTCCGAGCGGCTTTTGAGGGGGCCATGTGGAAACCTGGTGGTTGCAAGGAGGCTGGTGTTTCTGCAGGCAAGTAAAAGAAGCCGGTATGTTGTCCGAACGAATAAAATCACATCCTACGGGACAGGATGCGGGAATGTGCTGCGACGATGCGCTGTAGGAGTGTGCATTGGACCATGGAGAGGGACGGGCCTGTGGAAAGAGATTGCAGCCCTGTGTCACAAGCGCAGGATACCCTGAGCTCTGACGACAGAGGGACAGGGTGGGTGGAGTACGAGGGGGGCACGGACCACCGGGTGCCTGGTGGCACAAGAACCAGCTTGCTGGGTCACATTTCCTCAATTGCCCGGCCTGCCGTGAAAGGTTACGCCACCGGGCCGCCATTCGGTAATGTCCCAAGCCAGCTTGATCCGACAACCGGTGTCAGTGATCCATGACTTTCCTAAAGTGATCAGCATGAGTATCTGATGAAAGTGGAAAGCCTAATAAATTCACCATCCTCGAACTGCTGAACTTCGACTGATCTCTCACCGCGCGAAGTGGGGTAGCCCGAGTAAGGATTGCCGGACGGTAGGGGCGGCCCGCAAAGCCTAATCACTTGTATTGAAGTTCAACAAGGGCGTTTGGTCGCATTATCAGGGATAGCATTGCTTTCGGAAGACAACGGATGGAGAGGTCTACGGCCCTGAATTGGTGATCCGGCTCCGATGTTAGCGGGTTTTGAATTTACGAACATCGGAGGCAGAATTGATGACATGCTGCACTTACCACTGGCTCACCATCAGTAATCTGCGCATCTGCAAGGTGCTCGGTTGAGACGTCGCCATGGCGGGGAGCTGCTCAGCAAAGACGGGAGGGCTTGCTGTATGCAGGTGTCCCCTTGGGCCGTCTCAATGATCTCCTATGTTCACTGAGCCCTTTTCTGCAATGGAAGACACCTAGGTACATCAATTCCAGAAATGGGAGGATCATCAGCTTTCCCATGAGAGTTGCCCAATAGTTTAACGGTGCTGCCACTGTTTCAGTTCAGCCTCAGCGGCACAAGTAAGACACTTCAGCAACTCGTTCTAGTTATACCCCTCCTTCTACGTATGTGTGTTCATCGTATACCTGGAGATAGGCGCTCGATCCAAGATGGAATATCTCATTGCGCTCCGGATTCGAGTGAGGGTTCATTACCTTAGCAAGGATTTCTGGTACGGATGAGCATATGTGCACACTAACCACCATGGAACTGAAGACTCAAGTGGTGAGTTCATCTGGTTCAAGTTCCGTTTTGGTCGACCTGCAGCTGAGAGCCTGCCGCTAGAGTCACCGGTGGCCACCGCACATTGAGCCCTAGGGCTTGGCCTGGCAAATCGCTGCGCATCAAGACTGGTCAGGCGCTGTGGATGGGTTTGACATCCCAATATTGAATATTCCACCAAGCATCAGTTCTTGGTCTGGACGCAGAAGGTTGGGGAACGTTCCTCGACACCCCACGCCGCTGACGACAGTTAAATGCTCCGCGACGATCTCATACGAGCATCTCTCCCACACCGGCGTGGTCCAGGCTCGGCCGGCGATCTCAACGAAGGGACCTGGGAGCCGGGCCGAGGTGTCAGTGAATTGAAGCGATGTATGTATTGTTACGGTACATACGGATACACGAGCAGTTTGACATATAGCAACTTCCGGTTTGGGGCCGATGACACGCTGCTTCTCTGACGATTGAGGAATGCAGGCACTTTCCAGCATCAGGCACTCATCAACCCATTCGGACACGATCGGTGGAAAGCTCTCGGTCAAGGCACTGGGCTAACCGTGTTGGATGTTCGGTCTTGCGGGTGACCACTCAAAAACGTACCTCCCCGGGCCGTGGAGCTTTCCCATTTCGGGTGACTCCGAGGAAACACAAGTTTCTCAACTAACGGCAAGACTATTGGTCATTCATCCAGGCGGTTTCAAAGAGAATGCCAACTTCGAGCTAGATAGTTATTAATGGGCAAAATAGCTTGGCTGGCGGAAAGCAATGCGAAGAACTTGAAATGGATCCCTGATGAGGCTTTTGCTTTTATAACAGTACAAACAAGTGGAGATTTGAAGCCTAATATGCGCGCTCCGCCAATCAGGCGAGCCTTCCCCAGTCCCCACATTCTCTTTCAACGAACCAATTCACCCCGACAGGGTTACCCCTGTGTGATTCATCAGCCAAAGGAGCACCCCACGCCGCACTCTTGCCTTGTCGTCGCTCGAGCATTCGAGCATGGAGGACTCGAGAGCCCCCGAAATGGTCAATCGCTACGAGTGTGGCAAGTTGAAGCCAACGCTCAGCAACGAACAAGGTGGTTAGCAACTCATTCCTCGGGGTGCGGAACCGGACCCCAGATGTGAAGAACAGGCGGAGAAAGCGGGGTGACTCCGCCGTCCGGTTGGGCATGAGATGGAAAGGAGAGGCCGTCCTAACTATGTCATCCGCTGGGCAGCACCGAGAGCCGCGTAGCGCCCCAAGAGCCGTCCCCGTACCGTCCGAGAAGATACTTCCTGGTGTTGCCTGTGGGATGGCCACGCACAATTCGGAAAGGTGCCTTCCACAGGCAAGGACACTACAAAACCACATACACTTAGTCATGCTGTCCTTGTGACGTTAGTAGCCTTTGGTTGTCAGCCCCCGCCTGAACCCCGGATGCCCTAGGTACACAGTCCCAGTCGCAGAGGTCAAGACGCGCCACATCCAAGCATGAAGTGGATCATGAAGTGGTGGCGTCTTTCTATTGTTCAAGAGATGAGCAACGACCGTCTGTGGCCAAGTCGCAATTCTGGATCGAAAGGAGAACCTCTGCGTGCGTTAGCAGATCCCGCCTTTGTGGAACAGTTCAGACTCGGGCATCCAGTGTTCTCGGTAACTCTGGATGCGTGCCTGTGCAGGACCTTGGCCGGAAGTCGAGACCCCGCTCCTCCGAGCCGGCTGCAACATGGATGCTCCAGATATCTCCAGCAGCCGGCCACGCTCCCGTAGGCGCGCACCAACCCAGAAGCAAGTCGATATTAGCGAGCATGTGGCCGCATCTTGATGCATCTCACCTGCAGCGAAACACAAAATGGGGGAGCAGGTACGCAGACCACGGAGGAGGCCGCACGGGTTAGGTTGGGCTAACCCACCCGTCCTCCCGGCCCCTGGTCGTGAAGTGGGTGGTCGCCTTTCCTCAATTCGGCTACGGCAGAACAGCCTGTTGCGGCCGTCACCTTTTCCACACGCTTGCAGGGAATAAGACCCCCACACTCCCGTCCTCTCCATCTCTCTTCTCCCGCTCTCCCACAACATCGTTTCCCGACCCCGGGAAGCCAAGGTCGGACAGAGCTACAGCATCGACAAGAGCTGGGGAGACTCAGCAGACGCCAGATCGCGTGAAGACATTCCATCTCTGGTCAAGACGCGCTGCGTACGTACGCACCAACACGTTGTTTTATGACCGGTCACCGCGAACACAGTCGCCAACTCTCCAGGCACAGTATCTATTAATATCATCAGCGTGCAAACCGGTCCCCTGGGTAGCGAAGGTTCCCAAGTGCGTCTCCTTGCCAGGTATGCAGCCGCATTTTCCTTTTCTTCCACGCCTCGGTCCGTGTCGGTCCTGGAGGCCCGGATTCCATTTTCGACCCGGCGTTGTCAAGATATTTTCTACCCACCGTCCGAGTCCCGAAGACACGTTGTCTCCGAGAGTGATGGTGCCTCACGGACTCGACCTGGACAGTGCGCAGATGCCATCTGCGCAGCTTTCTGGAGCTGGGCTGCCGAGCATAACCCCAAACCCGCAGCATCGAAGTGCAGCGACCTGCAGCAAGTTGCACTGAAATGGACGGTAACCAACGGCGTGGCATTGTTGGCTGCCCAACACTTTCGATCCCGCTGCACAGAGTCTTCCTCGCTTCTGTTGGCTCGTTGCTTCGTGGTGCACACGGAGGGACCACCAACCGCTCATGCGAAACAATGGACCGGTGGAGATGATTTTTTATCCCTCGCCCTCCCTTGTTCTTCTGCTCGAGCCCTGTCCATTGTGGTTTTAAGAGCTCCACCCGAGCGCTTGGTCCACCGGGTCTTGCGTGCAGTGTCTTGGCGCATCCCCTCGGCACCCCTTCTCCACGACCGGCCCACCTCGCCGCACCCCGGCCTCTCTGCCCCCGCTCCTCTCGGCTGCCCAGGCCTTTACCAATCCGATCCAATGTGCGCCGGGCTATTAGCGAACCACTTTCCGTTGATTTTCCCGCAACGAGCCGCTGTCATCCAAACTCCTGTTCCTCGCTGATTTTCTGATAGGAACTGCTTAAACTCACCCTTTTCTCACTTGGGCTACCCTGCAGAAAGCGACAACTTCCGTCCAAGTTCTTGGGACGCCGGTCTAGGCAACCTAACCTCGGCTCATTCCATCTCCGATACTACCTGCAGCATGTTCAGCCGCGTGCTCTAGCCATGATACCCTGAGCCCATCCGAAGCTTGGTTCCGGTGAGGTTCAGACCGATTCTGACACGAGTATCCTCTCCGGTGAGGCATAGCTAGTCGTTCCTTCCATCCGTTGCGATTCAGGATACTGTGTCGGCCCCTATCCGGCGTCGCCCAAAGCGCTGCTTCATTTTTGAGATCTGGAACAGAGCCTCCGTCTTGACTGGTCTGCCATCGGTCCGTCCCGATTCGCCAACTTCTGCACCGGAAGATTTCCAGTGCAGGGCTACAGCGTAACCTTAGAAATCTTCCTGCGAGACGGCGGTCACGAGCCGGTGTCACCTTGATCGTGCGACAGCCCTAGACAGTGCCGGTGTTTGCCGATGGGGTAACTGGTCTGAGCATGGCATCGGTTCTCGCTTCTCAACCAAGTGAAATCAAAGCGCCGGTCCCTGCCGCTCGATCCAGACAAACCATGCCGCCACTTCAGGAGACGCCCTCTCCGGACAATGTCAAGCAGGAATCGGAGCCTGAGCGGGGCCGCCCGCGCGGCGGATCTAACGATAAGGACGTAGAAGGCCTTGACCTGGACGATGTTGATGATGGCGAAGGCGGAGGGGATGCGGCGCACTCCTCCAACTCGGAAGGACCCGCCCGGAAGCGGAGGCGGAGCCGCAAGGGACTAGACAAGAAGTTCGAGTGCCCGGAGAAAGGCTGCGGCAAGAGCTACTCTAGGGCGGAGCATCTGTATGTCCCCGCAAGCAACGGCCCGTGCTCGACGATGCTAACATGGTGCAAGCTACCGCCACCAGCTGAACCACAACCCAAAGCAGGTCTACAAGTGCGGGATCGGTGACTGCCAGAGGACATTTGTCCGCCTGGACTTATGTAACCGCCACAAGGATCGCCATACCGCCAAGGGTTCAGCGCTGAATCGTAAGGACTCGATGATGAGCCAGTCATCGCCAGTAACGGACCACAGGCCACCTTTCCCGCCGGCTGGTTCCGCATCTCCGGAACTCAACCGGCCAGGGACCGCATACACCAAGGGTCGGTCGATGTCCATTCAATACCATTCTCCCAAAGATGCAATGGGAAGCCCCTATACGCCGATGACCAACACGCCCCCAGCAACTTACGCGAACGGGGCGCCCAACGGCGTCGACTACATGCATCATGATCCAAACTACACCCACATTGCCCAACGGCCGCCGCATCACTCCCCACCCGGTCCGCGACGGCCATCGGTTCAGACGAATGTCGGCCCGTATGGCGTATTATCTCCCATCTCGGCGCAACCTGGCTACCACAGCCAGCCCACAAACACGCCCCAGTCGGCCCACGCGATGCCGTTTGTCCCGCCTCAGAATTTCCCCCCTTTCAGCCTTCCGCCGTCCGATTTTGCGACGTCATCGGCTGGGACAGTAGCCCGGGATGAGCAGCAAGCCTATGCGCCCTCGACGTCGGCCGAGTACACAGATCAGCAGCCTCAGGCGTCCGGTGAGATGATGCTCCTGGACCAGATGGGCATGCAACAGATGATGCCCGTTTTCGGGAGTGATAGCATCCTTAATAAGTCTCCCTATGTTGCAATCCCTGAAGACTTCGTGGCGTATCTCTTCAACACTCATGGCGAGAACTCACCCATGACTGGGGTTCCGATTCAGGGCTACAAGTGAGTCTCTCGCGACCCGCGAGATGTATGTGCTGTTCTGGCGCTGACCCTACCACAGCTACGCAGACATGTCGACTCAGTATAACATGCCCTACTATAACGATCCCAACCAGATAGGCTATTTCCCGGCGTCAGCCGGGCCACAGCAGGTCATGTCCGTCACCAACCTCCTCGATCAGGGCCTTCCCGAGTCGATCATCTCGGAGGAGAAGAGCGCCGAGATATTCGAGTTCATTAAGGAAAGATTCCACGAGAACGGTCATGCGCCCGTTGAGCGGCAGCGAGACACCATCATCGAGGGCGACCGCAGTGATGATAACCACATCCTCAGCCGCAGGATGATGCAGGAGTACATCAAGTCGTATTGGGACCATTTCAGCGACCAAGTGCCCATCCTTCACAAGCCGACCTTTTCGCCAGACAAGACGCCTAATCTGTTGCTGATAGCCATGATGACGATCGGAGCTGCGTGCCTGGACAAGGCGCATGGGCAGAAGGTCACAAAGGCGGGCGCGCAACTCTCTAACTTCTTGGCGTGGCATCTCAGGTGGGAGATGTTCCAGGACCCTAACTGCAGGCCGCCCGCCAAGCTATGGGTGTTCCAGACGCTGTTACTACTCGAATTATATGAGAAGATGTACTCAACGAGGGAACTCCACGAGCGGGCCCACATCCACCACGCTACCACAATCACACTCATGCGCCGCGGAAGGGCGCTGATTGGAAAATCAGCCCTCGACTCCCCGCCGCACCCCAGGACAGACGACAAGGCAAACGGCTCTAGGCAGTCGTCGACATCTGGTGCCGCTCATACCCCCGAGGAGTGGTGGAACCATTGGGTCACCAACGAGACGACGCGACGGGCTGCGTTTGCAGCGTTCGTCATCGATTCGATCCATGCCACCATGTTCGGCCACTCGACAGTCATGGTTGCCCACGAGATGCGCTTGCCCTTGCCCTGTGATGACAAGCTGTGGAAAGCCACGAGCGGTTCGGAGGTGGCAAGAATCGAATCCAACCTCATGTCGGTGGGAAACAAGCCCATCTCGTTTCTCGAGGGGCTCAAGCGGACCCTTAGCAACCAGGAAGTGCAGACGAACTCCTTCGGGCGCACCATCCTCATGGCTGGTCTTCTCAGCGTGAGCTGGCACATGAACCAGCGCGACCTACAGATCAATTCACTTGGCGGCGGGGTCTCGCAGGCTCTCGGCGGGCGGGATAAGTGGCGAAGCACACTGACGAGAGCTTTTGACTCGTGGAAGAGCGACTTTGACAAGACATTGCTCCGACGCGGCAGTGTGTCGGCGGATCCCTACTACGACCCAAGCAACCGCAACGAGGCCGACGTGGTGTTCGAGAGCCGGATCGTGCTGCACCACCTGGCGCACATGGCAATGCACGTGGATATCGTCGACTGCCAGATCTTTGCGAGGGCGAAGAGACTGCTCGGCCGGGCTATCGGCCCTCAGGACCTCAACAGTGCGCAGCGGCGGATGAAGGACATCTGGGCGCCGTCAGCAAAAGCCCGCGATGCGACGTACTACGCGCTCAAGTTCCTCCAGTCGGTCATGCTCCCGGACACGGTGCAAACACCAGGATCGAACGGCGGATACGGGCGACACGAGGAACTGTATTCGGCGCGGGACGATGTGCTGCTTAATAGGCCGTGGGTGCTCTACTTTGCGGCGCTCGTGGTCTGGTGCTACGGGTTCGCGCTCGAAGGGCCCAGCCCGACGATCCCGATGCCGACGATGCAGCAGGACAAGGTGCGACTGATGCGCGAATACCTCATCAAGTACGGCAACGTGTCGTCGCCCGAGGAGCTCAAGTCGATGAAGGGCATCAGCCACAACACGCCGCTGCTGATGATGCTCAAGGACACGTTTGGGGACTCACGGTGGGAGCTGCTGCACGAGGGAGCCACGCTGATGAATAACTGCATTCTTCTGAATGCGGGGCAGAACGTGGTGTAGGTGTATACTCCGGGGTGCTGATGACGGGAGTTGACCGCCCGGTTCGCTACCTGATATTGCTGTATACTTGATAACGGGGGGCGGGAGGTCATCTGCTTTTCGCGAGCATGTGGTGGGAAAGGTTGGCGGATTCACAACAAAAAAAGAGATTTATACCCGGGAAGGCGAAGCATGATTTCAGCGAAGACAACATTTCGGCGGTGGCATTATTCTTCCTAGTAGCTGGACGTTGTTGCTTGACAACAACCCCCTTTTCTGCTTCTTTTGGTGATCTTATCTTGGCTATACCCCTTTTCGCTACAAATTTCAAGTACAATACATGAATGATACCTGTTTGGATCGCTTCAGAGGGAATATAAGGAGGGGCTGTGTGAAATCAATCATGATCGATGCTAAGCATGTGCGTATGGGTACTACCGTTTTACCACAGCCTCACTACCTACCTTATGTGGCGAGACTTTGAGAGCAAGCATACGCGCTCGGTCATGATGTCTACCGAGCCTGTGACCCGACACAAGATAGGATAAATATACAAAAAGCTCACCACCAAGCTCCCCTTCGCATTTCAGCTTCAAAACACAGCAGTGAGACAGAGGATTCCCGCGGTGGGGGTTACACCTGGAGTCTGGAGATTGTCCACGGATGTTGATGACATGCTGCCTACACTCTACCCTTCTTATGGCGCCTGGGACGCATTCCCGGACCTTGAGTGAGATATGACCTGGTAGCTACGTCGGTCGGATGGTGACCAAGATCTATAATCCAGCTCCGATGGGGATTGTATGTGAGTAATACAGCTTAGACCGCTTAGTCTCGGTTCACGGACTTCGATTATCGTAAGCATACTTCTGGCTAGAGTGAATACGGTGAGTAAAGTTACGCCGTATAAGAGGTAGTATGACTTTCTCTGTAGGCCTTCAAGATATCCGTACCTACGTCTACGGAAGAAATACTGGTTAAGTACCTTATTCGTATGTACCATAGCGCGCCACCCGGTTCGGAGAAAACGGTTGCAGGTACGATTTCGTAGTGTGAAAACTGTCTCAGACGAAAATAAGATGGCGTTCATTTTGGCAAACGGCAATTGCTAATGCAGGCCTGTTTTAAAGGCTTATGACCATTTTCATAAGGACCCCACTTTCTTCCTGGAATCTGTTTTCTCGGGAAGGCTGTTTTTGAGTCGGAAAATACTAGGGTAAAACGTTACCCCCACCTACCTCTCCGTTTTCTCAGACCGTTCTGAGGAAACGGAGGTAGGTAGGTAATCTACGGTTCTACGATTCTACGGTTCCAGGGTTCTATAGGTTTATAAATCTATAGGTTTATAAGTCTATATAAAAGAATAGCTAGGCACGGGTTCGGACACGGAGCTACGAGGTTACAAGTCTACGCGGTTACCATTATACTACGGCACGGCAATCACATTCATTTAAGAGTGCCGGGTAGGCGTCGTGGCTATATAGGAAGGAAGGCACGGTACAGTCCCCTAGGTAACCATGGCACCTTCCTCTAACTATAGCACCCGGAGTACCTGAGCCAAAACAGAGTTACGGCTCTAAAATGGATTAGGGCTCGAAAACAGACTTACGGCTCCAAAATACATTGGGACTCGGAGACAGAACCCTTAGTATATGACAGTCTTCTGGGCAGACACCGTTATCATAGCAAGTGTGTTATATAGAGCTGAACTTGATGTATAGCTAAATCAATGCTGAGGACAGGTTGCAGGTCGGAAAACGCTTCCTTACGGAGGTGCCTGTTCCACCAGGTTAGAATCATACCTGCAATCGTTTTCTAGAAGCGGGTGGCGCGCTATGGTAATTCCGTTGTCGTTACTCGTGGGTCCGTGCGGACCTTGCTCTGAGGTCGTAGAATTAAGGTGCCCAGCCAAGACCACTAACCAAGAACGGCAATAACCACCATTGCCCGGATGTTCACAACTGCATCCTGCACTGTGTCGGAGACTACACAACGGCGTCCGCAATCTCCGGAATTCTCAACCCTGCTTGCCATATCAACTTGTCAACCCTGGATCGACTTGCAACTCAAATTCACCAGCTCGGCATAGCAAGTAGGTCAAGTCTTTTCGCAAGCATGGCAGCCTTGACACACCTCCCACCGGAGATTCTGCACGCCATCCTCGGCTACGTCGATCCTGAAGACCTGGCCAGGATATCAGTGACGTGCCGATGCCTGAACAACTTCATCAAAGGCAACAATGCGCTCTGCCGGGCGGTATACATGCGAGTCATGGTACAGTTATTTCAAAGCTCGATGCTCAATGAGTCCTTCGACAGGTAGCTGACGTTCTCCAGGATGAACCCCCAACCAGAGACCTTGACTTTGAGCAGGAGCTCCACGATATGGTCATGCTCAAGAAACTCTGCTCTCCCAGAGATAGCACAGATGACAGTGACTTACGAAAACATCTCCCTTTTGTCTACCGCACAGTCACCCGTCTGCTCAACCACGCCACCAGGGTGGCCCCACCTCCTACTACTAGCATCCCCAAGATCAAGGCAAGCGCCGCCGCCAGTTCTACCTCCGGCTCCGGCTCCAGCGCAAGCCAACCCACCACCAGTACCATGCTGCGGCAATCCCGCGCGCAGACCTTCCCTGTCTCCCGCAACATGGCCTTCCTCACAAGGGCCTTCGACCAGCCGCGCGCCCGCGCCAACTTCCTCTCGCGCTCCTACCTCTACGAGCTCGGCCGCGGGCTGATGATAGACGGCTGCGAAGCGCCATCGCCCGCCAACCATCACCACCATCACCACCACCGCCGCCACGGGTCCCAATCCTCCTCCCATGACGTCGACGATGATAACGACGACGACGAAGACGAGGCCGTGGCCCTTGAGCACGCGTCTATACCGCCACCGCCTATGCTCCCGCCGCTCCCGAGGCGTCGCACCCGCTCCGAGACTGGGAAGCGGGTGCCGAAGCCGCGGCGGGCCAGTGAGTCGGAGACGTACCAGATGAGTGCCAAGCTGCACTGTCTCTACGGGTGGGGACTAGGGCTTGACGACGGGGTGACGCCCGGCGCGACGGACGCGGAGGCCAGGAAGCGGGCGGTGCGGCGTGCGCGGCAGGGCGGCGGGGCGTACTCGCTTGCGTGTTCCAAGGTGTACGACCTGCGGGAGTACACCCTCAGCTCGAAGTGGGGGCCGTTTATGGAAGTTGTTGGGACGGTTGATGCCGACGGTCGTCCCGGTGGGCTGCGGGTCGATTGGGAGAAGGTGGAGGCCATCCTGCTCGTGCTCGGGACGAATATTCGGTCCAAGGGGCTGGAGCGGTTCCCCATCTTTTGGCATCTGTGGGGAAGGCCGTTCGCGGGCGTCTGGGGTAAGAGTTACATTCCCTGGTCGAGGGATAAGGAACAGAGCAAGGAGAAGGAGATGAGGGAGCTGGATCGGCAAGATCCGTTCGGTATCAATGGGAGCTGGTTGAGGGTCGTTTCTTTCCTTGGTGAGTTCGTTGTAACCTAAAAAGGGGCCCACGATATAAGAGGCGCTGATACGACAGGGACAGACTACAGCGACTTCTTCAGCTTCAACTTCCCCATCGTCGACCGGGCGCCCAACAATCTCCCCCGCGCGCCCCTCGATGCCAGCCAGGCGACCAGGCTGATCCTGATGCGCATCCGCGTCACCAAGATCGAGCCCGCCGGCGCCCTCGACCACCCGGACTACCCAGTGGTGCACTTCGATGGCTTCTCGCGCTCGCTGGACGGGTCGTGGGACGAGAACGCCGATTCAGACCTCCGCGGGACCGTGCGCATGACGCCCGAGGGCGAGGTCCGGTGGACGTCGGTCTCCATCTTCGATGGCGAGGAGCGGTGGAAGAGCGAGGGTGTCCAGCTTGGCGGGATCAGGTCGGCTAGGGGCGTTGTGGGGAACTGGTTTGACAAGTATGTCATGCTCTACCCAATAAGAGGGTGTTTGTCTCCCGCTAACTTTTCACGTGTCACCAGGGACTATAACCCGCAGGGACCATGCGGGCCGACGGCCTACTGGAAGATCTCGGACCGCGAGTTCTCGAGCGACGACAGTCCGCAGGTGCTGCTGGAGGACCTTTTCCCGCTGAGTAGGTTATTTTCTGGCTTGCTTTCTTGTCTGTGGACGTTTGCGCGCGATGCTGACGCTTTGGTGGCGTGTAGTAGCCGATGATAAGGACGGTTATTCAGATGACGACTATGACGAATCTGCAGAACAGGAAGGTCTGTATGGCCCGGACGCTTTGGGGGACTGGGCCGATGAATACGAACTGGAAGATGAATTCGGTGACGACTTGTTTTACATTGATGAGGAGGACATGCTAAATGCGGTTGATGAGGAGGATGCAGAGGATTATTTAGATGAGGACGAGGAGGATGATGATGATGATGATGACAGCAACCACATAGTCTAGTCGATATGCGGCCCGGAGGAGAAGCAACAAACAGGGGAGGGAAGTGCAGGCACCTTACTTACTCCTCTCTCCCTCTAGCATGGTAGATTGCTGAATATCGATTTCTGCTTAATCGTGTCTGCTACTAGTATCGCTCAGGTGATACCGCACCCAGCCGCTACTATAAACCGTTGTTTAGAATCTCAGGGGCATGTAATACCGCACGACTTACATGGCGACAACCCAGCAAACCCAACTAAAAATCAACCAGCCATCAGATCCCATCCATCTATCGTCTATGGGTACGGTACCTATATACACGCCTTGGGAGACCTTCAGTCCTGCAACCCCTGCAACATCACGCCGCCCCTCCCCATCCTCCCACCCAACTTTCATGCAATATCAAACCTTGCTAGCAGCAGCAGGATCGGTATTGACCTTGCCGTGCTCACAGGTCGCCAGCACCACACCGTCAGTCGCCCGCCGCATCACGCCGCGGAGTGCGCACAACCGCTGGCCTATCTGCACGATCTCGCTGTTGGGACCACAAGGGACAGAGTGTCGTGTCGAATGTCAGTTTGTTTTCTTATTTCTCTTTCTCTTTCTCTTTCTCTCAAACAACCAGAAATTTCCAGTTGGTTGTTCGTCGTGTTATGTAAGGTAATAAGGTATGTAATGTGTGTGTGTGTGTGTATGTGTTGGTGGGAGGGGAAGGGGGGAGTACATACCATTCGATCAACACAGTCGTGCCCACCGGCGCTGGGCGCAGATAGGTCGTGTTCAGCGTCCGGCTGACGCCCAGATAGGACCAGTAGCCTGGGCGGGAGACTAGGGCTAGCGGGGTCGAGGTGCAGAAGTCGAAAAGGGAAGCTGTGCAGCCGCCGTCTGGAACAAGATGAACAGAATGGCACCGGGTGTTAATGAGTTGCCCCCTTTCTGTTTTATTAGGTAGGGGGTGGGATGGGGAGGAAGTATGTATGTACATACGGAGGCTGTTCAGGCGGTTGCAGTGCTGCGGCTGTACCGTGAAGCTGAAGGTTACTGAGGGCCGGGCGGGATCGGACGAGACGGTGTGCAGGGCCAGGAAGGGGAAGAGCCGCTGTGTCCATTCGGGTTCCTGTTGTAGAGAAGGAAACGGCTATTGTCAGTTATCCATGGATCGGGTCAGGTAAGACACTGATGGGGTGTACTTGACTTGAAGTACACAAAACTGTAAAATTGACCTGCATTCTCTTTGGAGACGGGACGGGCGGCATCCTCGGCGAACTGGCTGATCAGCTTCCGGACACGTTCCTCGCCGGTGAGTTGGAGGAAGGCGGCCGCCTGTTTCTGCGGTTTTGTCTGTCGTTGAGACATCGCTGAGTTTGGAAGTTAGGTGAAGAACCTAAGGGGGGTTTAGACGTCACGTATAATAAACGTTGGGTCGGGTCTCGGTTCTTATATGCCCGCATAAATCCAGGTAGTTGCTGTGTTACCATTCAATGCACTGGCTCATAACGTTATGGCATCTTAAGCAATTCTTCACTTACGTGAAGTGTAACACCAGATAACGCCGTTTCAACCCGTCTCACAATGTCATTCAACAACATGCAGCCTCTCTGAAGTTCTGAACTGAATACTTCTGTTTATGGAAGCCCCTGGCTTATAAGGGTTGCCGCTGTGGAGCTGTCACCCCGCGTGCTCCATCTCGCCCCTATCAATCTGAATTCCGGGGTGATGGATGTGCCTCGGCATCGGTAACTACCCCTGCTCTTTCGCTTATCGATTGGGCAACGACCTAAGGTACCTTAGCTGACCGCAACTGGGCCCAGCGCATCATCGATCACATTCATCAATCTTCAGCTGCTTCTTTCCTCAACCTCCTACCAAACATTCCATATTGAAACTTGACGTCGTGAAATACCAATGCCACCATAAATAAATACATCACAGAAAACCCGGGACACGCCCACCATGGAATTCATGCTCGCCTCGCGGCACACCTTCGACGAGGGCAAGCCGTCGCTCTTCGAGCTGCTCTCGGAACAGCATCTCTCGTCTCTGCTCCCGCCGACGCTGCGCTACCTGCTGACGGTGCTCACGCACCGGTACCCGCGGCACCTGCTGCGCGTGCTCAACTCGTTCGACGAGCTGTACGCGCTGCTCGCCCTCGTCGTCGAGCGCCACTACCTGCGCACCCGCGGTGGCTCCTTCACCGAGCACTTCTACGGCCTCAAGCGCGAGAAGTCCCTCGCCGCCGAGATCCCGCGCGCGTCGGCCGCCGCGCCCGGCGCCGTGCGCGACGCGCTCCGGCTAAGTTCGGGGGATGTGTGGCGCAACCTGGCCGTCGTGGTCGGCGTGCCGTATCTCAAGAGGAAGCTTGATGAGGCGTACGAGGTGGATGCGCCGCGGGCGATGCTGGGCGCCGCGTACAACCGCGCGCCGGGCGCCGGGGCCACGTGGCGGGAGAGGTTCGTGTATTGGGCGCGATGGTTCCTGCGGAACGTCTACCCCAGCGTCAACGCCGCGTATTACTTTGCGCTGCTGGCGTTTAATCTGGCGTATCTGTTCGACAACTCCAAGTACCACAACCCGTTCCTGTGGCTGATCGGGACGCGGGTCAGGAGGATGAACGGCGCGGATTACCGGGCGATCGAGGCGCTGGAGGAGAAGGTGGCGAAGCGTGGCGCGAGCAGGACGCTCGGGGCGCGGTTGCTGGCAGGGTTGTCGCTGGTCCTGCCGACGAGCATATTCGCGCTCAAGTTCCTGGAGTGGTGGTATGCGTCGGACTTCGCGAAGCAGCTGTCGAGGAAGGCGGCAGAGAGTTTGGACCTGCCGCCGCCCGTAGTGACGGGGCTGCCGGACGGGCCGAAGAAGGCCCAGGAGAAGGAGAAGGGCGCGCTTGAAGGGGAGGAGGTGGAGCTGAGCGAAGAGGAGAAGGAGAGGCGGGCAGTGGAGAAGGCGCCGATTGCCGCGTCGTCTCTTTTACCCATCTATACGGTCCCCGCTCCAGAAGACTCGGAACAATGCCCTATATGCGAAGGCGAGATCACCACGGCGACCGCATGTCAAACGGGAGTCGTCTACTGCTACACCTGCATCCACAAGTGGCTTACTGGAACACACCCGAGGCAAGAGAAGTTCATGGCTACGAGGACGGGGAAGTGGGAAAGCGGCGAGGGCAGATGCGCCGTCACCGGGGGGCGTGTCTTAGGCGGGACCGAGGGGCTAAGACGGATCATGGTCTGAGGTCCTTGTGCTTGGGTTGTATTGTATTGTACAAAGTAGCAAGCGTTGAGGAACATGGGTCTTGCTTGCATCACCATGGCGTTATGGGAAATTGGGTCTACGGGACCGGGATGCTGAATTGTATAAGAAAGCTCTAATTCTAAGAGATGGGCGCCTCACTTCTATAATCTATACGTCTTGCCGGCTCGCGCCATACATCTGTCGGCTCGCTCTAAGCTCTTAGCTGGTCTACAAATCCACAACCGTCACCGGATTGCGCAGCTTCCCTGTATTCCCATACATGACCGATGCGTTGGCCATGAGCCCACCGTGATTAGTCCCCGGTCCAAGCATGATCCACTTCCACAGGATGCTGTGGACGCCGTGGAAGAGTACCTTGAACGCTTCGACCCACCGCGCACTCGGTATTAGATCATAGAAGAAGCCCTTCGCGGGCATCGACATGAGCGACTCATAGGCCAGCTGGCACTCGTCATAATAGGCGGCTTCCTTTCCGTGACCCCAGTGTGCATGGCCGAAGACGTGCAGTCTCGGCTTAACCCGCCAGATCTCGTCGAGGAGGCTGCCACAGCCTATTCCGAGGTCGAGGTGGTGGCGCTGTCGACCGTTAGCCACTCTATCATTACATGTAGTGTGCATACAAGGGGAATACCTACCGGCGGCGTATGCGTCACCAAAACATCCGTCTCGTCGGGGATTCTCCACGCCCACGGGTCCTTCTCCCTCTCATACTGAAACCTGCCCGCATCAAGATCATCAGCCATCCCCAACCTCCCGGACTCATCGACGATCGACACCGGCGCCGGGTGGAAACTCACGCGAACCCTTCCCCACACCAAGGCACCGCCCCCCAGCCGTACACATTCAGCCTCCTCCCGCCCTCAAACTCGAGCTTGACCATGCGATCACAGAGGTACTCGACCCCGGTAAAATCCACCTCGACGCCCTCCCCGTCCGTCATCCCGGCCCTGACGCTCTCATCCAACCAGACATCGTGATTCCCGCCCACGACAACCTTCCGCGGGTGGCTCAAGCCCTTCAACCAGTCCACCTGCGCCTGAACCTCCCTCGCCGTACCATGCGCCGTCAGATCGCCGCAATGGATGAGCAGATCACCCAGGGGGATCTTCTCGGGCGGGATGGTCTGGCCGTGCGTGTCCGACAGGCAGACGACGCGGATGGGCCGCCGGCCGCGCGGCGGGTGGAAGGGTCGTCCCCGCAGGGGAAGCAGGACTAGCCGGTATGTGAGGGTGATCAGCCATTGCAGCGGCGAGGTCAGCAGCCAGTCAAGGGGCGTGGGCCACTCCCAGGGAGAGGAGCGGCGCAGGTGCAGGGCCTGGAGGAGGACGGTTACCAAGCGGGTGAGGTGGGAGAGCATGTTTGTGGCTTTTCACTTTTTTGCTATGTTATGGAGGGAGGTGGAAGGGGAATCTGGTGAGTTGAGCTGGTGAGGTCAAGGTTGGGTTGGGCGCGTTGCGATGCCCTGTGTTGATTTTTAGTCTGTTCAATGTCGACTGAGGGAGTCCATTGCTTAAGAAAGGTATGCGGTAGGCCCTCAAAATCTGGAAGGATCGACTACGAGGGACTCGGAAAGGAAGGTAGACGGGAAGATGTCATGCTGCCAAATCCGCTGATATGGGAAGTCGTAACCAAGGAACGGCAGAGTCGAGTGGACCCTAACCCTTTCGTAGTAGGAGATCTCCCAGACTCCTCAAAAGGCTCAAACATCGGAAAGATCACATAAACATCCAGGCATTGACCAGATGATGCTAGGTGACAGGCTACACGAGGGCGCGATAGACGACCTGCTTCCATTACAGACTTTGTTCAAGATCCTCCCTAGGTCTTCGTAGTCTGTAGTGCGGTGACTCGTCTCAGTTGCGTCACCCCGTTCCGGACCGCGATGAACATTCGAGCGCAATAGATAAAGAACTTAAATGATAAACAATGCTAACTAGCATTATTACTTAGGTATCATTCTATATCGTTCCCTTTTCACTGCAGCTGTATCCCAGTCCTTTCCTATGTGCCCCTTTTTTTTCGTCTTGCTCCCTCCATTACAGTATTTGGGGAGACAAACAGCGTCCATAACCAAAAACCAGAACGAACCTCACCAGATGCAAAACCCCCAAAATCATCGCAAGTATATCACCGGAAACCAGACATTACCCTCATCAGGACATCCATCCAACAGGAAGCAAACAGATTCGAAGAAGAAAAAGAAGAAGAAAAAAACTAGTCAATCCTCCTCCGATACCCAGGCTGGCCATACTCAGGCGGCTCCTCCACCTGCACGAGCGGCAGCTGCATCGGCACAACAGGCGGCGCCACACTCCCAGGCGCCATCATCCAACTCGCCATCCCCTGCCTCATCACATCACCACCACCACCACCACCGCCAGCCAAGTGTTCCCCAGCCCGTGGAACGTGCAACAGCCTAGGCCTCAAGTGCTCATCCGCCTCGGCCTCCTCAAACGAGGGCAGCGCCCGCGTGCTGCCACAGCTGCACCCGCACAACCCTTCGCCCGTGTGCCCTTCGACGGCGATCTGCAGCGGCACGATGAGCGACACGGTGTTGGTCGCGCCCCGCGTGCTGGTGTGCAGCGTCAGCTGCACCGTGTAGACGCGTGAGGCGAGGCAGGAGTGGAAGGTCGGCACGAAGGTCCTCTTATCCGTGGGGAGGGAGAGCGGGATTTGGAGGGTTGTTGTGTGCTGTTGTTGTTGCTGTTGACTTTGAATTTGGGTTTGACTGCTGTTGCACTTGTTCTTTTGTTTTTGTCTGTCGCTTGGGCTAAGGGGCACTCGGAGTTGTTCGCCGCAGCCGCTACTCCTGCTGGTTGCGGCCTCGTCGCTGCTGCTGCTGCAGTACCCCGAGTCGCGGCGGGTAATGGGCGGTGAGACGGGCGTCGTGATGGGCGTCCACGCCGGCTGCTCGGCGAGCGTCACGGCCGGCAGCGGCACCGAGCTGAAGAACTGGCCGCGGCGGTCGAGCAGGTAGGGCTGGTTCCACTCGCCGATGTTGGGGAAGGACGAGATGGTGCCCGAGGCGAAGTAGGTGTGCGCGGTCAGCTTGGCCGACACGGACGTGATGGTCGGCGGCAGCGTGCGCGCCGACTCGGGCTCGAAGGTCAGCTTGACGTGCGCCATCGGGTGCGACATGACGCGTCGCCCGTCCCGCGAGAGCACGGCCGGGCTGGGCTGCTGGGCCTCGGCTGTCAGGCGGCCCAGCTTGGTCGAGAGCAGGTTCCGGCGGAGCATCTTGGCCTTGGACATGCGGTACAGCTTGTCCCTGTCCGTGATGTCGAGCGGCGGCTGTTGCGGGGTCGCGGGGAGCACCTGGATCGGCTCGCTGGCCTCCATGATACGGATCTTCTTGCTGGAGACGGCGTCGTCGCGGAGGACCCGCGCCTTGACCGCGTACTCGACTTTCGCCATCTTCGGACCCATATCGTCCCTCTGCCAGCCCCCGAGACTGGGAGGCAGGAGCACGTGGTGCTCTTGGACCTGGTCCGAGACCTCGTGGCTGCATGCGTTGATGGTGAGCTCCCTCGGGATGACGAAGTTGAAGGGGAGCGTGTACGTCCGGCCGGGCTCGAGCACTCGCGGAATGGGGTATGTCGATTCCGGGATGGGCATGATCATCTTTAGGAAGATGTGCGAGACCTCGTGCGGCACGCCCATGCCGTCGAAGCTCGTCTTGGTCTGTCCGAGGAGGATGATTTGGATCGAGTCGAAGCTCACGTCGCGCTTGGTTGTGATGGTCACGTCGCCCGTGACGGTCGACCCGGTCGTGTACACCTTGGACCTGTAGTGGTCTTTCAGGTTGACTCTGATGTCGGACATGGTGATCGGCGTCTTCTTGGAGCTGGATGCCCGGCTGGTGGCGCTGATGCTCGAAGCTGGAGTCGAAGCCGAAGGCGAGCCCGATGTCGACGTCGAATTCCGTGTTCCCGCATAGCCGGGTGTTCTATCCAGAAAGAGTACAGACATGGTTTCTGGGTTTGGGGGAGAAATCCCCTCGGAAGAGCTAGGAGTAACAAAGGGGGAGAGGGAACAGCTTTCTCAGCTGTGATTGTGTTTCTCGTGAAACCAAGCCTGTCGAGGGTCTGTGTAAGTGTGTCGTCCAAGCGGCGTAGCAGGCAACGGCCGAGACAGATAGATGTCTGGGTAGGTAATCAAGGGATACGAAGCTTAATTCCACGCCTGAACCAACATGGCGGCACAATCTTTGTTTTATAGAAGCTATCTGGATTCTGGAGCTAAGGGACAGCCCTGTGACTGACACACGGCGGTTGACTCACGACACACGACAGGGCGCAAACATAATGCAGTAACCCCAAACGAGACAAGCACTTGATTACGGTAGCAGTATAGTTTATGGGGTAGCCGAGCGTCACCATTGCGCGGGCACCCTTCTTCCACAGACACCTCATCCATGGACCATGGATGCTATGCTGATTTGGCGTGCTTCGCGGAGCCCGCCTGATGTCAGCCAGGGGCTGATTGGCGAATGCGGCACGAGGGTGTCTTGGAAAGAGCGGGATGCGGCCCTGCACAGACACCCATGCACCCAAGCTGCACGCCCGTGTCCAGGCGGAAGTCCGCTACACACCCTCCAGGGCTGGTCTTGCCGTCGGTTGGCTTTTTCTCCAAAGCCACACGCTCGAGAATGCTCAATAGTCCAAAGGCCAAGTTCTCGGCGAGCGAAATAAGAGAATCACTGCGCACCCGTCATGACCCAATATGCTCTGTCCAAGGCACTTTGGAAGAGTATCGGCTTTCCCAGCAGCAAGAAGCCCTCCTGGGCAGACTCATCAGGCTCGAGCCAGGGCGGTGTGTGATTAGCGAACTGAACAACGAAAATGGAGGATCTGAAAACGGCCATCGACGGAGTTACGACTCCACCTTGATGGGCTAGCCCACGCGGTTCCTTTGAGCTATGTAAGGTTTGTGGCTTGGCATTGTTGTCGCTTGTCTGAGGAAAGGCGTGCACTAACGTCTAAGGGTTTGAGTCCGGTCATCGGATGCCCAACAGCGTCAGCGTCCTCCTGGCAACTCGGCACTGCATGTCAAAATGGTTCCTAATATGGTATTGGCCGGGGTGATCTCGATCTCTGGCCTTGAATAACCGCGTTTCCCTCGTGCCTTCACACGCTGTCTGATGTCTGATGAATCCGGTGTCGGACAATTGGGACCCGAGAAACTGGGAGACATCAAAAGTTCACGTTTTCCGGCCTTTGATCGCTCAATCGGTGGACCACCTAATCCAGCCCTGTCACCTGGGGGCCCCGCACCCCGCGCTCTCATCTCGTCAGAGAGCTTTTGACACGAAACGAGTTGACTGGACTGTCGATACTGATATAATGTGCTAGTAGCTAATAAGGTAAGCAATAAGCTGGTTGGAAACGAAATGTTAGTCTTTCCATGTCTTGATCAAACGGCGTAATCGAAACACATGCCGGCCATGCTTGATGCCGTATCCTACATTATGTAAACTCCTCTCTCTGCTGTACAATAAATGCCCAACTCCGTGAGACCCCAAGTAGTGGAGGTACGCGTGTACATACACGTAACTGTCGCTCGCTACCCGTCACCTTTGGGAGCTTAGTGTCTGGCTCGTCATTTGCGGAGGGTGGTCAGCTTGTGGTCGACGGAGCGCAGAGTGCATTGTTGGAGTCATCCGGAGAACTGCCCCGCTTTTATAAAAGCTATAAAAGAAGATTTGCAGAGAAACCCCACTCCTACCTCCCGCCAAGGCACGGGATCCGGGATCAAACGTTGCGCTGCCGGCAGCGTTGCCGGCGTGCATTCATGGGGACCTCAAGCTTCTTACGGTGGTACCCTTATTGAAAGATAACAAAAGCCCGCATGGGTGGGAGAGAGCGACGCACGTAACGGAGTTTGCCTGTGTACGTGCCTGAGGATTCTATGTAAAGTTGCTATGATAGTCTTGCCAAGGGATTGCAAACCTGGAAGTTAAGGACGTGATTCAGACGATGATCTGCGTCCAGTGACGACAGCCTGGAGAGGACGCGCCTTTCCTTCAACATTTTGTCGTCTCGGTTCGAGGCTTGGGGGGACCGGTTAAGCGAATCTGATCCCTGCAATGGTCCCAACTCCGCTAACGTTAATCGGTTTGACGGGAGAGACTTTGACGGCTGAAGGCCGGCCCGTGTTGCTTTGTCAGGATGGCATTAGTAAGCGTTCCTGGAGGGTGAGTCTTGCTGTCGACTTTTTCCCTCCCACTCTCATCAGGCTATTTTCACGATCCCAAGCCTGACTAAAATGTCCTTGGTGAGGCTGTGAAGCTGAGCGTTTTCGCAGAGGATCCCGAAAGGGCATTGCAGCGCTGGCTTCCTACTAGTGCATTGAAGTTGTCGGCATCGATAGCTCCGATAACTACCTTTTGTATCCAACACCCGAAAATGACAACATCAAATGATCCTACCCTGTCTACCTCTTGATGCTCCAACACATGGTGTCACAACCTGAAACCAACCATGGACCATACATGCACCCTCAAGATTGACCGAGAAGATGTCTGTAGTCCTCTGCAGACCAAATGCAAATAACCCAATGCAGACCGCGTTTCAACGCCCCCGCATCAGTCGTGCCAGGAGATATACAGCATGATGCCCGCGCCAAGCAGGACCGCAGCAAACTGCTGCAGGGTCTTGCGCAACTCGGCCGCCTTGTTCGGCCCGGTCTCCAGCAGCTCCGGGATGACGGCGACCGTGCCGACGTAGAGGAACGTGCCCGCGGTGAAGGGCAACAACATGTCGCCCCACGTCAGGCTGGTGCCCCAGAGCCCGTCGCGCATGCTCATGGCGGCTCCGTCATCGCCGCCGTTGCCGCCAAGCTCCTGCACGGCAATGCCGATGAGCGTGCCGATCAGGGCGCCGATGGCGGTGACGAACTGGGCGCCCATGGCCTGCCGCTTCGAGAAGCCGGACTGTACGAGCAGCGCAAAGTCGCCGACCTCGTGCGGGATCTCGTGGAAGAAGACGGCGACGGTCGTGGTGGCGCCGATGGTGGGCGATGCGTAGAAGGAGGCCGACATGGCGAGGCCGTCGGTGATGTTGTGCGTGAAGTCGGCGCTGTCAAGCGTCAGCATGAGTACCTAACCGTCTGGAAGCGAAAGCCGGGGAGTCCCGATCGATGACACGTACATCATGTTCAGTATACCGCCGAGCTTCACCGAGGGGTTAGCATCAGCCGCCTTTCCCTTCTCCGCGACTTCCCCTTCCCCTTCCCCTTCCCCTTCGACCTCCTTCTTGCCCTTCCTCCGCCTGACCTCATGGCCATCCCCCTCCAGCGCAGTAGCCTTGCCTCTTCCGTCTGCATCCTGCCCGTGCCCGTGCCCATGCCCGTGCGAGTGCCCATGCGAATGATCATGCCCACCACCGCCGCCGGTAGCGATCCTCAGCGCCTTATCCATCGCCACAAAGACCAAAAACCCGACCAGAATGGCAACGCCCAGCAGCAGATTCCGGTTCGGCTCGACGAGCACGAACCGCGCGCGATCCGCCTCGTCCTCCCCGAGGAAGATCTCGGGCAGCAGGTGGAAGAGGGTGTCACCCAGCAGGCCGCCCACGGCAAAGGCGACCATGACGGACAGCGAGGACGGGTCGATGTGGGTCGGGCACAGGGCCAGCAGCAGGTTCGGCGGGCCCGAAATGTAGGCCGTGGCCAGCAGCGCGTTGACGGCCGGGTGCGACGAGGGGAAGAGCAGCGCGAAGAGGCGGGTGGTGAGCGAGGAAGGGGCCGCGGCGTGCGCGGTCGCTTTCGCCGCCGAGAGGGTGGACACTATCGGGCATTGCTGTTGGAGGACAAGAAGGGGAGGGGTTAGTTGGTTGTTTGGATTTCAAAGAGGAGGGAGGGGAAAGGAAACGGACTTGGAGCTGGTCATCTAGCTCGGAGAGGGAGAGGGTTTCAAGAGAGGGGAGGTCGTCGCCTTTTTCTGTAGAGGTTGTGCTGGCGCCGGCGAGGTGCACGACGGTAAGAGTCGCGAGGAGGAGCAAGACGGCGGCTCGGGAGCGCCGGAGTTGGAAGAAGGCCATTGCGGCGGTTTGAGGGGGGCGGCGGGCGGTTGGGTTGCAACCCCGGAAAGAGAGGCGTCGCGGGAATTGGCAAAGAAAAGGGGGCCCGTGGTGTGGTGGAGCTGATCAAGTCAGCTTGTCGGATTTGGAAGGAGGAAAAGATGCCAAGACCCGGCCCGTAGGGCTGACCGGGAATCCGGGTCCCCGGGACGGGGTTTGGGTGTGCGGGTCCCTGTTGCTCGATTCAAACTTTTAACTTGATCATGGTCACATGCTCATTAGGTCTTCCACCGCGTAAGAGTGATACCTATACAAGGCAAAAGTGCTTACATAATGCTGAGCAGGCTGATTGCAATCCCCGCGGAAGAACTCCAAAAAAGATTCCGGGCTGCAGCTAGACCCGCACAATGGAATGTCACAGCACTTACAACTCCTAATAAGTGAGCTTCAACAAGCACAACTCCAGGATTATCCAACCCAGAGATCACTGAAGAGAAACCTTCCACCGGCGGGAGTGTCTCACCAAACCGCCAACATTGCCGTATGCTCCGGCTCGCATATCCGCCACCATGATCCCCTTCAGCGAAACCTGCACGCAGTACCTTACCGGTAAGGGATCGAACCAGCCTTGGATAACTCGTATGGGTGGATAGGTAGGTGATGGGCCATGATGACGGCTATACCCATGGCACGGTTACGCATTCTGTACAATGGGGACTGATGGAAGAGCTAAGGAACGTCTTCGTGCTACAAATCGACCGCTTTAAGTACAGATCCCTTGCGTTGCTGTATTCGAAGCTCCAGGCCCAGCCACTCCGCGATAATAAAGTTTCGCTGTGGTACGAAGCGGAGCCTGCTCTCAAACCTCTCCATTACCTTAGTAATTCAAAACAAGAAGACCGACCCCTGCCGGACCCCTCACATCGCATCGCACGCCTCAGGCTCTTCCACCCTCCCGCCACAAGAAATATCAAAGAGCGGCCCCTTCGCCAGATCAGCGCCCACAATCCCAAAACTCGGCTGCGCCGTGCCCTTGGCCGAAGAATCCCGCAGGGTATACCACCAGACATTCTCGGTGCCAAAAAAACAGCGGACACCCCACGTCATCCCAAAACCGCTTCGCATTCTCGGCCGACGCAACGGCCTCGTTCTGCTTCTCCCCGCTGACGGGCCACCCGGTCTCGGTGATCCAGACCGGCTTCTTCCCCCCCGCCGACCCAGCAGCGTCGGCGGCGGCCGCACGCGTCTGGTTCAGCGCCAAGTCGAACAGGTGCTTGCCCTGGTCCACGGCGTTGGCCTGCTCGCGCTGCCAGTACGAGTAGGCGTCCATGCCGAGCCAGTCGACGGCCGCGCGGACGCCGGCGGAGCTGTCCGCCGCCCAGACCGCTCAGGTGTCGACATGGCCGATCGGCGTGCGCGCGAGCGCCGTGCCGTCGAGGGACGCCCGCACGCGGTGGATGTAGCCCACCAGCGTGGCCGGGTCGAGGCCCGGGTCTGTCTCGTTGTTGGCCTTTGCCGTGGCGCTGTTGCGGTATAGGTCTTCGCTGCCGACCGAGAGCCCCACGACGAGGGCGGTGAAGTTGGCGCCGTAGGTGTTGATGGCGGCGTGGAGAGCGGCCAGTTCGTTGGTGACGCCCGCGTCGCCCGCCGAGCACCATATGCGAGCAGGAGGGAGGTGTTGGTGGCGATGGCGGCGGGGATGGCTGAGATGACGTCCTGCTTGGTTTGGTGTTGCTGACGGAAAAGAGGAACGGGTTAGTATGGTTCCCGGAGGGTATTGCCGGCGTTACTCACAACCATGGTATACAGACGGGCACTGGTGAATCCGTCATGGGGCGAATTTGCTAGGCCGCGGGCTGTGTTGAACTCATCCTCAAAGTCCTTCTGTGTCCTGGGATTCCCGTCAGTGAAGAATGCGCCATAGTTGAAGCCCAGATGAGTCGCAGCGACAGAGGAGAAGGCGGCGGATAGAACCGCGAAGCTTCCCACGTCGATTTTCATGATGAGAAGCGGCTTGGCGACAGGGAACGAGTATCTAGTAGCTGGTCGGTGACTGAGTGCGCCTTGCTGGTGCTGAACTATGTTGACCATGAGCTGTCAGGGGTGAAGATACAGGGGAAGGATGCATTCACAAGATGCAGCGAGGCAGGGCATCTATAGGCATTCAGCGGTCGAGTCCAGAGAGGTCACTGGTCACGCAACAGATAGCTGGCAACTATCGTCGAAGCAAACAACCAAGTGTGCCAGAGCAGCGTTACTGGAGTGCAGATGACAGACCATGTACACACTCAAGATAGAGATGGAATGTCAGACACAACCGATGACCCGGAAGACCCAGAAGACTTATGTATCAGAGATATCTCGCTTCAAGCAAACGGAGTCGGACGGAGGCGAACAGAGAAGACCATCCGATGGCCTAGCAATCCGGATCCAACTCAGACCAGCAAATGACCTGGAGCTCGGATAGTCATACGGGACAACGTGACAAAGGTCCCGGCTGATCATGATCCTGTTGTTTGAAGCGGTGCTACAAGAAGCCATCACGCCAAGTACCCTAGGGAAAGGCAAATCCATTGAGAATCTCCTGGCCTTATTGGAACTATTCCGGTAGTTACTACCTTAGTGCTCGAGGCAGATTCGACTGGAGCCAGGGACCTCAGCCATTGTGGAACGCTCACTTCCTGCCAAAGCATGGGTTTCACACCGGCACCGACACGTCTCATCAATACCTATTACCCGTGAGCGTATACTGTGTCATAAGGCGGTGTGTAATCCAGTTGTTTCATACTATGCCTCTGCTCATTGTCATGAGGTGTCTATCGTTCTTGTTTCTACTTCATTCCCCACATTATCAAATGGCAGCCAACAATTGAACGAGTCTGACAAAGTTCAAAGCAGTGATTCATCGAGTACCAGATGAGTAACTAGACTGTTACTGGATCATGACTTTGGCCCCTTAGGTTGATGTGACTCTGAAGTTTGGGTAGTAGGCTGCACTCACTTGGAGTGCCATGATCTGTCAAGGAAGGGGATACAGAGAACCGGGACGCTACACAATGATTTGGAGATGGTCACCCTGGCCACGCCAACCAGATGCCAATTATGGCAACTTGGCAGACGACTCATATGCATATGATCTCTCAATATCATCTGAGACATTTTATTAGGGAATTGAAGTGGGTGAAGCCAATGCAACTTCCCGCTCACCCCGCATACGCAAACTGGAGGATGGGCGGGAAAGCCCCGCATCAAAGGAGGGTCATGAAGTCATAAACCGATGATCCGAGAGCTGCATCATTTCTTGCCGTGCCTCAACGCGAAACATACCTGCTCTTGTCTGTCTGAGACGCAGGAGTTCGACTTCGAGCAGGTAAAACGGAAAGTTAACTTCACAGCCATTGCGTGGCATACAACAACTACGTGTCTCACCTTTCCAGAGCCGCAGCAGCCAGACCACGCGCAACTTCCTAATCTCATCAGCCCACCCGAGGAAACCTCACCAACTGGAAGCTATCAACACCGACCACACAACTTCACTTCACCTACCACCAAACGAAAAAAAAAAAAGCGAAACATGTCAGCCTCCTCGCCGGAACAACAACAACAACAAACCCAACCGGCCCCCTGGCGCGACCCCTTCCTGACGCACCTCTCCCGCCTCCGGGGCCCGCCCACCTTCACCCTAGCGACCCTACACCCGGCCACGGCCTCGGAGGCGCCCTCCCCCGTCATGCCCTGCCTGCCGCGCGCCCGGACCTGCGTCTTCCGCGGCCTGTGGGCCAGCCAGCCGCTGCCCGGCTACAAGCCGGAGGAGCACAACAGGGCGGCCGTCGCGCTCAACCCGCCGCTGTACGAGTCGGACCTGCCCGTGTTCACGACCGACGCGCGGACGGACAAGGCGGCCGAGATCCTGGACTCGGCCGGCGAGGACGAGATCGCGGCGTCCGGCGGGGCGTGCGGTGGGGGAGGGCCGGTGGAGGCTTGTTTCTGGGTTGATGTCCCCTCTTCATCATCTTCTTCTGGGGAGGAGGGGGAGGGGGCCGGTCAGATGATGGTGAAGACGCAGTGGCGCATCAGAGGACATGCGTGGGTGCTGGGAGGGGATGTGGATGCTGAGGACGATGCCGGGGCCAGGAAGGTGAGGGAGGTTCTTATGCGGAGGATGAGGAAGAAGGTGGTGGGTACTGGTAGTGGTGGTGGGGGAGAGGGTGGTTGGAGCTTCGCGAGGGAGGTGACGGCGCACTTTGGCAATCTGAGTCCCTTGATGAGGGGGTCATTCAGGGCGCCGCCTCCCGGTACGCCGGTGGCGTATCATACCGACAAAGGCGAGGCGTTGGGCCAGAGGCTGGATGACCTGGAGGACGAGGTCGCGAGGAAGAATTTCCGGGTCGTGGTGATTGTACCCGATGAGGTGGATCAGGTGGATCTGAGCGATGAGTTGCGGCCGAGGCGGTGGTTGTATGTGTATCGTGGTGAGGCGGCTGACTCGAGGCTGCCCGGCGGGGAGGTCATCGGCGAGTGGGAGAAGGTTGAGGTGTGGCCTTAAGGGCGTACAATAGTGAGTATGATATCGTAGCTAGGGTTAGTCAAGACAGCATTGGTTCGGGTTCATCATGTGTCCCCGTACGAACGACAGCCGCATTGTTCACCGCAGTGCCCGGCCGCTTGGGTATGAGGTTCGCCCCCTCAGCAACCGACGTCGTCAGGAACACAACCTCCGCAGTACACAGTAGTTAGTAGGTAGCGTACAACAATGCACTAGCGAATCCTACGCGGTGCGCCCCATACCCTATCCAGTAAGGTTGCATCTGGTAGTGTAGGATTCGATGATTCCCTGGGGCAGTCGTGACCTAGTGTAGTGTACTCCCTGACTCTCTGTATCTCACGCGCGTTATTTTCCTTGCTCACATCCTGGGCTTGGCTCCAGCTGTGCATCGACACTTCGAGACGAGATCGACGCGGAGACGGGAATTGTGCCGTGGGCAGCCGTGTCACCAGCGGGGCGCCTTCCGATCGCGAGAGGAAGTGCGGCACGACTCAGATGACCGTCTTTTTTGGAGCCAACATCCGCAGGAACCCAGGCACTATCAGGGTAGCCCTCGATTGTCCGTCGCCCAAACCACTTCTGACAATGTCTTGTTGATCGAGTGAGTGATCGCCCCAAGAGGAGGTGGATTCACTTTGTGTAACGACTTCATGGGATCTACCTATTGGACGGTCGCCCCAGGATAGTTAACAACACATAAAGGTCAACAAGCCAACAATTGAGCCATCGAACCTGCTCCCGTCAATTTACCACCTAAGCACTCGCCACGGCACGCACGTGTATACATACCCAGTTCCACCACCCTCGTGAAAGCCCCGAATCGATGAGCTTTTGATCCTAGACGTACACAGTAGGTAATTCGGACATGGCTTGCGTGTAGGAAACCAAGAGTTCCTGCGCCGTAGTCGAGCACGGTGTTCGTCCAATGGGACGTCTTGTCTTCTGCAACATCGGAGTCAGGTCCGTTGCCTGATCCGAAGCAGCACGTGCCGTCACGTGGGAGGAACTGCTTGATACCGAACAAAAGCACGCAGGATGATCCTTGTTTGGTTGAAATTGAACGAAAATGAGGTCGGGACCGACTGCCGGTTCCACAATTCCGCAACTTCTAGAGATGCTATGTATCCGTATGTTGAAGACTCTACCTCACTGACGGGTTGCCTCGCTGTCAAGCACTTCAGGAGCTCAGCCACCGCCCGATAGTTGAGCGATACGATCTCATATAATGCATAGGCATCCAGCCTACCATATCATGCATATCAGGAAGACAAAACCGGTCGGTTCCGGCAGAACTTGTTGGCGGCGGTCAGGGAAGAAGACTTGCCAACTCAGCCCGGTTTCCCGTAGTAGTACGGAATATGTCCACTTTTATCACTTCTCTGGTGACGTCTGGGCTGGGATGGCGGGATGGAGTGGCATCCCGGACGTAGGTTACACGCATATCAGTGAGCGTTGCGCCTCTCAGGATTGAGAATTTCAAATAACGCTAGCGGAGCCGACCCATCCCCCCAGCTTACCCTGGGGTCCCATGCATTCGGTAAGAGAGATAGGCACAGGCACACAAACAAGCGACAGCATTTGAAGCAGTGTGGCGGCAGACAACTGTGCTGCAGCGGGGGGAGCCTTTTCCATTGCGGCATATCAGGAGTCTGTGCCCTGTCTCCACGAGCAGGTTCATCTCAAGATTCCAGGTTCTTCCGGTTTTATTACCTTGCCTCCCTCTTTTCACTACGCTCTGCCGCACGTTTCTCCCCTTTGCAGAGACATCCCGCACCCGACCGTTTCTGAAACCCAAAGGCTACCATTCACATACCCGTGCCGCGAGTGTGGTTTCATCACAATCACATTGTGCATGCAGCGACGCGGCAGTCCCCGCTATTCCCGACAGCCGAGCAGCAGACAAAGAGAAACACCACCACCAATCCGACGTCATAGCAGCAAAAAGCCGCCTACAGCGCCATCGACCTATTCGCCGGACACCAGACAGAACCACCAAACACCACAGCATTGGAGATACTGGGTTCGGATAGTGGAGTTCACAATCTTCCCCGCTCGTCCCCTCTTCGGAGGATGACGGGTGTGGCTCCGGCCCTGGAAAGAGCGCCGCTATTCATCGTCCACGATGGGCTTGCACTCGGATCCGCCGCCACTGCACCCGTTCAGCGAGGACAAGCCGACGCTGCTGGTGTGCTGGTGGATCACCAGCTTCTGCGCCGTCATCATCACGCTGCGGGTCATTGGGCGCTTTATCCGGACCGAGAAGCTCTTCAGGGAGGACAAGACGGCCGCCCTGGCCCTCGTGCCTCTGTTCCTGCGCATGGGCTGCGTGCATGTCATTCTGGTGTATGGCACCAACAATGCCCAGCTTGAAGGAGCCGGACTCTCGGAGGAGGATCTTCACATGAAGTCTATCGCTAGTGGGCTGGTTTTGCTGAGCAGGGTGCTCTACGCCGCGACGTAGGTGTGGCCGTTCTCTCTACTGACGCTAGTCTGTTCCCGGTTTTTCTCCCAAGCCTCTGCTGACAAGTCATACCGCCTGCAGCCTCTGGATCCTCAAGTGCGCCATCCTCGAATTTTTCAGGCGGCTCAATGTCAACTGGCGACGGACTTACGACCTGGGCCTCATGTTTCTGCGCGGGGTCCTCATCACGACATTCGTCGCCGTCGTGATAAGTGACCTGGCTGAATGCCAGCCCTTCTCCCACTACTGGCAGGTGCTCCCGGATCCAGGGGGCCGTTGCCGCCAGGGATACGCGCAGCTTCTGACCATGGCCGTCTGCAATGTTCTCACCGACCTGATGCTGGTGTTCTTCCCGGTCCCCGTCATCCTCAGCAGCTCCATGAGCGCTAAGCGCAAGCTGCAGCTCGTGCTGCTCTTCTCCCTCAGCCTCGCCCCGGTCGCCGTCACCCTCTACCGAGTGCCGCACATTATCGAGAAGAACGGAGGTCAACAGACCCGGTCGTTGTATGCCTCGGTCGAACTGCTCTTCGCAACCGGAGCGGCGAACGCCTTGGTGTTAGGATCATTCGTGCGCGACAGGGGCGTGAAGAAGAAGAGGTTCAAGTACGACTCGATCGCGGCCGGCTCCGTGGACCGCTCCTCTGCCTCTGACACCCGGCGCCCAACCGCCTTGAGGCATTGGGGCAGCGACGAGGATTTAGTCCGAGATATGGGATATGGCGTGAAGCCGGAATTACGAGATGTGAACCCTTCGCCAACCGAGAACCGACAATACTTCCCTGCCCCGGTGGCTAGCCCGCCCGGGGACATGAACTCATGGCAATTCCCCAGACAGGGATCACCTAGCATGTCACGGAGCGAAGACCCAGGTGATAAGTCGACCAACAGAAGCGATTCGTCCGCCACGCACCGGAGGGTGTCATTCTTCGACTACGGTGGTCTACTAGACGACCAGCCACTAGGGAAACGGCCTAGCACGTCCAGCGACCAATCGGGCCCACCAATCACCACACCTGATATAGCAGTTCCCGCAAGCGGCAGCGGATTCCGGAGAGGATCGGTGGCCCTGCTACAGGACCTCGGCGGGTTTCTTTCACCGTCGAGCTCAAGCCCCAGGCAATCGAAACCAAAGTCCAAGGTCAGGAACGGCGGTGAGCTTTCGCCCATCGTGCAATCTCGGAAAGGGTCCATGAGCTCGCCATCACCGAACCGAAACGCATCCCCGCCACCGGAGGAGTTGGAGCTGATGGACGTCGGCGGTTTGCTGGAGGCTCAGACCCACAGGCGCTGAGTCGTCTGTTGGCTTCTTGCGAATCGAAAACAAACATAGAACATAATACACAACCAATACCTGCCAGCGGCAGGGGCATGTCGCATCGCAATGCGAGATAAAGTAAAGGAGAGAAGGCGCAAAACAGGCGTTACTGGATAGAGGAGAGGAGAAGATGGTCGGAGTATTCATGAGTGGGAGGCGTTTTAGATTTACTGGCGTTTCGGGCGTTTCGGGCACTGCACATCACGACTAAATATATCACGGCCGACCGCGAAGGGGGGATTATTGGGCGCAAGGCGTCTTGGGATGGGCATGGGTTACTGCTAACTGTGAGGCTGCGTTTTCCGTCACCCTTTGAGGATCTGGAGGAGATACATGGCGTATATAGCCTGGCTGGACGGCGATCTGTGATACTATACCCCGGCAACACTGCCACGTTTGGATGACAGAGTATATTAGAGGCGACGCCTATACATGATAATACACGCTGAAGTGAGTATACCCATTTCGCCAACGATTGTGTCATTCTGCCGGAACCGTATGTATCCATTCCAGTCCAAGGCATACACTTCCATGGCTTGCTTTGGGACATTGGCCATTAGTAAACAAGTACCTAGCTACCGGCTCCGAAATATCATGCAGCCCCAACAAACGATGCCATGCTGGGCTATCGGCGTAGGGATGGATAGCGGCCACTGAAGAAACGTTTGCAAACCGACCCCAAACGCCATAAACAACAAAATGCAGCACCCAGCCAGCCTGATTTGACTCAAACGCCCAATATCTGTATGTCTTGAGATGGGACAAGCTCGACGCACCCAAACTCATCCCTCCCGCAAAATCTGTTCCCTTTCCGCCTCTCCGCTCTTCCCCGTTTCACCCATGTTCATACGCAAAGCCTATAGCTCGCATACCGCCCGGCGGTCTCGCTCGTCCGTATGATCTTGACGACCTGGCCCTTCTTGAGCCCCAGATACCTGGCGATCGGGTCCTTGCTCAAGATCCGCGGCAGCTGGGTCTCCTTGAGCCGGTACCGCTTCAGCAGCGCGGCCTTCTCCTCGCGGCTGAGCAGCACATGCTTGGGCACCAGCTCGTGGTGCGTGATGTTGACGAGCAGATCCTCCTCGAGGAAGCACTCGATCAGCGTGAACTGGGACGTGACCGTCATGACCTTGCGCGCCTGCGACGAGAGCGCCACCGCCGTCACCAGGATCCCGGCCTTGAAGTTGTTCTGCGCGCAATGCTCGATAAACTTCTTCATGACGCTGATGCCGATGGAAGACTTCTCGGGGCAGAACTCGACCCAGATGGTGCCGCATTCTGGCGCCGGGTCCGGGTTAGAGGGAGTTGGTGGAGGGGTGAACTTTTTTATCATTGATTCGGACGGACGGGCAGAGAACTGCATCTTCGCCCGGCTGTAAGGGGACGGGTTAGTGGGATTATGGCAGACGGGTGGGAAAGGAACATGATCGGGCCGGGCAACGTACTTCGGGCTCCCATCGTCGTTGGTGTACTCGGAGCGGAAGCGGTCGAGCGAGATCTTGACTTCGTCTTCGGCCAGTTCGTAGCCCTGCAAGGAGAGTGACCGGTTAGCGCCATGACCGCGGTATCAAGCGCTTGTGCATCCATGTAGTCGACGAGGGGCTGCGCACCCGGTCCTGCACCATCTCGTGGATGGTCCTCCAGGCGCGCCAGAGGCGCGTGACCTCCTTCGCAAAGACAGCGGCGTTGTTCTCTTCTTCCATGGTCGTCATACTGGTGGATGCAACTTGCCAGAGCCGGGTGTTGGAAAAGGTGAGTCGGAGCGGCGTCGGTACAGACTAGATGTTCGTTTCGCCGAGTTTGGTTGAGGATTGCAGTGAGTGCAAGGCTGAATGCAATCGAGGCTGCGAAAAAATCAAAGGCCGTCTTGGCGGCCCCACTCCATCACAACGCTCCCATCTCCACCCAGTAGAGGTACGTATCTGATATTGTGGGGTCATGGCATGGGCAATCGATCTTCAAGGTCCGTACAACAACAATCATCCTCTGCGGAGCCTCAGCTACCGTCTTCACACGGCCACAATGTCAAGAGTCATTCAGGCTTTAGAAAAACTCTGAGGTAGTTACCTAACCCTTTGTTCAGGTTAGGAGTATCCTCACATTCAGCTATTTGTTTCAACAACGGTAACGTACCCGAGACCATTCCTGTGTCACATTCATCGCTGAGATGAGGAGAGCTGCTGGAAACTTCCCATTGGAATTGGAACCTCTGACACGAGTCATCCTGGTGATGGGTTAGCGGCATCGAGCGACACACATTCCATTTGAGATGCTTGTCTGGCCCTTGATTACTACTCATGGAGTTATCGACCGGACACCCAGCCTATCGGACATCGGGCCAGACGTGGTCCGTGCACGGACAACCCTCCCGCTGCCTGCAAAAGACCCACATAGGTAACCGTGCGTCGGTGGAAAAGCCACTTGCACGGGTAGTTATGAATTTCCTCAGGGGGCAAAATTTTGGGAGTGTGTTGTGTACGGATAACGCTGAGGAAGTGGTGAAGCTCGGCCTCCACAATCCTGCCTCCTACCTGAAGGTAGCCAACTTGGGCGCGCTCAGCAGATATATACTCAGATTTCGACTTCTAGACATATTGCTGGCCAGGTTTCCATCAACAGGGATCGATTCCTCTCTCCCCTCGGGATCTCCGGTCCCTTGCATCTCTTACCGTCATACTTCTCTGGTGTTCTCGAAATGGCTACCGACTCGACCGCACCTGCTTCGGCCGCTGCCTCGGCAGTGCCCGCGCCGGCTACCAAGCCCGTGAAGCCGGACGAAGAGGCCTTCAAGAAGGAGCTGGCTAAGCTCGAAAAGGAGCACAAAGAAGCAATGGATAAATATGTACGTACATTTGCGAGCCATTCAGTGCCGACCTGCTGTTGAAGGCTCGGGGCATTGACTGACCGATGCTCCAGAACGCTGTCAGAGCCAAGATCGAGCTCGCAGTGCCGAACAAAGACAAGGAGTCGGAAAACCCTACCCAGAAACGGCGACAGGAACTCATTGCCGAGGCCAATGAAATCCGCAAGAAGCAGGCTGGCGGAAAGGCTTCGCGCACGTCTAAGATGGAGCAGATCAAACGCTTGGATGATCAGCTTAAGAGCCGGATTGCGGAGCAGAAGGCAGCCCGCGCAAAAGTTCCCTACAAGAGCGTGGAAGAGATCGACCAGAAGATCGAGCGTCTGGAGCGCGAGGTTGGCAGTGGCCAGATGAAGCTGGTGGACGAGAAGAAGGCCCTGACGGAGGTGTCGAGCTTGCGCAAGCTGCGCAAGAACTTCTCGCAGTTCGATGACTCCCAAAAGGCCATCGACCAGCTAAAGAACCAAATCAAGGAGATCAAAGATTCGATGGAGGATCCTGAGTCCAAGGCGCTCAGCGAGCGCTATAGCAAAGTCCAGGCTGAGCTGGACGCCATCAAGGCCGAGCAGGACGAGGTTTACAAGAACCTGTCGGCGCTGAGGAAGGAGCGCGACGAGCTCCGCGCAAAGCAGCAGGCCACTTACCAGGCTGTCAAGCAGCTCAAAGACACTTATCACACGCAGCGCAAGGCTGCACGTGCCTGGGAGCTTCAGCAGCGCGAGAAGCGGCGGGAACGGGAGCAGGCGGAGCGCGAGCGCATTGCCAAGGAGCGGAAGATGGAGCGTGCGAAGGCGATGCTCGACGAGGCCAGCCTCCCGGCCTACACCGAGGAGCTCCGCCGGGCCAGCAGTCTCCTGCGCTTTTTGGACCCGTCCTATACCGAAGAGGCCACGCCTTTGGTTGCTGACAAGGGCCTGGCGGCGACCGCGCAACGCAAGGTGGATGCTTCGGCTTTCCAGGGCATGCGCGCCCTGCGCAAGGAGGACCGCGTCGAGGAGTATCTCCCTGCCGTCAGCAAGAAGGGCAAGAAGGGGAAGAAGAGCCCTGCCGCTGCGGAGACACCCGCTGCCGGGAAATACAGCTGCCCTCCCTCCGTGATTGAGGACTGCGCTTTTATCGGCGTCGAGCCACCCATGAGCGCCACTGAGGTGCCCGCCGTGGCCGAGAAGGTCAAGGCCAAGATCGCCCACTGGAAGGCGGACCAGGAGGAGCAAACGAAGAAGGTTTGTCTTCTCCCTCGTGTCTTGATTGTTTACGTACATCTTGTTGACATGCGAGTATAGAATGTTGAGAAGGCCAAGAAGGAGATTGAGCGCCTTGAAGCCGAGGAGGCCGCTTCCGCCCCTGCTGAGGGCTCCGGTGCCAGCACCCCGGCCAAGGGCGTGAACGGCAAGGAGGCTGACCAACCGGTCGTCGAAGCTGCTGAGCAGGTGCTTGAGACGCCAAAGGAAGTGGCGGCTACCGCTTAGGAGAGTGGTATCCGTGCCGACCACACTTCGCCGGTGCGCACGCTGGCGGTCAGCGGCTTAGCACGGCTGTGACCAAAGAGAGAAGGTGGAAAAAGGATACCGCGGCTTCCATTCCATAGCAATGTTCTTAATCTTCATGGTTATATAGTCTTTCTCCCCAGTCCCACCTCTCACAGGAGGGTCGGTTGATAAGGGGTGTTTTCAAGTTCAGCTTTATTCCTCAATTGGTCAATCTAACCTCTGTTTTGTCCCTTGAACCATGTGATGCTTCGCTTGGGGCCCTTCCTCTCTTGTTATCCATCTTCCCTTATGGGTCTTCATCGGGCAACGCACTAGACGAATTGGAATGCTGACGGCCAGGTCGCATGCGCATAGCAGGTTTCTTTGTCTCTGCATCTACTGGGTCTCAGCCAAAAAGGAGTGGCTGTTTCGATATCTCAGCATGCGTTCAGATGTGAGATGTTGGATTCCGTTGTGTGTGGCTAGCTTCACGGCTGTCTTCGCCTTGCTGTCATGGCTGCTTTTTTACGGTTCGTTGGACAAACCACATTGTTCTCTGGCTGGTTGACACCCAGCATGCCTATATTGGTGAAATGACGGTTTCCTGACTGACTAAACAAAGTCCTAATTCCTTGTGGTCGCGTGCAAGATGTACGTAGTAAAACCAGTCTCATGGTTCAAGCGTCTTCACCCTCGTCCTTCCTACTCCCACTTGCTTCAAGTATGTTGGGCAGCCGAGCGGCACGCTGTCTGTGGGAGGTAAATGTACAATATGGACCTACTCTATCGTCACACCAGCGGTGTTGCGTTGCGTTGCATGTGCTCCGTCCATCCACATCCGCATCCACTGGACGGGGGGCTCCAGGAGAGTTGACGCTGTGTGTGGTGTCGTGGTGGATCGTTACGGTTCCTGTCGTCTCCTGCTCGGGCGCATCTTGGGTTAACTCTGGTGTTTGTCATCGGACCATCAGTGGATATGGACGGAGGTGTTACACAACATACACGTGTTTGCTGTTTATGGGAGGGAGGTCTTTTGGGGGGGTTTATATCAACAGGTTATGGCCGTTGGACCGCCCTGGTCAGACCGAATCTGTGAGCTGCACAGGACTCGGGTGAGATGACAAGTGCGAGGGAAATGGATTCGATCGGTATGACAGTTTTCGTTACCCTCTTTTGTCTATGCTGATCATATGAGGCAGGATCAAGGGCGTGGTACGTAACATCCTAGGCCGAATGCCCGAGGATACGCACTATTTACATTGTCGCAGATTTGTATGTTTTCGGTACCTGTCCATATTTCAAGTGGAAGTGTGTGCTCTGATCGAGTTAGCAAACGGTCAGCGGGGACATCTTCCAACGGAGTCTCATGGCCGTCACATGCACCTGAAATCCCATTTCGAGATGAACATCTCCGTTTCCTACGTTATGTCAGTTTCCAATGCAATATGTACATGAGTAGCGCTCTTGTCCGACGTGGTCGGCCGGTCAAGCCAACAACACCATGATTCGATCCCTTCCGAGATCTGACACAACTAGCATGACGCTGTTGCTGCCACCATGGCTGCTGCCTTTGGCTTTCCCCTCACGGAGCGCTTCGTCGTCCCGTCCTGAAACGGAGGACAGCTTGGGTATGCTAGAAACGGTATGCCAACAACCCCTTACTGCCAAATAGTGCCCTCCAGCCCCTTTTTCAGATCTAATCTCGTGTCACGTCAATCCAATCCCAATTCCCCCAACCGGCGTTCTCAAAAGGCCGCCCTTGTCTGAATTAGGCCCAAGGCTTCCGATCAGAAGCATCAGCAAGATGATCAGTCAACCACCAACGCCGGGTAGGAGTGAAGAATAGGTAGTAAGAAACGAGAAGCGTATGCAAAAGCCGAACGTCCGTGCCGTTATCCGGGTCCTGACTGGAAGAAAAAACAAAGAAACTCATGCTGGTAGGAGATCTCTGTGTCGTCCGTCAAAGAGAGAAGGAGAGAACTCTTTGCAAGGCCTTCCTTTGTACACCGCACACCGCAATGCTATGCCGTCTCCGAAGGAAGTCAACACAAACAAACTCCAAGGATGCCGATCCGGGACGCAGGCGAGGATATGTACGTCGTGTCGGGATGGAAGCCCAAGACATGATATCATGTTCTCATCAGACTCATTGGCATGAAAAGTAGAGTAAGAGGGGCGCGGACGGCGAGGAGAAGTAGCCGAAAGGTCGCAGAAGAATGACAAGATTCTTGAGGGAAACCAATCCGGCTAGGTTTAAGCGGGCTCCCCTCAAGAACAGGTCAAGTGGTTACGACGTTTCAATGGTAAGGCGGTGGATAGTAAGACGTCGGCGGCGGCGCAGGCCGGTGGAAGGACTGCCTCCGCTCTCGACGTTCGGGCCCCGGCGTCCTCCTTTCGCGCGCGGGTTCCAGCGGCGGCGGTGTCCGGCCTCGCGGTAGCGGAGGGGGAGCGTACTCTCTCTCATCTCTGGCGAAGCTGGGCCCGCTCGCCACGGTCGTGGCGGCACCGACACGCCGTCTCTCCTTCCGGGGCCCGCTCAGGGCGCTGAGAGGCGGATCCTTGACCGCGGGCTCGTTGTCGTCGGGTAGCGTCAGCTCAACCAGGCTGTAGAAGTACTCGAGCACCTCGGGGTAGCGCTGTACAGACGCTTGCCAATCTTCATCGATGCCTCGCTTCAGCATTTGCTGGGCGGCCTGAATCTCATTCGGGTGTGGTGGTTGGTGGTAGTAGTGGTATGCGTGGGCGTTGAGACGTTCGAGGTGCTGGGCATGTGCGGTTTTGCGCCGCTCCGTTAGAAGCCGGAAGTATTCGAGGATGTAATCCTGTGCGTGAGCCCGCACCCATGAGCTGTGAGAAGAGTCAGCATTAACCAGGCCGTGGGAGTCAGGGAGAGGGGTTGCTCACCGTATGTCATTGTATATCGACTGCATCATCCGGCTTTCGGCTTGCCTGACAGCTACTTCCAGGCCCTTTGCCTCGCATTCGCAGGCCAGGGCGGCTGGAGCATGGCAGATGGCACAGTCCGGGTCCATCCTGATGACCCCTTTCCGCGATTTGGAATTATGTTCTCTGGTATACATTGTTTTAGCCGTCGAGTCCGAACGTCCGCGGTGAGCTTTCAAAGTATTGTTGGGGGGAAAACACCAGGGATCTCAACCTAGTGATACAGGAAAGGCTGACATGCGTAGAGTGGTCATGGTCTCGCTCATGACCGGTAGGTGCAAGGGTCCAGCCCAGAATAAGAGCTAGCAGAGGAGACGATGTGACAGGGTGGGAAGGAGGAAAAGGAGGAGGAGTGAAGTTGTATGACAAGAGAAGGCAAGCCACAAGATAGAGAACACGCAGCCGGCGTAACGGGCAGCGAGAGGTTCAGGGCGGAGATGAGAGGAGGAGGGGTGGATGGGCTGATAGAGTTACTGACCTGGGGCTCTCGAGCACGCAGCGAAGGGAGCAGAGCCGAGGGCAGCGTGAGTAGGGCGGCGATAGAGGTAAAAGGGAGGGTACAAGATCGAGTGTTGCTGCACTTCTGCAGTTTCGTGCGTCGTGTGTTGGATGCCGTGGACGGCAAGAGCAGAAACCACACGACCACACGTCTCCTCCTTCAGGGCAGCAGCAGAGTTGGGAGAGAGGCGTGAGCGAGTGCAGCAGCAGCTGGTCGAGTCAGAATCGAGCTGGGGGACGGCGAGCGGCTCCCTTTGGCGGAGAGAGGTCGAGGATGCAGCAGGACGCAGCAGCAGAAGCAGCAACGATGCGGGCGGGAAGAAGTGTCGTCGACGGAGTTGGGTGACAAGCACTGCGAGGGCTGGGGCCCGCTCGCACAAACCAAGGTCGGGCTTAACCACGTTTAGACTGGAACCTGTGTCGTGGCTCGAATGCAGGCCGTTTTGGCAGCAGTGCTCTGCAGCGTGCAGCGGCCCAATGCTTGCTTAGCCAGTCCCACGACGCGCTGGTCTCGGCGGGACCCAATTAAACTCCAACCCAGTCTCCTCTTGTTGTTGTTCGCACCACCCGCGTTTTCTGGGGGCGTCGATTACAGTTGCAGTGCGAAGGTGGATGCCGATGATTCGTCCTGTGGCTGGCGCTGGAGAGCGGTGCACCACTGCACACGGCCTGTACTGTAGTAGCAGAGAGGGCCGCGGGGGAGGGGCGACAGCTAACGCAGAACCGGAGGGGAGTGCGGATCCTCGGCGTCGAACGGGGCGAAGAGGTCGGGTTGTGGAGACACGGCGAGGAGGGGAGATCAGCAGAGGGGAAGAAGCGAGATACTTTGTAGAATCTCTCAAAACCAGGTTGGAGCGGCAAACTTGCATGCGTACTCTACATGAACCAATTGGTAGTAGAAAACGGCCTTTGTGTCCCCATGATCTTTTGTCCAGCTGAGCTGAGCTTGAGTTGGGCGTCCGGTAGAACTCATATCTTCGCTCGGCTACTGACCGCATGTTTGTTGACGGTGCGACCACGGCAGACCATCAGAGTGCCGCCCGGCAGGCCGAGAACCGTAAAAGTGGGGCCAGTCAGCGTGCTGCGTGAGAAAGGGATCAGGATGGAGCACCCGCATGAGAACCCGAATCACATATTCCGTACTGTGTACCTCGCGAAAGGGTAAGGGACAGGATGGCTTTTTCGGGAAACCGAATGTCTGGCACCAGGCAAGCTACAGGAGGATCATAGTCATCGATCTGATCGAGGCGTGACGCTGGTCATCCCAGCCCGAGAACGAAAAGCTCGAAAGAATTTTGCGGAATATGAAGCCAACAAACCGATTGTCCCAATTGAAAGCGGCGGACGGGTTGCTGCAAGCCGGTGGGGTGCGCTTAACACCTATCTTATCGCTTGACGACCCCTGTCCAGATTTCAATTCTCAAGCTCCAAATCGGCAATGGTCAGCGGCATCTTGGTGAGCCTGGCAGACGCGCCCGCACCATCAACGACGCATATTGCCCAGCATGGCTTGTCGATGTCCCCGTAGCTCGCGGGTGTTCCTGCCCTTTCTCTACCCATCACTTTTCTCTCCCGGCGGCATATATCGTTCCGGCCTGGCCGCCGCCCTCAATGGCACGCGACGGAGCAGCACCGAGGCCGGCGCATCGCGGCTGAACCCGGCGCCCGACGACTATTCGATGCCCTACTTCGCAGATAAGGCCCGTCTGACAATCCACGCCGGCAGCGGTGGCAACGGCTGCATCTCGTTCCTGCGCGAGGCGTTCATGGAGGACGGGCCTGCCAACGGCGGCGACGGAGGACACGGCGGCAATGTCTACATCCAGGCCGTGCACGGCGAGACGTCGCTGCACAAGCTAGCCCGGAGGAAGGTCATACGCGCGGGGAAAGGCAAGAGCGGGATGGGTAGCTCCAGGTCGGGGCAGCGCGGGGAGGATGTGGTCATCGCTGTGCCCGTCGGCACCGTCGTCAGAGAGATCAGCCGGGACGACCCGGAAGGAGAAAGCCGCTTTCTGCGCAAGAGGCATAGGAGACGAAAAGCGCTGCCAGTGGAGGAAGGTCCGGATGGAGAGCCAATCGAAGATCCGGACCGTCACAAGTGGCTGATCTACCCTGGCATATCCTCCTCGGACATGAAGAGGATCGAGCTGCCGAGATTGCCGAACCGGGATCCCATCTTCTTGCCACCCAAGGAGCCAGTCCATTTGGATCTGTCCCGGCCGACACCCCGGCCGATCTTGCTCGCAGCAGGGGGCGTCGGCGGGCTGGGAAACCCCCACTTCGTGAGCAAGGGCACACCAAAGCCCATGTTTGCCACCAAGGGAGAGCGCGCCATGTCGATGGAGATCGAGCTGGAGCTCAAGCTCCTCGCTGACGTCGGCCTGGTCGGCCTGCCGAACGCCGGCAAGAGCACCCTGCTCCGTTCCATCAGCAACAGCCGCACGCGAGTGGGCGACTGGGCCTTCACCACGTTGCAGCCCAACATCGGCACCGTTGTCCTCGACAACAACAAGGGCCGTCCGATGTTGACGAGCTACCGCAAGGTTTCAGACGCCCCGCCTTCCAGGGACGACCCTTTCAATACCTCCTCCGGCTCGGAACCCGAGTTTGAGCGCCGCACCAGGTTCACGATCGCTGACATACCCGGGCTGATTGAGGGTGCTCACCTCGACAAAGGCCTCGGCATTGCCTTCCTCAGGCACGTCGAGCGGGCCGGTGTACTCGCTTTCGTCCTCGACCTCGGCGCCGGGAATGCCGTGAAGGCGCTCAAGGCGCTGTGGAACGAGGTGGGCTTGTATGCACAGATGCGCGAGGACGAGGAGCGCGAGCGGCAGCGCCAGGCGGCCATTGATTGGAGTCTTACGGCGGGGACTGATGTGCAAGACGACACTTTCTGGCCGAGCTCCATGGCGATGGGCCCCGACTCCGCTCCGGCTGTGAATGCCGGTGGCCTCCACATTGCGGGCAAACCGTGGTTTGTGGTGGCTACCAAGGGCGACCTCCCGGATACGCGGAGTAACTTTGACGAGTTGCGGGAGTATCTTGCTGCTATCAGCCGAGGGGACGAGCCGCATCCTAGCGGGGTCGAGGGTGCTTGGACGCATGATTGCAGGGCCATTCCTGTTAGTGCCATTAAGGGCGAGGGCGTGGAGAGGGTGGTGCACTGGGCGGTGGGCTTGTTGGATGGTTGAGCGAGACCACCGGGGTATCTGGGCGCAGATCCCAACATCACAATGCCTTGAAGCAAAGCTTGGTGGCTATAGGTTGATTGATCCTTCAAGATGACCGTGGATGCACTGAGATTCGCTGACGGTAGACCTGTGGGCGAACGAAACAAGCTGGGGCACCATAGCCAAGAAGCGTTCTTCCTTGGATGGATGCTATCACGGGGTTCCATTCCCCCGGGCTTAAATAAGTCATCTTCGTGATGCTCCCTTGACAGATGTGTGGACAATACTCGGGCTGTTGGTTAGTGTCAGAACATTAACAGTAGCTCGTGCCTACAGAGGAGGATCAGGGAACAGCAGCGGCTTGCCACGCTTCCGCGTGTAAACACAGCCGATGTACATCTCCTTGAAGCTCTTCGATAGATACCTCTGGAGATAGCAGCAAAACTGGAAGAGCCTTACCTATGGCTGCACATGCTACGATCGTGTTAAGTCAGCATAGTGAACTTACAGTACTTAGTAAGCATGGTAAGGTAGTAATTAGTGGGTCTGTTTGGCGCTTTCAGCGTCTCCACTTCTGATAACAACGATCGGCTCCCCGCCCCCACATTTCGCATTGCTTCACATCGCGTGCAGCTTTTTTCCTTCCTCCACTGGCTGTAGTCGGGCAATTAATTGGATGCGATTGGAGCGCATCGTGGCCGTCTACAACAGCGGCCTCTCTTTCATTGCCTCATTCTCTACCTTTGCACATATGGGGCGCGGGAAACGGGTATGTAGAAGTATTGCGGCGCAATTCATCTCAACATTTCCACTAACGATGGTTCCAGGGACACCGAGGCGGCGGCCGCGGTGGCCGTGGTCGTGACCGCGACAGCGGCGGAGGCCATCGCCCGTACCAGACATATCCCGAGGTGCGCAAGGCGAACAACAGGCTTGAGCAGTACTACGACACAATACTCGACCTGCCCGAGGATGAAAAGGCCGATTTTTGGGCGGCGCTCAGACGAGAGCTGCCCAACAGCTTCCGGTTCTGCGGGTCCAAGGGCCACGCGCTCGCCGTCAAGCGCCTACTCCAGACGAGATATATCCCCGAAATCACACGCATCACCCATGAGGGCGTCGCTGTGGACCCACCGAAGCCTGTGCCCTGGTATCCCGACGGGCTCGCCTGGTCCATGACCACCCCAAAGAACGTCATCCGCAAGTTCCCTCCCTTCGCCGCCTTCCAGAAGTTCCTGGTGTCCGAGACCAGTGTGGGCAACATCAGTAGACAGGAGGTCGTGAGCATGATTCCGCCTCTGCTTATGGACGTCAAACCCGGCATGACCGTTCTGGACCTCTGCGCAGCTCCCGGCAGCAAAGCCGCCCAGTTGCTGGAGATGATCCACCGGGGCGAGGAGGCGCGCATTCGTCAGGTCGTGCAATCATTCTCGGCCGACGATGTGAAGACGGCAGATGAACAGGAGGAAGAGGCCGCTCGACTCGAGGCCGATCCGAGCGACGACGGCAGAGCGACGGGCATGCTCATCGCCAACGACGCCGACTACAAGCGAAGCCACATGCTGATCCACCAGCTAAAACGGCTGTCCTCGCCCAACATGATCGTTACCAACCACGACGCCACCATGTACCCTCCTCTTCGGATACCGAACCCTGAGAACCCTTCAAAACCCAACTACCTCAAGTTCGACCGCATCCTGGCCGACGTGCCCTGCTCGGGAGACGGCACTCTCCGCAAGAACGTCAACCTGTGGAAGGACTGGACTCCTGGTAATGCGCTTGGACTCCACTTGACCCAGGTCAGGATCCTTGTCCGTGCACTGCAGATGCTCAAACCTGGCGGTCGCGTCGTCTACTCGACCTGCAGCATGAACCCCGTCGAGAACGAGGCCGTGGTGGCGGCGGCTATCGAGCGGTGCGGCGGGCCCGAGAAGATCGAGATCATCGACTGCAGCGACCAGCTCCCGCTGTTGAAGCGGAAGCCCGGCATGAGGAAATGGCAGATCATGGACAAGTCTGCCCGGCTGTGGAATTCGTGGGAGGAGGTGCAGGAATACACCAAGTCCACCGAAGATGGCATTGCCCCTGGTCGTCTTGTCGACAGCATGTTCCCACCGACTGCCGGTAGTAACTGCGCCGACCTTCCCCTGGAGCGCTGCATGCGGGTCTATGCGCACCAGCAGGACACTGGCGGCTTCTTCATCACTGCGCTGCACAAGAAATCCGAGTTCAAGGCGAAGCCCGAGGAGAACAGAAAGCAGCCCGTCCAACATGCGAAGGCGAACGGCAAGGCGAGCGCTGGGAAGCGGCCGCTGGAAGAGGATGGCAAGGAAGCGGAGGGCGGTGTCAAGAAGTTGCGGTTGTCTGAGGAGCCGGTCGTAAAGGAGCAATTGGTGCCCGCTGAGCCTGCGGCGGAGTTCAAGCCTGAGCTTGGTACGGAGGTCAAGACCGAGATGGACACCGAGGTCAAGACCGAGATGGACACCGAGGTCAAGACTGAGGTGGACACTGAGGTCAAGACTGAGGGGGAGACTGAGGTGAGGACTGAGCCAACAGATCCCACCTTCGCCACCCCTCAAGTATCAACCCCAGCCGCCGCAGCCTCCGAGCTACCCGAACCCAAGCGCAAGCCCGATGGCCCCTACGAAGAACCCTTCAAGTTCCTCCCTCCCGACCACGAAGTAATCAAGAATGTAGCCGAGTTCTACAAGATCTCCCCGCGCTTCCCGACCGACCGGTACATGGTGCGCAACGCGCTCGGCGAGCCCGCCAAGGCTATCTACTACACGTCGGCGCTCGTGCGCGACATCCTGGTGCTCAACGAAGGGCGCGGCGTCAAGTTCGTGCACGGCGGCGTCAAGATGTTCGTCAAGCAGGACGCTCCCTCGGCCGAGGTCTGCCGCTGGCGCATCCAGAGCGAAGGGATGCCCATCCTGCACGGCTACGTCGGGCCCGAGCGGGTGGTGGTGCTCAACAAGAAGGAGACGCTCAAGAAGCTGCTGATCGAAATGTTCCCCAAGATCGCGGGCGACGACTGGAAGCGCATGGACGAGATCGGCGAGCGCGTGCGCGATCTGGCATTGGGGTGCTGTGTGCTCCGCATCGAGCCCGAGGCGGGCGACGAGGACTTTACGGAGCACATGGCGCTGCCGCTCTGGAAGAGCTTCCAAAGTCTGAACCTGATGCTCCCTAAAGAGGATCGTAGTGCCATGCTGCTGCGCATCTACAATGATACTACGCCGCTGATCAACATGGGTATACAGAAGGACAACAAACCCAAGGAACAGAAGGCGGAGGAGGAGACTGACGGTGATGCTCAGGGGAAGGATGCTGAGATGAAGGACGCTGAGGTTAAGGAAGAGGAAGAGGAGGCAGCTGCGGTTGGTGCTGCGGATGTCGAGGTCGTCGATGCACCTGCTCCTGAAGCTGAGGCTAAGACTGATGTTGTTGAGGAAGATGGAGCGGGTCCCGCCGGGGGAGAGTCAAAAGCCTAGGTGGCCGGCTTCTCCGACCTGTTTCAGGTGCTTCCGAACCCTGCGCTAATATCGGCAGCTAGGAAGACACTTGAACGTAAATCTATGACAAACGTTGGTTTTTTCTGGGACGCAAAACATGGTAAAATATAGAAGTGATTCGGTTCTTGAGCCATCTTTAACTGTCTCTCGGCCTTGATTGTCGCTGTTGTCATGGTAGAGGGCACAGAGGATTTCTGTGAGCCATACGTATCCGGCTGCCGAGACGAACACACGAGAGAACGAGAGAGAGAGAGAGACCAACACGGGTCGCCGTCATCTCATCTCATCCTCACCCTCATCAGGAAGGCAAACCCCCAAAAAGCGCTGCCAGTCTTCTATTTCCAATCTACAAACATGCAGAGGCACTGCATACCCGAAGATACCTTACCTAGGCAGTTCCATACTCCCCCTTCCGGTGACATACAAAAAAAACCAGATAGATACACTGCATTATCCAAAACCTTTTGTAAGAACAAATGCTCAGCCCAATCAGCACCCTCTTTGACCCTCGATCAGAGTCATGTAAATGTGTACGATTGTAAAAGCTATCCACAAATCAACCAAGGATGATTGATACATATATATATCGGGTCACCATGAAAATATGGAAGCCACGCTCTTCCTCTGAATGCATCCCCCTCCAAAACATCTAGTATACGGCGCCATCATTCAAGTTCGCCCCTTGACCTAGGCTCAAGAACTCGCTCAGAACCTGTACTCGCGTCCTCGCCGTCTGCGAGCCCTGCTCGCCCTCACTCATGGCCTGCATAATCTGTATCATGCGAACTAGATCGGGGGGGAAGAGCGGTCCAGTCAGCACCCGGGCCTTTTTTTCCCTTGCATAACAGCCGCCGCGCGACGAAAGAGGTAGACGTAGGCGGATTTTGGTAGTAGATAAGGTAAGGTAAGTTTAGGTAGATAGGTACTTACGAATATCTCCCCTGGCCCTGACGAACAAGGGGTCCTTGTTCAGGCTCTCGTCCGCGCCCGGCTCGCGGGCGACCTCCCTCAACACATTGCCAATGCACAACGCCTCCAGAAACGCCCGGTGGTTAAACACCCACCAGACTCGCGCCTCGGCCTCGAAGAGGGAAAACAGGACGAAGAAGGTCGTGATGGCGTCGTGCGCCGCCTCCAGTGTGCCCCGCACGTTCACGGACACGTCCTGGCTCTCGGACGCGTGCACCAGCATGAGATTGTGGAAGTAGTTGCTACTCAGGAACAGCGTCTGCCGCACGACCCGCTTGTTCGTCTGCGCGAGCTGCGCGAGCGCCTCCGGGTCCCACGAGCGGAACACGTCCGGGAAGGAGCGGTAGACGGCCCGGAAGTCGGCCACCAACTTGGATTTGTGGCGGGCGGTGGTGCAGATGGGCACGTCGAGCGAGCGCGGGCTGCAGATGGTTTCCTGCACGAGGTTGGCGAGCGTCCAGGAGCCGCGGATGTAGGCCGTGTCGGTCGGGTCGTCGGACGCGATGGACGAGCCGTCCACGATAAGGTCATCCACGCTGACGTCGGTGTGGGTGGCGCTGGGCGGGAGTGAGAGGAGCACGGTGAGGAAGGTGTCTTGGAGGAGGACGGCCTGCCAGACTTTGCGGCGCTGTTGCTTCTCGAAAAGAGGCGCGTTCGGGACCACTTTGAGACTTGTTAGCTTAGGTGGGTATAGAACATGCTGAACGGGGCTTTGTTGAGGGGGTCACAGTACCGATATTGGGATCCCGGTGTAATCCCATTGCATATGCCTGCCGCATAAGGATGCCCGCGAAGGCCCATCCGTCCGAGGCGTGGTTGTCATTGATAAGAAAGTATGTGATGAGCACCATCGCCTGGATGGTCCGTATGGAAGCGGTGCTCAGGTAAGAACACATGCGCAGCGCTTGGTTGCTGGCGGATGCATAGAATTCGGCCGTCTGCTTCCGCTCCCTGGGCGAGGTCGACGTCACGAACTGGGTGCCCAGCGCCAGCATTACAAACATCAGCGCCACAAAAGCGGCATCCGATCGATCCTTCTCGGCCCGTGATAGAGACCAGAAGTGCTCGTAGTCGGCGTAGAAGGTCTGCCGGTGCAGCATGGGATAGACCGGGTCGACGCACTCGAAGTAGCGGTTGAGCAGAATATCGGCCTGCAACTTGTCGGGAAGGACAGATATCACCTCTGGCAATCCACCCTCGCAGGTCCAGTAGTTGGCGAACGGATGTTCCGACCCGATGCCGAAAACATTCGACGACCCCGGGGCGGAATAGGGGACATTAGACAGGAGACCCGTGGAGGTGGCAACCGAGCCCAGAGCTTTCAGACGTTCCACGTTAAAGCCACGATCAGCAGCGTTTGGCATGATATGCCTTGCGGTCTCGGGCCGCTTCCGAGGAGGCCTTGTCATCCGGCGGCCACTTGTTGCGCTTCGCCTCGTCTCTCTGAATTCCTTGTCAACCAACATCACGGCCAGTGCGGCACGTTTTCTACTTACTCGAGAAGGTTGGCGACATGGGCATATTTACAGTCCGTCTGACGTTTAATGCCTGCTTGGGATTAGACCAGAAATCTTTGGGAGAAGGATAAGCATGACGTACAGGCGAGACAATGGGGTCTTCCTCGATCGCACTGCAAAGGACGCAACCAACGTAAGTATATAGATACGTATATCGCTAACAGGCCTCCGGTCAAAGAGACCCGTCCATAGCGACATGCACAAGAGATTAAGCATTTCACGCCCAACAGACGACATCTTGACAGTTCATAAAGTGCATCACACGCGGAATAGTGTATTCCTGGCTCGCAGAAGCCGAGCCGGGCTGAACAGACAAGACAACTTTGGGGGTGGAAGATTGGGTTTCCATACCTTTGTTTTTCTTTCAACGCATTCAAAACAAGACAAGGTCGGCTTGTTGCGCTTCTGCTTCTTTTTCGGCGGCTCTCCCGCGGCCGTGGGAGATGCGGTGCTGCTGTACCCGTCGCCGGGGGATCCGCCAAGATCGGAGCTGCCCGGTCCGTCCGTATTGCTTCCGGCCCTGGCGGACTTGGCGGACGGGGCCCATACTATGGATGACTCCTCAGGACTGCCCGTTTCTCCACGTGTGGCCCTCCTCGGCCCCCGGCGGAGCTGTGCGTCGTGTGCATCCGATTGGAAGTAACGTTGGCGCCAATGCGGGTGGTACTGAGCCGAGGTAATGGCCGGCGACACAGTGATGCTGGACGAACCGGCCGAACTCGGCGTCGGGGTTGTTGAGACCGAGAGGACGGGCGGCCGGCCCAGCGCTGACAGCGGCACCGATCTGTCCATTCGCAAGTCCGACGGCGGCGCCAAGGCGGCAGCCAAGCAGCCTGGCGGGCAGGACTCCGCTCAGACGAGATCGTCGAATCTCTGCCTCTTGGGGGCGCGGAATGCTGACTCCTCCCGTCGCCAGATCGCAGCCAGCGGCAGGCGGTAGCGAGACGACGGTGCCCTCGGAAATAAGCTGTCGGGCGAAACAACAGCGAGGAGCGCCACAGAGCCGGGAATAAGCCGCGCACGTTACGCGAGCCTCTGCCGTCGGCGTCTTGGCCAACTGATTGCGGTCCGCCCAGGACGATGTAAGCGACTGGGCAGGGCTGGGAATAATGAGGGATTTGGAGCAAACGGAAATGCGATGGGATCTGGGAAAGGGGAGCTGACGGGTGGCGGAGATAAGAGAAAATGGCCTTGACCGCAAGCAGCCATTGAGCAATTGATGAGGGGAACCGGCCCGGGGGAAGTCATCAATTTTGCCTGGGGAGTGCGCGAGGCGCTAGTAATGACTGCTTGCAGGGGCCGACGCGGATGCTACGATTCGATGCCGATCGTCCAAAGGGCAAAAGTCAGCGACAATCGGCTACCAACTGTTCGAGCCCTTCCAATAACCTGCAGTATGCCGAGTCCAAATGTGACGTTGAAATCTTCTTTTTTGACTTGACAGTCACCGTTAACTGCCTGTAAGATCATCAGCTTCCTCTATATAAGGTGGCAGCTCCGACCTGGGCGCCACTGCATCCCCTACTGCCCCGGACCCACTTGCCGATGTTTCGGCATTCGAGACTCGGTACAGTCGGACCCCTGAAAGTTCGTTAGCGTCTGATTTGAAGACCAGGGTCAGCCCCAAAATCTCGATCTCAACGTCAAAACGGTCAATTTTTCTCTGGAAAAAAAGTACAGATAGACTCAACCTTTTGGATTATTGCAAGACGCTCTATTTCTTTGCGTTGAATCAGCTCTTTTCGTGGTTTAAGAGTGTTCTTTCGGGTTGAAAAGAAGACCCTTGTCGTAGGTTCCGCGCTAACAATCTTTCAGGGGTCGTCCTGTAGGTATCCAGAACACTGAGATAAGGCCTGGCATCGCCTGCAACTCCGGGCTCGGCGATGATGTCTCCATATCCCTCCTGCCACTGCTGCTTGGCCATGGCCGCCATCTACGACTGTACGGGGCCTGTAGAGCAATGGGTATCCTGACAGCTACAGACCACACATGGTCGCCGTCTTCGTTGAGGAACCTTAGCCGAAAACGAATTCCTCGTAATTCTTCCGTATCCTCTGCAGGCCCTCTTCCAAAGACCAGCCCTTGGTGTCGCACACTTTCCGACATATATCCTCCAGAAGACGATCCATGTCCTCGCCAGCGCAATGCAGGTCACTCTCAACCAACAGCCGGTCGTCGGGACAGGCCCGGATAACGTCAGGGAATCTGCTCTCTCCTCCGGCGGTCGAGAGGTTGATGACGGTCGAAAAGGAAAAGTACACCTTGAGCGGTATTGCCGGGTTCAGGTACTGGCTAACCATCTGCGGCGATCCGCTAAACGAGTGCAAACATACCCGCGGCGGGAAGGGCTTCGGCTTGTAGCGCTTCACCGTTGGCCTGGGCACCTCATCGGTCGTCCAATCGTACTCATCATCCTCGTCGCTAGACGAGAAGTCCTCGGCGCCCTTCGCCACTAGCTTCTGTTTTCGACGCGAGACCACTTCCTTCTCGTAGCCCTTCCACAGCGACGCAAGAGCGTCGAACAGCACCCCGTGAGCCTGCACGCCGTGAACGCTAACCGCCACACCTAGCTCTCCGGCAAGCCGCAGCTGGGCTTTGAGGACTTGCACTTGATGCGCCATCTTGACATGGTGCGGGCTCAGACTGCGGCCCTCCCTCCCGCCGGGTGTCAGCGTCCCATCGCGCTCCGACTGGTCGGCGGCATTCCATGGCCATGGCAGGCGGAATGCTTTGTCCAGACCGATCTCGCCGATAAGAGCCGTCCCGGCGTCGAGCACACGCTGTCGTGTCTCACTGATAAAGCTGCTCAGCGGTTTTGGGTCCGGCAACGAGGCGATAAACTTTTCATCCGGTGTGGGCGAAAGCACCGCACTGTAATGCGTCGCTTTTTGCTCCGCTTTTGCCGCGGAGGGATCATAAGTGGCGTTGCCACCGCCGCCCGTGCCATCATCGATATCGTCATAGAGCTGGTACGAAAACCAAGGATGCCACCCAAACGCAGGCACGACTAGACTTGACGTGTTCTGCACCCCGTGTTCACCCTCGAGCGCCGCACGGTCCCGAATACCGCTTTTTGCCGCCACCGAGGCCACCAGGTCCTGGTCCTGCGAGCGCGTGGCCATGATGGTCAAGGCACGGGCGCGCATATTATTTATGCTAGCGATCGAGGACATGGTATCCGTCGGGTGGCAGTGGGCATCGCAGACACCGATATGCCATGGAAACTTAGCCTCACGGGACTCGTCACACGCGGAAGCTGCTGGGCTTGCTTGGCCATCGCTTTGGCGGCACATAGTGTGTCAAGCCGCGGTCTGTAGCAGTCTGAAGTGGTTTTCGAACTGACGTGAGAATTGCACGGTATCTTCTGTTCGCGCGTCTGACTCATTATATTTGGCCGAGACGATGTTGGTCGACGTTGAAGGTACAGCTGTGGGCCTTTCGTTCCCCACAATCCGAACGTGGAGTGAGGGGCACGGTGCGGGGCTCAAGGTGGAGGGTGTCGACTCTGTTCGAGGTGTCAGGCGATGTGAATAAAGCGACGCAGTCTAACCGCTTTTGGAACTGACGCCTACGACCGCTCTCAATGACACCGCGCTGGGCTGATAATTGTTGAAGGAATCCGCTTGCTTCTAGACTAGTGCACTGATCCAGATGATCGGCGGCACCGGCAATCTGTAAGGAAACTCCGAACAATGTAGATCGATCTACAGACGCCTATCTCCCGCCTGTTCTGCTACACATGGGCAGGGTTGCCCCGCTCCGAGGGAACACACCCGCTAGGTTTTCTCAAGATTTGCTTTACTACCTGAGCTTTCCAATCTCTAACGGATGGAACAGAGGAAGGTATGTCCCTTGAGGAAGGCAAGGCACGATGACCTCATTTGATGCACTGGGAGTCTGGGAAACGGTCTGCCAGTGCTATCCATCTGCAGGAGCTCCTGTCCGAGCTAAAGCGCGCCTCACCTGAGCTTTGTCCCGTCTTCACAGGCGGTTGGACCACACCTGCACAGTATGTACAACCCTTAGGGATGAAGCCCCTACGGTTCAGTATCAACACCAGGAAGGTAAGTACGATGACATACGGTGCGAAATAGCATACGACATAGCACATCAGAGCGTTCGGCCCAGACCTGGACCACATCTAATCAGCCCACAGGTTCCAGCTGCTTAAGACGAGCCGTCGCCGGGCACTTATTGCTTGCCCCTCTGCTCACAGTGCTCGGCTCCATCCTCTCACTTCTTTCGTCGCAGGCGCGGTTGCAACTTCAATCACTCCCACCCTTCTGGGCCTTCCCACTGCTCCGGTTCTGGTACCGTATCCATCTCAACAGAGGCCAGAAAGACATCTTTTTATCAACAGAGCTCGACAAGATGTATTGGCTTAAAAACTTGATCACATTCTCGCTTTCCACCATCCTCATTTTGAACCTCGCCATTCCGCTCGCGTTGTTCGCATCTATCATCACGTTTTGCTCATGGGCCTACTTGACCGGGTATCTCATTTGGGCGTTCATCGAACATATAATTATGTTCGTCCCGAGGACCATCCTCTTTAGGTGGAGGATGGATGAACGAAATCTCACACGCTTCAACAACGTGGTATCGGTGCCGAAAGCGGCAGATCCCGACTCATTTAGGCCTGTCAGTCCCGGCAGGTTTCCCCCCTTGCCGAGCTATCTGCGCTCGGATCATACACCGCCGAAGCGCCGACTCAGTAATACTGCTCTCGGTGGTCGGCTGAGCGGTCCTGAGCTGCGAGCCTGGCTCATGCGGGATTACGAAGGACTGGGGGGTCCGAAGTGGGATGATCTCGATGAGAGCCCGTTGCCGACGATGAAACGACAACGGACCCATGCGGACTCGGGAGTGGGGAGCTCTCGTACGGCACAGTCTGGCTCTAAAGGCGTTAGTCCCCGAACTTTCGGCACCGTTTTGTCTCCTCGGCGCCTCACGATCGTCGACAACATGCACCGGACGGGTAGGGTTCCGCCTACCATTGTTGAAGGGGACAGTGATGAAGAGCGCTCGAAAACCCCGACGAGAAGTCTTCATCGTTGATCGGGGAGCCCAGTTCTTGAGTTTGTTTTCGTCTTTCGCTTTGCTGGGAGGAAGAGTGTGGATGTTTCTGGCAAGGTGTTTTTGTCGGACTCTTTACGGTGATTATGGCTTATGAACGTGCATTTTGGTGTTGATGGTGGTGGTGCATTGAGGCTATGGGAAAACGGGTTACTGGTCTGAAAGGCAAATGCTAGACGCGGTTAGCGGTTATGGTTAATGGTCGACGGAGGATAATCAAGCGCAGGATCGCATACCTGGTACCTTGGACTAGAATTCGTTCATCATATCGGCGGAGGGAAGAGACGCAGTTCCTCCCGACATCGAAGTCGTCCTAGTTCCAGGTCATACACTGAGTATCCTCCTACACCCTGACTCCCAAACGCCGCTTATCCCTCCAACCCACCGGCCAGAATCCAATGTCCATGCTAAGCCTATGCCATACCCGTGGCATGCCCATCTCGTCCCCAGCCCTCTTCTCCTACCCTTTACAAACTCTGCCAAAAGTAGTTGGCATAAAAGTACCTCGAAAACTTCTTGTCAATGTTCACCACATGTACATCCCCCTTCCGATCATTTCTCACCACCACCCGGTTGAACTCTCCATCTTTACCGTCCCTCTCAATCTCCATCCCAAGACTCCGGTACACCTTCAATCGGAGCAGCACCTCGTCCTCGACCCCGCCGTTCCCACCGTTCCCGTTCGCCCCTTCGCCGCCATCCACGCCCTGCAACTCCAGCTCCTGCAGCCGCGCATTCAGCTCGGCCAGCTGCGCCTGCAGCCGCTCCGTCTCCATCTCGAGGTCGCTGGCGGCCTTGGCGATGCGGAATTTTTGCGTGTCGAGCCGCGCGATCTCGGACGCGTGCTGCGTCGACGAGTGCGAGCCTGTGAGCTCGGCATGCTGTGAGGCGAGCGTGTTGAGTGTGCGCGCGAGCTTGCGCAGCGAGGTCTCGGCTTCGCGCAGGCGCAGGTCGCGCGCTTGTTGCAGCGTCGAGAGGGACTCGCTTATCCGTGAGACGGCGGACTTGTCCGGGGCGATGTTGAAGTTGGAGATTGTGTGGCGGATGAGCTGGAAAAATCGGGCGTTAGTTGTACATTGCCTCATAGAAGGATGGAGAGAGGGCGGACCTACAGTGGAAGGGTCTTCTTCGAGAAGCATCTTGATGGTTGATTGAGGGCGAACTTGATATGTGAGGTTTTGCTACTTGAGAATGCGAATACTGGTCGATATCCGTTCAGTAGAAGAGAGGCGGGTGCGGATTATGCTAGGTTGGTAAATCATAGGATGCCCATGAGTGTTGTCTTTAATCCACGCGTTGTCGATCTTAAAGTTGGCGGTTGTTGTAGAGTCTTGGCGCCAAGCGAATCTCCAGGACGACCAGGCTGGCAGGGCTGAAGTTCTTATCTTATCGCCTCGGCTCTGGTGATCGGGCAGCTTCAGCTTCGTCATCGGTGGACGCATCCTAGAAACTGGCGGTCCGAGCTTTGACGACCGTTAAAGACGAAGGACACTAATACCATACTTCCAACTCTAAAGCTGCAGCTTGTACATATCGCCTCCAGCAGATATAAGTCGTCCGCACTGGATTCACCGCAACTTTCGAATATTTTCATATTGTCACCATGACGCAACTCCCATGTGAGTTCTGATACCTTCAAGGCGAAGTTGGCAACGCGAGCTAAATCTCGACGGCCTCAGATGCAATCGACGCCGAGACGTACGTGCTTGCACCAATAACAGCCCATAGCGTTATTCTAACTTCAAGCACAGGCCACTCAACCCGGCAGAGCTGGGGGTGTTGAGGGCGCAGTACGAAAAAGAGGGCGAGATGGTGGGCGTCCAGACCAAGTTCAACTACGCATGGGTAGGTCTTCGGCAACCCGCTTGCGGGGACATCGAGCTCACTCGCGGTACCCCAGGGCCTAGTAAAATCAAATGTGCGTTCCGACCAGCACCTCGGCGTGATGTTGCTCTCCGAGATCTTCCGGACATCCCCTGAGCGGCGCCGCGAGTGCCTCTACTACCTCGCGCTGGGCAACTACAAGCTGGGCAACTACGGTGAAGCGCGGAGATACAACGACCTCCTGCTCGAGAAGGAGCCGGGCAACCTGCAGGCAACAAATCTACGGTCGCTGATCGACGACAAGGTGGCCAAGGAAGGGCTCATGGGCGTGGCCATCGTGAGTGGCGTGGCGGTTGTGGCTGGTATTCTTGGGGGGGTGTTGCTGAGGAATTTGGGACGCAAGAGATGAATGGCGAGATGGCTCTTCCACGGGAGGTCGTAATTCTAGAGACGGAGAACCGAGCATATCCCCGGTGTTGCGGTGGGTATTGTATTTCATGTACGACAAGAGATGGCATCACGGTTTCACTTTGGCGTAGATACTGAATACCTAGGTAAAGGCAGGATACCACTCATACAACCTATCAGCTTGGGTTATGGAACACCTGAGCGCACTGGAGGTTCTGTGGCATCGCCTTTCCATTTGGATGCGCTCAACGGCCACGTTCTCGGTTACCCCGCGTTCAGGCCTGAGGGATGCCACGAGGATGGCCCGAGGCAGCTTGGCCTGCCGTATATCGGTCATTGGATCCTGGAGCTGAGGCTGACACTTATCCCGATAGGCCGCTGCATGCAAGGTTCGGCGAGTTGGGCACTCTTTGATAGCACTGCATGGACGTGTTGTGTGTCAAGGCCTTATGACCCGCTTTTTTGCACATCGGCGCTACCACAAGGTTGAAGGATACTCGTTGGCCTCCCGGTTTGTGCGAGGCGTGCCTTGCTGCAACTGCCGATGTGACAACCTGGCACGTGCCTGGGAAGGGGACAGCAAAGAAAACTGGAACCTTCGATTTATGTCGGGTACCTAGGTCTGGGCCTTGCCTTATTACAGAATCCTCACCGTACAGCTTCGCTGTTGTTGAGCTTGGTCCAACCGTCCAAGGGTGGCTCGAGCGTGTCATCTCCACTGAACCCCGTGCCAATCGATCGGCTTGTCATCAGTGACGTCCAACTGGCCGGGGGTCCGCTCCCGGATTCATTAGGTAACATTTGCCATTCCATCTCCCAAACAAATAACCGCTTTTTTGAACCAACACTTCCGCGAACCGCAAACAACCAGAGACACAGCCAGGCCCCATCAGGAATAGCGACAAGGATAGTCAACACATCGCCTACGCAACCCGCCAATTCCCAGGGATGAACCGCTGTACCCAGGGTTCTGGTCGACAGTACCCTAACTTGACCTGCGGCTAAAGTGGGGCTACGGTATCGGCTGAGTGCATTCAGGTTTCGAAGCCGGCCATCCGCTGTGCCAACAAACTCCGAGATCGACGACATCGAATATTCACCGGCTCGCCAAGCCAGCCGGCCGACCACAACTGCCATCACCGCTGCTACCGACCGACCTGCTCGTCGCGGCTTGCGTCCCCGCGCGGACGACACACCATGGCGTCCTCAGTCGAAAGGGTCTTCTGCCATGCTTGCGCGGCTGACTGGTTTCGCAATGAGGGCCAATCCCTGATATGCCCGAGCTGCGGCAGCACCTTCAACGAGATTGTCAGTAATTATTGCCGCACCCATCCCCTCGACCCATCTAATGTTTCCCCAGATTGACCCGAGGAACGACCCCCGTGAAATTCATGGCATGCCGCGGCGTGGCTGGGACTCGGACCCGGAGGAGGCCGACATCTTGGAACATCTCCGCGACGAATCCCCGCTACCCGGCGAGCGGGCAAGCATGAACGACGCTGGTCTAGGCCACTTCGCCAGGATGCTGGGTGGGCTCGGGGCTACAAGAGGTGGAACCGAGACGCCCGAAGCCGCCAGTGAGCCGCGATCGCCTATAAGAGATCGCGGCAATGGGTCAGAGTTCGCTGCAGGCGACGCCATCATGCGCCGCTTTGCCGAAATGCTGAATGAGCTTGAGGCTACAAGAGCGGCACACCGGCCTCCTGAGGTGGACCCTCTGTTCCCGCTGGGGGGTCTTGGACGTCAGCCAGGGACTAGAATTCAGCAAACGACCGTCCGGACTGGCCCCTTCGGCACGCAGACCAGAGTGACCATCACCAGTGGGACCGTAAGGAGCGACCCTGAGACATTACCTTTACCCAACTTTGGAACGTACGTCATCCCTCGCAGGGCACGGATTGGCGTCATTGCTCTCGTCAACAACAATACGGCAAGGGCTAACCCTAATGACGTGAGTAGATTGTTTGGCCAGCTTTTCGGCAGTCCCTGGCTGGATGAAGTAGACCGACGGGAACGCGGAGGGCGGGAGCCAGGCAGCCCGTTCGGTGGCGGGCTTCATGACTTGCTCGAGTCACTATACAACCCGGCAGCAGCAGTTCATGGCGATGCAGTCTTCACCCAGGAGGCGCTCGATCGCATTATCACGCAGCTCATGGAGGCGTCCCCCCACACCAACGGAGCACCCCCCGCATCGCAGGCGGCCATCGAAAGCCTCCAAAAGAAGCCAGTCGACGACGAGATGCTCGGCGCAGATGGGAAAGCCGAGTGCACGATTTGCATGGACGAAATCACAAAGGGCGCCGAAGTGACGGTACTACCGTGCAAGCACTGGTACCACGGCGAGTGTGTTGTCCTCTGGCTCAGGGAGCACAACACGTGTCCTGTCTGTCGGATGTCGATCGACAATCGGGAGGGTGGAACCAATAGCGGTAGCGCTAGACGAGGGTCCCAACAAGCCCAGACTTCCCAGACTTCCCAGACTTCCCAGCAGGCCCAAGGTTCTCAACCGGTTTCAGACCCTGCCTCCGCATCAGCATCGTCATCTTCCTCGTCCAGCCGCTTCCCCCGAACGAGACGCCAGTACCTGGACGAACTGACGCGGATGGAGCGGCTAGAGCGGATTAACTCCCTCCGCGATCTTCCTGAATCCAGAGATTCGCGCCGGCGCAACTCGCACTCGCCCCCGAACCCGTGGTCGTCGCCGGAAGCGGCAACTTCTTCGAGACTGAGGGGTTACAGGGCATGGCCTGGCGTGGACTATGGGGAGCATTACGGTGGCAGCGGGAGACGTGGGACGGACCGGGAGCAGCGCGAGGGACGGGAGCAGCAACAGGGAAGTGCTAGTAGTGGTGGTGGTAGTACGAACACAGGTGGAGGTGGTGGTGCGCTTGGGTGGTTCAGAGACCACTTTGGAGGTGGGCGGAGGAGCTGAGCAACAACAAGCCGGCTTATGGGGAAGTCTGACGACCTTTACGAATTATTCCATTTACTCTCTTAGGCTCAGCAGGGGGGAGCTTCCGGGATGGGCAAAGGACTCGGAATGAGTGGACCAAGGGAAACGGGATTTGGATGGTGTTATGATTGTACGGGAAATGTTTATCCTAGCTTGAGGAGGGATGAAAGGTCATTAGACTTTCACTGCTTTGCACGCTTATTCTCGACTTGAGGTCCTTTTGATTTTTCCTGCTTCTGGGGCGACCTCGATATAGGCAAGTTCCAAGTTGATAGATCAGTTGTGATGGCGACACACCTCACCTCAGGCAGCTGGGGTGGAAGGAATGGAATGGAGAGTTCAGGGTTTGTCCGGACCCTCTTAATTGTCCATTCCTACAGTCTACACTTTATGATAGATATGCGTATGCTCGTTTCCAACGGTCCTCGATCCTACAGGCTCGTCATTATTTCATTTATTCCGCCTTGCAGCATGCCTTAGGCGGGTTTAAGAGCCGGGGTAGGCGGACTCGTCAGCTCCCCAGGGTAGGCAGGTGAGCTGATTGGCCAGCTCTATTGATCAAGCCAATTGGTAGAACTGTCCTGAACAGGAAGGATGACGCGCTCCCTCGGGCTGCCGTCTCTATCTAGGTGACATTTGTGGCACTAGCCCGAGCGAGAGACGAGCAAGGTTCCATTTACTAGTTGTCAGTTTGTCTTTGTTTATTATAGTGAGGTGATTTGGATGAGGGGTGTGAAGGCAGTCTCCCCTCTCTTATCTCGTCGTCCCTCCCTCTTACACTTCAATTAGCCATTGTCTTTGGGCCATCTCCATCGATTAGACTTACAGTGGGAAGTGTCCTGCGTGGCTACGATACCGTGTCGTTTCCTCTGTGGCCAGGTACTTTGTCCACTTACACGATCGGCAACACCAGTGGCTGTGACTACTTATAAGCTGCGGCGTCACTCTGTTCGGTTCATCTCGTTCCATCGCTGCCTGTCTGATAGGCAGCTTCAAGGATGCGTGGACTCCTTGCCGCCGGGTTGCTGGTGCTCCAGGTGCCGGCACTGGTAGATGGCCTTCCAAACCCACTCCAAGGTATGGGCCCGACAGAGTGGACAGGGTCCGGCTGGTTGGTTTCGACGACTGACCTTCCGCAGTGGACCGGGACTCCGCCTCTGCCTCCGCCTCAACCCAAACCAGTCTCTCATCCGGGCCCAGCACGCAAATAAAGACCCCGGCACTAGTAAGCTAACCCTTTCTCATATCCAATGACCAACTTCACTGACAGACCTCTCAGGCTCTCCCCAATGATGAGCTGGTCACGGGCGAATCCACCACTCTCGAGAGAGAACTGGCCGACTTACACGTCCTTCGAGTCCAGCTGGCCGAGCTCGAGAAGGAGGTGTCCAGCCGGGAGACCTGGCTAGCCCAGGCGACCGGACTGACTCCCCACCGTCCTCCCCCCAGCATAGCGGACTGTGACAGCCTGCGCTGCATCGTCCAAGCCCTCCGCTGCAAGGCCGCGCACGCCGCCTCGGCACTCCTGAACACTGCCTCCTCCGACACCAACCATGCGAATATCACTCACCACCCCAGCCGGAATACAACAACTCTTGTAGAGATACCTGTGCCGCCATGGCGTACCAACGGCACAAGGACCGCGCCTCCCGGCTCGTTAACCTCAGCGCCAATACCGGCCGTAGTAGAAGATGGGGTGGTCGGCGGGAGCGACGATCCTCCTCTCGCCCTGCTCCTTCTTCTCGTTGGCCTTGCCGGGCTGGCCTGCCTCGGCACGCAACTCGCTTTAAGCTGCTGCCGTGTCGGGCGTCAGGGTCTGGCTGGTGCGCTCCCGCCGCCTGTGACTGTGACTAGACGGGGCCCCGGCTGGTGGAGGGCGGTTTGGGAGCAGCGGCTGGTTGACGGTGCGTCTTTGTGGAGACGGTCCGGACAGCGAGGAGGGGTGCAGGTCAGGCTAGGGGAGGAGGAAGGGTACGGGAATGGGGAGGGCTATGAGTATCGGGATGAGAAGGGTCCGTGTTATTTGGATGAGAAGACTGCTCATGCCCATGCACTGTATGAGGCCGGTGGTGATGAAGAAGAAGAGCGTGACGGGGAAAGAGACATGGAAAGCGAGTGCGCGTCTGAGGCCGAGGAGGAAGAGGAAGAGTTGACGCTTGGGGAGGAGCTGGCGTCGTTCAGGGCGGCGCTGGATTTGGTGGAGGGTATCGTTGCGGCGGAAGAGCAGAGGGCCCGCGAGAGGGAGTCGGATGCACTCCGATGATTGCTACGGGATGTCGTAACTCATATCATGTCTACATATGAGAGCGTTGCTATTGTGGCTAGCTATGGCCGGGGCATGAAACATGCCAAGCAGTGTAGATGTATCTTTCTCGCTTCTGCCCTAAGTTTATGATACCATCTAATCTTAGGATCTATAAAAGTCGTCTTTATTAGTCCTTAGTACAGTGGATGAATGGAGCTTTGGAGGATGAGAGACCGTTAGCTACAACCTGGAATCTTCCACTTCTCTTCTCCTCATCGTATGAACGGCAACGCGCCGCTGGAAGTACAACGGTCCAACACAGCATTGTGTGATACATTGTCGGTCGAAGATAATGCACCCTTCATCGCGGCTCGGGCCCAATCAGCATGAGCACGGCTTCAACCCATCTCACCCGAGCAGAAGGAGACGAACATGCGTTGAGGGTTGATTGGCTGCCGGACTCTATTAATCGCCCGGATTGGCACCTAAAACCCCGCGCTGTCAGCTGCCAGAGGCAGTCCAAGTCCCAGCTTCCGGTCCACGGGTGCAAGAATCTCATTTATTAGCGGGTGGAGCACCCTATGCCAATCTCTTTGACGGTGCTACCAACTACGCCCGGGCCTGCGCGTGCCAGCGACAATTCCGTCTCGGTTCGTCCCCGCCGATCCATTGGTCTGGTCCTTCTGCCTTCTCGGCCTTAGGACGACAAACATTCGCCTCTGCCAGCACTCCGCAGTTAATTAACCTCGGCGGCGTCGCTTTGGCTTTCCTTCATGGATGTTGCATGAGCGGAGCAGACTTCGGCTGCACACCACCTTTGCCTTAAAATCGAGCCGTAGCTGAGCACCCAAACGAGCAACTTTTGCTAGCAAACGAGAAGAGCAAGACCCGGTCCCGCTTCGAGGCCTGCCGCCTGCCGCTTGCTGCATCGACGAGCCGACTACTGCTGACATCATGGCTGAGGACCCCAACAACACAAGCGACATGTCCGACCTTACCGAGCCCGCCGTCGCCGCGAAAGAGGATGCTGAGACCACGGCGGCGCGGCGCGAGCTAAAGCAGACCACGATATCCGAGAAGGACGGGCCCGTGCAACTATCGCAGGACGACAAGAGTGCCTCGGAGGACGATGCCCCCCAAGATAAAGCGTCCGCCCGGCGGATCACGCCCGATATCAGCTTCGGCCCGCCCCAGGATGAAGATATGAAGGAGGAGGTCTCGTCGCCCAAGAAGAAGCGGGCGCGCGACGAGCTGGACGAAAACCGGGATGTTGCCGAGGCTCCTCTCGACGGAAAGACGCCTGGCAAGTCAAGCGCCACAATAGCAAAGAGTAGGACAGACCGGTCCGAGCCTGAGAAGAAGCGGCCTCGGGATCGCCAAGAACAAAGCGGGAAAGAAGTTGTAAAGGCACCCGCCCAGCCCCACCACGCCCTTGATGTTAACACCCAGCAGGAGCCTCTGTCCGCCAGCACATCCCCGAGATCGAGCATGGAACTGCCTTCGGAGACGAAGGAGACGACTGGCACCGCCACAGCGCAGACATCGGAACCAGCGAGACCGTCATCAGCCTTTGCTACCTCCGGCTTTGCTAAGCTGGCAGCGTCATCCATCTCACCATTCGGCAGCATAGGTGGCGCAGGGAAGCTCAGCTTATTCGGCTCATCGGGCACATCTTCCTTTGGCAGTCTTCTTGGGGGCGGCTCCAAACCGGCTGATCCGCCAGCGCCGCCGAAACTCAGGTTCGGCTCCGGTGCAGCTGCCTCCCCATTTGCCGGATTGAACGGGCAAGGCGGCGGATCCGTGTTCAAGTCGAGTCCCTTTGCTAGTGCGTTCGGAGGTAGCGCCGTCCCTGGCTCGCGGCTCAACTTTGGCAAGCCCGGCGAGGCCCTCAAGAGCGACAAGCCGGCCAGGCCATTCGGTGCGCCCGAAAGCGACGCCGAGGACAAGTCAGAGGGCGAAAGCAACGGAGACGAGGACACCAAGGGCGATTCCGCATCTGATGATGGGGAGAACAAGGAGGAGGACAGGGAGAAGGACGAGTCCAAGGCTGCTGGGGATGATAAGAAAAAGCCCAAGCTCCAGAAGAGTAAGTTTGCTACCCTGACGGGTCCCCATGACCGTTGCCCGCTCTGTTGCTGATCCCTCCCCAGTCGTGGTCGACGACGGCGAAGGCAAGGAGCTGACGCTCTTCTCTGTGCGCGCCAAAATGTACGTGATGGAGAAGGGAGTCGGGTGGAAGGAGCGCGGCGCGGGCATGCTCAAGGTGAACGTGCCCAAATCGACGGTCGAGCTGGACAACCAAGGGGTTCCCGATCCCGCCAGCTTCGACCCCTCGGTCCTGGAGGACGAGGAGGAAGGGCGCAAACACGTCCGGCTCATCATGAGGCAGGACCACACGCTGCGCGTCATCCTGAACACGGTCATCCTGCCGGCGATGAAGTTCCAGGTCACAAATCGGCTGAAGGCGTCGACCATCCTGTTCACGGCGTTTGAGGGCGGCGAGGCGCGGCAGGTGCAGATGAAGGTATGTTCCCGTTGTACCGGGTGGTTTTCTTTCCCTTTTTTTTCTTTTTTTCTTCTTCTTTTCTTTCCTTCTCTCGGGAAGTCCAGTGCTAAATGCTTCTACAGATGAGCGAGGTGAATGCCACGGCATTCTCGCAGCTAGTTGATTTATTGAAGAAACGGCTCGCCGATGTGTAGGGCACGGCCGCGCAATGGACGCTGCATCTATAAGATAATGACGACCCTGCCTCCCTTTTCTATTTCTTCGCATCACTGCGCCTAACATGTGTTCGCCATTTCTTTATGGGCGAGAGTCTTCTTGGGGGCGAGAATGCATTCTCCAGGAATCAGGGGGGTGACTGATGGCTTCTGGAGGCTGCCATTTACTCGCTGGCCCCGGCGAGAGGTCATTTTTGTGAGAAGGGGTAGGCAAAAATGACTAGATGTCTACTACGGACAGGGTTTCCGGGAGGGCATTTGTCCGGTTTTGTTCCTGTATATGATATGAGCTCACCGCTCCGATGCGCCCGTGTCCTGGTTCCACGGTCACCTAGCTGCGCAGAAGAGGATCTCCCCTTGCGTTGCAGGACCTAGGCGTCATAGACTGGCGATGGGCTGGTTGCAGGGCGGGATCTGGTGGTACTAGTACTGCGGTAGAATATCAGACTGCAGACTATCTTGCCTGTTGATCTCTACTCTTCGTTTATTTTGTAGATGGTTCAAGGATGGTTGGTTGATATTGCAGCCTTTGGACTCTCCATATGTTCAGTCAGTTTCCGCTCTTAGCAACCCCTGAACTATAGCGGTGCAACCCACTGAGCAACCGCCAGGCTTAGCACGTGCTCTCCCGCCACTTTCGCGAATCAATTAACTTTAACACGCCCGCCGCGTCATTCATCCACCGTCTTTCAAAGCCACTTCACTTTCGGTCTCGCCTCCTGGGCTTCAACTCCAAATGCAAACCCCTTTACCGAAGCCGAGCAGCGCAGGTCAACGCCATGTCCGCAACCAGCAACAGCGCTGGCCCAAAGGCTAGCCTCGGCAAGCGCAAGCGCGGCGACAACACAATCGGCGTTGAATCCATAGGATCCACAGGAGGTGACGAGGACGACAATCTGCAACCCGTCCCAGCAGGCGGAGATTGTGTGGCACCACCACCATCATTATCCTCATCATCATCGCCAACCACATCGCCAGCGCCGCCGCCGTCTCCTAATAAACCCCAGGATCAGAAGAAGAAGACGAAGAAGACGGAGAACAAGCGGACGCGAGTCGCCAAGGCAAAACCCGCCCTGCCCAAACCGGACCCTTCTACCTGGCCACCGGCCCTGCGCCGCCTCGAGAAGACGCACCGCGCCCTCAACCTGGTCTCCACCTTCCTCTCGGCCCGGCGGCACCTGGCCCCGACGCTCGAGACCCTCCGCCCGGCGGTCGAGCGCCACACGGGCGGTGCGCTGCTGGTCGAGGATGTCGCGGCCATTGCTGCGCTGCTCGGAGGCGAGGGAGGAGGAGGCGGGACGGTCTTCCGGTTCGAGTTTGTGGAACGAGGGGTGCTGGAGGCTTCTTTGGGCGGCGATGCTGCGGCTGATTATGGGCGGAGGGGGGACTGGGAGGAGGTGGGGGGAGGAAAGGGGAAAGAGGGAGAAAGAGTGGGGGAGGAGGAGGAGGAGGAGGAGGAGCAGGTGCTGGTTCTGGAGTTTCTGGACGGGGAGCTGAAATCGGAGGGTACTACCACTACTAAAGGTAATAAGGGTGGTGGTGGCGGTGGTGGTAGCAGGGACCGAGAGCAGAGGATGAAGATGCCTGTGTTCAGCCAGGCGCAGATGACGCGGTTGATTGAGCGGCGCAACGCCAAGTTTGCACAAGCGGTGGATGCGTTCGTGGCCAGGTGTGTCGGCGAGGGGCTGGACCCGGAGATGGTTCTCTTGAGCGAGCGGGAGAGGTATATGCCCCGGCCACGGCGGGCGGCGACGCAAGTGGACGACGAGAAGAAGAAGAAAATGACAGATACGCTCCCGGAGACAATACCGCGCGAGAGGAAGAGCATTCCCGAGATTGTGCGGGAGATCAAGGAGAGTCCGTGGTATAGCGGGCAGATTGTGCCGGACGGGCACCGGGTGTTTGAGCCGCAAGAGGCCGTGTATGGGGACTTGGACTTCCTGCTCAGCCAAGACCTCGTCAACGCGCTGTACAACGCCAAGGGCATCACGCGCTTCTATGCCCACCAGGCCGAGGCCATCAACGCCCTGCACGAGGGGTACAATGTCGTGGTGGCGACATCGACCAGCTCCGGCAAGTCGCTCATCTACCAGCTCCCGGTGCTGCACGCCCTGGAGCAGGACCGCAACACCAGGGCCATGTACCTGTTCCCGACCAAGGCACTCGCGCAGGACCAGCGGCGGAGCCTGAAGGAGATGATGGGCTTCATGCCGGGCTTGGAGGATGTGCTGGTCGAGACATTCGACGGGGACACGCCGATGAAGGAGAGGAACACGATCCGCGACGAGGCCAGGATCATCTTCACGAACCCAGACATGCTGCATATCACGATCCTGCCCCAGGAGGACAGGTGGAGGACCTTCTTGAAGAATCTGAAATATGTCGTTGGTAGGTCTACCAGAATGTGAATGGGTGGTGTTGGTGTTGGAAGGATATAAGACAGGAAACTTACAAGTTACGGCCGCAGTGGATGAGTTGCACTACTACAATGGGCTGATGGGGTCTCACGTCGCTTTCATCATGAGACGGCTCCGCCGCACGTGTGCGGCGCTGGGGAACCGGCACGTCAAGTTTATTTCGTGCTCGGCAACCGTGGCGAACCCGGAGCAGCACTTCAAGACGATATTCGGAATTGACGATGTCCGGTTGATCGACTTTGACGGGTCCCCTTCAGGTGAGAGTGAACACAGGCCTCCGCGATCGACGAGTAAAGCTGACGTATATGCAGGCCGCAAAGAGTTCATCTGTTGGAACACCCCGTACAAAGACCCCGGGGATCCAGCCAGCGGTCGCGGAAACGCCATGCTCGAGTGCTCGCGTCTATTCTGCCAGCTCATTCTCCGGGGCGTCCGGGTGATTGCCTTCTGCCGCGTGCGCGAGCAGTGCGAGAAGCTGGTGGGCGCCGTCAAGCAGGAGCTCGAGGCCCTCGGCCGCGGCGAGGTCGTCGGGCGGGTCATGGGCTACCGCGGCGGCTACACGGCGCAGGACCGGCGGCGGATCGAGACCGACATGTTCGAGGGCAAGCTCCTCGGCATCGTTGCGACCACTGCGCTGGAGCTGGGCGTCGACATTGGCACGCTGGACTGTGTGCTGACGTGGGGCTTCCCCTACACGATCGCCAATCTCCGGCAGCAGAGCGGGAGGGCCGGGAGGCGGAACAAGGACTCGCTGTCCATCCTGGTGGGCGATGGCTTCGCGACCGACCAGCACTACATGCAGAACCCCGACGAGCTCTTCACCAAGCCCAACTGCGAGCTGCAGGTCGATCTCAGCAACATGCTCGTCAAGGAAGGCCACCTCCAGTGCGCGGCATACGAGATGCCGATCCAGCCGGCGGAGGATGCGGTCTACTTTGGCGACGATCTGGCCCGCATCTGCGAGGAGCGCCTCGTCAAGGACGACTCGGGGTTCTACCACTGCCATGACCGGTTCCGGCCGCTGCCGTCGCGATTCGTCTCGATCCGCGACACGGAAGAAGACCACTTCGCCATCGTCGACATCACGCACGGCCGCAACGTCGTGCTCGAGGAGCTCGAAGCGTCGCGCGCAACCTTCACCATCTACGACGGCGCCATCTTCCTCCACCAGGGCGACACCTACCTCGTGCGGGACTTCAACCCGGACCGGCAGATGGCGCGCGTCGAGCGGGTCAGGGTCGACTGGATGACGTCGCAGCGCGACTATACCGACATCGACCCGGTCGAGACGGAGGCCGTCAAGCGGCTCACCAACTCGCGCTGGCGCGCCTACTACGGCTCGATCCGCATCACGCAGGTCGTATTCGGCTACTTCAAGGTCGACCCCAGGCGCAACAACCGCATCCTCGACGCCGTGCAGGTCGACAACCCGCCCGTCGTGCGCCACAGCAAGGGCATGTGGCTCGACGTGCCCCAGCACGCGCTCGACATCCTCGCCGCACGCCGCCTGCACGTCGCGGGCGCCATCCACGCCGCCCAGCACGCCGTCATGAGCCTGATCCCGAACTTTGTCGTCAGCATGCCCGGCGACGTGCGCACCGAGTGCAAGAACGGCCTGAAGGAGTTCGCCCGGCGCGAGACGCAGCGCAAGCGGCCCGCGCGGCTCACCTTCTACGATGCCAAGGGCGGCGCCGGCGGGTCCGGGATCAATACGAAAGCGTTCGAGTTTGTGGACCTGCTGCTGAAGCAGGCGCTGGCGCGGGTGACGCGGTGCGGCTGCCACGCGGGCTGTGTCGAGTGCTGCGCGTCGGAGCAGTGCAAGGAGATGAACGAGGTCATGAGCAAGGCCGGGTGCGAGGTGGTTCTGAAGGCGCTGCTAGATGAGGAGATTGATGTCGAGGCGCTGCCGATGGGTCCCGAAGAGGGCGTTCCGGCCGGGGTCGAGACGGTTGTGTTGGCTAGCACGGTGTTGGGGAGGGATGGGCGCGGGTTGGTTGTTGATGACGATGATGATGGAAGGGGGCCTGGCGAAGGAGGATAGATGGCGAGGGTGCACAAGAAAATAGGAAAAAGAAGGGAAAGTTGAAAGGGTTTCGTGGAAATGAAGCATCTTGCAGAAGACGATTGGCAAGAGTGAGGGGTGCAATGGCTGTCTCGCTGACTAGGTAGGTACCTGACGGTGTGCACTGTGTTTGAGCATACCTGGTCAGTGACCGGCCTACCGAGGGGCAGGCACTATATAGGCAACATCATCCAGTTGGCCTTCAATGGCGCCGTGGTGAAGTGGTCACACGCCTCGGTCACCACCGCCACGGCGCCGTAGACCCTCTCTGCCCGACGGGGCGGGAGGGCACGGGTTCGATTCCTGCCCAGCGCGCTTGACTCACCAGCTTTTCGACGACTTTCCGAATTGCCGACCAGCCGACCAACTCGACTCGACATCGAAGCAAAACCCCTATGAGAGGGGGTTTTCGTAGCCACCAACCTCCCCTGCAACAAATCCGACGGGGAGCTTGGTGGTGAGCTTTTTTGTGTTTTTATATGTAGTGCATGTAGTATTATACTACCTCTCTGAGGTACCTAGAGATTCTTGTTCAATGGTTTTGATATTCCCAGCAGCTGCCGGTTAGTCGAGTCGGTTTACGATCTCTGTCCGGGGAGGGCCCACAGCGGCGCCGGAGATCCGGGGCATGTGGAGCCCTTACTAGGAATCCACCCCGGTGCTGACGGGCCCACACTCGGCGTGTCTCTCCATCACAAATTCCCTGAATCATGCCGCGAGCATTACAATTCCTTTGTCTTGGTTCTGCGATCTCATAGCATTTGTTGATTGTACTATTCTTGGCGTTTAATCCTGCTCTTTTTTCTCTCTCTCGGCTCTTGTGCCTTGTCTGCCCAGTGCTATATAGTCTCGGCCAAAACAGGAACAAGCAGGCTAAGCTTTTCTGCCGAGTCCGCCCTTGGCGAACCTAGCGCGAGCCGTTGCGTGCGTGCTGATCGGCACTCGGGCCCCTGACTGGCTTTCAGCTGAGAACTTTTGAGGCAACCAAGCAAGGGAAGAATGAGCCCGCCAGAAAAGAAGCATCCCTTGACGCTCGGTTCAAGGCGCGATGGTTGATCGGCAACAGCTTGGAGACAGCAAAGACCAACTGAATGGCACTTCTCTGTACGGCAGAGGCACGTCGGACCAACAAATTGTCGCCTGCGCACTCCTGTGGTGGATCTGACGATTGTGGGTGGCGTTTGATAGCTCGGCGCTCCTTTTTAGACTCCTGAAACATGAGCCAAGCAGCGCGCGCCAGGTGGCTCGCGGGAGGTCAACAAGTGCGGGATGGCGCCCCCATGTTTTTACAGTAGTGTAGCTTCTCCATGGGGGGCTTGGCGGTTGGTGCCATCACTCCCATGGTTATTTTTTGTGGATTTTTTGTTGAAGCGACTTCCATCCAATGCCTCTTGCCTCTCCCCAGACCGTCTGACAGCAGGAGGGCTACTTACATAGGGGAGGGGATCCCCCACTGTTGATGTTCGCGCCGAGTTTCAAGTTCGTGACACGACGAAGTCATTCCCGCGTAACTAAAAACACACCAGTTCTACTTTACGATGGCCTCGGCCTCACCGCCTCCCGAGGCTGAAAAGCAGTCCTCCTCTCCGGCAACGACGACCTCCTCGCCGACCCCAGAAGAAAAGCCTGCAACAACTACCACCACCAGCAGCAGCACCGCTACCGCCAACAACAACAAAAACAATGGCCAGCTGCCCCTCCACGCCGGGGACCTCCCCCTCACCAAGCAGGAGACGCCCGTCGAGAAGATCAAGCGCACGTTGGGCGTGCGGCCGGCGGGCGAGTCCGGGCGGTCGGGCATCCATCCGCTGCTCTTTCTGCGGAACGTGTTCCGGTCGGCCTCGTGGGCGTCGCGCATCGCCAACGTGCTGTGGCCCGTCGTGCCGGCGGCCATCGCGGTCAACTACGCGCTGCCGGACCACCACCTGACCATCTTCATCCTGAGCTACCTCGCCATGGTGCCGTGCGCCAACCTGATCGGCTATGCCGGCCAGGAGCTGAGCCGCAAGTTCCCGCATGTGTTGGGGGTTATTGTTGAGACGACGTGAGTTTTGTTACTACTTTTTCCTTTTTTATGACTTTTTGGGGTGAGTTAACCGAAAGCGCTGATTTTGGGATTGCAGACTCGGCGGCATTGTTGAGATCATCATGTTCATTGTCTTGATTACGCGGCCTGAGAGTGAGGCGGACAACGTCAACTACATCCAGGTCATCCAGGCCGCCATATTGGGTTCGGTGCTGGCGACAATGCTGTTGTGTCTCGGCTTGTGCTTTGTCTTCGCCGGCCTGAGGCGCGAGGAGACCATGTTCAGCGAGACCGTGAGCGAGGCCGGAAGCGGGTTGCTTTTGACGGCGTGAGTGAAGATCCCAGCACGGCCCCAAAATGATTGATGGTGTAGAACCCCCCCGGCATCTAACAGCTTATCCAGCGGCTTCGGCCTGGCCATCCCGACCGTCTTCGAGCACTCGCTCAGCGGCAAGATCCCCACGGCCGAGCTGCTCCCCAAGACGATCGACATCTCGCGCAGCACGGCGGTGCTGCTCATGGTGGCGTATTTCATCTACATCTTCTTCCAGGCGCGCACGCACCACGGCATCTACGACGCCGTCTTCGTGGCCGACGAGGAGCGCGACGCCGACAAGCACGAGGAGCGCCGCCACCACCGGCTGACCTTCACCGAATGCTGCCTCGCGCTGGCCGTCTCGATCACGCTCGTCACGCTCATCGCGCTCTCGCTGGTCAACCAGATCCACTTCATCGTCGAGGAGCGCCACGTGTCCGACGCCTTCGTCGGCCTCATCCTCGTGCCGCTGGTCGAGAAGGCCGCCGAGCACCTGACCGCCGTCGACGAGGCCTACGACAACCAGATGAACTTTGCCCTGTCCAAGGTGCTGGGCGCCACCCTGCAGACCGCCCTCTTCAACGCGCCCCTGGTCGTCATCGTCGGCTGGGGCCTGGACAAGGACATGGGCCTCAACTTCGAGGTGTTCGACGTGGTCGTGCTGATCCTGGCCATCATCACCGTCGGCAACTTCTTGCGGGACCAGAAGTGCAACTACCTGGAGGGCGCCCTGTGCGTCATCGTGTACGTCGCGATTGCTGTCGCTGCTGTTTATTACCCGAACCCGCACGTGCTTGAGGCGGCGAGCGGGGGGGCCTCTGAAGGGGTTGGCGTGGTAGAGCACCACTGAAGTCGATGTGATTCGGTCTCCTTTTTCTTAATTCTTATGATTTCGAGGCATCTTCCCAAGCGAGCGTCAGTAAGATTTCCGGTCTGCAGGTCTGCATGATACATAATAATGCATGAGATACAGTCTCCACGCTCGACTCTATTCCTGCTCCTGAGTATACTTTGAGTGGATTGGCTATAATGTTTTAACTATGCCGATTCAAACGGTGACATTTTTTGACAGAGCCTACTCACCTGAAGAGGCGTTGACAAATAGCCGGACAAGGGAGATAAGCAGACATGAGCTGCTGCGTGCTGCGTGCTGCCAGCGTGTCGATTCTCGATTGTCAATGTCCACAGCATAAGAAGGTCTTACAATGCGACGGATATTGTAAAATACAGACCAACACCAAGTCCCAGTAATTCCACCCACAGCGCAACTTGTCTTTTGAGTTTAGTCCCACCGAGCAGTTAACTGATAAAGCACAGGCAGCCCAGGCCCAGGTAGAAGACAAACAGCGGGTAGACGGCCAGGCCGACCCGGTTCTTCACCACGCCACTCCCTCCAAGGATGCTGACTCCCGCGGCTAGCGACCACCCCACCAGCACCAGGTACACCGGAATCCTCGCAATCCAGTGCAGGCTCAGCGCCGATAGCAATGCCGCGATGACGAGTGGGAACAGCGTGTAGCCAATGACGCAGATACTCTGCGCGAACGAGCTGTGCACATCGCAGTCAGTCAGTCAGTCAGCCTATACTTCGTACCGCCTCTCCAGAGCGAAAGAAAGAAAGAAAGAAAGAAAAGAACTCACATATTCCCACCCAGCAATTTGATCTGCACCGTCACAACCGCCATGCCAATCCACACGATGGCAAACACCCCACTAAACACCACCTCCCTCTGCGTATCCCGACTCTTCAGACACAGTAGGGTGCTCAACAGCAAGCAAAAGACCAACGGCCCCCACAGATCCCAGTCTCGCAGCCCGCTGCCCTGCAGGTGCTCCGCGCTGAGCAGGCTCTCGGCATCCATCACCCCGCGCGCGAGGCCGGCCAGCTCCTCCCTGGCGCCCGCCAGCCCGCCGCCGCTCCGCAGACTGGCATACGCGCCCCGCAGGGAATGGGCCGTCCCGCCCCACGCGTAGAACAGGTGCCGCGGATACAGCACCTCGCGCAGCTTGGACCAGACCGCCAGCAGGTCGCGGCGGAGCGTGGCCCAGACGGACTCGTCGATGGTCGAGAGCGGCGCCGCGCGGTCCTCGCCTGGGATGCGGGACGTCCATGAGTTTGCTGCGTTGTTGCTGCTGTTGTTGTTGTTGTTGGAGGAGGAGGAGGAGCCGATGGTGCCGCTTACGGCGGGGCGGGAGGAGGAGGAGGATGCCGTTCCCAGGGGGTCGTCGAATGTGTTCAGGTCCGCTGCAACGGGGAAAGTAGGGTTAGTTAGGCGGTTGAGATACGCAGATGGAATAAAGAGGTAAGGGAGGGTGGGGGGTGAAAAGAATACGGACCATCGTCCGGGTCGATCAGGTCGTCGTCGTCGATGTCGACGGCGGGGATGTTTTGGTAGTCTCGGCGGCTTGACGAGGCCATCTTGCGCCGGCGGCCTGGTTCCAGTTTGGCGTTGCGTGGACGCCGACTGGTGTGTGCTTAAAGGGAGGTGTGGTTGGCGCCGTCAAGCGGCGCGAGGTACTTTGATATGGTGCGTACAAGCCTCGTAAGGTCCTTGCGTAATTGCTGGCCCGTGGTTAGGTTTGAGGACAGCGTCAAGCTTGTGTCCACAATGTTCTCGAGCTTGCGCAACTCATCATTGGAGTGTCGTGAGTGTTGCGAAGGGACGTTCTTGGCATGCGGGTCCAAGCTCCTCTGCTGGAGTGGGTCTGCTATTGCGGCATTGTATTTTACCCGGTATTTCTCGTAAGTTACATCAGCGATCACCATATCTTACATACTATCGAGTTACCGTTAGACATGCAGCATCTCATAGTTAGCCGGAGGCTTGCTTCTTCGTGCAGCCCTAGGAGACAGAGGCTGCAGAAGCTTCCAATCGATCCATACTTGACCGCTACTTTGCACCAAGCATCTAGCCGGCTAAGCACTTCAACAAAACTGCACGTACACAGAGTGCCTTCCTACCCTGTGCTGCGATCTCTGTAATAAGCACGCCTGAGCATTCTATTCCCGATCTGTGAGACAAGATCGTCCAACCACTGGGTAAGAAACCAAATCAAGAGCACACAGCATTACACAAGTTCCTATCTTATGATACCACGAAGATGTGACCCTCCATGTCATTGGCTGCTCAACCCAGCACAGCAAGACACTGTCTGGCGCATTTGGGCGTCCTTGGGGGGCCTAGTAGCTGCCTGGTTTTTCCACACCCCATCTCGACGGACCATATCTCCCTATCATTATATTCCCATACCAAAGTAATACCTCGAGTCACATTGTAACAAGGACAGAACCATTGAAACTGTCCAGAGTATCCCCCCCTAAACTAAGAAGCCCTCGAAATTGCAACTGTAAACAGGATCGCTGAACAGTATAGCCGCCATTAACAATGATAAGTATCCAAAAGTCGCGACGCTTTTCCCAACCCGCCCTGCTTGCCCTCGCCTATCCCAGAATAGCCCAGATAGTAATAAGTAGCCCTTTGCGTAGATAGCCTAGCCTTCCAGTTATTAACCCAACCCAAACCTTCCTCCTTTTACACGCTCAAAACAAACCATCAACATGCTATGATGAATGCATGAATCAGATCCAAAAAGCCCAATATCACTGCCAGAAATACCTCGACCCAACCCCCTTCGATGGCTCGCCCCCGCTCGACCCTCTCGAGCCGGAAGCGTTCCCCCCATAGTTGGTGACGGGTACAGACGTCCTCGAAGACGACGCCTCCGCCCACGGCTCTTCCCTAAAGATGCACCGTCTCGATGCCGCCTCGGACGCAGATGGTACATAACAGGCCTGCTGCTGATGCCGGGCGTGTTCTTGCAGCGCGTCGTATGAGAAGGCCGGCCGGAGCGGCGGACGGCTGCGGTATCCCCCCGGCTCATACCCCGCACCATAGGGATAGGCTGATGAGGCGGCCGCCGATGACGTGGAAGGAACCCATGGTGCCGGCCGGCCGCTAGTGTCGTACATCCCTTCGTCTAGGGAAGCATGTCGCGCACGGTAGCCGGGCATTGGGTTCTCAGACGGGTAGAAGCTGCCGCCGTGACCGAAGGCGAGTCCGGCACTAGAAGGTTCCTTGGCCCTGTCATTGACGTTATCGACTCTGGTCACTGGGTGTTCGTCCGGGGGCGGGTAGGTGGTTGGGCGGGAATCAGGCATCCAGACGGGGAGTCCGTCTACCGGCTGGGCACCCCTCCTGGGGCGGCCTTGGCCGTAGTTTGCGAGCGTCCCGTTGATGCCGGTTACGGCCCAGGCAAAGACAGCCACGTCCCGTATCGATCGCATCAACTCTGGAGATTTTCCCCGTCAGTTCCAAGTTACTTTTATGGAAGCATGACTGATGCGGGAAAAAAGAACTCACGATCAAAAGGAGGCCCACCTGCGGCTTTGACGCACTCCCGCAACGGCATGTACTGCGGTAGAAATGGCGGACGAAATGTGTACAATAGCTCGGGAGAAATATAGGGTTCGATCGGCTGGAGGCCCCACGGCGCTGCGAAGAGACCGTTCTCGAAGTTGAACGCGGCTGGGATGGCCAGCGGTTGTGGGTCGGGGATAGGGGGCCGCGCTCTCCGCAGGACCACAACAAGCCCATCTGACGTGCACGAAACGACGGCCTCAAGCTCGAATGTCCGCGGTGCATCTGATATTGATGCTTGAGCACCGCTGGAAGGATGCCCCTCGTCACCCCTGCCGTCTTCGTCCCCGGGCGAATTGGGTGAGTGCGGCCCCAGTTCGTCATCAACATCCATGCGATTATCCCGTATGCTAGGATCCTTGACGTCCACTTCGCTCCCGTTAAGGCTGCTCCTGTCATCTGCCTCGTCCTCCATCTCATCCGCTTCCCCTTCCCCTTCCTCTTCGCTGACGGGATCGTTTAGGTCGAGCCGCGGGTCCTTGTACCAGAAGCGCAGATATGCAATGGACTCGTTGGCCTTGGCGCTCTCCAGACACCTCTCCGCTTCGTCAAGGCAGTTCGGCTGGATGCACTCGTAGAAGGGCCGTTCCAAGAGCTCGTCCGGACCTAGGCCCAGAATCTGTGCGACAGCATCGGTTGCATACATTATGGTCAGGTTCCTGGTGAAGCGGTTGAGGATCAACGCAGCCCGAGGCTCTCGCTCCATCGGAGGCATCTTGAACTTGGGCGACAAGTGCTCGAGCATATGATATCGGGGATCTCGCGGCGAGCTTGAGAATATCCGCCGGATGTGAGGTGCGTCTCTCGCCCTCCCTAAACGTGCACGTCAGCGGAATAACGGACGGGATTAGCTAGCTGTAGGCCTTGTGGGGTCATACTCTCGCTCTTCTCGCCCTTGAAGTATATGCTCGTCGATGCAACCAGCACATTATGTACGACGGTAAAGCAGCATTCGCAGCTCACCCATTGGCCGGCTTTGGAGAGGATGCGAGCATAGTGGAGGACGGCGGCCTTGTCGAGTAGAATGCCTCTGCTGTGGATGGCACGTGCAAAAGGTATCTCGTCGGGATGGAAGTAGTCAAATGCAGACTTCCCCCTGACTTCATCGGGCTGGTAGCCGAGAATATCGAGGATCGAGTCGGAAGCAAAGAGAATGTTGGCATCGGGAGTGAGGTCTGGGGGTATTGGTTACAGGAGTCAGTCTGCGGCCGAGAGTTCAGTCTGGTTCGACCTACTGTGGATGGTCATGAACGTCTGGTCTCGGGGGTCCATGGGGGGCTGACGATGGTGGGCCCGCTCGAAGAGCTGGCTTGGTGTGCAGAAGTCGGTTACGAGTCGCTTTCCATGCGTTGACAACGGCCTGGTGGTATCGGGGTAAGAAGAAGCTAGTCTCAAAAGGCGGCGCCGAGCCAAGCACAAAACAGGATGTCGTGTAGTGTAAGAGAAGCGGCCCAGATCGACGGAGTGGCGATCTGGGGAGATCTCAGGCGTGGCTCGTGGGTCCGGTCCTTTGGGGTCGGGCACGAGAAGACCGAAGGCCCACAGGGGATGCGGCAAGGAAGCGTCGGGTATCCCGCGGTATCTCGTGTGCCTGATGTCCTCGACCGCTGCGTCCGTGGCTCGCAACCGAGCTTCAGTGGGACAGAGATCCCGCCGTCACCTGGGAGCGGGTATATCAGGTCCCACCCGTTTCACCACGGCCTGGATCTGGCGATGGCGGGGAGAACAGCGAACCAGGCTGGTGGGAGAGCGAGAGAGGCCCTGCAAAGCGGCAGCGCGCAGCACATGCGCGGAGGAGAATCCGTCACCTAGTCTGATGAGCTCGGAGCTAGAGGCCGAATCGCAACCGAAGGCGCCGGCAGTGTTGCACCGCGGACGATGTCTTCGGTTCTGTGCAGTCACGCAAATCAACAGAGACCACGGCTCTTTGGCCGGTGCTTGCAGCAGGGACGCTGGGAGACTGCCGGCGGTGGGTTGAATTGCGAGGAAACGGCCGATGGGTATCGGTGCTGCGGGAGCCCAGTGGTGCAGGATGGGTTTCCGCGTTTGTCCGCCTTTTGCGGTTGCTTCCAACGAACTTGTTGGAGCGGTCCCTCGAAGTCAAACACGAGACGGTCTCTTGCACTACAACCGCTCGCTCCAGGAGCACTTAGCCAGCAAGAACCAGGAACAATGCGTTGTTACGTTGCTTGGTGGCTGTTCGTACAGGAAAGACACTGGGCCAGGCCTGGGCTGCGCGGTGTGAGACCGAGACGGGACGGAGTGCAACAGCACGTTGCGGGATCGCGGCTTCGGTTTGTCTGGGAGATGCTGCGAGATGCTAAGGAAAACGAAGCTCAGAGAACATGGAGGGGCCCTGTTGACGTGCAGCACCCTACTGTGTACACTACTGCCCTTGTGTAGTGTACGGATAGTGCACGGTAGTGTTGACTTCGGAGGATATTAGTGGATTAGGAACATGGCGCGGATGCCGCGAGCTTCCATCCGCCGACTCCACGTCCGGGGGAAATTGGAACTTGGAAGCAACCTGGAACCTCCACTGTCTGGGCGGGATGCAATCCCGCTGAGCAAAGCCGCAATTTCTGCTCCCCACAGCAATGCAGCTGCCGGCGAGTCGGCGATAGTGTCGACCGCTCCGGCACACCTTACCTAGCCCTGTTTGCGGACAAGGGTCTCCGACCCCTGGCATTCACCAGGTTGGGGCGGAAGCAGGTGGAGGTTGGCCCGAGCGCGGGACGGGATGGCACATCAAGTTGCTGTGGCCTCCTTGTGAACTGTGTTGAGAACCCAGCATCACAGGAGCCTGTTATACTGTGTGAGGGTTGGCCATGAAGTCGAAGCAAGGCATGTTATGATCCAACGTATTAGGATTTCAGAAATCGGGTTGGTTCGTTCGTCCACTCTAATGATAACTGGATGAAGCTCAAGAGGGGTGTTTGGCTCCTTCCTACTTTGGATGTTGGGGCTAGCTAACCTGTTCGAGGAGTCCACCGTGCTCCTACGCGGAGTATAAAAGCAGAGGGTGGCCAAATCTTGAACATCTTCTGTATTCCAATTGACGATTTCAATTCAGCGCTGAGCATTTCTGCTGAGGTCACATGAAGCCAACAAGCCTTCCTTTTCCTCTCATGTATGCACATGCTTTATTACTAACCGAGACAGTACGTGCGTATCAGTCGGTGAGGCATTCTAGTGGTTGCACACTTGGCAACCATCTTGCCCTGGGAACAGGCACACCAGGCACAGAATCTCAAAATTTTCTGATGCCCTTGCATACGGCACCGATGGCTCACTTTGCGTGCAGGCGCTGCGCATGATGTTTGATATATCCGGACAAACACTCGAGGCCGGTGCCCGACCATCTGGGCAGCTGGGCTTATCCGCTTGGTTGGAACCATCAACTCTCCAAATCCGCTTGTTCTGCATGATCGTCAGGGCCGCAGCGCATGCCATCAACCCTAGTGGAGATCGCTCCCCGCCGTAACTGTATGTTGACAGTGCCCATCGCGCGACTCGCATGGAGAATAAGCCACCACTTCTTCTCACAATCATAGCCCTCTTCGGCCCCCTTTTAGACAGGAACCTTGCCGTTGACAGTTACTTCCACAAATTACGAGTTCTTTCCTCGTGGCGGCTGGTCGTCTTCAATCTGCATAGGAACAGGACTGCGTTGGCATTTGTTCTCGATTCACGATGCCCCTCAACAAGGGCAGCAAGTCTCAGCTTGACCTCTTTCGGCACTCAGCGCCGGTCTTGGTATTTGCACCCCGGCGCGAATCAAGCGACGCCCCGAAAAACCTCGGGCGTCTCCTAGCGGTCTTCTCCGTTGGGTTGCTCTTGTGCAACCATTGGACGGGCATACGACTGGCTCAACACCAAGGAGATCGGCATGCTTGCTTCCGTTGTTGGGATTACTGGTGGCTTCGTGTATTGTTCTATTCCGATTCGCCAGGAAATTGCTCCCGTTATGGCAGGTGCGTGTGGGAGCTGAGAGCTGGCATGATGAGATCAAGTTCTCCATGACCTGCCCGACCTACTAATGCAGACGAACTGCATACTTCTTTTGCGTTTGACTGCTCGTCTTCGAGGCGACAATGTGACGCGCAGCCAAGCCGCAGCGGAGGAAAAAGAAAATACCCCAATGCCGCAAGATTCCGGGAGGTTGCGGAGATCGATAGGCACTTCAATGCTTCCAACCCTTCGGTACTGTAGTTAGCCGTTTGTAGGGCGACACTCTTGAAAAACAGCAGGACGGTCGGGTTCCGGTACCAAATTACTCGTAAGTGTCTCAGGCTGAGATCTCTATTGATGAGAAAGCTTCCTAACGAAACGAAGCTCACACATAGGAACCCAGTCACGCTTGTCAAGATTGCCTTGAGTCTTGAGACCACAAACCACCAATCTCAGAGAAACTACCTACCTCATCGCCCGTTGATTTGCTGAGGTTAGCTCCACAGCAACAGGCATATGGTCGAGTACCTATTGTTCATCAGAATGCTTAAGAATGTCTACTCTTGTCGTTGCGGAAATGTGATTCGATTAAGGGTAGAGTAGCCCGTTCTGTCTGATCAGTGATAGTACCACGCCAAAGTAAGGTAGATACCACTAGTACGGAGGGTGCGCCACCATTGCCTATAATCAGAACGACTATATAGATTGTCATAGCTCGCTTGACTCTGCAAGATTCTCGGGCAGCATAATATCAAGCGATAAGCCGTGTGCTATGGCTCTTCAAATCAGCAATAGGGTCATTCTGTAGAACCGGTGTTTCATCTACCTGTCATCAGATGTGTTACTCTAGAGAGGGAACTGTCATTTAGAACAGGACTACTACTGAGTTCTACTGAAATTATATACGTGTCCCTCCTCGTAGTATAAACCATGCCAAACATTGGTAATGGGTGATTTTTCTCCAGCTCAGCCGAAGTGTTTGTAGAACAAGGCGCCGATGGCTTGTTCGTGATTGTTGAGTCAAGTCACCTCCAAATGCATTTATAACTTAGCACAGCATTGCAGTATCAATAAGCGTAGCTTACACTAGACTATGATGAGTTCAGGTTGTGATCATTTACTGGCTATTCGACAGTTTGAATACGATGGTTCAAGGTTCCAAAGCAGCAGGATGGCGACAACATTTCCATCCGACTCAACCCATACTTAGGTTGCTCTACATAAGTTGTCAGCACAACCACCACGCACCTTCCTCACATAGCACTTAAAAAATCTCTCTAGATATACGAGCACCACTGCATCCACGCGCAGATTTGAATGCTCCGCATAGTTTCAATCCGGTTCGCTCCCATTTCCTGTTCCTTACCATCCCACTGCCGTCACAACGAATCTTACCAAGAGCATGAGAATCGGAATTCAAACAGTTGATTTTGTCATTCCTCCGTGTCGTCTGGCTTTTTACTTTTACAGTTCCTAAGTGAGTCGCGTCGCGTGACGCGTCGCAACTTCAATTGAACGGACCCACTGGGCGGGCTGCTTCACATCAAACGAGCTTTTGAGCATAAGGGACGGGCAATCCAATCAAAACCGAGCTAGGCAATTGATCGAAATCGTCAAGCGACCCCTGGCATACTCGAACGACACTGCTGTTGAGACAGGCGCCCGTGACCTCAGCAACTTCGAGCTCCGAGCCCTCACCGAAAGTTCAAAGCTTCGCTCCGGCCCCACACGGGCCACACTGTCATCTCCGGCCCGGAAACCCATCCCACCCGGGAAAAGTTAAAACAAATACTAGTAGGCAGCAATAACCTTGTCGGAGCAAAGATGCCGTCGCCCGATGTATCCGAGTGGGAACTACCCCGGATGCGTACCTCTTTCATTTTTCAGGTATCCGTCCTGCCCTGGCTCTCTCTCGTACTCGAGTCCACGGCAACTCACCCGGTTGATAGGACGACTATTTCAAGCTCGAGTTAGCCGAAGACCAACCACAAGGTATGGAGCTTGTTTCCTCTGCATTGGGTGACAGGGACCTAGATACCATGAATGTGGCTGATACAGTTTCTCCAAGACCTGGCCGAGTTCTTCGATGTCAAGTTCTACCCATACAACCCGCCGGGAGCACCTCCAGTATTTGCTGCCACGAGCAAGAAGCATGTAAGACCACGACAAGCCTGTCTCAAGCTCTGAAGCCGTGCTGATGGAGGTCCGTGGTGCAGTCGGTGATCTGCCGGTTGACGCGACCAACTGAACATGGCGCCAATCCGTGCCATATCATACAAATCATCAGAGATCAAGGTGTAAGTAGGTGACTGCGGACGAGGTGGATGAGGGTGCCATGCGTGGCATGAAGCTGTGTCTAACCCAATGGCAGGATACCGAGAACTGTGCTAGTTGCTGGTCCAAGGACCCCGTAACTCAAGAGGCCTGGCTATGCGTCGCCGGCAGTGATGCTCTCATCAAGATCTATAATGTGGTCAAGGGGTCACTGGTCAAGGTAGGTCTGCGCGGGAACACACGAGCAGGGGAAATCTATGAGCGTCAACTGACATTGGGTAGACACTTGTGGGCCATGGCGGCGTAGGTTGATGGCAACCTCAGGACCTAGAGACTGTTTGTTTGCTCACTTTGACCAGGGCATCAACGATCTTGCGACTTCGCCCGACAACCCCCTCATCATAGCCTCCGCATCGGAAGACACTACCATCAGGATATGGAGCCTGGCAGACGCCCATGAAAAGCAGCCGTGTGTCTGTATTCTTGCCGGCGAAGGCCACTCATACGATTTGCTCAGTGTCGTACGTTTTCCGCCCGCCCTCCGAGGTCGACCTATCCCGGTCGACTGCTGCTAAAGACTCATCATCATCAGGCTTTCCACGACAACGGCCGTTACCTGCTCTCTGCGGGCCACGACCAGGTCATCAATATGGTAAGTCGCTCTCCATACTAAATAAACAGGCCGGACCTACGAGTGCGAGGAGGTAGCCACTAACAACTTAACCCGAAGTGGGCTCTTCCCACATTTCCCGCCGAACATGTCGATATCCCCTTTGTGATGCACTACCCCCATTTCTCCTCCTCCGAAGTCCACAACAACCTCGTCGACTGGTAAGTTGCCTCCCTCTGCCCGCCCTCATTTTTTTTAAAAAAAAATGAATGCAACACAGCCTGCTAAACCTCGCTGTGCAGCGTCGCCTTCCACGGCGACCTGATCCTCTCTCGCGCGTGCCACGAAGACAAGATCGTCCTCTGGCGCATCGAGGGCTTCTCCTCGTCGGACCCCATCCCGAAACCCCTCGACGCGCCGACACCCACCGACATGGCGAAGCAGACGCGGTCGTACTTCGCGCCGACGCTGTCGCACTCCCGGCCGGCCATGTTCACGCGCCTGGCGCAGTTCTCCACGCCCGACTGCGCGATCCAGTTCTACCTGCGCTTCAGCCTGTTCCGCGCCCCGGGGAAGCACCCGGTCCTCGCCTTCGCCAACGCCAAATCCAAGACATTCTTCTGGGACTTTTCCCGCTTCGGCGGGTACAGGAAGTACATGGCCGAGCTGAAGGAGGCGCAGAGGGAAGGGCGGCCGCTGACGGGGGGCGGCGGGGTGCCGAAGCCGAACTGGTTGAAGTACCCACGCGGAAAGAAGGGGCCGAAGACGACGACCGCTGCTGCTACTGCTGCGGCTGTCCAGGCCGTGGTGGGCGACGGCACGTCGAGTCTGAGGTCGGCCGTGAGTACCACGGGCGATAAGGAGTCTGGTCTCTCCAGCCCGGACCCCGAGAGTGTCACGTCGCTGGGGCATACTAAGGAGGCGCTGCAGAAGTGGGCTGATATGTATGATCTGACGAACCCGTTCCGCCTTGTCAAGGCGCACCGGGTGTATTCGATTGAGGGCAGCTTTGTTGGGAGGCAGGTCGGCTGGAGTCCGGAGGGTGACTGGTGCGTGGTCGTCGGCAACGGGAACCGGGCCTTGCTTTACCAGCGGTGGGGTAAGGAGAAGGGAGTGGCCATCCAGATGAGCTGAGGGTGTGTTTCGTCTTTTCGTCGTTTTGCAAGTTAAAAGTATATTTTCCAGACAGACACCCAAAAAATGAAAAAAGATGGAGTTGCCCATCCATCGCTGAAGATGCGGACTACTACCCCTCCTCGATGCCCATCGAAGAGAACATCGGCAGCACGGATACTCCCTCCTCCTCATCCTCCTCATCCTCTTCTTCATCTGTTGCCAGAGATTCCAATAGCATCGCGTCATGATCCTTCAGCTCTCCGCCGCCCTCCTGGATCCGGCGCAGGAAATCACGGGCTTTGCCGCGCTGGCCAGCCCGTGCTTTCTTGCTTTCCTTTTCCTCTGCTGCCGACCTTGGAGCAGCGGGCACACACAGATCCCCTGTGTACAGCGCCACCATGGCCCTCAACCGGAGCAGCTCCGGGTCCCGTGAGAAAGGCATGGTCTCCATGACGCTGTCCATCCGCTGCGCGATATCAGTCATGCGCCGCAGTGCCGAGAGCCGGAGATCGTTCTCCTTCTCGCGCAGTCTCAGCTCGCGGCGGCTGAGGCCCCGGAGATGATCTTCTGTCGCGGGCAGTAGTTGCGCTCCATCGTCGTTCTCCCTCGTCAGATGACCGTCCATGCCGTAGTCCATTGGTTCATCAACATCCATCATCGCTTCCTCCTCCTCTTCCCCCTCCTCCCATCCATCACTCGTCTGTAACCTTTCCAGCCCGCTTCTGTGGCTTGCATACGCCGCTTCCATCTCGGTGCTAAACAACGCCACCTGGAACTCCAGCGCGCTCTGCCTGTTACTGGCACTAAGATGCCTGCGGAAAGGGTATTCCCGGATGAGATACTCAAAGTACGCCTTCAACCGCTCTAGCTTCTCTTCCTCCCGCTTCTCTCTCTCCTCACCTCCCTCCTGCCGCCAACTACTATCATTATCCTCCCCATCCCCATCCCCCTCCCCGTCTCCCCCCTCTCCCGTAACCCCCTCCCCGCTCGGACGGGGATTTCTCTTCTTCCCCGACCTCGCAACAACAACCTCCTCCCCCTCGCGCATCAGAATCTCGGCGCCCATCTCCCAGTACCGATCCCACCGCAGATCCACCCGCTGGCCCTCCACCTTGGCCCTCGCCAACAGCCCAAACGCCCGCTTGGCCGTGGCGATGTCCCCCTCGGCGAGACAGCGCCTGACCACGGCCGCCAGCCAGCCCACGCGCGCGTGGTATGCGCGGGCTTTGCGGCTGATTCCCTGGGTGGTGTTGGTAGTGGCGGTAGTGGTGGTAGTGATGGTTGGGTTACTTGGATGGGTACTAGTAGTTTCGGCCGTCGCTGGTCCACCACCACCATCGTTGTCGTCGTCGTCATCATCAGTCGTTGTTGTGGCCTCCCATTCCGGGCCGGTGTCGACGTCGGCGTCGCTTGCTTGGTCTGCTACTAACCCTGATGATGAGCGGCGGCCCCGGCTGCGGCGGGAGGATTTTCTGTTCTTCTGCTTGCGCTGATGGCGGGGAGGTCGGTGCGGGAAGCCCGGGTAGGCCTTGGAGGGGAGGGGCTCGTCGGCGGGGTAGCCGGCGAGGCAGAATTGTCGGAGGGTGTCCGGCGTGTGAGAGAGCGGGTTGATGACTGTGTCGGAGGGGGCGCGTTTGCGCTTGCTACGGGATGGGTTTGAGGGGTCGTCCATTTCTTTGGTTGGGTTTCAGGGCATTTGAATAGTCGTGTGTTGTAGCTGTAGTGAGAGTAGTGAGATGTCGAGATGTGGTCTTGACGGTGAGCCTGGGTGTTCTAAAAGGCAGTGTGGTGATAAGCGTCCTGGTTTGTGCAACGGTAAAAAAACGGTTGTTTTGTCTACACACTTCCCGATCTGAGTGAGCTAAGGTACCTGCTTTAATAAGAGTCGATTAATATTGTTCGCCAGAGTTACGCGTCGAGGTTAGCAGGGTGCTTTGAATGATAGGATCATCAAATTCGATGAGGAAAGCTTGAGTGGGCTCATGAAATTTTCCGATCTGAGCGTCGGACAATGAGTGAATGAGCACCAACACCTAGCTCACCATCTAAACAAGTGTTCTACAGCATGTTCATTCCTCCATTCACCGAGAAGTCCCAGGCCCTGTAGAACTCGACACGGCGCGTCTTCTGCTCTCCGTTTCGCCACCATAAGCCGTGGGAACCTTCAGGTTCCGACTGCGCAAGTCTAGGTATCTTCTTACAATCTCCCCACTCGCCAGTCCGATACTCTACGGTGATGTGTGAGCCAGGAGGAACAGCAAATGCATACCCCGGACCAAGCCGCTGACTCGAAGGACGTCTTTGCACACGCAGTCTAGCTATGTACAGTGAATGATGCAGTGGTATAGTCCAGTATCGCATTTACGGCTTCCGCTCAAAGTAGACCCATTGGCCCTCGGCCGGTTGCTCCTCAAGGGGCTCCCACCTAGACACATCGTTAACCATTACAGACATCAGAAGGGGAGTGATTAAAAAAGAAATCTCAGCTTACACCTTGGCCTGGGTCATGATGTCCACAAGCTTGAGCTCGCCCTCGGCAACCTGTATCACCTCCTCGATCAGACCGGCGCCAATCTTGGACTCAAGTTCCGCAATCCTGTAAAAGCAGCCCCGTTAGCATGCACATCCCTCCCTAACTCCCCCAAGCTTTCCACTCGAGAGGTGCAAGAAGAAGAACAAGAACACCCACTGATCCGCCGTCAGCTGCGGCTCCGGCTCCCACGACACCTGCTCGACATCGCCGAGATCCCTCCGCTCAAAGATGTGCTTCAGGTCCTGCTTCTCCTCCAGCGTCCTGCTGCCCTCGAGCTCCGGGCCCTCGTCCACCTCGCCGTCCCACTCCTGGTACCGCATGTCCTCCTCCTGCGGGAAGTGGCGCACGACGAACGCGTGGCCGTCGCGCTCGATCTTGATGGCCGTCGCGCTGTCGACGCCGGCGCCGTGCGCCGCCTTGAACCGGTCCGGGTGGTCGCCGAGCATCTTGCGCGCCTTCTCGGCCCACTCGTCGTAGCCCGGCGGCACGGTCGCCTCCACGAGCGCCATGCGGTGCTTGGTCAGCGCCTCGACCGACTGGCGGTAGACCGAGTGCTCGGGCATGGCCTTGAGCTTGTCGAGCGTCGTTGTGTAGAGGTACAGGAGGGCCGACCGAGGGGTTGGGTGCACGTGCAGGCCCGTCAGACCTGTCGGCGTGCCGGGTTCGAGGTACCGCGCCGCCGGCCGGACGGCGGCGAGCAGTCTGAGGGATGCGCGCATTGTTATCGTTCTCTTTTTTTGGGGGGGGCGGCACCCTATTGATAAGTCGGGTGTGTTGCGGCCGCGGAGCGGGAATTCGCTCGGGGGTTGCTGTTCGGTCGGAATCGGTGCTGCTTTCCGACGTCAGAGTTGCTTGCTTCTCCCAGCAGCGCAATGTGAGGCTGCGAGGCTGTGATTGGCGGATTTAAGGATGACACGTGAGATATCAGGTGACACCCTTCTGATTAACACAAACACCTGCCTTCTGCTTAAGTATTTGGTGCAATTCTGGCACTTCGGTTAGGGTGGCCGAGATAGAGGGATTTATGATTCGGCATGCTGGTAGACCAAAATGGACGTCCTGAGGCAGACCTTAAGGCGGACCTCGCTTGACTATGTCCGTATCCCAGACACAGACATTACCAGAGGCAGGATCCAATTACGCCGTGGGTATAAAGACGTGTATTATCAGTCTGTGCCAAGCCCTCTATGAATTGGAATGAAGTCTGTGAGGAAGAAAGCAAAGGAAACGATCAGGCCAATCCTCCACTACGCAATTATTCCTCCGGCAAACATCACCATCTACAGCTCGTCTGTCTGTCGTTTTATGAGTTCCCTCTCTTCTTTTTTGTGAAACTCCTTCTTCTGTAACTGCTCATTCCAGACCCGATCCGTTCCGTATCACATTCCCACCTTCGTGAAGTAAAGGAAACCTCAGGTAGTTGTTTGGACGCCCAGCACATGCGTTCGCTTCGTATTCCTATGAGACCCATCTATCAAAAGACCACCCTGTGAAGGGCTCTTCACACAACCCCGCCGGAGGAAAATGGAACCCAAGAGGCCGGAGATAGAAAGATTCGTTCAGAAAGTCATGCTTTTTTAAGGGTCACCCGCCTCCTCAACCTCAGCCTTGGGCGGGGCATCGGCATCCGTCATCTCCTCGTCCTTGGATCCGCCATTGTTGGCGCCGCCTTCTTGTTGCGCCTTCTCGGCCTCGGCAGCCTTGCGCGCCTCCTCCTCAGCCGCCTTCTTGGCCGCCCGCTCAGCCTCTAGCTTGGCCTGTAGCGCCTGGCGCTCGGCCTCGACCTTCTCGAAGTGGCGCTGGACGACGGGCCCGGCTAGGGCGCGGATCTCGTCCATCTTGGCGATGTAGACGGCCTTGGTGGAATCGTCACCCTCATCGTAGAGCCAGTCCTGTTCTCCTCGTCAGCGCCTATCTATTGTCCGAATTCTGCAATACAGGTCCGAGCCAACTGAAACTTACCTCAGTAGCGGTGAGCTTTTCGCGGATCTTCTCCTTCTCCTCCTCGCTTGCGAACTCGCGGTATTGGTCGTCAAGCTTGTTGCGCAGCTCGTAGATGTATGTCTCGAGCTCGTTCTTCTTCTCCTCCGTGTCGGCCACCAGCTTGTCTTCCATGACCATGGCGTTTTCCTTCTCCATAGCCGCGTTCTTGGCGGCCGGCTCGAGCGATTGTGTAGCGCTGACGATGGGCAGCTCGCCCTTCCGAACTTGCTTCTTAACCTTCCGCGTCTTGGGCTTCTCCTCCTTGGCGGCGTCTGTGTCCATGGCCTTTTGGAATGAATCAGTTAGCCCGTCTCTCGTTGTCTCCTCATCCGCCTCGCCCCGGGAATCGCCAGATGCAGGAGAAGGATCGGTCTTGCGACGTTTCGACTCCCTCTTCGGCGAACCCGAGGGCTCGCGGGCGCCCACCTGCTCAGAGGCCACCGATAAGGCGGGGTTTCCATCCTGCATAAGAATACTCACATCGGGGTCCTTCTTCTCCCCTTCCTGCTGCTGCTTCCCCTCCTCCTTGATCTCCTCCTCCACCTCTTGGTCCTCGACGTAGTAGCCGCTCTCGACGTTCAGGATGCCGTGGATGTTCACCCGGGCCTTGAGCTTGCAGATCATGAAGTCATCCTGTCCTTCCGTCGCCTTGACTCCCTTGACGGAGAAGCGGCCGATGAAAGGTGAGATCTTGCCGGGGAGGCCATCGGGGCTGGCGTATCTAGCTTCCAGGTCGAAGGGCTGCTTACGGTAGAAGGTGAGGATCTTGGTCGAGGGCATCACGTTGCCCTTGTTAAAGACAACGAGGCTGGTGTCCTCGTCGGGGATGTCGGCATCCTTCTCCCAAGCGAACTCGATCGGGTAGCTGATGACGTCTTGAACGGTAAAGTCGCGCACCTTGAAAACGGGAGAGAGGATGGCGCAGCTGAAGGCGCAGCCACGAGCAATAGCCTCGTCCTGGTTCAGTGTGAAAGAGAGGTTCTTGCCGAAGAAAGCCTGGATGCGCTCCTTGATGGCAGGTACACGGCTGCCGCCGCCAACAACCTCGACGATGTCGATGTCCTCCTTGCTCAGCTTGGCGTCGGCGAGGGCCTGTTCCAGAGTGAGATTGACACGGTTGAGTAGGGGCTCCACCATGGCCTCGAATTCCTGGCGTGTGATCATAGCGCGCACGTCGATGTCGTTCATGAGCGACTCGATGTTCATGGGCGCCTGCTGGTTGGCAGACAGCACCTTCTTGAGCTTCTCGGCGGCAGCGTAGACACGGGTCAGGGCCTTCGGGTTGGTGAAGATGTCGATCTTGTACTTGCCGTGGAACTCCTTCTGTAGGTGCTCGACAATCGCCCGATCGAAATCACGGCCACCGAAGTGGCGGTCGAAAGCGGTACCTTTGACAGCGAGCTCGCCCTTCTTGAACTCGACAATGGAGCAGCAGTAGTCACTGTAGCCCACGTCGACAAAGGCGACACGGCGGGGCTTCTCGTCAGCGGCGGGCAAGTCCAGCTTGGTGATGCCGTAGCCGAGAGCGGCGGCCGTGGTGTCGTTGATAAGGCGGAGAGGCTTGAAGCCGGCAATCTCGGCGGCATCAATCAACGCGCGGCGTTGGGCGTCGGTAAACCAAGCTGGCACGCTCAGGACGACGTCCGACACCGGGAGCTTGAGCTCAGTGGCGGCTGTCTGCTTGATCTTGCTGAGGAACATAGCAACAAGCTGCGTCGCGGTAAACCGCTCCTTCTTGCCGAGATAGTTGACCTCAGCGCCGACCTGACCATTGATGTCGACCAGGGGCGCCGAGATGAACTTCTGCTCGATCTGGATATCGGGGTCATTGAGCGACCGTCCAAGAAGGCGCTTTAGGCAGCCAACGGTGTTCTTGAGGTTGGAGATCTCTTGGGTCTTCGCCGGCTCGCCGAGGTAGCGGGACTTGGGGCCGAAACCAACGAGGGACCTGGCAACAGTTAGGCACTGGCTCGCAAGCCTGATTGATGGACCTTCTAACACTTACGGAGTTGCCCGGTTGGAGACTTCATTTGCGATCTGCACGGCAAGATAGTCAGTTCCTGCACTTGCTTCACGGATTGAATCCTCTGTCGCATCCGCCTGCACTCTCCCTGGCGCATCTGTAGAAGCAGCGGCGGGGTTCTTGACATACCACATCGACACCCCGATTCCTCGCGACGGCGATGACGGTGTTGAGAGAACCGAAATCGACACCTGTAGCGCACGCACCCGAAGTCAGCAACATGGATTTCCGGCGAAAAGGCGACCATCCAGCTGGTAGATCGCAACTTACCGACGACACTCATGTTGGGCGGAAAGGTGAGGGGCACTAGCAGAGCGGGACTGGTGTAAACAAATGTCCACAGGAGACGAGGACACAAGGCAGTAAAAATGCGCGGGAGGATGTGTAGCGCTCACCAGCTGACTAGAGGCTCGGTGTAATGTGTGACTGGGAGCTTGTTATGTCTGCGCAGACACAGAATCTGGCAGTGGGTATCGCTGATGCAGAAAACGGATTTCTGAAGTCGCCTTTTCGCAAAGCGGGAAGATGGAAAAAAAATCAGACTCTAGATGCCCGACACTGGCTGGCGTTCTCGGAGGGGGTTCCCCTCCATGGGGCCTTATGGGGGAGCTCTTAGCCCCGCACCCCGGTGTCAGCGCTAGGCCAAGAGGTCCCCAGAAGCCAGGAGAAGCTTCTCGATTGGCTCCGTATTTCAATAGCAACACCGCCATATTGGGCTCATACAGCGCAGGATTGAGTTCTACATATGTCGTTGAAGCAGTCTTTCCTAAACAAGGCTTGTTGATCTGGAACTTTTGGCGACCTTTGATCTTGCGTTGTTAATCTCAAGCAGCCGTTGAAACTGGAAAATAATGCCAACTGAGGGGCAAGTTGATAACCGCTCCCGATAACGATGGCTTATCTTATCCGAACTAACACACCCGCCGTGCATGTATCACCCCACCATGGGCTTCTTTGCCGCTCAAACTTGAAGAGCCAGGCTTCCCAGACACAAATTGCTGGGCAGCAAGCATCAATGCCAGCAGGGTAAGGAAGCTGTGTACGGCAATTTCTGGTACCTAGGTATGTACATACGACGTTTCTATGCTTGGCGTGCCAAGCCGGACCTGGCAGGCATTGAAGACCCTCATGGCCTCATCATCCATCACGGCCGTGTCGCCAGCGGACCCAAAGCAATTCGAATTGGCTCGACTGTCTTCAAGAGGATGGCCGAAGTTCAGACAGGGACTCGATCTAGCTTCACCGACCCGATCAGTGCCCAAACCTGGTGTCCAGAGATGCCTTTTCCCAAATCGCTTGGACCCAATGAGAGCATGCGAGGTGACAAGGCTGCCACAGACTACAGTGCCAAAAGCCTATGATGACGTGCCAAACTACGGTAGGTGCCCTACCTGTGCACACTACACCGTATGGTGCTCCTGAGTTGATCAACTTCCACTATTCATTCCCGCGCGGACCACCTCCGGCCGTTCGCCCTCCTAGCCTCGAGAAAATAGACATGGAAGCGATAACGCAGTCATCAAATGCGGATCCTCCTCATATGGGCCTGCTCCGGGATGAGACGCTTGCCCTTCGAGGTCTGTTTGGATACAGCAATCATGTCCCAGCACAACCGTGTAACCCAGTCCTCGACTTCCCCGGCACGAAGCTTCACAAAACGGAAGTATGGGACGTCCGATTCCTCGGCCTCGACGTCGACGCATTGCAGGAGATCGAACAGGGAATCCAACAATTCCATATTGGCGTATCCATCTTCGATACCCGGCTTCTGTGGAAGTCCGCTTTGGGATTGCCGCACCCTGGGCAGGAGAACAAGATGACCGAGTCACATTATTTTGTTGTTGGAAGCCCCAAGTTCAGCCGGAGGAAGTCCAACAAGTTTCTATTTGGGAAGTTTGAGGCTCTTTCCCTCTCCGATCTTCGAGCAAGACTCGAAGGGATGACTCTGCACCGAGACCTCATTCTCGTTGCTCACGGGATTCAGCGGGAGCTCACGGTCCTTCAACGAGTCAATATCGATCTCCGGCCGCGCTACGTCCTCGACACGGTCAAGGCCGCGCAGCATCCACTCCAGCTGTCCTACAGATGTAGCTTGGAGCAGTTGCTCGCGGAATTTGACATCTCTTTCCACAGCCTCCACGTCGCCGGGAATGACGCTCACTTCGCGCTTCGAGCTATGCTGATGATCACAGTCAGAGACGCGGAACGCCAGCTGGATGCTTCTGTGCTCCCTAGTTGGCTGCCAACACTCCGAGCAATTGCTCACGCACCCTTGTTGCCAGCAGATAATAAGGGCTGTTCGGAGCTTGGCACCGCTAAGAGGTCCTCCTCATGCCTAGAGATCTTGATGCTCCACGCAATGGCTATTTGCCAACAGCTATATCCGGGCATTTGAGGGAGTGAGCATGACTGGGAGAGAGATTGAAGGAAGCCGCTGACAGGTTAGGAACCCGTTTCTGCTAGTCTGCCTCAACTTCTCCACGACAGTCGGCCCACAACTTGGCCAGCAACTACGTGAGAAGCCGCGCCCATCGATCCCTATGCGCTTACAGCTTCCCGCCACACGTCACCCCTCTTCCGCAGCAGCATCATGTTACTGTCGGATATGAAAAGAATGCCTTTTGGAAGAGGCTACCAATGAGTCTCACATTAGTAGGCGAGTGCAGCTGTCCCAAGTTTGGTCGAAGAGGGTGTAGGTCTTGATCAGCGGCCTGAGCAGGTACCTAACCTGCTACTGAACGAACAGCAGTTACAGCATCCCGAAACAGTCTTCCTTCAGCTATCCGTATAGTACTCGGAAATGGCGGCGCTTTTGCGAAACTCGGCGGCCACAACAGCATGCACTCCATGTGTAATGCCAAGCTCCAAGACCCACGACAACTGTACCCTCAATACGTAATATCTGCCGACCGGGAGGAGTCTAGGACTTCAGGACTTTTGCATAGGCTGGGAAGGGGAGTGAACGAGCGAAGAAGCTTTGGCAGCTGGGCCTCCTGAACGGGCCGGTGAAGGGGACAGTCGGGGCGTCCCGACAAGCGGCGGATACCGACACTTTGCGGTTTCGAAAGGTTCCTTACCTAGGTACCTAAGGTTTTTAATTCCATGACATCTAATACAAGGCCAGGATTCTGGATATATCCCACATATAATCACACACTCTGTAGCAAGTTGTCCGTGTGATATGCCATGAGAGTACCTAAGGACTTGGTCTAAGATCGATTCAGATTCAGAGTACACCAACAAAAACGCAAGCTGCCGAGCCCAAGAAGGAGATCCCCTCTCCGAGTCTCATAACCCAGTTCTCCCTCTTTTCTCCTCTTCAGCTCAAGATAGATCCATAACCTACCGCGACTTGCCCCTCTGTCGCCGCCCCTGCCCACGGCCCGGCGGCGGCGAAAGCGCCTGTAAACGCTCCTCATGTTGCTGCTCGCTCGTCGAGCTCGGGGGCCTACTGCTGCTGCTACCATCCATCACAGCACTCGCTGCTACACCCACGGGCTCCGCAGAAGACCTACAATCGTGAACGAGGTTGATATCGTCAGGAACCTCAAACACCCTGCCCTGCCCCTGCCCGGACTGGACCACCATCCGGGAAGAGGGCGATCGGGAAGGGGCAGGGGAAGGGGAAGGGGAAGACGGCGACGACGAAAAGACGCACGAGCCGGTCAGCAGGAACTGGCTGCTGACGTGGCTGCTCGCCTGGGCCAGCTCATACTTGCGGCGGTCCTCGTCGCCCATGATGCTCTCGACGCGCTGGGGCATGTAGACGGACAGGATCCCCGTGGTGTGGGCGGAGAAGGTGCTGTCGAAGGAGTCACGCTGGCCATGTTGGTGGTGGTAGTGGTGTCGCCCTCCTAGCGTTGGCATTGCTGGCGCGGGGGTCGTGGTGGCGGTGGTTCTTTTCCCGACGTGGCTGGCCATCGAATCGTCCGGGTGCTGGTACCACCCGCTCGGCGTGCGTTCGGGCGGGGCGAACTTGCCGACCACCTTGTCCGGGGGCAGCAGGATGCTCCGGGAGCGACGGACAGTGCCGCTGGCGCTACCGCCGCCGCTCCTCTTCGTCGGCTTCTTCTTCTTCTTATTCTCCTTCTCCTTCTCCTTCGTCTTCTGATGATGGCTGCTGCTGCTCGCCGCCTCCTCCTCCTTGCTGGCGGCCGTCTGGGCGAGCGCGAGCTCCTCGCGCTCTTGCGCCGCGGGGATGAAGGACTCCGGCACGATGTTGAGGTCGTCGCCGGCCTGCTCGGCCTGCTCGATCGCCTCCTGGGCGGTGGTCTGGGCGTCGGCGGCGGCGGCGTCGGCACGCGGGCCGCCCCAGGTGCGCTGGCCGGCGGTGAAGATGCCGTAGACCATGTAGTACCAATTGAAGAAGGGGTTGAGCACGAACATCAGCGGGTACAGCCAGATCTTGAAGCGGCGCAGCTTGGCGCCGAAGTAGATCATCATCAGCCAGTTCAGCCCCAGCGAGATGGCGATGAAGCCGACGGGCAGGTCGGCGACGCGCTTGGTGGTGGTCAGCAGCGCCAGCACCATGATGAAGAAGAGCAGCGCGGTCGTGCGGATCGTGTTCTGCATGAAGCGCACCAGCACCAGCACCGGATAGCGCTTCCACAGGCGCCAGTCGGTCAGCATGCACACCTCGTTGGTGATGAAGCCCAGGAACCAGCGGCGGCGCTGCTTGACGAGGCTGCGCATGGTCTGCACGGCCTCGGTCTTGCAGAAGGCCGACGTGCACATCTGGATCTGGTAGCGCTTCTTGGCGCCGATCATGAACAGGTGCGTCAGCCAGCGGTCCTCGCCCAGGTGGCTCTTGGCGAAGTCGAACAGGTCCTCGCACTGCTCGGCCTTGTCGGCGAAGTAGTACTTGGCCATGCGCCGGAAGGCCGAGAAGCGCAGCATGGTCAGCGCCCCGGGCAGGCACGTCACGGCGCCGCAGCCCGACTCGACCGTGCGCTCGAACAGCTGGCCGTGGATGTACTCCATGTCCTGCAGCAGCGTGATGAGGCTGTGCCGCCGCGTCGTCGACGTGATGACGCCCGTCATGGCCAGCATGTCGCGCCGGTTGCCCGGGCTCAGCTGCATGTCGTACACGAAGTTCTGCAGGCACACGCGGTCCAGGATGCAGTCCGAGTCGATGAACAGGATGAAGAGGTCGTCGTGGCGCCGCAGGTACTCGCAGTAGACCTTGTCGATGAGCTTGAACGTCATCTTCTGGCAGTGCCGCTTGCCGCCGTGCGGGAAGCGCGAGACCGTGATGCGCGCCGCCCGGTACGTCACGTCGATGCTCTTCGGGTACGCCTCTAGCGTGAGCGGCACGCCGAGCTTCTCGATGGTGTTGAGGTACAGCTCGTCCTCCTGGTCGCCGTCAAACGAGAGGAACACGTGGATGCACGACGGCGGGTAGTCGCAGGCGACCACCGAGTCGATGGCCGTCACGAGCACCTCGGGCTCCTCCTTGTAGCACGGCATGACGATGACCACCTTGGGCGCCGACACCTCGTCGAGCACCTGCTTGATGCGCTTGGTGCGCCCGAGCTGGTGCGTGACGATCTGGTAGACACAGAACAGCCACGGGATCGTCAAGAGCCCGGCGAAGCTCCAGAAGGCAAACCACTGCAGGAACGAAACCATGGCCGGCGGCCAGACCCGCGCGATCTGGCTGGGGAGCGGCAGCGTGACGACCATGATGGGGAGGAATATGCATCTGCAAACAAACAAACATGTCAGGCCTTCCCATCTCATGGCGGGTTGGATATAATGATATGACAACCCTCTCTCTACCTACCTCAGCAACGTAAAGGCGATGCCCACGAGCACGGCCAGCAGCCGGACCGTCCAGTGCTCGGCCTTGACAAACACCTTCCACAAGCAGTACAGGAACGCTGCGATCCACAGGAACCACTCGAGGAAGGCGGCAAGCATCACCACGCCCACGATGCCGGTGTAGATGATCTGCAAACCAGATGAGGAGGTTAGCTTAGCACAGTAAATATCTCCGCTGTGGTTGCATCTGCCGAACACGCACCTCCTTGACCGGCCATGATGCCTCGATATCGACCGCCATGTTGTTGCTGCAGACGGCGCAGTCGCCAGAGGGTGGGATGCAAACGGCGCATGAAGCGACAGTGACATGAAGAACGAAACTGTAGCAAGGAGGATATAATAACAAGCCAAACGCAGTCCCTGTGCCGCAAGCATCGGGAAACCTGACCTGCAATCGCGGGGAGCATCTGCAGTAGCATGGGATGAAAATTGGGCGGTATCGCCCCGGAAAGGCGCACAAGCGATCGGTTGCCTGCAGCCCTGGCTCACGGGTAGGCCAACCGTTCGTATTTTCCCATCCCGGGTCCAGAACACGGGACAGACCAGCAGCAGCAGCAGCAGCAGCAGCAGCAGCAGTAATAACAAGACCATGGACCACCCAGCACAAACAAAAACTCTTTGCGGCATCCGGGCAGAGGGAACGGGGAAGGTTGGGGGGGGGGAAGAGGGTGGTGGCGTATAGCAAGACCAACGCGTATTGTATGTACCGTGGTATGCGATGCAAGTGCACAGTGGGCCAACGGCAGAGGCACCCAATATTCAATATCTGCAAATGAAGATGATTTAGCCGGCTGCTTTTTGCGAGAGCGACGCTCACTGCTGATTCATCTTTACCGTCCAGCACCAGGAAAATCCCCAGGGGCCCTGGCTTGAAATCCTACCTGTCTGCCCGGTTCTTCTTGCCCGCGTGGAACGACGGGATAATGGGTCTGAGTGAGACCATGTTGGATAACGCATGAGCTGACTGCCCATACCATATGCCCCTGGGAAACTCGCCCAGTGGGACGAACTCAAATGACGCCAGATGATGAACGATGTGCATGTAACTATACGAAATAGGAGGCGGGAAAGAAGCACTTGCTCTAGCCTGGTGGAAGTACGACCGGGCGGGGATTCCCATTGCTATGATGCAAAGGAGAGGAGATGGACCAGAGCCACGAAATGGATCTCCGAGCAAGTCGCCATCCCGAAGGGACACAGAGACACAGAGACAGAGACAGGAACAAACGGATCGAAGAGGGAAGAAGACCGACGTTGTGCAACCACCAACACGAGACGGTCGTAACCAAACACTAGAAACAGAAAACGACTGGATTTGTAGTCCATCATTATCAGCGCATATGTCGGCCGTAAGGAAAAGTCTTCCCCTACTTATTCGCCAAGTTCGAGCTGGAGTGAAGAGGTGAAGGAAACAAGATTTGCCGAGAGAGCCAAGAGGTTACCGTCCCGTCCTTGCGGGTTGTGGGGGGGTTGTTCGGCAGAGAGAAAGGGAAAGGGGCAGGGGTCGCATAGGGCGGGAGATCTCCCGATGCGGCGGCTAATAAGGTATTCTTCCCCGGGCGCAACGTACGTAAGGTAGTAAGGTAAGGTAGGTATGTACTGTACGTACTCCGTACCTATCCTACCTGTAAGTACATCTATAGTATGTATCACACACATACCGCTCCGACGAATCCAATGGTAGTATTATTGCAGCGGAAGGTGAACAGGTCTTACTTACAGCGGCCGGTGAGTGTTGGGATATGACCGCATCTCGCGATAACATACCTGAACAGCTCAGAATACAAACATAGGTACTCCTATATAAATCACCTTGGCATCCCCTACTCCACCGTGGAGCAGGGCCGTTCCACAGGAGAGGCATGATTACCAAGTACAAGTACCAAGAGAGATCGTGTGAAATCGGCATCGTCACACAGCATCTAACGGTGTAGATCATCCCATCGAACACGAGACCTCACGAAGTAAAAGAAGGAATATCAATCTCACAGTTCTACAATCTGCTGTGTAACCGCACACCTTTCTTTTGGATGCCCTTCACCGGCCCGGTCTGACAGGTTATCTGCCTAGGGGTCCGGTTCAAGAGGGTCCTCTTCCTAATTCAAAGCCAATAAAGCCCTCTCTCCCTTTCCACGAGACAGGAAGGGTCGTTGGCAAACTGCGGCCTCATTAACTAGCCGGTCTCGTCGACGAGTGTCAAGCAACTCTGTCGGGTGCACCGGCCTAGTAGAGGGCACTCCGCTTGGAACCCGCTTTCTCGACGTGGTAGGGAACTGCTACCGTTTTTTAGTGTCCGGTTGCGCGAGGACTGCCATCGTTTCCCGGCCACGGTCCCTTTCTGCCAATCCGTATCTGGGATTCAGTCAGGCAGGTCTAGCAACACGGTTGGACCGATCGAGTATCGGCGAGTGCCCTGTTGGGGGACGCTACGTCCCCGTGTGGCAGGCGAAAGGGCGTGGTAACCGAACAGCCCGACTTCTGGCTGCCTCGATCAGGCGTAACTGTTATAGTTATGATCGAATAATTTCGCCGCGTCTCGAAGTATCAGGTCCTATGATCTTGCCGTCCAATGCGGCCCTTGTTAGAAAACTTCTTGCTAACGATGCGTTGCCCATCGCTGTGATCTACCGGAGGTTGGTAGTTCTCGGCGGTTGCCCACAGCTCAGGAAGATGCATGCGACAAATGCTAGTCATGCTTCCTTTCCTTCGTGGGCACGTCACGGGCGGGCAGTTGCCAAACATTGCGCCTCCGGTGATTGGGAGCCGAGCGTTTGGGATGCCCCTCAGCAGCAGAAGGCACTTGCTTTCGCTTTTGCAGGGACCTTGTTCCAGGGTTATTATCATACCAGTCGACGTCGCTGAGTTGGAGCTTGCGGACTCGCTGTCCGCGCTCCTTGCCCGACCGATTATCAGGCCGATTGTGGTGGTGATGCGAAGCTGGCTTTTCGGGTCCTGCAGAGATCTGATGAATATTGCTGTGAGGGCCGTAGGGGGTCAAGTTCTCTTCACCATCATGCTCCTCATTCTCCCGCAGATCGAGGTTCAACACCAGGTTCTTGATACGCTGTTGTTCTTCCTTCGCTGCCTGCCGCTGATTGATCATGGCCACGGCAAAGTTCGAGTCCGAGGGCAGTTCAACCGTCCGCGTCTACTACGTTTTAGCCACAACCAAAACTGCAACGCCGATGACACCGTACGCACCTGTTGGCGGTTTCCCCTCTTCGTCAACAGAGAGAAGGCCATCGTTCCGCCTGGGGTACCGGGACCACTCTCGGCGGGTTCGCTCCCGCTTGGCACATCGCGGTTCTTAGGCCGAACCGGCAGCGGTATGTCGAATTGCTGCTTGGGCTGGAATTTGCGCGTCTCGAGGCTTTCCGCCATCATCTTCGCATACTCACGGTCAAAATCAGCTTCATCTTCGGGATCAACCTCTTCCTCCTCCCTAGTGACGACAATGGCCTCATCCTCCGACTCGTCATCGCGGAATGACGGGTTCTGGTCAGCATCCTGTAGGATTGTGAACACAGTTAATATGCTGGTACTCTTTTGAGGCCGAGGAGACCTGGGTGTGGCATACCTCAGCTTCGGCCTCGCCTTCCTCGGAGCCCGACTCCTCGTCCTCATCCTGCTCCGCCGCGGCCTCCTCATCGTCAGTGCTCGCTCCACTCGTTCCATCTTCCTGTTCCACAGCCTTGTCGAGACCAGAAGTCTTCTGATCCTGAACAATGGCGAGCTGAAAGACTTTGGTGGCTTCCTCCACGTTCGACGCCAACTTCCACTGAGGTCTGGTCAGGGCGAAGATGTCCTGGACGAGAAACTCGATGTCCATTGGCAATGGATTCTTGGTGTGGATGTAGTACTGGAAGAAGGAGAGAAAGTAGTCCAGCTTCTTTCCTGCGGCACCTTTGTTGAAGAACATCCCACAAGTCTCTAGAATGGTAGAGATCAGGCGAATGCGGAAGTAGTCGTCGGGCTGATCGAAGGGGTTGATGCGACCGGGAACCGGCGGCCCGCCTGCACGTCGAAGTTAGCAAGCTCTGCTATGCCAGAGAGAGTGAAACGTACCGTGACCGAAGGTCATGATCTTGTACATGGTATCAAAAATGACGGGGTGCTCGAGCATCCGGTAGTTGTATAGCTCTCCCAGATACTTCACTTCGGCGACACGGCGCTGATTGAACTTGAAGTCGTTGATCTCCAGACCGAGGGAGATTGACTCAATCACAGCGTCAATCACACCAATGACAAATTCGGGATGGTACCTGTAGATGGCGCTGAGGAGAATGGCTAGGAGATGGATGTTGCCGTATTTCACCTTTCCGGGCTTGGAGAAAACTTTATGAAGAACAGCGACAACCTGGCGATGGGTCAGGAACTCCTGTTTACAAAGGGAGTGGCGGGGAACATGCCTCTTTCTCCTCCCAATGGAGCCTGCGGATCTGCCTGAGAACTTTGTTATAGGTCTGCTTGGTAAGATCCGAGTAGATGAGTTTGCGGATGAAGAGCTCCATTGGCGTCCGCTCCTTCTGCTGGATGGCCGGACGTTGCGGCGGGTCGACATAGTACACGGCATTCTCGATGAGCATCCTCTCGGCGGGGCCAATGTGCTGCACCGACTTCTTCCGCTGGAGGGTCTCTAGGAAGGTCGTCATACGAGGCGAGGTTTCTGGGTTCCGCAGCAGGTAACGCCCACAATTCTCCAGCAGGTTGCAGATGATTTCGATGTTCATCCGGGAGAAATCATCCAGGCTGACTTTGAGGCAATGGAAGACGACGTGCTCCGGAACAATGCCAAACTTGGTCAGCTCGGCAAGGTAGCGAATGTTGCTGAGCCTCACTTGGCCCAAGAATTCCTTGTCCTTGCGCCGCTGCAGGCTGCGGAACTCGGCATCAAGGTACTCGACGAGCCCTTTGGGGATGTCTGACATGTACTGGCCAAGCGTAGCAACGAGCCTGGACCAATACGGAAGGAGATCGCCACGGCCCTTTGGGACATCTGTCAATGCCTTGATGAGCCTGTTCCTGGAAGCCTTGGAGTTGAGGTAACAGAAGTCTATGGCCGTCTGGTCAACGGCGTCTTTGGTGATCAGGTCCGGAAGCCGGGAGAGCAACGCGTCAACCTGAGCCCCGATGGTCTTATTCGCGATTGCCACGGATTGATCGTCCGCAGCAGTGTCATCGGGCTTGGGCGCCTCGGCGGTCTCTGCAGGGTCAATCTTCTTGCCGACCTGCTCGTCTGCATCGGGCTTCTTCTTTTTCACCTCTTCAAGCAGGATGCTCGGGACCTTGCCTCGCAAGTCCACGAGATTTTCGTAGAAGCGCCGTTCCTCTTCATCATCCCAGATACCTGCACCGTCTCCTTGACCACGCAGATACTCTCCGGCCTTGACAATGCCGATTGAGCCGTTTGCGCCAGCAGAAGCGTCGTCCTGGTCTTTCAAGTCCGGCATCTCGGCTCCAATGACATCGGCAATGACCTGCGCGTTGGCAACAAGGCGCTCCTGAGCCTTGACCTGTTTCTCGAAGTTGGCTTGACGGTCCTCAAACACTTCGCCCGACTTGACGTAGGCTTCGGCGTTCTTGCGGGACTGCGCATAGATCGCCTTTTGGTCCCGGATAAGGTGGGCCTTGACGTCCTCGAAGTAGCGTTTGAGGACGTTCCGGAAGCGCTCCTGCAGCTCGGGCGGAGTGAAGGCGGGATCTTTGGATCCAGGCGCAGGCTCGCCCTCTTGGTCTTCGGCCCCGTTCCCGGCTTTGGTTACTCCATCCTCCTCGACCGTCTTGCGGCCCTCAGAGCCGGCTGCCCGAACGCCCAGAACATCCCAGCTAAACGCCTTGACGAAGATGACAAGCAGGGGCAGGTTCACATGTTCCCTGTCGTGGCCAAGCAGGTCTTTTAGAACCTCGAGGGGAAACGGCTCGGCAGCACCCCCTTTGGCGGATACCCGGGACTTCAGCTCCGCCGGCTTGGCAGTCGTCCCATTTGTGGCATCATCCGGACGCTTGATGTCATCGAGAGTGCGCAGGACGTCAACAAGCCACAGCTCGGTCACAATTCGTAGCAAGACCCGCTGCCTGACCAGGCGATCCTTTTCTTCCTTTTCCCTCGCCTCCGGCGAAAGGGCTTTGAGGACGCTCTTATCAGGCGTGGCCATCGATTTCCCGAGGTACCAACCGAGGTACGACGTAAAGTCGGCCGGTCCAAAGCGCTGGTGGAGAGCGCTAACAATCTCGACGCCGGCCTCAATCTCGCCCGGTGACTTGAGCTTGCAAAGGCCTTCATGGCAAGCGGACACGATCTCGGAGAGGTATTTCGACAGGCTCACAGTTTTGATCTCTTGAAGGAAGGTACTGAGAGTGGCGGGGGTTATGGCGGTTCGCAGACGCTTGATGAAGGCGGTGTTTTTCTTCATGGTCGAATCGAGGGACTGGCTCACGGGAAAGAGGTCTGGATGGCCAGGCTGAGTTAGCATTGGCTGAGGCGCCATGCTGAGATACCCCTCCCTACCTTTCTCGCCGTTCCAGGCCCTCTGGTTCAACTGGCGCAGCTCATCTGGTCTAGGGCATTAGCCACGCCGACAGAAGCGACGGTGCACCTCAGAAAGAACCTACGCCTCCTTGCGCGATCCATGGCGGGCCTGTCTCTTGGTGTGTGCAATCAAATTCCAGCTCGCGGTGTAGGTGCATTCGAAGGTCAATATGCTAAGGGTTCAGGAATCGGAAACGGCAATCCCTATCGGCAATGGCGGGCATCGGTGATGTGGTCTGCAGAAGCAGCCTCGAGAGGCACTTGTGATCGGAAATGCACTGTAAGATGGCGAGAATCGAGAGAGGTCGTGGACGGATGCCCGCTGGCGGAACCGTTTTCCGGTCGAAATCCAGAAGTTCGGTGATAATTTATGATGGTCGAATTGATAGTGTCAGTGAGTGTTAAGTCTGTGTCGCTGGCTCCCGTTTTTGACTGGTCGGCTATGTCGAATTTGATTGGCTGCTAATTAATCTACTAGTACACACTCCAGATATTTTCCGCGTACTCCTCCAGTTCTTGAACGCCAATAACGAAGTCTCCCTTCCCAGGGCCCGGTTCTCTAAGGAAGAGAAATCTGAATGAGGGTACCAGTGCACCGCTAGTGACATGGTACGATGTCGGGTCGGTAGTGGTGTCCTGGGTAATGGTGATGCTTTGTCGAAGTACAGACTCTTGGTGTTGAAGAGAGCGTCGCGTCGTGGTAGCTCCAGGACGAACTCGCATTTCTTCCTCCCATTTCTCTAGAAGGATTTTGGTACCGTCAAACTTGGCAAGAAGAACAATCTTAACCTCGTAGTTTGACATATCAAACCACCGCCGCATATCTAGACGCAATTGCGTCAACGTCTCAGAGACTCCCGCCTCGATAACAAGTGTTGGCCAGGCACCTTTAGTAGCTCGTTCAGGCTTCGGGCCACCGGCCGAATCACCCTCTTTACTCCTTCGTCCAGAATAACCTTGTTGTACTGAACGTGTAGCACTGGCGATATCTTTTCAACTCTTCTTCAAACCCATATCGCGAACCTGCCCGATATACTCGTTGTATAACTCTTTGTTGAGTTGCTCATGAGAGTCAGTTGGGATCGTGATAATGAGGATCCGGGAATCGCTGTCGTAATAGCGAAAGCGGAACTTGCGGCGTTGACGCTCTCGGGTTCTCTCGATTTGGTGAAACAATCAAGAGATACATCTAAATAATTAGTATACTATTATATAGAAATGGCAGGGTGATACTATACTTCTAACGGTAAGGGAATCCCGAGCAGTGTAATCGATCGCATTGAACAGATCTCGCACATTGGTAAATCGCATGGTGCCACCTTGCTTTGATTTTACCGAGGTAGGCATAGCAAACGCCGATGAAGCAGATACCGACGTAAATGCATCGGATGGAGACGTAGATGCAGCGGATGAAGATACCGCCGGCGGCGGCCTCGATGCAACTGATGCCATGGCGAAGCGTTGCTAATAAACGCTGGGATCCGTGAAGTGGGATGCGTGGGGAAGCCATTGATTGATTGGAGGGGTACAGGGTGCTTAAGCTTGTTGAAAATGGCGGGTCCGCAAAAGCCAAAAACGGCAGGCGACACAGTGTGACACTCGAGCTGGAGTTGTGCTCTGACATCATGATTACGCCACAGGATTGGTGTGGTTAGGAGAGCGCCCCGGTTTACACAGACGTCGCCGCTTGGGACTGCCCCGCGATCAACAGAACCCCACCTCATCATACTGTACGAAGTACTAGTACACTTACTGTAGAGTTCGATAGTCCGATGATGAAGGTGCGTTTTCTCGATCGCACGTGAAAGCGACCTACGATGTAAGTCAAGTAACATGACAGATTACACTCCTTTGGAAAACTCCGGTTTTGTTTCTGTCTCTCAGGAGTCGGCGACGCATCACATCAGACGGTTCTACGTTCTTCCTTTGCCGTTGGGCAGTCGAGTCGATCGAACAACCCGATTAGCAATCATCGTTACCATCACAGCGGGTTGGAAAGGGTGAGGGAAGGCTCAATTTCCCACACCTGATGGGCCCGGACCGTGCACCGATCTTGGCGTCGGCTGGGACCCAGCGATCCGGAACTTGGGCCCGAGCCGGTCAGAGCGGCGGGCAGGACCCGCAGCGGTCTCTTGGCTCGGAGGAGGCCCGGAGGGCAAAACTCTGGCAAACAAACAAGTCGCGACCGTTGGGGCTGGGCTCACTCAGCCTTTGAACCCCTGTGGTTCCACAAATCAGCCAACGCATCCACCATCCCGATCCGGATAAGGAACAGGAACAAGGCCGAGGGCGTGGGGGTGAGCGCGACGAACATAATAAATCCCAATTCGACCTTACCACTGGACCATATTGCTTCGAATGGATAGGGATGCTGACCAGGTCAGGAATACCTACTGTGGTACATACAATGGGACACAAATGCACACGATGAGGTGGCCCTGCCGGCTTCTGTTCTTACCAGCCCTGACCCGCGGCGTCTGAGCTGATCGAGCATCTCCGTTCCTCCCAAAGTGGGCCGCCTTATCTTTTGCAAATCCTCGCCAACGGCAGATAAGACTGCGGCAATCCGCGCTCCGTTCCTGAACCGTGATCGAAGCATGTCCGCGGAAGAGAGGAACCCTCTGTGCGGTATGCTTCGATTTCCGGTCTCCTCGGGCTGGCATGGAGCAGTTATCCCCAGTGTGGACATCCGTGGTTCCATAGCGCTCGTCGCCGTGGCATGCTCGCTCAGACCACACTCCAAGTCAGGATGTCGCTCTCTATGACCATCCTGTCCAATGGACTCCCTGGGTTACCGTGGTCCCCTGCGGGCTCCGAACGACCAACTTGGCGTGCATGGGTCCTGACTTATTTAACGGTGTATAACGGTTCTTGTCATCAACCCACTGCCGGCGGGTGTTATCAAACTCTGAGCAGGCCCCGGAGAAGCAAAGACTGGCCTCGGGATCGTTTGGCAAGGAACTGGTCTCCGCTCTTATAGAGGATCGGAAACACGGGAGAGTGTGTATGGGAATGGGAAACCGGCGCACACTAGATGCTTATCTGCCTTATTATACTCCTCCATGCTTCTGTTGCTCCTTCACTGTCTGCCTTCCATCATTTTCCCAGACGCCTTCTGGCAACCCAATTGTGCATATAGAGAGGGTGGCCTGCGTGCTGGTTTCGCTTATTGGCCCTTATCGAGCTTATTTCCAGGCATAGCTGAGATAAGATGGAAGCTATATCACTACCCACTCCGCTCAGCCAGTCTCCCATCTCCTTCCGCCCTCGGTTGCCCCCTACTCCTCCACTACAGGACTTCGACTATGAGAAGCCGGAGCCTGTGACGCCGACGGAGGAATCGTCTCGACTTTACCCCCTGCCGCCCACGCCAAGAGAGAACAAGGTCCTGCCGGAAGACCTCAAAACGCCCGACAACCATGTCGAGAGAGACCCGCGGCTCATCAGACTGACTGGCGTCCACCCGTTCAACGTGGAAGCTCCGTTGAGTGACCTCTTCGACGAGGGGTTCATCACGACCAAGGACTTGCACTATGTTAGGAACCATGGAGCAGTGCCCCGCGTCGAGGATAGCGAAGTGCTCGACTGGGAGTTCACGGTGGAGGGCATGGTCGAGCACCCCATCAAGATGACGCTGAGGGACCTGATCCAGGGTTTCGAGCAGGTCACATATCCCATCACGCTGGTGTGCGCCGGCAACCGACGGAAAGAGCAGAATGTGGTCCGGAAAACCAAGGGCTTCTCCTGGGGCGCCGCCGGTCTCTCGACAGCCCTCTGGACCGGCGTGACGCTCCCGGACCTGCTCTCGCGGGCTGTCCCCAAGCGCGGGGCCAGGTACGTCTGCTTTGAGGGCGCCGACAAGCTGCCCAATGGCTACTACGGCACGTCGGTTAAACTCAACTGGGCCATGGATCCCGACCGGGGCATGTTGGTAGCGCACAAGATGAACGGCGAGCCGCTGCACCCGGACCACGGGAAGCCGGTGCGGATCGTCATTCCCGGGCAGATCGGAGGGCGCAGCGTCAAGTGGTTGAAGCGGATCGTGGTCACGTCGGCGCCGAGCGACAACTGGTACCACATCTACGACAACCGCGTGCTGCCGACCATGATCGACCCCGAGCAGAGCGCCAACCTGCCGGACACGTGGAAGGACGAGCGATACGCCATCTACGACCTCAACACCAACAGCGCCATCTGCTACCCTGCCCACGACGAGAGGGTGCCGCTGACGGGCGGCGCCGAGACGTATAGCTATAAGCTGAAGGGGTATGCCTATGCCGGCGGCGGCAAACGGGTCACGCGGCTCGAGGTGACGCTGGACCAGGGCAGGACGTGGATGCTGGCGTCCATCTCGTACCCCGAGGACCTGTACCGGCAGGCGCGCGACGGGGAAACCCTCTTCGGAGGCCGGCTGGACGTGTCGTGGCGGGAGACGTGTTTCTGCTGGTGCTTCTGGGAGCTCGAGCTCCCGGTTGCCAGACTGTGCGATGCCCGGGACGTCATGATCCGGGCCATGGACGATTCCATGATGGTGCAGCCCCGGGACATGTACTGGAGCGTGCTGGGCATGATGAACAACCCGTGGTACCGAGTGGTGATCCACAAGGACGGCCACTCGCTGCGCTTTGAGCACCCGACACAGCCAGCACTGATCCCCGGCGGCTGGATGGAGAGGGTCAAGAAAGAAGGCGGCAACATCGCGAACGGGTTCTGGGGCGAGAAGACGGTGGGCGAAGATGCTGCTGCGCCTGTGCAAGAAGAACCAGCGAAGGAGATCAGTATGGTGGATGAGAAGGTCGCCCGGAAGATCACCATGGACGAGCTCCGCCAGCACGGCGGCGAGGACCAGCCATGGTTCGTGGTGAACGGCCAGGTGTACGACGGCGCCAAGTTCCTCGAGGGCCACCCCGGCGGCGCCGCCTCCATCATCAATGCCGCCGGGCAAGACGTCGGCGAGGAATTCCTAGCCATCCGTAAGTTCTTCGTTCCACCAGCCCAAAGATTTCCCCGAAAATCCAAAAACCTAACCGCATGGATGCCGCCATGTTAGACAGCGAAAACGCGAAAGCGATGATGCCAGCGTACCACATCGGCACCCTGGATACATCCAGCCCCTCCTCTCCATCCTCCCCCTCCGACCCCTCCTCCGAAGACTCCTCCTCCACCGACCCAGTCTTCCTCTCGCCTAAAACGTGGCGCAGAGCGCTCCTCTCCTCCAAAACGACCGTCTCGGCAGACTCCAAGATCTTCCACTTCAGCCTCGCCCACCCGTCCCAGTCCGTGGGCCTGCCAGTAGGCCAGCACCTGCTCATCCGCCTGCGCGACCCGGTCACGCGCGAGGCCATCATCCGCGCCTACACCCCGCTCTCCGAGGCATCCGACACGGGCGAGCTGCGCGTGCTGATCAAGATCTACCGTGACACGCCCGCCTGGACCGGCGGCGGGCGCATGACGCAGGCGCTCGACGCTCTCCCCGCGGGCCACCCGGTCGAGTTCAAGGGCCCCGTGGGGAAGTTCGTGTACACCGGCCGCGGCGCGTGCAGCCTCAACGGGCGCGCCCGACACGTGAGCAGGTTTGTCATGGTCTGCGGCGGCAGCGGCATCACGCCCATCTTTGCCGTCCTGCGGGCCGTGGTGCGTGACGCGCAGGATACGACGCGGTGTCTCGTGCTGGACGGGAACCGCGTGGAGGGCGATATCCTCCTCAGAGAGGAGCTGGATGGGCTGGAGAAGGAAGGGGAGGGGAGGTGTAGGGTGGTGCATACCCTCAGTCGGCCGGGGGACGGGTGGACCGGGTTGAAGGGCCGCATGGATAGGGCCCTGTTTGAGCGCGAGGTTGGCGCGCCGCCTAGGGAGAGGGATGCGATAGTCTTGATCTGCGGGCCTGAGGGCATGGAGGAGGCTGCGAGGGAGGCGTTCTTGGGCATGGGCTGGGATGAGGAGGATTTGCTTTTCTTTTAGCGGGCGAGCGAGCGGTTGGTTCTAAGGGGAAGGGGTAAGGTGTTGAGGGGTCTGGACATTCTGGATTTCGGATTTGGACATCTCTTCGTTTTTGATGACTGACGAGGACATGTTATATTAGAGATCGGTCAACGAGCGCATTGGTAGGAGGACCACGCTGGATTAGCGCCCCTCCCTTACATATTTAGGTAGCATCATGGGAAATCAATGGGTGTATCTTCCAGCTTGCCGAGGGGCTACTTCTGGTCGGGCTAACACCAACGCAACACAAACTCCCACTCAACTCGCATGGCTGGATTGAGGGCAAGCAGCTACTAGTACATCAGGTGTGTTATGGTCCGGTCAGCAATGAGGAAGGGGCCTGCACGTAGACGGATGATGTTAGGAGTAAAGGCGGCTGCGGATAATACGATGTCAGTGTATCAAATGTATGCCATATTGTAAAACACATATGTACAGTAGTACCGTTGCATCTCCGCATCTCCGGATGTTCCACTGAAGTTCCGGAGATGTACGCACCGTACCTACATATATGCACATGCATCCATCCATATTCATAGATAGACCGCTTCAGCCTTCCAGCTTCAAGAGGAAACCACCAAGGTGAAAACGCGGGTTGTCACTTAATGACGAATGGCAGCCAACAAGATGACCGGCAACCAGCAAAGCAGACAACTACACTACCTAAGTACATACCTGCCTAGGTAAGAGTACGGTAAATAATACGACGGGTCCCGATGAGATACGGGAGGTAGAGATGATACAGCGACAAGAGTGAGGTAGAAACAGCCAGATCTCTTGGAAAGCAGTTGGTTGATCAAACTCACCCACCCTGTTACAATTTTACACCTTTTAGCTCTGGCCATGCGTTTTTCCGAACCTTGAGGTAGCCTTTACCCCGTCCCTCGCCGACCCAAAGAAACAAACCCAGGCCGCATCACATCCCATTTCATCACATTGCTCTCTCATCTTGCCAAACCGAGCAGAATGAGGGACGCAAGAACACTCAATTCTAGGTGAAACTCAAACTCTAACCCAGTTGACTTAGCTTAGCTTAGCTTAGGGGATATCAAACATGGGCTTGAGCTTGACAATCAACTGCCATTCGTCGATGGTGACGTCGTTCCGGAAGAACTGCTTCAGCGTGTCGATGCTCTGGCGTGAGATGAGCGAGTAGAGCATGTCCTTCTCCTCGAGCTGGCGGCCGTAGGTCGGCTGGTGGCCGCCCATCTCGATCTTGACGGCCACCGACGGCTGGCCCTTCTTGCAGATGGGGATCTGCTTGTGCTCGCGCTCGATGGATGTACTGCGGAAGGATGTTGGTTAGTGCTTTTCTTTTTTTGTTAAAGAGGCAAAAGCGTGGAAAAGAGAAAAGAAGAAAAGAGAAAGCAAAGGGCAAAGAGAATAAAAGAAAAAAACATACACTCTGCCGAGCGAGATGATCTCCTTGGCGCCAGTTGTCGGGTTCGTCTTGATCGCCGCGATGGGCGTATTAATCCGGAGCGATCCCTCGATGACATCCACACCAACCACGATCGGGCTGGTCTTGTTGAAGACGGCCACGGGGCTCAGCACGCAGGGGAAGACGGCCAGCATCTTGGACTCCTCCTTCTTCTTCTCGTTCTGCTCGTTGATGTGCTTGGTGAAGGCGTCGAACAGGTGGTAGATGATGTCGGCGGTAAAGATCTTGATGCCCTGCTCGTCGGCATACTGCTGCGCTTCCTTGTCCACCTTGACATCGAAGCAGAGCATGACGGCGTAGTCGGGCGCCTTCTCCAGCATGATGCCGCACTGCATCACGTCGCGCTTGTAGACGGGGCCGATGCCGACGTTGGCGACGGGGATCTTGCAGTCCTTGAGGAAGTCGAGCAAGGCCTCGAGCGAACCGAGCGTCGACGCCTGCACGCTGACGCCGCGGCCCGACTTCTCGACGCGGCTGAACAGGGACGCGAGATCGGCCTCGACCTCGTCCTCCAGATCCGACTCGTCGTCGTCAGGGCCGACCACCAGCAGCCGGGAGCCGGCGATGGCGCCCTCGAGACCCGGCGCGCTGATCTTGACACCCAAGGCGGCCTTGACCTCCTTGTTGTGCACGTACTGCGACTTGAGCCGCAGTTCTCGGAGCGGCGCAGGCGTGAGCAGCGCCCTGATGTTCGTCTTGATGACGCCCTCCACGCCACAGAGAATGATCCGGTCGCCCTCCCGGAGGATACCGTTGGACAGGATGACGTCGATGGTCATGCCGAAGCCCTCGATGGCCTTGACCTCGAGCACCGTGGCCTGCACCTCGGAGAGGTACATGAGTGAGCCCACCATGCGCTCCTGCGTGAGCTGGACGATCAGCTTGAGCATGTCGGGGATGCCCTCGCCCGTGTGTGCCGACGTGGGCACGAGCGACACGTAGCGCGCCATCGACTTGTTCTCGTAGAAGAGCTCCGAGTTGAAGCCCTGCTCGGCAAATGCGAGCTTGGTCTGCTCGAGCCGGTTCCTGAACTCATTCTGCACCGCCTTGTTCTGCAGCGCCAAGCTCTCCTGGAAGCCGTTGTTGTCGATCTTCTTCCACCCGTACAGGCGGTCGATCTTGTTCAGCGCGACGATGAAGGGCGTCTTGCGCTCGCGCAGCAGCCTCATGGACTCGAGCGTCTGCGGCTCGAGCCCGTGCATGATGTCGACGACCAGGATGGCGATGTTGCAGAGCGAGGAGCCGCGGGACCGCAGGTTGGAGAACGACTCGTGCCCGGGCGTGTCGATGACGAGCAGGCCAGGCACCTTGAACTCGAACTTGCCGTCGCGGTTGACCACGGCCGTCTTCTGCTTGATGGCCTCGACGGGGAAGTACGTGGCACCGATCTGCTGCGTGATTCCGCCGGCTTCGCCCTCCTGGACGTTGGTCTGCCGGATCTTGTCGAGCAGCTTGGTCTTGCCGGTATCGACGTGCCCCAGAATACAGCAGATCGGCGACCGCAGGTTGTCCTTGGACCGAGCAGCCAGCGCGGCCTGGTGCGCCTTCTCGCGGCGCTCGGCAGCCTCCTTCTTCCTCTGAGCCTCGCTGGCCCGCTGTTGGACCGTCTTTTCATCTTCCGAAGACTCCTCCTCAGACTCGTCCTCGGAATCCGACTCCTCCTTAGCCTTTGGCCGGGAGGGCAGTGCTTGCTGGCCCTTGCCGTTGGCTTCTGGCTTCTTGTCTTCCTTCTTCTCGGCCTTCTTCTCGGCCTCGTCGTCGGTCTCGGCATCCCAGCTGTCCTTGACATCTTCCGTGTCCGACTCGGCAGCGGCCATCCAATCCTCTTCCACGCTGTCTTCGGCGGCAGCGGCCTGGGCCTTGGCGGCTGCCTCGGCTTCGGCCTTCTCCCGCTCAAGACGAGCCTTCTCAGCTTCCCTCGCGGCAGCCTCAGCCTGCAACCTCGCGCGCTCAGCGGCCTCTGCCAGAGCCTTTTCCTCGTCAATCTGTAATATCGCGGTCAGCCTCGGTGGGTCGCATAAAGAAGGTTAGAACATAGCCACTGCTCTCTGCTTACCTTCGACCGGCCTCCGCGTTTCTTAGCGTCCGCCTTCTTGCGCTCCTTCTCTTTCGCCTTCTCCTTCTCAGCCTCGCCCTCCTCCACCGCAGCAATCTTGACACCAGCGGCCATCATCTGCTGCAGCTTCCTTTCGTTGCGGGCCTTCTCCTCCTTCTGTGCTTTGGTGAGGTACTTGCCCTCGCGCTTGAGCTGCTCGATCCTCTCTTTCTCCTTTTGTTTCTTGCGTGCCTTCTCCTCCTCCTTCCGCTTGCGCTCCTCCGCCTCCCTGCGCTCCTCTTCCTCTATCCTGGCCTTCTCCTCGGCTGCTAGACGTGCTTCCTCTTCCTGTCGCCGCCGCAGCTCCTCCTGCTGCTTCTGAAGAGCCAGTAGCGCCGCGGGGATCTTCTTCTTCTTTCCGCCAGCATCGGCCGCAGCGGGTGCCGGGGCCGGTGTACTCTCGGCCTTCTTCTCCTCAGCGGCGGGCTTCGCCGGCTCGGCCTTGGCTTGTTGCGCAGGAGCACTGGCCCCCTTCTTCTTGGCTGCCTGCAACGCGGAATGTTAGCTGAGGTAGAACGTGTATGGCGGATAAGAGACCGTCTTACCTGCTCTTTTTTCCGCTGCTTCTCCCTCTCCTTCTTCAATTTCTCCTTCTCCGCCTTGGTCAACACCCTCCCCCCAGTGTCCAAGCCATCTGCGTCCTCCTCCTTCGCCGCGGGAGAAGCAGGCTTTTCTTGTTGTTGCTGGCCCTTGCCCTTGCCCCCCTTGCCGCCCTTGCCCTTCTTGTCCGGCAGCGCAAACTCGTCGTCGAGGTTTGCCTCCTCGGCCTGCTTAGCCGAGAGATCCGGCAGCGCGGGTTCGGCGGGCTGTGCCTCGCCCTCCGCTGCGTTCTCCTCAAGCCAGTCCTCGTTCAGGCCCTTCTTCTTGCGCTTCTCTTTGGTCTTGCGCATCAGATTCATCAGTCCGCCGCCGCCCGCGGCGGGCTCGTCGTCAGCGGGGGCGCCATCGGCAGGGGGAGTGGTTGCGCTGGCCGGGGCGATGCTCTCGCCGAGCTCGGCCTCCCAGTCGTCATTGCCGCCCTTCTTGCCTCCCTTCTTCTTGGGCGCCATTTTGAAATCGCTTTGCGGTGCTCCTCGGTGGGGGTTGTCTTTATGCTGGATGGCCGCGCTCTTTTCAGGCAGCACAATCCGTCAAAGAAACGTCGCACTGGAACACCAAGCCCACGATGTAGGAAGGACGATCGTGGGAATTCCAGGTCAGAGGAACTGGCCGGTTTCCAGGTTGGTTCGCGGGAGTGGCGAAGGCGGCGATACACAGCAAAAAAGCTGTAGTGTACGGTAGGGGTTCCGGTTCGTAGGTGGAGGCCAGCAAGTGCTGGGATTTGGTACGGATAGGGCTTGCGGATCCAAGCAGTGGATAGGGCCGCTATTAGCGCGGGGCACGGGGCGATAACGGACTTTATCTATATGCCCCTCAACAAACAGGTCACTCCGGTTCCTTGAACTCGAACGGCTTCCCGTCACGTCAAAGGCTGCGTGGTAAAATGCTCTTCAGATTGCGGATGCAACTTCAGCCAACTGATACGATACATATTCTGGGCGTGCCGGGTTATCCTACTTAGGTCTCCAAGGTTCCCGGCAAGGTCGGCGGGGCGGAGGGGTAGATATTGGGCCGGGCCATTTCGACGGGGAGGCACGAGAGAGGTTGTGATGGGACGAACCAGGGACAAAAGTCACGGTGTTACACAGAGACCTTTTCGGGCACAGTGTAGGTCCAAATCAAATTTATGTCCGCTCGCCTCCACGAGCCACAGGCAGACAGCGATGCAGTAAAGGTTTACAACGGGTTGCAAGGTGCCAAGAAAAGAATGCCCCCCCTTTTTCATCGGCGTACGCATATTGTGGTACTGCATTGACGCGGCCTTCACAGCCAATGCCCAAATACAGTGACCTGTGTACCATCCATTCCTATTCCATCATAAGACCGGCGACAGATAGTACTCCAAGACATCATACGCCAGCTGGAAATACCGTGACGGCTCTCCCTCCGAGAAGTCAACGACATGTTGACCGCCGTCCAGCTCTCCCAAGAGCTCTAGGAGCCTCGGCAGCTGGCCTTGTGTGGCCACCAGCTGCTCCAACGTCCTCTTCTCTAAACAGCGCCGGAGTATGTCGCCATCAACATGCATTTCCGGCGGGGGACGCACCGGCTCTATCTCCTTATTGACAGCAGACCGATCGCGCTGCGCCGGGCTCGCCTCCGGGATGGCAAGCGCCATGTTCTGGATGAAGCGCAGCAGCCGCCAGGCCTCAACGCTCAGCAGCGTGAAGTGGTACATGGCGCCGTTGAGGGAGACGCCCAGGACTTCGGCGTCGTCCACCGTGGCCGGGAGCCGGCCGTACCTGGGGCCCCTCCTTTGCCCCCGCTCCCACATGGGCCGCGTCCTCACCCGACGGAACCTTCTGATGGAGGAGGGAAGCTCCGCCTCTACCACCACTTCACATTCCTTGTCCGGGATCTGCCACGGCACCCAGAGGCCTGTGACACTGCAGTCCCTGTCCGCCACGAGGAAGATGCCGCCGCTCGCGTCGTTGAGATCCGGACCGGTGGACTCGAAGAAGTCGACGCCGTTCCGCCGCCACGGGTCTACATGGCAGAGCCTGATTTTGTCTGCCTCCGCGTGGAAGTGGTCGAGGACGACCAGAGACTCGGCGCTTGTCAGGGCCACGAGCTTGCCGTTGGAGATGCGCAGGGCCGTAGCGGGCGAGCCCAGCTCGAAGGATTTCACGGGCTTGAGCTTCCGCTCCTGGAGGTCCAGCACTTCCCACTGGATCGTCCGAGCGAAGCAGTAGACCAAGCCCTCGTCGTAGCTCAGGATCGAGTATATCGGCTCCTTCACGTCCTTCCTGAACCTCGTCCAGTAGCGAATGGCCGGCGAGCCGCCCTCTCGTGTCCCCATCTTCTGGGTCGAGACCAGAATGAGACGGCCGGCTTTTGTGATGACGAGGATGAAATTCCAGACATTGCCGTCCCTTTTGTACCGCCATTCCGCCAGCCCCATTACCCGGTCGCCCGCCCTCCCCAGCCCCGCGATGCACGTTTGGGGCTCGCCGGTCTTATCCGTTGGCCTGCCAATGTCTTCTCCCGTATCGGGGTTGAGGAACACCAAGGTCGGCCCATAGTCCCTGTTCACGGCAACGACTAGACACTGCGTAGATTGGCAGTACATGACCCTGTTTGGCGAACCGTCGACGGGAATGATGCGGTTAGCGGGACCGGGCTTCTCTCGCATCTCGGCGAGCAACAGCCTCGAGCCGGATATCATGAGAATCGGCGTCGCCCCATCCTCGCACGGCAGATCCACAACCGCAGCATACTGCACCATGGGTGCTGGGGCCTCTAACCTGCTGGCGTCGACCGGCCAGACGCGGCATCGGCGACTGCCGTGCTGACCTAGGCTGAGAGACACGAGGTTTCCGTCGCAACACACCAATATAGTGGGGTCGGAAGCGCCGTCACGGCGGCTGCAGGTGAGAGTCGCGACTGAGCTACCGTACTTCTCACGGCCGATAATAGAGAGCGAGCCAGCAGGGTTTCTCACGGTGAATACCTCTCCACTTCTGGTACCCAGGAGAACGGTGTCCCCGATTGAGACGATACTCTCGACGCCTTCAAGTAAAGAGGGCGATCCATAACTGAAGCTCGCTTCCTGATCTGGCAGATCTACATAATGTTAGTTAGAGACGGGTAAGTAAACCGAATGGGCGCTTTCCGCATGTGCAGCTGAGGCTTACCTCCGGCTAGGTTGACCCTCTGGAGGTCAGTACAGGACTGTTGCAGCGAACCGCGGCCCAGCAGCGTCTGAGAAGCCTTCCTGATACCGGCAAAGAGGTTGTAACTGGCATCGAGCGACAGACAGCTGACTTCTCCGTCCACATCGATCGTCTGAACGTGTGAAAGGGTGAGTTTCCCTGGGTCGATCTTGTAGACGTGAATTCGGAACTTGGCGTTGGTGTGCGTCGAGACAACGACACAGTCGCCGCGAGCGTAGGCGTCTGATACGGAAGCATTCAGAATCCCCGGCAGAGTCTGGAAGGAGAAGCTGGCGCTAATTTTATGTTAGAGCTTGACTGCCCTAGTCCTAAACCGAACCACGAAATGCCACGGCAATCATCAGGGGATATGCAGTCCTCCATACCTTCGATGCTGAGCGACCAATACGACCTTCTCCCTAGTGATCTGGACTGTCAGGTCACCATCACACCCCAGTACCAGCGTGGTCGATGCCAAGTCGTAGGGTATCGTATCCGGGGCGGCCGCGGTGGCGCTGGAAAAGTCGCTCGCCAAGTTTAAGGCGGCCGAGCAGTCAGGCATGGAAAGCAGCAGCAAGTAGCCGCTGTGGGCGGGGAGAAGCCACGCCTGTTTCACCCCAGGGCCGTATTCAAGGTCCAACGCGATGTCCGCTTTCAGCCCGTACCTATACTCCGTGATTGCACCCTTGCTGGCGCTCTCGCCAGTTCCAAAGACGCGGTCTGGTTGCCGCCATGTGGCGTGCTGCCATGGAACCATGGCCTTGTCTTGACTAGCATCCTGGCACCACCCTGAATATTCATCTGTAGATGTCAAGTCGACAACCGGCGACCAGTTCGGCAATATCCCAAGCAGCTCGGCGGGTTGCCGGGCAGGGATCTGCGGACGGGGTCAGCAATGACATAGGAGAGACGTTAGATTCTTCGCACCTTCCAACACCCGCCAGGTCCCACGTCGCTGCCCAGAATCAATACGTCGGTACTACGGTCCGAGTTGGGCATACAGGCAAAGGCCCTCGATATGGCGCAAGGAAACGGGTCCATGTTGAAAATGAGGCCGGCAGAGCCGTCCTCGTGGGCTTCTAGGAAAGTGATCACGCCATCCTCCCGCGCGAGGTAGATGCAGTCGCGATTTACATTGTAGCCGGACCGACGGAAAGGCCTTGCCCACGCCGTCCACAGTGGCTGGTGCCGCCCCCGATGGTTGGCAGTGGGAGGGCGTGCTGGTATCGCCACGGGCTCGAACCTCGGTGGCCCGTGCAAGCACTCGGTGCACAAGGCGATCTGATCCGGCGATACGGCGATGAACGCTGACTGAACCGTCAGGGGGATCAAGAGTAATGGCACCTGATGCTCGACAGGCAGCCGATGGCCTTGTTTCTCCTCGGCAAAGACCTCCGTCAGGTCGTCCCCGAGCTCCCACTCATAGATCACGGTCCTGGACTTGCCATGTCTGGCGACTACAAGCAAGAGGATGATGTGATGGGGATCCTCCGGCCGCGGGTGCAGAAACGCTACCTTATGAATCACTCCCCGTACGCTGCGGCAACGCCATGAATTGACCGGATTGAGGACTTCATTGCGGGAGTACCTGCCGTCGACCTCGGTAAGAGAGTCGAGCTCGTAGACAGCGAAGTATTCTGTGGGGTTTGCCAGTACCACATAGCGCGAGCTCGGATCGACGGCTAGGTGAAATCCCAGATATGTCAACTCGCAAAACGGCCTCCCGAAGCACGACGTGACAAACTCGGGCTCGCGGTCGGGCCCGGATCGGGCAAACAAGAAAACGCTGTCTCCGTTTTCCAGTACCAGCATCAACAACTGAGGCGGCAATCGTCCAACTGCGTCTGTCCGTCTGGATGAAGAAACGCCGAGCAGGTCTGGGTCGTCGTCCTCAGCTTTGACAACCGGCAGGGAAGAGGGCAACTCGTTGCTCTCCATGTCGGAATCCGCGATGGCTGGGGATCCGATCACGCACGCATTGCGAATGCGGCAGCCAAAATCGCTCTTCCGGGCGATGTCCTTGAGACGTCCATCTTTCCGGAGCTCGCATATTTGAACAAACCGATCCTAGTGAGCACCGAGGTTAGAAAAGATGGGGCAGCCAGCCGGAAACGGCACTTGAGGGGGGAGTAGGAGGGTACGGGCACACATACGCCTATGAACGCGACATCGTTGTACTCTGGGGACCGGAGTCTGACTGGCAGAATCCAGTTCGCAAGCGCGCTCTCAACCACACTCCGCGTGAGCAGTCCGCATCTTGGAGGCTTTGGAGCATCATGCATCGTGGGAGCCTTGGGATCTTGTTTCTGCGCCCCTAACACGGCTTGCAGGTTGACGGTCTCGGTCACCCATTCTCCACCCCGCAAAACGCTGGTTTGGAAGGCCATGAAGAGCCGTGTTTAGAGTAAGCGCTGGCGAGGACTGGAAGACGGCAGCCGGTCTGTCCTTTCCTTAGCGAAGGAAGGAGGGACAGAGAACCTAATGCAGGCCTGATCTCTCTCGAGCGAGCCCGCGGAAGGACCACCTTAGGTAAAAGTCCACCAAAACAGGTAGCGAGCCGGAAGAGGCGAGCGTCGCAGGGCTCAGAAGCAGCAGGGGCGCCTGCACATAACGGCGAGGCTGCTGGTCCCGATCACGGTAGCGCCACAGGCATCCCCTCTCTGGCACGCATGCACGCGGGTAATGGCTCTCAGAAAGCTCTGTCGCAACTTCCACAGCGTCAGCCAAATGATAATGGCATACACATCTAAACAGAAACGCAGTGCAAGCTTACCTGATACAAGTACCCAGCGTCCTCGTCCTGTGTGCTCTCTTGCTTACCTCTGGGGTTGAGACTGGGTGTGTGTTGTAAGTTCACATAAGATTCGGAATCGAAGGTTGGGCGGGGCCATTGCTTTCAAGCTGAAGCAGTGCTTGGCTAGTCACTGTCGTCACTACGAAGTATCCGATCCGTCCCAACTTCCAGGGTGCCAGCGTGCACCTGGGGTATAGGAAACGTGTTGCCAGCAGTGTGTAAGCCACAAACATACCAAGCATGCCTCATGAGGGATTGGATTGCTTTTCCCCCGACGGTTTGGTACAGGTGTTACGAGTTTCTGCGCGAAGGGTTCGGAACTGTCTCCGGGAACCGAGCTAACGGTCTCGAGTACAACAAGCAGTACAACACAAAGACAAGCCAAAATCGACTGATCACATTTCCCCAACCACAAGCACACGATTCACACCTCTACAGGTATACAGAGTCCACGTCGTTCCTTGATCGGTTGCTTGAATTCCGTATCACGATCTTCATCGATTTAGGGGCGGACAGGAAATGTACTGTATCTTACACCCTGGGCCATGACCACGTTTTGTACAATACATTGTATCGCTTACGTAAAGTACAAATGCACGTATTCGGAGCATATCATCAAGAGCGAAATTACGTCATTTTGGGCTTGAATACGGTAACTTACACATCACTTTCCGAAGGGAATCTCATCCCAGGCCACACAGCAGCGGCAGGGATACAATATCCATTCACCTGCGCCCGGCTCGTCGGGGCCTGCGTCTGCATGTCTGAAACATTCAATTACGGTTCAGCACTTCGCAGCAACCCTGATGCTTGAATCTGGATGTGGGCCTGAGTTTGAAACGGAGACACGCGGCGAGTTGCGAGTTCTGGACCATGCAAAGGCCAATTGGCAAGGTAGTTTCCTGGTAGTCCGGGGCCCTTCCCATAAGGCTTCAGCCAAGTGGCATACCAGGTATCGATGTTAAGAGGAGAGCCGTCTTCTTCGCCCATTGTGACATGCCACACACCTCTATGACGAGGTACATACACTGATACCTTGCAACACTGGCAAGTCAAAGAAGCAAGTCGAAACGAATGCAATGGACGGAGAAAAGGGGATGCCGTCGCCAACAGACACCGGGAGCCAAAGTATGGAGCCAAGTCGGGACAAAAAAACCGCCAATCACAGCAATACGACCAGCACGGCAGACAAAAAGAAAGAGGAACTCCTCGAGGCATGCAGACGAAGGGACCTGAGCGCTTTGAGGGCGCTTGCCGAGTCGCGAGGGGGCTTCTTGGCGGACAGCATCCGCCAGCAGGCGTGTGAGTGCGGTGACTTACACGCGGTACCACATCCAGAAGCTGACTCTTATCGTCCATCATAGGGCCCATACTGCTAGGGCTTCCGCCCGGTAATGATGTAAAGACAGAGGCTGAGTCGCCGTCATCCTCATGGGAATCACTGCCCCGACATAAAGATGAGGACCAAGTCCAGCTGGACGTCAACCGTGCCTTCATCTACTACCCAGATAGTACGTCCGCCGCATATGTTATCACTCATTTCACTTCCCACTTCCCTCCTTTTCCCGCTAACCTTCCGTCCGCACAGACCAAACCGAATCCCAACTGGCCCACCAAAAGTCCCTTCTCTCGCAGCTCATCGTCTCCGTGCTCCGGCAGCACCCTTACCTATGCTACTTCCAAGGCTACCACGACATCGCCCAGGTGCTCCTCCTTGTCCTCCCCTCCAGCGTCCAGCTTCCCGCCGTGACCCACCTCTCCCTTTCCCACATCCGGGATTTCATGCTACCGTCCCTGTCCCCAGCCATCGCCCAGCTCCGCCTGATCCCGGACATCCTGCGGCTGTCCGACCCGCCGCTCTGGCGCCACCTGTCGCACACGGAGCCCTTCTTCGCGCTGTCGGGCACGCTGACCATGTACGCGCACGACATCACCTCGCTGGGCGAGATCGCGCGGCTGTTCGACGTCCTGCTGGCGCGCGAGCCCGTCTTCACCGTCTACCTGTTCGCGGCCATCGTGCGGTCGCGCCGGGACGAGCTGTTCGACACCCCGCCCGACGAGCCGGAGATGCTGCATAGCATCCTGTCGAAGCTGCCGGTGCCGCTGGATCTGGAGGGGCTGATTGCCGCGGCGCTGAGGCTACAGAAGGAGGTGCCGCCCGAGCAGCTCCCTGCGTGGAAGAGGATTTCGAGGTGGAGTGTGCTTAAGACCAATCATAGTAGTAATAGTAGAGGTGGGGACGGGAGGGGTGGTGGTGGTGGTGGTGGTGAGCAGCGCGTGGAGCAGTGGAGGATGTACTTTGAGAGGCAGGTGGAGGAGCTGAGGTGGGAGGAGAAGAAGGAGAGGGCAAGGAAGTGGGTGTGGAAGCACCGCCGGCCGGCGAGAATGGTTGCGCTTGCGGTGCTGGTTGGTGTGCTGGCTGTGTGGCTGCGGAAAGGGCCGTTACCGGGACCTCTGGTGTCGGGGATGGGTTACCTGTCGGGCCTGTTGGCAAGGTGGTGGCGGTAGATCACGTCTCCTTACTTGTTTCTCTCTCTGTCTGTCTGCATCTTCATAGAGCGGTTGTTCGCGGTAGACTGCTGGCGCCATGGAAACGGGATTGACGTGGGTCATATGATGTGATATGTAAAAACCAGAGGCTTCCATTGATGGTCTCTGGTAGCCCTCAAGTCTAACGCAAAGTCAATACTACACGAAGGGGATATCCTACCGTTTTGCCCCTTCCTGGCCGCAACAGCCCGAACGATCGCGATCGCTGATTACTACTCCCAAGCGCCGACACTTTTCCCCGTTTCAAGCTACCCAGCCTCCTGATAAGTCGTTTTCAACACCTCGAAATGCTCTTGCTGTTCCAGCGCTAGCTTCCCGCTAACGTCGCTGATGATCGTCAGAATCAAGCTATAGTTGTTATACAGAAACCGCTCCCGCTTCCTCTTGTCGGCCCCAAACGAAGCTTGGCTGGCTTTGGTCAAGAACCCCTCGACCTCGTTGCGTAGCCGCCGCAGACTCGCCACGACAGGCTCGTCGTCCCCGCCGGCATCCGCGCTCAGCGCCAGGATGCCGTGCAGCAGCTGGCCGAAGCGCTGCGTGACGACGTGAGGCGCCGCGGAAGCGGCCTTGGCCGACGCCGCCGACGGCGCGCGGGCAGGCAGCGCAGCCGTCAGCGCCCGGACCGAGTCGCAGTGGGCATCCATAATGCTCTGGGCACGCGGCCACAACGCCATGGCAGTGCCGTTGATGTAGCCATCGGCGGCGGGCACGCGCCGGCGCTGCAGCTCAAAGGCCAGGTGCTGGTTGAGGCGGACGCAGAGCAGCACGCCCAGGACGTCGTACGTATCGGCCACGAGCTGCTTGGTGAGTGACTGGCCGAGGCCGAAGGTGGGTTCGAAGATGTAGTTGAAGTGCCGCGAGATGGCCGCGAAGGAAAGGGAGGGGCTGAAGAAGGCGGCGAGGAAGCTGTATTCGGCTGTGACGTTGTCGATGAGGGCCAGGTTGAAGTTGCGGAAGGGGACTTCGAGGTAGTGCGTGGACTGGTCTTCCTCGGCGAGGTAGGAAGATATTGCGAGTTGGCTGGCGGTCTTGAGGACATCTATCCTCCTTCCTAGGTTGAAGGCGTCATGTGGTGCGCCCGCGATCTTGCTGCCCGAGAGCACCGTGGTCCTCCTGGAGCTGTCCTCGTGACCAAGAACGTCATTCTTGTCAAGGACGTGGAGCTTAAGCTTTTCGAGGGCCTTCTCGTAGCGGGTGAACTGGTTCAGGTAGTACCAGCGCATGGTGTTGAGGTACGCCTGGCAGATCTCACCCGCAAGTACGGGCTGGTGGCGGTGCAGAAAAGAGAATAAGTCCTTGAACTTCAGAAAGTTCTGCTGCTGGATGATCTGCGCATTGATATTGGGCGATCTGAGGGCCTTGATCTGAGCGACGAGGAAGTCGCGTATCCGCTCGATGGCCTGCCAGGAGGTCAGCATCAATCCCCGGTCACAACGGGGTTCGGCGGTAGTCGTCACCTTGAGAACTAGCTTCTCCAGCAACGGCCCTACGTCAGCTAGCGCCTTGCTCGGTGTTTGTGCCGAGTTCTTCTTCTGGGCCATCACTCTCTTATCGACCTCGGCCAAGATCTTGACCCATGTCTCATCGATGTGCCCTTCCGAGATCTTGGATACAACCGTGGGCGACACGCTTAGCTCCTCCACAATCGGCCCCAGCACCTTCTCCACGGCTTTCCGGTTCTCTAGCCTGACATTGAGTGTGGTCGACCGGGCCTGCAAACTCTCGATGTCGGCCGACACGGCGGCCAAGTCGTTGCGGAAGCTGGTGAGGCTGGACTCCACGGAGCTGAGGATGTCGTCGCATGCTCGGATGGACCGGTGGAGTTCTTCGAATTTGGCTTTATCTCGCTCAACTATTTGGAAACTATGAGTACAGGAAGAGAGCATGCCACCCGGGCTGGGAAGACCTACAGTCTTCTACAGTCTGCGGCCTGTAGGTGTCTGTCGCCGGGCGGCCAGCATCTCCACGAGCGAGCTCGCGCAGCGAGAGGCCACCAAAATCGAAGCCCAACCCCAAGTCATCCTCCGTGATCCTCCTTGTCTGGGTATGTTCTGAATTGGTTCGATCGGGCGAGGGGCCGAGAATCCTCGCCAGGACCGTCTCCGGATCCGGGGCGTCGTCGACGGTGGTCGACTGCTTCAAACCGGACCCATTGATCCGCTTCGCCGCAGCGAGCAGCGAGGACGAGGAGTCGTTCGAGCCCAGCGACAAAGACGAGCCCCGCGGCGAGATGCCCGACCGCTGCGACGTGAGATACGGCCCTCGCGCACTCGACGTCCGGCGGGGCAGCGGCGACTGCGCGCGGCTCTGGCTGTTGGGCGGAGACGGAGTGCTTCCCGGATGCTGCCCAGCAAACCGGTCAAGCCACATGATGGATCCCCGGTTTCCCGCAATTGCCTTGGCCAAAGCCGGGCTTTGGACTTCCTCTCACTCGTAGTATAATCGTGTTTGCTCGGTGTCTCGCCTTCAGGCAGTTGCTCTTTGCGGATGCGCTCCTGCCACCTCTTTGAAGCTGCCTCGGTGTGCAGTGGCACCTGTGCACAGCTGGCCCGCCGGTAAGGCTGAGCTGTGTGGCGCCGCGACTTTTCCGCCAACCCGCTGGGTGGGGCTGGAATCCATGAACAAGGATTGCGGCAATGCGTTGAGCAACGAGCAAATTGTAGAACCAGTGAATTTCAATAAAGAATTAAAAGTAAAGGGATATACCTATATATGAACTGAGAAATGAGATATAAGGAGAAGTGTGCAAGGTCGAAAACCACAAGATGAAGGAGAAGAAGAGTTAAAGTTAGCAGCTGCCCGAGGGAGGTATCATCATTCTTTTGAGATCTCATCAGGTGCGAGTCCGGCCGACATCGACGCTCTTCCTCTGCGCTGCCTTTTTTGGCGTGGGCGGAGCGGACTTGTTGCAGCACCAGAAACGTGACCAAGGAATTAAGAGAAAGGAATTTCAACATCAGCGAGTGAGGCATTACCTGAGTCCTTCATCTTATGTGTTAGAGCTTACCAGACAGAGGTGTGGTATCAATTATAACCCACGCAGGCGCATTTTGACCGTTTGACAGTTGACCTGCATTGTACCTGGATCAGAAAACAGTCGCCGCCTTTTTAAAAGACCTCACAATGATTGGTCGGCTCACTCTGCTGTCAAGGGCTTCGGGTTAGGCCATGCTGAATTTTACCTCAACTGATGAGGTGTGTGGCGGTCTCGAGGCAAAAAGGCTTCGGTGCCCCAGAATGCAGACCATCTCCGGGTCCAAGCTGCAAGTGAGGGGCTAACTCGGCGGGGAAACGCTAGGTGCCCTTTTTTCTTCGCTTGGGCGGTACTCAAAACCACACACTACAAATTTCCTCCTGCCCACCCCTTCTCCTCCGGCCAGGTACCTTAACACTCCTGACCATCCGACGTTCTCTTCCGCATCACTCCCTCGGACTTTTCCTTCTCACGACCCATTATTTCCATACTCCAAGATGGCGGACGAGGTGAGTTGCATTCTCGCTTGGGTTTTGGTTGATGCTTGCGCAACGAAGACCACCCCGCATTGCTTGCGAGCCCCGCGATGGTCCATCCCGATGGCGCAAAGGGCCTTCACCTTCGCAGGCCATTTGTAATGGCGTCTGCGGCCTACCATCGTAGCGCCAAGTTAGCATTTACAGAATCCCGTATACTAACTCGATGGACTCCAGCACCACGATTTCGAGCATGATGGCGGTGGTGACGCCGGCGCGTCCACCACCTACCCCATGCAGTGCTCGGCCCTGCGCAAGAACGGCTTCGTCGTTATCAAGGGCCGTCCCTGCAAGATTGTCGACATGTCCACCTCGAAGACCGGCAAGCACGGTCACGCCAAGGTCCATCTCGTGGCTCTTGACATTTTCACCGGCAAGAAGCTCGAAGATCTTTGCCCTTCGACCCACAACATGGACGTCCCGGTTGTGAAGAGGAGCGAATATGTCTTGGTAAGCGAAATCCGTTTAGACAAACGATACCCATTACGCCCAGATATGCTAACGCATCCTGTCAGATCGACATCTCGGACGACGGTTACCTCAGCCTGATGACCGCTGAGGGTGATACCAAGGACGATGTTAAGATGCCCGAGGGTGACGTCGGTGCGAAGATCACCAAGCTCTTCAAGGAGGAAGAGAAGGAGACTAGTAAGTTAAATCGACGTAAGTTGCCCTATAGCAAGGCACAGAAGCTAACCCCCTCGAAGTTGTGACGATCCAGACCGCCATGGGTGAGGAGGCGGCCGTCGACGCGAAGGAGGGCACCAAATAAGGGGTGTCGCGCGAGATCCTCCGGGGGTGGGAAGAGCCGCCGGGATATGCAGTGGACCGGTTCCTGCCCGGCTATAGCAATACGACACCCGTGGTCGCTAGGTCTTTCTTGCCGGTTGACTTATCGGTTGATGATTTTTCTGGGCTGTTACGGGGGACAGGAGTGTTCCTCGATTGCCGGGTATAGGATGGCACCGTCTTACACTAGGCTTGCATTGAAAAGATGTTTACTTGGTGTGTACCGCTTCTTCCATGCCAAGGCTGTGTCTGGGTTCCGAAAGCGCTTCCGAACCCGCGAGCCTGGCGTCCGATAGAATAAAAGGTGCTGCTCGGGTGGTCTCTTCCGTCATCTCGATGACCGACTCTTGCATAACGATTCGATGCGATACGTCAGCGGCAGATGCTTTGCTCCTGGTGTTACTGAAATCGAAAATGGATATTAGCCCTTGAATGTGAAGATGTTGGTTGAGATAAGAGGATACATCAGTTGTGTGGACGAGTAGACACTCAAAACTCCGATTGTGCTGGCCGTTGGTGACGAAACGATCATTCAAGTTTGAACTGAAAACGTTGAACCTGCAAACGCTCGGACATTTCAAACTTCAAACTTCCACCAAACAACTTCCAATCAAAGACCCAAACTATGGCGCCGCGCCGCCACCACCGGTTCCCCCGAGGGGAGACATGCTCCGAGTGTCCCGCACGGCGATGGTATCTAGAAAACGGACTGCGGTTCTGCGAGAACGGGCATCAGGTTGAGGTGAGCAGCTAATCAAGGTCACCCTTCAATTTCATCGCCACATCTTCCCATCCCAGTGGCCCCCTACCTATCTCACACCCTTGCAAAAACACGGCCTGCCTTTTCCCTTCAACACACAATCCCCCCGCCCCCTGATTGATCTAACAACCACAAACCAGGGCTACGTCCAATTCGACGTCGACGAGGACGACAACTTCGGCAAGACAGGCCACACGGCCCGCAAGAAGCGCGAGGCCCGCCAGAAGGTGCGCAAGCACCTGACCGGCAACGCCGCGCGCGAGCTGTACCTCGAGTGCCTGCAGCTGCTGCTCCGGAAGCAGGTGCTCTGGCTCGTGCGCCGGAAGGGCTTCCACCCGGAGCTCGAGGCCGTGTGTCGCGATCTGTGGTGCCTGAGGGTTAGGGACTTCCCCGGGTTGGCCAAAGGGGCAAAGAACGGGAAGCCGAGAGATGGGGACAGGAGGAAGTCTGGTGGTGCTGGTGGGGTGGGAGAAGGGGAAGGGGATGGGGATGGGCAGGGTCGGGGGAGCAGCGGCGGGTTGATGATGTTCAGCTCGCAGTCGCAGCCGGAGGAGACGTCGCAGAGTGAAGCGGAGGAGAGCGTCCCCGGTTGGACGAGGAAGAGCAGGAGCTGGGCGGGCGAGATATGGCCGCTCCCGGGGCCCATGGATACGCTAGCGTTGGTGTACTTGGGGTGCGTGCTGAGGCAGGAGCCGGTGCGGATTGGCGATGTGTTTCGGTGGGCGAAGAACAACCAGATTCCTTTCCTTGGGGCGGTAAGCGGCACAAATGTCTGGGTTCGGCGGTGCGTCGCTAATTAGGAAGCAGATCGATTACGTGCGCAAGGAGTGGCGGGATAGGCTTCCGGGGTGGGCTCATAACACTTTGCTGACTCGGTATGTCCGATTCAACGGAGGGGAGCTGCACAGAGCCGTCATGGACCTGATGCTAGGATACAAAGAGAACCATGGGCTGCTATTTCCAGCGATCCCAGCGCCGCCATTGCTGTTCCTCTACATCAGGGACTTGGCCCTTCCTCGTACGTTCCACTCGGCCCAGCCCAGAAGCCAGACAAAGACGCTAACGCTAACGGATGGCAACAGCCGAGGTGTATTCCTTTGCTAAAAGGGCCTGCCTTCTTCTTGGGCTGGGCTTTTCATTTCCAACACGCGGAGCCAAGGCCAAGAGGCACCCCCTACTCGATATGCCAGAAGTGCTATTAGTGGCCGCTCTTGTGGTAGCAACGAAGCACTTGTACCCCCTTGACGGTGTCGAACGGTTTCCTCAAGATGTCAGCGATCCTCTTTGCCTGAAAATGGACTGGACGGCATGGGAGTCTGAATTCCCCAAGAACTCCAAAGAGAAAAAGCCCGGGATCCTCCAATATGAACATATGGATCCGCAAGAGATATGGTCTATGGGATACGAGGAGATTAACGTGATGTTGAGTTGGTTTCAGGAGGCCCAGCTCGAGAAGCACCAAACAGGTCCGTGCTTCAATACCCCGAGTACATCCGGAGCTCCGTAGAACTAACTATGCGCAGACGAAGCCGAAGTCGACCGCCTTTTCCCACTCAACAGCGTCCAACCGCTGCCGGAGATTCCCGAGCCATCACAGGAGGAGATCGAGGAGAGGATAAAAAGAGTAGGGAGTGCGATGAGAAGCGTCAGTCCCAGGCCAGACACTGGTGACACAGCTGAGAAGGTCAAAAGGCTAGGCTCAGATTACCAGTGCTACAAAGAGGTCAACGAGCTCGAGGGCTCTGTCAAGAAGTTCTACGAAGTGGTGGCCGAGTTGGCCGGATTGACAGTGCCAGAGCTTGTCCGGGCGGTTTACAGTCTTGAGCTGATGCTTAGGGATTGGCAGTTGAAAGAAAAGCGCCGGCTCAAAGAGAAGGAAGATGATCAGTATGATAAGGGTGAAGGGGAGAGCGAAGCGTTATTCTAGGGCTTGATAATGAAACGTAACTATAACTGAGGAGACACCACCCACAAGATAGATACCCAAATGTAACGTCAACGCATTCTCGTGAACAGGTGCTAGACTGCATATCATCTTTGACGTCCGTCAGAAAGTACTCGTACCTACTACTAGTAGTACTTTACCTTGTTTGAGCGGCAGTCCCGAGCCAGCACCGGCCACCTTGGAGACATAGCCCTCTAGCGCCGTCACCGATCAAAACAAACAGTTCAGCTCAAGGAGTTCTCGACAGACAGAGTAACTCAGAAGCCTCCGCAGGAGTATTTTGGGGGGGGGGGGGGCAGTTGGTGGTCAAGTCAACATGCCGACTGTGAAAGACGGAGGAGAGGAGTATCTCGAGAGCCAGGGTTAGGGTCCAAGGTATCAGCCACTTGCGGATCACCGTCGAGTGGGTCTGCTTGCTTTTGCCTAAGATTTCTGGCGACGAGCCCTATACCCCCGGTCGCCGCCGATTCTAACCCCCACCAAAATTTACTGTGGTCTTGCGAACTCTCCGTCAACCATCAGCAGCACATCCACGAAAATCGGTCAAGAGTAAGCTACGCAACCAGGCCTGTTGCCCATCGATCCCAATCCGAACGAGGTGCTGACGATGCATCCCGACCGACAGTGCAGATCTTCGTGAAGACCCTCACGGGTAAGACCATCACCCTCGAGGTCGAGTCCTCGGACACCATCGACAATGTCAAGTCGAAGATCCAGGACAAGGAGGGCATTCCTCCCGACCAGCAGCGCCTGATCTTCGCCGGCAAGCAGCTCGAGGATGGCCGCACTCTCTCTGACTACAACATTCAGAAGGTCAGTTACTTGTGCGCAGCGAGGCAATTCGCGATGGAACCGCTGGACGGAGGGCAGAACGGAATGGTCAGAGAACAAGAAAGAGGGGGAATTCTCGCTTGGGCGGGGTGATTTTGGAGATACAGCCGATTCCGTGACTCGGGAGATTGAATCGGATGGGCTCTTCTATTACGACAGAGCTGACATTTGGACTACAGGAGTCGACTCTCCATCTCGTCCTCCGCCTCCGTGGTGGTATCATTGAGCCCTCGCTGAAGGCTCTTGCCTCCAAGTTCAACTGCGACAAGATGATCTGCCGCAAGTGCTATGTAAGCACACCTCACATATCTCCAGCGTTGAGACGTTTGTGATGGGCTAATGCGCGACACATAGGCCCGTCTCCCGCCCCGTGCGACCAACTGCCGTAAGCGCAAGTGCGGCCACACCAACCAGCTGCGGCCCAAGAAGAAGCTCAAATAAACGGTTACTCTCCTCGGTCATGGTCGTCTGGCGTCTTTTCGGTTTTCTCGGCATTGCATCGTTCTGCAGGGGTTGGCAGGGGGTATACGGCACATTCTGGCTGTACATTCCGGATGACCATAGCTTAAGACTCCTGACCATCTAAGTCCTTTTCCTGTTTGGCATGTGATTATGTGTTTTAATGATGGATCTCCAATGAACGGTATCCAAGGCCAACGAATTGAACAAGCCGATGCTAGCAACGGAAGCGATCACGTGATATCTCTGGTGGTCGGGGTCGTACTAGTGGCGGGCGGGGTGTGAGCTTATTGAAACTTCTGTGGATGCACATGAACAACTGTCGCAAGCTTCCACCTCAGCGCTGATCCGGACGGCCTGACGACTTGCCCTGCCGGACTCCATGACAACACCACAACGTTACTACTCAACCTCCTAGTAGTCCTCACCGACAGTTTCTGAGCTTCCTATCTAGCAGCCAAAAAATCCTGACGGGACCGGCGACGACATGTCCAGATCAGGCTACGACGCGGTCGTAGATGTCGACGATGAAGTCAGTCCCGCTCCCACCCCCTCCTAGACCCCCGAATCCAAAACCCTCCACTGCAAGCTTTCTAACTATAGAGCAAAAAACAGGGCGACCTAGGCCACACAGACCTGCAAGAAGATCTCGAATTCCACAACTCCAACTTCTCCGAGACCTCGCCGGCCCTCGGCACCGCCTCCGCCCGCGGCGGCAAACCCTCGCCGGCCTCGGGCCTGCCCCTCCCCGCGACCGCCTCGCAGTCCGGCAGTGGTGCCGGGAGCAGCAAGCGCTTCCTCTGGACGCTGTCCTTCTATGCGCAGTTCTTTGACGTCGACACCAGCTCGGTGCTGCACCGCTGCTGGGCGGCGCTGTTCCCGCGGGCCAATTTTCTGGATGTGCTGGAGGGCAATCCGGACCTGTACGGGCCGTTCTGGATCGCCACGACCGTGGTGCTGATCTTGTTCCTGGGCGGGACGATCAGCGACTACCTCGCCCGGGCGGGCAGGGGCCAGTTCGCGTATGATTTCCAATTGTTGAGCGGTAGGTCTTCTCTTCTTTCTTCTTTTGAGGGGACCTGGTTGGGTTTTGCTTCTGCGCCGGGGTTCTTGTGCGCGCTGTGTTAGGAAGAGACTGACCATAAGCAGGCGCCGCCGGGCTGATCTACGGCTACACCTTCGTCATCCCCGTCGTGCTGTACCTCGCGCTGCGCTACTTCGGATCTGAGAGCGCCAACCTGCTCGAGTGCTGGGCGCTGTATGGGTACGGCAACCTGATCTGGATCCCTGTAGCGCTCATCAGCTGGTCTCCGATCGCGATCCTCAACTGGGTGTTCGTCGGTGTCGGGTTTGGGGTGTCGGTTGCCTTCTTGCTCCGGAACCTGTATCCCGTCCTGAGCGCCACGGACCGCCAGACCAGCAAGGTGCTGTTGATTCTGGTGGTGGCGCTGCACTTTGGGCTGGCGATCGCTATCAAGGTGCTCTTCTTTGCGCACGGCAGCCCGGCACTCAAGGATGGGCCCGAACAGCCAAAACCGGACCCGGGGCGGCTGTTCTAGGAGCGTGGGGGTTGAAACGGGAACCGGATTGCGAAGGGAAAGGGTTATGTACGCTTAAGTTGTGTAACATGCAGCTTTTACGGGGAGGCATCTGGGCGTTCAGGGGTAACATGGCTTTAATGTACACTTCCACTTCTTTGATGGGACGGGGCTCTTCCGACAGCAGCAGCAGCAGCAGCAGCAGCAGCGTATTGACAGCCTGTGCTGCACTCACTGGCACAACCCCTCCAGCTATCATTCCATGCACATCCTATTGCATGTCGTCTACCGCTCAACCTTCCCCCCTTTTTCAAACCAATCCAGCCAACTCCCAGGGTATTCTCCAACGTTCTTCCAACCGGCCTCTCTCGCCAAGCCGGCCGCGGCACGGCTGCGCACGCCGGCGCGGCAGTAAAACACCACCTCGGCGTCCGGCGCCGGCCGCGGATAGCCGAAGCGGTCCTCGAACTCTTCGTCCGAGATGTGGAAGCTGTCGGGGGCCGAGGCCACGGGAATGTTGAGCGCGCCGGGGATGCGGCCTGATTCTTGGAGCTCGTGCGGTTCGCGGACGTCTGCCAAGGTTCTCAGCGACGGTTTCATGTGAGAAGCAGGTAAGGTAGGTCGAGGGCGGCGGTATGTATAAGTGTACGTACCAATGATGGTGACGGATGGGTTGGGGGTTGAGGTTGCTTTCTGGAGCTGGAGAGAGAAGCAGGTGGTTAGCTAGCTGGCTGGCCTATTGTTCCGTTCTGTAAGAATGGGACCCAGATTATGAGGGAGACGAACCGACTCAAAGTCCCAGATCTTGTTTGGCTTGCTCAAGCTCTCGGCGTCGGTGGAGTACCTTGCCCGGCTCGCCGCGAATTGAGAGCTGTTCTGCCTAAGTGGTGATGACGGTCCGCTGGCGCACGCTGGAGAGGACTGTTGGGGGAGGCGGACGGCCCGGTGCGGGCCCGCTGTATGATTATGGTATTGTCGCAAGGGAAGTTGTGCCGCTGCGTTGACTCGAACTGAAGACGCGGCCCGTAATGACAGTGCCGAGGCCTGCACGAGGCTTACACCTGCTCGTGTAGACGCCATGGTTTATGTCTTGTATGAACTTACATACACCGGATATGCGCGTGGACAGCCCCGCCCGAATATGAAGTACCAACACACGCGATGTGGAGGGTAGGTTCGGCAGCTGAACAACCGATGTCCGCTACGATAACGATGTGGACGGGCCGGAAGACCGAGAATCGGGAGCGATTCGAATCTTGCCCCACTTAAACGTCACTCCCTGATCGGGCAATCCGGCTCCATCTGACGGTCGACTTCAAATTGACTGGTGCATCAATCCCCCGTCGACAAGGCCGGCAGGCTGTAGAAATGCCGAGCCGCAGTTAATGCATCAAGCATGAGCCGTTGGTAGCCCTAAACGGAGTTGACAATGAACAAGCCCCAATCATGTTGATAGTTGGACTACTTGCGCCGTGGGCTGACATCAAGTGGGCCACACAGCGCCGCCTCAGCTCACTCTCCCATTTCAAGTTTGGGCGTTGCGAGGGGTAAGAGCAGGACGACCTAGTCATACTGTATCTCTGGCAGTATATAGGTACCCTAGGTAAAGCACCTACGGTATTTCCTGGGTGGTTGATCACTCCTCTCCCGTGTTCCTGCCGCCTCAAGGTCCTTCATTCCGATTCATGGCAGGACCATGTACGTTTTTCATGCATTGGTATGTACAGGCTTAATAAATATTACAACTGTATAGGTTGCCGTTGGCAACTTGGCATGGTCATCGCCCTCCCAGTTCCCTCGGCCGGTTGAGCACCTCGCATCCAAACCAGCCACGTCGTTATCCTTCTACGACGTAATGGTAGGTCCCGGTGAGCCCTTCATAATCCTCGCTTCCTCCCAATTAGTTATGCCCTATCTTGCGCGATTTTGCAATGTGGGCACAATCCTCTTCTAAGAAGATCCTACCGCCCCGCAGCCTTTCTACCACTTCCTGTTTTCAAACGTTAAGGGGCAGTCGTCCTACTTTCAGTCAGCATCGTGTCATGAACATCACTTTTTGTCTTTGGTGGTTCAGTCGCAACTTACCATAGGGAAGATCGTGGCAAACACCTTGATCTCCTCAGACCTGGGTGTCGGGTGGTGCTTCCAGTCGAGCAGCAGTGACGCCTTTCCAATCATCAAGGCCAGGTTGAGCTGAGCATACACCTGCCCAAGGCAGTAGTGAGGCCCGGTGCCAAAAACGAGGTAGTTTTTCGCCCCTTTGACCTCGGCATCCCCCGAATAGTACCGTTCAGGGTCGAACTCGTCAGGATTCTCGTACACCTCGGGATCGCGCAATGCCATATACGTCGTGGGAATAACCATGGCGCCTGTCGTTGTATCACGTCAGCACATCTTTGATCCTGGCTCAACCTCAGCTGGCTTCACTCACCCTTCGGAGCGGTATACGTCTCACTGATGGGGAATGGCTTCTTCACGACATAGGGGACCATGAGGACAGGAGGGCGGTAGCGCAGGAGCTCCCGGACGACGGCTCGAGTGTACGCCATGGATTCGAGCTGGTCCATGTCCACAGCAGCATGGATATCGCCGTTTCGGACCTTCAGGTTCTCCTCGCGCACACGGTCCAACACGTCCGGGCGCTGAGCCATGATCTGGAAGAGCCAAGTAGCGGCACTGCTGGTGGCATCCTGTGAGGCGAACAGGAACGTGAAAAGCGTCTGCGCAATCTCATAGTCGGTGAAGTCGCGGAGCATGTGCGTCGGCTTCTCCAGGCCCTCGGTGGACAGGCCCTCCTCCTGCGCCTCGCGCCACCTCTTCGACTGGACCATCTGGAGAATCCATGCGTCCATAATACAGTTGGGCTCGCCGCCAGCAGCCATCCGGGCCTTGCTCTTCGCGGCGCACCTCGAGAACTCGGCCAGCACCATATCGGCCGCCTTCTTCCCGTACCAAGTCTTGGTGAACGGAACAATAATAGGGAAGTTGACCAGTTCGAGCGCCGCCGTGATAAGATAGTAGTCGTCGGCGATCTTCTTGACGGCCTCGTCCGAGATGTAGTGGCCGACGAACGTGCGGCAGGAGACCGCAGTGATTACCTCGCGGAAGTACGTCATGAAAGGAACCGGCTTGCCACCGGCCTGCTTGGTGACTTCGACGAACTCCTTGAAGTACCGGTTATACACCTCCTCCTGACCAGGCAGGTAAATCTCGAGAGCGCGGCGGGTGAACAGGCCGTTCAAGCCCTTGCGGAACTCGACGTGCGCCTTCCCGTCCAGGAACACCCAGTTGTCGGCGCCGAGCAGTTTGTGGGCGACATCAACGACACAAGGCTTGACGTAGGCGGGTGAATTGAACACCTTGCGCGCCATATCACGAGTCGAGGCGATGACAACGAACCTATCGTCAGCGCGTTAATATCCAGTGGATGTTGTTATTCTTTTTCCTTCTTTTTTCTCCCGAGGGCGATATCAACCTACTTGTGGAAGACGGAAACACAGCTGAGAGGACCACTCAACCACTTCGCATAATACTCCTCGAATTTCGGGTTGACGGACTGAAGGAAGGGGCCGATGAACGGCATCTTCCACGCCGGGCCAACGATCGACCCTTTGTTCCATATGTAGGCCACTGGAAAGCTACCGGGTCAGCACAATTCTCTGGTAGTTGTGAGAAGCCTGAGGCCCGCGGGCGTGCGTAACATACACTGATCATACACCACTAGCGTGGCTAGAATAGTCGCCAGAATCGTCCAGGCGCTCGCGTTCGATACATACTCGACGACATATTCCAGCTGAGGCGCGACGTTGGCGGCACCATACCTGATGGTCGCCAGGGGCGAGGTTGTCGCATTCGCAGCCATTGCGCGTTTGGTCGCTGGATGTGGACCAGGCCGTCACCAGGGCTTCAGGAGTGAGCACGGACGAGGTGTAGGCGAAGCTGAGCTGCTTGGTGATGCCTAGTGCTTGAGGAAGGGGGCTCTGGCGGCGGGTGGGGAGGAGGTATTTACAAAAGCAGAAGGAAATGGACTGCGGAGTTAAACCGGACGCCCGCAAGGGAAAATTGCCCGTGAAGATGTTGAGATTGCGGGAAGGCGGGATTGGAAACTTTGACCCCTGTCTCGAATGGAAGGTACAATTGCGGTACCTGCGTACAGCGCCAAATGTTCTTTGCAGCTGGACCCTGCTGTTCGGCTTGAGATGAGATGTGTAAGGTAGTAATAAAGGTACCTACTGGTCTATCAACCAGATCCTCATCGTTTCGAGAAAACTCTTCGAAACCGTTGAACAAAGATGAGGCATCGGACCATTGTTCCAAGGACAGCAACGCGGAGCATATATCTCCGGAAACACGATTAGGAACAGCTTTGAGCAGCTCTTCTCTAACACAATATCAGCAACGAAGAAGTCACTGCATTTGTAGGTACGGTATCCGTAGGCGTCGTCGTTTCGGGTACCCATTATCTGACCGATAGGTGGAGAAGAGAGCTGGGTAGGTGGGGTCCAGTAATGGAAATTGACCATTCAGAGGTCGCTGAGTACGAAAACGAGCCCCACATGCGCAAGCTCTGATCTTATCAACACGCGGATCGCAACGACATGTCTACTGCGTGTGCGACTGGGTGCCCCTGAATTGCCCTTGCTTCAAGACCCGTCGGCCATGATGTTTGAAGTGGAAAGGAGGTTAAGGTATAGTTCAATTGTAGCGACATATTCCTTGTTCGTTTCTGTTTAGCTTTAAAGTATTCGCACTACCACAGTAAATCTGCTGTGTACAACAATTCGAAGGAAGTTTCCATCCTATCCATGCCAAACCCTGGTATAGCGCCATCGGGTTGATTTCAGGGGTCGCCACTGCGCTTGTCCAGGGTCCAGAATGTTTTCAGACCATCAGCAGCATTCGTGGCTTCATTGTGGGCGTGTTGTCGCACAATGAGCTGCTAGCTTCGGGAAATAACTCTGTGTACGGCATTTCGTTGGCTGGAAATACACCAAGTAACTTCATTCAACATCATCATCTCGGAAGGTACGGCTGGCGACGGGGTCCTCGTTTCCGCTCTCCATAGAGTGGCACTGGGCATGGCCAAGGACATCGATTCGAATAGGGGAACTGTTGCTACACCTTCTTACACACCGCCTTCTTCGACAGGAACACAACATATGGCTTGTAGTAGTGTATATGCGCGCTTGAGGACGAGCGAAAGAACTCGATGCACTAATACCCAAGGTAGGTAGTTCCTAATCTCGTGGCTGTACATCACTACATGTACAGGTACCGCACAACAAGCTTAGAACCTTGAGCCCATAATCCAATATCTCCTGGCCGTTACAGGACACCAATGGTGGCAGTCTTCATCACGGGCGGATCAATGGGAAATAAGGCGGTACTAGTAGGCGACCTCAACTCAATTGAACATGTCTGGAAGTGGATGAAGCGGTCCATTGCCGCTACCATGCTTAACGGCCTCCTGCGATCCGCCCAGACCTGTTCAACTGAGTTGAGGTCTGCTCACAGGGTGCCCCGTTGACGATCTTAGACCTTGGTAGTATGACAGTTGGAAACACGATGTCATGTATACTATTTGTCGATCTCAACTTGTTTGCCTTGCTGCCACACTTGAGTTCGGGACCTCGGTCCAGAACGTGTAGACTGTAGAAACGGAAGTGTTACTGTGTATACTAGAAAACCGACCCAGTTGATAAAGTAGACGGGGAATAGAGCCACACAGACGGACCTCCCCGAGGGAATGGACTGAGTGGTGAATTGTCTCGGCAATCACCAACTAGCATGGATTCCGCCGGCCCGGCGATCCATTTGCGCAAATCGGGTTGCCGAGTGAAGAGCTGGTGCTACTTGGTGAGACCATCCACAGCGGTTCTCTGTGCCAGCAATTGACGAATGATAGCTGAGCTTTTCACACTGTCTTCACTTTCAGTTTAAGTTCTTCACATATGGCCACACTATGCATTTACCTCACCTCACCCTAAGGTACCGAGCGAGTAAGGTCAGAATCGAGTCTTCATCCCCTGCACTCCCACGCCTGTGAGGCTATTGTAGAGAAACAACAAGCCATTGGATGTCCATTGGCACCGTGCGCTAGGTAATCATTTTTGCATCCAGTAAGCCCTTTTCGGCGATGGTGAACCATGAAATGCGCCGTTGTGACTCAGGCGGGTACGGCCACGTACTCGAGACATCGTGATCAAGAAAATGCTTATTGAAGCATATTCCTTCAAACTCTGACCTGCTATTGAGCTCAGAACATGAAGTGATGAAAGTTCCGCAAGGTGGATCATCTTGCGTAACCAGCAAATGGATGACGACGGCATCCTTCCAGAATTCACTGCGCTTTTCTGCAACTTAGCCCGCAGTCCTCTAATGTGACGTAGTACTAGATTTATGTCCCATGTAACCTCCCGAATCGCAGCATAATCACGGTAATAAAGGCAAATAAACACATACTAGACTCGAAGGGAACAATGTAGGTAGAGGAAGAAGGGCATGAGATACATCCAACGCTGATACACACTTGTGGTATTGTACAGTTTATTTTTTGTGACCTCGCTGCCTGCCATCTGCCAAGTCCGCCAGACTCGGGTTATTAGGCGGCGCCTACGTAAGATGGAGTAGCAACTTTACGTAGGCTGTGTCGTTGCTTTCTGCACGTGCTATTCCGAAGACAGCGGCACTGCCTCTTTTGAGATGCGTGCATACCGGCTCTGGTAAGCTTGTTTGTCTTTGTTCTAGCGGTGACACTAACAAAGCCTTTGCGACCGTTGGTACGCTGGGCTTTGAGACTACGTATTCCGTACCTTAGTTTGCCTAGCCTGAGCACATCAAGGTGACTCACGCCGCCTTTCTCTGCTCACCGACGTACTCACATACGTATACTCGAAAATTCGTTCGCATTCCGAAAAGGGTCAGTATTACGACGCCATGATGGATACTGACCTAAGTTGGTGCCTGGGTAAAATGGGTGTTGCTTGACAGGTTTACTGTGACGCAAGAAGAAGGGAGACAATAAACGATCCTTCGGAACCATGTATATAAGTCGACGGGGTGGCACGCCGCAGACTGTGTCGCCTCACTCAGCGGACAGATCACCAGATGACCAAAGCAATCGAACACCACCACCTCAGATAGATCAACAGCCTCTTATCTGAATCAATTGAACACTCAAGGGCCGTGAACTTGGAGTCCAAGTTCCCCTCGCAACGTCACTGTTGACATCAACGCCACGATTATCACCACCTTAACCAATATGTCTCAAGGTACGCCATCCCAGCCCCTCCCGTGTAACATACCACAGACTGATTCCCTCGTAGCCCAGAACCAACTACCCGCCTCCCGTACCTTCGGCGCGGAGATCGCAGCATCCACCCAAGCCCTCCAACAGCAACACGCCGCCGCCAGCAACATGCAAGACAAGACCGACAGCGCCTCAGTGGCGAGCACGTCGACCTTCAGCAGCCGCGTGAGCCTGCTCAAGGACAAGCTGCATTTCTCTTCCTCGTCGTCCCCCAAGAAGACAGAGAAGGAGAGCGACAACGAAGCGCGGGAGAAGAAGATGAAGGAGGACGCGCTACGGTCGCAGATCCGGATGGGCATCTGAAGTGTTTCTCCTCCATTCCAGTGGGCCGGGTTTGATTAAACCTGGGTGACTTAGACGATAAACGCCGTGCCGCCTCGCGCCGCGTCGAAGTAGGCGCGGAACGTGGCGGGAGAAGAAAGCCGACCACATGGCCTTGTTACGGGGGCGCGGTCCCCAGCTGGGATGCTAGGGGAGGGCCGCGCCGTGGGGGACGAGCGGAAGCTCCGGACTGGTAGCCGACAGAAGATTGGCGTCGTTGTTGGGTCCAACGAGGGTATTGGTTGGGATATCAGCGGTAGATATGGACAGATCTTTCAATCCTCTAGAAGGTGAAGGTTAGAGATGCTGTTGGGTTCGGAGCAGAAAGGGTCGGCTTGGAGCCAGCATAAGAGAGAAGTCATACCTTTGTTAATGATCTTCATACTTAGAATGCGGGTTGCCAGTAATTGATGATGTATCTCATACAATGACTCTCCTCAGAAAGTGTCATCCAAAATATCGTGGTTCATCTTGACAACTGTCGGGCTGTACTCGGACGGGTCTTCCAGGTCCTCGCCCGCGGTCAGGAGGATGTTATCGACTATGCGCTTGCTTGCCTCCCGGGCTGGTTTCTGTCAGCCACCTTGCCATCGTGCCCATCGAGCGGTAAGGAACATACCTGGAGTCTGCAACAGCTTGGACGGCGGTACCGCAAACTGAATCGTCTTGGGTGGGCTCATCCCGCCAAACTCCTCACTGTCGCTGTCCCAGGTGATCTCGTCGTCATACTTCTTCGCTGTGCTCTGCTTTTCGGCAAACACATCCATTGTCTTCCTGCCCGCGGCGGGAGTCTGCACGCTCACTCCCGGGGTCCTGGGGGCGCCCACAGCAACCGCTGCTTTCCCTTTATATGCCGCCCGCATAGGCGACATAAAGGCGGCGCTTCGCAGCTGCGGCGGGGCCATCTCGGGGCTCGAGGTAGGTGAGTCCTCCCATAATGGTCGTGTTTGCCTCTCCTTCCCTTTCCCGGGCGTCGAGAGCTTGTCGATTTTCCATTTGATCGGCGATATGCCTGTGGCCGTTTTGTGCGGCGTGGCTTTGATGCGGTAGTCTTTGTCGAGCATGCGATGGAGCAGCGGGTCTTTGTTTTTGCCCTTCCCAAGAATTGTGTCATCCTCATCCTCGTCCGCATGGTCCAAACCACTGGCGTCGAGCGATGCCCGCGGGTTCATGGACATGTCTGGGAGGCGGGCAGTGTGTTGTTGGAAGAGGAGTTCCGTATCCTCCTCCTCGCCCCCCGCTGCACCCCGCTGCCCCGGCAATTGACCGCTACCCCTGCCGCTGCCGCCATTTTTCTTATCATACTCGCGCTTTAGGGCTTCAAAAGGTGAGGAGAATCCAGCGAGCTGCGGGCGGGAAGGCAAGGTCTTGGTTGCCGGTGGCCGAGGTGTACTACCCGTGAGATCACCGTCGTTGTCGCCAAGAACAGATTCTTCTTGTTGGCCAGTGTGATCATGGTACATAGCAGACGACTGGTCCGCGTTGATGGTGTCATCGTCGTCTCTCGAGCTACGGGGTCGGGGCGTGTAATCTCCTGTTGTCTCGTTGTGGACCGAGCTATCCTCTTCAGCAGTCACCGTCGTGCTGTCACCGCCGGTGAGTTCTTCGTATCCGGAGAGTGAGACATTGGCAGAAGCCTCAAAGAATTGCTTCCAAAACTGCCGTGCCGGTGAGTCAGCTTGAGCCCGCGGCTTGGCTGCAAAAGCCAGGCAAGGAATACGGTGGCTCAGACCTTGGTAGCTTCCCACACTGAGCGCGAGTGCTCTCCATATTGCTCGACGAGGGGGAGAATGCTTGTTGTGACAATGCGATGAGCTTTGCTGAAGTTGTGATCGATCTCTGGTAACCGTGAGTAATTTGGTCTGGTAAACAGTGGGGGTGGGCGGTCGAACCTTGGAGAGTGAGGGTGATGGATTGCTCGAGCTTTTCGAGTTCTTCGGTAAGGGTGAGCGGCCTGGGTGCTGAGGGGCCAGGGCGAGACATCTTAAGTTCCAGGTTGTCGTTATCTTTACGGTGTAGTCAACACTGCAGCGGGGTTGCGGGAGGGAACTGAGCTCGGCACCGAAGTTCAGGCACGCGTCCCTGGAATCGGAGCGTGATAGCGGGGTCCTTTAGTGGGGCTATCAATCGGCGACAGCAACCTCGAACTCCTCCGAATCGCAAACATGCCACGCCGCCTTGGTCTATATGGGTATCTGTAAACTGAACATAAAGAATGACTATCAAGTACACACTTGAATCCAACATTGGTCCCGACCAGATTGGTGCGTGACAACACCGGTGTCTGGTGATAGTGAGACGGTCTTCTTCATCCATGCCTGTTCAGCGCCCGCGCCCGCGGCCTCTGCCTCGGCCTCTGCCTCTCCCACCACGGCCTCTGCTGCCTCCCCTTCCTCCCTTTGTAGAAGCTGGAGTCCCCTTCTCCTCTTCATCTTCATCTTCCTCCTCGTCCTCCTCGTCCGTGTCCTCTTCCTCGCCGCTGTCCTCCTCGGATGGCGACTCTTCCTTGACCTTGCGCCCTTTGCTAGACGTGCGCTTGGAGGCCCTTCCCCCTCTGCCGGCTTTCCTCGTCGGACTTGCGGCAGAAGTGTCGTTCTCGGTATCCTCGACAGTACTACTGCGCGTGGCTGCCTCGACCCCTCCTCGTTTACGCTTCTTGGGTTCGCTGGGCGGCGCATTCGGGTCCCACTGCGGCGGACTGGTTGGTGCCTCGCTGGGGACGGCACGCGCCTTCTCCATGATTAGGTCGCCATAATCTTCCCATGGCAGTTCAAAGTCCTTGTAGCGCCTCGGCTGGCCCTCTTCATCCGGGGGGTCCATGTTATTTTCCCGCTCGTCGATAGCCTCGAGGTTGTAGAACTCGGCCAGTTTCGCCCAGATGCCGGGGATCCGCGTGTGCGGCAACGCATCGGGGTCGAAGCCGTGGTTTCGCAAATGTTCGCTGATGGCTAGTATCCGGAAGTGCTTGTGCATGCCTGCGAGGGAAGCTTGGTCAGCGACTAGAAAAGAGTCGGAGTGCAAGCTACTAGTATGTACCAGCGGGTTTCCACCTGATGACACCTTTGAACAGCGACGCTACTTGGTCGTCTGTCCATGGGTCGGTAATTGGTTTTGGTAGCTGGTGAGCTGCAGGAGCTGGGGGTGTTTGCACTGGTGTGTCGACTTCCATGGCATCTTCGTCTCGAGCCGGCGTCGCTGACGAAGGTGTCGCGCCAGCGTGAGCGCCACCTCGTCCACCTTTCTTCTTGGGCGGCATGACAGCGTTGAAGTCAGCCCGTCTCTGAACAAAAGGCTGGATTCACTAAACCGCCAATTGGCTAGAGTACACGTTAGAGAACCGGGTGCGCCCGATCTGCCGCGTTGCGGTAAGGTGCCTACTAATTCGTTGCATTGAATTTGAGGATCGAGGTTCAGGTGTACTGCAGCTCAGCCAGCTCGTGTGAACCTTGGTGGTTTCTTCGCAATTGGCACTGTAAGAGCATCGTCAGGGTTAGGGTCTAACATACGTACCCGGCACGCCCGGTTGAGCCCAGCTGTCAATCCGAGTCCTCTCATCACTCATACGCTGTGTGCTTCCATACGCGATCCATCAATTGCAGCTCCAACAACCGGACAGCAGCTCAATGGGCGCTGCTGATCTTGTGACACACTCTTCATGGCTATGACGGACCTAGATGAGGATCAATCGGATCTCTTCGCCATCCCCGATTTTTGGCGGTCGTCAAGCTGGCTGGACCAAAAAGTCAAAGGAGACAACCCCCTGTTTACCTTCAGCTTACAAGACGCCGCCTGCCTGGACGGATCTCAGAGTCTCGTCACACCCACGGAGGTAGCAGTGCGTAAGAGTGTCGATGACAATGGCGACGTGTTTTTCAAGCTGCCCTCTTTGCTGAGGGAGCTAGCCGAGCCGGAAGGGAAGCTACACACGCCAAGTAGCAAGGCCCCGTCGCAGCACGTCGAAGCTGAACGTGAGCCTGAGACTTCAGACACACTGTCTGCAGACGACGAAGACCTTTGGCTCTCTCCTATCAAGAACGCTAGGCTATCATCTAGGTATCGGACCTGGGAGGACTTCGAGCAAGAAGATCCAGGGCTATGCCCGCCACTGTTTTTCACTGAGGCCGGGCCTGCTGCATTCGATGCCCTCTTAGCATCTAACCAAGCCCGCGACAACGCAGCCCCCGATATTCTTGAAGCTAGGGTTTATTGCGCATGCTTGCTTTCTCTCGCCCTGGGACGGAGCTCCATCCTCTTTTCGTGGAATCCCGAGCGGGAATTGTTCATCAAGACAGCGCCTGCCCTCAGGGTCTCCGGGTTGTCTTTGGATTCTATTAAAGCTATCGATAGGCTTTGCCTCGACTGCGGGAATTCGGCCAGGCATCTCCAGGCATACGCTGATGCGGCATACTCTGTGGCGGCGAGTCCCACGAGGGTCGCTCTCGCAGGAGTCGTCGACCGGCTCGTGACAGTCGTCCAATCCGAGCTCAACAACCACAGCCGCGACGTGAGGTCGATCCTCCAGCTGCAATCCATCGTCCAGCCGGCTTTCTCAGTGCTGTGCTACTTCAGAAGCCTCGTTAAGAAGCTCTCCCAACAAGAGTCCGATGAAGGGATCCTATCATGTCTGTTTCAGGAAGCCCGAGCTTCAGAGTATCAGGATGAGCTCCTGAGAGAGGTTACACGAGAAGTGCTGCGAGTTCTATCCAAGCCGTGGACCGATTTCGTCGAAGAATGGATCGGCCTTAAAGCCGAAGAGGGCGTCCCCGTGACAAAGACCGGGCCTGGCAAAGGCTTCGTCAAGGTCGCGGACAAGATGTGGGTTGATGATCAAGGGTTCGAGCTTGAGGAGGCCGACTACTTTCTCGATGAGGACAAATTGCCAATCTTTATCCCGGAAGAAATGGGCCAGAAGGTGTTTGAGACCGGTCGGAATCTCCGGTTCCTGCGCGAGTATCACCCAGAGCACCCGCTCTCTAGGCCAGAGGTAGTGTCCCTGGCCATGCCGCCGAAACTGGAATGGGAATTTGTCTGGGCTAGCATATCGAAGCTCGAGGCTAGGGTGAACGAATATCGGAACGCAGTGTCGCGTGCGATTCAAGGCCTGCGTCCCAAACCACATCGAGGCAAGTCCGTATCGCCAGGCGCCAACAAGCGGAAATATAGCGATATGGAGCTCGAGTACTTTGGGAAACCCGAGGCCCAGATGGAAGCAAACATCATCGCTTCGATACACTACCTCGACCAACCCCCCGAAAACCGTGGGCCGCAGAATGAGCTCGCTCGGCTTCTCGAGGATAGGCTCTACCGCACCACAGACAAACCATTGGAGTCTGGCAAGCTCTCCCCTCACTGGGCGTTAGTTCCCTTACTGTCTTTTGGCCCTGTCATCGAAGCCCAGTCCAATCTAGTAAATCAGGAATGCATGAAGCTACTATTTCGCTCCCACGACCTTCGAACCCATATCGACCTGCTCAAACAATACTTCTTGCTAGGGAATGGTTTGCTCTGCAGCCGTCTTTCACATGCTCTGTTTGACCCGAACCTTAGCACCGCCGAACGCCGAGCCGGCGTCGCCCTGGGCGGCGGCATGATGGGTCTCCGGCTCGGAGGCAGACAGACGTGGCCACCCGCCAGCTCAGAGCTCCGCCTTGCCCTGATGGGTGTGCTATCCGAGTGCTACGAAGCCCCTTACGCAGCAGCCGCGGGCCAAACCGCCCCATTACGCGGCACTAAATCCGACCTCCCGGGAGACCTCAGCTTCACCGTGCGCGAGCTTTCCCAGGAGGAGATTGACCGCTGCATGGACCCGGACTCGCTCGAGGCGCTCGACTTCCTCCGCCTCTCATACAAACCACCTGCGCCGCTCCGGCCCGTCATGGCCCCTACCGTCCTCCTGAAGTACGACCGCGTCTTCAAGTTGCTCTTGCGCGTCCTGAGAATGCTCTACGTCGCCAACGAACTCTTCGCCACCGCAAGCAAGATGGCAGAAGAAAGCAACGCGTCCCTCCGCTTCCGCATCGAGGCCCGCCACTTCATCCGGCAGGTCGCGTCGTACTTCTTCGACGTGGGCATCACCGCGCCCTGGCGGCGGTTCGAGGCCTGGCTGGACAGGGTCGAGGCCGAGTCCGCTGCTGATGAGCCCAGCGAGCTTGTCGCTGGGACGAGGGGTAGTGCTAATGCAAATAAAAAGGCATGCAGCCCCGACTCACTACGCGAGAAGCAGGAGCAGGTCCTGGACGAGATCATGAGTGTATTGCTCCTGCGGAAGCGGCAGGCGCCGGTGCTGCGCCTGTTGGAGGAGACGTTTGCGGTCGTCTTGCGGTTTGCGAAGGGGTTGGGCCGGAAGCGCCGTGCGGAAGGCGGCAGTGCGGAGACGCCGGAGGAGTTGTATCGGTTGTTCAGGAAGAAGGTCGAGGTTTTTGTTACTGTTTGTAGGGGACTCGGGGAGAAGATGGGCACCGGTACCACCAATTCGGGGGTAGGAGGGGGAGGAGGGAATTCGGCCGAGCACCTGTTGGTTAAGTTGGATATGTCGGGCTATTACGGGAAGAGGAGTGGTATGTGATTCTATGAGGCGATGGCGCCGTAAAGAGATAGAGTCATACCTATGCGGGATACCCCGGGAGATTGAGTTATTCTACGTCGCGTGATGTTACCTTGGAGTATTGGATGGGGTTTTCTATCGAGGTGGCAGAAGTATACGTGTCTGGAAGTCTGTATGAAGATCAATAATCTCAGAGGGTGAGCTTGCATGTTAAAGCTCTGCGTCCGGCAAAGAGGAGCGGACGAAGGAAACCAGAGCGGTACAGAACGATAAGCAGCGAGGTGAGGGTGAGACTCTGGCTTGGGGATATCTTGAACCGTTTCAACGAGACAACCCGGATAGTGTTGGTTGGATACGGTCATTGCCTGTCTAGACAACTGAGCTGCCCCAGCATAGGTCTATCAACAGTGTAGCCTCGAAACCTGGCGTGGTTATCGGCCCTGGACTTATCTGTTAGACTTGAAGAGGACTACTACACCCCTCAATCCACCCAATCGACCAGATTGGACAGAGGGAAACAGCTGTGTTCCTCTCACCTATGAGTTGTCGCTGTGTTGTCCGGCCGGGCACCCGACCGATTCCCCGGGACATCGCCCTCTCATTGTCAACATGCGTTTATAGACGTGCCCGCTTACACCCGTATAATACCTATATACGGATGTACTATACATAGTAGCAGGGGACGCTCCCTGCAGTCATGCCACGAATCCTCGCCTGGAGTGCAGATGTTGTATTATGTAGATTACATGTTGCTATCCGTCGGCTGAGGCCAGGCGCCCCGGAAGCTGAGAATAAGGCTTCAGATTCAGCTGATTGGATCCGCTACGACTTCATTAACATGACAGGCCGTTTCAGCTTGAGAGTGGCGACGAGGTGGTCCCTGGGTCCGAGTCAGTACCTTACTGTATCGACTGGGATGTCAAGAAAGAGCTGTTTATGCCATGGGGCAATAGCCCTAGGGTGACGGGTCTCACTTCATGATGCCAACATACCGTGTAACTACAGTCACTGGGAAATCTGCCCTGTTTCATAGTACTGTATGCTGTAGATCGACACCATGCTGACTTACGTGGCGGTCCTACGACGTTTCGGCCAGGGATGGTTTCAGTATCGCAAGGGCCAAGGCGGCATGTTCAAAGGCTGGAAGCCTTTATTTAGTTTCTTGCTTTTCGTTCGTGACATTCTAGGGTACAAGTCTCTGAGGCTGACCACGGACATAATGCCACCTTATCCTGACAGCGCAAGAGAAACTGGACATTTCCTGTCCGGAGAGGGTGGCAAACGAAGTCTTGTTGGACTTCGGGAATGAAGCGGTGATTTCTACAGTCATGATGATTGTACGTATAGTGTAGAGCCGGTATCACGTATAGCACCAGCGCAAGGCAATTCTCGGCAGATGGAGGAATTGTCTGTGTCATTCACCGTCTCTTTCCTTTGCCTCTTTCGTTGCATCATTTCCGCGGTATGCCCATGTCTCCGGGTCAGTCGACCAGTCACGAATCCAGGGGCCCTTGGGTTCTCACGAGTCACGACAGGGAAGCTGTAGACTACGAACGAGCCTCAACCGGCGAGAAAGACCGAAAGGTTTGCTTCGATGACGAGAGCGTGTACCTACGTAAAGTGAAGCAGGATAAGCGGGGATAAGATCGCGCCATCTCTATCGGCTGCCGAATAGCTTCGGTCCGGAAACAGACTCTTGTTGATGAATCTCATATACTCGCATGTCACCGGACGGTGTACTTCTGGAGAGAAGTCTCGCCTCACTGTTCCCGGCTGCGGTTGACAAGGGGAGTAGCCTTTACTGGCTAGTTCTCATCTTCGGACCTGTCACCAACTCTCCGGGTTTATACAGATTACATAGTACGAATTACAACACTACGTACTTGGTATGTACTGTGCTGTATCAGGTGCAAGTTGGCTTAAACATGCGGTGAAACGGCCCGATGGGCGACAAATTCACACGGAGCGAAAGGGACAAACTTCGGCTGTTGATATTCTACATAACGTTAATGCAGTACCGGTGGCCAATTAGCCATCCTGCTCAGAGGTACAATAACCGTATTGCGTGCCAAGTTAAACCTAGTGTGATGTACTGGGTGTGTACAGCACTGTAGTACCAGATATTCTGTCATCCCGTCTCATTGCGCGGGATGGGATGGAACCGAACCTGTAACGGACAGCGTGCGCGCCGAAATCTTGCAGGGACAGGCGGGCTGGTTCGAGATCTCGCGTTACACAAACATTTGATCAAAAAAATATCAAAACAGGAAACCTGATCACATTGGCTGGAGAGTGGGGGTTTCGCCGAGCCCAGCCGGGATGGCCACGTTACGGTAAGGTTGACCGCCTCCAGCGAAAGAGGAGTGACCATGCTTACCCCTGCAAGATGTGGTAGCGCGAAAGTCACGCGGGTCTTTGGAATTCTTTGGTGAGGTCCACAAACAGCGCGGATTGTGCCGAGAGGACGACGTCCACGGTGCCCGGAGGTGACTCCGGGGTTTGAAGATCGACTGTTTGCATGACTCGGTGTAGTGTATATATTGTACCAAAGTCTTAGTATCGAGCCGGTCAAACAAAGACGGAAGACTCATCATTTGTGATAAAACCCGGCTTCTCATCGATCCAGGCTGTGTTTGGCGTGCCGTCTTCCCCCGAATTTGGGGTACTCGTGTCATCCTGACGCTGACAAGCCCAAAGCACCCCAGCCATGTTCTTGACTGCCCAGTCAGATCCGAGGGGTGGTGCATATCTGGAAAGCACCGGCGATGTTGGCTGCATGCCAGCCAATTGTATTGGGCTGGATCAGGCGACAGAGCAGACTCGACACTGCATAGCGACAAACCGCTGTGTACGGAGTATGATGAAAGAGAACTCGTATCGGTGATACGTTGGCTTATTATTATGCAGAAGATGTGATGAAGACAACTTGGCGAATTAGCATATTCCCAGAGAACAAGTCGAGTGATGTACACTATGTCCGGAGTACATCTGTCGATGATACACTAGGAAACTGCTCCCTCTCTCATCAATCATCAAGTTGTCTCTTCTCGGCGGAATTCTGCGTTCACCAGACTTGACGAAATCGTGACAACATGTGCCAAGAACGGATTCTTCCCGCAGGCTCCGCCAGACCGAGGTAGGCGCGCATGCAGTAACAGTTTTCATCCCAGCGGCGATCGTCGAATACAGACAAAGATTTCGCAGCGGCTTACCCTTTTAGGAAGTGCCGCCCGCCCTCGCACTTCGCTACCCAAAGCAAGCTTGAAGCTTCCAAGTTGGCAGGTTTTATTAACTACTAGTAGCGTTGAAATATCGAGCCCCAATCGATTCGTGATACCCCTGCGTACGGTGAAATACCGGAAGAGGCTGAGGAAAAAGGACAGCGGAAGACACGTCTTGTCGCGCAAATTCAAGCCACCTTTTTTTTTTTTTTCTCGCGAGGTGTGAAAGGTGGCTGCTAGGTAACTACCTTAACTGGCTTGCCGGATATCGGTCCTCAATTGCCGTGAGCGGTTGCCGAAACCACCCAACCTGAGGAACGATGAGCAGGCATTGTCAGATACGCGGCAGGGCGCCGTTTCAAAACCGTGATAATGCCAAGGGTTCGTACCGCTCGCTTCCCAGACCTTATGGAGGATGGTCCGTTCTTCCGGAGATGAGCCTTGATGTGAGCTGAGGTGGGATTGTGCCATGCCGTTGCCCGCCGAAGGGCACGAGCGAGCGGGGGTGTGTTGCGAAGCTTCACATTCATGCAGCCCATGTTGTAGCTTCCTGTTGCGCATGTATGAGTGCCTAATAAGGTAACTGATGAGCTCGGGCAAAGCTCGGGCTGCGGGCAAATGCCCCGATGCAATGCCGAATTCCATCAGAGGAACGTAAGGTGAATACAGAAGGACTTGAGTTTGCAGACTTGACGGCACTCTGCAGAGCTTTCCAAAACCGTCACCGACTGCCATGCCAGTGGCTTACCGCCTCTCGATCGCGGTGTAATCCTGCCAACATAGTGTTACCATCCTCGACGCGGCGTAGCTCAAGGCAGAGAGGAAGCAAGGCAACGCTGTGGTCTTCAGGCTGGTATGGGGTCTTTTTTAAGCTCTTACCCCCGAGCTGGTCCCGCACCTGGGTTCGTGCATCGTGAACGCCACATCTGCCCAGGTGGGGAATATGGAAGCGGGATCTGCCCGGGCTTAAATGTGTCCCACTCCATTACGGTACTCCGTACGGAGTGTACATTTGGTACACCCTCTCGATGCAATACTGATGCGCTACACTGGCATAGTACAATCAGGAGCCAGAACATTATGTTCGAAAACTATCATCAGTATTGCGTACAGTATTTTTCGATAGCCGACCGCGACGTAACCCGCCGAGGCCGAGCCGGTTTTGTGCGCGACTTTGCATTGGCAACAAACCTGAAGCCAGGCTAGGCCCGGCATGACAAGGGCTTTCCCTGGCGGAGGCCGATCGGGCGGAGGCAACCATGCCACCTCCTTCTGCCGACGTCTCCCCGAATAATTCAGAGAGGCAGCAGCCGATGGGTGCCGGTTGTCGCAGTTGGATTTGCAAGTCTTCTGCACCCTGCCCTTCCAAGCTCGACTTGGTTTGTGAGCTACGTGACGTGTCATTTTTAACGGCGCGATTTACTTTGTGCTGCCTCGGCGGGGACCGGAGTGCGAGGTCTTCATCTCAGGCTCTCTTCTTCTACACTATCGCGTGTAACTACACGTGTAGTGTAGGTAGAGACAAATGCGATATCGATGATGTTTTTGACCGAGCGCTCAGTGGAGCTGTTCGGCTTCTAGAAAACGCCCCTCATAACTCCAATCTTCTATATGTCACACAGAGCCCGCAGGAGTGGGTTCAGGATAGGACCCTCCCAGAGCCTCAGTTCTTGGATCGCCCCTCCTGGGTCCTCTCCACTGAACCCCTTCGGGACCCCTTGAAGGGACCACTTTCTCCCGACGCCATGCGAAGACGCGGCTGCCGTGCCACACGAAAACACGCGCGGTTGACGCGCAGAGCGGCAATATCGCACAGATTTGGATATGCAGCCTTGATGCCGCCCTGCCCAAGTGAGCCAAGGAACACGATGTGAAGATGAATAATCACTTTCTCAGTACTGTGTATTTTTACGTGTCGCCTCAGGTCAGAGAGGATATCCGATATCGCCGTGATGCATCGAGGGGTGGTGACTGGACGATTTAGCGGAAAGCAGCCTTTGCATCTCAGCACTGTGTAGAGCATTCCCGCCCAGATGGGAAGGGGGTACCTACGTGTTTGTATTTACATTACGTATAGTATCGTACAAGCGCACTTCGCATATGTACCATAGTTACTGTAATACTCAAAGATTGGAGTGATTGGCTCAACTCGCTTGCAGAAAAACGGGCCGAGGCAAAGACATGGGTGCGTTGCTCCCATGACTCGTGTACCTTAGTGCAGTACACACCAATCGACACGGTACTGTAATTACCTAGTAATACATTTACGGGGCTAGTATGTATCATTGTATCAGAGAGAATCAAGGATCCAAGATCAAGCGGCGAGATAAGGGCGAACCTGTCCTCTGCCTTTCCGTGCGGCAGTGGTCTGGGGCACAGTGGTCTGGGGCACAGATGCTCCGCCGGAAAGCTCGATCTTTGAATCTCGAAGTGCCGCCTCGTTGGTGCAGCACGGCGGAGAGGCCGATGCAATGTCACCGTGCGGACAAGAAACGACTCTCACATAATCTTGATGGCCTAACAGTATCTCTTAGCTAACGCACTGCAATCATCGAATAGAGATCCAGCAATGCAGGTCTAGCATCCGATGGTCCTTTGAGATAACCGGAGGACCCGGCGGCAAGCGAGCACTTCGTAGCGAAACTCGTAGCAAACCTCTCACCGCAATTCGGGCACGCTACCGTGGCTACCGCGCTATCACCCCATCAAGGTATTCACATGGATTGTAAGATTGGGGAATTTTTTGGTCTCCCATCGCGTGAAGAAAAACCAAGAACAAGCACCTGGGAGCCTCCGGTTCCTGGTGCCACTAATGACTTTTAACCACCACTAGTGGCTCCGTGAAACACACGCTGGCTGCTCATCTTTGTGAGGAGCGCACAAAGAATGCGCGAGCCGTGATGAAGACGACAAGCTGGCTAGGTACCTGAACTGTCTAGTAATCTAACAGATAGCCGGGCCATGAAAGCAGACGAGTTGTCGTAGCTCGTTGTTGAACCAGCAGCACACTGATGCTACTGTCAGAAGGCGCATCGGATCGAGACGCACCTATAAACTCGAACCTCGCCTTGCAATGTGGTATAATACGAGAGGACTAGTAGTATCTTGAGGCTGTTCCCACCAAGACATGCCGCATAATAAATGGTGCTGACCTTTGCCATACGCAATCACTTAACACTGCGCCGTCCGCTTAGCATCCAGCATTGGACATCCGGCCTGCTGCTTTTCTATGGAGCGAATACATACCACAGTATGTAAGGTAGGCAGTGGTAGGTAGCCAGCCGCCAGTGAAGCAGGGAGTTTCTTACCGTACAATTTTACAGTTCGCCATCGCAAGTTACGTAGAATACGCAGCCGTACGCAGTTACAGGGTATCAACGTCATGCCACGCCCCTTCAAGCCCACGGCGGCCATGACCTACTACATCGGGTTAAAACAATTTGCTAGCTCTTGTTTGCCGTTCGGGGAATTCGAACAGCGTGGAACGCTTTCGTCGGCAATGGATCATCAAAGAATTGTATTATCAAAGAGTTCCTCTCATCTACAGTACTACATACCTACACTACACAGTAGGAACACTCGAGCCAGATTTGTCTCTCCTGTTCTAGTGTATACCATTCTACGGAACGTTGGGAGCGAAGTGAGCGCGGTTTGTGTACCCTCTACGAATGAAACTCCATGTCACGTCATTACCGCCATCCAAGGCCTGTACACTTCTGATCACATGCGTCAGTGATACATATGGACATTCGCCAAAGGTCGTATTGTAAGTAGAGGGTTTTCACTCCTGAGACAATCAGGTGTCGCCGCAGTCAAAACACTGCTTCGCGTCGAGGTCCCTCATTACACAGTAGTTGGCCCGAAATGATCACTCATAAACCCGAACACATGATCAACATGGAGGTATATCTACACAGAAGTACATCACGGTAAGGCACGAGATATGATGAATACTAAGGCACCCCGATATTGAGAAATAATCTGGAATCGAGGTGCTTGCGTGAGCGATACCGGATGATTGCAGACCAGTGAGATGATGCGATCTGCTGATTTTTTACCGGTGGCAAGTGAGGAGGATACCACGTATCTTACAGGCTGGTAGAGGCTCTTGGGCGTTAGTTACATGTCCCTAAACAGCAAGGACCCGGCTCATTATTTGTGCTTCAATTATTTCCCTCCATCCGGCCAAAGATGGTCCGAGCGCCCAACCCACCTGGCCTTTTTTGTGGCCCCCTCCCCTCCATTTTCCCTTTCCTTGGTTCTTACCCACTTTCCGTTTTCTCCTTCCACAATCGTGCGCGTCATTCTCCTCCGACAAAACCACAATTGCTCGCGTGCAAACAATTGCTCTTTCAGCGTTGTTACGAGGCGCGGGAAGACAACTCTTGGGAATTGAGATCCTTCCTGAGATCAAACTTCCGAGTCTCCTGGTTGCCGTACGGGGCATATCTGTGCGATACCAGGCGGGACTCGATTTTTTCCCACATTCGGATGTGGGCTGTCCCCACTGAGGCACCTAACTAACGGCTGCTCGCGCACTTGGGACTGTTGCATCCCAGTCGCTGCCCGCCACCCCATCAGCCTGGTGGCTTCTGACCCCCAAAAAACATTCAAAAGGGACGCGCATCATCGAAAAAAGTGGTGGTCCCCACACCGACTTTCCACTCAAACTTCCCCATTCCTCTCCACTCGACTGCGTCTTTGGTCTTTGAGCCTCATCTTTTAGGGTGTTCTCCACCTGAGCACGACGCGTATCTTGACATCCTCACAGCGCGGCTGCAGGTCCGTGCCCAGAGGTAGACGCACCGCATCGCAACAGTCGCGTCGAGACACGGCAGAATAGGGTCATCTTTTGGAGTCGGTTCTGACTTGAGAGGTCAATTACGGCCCAACTGCATCAACAAGTGACAACAGTCGTTGCTTGCAGTACGCTCAACTCCTTCTCTCTTCATTGCTTCGGGTTCCCAGATCGGCTTTTACCGCATCTGAGCGACCTCGACATCGTCTACCCCTTCACCGGCTCAACAACATTAGCACACAAAGCCTTTCGCGCTCCGGCTCGAATGGTCTTTTTGTGCTCGGCACAATAAGCAGTCTAAGCTCGACCTATTATGGAAGGCCTGCCTGACACCTCGGCGAACGACGTAAACACGACGGTGTCTTCTTATCCTTCTTCTTTGGCTGCATCACCCCACCTTTCCCACCAGCAGCAGGTTCAGCAACAGCAACAGCCCCTCCGACAACATCAACAGCAGCAGCAGCAGCAGCATATTCAACCCCAGTCGTCGGCGGCACCTCCCCACACGCTGCCACCCCTTCAGCCAGGCAACACTGTCATGCAACAGCCCTCTTACGGGAGCTACCCGAGGACATCGGCCGCCCCGAGCTCATCCAGCGCTATGGCGAGTTATCCTCCTCCGCCGCCGCAGAATGCAAGCCGCGGCGGCACCTATCCGACGATGATGGGGAACAACGCCTATCCCCAGCAGCCGTACCCTGGCGCGTCGTCGAGCATGATGCCGCAGAGCACCACTGCGGTGTCTCACCCTCAGCCAATTGCGCCTGCTCCTGCAACTGCCGGCGGTAGAGCTCCGCCTATGCTCCGTCCTATGCCTGCCGGCGGAGTCATGTCTCAGCCGGGCATGAATTCTCCGTATGGCCAGAGCCCATTGATGCCGCAGCCTTCGGTTCTCCCGCCCGACAGCGAACCGCCCACCCATGTGGTGGGCTCGCAGGGACGTAGAGGAATTCTTCCCAGCGCCCCAGGTAGGCCTGCTCCGCCTGCAGCTGGATCCGCTCAGGCAAAGAACCAGATTCCCCAGAAGGATGCCGACGGGAAGTTTCCGTGCCCGCACTGTACTAAGACTTATCTGCATGCGAAGCACCTGAAGCGCCACCTGCTGCGACGTAAGTAGAACCCCTCTCTCGCTTGGACCCTCGCTAGATGAGCATAACTTGACGATCCATCACAGACACCGGCGATCGGCCGTACATGTGTGTCCTGTGCCATGACACCTTCTCACGTAGCGACATTCTCAAGCGCCACTTTATTAAGTGTTCCGTCCGCCGCGGCAACCCGACGGGGGCAAGCCACCTGTCCCATCCCCAAGCCCACGTCAAGAAGAATGCGGCTGCTCAGCAGAAGGCCATGGGCTCTGAGGGCGATGTTAATCACATGAACGGTATGGGAAACATGCCCGCCGACGGAATGGTTCATCCGTTCGGCCTCATTCCCGCTTCTGATGGCATGAGCAACGTGGCCAACGATCAAAGCCAGCTCTCGAGATCTAGCAGCATGAATAGGATCGCCGACGACGCGAACCGTGATAGGAGGAGCATGACGGCATCGGTCATGGGCGCGTCGACGCGTCCCAGCAGCTTCGAACAGACATACAACGGCAATGAGGTCACAAACAACATGACCGCGAATATCAACCCCCAGCTGGCAAACTACAGCATGCCTCAGAATCAAAACGGAATGCCTATGTTTGGAGGGTCAGGCTCGACCGATTGGTCGCAAATGTTCCAGGCTGGTGCGCACTCTTCCAACGTCGATACGATCACACCTAATACCGGACAGGGACAGATGCAGACCGTAACCAAAACCGAGCTTAACCCCAGTTCCGCCCGAGCGGTCGATATTCCTGGCGACACTCCATCCCACTCCTTGTCCTTCCCGTCGTGGGGCATGCCGTCGTCGTATCCGAATGCCTACCAGCAACTCTCCAACAAGATTACTGCCTTCCTCCGTTCTGCGCCCGCCGCCGCGAATATAGACCTCGTTAACCTTTTAGACTTCTACTTCCATGCCGATAATGTCCGCAACTTTCTTGAGAATTACACGCATTTCCACGCTCATCTCTCAGTTCTGCACCTGCCCACCTTCCGCGCGCTAGAAGCGCATGTTGGCCTGGTAGCGGCCATGTGCTGCGTTGGGGCGTGCTACTCGGATCGGATTCCCGCAGCCAACATCCGCGAGGTAATGGACCTCCTGAAAGCAGCGCTCGAAGGCTCATCCCGCATGTTCGCCTCTCTACTGCAAGTTGGTGCTCCGGAGGTTGGCTATGATTGGGATTCTTTTGGCAGCAAGAGGACAGATCTCGAAGAGTTGCAGGCAATTATGCTTACCCAGAATCTGCTTACGTGGCACGGTACCCCAATGCAACGCGAAAAGGCCAGAAGGACCTTCCCTTTGATCGCATCCTCCGCCCGCAAGGCTGGCCTGCTTCATCTCTCCGCGAATGCGTCGTTGCACAGTCCGGTTCACCAGCCTGCTTTCTCGCTGCAAAGTGCGTCAATCTCCCAGTTCAACTGGCATGTCTGGGTGGAGCAAGAAAAGCGCATCCGGACTATGTACATGATCTTGGTCTATGATGTGGCTCTTGGGCTGTACTTCAACACTGGGCCTGAGTTTGACCCTCTCGAAGTGCGTCTTCCGTTACCGGCAGATGATGCGGCCTGGGACGCACAAGATGCCAATGAATGTGCCGATGCACTCAGCCTCCGTGGACCAGAAGCGGCCAAAAATCGCAACCCGGACGGGACCCGGAGAAGCAATCAGCCAGAGATGCACTTGGTCGTCAAGGCCCTTCTCGACAACAACTATCGTATCCAACCCGGTTCCACCAACCTGTTCGGCAAGTTTATCATGATTCACGCGCTCCTATCAATGATTAGGCGGGCTCAGCTGGAAGGAGGCTCGGCGATTTTGCGTCGTGCCACTACTCCTCTTCCTGCTCATGCATGGTTTGTCGGAACTCAGTGTAGCTCCAGCGCTACCAACAGCGGCCGGTCTACTCCTGTTGACATTGGGGCAAACCTCATCGATACGCAGACGGCCCGGGCATTTTTGACTGCGCTAGACAAGTTCAAGTCTAATTGGGATCATGACATGGCTACGCAGTTCCCGCCTTCTATGGCTATCAACCCGCGTCGATACGGGTTCACGCGGGACGCGATCCATTTCTATTGGTTGGCGACGTATCTACTCAAGAATACACGGACAACGGATTTACAGATGGCACCAGATCAACGTTTTGCCTACGTTATCCATCTTCTAAAATCGGTGAGGCAGTGGGTTTTAACGGATGGGGCTTCTCGAGGCGAGGAGCTGGGATCGGTTGGAGATATCGATGCTTCGTACGGGGCAACGGATGTGACGCTCGACATGACACAACTCTTCCGGCCGCTTTCGAATTCAGGAAGGTCGCCAGTGTTTGCGGCCGCTCAGACAGGAACCATGCAGCACCAGCAATAAGGAGAAGACCAGTGGCGCACAGTTTCTCCTGCATATACGGCGTTCGCTTTTTCATTTACGCATATGGGGTTGTTCTCTCGTTTTTTCTTTTGCCTATTTTCGGTTTCGTATGTTGCTTGCCTGTCTCTTGTCTCTGCAGAAAACGTCCTGGCAGTTTTGCTAGTTGCATCAGAAGAATGGGACAGTGGCGGGGCGTTTGTTTGCATCAGAGAGGGTCGGGCGGCGGTGATAGATTTCTTTGGAGTTCTGCATTAGAGACCTTACCTCGAAAACAACAAAATAGACTGAGCAAGGAATCGGGCAGGTGGCTGACGAGTCTCTCGATGCCAGCGGGAAGAAGGTTGCGTTGCGGTGGCATCTACCCGGTCGCTCTTTTGTCTCATGGGGAACGACCGTGGCTGGTCGGCGGGTCTCGACGAATGTTGTCTCTCGAGTGTGGGGGTGGGTGGAGACGTAATGAACGTCGCTTGCAGGAATAGGAAAGCCAAAAACAGAACGATCGAACATGGGATTCTCCTTGGGAATCTGCAAAAGGAGGGTGGAGGAGGATGGCGGGTTGTACATCAATGTCAAACAGAACATTACATACGTTAGAGATGGCAAAGCGTTGCAGACCCAGACAGAGAAGAGGAGATTATGTGAGGAGCGCTCTCACGGGACGGTGAATCACATCGCCCATTGTAGTACAGTACTACCTACTCCAAGATTCTCTTCTCCACCTATACGCTCATTCTTTCGCTAGGGTTCCTGCCTAGATAACGACTCGAATACGGAGTATATGCCTCCTCCTCCCTCTAAGGGACGCAGGGCCTTCTTTTCGTGACTTCCACTGCTGCCCCACGACCTAGAGATCCCTCCCCAGATCCCGGCATCAAAACATTGCCTGGCTCTCTACGTCCTCCGCAGTTGAGATCAACACTGACCATTCCTGTCCTTAGCTGGTGACTTTGCTGCCCAGACTTAGAAGAAGGCGGTGCGAGCTACACTCCGGGCGGATCCGTCTCGGTTTCCCCCCGACGCCCCTTTCTTCTTTCCCCCGACCAGAAGAGTTCAAAAGATAGATGAGCAGCGAAGGGTTCTCTCACTCAAGCAACAGAAGATGGAAAGTTGCAACCCAGATCCAGTAGACCACAATGTGAACACGATCGAGGGTTTTATTCAGTCATTCCACCTTCCGCCCTTTCCTTCCGCCCCTCCTCCTTCAGGAACGAGACCACTGCAGGTGATCATGTAGCAGAAGCCGAGTTTTGACTCTTCGCTTCTCACTTCTCCCCATCCCCCACCTTGGGCACGACGACGACTCGCGGCTTCACGCGCTCTAGCGCAGCCTTGTCGGCCTCGCTCGGCGTCAGGCCCAGCTTGGCTTCGGCCTTGTCGGCGAACTGCAGGCCTAGGACGCCCCAGGCTAGCAGAAAGGCGCCGAATGCGGCTTTGGATTTGGGGGTGAGATTCTTGTAGGCTCTTTTTAAAACGGGAGCATGTTAGTCTATGTAAGTCATATGGGTGGTGAGGAGGTTTAGGTGAAATGAGCAGAGGTTATGAGATTGATTTATAGGGGTAGAGAGTGAGGTGAATGGCAGGAGAATGAGGGGGCTTGGGGGTAAGGGGCCGGCTGGCTTACTGTAAGAGAGACATTTTATGACTACACGATCAGCTATTTGGAGCTGAATCGAGATAGAATTATTTGGTAGGGACGGCCGCGGGGCATCATGAGATGGGACAGGCGATGTGAGATTGTCTTGTACATAATAACTTAACTTGATGGTCTTGTCGAGCATTTATTTCTTGGCACTGTGCACCCCTGCCGGCCGGCGCTCGGACCAACCAAATTTTCAATTCGCGGACCGAGAATTGCGAACCTCGAGCGCTGCCGCCATACCTATCGAACATCGAACTGCCTGATGATACATCCAGGGTACGGGCAAGTCCAACTACCGATGGGTTATTATTAAGGAGTGACGAGACACACCGTGCCCCGCAGCTGTCTACCTTCTGTCCTCCCGTTTCCTCCCAGTTCCTTCCGCCCCTCCTCCCTGAGAATGGCTTCCGCCGCGATCCGGCCCTCGCTGGGCGCCTTCGGGAGGATATCATCAGCAGCAGCCGCAACAACCGCACCACGCTCTCTTGTCAGTACCACGCAGACGGCCTCCCTCTCCACCACCACCTCCCTCCTCAAGCGCCACAAATACCCCGGCGCGCGGGACAACAAGGACTATAGCAAGCACCGCGGCGAGTCCGCCATACGACGCACCGGCACCCGCTGGAGGCTGTCCATGTCGGACGAGCCGCTGCCGAAGCCGGTCCCCCGCGAGCAGCTGCCCCCCATCGAGACGGACCCGGACCACGGCCTGTGGGAGTTCTTTGCCAACCGGAAGACCGTCGCCAACGCGCCCGAGGAGGACGCCAAGTACGGCCGCAGCTGGTCGGTCGAGGAGCTGCGGCATAAGAGCTGGGATGACCTGCACCGGCTGTGGTGGGTGTGCGTAAAGGAGCGGAATCGGATCGCGACGGCCAATTGGGAGCGGAACAAGAGCAAACTTGGCTTTGGCGAGGCGGAGGCGCTGGCGAGGGATCGTGAGGTGAGTTCAATGGTGGGCGGTGGGGCGGCGGTGGGTTAAACCAAGAGGAGGACTGACGGGCTTTGTCCGGTGTCTAGGTCCGCGCCACGATGCGCGCTATCAAGCATGCCCTGACGGAGCGGTTCTATACGTGGGAGGACGCCGTGAAGCTGGCCGAGAACGATCCCGAGGTGAACCTCACCGGAGACGGCCCGGCATTTACACCCCGCGACTACCTCGAGGAGGGAGAGGCGACAGCTGCGGAGGGAGAGCAGCAGCAGCAGGTTGCGGAGGCTGCGGAGGCCGCGGAGGAGACGGCAGTGAAGGCGCAACCGGCGCCCCCAGTGACGCCTGACCCGGCGATGATACCCGCATCCCAGCCGCAAGCAGAAGCCCCAAGGTTATGATGAACTTACTTGACTTGCCTTACACGGCCATACATGTACATGATTCAAAGGGGTTTCTCGAACATCGGTCCTAGCAGGGGACGGGCAGATGCTCGTGTATCCTTTAACACACTCTCCCGCCGTGCTAAACCTGCCGCTGGCGCGATGGCAGCGTCGGTACATCCCCTGTTTGTACAGATAGTGTATTTGAGCATGATCTCTTGGGAATACCCGAAGTGGAAATTGTGTCTCAAATAGGGCCGCCGTGCTCATGATGCGCAATAGCTACGAGCGGCAAGCCCAATATCAAAACATTAATGAGCCGAGACCACCCCCTAGACCGCCTGTCCAGAGCATCGAATCACAGCGGGTTGCCATAGCTTCAAAGAGGACCAGAGCGGGGCTCTCCACACCCCTCATCAACCTAACCCCCCACCACCTCATGAGCAACGGGGATCCAGACTGCTCTCCTACCCGGAACCTAATCACAAGCCCAACGGTTTTGAGAAAAGGATCTAATTTGAACCTGGTGTTCATCTAAATCGCACCTCGAGCTCCTGACCCTTTTCTCCGTCTTGCATCTCTCTCTTTTGACTTCTCTGCACGGGAGCTCTCTCGTCCACGGCCGACCTCCCTCTGAAGCTTCGCTTTCCGCCTTTCCGCCATTCCGCCTTTCCTGCCAACCTAACGCCACTCCTCCACCATGGCCGACGAGATTGCCCCCGAGTACGATGTCATTGTGCTGGGCACAGGGTTGACCGAGTGCATTCTGTCCGGGGTGCTCAGTGTCAAGGGGAAGAAGGTGCTGCACATTGACCGCAACGACCACTACGGCGGGTGCGTGCAGCAGATCCTCCCGGTTCCGGTCCTGGTTCTTTGACGGTTTGGACTGACACCGCCCCCCTCTCTCCAGCGAGGCAGCGTCACTCAACCTCGAGGCGGTATGCTACTCTCCGGGCTAAAACACCCATTGCACCCTCCCGTATGATCCGTGTGTGTTCTGCCTCTGACAGCGTTCGCTTCTTGGACAAACAGCTCTTCAAAAAGTATGGCAACTACAGCGCGGGCACCGAGCCCTGGAAGCAGTACGGTCGCCTAAACGACTGGAACGTCGACCTGGTGCCCAAGTTCCTCATGTCTTCGGGCGAGCTCACCAACATCCTCGTCTCGACCGACGTCACCCGCTACCTCGAGTTCAAGCAAGTTGCTGGCAGCTACGTCCAGCAGGGCGCCGGGCCCAAAGCCACCGTCGCCAAGGTGCCCTCAGATGCCGCCGAGGCCCTCAAGTCGCCCTTGATGGGCATCTTTGAGAAGCGCCGCATGAAGAGCTTCATCGAGTGGGTGGGCCAGTTCGATCCTAAGGACCCGGCCACGCACAAGGGTTGGTACTCGCCCTACCTCCGCGCCAGAGGGAACAGACTAGCTGATTAAGTTCCGTCCATCGCTTCAGGTCTCGACATGAGCACCTGCACCATGAGGGAAGTCTATGACAAATTCGGCCTCGAGCCCGGCACCAAGGACTTTGCCGGCCACGCCATGGCCCTCTACTCGTCCGACTCCTACCTTGACGTCAAGGGCGGTGCGCCCGAGGCCATCGAGCGCCTCCGCCTCTATGGCAACAGCGTGGCCCGCTACGGCAAGTCGCCCTACATCTACCCGCTCTACGGCCTGGGCGAGCTGCCGCAGGGCTTCGCCCGCCTCAGTGCCATCTACGGCGGCACCTACATGCTGAACACCAGCGTCGAGGACATCGTGTATGAGGGCGAGAAGGCGGTCGGCATCAAGGCCACTATGCGCGGCATTGAGCCCGAGATGAAGTTCGAGACGAAAGCCAAGACCATCATCGGCGACCCGAGCTACTTCTCGGCCAAGGTCCGCGTCGTCGGCCACGTCCTCCGCGCCATCTGCATCCTCAAGCACCCGCTCGCCAGCACCAACGACAGCGACTCGTGCCAGATCATCATCCCGCAGTCGCAGGTTGGCCGCAAGAACGGTACGTATTTCCATCTCACTGCCCGTTGCCCCCCTTCCCTCACTTGGTCTTGTCTCCTGACCGCCTACCTCTAGACATCTACATTGCCTGCGTCTCCTCGGCCCACAACGTCTGCCCCAAGGGGTACTGGATTGCCATCGTGTCCACCATCGCCGAGACCTCTGCGAACCACCACCTCGAGCTAGCGCCCGGTATTGAGCGCCTTGGCAAGATTGAGGAGCAGTTCATGGTGGGCCTCCGTCCCTCTCTCCTTTCCCAAAGGTCGTTTAATTGCAAGTGACTACTAACACTTGCTGATGCCAGGGCCCTCCCATCCCGCTGTACGAGCCCCTCGAGGACGGCCGCAAGGACAACATCTTCATCTCCAGGAGCTACGATGCCAGCAGCCACTTCGAGAGCACCACCGACGACGTCAAGGATATCTACAAGCGTATCACAGGTGAGGAGCTGGTGGTTGAGGGGCTTAGGGAGGGCATCCAGGTTGCTGCGGAGTAAGCGCGGCGAAGAGCGAGGGAAAAAGGAAAGAAGGGAAAAGACAAAGGAAGTGAAGGATAGGAAGGGTGGTGGTGGTGGTGGTGGTTGGTATATAGGAATAATACACATGTGAAATCAATTGAACTGCTTGAATTCCGGGGTTCTTCTACCTCGAGGTGTCAGTGAGTCTGACTGTGGGGTTTGGGAGGAGAGGGGTTGTTGCTGAACGCTGTTTCTGCTGTGTTTGCGCGGGATGTACATCTGTACTGTCTTCCACCTGTACTATATGTCCTTATTTGCTACCCACTCTGCCAACGGGATGCATGCATCAAGGGCGAGACAGCCCAGCAAATGGGATGCGGGATTGAGATCAGAAACCGACGGGTCCATTAATGCCAGAACGCCAGTAGCACACACCAGAGATATCGACATGGTGATATAAATAGACATGAGCCATCTTCTCCATTTTCCGTCCCTCCCTAAAAGGCAACTAATTGCCTTTGCTTTCCCGTGCTTTCCGTCTGCCACACCACGGCCCCTTGCAAACCAGTCTAGGCTGGCTTCAGCCCCGGTCGTCCTTCCATGCCCGCAGACGCGCGTGGACGTTGCCCGAAGGACCACATACCTCTGAGCAACTAGGTTGGGATGCCGGTGTTGCAACGGGATCCCACCACCGGCTGGCTGGCCAAGCAACCGCCAGAATGACGGGAGTGACGCAAGCGCTCAGCGGCGACTGGTCTTGCCAATAGTGCGCTTCCCAGAGAACTATTACAGGAAACAAGTCGTTAGCGACAAGTGCTATGGCATGATAGGGGCTTTGTCGATCGACTGAAGAACTTACCAGATGCTTTGGCATAGTCGCACCAATATGCCTGTCGGCCTCGCCCTGCCTCGCCATGCGGTTCATCTTGCGTTGGCTGAGCTTGGCCTGTCGTTCGGCCGCCGTCCGCGCCGTCGCGTCCTGCACACCGTCCTCGCGGCGGTTGGTGGCCGCCACCGAGCGGGCGCGGCTGGCCGACCGTAGGCGCTGCTTGTTGGTCGGCAGCTCGTCGACGTCCATGGCGTCCGGATCGGCCGTACCTGCGCGGCTGCGTGTGACAGACCGTCCGCGCGTCGGCTGCACGACCTGCGACCGCGCCCGCAGGCCGATAGCCTCGGTGTCGACGCCAAGCTGGTCGAGATGGTCTTCCAGCTGGGAGAAGGGCTTCTTCTGGTTCTTGCGTGGTATTATGGCGCGATTCTTGAGCGACTTGCGCATCTTGGCCTCGTTGCGGATCAGCTTGTGCTTCTCGCGAATGTACTCGGCCTTCTGCAGCACTTCCTCCTCGGATTCGTCGCCAATGTCGGAATCTGACTCGTAGAAGCCCTCTTTTTCCAGCCGCTCTTCCTCCTCCTCAAGAGCTGCGAGCTTAGCGTCGATATCCGGATCGACATAATCGTAGACGTTCTTGCCGTCGTAGATTTCGGGGATCTTGTCGTACTTCCACGACGGGTCTGCCAGGATGTAGTCTTTCCTGAGATCGACGTTGAACACACCAGCGCCACCGTTGGCCTCCTCGACATCTCTCGCCAAAATCCTCCTCTCGGGGTCGCTCTTGTCGTATTTCTTCTGGTTCTTGACGGCTTCCGGGATAAATGTCTCCCTTGTGACACCGTCCATCGGCTGGGCGACGTGAATCCGAGCCATGACCTCGGTAAGGCGGGAACCAAGGGCGCCATTGCTTGCGGTACCCGCCTTGAGCTTCTGTGATACCCGCTCGGCAAGTAGCCGCTCGCAGACGTGGTTCTTCACATCCTGCACACCATCCTGCGTGGCACAAGAAGCGCGCAGCAGTTCCACATCGCCCGACTTTGTCAGATCCTGCAGCTCAGCCTGCATCTCCGGCTCCAAATCCTCGAAGGCCTTGATATCCATCTTGTTCAACACGATGAAGACCATCTTGTTGGCGAAAAGCGGCTTGATGGACTTGAAGAGGTTGCACTGGGCTGGTAGGGAATAGCCACATTGCTCGCTGTGCGTTGTCAGAAACGGAATGTACAATGTGATATCGCAAGAGGCTATGACATACCTAATATCAATGAAGAAGAGGACTGCAGCTCTGAGGTGAGCCAAAGCCGTGACACTCTGCATTTCGATCGTATTCATCTCTTCTAGCGGGTGATCGAGACTGTTCAAGTTAGCTTCGACGTAAGGATAGCGCCGCGGTAAAGCAATTTTGGGTTCTGCTTGAGTCGTGGCGTCGGAACGCGGAGCGAGATTTAGACGTACATTCCCGGCGTGTCTATTACTTGATATCGGAGGTCTGCAGTCAAAGGGTTAGCTATACCGACCGAAGGCGGGTTTCTCCCTTTCGAAAGACGTACATTTGTAGTCGAGATGACCGACAAACTAGTTACCCGCCTGTTGTCAGCAAATCCGTCAACAAATGTAGCTCGAGGGACTTTAACGTACCAAACTCTTCGTTGTCTACTCCATTGTTAGTAACCGGCCGGAAACCACGTGCGGTGCATATGACTTACGAAAGCATAAGGCTCGACCGGCGTATCAGCTCGAGTAACTGAGCGGACGAAGGAGCTCTTTCCGACGTTCGGGAAGCCAGCGACAAGCAGAGTCCGCGTGGTCGGGTTGATGTCGGGTAACCTAGCCAAGTGCTGGCGAACCTGGTCGAGGTACTGAAGGGGGTCTTTTAAACGCTTGATGAGAGTGGCCATACGACCCAGGGCGGCCCTCTTGAGCTGCTTGCACTGGTACAAACTTTGCGCATACTGAACTGCGTATTAGCGCCTTGCTCCACGGGAATTTGAAAAGCTCGAAGCGTCGCGGTATACCTTCAGTAGGCGGACATAATCTCGGCAGATAGTCTCGATTAGGTGCTTCGCCGTCGAGACTTGCCCAAGGGCCACCTTAAAATGATCGGCATCTGGCCCAGGTCATTAGTGTCAACTTCGTAGCCCCTTACTGCTGGATATCTCCCAAAGCCCAGCAAGGCTTACCATATAGGATGTTCATCAAGTCGCGGTGGAAGGGATGCTGATCTGTGAGGACCGGAAAGCTCGAGACGATCGCGCCAAACTTTTCGCTGCATGTTTCCTGCGTAAACCTGAATCGCCGTCAGCTCGTGCTTCCGTTTGGGGAGAGCATCGCCGTCATGGTCGCCGGGAAGTACGGGTTTATGATCAGGTGGCTGCTGGACTCGACGGGAGGGAGTACTGACTTGACCTTGCGGGTGTAGAAAGCTCGGATTCTGCTAACTGTTTGTGTCGAGGTCAGCGACCGGCTCTAAGCCAAAGCAACTTCTTTCCCAGTGGAACAACATACTCTTGAATCCAGCACGGACTTGAATGGTGTCGCGTGTCAGCCAGTATCTCACCACATTGTTGCGGTCGCAAACATACTCTGAGTCGGCAACCGCCTCTGCGTCCGCCTGCAATGCTGTCAGCTTGCATTGCCATTGCGATGCCGACGGATTGTCTACTTACGATAGGACGATGTCAATGAATTCCTGCGCCCTGTAACAACTGTCAGTATTGTCGCAAGCATGACCCAATGCATGGCATATCTGATCCTTACGTCGGCACAGGCGCGATATCCTTCCAGGTCATGGCGGGCAGCTGGGCTGTGTGCTGCCGGAACTGGCGAGCGACGTTTTGGAGTTGACGGGTTATGTTATACAGGGAGCAACCGGCGGGGCGGTGTCGATTTGCCGTCCTCTCAAGTTCCCCGAAATAATTTTTCGCTAGCCGCACATTTCGAGCTTGTCGATAAGATAAGGAAAGCGGTGAGCCATAGTACTCCGTATCAGAAATCGGAGATTCCGCCCAAACTTCTGGGGCATGTGGGGCTGATCTAAACAACACCCCACCATAACAAGACCCCGCCATGAAATTCACGATGGAGGGGGAAATGGCGCCCCGAAGCCGGCCGTGGGAGGCGGTCAACAACAAAAATACCTGACTTGGATCTTTCCTTTTACCTCAAAGAACCAGTCACTGAAGATGGCCTCCCTCGCGCCTTACAAAGCCGATTTTCTCCGCGCCGCCGTCAAAGGCGGCGTTCTGAAATTCGGCAGCTTCGAGCTTAAGTCGAAGCGCATCTCGCCCTACTTCTTCAACGCGGGCGACTTCTACCGGGCCGACCTGCTCGAGTCGATCGCGACCGCCTACGCCAAGACCATCATTGCAGCCCACAGCTCGGGCGCCCTAGAATTCGACGTCGTCTTCGGCCCCGCCTACAAGGGCATCCCGCTCGCGACGGCAACAACCATCAAGCTGGGCCAGCTGGACGCGGCGACGTACGGCAGCATGTGTTACTCGTTCGACCGCAAGGAGGCCAAGGACCACGGCGAGGGCGGCAACATTGTCGGTGCTCCGCTCAAGGGGAAGCGGGTGCTCATTGTGGACGACGTGATTACGGCTGGCACGGCCAAGCGGGAGGCGATTGCCAAGATTGAAAAGGAGGGTGGTGTGGTGGCCGGCATTGTTGTTGCTCTTGATCGCATGGAGAAGCTGCCTTCGCCGGATGGGGATGATAGCAAGCCGATGCCGAGCGCCATCGGGGAGTTGAGGAAGGAGTATGGTCTGCCCATCTTCGCTATCCTCACGTTGGACGACATCATTGAGGGTGTGAAAGGGCTCGCCTCGGAGGAGGATATCAGGAAGACGGAAGAGTATCGAGCCAAGTACAAGGCGAGTGATTGAAACAAACAATAAACTGAAGTGACGTATTTATGAGCGACCGCTACGGGTGTTCAACGCTTCAGGGGCTACGGCGGCTTCTACCCTGGATCAGGGAATGCAGCGCAAAGTAGCGGAACGCTACCTTCCCTAGCAAGTACAGTACATCCTCTGTTCGGCAGAGGGCTTGACAGAACCGTAACAAAGAGCCGAAAGGAAGATGAGGCCAACAAATCTCTTTCCGACTCCATAATACCACTTCTCAGTCGTCCAAATCTGCTTCAACCCATCCAGTCTCGACCGAGCGGGTGAACCGAATGACTCACTTGCTTTGAGTGGTATCCGGTGATTCCTTCGATGGCCCGAGTCGATGGCTTGAGGAACGTGCCTCGCTGCTCTTGACCATCATCTCGGCTAACATCTCCGCCGTCTTCTCAAAGGCCCCCTCCGCCATCCTCTCAGCTTGGGAGAGCGGACCCCCTGTTGAACCCCTGTTATGTTTCAGGGAGGTCAATGTGGTGATGTCAAATCGTGCGAGTGAACCCTCCAAGCCCGCGCCGACAAGGGACGGAATCCTTTTAGCTAACTTGCGCCATCGTCCCTTTGGTCGTGATTTGCGCGCTTTCTAAGCTGCCGATTTGTTTGGCGGTGGAATATCGTAAACCTGAAGTACTTGATCAGACGCAATTCCACAACACAACAAGGCTATGAGGGGATGCTTACCATGTCGTTCCAACCACCGCCTCCGAATTGCGCTTTGCTCTCCCCGAGATTCTTGAAGCCGAGTCGTTCGTAGTACGAGACGAGATGCTGCAAGCTCAGTTAACGGGTCCATCTCTCTCATACTGTCCGGGATACTCACGTCTTGGCATATCAGGGCGACCCTGTTTACCACACCGTAACCCCTCATCTGATCCAGATATGCCTTCATGATCATCTGACCAAGACCACTGCGGTGCAGGCGTGGAAGCACAGCCAGCGAATGCAGGCCGACCGTGGTTCCACTCTCTTGGTGCCCAACCTCGGCCGCCCGAGACTTTTGGTTGCGCCAGTCCTTGGGGTAGTCCATGTCAGAATCGGTGACGATGTCCCCTCGGCACCGTGACGATACGATATGAGCGAGCAGCATGCTCACAGCACCATCAGCCCGGCCGGTTTCGACGGGCTTCGCGTGGGGAAGGGTTTCAATGCCTAGGTCGTTGGCTTGCTCCGGAATCACAGTGAGGAAGATCCCCAGACTGAGTTCGGGGCAAACGGTGAGGCGATACTCAAGCTGGATAATGGGGAAGGGTTACGTTAGTGCTTATGGCCTGATAGATACATGATGCTGGCTGTGAGGATGAATGTACCTTCTCGGGTGAGGCGCGGTGCGCCGGATTGGAGAAACACGCGTTCTCCAACGCAATACAAGAGTCGACATCGGAGACGGTTAAGGGCCTGATGAATGGAACGAACTCGGTAATGAAAGGAAGCGCCTCCCGAAGTCGGGTTTCAGGGCTATCCTTGGCAGCCCGTCTCTTTTGGCTCAACATCTTCTGAAGCTCAGCAAAGTCGCCGTCGACGTCCGACGACTCATCCACTGCTTGGTCGTGTTCCCGAGAAGGACTAGTGCGAGGACTCAAATCTTTTGATCCTTCTTCTTGGGAGCTTGCCATATCCGCATCAGATTCTGAAGCTGATTAGGACTGACTGTACCGGCGCCGTCAAGGAAGTTCTGTGCCACGCTCCCTCTTCAATTGAATGTGTTGCCAGAGCAGGGCACCGAATGGGTTCAAGGAGGAAAAAAAATAAGTGGCTGTTCACTGAAATTTGAATGGTGTATGGCACCAGGTGTGGCCGGGCAGTTCGGTTGAGGTCCGCAGCGTCTGGTTCCAGGATGGTGCGCGGAGACTGACAGGAGCGAGGTGATAGGCCGCCTTGCTCCCAGTATTCTCTATCACGAAACCGTGGTTGATAGAGCAAAGATAATTCGCTGTTCGATAGCCTCGTCGTGGAGTACGCCTTGTAGAGTCTGTGATTGCTGGCTTAAGGCGTTTGTTGCTGGTTCCTTAGGTCCGCTGAGTTTGTTCAATATGGTCGATACGTTGGTAAGGGGCAGCTTGAGAAATTCGGCATGCGTGAGACCACAGAACTGAAGATATCAAATCCAATAATGACTAACAGTATGGGTCTGGCTCACGGTTCATACTTGGTGCTGGGTTGAAGACGGAATACTACAATATGCATCGGAGCAAGCAGAGCCGCACCCCAAGCCGCGACCCTATCAACTTCTGGGCAGCTGCTGTTAGGCGTTAGTGGGTACAGCACGCCTGTTTGAATGAGGCAAGAAAGACTGTGAATGCACGAACAGGCCCACTGTCGTGTGCTAACATTTATTAACTCAGGAGGGGGGTGGACTGTGCTTAGTCGTGTTGCCATTCAAACGGAAGCACCAGGTTCGCGGGGTAATACGGAGTAAGCCATTGCTCTTCCTGACGTCACTCACAAGAAGCTCCGGACCCGGGCCATCTATTGTGGGTTCGCGTCATCAGCCCCGAACAGCACAAGAGTCAAAGGTAGGGCAGAAATGCCTTTGCTAGAGCAGATCTGCGCCAGAAGAGCAACGAAAATATTCGTATGTTCCCCGACAGTTTAGGCAAGAGCTGGAGATCAACCTAAGATCAGATCACAAATAGTTGTTAAGGCTCAACGGAGAAGGCTGAAGCACCGTCCCGCCCAATGCCGGGCAAGAGTATGGAGCCGAGCTGGGACGACAGAAGGTGGGCACGTTTGCGATGATGGACGCGAAAATTGCCTTCATCCACAATGGGCTCAGGTGCGTAAAGAGAGAGCTGCAGTTGTCTCACCTGTTAATATCGCGTGCAGCCTCTGACTTGCCTAGCTGCAGTGCAAGCTGCTGCACACTGCAGGTTGTTACTGCACCAAGCCGCTGCTGGGCAGCACACAGGTGCCCTTGCTCGGGAGAGACCGGTCAAGTTCCGGCCCGGTCATCGTCGAGACATCTCCGCTGAATGGAATGTCGAGAAGTTAACACTCTTCTCCCGGGACCTTGAGTCGTTTCATTTAATGTCCCTCTCTTCCTTTGTTCCTTCCTTCCCTCTGTTCTTTGTCCTTCTTTCCTCTTTTCCTCTTTTCCACTTTTCCTTTTTGCTGGTTTCTAGATCCGATTCTATTTGCCAGAGGTCGTTGTTAAGCTGTCAAGCTGTCGGGGTGAGGGAACTTGGCAGCATCTTCTTCTCAACCATAGGTGGCTACCCAGCGTCCGGTTGCCTGCGTCTACAATATGGGGTACAGTATGTGCCTAATAAATCTATGTGAATCTGATTCGGCGGCGAGGCACAGTACTCCCGTTTGTATTCGGGTACATTACGCAGCGTATCGCCATTCAGAAAAACGCCCCTTCGCATCAAGATGCAAGATGCCTAGGATAGGCATCTTTCGCGACTGCCCTGTCTACCGTGGCGTTGATTCGTCATTCACGGACTGCCTGCACATATTACCCCTGGCTTACACACCTCTTCGGCCGTCTTCCAGAGTGTTCTATCTCAAAAGATCCGGAAGGACATAAATACCTCGAGCTGAATGCAGGTGCACATTTGGGTTGGTGCTGCTGTTGAAATTCGAGTTGTTGGAGTGTGCAAACTGAACAGCATCCAAATCTGACCCGTTGTCAACATTGTACTGTACACCAAAGTGCCCCACATCCCGGCATCCCCGCGGTCTTGTAAGCTTTCAGCTTCAACTGCACTGGACGAGCAAGAAATATTACACTAGGGTCCTGATCAGCGGTGGCCCAGGCCCAACCGAGCTCAGGTAGCAGCCCGCGGCGCTTGTCGGCCCCGCTGGCCATCTTCCACCGCGTCCGGAGCTGTTTCCATCTCTTCGGAGCCCCGCGTTCGTCAGACGTCACAAGGCCACACCATACAGTAGCAACTGCCTGCCCTACTCATCACTAGCCTCTGTTTGCGAAGGGACACGGTGAAGCGCCCCCTTTGCCTTTGTTCTTCTTCCTATTCACTCGTACCTGCCTCACCTCTGTCTGGGTCTAGTGAGACCCGACCGGCACGTTCCCTTGATCCTGAGTTCCGAAACCACAAAATGTAAGTTCGGCATGGGACTCCCGATGTAGGATTCATGCCGTCGCACGGAATACTTACCGGTCTCAGGCGTATTACACTTTCCATCACCAACTCGGAGCCCCAGAGCGATGAGCAGGACCTCCTCTCGCTCGAGGTCTACCCGGAGATGACAATAGAGACGCTACGCAGCTCCATACAAGCCGAAACAACACACCACCCTAGCGCTCAGCACCTCTACCACAATGGTCAGCTCCTAACCGACAACTCCAAGACTCTGGCGGAGCTAGGTGTGACGGACGGTGACATGCTCGCGCTCCATGTCCGCGACATGCGGGGCAACACGGCCGTTCCGGCGGCAGGGAGGCAGCAGGCCGCCCAAGGCGGGCCACGTAGCGCCCAGCGACCGCCCGCCGAACAAGACCCAGAAGTGATCCGGCTGCAGATTCTCGGCGATCCGAACCTCCGGGGCGAGCTGGCCCGGTCGAGGCCGGACCTGGTGGCTTCGCTCGAAGACCCGCAGGCGTTCGCGCGTCTGTTTGCGGACAGCCTCAACAGGGAGCGGAGGGAGCGTGAAGAACGCCATCGCCAGATCCAGATGCTCAATGCCGACCCGTTTGACCCGGAAGCGCAGGCCAAGATATTGGAGATCATCCGCCAGGATCAGGTCATGGAGAACCTGCAGAACGCTATGGAGCACAATCCCGAAGGTAACACCGCAACCTGACACAGCGTCGCTTGTCTGGAGCATGTGCTAACCGTATCCCCGCCCCAGTTTTCGGCACCGTGCACATGCTCTATCTTGAAGTCGAGGTTAACGGGTACAAGATGAAGGCGCTGGTGGACTCGGGCGCGCAAGCAACCATCATGAGCCCGCAGTGCGCCGAGGCCTGCGGCATCATGCGCCTGGTCGACAGGCGCTTCGCCGGTGTCGCACGGGGTGTCGGCACCGCCAACATCATCGGCCGCGTGCACTCGGCGCAGATGAAGATTGGCCCGCTCTTCCTGCCGTGCAGCTTCACGGTCATGGAGGGCAAGCAGGTGGAGTTGCTCCTGGGCCTCGACATGCTGAAGCGCCATCAAGCCTGCATCGATCTCGCCAAAGACAAGCTGGTCATCCAGGGCATCGAGGTGCCATTCCTTGGTCCGGCCGACATTCCGAAGGACAGCGAAGCCGCGATTCAGGAGGAGCCGACCGTGCCAGGTCCCGCCGGGACCACCATCGGACAGCGCTCCGGCGCAGTGCATGCACCGGGAGTGGCACCAGCGCAACCCCCTCAGGCCCGAGCCGGCCCAAGCACGCAGCAGAGGGCTCCAGCTCCGCCAGGACCGAATTTCCCAAGAGAACACATCGAACAGCTCATGGCGCTCGGGGCATCCGAGCAGAGAGCAATCCAGGCACTTGAGGCAACTGGCGGGAATGTCGAGTATGCTGCCAGCTTGATCTTCCAGGATTGATCGGCGGACACTTTTGCTTTCCCAGAGTGGTTTGGGACAATGTTTAACGGGTTGCGATTTTTGGGCGGAAAGGGGGATATAAAGGGTTCTAGGCGCAAAAAGAGGCTTCTGCATGGCATGCTGGACCATATGTCAAACAAACAAACTTGGCTGTTGCTGGGAGCTCTGGGCACAAAAGAGCGGATGGATCATGGAACCAGTATGCAGGGCGGTCCCTTTTTAAGGAAGCATCATGCGAAACTGGGAACAGCGCATGGGGCTTAGAGCTGGCCGTCATTTCTTTTTGTTCCCATGTTGATCCGTCGTGATCCTACCGTCCAACGTCCCTGATCTTTGAGCCGCGACAAAGCAGATACTTCTGAAAGATTACCGTATCTTATACACACAAGGCTTCAGCACCGCGGCCTCATTAACCGCCTCATCCTCGTCATCACCGATGAACTTCTTCTTCGGTCCTCCCTGATCCCTCTTCCCCTTCCAACCATGCCGCTGACTCTGATCTTGACCCTGTTCTTTATCCTCAACGGCGCACTTCCCCTTCACAGCGGGCGCCGCTTTGACAAAGTGCATACGCACAAACATCTTGTTGCGCATGTCCACCGCGTTCTCCCCCAGGTCCCGATTCAGCAGGAAGCCCCTCTTGCGCAACGCCTCCAGAAAGGCTGAGATGTCCGTTTCCTGCTGCTGCTTTGCGACACCGTCGACCTGCACCGCCAACTCCGCTGCGAGCTCCGCCTCGTCCTCCTCGTCTGCCCTTTTGCCCTTAGAGGCTGCTGCCCCTTTCTTGCGGTTGCCGACGCTGTGGGCTACCACTCCGCTTTTCTTCTTGGTGCTGAGCGCCGGGTTCGTGAACCGGCTCTTGATCTCGGCCACCCAGAGCTCCCCTCTCCAGCGCAACACGCGGTAGGCTTCCTCGACGAAGTCGATCCAGTTGGTGCCCATAAGCGCGAGGCAGAAGATGGCCACGTCGACGGAGCCGTCGGGCAGCGGGAGGTTGGCGATGTCGGCGCGCGTGACCAGCGGGGAGCCGCCAGTCTGCAAGTCGAAGCTGCGGATGTCGAGTTTCAGTTTGGATTGGAGCGGCTGCAGCGCGGTCGCGAGCTTGGCGTCGCCACAGCCTAGGTCGGCGATGGTGCAGGTCTTGGAGCCGGGGGCCTTGGGTAGCGGGAGCTGCGACGGGGCGGGCGCCTGGTCGCGGTTGCGTGGTGGGAAGCGCACCTTGGCGCGGCTCTTGATGTCGGCGATGTACCCGTCTACGGGGTTCTCGGGCCAAACGTCCACTTGTCGGCGGAAGCCCTCGTGGTATTCGGTGAACATCTCGGGCGATTCCAGGAAGAGCTGGTAGGCTTCGGTCGACGGACGGGTGTAGAGAGTCTCGTTGAGGTGACGGAAGCGGGCAGAGATGAGCTTCTCGCGCATGGAGGCTTGGAGGGGTGTGAGTTTGGCCGGAGCTGGCGCGGGAGGTGCTGGTGGAGGTGCCGTCTCAGCCGTACGTGCCTTGTCCGTGGACCGTTGATGTTGTCCTTGCCGCTTGGCATCATCTCCTGTGCGTTTCGTCTTCTTGTTCTTCTCCTCGGCCCTCTCGTTCACGACGGCCTGGGCAGCCTCCGGAGCATCTTCAACTTCTTCCTCATCGTCGATGCCGTTCCATTCATCCTTCTCGGCAGGCTCAGAGACGGCGGCTAAGGAAGCTTGCTCTTGCTTTCTCTTCTCCTTCTTTCTCTGTTTCTTCTCAAACTTGTCACTGGCCTGCTTCTGCTGCCCTTCGCTCCCCAATTGGGCAGAGCTGGCCGTGCCTACTGCTGCACTCGCCGGGGCTCTAGACTCGTGCTCCCTCTTTTGGCGTTTGTGGTCCTTCTTCGACTGGGCCTGGTCCGCCGGTGCAGATGGTTTCTTGTGTTCAATGACCTTCTCCCACAGATCTGCGAAATTCGCAGCTGTCACGTTCTCTGTGTTCCCTTGTCTCTTTCGCTTCCTTGAAGGCTTCGGCGCCGAAGCGGTAGTTGCGCGTTCCGTCTCAACCTTTAGTTTCTCGGCCGAGATACTGAGGCCCTTCACTGGAAACATTGCGATGGTTGCTGGTTGCCGCCAGAGTATCACAACACCGTTGTTTTTGTTGTTGTTGTTGTACTGTTATGCGGTGTCAAAGCTCAGGTTCGTCGCAGGTTGCATCAAGTCTCGACACAAAAAAATGAGCGGGGCACCTTGTCTGGCCTTATCGGGCCCCTGCCTTAACTACGGTATTTGGAGGGCTTCTCGGGAGGTGTTCCGGGCCCGGGACGCGGAGAGCTCACAGCGAACATTAGCTCTACATATCCAATACTATTGTGCGTGTGCTATACGGCGTGTGGTACAGTATTCTGCGGTGGGAATCAAGAGAATGTCTAATACGAACGCATGTTTATTAGCGATAGCTGCAGACATCGATAGGTAGAGAAGATTTTGATCTACGTAGGTGCATGGAGGCTCCATGCCCAGATTCTGGTGTTTCCCCGGGCCATTGGGCTCGTCCAGAGTCAGATTTCGGCACAGGAACAGTACGGAATACGTACCTTATTTGTTTACTAATACTACTAGTAGTCTACATCACTCCATGCCTCAAGCAAGAGACTTTGTACCTTAGGTTCTTCTCTCGAAAACTGCCTTCGACATGCACAAGGCAGCCTTTCGCGGCTTTAATTCCGCCCTCAACCACGATGTAACTTCTAGATGGCTTCGATGCATGATGTCCCGCTGCCGTGCCATACAGCAGCAGCACCACACCTGCATATTGTGACTCTGTCTTTACGCACCTAACGTTGGTCCGGCTTCACGAAACAACGCGCAGTTTCTCATACTCCAAATCAGCAAGGTTGTGCCAGGAAGAGATGGGATCCTCATAGACCTTGGTTAGCTTTCTTATAAGTGAGTACGCTCTCTTCGTGCAACGCATGCCGCCTTGTCCGAATCCATTTCAATTGCACCGCATTTAGTAGTATCATCCGTACTAGTGTCCCGTCGGCTTCATCGCGGACCTCCCGCTGAGGGCACAAGCTGATGACAAGCCACGGGTTGCATTCGGTCGCCGTGCCGCCCGACGGCAGCATTGGAAGACATCTCGAAGTCGGCTCTGGAGCACCCCGAGTGGACTAAATTATAAGGTAGGTACTAGTACTTAGGTAGGTTGTCTGCCGTTGCGGCTGTCGCTCGACGGGCAGACCGAGGCGGGAGGGGCCATCCGAGAGTGGGGTGGGGTTCAGCTCGCTCCCCGCACAGCTCCCCGCCCTGCTGCACATCACTGCAGTGGCGGACAGCCAGAGCACGCGGACAGGTTCCAGTTGCAACCCACACCTCACACACCCTGCGGGAGCACGGCGAAGTTCTAGCCCCTGAAGGCTTTTGGACGATTTTCCACACGGCGCCGTTCTCCTGCTTAGGCCCAACGCTCGATGCTGCGTTGCTTGGGTCGTCCATCCAGCAATACGACCTCGCCGTGGCAAGCGACAGTCTAAAACTGTTTAGCTCTGCCGCTGGCTGTAGACTGCCGATCTGTCCTCACACACGACGGAATCTCCCACGATCGACAGTGATCCATGCATGACGGGAGTTCGTTCAACACCGCCACGCCTCGACATCCGCACAATCACCATCCCTTTAGGCCGGGAGACTTCTCTTTTGGTCGGGCTATTGTATACAACGACGGGGATCCTGAAGCAGCCATTGACAGCCCCCTTGGTATTTTCTCGCCTTCATGAAGATTATTTATACGTCTTATATCGCCCGACTACCCTGCCTGAACCGGTCTAGCAGCTCTAGCTAGCTTGTGCTGTTGCTGCTGTCTTGCTGCACCCTCCTTTCAGACTCTCGAAGCTGTCACTCGCCCAAGTTCCGAGGGGACTCGTTGGCCGTGAGCATTTATCCTGTCACACAAGACCAGTCTCACTCTTGGTCATCGACGACAAGGTGTCTCACGAACAGAGCGCACTGGATCCGCCCCCTCCTCTCCACCTCCCGGTCCGGCACACCACTGGCGCTGTTATTCACCCGTAGCCCTTCTAGCCTACTGGTGACATCGGGTTGCGCCACACCGGAAGGAGCCGTCACCGAGAGCCTTTCACCATATCCTCCGCTGCTGGCTCTCATATGCTCATGTAAAGGCCGCCTCGTGGCGCCCTTTGGTTCAGCGTCGACGGAAGCACTTAATTCTTCCCCCATTTTTCCAAGACAGATTCTTCGACAGATAATCTTGTAACCATTTGTAGCTCGCCGTCATGGCTTCGGTCGAGTCTCCACCAAATACTGGCTCTGTTGAAGAGCCGGGGCCCGCTGGGTCTCCCCCTTCGGCACCTTCTGGCAGCAAAGGAGACGAACCGCAGCCACCACCTGCGCCGCCCAAGAGAGCAAAGGTGATGAGGAGGACGAAGACCGGGTGTCTCAGTGAGTTTCTTCGGTCCATATGTGTTCTTCCCCGGTCGGACCACTTATGTTAACGCTACTTGTGCCTTAGCCTGCCGGAGGCGGCGAATCAAGTGTGATGAAGGCAAGCCGACGTGCAACAATTGCATCAAGTCCAAGAGAGAATGCGACGGGTACAGCAAGCGGCTCACTTTCAAGGAGCCATTAAGCTCGTTCCCTTCCGGCTCCTTTTCACATCCTACTTATCAGCGGCAAATCCAACAAGAGCTCATCAACGCCCAGATCGCCGCGGCGCAAACCAAAGCGGCGTCGTCACAGGCACCGCTCCCCGTCATCGCCCCCAAACCTCCGCCGGCAGACTTCTCCGGCGCCGGGCCGATACACTTCGGACAAGTGTATGGCGGCAGCGTTAACCCTTCGGCCAGCGGAGCGCCCGCCTTCAACTTACCACAGCAGCTGCCAAGTCCCCCGCTCCTCGGCTCAGACCCTGGCCCGTTCCCTGATCCTCCTCCGCTTGTACCGGTGCATGCGGAGCCATCCAACCATCCGACCTTCTCGGGAGCCCCTTCCGGGTTCCAGGAGCTCCCGCACGATCCCAGCTCAGTTGGTGTCCCACCTGCGTTCATCAGCGGACATCACGTACCCCTCTCGACCACCAATCATTCGCTGGTTTACCCTGAGAGCGGCGACGTCACGCTGGATCGATCGGCCCATGCGGATAATGGTGGCTGTGATGGCTATGTTGGCTATTGGGACTCGGATGATGAAGCGTCCATGGCCGAATCGGACGACGACGCGGTCACGAAGCATCATCTCGTCCATCTCGAAGCGAATGACCTCGGTATCCAGGTAGCGAGGCGCCTAGAACCACATCACGATGTATACGGGGTGCGTATCAGGTCGTTCGCCGGCTTGGCCGACCAGAACATCCTCGACACGTACTACCCATCCTCCTCCAACTCGCCTCTGAACGACTCCCAAACGGCGGCCGTCTTCTGGTACTTTGTCAACGTCACGGGCAAGAGCATGTCCCTGTACGAGAGGCACCCGTTCGATCCCACGCCGCTGTTCGAAGGCCAGCCCGTTCCCAAGCAGCGCCGGCACATATGGACCTGTTCGTGCCACAGCCCACACTTAGTTGCATCATGAAGGTGCTAATGCTCTGTAACCAGACACCTTCCCCATCATGGCTTTTAATCATCCGGCCCTGATGCAGGCGATGCTTGCCTTGGGCAGCTTGCAGATGGCCAAGCTCCAGGGGCTGCCGCCCACGGCGGCCATGAAGCATTACCATCTGAGCTTGCGAAGGATCGCAAAGAACTACCAGAGCGTCAACCGGCGTACGCAACCGGCGACTCTGGCCGCCACGCTGTTGCTCGGCTTCTACGAGGTGTGGAACTCGGATCACGACAAATGGTGCAAACACATGTGGGGAGCCCGCGCCGTGATCAAGGATATCCCGTTCGCCCAGATGACGCGGGAAGTGCTTGCGTATCGCCAGCGGCAAAAGGAGCTGGAGGTGCTGGCCCACCAGTGCAACGACTTCTGCTTCGCCTCGCACGGAGACCTCAGCCGCCAAAACCCGGATGCGGTCGACACGGAGCTGCTTTACCAGATCACTGGCCAGAGGGTCGACTACAGCACCGGCCGGCCGGCCCGCCTCACGGAACGCGACGTTGAGACATACGACCAGTTGCGAGACCTCTATTGGTGGTATTGCAAGATGGACGTCTACCAGAGTTTTCTTGGTGGCACTCGGCTTCAGTACGTGGCGTGCGGTCCCGACTTATGCAAGGAAGCTTGTGCTGACAGACGCTTAGGATGGAATACCAGCAGTGGACGCAGTGCGTGCCGCGGGGCCAATGCGGCAAGATAGATTCGATGTAAGTTGTGAGACTCCGCAGAAGGTCCTTTTGACACCTCACTCATTCCAGTCGCACAGTTATGGCACTTTCGACCATCTTATGCTGCTGCTAGGAAGGCTAGCCAACTTCTCGTCGAAGGATCTGGCCCGGAAACGCAGGGCAAGGAAAGCTCAAGCTCCCCCGCCTGGTCAAGGGCCACCTGGTCAGGGCCACGGACAGGGAGGAGGGCCAGGACAGCAACAACAGCCACAACAACAAGGACCGGGAATGGGTCGGGGACAGTCGCCCGGACCCTCGTTCCCAGGCCTGATGCCAACCTCGGGCCGTGTCACCGTGCCGAGGGGCTTTAGCCCGCCGCGAGACGTGCCATCGCCGTCCAGTGACTCGGGCGAAGAAGTGGACTTTGATGCGTCCACTGCGAAGGCAATGCAGGAGTGGGAGGAGATCCGACAGGCCTTTGACGTGTTCCGGTCCCGTCTGGGCCCGGACTTTGAGCCCATGGGACCGGATTTCGCGCAGCCCGAGATGACGCCCTTCGGCGCGGCCCTGATGTACCGCACCTACAGCATCGCGGGCATCTGGATGAACTACTACATGGGCCTCGTCGTCCTGCATCGGGCCCACCCTTCGATGCCGCCCGTCGCCGTGGTGGCCGCGGGCATGGCGGCGCAGCAGACGGGCAGATGGGCGAACGAGATCGCTCGCATCGCCGCCGGCCTGCACGAGGACACCACGCACGTGGCCGCCATTAGCACGCTGGTCGGCGCCGCCTTCATTGAGAGCTGCTTCCCGCTGTTTGTGGCCGGCGTCCAGGTATGCCGACTCTTATCCCACCACACCTTCCCCCTTTTCTTCCCCGGATCCTTTCTTTCCCTCGCCTGCCTTACTAACCCTACCCCCCCCACCTAAAACTTCACAGTTCCGCGACATCCAACAACGACACTGGACCGTCCGGCGGCTGCGCGACATCGCCCGCCTCACGGGCTGGCAGTCAGCCCGGCAAATCGCCGAGGGCTGCGAGTCCGGGTGGAACAAGGCCGCCGAGATGGGGCGCGGGCCCCCCTATTACAGCCCTCCCGAGCTGGGCCCGCTGTTCCAATCGGAGTCGGTGTGGAACCGGCCGCGGCGCATCGATCTCCGCATCCAGGAGCTCGAGGCCCAGGTCGTCGGCGAGAACCGGCTTGTGTTGGCGCAGTCCGAGCAGGCGCACTATGCGCTGGGTCTGTTGAGTGTCGAGCAGGACTTGGAGACGTTGCAGATTGATGATGATGCAGAAGGGGAGCAGAGCCAGGAACCGGCGGGTGTACTTGGGTAGGGGCAATGTCCATTGCTTGTATTGGAACTGGCACCTCAGTTGATGATATCCCGTGCCTTTTCTTGGGTTCGATTTTCAGGGTCTTGGAGTAGGGTTCTGGTCTGGAAGACACATCGTCATCTTGAATCAAATAAGGATGACCGCAAGCGACGCTTGTTCAACTTTGGTTGTCTATTGCCTCAGCTGCTCCACATCATCACTCTGCCGTGTAGAATGCAGATTGAACCAGGGTGCTAAACCCCATTTCGTTGTCGTGTTTTCCTACATACACTCCTTCTCCCCGCCAATCACCCGAGTGTCTAATTGGCCGGCAGCCTCTCTACAACGGCGGCCATCTCCTCGTCCGTGTATATTCTGAAGCCGCGGTCCTTGGTAACGCTGGCCAATTGCACATTCTTGGAATCGAGCTTCTCCTCCATGACCTGCTTGAGGGTCTTGAGCACGAGCGTTTCGGCGTCGGCGATGGTGAGGGACTGGATAGGAGGGGTAGTAGGCGAGTTAGCACGAGGACCTCATACATAGCCTGGAATCGAGACAAGAGGAAAAAAAGAAAAGTGGGCTGTGCCTCACCTTGTGATACTCGTTCTGCAGCTCGGCCTGGGCGCCCTCGCTCCCGCTCCCGATCGCCTTGGCATCATAACGGTAAAACGTCCCCGACGGCTCGGCATGGTACAGCGACGGCCCGTCCTCGTCGTAGCCGGCGATCAGCAGCGCCACGCCGAAGGGGCGGCTCATGATGCTCTCCTCGCCGTCGGCCGACTCGCCGAACCGCAGCGCCAGGTCGCAGATGGCCTGCGTGCAGCTCTCGACGCGCAGCTTCTCGTTGTAGTTGAAGGCGTGCGACTGGCACTCGACGCGGGCGTGCTCCACCATCGACCGCGCGTCGGCCTGCAAGCCCGACATGGCGCACCCGATGTGCCGGTCGATCTCGACGATCTTCTCGACCGACGACGTCTCGAGCAGCGGCGACGTCACCCGCTTCTCCACGCCCAGGATCACGCCTTCTGACGTCGCCACGCCGATGGCCGTCGAGCCGAGCTTGATTGCTTCGAGCGAGTACTCGACTTGGAAGAGGCGCCCTTCGGGGGAGAAGGTGCTGCAAGGTTGTTCAGTTAGTTTTAGGTCGTATGTCTCGCAAAAGTGAGGGGGCAGTGGCGATCTCTCCTGTGGTGAGGGGGGGGGCTGCGGAAGGGAGGAGAGAGGTGGTAGCCTACTTGATGCCCCGGTCTGGACAATGCAAGTGTTAGCTGTGTTCGTTTGCACACTGCGATGCGATGCAACAAAAGAGCTTCCCCGCCAGACTTACCATATTCTGATCTTGCCATAAACATCTTGACGGTGTTGTGGGGTGACGAGTTATCTACTGTCTTATACCAGGAATGCGCTTCGGCGGCTTGGTGTCAGGGTAAATCGGCAAGATCACAGTGTCGCGGGGCAGTTGACGGGGAGGTCTGGAATGGTGGAGGTGAGGCTGGCTTGCATCAGCAGCTGAAGCTCCAGGCACGAAGGGCTACGAAGCTCGCGTCTCCACGGCCCGACAGGCGACCAACGAACGGACCTTGTAGCGCCCCCTGTCGGTGCTTTCCTGCTCACCCCACATTCCCAGAGCACGCTAGTCCGGAAGAAGCAAAGCGTCCGCCGTCAACTGTCGCGCTCCCTTCGATCGCGCCTTTTGTTGGGCTGGAAGCTCCCGCGTCTTAATTGCTGTTAACCACTTTCAACATCCGAATTCCGGGGGATCCAACGACGGCGCATTTCCAACAATAGCGACGCCGCAACACATGCCCCTGAGCGCGACAAGGGCTGGGCTTCACCAATGTAGACAGCGACAACAATGTCCTCGGCCGCCAGACCGTCTTCATACGCCGAAAAGCGAAGCAGTGGTGTCGCAGGCTTGGGAGACCGGGGCTCCACGGGCTCGGGAGGCTCTGCCTCGTCGCGGCCCCGCATGTCGGACGGCCGCTATGCCGACTCGGCGCACAAGCGGTCCGCCTCGGGCTATCCGAACCCGCGCTCGACGAGCAGCTCCTTTGAGGAGCGCCGCACAGAGAAGGTGCAGGTGACCACGAGGGAAACCTTCATAAACCGGACGAGGAGCCCGCCGCGCCGCAGCGCAGCCGGCGAGAAGAGCAGGACCGCCGATGGACCCAAGAGGCGAGGCTCGGAGCCGAGGCCAAGGGAAGCCCGGCAAGAGACGCCTGTCCCAGGTATGCTCGGGTGTCGCCCAAAGCGCATCAAGACGGCTTTTCGTGCTAAAACTAGAGAAACAAAGAGAAACCCCCGCCAGCGCCATGGGAACCTGAGGCGACACTGTTGCCACACACCACGGCACCCCTGGCATGCCGCATATCGATCCCTCCGCTTGCCTCTTCCGCGCCCCCGGCTCTGCATCCGAAATCCCTACACGAGCTCTCCCTAGCGGCTCAAGAAGCCGTCATCATCGAGGATCTACTCTTTGTGTTCATGGGGTTTGAGGGCCAGTACATTCGATATGCGAAGGGGTACAATCCCTTCGAGGAGCGGGACCGCCTGTCCGGCCCAGAGTATCGCATCTTACCCGGTCTCGACCCGAGCCTACACGACCTCACGCAGTCAATGCTTCGCATGGCCAGCCACTATACCGCCCTCCAGACCTTTGTCGATGTGCAGAGCCGCGACGAATTTGGCTCCGTCAACCACGCCTTGTGTGCCTCGATACGGAAACTCTTGCAGGATTACCTCGTCATGATCGCCCAGCTTGAGACACAATCCCTCACCGACGACTCGTTTACCCTGCATGTGCTGAACGTCCACGTATTGCCGACCAGCCATATGATGTCCCAGGTCTATGCGCTCGCACACGAGCTACTAAAGCGGAATGCGCTGTTGGATGACGAGACAGACGAGTCCAGCGACAGCAACGACGACTTCGACCATATCTTGGAGCAGCTGAGGGAAGGTGGCGAGCTAGTACCGGGGAATATGACAGGGAAGAAGATATGCAAGGGCGGAGTGGTACTCGGGGTGATCACTAAGAGGCTAGAGTCCATGTCGGGAGACCCAGCGGCCCGCGCGCTGCTTACGACCTTGTTGCGGGATGCAAGCCGACCGTACATGACCATGCTGAACGAGTGGCTTCACCACGGGGCCATCAACGACCCGCACTCGGAGTTCCTGATCAAAGAACAGCGCAGCATCCGTCGAGAGCGGTTGGAGCAAGACTACACCGACGAGTACTGGGAGCGGCGATATACGATCAGGGATCACGATGTCCCGCCCCAGCTCGAGGGTGTCAAGGATAAGGTCTTGTTGGCGGGCAAGTACCTGAACGTGGTTCGGGAGTGTGGGGGGGTCGACGTCAGTCTTCAGGTTAAGGATGTGCCGACTTCATTCGACGACAACCGGTTCCTTGACAACGTCAACAACGCCTACGCCCACGCCAATGAGTCGCTGATGCGGCTACTCCTGACGGCGCACGCGCTACCTGCGAGACTGAGGTCCTTGAAGCACTACTTCTTCTTAGATCCTTCCGACTATTTCTCGTACTTCCTTGAGTTGGGGACTTCCGAGCTGCGGAAACCGGTCAAGTCGGTCAACGTCGCCAAGCTGCAATCCTTGCTTGATCTCGTGCTCCGCCAACCCGGCAGCGTGGTGTCGCTGGATCCGTTCAAGGAGGATGTCAAGGTTGAGATGAACGAGATCACTCTGACCAAGTCGCTCCAACGCGTTGTCAACATCACCGGTATCGAGCAAGGAGAGGCTCCGCAATTGGCCACCAACCAGCCACTGGAAGGCGACAAGAACGCTAATGGCTTCACCTCGCTGCAACTCGATTACGCTGTCCCGTTCCCGGTGTCGCTCGTCATCAGCCGCAAAACCGTCTGGCGCTACCAGGCATTATTCCGCTACCTGCTCTCACTGCGCTATCTGGAATCACAGCTATCTACAACCTGGCAGACGCACACGCGCGGTTTCGTGTGGTCCTACAAGTCGTCGGCGCCCAACCTCGAGGTCTGGAAGCGACGGGTCTGGACGCTGCGCGCGCGCATGCTGGTCTTCGTCCAACAGCTGTTGTACTTTTGCACCGCCGAGGTTATCGAACCAAACTGGCAGAGTTTGATGGCGCGTCTGCGCGGAAAAGAAGGTGCCGGCCTGGATGGGGCTTCAAACGATCTGGCCACTGGGGTCACCCGCACCGTCGACGAACTGATGCAAGACCACGTGGATTTCCTCGACACTTGCCTCAAGGAGTGCATGCTAACCAACAGCAAGCTGCTGAGGGTATGTCTCCAGGAGCCTTTCCCCTTTCCCCCTTTTCCCATTTCTCCGCCCCGGGACCGCATGGGCTGACCACGACCTACAGATCCACTCCAAGCTGATGCAAACCTGCACCGTCTTCGCAACCTACACCAACTGGCTCTCGCGCGAGCTCGAAAAGGCCGACCCGGACCTGTCCGGCACCACAAAACCACCCAACATGACAGACGATCAATGGCGGCACTTCCAGTCCATCCGCTCGCAGAAAGGCTCCTCCTCCCATTCCCACCAGTCTCAGGACCCAAACTCCTCAACCGCCGGCCCCACAGCAGCCGGGGAAGGAGGAGGAGGAGGAGGAGGAGGAGGAGGGACAGACGAAGCCCGCATCGCAGAGCTGTTTGATGTGATCCGCAAGTGGGAAACAAACTTCAGCCGGCACCTGCAGATCCTCCTCGACGCGCTCAACCACTACGCCGCGACCGAGACGGTGGTCTTGCTGAGTCTCTGTGCCCGGCTGAGCACGGCGAACCAAGGAACTGAATACGCTGGGCTAAGAAACGAGGAGGATAGTGTTGTGTGAGGCTTTGTATTGGGTGGTCCGGTTTTGAGCGTGCCATTGAGGTCTCCGGATGCTCCGTTCAAGGGCGACTACCATGATTCTGGCGATGGGCGGCTCGCTTGTCATATGGGTATGAGTGGTTAAGGAGGTCCGGTAAATGGCGTTCAGACAGAATTGGTATACTACCTAATGTAGGGTTAGGTAAAATGTCCACTGGCGAGGATGATGGTATGGTATAGGGGACGGAAAACATGCCAAAATCAGGAGGAAGAGCCTCAAATGTCCACCCAGTTCACACAAGCAACTTCGCGAAGGATCCTTTGTACGTAGAGTATGTACAGTACATTATGATGGTAGATCAAGAGCATCCGATCTGGCTCTCCTGGATGTTCAGTTGGGCCAAGGATTTGGCTACCACAGCAAGTCTTTGGTGGTGATCACCATGAGGTATATGGATATATCATATGCCTGTCTCACGATATCATACCCCTCGAACTAAACCCCGGGACTTCTTTTGGTGTTTATATTAGCGCAAGAAAAGATTCAGGTATTTGTCACATACATCGAGGATATATCATCTCGGCGCCTTTTCCTTTCCGTCATCATAGTTAATCAATTGCTTCGATCTCTAACCCAGCCCCCCAGCCCCCCTCCCCCCCCAACACTCTCCACGTTTTCCATCCATCCCAATCTTAAACGCAGCCAGGCCCCAAAGCAATCATCAATCTCCTTCGTCCCATAACCGACCAGGCGTTCGACCCGACCGCAAGTCAATTCCTTATTTAATCCGTCTCCCCCAATAGCCGAGGTATCGCAGCGGCCCATCATCTGGCAACTTCCTATCTGTGACACAACGCAACTCAACCCCATCCTCCTCCGTAACTGATCTCTGGTACCTGTACCGCCAGCTCATGCCTTCCACTTCCCCAAATTTCTCCCCAGGAATCTGCGAGACTTCACAGTTCAAATCGAATAGCCCTTCATATGCTCACCCGGTTCCCGCGGCAAAGAAAGATAAGTGCAAAACGACAGAAATGGGCAAGTGGAAACGTAGCATATAATCAATAACGGAACTAAGAGCAGGAAGTCGAGAAGGTGAGAAAGCCGCGTACGACCGAGTCGACAGACGGAAAACTCATGATGGAGAAAGCCTGTCAAGGTTGCTGTATCACTCTGCCTTGAAATCAATCTTGTCTCATTCTCGCTCAACCTCTCCTCCCGCCGGGGTATAGGATTCCTTTTTCGTGCCAAGCGTAATAGCATTGACAATCATGATCTATTTGTGATCCGCGCGAAACTTTTCGTTGATCAGATTGCCTTGAATCCCCCCTGGCGTACAAGTCATGACCGCATCAGGCGCCAGGAGTTCTTCATCGGAGACTGCCTAGGCCGTAAACATCCACAACAAGTCACACAGGAGTCTCCTTCGATCATGCCAAACATGAAACTGTAAACCGCAAAACTGAGAAGCTTTGAATGGATTGAATCAGAAAGAAACAAAGACTCGCAACCGACCAAATGCAGAAGAGCAACTACCAGGGTATTTTTGCGCCAGGGGTATATCCAGCCGTTGGGGTATTTCTCTCTTTTCCTCGCAACTGACGTTAAAACGATCCGCGTCTAAAACCGTGCAAAGCCGAACCATGGGGAATCTAACGAAATGGCCCTACGAGAGGGCCGGGGTATCCTGAACTGGTAGAATGAGACGTAGATGGGCGTCCGCTATCGGCGGACTGCCGGGCATGATGGCGAGGTGTGGCATCGCCGGGCTGTGGAACCGTGAGCTTGTCAACGCCATTGCCGAAAACATGGCCCGAGGACCACGGGTTGCTGTCCTCGTCCGGAAGGTTGACGCCGCTGTCATTCCACGGGTTGCGGTCGGCATTGAAGCTTCTCGTCGACTCAATCGAGATGAGCGACGACTTGGACACGTTGCTGGAGCCCTTGAAGAAGTTGGCCGCCGACTGCGAGCTGTTCTTTCTACGATCCAGGAACGACGAAATGGACGACATGCTGCCCGGCTTGCGTAGACAAGCAAGGATGCTCCGCTCGCGGGCGACTTCCTCACCAAAAGACGGCCTCGTAGGCGAGTCGGTAGACACCGCGGTGGGCGCATGCTGAAGCAGCTTCGAGTTGAAAAAGGGCAGGGACTCCTCGAAGGTGTCCGACTTGGGACGGGGAATGGCACCCTTGATAACAACCGGCTCCACTCCCGCTGTGGCAAACTCTGTATCAAGGAACTCCATGGCATCGCGCAAGCCGCCCGCATTGTTGCGCGTGAACGTCCAAAGGAGAGTGACCGTCGGCGAGCCATTCTCAGTACGCTCGTCTGGCTTCTCATGCACAGTAAGTTCAACCTCGTACTGACTCTGGAGCTTGGGGACGATCGTCTGGACGAATTCCGGTGACTCGAGGTACTTGATCAGCGGAGCCGACCGTTCGAAGACGACCTCGTGCTTGTCGGGAACCATTCCCTACAATCCAATCGTCAGTAAACATGCAGGAGGGCGTATGCTGAACGTGAACAGCGCGGCAATTACCAAAAACTGGTCGATACACTTGGGCACAAGCCACTGAGGACCAGTGACCGTGACTTCATCGCTCGCCTGCTCGGTGCTTGGGAATACGATCTTGCAGTTCCATGTTCTCTCTAGTTCCTCAATCTCCGGCAGCCGCGTGAGCAGCTGGCGGTGGTAAAGACGGTCGACGCTGACGACCTGGGAGGTGAACTCGGAGTCCTTCAGGCGTACATGTTAACTGTTGGGACCTAGAGAGTAAGGGTTCGATTCTCTTACCGCTCGGTCGACCATCTCAAGAATCTCCGTCTTGACCAGCTCAAGACTCTGCGCATTGCGAGCCGGCGTGCGGCAAATGACATTGTCAACCCGGCTGTCATCATCCTCCCGGCCAATACCGCCTTTTGTACAATTAGCACGTGGAGAGACGCTAATTGGGTAAGGTTCGGAAACTCACCTCGGTCCATGGCATTGGAGAACTTGACAAAGACAGAATGCTTCTTCATGATACGCTGAATGTGTTGCCCACCGATGCCGATGATACGCTTGTGGTACTGGTCGGGAACGTGGAAGGAGATGGATGCCGGCATCTCCTGCTCCACCATGGTCAAGCCCTGCTTGAGGGAGTCGAACGATGGAGAGATAACCTCAATGTTGAAGTTATATTCGCCAAAGTTATCGAACATGATCTGGACGCTGCTCTGACCCATGATCTTGTTGATCTTGCCGTTCTTCTTGCCGCTTACGAACTCCTTGTGCTCGTTGGCGAGCTCAATTCGAACGCGGATCTGGTATGGAGATTGAACGGCGAATTTGATCTGGGCGATGACTAGCAGGGCGGCCTTGACCGACTCGTCGGAGCCCGTGATAGAAAAGGATTGTCTGTCAAAGGAGACATCGGCATCCGAGTTGGCGCAGATATCACCAAGCATTGTCCTGATATCTTGGTTGCTAGGCTGGCGAGCATCCGGCTGCACAAAGATCCACGACGCAGTGTAGAATTGTCCGACCTTGACTTGGCATGAGCACTAAAGAACCTCAAGCGACCACCGGAGAGGAAAAAAGGCTTACCAGGGCCATGAGCTCACGAAGAGAGCGCTCTACATGCAAGTTCTCAACAGCCTGCACACGTACCATGCCCTTTCTGGAGCCAAGGGGAGGAAACATGATGAAGGAGCCGTTGGCTTCAACGATCTTCCGGACTTTGTCCATCCGGCTGAGCAGAATGCTGTCGATCTTGGCGGCAGGGATAGGGACATCCTTCGCAAACAATCTAATGCGGGAGAGAAGTTCGTGGATCCTGAACTTGGCCTGCTCGATGGCCTGGGGCGTCTCGCCCGTGATGAAGACTTGGTTGGGATCCCGGCGCTGGGCATTCGGCGGACAATAGCGGTAACACCCTGAAAAGGGCGGGGGGAAATAAATGGCCGTGTTCGTTACGGACTCGATCAGCTTGATGTTCTTGCGGTTGCGGCCAGACAACAGTTGATGCATGGAGGCATCGAACATGACGGCATCGACAATTCTCCCGAGCTACGTTCCGTTAGCACAAGGCCCTTTGCATCCCGCAGCAGCTGGGCAGGCATACGAGTTGGTCAATGTGGATGAGCACGCGCGTCTTGGCATGTTCAGAGGCCAGGTAGTCACCGTAGATGGCAACTCTCCAGCGCTGATCCCTCGGCAACTCTACGTCACCGTTCAAGCCACCCACCAGGGGGGTCAGCTTGGGACCGAGCAGGAAGATGTCGACGCCACAAGCTACTGATGTCTCGTCCAAGAAATCTGTCACCGACTTCTTCAGGACGCCCTCGGAGAGGTTGGCAACGAGATGACCGTCCACGACGACCGTTGTGCAACGCTGTTCGGAGTAGTCATACTTTAGCAAAAGAGCGATTCAACCACGGGAGCACAGTGAGGTGAACCCACCAATGAGAGGGGCGTGTGGTTCAGGATGGTCTCCCTAGTCTGATAAACTACGTCGGGCGCGCCGGAGAGGCACACAGTCGTGACCTGGCCACGGACATTCTTGGGGGTGGTCGAGATGACGTGGGCCTCAATGGGCATTGGATTCGACGTGACGTCCCTGCAGAGCTGGCGCAACTGAGCGAGGTGCATGGCATGCACGGGCAGTTCGTAAACGGGGACGTCGTCGGGAGCTTCCTCGGGGTGTGTCCATCGGAGTACAGCATCCGCAGTGGCATGCAAGATGTCCTCGGTGTCTGGCCCGGCAAGGTCGGAGGCGAACGGGACATTGAAAGAGTAGTGAATAGGGCCGTCGACGACGGGTGGCAGTGGTATCGGAGGTGCACCTTGGGCTACAATGTCTCTTCGGGAATTGATGGCTGCCTGCATGCCCATATTTGCCCGCGACATGCTGAAGTTGGCAGGGCTCATCCGCTCGGGCCAGTGACGCATGTTTGCCAGCTTGTTCATTGTGAAATTCAAGCGATCCTTTGCTGCCCGTGTCGATGGCCTGGTGTCTCGAGTCTCCTGGCTGGTTCGATCAGGGGCCGAATCGCGAGGTTTTGTGCGTTCGACTCCGACGAAGAGACGGGGGTTGGGGATTGTGGGGGGGTTTTGCTGGGACGGCAGCGGCAGAAGCGGCAGAGGCGGCGGACGGCGAGGCAATTGGAGCTAAATGAGAGACCGAAGAAGAGACGTCAGGCTGCGCTGGGGAACGAGGCGTCGAGCCGAGAAAGACAAAAAGAAAATGGGTATCTGGGTATCTCAGAGGAGGAAACACAGGGCGGTCTGAAAGAAAAACAAGGGGGAGGAAGCTGTCGTGTGTTCTTGTCCTTCCTGCGATCTGCAGCTGGTGTTGGGGGAGGGGGAAGGAGGTGGAGGAGGAAAGAGGGCCGACTTTGAGGGATTGGTGGATGGAAGCTCATGGACTGAAGGTATCCAGTGGAGGTCCACCACCCACCATGATGACCGGGAGTTCCAGTAGGAAAGCTTCCCACTGGGCGGGCAGTGGGCACAGGCCCAGCGAGTGAGCGACGGGGCGGAACAGAGTCGGCTGGGAGTACCTTAGCCTTCTGGTCCGTGCCCCAACCAGGGTGCTCTGGCACACGCGGCGCCTGTCAGCAGGAAAGCACTCTCAGGTCTGAAGATGAACGCACGACTTCGCAGGACTTCACGCGCTCAGGTCCAACGAATGTAAGGTGCAGATTACTTGGTAACTCGATGAAAATATGCTCTCACTCAACAGAAATTTGACTATTGTGATTGGAATTGAACTCCTTTGCCACAGTGACTTCAGCATGTGCATCCATTTCTGCGTCATGGAATGTGAGTGCTCAGTTCCTACGTACTAGTAGTGTACTTTCCGACGGATTCCTGCTCTTCCGGTTGCCATTCTCGAGCCCTTCTCCCCTCAGTTCCATCCACACAACTCTGAAGCCAGGGCTATCCAATGTGCCATACTACTATATATTACACAGTATGGAAACATGATCCGCGATCTTCAGTTTCCCGAATCACCTCCAAAACCTGCTGCTGTCATGCTACAAACCTTAACCCTGGTCCAAGAAGCTTGGACATCTCACCATGGTTCCATTGGGTCTGGATTGGAGTAAGATGCTTGTGGAGCCACACTGTCATCTTGGCCGTGGACGTTGTTTCCCAGTGGTACTTCGACGAATAATAGGACAAACCAACATTATAGAGCGGCTTTATCAGTGTCGTGAAATTTCTCGGCCATCAGAGAACTGTGTAATAACCTAGGGATTGATTCTCCTCGGCAAGAACAGGTGTTGTACATACCTAAGTATCATAGTCCAGGAGCGAAACTGAAACTGACGGCAGGACGGCATTTGCCGGGCCAGAACTCTTTCGCACGCACCACTCTCCAGGAAACGGTGGGGGGCCCACAAGCATCAGTTGGATTCGCGGGAACGGTGACCATCTCATCTGCTCATTTCCAGCATTCTCAACGTAGCCCGGGAACGTTCCTCGATGGAACTCATCACCTGGTATGCTCCCATCCAACAAAAGGAATGCATTGAATATCGCCTTCGGTGATCATGGATCTCACGCTGCAGCCAAGATGACAGTTGAGATCGCTGTGGAGTTCAGACTATCACGGACATCTCTTTGGCACACAGTCTGCGTACGGAGGTAACCCACAGCAACCCGAGAAACCATGTTCACCGGCCAGCAGTGCGTCCCTAATCCCGCTCAGCGATAATAAACCAAGCAGGACAGGGCTGAGAGTGGACGACGAAACAGCGACCCCAACCTCTCCGGATCGGCTCATTTACGAGATGTGGCAGTGTTCGAGAAGCCAAACTTCCAGTTCCCTTGGCCTTCGCCGAGGGGCCGAGATGGGAGATGGAGCCGGGAGATTACTACTACCGACCTTGGAATGAGGCGAAGCATCCATCAACCCCCTAACGTTAAATAACTACCCAGATGCGTACCTAGAGTGTATCGCCAGCAGACATAGGTAGTAGAGCTACCTACCTGAGACATGCCGCAACGTGCCAACTAAGAGACATGTGCACACTTCAATCACACAGGAATCCGCTACAGGAACGCTAGCAGAGCGATACACCCGGCGTCATCGATCATCGTATGGTGCGTTTCTCCTTTCGACTACAGTAGTTATTGCTTACACATGCCGGGCTTCGGGCTGCCCTTGATCCCGAACTTCATGACAAGGCTCGGCGTTAACGAAGTGCTTATCTATCAACAGTTCAACACCCAAGTACCAGTATCATATGCACAGTCGGACACATGACCAGGACGTCAAACAAGAAGAGTAGGAGGTAATTTGCGCTGTCAGCCGGCACCAGCTTCGGTCCCTGCAGAGGTTGTAGTAATCCTCTAACTCGGTGTCCCATTATTCCTACACGCCGTGGTAAACTAAATTCAAGGCGTAAGACCCAAAATCAATAACGAATGCACTGCTCGAAGTTATGATACACCGCTTTTCCCCGCCTTTCCCGTCCAATGCCGTGTGTATGTTACCGCAATCGTACACCCAACTCTAAGCCACCCCCTTACCGCATCTCGCGATACCCATCCCTCGGCAGCGGAGGCCGATCTAAGAACACCACCTCCTCATCCTCCCTCGCCGACGGCGGTGGACGCCCATAATACCTCTCCACTGGTTGATGAGGACCTTGCGCGACATACTCCCTATGTATAGCCTGCGGCGGCGGCCCCTCACCCGGCATGGCACTGTATGCCCTTCCCGCTGGCGGCGGAGGCGGCATCGCTTCCCTTCTTACGTCTTGATAGCCCACTGAAGCGCCCGGTGCGGCAGAAACAGCAGGACCATACTCTGCCCTTCGCATTCCATAATCCCTCGGCCCTTCATGCCTGGCCGTGGCCTCCGCACCAGGGCGGACACTCGCGGGTCTCAGAGGTGGTGGTGGATGCGGATGAGCATAATCTCGCGCCGACATGGGAATGGCGTCATCCGGTCCCAGGCGTCGCTCATAGGCCACGGGGACTTCATAGCGGGTGACACCGTCTGCTGGGCGAGCACTGGCCGCTCGGAAGTATTCCCGCGGTGGCGGACGGTCGTCAATGGGTGCTGGGATCCTCTCGTAGGCAGAAGGCGGGTCGTAGCGAGACGATTCCACAGCAGGGCGGGTGGTAGACGCACGGGCACGTGATGGCAGGTACTCACTGGGCGGAGGCGCCATGGCGTTGCTTGGACCAGCACCCTCCCGGTAGGGAGAGTCCGGTTGCGTGACCACACGCCTGGGCGCTGCATATGCCGGCGAGCCTGTGTGGTACAGTACCGCATCATCGTCAAGCAGGTCGACCCGACGGGAGACGGCGCGTGGAGGCAGAACTCGTTCGTACGGCCCTCTGGGCTCCGCGACAACCTCCTCTCTAATGATGGTTGCGGGGCGGGCTGGCTCCAGATACTCACGACCATATGCATCGACGATGATGCGCCGAGGCGGGGCCCTCGGGGGAGGCATTGCCACAGGCGGCCGCTCATAGCCGACCGGCGATTGCGAGCGTTCGGGATATGCTGGGGGACGCACACTCATCCTGGATACAGCCCGTGTGTCGCGATAGTAAGTAGCCACCTCCTCGTGCGGAGGCTCAAGGATGCGGGATGCGGGCCGCACGGTCCGCACTTCCCTAGGGACGTACTGTGCCGACTCTGCCCCGGCTGGGAAGCTGCTGGGAGGGTGCGCTGCTCTGTACTCATCGTAGTAGAGTCTCTCGTACCTCGGGGAAGTGACAAGGATGGGCTCTTCACCGTGATGAGGGCGATAGTCATCGGCTCTCTCATAGCCCACAACCCGTTCCTGCCTAACGACTCTGGGTTGGTAGCGCTCCGGATAGCCTTCCTCGAGTGGCATTTGCGGTTCATACCTAGCCTCGTCATCATGGACCTCCAACGGTTGCTGTTGCGAGTACCGCTGCCGCTTGCTGGGGCGAGCATCCTGAGGGGTCAAAGGCGAAGCGGAACGGGGTTCAGGCTTGATGTATGGTGATGCGGCCGCGGTCTCGACAGCGAGCCGATCAGCCTTCCTCTTCTTCTTCTTGTTTTTCTTCTTTTCCGAACCTCTGCTGCCGTGAGGAGAGCTCTCTGGGCTAGAGCCATGCGACCCCTGTTTTCTAAGTGCAGCAACCTGCGCAGGCGCCGCTTGATGGCCGCCACTAGGCTCTGTTGCAGCTGATTGCGGCTCCCTTGCAATAGCCGAGGAAGTGACAACATGGGTGGGCTGGGGAGCAACGGGAGAAAGATCATGGGCACGAACAAGAGGGGGTTCGCGAGCCCGAGCGTGGTCGAGCAATCGCTCATTTACCTGAGCAAAATCTTGTGCGGCGCTCAGCTGCCCGTTTTCTGCTTGGCCTAGATCTCCCGACCGACTCTGTGAACTGTTCTGTACTGCACCCGCAATCTCTGCTCCTCGAGGCTGGGAGATCGTTGTAGAGCCACTTGCGCCGATGGACAGGCCAGGAACTGTTATCGCAGCCGCCGACGATGCTTGCACCGGCGCGGGAGCATTTACTTGTTGCTGATTCTGCGACGCGGCAAGACCGGGTACAGTTTGTGTAGGCAACGAAGCCGGCTGAGCAGGCCGCACTGGGTCGGCAGGTTCGAAATCGAGTTCCGGCTCGTACGGCGACCCCTCTCGCATCTCTTCATCTTCGGACTCGTTGGGAAGTCGAGACACCATGTTGGATTCCGGAGTGTCGTGTCGGCTCGAGTAGAAGGTATTATCATCAAACGAGTCGCTCGACGCTGAGGCGTTAGCAGCTGTGTCGTCAGTAGACTGCGCAGGAGGGGTCGCATGGACCAGTGACATGGCTTTTGCTAGGATGTCGGCGACATCAAGTTCAGCCAGCTGCTCCGATGCCTTGTTGGCGGCACGACGACGTTGCTCGAGTTGCTCTCTCAGACTGCGCTCCACGCGTTGCCGCTGCAGCTGAATCTCAGCCTTGATCAGGCCATCGGACTTCTCCAAGAGCACTGGATCAATCTCAGGCTTCCCAGACCCGGGTGGCCTTGCGCTTCCAGGTACCCCGGATAGTGTTTCGAGACCCGGTAAGCTCGAGGTCATGTTTACCTGCGCACGTTGTTGGTTTGCTTGCTGAGACTGGGAAGTGTCAATTACCGGGCGACCGTTGTTTGCGGCGCTCTTTGCAGCGGCTGGTCGAGGAGCTGTTGGCGCAGCAGAGCTGGTAGCGGCAGGCAGAGAAACCGAGTTTTGGTTTTGGGCGGTTTTCCCTGGAAAGTGGGATGGTTTGATGCGAGGATGCGACCCGCTGACGACCTCATCGCGAAATCGCAACAGCTTCTCGTACTCCTTGATTTCACGAATCTCATCCGAACTGAGAGATGCCAATGAAGGAGCGTCACCTGCTGACTTCAGTCCCGGGACCCCATTTCCTGCTGCCACCTCAACTGCAACTGCTCCTGCCATGACGGTGTGCTTCTTGCGTGCCACAGGCGCGTGTCTCTTCGAATTGACGTGTCAACGCGACACATGTCATCAGAGACTCTGACGGTTGAAAGAGGTCTGCTAGCAACCCAAGCTGCTAATCAGGAACAAAATCAGCGGCAAAGCGCTGCCTCTTTCTTGATGTAAACAGCAGGGAAAGGCTCTGTTGCAGGAAGAAAACAGCTGGAGTTTGGAACCAGCAGCAGCAGCAGCCAATTTCACTGATGCCAAGACCGAACTGGGGTCCGTGCACGGTCCCGGTCAGCCGCCGGGCAGCCTCCGATGCGTGGCGGCACGTATCCGTACCTTATTAGTGTACGGAATACATGAGGTGGGCCAAAGGCCTCCACTTGTTCAGTCCGGCCTGAGTCAAACAAGCTCTTGATGTTACGAGAACTAGCTAAGTCAATGAGAGTGATGGACAGATCTTGGAAAGAGTGGCATGAGACACGAGGCCAAGTAACGTTAACTGTCATGCACTCCTTTGAGCGATGAGTCTATTGCTGTGCCGATACCCTGCTAGTATAAGTACCAAGGTAGACCCTTCCTAAGCTTTGTTGTTTTGGAAACATCACAGCACCAACACCTGGACCCAACGAATTCCCACTGCTCTCATCCACACGTCGGCGCCGCTTCTATTGCCTCAACTTACGAACCAGCATACGCACGTCAATAACACGAGGCATCAGCTAAAAGACCAAGTTTGTGTTATAGCTTTACATACATAATATCGAGGTTGTCTTGGAGGACAAGGAGGATGGAGTCGGAACGAGTCTATGCCAATGGGGCAACGCCCAGGAGACAAGTCTTCTTCTTGTGAGTACTAGTCCCTGGCAGCATTGCCGGCCTGTGATGTCCTAACTCGAAAACAGCGACATTGACAACTGTCTCTACCCAAAAAGTGCCAAGGTGCACGACCTCATGGCGGATCTCATCGACCGCTACTTCGCCACACACCTCTCACTGCCGTGGGAAGATGCGGTACGGCTTCACAAGGAGTATTATCAGAGCTACGGTTTGGCCATCGAGGGCCTGGTGCGGCACCATCAGATCGACCCCCTCGACTACAACGCCAAGGTGGACGATGCCCTCCCGCTCGACAACGTCATCAAGCCGCGGCCGGAGCTCAAGAAGCTCCTTGCGGATATTGACAAGAGCAAGGTGAAGCTCTGGCTCTTGACAAACGCCTATGTCAATCATGCCAAGCGGGTCGTCCGGCTGCTCGAGGTGGAGGAGTTCTTCGAGGGCGTCACGTACTGTGACTACAGTCAGGTTCCGCTGACCTGCAAGCCGCACCCCGACATGTACCACAAGGCCATGCGGGATGCGGGCGTCGAGAGATACGAGGACTGCTTTTTCGTTGGTATGTTCAACCCGGTGGCCTCTTAGGCCAGCTCTTGCGGAAACAGATGTGAACTGACACTGCCGCTAGACGACTCCTACCAGAACTGCAAAAGTGCGAAGCAGCTTGGATGGACAGTGGCCCACCTCGTCGAAGACGACGTCAAGCCACCGAAGACGCCGGCCTGCCAATACCAGATACGGCACTTGGAGGAACTTCGGGCAGTGTTTCCACAATTATTCAAATCAGACACAACTCGAACAAGTTAGAGAGAAAGGTTGCGTAGACGGCACAGGTAGCGCATAGAAGATAGCCCATGATGCATCATGAATAGAGCGATGTTTTTTTGAGGTTCATACCAGCCTCTCCCCCTTCCCCAAAGAATCCAGAACTCAACGCCTTTTTATGCCACCCCTGACCTCTTGTCCCGAACCGTCTAACACCAACGCCGCAACCCGGTGCAAACCACACGCCACCCCTCTCACCCAGTTTTCCCCGAAAAGCGAAAGGAACCCCCCCTAAGACCCTAGTGCCTCAAAACCGTCTTGAGCAGCCCGTCCAGCTGTTCAAGCACCTCGTCCCGCTCCTTCACCGCCTCCAACCGCTGGGTCTCCACCTCCGCGATCTCCTCCTCCAGGTCTCGGATCATCTGCAGTTGGTCGCGCTCGCTGTTGTCCAGCCCCGGTAGCGCCGAGACCAGCGCCTCGATGAGCCGCGCGTGGTTGACCAAGTCATTTGCAATCTCTGCCTGGCCTGCTTGGAAAGTTTGCGGGTCGAGAGTCTCCACTAGAGGGAGGACAAAGGAAGGGGTGGTGTTAGCTGGGGATTCCATCGGGGGCTAATTAATAATATGGCATTATAGGTGAAAGCACCTTCTTTCGGCGCGTCCTTGAGCTCGGGGATCTTGTCCGTCGGACTGAATGGCTTGAGGTCGTGGTGCCGCTCCACGTAGTAGAAGCCTGCGATGAACATCGTACAGAGCTGTGCCCGTGCGATGCCGGGTTAGCCCGGACGCTGAGCTTGACGTGAGGCACAAGGGAGGGGTATCTACCGTGTCCATCGCTTCTTGGAGCTGTGTGAGAATGTCTGCCATTTTGGAGGGTCCACGGCTCGGTTCCTTTGCTATTGAGTCTTGAGAATGGGAAGTGTGGTGAGACGTGAGACGTCCTGGATCGTAGCGGCATACATAATATGCTGCAGTAGTACTAGCCGGAAATGACAAGGAGCTTTGGCCAACTCTGCGTTCCGGCAGGCAGTTCGCAACTCAAGCTCCTAATAAAGACGGTCTTTTCCCAGCTCCTTCATCAAGACTGAAACTCACCTAAGGTACCTTACGCTTCCTAGGACGATGCGCGGCTCTCTCCCCCGCCGACTGCGGTCTCCCCGCCTCCCAGTTCCTGTCCTCCGGTGCGCCTTTTCCTCGGCCGCGCTTGCGCATCCAATTCCGGAATCCACCCCGGAAGCCGAGCCATCTAAACCGCCAACACAGCAGCAACAGCAATCACCACCAGTCAACCAGAATGCCGCTTCTCCCGACTCCGAAACCACCACCACCACAGCGCACACCACCAGCCCGCCAATAAACCCACCGCTAATCTACCCGTCCGCCCCGTCGCCGCACCACACCGACCTCCCCACCTTCCTCGCCTACGCAGAGCGCACAAACCTCGACCCGTCCTCCACAGTCTACGTAGGCACGCACTTCGAGTACACCGTGTCCGACACGCTCGCGCGGTTCGGCCTTCATCTGCGACGGGTCGGCGGCGTCTCGGACTGCGGCATCGACCTGCTCGGCACGTGGTCCGTCCCCTCTTACCCGAGGCGGGCGCGTCCGCTGCGGGTGTTGGCGCAGTGCAAGGCGGTGCAGCGGCCCGGTCCGCACCTGGTTCGGGAGCTGGAAGGCGCGTTCGTCGGGGCGCCGGCCGGGTGGAGGGGCCCGGTTGGTGTGGTGGGGCTGTTGGTGACGGAGAAGCCCGCGACCAAGGGGATACGGGACGCGCTGGGCCGGAGTACGTGGCCCATGGGGTTTGTGGCGTGCTCGAGGGAGGGCAGGGTGCAGCAGTTTCTCTGGAATCAGAGGGCTAGGGAAGAGGGGTTGGAGGAGTTGGGTGTTACGGCCAGGCATGTTAACGGGGATGGTGAGGGAGAACCGGAGACGGAGTTGGTGTTGACTTGGAGGGGCAAGACACTGCCTTTCGGGTCCCGGGGAGAGACTGGGAGTTGACGGATGGCTTGCTGTCGTGATACAGTGAGTGACGGTGCGAACAAAATTCCGGTCCTTGAGCGATGGGGATGGAACTCCGGTATGCTACTGGAAGAGAGCTTGGGACTGGCAACTGACGTTGGCAGGATGGACTACAACATGCCACACGTCATCGGCTCTATTCCAGCGCCATCTTGCCCCTCACAACAATTCCAGGTTGAATATCACCTGTTGAAAGAACTACGTAGTACCGCAGCTCTCAGTACGCTCACAGCGATGGCTGAAAGTATGCCGCCCGCCGCAAATGATCTAGGCTTGGGGTAATCTACAACTAGAAATACCCAAGAACAATCAATCTAGCTTATACAAAGAGCCAGTCTCTCTGCATAGCATAGGTATCCAAAACAACAACACTGTAAATTTCCAGGCTTTTCAGTCCTCCCAAATCGCCTGCTTCGCCTTCGCGATCTCCTCTTCCTTTTTCCGCTTCTCCTCCTTCTCTTGCTCCAGCCGCTTCCGCTCCTTCTCACGGACCGCGCGGTCGTACGCCTTCTGCTCCTCCGTTAGTTTCGGCGCCCTCATGCCCAGAGCACTAGCAATCATGCGCCGCGCGACCGCGTCTGTCTTCTCGGGCCGTTTGGACGGCCCTGTCGATGCTGGTTCTTTCGGGGAGTCACTTGCGCCGTCGAATGGCGGGACAGTGAACCCCGGCCCGGAGAGTGCGGATGGCGAGAATGGCCGCCTGTTACTGGCTACGGGCGACATAGGTGTTGGCGGTGGCGCCGAGGTGCCGGCCTTGCTAGGGGCTGCCGTGGGTGTCTCCTCTGTGTCTGCGGCTGATTTATCGTCGTCATCGGCCTCGTCCTCCCAGCTGTCTGCGACCGGACTGGCCTTCTTCTGGGGCTTGGCGCGTGCTGTGGGTTTGGTAGTCTCTAGCTCCGTGGTTTTGAGAGACAGCTTGGTGAGGTTCGAAGTGATGTCTTTGTCGTCACTGGCTTTCGTTGCCATGATGAATATAGTGATGGTAAAAATACAGATCTCGAATCTAAGAAGGCCCAGGCCAGAGGAACGATGTTGGTGATTTATGAGACGAGTGGGCCCTGTCTTCCTTGATCAGATGGAGTGAGAAAAGTCGAGGTAACTATCGCCTGTAAGTTGAAGGTGGTTAAACGCCGTCCAAGCATGGGAGCCGTGGGATAGCCGGTCTGTTTATACACGCAAGACAACATGGGCCTGTTTCACAGCATCCTCCCCTCTTAAGCCTCAACAAAGCGCCGAGCTCGAAAGTGCGGGGGTGGGGCATGAGCTCAGGTACCTACTTCGCTGCCTCGCTCGAGCCTCGCTACGAAAAATATACCGACAGTGTGCTATATGGCTACCAAAGACGCCGCTATGTATTAAGCGAAGACGCGTACGCACCCGTTCCCAGACGGATGACGAACTTTCACTGACTTGTTGTGTGGGGTTTGATACCAGAAGCCCCATTCGGGTGTTCGTGAACTGAAATTGGGGCTGTCCGCTTGACTCAAAGCCACAACCACGTGCCACAGTTGGCTGACGTTCTCACTGTGGCTGGTGCGCTCCTGACCCTTGTCAGAACAGGCGGGTTCGGAGCTCAAACTGCAGCCAGCTCCACAGCAGAGCCTCCAGCAGGTTCCATCATTGCCGAAAAGTTCCTCCACTTTGCATTATTCAGACATCGTCGCCATGGGCTGTTGCCTTTGGAGCTATTCTCGGATCTGCCCTTAACCATTCAACCTCGAAATCTCATGGTTTTCCTGTATTCCGCCTTTTAGCTGTATAATAATCGCTTGTGATTTGGGGGTTTGCGACGTGTTTTGCCTATAGACGCCCGTCGCCGCCGCTCTGAGCAGCAGACGAGTTTGGGTTGCTTGGATCTGTAATCCGCCGTTCCCGACATTTGAACCGCTCTAGAACCCACACCATCACCGCCCACAATGCTGCTCCGACAGCGCATACCTCGGTTGCCTACGCCGATACCTCCTGTGTCATCAACAGCATCAAGAAGACTGAGCGCGTGCTCGGTACCGGCATCACTACGGCAGAGGCGACATGTGACGCCGCTGCTGCTGCGAGCCTGGAGGGGCGGATACCCATCAGCGTCGAATTTCTCCACGCACGCCGCACTTGCAAAAAAGAAAGATGGGTTTTTCGACGGCCCTGTTGAACCCCTTTCCGAGGAGGAGAAACGAGCAAATCTCGAGCACACCGAAGCTGAAGAGAAGGAGATTGCGAAGTCCAAGTCTTCTAGCGCCGATGCGCCGCCAAAGAACAATAATGGCCGGGGCACGCCAGAGGCGCCGGACGGGAAGGGCAGCGCTGCCGGTGGTGCTTCCTCGGGATCGGCGGGAGACGATTCAGGGTCCGGCGGCGGCAGACGGGGACGGAAGGGTGACAAGGCGCTCGCGAAACCTGTCGTGCCAGAGATCTACCCTCAGGTTCTTGCAATACCTATTGCTAAGAGGCCACTGTTCCCCGGATTCTACAAGGCAATCACGATCAAAGACCCCAATGTCGCTGCGGCGATCATGGAGATGTTTAAGCGGGGCCAGCCATACGTGGGAGCGTTCTTGTTCAAGGATGAGAATGCCGACGACGACGTCATCCGCAACCCCGATGATGTTTACGACGTTGGTGTCTTTGCTCAGGTCACCAGCGCATTCCCTATGAATGCGCAGGGTGGTGAAAGCGGCGGTCTGACAGCAATTCTGTACCCTCACCGACGAATCAGGCTGTCTTCGCTGATACCGCCGGGCGGGGCAGAGGCCGCGAAAGCCGCTCCTTCCGCAGAGCCCGAACCTGAACCTATTCCAAAAGCATCGGAGGAGGTGGATCAGAAGGGGGACGTGGTTGCGAGCTTCGAGGAGAGCGCTGTCGAACAGAAACCGGAATCGCCCAAAAAGCAACTGTACGAAGTGACGTCGTTCTTGAAGAAGTACCCCGTCAGCATTGCGAACGTCGACAACCTCACCGAGGAACCCCACGACCCCAAGAGCCAGGTGATCCGTGCTGTGACGAACGAGATCGTGAATGTCTTCAAGGAGGTCGCCAGCATGAACAGCCTGTTTAGGGATCAGATCTCGACCTTCTCCATCAGCCAATCCGCCGGTAACGTCATGTCAGAGCCCGCTAAACTTGCCGACTTTGCGGCAGCCGTCTCTGCGGGAGAGCCTGCCGAGCTTCAAGAAGTTCTGGAAAGCTTGAACGTCGAAGATAGGATGCATAAGGCGCTGTTGGTACTCAAGAAGGAGCTCGCCAATGCTCAGCTCCAATCGAAGATCACTAAGGATGTGGAGAGCAAAATCACGAAGCGACAGCGCGAGTATTGGCTGATGGAGCAGATGAAGGGCATTCGGCGAGAGCTTGGCATTGAATCGGACGGCAAGGACAAACTCGTCGAGAAGTTCAAGGAGAAAGCAGATAAGCTAGCCATGCCGGAGGCGGTGCGCAAGGTTTTCGACGAGGAACTGAACAAGCTGGCGCACTTGGAGCCGGCTGCGTCCGAGTTCAACGTGACTCGGAATTACTTGGACTGGCTCACGCAGATCCCGTGGGGACAACGTAGCGCCGAGAACTTTGACATTCTCAACGCTATGAAGGTGTTAGACGAGGATCACTACGGCCTCAAGGATGTCAAGGACCGCATTCTGGAGTTTATCGCTGTCGGCAAGCTACGGGGAACAGTCGAGGGCAAGATCCTCTGCTTCGTTGGCCCTCCTGGTGTGGGTAAGACAAGTATAGGGAAATCGATTGCGCGCGCTCTCAACCGCGAATACTACCGGTTCAGCGTCGGTGGTCTCACGGATGTTGCCGAGATCAAGGGGCACAGAAGGACATACGTCGGCGCTCTACCCGGCCGTGTCATTCAGGCCCTGAAGAAATGCAAGACGGAAAACCCCTTGATCCTCATCGACGAGATCGACAAGATCGGGCGTGGCTACCAGGGTGATCCTTCCTCCGCGCTGTTGGAACTTCTCGATCCGGAGCAGAACAACTCGTTCCTCGACCACTATATGGACGTCCCTGTCGATCTCTCCAGAGTCCTGTTTGTCTGCACGGCCAACATGACCGACACCATTCCTCGACCGCTCCTCGACCGTATGGAGGTCATCAGACTCTCAGGATACGTCTCAGATGAGAAAATGGCCATTGCGGAGAGGTATCTCGCCCCGCAGGCGCAGGAGCTGGCCGGACTCAAGGAAGTCGACGTGAAGTTGACCAATACGGCGATTGAGGAGCTCATCAAGTCATACTGCAGAGAGGCTGGTGTCCGTAATCTCAAGAAGCAGATCGAGAAGGTCTACCGGAAATCAGCACTCAAGATTGTTCAGGATCTCGGAGAGGAGGCGTTGCCTGAAGCCAAGGCGCTCACAGACGAGGGCAAGGCCGCCCTCGAGGAGTCAGAGAAGCAGGGCAAGAAGGAAGAGGCCGGCAAGGAAGCAACGGGAAAGGAGACAACCGAGCAACCCAGGATGCCGCTGAAGGTGCCCGAGAGCGTGCACGTCGTCATTGACAAGGACAATCTCAAGGACTACGTCGGGCCCCCGATCTTCACTTCTGACAGGCTGTATGATGTCACCCCGCCCGGTGTTACCATGGGCCTGGCCTGGACGCAATTGGGAGGTGCCGCCATGTATGTCGAGGCCATCCTTCAAGCCGCTCTCAAGCCATCGAGCCGGCCTTCTCTCGAGATCACTGGCAACCTCAAGACAGTGATGAAGGAGTCCTCGGCTATTGCCTACTCTTTCGCCAAGTCGTTGATGGCCAAGGAGTTCCCGAACAACCACTTCTTGGAGAAGGCGAAGATCCATGTGCACGTCCCGGAGGGTGCGGTGCAGAAGGACGGGCCATCGGCGGGTATTACCATGGCAACATCACTCCTGTCGCTGGCGCTGGAAACCCCAGTTGACCCCACCGTCGCCATGACAGGCGAGCTGACCCTGACGGGCAAAGTCCTCCGCATCGGAGGATTGAGAGAGAAGACTGTGGCGGCGCGGCGAGCGGGCTGCAAGATGATCATCTTCCCGCAAGACAACTTGTCCGATTGGCTGGAACTTCCTGAGGTATGGTTATATATCTACTAAATTCCGCAGGCTGATGAACGTAAGTTGCTAATGAGATGAGCAGAATATCAAGGAAGGCATCGAGGGCCGGCCAGCAAGTTGGTACTCGGAGGTGTTTGATATCATATTCCCTAACCTGGACCGCGAGAAGGCCAACCAGTGCAAGGCCTGTGAGAATAGGAATGAGAAGGAGAAGGAAGAAGAGAAGTCGGAGGAAGACGACAAGAGCGACTAAACGATTCTAGACTGAAGGGACAATGACAATTGACCTAGCGGGGTGCTCCACACTCGTGGCATACGGCGGAGACTACTAGTACAGCGTCTGTGGATTGAGTCAGGCTGCAGTAACAACTGACAATAACCGAGTGCCCATGGAGTCAAGCGAAGAGAGACATCCGGGACGCCCGGCCGCGCGGAAAAGTGTAAGATGGAGGAGCTGGCGCCTAAATTCGGGGAAGAAATAGGGGGAAGGCGAAGGGGGCAAGGTGCATTTACCTGGCGTTACAACGGCGGATCAAATCAACCTACCATACGAACGTGGACGAGATTCTTGGGTTCGATATATAGAAAGGTGGCCCGAGCTAGAGCTGCGTGCATCATCTAGCTCGCACACAGACAGACGCACATCCTCACTCTCTATAATGTTGTATAAAAATGTTGAAGATAACCTTGGGAATCGGTATTCCTTCCCACAAGATCCGTCTCCAATCTGGTCGTTTACGGATAGCTAGTATCTCCCTGGGCGACAGTTCCTCGAGGTTGAGTGGATCAGACTCAGAAATACTATATACCTTACCTATTGAAAGCGCCAAACGCAAGCTCCCACAACCTCCTGGCATGACGCGTGTCACAAAACCGTCTCTTATCTGATGACAGCTTACTGGTCATATTTCAGAGCTAGCCGTATAGGCCAACATGACGCAACCACGCAAATACATACTAGTAATCAATCTCACTAGTCAAATAGCGTCTAGCCCTTGGACATACTACGTACTAGGTGATAGCCTGGAGGTGAATGAAGACTGGCAGTTCGAAATTAACTGGTAGTTGACTAGGAGTGATTAGGGCAAGAGCAAAACCTACTAGCTAAGACCCAAGAATAACTCAAGACCTAATCTAGTGTTGACTGGCAGCAGTTCCAGTAAGTTGTACTTAACTCAGTTACGATCCTCTGCCTCGGTCTGTCTTTGCCACCAACCCGCGGAGCAACTGCATATCTAGTCCTAAAAGGATTAGGCAGCAACTCGCCGCTTGCCCCGGCCATTGCAAAGGCGAGCACTTCTTGATTCCCTGACTGGCCTGACAGTACTGGCACCTCGGTCGGCTTCAACTTGCCGACACCCTTGCAAAATGGGACAAGGCAAGAAGTTTTTTGCAAGCTCATCCTGGATGACGGACATCCCGCAGCCATAGCAGCAGGCGAGACACCCAACCGGGTCTATGCCGGCGGCGCACTGGCAACACTGGTCGGGAACCGTGCCATATCCGTCACAGAATCTGCAGTGGAATCCCACAGACATCGTGGTATGTGAAACCCAGTTGAGCAAGAGTCACGACCTGGTTGACAGTACCTCTCAGCAATACATCCAGTGTAACGTGGTGATGATTGATAAAGCGTCGAGTTGGCCCCAGTAAGCCAAAGAGTTGGGCGAGTCTCGTCCCTTCGACAGGGTAATAAAGGGTCATGTATATTCTTGAATGGTAGTACTAGTCTAACTTACCACGCGGTCACTACCTCGGAGCGGAACCAGCCTTCAGAGAAGGACCGCACCACTGCTGCTGCCCACATCCGAGTTCTGGAAAAGCGGCAGATGGATGAGGTGGCCTTCCTTGGCGTTCCCGGGCACAAGCCCAAGCTGGCCCCCGAGTCTCAAATCATCCATCTTGGCCGTAGGGTGGAGAGAAAGACTGCACCGCATCCTTCATCTCCAAGCCAAGCGTGAATCTACAAATCTGAGGTGATCCCAGTCGCAGAAAAGAGCGTCGTAGTCTGGAGGATGGGCGTAGGCGGGCTAACCAGAGTGTACATTGAATCTCGTCGTCTTCGAAATTACCGCGAAGCAGAGTGACGGTTCGAACCGTGGATCGCGGGAGTGGCTCGTAGAGTGGCGGTCGCGGACTTTCGCCAGATTGTAGGCCTTCCCCGAGTCTGACGCGGATGGTATAAGACCACAGCAGCACCAACTCGGAGGCGAGGGGGTTGGGATGCTCCGAAAGCGGCAACTCCTAAGTTAATAATACAGTAGTAATCAGCGCGGGCAGCCATGGCTTCATTTTGGCAGACGGAAATGGGGAACGAAATCGAAAAGCAGGCGACAACGCTGGGGGATTCAAGTCTACCGAACATTTGATCCTACCAGTACCAGGTAAGTGACAGAAGAACCTAGGTAAGGACGTTGCGTTTCCAATCCGACTTTTTCTTGATGACACGACTTTGTTCGCTTGGAGGATTGTAAGCATGATAATGAACAGAAGTAAGAGAAGAAGATAGATGAAGAGTGAAAAAGAAGTAGGACCAAAAAAATAGTAAAAGCTCAGCTCACCCCGGGTGTTGAACCAGGGGGGCCTACGAAAACCTGCCACTTACCCGCGGTGTAGGTGCCTGTTTTCATAGTTGGCAGCATCTTGCGTTGAGCGCAACGCATTACCGCTCGGCCAGGCGACCCCTGAGAGGGTGCCACCAACTTGAAAACCTGCCCTCGCGGTCTTTCCTATATACCCCCTTCCAACCCTGAGCGAAAGGAGCTGCGACACCAGGTCGGTCAGCATGTATTAGGTATAGACGCGCGTCGCTCGTGGAACTATTACTAGCTTTGAAAATAAGTAACGTGCTGACAGTCTCATCCACGTAAAGAAAGCGACATCTAGAAAGATGGCTATCCATCAATGTCCAAGCTGGAGATACTAGTAGTCCTATTCATATTTATACGAAACAGGGGCGACCTTCTCCTCCGTCAGCGCCTTGGAGCGCATTTGTACATCCACTTTTCGTTCCACCCCTCGATATTTCTCCAGGTTATGGAACATAGTAACGGACGTCGGGTGGCCACCGTTTCAGAGTTGCCGGTCAGTTTCTACTAGTATCCATACTTTGGTCTTGCCATGGTCACTAGCGGTGAATCTCTGAAACTGGCACTGTTCAATGACCTGGGTGTTAATAAGTCCCTCAGCTAGGCGCTATTGGGATCAGTGAAAACTTGATTCTTAATTATGATTTATTGCGTGGTTTTCGTTGTGTGGCCTGTGTGACTGAGCTCGAGTACGGCTGATACACTGCCACTACATCATGGTATAGGACGGTGGAGATGTGGGACTGTCGAGTCGACTCTCTGTGCTACAAGTGCCGAGCGGTATGGATAACATGGCAGTCAGCCGTTCTTCCCAGTGACGAGCTGCTCGATGCAGAATGACGGTGCCATCCTTTTAACGTTGCGGCCAGGTCTCTTGTTGGACGGAAGATGCGGGTGAGCGATTGGATACCAAGTTCGTACAACAAGACACGATTACGGTTACACATAGCACCGCGTGCATGCATCTGAGATGACAGGACATTATGGCGGTGAGACCTGTTGGTCATCTGGTAAGAATTCGGTTCCCAAACCTGGAATCTCATCTCCTGGAATCTTCGACCGAGATGTCACTACTAGTATCCTGCGGCAGAGACTGCTGTCAACCTTGATCTGACATAGGTGCTCGCTTCGCTCACTGGATGCATCTCGAAGACGAATATTATGCCGAGATGCATTGGACAGCATCATTCTGCTGCATGCAGCCTTGTTTTCTCGAGGCGATTGCGTGCATGGTGCCCTGGAGCAGGAGTGAGTGCATTGGGATTGCATGCATGCTCAGGCATCAGCACAGCAACTAGCGGCTGTCCCAATCCAGTCCCACGGAAACTCTCAACCTACCGCGGGGCTTTGCCAATGGAGGGAATGGCCACCCTCCACGGGCAGGATAGGGCGGGATGCAATAACTGGATGGTCGAAGCCGATGCGGAACTCTGGATGATGAATGTACCTACAATTACCGTAGTCTTGTCTTTGTATATGTAGGAATGCAAGACACGGTTCCCGATCTCGGGGCCCAAACCTTGAACTTGATGGTAGGTGAGCGGCAATTTCCACGAGTAGGTGTCCTGATGAACTCCCGCTCCTAGGAGTGCACGCATGTAATCCGCACAGAAGACCCGTCGGGCAACCTGGAACGGCTAACGTGACGCTTAAATCGGGCTTAGGTTGGGCGTCTGGCCGCTGTAGTTTGTTCATTGGTTCCGGGGCCGGGTCTGCCTCAGCCTAGGTCGCCATTCCTTAGGTCAGGCCGAATGGTTCAAGGTCGGAAGGGGCATCGGAGGCTTAGAACAACTGGAAAAGACTCCCGTCCTCACCTTTGCTCCGTAAGGTATTTCTCCAGGTTAGTTCGGGTTCGGGGATGCGGTCCAGGGCAGTCACAGATGTAATCCGTACATCAGCTGTCGTCTGATCATTGACAATGAGCAGCGGTAAGCGGGTCTCACCCCACGCTCCCGAAGAAACCCCTGACCAGCTCCCGCCATATGTGGTAAGGCTCGACTCCAAGCGGCCCCTTCCGGTTTCTCCCCGCAACTCAAAAGGGGAATGGGAAGCATCGTTACCGTTCCTGTATGTAAGGTAACCGTTCGATATATCCAATGGAACGGCATGAGGAAATCCCGCAACATACGACCTCGAGCATGTTTTGTCTGTTGGGGCGCCTCATCACAAGATCGGGGAAGAATCACCATGCAAAACTCACTTCATCTACAGGTACTTGGGTAGATTTATGTAGATGGCTTGCAGCCCGAGCGAGCGGGCTGTGACGGGGCTGTTACCTACCTAGGTACCTACTGTACGGTAACTGACCCCTCGCTCTGCCCATAGCACTGTTACACGTGTTGCTGAACCCCACCAGACCCCTGTCTTGCGCACCTGAATTGATCACTCGAGGGGTTGGGTTCTCTCCTCGCCTTGCACTTCTCACTCCTCCCACCTTTCCTCTTGCAGCACGCAGGAGTGCAGTTCGCAAACAGGAGAGGCTGCGGAGAGGCCGATCCGGAGTTGTCACAGCAATGCTGCACAGCCAATCCTGAGCTGCAGAAAAAAACAGTCTGAGAGCCAATTCTCCTGAAGGTTTCTAAATCTCGCCTGATGAGGTGACTTGGCTTCGTGCCGGTTCCAGGTTTTCCTTACAAGTCACCACAACGCACCCTCACTGCCTCTCTCCCGACTTGCCTGCAGCACCAGTATTTCTCCTTCATTCCACTGTCCCCTCATACCGCCACCTAATAATCCAGTCACATGGCCTCGCCTCGCCAGCCATCACGTTGCACTCGTCCGTTCCTTCATGCCATACAGCGGTGCTAGGCTCTGAGGCTCCGAAGTTCGCGACTGCACGGCAGCTTTTCCAAAACGCCCGTCCGAACCTAGAAGCCTTGTCGAATGAGGGCCGCCCGAGGACCAGCGCTTTTGTGACGTTATCTTTCGCCTCCATCCGCCGTCTCTGTCTGCCCGTCTGCTTCCAGTAGGCCGCTGGCGCTCTTTGTGAGCCCCGCCTCTCATGGCCTGGTAAGGCTGTCTGGCCGCTCTCACTTCGGCGCAAATACATTCCTCCTTATGACCGTCACATCAGTGCATTGATGCATGGGCTACATCAGGTCTATGACTACCTGCACTTGATGGGTGTTCAGCAAAACCTTAGGTGCTCTCACCCTGCCCCATATCCGGCCCTGACCGCCGTCTGGTTCCACTCGGGTGGTACGGCGAGGAACCAAACGGGACAGAAAGGGAAGTAGGAGGACCAGGTCATACGGCAGCACCGTGTCGTCGAGCTCACCCACCTGTCCGAGTATCTATCTAACCGTTCAGTGCCGCGTGCGACTTGTCAGCAAATTCCTCAAACTCCTCGTTCCCCCTTGACATCGGACCGGGTACCGGGACAGCATCACTCCCGGATGAGCCCCATGGCTCAAGCGCATGCGAGTGTCGCCGGTAGATCGTCGCCTTCTCTGACAGACACCAACAACGACCAGATGCAAGGTCTATGGCGGAGGTTCTTAGGGTGGGATAAAGATCATGGGACCGACGGGCCAACAGAACCAACGGAGAAAAGCCAGGACGTTGAGCAACACAATGACGACAAAGACGGCCTTGTTCGACGTGGAGGCTCCCGGAAAGTGGTACCGGGCTTACCGAGGACACAAACCTTTAAGAGGCAGTGTTCCGAGGTACGCAGCAAACTGGAACCCGTCCGCCCAACACCCGCCGAGCGAAGAGCTGTTTCCATGGACAGACGCACAAACCCCTCCATTAGTACTCTCGACCACCCTAGTCCTCGAGCCAGCGCTTCCGACTTCCTCAGCCAGAACCTCAGCGCTGTGCCGTCTCCGCCCCTGTTGCCGATGAAACGGCTCGAACGGATTCAAGGGATCATGGGGTATCCGGATTACTTCGATCTTGACAGGGACTCTGTGGATGGTGCCCTCCCTCGCAATGGTCATGCTTTGTCTGGGATTGACGTCCGGTCCATGACCACGTCACAATACGAGGCTTTGATAGACAGTGAGCTGGAGCGCAAGTGGATCCTCAACCTCTCCATGCACTTCCGGGACAAATCCAAACGTGAGAAATTCTTCGTTACCTACCGCCAGCACGAACACCACTGGCGGCGTGTCACCATCTCGCTCGATTACCGCAACGCGCCGGCAGACTCTTTGGAAGCTGAACTGTCGCACATGGAATATCAGCGCGACAAGAGCGCCAAGATCTACGAGGCTATCCGGGAAAGCCTGAACGAGATCGATTTCTACCCGACCGTCACTAATCTCAAACTGGAAACGAAGGATGGGAGGCTACACGTCCACGTCGTCGAGGATGTCAATGTATGTTCGACGCTCTTGAGTCGTGCTGCTTCTTGCTGACTTTAGAGACAGGAAATCATCCACTACCCCTCGACCAGCGTGGTCGAGCATGTGAATTGTAGACGCGTAAAGGAGCGCGAGATTCACTTTGACTCGCACATATCTGGATTCGTTTACAAGGTCCGAGTCCACGGCAGGCTACTGATCAAGAAAGAGATCCCAGGCCCGGAGACAGTGGACGAGTTCCTCTACGAGATCAACGCGCTTAACCAACTGTGTTACGCAAAGAACGTCATCCAGTTCTACGGCGTCGTCGTCGACGACAGGGAGCAGAACGTTACCGGTCTGTTGATCAGTTATGCTGCTCGGGGCGCGCTGATCGATGTTATCTATGACAATGATCACACCATTCCCTGGCCAACCCGGGAGAAGTGGGCTCGCCAGATTGTCGCCGGCTTATCCGAGATCCACGAGGCCGGCTTTGTCCAGGGTGATTTCACGTTATCCAACATTGTCATCGACGAGAATGACGACGCGAAGATCATCGACATCAATCGCCGGGGCTGTCCCATCGGCTGGGAACCGCCGGAAGCCACACCACTTGTGGAGAGCGGCCAACGAATCACCATGTACATCGGCGTCAAGTCTGACCTCTACCAGCTGGGAATGGTTCTTTGGGCGTTGGCAACCCAGGAAGATGAACCGGAGAAATACAGTCGTCCCCTCAGATTCGACCGCGTTATCCAAGTGCCGGAATGGTACAGGCGCATTGTGGACACCTGTCTGAGCTCCAGTCCGCGAAACCGCCTCCAGGCCATCCAACTGCTGCGGTGGTTTCCGGATCGGGAGGAAGGCAGCCGACATGGTCCCATCAACGGATCATCGGTATCCATCAACGGCGACCGCAATCCCGGCCATGGTTGCCTATCTCCCGACGGGATTCCGCGGGTCAAGACAGTCCCACCTCCAAGTGACTGGGCGTATGTAGGGTTGGAAAATCATCAACTAACTGACGAGCCGTTCTACTACCCGAGCAGGGGCAGATCTCCACCGTCGCCAATGCCGAGCAATCAGGGAGATTACGGTCAAGCACGGTACGGACAGCGGTTTTACAGCTGGTCGGATACGTATAACCATGTGCCAACCGTGCCTTCTGTTAGCGATGTTCTTTCTCGAGCCCCAACAGAGGGGCCCGGGCCAAAACTGGCAGGAAGCGAGGAAATGCTGGAGACATACGCAGATGTGCCACATCGGTGCAAAGCGACCGCGATGCAAGCAAGCGGGGACGATGATATTCCGGTTGAGCGAGGGCGGTCACCCGCTGGGAAGCCCCGATACGTCGGGGAGCGGGAACGGGTCAAGGATGACGTGGAAAACGACGACTCAGTCCCGACAGCAACGGAGTATACGCCGCCGAACCACGGACGGTTAGCAGAGCGACCCAAGCTGGGAAGCGATGGCGGGAACAGGAGTCGAGAGTCAGTGAACCGTGGGAGCACAGGACGGCTGTCACATGCAGACAGTGGCAAGGACGTCACGGAGGTGGCGGGCTCGCCGACTGGGAAAGGGATACGAATTGCGCGCGGCGAACTGCGATCTGTTTCCCAAGGGAGCAGCAGCAGTTTATCCCCGTCGCGTGCCCATTACGAGCGGCCCATCACCACACACGAGGCAGCTACTACACACCCAAGCGCAACCGACGAGCCGGTCCGTGGGCGTTCCCGCTTTCGCGATGGTGATGCCGATGCTTTTCAGTCTCGTCCGTTATCAGCCGCCTCAAATCCACTTGCCGGCTTCAGGCAACCTGACAATGATTGCCTGGCGGGGATCGGTTCGGCATATGACTTTGCGGTGAAACCCTCCGCAGCACACGGGAACGATGCTGATGAGAAACGGCATGCCGACATGATGATACTGGAAGTTGATGATGATTTGGATTTGGACGACAGCCAGAGTTTGAGGAATCCTTTATCCACGACGGACACGAAGGTTCAGTCGAGTGACGACAGACACATACGGCGATGATTTTTCTCTCTATGTGGCAATGTTTAATTGTCTTTTACTTTTGTTTCTCTCTTAAGGTGTGACACGACGATGCATTGGATTAGTTGGTTGTTGGGTATACAGCAATAGGAGGGCGCAAGCGAGGAACTACTAGGGAACTTCGAGTCGCTTTAAGCCGGCTGGGGTTTGGTTGTGGTGGTGGCGACGGCGGCGGAAATCTGCATGATTGATGACTTTTGCTTTGCTTTACTTTGCTACTCTGGTGCCTTCCCTTGATATTCTTCGTTTCCTGGCCCCTTTTCAGCTATCTACGTTGTAATGCTTCAACGGAGCAGGAAGAGTCATTGCTTGAAAGGGTGAAACGGATGTATGCATGTCCATGCATGACGATGCCAGTTCCTGACAAGCGAGTTCCATATATTATCTGTCCTCCAGACTATTATTGATTGACACTATCCTGCACCTTGACTATTGACTTATTTGCCTGAATCAAAATACCACACACACCTCATCAAATGTCTACTATTGCAATGAGTTCCTTAGTCCTCGGGAGTTAATGATTTGGAAAAACCTAAGTACGTGTTTCGGTATGGCATGTCAATTTGTCCCACTACCCCCGTTCGATGGAGACAGAGGAGATGCAATGAGACTGAGAGTATCCGGAACAGCTGTTGAAATCAATGAGGTTGGAGTCGCCAAGACGGCCCCTCTCAGCTCCGGAAGCCGAGGTGGGTCCGTCCCGCTGCGGCACTTGCGGAGTCTCCGCCACCGGCGTTTCGGGTCGGATGTACAGTAAGGTACCTGAGTACATACCGATCGGAGACCCCAGAGTTCGGCACCTTAGCTGAGGCCGCCGAGGATACAATCGTAGTCCTCAACTTGACTTCGTCCCACAGCCGCTTCACTTCTGACAGTAGAATCTGAAAGCTGACAGATACCCAGCAACAGTTACATACTCGCAGTCAGTAAACCACGTGGCGATTTGCTTCATTCCTTCAGCCCTGCAGGGCTGAGGAAGGCGGGAACGCCACACTTTCCGCCCCGCATTCAAGAGTTGCACTGCGGCGGTCTGGCTCTCTGTTGTTGAGAAGTCGTACACTACTGCAGCGATGTACCTGAAACAGCGCTCTCCTCTGGAGGTGCTGACGGCCTGGTTCCATCAGGGCGTTCCAGAAGAAACCGGGAGCGGAGGGATGAACCGGGGGTGCCGAGAATCTCGGGTGGAGCACATAAATAGTGGGTTGGACCCGACCAGCAGCTTCCACAACTTGTGGGCAGGAAGATGCGCAAGACATGTGATTTGAAGAGCTGTGCAATCCCAAGACAACATGATTGCTACATCGCCACGGATCGCCCACAACTCAACAGCGATTCGGCGGAGTCGTGGATCAGGATTTCGCGCTTCGTCTGCAACCGTTGGTCCGTGCTTGCATTGGGTCTGATCACGTCAGCCAATTGGAAGTACGGGACGAATCGACGACTTACACCCTTCTCCCCAACAAGTTTGCTCAACAAATTTGGGGCCTTGACAACAGTGGGATTTCAAGCCCGGCTGATGTGGGCAACGAGATGCATTTTCAAAGCAGTGGCGCGTTGCACATGCTTCCTCGGCTGAGCAAGAAGAGAATCGATGCCAAAGTGACCTGAGGAATCAGTGCCGGTTGCCACCTTGTCCGTTCCCAATCGTCGCTTCGGTCTGCTGGATCATGTCATTGGTGATATACTTCCGGTTCCCCCAACGGCTCTGAAGTGGCGACTTCCACTAGTCCAAAGGTTGAGTGACAGTCGAAACACACCTGCAAAACACTGTGGTATCGGGCCAATTACAACCTCCGTTGGAACGTTGAATGCCCTGACGTGGGTTTTGCCTTCCAAACAAGGGAACCTGCATTCCTCCTCCCCGCTTATTATTCAATTGATATAAACATCTGCCAGAACAACGACACTCACACACACCTCTTCCCATTCCCGACCAACAACTTACATCTAACCCAACTCCGCTACGTCGGCACCCTCTGCTGCGGCGATAAAGTTGGATTTTCACTCAAGCATCGGAGCCGACGTCCCTCTGCATCGACGACAACTCTGTCTGCTCATCTTGCCGTTGGACGGCTTCATTTTCTGTCGCCATGGCGTCGTCGTCTTCTTCGCCGCCAGTGCCGCAGGCCGATGCCTTCCCCGATGGCACCACTGATTACGTTCCGGTACGGAAAAAGGCGTACGACATCCGCAAACCTCGTGAGTTCCCCCATCCTGTCCTACGCTGCATGCGTAGTGATCGATGGATGCTGACCATCGCCTGCGACAGACATCACGGAGTTGCCCATCACATGGAGCAACTGGTACCAGCACGTCAACTGGCTGAACACGACCTTCATAATCTTCATTCCTCTGGCTGGCCTGATTTCGTCGTACTGGGTTCCTCTGCGGTGGGAGACGGCCGTTTTCGCTGTGGCCTACTATTTCTTTGCTGGTCTCGGAATCAGTGAGTTTGATCGTCGAGAAGGGGAAGATAAGCGAACATCGACTGACATAACTCCCTAGCTGCCGGTTACCATCGCCTGTGGGCCCATACTAGCTACAAGGCCACTCTCCCTCTCAAGATCTTCCTTGCTGCCGGCGGCGCCGCTGCCGTCGAGGGTAGCGCTCGGTGGTGGTCCAGCCTTCATCGCTCGCACCACCGCTACACCGACACCGACAAGGATCCCTACTCCGTCCGGAAGGGTCTGCTCTACAGCCACATTGGGTGGATGGTCATGAAGCAGAACCCTCGTCGCATTGGCCGCACCGATATTACCGACCTGAACGATGACCCCGTTGTGGTCTGGCAGCACCGCAACTACATCAAGTCTGTCATTACCATGGCCTTGATTGTGCCTACCCTCGTCTGCGGGTTTGGTTGGGGTGACTTCCTGGGCGGCATCATCTACGGGGGCATTCTGAGGATCTTCTTCATTCAACAAGCCACCTTCTGCGTCAACAGCTTGGCCCACTGGCTCGGCGACCAGCCCTTCGATGACCGCAACTCGCCGAGGGACCACGTCATCACCGCTCTGGTCACCCTTGGCGAGGGCTACCACAACTTCCACCACGAGTTCCCGAGCGATTTCCGCAACGCGATTGAGTGGTGGCAGTACGACCCGACCAAGTGGTTCATCTGGACCATGAAGCAGCTCGGTCTTGCTTACAACCTCAAGACTTTCCCTCAGAACGAGATCGAGAAGGGCCGTGTGCAGCAGCTGCAGAAGAAGCTCGACCAAAAGCGCGCCACCCTGGACTGGGGTATCCCTCTCGAGTCTCTGCCTGTCATCAGCTGGGACGACTTCGTTGAGCAGAGCAAGAACGGCAAGGCTTGGGTTGCCGTTGCTGGTGTTATCCACGACGTCGGCAAGTTCATTGCCGACCACCCCGGTGGCAAGGCCCTGATCTCGTCGGCCATCGGCAAGGACGCCACTGCCGTCTTCAACGGCGGTGTCTACAACCACTCCAACGCCGCCCACAACCTCCTCTCGACCATGAGGTGCGGCGTGTTGCGCGGCGGCTGCGAGGTTGAAATCTGGAAGCGCGCCCAAGCCGAGAACAAGGATGTTGCTGCCGTCACCGACTCCTCGGGCAACCGCATCGTTCGGGCCGGCGACCAGGTCACACGTGTTCCTGTCCCCGTTGCCACCGCCGATGCCGCGTAAACAACTGAGATACGCGTTGCTGTATCTGCGGTAACCACATCTGGCCGATTGATATCGGCAGACGCCGGTTGATGGATTGGGAGATTTCCCTCACCTCACTAATTAGACGATTATGGAGCGCATGCCTCTTGCTTACTCATGATAAAAATGTTCTTAGGCGTTATGGAAGGAAGGGGGATTGGGGTCAAGGAGAGTATTCATCCAAGGCGCAGTGTGGTCATTGGCATGGTTTTACATATGTCACGATGAAACTCGAGCAATGCAAAAGTGGAATTCAAAGCCAAACTTTACACTCCACTACAATTACACAAGGACGAAGTGAATGATGGATCTACGTGCATCGGGGTTCGTCAACACCCTACCTACCTACGGTGACCAGTTCTATCTTTTGGGAGTCTACCACATGCCCTTTAACAGTTTTGACTCTCACTGGCTGACAATGAAACAGAGCGCCATATAGCAAAAGAACGTAGCGTACATAGTCGACATGATGGTTGCGCAGTACTCACCGGATGAATGAAATCCATTCCCATCTGATGGGAAGATGTGCCAAAGGCTCTTGCTAGTTTCTTGTGGGTTGGAAGGTAATTGGGGGTAGGTATTTTGAGAGGTGGTATCGCCAATGGAGACCGTTCACAAAAACACATACATACACCCAAAAAAAAAAAAAAAAAAAAAAAAAAGAAAAAAAAAAAAAGAAAAAGAAAAAAAAAAGAAAAAGAAAAAAAAAGAAAAAGAAAGAAAAAAAAAGGAACCACCGCAACATCGCATATATCTTGTTAGCTTGTTAGCAAGGTGTAAAAGCAGCAAGAGTAAAATAGCAGATATGCCGCCCAGGTCGCCACAAGGCCGCCACAAGGCCGCCACCCCTCAGCCGGAAATCTATGATCCGTGAGAACTGGTGAAAATAGTAAAAGAAGAAAAGCAAAGCAAAATGCATGCAAAACCCATTGAGCGCGAAAAGACCACGAGACAAACCAAACCACCCATCCCGAGATGCCCACCGCCGAAAGACACCATGTAAACCTCCTGCCCTATGCCTGTTGCCTTGTCATGCTGATGCTCCGTCCGTGTCCTGTAGTGAACTCCTTATTACCAACCAGCGTGATTCCCGATCTCTGCAGTGAACGAAAGGCCGGAAATGCATGAGAAGAAGGATGATGATGCACCGTGATGTTGGCCCCGATCATTAATGCGGCTGTACCCCTGAAAGATAAGAAATAGTGAAGAAACTGAGTGGTGAAAAGGAGACCCGTTGACCGTACGGTCGTCATGACCGCTTGTGCATCGACAGATAACTGCAAGGTCCGTATGCTGCCTGCTATCAGTCTTGACTGGGGCCCTGGGTCGCGATCCACTGTTGGTAGATACCTAGTTCGCGATCCAATGTCAGGTGTTCCGTGACTTGGCCCAGAGGTTCCCGGTCTGATATCCGAGAACTGCGAGCCGATGCCAAGAGCCGGGAATTATGTTATGAACTTTCGACTAATGTCAAGGACGTCGAACTGATGTCATGGTCACCAATACTGATCGCGAGCTGATATCCGAGAACCGCGGAGCGATGTCAAGAAATTTCGCCCGATATCAAGAGCCGCGAAGTGAACTCAAGAAGCGCGATCTGATTGTTGTTTGATCGCGATCTGATCTCAAAACCCCGGAGTGTCCTGTTGTGATAATAATAATAACAACGATGAATCGAATCAGGGTTCAGGGAGCTTGCAGGGAGGGTGCTGCCTTATTTCTTTTCGAAGAGACTCCGCAGGTCCATCAAGCGTTGCCTGGCAGCCTCTGTCCGGTCACTAGTCTTGGCGTCGATGTAGTCCCGATCCATGCTGAGACTGGCCAGCTTCTTCTTCTTGTCCTGCAGCTTGAGCATCTCCTCCTCAAAGCTGCCCCTCATGATGAAGCGAACGATACGGACAGCCCGGGTTTGGCCGAGGCGGTGCACACGGTCGACGGCCTGCGCCTCTGCAGCAGGATTGAACTGCGGCTCCATGACGTAGACGCTGTTGCCAGCCGTCAGGTTTAGACCCAAGCCGCCGGCCATGATGCTGACCAAGATAACCTGCACGGACGGGTCGTCACGGAATGCGTCCATGGCAGCGTTGCGAGCGGGCCGGGTCATTTTGCCGTCGAGTCTGGTGTAGGTAATCCCCGCGCTATCCAGTGCGATCTGGATCAGGTCGAGGTGGGAGGTCCAGCCGGAGAAGACGACGGATTTGAAAGGAGGTTCGCCGGGGCACATGGCGCTCCTTTCCTTGTTGGCTAGCAACTCGTCAATGAGTGCACGCGTCTTGGTATGCGGCCCGCTGTAGCGGTCATCGGGTATGATCTTGCCCGTGCCTCCCTTATTCTTGGCCACGCGTGACTCGTGCTCCATGTCGGCGCGCTTGCGTCGCAGCTCGACACACGATGACTTATCGATGCCGGCACACTCGTCGCAACTACCCTGTTCACTGTGCAGCTGTTTGACACAGGCAGCGCAATACGTGTGGAAGCACTGTGCCATATACCCGAGAATGTCATCCTGTCGGTCAGACTCCGGATCGTCCACCTCAACGGCGCCAAGTTTGCAGTTGCATCTAAAGCAGTTGTCGCTGTTGCCCTCCTGCATCAGGTACAGCATCTCGTATGCCTTCTTCTCCTGCAACACTGGCTTCTCCTCGTCGTCACCGTCCAAGTTGATGGGCGTGTCCGCCGTCATGCCCTGAAGATCAGCAAAGTCGTCGTCGCTGAGCAGGTCTTTTCCATGTGCACAAAGCAAGCGCAGCTGCAGGATAGACCGCAGTATGTGTATCATGGTCTTCCCGCCGATGATGCGATCTTGGCCAATACTCTGGCCCGTCAAGACTTTAACCCGCTCCCGAGCTGATTTGGCAAACCACTCATAAACCTGTCGCTCCTCTGGTGAGAACTCTAACCTGACGACCTCGTCGGTGCGCGGCGGCAAGTGGATCTTGTCCTTGAGACGCCGCAACGTGACCGTGTCAATGAGAACACGGAGTTTAGGCACGATATTCGGGTCGGCAGTCTTGAACGGCTGGATAATGTATTGCAGGAACTTTGCCTTCTCGTCGAACGGCTTGAGCCGCAAGAAGGCCAGAAGAGCGGCGAGATCTTCCAACTTGTTCTGCACCGGGGTTCCAGTCACAGCCCACCGGCGGTGGGCCTGCAGTCGACAAACGGCCTTGAAGCCCAGTGTCGCTTGCTCCCGGATCTGATGGGCTTCATCCAGAACGATGCGAAACCAAGCGATCTCCTCCAGGGGGTAGGTGCCCGGCTTGTTCTTGTTCCGCGAGTTGAGCTCGCTGACAACCGATCCGTATGTTGTAATGACCAAGTCGAACTGAGCCAATTGGTCCACATCCTTGATGCGGTTGGGACCATGATAGATGTGGTAGGAGACAGCATCTGGCTGAATGTGCTGCTTTATCTGCTCCTCCCAATTTGTCACCGTACTCAGAGGGCAAATCAGCAAGGTCGCCTTTCCGTTCCGGCGTAGCGGCGTTAGCTCGAGCGAGGCCGGTCTAGGCACCTCGAACTGTTTCGGAAAAGGATGTTGTGGCTTCTGCTCGGGCGCCTTGGGCTGGACAGCGGGGAGTTGTGCCCAACGATCTGCTGCGTCTAGGGTCTTCGTTATGAGGGACAAGATGCTGAGGGTCTTGCCCAACCCCATCATATCCGCGAGGATGCCACCGAGAGTCGGCGGGGGCTGCTCTCGCTGCTCGTGGTTCGTGACAACGTTACGGTAAATGACCCTGCCAAACTGATCCTGTTGGCGCTTCCAGGTAGACGTGACGATACCCTTGCCAGCATCCGGCAGCTGCTCAGACTCGCGAGATGTCATGAAGAACAGGGCTTGTCGCTGGTGCTTGAGCAACGGCGTCTGAATGCGCGCATCCGGCTCGGCCTCGGGCAGCTCCTCGGACTTAGGGAGAGAGTCAAAGATGTTAAAGACCTCGGCGCGGATCTCCTCCTGTGTGCGGGCGGCGGGCGGCGAATGGTATTGGTTGCTACTTCCAGCATTCTTGAAGCGTGCAACCGTAGGGAGTCTGTTCTCCTTTGCCATGGGGTTGTACACTTTAGCTCCAGGCTCAACCCGCGGGGGGCTCACAAGGTTCATCTTAGCCCTGAGCAGGTGAGCGGCGATTTGCTCGGCGAATTTTCGTGGCCCGTAGACCATTAGCTCGCACTTGTGACTAAATGAGGCCTGCTGACCGACCTGTTCGCCAGGAAGTTTCCGTCTAGAAGGGATGCGGCAATCTGTGCGTATCTGGAAGACGGGCGAGTCCAAGAGGGGGACTAGACCCTCTGCTGTCTTTGGATCGACGGTACCGAAGATATGCCGCGTGTAGTCATAGACGTAAATCCTCTTCGTCTCGTCATCCGCTTTCCGCTTGAGAACGACCTTGACCTGCGGCCAGTAGCTGTCACCGTTGATAGATATCATGTTAGGCTTTGGTGCTGGGACCCTATGGCAGTTGATCGAAGCGCCTTCGATCATCCCATAGCAAACCTCCTCATCCTTGACGGAGTCTCTGGGAGTCTGGGATGGCAGAGTTGGAATGGCGTCACCCTTGGTTAAGTCGATGGTCTCGAGCGTCTTTAGCACTGGCCTCGTCTGACTGGCCTCTCCGAGTTGCTGCTGCTTGATGTGCTGCCCGAGGATGCCGCTGCTTGCTGCCGCGAAAGGGCTGCCCGGGGAGAGTGAGGGCGATGGGTCGTATTCGTTATAGGTCTTCCGGCGCTTCGGCTGGGGCGCATTGACGCGGTCTTGCACATTATGCAGCCGCTCGATGCTCTGGGCGAAGCCGTTCTGAAAGATCGGCATCGTCGGCGCATGGTGCTGCGGCACGTTCTGGCCGCTGCTAGGAATCCCCGAAAAGTCCACGGTGAGAGACTCGGCGGGACTGGCAAACTGAAAAGATATCTCTGGCTGCTCCGATGCAATAGATGGCGTCGAGGACGTTGGAGTGGCCCCCGCAGACTGCGGCCTGGCCGGCGCGACAGGCCCAGCCTTGGGGTTCAAGAGCGCAGCCGGGTCCCACATGTTGCCTACCAGTAGCTGGAGTAAGACTGGCTTGATTCTGTCCGTGGTCCTACGAGTTTGTGTTAGCATATGATGATGCGTTCTGCCGAGCCGGGTTGAATGGCTATGAGTCTTCACGGCAACTGCGTAGAAAACAGATATGAAAGTCGGTTGTGCGGCGGTAAGAGGTAGGCCAACAACACTCACCGAGGTGTGGCTACCAACGCCCTGTCAAACGGCCTGCGCCTCTGCTCAAGCCGGAGTTACCAGCGGGTGCGACAAGAAACCTTTGGGGTCATCAGAGCAAGCGAAAGGGTTTTATTTCGGGAATCTAGAGTGTTTCGTGTGGAATGTGGTTCTCGCCGTCAGTATTCCGCAGGCGATTGTTGATTGTGAACCGGTTGATAGCTGAGTGGGGCCAAGTCCGGAGGAGCAAGGATTGCTGGAAGGTGGAAGGTGCCTCTAGCAAAGAGAGGCAAAGAGACGAGGCGAGCGAGTTGGCAGACTCGAGCTGTAGGCAGAGCTGTGGGGAGAAAAAAATTTAGATCATCTTCGCCTGCCCTCGGGCAGATAATGCTTTATGTAGTCGGAAGAAGCGAATAGGAGGCCCAGAGCAATGGAAAGCATCGGATGGAAAAGTGTTGATGAATCTTGGATGTGGTTCTCAGTGTTAAGGTTCACTAGAGCTTTATCGCAATCGGCCGGCCGCGATAGGCCCGCGTGACCCTGCACAGATTGCAGCGGAAGCTCTGGCACGTGCCACCCTAAGAGACGGCGCCCGGGACCCTGGAGGGTCCAGGTTGTGGAAGCCGGCTCCCGGGAGCTGCCGGGTTCTCCCCCGCTTTCACTCGACTACCTAAGGTAGTGTAGGTAAGGTATATATTGTACCTACCTAATAAGCACAGCGACCAACCCGACCGGGAGTTTTCAAGGTCCGATTCTGGCGTTGGCATGTGTTTCCAGGTTTCCAGGCTCTTCGTGGCCTCGAGCCCTCCAACATTTAACCAGTGCCGTCATGCATGTGAAACCCTGCGCGTTTCACTCGGAGATACGCAAATGCGGCACATACCTGCAAGATGCCCTGCTTCTTGAAGTGAGATCTAGAGCGAAGGCCCTTGGGGCCGGCGCTCTCAGTGGGCGAGGAAATGTTCCTTCCGCCAATCTGATGTGCAGATTGTACGTAAAGCCCGCTCCTAAAGGTAACGTAACTCACAGAGGTATATATAGGCCTCCGCATATCCAGTGACACGACCAGCCGAGAAACTACCACTACTACTGTGTATCTGTATCAGCCACAGATCACCTGCTCGGCATGCCTTATAGGTAGTGTTTGAGCTCGATTTGGGCATAAAGCACCGCTCCCTGCGTCGTCTCCCATCGAACAAGACTGTCGAACACCCACCTTACCATAAGCTTTCTAGCCGAAGAGGAGGTCGGTGAACACAGCCTTGATGTAATGGGAAAACTCGGAATCCCATCTCACCTATCGATGCTGTCCCATGGAGCCTCGGAACGTCTGAGAATGCCTCGTGACTCTCCTGTTGACCTCCACTCAAACCCCACTCTCCCCCACATCGACACTCTAGCCCCAGGCCCGCCATCCTCCGTTCACAATCGTTGTCCCTCCCGTGCTCACCTCTGTTGGCAACTGCCGACTACGACCCAGTTCCACTCCCACCAACACCAGGTACTGATTACTCTCGTGCCCACCGTCAGCATTACAACCAACATCGCACCGCCAGAGCTCTCAACCTCAATCCTAAGCATACCAATCGTATGCTCTCGGCCTTCGTCCCCGAGTCTGCTGCCTCCTCGCTTTCCCCTCTCCCCCAAAATCCAAAGAAAGGCCACTTTCCTTCGTAGAGCAGGGCAACCGCACGATCGGCCTTCAACTATGTTGCTCGGCTGCATAGCGACGGGTGGAGGCTGAGGGGCGGCCTTTTTGGTTACTGCTGCGGTTTAAGGTTGATGCTAACTAAGGTTGAAAGACAGGTTGAGCGGTGACGGCGGCCGAAGGTGGCGGATCTTGCCGAACCTTGCGCTAGTTCCCTTCTGGGAGACTGGCTGTGCTGATGGCGGATTTTTGGACGTTTCTTTTGCGGCCCCGTTGGCTTCTAGGTCGAGGATTTGAGCGTGATTGGGGCTGGTGGAGACTGTCGTTGTGGTGGTGGTGGTGGTCGTCGTCGTCGTCGTCGAGATGGTGATGTCCCCTTGAATCAGGAGTGAAAGGTGAGTCTCCATGTCGAGTTTGGCGTTGGTGAGTATTTGGTTTCTTTGAACTACTAGTACCTATCCTGGACCTGAGTGTCATGCAGACGGCACAAAGTGAGAGCGTCGCCTTCCCGGCAATATAAAGGTAGGCCGATTTCGCATCCCGCGGGGATTCTGCCGAAATCAGCAATCGCACGAGGCTCCTCCCGCTTCGGAAGTGTGTCTGTGGTCTAGTACTTGATGACTTTGACTACGGAGCTTTTCGCCTGCCAGCAAGGACCTTTAGAAAAGACCTGGATCTGCTGTCGCGCCCGGGGTAACTCCTGCACCATCGCTAGAGTTGTGGGGGGCATCGGCACAGCATCATCACACGGCACAAGGGTGCTGCTACCTCTTAACTCGGGGACCGGGGCGCTGCGGGTCTTGAACCGAGTAGCAGAGAGCGCAAGCCCATCATGGCGAGTGGCACACGGGTTCGAATGTGCCTCGAGCTTCCATGGATATGGTTGCTTAAAGAGCATCAGTGACACGTTGTGTCGGCTCCTGCTCGTCGTCCTGTGCGCAGATATGGCTGAACATTGCCGAAGCGAAAGCTGGAGGGGAGAGAAGCCCGAAGATCGGCGGGTATCTTGATGTGAATAGGACTGTTGGGCCTGCAGGCTACTTATGTAACCTAGGTACGTTACATGTAGTACAAACCGTTGTATATACACTGCCAGATCATCGCCGGACTAGTTTGACGGAGTGCTGAGGACCTCCTTGATGATAGCGGTGACCTTCTCTTTCGAAACGGAGGTCCCGTCCAGTGGCCCGCCCGGCGCGAGAAGGCTGCGGACCATCTGTCCCATCAGCGCCTTCTCCTGGATGCCCGCGGCAACCAGGCTGGCCTTGGTGCGTTCGGCAACCTGCCTTAGCTCTGCCTCTCCCAGCTCCCTGAGCCCGCTGCTAGCCGCATACTCTTCCAGGATCCGCTGTTGTGCTTCCTCCTTCTCAGCGATGTCTTCACGGCCAGCCGCCCGGGCCTCGGCGGCAGCTTCTTGCGATTTGCGCGCTGTCTTGAGCAGCAGGCTGACAAGTTGCGCGTCGGTCGTGATAGGCTTGTCGGTTTTGCTAGCGTTGAGAGTTGCGGTGAGCAGAGAGCGGAGGACGGCGAGGCGATTTGTGTCCTTGGCCCTCATGGAGGTTTTGAGGTCTTCTTTAAGTTTGGTGAGGAGCGGCGGCGGGGGTGGGGCGTCGGTCGAATAGGCGGCACGGAAGACGTGGCGAGACATGGACGGTCTCAAGCTCGATCGGCTGAGGCTCCGAAGGACGGGGACGGGGAGCTTGCTCGCCATTGCAGCTCAGGCCAAGGTGAAAGTTTTGTTGTTGTCAAGGTATGGCGCAGGACTGACCGTTCTTACGCAAGACAGTACAGTAGTGTAGGATGCGGCAATTGAACTGCTTTCGAGCTCGAGATCGAGATTGCACGGCCCACAAGGGATCGACACGGCAAGCAAGCCTATTGGCCCGCTAAGCTGCAGGCTGCCCGGCACTGGCTGGCGTTGTTGATTGGATACCTGCGTACTAGACCCTAAGACGTCACTGGCTGTCTCCTCTCTCTGGCAGCGAGACAGTGCTAGGGTTAACTACCTAGTAACCAGCTTGTCTCATCAGAGCATATTGGCACCATATCAAGACTGCTCTTCCTGCAGATGCCTTTAACGGAATGAAGGCAGGCGGCAAGACCAATGCGTCCTGTTGGCGCTTCGACCGAGACATAGCGCCAAATCACCTGACATCCTGAACTGCGGAACTGAGTTCCACCGTCCAGGGTCGGGGGACTCCTTGGCCGCAGCCGCGGCGCTAGCCTGCCCCGATCGTCAATCATTCGCGGAGTGCAACGACGAGAGATTGTGAGAGATTCTCTCCCAGCCACAGTGCATCGGAGATCCTGGTAAGGCTGAGCAAGATAAGAGTGGACGAAAGACAAACTTGGTGAATAAAGTCGGGGGGACGAAGGCGGCGTCAGTTGGTCCTTCAGGGCGAACAGGGTGAGTTGGGCAGCAGTACAGGCTGTTTCGGAGGCTCCCCCAGTGAGGCAGGATGGGGCTTGTTGTTGGTTGATAGTCTCTCCGGCGCTGCGCAAATCGGCTTGCGCAAATCTTAGCGGGCGGGCCCCGGAACCGAGATGGAAGAGGGGGATGCTATCAATATCTGACACAGTCAAGTATCAATTCAGCCAGCTTGTTCCTCATGGTCAAGGTTGCTTTCAACTTGAAAAGTTGGTGTGAAGTCGTTGTACGGGCATGAAGTTGCGACGCGTACGATTAAGGACCCCTGAGCGGTTGCGCCTTCCTTGCCCGGTCTAGACACAGTTCTCTTGAAATGGGCTTCTCCGAGCACGGCGCGGAAAGGGCGGCCGTGCCCGTCCTATGGCAACCAACCTGGAAGGTACCGACGAGCACACTCAACCTGGCTCTGCCTCTCTCGACCCACAACCATCGCCTTCGAGTTCTTCTCCCCCCATCGTAAAGATACAATAGCAGTCTGACATCTTCCTGCTTCCCACCAACATCGAGACGCAACAGCAGTACATGTACAAGGCCTGGGTTTGCTAGAACCGACTAATTCTGAACCTGGGGTATCGAGGAACTCGGCTCACAACTACCAATCCGCACCCATCGCAACCGAGAAATGCTGCATACAGTGCTGGTCATCAACTTCGTTGTCCCTTGTTCAATTCTGCCAGGTATGCAACACTCTACGTCTGCGCAGCCAAAATGAGAGGCATCGCAGACGCCCGACGCATGGGCAAACGCCCTCGACGTGCTCCCGGTTATCCATGTCGCACCCGCTTTCTCGAATCGCCGTGTCTTGCACCTTTCGGGATCTGGTGGCTTCGACTGTCGCCCTGCCGGTGATGCCGACTACTGCCTGGTTTGCGGCCTATGCAAACGTATCTGGATGCACATCGTCAGCCACACCGCAGAACGTTCGTGCGATAAGGGACGAGAACTTTCTCTTACACTGGGAAATAAGCCTGCGCAGTATCGTCGATGTATCAGCAGCTAGGCCGACACGGCCAGCAAGGGTTTATCAACCCGAGATGTCGCAACGAAGCAACCACGGCAACAACCATCGGCGAACAGTGTCATAACATACCTTGAAGGCTGGGTTGTCGGCTTCACTGCGAGCTTGCGCTACGAGAAGCTGTATGTCGGTGTTTGACATGCTGGACAGGCCATCAGGGTCAGTGCGGATGCTCCGAGCAAGGGGTACCGTGGGTGGGCTCGTCACTCACTTGAGGGCGTGTGCAAAGGGGAATACGGCAAGCGAGGACAGGAGCCGGTGGACATTGGGTCTGTTTGCGGTGCCGATGGCATGGTCTCTCGGATCTGAAGGGGGTCAGACAACGAGCTCTGTCACCGCAACTGCTGCATCTTGGCCCCGCACCTGTCGGCCAACCGCTCAGGGGCAAAGTCAACAACCGAGACTCGACCTCAACGAAACCCGCTTGCGTCATCCAGCTTTGCAGTCGCAATGGTGCCCTAGGATCTTTCGCTGGTTGGATGCTTTGCATGTAGCTCTGTGACCAAACCTGAAGCGCATGATCTGACAGTTCATCAGCCGCTGCCCGGAGACTGGAGACCTACGATGTTTAGCAGCACTCACTGGAAGTAAGCGTTCCGTTGTCAGATTGAGCATTGAAGTATATCTCGACCATCTGACACCAGCCTCCAGGGCGAAGGATGCGCAAGGTGTCGCCGAGATAGTTCATCCACCTATCGGCATGGATGCCGCCGGCCATCATCCTGCTGTGCACCAGGTCGAAGTAGTTGGAAGGGAACGTGGACCTGACGCGGTGTTAGCGATGGAGCAGCGTCTCTCAGGTTGCCCTGCTGACTCACGGACTGTTCAGGTCGTCAACCTGAAAATCCAAGTTTGGTGGGAGGGCTTCCGGTACAGGATAGGGGTACACGTCGATTCCAATCACCTAACGTCATTCAAAAGGTCAGCGAACGAAGACGCCAAACGCATTCGAGACCAGGAAAGGAGCAGCTGGCTGTTCCCAACCGTCAGCGACCGTGGCTGCCATCGATTTTGCCGATCCCAACGGAGCAGCCTAGCAGCACTGCATGCCGTCGAGAGCGGCAACGGGATGAGAGGGAAGTGGGCACAACAACATTCTCTGTTTCCGTCGCTGCTGTTCACACCGGAAGACGAGAACAGGCCGAACAAGGGCAGATTCACGTACCTCGCATTCAGGATATTGTTCGGCAACGTCGATGGCCCAGGCACCAGATCCATACCCACAATCCAGGATCCTCCGTGGCCGTGGGAGCGGAGGGAATATTAACCTGTTGTCGAACATCATGTTGAAGATCTCGTGCATATACTGGAGGCGATCGATCTCGTCCTACTCGACAACGGACCGGCAATGAGATCAGTAGTCGGTGAACCTAGCAGAGTCCCGCTTACATCGTCAACTGGAGCGAAGTATATCCCGTTTTCCAAGGCATATCGTTGGAACTCCCTGTTATCGTGGACAATAACTTCGCGGTATGTGTTGTCGACAGGAACGGTTTGGGAATCGCTATGTCCGGTTAGCTACTGTGCTTGCATCGGCCGCGACTAGCAACCTAAGGGTGGATTACACACTCTTCGTCCATGGTTGCAGCGATTCGGGTCCGACTTCCCTGACGTCGCACACAGTGTGGCAAATCTTCGAGGAGGAAATCACAGAGGCACTAACGGCCAAAGAATTCAAAATGTGGTCCCAAGCAGCTCGGGTGGGGATGACCCGGGAAGTTGGGTTCGGGCATCTTGAGGAGTTATACGGGCCTTATGCGGATTTGAGAGCGCGGGCGGAGATACTTCAGGACCCCATGCTCCTGGGTACGGGCTTCAACTCTCCCGATGCGTCACTCCCACGTTGGAAATGAGAAAATGGTCGCTTGTGGGCCCCTGGTCCGGTGCCAAACGCTCAGATTGGCCCGCCAGAGCGGTTTGCACGCCACGATGGGATTGTCGATCAGATGGCGTTGTTGGCGCGCTGTTGTTCAAGTATCTGGGAAAGGGTAGCCGTCGGAAACCCTTGCTCTCGCCTCGACGGTTCCAACGGAAGCGGGCGGGAAGCTGGTATCCCAACCGGGCTTGGACCAGTTACGACGTCTCGGGTTCTGGGACGACCACACCGCCTTTGACCAGGACGACCGGTCTTCGACTACGTGGACTGACGAGTTCATCCCGGGTCAGGTGCTGCTTCGACATACTTCGCCGGGGAACTATGTTTCTGCCTGAACGGTCAAAGTGTCGGGAAGACGGAGGCTCCCCGCACGCACTGGGATCCGACTACGCAGCATGCTGATTGAATCAGATGAAACGCCTTTCCCGCTTGTGACATCCACTCCTCCCGTGGCCGGCTGGCTCCTGCAAGCTCCTTTTCGAAAGCTGCAAGATTCTCCCGCATTGGGTACTGATGACTGAACGGGAAGCTCACCCTGTCTAGCCGTGAGGAAGGTCCCGGAGGCTAAGACATTCTCAGCCTGATGCAGCGCTCAGAACCCACGGCCAGGTCATTGACCCGTTTATTATCCCCCTTGAGTGTACAGCGGGCCTACACGGTACTGTAGTGCCGCCAGTGGACACAGCACGCCTATCAAGTATCAACTCTCCTGCAGTCGGGGATTGTTTGGGGCGAATGAGTGTTGGTTGGCTTGATTACCCCGTCGGGCCTATAATATAATGCTGGGTCACTTAAGGAAAGTCGCAGACTGGTCGACCATTCGGCACTCCGGGTTTATAGAAGTACACAAACCAGGTCATCGGCGGACGGGAATACTTCGTACAGTACCTCCGGGGGACTTGGCATGAGGGACCAATAATGCCGCTGCGGCGGCCTATGGACACTAGCCTCCCGCCTAAGAAGGAACCTTCTGGCCGTGGTACAGATCTGGGGTGGAACAAGGCCGCTGCGATGTTGTGACCTAAAGTTACGCTACACCGCATTGAGGGCTGCCCAGGCATGCCAGGCAAGGGAATAAGAGAAATCCGAGGACACGGCCCTGGGATCTCACGGAGTGTACACAGTAGTGTGAAGCCAACACGGCCCCGCAAGGGCATTGACGCCAGGGGACGTTTAGGCGGCAGAGATGACCCATGGATGGAAATTTTCGAAGAATACCCCGCCGGTAACGCTCTCTGAATGAAGTTCACATCCGACTGCTGCAGAACTTCTGCCATGACCCTGGCTGGCATGCTATTCCCACACGCACCTTACTCCTATGGTTCTTGTTGTTTTACCGGCAAAGTGGGCTCGGCCAAAACACAACAGGTGGGACGAGCACACCATATTCTCCGTTCTGAGGCCTGGAACTGTCGGAACGGAGGAAGAGCTACATCGCAGCAAGAGCCATGGCCCTGATGGATACCGTATGCGGTACAACCTCCTTTCCCTCCAGCGAACTGGGGGGGGGGGTCTTGTGAAGGGATTGGTTGGTGTCTGCGAACCGGGCCGAAAATGCAGGGGGGGGGGCGGTACGTACCCCTTCCCAGCAGCTCGGGGACGAGTGCGCCTCATCGTTCGTCGGCACCCGCCCGGTTGGTATATTGCCCACGTTGCGGCACCTGTGCTCACAAACCACACCGACGGGTCTGGCGTTGCCTACACTAGGACCGCCCCTCGTCGTGGCATGGGGATACCCCGGCGCCCAGCTTGTCCAAAGGATTGCGAAACTGAAACGGCTCCCGGATCAATGGGGACGAGATTTGCACGGCAATGCCGTGGTGATTGTGTCGCCTGCTTTGGGCCAACGAAGTATCGACCGCTGAGCTGTCTCGTTCTTGCGGCTAAAGTTCAGGGAGTCGTCTGTGGCACGATCACCCGATAGGGACTGTTGCAGCGGCAACGTCGTCTTCGCCCGTCTTTCCGGGCATCACGGAGGGCAGGCTATCAGCAACCCCCTGCAGCCTGCAGCGGTATCATGAAGGCCAAAGCGGGCACGACTCCAGAGGCCAGCGCTATCGAAAAAAGAAACTCTGGATGTAACCGAGCCTTAAGTGCATGGCTTGTTGACCAGGCGTGCACACGAGTCGTCTTCATGTCAGCTTCGAGGATGTGATGACAAGCCGCAAAGAGGCGGTCACCGGGACATAAGCTTGGCACCCATGATCCTCGCAAGGCGCCACAATCGCTGGGGTTCCCGAACGCCGGGACCGAGTTTCAGTTCAATTCACTCGCGGCTATCCCGGGAAAGCTTGCGAACCCTCCGCAGCCGCTTTGTGATCGTGCGGAATACTACCCAGGCTAATGACGAAATGACTGTGCGCCAATAGAGGCATATGCCGCACTAAGCTACAGAGCATCAACCGGAACACCTCCTGGAGGAAGGTTCTTGCCGTCTCGAAATCTGCACGTCATGCCTGGGTATCATCGACTTAGGACTCGCGGGGCAAAACATTCCAATGAAATGGGGTCTTTGTTTCTCGACTAAACTGAATCTAGTGCGGTTGTGTGGTTGTGTTGACTTTTGACATGACCTACAGGGGGGTGGACAGACAGGGGAAGAACCGCGAGCAGGGGTGTGGCACTGTCGCAATCGACCGGGGCCTTCCTAGCCGTAACCACCGCGTCGGGTCGGGGTGAGTGGCAGGATGCCGTGTGCACAGTGCATTGCTCTTGCTCTTTTCCCCCCTTCCCCCCAATCACCAACCTTTCTTGTTGGGCAGAAGCGTCACTACCTGCAGGCCGGCTGCTGCTCTGGCTTACGAGGGGTTGCCGCGTGTTCGGAAAAGCAAGATGAGGCCAGAAATGCCGACCCGGGGACCTTCCTCACACCCATGTCCGGGACGAGGCCGTTTTCCCCGATACGGCAGCTCGTTCATGAGTCGTCCAGCTTGGGTTTCCGAGGTTCTGGCGTGCATGTCAGATGCCTACCAAGGATGTATTGTACACACATACACACATGCGCCAGGACCTCAAGTTGGATGACAATGCCTTTGTTGGTACCGAGACATCACGAAATGACCGGCTCCTTCAGAGATTCACATACCCCGCCACTCGATCCGCAATCTCCTGATGGCTTCTTGTCTCTCCACAACGCCAAACCTTCCCAAGCGGCCGGGTTTGTGCGACCTTGACACATCACCCCTCCATATCGGTGACCTTCTCGGAGTTCACTGGTTCTGACACGTCTCGTTCTCGGCCGCAACCAGGCATGCCGCCAGGCTATGATGACAAGAAAGAAAAAGAGGAAAAGAAAAGAGAAAAGAAAAAAAAAAACGAACCTCCGGCTGTTGACTTCCTCCCATGGCCATATTACTTGTCCACCCAGTCTCCCATGATTTCCTCCCCTCGAGGTCAAGATAAGCCGCGAGCCCGTGCCGTGGTGCTGGATTAGCTGCACGCAGTGAGCATAGAGTAGGCAGGTCTGGCGGAGATGCAAATGTTGCTGACGCCCAGATAATAAGTTCATACATAACCTGCATACTCACGCAGTTACACTCTCTTGGACTTCCTTCTTCGCACCATACTAGCGTCATGAAATTCCGGGAGGCACCTCGGCCGGCAGCCACTCCCGTTGTCGCAACTCTGCATACGCTAGTAGTGAGGTGCAGACGGGGTTGGGTGAGAATGCGGCTGGTCAGGTTGTTGATTCGGTGCTGAATCTGATACTCCGGTTCGCCCGCCCTGAATGCTGGTGCGGCGCTCTCTTTCTCCACTGCCATCAGTGCATTGAGATGACCAATGACCGGGTGGTCCGTTGAGGAGAGTGCCAGTGCTTCTGCTCACCGGAGACATCTGCGAGGTATGGCCTGTTTCTCCCTGCCTTGAGGGATCACAGTGACGCTCCCATGTCAAGGGAGAGTGCCTTTTCTGCTGCTTTGCCCGTCGTTGAAGGTGAAAAAGATAAATGACAGAACAACCATCTCTGCATCTTGACCCATACCCGACTTGAACGGATAACCTTTCGATCTGGAGTCGAACGCGCTACCAATTACGCCAATGAGTCTGGATTGACAGCAGTGGACATGAGCACAGAAGCGTTTTCAGAGATCCAGTCAAGGACGCCAGTCTGGATAGGTACGGTACATGTCTAGCCACGACAAAGATAGCCGGGGAGAGAGGGAGCGATGACACCTTGACGTACATCTTGACCTTCACGTCCAAGGCTGTTGTTCTCAAGATGAATACCTGGTAGTTATTGAGAGTTCCTAGATGACCAACAACTCTTGTCTCGAAGACAGTGAGCCATGAGAGTGGCAAGGTTTCGATCTCTTTTTCTACGTATTGTGCTATCTTCTTTCTTGCTTCCTTTTGCGCATTGCGTCTTTTCCGTCCTGGACGCCCTGGCCTTTCATTCACATGTGATGTTGTTGACAGCTACCTTTTGCGTTCCCAGCCTTTTTTTAGCTGCCTTTTCCAATCCCGTTCTATAATATAAAAGATGATGGGGTAGAAATTGTTGGATTGGGAGACGGTGTGCAGGGGACCACATGGAAAGGGAACCAGGAAGGTCCAATGCCGTGAGGTGAGCATATGGCTGCCACAGTGAGGAAAAGAAAGCGAAACGATCGAGATTAGAAAGAAAATACAGAAGCCCCAAAATAAGACAGTAATACCCATTTATATATCCGGCCCGCAGACCTCCTCCCCGTTCACAGATCCAAACGAACGCCCGTCCTTTACCTTACCTTTTAGCCGTCCAGGATCTCCTTTTCCCCGTCCGTAGAAAAGGAAGTCAAGTTGAAAGATCAACACCACGTGAAAACAGGATTCCGCCCCTTCACCATCTCCAACCGCTCCACAATCACCTTCCTCCTGTTCCCCTCCATGCCCGTTGCCGCGGCATAGCCTAGATCTCCGCCCTCAAGCTCCCCGTCCTGATCTTCATGCCCCTCTTGCATCCCGTCGCCGTCATCGTACGCGTGGCCACCAAAGTCATAGCTCGTGCGCCTGCTGGCGCCGCCGCCGCCGTACAGCTGTGCGGCGATGGAGTTGCTCTCGCGTCGCGAGGCCGGCGTGGTGAAAGAGAAGCGGGTCTCCTGGTAGTCTCCGCCGCCCTGCTGCCCGCGGTCGGGAGAGTACACGTTCAATGCGCGGGGGTGGGTGTGTGGGGCGCGGGCGATGTGCGGGCGGGAGGAAGAGGTGTTATTGTGGTCGGATAGTGGGTCCCCGTTGCCATTGCTGAGCGGGCTCGGAGAAGGGAGGTCATCTGCCAGGGCTAGCTCGAAGCGGCCCGGGTTCGGGAGGTCGGCTGGCGGGCTGGCGATGCCGAGTAGGTCGACAACGGCACCGGCACCAGTCGTGGCTGGGGCGCTGGACGCGCCAATGTCCATCTCTTCCTCGGTTATGACGTCGCTGCTTGCCTTCGTGGCAGCAGTAGCCGAAGCGGCCGAGTTCGACTCAGCGTTGGCGCGACGGCGCATTTCGGCGCTCGCAGCTCGCATGGGCACGGCCACGGGGACATCGACGAGGTCGTCCCAGACGCATACCTTAGGCCGCCGCGTCAGCTCGAGCGGGCCGTGGTCGGGAGTCTTGAGCGTTTCGACTACGTTCCACGCTTGGCCCTTCATAACGGCTATTTGGCGGGCGAACATGCGCTCTTGGAAGTCCTGGTCCATCTGGAAGACCCTTCGCAGCGCAAGCTGGGTTTGGCTCCACCATTGGGTCGATGTGAGCAGCGGGAGGAAGTGGTCGCGGGTTTTCTGCGAGAAGGGCCTGCCGATGAGATCGACGGGGAGGAAGAGCCAGCCAAAGGGAAAACTGAGTAGCATTGTTAGTGAGACCCAACTACTAGAAAAGCACGCTAGTCTTACCTCCTCCAAGCATCAGGGTGCTTCCAGGGCCACGACAACGAGTTGTCAATGGCTCCTATCGAAATCTTGGGATCTGGCGCGCTCGAGACGGGCGTTGATGCGTCCATGGGTCTTTCCCTCCTGTAAGGATAGGAAGCTCGGGTCTTGGGTGGCCCTCTCTGTGATAGATCCACTGGCCTCGGTCCGGGTTCTGGATCCGACGTGTCCATGTTGAGTCCGACCGGCTCAGATGCCACCGAGACCTGCTCGGTTTCCCAGTCGACCTTGATCATCCAATTGTCTAGCCCTCTATCCGTATTCCGCATGATGTAGTCCAAAATAACAAGCTTTTCCAGCTCCTCTCGGAAAGACTGCTTCAGCGTGGGGGTCCAGACGAAATTTCCGGGACCCGGAGTCTGGGATTGTGGGCTATCGTGCTCATCGTCGCTATCTGCATCGTGGTGAGGCGCGCTCGTCGGACGACAGCTGTCTGCCCATCTCCGCTTCCGTTTCCTGTGCGGATCTGTCGTCCGGAAGCCCGAGAGATACTGGTCCGGCCAGGGATGTTCGCGTAGGAAGACATTAGCGTCCTTGAAGCCCTTCAAAAAGACCTGGAAGCTGCCCGGTTTCGCAGGCAGCGCCTTCCTTTTCCTCGAGAAGTTGTAGCGATCCCAGAACGGGTAATGGAACGCCTTGGACGAGAGGTAGACTACGTCAGTATACGGAACCAAATGTGTGCGCAGTTGGGCGTCGAGAACGTAGGCCGCGGCTTCGCTGACGTAGGACAGGTTGGGGATGAGGCTGTCGGATATAGTGTTAGTCATGGGACGGTATTTTACCTTGAGGAAGGAGAAACACACCAGGCCCTGCCAAAGAAGCAGGGGAACAGATTCCGGTGAATCCACTTGTTCCACTTTGGGTTTCCCGCAGCATACGGCTCCTCGTCCTTGGGCTTGAACACACCCACCACTTTCCCCTCCTGGTTCCTAGCAAAGTAGCTGCCAGAGCTCCCTTGCGAGATCATCCGCGGATGTACCCCTTGTCGTATGGCCTCCCTCACGCTGTCCACGATGGCCTCAAACTCGGCCTTGGACATATAACCTGGCTCGGGCACAGCGAGCATCTCTGCCGTCACGGGCCGGACGCCTTCTGGTGGTTGGAAGACAGAGTGGTGGATCTCGAGACGTTCCTCCTCGCCCTTCTTCTTGTGGCGCGTGCGCTTGAACTTGGAGGCAATCTCGTCGGCCCAGCGCTCGAGCCGGGCATTTATGGCCTTGAGGTCGACACCGGAATTCCTACGGTCGCGGCGGCGGGGGCGACCGCCGGACCGGGAAGCGTCTCGGAGGGCAGCAACGGATTGTGACGACCGCTTCGGGGTGGTCATCCCAGAGTGCGGGCGGGGTTGGCTGATGGGAGTATAGCGTGGGGCGGCCGGAGGCTGTAGTGAGGCATAGCTGGCGGCAAGAACTTCGTCGTCCGAATCGTCGCTGAGATCGGCCTGCGCAAGGCGCTCGTAACCTGTTGTGGCGGGCCGCGGCATTTTGGTGGGGTTCCTGCGGGATCCCGTGGAAGAAAAATGGAAGGATTAACCTATCTGGTCCGCGGCTACGTGACGGCTCGCTTTGCAGAAACTGCGGTCGGGGTCTGATGGTTCCCGGTTCAGACCGGAACCCATCAATCAAAAGGGGCAAAGGTGCTAAGACACGAAGCCCAAACGATGCCTGGTAAGTAACACGATAGTAATACAGCGGGAACAAAATAGAAGAAGAAATTGGTGTCCTACACCAGGAGTGATAACCAGGCGCGTATGGGAAGCTCTCTCGATTGTGCACCTAAGATAGATCCCGATGATGGTGATACCGTGATGGTGCAAGCGCTCAGAAGTTTAGAAGCTCGAGACTCGCCAATGACGGCAACGGGAGTGTTAGTTCAAGCTCCAGGGTGGGGTGCCCCTATCCGCCGGTAATAAGCGGCATCACCCGCTTTGCACTGTTTAATGATTTACCTCGCACTGTACAATACCACCTTAGGTATTCGACGATGGATGGCAGGACCTCCTCGACATCCATCTGCTGCACAACAGACACCACCAGAGGATGGCAGACCCCTACAGGAGGCCGAAATTTTCTTCGAAGCCTTCAACTCTAACTCCACGCATGCGATGCCGACTAACCCGGCCCTGCCCGGCCCTGCAAAGGAGCGTGGCATCAAACGTGGTGGTGACAAATCCCGATGCAACCCTGGACTCGGGCTCGGGCCAGCTTCCCAATTGGAAGCCTGGGCGTTGTTGATGAAATGCAGCCTCATCCCAACGGCTGACCCGAATGGCCCCCGGGGGTCGCTTGGCCAGCACAGCCCACGCACGCACTGGCAGGCGCACTAGGCAGCCAACGAGCTGCATGACAGTAGGCAGGTGAGCGAACAATGGTGCAAAAAGGGTTTCGAACCTCATTCTGGTGTCCATGTGTAGGTACTCGAACTCTTGTGCCACAGCCCACCACGTCGCGTCTCCCGCTGTGCCACCAACCCTTCCCTCGGTGCACTAGGTACATAACAGCAACAGAGAGACGGAGTCTTTACTTTTTGTTTTCCCCCCTAGTTTCACTTCTTCCCTAGTTTCACTTCTTCCTCCCACTGCTCGTCCTCGCTTGATCTTCACACCGACTTCGTAGGAGCAGATTACAGATCCTCTCCCTACCCTCTTACACCAAACAACACCTTCCTCACTTCCTCACTTCTACACTGCCACACCGCCTCTTCCTCTCTCTTACGGCTGCCAACTCGGAAGTAAGCAACAGGAGGTCTTCTTGAGTGAGCGGCCACATAAAACGAGTTCTGTTGTCTCGCACAAGAACTCACACGGCTCCCTAGTCAGATACTCTGCCCTTGAGAGGAAGAGGATTCCCACTTGCACCTCGCTCATCTGGGTTTCCAGGGAAGAGGCAGGGCAAAAAAGGAGAGGAAGGCCAGAAATTTCAAAGCCAGGGGGAAAGAAAAAGAAAAAAAAAGGAAAAAGAAAAAACAAAGGGAAGAGATCGAGGGAAAGAGAGAGAGCGAGGGAAAAATGGTGCACAAGTACTGCTGGAAAGTCGTCGTCACCTTCCGCTGCGGCTGCGTCGAGTCCCCACCGACGACGCACCTGTGCGGGCCGGGCCGCCAGAACTGCGATGCTTGGGTGACGCACGAGAACGTCAACAGGGACTGTGAAGGTCACCGGCTTGGGTGGGGGCTGCAGCAGTCTTCTGCTTCTGCTTCTGCTTTTGCTTCTCCGTCTCCGTCTTTGTCTCCTTCATCTTTTTCCTCTCTGTCCTCTGTGTCGTCCTCCGCGGACCGTTCTTGCGACCACGAGGAGGAGGAGGGTGGCTCTGGTCACAGCATTGATGGTGCGGGGGCCGAGGGCCGGGATAAAGCCAGGCAATGGTATGGAGAGATGGGAAGGCGGAGGACAACTGAGGGCCACTGCGCTGGTCAAGGGACGACTGGGGAGGGGTGCTACGTCCGGCGGAGAATATAGATGATGACTTGGGTGAATCTGGGTGAGTGATGACGGAATGCCTTGGGGATGGATGGATAGGGAAATGTGCAGGGTTCTAACCGAGATAACTGGAAGGCTGGTAAGTGCATACTTGCAAGGGTCTTACTGCGCGTATCTGTCATTGACATTTCGACCAACCACCTACCTACAGGACCACATGGGCGAACTGCTGACGGCTAGCCGCAGGATGACTCCCCGCTCAATGAACCGTCTCCTTTTTCAGACGGTGGGCAGCAAAGAAGACAGTGGTGGGATTGGATTGCCGGGAGAATGGCAGGATGAGCGCCCAATTCTAGGAGGGAAATGACGGAGCTTGTTTTTAGTTGACCTGCAACAGTGGGTGAGGCATCAAGGCCTCTCAGCACTATTAGTACTAAGTATCACGACGACACGGCCTCAGCATATCTGGCTTTCGATACCACTCAGTCAACAGTTTGTAAAACACCTAAAGGACTGCTTTTTACTTAGCGCACTTGATGTGCGCACAATCGAACAGAACTCTGCTCTCTCTCCTTGTTGGATGCTTCTTGCAAGTAAATGAATCATCTATTTGATTACAGTACAGTGCCATACTTGCCCTTGCCAATATATTCTTAGCTTGGTGTCTTGTACAAAATGCCAACAATGACGACTCTCACGGCTACCTTGCCGGCTTCTCTCTCCCGCTGCCGAATGATTCATGAGTTTAGGTTTCCCCGTGATCAGCATCAGATCTCAACCTCCACTGTCCCATTTGGACTCACCCCCGGAATGCTCTGCGAATTAAAAGATTAAGTCGGCCAGGATCATCTGGCATGTATTAATAATCCCCCCCCAACCCCGAATTCATGGCAATGCTGCTCATCCCCGTTCCTTCACCTGAACTCCAAGCGGGGTATCATAGGTACCGTGTCTGTACCGTCAAGCCAACCCTTCCGGAGCCAAGATGGCTCACAAACGCCAAGATACACAAGTCATACACAGACAAAGTGAAAGGAAAAAGAAAAAAAAGCGGCAAAAGATTCAGACGAAGAAGATCGCAGATTGGCGCTCCCGCCTCCAGGCTGGCCGAGCCATTGCCGAACGTAGCTGCGGCGGCGAGTTCGTGGTCTGTGCTTCCGTAGCTTGCGCGGGGCTCTGCACCGAGGGCTCTTCCTGAACCGGGCTCTCGCTGTTGACTGGGGGAAGCTGAGAGGGCTTCTGCAGTTCAGGGGGTGGGCCGGTTTCGGACTGGATTGGATCCCACAATGGCCTCTGAGCAGGAAGGACGTTGTCATCCACGCCCTTGCCAGAGACGGCCCCCTGATGCTGGGCTCGGAAGCCCGGGATATGCCACGAGCGCGACCGTTCGATCCCCGGGCGGTGATTCAGCTCGTTGACCCCCATGCCGTACAGCAGCTCGTGGAGCTTCACTCCACCGCCCGAGCGGCGCCACTCCCGCTGTTGCCAATACGTGTCGTAGTTCTGTTTGTCTTGTTGCAACTGGTGCTTGAGCCTGAGCCGGTCCTTCTGGTTGGCTTCAGCCATTGCTTCCTCAATCTCGGCGAGGATATGCTTGTGCTCATCTGCCGCCGATGGGTAAATGATAGTTTCTGTTGCCTGTCCAGCAGAACCCTCGGGATGGCAAAGTTTGCACCTGATCTCGGCGCGGGATGCACCGGGACCGCTGCGGCAGGTCCACCAACCGCCAACCGTACGCTGCTTGTAGCTCGGCCAACCAGGATGGGGGTTGTGAAATTCTTTGGTGAATGGCTTCTTAGGGAGTTCCTCTGCGGCCCGCTGTTCATCTCCTGCCATGGCAGACGTCCTCCCAAGCACTTGAACGAGCTCCTTGTATCGTTCCATGGCACTGGCGCCGTGAAGCTTGACGGTCCCCTTGCGCTCTAGAAGGAAGAACCACTCTGGCACATTGGTGATCAGAGTATCAAGATTCGGCGTAAGGGGGAAGAACTTGCTGGGCTTGTATGGCTGGCCAAATCGCTTCATCATCTCTTCGACGGCAAGTTTGGTGTGCTCCAAGATCACGTTACGAGTATGCTCGTCCTGGTCCTTGAACCTGCCGCGTAACCCAATCATTGCTCCTGAGATCACAAGCTCCGTGAACTCTTCTTCGGCCTCTTTCTTCAGAACCTCCCTGCTGAGATATGCGTCAACTGCGGTGCCTCGGCCAAAGTCATACACCAGTACGTCCTCCAGCTTGCTGCAGCCACGATGGATGATCTTGCGCAGGTCTCGCTTGACAAGCTTAAGTCGATTTGTGAGCTGTTCTTCATTCTTAGCGACCATACCAAGGACTTTGGTCCGCTGTGCCCACTTCAACTGTTGGTTTGCTGGGCGTAGCAATTCGTCCGACAGGGCCGCTTCGCGGGTGACATTTAAGTCTGCGAGGTCCTTCTGAATGGACACCAACGACTCATAGACAGCACCGAGTTCCTCGAGATGATCTTCAATCATGCTCCGGAAGCGCGTCGTTTCTTCGGCATAGCCGCCGACAAGCGACTCGATGAACTGCTCCTCCCATGGCTCGAAGATCGTGCGAAGCGATTCCAGCCACTCATCGAACTCCTTGTTCCACGGCCCGAAGTCAGGTTGCGGCCAGGTCATGTAGTGGTGTCGTTTGATTTTCCACCTGCCGTAGGGGGCGGATACATCATCCCCTGGAACCTGTCTGGCAAAGAGCGAACCGATGCAGCCAACCGTTTCTTCCACCAATCCACCCAAGACGTGGATGCCCACTCCCTTCATGTTGACTGTCGGAACCCGGACTTGCGGGCCTGCTGGGTTGGCCTGCGGCACTTGTTGAGCCCGGGGGGGTTGCCGCGCCTCGCCATTTCGCACGTTGGGTTCTCCATTTGGTCCATTTGGGATGCGAGGGTGAAATCTGAGCGCTGGATAGCCCGGGGGGATGAAGAAAGGAAAGAAAGGATCGGTTGTCGTGGGACGTTGTGCCACACGAGGGATGTCAATCGGCAATGCTTTGCGGATATCATCCGTACGGTCGCGAGTAGTGGTAGTTAGGACTGGACCTGGTTTGGGAGGCGTATCGTCCTTCAATTTACCGCGATCCTTCTTGGCTGCATCCGTATCAGGCGAGGTCAAGGAAGCTGAACGGGCTGGGGCGGAATAAATCGCCGTCGAGCAAGACGATACGAAGGCTGTACCCGATGAGATCCCTTGCAGGCAGGGTTCTGGCTGACGGTGCGCAATACCAGGAACCAAATTGTGATCCTTGTCCTTGGATGTCTGGTCTTTGGTTTGCAATGGGTCCATCTCTGGTGAGGTGGTCGACAGTTTGCACGTGTCTCCAAGGTCAGCCACGGCTGCCATGTTAGCAGCCAAAGAGGGAGCTGCCGTGGTCGCCTCTGGCGATGGCGCTTGCGAAGAGTGCTCAGAGTTACTGACGTCGCGGTGCAAGTTCAAACCCGTATCCGGCTGGTCTGTTAGGTCTGTACCCGACTTTGCTCCTTGCAGCGAAAGCTCCCGAGACCCAAGAGTTTGCGATTGACGTGACTTCAGGTTAGCGGAGGGTGCCGTGTGTTCGCCGCCTGGCTTCCCCGCGTGAACTGATTCACCCGGATCCATTTTCGTCCTGGTTTTGGTGACGCTAGGATGACGGGGCGATATTAGGTATGAATGTTGACGAGTGTATTGAGTATGTTGAGTTGTGTTGAGTGTGTTGATTAGGTGCGGTAGAGTACTGCTACCGAAGAAGCCGGGTACAAAGCGATACGTAGGGGAAATGGGGAGAGTTTGGGAGAGGTGAAATCGGTCCACGGGTGGTTCAGTCAGAGAGCGTTTTTTGAACCATTATGCTGCATGTGGCGAGTGCACGGTCGATAAGAGTAGTGGTGTGTGTTGGGGGGGTGTGTTGGAGGGAAGGGGGGGGATGGGAGCGCACAGAACAACAAGCGATAATGCTCAACCAGTTCGAGGGCAGCCGAGCTAGGGCCTCTTGTCGTGTCGTCACGACACCGGATTCAGCAGATTTGTGGAGCTACCAATCGACTATGCCGTCAAGGACGCGAAGCTGATGACCACGAGGAGGAGACCCCATGTTTCAATGAGTTTCCAGGTCGAATCCAGGCGTGGGGAGAAGAGCGCGGTTGTCTGTGTGGAAGCCGCGAACAGCGCACATAACTCGTCAACCAGGAAGGCGCGATCTCTTTGCCACACAGCGAACCAGCATAAGCCGTCTGCAAGAGGTCTGAGCTTGACGGATCCCCCCCTTTGCCCCTTTGCAGACGGACCCCCCCTTTGCCCATTTGCAGCGGAACCCACCACCCTCCTTTTGCCCCTTTGCATGCAGGCTTGTCGGGACTCAAAGTCACTCGGCCGTGCAATGACGCAGCTCGCCTGCAAAGACGTTCCATGTCACATGATTGGGAGTTTTGTCCAGGGAACCCAAGCGGCTCAGAAGGCGGCCAGACGCGCTCTCACGCGTCTCTCTCACCCGTGCCGAAGCTCATGCTGGCAGAGGCCCGACCGAGACTAGCTCGTTTTCTTTTCTTGCACGGTACAGCTCGTCGGCAATGGCGGATTTCTGCTGCTTCCTCTTGATTGATTCGATGCTGGCGAACCGGCCGCGCGCACCGTGCTTGATCTTGGTGATCATGTCGGCCGCGGTACCTTTCGTGACATCTTCCGGACCCAGCTTGTCGTCGGCGGCTCTGAGCTTATTCAGGAACTTGAGTTGCTCGTCGGTTGCCGGCGCCTTCCTCCACAGCATCCTTGTCGCTATCATGAAGAAAGGGTAGTTCTCGCTTGCATAATTGTCGCAGCCATGGACAGCATCCGCAAAGGTCACCGCACTCAGAATCTCGCGCGGCGCCGCGTAAGGAGACTTCGACACGCCTGGCGGCAAGGCCCGTACCTCCCATGCCTTGAACTGCGCATCTCCCGGGCCGGCGTCAGGAACTCTTTCCAGCTTCAGGTACGTTCCTCCCGGGCCACTGAGGACGAATCTGTCCGGCCCAACCTGGACCCAGGCGTGCTGACTGATTGAGCGGATGTGTTTCTCGCCAGAGGTGTCGGCAATCAGATCAAAGACCGAATCGTACTCGGTGAAGGTGACGCTATAAGAGCGCCCCGTCGACTCGGCATCCGTCAGGCGCTGCCTGGCCTGAGCCTCCCTCGCTTCCTCGGCCTCCTTACGGTCCCGCAGCTCATACATCTTGTCGGCCGAAGCCTCGTTGACAAGCTCGTCCGGGTCTAAGCCGAACAGGGTGGGCGTCGTGACGATGCCGGTCTCAAGGCCCGCGACCATGTCGATGATGTGGCAGTTCTGCTTGCCGCTATGGAGCCTCATTCCGCGGCCAATCATCTGGATCAGCAGATTCCGGGACCGGGTGGGCCTGGCCAGGACGATACAGTCGATGTTGGGAATATCGGTGCCCTCAGTGAATACGCCGCAGTTGATGAGCACCGGAAACTCCCCGTTCCTGAAGGCGTCCAAGCGCTCGGCCCTCTCGCGGGTGGGCGTGTCACCCGTGACGAAGCGAGCATCGACTCCGTAGTGGCGGAATCTCTGGGTCAGGGCGGCGACGTGGTTCAGGTCGACGCAGAACACCAGCGTCGACTTCCTCCCGGCAGCCTTCGCAAACCAGGCACGGACGACAATGTCGTTGAGCTCGACGGTATTGACTGCGCGAGAGAGGGAATCAGTATCGAACTCGCCGCTCCCGCCTCTTCCCTTCCGCTTGACCTTGGACAAGTCGGCCTTGCTCTCAACGGTGGTGAAGACCACGTCACTGAGCCACTTCTCGCCAATCATGTCCACGTAGTCCTTGTGATACACGATCTCGTCGATGGCGGCGCCCAGCTTGAGGCCGTCAAACCGCGAGAAGGTGGCGGATACGCCGACCAGGTGCGGGGAGTCGGGACTTTTGTGCCTCAGGCCGAAGTGTTCCAGCACTTTCAAGTAACCCCGGGCAACAATGTGGTGTGCTTCGTCCACGAGGACGAGCTTGAACCTCTTGGGGTCAAACTTCAGGAGGCGGTCCTTGGACAGGATACTCTGCAGGCTGGCCACTGTGATATCGGCGGTGCCGGAGGCAGACAGCTTTCCCAGCTCGAGCTCGATCGTCTTATCGGGATAGGTTTTGGAGCAGTGCCGGGCAGCTTGCTCCACGAGCTCCCGCCTGTGGGCTAGGATCAGGGTCTGGGTTGCTTTCTCTGAAAGCGGCTTGACCCTGCCTATGAGTTGGGTGAAGATGACCTGATCTTTGTCAGCTCACCATTGATTCTCCCTTCAAGTTCATTACAGGCAAGGGCGACGGAGAGGCGTACAGTCTTGCCACTGCCGGTGGCCAAAGACACGCCCAACCGCTTGCATCCCTTATCCAAGGACAGGAGTACGGACTGGATGCATTCTTCCTGGTAGTTACGCAGCTTAAGGCCTTGGGATGCCTGAAGCACCTGATGAGGCTCTTGAGCCAAGACTTTCCTCGCAGTGGACATCCATTGCGACAGGCACGTCAGGTGTGGTATTCCGGACCCTCCACGAGGCACTCTGAGCCTGAGAGCTGCCGCGACTAGGAATCTCATGATTACCTGTAAACCATGACTGAAGTGACGTCGGTATCTCTCTTTTGGACGGTCCCCGAGGCGATGGGTTGACGTTGGGAAAATTCGGCAGTTGCCAGCGGACCGCTGTCCCGCTGCAAAAATACGATTGGTATATATTGTACACTACAGCCACATGTATTGTAGTGTACTGAGACGTAAGGTTACGTTCCGTAAGTACGAAAATACAATACATTCGGCCGATTACAGCTCAACACACTGCTGGCCGTTCAAACTCACTTCAACAACTTATTTCATCTGATAAAATCAGAACACCACAATCTTTTCACATCTCAACCAACAACTTGATGCTGCGATGATTTGATTGTGACAAAAACAACCATTCACATCAATCGCATGTTCAGACAACCTAATTCGGGGGTTAATACAGCCGAACACCAACCAGAAACCTGAGATGGACTGGGAGAACAGCTCAAGCGGCCGCAGCAGCGTGCAGGACACCAGGCGCCTGAAAGATTCGGTGTCCATGGTAATCAGGCAATTGCAGCCAAACCAACAACCGGCAAGACCGCAATCAGAAGAAATTCCCGAAAGTGAGGATGGGGAGGCCGCAGACGATGCCAATACCAGTCACACGAACGATGATCACGCCGATGATGGTAGCGACGATGGAGAGCAATCCTCTAAGCATGGGGGAGGCGAGGTTGACAGTATTGATCTCGACGGAATCCCATCACGGCGCAATTCAAGTTCCTCAGCTGCCAGCCAGTACAGCCGCTCCCTCGCATCCCCAGAAGGAGACGCTGCCACCCCCTTGGACCCCCGGGGCTCACTAAAAGCAGCACCAAACACTCAAGACGAGCCCAGTCCATCAACACCGCATAAAAGGGAACGAGAGCCATTGCGGCAACATCTGTCAGAACTCCCCTTCTTCTCCCCCTACAGCACCGTCCCTCCGACCCCAACCCAACCCCTTTCTCGGCCCTCCACCCACCGCCACCGCCACCCCCCTCACCCGCGCAAACGCTCCCGCTCGCCAACGCCCGACCCAGCAGCAGCAACAACACCAGCACTACTCTCCAGAGCGGCCTCCCCATCGCGCCCCTTCAAACGACACAAGACCGCGGCCTTCAGCCACGCCTATCTCGCGCTGCTCAACGACGACATCCTCGACGCCGCATCACATTTCACAACAACAACAACAACAGCATTCCCTGACGACGGCGACATCAACTGCAATAGCTCCAAGCCCACAAACCTGGAATCGTCACAGGTAGGCCTCACTTGCTGGAGCGAAGCCGAGAAGACGCTCTTCTTCGAAGCCCTCGGCCGGCTCGGGGCGGACAATGCAAAGGGTATCGCGGAGCGTGTCGCGACGAAGGGGGAGCTCGAGGTGCGGGCGTATCTGGCGCTGCTGAGGGCGGAAACGGCGCGCCGGAAAGGGGGCGGGCGGGGCGCTGACAAGGCGACGCTCACGCCGGCCGAGATGCCTGCTGCCGTGGAGCTCAGCCAGGCATGCTGTGCGGCGCTGGAGGAGGCGGCCGATGCTGTGTCGCTTCGGCAGGAGGCGTATGAGGAGAGGGCCGAGAGGAAGCGGTGGGGTGGCGGGGACCATTGGTTGATTGGGAAGCGGAACTGGAGGGAGGTGGAGCGCGACCCGCCCGAGGGGATGGAGGCGGTTTTGGGGTTGTTGAAGGCGGGGAATTGGCTGTGGCTGAGCGAGCGGGTGTTTATGAATTCCACCGTGGAGGAGTACAACTGGGCGAGCGTGGGCGAGGAGAAGCCTGCCGTGCGAGCGACGGCGCTGGAGGATTTCTATGCGATCGCCCTTGAGATCACGCGGAGGCTGGTTGCTGCGACGATATTCGTAGCCGAGTCTAGGGTGAGGGCGAAGAGCAGGCAGGACGTGAGGGTGCGCAGGAGGGTGCGGAGGCAGGACGTTGAGGCGGCGGCCTTGTCGCTGGGGCTGTCTATGAATCGTCGTGGGTTCTGGGCAAGGTGTGCCAGGCGGCTGAGGCTGGATATACATGGGGATGAGGATCAGGGTCAGGATGTGCCCGACTGGGTGGGCCAGCGAGAGGAGCGCGAGCCGATGTCATATGACGAGGTGGAGAGGGCGCTCGGCCTTGAGCCGGACAGCGTTGAAGAAGACACGGCCTCTGACGACGAGGCCGACTCATCGGGGGACGACGCGGAAATCAGGGACGACCTGGCGGCGCTTCCTGATTCCGACAGTGGCTCGATCGAACTCGGGGCCGGGACGCAGTATGACACCGAGTACGAAGAGAGCCCTGTTGAGGACGAAGCGGAGAAGGAAGCCATCCAGCGCGAGATGAATGAGATCCTTCACCACTCTGCGCTCGAGTACCCGGAAACCTCCACTGCGCGCAACGCCCTGAGGAAACGGATACGGGCCGAGAGGGCCCATGAGGCGTATGCCGACGCCGTGGATGCCAAGGCATCCTACCACGAAGAAAAGAGGTTATGGGCCTTGCTGGGGCGAAAGCCTCCGATGGAACTGGCCAAGGTAGATGTTCCGGCGGAGCCCCCGAAGGACACCAAGAAAACGGTTGACGATCTGGTCAGAGGATTTGCCAGGATACCCGGTGACTGGAGGAGTAAGCTGGAGAATGTACCCAGTTGGTGGGAGATGGAGTATGCAGTGGCACAAGAGGAGAGGAGGCAGCAAGAGGCATACGCTGTCACGGCCGCTGCGGTAGATAGCGACGATGGAAATTGATACCCCATATTATTGCGTCTCAACGGACCGGACCACTTATCTTACGAGTACCTATTGTCAACTAGTATCAACCGGCATGCCTTATCTTCAGGCCGCATTGCCACCAAACAGCTCATCCCATCTTGTCCGCCGATCCCAGATCTTCCTCCCATCGCTCTTCCGCCGGAAGTAAAGGATCCGATGCTGCGGTATGAATTCCTCGTCTGTCTGCTCGCTCTTCCACGCCTCTAGCGCCTTCTCCTGCGCGCCGGCGAACCGGTCCTCGTAGCCGATCACGTAGTCGCTGCTATCGAGCTGCGGGTCCCACCGGATCCGGTTCATCACGTCGGCAGCGGTGCGGAACCTTTTCGTCTTGTCGGCGCGGAGATCGACCGTGGCAATCTGCCGTCTACCAGCGGCGCCTTTCTTTTTACCTTTATCTCTTTTGGGCCACGATTCGTCTTCCTCGGAGCCCTCGGCCGCCGAACCTTGGCCCAGCTCCTTTCCAGCCTCGGCCCCAGCCCCGGCCTCTTCTTCCTCGTCCTCTTCTTCTTCTTCCTCCTCTCCCGGTGTATACTCCCCCCACTCGCGCTGGTCGACCTCCAACTCTCCTAGCTCCCCCTTGTTCACCACCGCTGCGCTCAGCCAACAGCTCCGTGCATCAAAATACCGCTCGTCGGCACGCATCTGCGTCTCGAACCTGGCCAACACGCCCTGCAGCGCCCCGAGCGCAAGCTGCAGCTCTTCCTTGCCCATATCCGGATCGGCCTTGGCCAGGCCAATGAGATAACAGCCCCTAAAGTCCCTCGCTTCGCCTTCCCCTCCTTCTCCCCCTTCTCCCCGTTCCACTCCTCCTCCCCCGCGCACATCATCCTCTTGGTTGTCGTGGTTAGGATGCTCAACAAATCGGAACCGAGCAGGCCACATCCTCGCATCCAACCCTGGTGCTCGTCGATGCAGGTCCACGAGCAGCCCGACACAGCGCGACTCCAGCCAGCCGAGCAGCTGCGCGCCTCGACCCAGGGATAGGCCCCAGTATTGGATGTCGATGCGGATGTAGGACCTGTGCGCGGTCAGGAAGTTGTGGGTGGCGGTTGGCGAGGAGAGGAAGGTTGACCACGAAGGACAAGGACAAGGAGAAGAAGAGGAAGAAGAGGACGACGACGGCGATAAGAGTGCGTCAGCGGCAAGGCGGAGTTCATGAGCGAGGGCTTTAGTCGAGGGCATAGATGCCGCCACGGCGGTGTTCAGCGACGGGGGGAAGAAGCCTAGTATGGCGAGCGGCTCGCGCGGGCTGCGGGTGTAGGCGAGGTGGTGGCGGTGGAAGAAAGGGTCGAAGGCGGGTTTGCTGGCCCAGGGGAACACGGCGTAGTGTGCAAAGAAGGTGGCGACCAGGTCTTCGGCGGAGCAGGCGCCGGACTCGTCCCGCGTGATGAGCTTGTGCACGCGCGCGAGCAGGATGGAGATCTGGATTCCGCTGAGGAAGCCAAAGCGGGCCGAGTAGAGTCCGCGGGACCGCGCCCATGTCTTGATGGCGCGGTGGGCGGCCCGGAAGGTGGCAAGGTCCGGGACGGAGCGGCGGAGGTAGTCGATGTCCCGGATCGCTTTGAGCTTGGAGAGTGTCTGGGCCGAGAGGGACCAGACCGGGTCAGAGGGCGGTGCACGGAGGACATCGGGCCAGCGCTCGGCGACGGTGGCAGCTGGGCAGTACTGCAGGTCCACCTTGATGCCGTGTACCTCGATCTCGAGCATGGTGCCGGTATTAGCCCGGACTCTGCGGAGCATCCTGATCTTGCTGCCCTGGGCGGCGGCCCTGCGGAGCCGCTGGGACGCCAGGGCAAAGAAAGTGTTGGAGCTGAAGGGGCCGATGCACAGCACATCCATGTCCGAGGACGATGTCCAGACGTCGAGAGCGTATGATCCAACAGGGACCACTACCACTGTGGGCTGCGACCTTGTTTCTGCTGCTGTGTAGGGTGTGGGTGTGTCGAGAATGACGTCCCTCAGCAGGTTGAGTGCCTCCTTCCGCTTGGCGATCTCTTCGACGCCTGGAATAACGCCTAGTTCGCCCAGAGACTGCGCCAGACTCCCCGCGCCCGCCAGATGCTCCGGAGCCCTTTGGAGTTGGACGGGCACAACGAGGCCGGCAATCTCCTCAGAAGGCTCGCAGACGTTGCCACCAAGACTCCTGATATCCATGGTGCATCGGATGCCCCAGTGGTCGCTGGCAAACACTTCGGAGCCAGCGTCGTCCAGCTTCTCGGTCAAGGAGCCAAACATGTTGAACTTGGAGATCTCGAAGAGGCCTTCACCGCGAACGAGGATCCGATCGTACCGCTGGGGCCGCATGTAGCCGTTGCTACCAGCCATGGCGGCCGCTGCGCCGTTCACTGTTGGGTCCCAAGTAGCACCCCGTTCGCCGTCGTCAACATCGGCGGAGCTGTCTCTACCTTCTGCCGGTGCCGCTGCTGCCCACGCGTCGTCCAGCTTCGCCTCGGCGAACAGCTTGTCGAGGCCGGACAGATGACTAACTGTCAACTCCGAGATGGCTTTCTTCTTGAGAGCTGCGGCGACCGTGGCACAAGACGTTGCGACGTTGAAGTCGCCCGCCAGAATCCAGGGGTGTCCGGGATATGTCTGGGACAGATAGCCGGTGATCCGCTTGATGTCCGCCTTCTTGGCCGCGACAGCGCCGTCGGTGAGGCCATGGCTCAGGTGGATGGCCGCAAGGATGACGGGCGGAATCTTGGCGCCCTCGGACCGGCCGAGGGCCGCGAAGCGCGCTACGACTGCGCCCTTGTGTTTCCGGTGAAATGAGACGTACTCCCAGTCGAAGGCCATCTTGCTCAGCACGACTATGTTGAGGTAGTCTGGCAGCGGCTCAATGTCGTCCTGATCCGGTGGCCCGTGTGAGCAGTAGGGGTATGCGTCCCGGATCCCGTCGTCGGCGAGGAGGTACGACAGGAAGCCGTCCGTGACCTCCTGCAGCACTAACACATCTGCTGCCGCGCTCTCGGCCAGTATGTTCTTGACAAGCAGGGGGTACCGTGTCTCCGAGGGCGGCCAGTGGAACTCGGCCAGGACGTTGTAGCTTGCCACCGCCAGAGTTTTCCGCTCTTCCTCGTCTGCGTCCAGCGTCGAAGGCCTAAACGGCATCCATCGCAGGGTTTCCTCGTCAAAGTAATAGGAGGCCAGACCGCTCTGGAGCTGGTCCTTCTCCGCCACGCCTTCGTTTTCTTCTTCCTCGCCCTCCTCTCCATCCTCCCTTTTCACACCGGACTGCTCATAGAACGTCCCCAACCCGACCCCCTTTTCCACGCTCCCATCGGCAAGCACGATCGCCCCCCACAGTCGCATCACGCTCTGTCCGTGCCCAGTCCGCTCCCTCACCAGCACAGCCAGCTCCGCAGCAGTCCAGTTCACCTTGGGCACCGATCTCACCTTTTCCACCAGAAACTTGTGCGCCGAGGAATTGGCATCCTCGCTCTGCGCCACCGTCAGATGCGCCGTGTACCCAGTATCGGCATCGACCACTCCCAACGACCCTATCATCTCCTTCCGCAACCTGCACAACCCCTCCTCCTCCTCCGCCCCATCACTGCCCAGATAGATGGTATTACTCCCCTTCTTTGGGTGGTGGAAAATACCGGCGCGATCTAAGCACACCTTTACCGCCTCCTTGCCAGAGCGTGACCCTGCCAGCGCAGAGGCAATCCGATCCACAGCATCAGCCAGCGCCTCGGGCCGCACAAACGGATACACCAGGTTGATATGGGGTGGCCAGCGGGGGTAGGCCTTATCGTAAAGCGCGCGGAGGCGGTCGATGCGCGGCCAGAGGTGCCGTGGCGGAATCAGGGCCAGCGCTGTGTCGTGCGAGTTGAGCGAGAAGGCTGTGCGTGAGGCTGCTGCTTGTTCTGAGGGCTGCGCCATGGTGACCCTAACCTAGGAGATGCGTTTGATCTCCGTTTGGTACTAGTATATACTAATAGTGTATTGATGTCGGGTAATGGGAAGAGATGGCCGTCAAGTGCGTCACAAAATGAGTGTGCGTGTGAGTGGCAAAACGCGAGCTCGGCTCCTCGAGGCAAAAGAAAGGCTGACGGTGAACGATGGCAATTTGAAATATAAATCAAAGCTGAACATCAATAAGAGCGTTCTCTTCTGTACGGGTTCCGAGTATGATCCCTCCACGAGGCCTCTTCAACTTGATCCCCCGGGTCCGCAGGGTTAAGGTTCGGTGGGGTGTCAATCGTGTCATAACGGCAGTGGCGATCCTTACGACGCTTCTCCGGGTGACTCACCAATATACAAGATGGGATGTTTGGACTCCATTTTGTCCCTGCCAACAGGAAAGAGAACATAGAAACGTGAGTGTTGACTTCAGATGATGCACCGCTTATTAAATAAAAACACTTACATGCCATGCCAGTGCTGTAAGTACATAGGTAGTAACCTGGAGGGTGAGTTGAGTTGGGCTAACTTGGTGGGGTCGGGTTGTCAACCACCTATGTCAGTAGAGTGTAAATACATTCGGTTAATTACGGTACCGTACATTACCTACCTGAGGTATCCGAGTCATTTACGGTAGCCACCATACCATACCATACCATACAAGGAGCTCTTGTTTGCTGAACCGCCAACTCCATCGCTGAATATCCTAGCCTGACCGACACCAAGAACAAATCCATGGAAAGATAGCGGAGATGACGCGGGATGGCACAAATCTAAGAAGAATAGTCTGGAGGACCCCAATCCACATCCGGAGGGGCCCCTGATGGCAGCCCCTCCATCAGAAGCTCCAGCTTATCTTCATTTGTGACCCAGCCGTGTCGTTTGTTCGCAATTGCTGTATGCGTACACGGTACACCTATGTCAGCCATCCAATCTTGTCTCCAAATCTCGCGACACACGAAAGCAAAAGAAAAAAAAAAAGGACCGAAGCTCACCATAACGAATCGGCTCCCTCCATTCCTTCCACCACATCTCTTCGCTCTGCACCGCACACCTCCTCCCGCCTATCCCCACCTCTGCGCCCCTGGGCATTGTCGCAAACGGCCACACCGACTTAACCACCTCGTACTTCCTCTTCCCCGCAAAGAAGCCCGCGACACTCGTGAGGAACTTATTCACCCGATCCGGGCTCTGCACCACCACGCGGGAGTGCGTGACCGGGAATGACACATTCAGCGTGCCCGGATAGCGCATGCCGGCCACCAGCGCGCGGATCTGGCCCTCGAGCCAGTTCCCGTCGAGGTTGACGACGACCCGCTCCAGCGCAAAGGCCTTGACGCTCGCCGTGTCGGCGACGAACCTTGCCGCCCACGCCTCCAGCCCGCCGCCGTCGCCTTCCACGTCCGGCTGCGTCGCCGGCTTGGTGCCGCCGCGCAGCGCCACCTCGCCCGGCCCCACGCACCGCAGGTAGTCCATCCGCTGGCGCGCGTCGTCCGGCACCAGCAGCGGCAGGAGGTTGAGCTTAACCGAGAAGTCGACGCGGCCGCTGCTGGGGTGGCTGCTGCCGCGCCGCCCGACGATGTGGATCTGTGGTTTGGGCGGTATCGTGGCTTGTTGCCGGATGAGAGCGACGAGAGCGTCGGCGTTGGCGGAGAGGTGTGCGGCCGACGTCTTGATGGTGGTTTTGTCCTGGGAGAGCTCGAAGAGCGGCGGCTTGTACAGGCGGTAGTCCAGGGCGGGAAGCCCCGCGTGCCGCGGTGGAGGTTTGGATCCGCCGCTCTGGGATTCTAGGTCGGGGAGCGGCTCCTGGGCTGGGCTAGTCGGGCCTGAGTAAGGGGGCGGCGTGGAGGACTGGGGGTTGTGGACGGGTCCGGGAACCGGGGAATGGTGGCTGTCGACCCGTGGGTGCAGCTCTTCCTCGCTCATGGGCACCGTGTTGCTCCCCGATGCTGGGCTGCGGCTGAGAGACGGCGACGGCAGCGGAGACTGCTCTTGCGACTGCAAATGCTGCCGGAGCCGTGCCTTCTCCTGCGACTCGGCGTGCTCTGTGTTGTCCATGGTGTCTGGCGGCCTTTTGACGGCTGCCGCAGTGGATACGTGTGCCGACCCGGCGTACCCTGCCTTGTGTGTGAGATGCTGTTCCCGGTCTCCGTTCCGGGTTGGACCGCGGGGGCTGCTTGATAGAGCTCCAGGCGTAAAGCCGGCAATTCCGCCGTCAATCACCGAGTACAGTATGTACAATTGGATGGAACAGGCGGCAGTCTGCAGAGGCTGATTGACCTTACTAATGCCGCTGGCCTCGAGCAAGCCGAACCTGGTCTCATAAACGATGTTAGGATAAACTTGCTGCTGCTGCCAGTTCGCATGGAGCGGTCTGTCAAGTCCGGCGGAGAGTTGATGTCGCAAGCGGTCTATGGGTTCCCTCACTGCTCAACGGTGGCGCAGCAGCTACACTGCACCGCCAAGGTGCATGCTTCCCGGCCTCTGTTGCTGCGCTAGAGGCCTTCAGAGGCCGGGATCCCCTCGGTGTTGAGCCAATCACACAATAACAACAGATGTGAATCTGCCATTCTAGGGTGGCGGCCGGGCAAAAGACATTGTGGCTCTCCGTCGTCCATCACGGACCCTGTCGCCGGAATTATGAGGCCGCCAACTTGGAGGTTGGCATATTGTGGTGACCGTATCGTATGTGATTACCTAGCCTGGGGCGGTAAGAGTCTTGAGTTTTGACCATATAATACACGTTACTAGGTATCGCATAACACTTCAGTACCAATACGTAACAAACGACATCTTTCAGTAAGAAACGAGTCTGGCCAGTTATTACACCCTCCGCGCCATGCACACTATGGCTTGACGGCGAAACTTCAAGTTACATCGCTTTTCACGGTGAGCACTCTCGCAGCAGTAAGAAGCTGTATCCCCTATATATGGCCAACAATGCCTACTCCATACTACCTAGTACTAATAGTTAAGGTACGTTATTCGGCCGCGCAGATGGTGTGTTCCTCTCTTCGACAACTCCTGGCAACTGCTTTAGGTCGTCAGCCATAGGCAATACTAACCTGGAACCCCTCATTTCCTGGACACAGATATCTGAGCGTCGAGTCTCCAGACATCATTCTGGAAATCTTTGAACGAATGCGCCAGACTAATAAGGCTCTCCCTCTCATATACCCCTCTCCACTCCCAGAATGCATGTCTTACTCGTGCGTCTTCCTAGCGCCCTATCAAAAACGGTGTCCCTCGCTGCCCGCGACCATTTTCTCACAACGATCTTTTTCGGTGCGGGCTCCTCGCCTGCCATACTCTGTTACGTATGTCGACTTGTGCCCCGGTCCACGCCGTCAACGAGTCAGGCAGTCGCAGAGAAGAAAGTCTAGATCACGGCTCAAAACTTACGCAGAAGGATGTTCCAATCAAACAACTTCGTCCCATAATTTAGGTATCTGCTTCTCCGTTCCTCGGGTTGTGAAAACAACTTCCCGCTATGCTTTGGGTAAAATGACGACGATTCTCCATGTTATGATGGCGGCGCTATTGCCATGAGAGTCAGCTTTTCGATATGACTTTTCCGAAGGGAGTGGTGATCCCGAATGTATCTGGCCTTCTCCTGCTTGTCCAAACCCCCTTCGCTGCTGTCTCCATTTATGCGTCAGTTTATGTCTTTGGCATCCGGACAGCTCCCTTTGTCCTCGCCGTTGTCACCGTAACTCAACGACCCTTGATTCCGGCCAGGAGCATAAGCAAATTAACTAAGGCTAAAACAGGCCAGTCTACATTGCCTACTTAGCGTGTATTGCTATGCGACCCGGGCAAAAGCCCGCTCCTACCACATCTATATTGTCAACTCCTGGCTTGTAGTATGTATCGGGCTAGGGTGTGGCGCATTGTACTACTTTGCTCGTAGCGTGAGATACGAAGATAGCTGCGAAGGCCCCAATCAGCCTCTGCTGTCATGGACCAGGGGTGGATGTGCCATGTCCTCTCTGAGCATGTATGCCATACATATACCATGGCCACCCATTCAAGCGATACTGACCGAGAGACCGATGAGCAGATTCTTCGACCTTCTCCTCGTAGGAGTGTTCAACCGCGGCCTGCTGAAACAAGCAGCCCAACAACAAGAACAAGAAAAACAACCAAAAGACTCGCTGAATTCTCCCGCAGCGACTCCAGTCTCTACTCTTCCGCCCCAAGTACGTGTCTTCCTCCCGGGACTCCGCATTGCTCACCCAACCGAGCTTCTGACCCTCTGCTGTTTGGTACAGCTCCCACCACTGCCCAAACTCTTTCCAGAGCCACAACACTCCTCCCCCTTAGCACCCGCTCTTCCAACAAGACAGCAAAGTGAACCCTTTGAACCAGACCTGGGACCGGAGCCGGACATCCTCCCCCCAAAAAACCGCATTACCCTCATCGTAGCGCTCTGCAACCTGCAACACCCGGACGGACACTGGCCTTACACCCCAGAATTGGCAACCGTGCTGCGCATCTGGGCGGGCGGCCGCGGCGAGGTGATTGTGGCGAGCGACCCCGGTGCGCGCGAACGTGGGACGACGGCGCTCGTACGCGCGTGTCTGACTGACCTGGCGCACTACGTCTGGCGGGCACAGCGGGAGGGGAGGGAGTATGAGATGCTGAACGTGGCCGAGTTGGGGGAGCTGGAGAGGCTCGGGTGGGATCTGAAGTGGGTGGCTGGGCGTATCGTCGCGGCGGGACGGTGGTTACGTTTCCGTCAGGAGGAATCTGATGAGAGGGCGAGAATGGGGGGGTAGGGCAGGTGGATACCGAAGGAGTGACTGGGGTTGGGGAACCCGAGCCGGGGGTTGGCGGGTATGAGGGCGGTCGGTTTAGATGGAGGAGTATCCGGGTTGGCGGGTTAGGTCGGGGACAGCATGGCACTTGTGGAGTAAACAGAGCAGGGAGCGCTGGAGTACGGCATACAATCCACGCGTAGTCATCTCTCTGGTTGAAATAAGCTTTCTGAGTTCCTGCGCGAGGCTGCGTTTCAACAAAGACTTCTGATCTGGTATATACTTCTCCAAGACGTAGTGCGCGAATAATCACGACCCGGTCAATGGGTTTAGCCCACACGGGCAGTATCCAAATCCCCGTGGTGCTGCTGCTGCTACTGCTGTTGCTGGCCCTCCCACGTCTTCCGACAGACCTCCTTCATAAGCCGTTTCGGCGCCATGCGGCCCGTCATAAGCTCAAATGCCTCGATGGCCATCTCGGCCACCACTTCCAGCCCGCCCACCACCACCCAGGACGGACACATGTTGTCGCGGACGGCGCGCATCTGCGCAACGAGGGGGGTAATCAGGGGTTCGTAGGCCAGCTGTAGAAACATGTCAATAACCATACTAGAGAAATAGGGGATATCCGTGTGACAAAAGGGAGGGTTTAGGTACCTCAACGACGACACCTCCCGTGGGACTACGCAACCAATCCAGGGGCATGACGAAATCGGCTGGCGGGTTGCCGTCCATGCTGGTGGCGGGGACACAGGAGACCACCATGGTGGGCAGCTGGTAGTCCTGCGGCCATGGGCTGGACAGCGAAGGGAGGACGCGGCATATCTCGCGTGCCGAAGGTGGCGGCGGCGTGCCATTCCTCTGCGGGCTGCCGCCGTTTGTCGCCGCCGCCGTTGGCACAGCCTGCGTTTGGGTGGCGGCCCACTGATTGAAGTGCCTCGCGACCGCCGCAGCGTTGCTCACGGTGCGGTTGTAGATGAAGATGTTGCGGCAGCCGAGCTGATACAGCGCGTAGATGGCGGCCCGCGCCATGCCACCCGCGCCGATCACCAGGCCCGTTGTCTTGGACGGCTGCACGTGGTTGCGCGGGCTGATGGTTCGCCTGATGCAGGTCATGATGGAGCTCCAGTCGGTATTGTCGCCAAAGAAGTCTCGAGCCGGCCCAGCCTTGTTGCGCGAGTTTGCGTGATCGAGAATGGCGCTCGTGCGACCGCGCAGGGGGAGTAGGACATTAACAGCCCCGATGGCGGTGGCGTGGTGACTTTTCACTTTGAGACAGGGCATGATGGCGACTTTGAATGGGGCGGTGAGACAGGCACCGCCGAAGGAGTCGGATGAGCAAATCTGGTTGAGGCCGTCGAGCGTGGAGCAGGTGACGGCTTGGAAGGTGTGCGGCATGTATGAGAAGTCGTACGCTGCGCTGTGCATGGCTGGGGAGAGGGAATAGGAGACGTTGGAGCCGAGGACGTAGAACTGGAGAGGATCAAGGAGGAATTGGCGGAAGAGGAGTTCGAAGGACTGGCCGGCGGTTGATACGGTTGCGAGGTGGTCCCGCTCGTTTTCCATATCTGGGTGTTTTACCGGGGCCAGAATCTTAGTCTGTAGAGGTGTCCTTACGCCGAGGACGGAGAAGTCGTATGCCACAAGCGGCGGCTTGGGGTCCGGGACTTCTTGTTCTAAGCGCCTTTTGAACGTCTCCAAGAATTCAACTGGGCTGTCGTTGGTGCAGAACCGTACCATCCGGATCACATCGCAACCTAGAGCCTGGGCCCGCTTATAGTTCTCGAGCTGCCTTTCGTCCTGCCACGCGGGCGCCCCAAAACCCATGTACCAGTAGTTCCCGATGACCTTGGATCGTCCACGGCGCCGCAACACGCGATCCACCAAGGCGGCGTCGCGCTGCAGGTCAACGCTGACATAGTCCACGCCAAGCCGGAGACCCAATTCCAACAGCTCGGCGTCCATGACCTGCTTCTCCTCCGGTGGCCTCCGTCGCTCCCCGCGAGGGTCCTCCTCGACATGGTAGATGATGGGTACGCCCAGCTTCCTCCTGATCAGAGCGACCTGTCTTGCGACAACATTGAGGAGGTCGTTGGGCCAATGGTCGATGATCAGCTCGATGCAGTCTGCCCTTGCCTCGAAGTCCTCCCATTCCAGGTCCATGTCCATCAGATATGACAGCCGGAGCCGCAGGGCGTAAGAGTGAGAGCGGAACTCTGGGGGGATTGCAGCAACGGAGAAGGGACTCTCCAACCATGCTTTGGTTGCGCCGCGTCCTGTAATGATGTCAAGAAACCTCGTGAAATCTGCTTGGGCGTGGAGGAGTTTTGATGGTCCCGGTCGTCTGCCGTTTATGATCGGCGTGCCCGTTCCGGAAACTGTCCCCGAAGCGGCGGTGGGGTTGGAAGGGTCATACAGGTTGTAATATTCGTAGTTTGAGCAAGTCCTGTGGTTGGCATCGGCGTCCAGCAATTGCTTGGCATCGGCGGCATCCATCAACCTTGAGATCTGCTCCTTCTCGCGGTGGACATACACTACCGGGTGCGTCGTCAAGTAGGCCCGGAGGGCATCCTGGGCCTCGGCGCTGAGACTGCTCATGCCACACTCGATAATGCACCCTGTCCGGTTGTTGTCGAGCATCCGCTTGAATACATCGATGTTCTGGCGAGCGAAGTGCTCCCTGCCGTGCCTGGCAAGGTACTGGCCCCGGGTCAAGCCCGTGAGCTTCTCGAAGTAATGGTCCTCTGTCACCAGACGTCGCCGGAGGTGAAGGGCGCCCATGAAACCCAAGGTGCGCTTCCCAGCCCCGCGGCAACCGATAAGCACAATGGACGCATTGGGCTCAAAGACTCGCTCATTTTTGGGCGAGGCCATGATGGTTCGGGTACACGTGCCGAATGCTACGGCACGCAGACCGATGTCGTCGTCGTGGTTTGTGAATCCCCGGTCTGGCATGCAGGCCGAAAGGGAATGGAGTTCGGGCGCGTCTTGAGCCGTCAGCGTCAGGTCGCGTCGAGAGGAACAACGGACATAACCGCGATTGAAGACGGCATGGGCGGTTGCTTGTCAATTATTCAAAATGACTGCACGCCGTTGTAACGTCAGTGAGTGGCCGACCCGAGAGTTTCTCCTGCCTTTAACTGATGTCGAATCATTCGGCATATTTGTCGGGATTGATGCAGCGGGAAAATGTAGACCCTGGCGTCGATCCCGTCTGCCGTCCGAGACCCCACCGAGATAAAGCGCTGGATGTGGGTCGAGTTCCGGGACTCGGCGCAGCGGGTCTCTCCGCTACGGGGCGTTAAGCGTGTGGCCGATCTGAGGAGCTTGGCCGGCCCTGTTTGTCTCAGTTGTCAGGACGCTGCTCGTAGCTATACATGCTGTGTGTGACATGCTAAGTTCCAGACTATATTCAATCGTTTGACGTTCAGGCTGTGACGTTCACAAGCGTTTCGAGCGGTATGCAAGTTTACAGGTATTACGCATCATGGGTTAAATTCCCCCACATTCACCCTGTAGTGTATCATCGTAACTTTCACTCCCGGTCATAGCCCGGCCCCACATTCCGTGCAGTTCGTAGCATTTGCATTTTCACCCCGTTTCCAACTCAAGTTGCATCAACCGAATACATTTCCACGCCTTCTCGTTTGATACGGAGATCTGTAGCTAGTCTTCGGGGGCTTCACTGGCTCAATTCGATATGGAGGAAAATGCGGCGGAAATTTGCGGTGAATTGGCGCGATTCCAAGCTTCACGCTCAGCAGCGGGTAACGCCTCACCGGGGAATTCGGCTCCAGCTCCTCCAGCCAGCGACACCGGGGCGGACGCCGGAGGTGAGGCACCTGTCAACCCCCGGAAGAGAAAAAAAGCGTCAAGGGCGTAAGCGTTGAGTCGCGAGAACTGTGCCGTCTATGTTCTGGTTTCTCACTCGTCTCGCAGTTGCGACTTCTGCCACGTCAACCACCAGCCGTGCGACAACGGTAAGCCGAAATGCAGTGTGTGCACCAAGCACAACAAGCCGTGCTTGTACCTCCGCCCGACTAAGAGGCGTGGCCCGCAGAAAGGCTACCGCACTGCTCTCAACACCTTCAGAGAGAGTGCGGCTGCCTGGGGCGCCGTCCTCGGCGCCATTCCGGGCCTCGACGCCCTGATCGAGGGCCATTTGCGCGCTAACGGCGGCAAGGCCATCATCGCCTCGATCAAGGACTCGAATCAGCAGGATGCCTTGATCACCAAATGGCAGCAGAGCTCTGTCTTCCGAGCCTTCTTTGGCTACAACGGTAGCACTCCAGGACAGGCCCCGTTGGACGGCAGTGCGATAGTTCCGTCACAAGATGCCGAAGATGAAGACGCCGGAGATGACACGCCCTCCGTTATTACAAGGCCCGCCAAGAGACTCTCGCAGCGACCTGCCAGCCAAAGGAGTCAGTCCGTGTCGAGCGGTGTTGCCCCGGACCCGAAGCTGCCACCATCTCTTGAGTCGCACTTTCAACCCAGAGATTTGCTCTCGGATCTCGTTGCTAAAGATGCAGCGCAGTCGTAGGAGAATCCCCGGTCTTTTGTTCTCCCCTATTCAAGATCACAATCTAACGGCTGTACCAGCGCTACACGAGCCTCGGAGACGCTGGCGTCGCTCGGTTTTGCGCCAGATGAGACAATCGCCGATTTCTACAGCATGGGGTCCAACCCGGAACCCATCCCGGAGCCCCACGACCCTGATTTCGACCCTTCCCTTGGTACCGAAGCCGAGCAACGGGCCTATTATGAGCTTCTTATGGGACGGTCTTTCCCAGGGTAAACTCCGCCTCCGTTATCGAGCCCAGGCGTGAGGCTATGCATTTCATCCTTGATTCCTCTTGGCCTAGGGAGTCCGGTGAGCAACATGCCTTATTATGGCGGCACAGGGGTCGCCATCAAGAGTCGCCCACCATGTCTTGTAATCATTTGAGGTACGAGACCAGCAAGTAATACGTCTGATAGCATGACTGACCGTGGAGATCAGGGACACGGCATGTTATGGCATTCGATATCCGCCAGACATGGCAAGCGTTCGTTTTACGCTCGATGGTTCTAGAGCGAGACACCGGCCCTAACCACCATGGGCGATTGGATAACTCAGTGTGGCTGGCCGAACTTGGATTACACCGGCATGCAGAAGGGCTTCAAAATAGAATAATCATTTGGAACTCATCGACTGACTAGGTATCTATAGCGGCGCCCATCCTCCTCGAGTCGAGTCCTGACGCCGAGTACCCGATCGTGTCCAAAGACACAATATGCTTCCCTAACTCATGCCAGTGCGACGAAGTATTTGGAGGGGACAAACAAGGTCAGCGACCTCCGTGCTGTGGAGCCGTTCCCGTTCTGCCCAAATCTAGAGGCTTCCGTAGCCTACCCGATCAAAAGATAAGGATATAGTAACAGTACTAATATGCTTCTAGGATCCGAAGGAGAGGAGAAACGAAGCGAACAAACAGGAGCCGAGGTCGAAGGAGAAAAGAATGTTGTGGCGCAGGTGAGAAGATCGGGATGGCTTCAAACCAGCTCAAACCCATCATCCTCCAGGCCTTGCTCCTCGTCCCCACCGGGCTCCTTCCCGCCTTCCCCGGTTGTCCCGCCTCTTCTCAGCAACGCCCTGGCCCTACGGCCTCTCAACGCCTCGCCGTTCCCATCCAGCACCTCATACTCCCTCTCCACGAGCTTCTCGGTCTCCCGCCACGTGGTCTTCTTGACAAACACCTCCAGGGTGAGTGGTACGCCAGGGGAGTCGGTGCGGTCAAAGCTGTACAGCACGCCCGCATCTGCCGCTGCCGAGGCCGAGAGGGTACGGGACAGGCTGGGAGATGAGGCTGGCGAGGCGTCACCGTGGTCTCCGGCTTGGATCTCGGAAAGGGCATGTAGCTTGGCCGCCTTGCGTGAGAGGGGTGTGTGGTGTAGGGAGCGCATTTTCACGAGGTTGGGAGTGTGTTTTGGGAGATGGTGGCTTTTCGGCGGGAGATGAAATGTCAGCTGCCGAAAAGAAACTCGGGACTCCTGAGTGGTTGCGGATTCGTTCTTACCTCTCGCTGAACTTCTTCTCTGGCCTGAACTTGGATAGCTGGCAAACTGGTGCGGTAACGCCGTCGACGAGGTCACCTTGGAGATTGTACCGGATCCCCGCGAGATGGCGGGTCCCTCGGGACCACTTGACGGCAGAGTCTTTGGTGCGCTTCCATTCCTTCCGGGCGGACCGGAGGTCGCGCTCGTATTGGGATGTCTCGACTGAAGCGGCCATTATGATGGGATGGGAAGCTGTGAGGCTCAAATGGGATGAGAATTTCCGCTTTAGTCCCCTTAAAAGCAATGGGGACGCAATGGGCGGTGTGGGTGAAGCTGCCAGGGGCAACGGTAGACGGCGGTTTTCCGGTGGAGCTGGTTGGGGAAGAGATCGCCGGGCTGCTCAATTCGGCGGATAGAATCCTGGGTCTCTTTAAAGAGCAAGCCTTTCAACGGAGAAGGTAGCAGAAGAGCGAAGAGGTTCTCGGATGCTTCCAAAGCCCTTCAAGGAGATGCCGAGGGTGACAGACGGGTGTAAGTGACAGTAGCCGGGACCAGTTTCTGCTCCAGTCCGGTATCAAGGTCGAGAGGAAAGCGCTGGGGCCTGACTCCAAACAAACAACCTGGAACTCAGGCGTCGTTTAAAACAAAAGCTATCCTGGTTGGCCTCTTTGAACGTCGGCCGGTGACTCAGATGACCGGGCGGGTGTGTCAGGGGGCCAAGATGAGCCGTCCTGAACGGATAACGATAAGGGACGCCGAGATGACGGAATCGCGGAGCTGCCAGGGTCCCAGCAGTCGGCGGCGAAGTAAGAGACAAAGGAACAAAAGGCTCCTTCTTTAACTAGATATAATTGGTACAAATTGTTTGAGCTTTACTCTGGAATTACAGGAGGGGATCTTGAGAGAAGAGAATAGACGGCGGACAGAGCTTATATGACCTATCTCGGGTCTTATCGGACCCTGAGCCTTGAGGTACCTGGATGGCAGCTGATTGCAGGGGTGGTGGCGCATCTCCAACAATGTGGGTCTCTACAAGTGACGACAGTCCGGCAGATGACCAACAAGGAGAGCAGCTGGCGCCCTTTACCAAGACCGTGATAATGGCAGTGAATGGGAAGCGGCGAGGGCGAGGCGGGTGACCCTGCCTATTCTTGGCCTCAGACGAGTCAGACCAGGCGATGCCCTGGCCGCTGCCTTTCCTGGCCCTTTCATTGTTCCGTTTGGCGATGACGGAATGAGCCAAGAAGGTTCTCGAGCAAGGCTTCCATTACGCAGGGTGCTTTCGCTTTCTTTGACCGCTTTGCCAATTTGAGGCAGAAGACGTATTAATCCTGTCGTGAGTGTGCAGTATGTACTTGGTTGCATCTACATAGGTTCTAATAACGGCGTCATAGGTACCTGCTTTTCCCTAGTAGTAGCATTCTTTCCTTGACCTCTGTACTCTCAGTGCCATGATTGACAAACAAAGCGCGATAAAGGCGATCAGGGACCCCGCTGGATATGGTCCACCGTCCACCACCCAATTCATGCGTGTTGCCGTTTGTGCATTGATGAATGCGGGGACGCCATTCCATCACCACTTCGAGGCGCGTCACAAGCCGTCCACTCCATGGCTACGGTTTTCGCTCGTGGAAGGTCTCCGATTGTTAATGGTCTCGGCTCGGCTAGGAAGGCTGCCTACTCTGAGCACCTTGGCGCTTCGATGAGTAGCATGCAGGAGTTGCGGGCTGCAATTGGCGAAGCGCATACTTAGCCATCTTGTAATGAACCTGGAAGGGTGGTCAACGACAGAGGCTGCAGTGTGCAGTTGATTGCATGCAGCGGAACGTGGGGCATTGAAGAGCTGCAGAAGCAGAACCACACGTTCCTGTCTGTATCTTTACACAAACACGCTGTAATGCACTGTACGGATACCTAGGCCATACTACCTAAGCACGTCCTGGCTGCAATAATTGACACAGGAAATCAATGCATCACCACACTAATTCATCACCACCAGGTCAAAATGCATGCAATTCAAGAACTTATCTGCCGTTCTAGTGCATAGATGGAACTGTAATAGGAACTTAATCTTGTAGAAGGAAAGTCCGATTATGACGAATGGCCTAACATTGTGTAGGTCCGTACAAACGGGTTTCATGTATCAATTATTGCCCAGGGCGTGCTAAGGTACCTTAAGTAGGTTTCACCAACGTTTGTGGTGCATCGCCACGAAGACAGGATTTCTTTCGGCTGGGCGAATCCGGGAGGGTTATGCCGATCGTGGGATTGATAGGATTGATTCGTTGGAAGCAGAGGACTGCTGGCAAATGCCTTCCGCTTCCGTCTGGCCTGACGGTTCCAGCAACAAATCAACTGATAAGCGATCGTAGACCAGGTACCTAAGGTGAAGCATCCCACGCTTTCAATGCTCTGTAGAGCCAAGTAAGAAGGGTCATGGCCAGGAGCACTATACCTTATCCGTATGGTTGAGACCCGGGAAGACCGAGGTGCTTCACCTCTTTCACATCTTTGGACACAGACATGGGAGGTAGTCGGCCCGTAAGGTTCCCAAAGCCAACCGTGGTCATGGTTCGAGTCGGGTACTGTAGAAGCTCAGGTACAATACGGATCCGTACTCTGTATGATGCGATGCACAGGTTGGCTCTCAGTCCCTTATCGGCCCTTATCAGTGATGTCATGTGCCTCGGAACGTTCCGCGCGCCTCAGGCTCCAACAAGTTACAACGCGCCAAAATTCCAGCAGCGTCCAGTCACGACACCTTGATGGCAACGCCATAGCGCCGGCGACCAAACTCGACCCTCCCGATTTACGGAATCCCGCCAAACACGGCCCACACACCCTCCTACACGTAGGTGCACAGTACACGCACCACGCCAGCCCACCATGCCGTCAGATAAAGCAGCCTACCTGGCAGCGCACTACCTCACCGCCGAGACAAAACCGAGCTCGTCCAAGAAGCGCAAACGCAAGCAGACGGCTGCCAGCTCGGGGCTCATAATAGCCGATGACGACGAAACAGGCTGGGACGCCAGCCGCCACAAGAATGCCGAGGCGGAAGACGACGACATCCCCATGACAATCGCGGGAACAACAACCGAGTTCCGTCGCGCCAAGAAATCCGGCTGGAAGACCATCGCCGGCAGCACTTCCACCAACGCCCGCTCACCATCATCCAAAGAAGATGCCGCCTCCGCAGCAGCGGCAGACGCCATCATAGCCTCCGTCGCCGCTGAACGCACTGCCGCAGCAGCGGCCGAGGAAGCCGAAGCCGAAGCCGACATCCCTCTCATGTCCAACGGCGCGCAAGCAGGCCTGCAGTCCGCCGCGGCCCTCAGCGCACAGCTCAGACGCCGGCAGCAGCTCGAAGCCGAGGAACTGGCTGCACTCAAGCGAGCCAACCAGCAGCAGCAGGAACAGGAAGAAGTGATCCTACGCGACGCGACGGGGCGGAGAGTGGACGCGTCGCTGCGGCGGGCTGAGATGCGTCGGCAGCAGCAGGAGGCGGAGCGGGCGGCGCGCGAGAAGCAGGAGCTTTTGCGCGGGGAAGTCCAGGCGGCGCAGGCGAAGGAGAGGCGGGAGCGGCTGGAGGAGGCGGCGCTTATACCGCTTGCGAGGGGGAAGGATGATGCCGAGTTGAACGAGGAACTGAAGAGGCGAGATCGGTGGAACGACCCTATGGCTCCGTTCTTGGGGGCAAACGATGGTGATGGCGGTGGTGGGGGGAAAGGGAAGAAGAAGCGGGCGGGGAAGAGACCGGTGTATACGGGGCCTGCGCCGCCGAATCGGTATGGGATACGGCCCGGCTATCGGTGGGACGGGGTTGATCGGGGGAACGGCTTTGAAGCGGAAAGGTTCAAAGCGTTGAACCGACGAGAGATGAATAAAGGGCTGGATTATGCATGGCAGATGGATGAGTAGAGAGTGTTTGGACTACCGGCGGGGTGCTTGCTCGGTCCATTTACAGCCAACAGGCAGATTGTTGCAATCTGTTGTTGGGGATAAGAACCCATCAACCACGCAGGACGCAATTGTCCAACCGAAAAGCATTGCGGGCCTACATGATCTACCCGCTGATTCTCTGAACTTGCACGACATAATAATTCCACAGCATGTAAGCGTGCGCTTCTCTTGACTTCGCAGCTAAACTCTCCGGTGGAATTCCCCAAGCAACCCAACGCCGTCGACCAATCTCGATATGCACCACGTCTTTATTAGCACCGGAAACCGTTCTGTCCTCCGCGTTTTTATTATTCGAGATTTTTTTCAAGAGCCCCAGTCGTGTGAGTCTTATAACACGGAGAGGAGATAGGGACTGCTGCCCTTGGAGCGTAGCCTATCCTATGCTGCTCAGGCTTGTGGTGATGCACCGCCAGGTGATGCACCGCCGGGTTTAGGTCGGAGAAGCTTATCCGGGCCGTAGACGGCGTTGGCCTTGACCATCTGAATCCACTCAGTCTTGGTGATGTTTCCAGGCCCATTCATCCTCCTTTGGAACTTGCGCAGCAGGGCGCCAAGGCTGATGCCCTCCTTCGCGTACGGAGCCAGAGCCTCGGCGATTTCCCAAGGCTGTATTCTATCCGGGGCCTGGCCCGGCGGCGGCGAACCGCTGGGTGTTGCGGTGCCGGGGGCCTGGGGAGCTTGGTTGGCTACGGACACTCGAATCAGCACAATGCGCGGAACGGGGGTTGTGTCGTGTGTAGACATCGACTTACCGGCCGGAGCAGGGCTGCCCGCGCGCGAACCCGATGGCGTAGTGCCGGCGCGGATCCCAAGTTTCACCATGGGCTTTTTCATCATCCTCGCGCCTCCGTCGGACGCTTCGCCGCCCGTAGCTTCGCCATCGCTCATAGCAGCGCCCACCGGTTTCGGCCGCCCGGGAATGGGAGTCACCCCACGGCTGGGGACCACGGATCCTTTTCCGGTCTTGAGCTTCTTGCGGGCGGCCTCATTCTCGCTCGATTCGGACATGTTCGGTGACCCGACCCGCTTCAACTTGCCCTTTTTGGCCACGTCGGCCACTCTTTGCCTTCCAGAGGGGGTCGTGTTACCCTTGGTATTCGCCCCCGAGGCACCTTGGCCTTTCTGGTCGGCCTTCTTGCCCTCCCTGCCCTCCTCATCCTCCTTATCCTCTTGGTCACGATCCTGCGACTCCTCGTCGGTATCCTAGCATTGTGTTAGCAAGAAACACGAGCAAGCGCTATGCCCCCGGTGCCACCTACCGAATCGTCGGTGAACGGGTTGTTTTCGTCGCCGGATTCCAGGTCGTCATAGTCCAATCCCTGTTCAAATTTCTTGAGCGTCTTGACTACCTGTTTGCCCATCATCTTATGCCTGAGCTTCTCTAGCTGCTCCTCCCGCTCCTGCTTCTCAACCTTGTCCTCTTCGGCCTCGCCGAACGTATTGGCCGCCACCTGCTCCCTGCGGATGCGGTCCTTGGCCTCCTTGACCTCTTCGTCATCAGCGTCGAAGCCGGGGTTCTCGTCGTCATCTTGAAACTCGTCGCCCGACATGTCAAGCTCGAAGTCATCCTGCTTCTCGGTCCTCCTCGCCAAGCGCGATGTGGCACTCTCCGTCTTCACACGGGTGGGCCCGCGCAAGAACTGCCGCGTCTCGTTCTTCTCCCTCTCCAGCAGTTCTTGATCCTTCTGCTTCATGACCCAACGCTTGATCTCCTTGACCTCGTACATCATCTTCTCGGCGTCGTCCAGGGAGAGCGTATCGAACTTGGGCTTCTCATCGAACTTGTAATACCGCTCCAGCGGGATCATGCGGAAGCGCGCCCCGTCTATGACGAGTGCCACGTTCAGGTCCGACAGACTGGCAATATACTGCCCAACCCACACGCCCGCCTTGCCCTCAGCGTCCTCGAGATGCCACGGCCACGTCTCCTCATAGTGGATCTTGGACTCCTTTTTATGCGCATCCGTGTTTCTTCCGTAGAAGGCGGCGGGCTTCTCCTTCTTTTGGTTCTGCTTCGCCTTCGGCTCGTTTCCCCGGATAACGGGAGCAATCTGCGCCTGATCCAGGGCGCGCTGCGCCTCCTTTTCCGCCTTGAGCTGGCGAACACGCTCAAACTCAGCGGCTTCTGCAGGGTCGGTCGGAATCGACTCGGGCTGCTTTTCCACCATGCGGTGAGCCGGCGGAAGTCTGGGGTCACGACGCAGTAGAGTGACGGGCCGCGGGAACTGATCCTGGTTGGTAACGTCCACAATCGCATCTCCTTTCGCCCGGCCGGGCTCTGCTGTTCCCTTATTTAACCGCATAATGTGATGGCGCAAGCCCTCCAGCATGGACCGCTTAGTCATGACTAGGGGAAAGTCTTGGTACTTGTCCGGGGGAGCCTCGCTCCAGCCTCCGTTCTTGAGCCGCTGTTCTTTCAGCTGCTTCATCCCAGGATCGGTTGGGTCATCGAGCAGAGGCTCGGGCTCTTTTCCCACGTCCTTCTCTACCGGCCTCGGTGGCCTCGCATTTTGCGCTGGTGGCTTCGGCCTTTTTCTGGCCGCAAAGGGGTTGGCGGTGGTGGGCTTGCGCTGTATGACGGTCCCCGGAGGAGGGAGCCGGGGGCCGTTGCCAGCGCCGGGAGGAGGGCCGCTCATGGCAGGCGGTGGTTCAATCGAGGCAATAGTGGGGTGACGACGGTCGAATGATTCCGACCGGCGATGGCCTCGGGGCAAAAGGCTGAGCTCAAGTAGCGCACGTCATCGAGCCGCGTGTCCAAATGCAGTGCGCCGTCCTCGAAACCAAGTCGTCAAAGGCAGATTTCGTGTGACGCGAAATTCGTGCTCATTTGGTCGAAAACCGCGTGGTTTCCGAGCGGAATGCGGATAGTGATAGTGGTGGACGATGGTAGAAGATTGAATGGAGTGCAGTGGAAGAATGCTTTAAAAGACCGGTTTGACGGCGAACGTGGAGAATCCACTCATCGCCTGGCAAGCAGAAACAACAAAGACCCACCAACCCCAAGCGCAACATTACCAACTAGTACGGATGTGAACAGCGGAAATTGTCTAGTACCCAATGTGTACTGAGGATATCTTCTGGAGATATCCTGCAACAAACCGGCTACTCGGCTTGTCTATCTGCATGCTATCTATGCTAAATAAAGGGCATTTCCCTGGACCAGTGAGTCAAGTGTCTTTCTGAAACCCTCCAGTTTCTGATGATGACCTCTCTGTCTCAAGGCAGCACATCTTGAAGGACCTGTGCATAGTACGTCCGGATTTGGAAAAGACCTCAGCATAATTACGGAGGACTGTGTGTATCGTTACGTGACCATCGCAGTGGCAGCAAGATGTTCCGCATCTCTTGCTAGAATATATACAATACGTGACCAAACCAAATCGCCATCCATTTCTCAGCAAGAGATCCATCATACATGGTGGTCTCTCACCTCGCCTATTTTGTTCTGTACCGACGTTTCCTTACAATATGCAACAGATCAACCACACGCAAACCGACCCTCCCACGCCCCCGATACACACACCATAATAACCCGAGGTATCATCCCACAGTTCAATCACTTACACAAACACTCCGAACCAAAAATCAACGGACCCAACCTTCAAATTCCTTACCCAGATGCCCCGCCACCATTCGTCCGTACCCAGTTTCCCCCTTCACCACTCTCAAACTTCACCCCATGCAACTCCTCCAGCAGCTTTGTGAACTCCTCCCTCTCCCTTTCCCGCTCGGCATGCGCCGCATCCTCCAGCAGATCCTCTTGCCTCCAGGCACCACCACCACCTTGAGTCTGAGTCTGTTGATCCTGGCTGCGCCCAGCATTCTTGATGATACGCCACGCGCGACGGAACTCGTCGCGGATGCTCACAATCCCGGCGTGCGTCACGGTGCGCGCAACGTTGTGGTCTAGTTCGAAGGGGTCCTCGATGGCAAAGAGGTAGCGGTAGCGGACTTCTTTGACTTCGAGGTTCTTCTGCTGGGATTGTTGGCTTGGTTGTGGCGGGGCCGAGGGGTTGGATTCGCCCGTCGTTGACGAAGATGGGTTGCCGTTGTTGCTGGGTGAGGGGGTCGGGGCAGTGGATGGTTTGACCTCCACGACCGTCTTTGCGCCCGTCCAACCCTTCTCCTGTTTGGTCAGCAGGCCGCCGTGAGTGCGCAGACTCAGGACGTCACGGCCCCAGTCGAAGCTGCGGCGGGGAAGCATGCTCATCTGCTGCCCGCCCCTGGCGTAGTATTCGAAGAAGCCGCGCAGGAGCTCGCCGATGGACTCGCGGTTCTGGGTGAGGGCATTCTCCCGGGCGAGGCGCATGATCTCGGCCTCGTCGCGCCAAAACTGAATGTTGCGGCCCTTGCACATGACTGTTTCCTCCACCTGCTGCGGACTGAGATTTGGGTCCGGCGGGCGGGCGAGTTGTTGCAGGTTGGGGCACACGAAAGGCTGCGCAATATTGACGAGGTAGTGCAGCATCATGAGGGAGTAGCCGTAGCTGCCGAGCGTTCCGCGATAGGGCGAGTTAATGCCGCGAACCTTGGCCCAGTGCTTGACGAAGAGGACGAGCGGCCTGACGCGCGGGTCGCAGTGTGAGTAGCACCGCAGCAGAAGAGTGTTTTGTAAAGCGAGGTGCGCTGAGAAGTTGATGTCGCATTGCACGCCCACGCCAGATTTGGGAAACTCCAGGGCGCTGTTGTACCGATCCCGTGGCTGGTTCGGCGCCGCCCACGATGGATCGCCGAGCACGCGTATCTCTGAGAGGAGGGATTCTGAGCCTGCGGGTAGCGGGATCAGGCCGTGAGGATAATTTGGTGAGGGTGGCTTCGTTATTGGAGCTCGCAGTAGTCCAATATAACGACGAACGCTGCTCGCGGCTTCGTCCTGGTAAACCCCCTTGTCGAGGCACGTCTCGTACTTGTGGGCAAGCTGCAAGCTCTTATGCCGGCGGCCAATCGCCCGCAAGTTAGTGACGCCGTAAGATTCCTGGAAGGCCTCCACTTGCTCCCGAATGCTGCGGTTTGAGATGCCTCCAATATACTGCTTGATCAGAGTGGGCAGTACGGCATCGGCCCGGTCACGGCTTTCGTGGCCGCCAAGATCGTACAGCAGCCTCAAGGCTCTGGCGCAATAGTTTGCCGCGGTCTCGCTGGGGGCCTGCGAAAGCAGCAGGAGCTGGATGGACGGTATCTTCTTCAGATGCTCTACGCCCATCTGCAGCTCCTTCTGGTAGGCGAGCGGATCCCGACCATAATCAGTCATGTTTTGAAGTTCCCTCCACGCGCTCACCGCGTGCTGCGCAACTGCCTCACGTGCCGTGTCCTTCTCCTGGACAGGGCGGCATTCCCACGCTAAGGCCAGCTGTTCGCCCTCCACTTGCGCGAAGACGCCCAGCAGCGTGCGGGGAGTGGGCCGGGAGGTGAGGTCGTACCGGTTGAGGGAGCGGTACCTCAATAACTGCTCTCGCAGCTTGCTGTCGGCCAGACCCTCGACAAACGCCAGACAAACCTCACTCAGGAGCTTGACATCTTCGGTCTTGAACTCGGCGAGGTTTGCGTGGGTCATGTCGCGGCCGCCTAGCTTGCGGAGAAGGCGTTTTGTAGTTCCGTAGTATGTAGAAAGGCTGCTTGTCTCGCCCTGCCGCAACCTCGGCAGAGTTTCCCCGCGCGACGGGGTCTCGCCTCGGGGTGCGGCGGCCAAGGGTGCGGTTGCGGGTGTAAACTCGTCTCCCGGAGACAGTGGTTCCGGGCCCTCGTGGACCTCGTCTTCCGCGGGATCGGGGTCGGGGCCGATGTCTCCTTCCTCCGCCGGGCCGCCCCTCTCCCACTTCGCCCTCTCCGCCAGCAGCCCCTGGCGAAGGTCCTCGGGAGGCGTCTCGCACACCTTGATGATGGGGACGCGTGTCTGTGTGAGCAGTCTGGCGCCAAGTCCCATATCGAGGAAGGCCTTCTCCACGAGTCTCGGGATCGGAGAGTCGGGGGCATCGGGCTGGACGCGCGACAGCGGGGATACAAGGCCGAGGTCCATGTCAGATGCTTTGGTTGCGAAGCCTGACGCGAGGCTCCCGAAGCATTTGAGCTGCACACTCTCGGGAGGGAAATCGTGAACGCCGTTTTGGCCTCTCTCGTAGGCGACAATGACGGCTCTCGCAACCTTTTCGATCGCGACCCGAAAGTTTTCCTTCTCCATGATCTCAGCGGTCTCGATCTCGGCGCTAGCAACGACGGTATTACAGAGGCCCTCGAGCAAGTCGGCTTGCGCTTTCAGCTCGTCTGGGCTCAAACCAGGCGGACCCCTCGGACTGTCGAGACGAGGGCCGCCGTGTCCCGACTGCCTTGGTGACGGAGCGTCGTTGGGCAACTGCGGCACAGGAGGCATGCCTGGCATCTGGTAAGGCAGCACCGGGTGCCCATAGTACAAGGGAGGTTGCGTCCAGCCATAGGGATTGGGCGTCGACATGGGTCCGTGATAGGAAAGGGAAGGCTGGTGCCGCGGCCGGGAAGGAAATGGCAAGGCTGTCAGAGGCGCACTCGGTACCGTGTTCCCCCGGCTGGGCGGGCGAAACGTCGCCGAGCGCGACTCCCGAGGTCCGTGGCGGACGCTCCCATCGTGCTGTTGGTCCGGATAACCTGGGCGGTTTGGGTATGACCGCTGGGGCTGATGGAACTGTGGACGAGGGTCGATAGGGATAGACAGTTGGGCTGACATCTGGCGCCGCTGTGCTTGATTTGGTCGCTTCCGCGACGCCTTCGACGAGGTTGTGCCTCCCACATTGCTCCGCGGCGAGGATGGTCTCGGCGCATTCTCCTCTCCAGCTTGTGTGGCTTGTGTGGGGGCAGGTTGTTGTTGCCAAGGAGACTGAGGCCTTCCGTCCTGTGTCTGCGAGGAAGCGGGCTTCTCGGAGTTGGACAGGATGAGATTGCGCAGTCGGTCCTCGAGGGGACCAGTCGTGGGATGGCCACCGGCAGCCATCTTCGTTGCGAATGGAGCTTGAAGGTAACCAGAACTAGATCAGGCGTGCTTTTCTGTGGAGTTGTGAAATACTAACCCGAGGCTGATAGTGCCAAGAAAATGTCGGAACGGTAGACCGTCGGGGCGCATCTAGCTGTGGTACCGCGTCCCATTATGCGCGGCTGGAAGCAGAGTTGACGCCGCGAGGATGCAGTAGCTGAGCTATATCGGGGTGTGTTGACAAAAGATCACCGGTGGCGATTCATCCAAGCAAACCCAGGCGTCAGTGAACCAAGCACAAGCTGATGTTTGTTTGTTTGCGCCACATCGGACAAATCCACATCGGCCACTGTATTCGAGACGCAAAGCAGCAATAAATGTGTCATGAACGGCCTCAGGCTCCGAACACATCCGTCATTGGCAGTGACACGCAGCGAACCCAAAATACAGAGGCGGTTACCGCATAATGCTCCTGAATTCGAGCTCCCACCGAGGATGAAAGACGAAATGACGCTGGTGTTGAGCTAGCGTGAGGTATCTTTCCCGGATAGCGTGTTCAAAGAGAAACCAGATTACTATCCGTAGTAAAAGTTACTGTATTATATTGTGCATAACGTAAGATTTGCCCAGCGTTACACAGTAGATTTCACGACTGTAACATACACGTTATCTTACATTCTTCATGACAGTCTCTACCAGTCTTTCCAAAAGCGCCCAGTGTTCCCGATGTATTCCATATAAGTGGTGCGTTTCTCACCAGTAAAGCGTGCATTCCATTCAATTGTGCCTTATTCGCATTCATCTCTGCACATCAAAGATGCCGAAGCAACGACTTGAATTACCACACCCCAGTAAGTACCTAACTTGCACTCACACCACATCGTAGGCAGCACGCAGTGCTAATCAGGTAGGTATATTCGAGTTATCTTAGTCCGAAATGCAATCAGAAATATGGGTATCAAGCTGTTGTTTAAGGAAATCTCTACCAACTCGAACCCCAAGGCTCGACGCTTCTCTTCCCTGTAAGAGTCATCGCAATGGTTACCCATTCACTGTGTTTCCCGCAAACCACGTATTCACTGCCTTGCCACGACTGACCTCCCACCCTCCTTCTCTCCGCATCTAAGCTCCTGAAACACCGTCCACCTCCCTCTCCTTCTCCTTCTTCAACCTCGCAACCTCACCAGCCAACCTCTTGTTCTCGCAGGCGAGAGCCACTATTCGCTCCTCTCTCGCCTTGATCTGCAGGTCGTGCTGGGATATCTTCTGATCCCGCACCCTCATATCCTGCATGAGCTGGGAGTTTGTCGCCGTGAGGTCGCTGATTATGCTGGTCATCCGCTCGATGCTTCGCGCCAGTGATTCTGCCGTAGCCGAGGGCACGGCGTAGTCCACCGGCGCGTGCGTCAGGCCGGCCGCGCTTGGAGAAGGGTCGGGGGCGAATGATGTGCCGCCGCCCATGGAAGCTGCTGGGGGCTGAGCTGGAGCGAACTCTTGGCTGGTGAATTGGTTTGATGGCGGCGGAGGAGAAGGCTGAGTGTGGACGTGGGCGGGAGTAGCTGTGGTTTGGGATGTCTCTGCTGCCGGGGCAGTTGGTTGTTGTTGGGCTTGCTGGGCTTGTCGCGCAGCCTGCTGCGCTTGTAGCTGCCGGAGATGATCCTGAGCTTGCAGCTGCAGTTGGTGCTCAATCTGCCACCTCTCAGCCCTGGCCAACCTTTCGGCCTCGGCGTGCGCCTGTCGCTGATCTTCTGCAGCGCGCGAGATCTCTTCGGCTCCTGGCTTGCGCAGACTTTCGGTGTACATGTGTCGGATGAGGGCGAGTTTGCGGGTAAACATCTCGTTGCTCTTGCAAGGACCCTCGCTGATGTGCGTGACCAGGTCGCGGCGAGTGACAAAATAACTCCAGCAGAAGGAGCAGATGGCGGGGCCTTCGTGCTCACGCTCGCCAAGGACTGCCGTCAGGCCGCTGATGTCACCACAGGCGCCGCAAGAGGAGCTGGAACCGTATATCCAAGGCCAGTCGGTCAGGCAGAGCGTCAGGTACTTGGGCGCTTTGCGCCTGCCGCCTTCTGGTCTGCCTTGATCGCCTTTGATGAGGCCATGCTTATCCATAAGGTGTTTCCTAGCACGGCATCAGCGTCCTGACCATTATCCTCCCACCCAGCTCAGCCGATACTCACATGAAATACTGGTTACCCCCCGCTCTCGTCACACAACCCTCGAAAAAGCAGTCATTCTCCGTCTTATCGTCCGGTTCCGGCAAGCCAGCCTTGAAGAACGGAACGCTGCTGCCACTCGGTTCCTGCGCCTGAACCTCGCCATTCCCGTTCACACTCAGTTGTTGTTGTTGTTGTTGTTGTTGTTGTTGTTGTTGTTGTTGTTGTTGTTCCTGAGACACACTCCCATTCCGGACAACCCCATCCGCCCCCTCACCCTCCGTGACCCTCCTTCTCTTACGCAAGCGCGTTTCCACTGCCCGGCGGTCCTCATCATCATCGCCACCATCATGGCTCATCTCAGATGCACCATTTTCACCATCATCAACCCCCTCCTCGGACGCGGACCGTGACATGGACGGCTCATGTGATCCCTCTTCCTCAGTAGCCGCTTGCAGCTGTTCGATCTCGCGTCCGAACCAAGGCATTGTTTTCTCTTTGTAGATCTGGCAGGTCGGTTACGGATGACTGATACCGTGTCCTCACGGTGTAAGTCAAGAAGGGTAGCAACAGCGTGACAGAGGGGTTGGTTTGTGCAGAAACGAAGGAAAGAGAGGGGACGGTACGGTTCGGTTGGGGGTCTTGGGATAAAAATTGGGGCACAGGGTGGGACTGGACCGATGGGGCAGTGAGAATATTGAGGTACAGGCAAACATCGAGGACATAGTCAATGCTCCCTTCATTTCTGAGCAGCTTTCTAGGATACTGGGTATCAGGTACGTCAATTGTTTTGATCTAGTTAGTTGTGATGTATTGTGGTGGTGGATTGAGTTTGCCTGTACGCTTTACTAGTATTTTGCTTATGGGGAGGTAAGTACGGAATACTTCTCGTATGTACATACAGCCTACAGGCAACATAGCGTGGGATTTGTGGCACCGCAAATGCCCGAGTGTATTGTTTTATCACACTCTCATCAAATAAACGAAAACCGGTTGGCATAAATGTTGATTCAGGAAACTAGTCTTTTCCAGCGGATTCATCATGATTACTCAAACATAGACAACACATTGTGTGGTAATATGTACCGAGGAGTTCTCTTGCCCCTCGTCCACCAACCTTTCGGGAGCGGCTCATTGAAGCCTAGACGAAGGGCCTTCTATCTCGGACAGTCCCGAAGGACAGACGATCTACCAACGTTCCGTTAGGAGGCATGTCCTGGGTTGGCCAATGCTCCTGCCGTCGTAAGTGACAGCATCGTTGGGGGTTTCTACACTCGTGAGCTCGTATAGAGAGCTCAGCCTAGCTAGGCGGAACACGACCACACTGCAATCACTCTGGCAACAGTGGCTTTCGGTACTGACTAGGTGATGTCAATTCCGCACATACCTGACGACCCGTGCCGTCTAATCATGCTGTCCTGTGCCGTGTTAAAAGACCAGCGCCGCCGTCTTTCCCCCAAACGCCAACGCTTGTAGTCCACTGCCAGACATACCTCAAAAGACAGAAAAAAATGCCTCCGATGGCCACTCAAAGCCCAGGTGAAGACATCGAAATAAAAGCATTACAACCTGCCATGATTAATCCACGACGTGCTGGAACAGTGGCGACATTGACTCGCCATAGTGGTTGCGCCGAATCGCCTCGGCCAAGAGGAAGGACAGGTCGAGTACCACCAGTTTGCTTGCGTTGCGTGCCTTGACTTCCGAAATCGGATGGCTGTTGGTCACGACAATTGTGTCGATGCAGTCGCACGCCTGCATCTGTTCCAGGCAGTCTCCTCCAAAGACACCATGTGTGGCAATGCAGTAGACCTTTTTGGCACGGCCGCGCTTAACCACCGTCTCGGCTGCTGCGATCCACGAGCCGGGCTTGTCGATCATATCATCGACAATCAACACTGTCCGGTCCTTGACGTCGCCAACGAGCGTAATCATGTGCTCGACCTTGGGGTTCTTGAGGATATCGTCCTCCTCATCCGAGCTCGCCCCCGCGTCGCCGGACCCGCCCAGAGCATGGGGTTGTAGTCCAAAGAAGGACGAGGCATGTGACATAGTCATTGGGTCTTCGTCCGGCACGCTAGTATCGGCCACCGACGCCGTCGACGACGGGAAGTCGTCAGGAACAACGTGCCCCTGAACCAGGCGCCCGTGTGTCACCTCATGGGCTCGCCTGTCGTTGTACTCCAACTCGTCCGCCTCTGCCTCTTCGTCTAGCTCGGTTATGACCGATGATTGGGACAGCAAGGTCTGCGAGCGACTCGGTGGGGACTTGGAGTTGGCCGGGTTCCGTGCGTGCGTACCATTAGCACGCAGGCGCGGTGATCCTTGAGCATCTGCCGCAGTAGGGGAATCTTGAGACCGCCCGCCATCCGTAGCGGGGTTCCCGTTTTCCGACTCCGATAAGGTGGTGTTACGCACCTGATTGCTGACGGCGTCGAGCACTGGGTGCCGCTCGAGCCCGTCGATCGAGTATCCAATCACGCTCGGCGCCATGCTAGGACCTCTCCTCTTGTCCGTCGTCACCATGCCGAAATTGAGTTTGAGCGCGTCGGCAAGCGAGGTTACCCGCTTGGTGCCGCCTGCATTCTTAGACACCACCACCGCCTCCTGCCACTCAGCCACGTTGCGGCGGATCCAACGGGCGATCAGAGGCTCAGCGTGGAGGTTGTCCACCGGGCACTTGAAGAAGCCTTGCATCTGGGAAGCGTGTAGATCGACGGTGACGACATGCTTTACTCCCGCGACGTCCATGAGGTTGGCCAACAGCCTGGCGGTTATCGCTCCCCTGTGAGACTTCTTCTTGGATTGGCGGCTGTACGGGAAGTAGGGCAGTACGGCTGTACTCCGGTCAACTTCTGGAAGAGTCCTTCCCGGCCGATTGCGGTATCGACGCCATCACATACCGGTGATTTTGTTTGCAGATCCTCCTTTGCAAGCAGAGATCATGATCAGCAACTCCATAACTGTGTCGTTAATCCTGTCGCTGCCGGACTGAACGACGAACACGTCCTTTTCCCGGACGCTGGTGAGAATGCGGACGCTCGTCTCGCCGTTGGAGAACTGAGTGAGCTCGGCATCCGCCCGGGCCATTCCCAGGTTGTGGCATATCTTGTCTGTGAGGTCCGGGCAGGAGCTGCCCGCAAAGACCAAGGTACCGCGCATGGTGTTGAGGCGGTGGTCCTTGGGTGTGGTTAAAGTGGGAGGAGATCTGAGATTTTCGCTGCTTGTGTCAAGAAAAAAAGCTCGGGTTGGCGGAGTGGGCCGGCCGAATTTCAGATGTTACCGTGCCGCTCGAATCCTGAATAGGGAGTGGGGTCTCCGCAGTGGTCTGCACCACAGATACAACTAGAACTTAGAGGAGTGCGAGTGTGTTGTAAAACTCGAGAAGTCGGATATAAAGCGCTGGGGTGATAGTTAATTGACCGAAGAGTGATCATGCAGTGAAATACGAGGGTACTACCTTAATGATAACTGGTTTTCTACACGTGTAGGAGTGGCAAAGACGTTGCTGCGTTCGAACTTCGCACCTGCATTTTATGCCTGGGCGTATTCTAGGGTCCACTAGACAAATGATTGGTCAGATACGGTATGACCCGTCATGTAATTCACGTACAATACCAACCCTGAAGGTATTGTATGCGTAACTTATCACGGTACCGCGTCAGCCGGTTCAAATCAGAAGTACTAGTAGTGGAAGTAAACCTCATGGCGCTTGATTTGTACAGCAAGATCGAGGTTGGTACCTATGGCAAGATCATCTAGGTACCTGTCGCTTTTCTCATTCCGGCTTTTGTTTTCTTATTTTCTCATGCATTCTACTTCATTTCTTTTTGGCTCTCTACACCTCTTCTACATAGTAGGTAAATACTTGTACGCAGGCCAACGCTTACAAGAGGATCCAAGAGATGGGAGCGAGATGTGCGCTCATATGAAGGTAGCAGGCAGGCTAAATTGCTTAGCGTGTCCAAAGCTACCGGTTTCAATGTGAGTGGCCTTGTGGGCTTTTCATAGTTCCTCTCCTTTCGCCGCCAGGAGATTGAACGGGTTGCTCGACCGAGGTTCGGCTGTCTTCTGACTCGACGGCGGCATGGTTCTCCTTTTCTTCTTGGGCCTCTTGCTTTCCGGTGGTTGCTCGATGGACTGTATCTGCAGGATTATATCTCCATAGCCTACACAGAGACTCCGCAAGCAAGAAAGGAGCCCTGCCTCCCTCGCCCTTTGCAGGTTCTCTAAGAAGTTCTTGCATGTAGGAAAGCCCGGTAAGGAGGGAAGACGGGACAAGAAGCGCGCGAGCTCCGACATGGTTGTGCACAGGGACCCCGTATACTGCGCCGACAGCTCGATGATTTGGCGGAGCATTCTCAGCGAGTAGTAGGTTGCTTGAGCCTGCGCGACGAGGTGAAGGAAGTCCCACGAACACTGGTCCAGCCCCCCTCTAGCTTCTTGCTCTAGCAATGCGAGGCTAAGGGGATTGCCTCTACCGCGATCGAGAGTCATAACGATATCCTGATAAACGGACAAGACTACCCAAATGGACTCAGAGTCGCTGATGCCGTCCTCGATTTCGGTACAGAGTGTAAGCAGGAAAGTGCCCAGCTCCTTCGCCTCGGTAGGTTTTGGAACCTCGACCCGCGAACCCGAAGACACGGACTGTAACCTCCTCGTCTCTGTTACCGATGGTATGCTGTTGCCGCAAAAGGACTGCAAAATTGCATATGAAAGCTGTCTCACGGGTTTGCTTGCTTCCCAAGCACTTGCCCGGTTTGGGCAGTCAAGCAGGAAGGGCAGATAGATGTCCAATCCGTTGCCGGGCCCTGGCTCTGACACTGGAGCGACAGCTTTTTTGGATCCCCGGAAAGCTCGGAGGAAAAGCTCGGATAACCGCGGGTCGAGAGTCGGAACTTCGTCCGTCTGGAACTGGGATGCCACGCCTGGGGAGTGATACTGCTCCATGAAGTTGGAGTATTCCTCCCCGGAGGCTGGGATTGCCTCCCTCCTCTTGGACTTTTCGATGGCTTGCTCCAAGGTCAGATGAGGATCCCTGCTGACCTCAAATGCAAGGTACTGGAGTCCAGTTTCTGGTCGAAGAGAAAGTCGTCGGCAGAGATCAGCAGGTCGGTATTGGGGGGCTACGAGTGTCTCCATCTCCACACCGGCGTCGATGTCTGGGAAGAAAATAACGCCGCCAGTCTCGCCGAGATCGTGAACCAGTAGATCGGAGTCAGACGTCAATACGGTTCCGCCGTGCCGGCGGACATGCTCCGCGCAGAACCCGTCGGCTTCCCCGGGCACCAACCTGACGCAGGAACTGAACTCCGACGACTCCCTCAAGGCGTCAATGATGGCAGGAACGAGGAAAGGCGGCGGCGGCGGTTTTGCTTTGTGTTCTCCGGGCCATGCACTCGGAAACAAGTCGGCATCCGCATCGCCACCGCCGTCCGCACGACCCTTCGGCACTCCTGTCAGAAACGTCGAGTGATACCGGATCAGATCCCGTGAGGATTTGAGGAGTCGTTGAATCCGTTCATTTCGCTTTGAGTTGGGCAGATAACCATCGAAATAGATGGCCGAGCTTGCAACACATGATTAGCCCGAGATCCGCCTTGTCATACGCACGGGGCTTGGTTGGATTGTATATGTGTACACTGAAAGTCCGCATGCCTGGATTCGGTGTAGCCATGCCACGGCCGTTTTGCCCAGAAGCTGGTACGACGGTTGCTCCAGGGGGCTGCCCTTGCGTCTCGTCCTGGAACAGAGGTTGAGAATATGGTAAGCTAACGCTGGCCCGTCCAGAACTACATTGCACGGTTCGATCAAAGCCCTCTCGGCGTAGGGCTCCAGATGTCGTTTGAACTGAGGGATGCCCATGGGGCCCGGGAATGAAACACTTCAAAACTTGCGTAATAAATGAACCTGGAAGAAAACTTAAGGTCGGATCGCGTCCGGCGTTGGGATCGCCTAGCAGGTGAGTTGAAGAACCTGGAAGGAAGCTCCATTGATCATAAATAGAGAGCCTAGAGCAGCTGAAATTTCCGTAACAATACATCCTCACAGGAACAGCCGAATTTCCACTGAAATGTACCGAAGTCTGTATGTAAAATACGTGACGTGATTCCAAAGTTAACCGTACATTTCACCGTTTGAACGATTCGTCAGAACAACGTTCCGTATCCACGGCGCCAACCTCATATCTGTATCGACAGCGTACAAGCAGTTCACACGACGCCGTTGTATAAGGTATCCATTCATCTAGAACCGGACCATAAGCCCCCCTTGGACACTCTTTGCCATATTCTCGGTGTCCTTGGTCCAGCGAAGCGAGTACTGCGAAAACCACTGCTTCACGGTTGCCATGGGCAGCACGGGCATGCCATTCTTCTTCAAATACCAACCCAGAACCGTCACCGCGTCTTCGAAATCATGATCCCGGACATCGTCGCTGACAAGGCGCTCTACCTGGCAGCAGAAAACATACTCCCACGGCGGAGCTAGCACCGTCAGCCCTGGCCTCTTGATGATGGCTTCGCCTTCTTGCAATGCCTGCTCTGTAAGGAGCCGTCGCTGGTCTTGCCTGATGAACACACTGGTGCGGTTGTTGAGCCACGAATTGTCGAGCTTTGCGTCGCACTTGGCAGCTTGCTCGGCAGCTTCTGAAAGACGCTTGAGCTCAGCGGATGTGAGGTTGGCATTGAAGAAGTCGATGCATGTCGAAGGGCGGTTCTTCAGATAGATGGTATTGAGGGCGTCCCCGATGGCGATTATCGTTATGTTAGCCCCCTTCTTCGAGAGATAGGCACCAGTGTTGTGCAGTGCCGTCCTGAACGTTTCACGGTCATGCGTTGGCTGTGGTTTGTTTTGCCCGGATGTCTTCCTCGGTGCGACTTCGAGTAGGTTTTTGGCAGCGCGATCCCGCTGCATGTTGGCAATGGTCTTCTGTCCGAGTGACGACATGATCCAAATAGTGTGTTTGGTGGAGACGGAACTTGGGAGTTCAAGCTGGGGCTCTGCGGGTGGTTAGATATCTATCTCAAGTCGGATTTTCCGAGGCATGGCTGACCTTGTGAGCATAAGGTATTTATACGTTTGCTTGTAAAAATGGCACTTCGGATTGAGCCTTGCGGTTCCTTCCGGCATCCTGCGTGACCAAGGCAGGCCTTTGACGGTGGACAGGTGCGGCGCAGGCCGGCAATCACTCCGAGAGTCATTCTCCTCGTGGATCCCAAGCACTAACTGTCTCAAGGATGGCCTAGCCGATGGCCGTCCGCTCCTACGTGGCCGAGGTGCACAGGTGGTGAGGTAGAGAAAAGGGGTCGCAGGGGTGCAAGTATGCGAATTGTCCTGCCGGGTAGGGGCATATGCTCATAATCCATCAACTAAAGTGAGCATCATCTATCCCGATTGTATGAAGCCAAACTCAATTAGACCTAGAGACTAATGCTATTCTAGGAAGTAGAGGCGTTCTACTTGTGAAGATGATCCGCGACTCCTCCGTCATGGATAGACACCTTCTAGTGTGTCACTCTCGCCTTCCAAGACTTTGTTGCCTGATCGAGCGTGGCGTGCAAGAAAGCCTAGCGGCCAGGACTGACAACTTAACGCAGTAGAGAAGACGGGACAAGATAGGACGAGGAGGGCGCCTTATCTGGATTCGGAGGGACGCTGGGTCGGTGCCCTCACTGGTAACAAGAATCTTAGTCATGCGAAGAGAACGGTAACAAGTAACTGGGAGAGGGAATAAGGCACAAACGGCGTTGCGGAGGAGCCCAAGGTTAACAAGCATGCACTTCGTCTCGGCGGCCGGGCGAAAGAGTGTTCGCAAGAACTCCTTTGCTGCCAGGACAAGATTCCAGATTCGCCGCCCGCAAGCACGGTGCGTTCGTACGCCTCTTGCAGCTCATCGAACTGGAGCCACTAGGTACCAGCACCCTCATGACCGTGCCCGAAGACATGTGATATCGGGAGGACTCGCCAGAGGTCGCGCAACAGGTGCTTGTAGCCCAGCCGCAACAAGTCGAGATGTGCGCGTGGAGGACCATGCGTCACCAGCACGTCGATGTCTAGCGGCACGCTTCCCGCCCACACATACTCGCTACGAGGGTACTGGAAGGCCCAGTTGCCATGTCTTCGTGAGTAGGGGCTGTCGCAGACGCGCAGTTAGCGACCGTTGGGGCAGGTGACGGTCGTGTCGGCGTTTTCTAGCCTGATCATATTCCCCCAGTCTAGCAACTCCTGCTCCGGGGCCACAATCCGAGCTTCAAGCCCAGAGCCTTCGTCGACGTCCCAGCTGGCATCTAGAATGATTACCAGCAACGACAACCTTCACTGAGTACGGTTGAGCACGTAGAATGTTCAGTGTGGTCTGCAGTTCTCAGAAGGAACTGGACTCTGTAAGGTCACCGGCGTGGATTAGGACATCGCCCTCTGGAAGTGTCGGTTGGCTGTTGTGAGCGTCGGAGACGCAGACAACTGAGACCAAGTTCTCAAAAGGCTGAGCGGGAACAACACGTTGCCAGGTGTAGAGCATGTGTGCAAGGAAGACGCAGGGTCAGGCAAAGAACTGTACCAAAACACCGGCCATGGCCGGTGAAGCAATGCATCTCACCCACTGCGCCGCTTAGCGAAGAGAGGTATGGTGACCGAATCTTCATCTGAGTGCGACCACCGGAACACACAGGAAAAGGTTGGAATTTGTACCATTTCAAGTAGTGATGTTAGGCTTCTCGGTGGATTTGTTGTAGTTCCATGATCGCGGCAACAACAGGCAGCAACGAAGCTGAACATGCATGTTCGTAACGTTACCAGGTACCGACTGTAATTGTCGAATCAGTTTCAGTCATACCTGGGTTTACTACGAATATATCAAGACCGGTACGATATGTCATTGCAAGTTTAAAACACACTCAGCTCAGGCTGCTCAGCAAGGGTTATCTTATCGCCATGACCCCTCCAAAATTTCGCAAACTGAACCCCTGTTCTTTGGCAGTGGGAGGACGGAACCCCTCCATTCTTCTCACCACCCGTTCGTTCCTACTAGTAGTCTACACTCGCTTACCATATCCATCATACAAACCAGCACCGTTCGGTCTATAACCTATTACTCACTACTGAATTGCATCCGGTTCCAAGATGACGGCCTCAACAGCCACGCCCGCCGATTCAAGCACCCTCGCGAAAATCGCATCCCTCCGGCAGACCCTCGTTTCGGAAACCACCCCGCTCGCAGTCCGCTTCCGCGCGCTCTTCTCCCTCAAGCACCTCGCGCGCCAGAACCCCGCCGATAGTGCCGAATCGCTTGCCGCCATTGACGCCATCGCTGCCAGCTTCACGTCCTCCTCAGCTCTTCTTAAGCATGAGCTAGCCTACTGTCTTGGCCAGACGGGCAATAGCGCCGCTATTCCCTATCTGACGGCTGTGCTGGAGAATGTGGGCGAGGACTCGATGTGCCGGCACGAGGCTGCTGAGGCGCTCGGGGCGTTGGGGGATAAGGCCAGTTTGGACGTGTTGAGGAGATTCAAGGAGCGAGAGGGTGAAGAGGTGGTTGTTACTGAGACGTGCGAGATCGCGATTGATCGGATTGAGTGGGAGAATGGAGAGGGGAGGAAGGGAGAAAGGCTGAGGCAGAGGTATGTCAGGCTAGCGTTTTGCTGTCGCATTTTCGGTTTACTCGCATTTGCTAACTAACTCGTGATGCAGTGATTTCGCCTCGGTTGATCCCGCCCCGCCTATGGCCCAGGGTCAACAGGAGCCGACGGTAGAGGAGCTTGGGAAGACATTGATGGATACGAGCCTTCCGCTCTTCAAGAGATACCGTGCCATGTTTGCGCTCCGTGACCTAGCGTCGCCTCCCGACCTTCCCACCGCCGTGCCTGCCGTGCACGCGCTTGCCAAGGGATTTGCCGACTCCTCCGCCCTGTTCCGCCACGAAATAGCGTTCGTCTTCGGTCAACTCGCACATCCCGCTTCTATCCCCGCTCTCACCGCGGCGCTGAGCAACACTGAAGAGGCCAGCATGGTCCGCCATGAGGCTGCCGAGGCGCTTGGCAGTCTGGGAGATGAGGACGGCGTCGAGGAGACTCTGAAGAAATTTCTGCACGATAAGGAGGCGGTCGTACGTGAGAGTGTCATCGTGGCTCTGGATATGGCCGAGTACGAAAAGAGCAACCAGACTGAGTATGCACTGATCCCGGAGGTTGAGGGGACCGCTTAAACTGAGTTGAGGATTCCGGTGTTTGGGTCGATCAAAATATTACCAGATTCTCCTGGCGGCGCAGGGTCGCAGGGTATAGATCGCTAGGTCGGGTTTGGAGGATAGAAGCGCCATTTCCACAATACTGAACGGGTGCTTAGTTGTTCTGAGCCCATCTAGATTCCAGAAAGTTAGCAGACGGCCCTAGGCGTAGTCCCATATCACGCACCTTTCACCGCAATCGCAGTTGTAAATGATCGTGGAACCCTCGTCAGCACTACGCTGCTGTACCTCGGAGTAGCGCACACCCCTCTTCCCACATTTGGGACAGTCCATATTTGTATCGATGCGCTCCGTTTGCACCTGATGTCGCTCTACTGTTTGCACAATCGATAGCTTCTGCCGTAGGGCCGATGGGAAATCGGATGGCTTTGTCCTCGTTGTCACAATTCTCCAGGGTTGATCTGCGAACTGGTCAGGAACCATTTGGAGCAATTCAGCAAGCCAACCCATACCTCTGTTCTCAGCCCCGCAGCAGTCGCAATGCAAGATATTCTTCTCCGTGCCCTTGGACGCAGGCAACAGGTTTCCGCAGTCGGTGCAGAAGATCAAAGAACCAATTGCGGCCATCTTGGAGTTGTTGTGTCGTCTGCCTCTGGGCTTTTCTCAAAGGAATAATACGGTGTTTGCATCCAACGCAGCCTCACAGCGTCGCCAAAAAATTTAGCGGGGCTTCGAAACTGGCTCCGATTGAAGGAAACGGGGACCGGAAGCACAGGCCATGTGCAACAGTGCAACTCGCAGCGGGAAGCTACGATGCAGGTGTGGTCTTGTGGATGGCTTGAAAGCGGATTGGTTTCTTGGCGTAGGTACCACTTGGCAACGACGCAAGGCTGCCGTGGATCGTGATCGATCATGATTGGGATCAAACTTCAGCCAACTTTTTGTTGACAGAGACACAGGAATCATCCACACGTGTAAAAGCGAGTGGCATGGCCGAAACGCATATAAAGGAAACGCCCTGAGCACGCCGAATCGCCACATGGCAACTGCTTCACCCCTGCGGGTACGAGGACCATTGGGCTGACAAGAGCTCTTGGCTGAGCCGACAACTCAGGTGAAGACGTGCAGTTGACTTGCCAGTGCGATTCCAGCCATGTCCTATTCTCGATCGTGATCCCAATTCACGCCAACCCACAATGGCAGACCCTCGGCCAGATACTTACAATGGCCCTCCTTACGGCGTCCCGGACCCTGCCACTCAGGGTACGCAAACGCCGGCGGCAAACGAGTTCACGAGGCCGTTCACCCTTTACGAGGCGCTTCCATACACACCCTTCTCTGCGATCGCTCCGTTTGACTCAGGTAAGCTCCACGACCTCGCACTTTGCAATGCTCCTATCAGCCGTGGGAAATATTCAGCTTCTGACTTCCCTAACCTATCTTATAGGCGTTCTCCCGTCACCATCAATAGGCTCAGCATCCCCAGCGCCGCCTGTAACCGACCTCGTGCCTGGTCTCGAATTTGCTGCCCTGAACCAGGAGGCCGCGACGCAGAATGCCCCTTCCAAACGTCTCCAACAGGCAGTCAGCCAAGTCCAACATCTATTAGAGCGTGGGAATATTCCTCAGTTGTACGTTCCGGTTCCAGGCATGGCAGGGCTTCTGCTGACGACTTGAAGCAAGTTCAAGACTGGCCCGAAGGAGGCCGCCAATTTCTCCACGACCACCAAGCCACCTTTCCTGATGGCGACCCTTTCACCATTTTCCAAACTGGTATGCGACCAGACCACGCTGCCTTTCCGCTACCCGACTCCCGACACTCCAACCTCTAAGTCCGCAAACAATCAAGTGGTAGATGTTAAGGTGCCACTCCCAACGAATCCTCCCTCCCCGCAGGTGCAGAAGCCGGCACGGCCAACGCAGGACCCGAACACAGCGGTCAATCGGCAAGCGCATGCGTACAATAAGGCACGGCTTGAGATTGTCCTACCGACTAAGAGTCAGTTGGAGGCTGCAGCCGCGGCCGTTAGCAAACCTGCTGCTGTCACACCTTCTGGGATTCAGCCGTCTCGTCTTAGACCAACGCAGCAACCGGTCCCCCTCAGCCCAGATGAGCTTACCCAAGATCCAGCCCTAGGGCGGCCAGTGGAAACGCCGTTGCAAGCGCCGCCGGCCTCTCAAAGATCTGCTATAGCTATCGAGCTGCCTGGTGCGGCAAAGATCAACAAAAGCGAGTATCAAGTTGTTCCAGTTGAGCCAGATGAGCCCGCGAATCTATCACTGAAGAAACGGAAACGGGAGGAGCTCGACGGTGACGACATTTACGGAGTGAGCTTGGACATGCGCCAGAGAGCGGATGCGGCATTGAACGAATTAAGGCTCTTTTTGCACAATGCCTTCCAGGCCGAAGACCACGCTCTAGCGCAGCAATACGGAGACGAGACTGTCATGCTTGTCTCGGACAACGAGGCAACACTGACGGCTGCTGCCCAATCCAAGGCGCAAACACTGCTAAGGAAGGTTATATCGCTGAATTGCTATCAAAGGGTTCCGCTTGATCACCTCCTCCGCCTCCTCCGTCTCTCCGAAGGCTCATTAAGACGCATTGAGTCACTGGACATCAAGGTTGATGAGTCATGGGGCGCCGCTGATGTTGATCAATGGCTGCAACAGCTGCCCAGTCTGGAGACGGCAATGCGAGCTGCGCGGACATCGTTGAGGATGATGTGTGGCGATCGCGAGGATAAGCAGCTGTACCCGGAGGATATGATTGAGCACTGTCTTAACTTGTGCAAGCGGCTCATTGACGGCGTCGTGATCCCCGTCGTGGAACTGAGGAGCGACCAAAATACGGCCGAGCTGTTCAGGACGCTCTCTTCTAACAAGAAGAGAATCGTCTCTCTGTTTACGGACTGCCAGAAGCTCTTCTCGGCCATGTCGACCTTGATATCCAAAGTCGACACCTCAGACACCGTCACCAATACCCTGGAGTTTGCGGCATCGCGGCTCATCTTCATGGAGACGGCCAATGCTGAAAAGGATTCCGTCATTGACACGCAGAAGTTTGACGGGCTCCGCTTGGTTGCCATGGACATGCTCTCCCAGATTTTCCTCCTGAATCCATCGCAGCGCCAAGGAATCTTTGATGAGATCCTTACGTCGTTGGAGAAACTGCCGCTAGGTAGACGGGCCCGGACGTTCAAGCTCGTTGATGGCAGCAACATCCAGCCCGTTTCTGCTCTCATCATGCGCCTTGTCCAGACCAGTGCTGGCAAAGTTGATGACGGGAAAGGCAAGAATCGCAGAGGCGGCATGGTTATCCAAGATAGCCATGAGGTGAACGGTGGCCGCGAACGGACTGCGCTTGAATCGTTTACTATCCAGAACGAAGAACATGGTGCGATACAACATTCCACGGCCATCCAAGAATTAGATGGCGTCGCCACCCCGTTACTGGACACCGCCAAAGCCAATGCGTCGTATGTCATCAAATTCATCGTCAACCGGGCCCTCAAATCAACCAAATCCGGCGACACTCCTTACCGTAATTTGCTCGATCTCTTCGTCGAGGATTTTACAACGTGCTTGGACAATCCGGATTGGCCAGCTGCTGAACTACTCCTGCGACTGCTGATGGTTATGATGGTCAGTCTAGTGGAAAATGACAAGTCTGGCGTCCCGGCGAAGAACATGGCACTCGAGCTTTTAGGTACCGTGGGCGCAGCAATTTCAAAACTCCGCGGTCACGTTAGGAAGATTGCGAACGCCCTTGATTCGAGAGATGCGGACGAACTTGCGATGTTCCTCTCCGACCTTGCAGCCTCAGCGCTGGAGCTGAATTCTCGTCCGGAACACATGGTCGCTTGGACAGGCCCGTATCGGGCTACCGTCGAATACCTCGAAAGCCGCTTCTCCGAAGACCCCCATTTGGCCAGCGCCATCTCCTTCATCGTGTCTGACTGGGCCGCCAAGGTCTGCGCTTGTTACGACTCTTACGAGGATGGCCTGCTCGAGCGCGATCAAGAACTGGGCCGGCTGGCCTACCGGCTGCGAGAAATGATTCAGGACCGCCGCTGGTTATCTAACGAGTATTCTTTCAGGAACGTGAGCCCTAGCCAGGCTAAGCTATCCTACTCCATCACTCTCCTACGATCCCAGCTTTGCGAGGCCTTCAGTGCCATCTTGAACATTCTCCTAAACTCGATGGCTAGCGACCAGCCGACAGTCAGGAGCAAGAGCTTGAAGAGTATCAACCAGGTTCTGGAGACTGATCCCTCCATTCTGGATGGCGACTCTGTAGTCGTCCAGTTGATCCTTCGGTGTTCCAATGATCCGTCCACGCAGGTCCGAGACTCTGCACTGGGTCTCATTGGCAAGTGTATCGGCATGCGGCCCGCACTTGAGGAGAAGATGACGGAGACGGTGATTGACAGGTTCTCCGATGCCGGTCCAGGAGTGCGAAAGCGAGCCATGAAGCTGGCAAAGGATATCTATCTTCGCAACAGCAACAGGACCCTCCGGAGCGCCATTGCTAACGGGTTACTCCACCGCGTTCAGGACCCAGAAGAGAGCGTGAGAGACCTCGCGCGCCAGGTTATCGAAGAGATCTGGTTTACGCCCTTCCACTCCGGTGAGAATTCAGCACCGTCTCAACTATCTCTCTCAGAGCATGTCACCCTCATGGTGCAGACGGTTAAGCGCGGCAATGTTGCAAACGTGCTCGACAAGGTCTTGCAGACCCTCCTGGCCCCGGAGTCAAAGTCCGCACAGGCATCCATGGAGGTGTGCACGAAGCTTGTCGCGAGCATGTTTGACCTGGTGGACAACGTCGATTCCAGCGAACCGTTAGCCCCCTCTGGAAGGGATGTTCTTCAAGTCCTCATGATCTTTGCCAAAGCGGAAGCGAGCCTCTTCACTTTCGAGCAGCTGCGTCTGCTGAAGCCCCATATCACGAGTATTAGCAGCAGTGAGGACCTGGCAGTGTCACGAGCAGTAGTCGTCATTTACCGCCGGGTCCTGCCCCAGTTATCAAGCGCACATGCTCAATTCCTTGCGGACGTGCGCAAAGAGCTTATGCCTGCCGTGTCCAAAGTCACACGGGCGCTGCTGGACGACATCATGGCGTGTCTGTGGATCATCAGCACCCTGCTGGAGTCTTCGGAGCACCTCGCCCGACTGGTGCTGTCAAGTCTGACAGCTATCCAGAAGCTGCGCATCATGAGTCAGAAGGAGCCTCTCGACCAGCTTAAAATCCGCCAATTCGACCGATATTCGCTCATCGTTGGCATGGCCGGGAAGCACTGCAACCTCGACAGCCACCTGGAATTGTTCAGGAAAAGCTTCTCAAAGTGGAACGGGGATACCGCTTCGAAACTCATGGTCGATGTTGTGATTCCTTTCGCCAATCCATCCCAGCCTATGGATGTCAGGAAAGCCGCTCTTGACTCGGTTGGGCTGGTCTGCCAAACCTCGCCGCGAAATTACGTGTCCGCCAACGTTTACACTACGTTCCAGCAGGTGTTTGACGACCAGGTTCCCCTTCTGGAGACGATGATCTTGCGATCGCTCAAAGAGTTCCTGTTCGCTGAGGAGAAGCGCTCGGAGGAAGCGTCCGAGGCACCTGGCATCAACGGGGGCAAGATTGAGAAGAAGCGCGAGCTCACGGTGATTGGGGGCACCAATTACGATGATGTAGCAAGTGCCACGACCCATCGGTTCTTGAAGGAGATCACCCGCATCGCCACTCTTACCCAGGACGATCACGCCTTCCTCGCTGCGGAGGTGCTCGCCAGCATCAACCGCCAAGGCTTGGTGCATCCGAAGGAGACAGGAGTGACATTCATAACCCTGGAGACCTCGTCCAACCCGCGGATCTCGGAGCTTGCGTTCTTGGAGCACAAATCTCTCCATGCCAAGCATGAGACGGTTGTCGAGCGGGAGTATGTGAGGGCCATCCAATCCGCCTTTGCGTACCAACGGGACATCGTAAAAGACCCGCACGGTTCTACGACGAACCCCTTTACTCCCAAACTGCATCTGTTGATGGAAGTTCTCAAGATCAGCAAGTCCAAGAATCGTCAGAAGTTCCTCGAGAAGTTATGTACGCAAGTGGACTTTGACATCTCAAAGCTTGACACCTCGGAGGAACTCCCGCCACATGTCCAGTACTCACGCTTTATCGTTGAGAACCTCGCATACTTCGAGTACCTGACAGTCGGCGAGGTGCACTGCACAGTCAGCGCCATGGAGAAGCTCGTGACCGCAACCGGCGCCAACGTTGCACAAGCCATCGAGTCGGAAGTCTTGCAGCTCCGACTGGACGCGCTGGAGACTAGCCTGACCCAGCAGCAACATGCAGCAACAGCTTCCGGGGACCAGATGCAACCCCAGCCAGAACCCCTTTCCGTCCAGCCAAGCGTCACCATCGACCTCGCCCGTCTTCGCCAACTGACCGCAGGGTCAATGATCCTCCTCGCGCTTTGGGAAGTGCGCACGTACCTGCGCCGGCTCTACGGCCTGGGCACCAACCGGCGCGAGAGCAAGGGCAAACTCCAGGCCAAGGATCTCAGCAAGCCGCCCGTCAAAGTCCAGGGTATCACGGGTGACAAGGTCTGGGAGGAGATCGGCCACATCATGACGGCGCTCGTCGACCGGGACCGCATGATGACCACGTGCAGAGCGCTTGTGGAGTTGATGAGCGTTGACAAGGAATTCTTGGTGGCTGTTGAAGAGGATGGAGACGTGGTTATGGACATGGGGATGGGCGAGGAGGCTGAGTTGGGAAGTGGCGGCGAGGATGATCTCGAAGGCCACCCCCCTGCCGCCGGCGGTGGTAGACGGGGGAGGAAACGCAAGTCGGAGGGCGGGCCGGAGCCAAAAAAGAAAAAGCCCAGGTCAGGCTCGCAGCCGAGGAAGAGGGGGCGGCCCAGGAAGCAGAGTATTGAGCCGGCACCTGATGCCGATGGGGATCTTGATGGGGAGTGGTTCTGATTTCATTTCTCGAGGAGGAGAGGTTCCTCCGAGTCTTCTTCTGCAGATGTTATTTAATTTCGCAAATGGCGATTGCATTATATGGGCTGGCTGGGTTGGCTGGTTGGAGGGAAATGGAACGGCTTACATTCAGCATTCGGTATGGCGCGGCGGGCACGAAAACTGGCTTTTGCACCGGGGCATATTCCCATGGAACATCTCTGAGGGTCCCGGCAGGCGTTGCTTGTTGCTTTTGGTTGGGAGGTTCAAACATCGGACTAAGACTGAGGACAACCAAGGAATGGTGTTTATGGGGGCGCCTGGGTGAGGTCAGGAAGTAGATGAGATGGGCAGCTATGCATATTTCGAGCTTCTCTTCCCACTTCTTGATGGTTCTATCGTAGCTATATCCAAGACACACTCTAGCTCGGGGCCTAGTCCCCGTTAACTTAGAGATGAGGCCTGGTCCATGGGATTTGGGGTACATCCCTAGCAGAGGAAATGATTCTCCGAACTGTATGTGCACCGACGCCTTTGATCACTGGATTGTTCGCTGAGAAGCCAGGACGAGAGCCGCACAGAAGTGAGGTTCAATCCTAGACGAACTTCTCAGACTTTCCCAAAGCCCTACTTGATCAACCATCTCACTAGGTATGAACCTATCATGGTATCTGTAGCTGAACGTTCCTGGCGGCAAGGTCTCCGCCAAGGCTAATGATGGAGAAAAACAAGGACAAAAACCATACAACACCGAGGATTCCCCCGTTGTCACCAACCTGAGTACTGATTCGGCCCTTGGTAGCTTGACGATGGCAGAGCGGACGGGATGCCGTATTGTCTACCAGGTATGGTCGTATGTGTTCGGGAACAGCGGAAATGTGGTATCATAAGGGCGAGGCATATCTCATAGCTAAACAGCCCTCACTCATTATTGATGGCATTCCCCCTCGGGCTGGGACGCATTTGCGACTCCACCAGTTGGCTCATCTGCCCAGTCGCGCACCTCGTCGCCGTTCACGACGACATACCAGCGTATCTCTGCCTCACCCTCCAGCTGGTCCCGGAGCCGCTCGAACCACCCCGACGGTCCCGCGACGGAGGATGACGAGTCCTTGGGCGGAATGGATACGGCCGGGTGCGGGCTCTGGAGCTGCTGCTGCTCGTACCGCACGATCTCGTCCACAATGGAACAGGACAGGTCCACGCGCACGGTGTAGTCGGCAACGTACGCATACGGCCGCGATACAGTGTCCACGTCGCGCGGATCGTACTCCTCGAGGAGCTTGATGGCCGACCAGGACTGGGCGCCGAATCTGTCTTCGGAGGCGGCGCGGCCGTTGCCGGTATCGCTTTCATCCTTAGCAGGCAGAATGGAGCGACCATTCTCGGGGCTGCAGTGGGGGAGGAAGGAGAAACCGTCGTAGAAGGACTTGAGGATGCTCTGAGAGCCTTTGGGGGCAATTATCCATTCCGGAGAGGCGTCTTCGAGGTCTTGCACAATCACGTAGACCCGGATGTTGGGTCGCTGCCAGCGGAAACCGTGGCAGAGGTAGGTCGGCATGCTGCGCTACCTTTTCTTGGTCCAGTTGACGGGCTGCCGTGTAGAAGGACGGACTTGAGGATGCCGTTCAACTGCCCAGTTGTGGAGATGCCGATCGGTCTTGGTTGGACCCACAGGGCACCAACTTACACCCGAAATCGTGCCCTGGTTCTTGTGGGGATGCAAGGGTATAACTTAACGTCAAGCTTCAACGGAAGTGTATGTACAAGCACACCACTATGTACTGCGCAATAATAAGTGGGACATTTCAACATAAGTACCTTATTTTACTAGAGGGTCTGGTTCCATACTGCGGCATGTCGTGTATCGGACAGGAGACCACATCAGTTATCTCAGCGGCTGTCTACCAGGTAAGGTACTACTAGTACATACTACAGATGATTGGCGGAAAGAAGCGGGCGTCCTCCATTGGTGCTTCGAGGCGCTGTCACCTGTGTGCTAGTCACCCCGCTCAAGGCATGAGCTCCATGCTGCACAGTATCGTCAGTGGCGAGTCTCCGAGTCCCAATTCGTCGCTGCGTAGCCCGAACCAGCCAATCCATAGCTTGTGACCAGTCAAAGCTCTGAATAACTGATTGTGGTGCCGAGGGCGCAGCAGCAAGCTCCGTTAAGGTAGTGAACAGCTCAGAGCCAGTCAGAGCTTTTGGGTCGTGAGTGCAAGGCCCGACAAGGTGAGGCGACCTCGCACCCGAGGGAACCTGAAGTGCCATCGCAGTTAGCACACAGGATGAGGCTGCCGTTTGCACCCCGATTCACGACCACGTCAACCTAATGACTGACGAATCGAATGACGGCAATTGAGGCAACTTATGCCATGGGAACCGGGTCTCTAGGTGAAGATGGTTGTGCAACTGCCTTGTCCAATGAGATGCTGGTTTATTAGGGCTGAGGTCCGCGTCTTCGCCGTCTTGGAGCCCGGGCTCTGGCAGTACGTACTGTAGTACCTGAGCCGGTATAAATACCTTGGCCAACCCCCCACTCCTTGACGTCTCTTCTCTCCCTCCCCACGTCACACAACCCAAGGGTCGCAAAGCTGTTGCTGGAGTTGTCTCAAAGAGTCCTCCTCTTTTACGACAATTCCGCCCGGACCCCGTCAATCTTTCTTTGTGCGTCACTCTTTACACATTCCTTGACCCCTGGTTCCTCCCTCTTTTTTTTCGTCGCTCTCTATCAAACGGAGAACGGTAGCATAGGTCGTCTTCACTTCCGCCACTGCTTTCCCCATCCCGCACCCCCTCGTCATTCAGCGAATAATACCTGTCGACAAAAACCCACCATCATGTTCAAGGGTTCGTTTCGAAGCCGCGATGCCGGGACCTCCCAGCGGGAGGCTGCCTCGGGCACGATGGATTCCCACCACCGGGTGGACAAGTCTTCGAGGTTGACGAGGAAGGGCGCCGTGCGGGATGCCCAGAAAGTATCCAAGCTGCAGAAGTCGCTCGCAGGCGAGGAGCCCTCTCGCATGCAGACTACTTCGCAGGTGAGGGCCGATAAGAAGTCCATCGCACCTTCGCCCATCGTCACTTTAGTGGTGGGCCGGGAGCAGCGACTATTTGCAGCGCATGAGGACGTGTTGTGCCAGGCGCCTTTCTTTGAGAAGGTCCTGCGCAGCAACTTCGTCGATGCGCAGAATAAGAGGATTTCGCTTCCGGACGAGGAGCCGGAGGTTTTCAGCGCGATCCTCGAGTATCTCTACAAGGGGGACTACTACCCCCGCCTGCTGCTCAACGAGCAGCGCAACTCTTGGGAGCTCGAGGACACGCTTCCCCGTCGGGCCACACCGCAAGCCTCCCCGGCGGGCAACACTTCACCAAACTTCGGAGGTGGCCGCGCAGGGCAAGCCTCCCAGACTCCTTCGGCTGTCCAGCCAACGGTGTACCTCTCGAGCATCGGCCAACACCTGCTCCGTGACACGGTTGTCTACTGCGTCGCGGAGCGCTACGGGTTGGAGGAGCTCAAGAAGCTGGCGCTGCGGAAGCAAGGACTGCATTCCGGGATCGACGTCGGCACGATCCTCCGCAGCGCGCAGTATTGCTATGCCAACACGCCCGAATCGGACAGCCGCCTGCGCGCCCATTACCTGGCGCTCATCATCCGGTGCCGCAAGACCTTCAAGCGCAGCGGCACCATGCAGGCAGAGATGGAGAAGTGTGGCGGTGATGCGTATGGTGAGGGAGGTGGGAAGTTGTTCTTTGACCTGTTTGTTGCCATGTGCAACCACCTCGACGACGTCATTGAGGCGAGCAACGCGCGGACCCCCAAGACGATCTGAGAGGCTGGAGCCATTGTACAGCGATGCGTAACGAGCAGGCTCCGGGCGTCCTACAGGTGGAATAAGAGGAATGTCCAACAAGGAGCGGATGGTCATCGGAGGTGGTGTCTTTCTGCCCTTCAACACCCGGCGTTTGGTTCTTTTCTCGTTCAAGCTCCCAAATCTTGCATCAGATTGGAACACCATTTGGAGATATTTCTTCTCGAAACATCTTCACTTCTCAAGAGGTTGGCCGACCAATTTGGGGTTCAAGATCTGCAGAGCGAGAGGGGCCTTAATGCTGATACCACCTTGGTGTGAGTGTGTGCAGGAAGGCACGCGCGGCTCGCTGCCCCTCTGCTGTCTCAGTTTCTCTTCTTGATTCTTATTCTTCATCTGCGATACTGTGGACACTGGGCTGGTTAGGGGCCCCGCGGAATCCTGGCGTTTTTGCTTTCCTGAATTGCTTGGTTTGCACCGTCGCTGGTCGAATGATTTACGGAAAGCTCGACGGGACATCAGGGGAAAGGAGGTTACGACATCTCAGCTTCTTGAGCTTTTTTGGGTCTTTCGCAAGCACTGAGAGTACGCAATGAGGCTTGCCATCGACACCACCCGAACGCGCTTGGCCGCACTATTTTTCCTTTTGTCGAAAACGGGACACATGAATTCGGATGGTCATGGTTGGAATGGGGCCACGCAACAGCCCCGGGAAACTGCCTGCATGGTTGCTTATAATATCTTCGCCGCGCAGAGTACGGCGGTCTTTCGTTTGTAACGATTGATGATGACGACTTTCAGTTTCTTGATGAGCTTAGCTTCATATCACCGGATCGGGTTGGCGGTTTGGAACCGCCAACTCGATCCCAGCCAGGCTCTGCGCCCGCTTGAGGGGCTAGGTAATGGGAGATTTTCGGCCTCCTCACATTTGCTGTCTCCGTCCGCGTTCTCGCATGGTGTTCTATGACCTGCCCTTCACCTGTGATTCAGTCCTTCCACTTGACCTCGAACCCAGCAAATTCAACCACCAACCCCCCATCCACCTCTTTCTCAGGCCGTGCCGCCATCGCATACACCTCCACTTCCCATTCCTCGGGCGAGTCCCCAAACACCCAGCATATCTCGCGCAGCGGTATCTTCTCCCCGGTCTCCTCCACCACTCTGTAGACCCACACCCCCGTGCCATTGCCGTCCTTGTCCTTCTCTATCTGAATGGTCGTCCACCCAATTTCTTTACCCTTCCCCCCGCCGCCCTCCCTGTTGAGGTCAGCAACGGACCAGTCGGCCCAGTTATCGCACGACACGGTGGAGAGGCGGGGCGCGCCGTTGTAGAACTCGATGCCCGATTTGATCCATTTCGGGGGTGGGCCGTCCGCCTTGTTGGCAGACTTGTCGGCGTTGCGCCGGAAGAAGCTCAGGAGGATGCCGCCCTGGTCATATTGTTCTTGTGCCGTGAAGTTAAACGAAATGCGGGCGGAGAGGAAGGAGGTCAGGGGTCCGGAGTTGCGCAGGGGTTGGACCCCGGGAGGCGGGAGGGCGGTGGGCGCTGTTGACGTGGGGTTAGTTAGGACTTAGGATCTCCCTACGGTCAGGTTGAGGCCGTTGGGCTGGGCCATCATGTTGCGGAGCAGAGGGAAAGCGGGAGGGGTGTAGTGGGGTTTGGGCCTTTGGGGTAGGTCAATACCGTTGAAGACATCGGTGGTCGGGGGCTTGCGCCAAATGTCGGTGCCTGGGCCGGCAGTGATGGTGAAAGTGTCCGTGGGAGCCATGGCGATGGTTTGCTGTCGGTTCTCAGTGGCACGGAGAGTGTGTCAGGACGGATGGTCAGTCTTCCGTGTAGTATCACATGCGGGATCCTGCCTATATATACTTCGCTACATCAGATGTCCGCCTTTGGCGATACGAGAGCCAAGAGATCTGTTCCACTGCGGATAAATGCCATGCAGCGGTTACATAACGAAGTTTATTAGTTGATGTGCTACGAATCCGCCATCTCTTGCCAAATACGGTAGCTCCGCAGTCCAGCCTGAGCGGCGCATCAGTAATAAGGCGGAATGTCCTTGTACAGTAACTAAGATTTCTGGTGTAAGAGGAATCTAAGAGGACAGCAGGTACCGACGACATCAGCTCACCACTCATGATCCAAGGATAACCTGTACACATTGTACAGAATGGACAATAAATAGGATGGACAACGAGGTCTGCCCATTCGATGAGGGGCTGTGGGAGTGCGGGGCAATGCAGACAATAAAAAACTGACCCCGAATGAATTCGAACCTTTCGCACCGCCGTCCCAAGCAGGAATGCTGACTCAGCAAGTGATTTGGATGTGCCCACGCACTCCGCTTGACTAAACCACAATTCTTCCAATGATTTTGACCCTTCGTCGCATGTCTTCCTCAATTTCGCCATCGCTAGTATCCCAATGGTTCGACACCCCTTTCCCATCAAAGAACTGCCCGGCCAGGAGACAGCGATTGTCGAAAATACTAAAGGCATCATCATATTGGCGGCGGGCGAGTGACTCCGTCTATCAGAGATCAGTTTCTGCGCCTTTGAGACCACTACGCCACCATCGCGGGCTTCTGTCACCATAGCACTCTCACTCTGGCCTTGTTCTCGGCTTACATGACTTACACGACCCCTGTGTGAGGGATCAACAGGCATAAAAACACCCCCGCCAAATAAATGTCGTCGGTTCCCATGATCCGGGCCGGTGGAGGCTCGGGCAAGCCCAAGCCGAAGAAGCCCAATCCTATCCGCCGCATCATGAACCAGGAGCAGCGGGTCCGCGAGAGATCTGTAGCCTCATCTCCGTCTGCCGGCACGCCCAATGCGGCAACACCGTCCAACCGCCCGGTGTGCAAGAACCCCCAATGTGATAAGTCCGATGTGCGCGACGGAGCCTGCCAGAACTGCGGCCGCGTCGTATGGGAGAGCAACATCGTCGCTGAGGTCACTTTTGGCGAGAGCGCATCTGGTGCCGCGGTTGTCCACGGTAGTTATCTTGCAGCTGATCAAGGTAGCATCCGCCCGACTGCTGGCAGCCTTCCCTTTCGGCGCGTCGCTGGTTCTGGTGCCAGCGAGGCACGCGAACGCAGTCTTAGGGAGGCTAAGCAGCTTCTGAACCAGTTCGCATACCAGCTGCAGATCCCACCGCATGTGGCCGAGAAGGCTTTTCAGACCTACAAGATTGCGTCCACCAGCAACTTCATCCAGGGCCGCCGCAAAAACACGGTTGCAGCCGTGTGTCTCTACGCCATTTGCCGGAAAGAGGATAATAACAAGGTCATGTTGATCGACTTGGCGGACATCATCAAGACGGACGTCTTCCTGTTGGGCCGCTGCTACAAAGACCTCCTTAACGCACATGGTCACCTGAAGGAGGGCACCAAGCCCATCATCATCGAGGATCTCATTTTCCGCTTTGCCAGCAAGCTGGAGTTTCTCCACGACACCAACAAAGTGGCCCTCTCGGCCATCCGTATCGCCCAGCGCATGCGCCACGACAACATCACCCATGGCCGAAGGCCTGCTGGCATCTGTGGTGCCGCCATCATCATGGCCGCTCGTGCACACAACTACCGGCGTACGGTTCGGGAGGTGGTCTACATTGCGAAAGTCACCATGGCGACCCTTCAAGAGCGCATGGAAGAATTTGCCAACGTGCCCGCGGCCCAGATGACGATCCAAGAATTCGAAGAGGCCCGCAACCTTCCGGAGGCTTCGCACGATCCCCCATTCGTCTACAAACAGACGAAGGAGTGGCAAGAAAATCACCCGAAGAAGGGCAGGAAAAGGAAGGCGGCGGCAATCTCCCGGGATGGCCATCAGCCTGGTAACGGGGCGGAACAGCAAACCTCTGCGAAGCGGCAAGCCACGGCAACATTCAACGAGTCCCAGCCGTCTCCAGTACTACTTATTGACCCGGCACTCCAGGCTGGGACTACTGCCACCGAGGTACCCACGCTATCCGTGCAGACGCTATCGGAAGCAGTTCCGCCAACGTCCGGCACTGATGAGGGTGCCTCCACCGGTCCCTTTCGCAAGCCCACTGCTGATGAACTCTCTATTGCGAACGCTGCAACGAAAGATGCCGATGATCAGCTTCAAACCCTGGCAGAAGAGTTTGGCGACTCGGAAGATGAAGAATCCGAGGAGGAAATCGAGGTGGACCCGAGCAGCGAGATGGCCATGGCGGCAGCGCAAGGGATCCAGGTCCCCGGCATGGAGAACATGAGGATTCGGCAAAGAGAGGCCCCTGCCGCCGCGGAGGAAGGTGGCAAAGACCCGGACAGTGGCAGTGGCGATGCGGCTGGCAGGAAGAAGAAACCCAAGCCGAGATTGCGTATCGATGAGGAATGGGAGCTGGACGAGAACAACCTCGAGCAGGAGATGCAAGGCCATCTCAACGATCCTGCCATGATTGGCGCCTCTGCCGTTATTACGAGAGATATTGAGCAGCGACGCGAGGAAGAGTCTGCCGCTCGCAAGGCGCAACCTTCCATCGCGGTGACCGAGGCCAATGATAATCCTCCCGACAGCAGCGGTTCTGGCGCCACTACCGACCTACCGGTTCCTAACGGATCCGACAAACGACTGACGCCTGCGTCCAAGGTCTCGGATGATCCTATCGTCCACGAGGATGAGTTCAAGGACGACCCGGAAGTCATGTTTTGCAAGCTTTCCGAGAGAGACGTGCTAATCAAGGAGATGATCTGGGCCAACCACAACAAGGACTACATGCGCAAAAAGCAACAGAAGATATTCGAAGCCAAGGTTTCGAAGAAAGAACCCAAGCAGAGGAACGGCCGTCCCCGGAAGCCCCGAATCGGAGAAGGTCAGACAACGCCCGCCAATTCGGCCACAGAGGCAGCACAGAACATGCTGCGTACGCGGGCCATCAGCACGAAGTTGGACTACACGCGAATGGGCAACCTCTTCGAGTTTTCGAAGGGAGGGCCCGGCAGCACGTATGGCGGCACAAGTTCGATCGGCAGTCGCAGCGCCCTCCCGAGCAGTGCGGGCAGCGACGCCGGGAGCGACAGCGGCGCGCAGGCCTCGATGCCAACAGCTGCGTCCACAGCACGGGAGAGAGTTGCCAAGGCCCTTGCGCTTCCCGAAGAGCAGGAGGAGGAGGAGGAGGAAGAGGAAGAGGAAGGTGGCGCGGAGATGTATGAGAACGGATTCGACGGCCCAGAGGGCTTTCAGGATGACACGTTTGGAGAGGAGGATTTTGATCCCTTTGGAGATAACAACGGCGGGGATGACTACGAAGAGTGAGGCTCGGCTAATTGCCGGACAGATCATGTTCGGCACAAGCGTTGCGGTGCTCGGGATACCCGATCTGGGCGTTAAAATAGAGGCTGGGTGGGCGACCACAGGACGACCTCTTGCAGGACAGGCTTGAGATTCAGCATGTCAGTAATAAAACAAGTAACATTACTCCGAAGCGATAACAGGAACTTGAACCGACGGATTGTTTAACCCGACCGACTTTGTCTTCCATTTCGTCTCAGAGGAAACGGGAACACGCCTGTATTGATCTCAGGGGTTTCGGGGCGCTCCTCTAGACAGACAACAACTTGCCGCACACCGCCACATTGTCTACCACTTCTTTAGGGGAATATCCAACATATCCTCACAATAACCGCCTTCCCGCACTATACCTTTCTCAGTTTCAGCACACCAGTCATATGCCGCAACCCCTCATCTCGTGAGCGGTGGAAGGGGCCACCGTCGCAAATGACAGGTGATCATCGCGCCCGGAATCTTCCTGAAGGAGTCCTGGGGCGATGTGTGCCACGGTACTTGGCGTTTGTACTGTACAATATACAATACATAATACATCATACAGGACTCATCGCAAGCGGGGATCAAGCTCCTTTCCCGACACCGACGTCGCCTGCTTTCTCCCACTGTCAGCCCGTCTTTCCCCTCTCTCGGGAACAACACAACTAGTCTGAGTTGGGGGGGCTTGGATAGAGGAACAGAAACATACCGGGTCGTTCAACAACACCACCGTCGGGCTCGGCTCATCGATCTGCACCACCGCAGCAGCGCCCACGGCTGGAGGCGTCACACTCGCAGCACCGTTGTTGTTGTTGTTGTTGTTCGCGGCGGCAGCAGCAGCAGCAGCGGAGGCACCCGAGACAGCCGCGCCCTGGAGGGCGTTGACAATCTGTTCCGCCGACTGGCCCCCGCCGGCTGCTGCGCCTTCTTCTCCTTCAAACGAGATGGCGCCGTCACCGACCACCAGGGCGGGGGAGTAGGCGCCCAGGTTGATGTTGAGGGGCAGGGCGGTGGTCAGGCGGACGAGCGCCAGGGTGAGGGCGAGTGGGGGGAGAAGGAGATGCATTTCTTTTTTATCGGAACGCGGGGGGAGTGAAAAGTAAATAACAAAAAATAGGTGGGTAGCCGGACCCGAGGAACGGAAGGAGAGAACCTGCTCTGGGTGGATGAGGCCTGCTCGTGGAAAGGTGGTGTTGGTGGTGTCGCCTTGGGGGAGAGGAACAGGAGCGTTGGGTCAAGAGATGGTTAGAAAGAAGAAACAATCGTACGACTCCTAATGGAAGGTTGGCTGGGCTTAGATATGAGGGAGGGGGAGCAGTGCCTATGTTCAACCACACCGTGGCAGCGAAAGAGGAAGGATAACACCCAAGGGGCCATGCCGATTCCATGGCGTGTGGCGGGAGCTGGAGCGGGAGCTGGAGCCATTCCATCCGGCTGGGAGTTTGGGAGTGGCCTGTACTGTTCACGCTGCGACCGGCTAATCTTGAGCTTGACAGACTGCAGAGCACAGGGAAGCAACGGTTCAAATGTCGGCTTGGCGATTCAAAGCAGAGTACGGTATACTCCTCGACCTCAGCATGTGTGTATTGACTGACTCCGTCGTGTTAGACTATGGCCGATGAGACAGAGACCGGACAGCCAAGAAGTCTTGGCAAGGCGAGAAGCGCTCTGCTCTGTGAGAGATTGACGAGCCGCCAAGTAGATGGAGGGCGAGAAAATCTGCATATATTATTTGTACAGGCGTCATTTGTGTGTAGATCTCGCGTCTGGACTCCTTGGCATAGATCGTCCATTGGGTCTGGGCATGGGGCTTTTCCCCAAGTGCCGGCTGTCACTTCATGGTGCTGCACAGATCTGACACTTCATGATTCATGAACAAAACAGGAGCCGGCGGTCTGTGCTGCCGGCTCCGATCTCCCAAGCACACAGCTCGCCGTCTCCACTTGCCGTTTCAGAGAGAACGAAAAGTCTCGGCTGCGCTTCCCTGCTTCAAAAACACTCGTAACTCGAGACGGAGCATTCCAACCACCAGATATACTTCATATTAGCTCGGGTGTATGATACCTACATTCCGGGGCCTCCCCGTGCAATAGGAAGGTTACCTGGTGCTGACTCATAACCCGGAGGGCCCGGTACGGCATCCGGCCCGGCAGCTCCACCACGGGTCCGACCGATTGCGACATGCCGAAATGGCCCACTTCGGCATCGCGGATTAGTGGGGCTCGGCGGACCGTTTCCTGATAACCGAACAGTTGCGCCAGTTCGGATAGCCAGCGATGCAAGATGCTCAAGTCTGCCGCTCCCGAACCTGCCCAGTTGGGCTGCCGATTCCGATTTGGGTCGGACTCAAGTGGATCTTACATTCCGAGTTTGGCATGCTAGGGCGAGAATTTCAGGGCTGGGGACGGCGTAGGAGTATTGGTTGACGTCCAGTGCTGAGGTGGTGCTGGAGTGGCCGCTACTCCGAACCTGGAATCAAATACAGAATTGGCCGCACGAGGTTTTGGGCTTTTTGGATGCCGGGCTTCTCGCTCATCATCAGTCGGATCAACATTCGAGGGCATCTGTTGTATTGTACTACTACTAATTTTGGGTGAGATCAGGGCTCATTGCACTGTTGCCTGCCTTACCTTCCTTCCCGGTCATGAGCGGTGCAAGGGATGTGCCATCGTCACTCGATCGTCACTTGTTGGGGAAACTCCGAAATCCAGTGAGAGGGAATGCGGCAGGTCTCGGCGTCTCGGCCCCCAGATTCCGGTCAACCTTAACGCTTTCGAATTGATCGTTAATAACTCCGCGATGATAAGAGGGCATAGTGGCCCAACTCCAGAGATAAACGACATCTTCCACTTCCCACTGGCGTCCATGTCCCAGTTGTGTGTTGCTTGTGCGGTCTAATAATTAATTGCCAGCAGCACGAATCGGATACCTGTGATCCAGTGTGCTGATTGGCTGCCGGGCTCCGTGTATCGGGGTTTCCTTCATGGTTGCATCCATTTCGACGTGATTCGGCGAAAATATCCGATTCGGACTCCGGATCTGCTTACAGTGCATAACCCCCGGGGCTTATCAAGGCCACCACGGCCTGGAGGGAACGGGTCAGCACATTGCCGCCCTTGATAACCAAGCTGACCTTGCAGATGAATCGCTCGGGCTGCGGCAAGACATCTCGACTCAACGCATTTCCCCGGTTGTCCTGCAACGCCATTCTTTTGCCTGTCAAGGGCAGTCAGCCAGACTCGCCTCGCTTGCCCTCTTGATGCCAACAAGCCAACAGGCCAACAAGCCAACAACTTGCGGACAGGAACATCGCAACAGCAATGGCCTTCCCAACCTTCCCAGCCCCAGGTCTCCCTCATAAACAGCCCCCTCTCCCACTGCCCCCGAGCTACCTCGAACCCCCCTCCCACCTCACTGCGAGCCTCCCAGTACAAATCACATCGCCGCACGCGCTGCGCTTCCCGGCCGCCTGGCGCTGCGGCACCTGCGGCGCCGCAAACGCCGTGCTGGAGCTGATGAAGGCGAGCCGCGCGGCAGTCTGCGAGTGCGCCATGCCCTCGCTGCAGGCCGTCTACGACCAGTTCGGCGACATCTACCTGTACTGGCGCGACGACCCTGCCGTTGCGGACCTGCGGGATCCCGCCATGGTCCAGGAGGCACGGCGGCGCGTTTGGGAGGCCGGCGGCGCTTGGTGGGAGGTTGTTGGCGTTGGCTTTGATTTTGACTCGGGGGTATGGGGGGTCCCGGGGGATGCAAGGTCGGCTGGGCGTGGTCGGGGAGGAGAGGGCGATGAAGGAATGGAGACGAAGAAGAGGCTGGTCAGGAGGTGGACGGGCGTTTCGTAAGTTCCTATTCCCCGAGTCCCGTTTCCATCATAGAAACCTACGATGCGGTGTGTCTCGTGTTGGGGTGGACTGCATGCTGAAATTTGAATTTTGACTGTAGGCAATCGAGCGCGGCGAGCGACGAGTCTGAGGGCTCGCTTGATTCGGGACCGAGGGTGAGGGAAGAGTGACCGGCTTGAAAGCACAAATTGACAATCCGTGAAAGTTTTGGAGTAATAAGCGCTGGCGTCAAGGTACAATACATAAGGACAGGGGATTATATTTGTTTTCGTATCGTTCAAGGACATTTTAGTCGGTAGTTCATCAGCCATTTGAAACATGAAGGGTTCTAGGGACACGATCAATTTGGTGACCCAAACACTACCTACCTTACCTGCCTTACTGGGGGATGCATATACAGTAGGTATCTTACTCGCAAGCAGACCCTGGGGAATGGTTTGCTGCTGCTGCACAGTATGGCGTAACTATGCGCTAGTGGTTGCCACGGGCATAGCTCCGTCGATAGACCCGGGTCGGAAGTTAGGTAAGAACATGAACAATCTACAACAGGAATCACGCCAGAGACTTTCAAATAACTCGAGCCAAAAAAGGAGAGTGTCCCATTGTCTTGTCAATTGTTCACGAAGGAGTTTGTCTTACCTCATAATACCACAAGCGGGTACCTTCCTCCAAACAAGTCGGAACCACGCTCGACTCAATCGGGTATGGTGTAGCGGTAACATCGTTGACTCTCACTGCACAGCAGTGACTGCTATCTCAACAGCCCCGGGTTCGACTCCCGGTATCCGAGTCCAACATCCCTTTTTGGCTCTTGCCTCCCTTATCTCGCTGTAGCGTCGCCCCTCCCTCCATTCTCCCCTGCTGCGATTCGCCGAGAACTTGTTGAACTCTTTTAACGTTAACTGAACCTTCGGCCAAAAAAAGAACATGCCAAGGTGCCGAGAAGTTCAGGAACGATCGGTTCGGTTCGAGCTGATCGGGCTGGCCCGTGCAGGGGCTTGGCATCTGGGGAAGGAAGGAGCTTTCCTTCGTGCAATTGCAGCCGAATGCAACCGTCTCGTCTCTGAACTGGAAGCGCCCGGACCCTACCGATGGACGTCTTACGAGAAACGTGCTCTCGGGAAAGGGCAAGTTTCCAGTGCGGTGGACCAACCAGAATCGTCCGACTCCGCCACGCGATACGAGAAGTCGCGGCGCAGATGCATGCAAGGGCCTTCGGTCTGACTAGGTGATGAGGCGGGATCCCTGAAGCGGCCAAAGCCAACAACAAGGCGGGTCATGTCAGGCATTCCTGTCGCCAGGGGCCAGACAGCATTTCACATTCCAGGTGATATCTTTATGTACCGAACAATGCATGCGCATACAAGTTACAACGCTAGAAACCTGCAAGCGCAGTCTCGTGTATTGTATGTACTGTTACAATCCGGAGATCCTTGATCCATTGTTTCGCTCGCGCCACAACCCCTTGCTGTTTACGCCTGATGGCTGCATGGAAATCGGAACGGCAAATTGCAAGGGTGCTAGGGCCCTAACTGGTTTAAGCTTTCTATGGCACTGTGCAACCCGAGCCGTTTCCGTGGGCGGGTACGTACCTGGATTTTCAGGGCCCTCCTTGTCGTGTTCTGGCCAGAACGCCCTCTCTTTTTCAATTTTGGATCCTCCGTGCTGACACCCTGAGCCGGTTGGCCCGAAAGGCCCTCGCCATCAAAAGCCAACGCAGGCGCCGCTGTTTCTTCTGTTTCCGGTTCCCAGGTTATCCTCCAATTCCACAGAGCCAACACAGCGCGACAATGGAGACCTCAACGACGGAAACAGCAGACGACCTGCGCAGGTGACCCTCACGATGTCTCGGGGATTGTGCCCACTTTAGGCTGCTGGTCTGGAGGAGCTGCACAGTGCCTTTTACTGCTGCTTGCCTACCTAATCACGAAGCGACCTTGACAGCGACGCTGGTCATCCGAGCGGCACGATAGGCACGCGGCAGCAATATTTCTCCATATTGTGCTCATCTCCGCCGGCCGCGCAGACGCAGTGTAGCACACGGTATTTATCCCATGCCAACTGTCGCGAAAAGTTTCCTCCTTTTTTCTGGACTTCCCGCCTCCCAACACCTCATAGGCATACATCCGGCACGCCACCCACATCAGACGGTGCAGTCCCTGCGCGCCTTATATATATATATATATATATCAGGGCTTATACCGGAGGTCCGGAAGGCTTGCTTGGACGACTTCTTCGTCTTTAGTCCCTCACTCGATCTCGACCTCTCTCTCTCTCCCTGGCCCAACGCACGGCATCTTACTTACCTCATCCTTCACTATGGTTTTCCTCCCCATCAACACCCTCCTCGTGGGTAGGTTACCCTCCCTCAATGTTCCATCCGGGTCTTCTCTCTACCAACACACACATACACACGCGCGCGCGCGCAGATCGCTAACCCTTATCTCCCAGCACTCGCCGCACCCCTAGCCAGCCAAGGGGTCGCAAGCAACCACTTCAACCTCGGCGCGCGCGCCACCCAGCCGCTGGGCGGGGGCGTCGCGCTGCGGATCATGCCTCTCGGCGCGTCCATCACGTACGGGCAGGCGTCGTCGGACGGCAACGGCTACCGGCAGGCGCTGCGCACGCAGGTGGCGGCGGCGGGCAACCCGGTCAACATGGTCGGGTCGCGGCGGGCGGGCACCATGGCGGACAACGACGTGGAGGGCTGGTCGGGCTACCGCATCGAGCAGGTGCACGTCAAGGCGATGGCGAGCGTGTCGGCGCCCACGTGGAAGCCCAACGTGGTGCTGATCAACGCCGGCACCAACGACGCGGCGCAGAACTTCAACGTCAGCAGCGCCGGCGCCCGCATGGAGGCCATGATCCGCGACCTGTGGCGCGTCAGCCCGCGCGCCGTCATCGTGCTCAGCACGCTGTTGGTGAATAAGAACGCCAACACGGAGGGCAACGTGCTGGCCATCAACAGGCAGCTCAAGGACCTGGCGGGCAAGCTCCGGGACGCCGAGAAGAGGAAGCTGGTGCTGGTCGACATGCACAGCGATGCCGGGCCCGGCACCTCGGATCTGGCGGATGACACCCACCCTAACGATGTGGGATATCGCAAGATGGCGAGTGTGTGGTTTGCCGGCCTCGTTGCGGCCAGCGATGCTGGTTGGCTGCAAGCGCCCGAGCCGGTGCAGGGTGTGCCGGACAACGGGGCGCGGTGAGGGCGGGGGTAATAGTACCCAGTAATGAACGGTGGTTGGTTGGTTAATAATAATGTGCCCTCAGGAAGGGAAGGAGCGCAAGAACGGTCATTGCACGATTGGGCGTTTGGGCGTTGAGGAGACTTGGGGGGATACTGTGTAGAGTTGCCTAGTCTGGATATTCCATATCCCTGTGAGTCATACCATACGAGGCAATGAATGAAACACCGGCTGGGTGCAGCAGGGTAGTACGGAGGTACTGTACCTGCTCAATTCAATGATCGCCGAGCTTTCACCGTATTTCGACTCCGCCTCAAAAGAAGTGTGCCGATGGTCTTCAGGCCAATGACCGGCGGGCCCTGGAGTCCCCAACCGGTACGCAGAGGTGATGTGATGAGTGGTGACAACGAAGTATACGTAGAATGTCTTAACCCAAGACGACAAGTACAACAAGAAAGGGTATCTCATGCGCTTAGTCAACCACATAACAGCTCACTCAGCTTGAAGCAAAAACACACAAAAAAAGGTAAAAAAAAATAAAAATAAACATATCCTCACCCTCAGAGTTCAAACCAGATCCTCGGCCATCTCAGCGCCAATGCTGTCTCCGTCCTCTTCCCCTCTATCCTGATACCCAAAACTGCTCATCTTGCGCAGCGTCTCCCTGATGGCCGGATCCTGCTCCATCACCTGCCACAAGTTCACATCCCACTCCTCCGGGTTCCCCTTCGCGCCCTCCTCGGGCCACATGAAATCACCGCGCGTCGTTGTCGTCGTCGAGCAGAACGCCGTCTTCCACGTCGACCCCCTCAGCCATTTTCTGCCCCATTTCCACAGCCCCGCCACCATCAAGTTACGCTTGACCGATTTGTAGGCAAGCTCCAAGGAGGTCAGAAGGCCGAGCACGCCGAACAGCGCCGCCCACCAGGCCGGATCCGGGCCGAACGACGAGAAGAGGCCGTCTCTGGCGGCATACGGCCAGACGCCCGGCGCGTACACGCCGGCGAGAAACACCTGCCACAGCCACCAGCCGGCGACGGTGATGAAGAACGAGGCGACGACGATGTCGGTCTTGTAGTAGGTATCGAGAATCCTGGCAAGCAACCAAGCTAGGAGTCAGCCAATGTTTCCCATACAAGCGAGAAGAAGGAAGGAGTGCGTCGTGCTCACAAGAGCTTCAGATTGGTCCAGACAATATTCACCGAGAACACCAAGTTCCCCAGCGCAAACAAGCCCTCGTCCCTGACGGGATTCAGCCCGCCGTACAGCAGCCAACAAAACCACCACACCAACACGCCCTCCGCGGCAGCGGCTACCATCCAGGCAAAATACTTCCTCGGATTCAGCCCCTCGTTCCTCTGCCCAAAGACATACAGCTCCGGCACGGCCAGCAGTGTCTCGGCCCTCAGCTCCTGCTCCCACACGCCGGGCACGATGACGCACAGGCTCGTGAACAGGGTATTCAGAGCCGTCAGGCTCCAGGCTTCATACAGACTCGTGCCCGTGTACCCGACCTCTCTCTGATAGAGCGCCGTGGGCAGGTAGAAGAACATCTCCTTCCAGAAGGTGGCGAGGATAAAGCGGGCGGTGCGCGCATAGTTCCAGCGGCCGTGGACGAGCAGCAGGCGGGCGAGGAAGCGGAACTGCGCGATGGCGTAGTCGGCCACGCGGGCGGCCTGGAGTCCCTCGCGGCCGGAGATGCCGACGCCGACGTGCGCGGCGGAGAGCATGGCGAGGTCGTTTGCGCCGTCGCCTATGGCAAGGGTCAGCGGCGAGGGCGAGGTAGTAGGCAGGAAGCGACGGAGGAGCGGGTGGCGCTCGGCAGCGGTGAAGCGAGCCGAGGATGCGGCGCGGACGGCGCTGACGAGGAGGGCCTTTTGCGAGGGGGAGGCGCGGCAACAGATCACGGAGTCAATGGCGAGCACGAGGCGGTAGAAGAGCGCTTTGGATTTGGTGGCCGCGGGTTCGTCGAGCGCGGCCAGGGTGCGTCCGTCGACGACAATCACCGTGTGCCCCGGGACATGGGAGGCGTTTGTCTCCGCTTGGATCTGGAGATCTTCCATCACAGCCAGGATCTGCCCTTCAAGGTCGCCCTTGACAATATCCAGCACGAAGATATCGGACCCCGGGCGGCAGATACGGGCGGAGTGCGCTATGTTGATGGCCGTTTCCCGCTTGTCTCCCGTAAGCATCCAGATCTTGATATTGGCCCGCCGGAGTCTGTCAACGGTTTCGGCGACGCCGGGTTGCAGCTGATCCTCGATGCCGGATGCGCCGATTAGCTCCAGAGACTGCTCAACCATCTCTCCTACGGCCTCGATACGGTCCTGACGGTCGACTAGACTGGTCTCTGCCTCGCGGTACAGCTTCTTCCAGCTATGGTACTCTTGCTCGGTCAGGGACCTGTGGGCGAATAGAAGAGTGCGCAGACCTTCGGTCGCGAAGTCGTCGATTTGCCGGAAGCAGCGAGCGAACACCGCCGCATCGTCGGAAAGGGACCGATCCTCGAGAAAAGCAAACTTGCTTGGCACGGCCTGAGAAATCGTCTGCGGAGCCTTGCTTCTTGCGCGGAGAATATCAAGGGACGCCGTGCGAGCGTTGAGCGACGGTCTAGAATCGACGTATGGGATAGCAGCCAGTCCGCCGACTTCGAAGGATTTGCTCCTGTTTGCGCTGGGGCGGCTGCCGCTGGCCCCGGCGACCGAGTGGTGCCGCGAGAGGGCGAGACTCCGCCGGATTGTCAGGCTGGGCCGGCCTCCAAAGCTGTTGCGCGGCTCACGGGCTTCGCTCTTCCGCAGTAGCTGATGCTCAAGCTCGAGGCTTTCACGGAGCTCCTTGACCTTCTGTGCCGCGAGATCAGCCATTCTCAGCCGCGGGACAACGACGGAGTCGGCACCCTTGGTAATTAGCCAGATCCTTCCATCTGGGCAGCGCACAATTATCGACATGCGCTTGCGTTTGCTGCTGAACTCGATCACGTCAAGGATCTGGTATGTGCGCTCCGAATACTCGCTGGGTGCTGAGATCCGGAGAGTGACTGCTTGTGTGCTGCGCTGGATGACTAAGAAGCCTAGATCTTGGGCCGCCCTCACAAGAGCAAGTTCGTCGGGCGAGGCAGCCTGGAAATCCAGTTTCCCGTCCTTCATCTCCGGCAGACATGTATGGCAGAGTGCCATGGCGAGAATATACTGCACCGCGCGTCTGGAGAAGGCCGAGTCCGGTCGAAGACGGATGTATTCCATCAGATCCGCCGTGGTGAGTTCCGGCTGCACATGATCGGGCCTGCCAGTGGACCGCCAGTGCGACGAGGACCGACGACCATTGACGGGCCGAGTTGCTATGGTTGGCGACACCGGGAAGACGGCGCTGTCCGCGGAGATAGTGCCATGCTCGGTGCCCTGGGGTAGACACCCCGGATCCGACTTCTTTGATGCCTCAGCATTGTCGACCTCCCCGACGCCTCCAAGGTCCATCTCATGCAGCCATGTGGTGCCGGCAACGCTCATTTTGCGGAATCTCATCACATTTTCTGTCAATGTCCCGGTCTTGTCCGAAAACATATAGCCGACCTGGCCAAGGTTCTCCAGGATCGTGTTGGTGTTGCACCTCGCCGGGGTATCCGACCTCTCGTCGTACATATCGATGTCGGAATTCAGCAGCAGCATCTGGCAGATCTTGACGATCTCCAGGCTCACATACAGAGCCAAGGGGATGACATTGTTGAACTGGATGGCGTAGCCCATGATGATATGCGAGTACGGCACCGAGATATCGGTCAAGTACCAAGCCGCTCGTTCGTAGGTGCGCTGCCAGATGGCGTAACCACCCGAAAGACCAGCAACGAGAGCAATAAGATAAATGACCAGGGCGATCACAATCATGTTAGCCATCCGTTCGAGAGCTGGCTTCTTCGCACTCGGATGGCGGTTCGCGTTCCTGCGAATCTTTGTCTCCTCCCCGGTGTTTATGACGAGTCCGATGACGCTCGCTGTATTTCGAATGGTGCAACCTCGGTAGACCACTTCGTTGAGAGTAAGAGGGAGCGTTTCTCCGTTGACCGTTACCCGCCCGTCGAACCGATACAAATCCGGGTTGGGATCCTCGACCACGAACTCGGCGCCACAATTGCATATCCCTTCGATTGAGTCACACCCTTTCAAAGCCACTGGCACCTGCTTACTCTTGAGGTTCGTCTCTCCATCGAGGGCCATGGTCTCGACGTAGGCAATGCCTTCTTCGCCATCCGCATGAAGGAGGACCATGTCGGCCGGGACATCCTCGTCCCTTGTCAGTCTGATGACGTTCCCGACTTCTAGGTCCTCCCATTTAACCGTACGCCACTGCAAGTCGACGTGAGATGCGCGCACTGTCTCGGTCCGCCCGCGGACCCCAAAGTCTTCGGACGGCGGGGCGCAAAACCGCGATTTCCCACCCCGTCTGCCTCGACTGCCTCCTGCACCTTTCAGAACCGTCACCGGCTTCGCATTTTCGATCTTGTCGAGTCGGTGTCTTTTCCAGTCATCGTAGCCCTCCTTGGCAATGGTGAGAAGCACGAAGAACAGAAGCGGGAGGATGGTAGTGAAGTTTCCGGTCGTGCTGATTCCGGGGATGGTCTGCGGGATGCCGACGCAGAGAAAGTAGAAGTTCGCCAAGCGAGTGAACTGGAAGATGAGTTGCTTGGGAAAGAAATCGTAGATGGTGTAGCGAGACGTTCGTATTGAGTTGGAGACGTAGGGCGCCCCGCGTCTTTCATCAACGAGCGACTCTGGACGGTGCGGCCTCAAAGGGATGCGGCGCCCGTCCTTGGATGGCGGCAAGGAATTCCGCCCGCCTACGAGCTCGACCACGATGCGCCGGTACCATAGCTTCGCTGTGGCCGTAAAGGCGTCCTTTGTCGAGCTGCCGGAGCGTCGGGCGGTGGAGAATGAATCGTATGTCGCAGTTCCCGCCGTCATTGCCGACGCCATTCATCGTGGTCCGAACAGATTGGCATTTTCCAAGCTCCCGAAGTTGACGTCTCGCTCTCACGAACGAACTGTCGATACACAGTAGGCGACACACAACAGCCTGACGTCAGAAAACGCGAACGGAAACGACACACATCAGGAACACGTTCCGTTGAGGTGGAGCCTCATCCGGCTGCTCCGAGATCCGGAAGTCGCGTCGGGGGTCAGATGGCGCCCGAGACACCGTTTCTCAAGGGATGTCGAGTTGTCGACACGCCGGAATTCGTGCTCTCCTAACAAAACCAGGGAGCAGAATTCCTGCGGCAGCCCAGGGGGAGCTCATGGGGTTTTCCATGGTTGTCACCTACTGCCGGGAGTTGGAAAACTTGGATATGACTGCAACTGAACTGGCAGTGAGCAATGGAACCTGATCGACAGGAACTCACGGCCCGACATGGAAGTCGTTAGCCGCCAAGACATGACCACCTTGTTAGTGGGGCCATGGGTCCACTGTCGACCAGTTGAAGCGCAAACGACCGAACGCGAAGCCGCCTCGAGTTTCTTAGGAAGTCGTTTGAACTTTGAAGCTATGAATTTACATTACTACTAGTACTGTAATAATAAAGGGCGTGCAAAAGAGCTCCAGTATTCCCATTTTCACGACGGTCAAGGGGTGTGGAGTGAGCATTGGCGGCTGACCTTGAGGTATGAGCTATAAGGTAACGTAGGTGTATAGCGAAAGTTACATACATGCGAAAGTTACACTAAACTACACCCTCTCAACTAAATCTGTATTAATTCCACCCAACCACCTCAAAACAAATGAAACTACTCGGAATCGTCTTCCTCCGACATTTCCATAACTATCTGACAGGTACGCGCATTGTGGCCTGGTTCACCGCAGTTGCCACAACGCCGCGCACGCGTCTCAATCCTCGGCTTCCGACCACTACCCGCCTGCGTTTCCTCCTTTATCTGCACCTCAACCTCTCTCTGACCCTCTAGATCCTGTGCATCCTGTATAGAAAGCGATCCTCCTTGCCGCAGCTGCTGTTTTTTGGCTCTCCGGCGTTTATTTAGCGCCTTATTTGCAGCTCGGAGGCTCTGGTTCTCTGCCTGCAATAATGCCAACTGATGTATGACCTTAGATGTCCCTTTTGCAAATATATCAACCGCCCTCAAAATCTCGGTTGGAGAGCTATTTTGATGCCGGGCAATTCGATTCTTAATAAGGGTGGACTGCGAGGAGGCTTCTATTGGGTTATTTGGGGTCTTGGAAACCCAGGTGTGGGCATTGCCAGGCCACGAGTTCGAGGGCGTTGGCGTATTTAGACGGATATCGAGCTGCGAGATCACTCTCTCGGGATTAAAAGGAGCAAGTCTAGCATCTCGAAAACCTCCTTGAATGTTTTCAGGGGTTAGGGCGGCTTGGAAAGCAGTATAGTACGCGGGAAAGAAGTCCTCCTTGGTAATATAAGTTATACTTGCCTGTATTAACCCCTCGATTTGCTTGCCATATGCTATCTTAAGCGGGCTAAAACACCTAATATCGAGCGGCTGGAGGATGTAAGACAAGTGGGGAGGCATATAGAGCGTAATAATGTTATTCTCACAGTAGAGTTCGAAGTTGGTCGAGTGGTGGCTGTTGTGGCCGTCGAGGACAAGGAGGTGATAAACCCTAACTATTCGAGCTTTGGTATACCTATCGAAATACTGGATCTATTCTAGGCCTCTCTTGTTGGTTATCTAACCGTTTTTGGAAGTTGCAATGACCTAGTCCTTAGACAATGGGCTGTTTTTATACTAAGAGGAGAGGTAATACTTGCCCTTGACGATAATAAACGGTGGGATCGCCTAGCCAGTAGTATTGACGCCCTGGATTACTATTGCCCACTTGCGATTGCCAGGCTGTTTTGACTTTGCCCTCCCACGCTATTCGGAGCTTGTAATAACTATTGTAGTCGAGATGACACCCATCTGAAACCCGGTCTTGTCAAAGTTATAGATATCCCCCTCCTAGATGCCGTACTTTGCGATTATATTCCGTACAAGCGCAAACTAACTGCAAATGATCTCTAGATCTTTGTATCGGGCCCTCTAGTAGTCGTATTTCCGATTGAAACATATAGTGAGCTCTAGGTGGCGTTTGACGAAGGTTGAAGCCTAACGTATTCTAACGCGTCCTATATCGTGTTCGGCAAGCAGTCGATTAGCTATATCTTCTATACTAGACAAACAGGGAGGAAATCCTTTGGCGTCTAGGTCGAGGATATATTGAACAATGACAGATTCCTCTAAATTGGTCAATTTCCGAGAGTTGGCTTGAATGTCGCGTCGTGGCTGCTGACCGCGTCGACGGCGGCTTAGCTTCATTGGGTCCATAGAAAAGATCCGAGCTGTAGCTCTAAGACTTAATTTGGGATCATTCTCAAGAGCCTGGAGGGCCAAGATAATTTGGCTTTCGTCATTTTTCTGAGGCATGTTAGGTTATAGAGGAAGTGGGTGTAGAAGTGAAATATCGCATTGGTGTGGTTTAGTGTAACTTTCGCATGTATGTAACTTTCGCTATACACCTACGTTATACATAATACATGTATACCCGGTAACTATACGTCGTTAACTCGCAGCTCCCATATCTTACCGCCATCAGCCAAAGGTCGCCGGGGGATGAAGAGACCGACGGTTAGAATTGAACAGAACAGACCCGAAGAGAATGCCTGTCAACTCGTTTCTATGATCCCCGCGGTTGTAACTTGTCGTCGTATAACTGTAACCGCGAAGCTGGACAGGCTGATGGCGAGCGACGCCTCAGCAATGTACGATGTACTAAACTAAGACACCTAGTCCTCGCGGTGGGTGAACTGGAAAGCCCCCCCCCCAAGCTCCTCGAGATCATCCACCGAGCTCACGTAGCTAGAGTCGATTCCACGGGCGGCTAGGGCCCTCGCACTGACCCAGCAATCAATCTGATCGATTGCAGTTACCTGCGGCGCTGGGTTAGAAGTGTTAGGTACATCCGTCTTTTCGAGCACCGAATCGGCATCAAATCCCTCAGGGGGTCGCAATGCATCGAAGAAATCAAATAAACTGCGAGAAGCGGTTCTCTTTGTCCTCGCCCAGAAGCTACTGATGAAAGGGAAACAACACGCGGCCCGCAGGTAGCCCAAGTTAGTCCGAGAACGTCTCAGGAAGCCTCAGGGAACAAAGGCACCGCTGAGCTGTCCACCACAGTTCACATCTCCTTGCTACCATTCACCACCTGACTGCCATGCACCTTCAGCCGCTTCAAATCAGCCAACGCATTCTCCAACACTGCGAGTTTCTCGGTGGCCTGCGCCCTTTCCGCCGCCGACTCGTTGCTCTCCCCCGCGATGTGCTTCACCTCCTCGTCCGAGAGGTCGCACACAATCTCCGGGGAGAGAATGGATGGGAGCTTCTGCACGAGGCAGCGCTCGATGGCGAGCGTGCTTATGGAGTCGACGAGTGTTTTCAGTGCGACCTATTTCAATTCCAAAATGCCATGTAAGTGTCTGTCAGGGACGGGGGCAATTGTTGGGGAGGGGGAGAGGGCAGGTTCCTGACCTTGTAATATGCTTCCATCATGTCGATTGCCATGGAGCACGAGTACGTGTCCATGTCTGGTTCCAGCTCCGTCATGAGTGAGTCTAGTAGCTTAGGGAATTCGACACAGAGTACTTCTTTGGGGAGCGTGCTGAAACCCAGATAAGCTAGCATCTGCTGCTCTACTCGTTTACGCAAGCGCTGGGCCTGCGCTTTCTGGACGTTGTCGGTCAGATAGTGGTTGTACGTGATCGGATGACCTGACACGTGGGGCTCGAGAACCTCGTCGGCCTTGCCGCTGAGTTCTTTTTTGAACTCCTCCAATGTCGGGTTCAGAATCTGGCTCAGGAGTCCTTCAGCGGTCTCCCCGTCGGCTACATAACGGACGATTGAGTCGGTTGTCTTGGAGGCCGCTGCGAAAACCCGCTCTAGAAGGCTTTGAACCATGCTCTTCCACGGCTTGCATTGCTTTCTGAAGAGGTCCGTGACAATGAGGGGGTTGTACGTGCCAGGAAGCTCTCGACCCCGGGTCTCTCGCATCAGCTGTTTCACCTCGTCTATGTACTCAGATCGGGAGATAGAAGGCGGCTCATCGTCAGAGTCCTCGTGTTCACCGTCAAAGTCATCAACAATGGCTCTGGCGTGGCCTTTCTTCCGCATTTCCTCGGCGAACTCCGTCAGAGTGTTTTGAATAACCGCGCGAAGGCACCTGTCCTTGGAGTCATTGAAGAACGCATGGGTGTAGATACCGTCGATGGCCGCCTTGGCCAAATTCGAGAACTCGGTGCTCACTCTGAGAAGGTAGCGGCGCTGCTCCGCGATTGTCGATCTCTCGGCGCCCAAGCGGACCAGAGTGTTCTTACAGTCGTTGAGACCCTCAGTCACGTCCTCAAGGACGCTGGGCAGCTGTTTGAGAATCTGGTCGCGCAAGACGTGGCTCAGGCGAATCCTGAGCGCGGCGACACCGAGCTGCGAGGGCTTAAGCGACTTCCAGACACCCCTGGAAAAGAAGGCGGCTTCGGCGGCATCTCGGGCAGCAGTCGAGGCGTCGCGCTCTGCATAGGTTCGGTTCCGCAGAACATGCCAGCCAAGACGAAATTGGACGTCCTTGTTCTGCGCCAACTCGATGTAGAAGCGCTCGCTATCGGAACCCTCGTCCAGCGTGTCGGGCTTTGTGATGAGGCCCAGGGTGCGGGCTCCCTCAGGATCCTGAGCCCTGGCATGGCGGGTCACCTGTTGGAGTGCGAAGTCGCTCTTTGCGGACACTACGGCAAGGATAATGGTGCGTGGATTCTGCATGTATGACAGCACGAGCGCCTCCACAAGGGCTGCATCTTCCTCGGACTGGTCCTTGTTGCCGGCCAGAAAGAGACCGGGAAGGTCGACCAAAGTCAGATGGGGCTGTGCGGGACCGGAAAGCTCGACGCGGAGGATGTCGGTGCTGAAGACCTTGTTGTCGCTGTTCAAGCCCATGATGTCCTTGGCTTTCTCAACAATTTTGCCCAAGTCCAGCTCCTCCACGGCACCGGCGTGCTTGTGGCCGAACCCCTCAAGCTTAGCCTTTTCTTTATCGGATCGTCCAGCTCCGGGGATGATGCTGATGTCAATGCCGGTCGTCGATGTCCGCCGGAGGATCAACTCGGTCGCAAAGCGAGTGCACAGGTTGTCTTTAGCGGGAAAAGACATGCCAGAGATGGCCTCGAGCGCCGAACTCTTGCCCGATGACTGATCGCCACAGACGATAATCTGGGGCAGGTCGACGTATCGACCAAGACCTTGAGACCGCAACCCGTCGATAACATCGAGCAGGTCGCGGTGGTCCTTGGACTGCAAAGCAGCCGGTTCACCGTTCAGCTGACCCATGATTTTGATGGTTGTTGCGTGGTGCCGTGGATTCAAGTCGTGGTCGGTGACTCGAATTGATTGACTGCTGAACTGCTTGCTTAAGTTGCCCGCAAAAGATGAGTTGCGGGCAAAAGAAAAATTGTGAGCAAAAGAAGAGTTGTGAGTAAAAGAAAAGTTGTTCGCAAAAGAAGAGGAAAGGAAAAGGAGTCGGCAGAGTTTCGTGGGCACGTTGGCGAATGGATCTGAAGTTTTCCCTCCGAAAATACTTTACACTTCAAAAACGACCTGTTCAACTAGTAACAGCCGTACCCATCTTTGAGACGTGAACCTGGTCAAAGCAGCTCATACGAACAAACGGTACAGTCGACTCTGAGTCAATGAACACGGGACGCTCGGCCACGGAAAGGGTAGGTAAGGTACTTTGTAAACGACCAACATCTAGCGGCCTATTTGGCGGTATGCGCGAGTTGACATCAAGGAAATCACTCGTACACAACAGCTTTCAAACAACGATCTTACTTAACCGCGGTGGAAGTGACAGTCCCAGGCAATGGGTGAATGGCATGGCTGATACGAGGACATTCGGACTTTCAGAGCCATGATTAGGGATGGTGGCGAACTTTGTCCTCGATCTCCCGCACGAGCTGCTTCACATGAAATCACATTCTCCTGGTCCTTGAATCGGTCGAGAAGCAAACGAGACTGCGGGCATTGAGTGGCTGGAAACGAAGATGTCGGCATCGGAAGAATACGGGCAGCTACGTAACTGACGCAGAAACAAGTGCAACTGACCGTACTAACGACCAAGATCGGCATGTTTTGAGCGGTCTGCCAGGTCGCGTATCGATGTCTACTGTCATGAAGCCGCGGGCGGAAGCATGGATCAACAACGTCACTAGGCAAACAAAATCAAACTCCGCAGTCCCTGGTGGTTGGGCACACTGTGATTGAGACCGGCTGCTACCTGCATTTTTCCAGCCTTTTGAAAGTTTTCAAATATGTTTGCATAGGCGACCACCCGTTCCCCGAGCTCAACGCAACACAAAAACATTACTTTCAAAGTTCGGAGCCGCATATGACGTGGAATGTTGGCTGCACGTTTCCACGGGTTGTCGTCGGGACAGAATCGCTGAAAGAAGTTTGGTGCGGTTGAGCTCTTAGCCTCTCACGTGTCACACGCATTACGTAATCATTTTCTCTGCGGGTCTTGGCCAGGTCCCCGGTCCCCTGCTGCAGCGCTGCGGAGCTCCAGTCGTGCGTGCCGCAGCTGGCATCGTCATCCCATTGAAGCGGCAGCGCGCAGGACACTCTGTTGCTTGATCACGGCCGACAGCTTTCTGCCCAGGACTCCCGGGTTTTGATACCGCCAACTTGCATTGTCCAGTACCCCAGCGACAACGCTGCAGACGAAGATACCTAATAACAAGGACAGCAAGAACAACGCCGCCGCCGACATGTCCACAACCCCCGCGCCGCCCGAGGACCAGGCGCGCCTGCTCGAGGATGCACTCATTGCCGTGCGCCAGCAGACGGTGCTGATGCGCAAGTGCCTGGATACTCCGGGGAAGCTGATGGATGCCCTCAAATGCTGGTGGGTTCAATCTAGGCTCCCTTAGCGCTTTGCCTGGTGTCGCTGTTCACAACCGTGAGGCTGACCCGACGTCTGCAGCTCTACGCTTGTCTCTGAATTGCGGACCAGCAGCCTGGGTCCCAAGCAGTATTACGAGTTATACATGGCCGTCTTCGATGCGCTCCGTTATCTCTCTGTCCATCTTCGCGAGAACCATCCCGTCAACCACCTCGCCGACTTGTACGAACTGGTCCAATATGCCGGCAACATCATTCCCCGCCTGTATCTCATGATCACTGTTGGCACGGCCTACATGTCAATTGAGGGTGCACCCGTGAAGGAGCTGATGAAGGACATGATGGACATGAGCCGGGGCGTGCAGCACCCGATTCGCGGGCTCTTCTTGCGCTACTACCTCTCGGGCCAAGCACGAGACTACCTCCCTACCGGCGACTCTGACGGCCCCGAAGGCAACCTGCAAGATTCGATCAATTTCATACTCACCAACTTCGTCGAGATGAACAAGCTCTGGGTCCGCCTGCAGCACCAGGGCCATTCGAGGGAGCGGGAGCAGAGGACACAGGAAAGGAAGGAGCTGCAGTTGCTGGTAGGGAGCAACATTGTCAGGTTGAGCCAGCTGGTGGACTTGCCCGCGTACAAAAACGGTATCTTGGCCCCTTTATTGGAACAGGTTGTGCAATGCCGCGACGTCCTCGCCCAGGAGTATCTTCTCGAGGTGATTACCCAGGTGTTCCCGGATGAATTCCACCTCCACACCCTCGATCAGTTCCTCGGCGCTGTATCGAGGTTAAACCCTCACGTCAATGTCAAGGCCATCGTCATTGGGCTCATGGACCGACTCTCCGGATATGCTGAGCGGGAATCGCAGAACGAGCCAGAGGAGGACAGGGCGAAGATGGAGGAAGAGGCCCTGGCAAACCTCCTTGAGAAGATCAGGTTGGGCGCGCCAAGTACTGCTGCAGACCCAAGCGCCTACCCAGAACCGGCCGAAGCCCCGCAAAACGGAGACCACCCCGAAGCCGACGCGGCCCCGGCAGCGGAGACCTCGAATAAAGATCCTGAGCCGGCACCGTCAATAGCAGACACCGAGGCGACGGCCGTGAATGGAGAGGAGGCGCAACCAGCCAAGAAGCGCAGAGGGATCCCCGAAAATGTGCCGTTGTACGAGATCTTCTTCGGGCAAGTCAAGAATCTGGTGCAGGCACAGCATCTCCCAATTCAGGATACCATCGCCCTCTGTGTATCGCTGATCAACCTGGCGCTCAACATCTACCCGGAGCGACTGGACTATGTCGACCAGGTGTTGGAGTACGCCCACAGCAAGGTCAAGGAGCATGCAAACAGCGCAGATCTCCATTCGCAACCAGCACAACAGAGTCTTCTGGCACTGCTCCAAAGTCCGCTCAGGAGATACCTGTCAATCTTCACGGCCTTGTCTCTTCCGACCTACGTTCCCCTTTTCCAGTCCCAGATATACCCCACGCGGAGAGCTGTTGCTGGAGAGGTTGCGAGGACGCTGTTAAAGAACCAGACGCTCATATCCACCCCGGCACACCTCGAGAATGTTCTCGAGATCCTCAAGGTTCTCATCAAGGAGGGATCGCAGTCACCTGCCGGCTATCCCGGCGTTGTGCAGCCGCGCGCCCGCGCCCTCGAGACCGATGAGACAATGGAGGAGCAAGGGTGGCTGGCTCGCCTGGTACACCTGATCCACTCAGACAACAACGATACCCAATTCCGCCTGCTGCAGATGACTGGGAAGGCGTATGCCGAAGGCAATGAGCGGATTCGGACCACCACACCACCGCTCATCACCGCCGGTTTGAAGCTCGCCCGCCGCTTCAAGGCGCGTGAACACTACGACGATAATTGGTCATCACAGTCGTCCGCGCTCTTCAAATTCCTCCATTCTGCCATTTCGACCTTGTACACCCGCGTCAATGGCTCAGGGGCTGCCGAACTGTCTCTTCGCCTGTTCTGCGCCTGCGGCCAGGTTGCTGACAGGACCGGCTTCGAGGAGGTTGCCTACGAATACTTTGCCCAGGCGTTTACCGTGTACGAGGAGGCGGTCAGCGACTCCAAGGCGCAGTTCCAGGCTGTTTGCGTCATTGCCAGCGCGTTACACCGGACGCGGAACTTTGGCAAGGAGAACTACGATACCCTCATCACAAAATGCGCACAGCACGCCAGTAAACTGCTTCGCAAGCCTGATCAATGCAGAGCTGTCTACCTGGCGAGTCATTTGTGGTGGGCAACGCCCATTGCCGCTAACGGGGAGACCGAAGAGACCGAGGTACGTATCTTTCAACTCTTGGATCTGACTGTAGTATGATACTGATGCGTCACAAATAGCTCTACCGCGACGGAAAGCGAGTTCTGGAATGCCTCCAACGGGCCCTTCGTGTGGCAGATTCATGCATGGAGACGGCTACATCCATCGAGCTCTTTGTCGAGATTCTCGACCGATATGTGTATTACTTTGACCAGAAGAACGAATCGGTAAGTAGATCCACTTGATTGATTTAGTACCACTATCCTGTTCCCCGACCTTGTTGCTAAGCCTTCACCTCGGATAGGTCACGACCAAGTATCTCAACGGTCTCATCGAGCTGATCCACTCCAACCTGGCCGGCAATCAACAAGATTCCGCGTCTGTCGAGGCCAGTAGGAAGCACTTCATGCAGACGCTTGACATGATTCGGAGTAAGGAGTATGAGGGCATTGTGCTTACACCGAAGTGAGCGGTGGGCCAGCCGACAGGAACCAGAACATGCTAGACTCGGGACCCCGAAACCCGGTAGTGGCTTGAGAGGGCCAGACTCGAAGACAAAACCTCACCAACACGCCATTGCGCCCCATCACGGAGAGTTTTCCCGCATGTACATTTACTGTACTCACCTTTATGTATCCCCTGCTTGCTTATACCGGCATTCCGGTGTGGCACACCCCGGCACATTAATATGATGATATCAGCCACGGAACATGTGTACCCTACCCATTGATGAACCACCCAGGAGAGTGCCAACCTGTGTCCTCCCAAGGGTAAGACTCCCACACACTTCGGAGACTCTGATATATTCCGCTGTGAGCAAGCGTGCCAGTGGGTGTCCAAACAAGGTACCTCAGGTATAAGTATGCCTCAGACTGCGCTGTCTCGCACACAGTTACTGTACAGGAACAGGACAAGCACACAGAGAGATGAAGCCACCCACGATAATCACATATTAGCCAGTGACGACGACAAGGCTTTCCCACCATCCAAGAGACAAAGAAGGAAATTGCAGTGAGCGAGGAACATAGGAATGCAAATTTCGAATGACCCATTTTACGCCGATGCGATGCAAAAGAACAGGGAAATGTGACAAGATGGCTAATTAAGAGCCCTCAGATATTCACCGCGTCGTCCTTCTTTATACAATCCGTGATGGACAAGGTAATGGTAGAAAGAAACACGAAGACAGAAATGAAAGAATGTAAGTGCAGAAAGTTGGTGTCATTTCACCAGGTTAGCGGCCGCCTGCCTGAGGATGCTTGCAACTTCATCTACCGTCTGCTGAGCCAGGGTCCAGTTGCCGGACATCACAGTGTCCCGGATCGAGGGGAAATAGGCGTTGGTATCGTCGGTGTCGTCATCGGACCAGAGCTGCGGGCCGAAGATGACATGTTTAAACTGCGTGCGGTTGGGGATCTAATAGCATAGCGCGCGACCAAAGTCAGTAAGTCAGTACACATTATTGTGCCTCTGGCGAGTTAGGTGGAAGACAAGAAAGGCTAACGTACCCCGGCACTGTCTAACAGGTCGCTTTCGAAGGTCGCCATGCGCGCGTTATACTCGCATCTCCGTCTCCCCAGCCCCGCCGGCTCCCACCCGCTGGCGGCAAGCACGCTGTTCTCCCAGCTTTGCTCCCACCTGGAGAACTCGCGGATCAACTTGACCACCTCGTCGACCGCACTCTTGAGGGAGTCGAGCGAGAAAGGTTTGTCCCCGGCGGCCTTGTCCGCGCCTCTGGTTTTGGTCCAGGACTCGAGGTCCTTGACCCAGCGAGACAGGTTGTCGGCATAGGCGGGCATGTCAAACGGCATGATGGGGCGGTCGGCAAGTTCCAGGATCAGCAGGCCAAGGACTTGGCCGAGGAGGTTGTGGTAAACATAACCTGGATCGCCAAAGTGCTCCATCCACTCGAAATTGTCGTAGCTCGAATATAACGGCGTCTCCTTACCGTCGAAGTACAGGTCGAGCGACGAGGTGCCGACGATGTCCTGGAAGGCGACGTAGTCCGAACCGGCACCGAGCCCTTCCAAGTCGGCGGTTCGGCGGTCCCAGCGTTCGCGCAATGTCTTGTTAAAGTGCGGATCAGAGACCCGGTTCAGAACCTGGAGGAGCAGCTTGCGGAAGACAGGCGACCCGGCGGCATGGAAGGTGTCGCCTGTCACAGCCCTGTCGAGGTTGATGTAGGCGAGCGCGTCTTTGCGCAGTTCGTCCTCGTACTGCTCGACGTACTCGGTCGACCCTATGAGGTTGTACGCCTCGCCATCCCACGACGCAAACTCGATGGTGCGCAGGGGCCGCCATCCGCGCGAGACCAAGGCACCAAAGACCCGGATGATTTCGAGCATGACCGCTGTTCCCGAGTGAGGATCTGCAGCCCCGAAAGCCCAGGAGTCGCGGTGGTTGCCAATTATGACCTTCTTCTCCCCTTGTTCGATGCCATAGATCCTGCCGTACACGTTCCAAATCGGCTGCTTCAGAACTTCATCCTGCTCGTTCCTCAAGCGCACGATGGGCGAGGAGCCGTTGCCAGTCCACCACTCATCGACCTCGGGAACTCCGCCTTGCCACCCCTCCGGAACCTGCTGCCCGAAGCCCTTCAGGTGCTGGAGCAGGACCTGGGCGTCGCGCCAGGCCAGCGGAAGACTCGGGATCTTGACAAGGCCTTTCGTCTGGTCAAGCGTCATGCGCGGCAGATGCTCCTTGCTGCCCCAGCCAGGCGTCAGAACATCGCCAACCACCCAGCGCATCAAGCTCACAGTCCCCCTCCGTACGGCGTCGGCCGGCATAAACGGCCCATCAGGTCCTATGGGAGCTTGCCGGAACGCGTCATTCGCGGGGTCGCTGTAGATGATGCAGCCCGCGAATCCTGCCATCTCGGCAGCCTTGACCTTCATCGCCGGGTCGCCTTGCGATTCGTGGTGCCTCACCAAGGCAATCGCTCCACGAATATCCAAGTCTTTGAGCCTATCAAAGTCGTCTCTCGAGCCGTGGTTGGCGTACACCAACGGACCCTTGACGTCGCCCGACTTTGAATGGCCATGAAACACATAGGTCTGATGCCCTGCCGTCTTGGCCCCTACTTCCTCCTCTTCTAACTTGGCCGACCAGATGGCCTTGCCGTCCTGCCCCAGGATCTCCACCGCCCTCCCTCCAGCCTTCGGATAGTTCAGATAGACATGGTACACGTCCCGCGTGACATCTTCCAACCCGTACTCCCTGAACAACATCTCGGTATCCTCCATCAGCGCGTAGTCACCCTCGGTCCCCGCAAGATGGGCGTAACTGGTGAAGTGCTTCAGGTGATCCCGTATCCTCCTCGGATCCACACTGCTCTGGACGTTTATCCGCACGCTCTCGGGGTCAAACATCTGACTCCCCATCCTCCGCGCCATGTTCGTGAACAGGTCGCTCGCGAATAGCGCGTAGAGAAGCCCCAGGACGAGGATAGCAACCAGCATCCGCGCCACCAGCAGGAGGAGCGCGGCGCTCCCGAACTTGGGGAGCGAACTCGGCCGCGCGAACCACGGCTCGGCCGCCTGACCCTCCGCCGCCGGTGCCGTTGCCGTGCCCCGAGTGTCGCCCGCATTCCCGCCGTCTGCTCTTCGTCGCAGGCTTGGTAATCGCCACCTCCACCTCCAGCGCCACTGCGGTAGCGACAGCGACAGCCCGATGCGCTTCCCCCACGAGGAACCCCGGTTCTGCGAGTTCAGGTCGGAGTCGTCGATCTCCAGCTCCTGCATCTCTCTGCGCACTTGCTCCGCCTCGCGCTCGTCGCCCGAGTCGGATTCCGAATCTGAGCTGAACAGACTACTCTCGTCGTCGGTCTCGACGGTGGGCGGCCGGTAGCCACGGGGTCGCCGGCCTCGCGCGGCATTCGGGGTGGCGGACTCGAAAGCATGTCGGGAGCTTGTTAGCAGCGATTGGCCCTCTCCTGCCTCTGCTTGGGAGTTATCGACAGGGGATCGCGCAGACTCGCGGTGCCAGGCGCTGCCCCCGGCAACGGCTTCATCGTACGTCGGTATTGGCGGCACGGGATCGTACCGCTGGTCTTCGTTTGGCGCCATGGTGCGTGGTATTGTGTCGTTCGGTGCGTGCTTGTAGTTCGTTTGAATGGTTACGGCATTCAGAGCGCCGGATGATTTTCAGGGTATTGTATTGTACCTATCCGATTGGGATTAGAAAGAGGAATGGATTTGGTTGGGATTGTCAAGTCAAAAGAGCGTATCCGTAAGGGATTGAATAAGAGGAAAGAGGCGTCTCTTAGCGAACGGCAGAAGGAAGTAAAGTAATGCTATTCATCGGGCCAGCTGCTCTGCGAGTAGACATGGATGCATCATGGAACTGCGCTGGGTTCTGGTTTGGTGTAATGAAGTTGAAATTGGCATGTCTGAAGCACGACTGGATCCGGTTAACCCCCCTGTTTGCAACTTCTCTTGGCGTCGTGCCGAAGTCCCCAACAAGTGGAGCCACTCAGCTTAGTCACACTTCTGAACCTAATGTCATGGGACTCACCAGTCCTGGTCTTCGACTCTTCTGCCTCCTGAGGTGGTCTGCGATTTGAGCCTTCCATTCACCGAATGGACTTAGGTATGTAAGGTACTGGCGCGAGTCTGTACCTCATAGGCCATTCTTTGCACAGGAGCTGGCGATAATTCCCTCTGTTCCTCGGCATCTCGGCTCAACCAACTGCTGAGAGAAATACTAGTAATTCCCGCCGACGACTCCGAAGAAACCAAGTATAATACGCGGGTACACTCATATCCGGGCTCTCTACTGTGTGCTCAATTTGTAGGCTTGAATACACTTACAGCAAGGCTCCTGTTACTTTGTTGTCACATCCAACCTAATTCCTAAGAGCTAGAAGAACCAAAACCAAACCCACTGCGAACAAACGACTGTGGCGGCCTGGCCGACTTCTAACCCGGCCCTTAGGAGGACATAGATATGCTGTCGCTCAGCTCGCCGCTCCTCGCCGTTGTAGGTGTCTCATGAACCACGTTAGGCGCCCGCGGACCTTCGCCTTCGTCCTAGATAACGCGTCCCTCAAAACGGCCATCTTTTGGCTCAGCAAGAAGATGACGATCATCCACTCCGACGGCTCCATCTGCCCCTTTTCGGACCGCTGGAATGTCTTGAATCTGTCCCCCAGCATCCTCCATTCCGGCCGTGGATCCTGCTCCATCTGTTCAATCAGTCTGCGGCGCTTTGGGCCATACGTCTTCCGCAGGCCGCGGGCAAGGTTGTTCAAATTCATCGTGATGAGGTATGTCGCCACAGCGACAATGGCCGTGACAATTACGAGGTCGACTCTGCTGTAGGACTCATTGATGCTCCAGATGGCCTCATAGCGGGGTAAGAGGTCAGTGAGAGTGAAGGAAGAGGAAGTTCAGACGAGCAAAAACTTACCACACAAAGGCCGAGAGGGAGGAAGAAAATGCTGACGAAGGTCAGGAGCTTGACATTCTCGCCTAGCTTCGTCGAGGCTCGGCTTTCCATGACGGCGCTGGCATTGAAAAGCTGCGATCATTAGGGACAGTTTCTAGGGGAATCAATCGTGTTCTTCTTAATGCAATCGCATATAAGGTGCACAAGGATGGACCAACTTACGCCGTCCCTCAAGACCGTGATCCGTGCCAGTTTGTCCTGGAGCTTTTGGCGCACCTGCTTCAGCTCCTTGCAGGCGTTTTCCGCCTTCTCCTCGGCCTTTACAAGCACTTCCTGAGACATCCTGTACCAGTACTCCTCCCGGCCGCTTAAAGGGCTCCTGTATGGCTCTACGGCCGAGCGTCGGTACTGTTCCCACTGCTGTATTGTCTCATCCAGCAAGCCTATTGCCTCGTGAAGGAAGTTGATAGCCCAGAAGTAGCGCTTTGACATGGAGAAAGCGTCGTCGTCGAACAGGATGTCTTGAAGGCGCTCTTGCACCCGCAAGACATGGCTGCTGTCCGCCAGCGCCTCCACCCAACTCGCAACACCTAGCCAGCAATTGACCACTCTGGCCAGTGCATCGGCCACGTAATGGGTTGACTGCGCCCTGAGTGTAGGGGCCTCGCATACGGTGTAGACGTTCTGGTTATCCCAGGAGTACGCGGGCGTGAGGCACACGATGGTCCAATGGATAGGGTCGTCCTGGTCCATGAGCACATCCTCCACTGTTCGAGGGACATTAAACATCTTGAAAGGGCGACAAATGTTAGCTTAACCTGTCCATTGCAAGATAAAAGTCTCACACAAACCGTACCGTGAAGCAAGCTTTCCTCATCTTGACACCGGGCCAGTCGAAGAAGCGGAACGTATTGAAGGTATCCTTGGTGTTACTGTAGTGGAACAGCTGGAAAAAGGCAATGTGGAATTGTACGTGCGATATGGATGCGGGATTCCGGTAGGTAAACTCCTGTAATCTTGATCTTAGACGGCGTAAACTTGCACCAACGACGGCAGCAGGACGTACCAGAGTTGGGGTTATTGCCCAGACATGCCACTCGAGTGCCTGGAAACAATACTCGAAGGAACGGCGTGACTCTCCAAACGCGCCAAACTCAAACCACGCCGAATTGAAAAAGGGGTCGCGCATGCGTAATATGGCGTACATGGCGTCATCAAGGGCTTCGAGTCCCTGGATGAGCCTGTCCACTGTCAGTACTAGCAGTCACAAGGGGAAAGGCGACCTACACTAGTCTCCGCCAGGGTTTACCGCACCTCGCCTCGCGATGCTCGTCCGAGTCAATAAGGTGTCGTAACCCACACGTGAACTTCTCGTCTTGGCCTCGCTGTTGTAGCGGCGCCTGAGCAGCGTTACTCGTTCTGCGTCCCCGTCGCGGCTCATATACACAGCCCTCTGTTGGAGCCCACAATCCTCTCGGCCATCCCCTGTCCAATAGTTATCAGCCATCTCATTCCCAACCAGGACTCATAGCGCGATTCACTGGCAGGAGTTAAAGCATTGTCTCAGGGGCACGATTACTCCACAAGACAGCCCCCGTAAACAGCGCGGATTTGACGTACCAGTCAACAACCTTCAACCGGCCCTCTTCCTGCAACGCGTTTGTCAGTCTTGCAACGAATTTGATTATTGGCTTTCCCTGGTCCGGTGTCCTGGAAGAGTAGAAGGATTTGGAGAACCTGAGCGGGAGCCGTCCATCATCGGGGATACAGCAGGCGTCGCCGAAGGCGTCTAGCAGGGACTCGGTAATCTCGGGAGCCACGTTGACCACTGCAGAAGCGGCATTGTCACATGCCGATGTTTCGGTAACGAAGTCCCACTCATTCGGCCGTCCGGTCCTTGCGCTGTATGCCTCGAGAATGTCGTCCAGAGTCAAGCTGCGATCTTGTGCATTCGCTCGGCCAACCGCGCCAGAGAATATCTCCCTGACATCACGGCCTGATAGCCCTAGGTTTTCCGCATTGCGTTTGATCCAACGCACAATTTCTTCCCTTGTCTCGGTGGAGATTGAGCCATGTTGCTCAACTCGGTCAAGTTCGGTAATAAAGATGGTTTCCTTGACGCCTTTAGGGGATGGAAGAGTTATCTCAACCTGGCGGATATATGGCACCAACGCACGATCGAGTGTTGTAACGTCCCTGGACTGGAAGACGATGACTCCATCAAAGCGTTTGAGCTTGTGTGTGAGGGCTACCAAGTGTGAGCGAGATCACTGCTGACTGCTTCTGGTCGCTGAGGAGAGAGAAAAGGAGGTTGTGGGTGGAAGTCTGAAGGGGGTTATGTCAACGCACCTGCTAGCAAAGCATTTCCTGTCATATCGTCCGGCTTTCTCGGCTGCAATAGATACTTTGCTTTGGCACTTTTCTGGCGTTAGCAATCCGGCATTGTCGGCAACCGAAGATTACCGGTTGGTTAGTAGTATATTCCTACAACACAAGAATTGCTCCCCAGTGGCAGCTCAGTTCCGAATAATACGACAAGTTCTCGCTGAACAGTCTAGGTTCCAACCCTAAATCAGCAGGGCGGAGAAGAAGAATCGGACGACGGCAATGAGCCGCTAGCAATTCCGTCAAGAGGCCCTTGCCAACACCGCGAGCTCCTTTTGACCATGTGAGGTTAGCGAATACTCCCGATCCAGCAGCTGTGTAAGTGATGGTAGTCATTGAGCCCCCTACCGTGAAAGTGAAAAAACAGTCCGCGTCCATAATCGTGGACGAATCCGTCACCGCTTTTCTCCTTCTTATCCATAAACTTCTTGCGCTCAGCAAAGTACCGAACAAAGTCGTTCTTGATAGATGCTTTTAAAGACCTGTCAAGTTGAAGAACATCGAGCTCTGTATCCAGGGACCTATCTGCGTATCCCAGTTCGCCGGGCTGAAGGTCGTCGATGGCCAGCGTGGCCCATCTCTTACTCCCCAATAGGTATCCGCCCACTCTTGTCGGCGACAGTAAGAGATATCGGATGTTTCTCGAGAGATTCTCGAAGCTCATCGAAGTGGTGCAAGTCGTACAATAGCAGCAGAACGTGGAGCCCGGAATTGATCCATCCTTGTTATTCGCGAGGAAGGCTTCAGGGTCGAGAACAACTTGTTCGCCGGCCTAGTATTTGGTTTTAGCCATACTATTTCAGACATGATAGATAGCATATATGCTCAAGTGTTGGGTGCCATTACCGGCTTTCGATATGCCGTCCCCTGCGACGAGGGTGACTTCCACTTGCACAGAGGGAAGTCACCAACTTCGACTTTCGACAAGGCCTTCAGTATATCGAGGGCTGCTCTCTTCCTACAAACCAGCCTCTCAAGCACCTCGATGGATTTGTCCGGATCTGATCCGACGATAGGATGGTAGAGCAGACCATCGACCGGTCTTGCTCCACCGTAACTGTCGATGGAAAAGCGAACACACGTCCTGGAGAAGGCCGCGCCGTCCCATCTGAAATGCCAACCTTCTATCACGCAGGCTTCCGACGCCGACGCCGCGACCGTGTGGCAAGATGAGACCTCGATAATCTGTTCTCGCCCAGCATCCCCGGACTCAATAAGCAATGTCCCGGGGGCAAAGATACCGGGTAGTTCGTCAAACAGGACCCAACCCCGTGCGGCGTCCACGCCCCAAATGTTGGCGGATTCCGCGGAATGGGCATCACAGCAAGCCAACAGGCCCGCAATGGCCTGGGTCAGCTGGGGAGTGAGCATCTGGTTTGAATACAGTGCCCGAAGCTCGCTGTCCAGTCGCCCAGTGCGTTCGATGAACCTGAGAATGTTCCGGTAGGGCAGAAGCTGTGCAAGTGGAAACCTGAACGCTTTGTGCTCTAGATGGCCGCGTTCCTCAGTCTGGTGGCGGTTGAGGCATGGACTAGGTATTCGCAAGAGCAGCGATAAGAGCTCGCCCTCCTCCACAATGATTTCCTGGAGCTGTGTAGATCCGTCAGGGTTCACCTGGTGCTTAGTGACAAAGCCAGTATGCGTATGCTTGATGATCTCTGTTGTTTTAGGAGTACGCTGGACACCATTTGGCTGTCCGACCGGTGTGGCGATGCTGCTGCTGCTCCGGGAGGGGAGAGCGTTCCATGAGTCCTCGAGCGCTTGAAGGCGCTGGTCTAGCGTTGAGAGCGTGGTGTCAATTCTGTTGAGCACTTGGATGAGCTTGGAAGATGTCGCTTCACTGGGACTGTCCATCGCGGCAACATTTGACTGCGTGAGTGGTGTTCTTCAGGTTTGATTTTCGAAGTTCTGGGTGAAGCCCCCAGATAAATTATAAGGCTCCCATTCTGTCGAATGTGCCCGACGCCCAGGCAACCAAGATCCCCGCAGCTGAATATGCAAGGTAGTCCAGCCGCCAATCATCGAAAGGAATGGGAGCCAGGCTCTGACAGAGGAGAGTGGTCTGCTTGACAAACTGAAGGTTAGAAATGAAGTCCAAACGGGGGGAGCAGCTTGAGAGAGAGAACAAGGTAGGTTGATATAAATGGGTCCATCGCTCAGAGCTTGCAGCAGTGACAGCAATCCTAGGCTTTGCTCAGGCATAATATACCTCTAATAGTGAACAAGAGTAAGGTATCCCGCCAACCCTCATCCCCTTCCTTAAACATCCGGCCAGAACTGCTTCTCGGCCTCCAAAAGCGATTTCCACTTCCCCTCCACTCGTCCCAGAATCTCCGCCTTGGCCGTGTCTTTCTCGGCCCCTTCCTTCTGTGCCAACACCTCCGCAACAGCGGCATCGATCAACCCCCCCAGCTTGTCCACGAACCGTGCAAACTCGGGACTGCTCCAGTTGGGGATGAACTCCTTGCGCAGCGCACCCCCGTCGGCATCCTCGGGATGGCTCGAAGAGGACTGCCCGCGGTTATGGGCCTTTTCGCGCGCCCAGGACCATGCGTCCAGGTAGCAGCGCTCGGTGGCCCAGAATATCAGGGCGCCTTCGAGCCAGGGCAGGACTGCTGGCGGGCTGGGGCCTGCTGTGGTCGTGAGGAAGGACTGGACTAGGGAGAGGCCCGGGAGCTTGCTCTCGTTGACAGGGGATGATGCGTTGGGGGCTCCGACTGAGGCAAAGATGGTTTCCATCATTGCTAGACCGGGCGGTTTTCCATCCTTGCTTTCAGTGGTAGTAGTCCCAGAAGATCTTTGGGACGAAGCCGCGGTCTGAGAAGCGGGAGGTAATGGAATGGCAATGTCAATTCCCAGGTCGTAACGATCTGCGACGTCGATGAAAAAGCGCTCTTCCTTGCGGATGGCAACCAGCGCTTCAATGAGCCAGTCGGCGAGTTGGGTCTCAAATGCTTCTTGCGATCTGAAAACCTGCTGCGGGAGGTCGATGGAGGCGAGCAGTTTACCTGCCGCTCGTATGTAGGAGTGGATATACAACCTGTCGCTGGCCAGCCAGCGGCTGAGGATGTTTTTGGGCAGACGTCCTTCGGCGCCAGCGAGCAGGAAGGGGTGCTGCGTCGCCGACTTGTAGAGGTCTTGATGCGTTGCGAGAAGATGCTCGGTCAGCGACCAGGTCTCTCGTGTAGACGCCATGACGTAATTGCGGTTTCCCCTTCCAAGGGCGTTTGCTAAAGTACCCCTCAGGGCTAACGCGTTTTGGCTAGAATGGTGCGATTCGAAAGGCGAGAAAAGCTGAACCGTAATAATCGTCAACACCAGGTAGGCCAGTCTGTTACTAGGAGAGCCTGAGCATTACTACCGGAGAGTCGCTAGCGTGGGTGGTGACTGGTGAGCCGTCATCGGACTCCCGCATGGTCTCCACTCAGCGCCGATAAGGTGTCGGATCACTCCGCGAATTGGTAGGGCATACGCGTTTGGTTGGCTAAGAAGCATGATTGAGTTGGGAAACGGTATAATAAAAAACCACGTGGGTACGAGGCCTACCGTTTTTAGCACGTGACCCAGGCTCTGCTGAGTCAGCAACTTGCCCTAAAAAGAAAGTGAACTAGCAGGTCCAAAAACACGTTTTCGCCCTCCCAGTAATAACGACAGCTTCTGGTCTTCGTTGTTTCTCAGAAGGTGCAGTCTCTTGTCCTTGTAGTTACTGGTTCTGGACCCTTCTGAGCAGACACAGAACTCTTTTATGGGCAAAAGCCAGGTTAGCAAAGGAACACTGTACTCCCTCCAGGCTGACGACTCCACATTTAGGGCTGACGGCAAGAGACCTGCAACCACCCAGCTTCCATGTTCCGACCGCAACAAGTACCTACTACTACTACTACTAGTAATTATACAAGACGAATGATACAAGATGGGAATATTGAACACCCAGCGCATCTTTGATGTCCACCGACATGCGTAGATATACTGTACCTTATACCGCTAGATCACCCGAGTCGGCATGTGTAAGGGTATCCGGGGTTTCGTCCTTAACCAACTGCGCTCGGATCAGAAGGCCGAGGGGGTATGGCAGCGGCGGAAGAAGCAGCAATAAACCTCCAAGCACGACTGCCGCAACACCAGGTATCCAATCACCAGACGAAGGTCAATCCAAACAGCCACCCCACCCACCCAACCGGTGAAAGTCCGCCGGATATACTACGGTATACCAAAAGACGTAAACCAAATCAATCAATCATCCCTACCTGAACCAGCGCTTGCCCGCACGCTCTCAGCAAACTCCCCAACCAAGTCCCTATAGTCCTCCGGGCCATACGGCTCCGTCATCTCAGCCAGCCACCCGCCCTTCCGGTGCACCTTCAGCCCCAGATCGCCGACCAGCAGATCGATGTACGGCACGGCATCAAAGACAAAATCCGGGAACTGGGCGCCGTGGCCGGCCGGGTAGCGCCACTTGCCGAAGCGGGCGTGGAGGAGGGTCTCGCGTCTGATCTCTTGGACGCTCTTCGTGTTCTTCTGCGTTTCTGGGGAGCCGTTGTGGCTGAGCGGCGGGAGGACCGAGGCCGGGAGCTCGTCGGCGAAGAAGGCGTTGATCCAGATGGCCTGGGCGTGGGCGACTATCGCGGTGGAGAAGTTGAGGAGGATGCCGGCGAAGGCGATGTCGCGCGAACGGGTGAGGAAGCGCGCGGAGGGCGGCACCATGAAGCGGTACAGGGTCCAGGGGGTGAGCGGGGTGGACGGGTTGATGGCGTCGGTCGTGGTCAGCGACTTGGTGTCGAGCAGGTCGCGCATCTTCTTGTTCTGCACGGGCTGGTCTTTGAGGCGAGGGAAGCGCGACAAGATCTCCTCGTCGGCGTTCTTGACGGCCTCCGGGGTGAAGAAGTCGGTTTCGCTGGGCGCGTGGGGCAGGCCGAGCTCCTTGTCGATGCCCTCGGGAAGGAACTTGACGGGTGGTACGTGCTTCCAGCCGGTGACACAGCAGAACGCGTCTGTGGCAAGCTGTGTACCGTCGGAAAGATGCACCGTCCGGGCTGATAGGCCAGTGATGTCGGCGATGTGCACCTTGATGCTGCCGTTGCGCACCAGATCGAAGAAGTTGTTTGGGTAGTTGAGGATGGAGAAGGAAGATGCGGTGAACATGGGTTGGCTCCACGGCTTGAGCTTCTTGAGCTCCGGATGGGAGTCGTACTTGTTCAGTGTGATAACGTCACCGCCAAGGATGGACCAGAAGGTATTTGTGATGACACGCCCAATGGCTGAACCGTGGTAGAAGCGGCGGATGCCGGCATACCCGTCAGCATCCCCCCAGATGCACGGGCTGAACCACGTCAAGATGCGCGTGTCTATGTCACATGGTCAATACCAACGGAGCACGGGAGCCGGGGGCCGACTTGCGACCGTTGGTGAAGAGCGGGATGGATGGTCGGACTCACGGACAAGCTTCTCCAGCCACTTCTTCAACGGTGTGACGTATGGCGGGGCCATCCATGCCGGGCCATGGCCGCTCTCTGCAGGGAGCACCAGTGAGCTTTGTGCGACATGGACACATGTTGCGAATCCGACGTACCTCGAATCACCCAGTTGACCTTGATGCCTCTGGTAGCGTACGCGTACGCGACATCCCAGCCCGACTTTGTCCCGCCAAACACCGTCACGGACTTGGCCGAGTCCAGGGTGTCTGCGTACTTGACAAAGTCTCGGCTATGGAAAAGGGGCACCCCGAATTCTTCCTGGCCTTCGATGTGCGGTAAGAAAGGCTCCGAGGTGAGACCGGTCGCCACAACGAGTTTGCGCGCAAAGATCGCCTGCTCCTTGTCGCCATTCCGAACGCTCAACATCCAGCTCGCGTCGGCGCCGCCTAGGTGCTCGGCTGTGAGAATCGCGCAATGGCAGCGGATCTTGTCGAGGATGCCAAACTTCTCGGCGTACTTGGTGAGGTATGCGTACATCACCTCGCCGGACATGTGCTCGCCGGGCTTGACGCCGAAGGTGTCGCTGTCCATAGGGAAGTCGGGATACTCAAAGGTGCCCAGCATGTTGTTGGTCCTGAGTCCCGGATACAGCCGTTCCTTCGCCCAGACGCCCCCCAGAGTTGAGCCGGCGTCCAGAATGGCCAAGGTCTTGTCCGGATTCAGCTGATGGAACGTCTTTGCGACAGCAAGGCCGAAGAAGCCTGCCATGGATCGGGTTAGCGATGAGATCTCACCATGCTGGAAGAGTGACTACCCGCCTGCTCCAATAACGACGAGGTCGAGAGTCTCCATTGTGACCAGCGAGAGACAGCCGTCATTCAGTGCTGGAAAACCTCCGTGTCTTGCTCATGGCGCGTCCGCAAAGTGCCGCCAGAGAAATAACGCTGCGGCCTCACTGTGAACTTGTGCGCAATGAACCAACAAGACGGGGTCCCAGCGGGAAAAGCAACCCCCAAGCTCAAGGGTCGTGTGCCCTGTCTTCACCGTCCATGGTCTATGCATCTGCAGGTGGTGCCGCGGGCAAACTTGACGTTACAGTACATGCTATTCCGTACATACATAAAATGCTGCCCTAGGCGGGGCTAATTCCTGTTTAAGTAATGATTCCGATTAAGCCGGCAGCCGATATTCGGTCCACGGTCCGGGCCATCGTCGTCGATCTCTTGTCAGACCCTTATTCCGCGGAGGGAACAGCATTCATCACATGAAGCTTCACCGTGCTAAGCTAATGTAGGTAAGTACGTACGGTAGTGTACTGTTGAAGGATCGCGGTTCCCGATTTTCGGGATTTGCCTTGCCTCGAGAGCCAGAGACGCCGTGCTGCTCAAATTCAATCTGCTCAGCACCATACGGACCGGAGTCACCGGACCATGTTTGCCAAATTCTGAAACTGTACCTACTAGTAGTTCTGCAGTTATCAACGTTATGTGGAGGTCCATTGGCTGCAAGGGTCAGGAGGGAGGGGAATCATCAAGTTCCTCGCAGCTTCGACCGTATTCATATCGATTGATGGCGCACTGTGCGACACAAGACCAAGTCTTGTCCCACCTCTGTTGCCTCAATTCGGCAGTAGATATCTCTCGAAGGAAAGACCTACATGGTACTATTAAAACCTGCCCTGTGCATGCACCTATGCTTGAAAGGTGGCAGGGGGTGGGGGTTTTAGTTCTCAGGCTTACTACACTCGGTAGTGCAGGCGGTGATTTTCCTCTGAGAACTCGGGCCCGGTAGTTGTTGGTTGGCAACAACGCAACTTGAAGAACACACGGCACCATAAGGTACGTTAGTAACAAACGGCCCAGGGTAGGGGTGCGGGTGGTGCTCAATTGTCTGCACCGCGCAATACTTCTACACCATGTCACCAAGCCGTTGGGGGGCTCCTTTGAATACCAGTGATATGTACAGTTCCACAGGGAGCCTTATGGATATCGATATCTATATCTGTGCCTACCACTGCGACTGTGCCAGATACGTCAATCCATGGTGCTTTGGTGGATAACGGTTAACAAGCTCGGTGCGCATAACTATATATATTATTCTAATGGTCCTGTCGGTGGTTTCTAATCGTTGTTCGAGGCAATCCAAGTAATAAGTACTTGGGTGGTCGTGAATTCGTCAAGCGCATGTGCTCGAGGTTCCCCTTATTCGCTTTTCGGTCTTTTGTTTTCTTCGATGCCCAACGAGCCCTGCGCCTCTTCCCTGCCGGTCAATCGAATTGTGCAGCGTCACAGCGCGGGCCTCGGGTACGTACACCATTGCATGTACTATGATACTATATGCATACCGTGAACCCGGATTCGGAAACAAATCCGACCTCATCCTCGGATGCTCGCTCCCGGTGGCATGTCGGATTGTCCCCCAGGGCCCCTCCCGGCACCCCCGAAGATTGGATGTCCAACTGCCCGTTCCCGCCAATGAAGCAGCAAAAAGTGACGCACGAATTCGGACCAACTTGCTTTGTGTGACGGAACCAGCCGATCCATGAAACCTCACTATCACACCCACGCGGCAGTTTCTACCTACCATGCCTTGCTTCAAGTAAAGGCATTAATAAGATGCAAACATCCAGAATGGACCGGATACCCTGCTGAGGTGGTGTTGTGTGTTTTCTTTTCCCAACTCTTCCCCTTTTCCAAGTCCGAGGCATCAAACAAGGCGCCGATCTCGAAGATGATGGCTTTGCCACTGTCATCCATTGACGAGCCCTTGGACTCTCCTTTTCGCCCCAAACATACCTATTCCTGAGGGATTCTCTTCTGGAGATATCAGGAAGGTAGTAGTGTGTTGTGTGGCGTTCACTTTTGTGCAACGACACCCATGATTCTTTACTCTCATTTAGCAGCTACTACTTAACGTTGTCCTCCGGGCCCGCCCAGTTCTCCATCAGGGCCCCGTACGAGACCCTCTCACACGATCCATATCCCACCATGTCGGACTCGTTTGTGACGGAGGCCTTTACGTTACTTGGGGTGGGCTTGTCCATAATCGGCCTCCGCTTGTACGTCAGGATATCCCAGGCTGGGCTGAAGCGTCTCCATGCGGACGACTACCTGATGGTCGTGGCGGCGGTACCGTCCCCCTTCTCCTCACTGACCGGCCGAGCCGCTGCTGATGTATGTACTTGTCTAGGTGACCTACTCCATAGAAACGTACCTTGCATACTCGGTCGGGACATTCTGGAAAGGACTCGCCAACAATGGCATGACGGATGAGCAGCGGCGGTTGCTAGATCCGCATAGCGAGGAGTATCGGTTGCGGTAAGACGGCGTTCTTCCGCCCAGGGCGGCTTCGGATTTCGAGGCTGATGAACGGGCGGAAAGGGTCAACGGTTCTAAGACACAAGTGGCGGGCTGGTCCACTTACACCTTTCTGCTATGGACCCTCAAAGCCGCCATGTGCACTCTTTATCTTCGGCTGACGGTATGACTTGCCATCCTCGGAGGCCCATCGTTGTATTGTACCAGCTCAAGATCGTGCTGACGCTCGGCTGGCAGGACGGACTCAACTACGAGAAGCGCATTTATGCAGGATTCGTCATCATCGTCGTCACATGGATCTCGGTACTACTATCCATCCTGCTCGGCTGCCGTCCCCTGGAGAAGAACTGGCAGATACACCCGGATCCAGGCAGTGAGGACTCCCTTAACTTCAACACATCCACAAGCCTGCCACTGACTGTAATGCAGACTTCTGCCAACCGGCCATCTCCAAGATCGACATCTTCGTCACTGTCGTCTTGAACGTGGTGACGGATCTCTATCTCATGAGCATCCCGATCCCCATGCTCTGGAACTCCTCGTTGAAACCCCTTAAGAAAGCCGGCCTCATATTGCTCTTCTCGGGCGGAATTTTCGTGACCGTGGCAGCCATCTTGCGCTGCATCCTCATCATCACAGTTAGTATCCCAACCCACATATGACCGAGGATTGTGTCGTCTTGCCCACAGGGTACTGACGTACATGTGTCGTGGTAGGACCCCGTCAACGGCGCCCAGCAGGCCGGATCCTGGGCGGTACGGGAGACGTTCGTTGCCGTCATCACATCCAACCTGCCGATGATCACGCCCCTCATCGCCCACTGGGCCCGTCCCATCATTGGAACTCTGCGATCGCTGACATCATCCAACAAGCTCTCCGGGCTCTCTAGAAGTAGCAGGTCTGGGAACAAACGGGGGGCCTTCGTCCTCGAAGACAAGAACCCGCGCCGCGGCATGGGACCGCGGAGCGTCAATCCGATCCCCGTCACCACGATCAACGGCAGCGATGAGCACATCAATCCGCCGCAGGCTGACGACGGGAGGGTGACCTCCTACGAGACGGACATCGAGCTGGGGCGGGTTGCTTCTCAGTCCAAGCATGGCGCAATCATCAAGAAGACCTCGGTTGAGGTCACCGAGTCGAGGGTCGGGGAGCCCGAAGAGGCGGGGACGGGGCAAGACATCGGCGATTACTACCTCGTCAGGCAGTCGAAGCAGGATGCGGAGCGACTTGCGGAGAGGGAAGCCGCTGGCGATGGAAGGACATCGAGCATGCAAAGGCCGTTTGATGTAAGGTTTTAGCAGGGTTATTGCGGGATGGGATGGTTTGGTATGGTCAACGCTTACTAATTGGCTTTCATTGGTTATGGCCTGGCTGTTTCACTTGGGGGGGGGAAGGGACAACAAAAGGGGCGCCTACGGTGGCATACATATAGAGCTTGCCGGTGATCTTTCTGGGATATTCCCATCTTCAACCTTTCTGTCTCTTTCGCTCGGGAAGGTCACCGCCTTTGGAAGTAGTATTGTAGTGAGTCACATGCGACAACAGATGGGATGAACTTACCCGACATACATTGATTTTCCTGGGCATGTCCTCTCTCCTATACTACCCAGGCAGCCTCGGTAAGTAGCAAAAAGACTCTTGAAGTACCAAAACCAGACGCCGTCTTCCCCCTGCCGCCGGGACCTCAACGTTAAATTGGCCATTTTCGAACACCCGACCGACAGCGGAGGGACGATGCGGCTGCTACGTCTGTCCGCGGTGCGGGTCCCGGATATTCAATGCTGCCCTCTTATCTGATGGCAAGACCATGAGGCCTGCGGTGGCATTCAGGGGCGGGCCTGGCGGGGGTCATTGATGAGGGGTTGGATTGGAAGGGGATCGGAGCGAAGCATATTTTTACGAAGTCTGCGGTTACCAAGTTGGAAGAGGGGTGGGGGTGTTAGTGACATGATGCCGCCTGCTCCTCGATCCGGGGAAGAAGGAGTGATCGACACGGCAGTGGGAAGGTTTGGGGTTGGTGCAGGGGGACTCTGCGTGGTGAATTAGAGTTTGAGGGTTAGGGCTTCACTTGTATTGTACCACACCGTGGCACTCTGCACCCCCTGTGTTTCGCCATGTAGCGTCCCGGCAGAATCTTCGTTTTGTTTACTTCGGAATGTTTATTTTCGCCTCAGTTAAAACCCGTCACATGTCTTCAGAGGCATAGACACGTCATTTGCATCGGAATGTCAGCAAGTCATGCCCCACTCCAGAACCATGTGGGTCTCGCCCCTCGCTTTATCATATTTATAGGCTTGGTCTAAGCATCAATCCAGGTAACCGCGTCCATCAACAGAGAATGCGCCATCCTTTCGTTCCTTCTCTTATCAACGTCTTTCGCTCGCGACTTCTTCACGCAATGGCTCCTGGTAAGAACTGGCACAACTGCTCCCATGAGAACCGCGCGGCAAAGCTAACCATTTCTGAGCAGTTCGCGATCCTCGTCCAATCGTTATTTCGGGCCCGTCCGGCGTCGGCAAGGGCACCCTCTACAACCGGCTGTTCGAGAGACATCCTGATACCTTCACCCTTTCGGTATCTCATACCACCCGCGGACCGCGTCCGGGCGAGCAAGACGGTGTGCATTACCACTTCGTAACAAAGGAGGCGTTCTTGGAATTGAAGGCGAGAGATGGTTTCGTCGAGAGGTGCACACCAGTTTCAGCTGCTTCTATTTGCGCCTTCGCATCCAGGCACGTGCTGACAACCCCACAGTGCGCAATTCGGAGACAATTACTACGGCACATCGAAAGCCACGATCGAGGAGCAGACCGCTAAAGGCAAGACGGTCGTTTTGGATATCGAGGTGGAAGGCGTGAAGCAGATCCGGGCCCTGGGCTTTCCAGCCAGATTCGTCTTCATTGCGCCGCCATCCGAGGAGGAGCTTGAGAGGCGGCTGCGGGGCCGTGGAACAGAGAATGAGTCCGCGATTCAAAAACGGCTGAACCAGGCGAAGGTGGAGTTGGAGTACGCCAAGGTGCCCGGCGTGCATGACAAGATCATTGTCAATGATGTGAGCTCTTAACCCCCTTAAGAAGAAGCGGGACTTGCGTGCTAACGTGGCTTAGGATTTGGAAAAGGCATACAAGGAGCTTGAGGAATTCGTTTTTGCTTAACCACCAGCGAGTGCTTAGATTTGTCCGGGTTGGCGTCCTGCTATAGATCGATCGAGTTTTCGCTTCCATGGTATATACACGCAGTTGTTATCATTTTACGCCAACTGCGCCAACACCACCAAGTTGCTCGACGTTCCCAGTGATATCATCTCTTCCGTCTTACTGCTGAGCATGCGGCTCTTCCTCTCTGACTCGACCGGACATGGGTCGAGTGTTCGTCACAGGCCTCACTGCAACCGGATACACTCGCCCACCCAAACCGGCAGCATCCCATTGCGACCAGAACGAGTCCTGTTGCGGCCTTAGCTTAGCTGGAGAAAAAATCGGGATAATCGGCGCTGGGGGCCATTCAATAGCTTGCAGCTGCAGGATCACCGTGTGAACTCAACCCGCCACTCAGGCTCTCGTTCACAAAGGTGTATCTAGCTCGGCTGCTTTTCGCCCGGGCCCGGTTGCACTTTGCTTCAAATCCCGGCAACCAGGTCATCTCCCCGGAGTCCCCGCAAGTCGCTGCCGCCCAGAACCCCGCAGAGGTCGGAGGAAGCAACCCCAAACAGCGCTTGGCGCACGCCGGTACCGTGGTGAGCATTTAGGCAGGATTACGATCCAGCACCTCTATTCGCCGCCTGCGCCTAGCCTGCCACGAGTTGGGGGCTAGATGCATGCTTGGAATCACAAAAAGCGGTCCGATCTAAGTCTTGATGGGGCAGGTGATAAGACATGCCTCTGTCAGTTCTATTTAAGGGGCTGCTCAAACCTTCGGAGAGGGGGGCACCCTTGGGTATCTCGAGTGTAATGCCACTCTCAAACGGGGACCATGGCGATCATTGGAGTCAAAGAAGAGCACGCGGATCCGCGCCTGACGCGCATCGCGCAGGCGGACACGAAGCCATGGTACAAGAAACCCAACCTGCGCTTTCTGTATCTCATCCTCGTCCCGACCTGCCTCGGCGTGGAATGGACATCGGGTTTCGACTCGTCCATGATGAACAGTCTACAGGCCGTAAAATCATGGGTTGACTGTTCGTGACACCCCCTCAACTCTCTAGTACTAAGTGGCGCAAATGCAGGGGCTGACGCAACATCCAAGACTTCGACAATCCCACTGCAGGCCGCCTCGGGCTTCTCAACGCCATGTACTCGCTTGGCGCGCTCATGGCGATCCCCTTCATCCCCACGGCCAGCCAGTACCTCGGCCGGCGCTGGACCATCCTCTCGGCCTCGCTCGTCATGTGCTTCGGCGCCGGCCTGCAGGCGGGCGCGCGCAACTCGGACATGTTCCTCGCCTCGCGCTGGGTGCTCGGCTTCGGCATTCCCTTCGCCATCGTCAACGCGTCGGCCCTGATCGGCGAGCTCTCGTACGCCAACGAGCGCCCCATCATGACGTCGCTGTTCAACGCCTCCTGGTTCATTGGCGCCATCGTCGCCGCCGGCACCACCTACGGCACCTTCCAGATGTCGTCGACCTGGGCGTGGCGCCTGCCGAGCCTGCTGCAGCTCGTCCCGAGCTTCTTCCAGATGGCGTTCATGTACTGGTGCCCTGAATCGCCGCGCTGGCTGATTTCGCGCGACAGGGGCGACGAGGCGTTTGCGATTTTGCAGAAGTACCACAGCGAGGGGCAGGACGGGGACGAGTTTGTGCGGCTCGAGTATGCGCAGATCCAGTCGACTATTGCGCAGGAGAAGGAGTTGGCCAAGGCGTTCGTGTGGGCCGACGTTGTCCGCGATCCGCCTATGCGTCGGAGATTCCTGCTTGCGGCCATCATCGGCTTCTTCACGCAGTGGAGCGGAAACGGGCTGCTTAGCTTCTATATGAAGAAGATCCTGGCGTTGGTAAACATCACCGACAACAGGACGGTGCAGAAGGTCATTCTGAGCAATACCTGTTGGGGCCTGATCAACGCCATGCCGATCGCGCTCATTGCGCCTCGGTTTCCCCGGCGGAAGATGTTCCTGACTTGTACGATCGGCACCGCGGTGGTCTACACCGTCTGGACGATCGCAAGCGCGAGGTCGGCGATTGAGAACTCAACGAGAGCGGCGATTCCGGTGTTGGTGTTTATTTTCGTGTACTCACCGTAAGTGCTGCCGGAGAGTTGTGCTCACCAGTGGGGCCTCATGGATTAACTTCTGAAATAGGTTCTACAACATCGGCTGGAACGCGCTGGCCTACACTTACCTGGTCGAGCTCTTCCCGTACCAGCAACGCTCCAAGGGCATCGCAGTCGAGCAGCTCACGGTGCGCTTCGCCGTCTTCTTCAACACATACGTCAATCCCATTGCGCTGGACTCCATCGGGTGGAAGTACTACATTGTCTATTGCGTCTGGATTCTGGTCGAGATTGCCACAGTGTATTGCCTGTTCCCTGAGACGTACAATCGCACGCTTGAAGAGCTCAGTTTCATGTTTGAGGGCAAGGAGGTCCAGGACAAGGTCCAGCAGAACATGGAGAAGGTGCTTCAGGTCGAGCTGGAGACTATCCAGCGGCGGGCATCGAAGGACGGCGTGGCTACTATGGAGCAACGGGCCTAATGGTGCGGACGAGTTGGGTATCGGACTTCGATCATTTCTCCAAATGAGCTCTACGAGTTCTCTCGGCTTATCACAAAACTGGCCGGAATGGCAAAGGAACACAATGGATTATGAAAGTTCAATCTCATTCACTGCTTTGTTTAGTTGCCTTCTAATTCTCTCCTTTATTCAAGTGACATGAATCGAGACCAATTGGATCGACTTACCTCTGGATGGATGTATGTCTGAGGACATGGTCGTGGAAGCATCTTTCTATGCCTTCGATGCCACTAACTCACTCACCGTTTCCTTTTTGATCTAGCCTCTGCCTTCGGAGCGGTCTCCTTCAACCAGGGAGGCACAGCCGCGACGCTGTTCACCCTGAAATCCAACAGCAGCGGATACAGATTCGCAAACGCCTCGTACACCTGATCCTCGCTCTTGGCGCCGGTGAAGACGACCTTACCGGTGGTAAACACCAAGCACTTGAGCTTGGGCTTCATCATGGTAAACACCAGGCCCGGAAACAGCTCCGGCTCGTGCGTGCACGACTGATACGCGCGGCGCGCCAGCCCCTCGAGGCGGATGTGGAAGCCGCACGAGACCGAACCCACAAAGTTCTGCACGGCAAAGTCGCGGAAGCTGGTCCGGAAGCCGCACTTCTGGATGGCGCGCGCGTGGCGACGGGCGGCCAGGCGCGCGAGCCCTGCCGACTTGGCGCCCGTCACCACGAGGCGGCCCGACGCGAAGACGAGCGTGGTGGTGCGCGGCTCGCGGATGCGCATGATCAGCGCGTGGAACTTCTCGCGGTTGTACTCGACGTTGCGCGCGTGCTGCGCGATTACGGCTAGGTCGAGCCGGCAATCCAGGTTGCATGTCGCTACCACGTTCTGGATCTGCGGCAAGGGCCAGTCCGGCTTGAGACGCTCGCGCCATGGCCGGTCTTGGTCGGGGAATGATTGCGTGGAGGGGGGGCTGCTGGTGGTGGTGGCTGATTGTGAGTGGGTGTTCATTGTGGTTCTTATTATTGATATTCTGGTTTCCCTCTTTCCGCGATGCGCAATTGGGGGCGACCTCCTGAGTGTATTGGGAATTGAGCCATAATCGCTCATCCAGCTGGGAGAAACGGGGTATATAACCCATGGCAGGGAAACAAAGGTTTTGTTGAAAGGCGCAGAACATTAATGATTAGTCCATGTGCAGGTTCGTCTAGAACAAAGGCATAGAACTGGATGGACTATTTTGTATGTAATAACATACAAAGTAGAGAACAATCCCTTTGTTCCAAGACAAAGCTCCTTGTACAGATAACCTATCCAGGCGTATTCCGATCTCTGTGGAATCCACCCACCACTAATTGCTAGACCCGGGTGGATGTCAAGATATGGATCCTATATAGACCCTTCTTAACTAGTTATATTAGGTAAATACTATTAGGTTGTGATTATCAGTGCTAGGATAATATTAAACCTGATGCTCTATACTAAGCAGCCAAAGGATCTGATGATTTGATGTCAAAAACTACGTCAAGTATCATTCACGCGGATATTTTCGACATCAGCCGAGACTCCCAAGAGTTCTAGATAATGATCACAACCCCAGCACCCCCTTTCCCTACCTAAGGTGCATATGTACACGCCGACAGGCCATCCTCGGCTACGAGATCCCCATTGTGCTGTGGGGAATCGAGGAAACCGTTACATCCCTGAGAGCTCTGCATTGGCGGAAACTGTTATAAGCGTCCTTGGGAACCCCTTTTTCACGGGCCGGAATGAACCCACCGAGCGAAATGGTCCGCTTGGTTCTGCTATGGTTAATGACATTTTGGCTCCAAGTTCCATCCGGGTCTCTGGTAGGTCCCTATATGAAGTCGGTTCAGCCGGCTCGGTTGCCAATCATAACGGCACTTGACGGTTCACAATCGCCGTCACGATGAAATCCTCTCTTGTTCGTGGAGCCCTCGGCATCGGCCTTCTCGCAGGGGCAGCCACTGCTGACCTCACAACGACCATAGACGCCAAGTCGGATCTGGGCACATGGGAAGGCTGGGGCACGTCGCTGGCATGGTGGGCGCAAGCATTTGGCACGCGCGATGACCTGGCCGACATCTTCTTCACGACCAAGACGGTGGCGGTCACCGGCCAGACCCTGCCGGGCCTGGGCTTCAACATCGCGCGGTACAACGCCGGCGCGTGTAGCAGCAACAGCATCAACGGCACGCGCATGGTGGTGTCGCCCAAGATGATTCCGTCGCGGCAGATGCAGGGGTTCTGGCTCGACTGGGAGAGCACGAGCCCGGCGTCGAGCAGCTGGGACTGGAGCGTCGACGCCGCCCAGCGCGCCATGCTGACCAAGGCCCGCGACCGCGGCGCAGACATCCTGGAGCTGTTCTCCAACTCGCCCATGTGGTGGATGTGCGTCAACCACAACCCGTCCGGGTCCGACGACGGCAAGTCGGACAATCTGCAGTCGTGGAACCATGTCCAGCATGCCGTCTACATGGCCACCGTCGCCAAGTACGCGGCCGACCACTGGGGCGTCAGGTTTCAGTCCGTCGACCCGTTCAACGAGCCGTCGGCGACGTGGTGGAACGGCAAGACGGGCACACAGGAAGGGTGCCACTTCGACGTGAGCACGCAGGCCACCCTCATCGGACATCTGCGGCGAGAGCTTGACGCGCGCGGGCTGGCGTCGACCGTTGTCTCGGCGTCGGACGAGAGCTACTACGACGAGGCGGTGGCGACGTTCAACAAGCTCGGCGCCACGGCGCTGGGCCAGGTGGCGCGCATCAACGTACACGGGTACCAGTACGGGAACGGGAGGCGGGATACGCTGTACGCGCTGGTGTCGCAGGCGAAGAAGAAGCTGTGGCAGAGCGAGTACGGCGAAGGGGACGCGACGGGACAGCGGATGGTGAGCAACATGCTGCTGGATTTCCGGTGGCTGAAGCCGACCGCCTGGGTGTACTGGCAGGTCTTGGACGGCGGTGGATGGGGGCTGGTCGATGCCGACAACGACGCCAGGACCATCAAGGGCGTGAACCAGAAATACTGGGTGCTGGCGCAGTTCACGAGGCATATCAGGCCCGGTATGCGCATCCTGGATGCCGGGAGCGACTACGCGGTCGCGGCATACGATGCGTCGGCGAAGAAGCTGGTCGTCGCGGCCGTCAACTGGGGCAGTGCGCAATACATCAACTTTGACCTGTCCAAGTTCGGTACGCCAGGGGTCAACGGCGCGCTGGTCAAGAGATGGGCCACCCAGATCGGCAGCTCGGGCACTCGCTATGCCGCGTACAGCGACACCTATATTAGCGGGACCAAGTTCTGGTCAAAGTTCGAGCAGAACATGGTGCAGACCTTTGAGGTGTCTGGCGTGGTGCTGTAAGGCGCCTACCATATGTATGGACTTTAGCTTATAGGTAGCAGACCGTCCGCCCGTCCATGCGCTATGGTACTGAGAAATCGACATGGATGGTCGATGAATTGAATAGGGTGTTGATGTTGTTTGGTCCAGTATCAAGTCAATCTTGTGAGGTTGTTACTGGAAGCATCAAAGCTTTGAGTAATTTCAAGCTTCGCTTGTGATGTCGCAAGGTGATCTCAGTGTTTCGAACTGCAGCTTGTTGGATGCCTAGGTAGGTAGTTTGGCTTCATGGCAAACAATGATGCCCGTTTGCCTTGCCGGAAGTCCAGAACACTAAAAGTGGTTGTCACCACCAGGCAAGCTTACCTCAACAACATTCCTCTTGTATTGGGAGACTACGTGCCTCAATTGTCAAGCGTCCTAGTAGTTTGTCGATGACTCGATGTTCTCTCTTTTTCGGTTGACAGGGTGAGAGTCCCGTCACAAACATCTGCACCTGAAAACAGCAACACCATTTTCATTGAATCGTTCCTTCCCTCTTGCTTCACAAGAGTGTATTACCAAGGTATGTTCATTTTCAGGTTCCCAGTTCTGTATTCAAGTTCTGCGTTTTCCTTGCACAAAGCATTCCTTTCATCTACCAAACCAACTTACTGACCTTGATCCTAGCACCCATCCACTGCCCTTTGCCTCTTGACTTCACTTCACCGAACAATCTTCATACATACATCGATCCACAAAGTTCTTACTGGAGGGATTGATGAAAGCGTGCGACGCTCATCGCCCTCAACTAACACCGCTATTCAGAACCATTATGGCTTCGCTTCCAAACTCGAACTCCGCTCCTTTGGAGGATGCCCAGAACAACGGGATCATCCGCGAGCCGTCTCAACATCACGAAAATGGGAAGGTTCGCGTGGAGGAGGACAAGCCCAAGAAAGACAAGAAGAATAAGAGCACCAAGCGTAGCGCTGGCGCCAAAAAGCGAGGGACAGGCTTTGAAGGTGAGGATTGTTCCCCCATCAACAGGGCTGTACCCTTGATATCGTCCCAGTCAATACGAATCGCGTACTTATACATACCAGAGTTCTACTGCGACCCGCCCATGACACCGGCAGAACACGAGGAGGAGGTAAACCTGATATATGCCCCGCATGTTCCCTTTGTCGACCGCATTCAGGAATGTATCCAGCGATACCGCGCCCGCCGTCGCATGACCCCCGAGCGAAGTACCTTGTTCACTAGATACCTCCTGTTAGGCGGAATTGACGCTACGGTGCGTCAGTTCGGGGGCGCCCAAACTCTTACGGACGAGGTCCTGGAGGATACGAACAGGGCCGCCGTCCGAGAGATGACAGCCAACGACGTAATTCAGCGCGGCGGAGATGACAGCTGCAATCCTCGGTTCTACAACCCGAATGATGCTGTTCATTGGGATGTGGACTTCACTGGCATTGCAGCGGGCTTTCTGTGAGTTCCCTTCCGCCGTCCCAATTTCTCCTGAGGGTTCAAGATACTGAGACGATAAGGTCCGAGCATCTTCCCAAGATGGTTGGTTCAGAGCTGGACGATTTTCGCATGGGCGTTGACGTGGTTTTGAACTTCCTCAAGTACGTCGATCGCCACGACGTCTGTCCGGAATACATCGACGACGTCAGGGGGGCCCAGAAGATCTGCCTACAAGCCCTGGATGAGATCCCAGCCATCCAAGAAATGTTGAAGCTCGTTCCTGGTCCCTTCAACACGGCGCTTCGGGTCCTGCACTTCAAGGAAGAAGACGACCACGCCTTGGGCTCCGAATATTTTAGCGACACCGCGGTTCCCGACGCCAAGTACGCCAGAATCAGTCATGCGGCCACCCTGTCAATCCTCTTTGGCCCCAAGCGTTTCCGAACTGATGCAGAGTGGGCGGTAACCGAAACGATCGAGTACGACTTGGAGGTCCGCGAGATCTCACTTCCCAATGATGCCGTCCGAGCCAAGTACACGGCCATCAACCAGCACCTTAGCGACTATCCAGACATCCAGCCTTGCGGCACCGTCATCGCTCACCCTATTATCATCCGTGACGGCTGGGACAACACCACGACCGTCACTATTCCGCCCGACGATGACGTGGACATACAGCTCATCCTAGAGGAGGACATTCTGCGCCTTCTAAAGGTGGGGATGAAGCTGACGATGGAGGTCTGCACACTGAACGTGGGCCTTAAGTTCATCAAACGCGTCCGAGAGATCAAGGCCAGCTTCTATGTCTTCCTGCCTCAGGAGCTGATGTTCAACTACAAGGAGCCCATCGCAAGTGAACGTCCCTCGCGGAGTATTCACGATGTGGATAACGAAGAGGAAGATGGGGACGATTAGGAGTTCGGGAGTCGAGAGACCTGATGGTATCTTTGCTAATTTCGGGAATGGCAATTAGGAAAGAAATCCAGTTGGGAAGGATCCGTGGCCTCGATGCCGCCTCGGCATGGAGTTCTCATACATAGAGAGTGATAGAACGAAGTTGCTGATAGGGGCGAGCTCAACTCCTTCGATGGACGTGCATATGCTTTTGTACGGTTGTGTGCTGTGCTTACAGCAGTCTCGCATCTGATTACAAGCTGGTCCCGAGCCATGTGAAGCCGGCTGGAAGGTTAGACCTCATGAACGTCGAATATTGCCATACCTGTGTTTACTGGCCAGAGCCAGACGCTATATGAGGACGTGCTCCCACTTTTGCCGATACTCCGAAACCCGATCATGGAAACATACTGCAAAGGATTGTGCCGGCGATGAGGACATCAGTTAGCGACCAATACGGGTAAAGTAAGCAAATGTATTCGCTATTCCTATAGGGAAACAAGCTGACAGATCATATACACGAGTGTGGAGTTTGTCGCTCAGCATCAGCCCGTCCAACTAAGGCAGCGTCCAGGCAATCAAATAGCAAGCCAGCCTTCCCTTCCCCCCTTACCCAACACCAACTTCATTCCGATACGCAAACACCCCGTGCCCAGTCAGATAACCTTAGCACAGCCCAATCAATCCGCCCCGAATGACCCATCCCGCATAAAAAAGCCCATCGCCGCTAAGAGAGCCGCAAGCTCAACATCGCCTGCGCTCTATTTCCACCAACCACAGAGTGTTGACTCAGGCCGCGTGGCTTCCCGCTGTTGTGGCTGCACCGGCAACAACAACACTGCCACTCCACTACGGAACTTTAATCGTGCGTCTGCACTTTATGATCCCCAGCCACGACCTGTGCGTAGCTTGGCGGGGGCGCGTTGCCATCGCTTGGTCCGGCAGCAGCCGAGGTGGTACCCTGCTCTTGCGGGGGGTGGTGCGGGTGCGGCGCGGCAGCGGCGGAGCCTCCGGCGGGCGTTTTGTTGGTGTTGTTGGTCGAGCCGTAGTTCATGTGGCCTTGCGGCGCGGGTTGCGCGGGCTGGCCATGGCCGCCGTTGTGGACGAACACGTAGATTCGGCCGTGCTCGACGTCGGATGGGAGGTGCTCGTAGTCGTAGTCGTACGGCGGTTCGGGGTACGTCGCAATGATGTACCAGGAGTGGAGGAGGCCCGGGATCTGCGAAGTGGGAGCGAAGATGTGGTTAGCTGCGGTATTATCAGTCAGGCAATGGAGCAGGTAAGGCGTACATAACCCAGGATAAAAAGAAGGATGTTGATGAATGAGTCCGCGGAGCTTATTCAGCATACGTTAGATATAGCGTTCTTCTGAATCGGCGAACATGGAGACGAAGAGGGCTGCTGCTCTTGTGGAACCGTTTTCACAGTCTTGCACGTACCAAATACCGCGCTTCACCCAAACTATGGTAAAAGGTCAGTTTCGAAACTTCGCGTTGCTGATGGGCATTGTTCGGCTGATTGTAGAGCAACAATCCATAGCGGGGGTAGGGAGTGACATACCAGGGAGCGGCGGGAAGAGAACGGCCAGGAGACCAAGAAAAATGTCGGTTGAACACATCGTGGTATTGCTGCTTTGAGATTTGAAGAATGCCCGAAAGTGTTGCTCACTGCATTCGAGGGGAGAAGTGGTTTGGGAACATCAAGGTGAAAGGGTCCGGTTGTCCAAGAGGGTCGTGGGGCCATGATGCAAGTGCCAAGAACCATCCCCAGAGTCACGCACATGATGTGGGCGTTGCTCAGAGCTGGCCATGTAAATCGACCATGCTGCTTGTATGTAATCCTTAGGTACCCATTACCTAGGTCTATCCGATTCACCTCTTCTCGTGAAACTCGTCTTCAACTCTCCCGCGTTTATCTTCGGAATGTGCATTCTCCTGCTCGAAATGGCCTACTCGTCTTCGTGAAGATGCATAACATATCATCCTTGATGTCGAATTCATGTTCTCCCCAAGGTATGAACCGTTTTACGACTGTCGCCCGCTTACTGTGTTGTATTGTATACTTACCTAATCTATCAATCAGCACTGTAGTTCTAAAGTTGTATCACACGGTCCAGCCGATCGTCCCATATGCAGGGGCTTGCGTAATGACATGGCCACTGTTCGTTTGAGGTAGATGTGCTCAGCTTGTTTACGCGTCCTCTGATTTTCTGATTGCGTAGTTAGCAAGGAGTACGAATGACTCAATCATTTGGAAGTCATTGCATTTGCATAGCAGCCTTCCCTTTAGGGTCGAGTTCTGTAGGGGTGTGTGTTCCTGTCCGAAGGGGGATGTATGTATGCACTGTACTGGTCAGTGGATAAGATTCTTCAGCCTCTAACAACCAACATCATCAGACCATTCATCACAGTTCTTGTACTTTGACTCTGCTAGCCAGGTTATTATCATAAATTCAGTCAGTCTGATCAGCTTGCATTTCGAGCTCCTGAGCGTTGAGAGCGAAGGCCTGCGGCCTGCCAAGGCTTGGCAAGGCTAGTGGGTCCCAAAGGCGGTCAAAAGACACCGGCAGAACTAAGCAACGCCACTGGCGAGTTGGCGACATGCAGGGGCAAGCTGCAAGCACCTTGATCAAGAAGCTCGCTCTACGCAATCCTCGGACAACTCCCAGACTAACTTCCCGATCCGACGAGCTCTGGCATCCTAACATCACTCCGTGCATTACCAACGCGGCAGGATGGATGACTTAGAGTCCCTCGAACTGCTGTCCCTCGTGTCGAAAGTCACGTCGGAATTGCAGAACCATCTCGGCATCAACGAGAAGACGCTCGCCGAGTTCATCATTGCCCAGCGCCTAGAATGCGCCTCCTTCGGAGAGTTTAAGGAGAAGTTGGTCGCTATTGGCGCCGAGTTCCCGCCTAGCTTGGAGGAGAGCATCGACCGCCTTGTCCAGACTATGCACCCCAAATTTAAGGGGAAACAGAATGGTTCACATGGCGACGGCGGGGACGGGAAACCGGCTCGGTCGGCAGAGGAACAGACCAAGGTTTTCAAGGGACTTGCCATTCCCGACAAGGAGGTAGAAGCGATCGACGATACACTGGCGTTGCTCGAGAGTTTAGAACCAAATGGGGGCGACAAGAGCCGTCCGAGAAAACGAAGCCGAACGCCAGACGACCACCGAGACGAATACCGAGACGACTCGCGACGGAAACGGAAGGATAGGTATCGGTCGAGGTCGAGGTCAATATCGCCGCCACGAGGTCGACGGAAGAATGGCCGCTACGAAGACGATGACGACGTTCGCCGGCCACCGCTGCAGGAGCAAGACGATACGCCACAGCTCCACAAAGTCTACGACGGTCATGTAACGGGCATCAAGGACTTTGGCGCGTTCGTAAATCTCCACGGCGTGAGAGGCAGAGTCGATGGTCTAGTCCATATTTCGGCATTCGGGCAACGAGTCGGTCATCCGTCGGACGTCGTCTCAAAAGGCCAGGACGTGAAAGTCAAGGTCATCAAAGTCGAGGGCAATAGAATAGGGTTGTCGATGAAAGACGTGGACCAGCAAACCGGCATGGACCTTGCACCGCAAATCAAAATAGGTTCTGGCGCGAATATGGAGGCTCTTGGGGGTCGAGGGAAGGGTATGGGTGACATGGGCAACGGTACAAACGGCTTGTTTCAGGCGTCTGCAGCGGCTCGGAGCCAAAAGAAGCGCTTGACGTCCCCAGAACGATGGGAAATCCGCCAAATGATCGCGGCTGGGATTGCCAAGGCCTCCGATTACCCAGAGCTCGAGGAAGACTACAACGCGACGCTCAGAGGAGAACGACAGATGGAGTTAGAGGAGGACATCGACATTGAGGTCCGAGACGAAGAGCCGCCGTTCTTGGCCGGCCAGACCAAGCAGTCTCTCGAGCTTTCGCCAATCCGAGTGGTCAAGGCACCCGACGGCTCGCTCAACCGCGCCGCAATGGCCGGAGCCAACCTGGCGAGAGAAAGAAAGGAGATGCGGCAACAAGAGGCCGAATCACAGGAGGAGAAGACCAAGGTTGACTTGTCTTCGCAGTGGCAAGACCCGATGGCCAACCCTGAAGCACGGCAATTCGCTAGCGACCTTAAGAAGCGTTCAATGGCCTCTCAGGCAGCACCGGGTGCCGTGCCGGAGTGGAAGAAGGCCATTGCGAAGGAAGCCCAGTCTCTGGGCAGGCGGACGAACATGACCATCAAGGAGCAGCGAGAATCCCTCCCAGTTTTTGCCTTCAGGGAGCAACTGATTCAAGCGGTCAAGGAGAACCAAATCCTCATCGTGGTCGGCGAAACGGGTTCCGGAAAGACCACCCAGCTGACCCAATACCTTGCCGAAGCTGGGTTCACCAACAACGGTATGATTGGGTGCACGCAGCCTCGTCGTGTGGCCGCTGTCTCCGTTGCCAAGCGCGTGGCAGAAGAAGTCGGGTGCCAGCTTGGCCAGGAAGTTGGGTACACCATCCGATTCGAAGACGTTACTAGTCCGGCAACAAAGATAAAGTATATGACGGACGGGATGTAAGTGTCATTGTGTGCTATCCCTGTTAACTAGCCTTTGCTGACCTGCGTAGGTTGCAACGCGAGATTCTGATGGATCCCGATCTCAAGAGATATTCCGTTATCATGCTTGACGAAGCCCACGAACGAACGATTGCCACTGATGTCCTCTTCGCTCTGCTGAAGAAGACAGTCAAGAAACGGCAGGACCTGAAGATCATCGTCACGAGCGCTACGCTGGATGCGGACAAGTTCAGCGAGTACTTCAATTCATGCCCCATCTTCACCATTCCCGGGCGCACATTCCCGGTCGAGATCCTTTACTCCCGTGAACCGTAAGTCAATCGATTCCACAACTTCCCCTTCCCACCCAAGGCTGTCGACAAGGTTGCTGACCAATCTAGGGAATCGGATTACTTGGATGCTGCGCTGACAACAGTGATGCAAATCCACCTGAGCGAGCCGATGGGCGACATTCTCCTCTTCTTGACGGGCCAAGAGGAAATTGACACGGCTTGCGAAATCCTGTACGAGCGAATGAAAGCGCTAGGCCCTGGCGTCCCAGAACTCATCATCCTGCCCGTTTATTCCGCGCTTCCGAGCGAGATGCAGAGTAGAATCTTCGAGCCTGCACCGCCCGGTAGCCGCAAAGTCGTTGTGGCTACCAACATCGCCGAGACGTCCATCACGATTGACTTTATCCACTACGTGGTTGATCCCGGATTCGTGAAGCAGAATGCGTACGATCCGAAGCTTGGGATGGACTCCCTTGTTGTCACCCCTATTTCGCAGGCGCAGGCGAACCAGAGAGCAGGGCGTGCCGGTCGAACAGGGCCGGGCAAGTGTTTCCGCTTATACACCGAGGCGGCGTACCAATCAGAGATGCTTCGCACAACGATCCCGGACATCCAGCGGCAGAACCTGTCTAATACGATCCTGTTACTGAAGGCGATGGGTATCAACGACTTGCTCCGCTTTGACTTCATGGATGTAAGTTTGCCGCTCATTCTATCGCTCCTTCAGTTTGCTGACTTCGTTCTAGCCACCGCCTGTTAACAGCATGCTTACGGCGCTCGAAGAGCTGTATGCATTAGGAGCCTTGGATGACGAAGGACTCCTGACGCGTCTGGGGAGGAAAATGGCGGATTTTCCGATGGACCCGGCATTGTCCAAGGTATTAATCGCCTCTGTCGACAAGAGTTGCTCGGATGAGATGGTCACGATCGTCTCAATGCTCAACCTGCAGCAAATCTTCTACCGACCGAAAGAGAAGCAGAACCAGGCCGATCAGAAGAAGGCTAAGTTCCACGACCCCTCGGGCGACCATCTCACGCTCCTGAACGTGTACAACTCGTGGAAGAACAACGGGTTTGCCAATGCGTGGTGCTTCGAGAACTTTATCCAGGCGCGTTCGATGCGCCGTGCCAAGGATGTTCGGGCGCAGATTGTTAAAATCATGGAGCGCCACCGGCACCCGATCATCAGCTGCGGTCGCGACACCGACAAGATCCGCCAGGCCCTGTGCGCTGGTTTCTTCCGCAACACGGCGCGCAAAGACCCCCAGGAGGGATACAAGACGTTGACCGAAGGCACACCGGTATACCTGCATCCGAGCTCGGCGCTGTTTGGCAAGCAGGCCGAGTGGGTTATCTATCATACGCTGGTGCTTACTACGCGCGAATATATGCATTTCACCACGGCCATCGAACCGAAGTGGTTGGTCGAGGCGGCGCCGACGTTCTTCAAGGTCGCTCCGACGGACCGGCTGTCTAAGAGGAAGCAGGCCGAGAGGATACAACCGTTGTATAATAAGTATGCTGGCGAGGATGATTGGCGGTTGAGCGCGCAGCGGAGGGGAGGAAGGTCGGGCGGTGGTGGGACGTGGGGCTAAACGGGCTGCAGTAGAATCTTGGTATGCGTTGCATCATTGCGATGCTAATTGTACATATTACTGGCTTGGTGTCTGGAGGATTGGCTGATGGGCAACGGAGGAAACAGGTATTCGATACCCCCCTTTTTGGATTCTTCTCGCGATGGCGCGAGGAATGGATGTATGCTGAGGCAGGCGTGTTCTTCCCTTCTCAGGTGCCTCCCCATCTTGTTCCACGATGGACCTGCGGCTGCATGTGACTTTGTGTTACGCGCCGACCGAGGATTGCCGCCAGCTGGCTGCGTCCGGCTCAACATTACGCGCGCAACTTCCCGAGTCCTCTGACAGGACGCACAGGTGGGGGTGGCTGCCTGACTGCAGGGCAAACTGCCAACAACAAACAGCCTTGCCAAGACCTGTCACACATCAACTTGAACTTCAAGCTGTTAAAACGAACCTCTTAAAACGAACCTCCCCCATCTCTCCATCTAATCCCACATCCCACGCCCAACAAACAAGATTGCAGACTCCCTCACCCGCGCTCAGCCATGGACAACCAAGCAGGCCCCCAAATCATCGCTCACTCTCCCGTGCCGCCACACCCCCACACCCACACTGTCATCTTTCTTCACGGCCGCGGCGACACCACCAACGGCTTCACCCGCTTCCTGTACAACTGGCACGACTCGTACGGCCGCACCCTCTTCCAGACATTCCCTACCTTCCGCTGGGTGTTCCCACAGGCCCCGCTCCGCCCCGTGGCCAACGCAGCTGCCGGAGTCCCCAGGGGTATGTACCAGTGGTTCGATGTCTGGAACGTGCAGGATTTTGCCGAGCGGGAGGAGGTCCAGCTGGAAGGGCTCAGGGAGACGGTGCCTTTCGTCAGGGAGCTGATCAGGCTCGAGGCGGAGCAGCTCGGCGGCCGCTGGGATCGGGTTGTGCTGGCGGGGATCAGCATGGGCGCTGCGACTAGCGTGCACACGCTGTTTAACCTGGAGGTTCCGGCCGAGGGCGGAGGCCGCCTGGCGGCTTTCATGGGGTTCTGCGCCAGATGCCCGTTTGCGGGGAGGGGGCTGAGAGGGATGAGGGAGGTGCTTGCGCTCGGGGAAGGCTGGCCGACCGGTGACGAGTCGGAGGTTCTGCGACGCACGCCGATGCTGCTGGAGCATTGCACGGATGATCCGCTGGTGAAGGTTGGGAAGGGGCGTGGGTTGAGGGATACCCTGAGAGAGTTCGGGGCACAGGTTGAGTGGAAGGAGTATCCGAGTGGGGGCCATTGGTTCACAGAGCCTGAGGGCATTGACGACGTGGTTCAGTTCTTGAACAGGGCCCTGGGAAATGCAGGCCCTATGGCTGTGACTGCAGGCGCGCAGACAGGCCGAGCGGGCCAGGACGCCATGGAAATGTCCTGAGCAGTTGATACCATCAATCCTGATGCTATTCTTACACTACGTCTGATGGGATAGGTGGATCGCTATCAACATGCTGAGCCGAAGAGCACTGAATGAAGGGACAGCAAAGACAGAAGCAGAGGAGGGAGCCTACGTCGGACATGCTATGAAAGGAGTCGATGCGGCCATGAAACTGAAGTAATTGAACTAACGGCTTATATCAATGCAGCCCACTGAATAGAACGCAGAAGGTGCGAATTGCTCATAACGTTGTCAAGCAGGTGAATACAGACAAGGTTGCTCAGGCAACGGATATCAACAAGTGTTATCAGTGGCGATCTATCTCATCATTGGTAATAACTAAGTAGCCTCGACTAGGTACTGTAGGTAAGTCAAATCTGAGAAGCTCCGGGTATTACCTTTTGAATCAGGACATCTTTGATGGACATAGTCTTCAGGGTTCCCGGGTCGCACCGACCATGACAGCCCAAGCCTTAATATATACCGTAGTTGCACATACCGCCTCGGTCTCAATACTCAACGCAAAAGGCGCTGCGATACCGAGAGATGGCGTTGCATGGATACATCATGTGGGGCGGTATACCTTGCGAACTATGAAGTCAACGCTGTGAATATGCGTAGTGAGGCTGGAGGATGGGTGCTGAGACTACGACGAGATTCACCTCGTCCTCCATGCTTGCAATGACCCAGATCGGAAACTCGCGGCTTAATAGCGTCGTTCAAAAGTCAGCAAACACGTCAGAATACTTTGGCAGTTTGACGCCCTCAGCATCTCAATTATTTTCAGCCTCTTCGAAAAACGCAGACCGCGAAACCTGGGCCTTCAAGACTAGGGTGATATCACTGCATGCTGCTTCGGGAATGCTGCAGAACGGGTCGGCATGCATTCCAGGCTTCCGTTGCAGGAGTTCGGCGCATGCAGCTACAGGACACCTATGTACGGATACTACTCATCTGATATGCTCAGTGAATGGGTCATCACGTGAGCTGGAAATCCCGGTCATGGGTTAAATCGACGATGAGATGACGTCGTCAAGTGGCTGGAACTGGGCTGTTGTCGGCTGAATGCCCTGGCACCGCCCTGTGGGTCCACCGAAACAGTGTCATTGTTAGCCACGAATGGCCACAACCAAGGTCCAAGGGCGACCAAGCCCGCTCTATTAGGTCATCAATTCGTATCATGATGTTAAGTTTAGAAACTCGAGTTCAATCCAGCGGTGAGATGGGAGGGCTGCAGGAATGGCTCGAGTTTCCGAATCGTGTCACCCGCGGTGTCGAGTTCGGACGATGCTGACATGAAAATATGGTTTCAGATGCATGCGCACTTCTCCATTCCAACGATGACACGAAGGTATTTGTCGCAATTGCGCTGGGAAACCCCAGGAAATGCAAGTCCGGCACGGCAAGGCGGGTGCAGGGCGGGTGGCAGCCGCATTCGGCAACTGGCTGGGGGGTTTCACTCACAGAGCGCCCTTACGAAACTTCAAAAGACCGGCCAATGAGCGGCCGCCGATATCACGGAAGATCTGGGCTGTGGCGATCCCATGGTGGGGCTCTCGGGGGTAATCGGAGGGGCCGACGGGCCGGGTAACGTCGAGAAGCAATGGAGAAAACCCCCTCATTGGCGCTCATTCGTCGCTCCCGAGGTGGACCACTTTGAGGATGCCCGAACAGGAACGCTTCAACTTGGCGAGGATATGAACGCATTAGCAATTCGCCAATGTCGCGTGTGAGATGTCTCAGAACCCGTTCAGGGACCAGCAAAGGCGCAGGGAAAACACGTCGATGTCTGGCGAAAGCCCCACGGCCCCACCACCCCATGCGGGGCCCCTCCGACTCGTCACCGATAAAATTCCCTCGGTCCCTGCGTTGAAATGCGACTCAGACCCCTTTCGCAGTTGCCCAATTCCTGTCCCTTCAAGCAATTGCTTTGTGTTTATTCGTCGCTGCTTTCTTGCCCTCAAGTGACATCTAAAAGTATCGTCTTCTCTCACACCCAGATACCCGAGATACCTAATTCACACCGCAGCCATGGTAACGTCTCTCCGCTGTCGGCCATTGTGGTCCCACGTACTAATGGATTCTTGTACAGGCGACAACAGAATCCGCCGTTTCACGGTCCGACATCGTGGGTGCCGCACGCCGCCGCAGAAACCATAACACGTGGGCTCAAGACTGACGTACCACGATGCGTAGGTCAAGAAGTACACCGAACTCGATCAGAGAGGCATCGTTATTGCCGAGTACGTCTGGATTGACTCTGAGGGCAACACCCGCTCAAAGACTCGCGTACGTTACTCTTTTACTCTTCGACGAGCACCCCCGGAGATATATGTGTGGGTCACTGACCCGCGCTACAGACACTTGAGCCTCGTGACGACGGCAAGCAATGGGATGTCGAAACATTACCGATTTGGAACTTTGACGGCAGCTCGACCGGCCAGGCTCCCGGCGAGAACTCAGATGTTTATCTGCGCCCTGTTGCCGTCTACCCCGACCCCTTCCGGAAGGGCAACAACATTCTGTACGTTTCCGCTGCCCCGGCACATATGGAACATATGGATGCTTTAAGTAGCGCATTGCGCTAACACAGCTGCAAGTGTCCTGACAGAATGCTGGAACCACGACGGCACCCCCAACAAGTACAACTACCGCCACGAGTGTGCCAAGCTCATGCAGGCCCACGCTGAGCAAGAGCCTTGGTTCGGCCTGGAGCAAGAATACACCCTCTTGGATCTCAACGACCGGCCGTATGGCTGGCCTCAGAACGTGCGTGCTCCCTTACTCACGGGCTTCCAATACGTCGTCGAAAGGCGGTTGCTGACACTCCTCTGCAGGGCTTCCCCGCACCTCAGGGACCATATTACTGCGGTGTCGGCGCCGGAAGGGTTGTCCAGCGCGATATTGTCGAGAGCCACCTCCGCGCCTGCATCTACGCTGGTGTCAAGATCTCCGGCACCAACGCGGAGGTCAGCAAATCACAATGGGAGTTCCAGGTTGGCCCCTGCGTTGGCATTAGCAGTAAGTCGCAACCCGGTCGTATCACTCATCCACAGCGGGTTACTGACTTCATGCGCAGTGGGTGATGATCTCTGGATCGCTCGCTACATCCTCGCCCGTGTGGCCGAGGACTTTGGCGTCAAGGTCTCGCTGCACCCCAAGCTCATCCCCGGTGACTGGAACGGTGCCGGTCTGCACAGCAACTTCTCGACCAAGGACATGCGTAGTGAGGGCGGTATGGCGTCCATCGAGGGGGCCATCAAGAAGCTGGAGGGCCGTCACCAGGAGCACATCGCCGTCTATGGCGAAGACAACGAGAAGCGCCTCACTGGCCGCCACGAGACTGGCGCCATTGACCAGTTCAGCTACGGTGTTGCCAACCGCGGGGCTTCTATTCGCATTCCTCGCGAGGTCGCTGCTAAGGGTTATGGCTACTTTGAGGACCGCAGGCCCGCAAGCAATGCGGATCCTTACCGTGTCACCGGTATCCTCATGGAGACGTACGTATTCCTTCGACTTCTGGTGTCTAGTTCGCAGCTAACAAGATTGCAGGATCTTCGGTGCTGTCTAATAAACATGGGCGACTGTTTCTTGGGGTTATTGGTTGCTGTGGGAGCATATGAAGTGTCCAGCATGATATTGCGCTGAGTTCCACCAAATGTTCTTAATGCCCCTTCTTCCCACACATCCCATTACACTTTCGATACCTGCCGCTGTCTGGTCTCCTCACGGGATCCGACATAACGGGATATGTTCATTTAAAGGCGTTGTTGCCTGCTTCGCCAATTTTGGTTCTAGGGTAATGCATGGCCCGTGTGGCCGAGAGAAGATGGGGTACAGATGCATGTCATAGACTAGGTTCTTACTGGGCGCCATGGGGTTTTGGGAAACGGAAATGACATCTCCCACCTAAGGGTTACATCACAGGTCGGAGCTATGAACGTCCTTGATGAACATGTGATTGCTGTTTCCAGCAGAGCGTCGGTCGTCCCTTCAAAATCCTTGAGAAGATCCACAATCTCGCCTACAAGCGAATTTATACATACTACCTCCTAAACCACTGGAAGGTTCACCGGCTCGTCTCAGTGGCACGGCTGTACAACGTGCCCAATGAACCGTGTGAACCTTCCAGTGCTTCGGGAAGTCCAGCTTAGAGGCGAGATCGTGGGCCTTGTCGAGGATCTTGAGGGACCATCTCTCTGCGGTGGAGCCGATGTGGATTCAAAACCTTGGGACTAAAACTGTTGCTTTACCAATCTGTCTGCTTGCTCACTTCCCAATTAGTTTAACCTACCTTATATATCGTCTAACGCTGACCTATTTCTCTTTGCGGGATGCAGGCGTAATGGGCAACGTAATGGGCAAACAAACAAACATCTACTAGCCCGTCAACCTTACTGTGCAGACATTGCGACTTGCATTGTTGTGAACCTTTTGGCTTCACCGAGACCTACAGTCCGACCAGCAGTACCTTCGACCGGCGAACCCTTTCAGAGGCAGGACTGCCTGTGGTTTCGTCACATTTTAGCTAACTTAGAACTTATCTAATAAGTTAAATATCAGATAAAGAAATGGAATATAAATGACTTAGGAAAATTAACTAGTACTTAAGGCAGTTTATAAATATAAGTAAGAGACTATTAGCTAGTAACGTGCATGATAAGCGAGCGGATCAGATAAGCGAGCGGATCAATTTTCTCTGCAACGCATGTCTCAACCTACAACATCAATTTCCTCTACCATACTATTATGTCTTCAATTCCGGCCGAGGCTAAAGTGGTTCTTGCACTTGAAGCTTTTGGAAATGATCCTAAGCTAAGCCTCCAGGCTGCAGCAAAGATCTATTCTGTGCCTTATACTACCCTCTATCGCCGGCATACTGGCCGGCCTGCACGACATAATACTCTAGCCAACTCGCGTAAGCTTACAGATCTGGAAGAGGAGGTAATAGTTCAGTATATAACTGAGCTATCTACACGCGCATTCCTACCTAGATTGTATGGTGTGGAAGATATGGCTAACCAACTATTATACAAATGCAATGCGCCCCCTGTCGGTAAACGCTGGGCTTACAACTTTGTCAAACGCCAACTAGAGCTCTATACGCGTTATACCTGTCGATACGACTACCAAAGAGCTAAGTGCGAGGATCCAAGGATTATCAGGGAGTAGTTTACGCTCGTACGAAATACTAAGGCCAAGTATAGTATCGTAGATAACGATATCTACAACTTTGATAAGACTGAGTTTATAATGGGAATGATCTGCCCGGGCATAGTAGTTACAACCTCGGATGGCCATAGTAGGGCAAAACTAGCCCAGCCTAGTAACCGCGAATGAGCAACGGTAATCCAGAGAGTTAATGCCCTTGGCTAGGCTATCCCGCCCTTTATTATCTTAGCTGCGCAATACTATCTCGCCAACTGGTATACCGAGTGCAACCTCCCAGCTGATTGGCATATTGCAACTATCAAGTACGGCTGGACTACCAATATAGTAGGCCTCGATTGGATCAAGCACTTCGACTTCTATACGGCACCTTGTACAAAGGGCAAGAACCAGTTGTTGATCCTCGACGGCCATGAAAGCCACCACTCTACCGAATTCAAGCTCTACTACCAGGAGAATAACATTATCACGCTCTATATGCCTCCCTATTCCTTGCACCTCCTCTAGCCACTCGATGTCGGCTGCTTTAGGCTATTAAAGCAGGCGTACGGTCGCCAGGTCGAGGACCTAATACGGATGTATATTAACTATATTAGCAAGCTCGAGTTCCTCTATGCCTTCCGCAAGGCCTTCTTTACTTCTATAATAGAGAAGAATATCTAGAATAGCTATATAGGTACTAGCCTTATGCCATACAATCCAGAGAGGGTAATATCTAAGCTAGATGTAAAGCTTCGTATACTAATGCTCTTGAACTCGCAGGCTGGCATACTACAACCTTGGGTCTTCCAGACACTATACAACCCTCGAGAAGCGACCTCGCAGTCAACGCTTATCAAGACTTACATTGCCAACCATCAAAACAGCTCTCCAACTTCGATATTGACTACGGTGGACCAGCTTGCCAAGGGTACGATGGCTATAATGCACGAGGTGGCTCTTCTTCAGTTAGAGGTCTCTTCGCTCCACAAGGCCAACGAGGCACTTAGTAAGTGCTAGAGAGCCAAAAGAACGCGCGTGCAGCTTGGAGGATCACTTGCAGTGCAAGATATAAAGGATCTACTGGACCAGAAGGCCGTGGTTGGGGAGGTAGTATAAGAAACGCAGCCGGATGGTGGTGGTACAAGGGGAGCTTGTATGAAGGTTCAGGGCTATAGTGTATGTAGCAAGCCTAGCCATAATGTACATACGTGCTAGGAGGTTGCAGAAGGGTCTGATTCATCTATTTCTGATGTAATTATAGTTGGTTCCTAGTGTTGATATGTTGCAATTGAGGATAATTGTAGTAGGATAGTAGAAATTGATCCGCTCGATTATCTGATCCGCTCACTTATCTGATCCGCTCACTTATCTGATCCGCTCACTTATCTGATCCGCTCGCTTATCATGCATGTTAACTTTATTTAAAGTTTATATTAGATATATTTAGATAACTCAAGTATCTAGCCTAAATAGGCTTAGATTTTAGGCTCCTGACTTAGCGCCTAAATCTCTGATAAGGCTTATATTAAGGCTCCTAATAATACTTTAAGTCCCGCCTTCTTACGGCCTAATATAGGAGTGGCAGGGTAATATAAGCATTCTATATTCGGAACCATAAGTCAGTAGGCTTCTAGTCGCCGCAACGAGCCTCTTGATAAATGGGACTCTAATTATTTCTTGAGCTTTAGGTCGGGTACTTACAGTCAGGGTTCAAAAGTCTGTCACACCCCACATCAATTAAATGCGCGTCGCGACATGACACGCACCATCTTCCATCTTCTAACCAACCCAACTTTAGCCCACCATGGTCAATTTGGCCGAAATCGGGGCCAAATTGACGGCCGGCCGTCAACTTGGCCAGGAACTATCACCAACTGCACGTGCAGCTATTATAGGTGCCGTTGCAGCCGGAGCTAGCCAGTTAGCCGTTGCCCGCGCGTTTCGCATCGAGAGGACGGCTGTCTACCGCATCCTTCAATGATTCGAATCATCCACCACTGTTAAGTCCAAGCCTCAAACAGGCCAGCCAGAGATTCTTACATGTCGGGAAAAGCGGTATATCCTACAATTGGCTAAACGGCGTCCCCAGCTTATAACCTAGATGCTGATCAATACTATAGATGGCCGCATCTCCCGATCAACGATATACTGAGTTCTTCGCCATTATCGGAACGCAAGTGGCGTATATAAAAAAGAATCCCATTGACGAAGGCAGTAGCAAAGGATAGATATTAATTTGCTTGCCTTTAGTTGAAGGATATCGAGATCTTTATCCGAGTAAGTGACTTGGAAGTTAACCTTGGATGTTACTAACTAACCTCTAGTCTATCTTCACCGACGAATCGTCTTGCCAAAACAATTCGAGTAACCTAACAACTTAGGTCTTTCGGTTCCCTTCTCAAAAATGGGATAAGAGCTTCGTCAACCTCTAGAGCTATAGCAAAGGTACGATTTCGATTATAATTTGGGGTAGCATTTGGAAAGGGGAGAGGACCGACCTTATTATTATAGAACGTGACTACCAACCACCGTAAAAAGAAGGATATAGCTTTTAGAGTTATCAGCAGGCATTGGAAAAGGGTCTTCTTCTAATTTACAATGGTACTCGGCACTTCCAGCAGGATAATGCCCGAGTACATACATCTGTATCCTTGACTGAGTAGCTAATAAAGCATATAATCAAGGTCCTACCCGACTAGCTAGCCTATAGCCAAGATCTTAATCCAATCGAGCATATATAGGCTCTATTAAAACGGAGGATGAAGCAGCTATATCTAGATATCTGGTTACTCAAGAAAAACCAGCTAGATATGGCTAAGTTTACTCGATGTCTTCGGGCATGTTGGTGGGCAATTGACTAGGCTCAAATTGACAGTCTTATTGACTCAATACCCCGGCGATTGGCTGCAGTCCAGAAAGCTAGGGGTTGGTATACAAAATATTGATGGCTAGAACCAGGGCTTCTATCTGTATATATCTATTTGCTAGGAATGTTGGTGGTGTTGCGTTATGTAGAGATATGTTGATGGTTGTGGTGACCTAGAAAACGGGTGGCGGGGGATTTTGATGTGGGATGTGACAGACTTTTGAACCCTGACTGTACCTAGGTACCTTGGTCCCGCCATTCGGGTCTGGGAAAGCAATCGTACTCTAGATAGTAGATGTATATTACGCTGGTGACGTAGGGAGCAGATAAGCATGGTCGACGAACCGTGATTAGGTTAGTAGTGGTTGATGGTTGACCCCCGCATGCCCAGTGGCAAACTCAGCTGCTGCGCCTTGCAGTTTGCCAAGATGCATATGCGCTTTGCAAACAGTTGATGGGATGTCCAACAGGTACACTGGGCTGGAGAGTGATGTTGGAGGCAGACCCACTGACTGGCGGATTCTGCCGTCAAATGCAGTGGGTGATTCTGCCTTGAGCCGCAAAGCTGATTATGCCTCGCTGTCTCAGCCACAATCCGGAGAAACACCCTGAAACGATTCCGTGTTGGGACGAGGCTCTAGACCAACTCTAACATGACCATCGACATGGCAGATCCGCTTTCCATCCTCAGTTCCCTACTAGCTGTGTTCAGCTAATGTCTCTCTACGAGGACGGTATCGAATCCAACCATGCCAAAACGACGCCGGATCGAGTTTCTAGACGGCCCAGGCGACTACTGTTCGCAGTGCAAGGGCATGATGTCGTTCGAAGGGTTCGTACAGCTCCTGTCCAAAGATGGCTTCCAACATCTCAGCCGACAGCAGTGTGAGAGCACCGCGGCTACGGGCTGTCCTCTCTGCATGTTTTTCTGCGGGGAATCGACCATCATGTGGAAGCCGGGGACCGTTTTGGTTCTCTCTCTGTCGCCCGGCATCACCGATTTCGGTGTCCTATCTGGGACTCCTAGCGAAATTGTGTCTGCCTTGGCCCAGTCCCGGTTGGCCTGCTCGAACCTGAAGGCTCGATCGCGGCCCGAGACCGGGGGACAATATCATTGGCAGTTTTCTACCAAACTCTTTACCACGGAGTGTAAGCCAGCCGACAACGCATCATTTCCGCTCCCTTGGCTGACGATAATGACATAACTTTCTAGCTGATCCCGCTGCCCGGTTCATCGTCTCTCGTCCCGTCTTCGGATATGCAGACGAAGACAAGTTGTTCACAATGGCTAGAGCGTGGATGGAAGATTGCTGTCGCAATCACCCCGGAAGCTGCGCTCGCAACACCAAGGTGGCGCTCCCTACCAGGCTCATTGACGTGGGCGATGAGGCGATTGCGCCAGACGTTCGATTGCATATCTCTCAGGCAAATGAGGTCGGAGAGTATATGGCGTTGAGCTACTGCTGGGGCGGTGAACAGACTGTCGTCACGACCCAAGACGAGCTGGACTCGATGATACAGAGAGTCGCCCTGAGCAGCCTTCCCCGAACTATTCAAGACGCGGTTCGAGTCACACGGAACATGGGACAGCGATACTTGTGGGTTGACGCTCTCTGTATCGTGCAGGACAGCGAGGATGACAAGCGGCGCGAGATCCAGCAAATGGGGTCAATATACAAAAATGCCGCATTGACCATTTCCGCCGCTGCCGCCTCGGACGTCTCTGAGGGCTTTTTGGGTCGACCGCCCAACCCATTGCCCGGCTGCAAGTGGCAGTTTGACATCCCAAGCGTCGGGCTTCACACTATTTTCATATCAACCCGACCCGAAACGTTATTGGATTATACGCCCGACCATCCGTTGGATCGTCGAGGCTGGGCCCTGCAGGAGAGTCTCCTGTCGCCCCGCCTCTTGGTCTTTTCCGAGCAAGAACCGCTGTGGCACTGCCAAGCTGTCCAGTTCAAGACGGCGAAAGACGGGTACTTGAACTACGACAACAACCGCAAACGCCTTCCGGACTGGGTTTTTACCGACTCGTTTCGTAGCAAGTCGTGGACTACGCCGAAGGAACGGCGGAATCTCTGGACCGACATCATCAACAACTTCACCGACAGGTTGCTCTCGGACAAAGAGGACCGACTGAACGCCGTCGCGGGGATTGCAGCTGAGCTGCAACGCGGTTGGAAGGACAGCTACTTCTTTGGGCACTGGGAACAAGGGTTTGTTGAGCTGTTATTGTGGGGATGCTTTCGTTCACCTTGCACCGAGGAAAGATCAAGCAGAGCGCCGACGTGGAGCTGGGCCAGTCTCAACTGTCCAGTGCGCTGGGAAAAGGTAAATAAGCTTGAGGCGACGGCTGAGGTCACGGGCAGGAATGGCGGCCATCGGCGCGTGGTGCTTACGTGCAGGACCAGGACGCTAGAAGACGTCACCCGCATCAAGGCCACAACTGGCTACTTTTATCCATCCTACATTTGGGATCACGCTGATCACGCTTCCACGATGCCTCCTGGTGCCGTACTGATACTTCTAGCATCCGCCGCGCCCAGGCGCGAGAGAGTGAAAGTACTCGGCATCATCGGTATACCCACCGAATCGAGTGGGGGCGTTCAGCGGGTTGGCTTATTCCAGATGTGGTCTTTATCCAAGGAAACCAAGCAAACACTGTGGGGGGATGTGAAACCGGAGCAAGTTCTCCTCGAATAGGTCAGGTAGCATGCGTCCCTCAGGCCCAAACCAGGTTCCCGCTTCTGGTGCTTGTCCACCCCGGTATGCCGCTCACTGATGTCTTCGGATGTAGTGTAGTTATGGATGTAGTGTAGTCATCGATGTTTAACAAGGAAAGGAAGAAGGCTCTCCGTAGGTGCCTTGCGATTCCGTCTCATCTGTTCACGTGTTGAACATCGTTGTGCTCAAGGAAGGAGGTTACTCATCAGTTGCGTAGCAACTCTGGACTTGAGCCTACTGCAGGGAGGGTAGACCAACGGCTGCTAAGATCGTCGTGTAATCATCCGACCACAGCCTCCCAGTGTAAGCGACTCTGATATATAGTCGGAGGGCAATAGTTGGGAACACCAAAACACTGCCGACAATGATTACTCGCTTGATAACATGGCTCCAGGATGCCTTGGGAAAGCCGGCGCAGAGTTCGGTCTCCAGCTTTGCTGCATCTGCGCAAATGGTCAGTACATCCTGCTAGTAGAAGGTGATTGTAACCACTTGCCTACTTGGTCCTGGTAAAAATAGCGTGTCTGCGTGCACGTGGATGGTTCGGATTGGAGCGAGTTGTTTGCGCCAACCGAACACCATTCCTTATGTACTGTACATAGGTCCTCGCAGGAGACCGACGTTCACTGGGATCAGCAGGGCAGTTGTATAACAGGCCCGCGGTGGACAATGGCCCCACCATACGCTAGAGCGGTAGTGATCCCGATACCAAGCCACCCGTTGCCGAAAGTCGCGAACCGGGAGCACGACAGGATGGGATTTCCAGACGAATGATTTTCAAAAGGAAAAGCCACCTTCTGCTGGAGCGCAACTTTCGTGCGACTGTAGGGTAGACCTGCGCTGCATAGCTGCTGGCACACCAGTTCTCCGTTGCTGGGTACACCTCAACCACCTATCATTGGACTCGACTTAGGCGTTCCCATTGCCTTAGTCTCCAACGCGGCAAAGCAAGGCTTGGCCCACCACTCCAACTCGCGAACCTCTCAATCTACCTAGCAGAAAAAGCGCCGGACCCAAAGGAGTGGCCACCAGAAATGAAGGCAGTCAGGGCAATGATCAAATCCGCAATGTAGGAACAATGCCAAGAACAATTGTTCCCAAGGAACAACGCTAAGGAACGTTGTTCCAGATGGAACAATGGGAACAACAATTATTCCAAATATTCCAGAGATCTAGGTACAGGGATACCTAGGGGAGGAAGCTGTATATAGTCCTACCATTCTGTCACTCATTCAGATAGCTAGCTTCCTCAGTGAGCAATTCAAGCAGTAGCCTCTACCTACTGCACAGACATTACGACTTGCATTGTCATGAACCTTTTGGCTTTACCGAGACCTATAGTCCGACTAGCAGTACCTTCAATCGGCGAACTCTTTCAGAGGCAGGACTGCCTATTGTTTCGTCATACGTTGCTTACTCCCTTTGACTCTATTATGGTTTAGATCGAAGGTAACACCGATCATTATGGCACCTTAGACACCTAGCACCCTAGAATCCCAGGGCTAGGCTATAACTATGCGACAGATGCAGTAGGCTCTCGAGGCTCTTAACGCTAAAATCGCCTAGCTTGAGGCCGAGAATAGCTATATATAGCAGCTTGTTAACGAAGCCTATAACGGCAAGCCTAAGGACAAAGCCAAACTCGAAGCACCCCCTAAGTACAAAGGCAATAAGGAAGGGCTTATTAGATTCCTTATATCTATAACGGCCTATCTTAAGTACTACCTAGATAAGTTTGTAGATGAATCTACCAAGGTTATATTTATCTCCTTGCAGCTCAAGGAGAGGGTACTTCGATAGTTTGAACCTACTCTTAAGAATTGGCTAACTAATAGCGTGGATATTTAGGATAACTTTACTATTGAAATCTTTAAGTCATACGATAAGTTTAAACAGGAAATCCAAAAGGTGTTCGGAGACTATAATAAGAAGCTCTATATATAGGAGCGACTTATATATCTAAGGTAGATAAAGTTGGCGGCTGCCTATACTATATAGTTCCACTAGGATTTACTTCGGTACGAGATTAATAATAAAGGTCTTATATAATTATTCTATAATAACTTGAAGGAAGAAGTTAAGGACGAACTATATTAGAAAGACCGACCTAATACGCTTGACGAATGTATTGCTATAACTATCTATATTAACGATCGAATTTACACTAGGCGTTAGTAGTATAAGGGACGCGGAACATAGCCTATATTTATCAAAGCTAACAATATAAAGAAGCGATAGTACGTTAGTACATTATACGGTACCTATACTAGTTCTATAGATATATATATATTCTCCTACTCCGCTATGCCTCGCTATTTACAAGGCGCGCCGGACCCTCTATTGCTATATACAAAGGAAAAACCGTGCCGTTTAGGCCGGGTGAAAACCTTTGTCGGAAGTAATAGGAAAGACATAGTTCCAGTGATACACGCTGCTGCAAGTAAAGAAAAAGGCCTTGGGAAGGCCTTGGGCCAACGGCTAGTAGGGTGCTAGCCCGGCTAAGCCGTGGCCACGGGTGTGGCTAGCCGGGCTCTCTAGCTTCCAGTTCCTCATCGAGGTTCCGAGCGAGCCTATATTCCCCTAGCCGGCCCGAGTCCATTAGCCAACCCAGTACCTTCTTCAGAAGTCTTCGGTTCCGGTAGCCTAGGCCCTGTAAAACAAGGCTAAGGTCCCGGTGGGTGCGTATTAGTTGCCTAGGCCAAGTTCTTGGTATAGGTGGTATAGAGCACCAAATCACAAGATGCTCTACTGTCTCTCTGGCTTCCCCGCATTCGCAATAGGGGGTAGGCTGGTTACGGGCCTTTTGTTTAAAAAGAAAGTCCCGTAGGCCTATAGCCTCCATACGGGCCTGTACTAGTAGGGAGCTCTTGGCCTTTGTAAGGCCTTGGTGTTTCCGTAGGCCTTAGTTTGTGAAGAGAACTGTTGGTAGGCCTTCGTCGGCTAGCCTGGTTGGCTGTCCCTGGACCTGGGTTTTCCACCTGGCCTCCCAAGCTCTTAATAATGCCCAGTCATCCTGGGTCTTGGCCAATGGTGGGCCCAAGGCTTTAGCCTGGGCGTTCCATTCGGCCACTACAGCCGAGGCCTTTTCGACGTCTGTTGGCTTTCCTGGGCTCCGGGGCCGGCCCCGTAGCCTCCGGAACCTTCGTTGGAGCCTATTGCAAGCCCCTTGGCCTTGAAGTCCTTAGATTATCACTCTACAAACGTGCTACCTAAGCGTAATCGCGAAGATCCGCCTTATAGAGGTAATCTAATCAGAGAGGCAAGGCCAAACCTCTCTACCGGACCAAGCATAATAATACTAGGCCACGGGACTCCAAGGTTTGCACCTTAAGCCCTCCACAAGAGGCACAATACTTCCTCCCTCTTGGATGACCGACACGCGCGTCCGTCCTCTCCGGCCGGCTATACTACTCCTTCAGAGCCATGAGTTCCTTATAGCGGCGACACCACACATTTGATCTCTAGCTATAGTACTCTCTAGTACGTCCTGTCGGCGGTTTCCTCCCCCATCGTACGCCTCTGGCTAAGGGAGCATACTCCCCGCCGTGTACGATATTCCTACGGGTCCCTCGCCGAGGGAATAGCTATATCTCTCCTATGGCCTGGGTGCGAGCCAGGGCCACACCTCCGTCATCCTCCTCTCGGTCTAGTATAGCCGCCACGGCCTACCTTCCGCCAGGCGCAACTCTGACTTCCAGCTTCCCGTTGCCTTGCTAGGTCTCCCTTACAAGGCCGACTATGTCTTGTAGCAGGCCATCGCACGAGCTGCCACGCCGGCATAGCTCGCTCGGTTGCTCTGCTACTAACCTGCCCTGATCTACCTGCCTCGCCTCCTATCCTCAGATCCAACTATAGTGTTACAAAGGGCGAAGTGCCTCACAAGAGGGCCCGGCCGCCTATGTTGCCTCCCTTAACGAGCCTGTATTCCCTCTCTCTCCTGCTCTTATAGTTGGTCGTACGATCGGTCGGCAATGCCGGCTTTCGCTCTATATCCTCGTCGCCGTACAACTAGCCCTCTAGCGTTCGTTATAGGCGCCCTTAGAACCGGGCAGGGCCGGGGGTACCCTATCTCTTCTTTAAAACGTCGAAAGAGTCGGGTGGTTTTCGTACCTAGTGTCCCCCTAGTCTTGCAAACTTGTTGCAAGTAGATTGTCGTAGTTATCGTCAATGGTGGTCGTCGTGCGGGGTAGTGCGGGATTTTCGGTGCACTCGAAAATCCTCACTTTCTTGTCGCGAAAACCAGCAATCCGACAGCCACACGGCCGCGTAGAAGCTGCACGTCGCTGCAACCCCTTGGAATCGAAAGAACAGATCGCAAAGGACCTAATTCCCGATTTTTGCGATGCCCGGCCGCCCGCGTGGGCGGCCCCCGATGTTTGTTCACCAGGAAGGGTCGACCGATTTATAGTCTATTATCTAGATAATATCTTTATCTTCTCTAAAATACTCGAGGAATATAAGAAGCATATAAAGGCAGTGCTAGATACTTTCTATAAGTATAAATTGTTAGTCAATAAGGATAAGAGCGAATTTTATATTATGAAAATAGTATTTCTTAGATATAAAATTTCGCCTAGTAGAATTAGGATAGAGCTAGCAAAGATTAAAGCAATCAAGAAATAGCTACGACTAACGATAATAATAGAGGTATAAGGATTTATCGGATTTGCTAACTTCTACCGAATGTTTATTAGGAGCTTTAACAACCTTATATAACTATTATATAAACTTACGAAGAAAGACATCGAGTTCCGGTAGGAAGCTAAGTACGAATAAGTGTTCTAGAAGATCTACGACGTAATTATCGCCGATCTAGTGCTTTAGTTGCTAGACCTATAGAAGCTATTTGAGGTTGAGACTAATATATTAGACTATGTAATCGGAGGATAACTAGGTCAACGCGACGAATATAAGTGTGACGAAACCGCAGGCAGTCCTGCCTCTGAAAGGGTTCGCCGGTCGAAGGTATCTGCTGGTCGGACTGTAGGTCTCGGTGAAGCCAAAGGGTTCACAACAATGCAAGTCGCAATGTCTGCACAGTAATGTAGGGCCACCTTACTGCTTGTAATTGCTCACTGGAGAACTCCCAGAGTCCTCCAGAACGAGTGTCTAGCTATCCTATATACTACGGCTCTTCCTATGGATCACGGCCTCCCTCTGGTGATCCCTCATACTGGATCACCTTGGATCACCAGTGATCCCTTGTGAGCCTTATACCTGGATCACCAAGCCTTCCCTATGCCAAGTGTGATCCTCTTCTGATTGGTCCGTTCCTGGACCGGAACGATTGGACGCAGGCGTCGCCCGCAGACCATGCAGGTCGGCCCTGTGACGGTGCAATGCACCGACCATGATGATGATATCATTTGTATGTATAATGATTCATCATACCAAGTGATGATTCATTATGCATGTTCCATTACATCATGCATGCAAGCTCAGACCTACTCGCATCCTGTATTTAAAGCCTACCTTGCAGTCTCGAGGATTTCTTTCCTCCTGCAAGTTCAATATTCTTGCAATGCAGTCAGTTTACCACCAGAGGCTTGACCCTGGCCTTGAACGACGGCCCTCGTGACAGGCCCCACCGGCCGCTGCAGGTTAATTCATGACAATAAGAAGCTATACCTAGTTGTATTCTTTTCGAAAAAGCTCGAAGAGCTATAGCTTAACTACCCTATTTATAATAAGGAGTTGCTAGCCATTATCGAAGCATTTTAAGAATAGAGACTATATCTTAGCGGTATAATATATAAAGTTTAAGTCTATATAAACTATAAGAACTTACGGTACTTTATTACTACTAAGGTATTGAATGGACGACAATCTCAATAGGTAGAATTCCTCTTAGAATTCAACTTTAAAATCAACTATAAAAAAGACTTAAAAAATATATAGCCAGATATATTAAGTAGAAGGCCAGATTACTTTAGGAATAGCCAACTAGAAGCCTTACTACGATTACTTTAATAATAGCTAGATGGTTTCTTATAGCATGCTCCCTAACTGATAAAAGATCTTAATAATGATACGCTTCTATAATAGGGCGAAGATCTCGACCTATAACCTCTATAACCGCTTGAGGAATGCTATATAGTCTTTAGAGAAGAACGGCTATGAAAAGACTTCTAAGACTAGAAGCAGAATAACATAGACGAGGAAGTAGGTATCTCTTAGAGAGATAGAGCGTTATAGTATAACGGCAAGGTCTATGTCGTACTATAGAATCAAATGGAACTGATCAAGACCATCTATAAGTTAAAGCTCGGAGGATATATAGGAATCGCCAAAACTATCGCCAAGGTTCGATAGCACTATAACTTCCTAGAACTTAAGACTAGAGTTAAAACTATTGTATAGGAATATAACCTCTATAATCAAAGCAAGTCGGTATGGTATAAACTATATAAGCTCTTGGAGCCGTTGCCAGTTATAGAATGACTATAGAGTTCGGTGACAATAGACTTTATTACTAAACTACTGCTTTTAAAAGACTTAACTACTAGAATAAAGTACGATAGCATCTTTACTATAGTTGACCGACTTATTAAATAGAGCTACTTCTTCCTATATAAAGAATTGTGGTTAGTAGAACAACTTATAGATATGATCTATTAGTATATTATATTAGTTTATAGATGGCTAGAAGAATAGATTATAGACTGAGATACTAAGTATAAACTCCCACTACCTTAGGAAATCGGAGAACTCCTACTACTAGAACCCTATAGGGCTAGAAACAAGGGACCTCCCCGAATAATACTCTAGTCTATAGGAACATCCGACAACTAGTTGAGATCCGCCAAGTGATCTAACGAAGTAGGACCCGGAGCAAGAAAATCTAACAAAGAAGGCGAAGCGGTAGTATCTAAGAATACTACTGCCATGCCATCTGAAGGTAGAGCGGCTAGAGAAGCCTGCTCCGACTCCTCCTTTTCTTCCTCGTTTAACAAATAAGACTCTCGATAGAAGGCTACGCGAGCCCTCTCTTTCAACGCCTATGACTGTTGCTCTAAACGAAGCAATTTACTAATCATGGCCCGATGCTTGGCGTTAAGACGCTCCTTTTCCTTAATAAATAGACGTACTACGGAAGTCAGCAAGCATAGGAATAAGGGAAGCAGCAGACTTATAATCTATACTATAGATATCGCAGTTAGAACGACCTACTGTCACGAACCAACCATATAGCAAGACCCGGTGGGGCACAACGGAAACAAGCAGAACCAATCAGCAAGGGAGAAAAGCTGCAGGCGGCCGCATAAGGATGACCTAGGTAGCCCAGAGTCGCCGGCGAGCAAGAGCGATCATGATAGACTTGGGTAGCCGCCTACTCAAGGCGATCGAGAGTAGACCACGATAGCTGGCGAATGACGGCGAGCCAACAGGATTGGCTAGATATATAGTCATTCGTTATGGAGGGCTCTGGGAGTCCTCCAGTGAGCAATACAAGCAATAGCCTCTACCTATTGTGCAGACATTGCAGCTAGCATTGTTGTGAACCTTTTGGCTTCACCGAGACCTACAGTCCGACCAGCAGTACCTTCGACCGGCGAACCCTTTCAGAGGTAGGACTGCCTGTAGTTTCGTCACACCTGCCTTGATATAAGGAAGGTAATATTCGTAATGCTTATAAGCAATATACTCTAGTTTCTTTTCGTAGCAGTAGGTATAGGAAGGTATAATAATACTAGTTCGCTCGAGAAAGCGCACCTGATTGCAACGACGGTTAGAACTCGTTTATTTCTTTTTCTCTATATAGTCAGGCATGATAATAATAATATAGGAGAGAAGAACTTACTAAGGCAAGATATAAGGGGGATAGCCAGGACTATTAGTTATTTTAGGAACTTGGTTGTTAGGGTATCGATCTTAGAGGAGGGGCATTGTATTACGAATTAACCAACAGTAAGCTGTAGGGTAGACGGCCGTATATAGGGATATAGGGGCGTCCTAAGCTAATTATTTAGACAATTAGGCAGACTAGTTAGAGACAGGTAAAGATGCTAAGGTACCAATGTCGCTAAGTACTCTATAGGATATAAGTGATTAGAGTGATCAGGGGCATATTACAATAAGCACCCTGGTGCTTATCCAAATTGAAGCACTGAGCACTTAAGGAGATAGCTAGTATATAGCCACTCGTTCTGGAGGACTCTAGGAGTTCTCCAGTGAGCAATTACAACAGTAGAGTAGCCCTACCTTACTGTGCAGATATTGCAACTAGCATTATTATGAACCTTTTGGCTTCACCGAGATCTATAGTCCGACTAGCAGATACCTTCGACCAGCAAACCCTTTCAGAGGTGAGACTGCCTATGGTTTCGTCACATTTCTACATTATACCTTAAAAGATAGTTTAGATCTTTAGGTCTTTGATAACTACTTGTAGGTAATTATTAACGTCTACGTGGTCATCAAGCTACTACTTCTGCTAAGTAGGGTCCTTAGATTGAGAGATGTCAGTAAGGATATATTTGTCAAGGTTATAGCGTAAAAGGACGCGAATAAGCTTGTCTTTCTATGCGGGAAAGTCTTCCTAATGCCTAATCTTCTCGATCAATAGTAGTTGGCCTTTGTTCATTTAGGCCGCAATCAACCGGGCCAAAAGTATTAAAAGAGTGCTATCTATTATGCCCGTGGTGGCTATAGAGGACATAGTAGTGTCGGCCATGTTCTATAGATAGATGACTGTGTTCTATAGCCACACTGACGTAATGGGTTAGTCGATCTGCGGATTGGTGTTGAAATAGATGCTTGGCGTATATATAGGCCAAGGTGTATATGGTTGGTTAACCGCATATATAGATCACCAGTCGGTTGTTTCCGGTCACTATTGTATGCCGGGAAGTGTTCTTTTCCAGCCGCGGTCGCTGACTGGGTTGTCCTATTGGCCACGGTTATAGGCCAGGAAGGTCGAAAGTGTAGTTGGCCGCGGTCGCAAGCCAAGATTGTCGTTCTTAGCCGTAGTCGTAGGCTAGGATGTGTGAAAACGGGCTTAAAAGTGCTGCATTACGTAGTGGAAGGACGAGGGCGCATAACCTGTTGGGATGGAGCGCAATGGCTAGCGAAGTTGGTGATATTCGCTATGGCGTTGTCGCTACTATTGTTATGTTGTTGTTGAAAGGAATGGAAGATGGGCGAACCCAGGCACAGGAGGTGGATGGCGGAGACGAACATGTGGGTCCTGTGAGAATCCCACACCACATACTCCCTTAGCCGCACATTTTTTCCGGCTCGTGCAGGGCTGGCCGTGCTAGGCTTGGTTTTGTTGGCTGCCGTTTCCGCTCGCAGCAATCTCACAAGCGACGCAAATCAATCAAAGCCCTCGCATCTGAGCCAGCTAAGGATAATCTTGTTGGCTAGCTCCGCATTGGAATCGGGGATCAGAAATGGCCCCAGAAGCGAGGAATCAGCCCGGACTGGTGAACCTCGCCCCAGCGCCTCCCAGGAGGCTTGGTGCAACCGTTGATGGCATCGATGGAATCCTGCCTCCGCGATCAATGCCCGCCAGCTGCCGAACCTGCGCACGGCGCAAAGTGAAATGCGACAAGGTGGCACCGATATGCTCTACATGCCGAAAAAGTAAGCTTGAGTGCTCATACAAGTTACCTGATCCCGGGGGACGGAAAAGGAAGAGATCAAGCGCCGAGCTGCTCCAAAGGCTCGCTCGATATGAGCACGTCCTACGTGAACACGGATTGCTAGAAGAGGCCCAGGCGGGCGTCTCCACTTTGGGTCAAGTTGCAACGTCCCAAGGCTCCGACAGGTCCATATCTCTCCTTTGGGACGAGCCGGAAGACTCCAGGGTGACAGGCAGGTTGGTCACTACCCAAGCCGGGTCGAGATATGTGAGCAGTTTGCTCTGGCAAAACCTGGAATACGATGAAGCCGAGGGTCTATCTGAGAGCGAGGGCTTGGAGGACAATTCAGCAGCGCCTTCCAACGGATTTGACCCTTTAACAGCAGCGTTGATGGACGGTCGATTTCGTCCCCTTGACCATTACCGTCCGCCGCCCTTCCAGGCCAGGTTCCTGTGGGCAACATACATCGAAAATGTCGAGGCGCTTTGCAAGATCCTACACATCCCATCAACGAGCAAGATGATCGAAGCGACGCTGCAGCGCTACGAAAGCGCATCAAATCCTGACGAGTGCGCGGTTTCCCAGGCTGACGAGTGCCTGCTATTCGCTATATACCATTTCGCCGTGTTCTCCATGACCGACGAGGACTGCCTCGCAAGCTTGCACGATTCCCGGGCGACCTTGCTTCAGAGATACCGCCTCGCAGCTCGGCAAGCTCTCATCAACGCGTCGTTTCTCAAGACCACGGAGTTCATCGTTCTGCAAGCTTTTGTCCTCTTCCTTCTATCCTCCCAACACCAGTATGATCCAGCCACATTCTGGATTCTCACAGGCGCCGCCGTCCGCATAGCACAGTGCATGGGCCTGCACCGGGACGGGGAGAAGCTGGGCTTGCCGCCCTTCGAGGTCGAAATGAGGCGGCGATTGTTCTACCAGCTTCTACCTCTCGAGGCAAGGGCCAGTCAGACGGCCGGCATGGGCATCTCCATTCCGCCGTATGCATGGAATGTTCGACTGCCTCTCAACGTCGACGACGACCAGATATGGCCGGGCATGACAGAGACCCCACAAGAACAGCAAGGAGCTACCGAGATGATCTTCTGTCTGTCCCGGGCCTACCTAGGGAGTTTCTTCCTCAGATCAAGTCGAGGAGGCAACGGCTCAGCCGGCGGGGAAGGCTTGAGCGCCTGGCGCCTCAGAGATGAGGAAGCCGAGCGCGTCGTCAGGAAAGCAGAAAGCGAAGCGGAGGAGAAGTTCATTCGCTACTGCGACGTTGTTAATCCCCTGCACTATCTCACAATCTGCTCGGCGAGGTCCGGTGTCACCGCCATGCGCCTCCGGGTGAAGCTCGCCAAGATTCGGAACCAGAAGGCTACCGAAACGGACACGAAAGATGCCTTGCAGCTCGCGCTCAAGACTCTGGAGACCGACTCGGCTGTCTGCGCTCACCCCGGACTTGAGAGATACCGCTGGCATATAAAGCCTTTCATGTTGTGGGGGACGTGGGATGCTTTGGTGTTCACCTTGACCACTCTGGCCAAAGGACCCGGTAGGCTCTCCCCACGAGAGACTGACACCGCTTGGGTGACTTTGAAGAATATGCACCACAACCACGGCCAGCTGTATGCACCAGACCGACCGTTGTACGCGTCGCTAAGGCGGCTCACGATCAAGGCGTGGGACGTCAACCCACCAAGCTGGGCGCACAACAAGGAGAGGACGGAATTCATCGACACCCTGCGTTCTGTACACGACATGGATCAACGGAGACACGCAAAGAGGAAGGGCAACGGTCACGCAGACCAGGACCGCAGCCATTTGTTGAGCGAAGGGAACAACACAGAGACGGCGGAGTCCGCGTCGGTTTGCCAGCTCCCTAAGGCTGGTTCGATTCTGGATTTTGACTTGGGCCGTGAGTTCGATCTGGTCGGCGCAGACTGGTCGTTTTCCTCGGACCACCTCTTACGGGAGCAGCCTGGCCAAGAACAATACGAACTTGACTTTGGATGGGACAGACAGCTATAAGAATGCTTCCTAGGTCCACAGCCCTGGAGCTAGATCGCGTGGTGATGACCTAAGGTAATGTCGACGCCGCGTAACTGCTGGCTGTGATTGGCCAGAAGCTCGGGTGGTCAACGCCCGAGCCGGGACACGGCCTCGGACCCAAAAGCCTCCCAGGTCATGGCCGAGCAACTCCATGTCTTCGGTTGTTTTGAGCACACATTGGTCGAGCAGCGCGGTCGGCTGCCCCGAGGGCGGCATATTACGATGGGTATATAATTGGCGTCCCTGGAATGTCACCAAACGCCTCCTGGTTGTCTCTCGAGCATGCCTCCAGAGTTGAGACCGACAGACACCTTTACTTGGAACTCATCGATTTAGAACAGCATGTCCGGGGGCTCTAAACTCAGAGTCCTCATCGTGGGCGCCTCCATCGCAGGGCCAACAGCAGCCTACTGGTTCGCCAAAGCCGGTGCACGCGTCACTGTCATCGAGCGCTTTCCCCAGCTACGCACCAGCGGCCAGAACATCGACATCCGCACCGTCGGCGTGACCGTCATGCGCAAGATGCCCGGAATGGAGGCGGCTGTGCGGGCAAAGACGGTGCCCATGAGTGGCATCAGCTTCCTCAACACCAGCGGCCGCCCGATCGCCACCATCAAGCCGAGCGGCAACCCGGACCAACAAGCCCTCATCTCGGAGTACGAGATCCTGCGCGGCGACCTGGCCAAGATCCTATACGACATGACCAAAGACGACAACAACATCACCTACGTCTTCGGTGAACAGATCTCATCCATCCAGCAGCACGACGACAGCAACAACAATGACGGCCCAGTCACCGTAACCTTCGCGAACAACACCCTACCACCATCCGAGTTCGACTTGGTCGTAGCCGCCGACGGCGCCACCTCACGCACCCGCGCCCTCGGCCTAGGCTGTGCCGTGCGCGAACACATGCGCCCGCAGCACCAGTGGGCAGCATACTTCTCCCTGCCCCGAGACGGGTTGCTCGATAACGACAACAACGAGCTAAGCCAGCTATACAGTGCGCCAGGCGGCCGTCTCACCGCCGTGGCACCCGACGGCGGCGCAAGACCGGGCGTCGCGCGCGCGACTCTCATGGCACACCACCCACCACCACCACCCAAGTCTTCCTTCTCCTCTTCTTCCTCATCCTCCTCCGACTCCTACCCGATGCAAGCATTCCGCAAAGCAGCCCAAAGACAAGACGACAACGGCGCCTCCCTGAAACAATTCATAGCCGAGCAATGGACAAACACAGGCTGGAAATGTGACACCATCATCAAGGGGATGCTCCAATCCCACGACTTCTATGCCTCGGAGATCACACAGGTTAAGGTCCCCTCCCTGCATCGGGGGCGGTTTGTGCTGGTCGGCGACGCGGGCTACGCGCCCGGCCCCACCGGCACAGGTACCAGTCTTGCCCTGGTGGGCGCGTATGTCCTTGCCGGCGAGGTGGGTGTTAAGCACAGGGGGGATTTGCGGGCTGGGCTGAGGGGATATGAGGAGGTTATGAAGCCGATTGTGGAGGACTTGCAGCGGATTCCGCCGGGTCTGGGGACCGTGCTAGCGCCGCAGACCTGGTGGGGGTTGTGGCTGCGGAATGTGCTGTTGTGGGTTGCGTGGAGGACGAGGGTGCTGGGGTTAGCGCAGAGGGTTGTTGGTGGTCTCTTTGCTGGGGCATTTGCCGGCGCGGAGAAGTATACCCTGTCGGAGTATGAGTGGGAGGCATGACGGTAAGGGATGCGTGGTCAGTTACAGATACAGTGTTATAAGAATATGCTCAGAGCGGGTGGAAGGTTCTCTTCTGAAGAGGCTGTCTCATGAATATCGTCGATCATGCTCGAACCCATAAATATTAGATATTTGAATAACGTATTTGCATAGCGAGTCGCGCAGCATAGCGAGTCGTACGCTTTTCCCACGTTTCCCACTGACTAACTTCATTACCAATTTTCTCTACGAAACAATATAGAATCTCTTCCAAGAGAAAGCCGTCTAGTCCTTGCATTTGAAGCCCTCAAAAAAGACTCGAAACTTTCTGTACGAAAAGCTGCTACTATCTACAAGGTTCCTAAAAGCTCGCTCTGCAATCGACGCGCTAGAAAGCAACCACGACGCGAATTACCTGCTAACTCGAGGAAATCAACCGACTTAGAAGAAAAGGTACTTCTTAAAAGGATACTCGACCGCGATATATAAGGATTTTAGCCCCGGCTCTTTAATATTCGAGATATAGCCGATTATCTTTATAACGTATCTTATAAGCGAGATAAACAGATAAGCGAGTTGAATAGTTGCCACCATACTATAACAGTCAACTATAATTACAACACAACAATATTATAAACCTACTATAATTACATCAGAAACGGCTAGATCAAATGCTTCTGTAACCTCCTGACAAGTGTAGGCATTATGACCAGGCTTGCCGTACACACTATAGCACTAAAACCTTCATACGAGCTCCCTCTGTACCACTACCATCCGGCTGCATTTCTTGTGCTACCTCCCTAACCATAGCCTTTTGGTCTAGTAGATCCTTTGTATCTTCTACTGCAAGTTATTCTCTAAGCTATATATGCGCTCTTTTGACTCTTCGGCGCTTGCTTAGCACCTCGTTAGCCTTATAGAACAAAGACACCTCTGCCTAAAGGAGGGCCACCTAGTGCATTATAGCCATTGTACTCTTGATAAGCTGGTCCATATGTGACGAAACCATAGGCAGTCCTGCCTCTGAAAGGGTTCGCCGGTCGAAGGTATCTGCTGGTCGGACTATAGGTCTCAGTGAAGCCAAAAGGTTCACAACAATGCAAGTTGCAATGTCTGCACAGTAAGGTAGGGCTACTCTACTGTTTGTATTGCTCACTGGAGGACTTCCAGAGCCCTCCACAACAAATGACTATATACCTAGCTGATCCTGTTGGCTCGCCGTCATTCGCCAGCTACCGTGGTCTACTCCCGATCGCCTTAGGTAGACGGCTACCCAAGTCTATCATGATCGCTCTCGCTCGCTGGCGACCCTGAGCTACCCAGGTCGTCCCTATACGGCCGCCTGCAGCTTTCACCCCTGCTGATTAGTTCTGCCTGTTTCCGTTGTGCCCTACTGGGTCTTGCTATATGGTTGGTTCGTGACACTATAGCAGCCAAAATTGAAGTCGGGGAGCTATTTTGATAGTTAGCAATGCGAGTCTTGATAAGCGTTGACTGTGTATGACGAAACCATAGGCAGTCCTGCCTCTGAAAGGGTTCGCCGGTCGAAGGTACCGCTGGTCGGACTGTAGGTCTCGGTAAAGCCAAAAGGTTCACAATAATGCAAGTCGCAATGTCTACATAGTAGGTGAAAGCTACTAATTGTTATTGCTCACTGGAGAACTCCCAGAGTCCTCTAGAACGAGTGACTATATACTATCTATCCTTGGGTAGTCTTATATACTCTATAGAGCTCCTTAGAGCTTGATGCTCTATTGACTCTGTCGAGAACTTCTATCCCTTCATACTAGTTGGCTTGGTGCTTTGAGCTCTCGTCTGCTCTCTAGAGCTCCCTAGAGCTCCTTTTTATTAGTCTTAAATAATTGGTTTGAGTATATCCTATGCTACCTGCTAGGTTGTCCTACCTATAGCTATCCTATTAGCTTAATTCGTAATACGATATCCTATAATGGTAGAATCTACTGTACTATGGCATAGGCTATTGCTTAGCCATATGCCCAGCTTCCAGTATATGCATATATAATTAGTCAACTTGGTTAGTGCCCTACTTTCTATATCTAGACATACGCGCTATATCCTATATTTAGACTTCTTCGTACCTTACAGTCTTTGAGGATTCCTTTCCTCCTATAAGTTCAATATTCTTGCAATGCAGTTAGTTGCCTACTCGAGCTTTGAGCCTAGCCTGCGATGACAGTCACTATAATATATCCTCTCTTTAAGGTAAACGCCTTAGCGAATCTTGTTCTTCCTACATTCTAAAATAGCACCAATAGTCCTTAGCTATAAGTATCCTTTCCCTTCTATATCCTCCTATTCTCGCCAGTTCTAGCTAACCATATACGAAAGCTAAAAACTCAAGCCGGCTTGAGTACTTAGCGCTAGTCTTATCTTGCCAATTTTGCGATATCTTCTGGCTTTCTAATACCTAGATATTCCTACTGCTATAAGCATAGGCTTGATTATTAGACATCTAGCACTTTTAAATGCTATAGCTCCTATAATTATATAAACCGCCTATCTTATAATATTTAGGGTATTGACCTAAGAATATATAAGTTCTTACTTTTTATAGCCTTCTATTATCAGTACTAATAATATGAGTCTACTTCTTTATTTCTAAAAAGAATAAGCTTAATTATAAGAAGGAGGAGATCTTAGCAAAGCTACTTTATCTCTATAAATAGAAACGTACCGTAGAGGAGCAAGTAAGAAAGGAAGTATCCTAGGAACTTCGGGACATCTTAGACTTAGAGCGTAAGGAGCGTGAGAAATATAAGGAGCGTATAGCTATCTCTACATCTGCTATTCTAACGCCTTTCGTGCTGGATCCTCTTATTAGGTTTAACTAGCTAGATGCCCCTATAGACCTAGGTGCTATTGGGAGAACCCCTTCATTTCTAGCCGTGTACGGCTCTAGTAGTGGAAGTCCTCTGATCTCCTAAGATAGTAGGGGTTCGTAGCTAGTAGTAGGCAGGTCTTAGTTACGCCTGCTGTATGTATTATATCTATAGCATTGCTATCTACAGTCGCTCTTCTCTACTTAGAGTTCCTAATCTAATTCTTACTACCTATTTCCCAACAAATAAAATAGCTTAGTGGTATAGCTTAGTTATTATACCTGAATAGATGCTTTAGGAGATTATAGGTTCAAATCCTATCTCTGCTACTATTAGCTATAGTATAGGATAACGTTATAGCAGTTGCTACCTAGAATATAGTTAGCCTTATATGTTCTTCCCTTTTCCTAGCCGATTGGGATTCTATCGGTAGAATTCTTTTAATTTTTCTATATAGCTAAGTGTGACGAAACCACAGGCAGTCCTGCCTCTGAAAGGGTTCGCCGGTCGAAGGTAACTGCTGGTCGGACTGTAGGTCTCGGTGAAGCCAAAAGGTTCACAACAATGCTTGTCGCGATGTCTGCACAATAGGTATAGGCTATTGCTTGTAATTGCTCACTGAGGAAGCTCGCTATCTGAATGAGTGGCAGAATGGTAGAACTATATACAGCTTCCTCCTCTAGGTGTCCCGTACCTAGATCTTTGGAACATTTGGAACAATTGTTGTTCTCATTGTTCCATCTGGAACAACGTTCCTTGGCGTTGTTCCCCAGGAACAATCGTTCTTGGCATTGTTCCTGATTTCCTCAGTCCTCATTGGTTCTTTCTGATTCGCAATGATTGGATACGGGCACCGCCCGTTGACCATGCAGGTCGGCCCCCACCGGCCTCTGCAGGTTAGTTCATGACACTAAGATATTCTACTAGCTCCTATAAGTTATCTTTTTGTCTAAAGTCCAGCTATTTAACTAAGTACTCTAGCCTTTCATTAGCTATTTATAAGTCTAGGATTTCCTTAACATCTTATTTTTCTTCTTTATCCTTGGCTTTAATATTCTTTATAAGTTATACATTTTTAGGTACTAGTTCAAGAAGTAAGATATAGAAGATATTAGTATATAATCTTATCGCCCCTTCCCGGTGAACAAACATCGGGGGCCGCCCACGCGGGCGGCCGGGCATCGCAAAAATCGGGAATTAGGTCCTTTGCGATCTGTTCTTTCGATTCCAAGGGGTTGCAGCGACGCGCAGCTTCTACGCGGCCGTATGGCTGTCGGATTGCTGGTTTTCGCGACAAGAAAGTAAGGATTTTCGAGTGCACCGAAAATCCCGCACTACCCCGCACGACAACTACCATTGACGATAACCACGACAATCTACCTGCAATAAGTTTGCAAGACTAGGGGGACACTAGGTACGAAAACCACCCGACTCTTTCGACATTTTAAAGAAGAGATAGGGTACCCCCAGCCCTGCCCGGTTCTAAGGGCGCCTACGACGAACGCAATAGAGGGCTAGTCGTACGGCGACAAGGATACGGAGCGAAAGCCGGCATCGCCGACCGATCGTACAACCAACTATAAGAGCAGGAGAGAGAGGGAATACAGGCTCGTTAAGGGAGGCAACACGGGCGGCCGGGCCCTCTTGCGAGGCACTTCGCCCTTTGCAACACTATAGTTGGATCTAAGGATAGGAGGCGAGGCAGGTGGATCAGGGCAGGTTAGTAGCAGAGTGACCGAGCAAGCTATGCCGGCATGGCAGCTCGTGCGACGGCCTGCTGCAAGACACGGTCGGCCTTATAAGGGAGACCTAGCAAGGCAACGGGAAGCTGGAAGTCAGGGTTGCGCCTGGCGGAAGGTGGGCCGTGGCGGCTATACTAGACCGAGAGGAGGATGACGGAGGTATGGCCCTGGCTCGCACCCAGGCCATAGGAGAGACATAGCTATTCCCTCGGCGAGGGACCTATGGGAATATCGTACGCGGCGGGGAGTATGCTCCCTTAGCCAGAGGCGTACGATGGGGGAGGAAACCGCCGACAGGACGTACTAGAGAGTACTATGGCTGGAGATCAAATGTGTGGTGTCGCCGCTACAAGGAACTCATGGCTCTGAAGGAGTAGTATAGCCGGCCGGAGAGGACGGACGCGCGTGTCGGTCATCCAAGAGGGAGGAAGTATTGTGCCTCTTGTGGAGGGCTTAAGGTGCAAACCTTGGAGTCCCGTGGCCTAGTATTATTATGCTTGGTCCGGTAGAGAGGTTTGGCCTTGCCTCTCTGATTAGATTACCTCTATAAGGCGGATCTTCGCGATTACGCTTAGGTAGCACGTTTGTAGAGTGATAATCTAAGGACTTCAAGGTTCGAAGACCAGCTCAACAAGCCTACCCTACAGGCCGGGCTAGGCCCAGAGGCCCCGAGGCGCCGACCAAAGGAAATCATCCAAGGTGCCTGCAACAGGCTCCAACGGAGGTTCCGGTCGCTACGGCGCCGGCCCTGGAGCCTAGAAAAGCCAACAGATGTCGAAAAGGCCTCGGCTACAGTGGCCGAATAGAACACCCAAGCTAAGGCCCTGGGCCCACCATTGGCTAAGACCCAGGAAGACTGGGCACTATTAAGAGCCTGGGAGGCTAGGTGGAATACCCAAGTCCAAGGACAGCCAACTAGGCTAGCCGACGAAGGCCTACCAACAGTCCTCTTCACGAACCAGAGCCTACAGAAACACCAAGGCCTTACAAAGGCTAAGAGCTCCCTACTAGTACAGGCTCGTACAGAGGCTATAGGCCTACGGGACTTCCTTTTCAAACAAAAGGCCCGTAACCAGCCTACCCCCTATTGCGAATGCGGGGAAGCCAGAGAGACAGTAGAGCATCTTGTGATTTGGTGCTCTATACCACCTATACCAAGAACTTGGCCTAGGCAACTAATACGCACTCACCGGGACCTTAGCCTTGTTCTACAGGGCCTAGGCTACCGGAACCGAAGACTTCTGAAGAAGGTACTGGGTTGGCTAATGGACTCGGGCCGGCTAGGGGAATATAGGCTCGCCCGGAACCTCGATGAGGAACTGGAAGCTAGAGAGCCCGGCTAACCACACCCGTGGCCACGGCTTAGCTGGGCTAGCACCCTACTAGCCGTTGGCCCAAGGCCTTCCCAAGGCCTTTTTCTTTACTTGCAGCAGCGTGTATCACTAGAACCATATCTTTCCTATTATTTTTGATGAAGGTTTTCACCCGGCCTAAACGGTCCGGTTTTTCCTTTGTACATAGCAGTAGAGGGTCCAGCGCGCCTTGTAAATAGCTAGGCATAGCGGAGTAGGAGAATATATATATATATAAGTTATGCTGCTAGCAATAAGTTGACCTAATCATCCTACTAGAAGTTAATGAACGCTCTAAGGTATTGTTCAACGATCTAGTTAAATTGTTCTATTTAGCCATCTATTTAGAGGTAGTACGCTATTGAAAGCTTGCTCTTTATACTTAAACGCTTTATAAGTGCTTGCTAAAATTTCAATCTAAACTTAGTGTCCAGATCTATAATCTATTCTTTTGACTATCTATAGATTAATGCAATATACCTAATATATATAATAAGCGAGTGACCTAGACAAGCGAATGACCCACTCTCCACTACTCTATATATATTATTCTCAGTTATAAAATAATAGCACTATTAACTAACTATAATTATATTAGAAACGGCTAAATCAGATGCTTCTGGAACCTCCTAGCAAGTGCGGGCATTATAACTAGGCTTGCTGCGTATACTACAGCACTGAACCTTCATACAAGCCCCCCTTATACTACCACCATCCGGCTATATTTCTTATGCTACCTCCCCAACCATAGCCTTTTGGTCTAGTAGATCCTTTGCATCTTCCACTGCAAGTAATCCTCCAAGCTATATACGCGTTCCTTTGGCTCTTCGGCGCTTGCTTAGCGCCTTGTTGGCTTTGCAGAGCGAAGCATTCTCTGCCTATAGGAGAGCCACCTGGTGCATTATAGTGTCACGAATTAAGCTAATAGGACAGCTGCAGGTGGGACAACCCGGCGGGTAGCGCAGGACGTACCCAAACTAATCGTTTAGGACTAATGAGAAGGAGCTCTAGGGAGCTCTAGAGAGTAGACGAGAGCTCAAGGCATTAAGCCAATCAGCATGAAGGGATGGAAGCTCTCGATGGAGCCAACAAAGCACCAAGTTCTAGAGAGCTCTATAGAGCATATAAGAGCACCCAAGGATAGGCAGTATATAGTCACTCGTTCTGGAGGACTCTGAGAGTTCTTCAGTAAGCAATAACAATCAGTAGCCTTACCTACTATGCAGACATTGCGACTTGCATTGTTATGAACCTTTTAGCTTCACCGAAACCTATAATCTGACCAGCAGATATCTTCGACCGGCGAACCCTTTCAGAGGTAGGACTGCCTGTGGTTTTGTCACATATAGCTATTATACTCTTTATCAGCTAGTCTACAGCAGCTAATATCAAAGCCGGAGAGCTATTTTGGTAGGTAGCAATGCGAGCTTTGATGAGCGTTTGACTGTAAGTTGGCTTCTCAGGTGTTATATAATATCTGGAAGACCTAAGATTGTATAGTGCCTAGCCGTAAGGTTGGGGGCATTGGTGTACGAAGCTTGATATCTAGCTTCGAAAGTACCCTCTTTGGATCGTATAGCATAAGGCCAGCCCTTATAAAACCGCCCTATATATTCCTCTTGGTAATAGAGGCAAAGAAAGCCGTGTGAAAAATATAAAGCAACTCGAGCTTGCTTATATAGTTGATATATAAGCGTATTAAGTCCTCAATCTGGCGACTGTACGCCTGCTTTAATGGCCCAAAGTAGCTAACATCGAGCGGCTAGAGGAGGTAGAAGGAATATAGAGGTATGTAGAGCGTGATAATATTCTTCTACTGGCAGTAGAGCTCGAACTCGGTTGAGTGGTGGCTTTTATAGCCATCGAGGATTAACAACCAATATTTACCCTTTATATAGGGTGCTGTAAGGTAATCGAAGTGCTTAATCTAATCTAGGTCTACTGCGTTGGTAATCCAGCCGTTCTCAGTGATTGCAATGCGCCAGTTGGCCGGGAGGTTGCAATTGGTATACCAGTTAGCAAGATGGTATTGCGCAGCTAAGATAATGAATGGAGGGATAGGCTAGCTGAGAGCATTGACTCTCTAGATTACTGTTGCCTACTTGCGATTACTAGGCTAGGCCAGCTTAGCCTTGCTCCGGCCATCTAAGGTTATAACAACTATATCTATAAAGATAATGCCTATTATAAATCCAGTCTCGTCAAAGTTATAGATATCATTATCTACAATACTATACTTAGCCTTAATATTCTATGTAAGCCTAAACTACTTGCGAATAATGTCTTGATCTTTATATCTAGCTCTCTAGTAGTTGTCTCTATATATATATTATATATAGAGCTCTAGCCAGTATTTGACGAAGTTATAAGCCTAGCGTTTACTAATAGGGGGCGCGTTATATTCGCGTAGTAGTTGGTTAGCTATATCTTCCATACTATATAACCTAGGCGGGAATATATATGTAGATAGCTTATTATCACGGTGACTGTCGTTACAGGCTAGGCTCAAGGCTCTAGTGGGCAACTGACTGCATTGCAAGACTATTGAACTTGCAGGAGGAAAGGAATCCTCGAAGACTGCAAGGTGCAAAGAAGTCTAAAATATAGGATGTGGGGCATGTGCCCAGATGTGGAAGGTAGGCACTAACTAGGTTGACCAATCAAATAGCCTGTGCCATAGTAAGGTGGGTTCCACCGTCACACTTATTGATATATTGAACTATTACCTTCTCTTTTAGATCTATAAGCTTGCGTAAGTTAGCTGGAAGATTATATCGTATAGGCTTGCTAGCGCGTTGGCGCTCTAGGGTCCTATAGTTGACTCTATAGATCTTAGCTACGGCTCGTTCGTTTAGATTCTTATCGTTTTGAAGAGCTTGGAGAGCTAATATTATCTGGTCTTCTTTTGAAGTAGAGGGCATTTTGGATGGTAGAGGGAATATTGTTGTTGAGTGCAAAGATGTCACGTCGTATAGGAAGTGGGTCACTCGCTTGTCTGGGTCACTCGCTTGTCTGGGTCACTCGCTTGTCTGGGTCACTCGCTTGTCTGGGTCACTCGCTTGTCTGGGTCACTCGCTTGTCTGGGTCACTCGCTTGTCTGGGTCACTCGCTTGTCTGGGTCACTCGCTTATCATGTACGTCAAGACTTTCGGTAGAGAAAACCCAGAAGAGATCATTGTGGGAGAGTTCCTGCTTTGCCAAGGTCTATAGTTTGCAATCGACGTCAAGTATCCTTTCCGAGCACTCAGAGGCGCTATCATAGAGCTCAGTGCATTGCCCGATATCGAGGCAAGCCGCAATCTCCCCGACGCAAGTCTTCCGTGACGCCCACTGACCTCCCGTCTTTTAGCCCGCCCGCCTCGCCGCTGCCGAGCACCGCGCCCGCGAGATCCTCCGCTTCAGCCCGCTTATAACCGACGCGTACTTCCACTATACGCCCAGCCAAATTATGCTGGCCGCCCTATCCTTTACGAACCACGGTCTCACAGAGCGCTTAATAGCAGAAATCTTCTATTACATTGTACCGCCAGCGAACAATAGCGGTGCCGATACCCCGGCCTTGTCCGGCCCTGACGCTCCTGCTCCTCCCGGAAAGCCTGTACTATAGAGCAATAGCAAAGATAAGGCCTAGATAATCGGCTCTTACATCCGAGATAAGGTGCTCGGCACGATCGAGGCGTATAGGGACATGCTCTCCAAAGAGCTTCCCGAGCAGAGGGAGCACTGGACAAATGTATGCCTATCTCCATTTCTATCCCGCTCTCTCTCCTCTCCGTTCCCTTTCCGCCCGGCCAATCCTCGTTGTGAAACTAACCAAGCGCAGAAAGCCGTAAGAAAAGCCCAAATCACACCCCTCAGGAAGAAACTTAACAAGTGTCACGACCCGGATCGGTAGAATCTCGTCGAGCTATAGCGCGCTCGCCGCGAGCAGGCAAGTAAGAAAGCTGACTCTGAAAACGGGGATGCCGAGGACGGGACCGGCGGGGGTGCGATGGAGGACGACGAAGCGGTCTTTGGAGGGCCCCTGCTACGGGATCCTAAGAGAAGAAAGGTAGGGAAAGCGCTGGACGACCCTTTCGGGCCGCCTCTGTGAATAGCAAGGCTCCGCACGGTTAGGTACACTACGGAAGCTGGCCAAGCGATGTCTTATATGACCGATGGTGTCACTTAGCATAACCGGCGTTTTGGGGGCGGAAGGAGCTATGTTTGGCGGTCGGCCTGTTGCATTTTCCAGAGCATAGCGTTGGGAGGAAAAGCAAGTCTGGGCTAGTAGTAATACGCGTGGGGTGAATTAGAGCGTTTACTTGTTAAGTCTTTATTGGTATCAGCAAACCAGCCAGCCTAGTCAACAGAAGGTATCTACTACCTAGTCAAGGTTGATTCCAAGTACCCAACAAGAGCAAGTCTTAAACGAACTTAACATCTCACGTCAACTCATGCTGCGCCCCACATGTATATGGAAAGCCGATCCCGCGTCCCCATACTTCCTCGCTGCTGCCATAGGGGTCAAAGCAGATTCAGATCTGGTAATATCGACACAACGTCGTCAATCTATGTGTCAACAGCAAGTGACGGTGCAACAGAATAGGAATCGAAATAACAACAAAGCTTGTATGGATATGTCGCTGCTTTCCATAGCTGGGTTTCATAACCACCGCAGCGATGGAAAGCCCGAGATTCTTGGCTTGGCGTTTGGGTTCCAGAGTAGACTGTGGTTGGTACGGCAGCTGACCCGGTGGAAGGCCTGGGCATACACCGCCCCGATGAATCCCATAACGTTCCTAATGACCCCAGCAGTCCGGAAGTCTCATGCCACCATAGACTCTTCGGCTGACATCGGATCCCTCGATATCAAAAGGGGCCTCTCCAGCCACCAGAAGCTCCCTCCTGATCAATGGAGAAGGCCTCGATACTAGAAGTCTTCCAGTTCCTAGCTTAGAAACCCATGCGCTTTGAGTTGTTTCTCGAGCTCAATGCGGTGACCAGCAACGGCGGCGACCTGCGTTTCGAACGCGGAGTCTCTACGTATGTTGGAAGCAAGCTTCTCCCACTGGCTTGCTTTCTCTATTATCCGCCCTCGAATTCTACTCGAAGTGTCTGCGGATGATTTCACCCCAGATGGGATCATCATCTTTGGGAGGGGCCGGAGGTGCCTCGTTCGCTCTTGCGCGACCCGGCGGCATCGGCATTATGTTCGCCGATCCTGCCAGGAACGACGGAATGTCCGACAAAGGATCTTGAGGGGGAAGGAACGACGGAATGTCCGACAGAGGATCTTGAGGGGAAATGGTGGCCGGCGGAGGAGGCGGCTCCAGGTGTACCGTGAATGACGAGGCAGGTTCGATAATGTTTTGGTGAAGGTTGAACGAGCCGGGTGCTGAGGGGCCGGGATTCAAGTAAGGGTCTTTGGGGATTTGTGTTGGTGGTGAATCTTGCCCGGCTGAGGAGCAAGCACCGTGTTCACTCCCGACGACGCCGCGTCTTCGTCCACATCCTGGGAATGACTAGTGAATGAGGGTGCTGATGGGTCGAGCTTCGCCGATTGCGGCGATTGGACATGTGGCGTCGAACGGGAGCCCGAAGGAGTTGAGATATCGGATTCTGAGCGCTTTTGTTTGTTGGCCAAGCGTTGAGTTAGCCAGGGAAGAAGAGCATAGCGAAGAGTCAGTCCTGTGATAGATGTGTTGTAGGACTTCGAGCGACCATCGTCCCGGGCGTGTTCGTACCCTGGCTCATTGTAATAGGGCTCACAATTGAAGATCATCGCTTCAGATGATGCTTAGCAGCTTTGACAGACAACACTAGGGGGGGGGAATCTGCATGGCTTCGCATACCTTGAATCGAGACTAGGATTTGTAGAATCGTTGTACGACCGGGCTCCTAAGGGTAGCCCGACCAGGTTCCGAGTAAAGAGAGGCAGATTACGAATTTGATCAGTTAAACACGATCGACCTGTCTCATCAAGGCACTTGGATAAGTCCAAGCCATGGATATACTTACTCTGTCCGTCGTGATACAGGTTCGGGTTGAAACGAGCCTGTCCGCCTCCCGTTGTCCGGAACAACATCTTGGGAGGCCGGTTCGGGAACTCGAGTCCGCAAAACATGTCAAATTCAAACAGGCCGTTTTCATACGGCGTGTCTGCTGGTCCAATGATCAAGACCTTTAGCACATCCAGACGGCTTTCCCTATGCCGAACATAGATGCCTTTAGGCAGATCGGTGCTTAAAGATGAGATCTGGCCAAGGAGCTTTCTCATCCGGCCGACCAAGGGCGTTGATTTTGTCATGCTTACTGCCATGTCCTTGAAGGCGTGACCCTCGAGAATAACGCGGTCATAAAGCTCCTTAACGCAATTCTCGCGATGCCATTTGCGAAGCGCTATGGCACTCTCACGGGGCGCCGTGGTGAGGTGTGCTTGCGTGGTCTTTGCGTTTACCGCGTTCTTTACTTGGACCCGGCGCGATGCCATGTCGTCTGCTAGACGGGATATCTGCTGCGCCACCGCTACCTGGGTCGCCAGGGCTTCCGACTCCCTTGCTGTGTGGGTTGGCCTTTGATTGCTTTAGCGCATCGGTTGGTCCCTTCCAGGAATTCGCGACATAGGGCCCCCAACTCTTATATAATTCCAGCCATAGATTGTGCGCTTTCGTAAACCATCCTTATAGGAGTGCCCTGCGGTTCGGTATTCCCAAGGACGATTCGCACCAGCTGGTCCTCAGGGGGGAAGACTATAGTTTCACCGAGGAGAAGCGGAGCGAAATCGACATTTCTTCCTATAGTGTCAATGAAGCTTAGCACGGCGGTAGTGGGACCCGGCCGGATGCTGATATCTTGAATGTTCGTCGACCGGAGGAGCTCCGAGGCATGGTGCAACATCGGACTCCGCCGGGTCATATCCCGAATAGCCGGCTGGGCCCGGCAGTCAAAGTCGGTGGCTCCTACCCTCGTGGGGGAGGGCAGAAGGGACGACAGCACAAGGAAATACTGCTCTATGAGCGTCGGTGTAACGTCGCCAGTGCCTCCTTGCCGGACTTGTGCCTTTTGGGGCTGCTGATCTGGCAGAGGACGATATGTATTATAAGGATGTTGGGGACCGCCGTATCCAGTACCCTTGGAAAATACTGACGGCTCTACCTCAGCCTATTCAGACTATGCGATCGCGCTCGATGGCTATGGCCTAGGCAGTAGGTTCCTCTTGACGGGCGGAGGCTAAGGGATGGCCGAGAAGCCATACAACAGGGAGAATATAAGAAATAAACGCCCTTTATCGCAGCACCAGTTAAGTCTCTGCCTATCCCCTGACGCCATATGGTCTACTGCAGAAATGTTGGCAGCGGCATAGTACTTGTCTCCTCCAACATATAACCACCCCTTGTACTTGGGACATTGGAGATAGGGATAGAAGACTGGTTCCGTCAGTGCCGATTACTCGAGCGACAGGAGCAGAATAGATATACGAGATTTCGAGTTACCTAGCATCCTCTTTGTGCGCTGGACGACCTCAGTATCTGTAACTTTAATGGTGGCACTGCAGTTGATGTATCGAAGGGACCGCAGGCTCTGCCGGTACTTTGCGAGCTTATCAAGCTCAAGTCCGGCTAGGCTCTCTGGCTCATCTGGAGGGAAGTCTATAGTATAGTAAGAAAGCCAGCCCCAGCGCTCTACATTTGGAGTCATCGAGATGGTATTGTGAACTCAACACTTACCAAGACAGTTGGCTGCTGATGCCGTGTGGCTTGGGTGGGTATCTTCCATAGTTGCAGGCGACAATTCTAATGACGATGATGGTTAGAAAACAGACTTGCGTGGGATGCGGCGTAGCCAAACAGAGCTATATACCTGAATAACGGTCCACGGTCATACGCTGCTGCTTGGCCTACTGGGGATCGTAGAATTGGAATGGGTCATCCAGGCCTGAGATGCGCCGCTTCAATGATTTAGTCATGGTTCGCCAGTTATAAGCCGACTTCTTGAGGTTTGGCGCGGAGGGAAGTTATAGGGATCCGTATGGAACCTTCTGCCAATTGACCGACCGCCCAATAGTCTACTACTACACTAGGCGTAGGATTCGGTATAAGCTGGTCTTGACCTTTCTAAGTTTTGACCAGTAACCTATAATAATGTGATGGAAAGGATATACTAACTGTTTGGCGTCTTAAAGAGTCGTTGATGTTAACCGACCAAGCTGGGAATAAAGAGGGGGAGGAAAACAGGAAACAGGAGATGAGATCGGTCGGTTAAGGCTGCGAGGATTTTACTTATTCTAGGAGAACGAATCACTGGGCAACCTGGAATGATCGATATCCCTTAGAACATTGAACGGGATGCTTGTCCAGATACAGGCCCAGATTGACGTTGGGATTACAAAGACCAGGAATAGGTAGTTTCGTAGGTAGAAGGGAGGGTGAGGCTATCGGAGCGAGTAGGCAGGTACTAGGCCATAAACGAGGAAACCGCGAAGTCTGCGAACAGTCTGGGCCTAGATCTAACCAATAGCAACTGCCCGACTGCCCAGTGTTGCTATAGCGGGCTGGCCGCAGCTGTCTAAGCTCGATCGAAGACGCAATGGAGTTATCGATTGGGCTGAATCATAACAACATACGAAGAACCTAATAGAAATAATTGGCTAAGGGGAATTTGCTTAGACTTAAAGTACGCAATACTTCGACCAGCGGCCAGCCTCGGATCAGGTTGCCTTTCCACGATGATGATATCATACATTTCGGGAACCACCGAAAGCCCCCGTATCCCAAGCCCAGAATCCATGGCGTCGCCGCGATTGAGCCTTTGCAAAACTGGGCGTCTAGAATGCCGCCTCGCCGGTTTATTAGAGCTCATTGCTCCCTCGACATCATGGGACATCTAGCTAGGCAAGAACTGATGCGCAGGCCGGGTTTCGTTACAACTGGAACATCCGAGGATTAGCTTCTTACTCCACCGCACCCACTAAGTCCCTGAGTCAGAGGACGGGATGAGCATGTCTTCATGCCTGAGGCCTTGGCGAGCTTGCCTACAGTGGTGTGTCTATGTCCTGCTAATGTGTGGGCAAGTACCTGATTACGGGACTGTGAAAGACAGAACAGGCTACAATGTCGTGGTGTATAATACGGTACTCCCTTAAAACCAAGGTAACGAATACTGCCGTATTATGGCTACTGTAATAGATTTCTGGCAGCTTTGCGGTCTCTGCCTCCCAATGTTTCTTTCAAACACCTCTACCCGTAATATACTTCTCTGAATGAGGGCGGGAACACTTGGATCGTTAATATCTATACAGTACACACAAAGATCAGTTAAAAGGTTTATTAAGCCACAGCCGCACCATGCATGTCGAACTGTCCTGCCCACACTCGTATTCGGTGGTAAATGCGAGGAGAGGAAACGCTCTTTACGTCACTCTATGTCTGAAAGTTTGAGGCGCTCCGAAAACCGTCTATTGCTCCCCCATCCTAGGCCCCAGCCATCCCGCTTAGGTCTGGCAGCAGAGTCAGCCGTTTCCAGCCGGACGAAATGCAAGCGATACATCCAACAACAATAATGCCATGCGTAAACCGCGCACCCCGGGTCTTTATCCCGTTCTAGTACCCTATCCATCACCACATGGGGCGTTTGTGAGTCTTTTGCCAGTGTTCCAGGTCAAAGGTCCCCTCCATGAGCTCACTGCTGGTCGGTTCTTTCGCCCATTGGAAGACTAAGCCCTTGATCGGCGTATTGTCGCCAATGTGAACCAGGCAGTCGACGGGCTCGTACGCCGACGTTTCGTACCGCTGAAGTCGCAGGCACTGCAGTACAGTGGTAGCCTGCCACACTTTGCCTTTAATGAGGGCATGGGCGCTGTCGCTGGGCACGAGGACGGGGTAAATGCCGTTCCACATCTTCATCGCGAAGCCCTCAATCCAGGCGTCCTGCAGCTGGGGCTCGCCGTCCAGACCAGCCACTGCCGTCAGCACTTCCGGATCCATCAACGTCCCGTAGACGAAGAACGTATAGGGCTCGAAGTCCTGGTCCTCGCCCTGTGGCTGCTCAGTCGGGACGGTGGTCTCTGTTGAGGACGGGGGCAATTCCGGTTCGTCGTACAGAGGCAAGCGACCCGAGTTGATCGCTTCAACCATTCTTATCTTTTCCCTCAGCTTCCATTGCTCGTAGGTCAATGGAGGATCATCTAGTATATCTAGCGTCCGCACTCGTCAGCACTGCAGCAGTTGATCTTTGCCCCACCTCAGCTTGGGAGAGTACATACCATCCACACAGCGAAATGTCGCGGCAGCGGCATGTTCAGAGTTTCGATCAGTATCGTCGAATTCGGCCATTGCCAGAAGCTAACTTCTCTCGTTCTATGCAAGATCAGCCAAACCACGAATTAAAAACTTGCAAGTATGCTCGCTTTATCTCCCTTGGGCTCGAGTTAAGTATGCAGCAGTGAGTGGGTCGTAGCACGGAAGTTGGTGCAAACACACGGAACCATCCATAAGTCCATTAGCTACATGTACTGTAATTAAGCGCTGTGCGACCCACTCGGCATCTGCAGACTGCGGCAGGTACGGAAGACGAGAAGCACATTTGTAAGATATTCAAAATCAGTATATAGGCTCACACCAACCATGGCACATTGCACCCTGGCTACATACTGCTTATATGCTAAACCTCCGTTATAACCATTACCACTGCGTCAGCCACACCCATTATTACGATTGAACTGTGGGAGCCGTTGCAATGCATTTACAATTGAACTATAGGAGCCATTACAATTGAACTATGGGAGCCGTTGCGATGCATTTACGATTGAACTATAAGAGCCGTTGCGATGCATTTAAGATTGAACTACAGGAGCCATTGCGATGCTATATATAGTATGATTGACGGTATTAATTGAAATGGCTGTTGGGATTACCTACTACGAATGTTGTAGCGTATGTTGAAGAAGAAAGAAGAGGACGGCTGTGGTGTTGTAGAAGATATGCAATCCCGGGCACAAAGGGTTTGGGTACTAAGCCTATTATGGCTAGCCCACTGCACCTTGCACATACCGAGCATTCAATTCAGGCACAGAGGGGTGTGCGCACTGGTGCATAGACCACTTTTCGATTACCTTAGAAATGTGCTTCTCGTCTTCCGTAGCAGGAAGGCGTAGCGGTCGAGGTAGGCCAATTACGGTCTGCAACAACAAACCCCATATATCGTCGCCGCAGACAAGCAGAGACAGACCTTTCCTTGAGGGCATATGACACCAAAAATAGCTATTTTGGGTCTCGTTGGTGCTCTGAGACACTCGAGACTTTCATGCATGCAGCCATAGATAGCGCCGGCCGCCCCGGCCTTGGAGGCTTAGAGACTGAGTGCCGAGTCTGCCGACTACGCCGAGCGGTCACCGGGCAGCCATCGGCCCATCGCCCAAGTGTCGATGGTCAGAAGATATAGTCTATTACAGTTGGCCCTCAAGCCCAGATTCAGCATTACAAGATTCTCAAGAGCGTTGCGCCGTCGGCACAATCGCGTTGGTTTCAGTATGCTCATTGGAAACTGTTACTGCCCACCTAGTTAGACCGTAGACCGTAGTCCGCATTGCGGCAGCACGACTCGGGCTGCTGGTCGCCCGGCTCCCAACTCCGCGCCAGGGCGGCGCCCTAGCGGGGAGCTAGTGGTCGATTTAGGAGACCTAGCGAGTACTGACCCAACATGATGGCTAAGTTCCTTGCCAGCAAAACGACTGGTCAGTCAGCATCATGGATGTATATATATATGCCCTAGAGCACCTGGTTCCTTGAATCTTTTATAGCATAGAAGAGCGAGTCACGAATCACGATCTACCCTACGGAAATTCGACTGCTTTTGATCCTCTCCGAAGGGCCCAACCATACCGTTGTCTGCTTATTTTCGCTCGCTCTGATTTCCCTGAGGTTAAACAGGGGTTGCAACTCTTTTCATCCACCTCTACCGGTATTGTTGTTAACTGTCCACCATGTCCTAGAGCCTGAACGCGCTTGACCTTCGGTTTAGTACTGAATTAGACGTGATCGACAGCTCATCGATAATCGACCAGTCTTCGTACTTTTCCTCGCCCTTCTTGAACAGGTCCGCGATATGGTTTTGCACCTTGGCTGCCGTGAGATAGCTGCTGACCTCACTTGCCAGAGCCTCGAACGATACGTGATTGTAAGTCTTGCTCTTGACAACAAGCTTGCGACGGAAGGAACACCGATGTTAATAATGCTATCCTCATCTATGTCCTTTCAAGGTGACCACTACTAATGCACCGCCAGTTGGACTTGAGCTAGTCTCTCCAGTGTTGGTATTCGCTCACCAGCCATACTGGATGGGCCAGATCCAATCTGTCTAGTCGGCACTAAACAAAAGATTCGAAGTGCAAGTGACCAACCAGTATAGTATACATAACGTACATTATCAGCGAGCGGGACATATCAGCGAGCGGGACATATCAGCGAGCGGGACATATCAGCGAGCGGGACATATCAGCGAGCGGGACATATCAGCGAGCGGGACATATCAGCGAGCGGGACATATCAGCGAGCGGGACATATCAGCGAGCGGGACACTAAGTTCTTGGCACAACGCGTCCTTCCTCATCTACCTCTAACAACGCGTTTTTCCTACAACTAAAGATGTCTTCTACTTCAAAGGAAGCTAGGGTAACCTTGGCCCTCAAAGCTCTTGAAAATGATATAGAACTAAGCCTTCGAGCCGCGGCCAAGCTCTATAACGTGCCAGTTTCAACCCTCGGCTACCGACGTACCGGCCGGCCTATACGATGCGATCTTCCAGCCAATTCGAAGAAGCTTACCTAATCTGAAGAGGAGGCTATTGTTCAATATATTATTGAGCTATCTATGCGAGCTTTTCCGCCAAGACTATGTGGTGTAGAAGATATGGCCAACCAACTGCTATGCGTACGCGACGCGCCCCCTGTCGGTAAGCTCTAGGCGCATCGGTTTGTGAAACGCCAGCCAGAGCTCCGTACGTATTATTCGCGAAGATACGATTACCAAAGGGCAAAGTACGAGGATCCGAAGGTCATTGGCGAGTGGTTTGCCCTTGTACGGAATATTAAGGCCAAGTACGGTATTGTAGATGACGATATCTATAACTTCGACGAGACTAGGTTTATAATAGGTATTATCTTCCCGGGCATGGTGGTTATAACCTCGGATGGCTATGGTAAGGCGAAGCTAGCCTAGCCTGGCAACCGTGAATGGGCGACGGTGATCCAAGGTGTTAATGCCCTTGGCTGGGCTATCCCTCCGTTCATTATCTTAGCGGCATAGTACTACCTTGCCAACTAGTATACCGAGTGCAACCTCCTAGCCGACTGGCGTATTGCAACCACCGACAATAGCTGGACTACCAATATAGTAGGCCTTGATTGGATCAAGCACTTCGACTACTATATAGTGCCTTGGACAAAGGGCAAATACTGGTTGTTGATCCTCAATGGCTACGAAAGCCATTACTCAACTGAGTTTGAGCTCTACTGCCAGTAGAATAACATTATCACGCTCTGCATACCTCTATATTCCTCCTATATCCTCCAGCCACTTGATGTTGGCTGCTTTAGGCCGTTAAAGCAGGCGTACGGTCGCCAGATCGAGGACTTAATACGCGCGTATATCAACTATATAAGCAAGCTCGAGTTCCTTTATGCCTTTCGCACGGCCTTCTTTGCCTCTATTACCAAGAGGAATATATAGGGTGGTTTTACAGGGGCTAGCCTTATACCGTACAATCTAGAGAGGGTGCTTTCGAAGCTAGATATCAAGCTTCGTATACCAACACCCCCAACCTCACAGCCGGGCACTATACAATCTTAGGTCTTCCAGACACCATACAACCCTCGAGAAGCCAAGTCACAGTCAACGCTTATTAAGACTCGTATTGCCAACCATCAAAATAGCTCCCCGACTTTAATGTTGGCTGCTGTAGACCAGCTTACCGAAGGTACGATGGCTATAATGCACCAGGTGGCCCTCCTTCAGGCAGAGGTATCTTCGCTCCGTAAGGCTAACGAGACGCTAAGCAAGCGCCGGAGAGCCAAAAAAACACGTGTGCGGCTTGGAGGATCACTTACTGTGCAGGAGGCACAGGAGGTGGTAAGCCAGGGGGCTATAGGTGGGGAGGCAATGCAAGAAACACAGCTGGATGGTAGTGGTGCTGGGGGGGGGTCGTACGAAGGTTCGGTGCTGTGGTGTATGCGGCAAGCCTGGTCATAATGCCCGCACTTGCCAGGAGGGTGCAGAAGGGTCTGATTCATCTGTTTCTGATGTAATTGTAGTTGGTTCTTAGTGTTGTTGCATTGCAATTGAGAGTAGTTGTTATAGAGTAGTGGAGAGTGTCCCGCTCGCTGATATGTCCCGCTCGCTGATAATGTACGTTATACTTCTTTTCTTATCCCAACTATTTACACCTCCCTCTTGATTGTGTGGTTTTGTTCAGCTTCCAACTTTGTTTTTTCTATATTGTAGATTGAATATAGGATTTGCTATTATAGCCGCCGAACTTGACTTTACACATTAGGAATGGACTGCCTTACTTTTGAGCTTTTATGGGCATTCCTGACATGCGACCCCTTTTCCCTGTATCAGAGGTATCTTAGCTCGTGTGGTCGAGGACGGCCGTACGGTCAACGTTGTCTATTTGGACGGGTAGCCCCTGACCAGCCGGGGCAGCTCCTATATACTACCTACTCTATACCTGATTAACCAACCCCTGACTAGCAGCGGCCGCTCCCAACCTAGGTATACAGCAACCTAGACCAGACCCCAAACTCCGGAGAACAACGAACCAGCGCCGTCCCGCAATAACATCCAACTCCCCCAATCGACCCCCCCAGATCTTCGCTACCCCTAGGTAAGGCAATAGCTAACAATAGTCATCCACCTATGAACTGACGAGTAGGGAAGCTGCCCGCACGTCAAGGTATAAGTGAAAGTACCAGGCACTAGAGTAAGATCACACAACCCCCATGTTCCGGCCCCGACAATACCAATACTAAGTACTAGTAGTGTCTAATACCTCTTGGTCGAAACCTTCTGACCACTGCTACTGACTTGGCGCGCAGAGCCACTGGCAGCTTTATTCGCCGAGCCGCGGTACGCAACATCATCCCTGCGGGACGTGGCAGCGGTACTACTGGTAGTAGTACTGGTAGTCGGCCGGCCGCTCCTAGAACCATAGCCGGCGGCGGCAGCGTTACTACTAGTAATCCTCGAGGAAGGAACGGTGGAAGACGAAGAAGGGCCGTAGCCGTCACGGGGGTCTCGCTTCCCTTCCCTCCGCGACTCTGAGTGGCCCGTGTCGGCCCTTCGGGAGCTGGAGTGGTGGGATGTCTCGACATGCCTGGCGCTGCCCGACGACGGCCTGGTGGAGTAGCTGGCGCCATAGTCGGCGCCGCCCTTGGGCCGCATCGCATAGGTGGCGTGGCCTCCGCCGCCACTGCCACTGCCGCTGCCGCTGCCGTAGTAGGCGGCGGACGAGCCCGAGGCGTAGTACTGGTCCTGGTAGTACTGGCCACTGCTGCTGCCGCCGCCGCCACCGCCGTAATATTGCACATTCGGATCCGGGGCTGGGGCAGCGACGGGCTCGGTCCAGTCCGGGATGTCGGCCATCTTGTGGCCGTCGGCCTCGACCTCGCCGCCGGGGCTCGCGGTGGCGACGAGCGAGCCGTAGGGATACGGCTGGTTGGCGCGCGACGTGCTGCGCGGATGCGACATGATACCCATGCCAAAGGCCTCGATGCAGTGGCCTTCGGCGCGGTCCTGGGCCTCGGTGAGGCGCTGGGCCAGGGCCTGTCGTTGTTCGTCGATCATGGCCTGCGTGACGTCGCTCTTGCGGATGCCCCGGGACTCGGCGAGCGCGTCCCGGATCTGCTTGTCGGTGATCTTACGGGGCCCGCTGTTGTTGCGGTCCGGCTTGGGGCAGCTCATGCAGATGCCGTAGAGGGTCATGCCCGAGTTCCGCACGGCCGTGACGAACAGGTTCCCGATGATGGCGTCCTCGTTGCCCGGTGAGCAGTGCGCCATGACTTTGTTGACGCCGCCTTTCTTGTACGGCAGCCCGTATGCCACGATGCCGATGCACGTGTCGAGACCCCGGGTCTCGAGCCGCTCGCCATACTTCGCTGGTTTGCAATCGTCCTGGCCAACTGTGACGGTGGGCATGATGCGATGGAGTCGATGACGGCGTTCGGAGTGGGAAGAGACCGGCTCTTGTAAGCTGTAGGTGGCTGAGAAGCAGCAGGAATTGGTTCTGGTAACGCAAAGAGAAGTATAACAACAAGACTCAAGCGAAGCCGGGAATGGGGAGGTGTTCGGCTGTGTGTAAGCCGGGCTGGGTCGTGACGTTTCCTGCCAGACATGCCAGATATATACGCAACCAAGTCTCTTCCAGAATTATCATCTCTTCTCCTGCCCGTCTTCGAGCCCCGTGGCCGGGCGCGTGGATGCGGTCGTTGCAAAAGCAAAACACCAGCATGGTGCTTGAGTGTCATAGACCACTCCAAACGGTCTGACGCAGCCGTGACACGCCATGGCCTTGACGTTTCGCGCCGCCTGTAGCAAGAGACTGACTGGGTCGGGGCACGCTCCTCGGCTCACCCGAGGCGAGGACCGGGAAAGGTCGCCGCTCTTTGGCAACCGTTCCCTCCCATTTGGCTAGCCATGCAACCAGCAAAGCTCGGGCGAGTGTCCTAGCCAAGGACAGCGCTGGCGGGTCGTCTGCTTCAAGTTGTCACAGGCCGAAAGCACATCGACAGCTCTGGCTGCCGGGACCGCCCATCCTCAGAGCAAATTAGCAATCATAGGTCATGGCGCGTAAGACAGAAGTTCCGTTGTTGTAAGCATGCGCCGGCTTGGAACAAGACAAAACTGATGTGCACAGTCGAGACGAGGTTCAGAGTTACCTATTTTTGGGAGCAATCAGTACCTATCCAAGGTATCACAACTGGTAACTGACTGAGGCCATGAGCCAGGAGAGTGGCCGTCCGACTTGCATCATATCAGTACCAAGTACCAACTTCCAAGCCACAGCTGGCCTCCCAGTGCGGCCTCAGTCTGATCCTGCTTGGGCCGCCGCACACGCACTGTTACGGTGACACACATGTCCCGTGCTTCCGCAGTTCCATGCTGGTGAAGGAATTGGATTTGGACCCCAAGGAGTGAAAGGGTTGGGCGATTCTGCCTCCAAGCGCCCCAAAGAATAACAGCTAGGTACTCAGCAAGAATTAAAACTTAGAGAATTACAGACCAACGCGTCGTCCCCTGGCTGCTTCTTTGTGAAAAGGGGCAAGGCTGCGAAACTGAGCACTTTCATAGGTAGTCAGTCATGCAGAAACCAGTCCTAGTGCTAGGGACATGATACGTCAAGATTGAACATTTACCTGTTGCCCGCTGGGTCGTTGTCAGATGTAAGCACTTTGTATGAGCTACCTTACTTGTGCTACCCTTCCAGGTTCTTTATTAGGATTTAGGAGGGTGGGGGCCGAATGTTGCTGCTCGGCCCTGACGGAGACTTCAAGTTATTTCCTGCATTGGTCAGCATGTAACTGCATACTTCTAAACTTTCCCTTGGGAACCGTCAAGAGACTTCGAGTTGTATGTAAATCACGCGTGTGATTGTATCGCTGAGGTCCTGGCAACTCGACGGCCACTCGCGGGTTTCCCTGGGCACAATGCACATATGGCAGATGAGTACAGATTTTCCAACAGTCGCAGCCCGATCCTTCATGTGCCGCGTGGCGTGTTGAGCTACGTAGGGCCTCTCTTTGGGCCAGACCGTCTGATCATCAAGTGAAGTTATAATGCTGGTCCACAGACTACGTGAGGTGACGACGGGGCTAGTCATGCACAATGCGCCAAGCCGGCGCAGGAGGCACAGCTACAAAAAGCGGCCACGCTGACCTCCCCTCCACATCGTCGCCTCGTCAGCCTCCTATCGCTGCTACAGCCTACCAGGCATCACCCTCGAGCACCGCATTCGATAATGGACCTCCCTGACTTTTCCATATCGACCGAGGGAACCAATGTGACAACTTTGACACCCTTACTTTACAATGATGTTTTTACTACTCGTTGGGCATCCACATCGCCGGGCAACGGCAAGACTGACGCAGCTACATGGGCCCCCTTTTCCCGCCTCCCCATCGAGTTGCGCCTCCACATCTGGCTGCTGGGACTCCAACAACACCGCATGATTGAGCTGGACATCCACTCCCCAGCCAACGAGAATGCCACCACGTATCCCGGCGATGCCTCTCAGTCTCGGTACTACACGCGCCGCAACTCTCTCGGCAACATCGTGAGCGGCCGCGGCTATGCATTGCGTCTCAGCGGCGGCACCTCCCATTATCCCGTGTCCCTTGTCAGTCCGCTTCTCTCGGTCAACCACGAGGCCAGGCGGGCCGCGCTCAGCTTCTACCACGTGCGTCTGCCCTTCCCCGGACCGCACATGACGAAGGAGGGACGCATACTCTACTTGAACGCCGAGTACGACGTCATATGTGTCGGCCCCCGACAGCCCGACTTCTTCCCGGACGACTACGAAGGCTATTACCCGCGGGTCGCCACCGTACTCGTCGACTTTCTACACGATGTGAAAGCCCATGACCCCAAGGGACAAGGGTTCGTTCGTTTCAGGTCCTCTTTCTGTCTCTCCTCCCAATCCTCTTGATCATTCCTAGGTAATGGTACTCAGTACTACATGGCTCAAGTCTAACATAATAACAACAGCGTTGCCCACCTTGCGCTACGTTCTGATTACCTTCTAGACCTCTTCGGCAGGGAGGCCGTGCCCCTGTCCCCGGCCATCCTCCACCCAACGGCAGCGGCATCCTTCACCGACATGCTCCGCCGCACCCTGCGCTCCGTCCTCTGCGTCGTCGGCTTTCGCCACCAAACCCGAGGCCTGGGCGAGTTCCCCACAGCCAACTGGCGCTACCACTTCGCCCAGACATTCCCGCTCTGCAGGCGCGGTAACCCCACGGGCACCTTCCGCTGGCTCGCGACCGACCCTCGTCCCGGTGTCGAGCTCGACCTGCGCCAGCTCCCCCTCAACGCTTATGACGAGCCTCATTGCATCTCACAGCGCTGGCAGGAACTAAAAGCCGCCTTCAGCCTCACCAACGGCCAAGGCGCACCCCAAGCTGGCAAGAACAAGGACAACAACAACAACACTAACAATAGCAACAGAGACAGCAACAGCAACGACGGACCACGCCTCTACATCTGCCCCACCCAAAAGTGGCCATCCAGCCTAGCACCGCAAGACTTCATCCGCCCAGGGGAGGAGGGCTCACGCCAGGAGCTAGCGAGACACCTGCGCTTCGAAGAGCAGTGCTGGCTGCGCGAGCTCAAGACGTTCACCGACATGTTCCTTCAGGGGGGGACGACGACAACGACGCACGTGCCGCCGAAGAAGCACGACATGATGATGATGTTCGATGACGACTTGGCGGACGCCGAGACGTTAGAGACGATGGAGAGGGTCCCCGTCACGGCCGTGGGTATGTGGGTGTTCCCGGTTGAGGTCTTCGACGGCAGGCAGCCTACCGTTCCGCAGCGGAATTGTTGGGATGTGTCCGGGGTGCGGCCGGGGTTGTTTTTGTTTGATGTTTGAAAAACAAAGAAAGAAAAAAAGAAAGAATAACTAAAGAAAAAGAAAAAAAGGACAAAAACAAGAAGAGCAAAAAGAAAAAAGGAAAAATATAAAAAAAAGGGAAAAGGGGGGAAAGGAGGAAAAAGGGGGAAAAGGGGGGAGGAGAAAGTTATGGTATGTTTACCCTGGTACAGGGCGAGGAGGGGTGGCGATTGGCAAAGCGGACACTATAATTTATCAGAACAGACGACTATCAGAGAAGAGCGAGGTGATGATCATGATCAAATGATAAAATAATATAATGGCTCTCAACCTCACCAGAAATACCTCTGACGCGAGATCTCCATCTTCAGCTCTTCGGGATAAGTAAGGACCCAGAAATTTGGTGAGGGCGTCTTGCCACACACCCCGCATCTGACTCGAGTACCATTCCGAGGTGTACTACCAATAGCAAGGGTACCATCCAGCACACTCCCAATCGATTATGCCCGTGACGCGGTTGCCTTGGACCATGATGTTGGGTTTAGATCCCCGTGCGTGAAAACCGGCGGCGGCCGTGGTCCACCCTGTTTTGCGAACATTTCCTTGATGGCCTCCCGCTCCCCCGCGTCTTGTACCTTGTAGTCCTCGTCTCGGCGGTTCTCTACTCAAAGGTCATAGTGAAGCCACAGGTGGAACTCTTGCGTCGTCTTGAACGGCCCGAACCTGGGGTTGGCCCGTTCTAGGCGCGGATCCGTCAAGGAGCCGCCCACGCAACTTTCAATTCCGACACCGGGGCCCGGAGGCAGCGATCGTAGTTCGTTTATCATGGACCGAAGTTGCTCGAAAATGGCGTCCCGGTCCGCGGCAGACAGGGACTTCCAGGCGCGTGCGAGCGTGACGCCCGGGACTCTTTCCATCACGATGATGCCTCGATTGTCGTGGGCAAACGCGCAATGCACACGTGGGACTGGAATCGACGTCTTCTCAGCGACAAACCTGAGCGTGGCGGCTTCGGTGAGATGGACATCCCGCCCGGTTTTGAGGAAGAGATGTTTAGAGATGCGTATGTACTTGGGGTACCGATCCAGGATGTGGCGATCCATCGCAATCGCGGCCCGACAGATTAGGAAGCCCCTCCTGACCTTGATGACAGCGAGCGACAAGAAGCGGCGGGCTGTGCTGTCATTGATGGCCAAGCTCGGTTCCATCATGTTGGGTTGCTCTGTTGTCGACGGGCGGGGATATAGTTGGACATGGTGGACTCGCTGGAGCTCGTCTGTTTGTTCAATGTAATCTCTGTCGTTGTCAGAAAGTGGTGCGACCAAGAAGCTCGGTGGCGTATGAGCGTCTGGCGGAGACCTGATGAACTGACTCGGAGCTTAGTAGAGGCTAGGTAGGTGAAGAAGGTAGAGCCAAGTTCTGGAGGGATTGTAATTTGTGACCCACCAATGACCAGTACGAGTCCCGTCATCAACCAAGTATGACCGGAAAACACCGAGTCGTTTTGGCACTGTCGGAATCTGTAGGTGGCATGAGACACACGAGCCAGTTTGCAAGTCCAAAATGTAGACTTAATATCCTAACCAGGATAAGCCTGCCCGCAGGTAAAAATACCTACCTTAGGTAACAAGATGTAACCAAGCCCGTAAAATCAGAATGTTCAATTCAATCGTTATTGCTGGCAGTGCGCGTAGAGATCTTTATGAACCTTTTTTGCCTCCCTTGATTTCAAGAGTTTGTTATAGTTTCGAAGAGACTTACGAAACGCCACAAGACATGTGAGAGCACGTCGAAAAATCCCCGATCCTTAAGTGTAAGCCATTAAACGAAAGCCTCTTGAAGTTTTAGTGCCATCAATTACATAGAGTAAACTCTATAGGTTCGAGTCCGTAAAGGTACAATACTTACTCTCCTCTTGCGTCTAGCCCTGGTCCTAGCTGGTATAATGCTCTGTGCCTACCGTAACTTTGACCTTGCAAACTGGCCTCTACTGTGCAGAGGAGTGGCCATCTTTGCGCTCATAGGTTCTGCTTGCAAAACCAGTGCCCGACGACTTGGTGTTTTCCGGTCATAGAGTGATTGGCAACTGCCAAAAGACCACACAAACTCACTGTGTAAGTTGAGCGTGAGCTCATGCACACTCTGTACGGTAAGGTACTAAGAAGCCTGTATGTACTGTACTAGTACCATACATACAGTAATACATCCACACATCCGTCGCATTTGACAAGGCGCTGCAACACGGAAGCATTTCCAAGTTCTTAGCCAATTCCCAGGGCACATCTCTTCGGTGAGGAACTTGTGTACAGTACATTGTAACGTTAATAAAATACGCTGATGCCGGTATTTTGGGTATTTTTAGCTAATTACCCAACTCCATCCGGCGTAGGGCGACCAGTAAAATTGCTGCTTCGAGGTAAATAAAATTAGGTTCGGATCCTACTCGGATTCGAATGCCGCGTCCGAGCCAGGGTGGCACGATAAAAATACTCACGATGGCCTTTTTCTGTCTGCCGAACAACTCTCACCACTTCCTTGCACCGTTCTCACACAACTGTGCGGAACGCTGGGCGAGACCATGTACAGAGGCGCCCTTCCATTGCTGCTCGCGGGCGCCGGCTCGGCGTCGGCAGCACTACAGGTCGACTTTGGATCCTCCAGTGAGCCAGCCCCGGACGCGGGACAGCGCGGCGGGAATGCATGAACGACTGACGCGAATCAAATTACCCCAGGCTCGATCAAGGCGGCGGCCAAGGATGTGGCGTTTGATGCCATGACATACTACAAGGGCAACCAGTCCGGGGAAATCCCCGGGCTCCTGGCTAGCCCGGGGCCTCACAGCGAGTACTACCCATGGACAGGCGCCATTCTGTGGTCGACCATGATCGACTACTGGTGCTACACGGACGACGACGCCTACAACCGCGTGGCGGTCGAGGGCATGGTGCACCAGAACGGCGAGGGACAGGGCGACCGGCTCGCGCATCCCTTCATGCCGGCCAACTGGTCCGCGAGCCTGGCCAACGACGACCAAGGCTTCTGGGGCATGGCGGCCATGCAGGCCGCCGAGTCCGGCTTCCCCGAGGCGCCGCAGGACTGGGACCAGCCACGCTGGATCGAGCTGGCGCAGGCCGTGTTCGAGACGCAAGCGCGGCGCTTCGACGCCGAAGAAGGAAACGAGAAGGCGTGCAACGGCGGCCTGCGCTGGGTGGTGGCTCCCCTTTCGGCGGGCTACAACTACAAGAACAGTGTTTCCAACGCCGTCTTCCTCAACCTCGCCGCGCGCCTGGCCCGGTACACGGGCAACCAGACCTACGCGGACTGGGCGTCGCGCACGTGGGACTGGCTGGCGGCGGTCGGCTTCATCGACGCCGACTTCCGCGTCTTCGACGGCGCCCACGTCGAGAAGAACTGCACCGACATCAACCGGGCCCAGTTCTCCTATGTTCCCGGTGTGCTCCTCCAGGCCGCCGCATACCTGTACAACCAGACCTCAGATGACAACAACAGCAATAGCAACAAGAAGATCTGGCAATCCCGCCTCGAGGGTCTCACCAACGCCACGCTGACCCACTTCTCCTCCTCCCCGTCCTCTAGCGGCATCCTCGTCGAGCGCGCCTGCGAAGCGCGCGGCACCTGCACCACCGACATGCTCTTCTTCAAGGGCATCCTGTTCCGCTCGCTGGCCAGCGCGGTGCGGCTGGCGCCCTTCCTGCACGGGGCCGCCCTCCCCGCCCTCCGGGCGAATGCTGAGGCGGCGGTCAAGGCTTGTGCTTCTGGCGGGCCGAACGGGCGGGAGTGTGGCTTCCGGTGGACGACCACGACGACTGATGGCGACGATGATGATAAGAAGGGGCCCCCGGCGGAGTTGAACGCGCTCTCGGCTTTGTTGGGTATGCTTGTGGATGAGGCGGCGGGCAAGGCGATGCTTACCAACGCCACGGCCGGGACGGCGGCGTATTCTAAGTCTGGTTCTGGTTCTAGCGGTAAGGGGTCGGGTGGGGACGACGATACTGGCACTGGCACCGGCAAGACCGGGTCGACAGCAAGTTCTACTGATTCTGGGAAATCGGCTGGTTCGGCCACAAGGGCTGCCTTGGGGCTAGTCCTGGCTGGTGTCGTGGCTGCGTTGATGTCGTGAGGCGAAGGGCGGGTTGATTGAGAGAAGAGAAATTAAGATTTCGAGTTATTAAAGAATTGCCCCGTTGGGATGCAGGGTGGTGTGTTTCAAGGAACATGCATTCTTACATTCGTCATTTTAGGGGATAGGACATTTTAGGATCTCTCAGGCTTAAGCGTTTATGTACCTACTAGTAAGTAAGTAGTCCAAGAGCTAGGCACGGAAAAATCAAACAACACAGTAATAGTATTATAACTAACACGTCATCGTTGACAAACCAAAGATCCGCCTAAGCGGCGATGGCTTTAAAGTCGTCGGTGTAAAAGTACAGGTACGGCAGGTTGGTGGGGTTAAAGAAGCGGACCTCAAACTCTGCCCTGCCGGTAGAGTCTGTGGTGAACTGGATGCCGTTGGCGCGTATGAAATTGCCGCTGGGACATTTGACGGAGCCGGCGAGAGCCCCCGCGTACAAGACCTGAATATTCGTTTGCGTATCGTAGTTGAGGCAGCGATAGAGAAAGGAGACATTATAGGTGGTCGACGGGCGCCCGTCAAATGTCTGGCGAATGCCTGTGTATCCGCTGCCAACACTGGGCGGGTATATGCGGAGGATAACCTGGCCGCCAGGGCTGTACAACAATGTCAGTCATAATCAACCTTTCCTGATCGGGTGCGATCCGCAGCTCTTGGGGAGCGAACAACATGTCCCGGAGCACATTTCAGGGTATGCTCCCCCCCCTGCTCCCCAGATAATGCGACAATGAAAGGGGCAGCATTAGACACCTGGATCTGACATACCAGTCACCATTCGGCCCGCAAACGCTGATGGGATAGATAGGCTCCACTCTGGCATTACCCCCGGTGACGGTCTCGATCCATGGAAGCAAATTGCCGGTTGTTGTATAATCTTCGAAGCCGCCGTTGGGGACAATATTCGCGGGGATGGTGACCGTAGGCGCCGCCACCGAGACGGTTGCCTCGACGTTGGTAGTGATTGTGGTGACGACGGTGCTCTATTCGACCAGGATCAATCAGCTAAATGCACAGATAGACAGGGAAAAAGAAACAAAAGATGAAGAGAAGCACTAACGCTCGCCTCGACAACGGCGGTGGAGACAGCCGTCTCGACCACGGTTACGGTGGACAAAGTCGCCGTTGACATGAAGCAGCTGCAGGCTCTGCTGATGCGATTATCGTTGGATGCGCACTTCGAGACAATGGCCTCGACCGGATCGGGCGAAGAGGTCGGGTCGAGATCGGTTACGGTGATGGTCGGAGCTCGCTTCTTCAGGAACACGGTTGAAACGTCGCTGCCAGTCCTGATATTTTTAGGTGAGGTGGGTTTCATAATAAGTCAACCGTTCTTCTTGACAACACAACAAGTACTAACGCAAACTTACACGGTAGTCGTCCCCGTGGTAAGCGTGAGTGTCGTCAAGGCCGTCTCAACTCCAACTTGGGTTGACGTGACAGTCTCGAACTCGGTGACGGTTGTCATGGCGGGCGCCAGTGACAGCCACGAAGAGCAGAACGACTCTCCAACGGCAGGATCAGCGCCGACAGCGGCAAGACACTTTGGGGAGCCGCACGACGAGACGCAGCCAGCAGCAGCGAGGCCAGGCAGTATGCCGGCGCCGATGCACAACGTGGAGGGCCTCATCCTTCAGGACCGTGGCAATGATCGGAGGCGAAAACGAGTGTAATAATGGTCGGAAAGTGCCCGGGAAAGGCGAACGTTGACGGAGGAGAAGATCGAGAGGGAAAAGCCTCTCAGAGTTGACTGAGGTGACCCCATTGCACTAGTATTTATCACCAGCGACAGATGAGCCCCTTGCGCATCAGCTACATAGTACTCATAGACTCAAGACTGAGCCTAGACACGTCGCTATTGAATGGATCCCAGGCGGAAAGCCGCTATCGATTCTGCCTTCAGCCCATTCCTTTTTCATAGTACTCGGAAAATTTTAAGATTTCAGCGGACTCCACCAAGTCCCAACCAAGGTCACGCATCATTATTAGCGCGGGAGCTCAGCTCCGCTTTAGGAAGACTCGGGAAATATTGCGACGGTGGCGACAAAAGAACAAGTTGACAGCACTATACGTAACTATCTCACAATCCGCTGAGATACAGCAATAATGATGAGCGATTACCAGGTAATTTGTGAGAATCAGAAGCTAGGCAACACCGCCAACATGGAGCGCTGGACCATCGACCCAGCCTCGCAACACCCCAGCGCGATGAGGGTATTCGACCAGTTCAGCACTTTTCGAACCCAGTACAAACTCGTCGACGACCAGCCCATCCACGCGTTTTTCATCGTCCCGGATCAGCTGCCCTCCGGGCCACGACCGCTACTTGTGCGGTTTCACGGTGGGGGCTGGGTCGAGGGGGAAGCAGAGGCGTCGATCCGCGCCTTGTATGTAGGCTGCTCCGTACCATTTTTACCCCATAATATTTTGTTCTTTTCTTCTTCTTTTTTCTCATGGCGAGTATATACCCTAGTTTCCTCGAACTGTCCCTGAAGCACGGCGCCGTCATCCTGACTCCCAACTATCGCCTGCGGCCTGAGCACCAACTGACGGACGGAATGGACGACATACACTCTTTCTGGCAGTGGGTCGAGGACGGATCGGCCCAGCGCGCGCTCAGCACGTCGCGCCCGGACGTGGCCGTCGACGTGGGAAACCTGATGGTGGCCGGGGAGAGCACGGGCGGCCACATAGCGGTGCTGACGGCCCTGCTTCCGCTGACGTCGCTCGCCATCAACGTGCTCTTCCTGCAGTACCCCACGCTGAACCTCACCGACGTAGCACGCGCCCACAACGACGTCAGCGAGGCGATGCAGAAGTCGGGCCTGTGGGCCGAGCGCGTGCCCTACTCCGAAGTCGAGGACTGCCTACGAGCACACGCGCAGTCGGAGAAGCAGGGCACGCTGCGCACGAGGGCTGCCTTCGGGTCGCGGATGAGGCTGCTGATGGGCATGCTGCAGGCGGGCAGGTTTTGGGACGAAGAGAGGGACGGGGACCGGCTGTGTCCCATGCGGGCGCTGGATCGCGCAGGGAAGCTGCCGCCGATCTTGCTCTACCATTCCAAGGGCGACGAGCTCCTCCCGTGGCAGCACACCGAAGACTGGGCGGCGAAGTTGAGGAGGCTGCAGCCGGATGTGCCGCTCTTCTTGACCTTTCAGCAGGGGGACCACGTCTTTGATAAGGATGACACAATGCGGACTCCGTGGTTGAGGGAGCCGCTGGAGTTCGTGCAGCAGTATTGGCCAGCCTGAGTTGCAAACTGATGCATTATGCGGCTAGTACCCCACAATCATAGCACGTTTACAATACATGCGTCCGAGGTGACCGCACTTATTCGTCGCTCGGTGTTACGAGGTGCGATGAGAGATGCAGATGGGATTCCCTCCGGATCAGTCCGGGCTTAACTTGACTCGTACTAATAACGTTACTCTCTCGGGCATTAGAAGCGGCCGACTGCCCCCCTGCAACGTTGGGCCGCAAGCCCCGAGATCAATGTCCGAACGGCGGACAGCATACATGGTATGATAAACTATAAAAAGGGGGACTGCATCTCCGCGACAATGGGATTGGCCGTGTCGCGCCGTGGCCATCTCACGCTTTGAACTTCACCCTATTTTTCTGACTAGAAATGGAACCCTTCACGCTACAGCTGGCCAACGGCGGCACGGTAACGGGGCTTGCCAACCTGCCCGCAGCATCGCCAACAACGACGCCTCGATTCAAGCCCCTGATGGTGGGCCTCCACGGGGCAAGCTACTCCAGCGCCTACTTCGACGTGGACGCAAAGCACACCGCCGCCCTGGCGAGCGACGGCCTGGGCGTGCCGTGGGTGGCCGTCGACCGGCCCGGATACAAGGGTTCGACCTCGTTCTACCCCATCCCGGAGCAGTCGAGCTACCACGAAGTCCTCGGCGAGTGGCTGCACCGGTACATCCTGCCCGCAGTGTGGCAGGCCTTCGGCGAGCCGCGCGGGTGCAACAGCATGGTGCTGCTGTGCCACAGCCTCGGCGCGCCTGGCGCCGTCGTGGCCGCCGCACTGCTTGCCCGCGACGACGGGGAAGCGAAGGACGCGGGAAACCCGCCCGGCTATTATCCCCTGTCCGGTATCGTCGCGTCGGGCTTCGGGACGCAGGCCTCCGGCGGCGGCAACAGCAGCAGCGGTGGCAACAATGATAACCGCGCCCACGTTCCCATTCCCAGTAATAAGGAAAAAGAACCGGAAGACGACCCGGAGCTGATCACCTTCCCTGCCGAAGTCAAAGACACCATGATGCTACCCGCCGGAACGTGCGACGATGCCGTGTACGCGCACACGGCGCGTCTGAACGAGCCGTTCCCCGCGCGCGAGCGCGACGACGCGCTGCCTGAGGCCGCCTTCGCGCGTCGCTTCCGCACGCACTGGGCGCCGCTCGTGCGCGTGCCAGTCATGGTGGCCGTCGCGGAGCGCGACCCCTGGTGGGAGGCCGACGACGAGCACACGAGCCATCTCGCCGCGCTCTTCGCGGCCAGTCGCAAGGTCGAGGCTCGCGTGATTCCCGGCGCGCCGCACAACCTTGAGATGAGCCACTGGGCGCAGGCCTGGTACGCGCGCTGCTTCGGCTTCGGGATGGAGTGTGCCGTCGGGTTTGCGCTGGCGGGTTGAGAAGGTGAGAGGAGAGGTTGTATGTATATATACATATATACTAGGTAACAGCTAGACTCCAAAAAAGTGCCTGATAATAGACTTGATTCAAGATTTGGGTACTCAACTTAGTAGCCATATTCTATGGAAGCGGGAAGTCGACATTCCATCCCACGCGAAGCAGCGGAGGACTTGCTAGCTCTTGTATACGCAAAAAGACAAATCGAGATATTCAAAAGCCCACTCCAAACATGCCGCATCCATTCTTTCGCTTAACCATGCATTTCCTCTAACCAGGGCGTCATTCAGTATAAGGAGACCCAACCTCCCGCTGGCTGCGAGACTCGTCCTATGCGAATCTTCATGCCCCCCGGCCTCCCACTCCGATGTGCGGGCTATTCGGCACTAGGGAGCCGTTGCAGCCCAACCGACCTTCCGGCCGTCTCCCTGACCACTGCGATGATGCTTTTTCCGGCGGCGGTGCGGACGCAGATGCAGCGGCGTCGCTCGATCGCGGCCGGAAGACTTGCGCCGGGCGCCCGACGGCCAATCCTCGGCGTCGCTGTTCGACTCACTGCCGCGTGTGCCCTCCCTGCTGGCCCCGTCCTCGTTGTCGCCGCCACCACCGCCCCCCGGTCTCTCGTCGTCTGGGTCGTCTCCTTCGGCCGATGGCTGCCTGGTGCCCAGGACGCGGGGCTCGCCGAGCTGAAATGGCCTCTGCCGCAGGCCGAGGCTGGCCATCGTCTGCTGCCACCACCCTGGCGTCGGGGGCTCCCAGTGGCCGATGTTCACCGTGTGCTGACGCCGTTGCTGCTCGGGTAGATTGAACCACACAAAGGGCTTGTTGCTGTTCGTCCGGCCCTCGATGACGAAGTCGCCGATCTCGCTCGGGATCTGGAGGGCCTCGGCGATGAGGATGGGCTGGTATGCGGGGATGAGGAGGTGCAGTTTGACCGGGCGGGGAGGGGCTTTCCCCCGTATACGCGACTCCCGATAGATCCTTCTCTGGATTTCCCGCCTGGCCTCGAGCATGAAGACGAAGGCCGTGTCGATTTGCCGCGTGTAGCCGCAGAATCGGGGATCGAGCGGCTTCTCCTCGAGCAGATGGTAGAAGCCCGGATACCAGTCATCGTCCGGATGGAACACGAAAAACCAGTGCTCCTGCCCGGCATCGTTGGCTGTCTGGCCCAGCCGCTCCCGGACCATCTGGTACACGTAGGCCGGGAAGTCCTTCTGTGCCATCAAGGCCGTTTGCGCCGCGAGGGTGGCCGATATGTCCTTGAGGTGGTCGGCGATCTTCTCCAGCGCCTCGACCCCCTGGTAGGTGAGCACGAGATTGCAACCGATGCCGATCGCTGTGGCCGCTGCCTGGAAGCGCGACGCGATCCTCGCCATATCGCAGAGCGAGCTCGTAATGACCTGCATGGCGGGCACGAACTGGCTGGCCTGTGTGACTGCCTTGATTCTTTGGGCGGCGTCGGCCAACGAGGGCATGGTGCCACGGTCCTTGGCGTCGCCGTCGCCCTTGCGCGTGGCCTGGTACATGTCATAGATGTCGTGTACTGCAAGAATGGTCGAGACCACTGGATGGGTCTCTGCTGCCCTTCTGGCCAGAGTGCCATCTGCTGTCTTGCTGGCGTTCTTTGCGATTTCCACCCTGTCGGCTATCCATGATAGGATTCGCCCGTGTTTGGACATCCTTGAAGTTTTTGAATTGGCGCGGCAAAGGTGAAATCCAGTACCGAGTTTCGCGCAAGATCACCGCTTCATGCGCGAGGACGGCAAGGTTGGGCTTCAACCAGGGTGTCGCCGAAAACTGGGGAAACGCGTTATGCGGTTATCCTGATATGCGCAACCGCGGACAAGCTCAAGCCTCGGGTCAGCTGTCAGGATTAGACCGTGATGGCGTCAAACAGTGGTGTGGAGTCATGGATGGAGTGTTCACTTTTGAGGCTTACTTGGTACCGGTATAATGTATCACCATATCATGGTTGGGAGTTGGGACTCTTAGCCTGTTAGGTGGCAGATATCTTATCACTCAGGGTTCGTTGGGAGTCTTGACTCTAAGAGGGTAGACTCCCGCCGGTGCTTGAGGGTCATTGGACGTTGGGGATGAGGGGACGAGAAGCCCAATGATTGCGTGTCACAGCGGTAGCGAATACTTCAAGTGCAGGGCAGTGGCGCGTTTCGTTTGTTTGAATGTCGTTGGCCAACACATTTGGAGCGGTGAAGACATACGGATACACTAGTATTCTTAGCGCAAGCAATCGCCCCACATGTTATTCTCGGTAATGCCTAGAGACAGGCACCTTGCGGAGTCTGTATTTCCTACTATTAGTCCATTGGTACGGACGTAGCATTCTGGAGGAGGCAGGCTGCTACTAGTAGATAGTTACCTGGGTACCTTTAAGTATATCGGTTATCTCCTTGCAAATCCATTGTTGTATGGATTACTAGTCACGTGCTAGTATGGAGAAACTGGTGGCGGCTACTGGGTGGAGAGCAGTTTCGGTTTGTAAGAGTAATACGGAGAATAACGATACAACTTACCAGATGACAGGGGTACATGTGATAAGTCTCGACTCTAACATAGTTCTCCAAACAAGTTCCTTACCCAATCTCAACGTTTCCTCTTTACCAGGTCCGACATAATCAATTATCAGCGACTTCGAGGGCGAAAATAGAAGAGAAGCACTTATATGCAGAAGACGTAATCTCTGTACGACCCAAGACTTGGAGGTTGGAGCTTATGACATCGAGTCATAAAGCGCGAGACAAGTCACAGCTCGTCGAATATATGGCATACTACCCTACTGTTGGCTATCCAAGGTAAGGAGATCATGATCTTCTTGTTTGCCATGTGCCGTGCGGGTGATTTGATGTCCCTCCCTTGGTTCGCAATACTCGACAGCTCGAGCGACCAGTTCTAGTCTTCTAGACATGCCTGGCAACTTCCAAGTTCCGTCCTGAGCAGACCAGCATCTGGGGCCCTGGGCTGGCGAAAAGATGCCAAAATTCCTGGTGGCTTGGATTTACCCGAGCGAATGGGTTCTGCTGAGGCACTCTCCGCGTTTAAGCGGAAGATGACAGGTTATACTTTATCCCCTCCAGCCTGGGCATCCTGGATGAACCAACCGGAACATTCAAACCAGGACAAATCAATATCCAATCAGCCGTTTTATGGTTGAGAATGTGATCTGCCGATCTGCGGACAAACAACCTCATGGCCATTCATCAACGGAAAGGGTAGCATTAGAATAATGAGTAGCCCTTAGCCAATATGAGTTCCGACCCTCTGCTAATTAAGCATCTCCATGCTCACCAAACTAATCGGGCAGCTAGCATTGTGAAGGCCCGTTGCCGTGTCTACATAGGTATATAAAGTATGCAAGCCTAGGCCTCCCTGCCTACTGGGGATGGGTGGGAGCGTTCTTGCTGAGATCCACGGACTACCTGACGAATTCCATATCATCAAGTCTTCTAACTAACAAAATGCTGAGTACATCCATCCTACTCATCACCCTCGCCGCGACGGGTCTGGCACAGACTGCAGCACCAGAGGGCTATCGTAAGGTGTACATCACGTCCAATGTGAACCCCAAATTTGTCGTTGTGCCAAAGGCCGCCACGAGCGGGAGCACCGTTGTCGTGTACGTCACGCTGGGCTGCCCTTGTCCAACTCTCAACCGGTGGAAGCCACCCAGGGACACCTGATCTGACTGAATTTGCTGGCTGGAACAGGAAAACGCTCAACAACAAGCCGGAACAGCAGTGGTACATCAAGGATGGCACCAGCAAGATCCAGCTGGTGGACAGCACCCTCTGCCTAGATGGAGGCGCCCAGAGTGCGCTTTTTCTTTTTCTTTCCGTTTTCTTCTTCTCTTTCACAAAGGAAAGTTTCCCCAGGGGGAACGGCATAAGCTAACCTTGACTCCAACCAGACAACTGGCGGGATATGGGCAACATTTACGTCAACACGTGCGCGGACGGCGTCGCTTCCCAGAACTGGCTGGTCATAGGCGATGGCCGCATTGCGTTGGAGCCGACCAACAAGAGTAATAATGCTTCCACTACCATCAATGATCAATCCCAACGGAACGTATCCGGAGCTGACCCCCAACAAACAGAGCAGTGTATCGATCTGCAGTACATGAGGGCCACCGAGAACAACCCCGTGGGACTCTACAACTGCGCCGGTTTGGGGAACACTGGCGCCGCCGATAAGGGCATCAACTGGCCCCTTGTCAACGTCACGGCCTGAGCATGCGCCGCCACCGCTCCTACCCGTGTGTCTTCACACTGTTGAAACTGGCACGACTGGTGCTGCGGGAACAATAAATTTACCATAGTAGTACCCAGGCTAGTCTCACATTCTTTCTGCTGCGTACCAATCCTTGTTTCCCGTGCCGATTCCACAGCTTCTCTCACTTGCTACCTGCCTTACTTCCCTTGGCACTGCTCCTTCCATTGTCATTCTCCATCCCTTCATTCCGCCTCAAGGCACCCTTGGCCGACTTTTCCCGGTGAGTACCTAGTCTGGTACACGAGCTCTCGAGAACAGAATGGCCCTTGTCAAGTGTCTTCTAGGGCGCTCGGAGGCTTTTCAGCCTTACACCGCCAGCCTGGGCTCCGTCCGTCGTAGGCCTTGGTGATTGATACACACGCACGATCATTCCCTTGGTCTGTTCAGGGTTTCGGATCTGTCGTTGGAGAAGGAAGAGGTCCACGGAATTCGCCATACACGGACATACTCTGTACGAGATGTTTCACCGCCGCCTCGTGCCACTTGTGGTCGCCTTACAAACGCACCGTCATTTGCCCGTCGGTTTCAGGTGAGTCGTCAGATATCCTGCAGAGAGCGGCAGCATTTTCCATATGTCTCACACCCTAAAGCTTCACCGCTAGCCCTTGGGCGCAATCGCTTGATAGTTGTGAGAGACTGAGAATCTGACCGTGGGATTGGGTGACAGAGCGAGCGATCCTGAGAGGTGACCTGCTTGAGGATTCAAACGATGCTGGTCCTCTGCCTTGATGGACCCACCGGCTGTGTTTAGTTGCCCTTTTCCGCTTGATCGCGGCTTTGGCATTGTAAGAGCGTCCTGTCTGTCATCAGTCCGCGACTCCGCGGCCAGGCAACATGACACCGCCGTACAGGCTGTCAATGGGCATCGACTTTGGCGCCTGGTGAGTGATGGTCTTGCCTTTGCTTGCACCTGCGAGATTTCTCCCGGCATTCATAAATAAGCCCTAGGCCTAAAACGGATGATACGGGCGTTTGGTTTGTCTTTGGTATCCCTGCGGTCTGGAATGAGGATACTACCATGCGATGAAAAGGGCCATCGGAGGGCTCGGGGCTCCTCGCGTCACCTGGTCGGCCTCCGGCGCCGTTCAGCGTCCTTGCCGAGCCGGAGGTTGCTGCCATCGCCGCGATTCCTCGACGTGCTCCGAGCCATGGCCTGCAGCACGGAGAGACTCTTGTGATTTGCGACTGCGGTGGCGGCATGGTAGTAGGTCGGACCGTGGGAGTCGGGACCATGGCACTAGCCCCTTTTCCGTATCTGGTCCAAGTATCCCGCAGGATGTGGTTTCGTGTGAGATCACCCCACTTGATCCCCTTATTGTCAGGGAGACTATGTCCGGAGAGGGCCAGCTACTGGGCAATATGTTCATGAGAAGTGCCTTGGTAGCCCTCATCAAGTCGCGTGTCTACGAGGTCTACGAGAGCTTGGCAAACGTTGACCCCGCTGTCCTTGGGGCAGAGATAGAGGCCCTTTGGCTCAGAGCGCGTCGCATCCAAGGCAATACCATGAGGAGAGCGTTCTGGTCCCATCGGATAGAGCTCAGATACGTCGATGGCCACGAGGGACCGCCCGTTGTGGTTTCTGGATGGGTAAGGCGCGCTTTGTATCCGCCAGAGAGACCGTAGCGTGCTCCCGGGCGAGCTAACTAGACTATATGCAGCCGAGATGCGGTTGGCGCGCTGAGTTCCTGCGCCGACGGCTTCGTCAGTCTTCCTCAGAGACAAGGGGATGGGGCCAGGGAGAAGTAGGGTAGAGGGCCCGATGTAAGTCCATTAGTTGTACTGAACTGTTGGGAATCTAATAAGTTTCAATGGTATGGTATGGTGTGATAGGTTGTTTGTAGCTTCTGACACTTTGACACGACTCCGAAAACAAAGCCACTTCATCCATCCGATTCCGCACCATGTTCGATGGACAAGAAGAGAACACCCCTCGGCGTTTACTCGGGCTTCTGTGCTGTCCAGAAGATATACTCAAAATACGAGTGGTAATCCGTGTTCTTGATGTCCTTCCTCACACCAGCGAGGAACACTTGGATCTCAACTGGATCCATCCCCAGTACCTGGAAGGGTCTGGCACCGATGGCACCAAGGAGGTCGCCAAGGATGTTCTGGAAGTACATTCCGATGAGACGCAGCCGTTTGTCCTATGCACCATGTCAGAAGAGCGAGCCGGGAGACATTTCGATGATTGTGCATGTGAGATTACCTTTGGCCACGGCCCAATCGGGACTTTCAGCTTCCGGACGGAGATGTTCGTAAATCCCGCTTTTTCGAGGTGCTTGTCCATCTCGTTTCCTATGCGGAAGTTGTTGCCGAACTTCTTGAACGCCTCAGTGGCCTTGTCAAGGAACTCCTGCACGCTATAATTTTCGGGGATTGAACCGTCATCGCAGTACGCTTTCCCGCCTAGCTCCTGTACCTCGATCCAACCTCCAGGTTTGAGGTTCCTTCGCCCCCCCACGATATTAGCACTGCGATGGTCCGAACCAAAAAGCTTGCATGCGACTTACTCATAAGATTGCCTCAGAACCTTGTCTGGGTTCTTCAGGACGGGAAAGATCTGACGTAAGTGAACCAAGTCGAAACCAGAGCCATTCAGCCAGTCTTCCTCGATGTCATCCACTATGAACTTCAGGTTCGGTGGTACCCATGAGGGTTGGATGGGCGTGAAGTCAATGCCCAGCACCTCTGCGGAGGGGAACTGGTCGGCCACTGTGTCGCACCGTGTTAACTTCGGTTGCTGATGGAGTCTAAGGGGTGCATTGATACTGAACGAACCATCAATGGCCCAAATTCCTGTCCCAGTGCCCAAGTCAATGATCTTCTGCGGCTTGTCGCCAATTGGCGCGAAGAAGAGCTTGCCACTGTGCACCAACCCCGTCAACTGCCATTCCAACCAAGGGGGTAATAATGGGGAGACTGACTCGGTCAACTCCAACATCATTGCATGCTTCATGTCCTCTCGGTTTTGCTCTATATCGTCATTGGGGATGGGATACCGCGCATTTTTATACGAATGGTACTACAAGATAGTTAGTGAAGACCGCCTTGATTGCCACCCAACCGACTTACTCTTCTTCCATTCTCGTAGGCGTGCTCGAACAAACTCGACGTGACGCTCGTCGAATCGGCGACCGACCTTCTGTCGAATTCTTGCGGATCGAATTCGTCGTCGGAGACGTCACCGGGACCGGCCGGCTCAATTGGTTCAGCTGCTTCGGCAGCCGAAGCCGGTGTATGAGGGTCCTCGGTACCTGGAGAAGCAGGACCCGCGGCTTGTTCTACGGCAGTACTCATTATGACTGGACTCTTGTTGCTTAATCGACGTGCTGCACAATGCTGGACTGCATGTCGTTCAAACTCAGGCGTCTCCCGGACGGTGTTCGTTTGGTTATTGAAGAACTCCCCGCACCCCATCTGGCCATCTTCTGTTCGCCCCACACCATCGGGTGCGGATGAGACCACCGAGGACGGTAAAGTCCTCCGTTCAATTGCCCGGCCCCCGCTGGTCCAGGGGTTGAATGGCAGGCGGGAGCGACCTACAGTACCACGTGCGGCTTGTGGATACCTTGGCTTACCCCCCACAATCCCACAAGAGTCCGCTTCACCCCGCTCGACCGAACTCTGGCGGACTCGTCGCGTCCGCGTAGGCTCCGTATTTTCAGGGGCAACGTCAAGTTCCTGCCGTCTGTATTTACACAAATCTGCCCCTTTGTCTACGTATATTTTTATTAGGCATCCCGCCAAACTTGAGCCGCCCATGCAGGTATGACTCCGCAACCCCAGCCGCCTTATATCTAGCGTACCGACTGAACCTCCGCCTCAACTTTAGCTCGACTGTACCTCGATAGCCCGATGACTGTGGACTTTTCCAACTACACTCGGGACAATGGCCGGTAGCAGAGCGCTTCCAACCCATTCCGATCTTCTGCCCTATAGCCACGCCGTTGCAGGACAGTAAGTGCAGTTGAAGCTCTGCCTGGTTAACGGGGATGCTAATTCCGCTTTTTAGTGATGGAACACTCTCCGACCCTGACGGCGAACTCTTCATCAAGCCATGCGTGCAGCAGGAAATCGACTTTTACGAGAAAGCTTTCCGTGACCATCCGGATTTTGCCTCCCTGATGCCCTGCTATATCGGGACACTTGAGCTCAACGATGCTACCGATGTCGACTCCTTGAACGAGCAGCTCCCGGCTGTCGCCGACCACCTGAGTCAAGGGCTGAAAGAAGAGGCGGTGCGGATGGCGAAGGCTGCCGCGGCCAAGGCAGCTGGGCCCGCGGGCTCTCATGACAGTGTTGGGTGGAAGCCAAGCCGGAAGATCTCCACCAACAAATCCGTGGTCCTGGAGAACAGCACCCACGGCTTTAAGAAGCCCAACATTCTCGATGCAAAGCTCGGCCGCCGGTTGTGGGCCGACGATGCTCCCCTGGAGAAGCGCAAGAAGTTCGACGAGATCACCAGGACAACCACAACGGGATCTCATGGCTTCCGCATAGCCGGCATGCGCGTGTACAAGGGTGCCGACAGCCCGAAAGAGTTGGATCCGGACGGCTTCAGGAGTTACGATAAGGAGTATGGCAGATACCAAGTCAACAAAGACAACGTCGTGCAGGAGATCCGGAAGTTCATCTTCAACGACCGCGCAGGGATTGACGATGATCTGGGAAGGGCCATTGCTCAGGCCTTTCTGGAAGACCTCAAACGAGTGGAAGAGGTGCTCGCCAACTCGGAGACACGCATGTATTCAGCGAGCTTGCTATTCACGTTTGAGGGCGATGGTGAGGCACTCCGGGCGGCCATTGAGCGGATGAACGCTCTTGCTTCGGACGCCTCGGAAGAGAACGACGTCGTCCGCGAGGCCGACGTCACACAGGAGAAGCTTGCTGGCATCGAAGCGCAAGTGGCCCCTTGTCCGGTTGAAGGCGACATCAAGGTGATTGAGCTAATGGGGGATGTTGCGGCGGACGGGGCAGAGGAGGACGACGATCTGTCGAGCTTGCCTCGCATATGCTCCCTGAAGCTGATCGACTTTGCCCACGCTGAATGGGTCCCAGGGCAGGGCCCGGATGAAAACAGCCTTTTTGGTGTGCGAAGTCTCATCAAAATCTTCGAGGAACTGGCTCAATAGCCGATGAGCTGGCCGCCCAGCCCTCCCCTCAAGGCATTTGGTCGACGCTTCTGGGTTACGGGTTACTGCATAGCGTCTGCGATATGGACGACATGCGTGTTCATGAGGATTATGACTATCATGGGATTGGCAGGGTGCCAGGAGGCGCATAGCATTTGGTTTCGATAAATACCCCCTGATTTCTGCAAGGCTAGACGTCTACACATAGACCGATCGGAAGTTAAGAAAATGACTTGCCATTGCCGACGCGACTGATAGACATGTCAACGTACCAGCTGCCTAGCTACCTACCTTACCTTAATCAAGGAAACTGATTTGTTCACAAAAGAGTTGTGCACGTTTTGTCGCCATCTGATTGTCCCCTGTCCTGTGTTGATAGTGGAGGTTGTTGGCAGGTGGACGGTTGCTGGGTATGCCCCACCTTTGCCTGCCGCGCAGCTGCTTCAATGCACCTTCGATTCGAAGCTCCGATTGTACTGCTCTCTCACTCTCTCAACATACAGTTAGGTACCTACGAAGCCACCTTGCGCAATCACGGATGACGTAGTGAAGATGTCTATCCCGGGCCTGGGGGAGATAGCTCCGCAGGTATGAGGTTTTCCTCTCTTATATAACATCCATTTCCCGTTTCCAGAGCTCTCAAAATCACAAGCTGACGTCCCCTTCCCAACTAAGCAAACCGTCTCCACGACTCGCACAATAACGCTTCTCCCCTTCTGGGAATGGCGCTTCCACGTCCCCCATACCGTTTCCCAACCCTCGAGCACTGCCGGGGGCAGCGCCGGCGCCACAGTCTGCCTCGTGTCCGGAACCGTCGAGCGTGACGGCACCGAGCTCGCGCAGAACCGCAAGTACACCTTTCCGCGCAACACCAAGTCCAAACTCCTCACGTACACGGGCTGCACGTTGGAAGTCAGCGGCGAATTCGTCGACCGTGTCGCGCAGTACCCTTCGCCGGAAAGCTCGCCCCAGCTGTCGGTGCTGAATCTGCATCTTGCGCTGCAGGCGCAGCGAAAGGCGGCCGCTGCCAAGGCCGATGGTGGACTTAGCAAAGCGGTGCCAGGGCCGCGGCTGATGGTTTGTGGGCCGGCGAGCAGCGGCAAGACCACGTTGGTAAGGACGCTGGCTGCGCTGGCGACGAGGATGGGCGGGCAGCCGCTGGTGGCCAGCGTTGATCCGAGGGAGGGGTTGCTCTCGCTGCCGGGGACAATCAGTGCGGCTGTTTTTGGCACCGTGATGGATGTGGAGGACCCGGCAGGGGGCTTTGGCGTGAGTAGCACCCCCGCCAGTGGGCCGAGCGCCGTTCCAGTCAAGCTGCCGATGGTTTATTATTTTGGGAGGGAGAAGGTGGAGGACGACGCACAACTATGGAGGGCCTTGACGAGCAAGCTCGCTAGCTCGGTAAGGGCTAGACTTGCGGCGGATGAGAGCGCAAGGGATTCTGGGTTGATATTGGATACGCCGGCCGTCAGCGTGGCGAAGGGGGATTTGGACATGCTGATGCATGCCGTGAGCGAGTTTGCAGGTACGTTGGCGCGGTAGGCGCGGGCGCTTCACGAGCCCATAGCTAATTGTCGGCAGTGAACATCGTGGTTATCCTGGGCTCGGATGAAATACACGCGCAGTTGCAGCGGCGGTTAGAAAACGAAAAAACAACGCATGGCGAAGTCATTAGTGTGATCCAACTGAATAGAAGCGACGGTGTTGCGGAACGGGACAACGATTTCATGAAGGCTACTCGCGAAGCGGCCATCAAGGAATACTTCTTTGGCGACTCCAAGAGAACATTGAGCCCATTCACACAATCAGTCACCTTCGACGAAGTGGCCATCTTCAAGACTCCGGACGGTACGCTCTACTTCTGGTTCATCGGCGCTTATTCACTACTAACAGCATGGTAGACTCAGATTTCTACGACACACAACAAGCTCTCGCGCCCGCTGAGATCTCGGCCGAGATGTCGCACTGGACTCTCGCCGTGATGAACGCCTCTCTGAACGACCCGCCCGAAACCATCCAACAGGCACCTGTCATGGGGTTTGTAGCTGTTGCGGATGTAGATGAGGATAGGCGGCGGCTCAAGATACTCTCCCCCGTTGGAGGCAGGTTGGGGAATAGGCCTATGGTTTGGGGACGCTGGCCTGAGCCATACATCAACCTACTTGGATAGCTGGCTGGTAGGCGTCGTGGCTGCAGTTTCAGAACTCCTCATCCGTATCGTGGCGGTTCGGCGCAAAGGCACAATCGGCTTGGAGTCTGGCGTAGAAAAGGCTTACAGCATTTTCGTTCATAATGCCATACTAGTATCGACTGAGGAAATCGCTTGATGGTTTTGCGAAGCGGACCATCGTGTCCTGCAGTGTTCCAGGCGTTGTTGCATATGGCGCTTTGACCACAGTGTCGGGACCTGTAATAAGGCTGCAAGTCAGGGAGGCATCAATGTTGTACGGCAGGGCTGAATGGGACCATTCCCAACTCCTGAGTCTCCTGTGAGTCTCTTGAGCGGCGAGCGTAAAACGGCTCGCTACCTATTCTTACATACTGTGGCGGCAAGAGAATGCATTGTTTCGCGTGATTCCCTTGGGTGGCATCTCCAAGAGTCCATCCAATGTTGTCATCTGAAAAGCCGCAAAATAGGCGCAACAGACCCCAACAGAACCTGGCGTGCCTGGTCAGTGGTCACCCCTGTCATCCGATCCGCCTAACCTTTTCCCAGAAGGAAAGCGCCATCTCGGAAACTCAAATGACCGTTCCGCTTCTATGTTAACGTTACACTGTCCGGGCCAAACTTCACATCTGCAAGGATGGTGGATGATGGATCGATCGAAGAGATGCCGACTTGTTTTCACAAAACAAAACAAAACAAAAAGTCCTATTCGGCGAGAAATTCCCTCAGGTGACTTCCGACATGGGACGTTGGCGAGCGAGCCAACATATCCAACTGAACATTATCAGCTGTGGCCGTCCGTGCCAAGGCATGGAGTACTGGAATCTGGGCTAACCTGGAAACCGGGCACAGGTGATGCACAAGGAAACAAGATCGAGTCCCTCAATGAGAAGCTTTTGTAGCTGCGAATCACCAGTTTTGGTGGATCAGTCATCTGGTACCTGCTGCAGCCTCTCATCCACCAGGATCCCGTTTGACATCCATCCGTCCCTCACGCGCGGCCCTTCTGCTGGCTTTCCGCTCCTGTTGGCGGTGAGCAAATCTCTGGCGGAGGCAAGTGGAGTCTCCATGGAGAACTGGGCGGGCTTGGACGCTTTTATGCTCATGTTGACGTTATTAGTGTATTAATGTTACAGGTCGGTCAGTTGGGCAATGGCGGTCTGGCGTTCCTCGAAGGCATTCGACCAGGCTGTGCTGATTCCTGCAATTGGGCGCATGCTTCACCAGTCACCAACCACTCATATCTGTGACGTGGACGCGACACCCCAGGTGCGCCTCCCACCGTTCCGTTAGTTATGAGAGCAGTGTTGTGTTTGCTTCTGACTTAAAACACATTTCGGATAAGCAATCCGGGGTTGGCCAAACGATCTCGACTGATCATGCCGATCATCTGGCCGGCCCAACGTTCCGGGCTCCGCCTCTCGAGGATTTACAGTTCACAACACACAAGGGCTCACCTGCTGTTGTTATCTTGTCTGCTTGCCCATGTTTGTCTGTTGGTTTCAAAAGTCCAGCCTCTTTGGTCTATCAAATACCTGCCCCTTCCGGTTCCCCGTGTAGGGATGCTCACCCTGTTTGCGAGCATCGCCTGATGGAAGTCGCTTGGTGTGCGTCATCGAGAAGTTGTTTGCCCACTAGCATTATTCTCTTTCCTGACTCCCCCTTGACTACAACTGTTCCGAGACTCTTGTTGCAGTTACCGCTCCCTGACCGTCCGGCCTTACCTCCTTACCTCAAACGACGGCCGAAGGGACAGTCGTGACAGTCTGTCACCATGCATCGACACTAGAACAGACAACCATCTGAAGGGTAACCTGGACCGAAGGACTGGTCAAGCGCGCAAGGGGCTTGGAGTTGTGATGACAAGCCCTAGATGGAGTTCCCCGACGATGCCTCTGCTTCAACGATCGGGTGGAGGAGCCACATCCGGAATGTCGGGCCTGATGGTGGCTGCCCGGCATGTTGGCAATGTCGACAGCACTCAACCCACGGTCCGGGTTCTGCTGATCCTCTCGCTCACTTTCGCCCTGATCAGTGTCCTGTCAACCTTGTCAGCCCTGTATCTGTTCGTGAAGATGAGGCGGAGGTTCCGGCATGAGCAAGTCAAACCAAGCTCTTAACTGCCAAGAAACACTCCTTTGCTGATACTTTGGCAGATTGATCTTGCTGCTGATCCAGAGCGACTTTCTGAAGTCCTTCGTCTTCGTCGTCTTCCCCATCATCAGCTTCGCCTCGGGCGGGATCCAGTCGGACTCGGCCTTGTGTCAGATCAGCGGTTTTACTCTCGCGGTCGGCATCGAGTCGTCCGATGTTGCTGTTCTCTTGATCGCACTGCATTCTGTGATGTGCATCTTTCGACCGAGATCAGGGTTGTATGCGTATCGGCAGGTCGCTTACTCGATCTTTTACCTCTTCCCCCTCGTGGCTGGGTCTTTAGCCTTCGTCAACGGCAACGGATACGAGAATCTGAGCCACTATTGCTACCTGCGGACCGACAGAATCTGGACTCGAATGGCGCTAAGCTGGGTCCCGCGCTACATCATTTGCGCAAGCATCGTCGTTATATATCTCTTCATTTACTTGTATATCCGGAGGCGGATGGGCGATTACGAACGGAGGCGCTCGGAAGCCATGCAGCAGCAACCCCAAAGGCCATACATCAGCGCACCGCCCACTCCACGCCTCTGCTGCCATGGTCTAATTCCATCTACACCAACATCGCGACGAACCTCCGCGGTCGACCCAGTTCCCGCTGAGAAAGACCGCAAGAGATCTGCATCGTCAGCCGCGTCGGGCCGGACTGAAGAGAGAAGGACGAGGGGGGAGGCTCATCAGCCAACAGAACCTGTTGAGTGGAACTGGACAGGTTTCAAAGAGGCTCGATCCTCGGGCACCACCAGCCCAACGTTAGATGACACCACCGACCCGGTATCCCCTCATATGCCTCCACTAGTATCTCCGGCGGCATCAGATTCCCGCCGTCCAAACCAAGTCCCCATTACCGACGGTCCGTCCGAACCACACCCCGCCAAAACCCGCGTACCCTTCCCGCCCCAACCTCAACAACAGGGCAATCGTCTCTCCTGTTCGAACAACAACAACACGAACAACGACATCCTCGAATTCCTGCCGCAGCCCAGCCTCGCCCTCCTTCCACCCCGCGTGGTTTCCATCTCGAAACACTGCTCACCAGCAGCAAGCGACACCATCGTTGACGAAACCGACCTATCTCCGATCCTGCCAACCTTCCCGACCCTCTGCGCAGCCGACTCGGCCAACACCAAGCAGCGCGAGAAGACTGTCCGCCAGCTTCGCGCCCTCTTCGCCTACCCTTTAGTCTACATCATTGTCTGGCTCTTCCCCTTCGTCTCCCACGTCCTCCGGTACGACGACGACGGCGATGGTGACGGACCAGCCCCTTTCTGGCTGCTGGTGCTGGGCATCATCAGTCTTTGTGTGCAGGGCGCGGTGGACTGCGCGCTCTTCATGGCGCGGGAGACGCCGTGGCGGTATGCGCAAGGACGGGGATTTTGGCTGTCCCTGCGCAGACGGTGGGCTTGGTGTCTTGGCGGGTGGTGGTGCTCTGGGGATGATGGGGGGAGTGGTAGTAGGGCGGGCAGGACGCGGGAGGAGATGTTGGTTGATGGGCGGCTTGCGAGGAAAAGGAGGGAGGAGGAGATGGTGGTGGAGAGGGACACTGTTCGGTCGAGAATGGGGGATGGTGGTAGGGCGAGGGGGAGGGAGTGGTGGGAGGTTCATGAAGATTACGGAGATGGTGGTCTGGATAGGGGTGGTGGGTTCGAGGGCCCATCGGGCGACGAAGACGCTGCTCTTCACTACGAATCTCGGTGATAGTCTCGACCTACTCCGGCACGCATTACCCTGTTGCATTTCTTTTCTACGCTTGTCGGTTCTGGCATACTATGGCGGTGTGGTTCACTATATACCCTGGATCTTACACATTTTGTTTTTGGTACGGCTGGTTTGGTTTCATGGACGCTCGGTTGCATACGGCGGCACCCAAGAAAAAAGAAGGATGGCGGTGCTCCATGGCGATTAGGGGTGTTGCATTTGCAACGGTTGGGCATTGTCACACGACGCGAGTCAGATTTATGTACAGTAATGCCTGTACGTGTGCAATTCACCAGATACATACTGTAGTATGTATGTACAAGTACATGAGACGGCATGGATCTTGGCCTTATTAAAATCACAGTCAAAAAGTTGGGTCACGCTTTAAAACCGGGATTTATATGGCAATCTGTATAAGGACGCTTGTTGCACTTAACAAAAACCAGAACCCATCTCTACCTACCAAATGAAAATGGAAAATGAATAGCTAGGTAAAGGTATCTTGTAAAGACCCCCTTGGAGGAATTTCCTTGCTTTTTTAAACAAATCATCTATACACTTTTGCGATGTGTTGAACATGGCGAGTTTTGGTGGGAATTGGGGAGTGTGACCCAACTTTTTGACCGTGGCTTTAGTACTGCGGTTTGCAAGCAAACAATGGGTGGCCGTCCGGGGAGATTTGGTGGCGAATGGCGATTTTCTTGGTGTTGAGTGATGAGGTACATTGCGTGTGGGCTGACTTCGCAAACATCACCCGCAACTCTAAATGTAATTAATATTGGATGTTATGGTTCTTGCAGAAACTTGAGGAAGACCTGAGCCATCAGAATCCCATCATGGTGTTCCCCGTTCCGTGCCATTCCACTCTGATACACCTCGTCCGTAAGCAAGCCACTTTCATGCCGCAGCTCGAGGATCTCCTGCATGATGTCCTCAGTGAACTCCGGATGCCCCTGAACCGTGATGACACGCTTGGGGATAAGAAACCCGTGGTTCATGCACTTCTCGGTCGAAGCCAGCAATTCCGCGCCCGCGGGGACGCTGAACACCTTGTCACGGTGCATTTGCTGGACTTTCTAAACGGCCCGCATGGTTAAGGTAGTTACCCGCATCAGCAAAACCGCCCTCCCTCAACTTTGCACAAGGATCGGGGAAGCAGCAGGACTTACCAGAGTCTCCCGCCCGCCAAAAAGCTCCTTCCCCTTCTCAGTCAACCTCGTCTCCGTCACGCTGACCTCCCAACCCTCATCGCTCCTGCCAACCAGTGCACCCATCGCCCGAGCGACGATCTGGTGCCCGAAACAGACCCCGATGACCCGCACCCGGGGATGCGCCAGGGCCTTGCGCGCGTACTCGACCAACGTGCCGATCCACTCGTCGTTGTCGAACGAGTTGTGCTTGGACCCGGAGATGAGGATGGCGTCGACGTCATCGAGCGAGGGGTATGCCGACGCCGGGTTGTGCACGACGTCGTGGCCGGTCAGTCGCACGACGGATTCGAGCGGCACGGGGTGTGCTGCGCGCTCGAACAGGTGCTTGAAGACGCCTAGGTACCCGTGGTAGCGTTCGTTGGCGCGTGGGACGGGCGTGTCCGCTTCGAGGATGGCGAGGCGTAGGGGGATGCTGGGCATGGTGGATGGTTATGGTCGGATCGAGATGGTGAAGGCGATTGGGATCTCATCCGAATCGTGGGATAAGATGATGCCCCTCCACTGTCTGTGAGTGACTGTCCGGACCCCTGCTCGGACAAGGTTGATCGGATCCGATAGGCTCCCCCTTGCCAAGGCTGGCACCGGCCCGCCGATTAGGAACCGTTCCAATCTGCGTCCCCCCTTGCAGGCAGTGGCAGGGTCCCGAGTCGAACAGGCTGCACTGCATACCGGTACTCAATCAATGACGGAGACATGCATGCATCTGCGACCTCATGTGGTGTTTTGATTGCGTCTCCGAGCGTGTTCACCCTCTGCACTACGTCGAAAGGTTCCCGCATCACTCCATTGGGGAGCTCCTTTTCCCATTGCTCCCTTTCCGCTTCTTGGATCGGATCAGGTGGACGTTTGTCTCATGGGCCAAGGATACATCTAAAGTAACTTCGTTGATACACTCACTGAACTTCATTCCATCCCCCGTGCATAACCTCAAACAAAGTAGTTGCCTTTGAGACTGCCTTAGCCATGCCTGCATCCCGGACTTCATTAGCAGGCTTCCTGACGGCTGCCAGGGCTGTGTTGGTGAGCCCTCCTGCGCAGCGACCGAAACCCCTCACTTTTGTTGTTGGGAACGAGTCGGCGGGCAAGTTTTTTCTGACAGCCCCAGCATCCGGATCGTAGTGCTGATACTGGCAATTTCCATAGATCTCGACTCTATCTGCTCCGCCATCTTCGTCGCTTACTTCCGCAGCCACACACCCCCATACGCCCTGCACATCCCTCTTTCCAACCTTCCGCGCGCCGACCTCGCCCTCCGCCCGGAACTGAATGCGGTCCTCCACCCAGCTCACCTCAGCCTAGACCATCTCATCACCCTAAGCGATCTGCCCCGGGAAGAAGACCTCGGCGTGTCAGACACCCGCTGGCTCTTGGTAGATCACAACGTCTGGACCGGCAGGCTCGCCGCCCGCTTCCCTTCTCCCGTCATAGTCGGCTGCATCGACCACCACGAAGACGAGGGCGTCGTCCCCACGGCCCTCCCCGCTGGGCAACCCCGCGTCTTTGCCAAATGCGGCAGCTGCATGAGCCTGGTGGTCGAGCAATGCAAAGAGACCTGGGACCGGCTCAGCTGCGAGGGCGGGCCGACTTCGAAGAACCCGACGCATTGCGACGCCGCGCTTGCACGCATCGCGCTGGCGCCCATCCTCGTTGACACGGCCAACCTCACGTCCAAGGACAAGACGACCGAGCGGGACGTCAGCGCCGTGCGGGTGGCGGAGTCTAAGCTGCTCTCCGCCTTGTCGGCGTCGTCAGCGGAAGGGGAGGGAGGAGGAGGGGGAGGAGGCGAGTACGAGCGCGGGAAGTTTTACGACGAGCTAGCGCGGCTGAAGGAGCAGATTGCTGGCATGCCGTATCGCGATGTCCTGCGGAAGGATTACAAGCGGTGGCGCGAAGGATCGTTGTCCCTCGGGGTGTCGAGCGTCGTGCAGGGATTTGAGTATGTGGTGCAGGAGGTGGGCGACAAGGACCAGGCAGCGTTCCTAGGCGCGCTGAGGGACTGGGCTGCGGAACAAGAGCTGGATGTCGTGGCTGTTATGACTGTTTCGAGGCCCGGCGGAGTATTTACGCGGGAGTTGCTGGTCTGGGGGTTGAATGAGGAGGGGGCAAAAGCGGCGAGGGAGTTTGACTTGAAATATGGCAGCACGCTCGGGTTGGAGTCGTGGAAGGGGGGTGAGCTGGATGGAGGGAGCATTCAGGGGACGAACTCGGAGGGATTGAGAATGTGCTGGACACAGAGAGCGATTGAGAACAGTAGGAAACAGGTGGGACCAATGTTGAGGGCTGCCATGCGCGAGTCTTCGAGATTGTAACTAGTTAAGTCGCTCTTGGGCATTACATCTTCCTGCGTTGCTCTAGAGCCAAAGGAGCCGAGGACAGGAAAGCAAGACAGGGTACCTTAGTTGCTAGGTAGAACGGTCGGATCCAGCTGGAATGGCACTTGCATCGGCATGATGGTGTCACCAGTAGCCCCATTAGCGTCGTTGACGTTATGTCTATATGTAATTGTACAGTACAATTACAAGTGACACCTCGGGACGCGAACATGATTCCACCGTCCAGCCTCTCGGGCTCCAAGTCGGACAGCCCCAACCCCAGCATCGCCCATGAACTCCTAGTCTGCTCTAATCCAGGCTTCGTTGTGGCCATTGCACCAACAACTTAGGCTATCTGCTTCGCGCCTGGACTATTGCTTCGGATACGGTACTTTGGATATCGATAGATGGACTGGTTCGTCGCCACGGCAGTTCCTCATGGGCCATATCAATACTAACGCTGGAGCGCTTCAATGCATCGGGCGCTCGACGGCCATAACTGGCAATTAGGCGAAAACAGTGGCGCACATGCACCGCGGCCTTGCCTTGCAGCAGCGGAGCGGAACGCGCCCCTCTCCTGAGACAGATCCCACTCTCCTCGGTCCCCATACGCACCCGCAAGTTGGATGGGCAGGCCCTCAGGGGGCCAGGACAGATCCGCGGGTGCTAGGAAGTTTCCGAACGGGCCAAGAATACGTCCAGCTTCAGACGTACGGGGCTCACCGCGGGATTCCGGGTGCGCTAACGGCTTTCAATGACCCGCTCTTCTTCAGGCTTTTCTCCAGCAGGTCATTCCAGAGCGACTCCAAGTCCAACTCCTGCCTCCTCGATTCGGTCAGCATCTGAACGACGATGGTGGTGCCCGTCTGTGGCACGCCGAAGCCTGTCGGCCTGCCCTGCTCATCCAGCATCTCCATCTCCTGATGGGAACCGCCCACCAAGCCAAGATTGACACAAATCCACCCAGTGCTGACGCCATCATCCCCGCTGCGCGCGACTCCGGAGGTGCCCAGGAGTTTAGCCTTCCGAGCAATCCGCCTAAGTTTGATTTTTAGCTCGTTGCGGCCCAGCAAACCGTCGGCGGCGGCCGAGATGCCGCGGCCGCGCAGCCACCGCACCAGACGATCTGCTGAAACATGAAGATGCCGCTCACTGCGCGCCGTTCCGAAGATCATGATCAGTTCGGGTCCTAGCGCCGGGGGCGGGTCCATTTCGCGGAGGTCTAGTAGCGACAGCTCGTCGAGGCCCAATTCGTCCGCCACGAACTTGAGCAGCGGTTCCATGAGCTTGGGCGATCCTTCAGGAATATCCGGCAGCGCGGACGACTCGTGCAGCAGCGTCGGGTGTCGCGGCGGCTCGACCTGGAGATACCACGGCACATCCGCCGTCTTTGAGTTGGACGACGGGGTTTCGGGCTTGTCATCGTCGCTGCGCTGTTGCTCTATTCGCTCTTCGATGGCAGGACTGCCTAACAATCGCGGTGTCGGTCGAAGCGTGGAGGATGCTCGAGCTGTATTTATGGGAGTAAAGCGTCTGCTCCTCGCTGTTGTCGCCGTGATGCCGCTCGATGCGTCCCGAAAGTTTGCAATGAACAGCCGCAGAGCCAACAGACTGCAGGCCGTGCAGCGGACCGTCCGCAAGGCAGATACGGGCGCTATTGCTGCGGTCCGCATTGTGTGGACAGTTGTGGACTGCGGTAATCGAAGGTGGCGAAATCGGATGGAAAGTCGGGAAGTTCGGTCTCCAGCTGTCCTCGAACATTCAACACGACACAACGATATGGAATGATGGAAGAAGCTGTCGTGCTCCAGGACTGCATAGCCGGTTCCCTCGCTCGAATCAAAAACGTCGCGGCTGTCCCCGCATGGGTCCAGTCTGAGTGGGACGCCCAAGAACCCGGCCAATGGGGGCGACCCTTGGAATTTTTTCGAGAACAGACGCGGGAGTGGTCCAGAGAGCTGGGGGGCCAATTTTTGCGCCTCGAGTCTTCTCCAAGTTCATGGGCTCGGTTGAAGCAGCCAAATACTTCCAACGAGCTGTCCATCATCCCCCGGGAGTTGACGGCAGACTTCTTTTACATACCAGGGAGTCGCCGACTCTCCTTTTTCTTGTTTATTATTATCATTAGTTGTTTAATGCATTGCAATTGACCGCCCGCCTGGCTATCAGCAGATCTTTCATCCATCTGTTGAAGCCCACCTCTCCCTCATTTCTTCACCCCCCGCTCACCTCTCCTAAGCGACGACAAGACGAGCGAGGTGACTGTTCGCGCGGGCCAGTTCTCGCTCAAGATGCTCGTTCGTCCCGGCGCCACACGATACCCCTTTCCGATGCGCCAGCTCTTGTCGTCCAGCGCCGTACGGCTTTCTCCCAGATACTGCGTCGCCATCCCCCGAATTCCTGCGGAGACGCGGCGGGTTCTCACAACTGGAACCGATGCGCGACCATGGAGAAGGCGGCCATCCCGTTCCCTTGGCGGGTTTGAACGCAACTTAGCGACTGCGTTCGAGGAGCATCGGTTCGGTGACGATGTGCCGTTCGAAGGCCTCCCCATGAGCATGGCTTCGCCACAACAGCCCCGCGACTCACGACCGCCTCTATACATGCTAAAGCCGTTCGATACATCGTCTCCGTTAGTCATGGACATCTCGAAATCAGCCCCGCCCAGACAACGTATCAACCACTATGGCATTCCTGGTGATGTCGAAGAGATGCTGTCCGTTTTCGAAGCTTGCGTTCAGGTCGGTAGGCTAGATCGGGCCGCTCTAGTCCTAAAGCGATTCGCCAGGATGAACATTCTAGACCCTCACGAGACGATGGAGCTTCACAACCGTTACCTACAAGGACGCATCTCACAGCTCGAGGCGGACCCACAACCGGAGAAGGCTGAAGAGGTACACAAGTGGTTCGAGTTACACGTTCGGGCACAAGGGCTACCGTTCACCCCGGTCACAATCGCCTACATGCTCAAGACGACCCTCCTTACCTCACGGGGCGCGGAGCTGGAGAGGCGACTTGACCGCTATATGAGCATGATGCCCCAGCAAAGCGCCACCGAACCCCTGGATCTGGGTGATGTTCTCACCGACGAGGACCTGGCGACGATCGCCCAACTGTGCCCTGACTACTACTTGCCCGAGGATACCTCTGGATTTGCTGATGCCGATGGCGCCGAGATTGAAGGTAGCGAGTTGGGGGAACTGGAGCTTCAGGGCGGCCACCGAGAGAAGGCATCGGCCGCCAATTTGGAAGTCCTAGCTACACCACAAAAGGGAATGGGGCTCAACTCCTTGAAGAACACCCTATCGTTGTTCAACGAGCTCCCCGATGGGCTAGATATCGCTTCCCTTCCTTATTCCCAACGCCGCGAGGTTCAAGCGAAGCTGGAAAGGGACTGCGTCGATGCTGCGATAGACAGGTGGCGGAATGAAAACGAGTCGCTCATGAGTATGGGACTGAACACGCAGCTCGCGACCCCGTCTCTGAGCTCGAGGTTGTACGACTGGCACAAGGCCTTGGAGGCCCGCCTTGCCGAGGAGCAAGGCAAAGTCGCGGTGTCCGAGGCAGCGCCCAAGAAGACGAAAGAGGACCTCGATCGCTGCGTATACGGGCCTCATCTTCTGCAGGCACCTCCTCACCGCCTCGCCGCCGTGACCATTCTCAGCGCTCTCAGTCTGCTCGCCATGAACGGTGCCGACAAGGGTGTGCCTGTTTCGAGTATGGTGCAGCAAGTGGCCAAGATCGCGGAAGAAGACATCCGACATCTATTGCTCTCCCAAAGTCTCCCCAACGCGAAGTCGAAATCACGCAAGCAGCGGAATGCCCGGCAATTAATGCGGCAGCGAGACGTGGTTGCGAAAGAGCCCGAGAGCGTACCGGAGGCAACCCAGGCCAGCACATCCGCGATTCCCGCCACGACCGAGCGAGCGGAAGGCCGCTGGCCTCTGGCCATCAGAGTAAAAATCGGCGCTGTGCTGCTCGGGGCTTTGATCGACACGGCCAAAGTCGTGGTCCACCGGGAACACCCAGACACCAAAAGGCTGATGACACAGTTGCAGCCAGCCTTCACGCACTCGGTGCAGCTCAAAAAGGGCAGGAAAGTGGGCGTCATCCAGGCGAACCGCGCCTTGGTCGATCTGATGAAGCGGGAGCCAAGGGGCGAAGCCCTTGCTCGCCACCTGCCCATGCTTGTCGAACCGGAACCGTGGTCCAAGTTCGACAAAGGCGGTTTTATCGGATGCACCAGCCCTCTCATCCGGCTGAAGAGTCATGAAAAGGATCAGCGCATCTATGCCGAGGCGGCCATCGAGCGCGGAGACATGGAGCAGATGATGCGGGGCCTGGATGTGCTGGGCAAGACCGCTTGGCGAATCAACCGCCCCGTCTTCGATGTGATGCTGGAGGCGTGGAATACGGGGGAGGAATTTGCCAACTTCCCGGCGCTATATCCCAACATCCCTATTCCCCCGGAGCCGGATTCGACCGACGACCCGATGAAGAGGCGGCTGTGGCTTCGGGCAATCAAAGCCGCCGAGAATGAGAAGTCGGGCATGCATTCAGTCCGCTGCTTCATCAACTTCCAACTCGAAATCGCCAGGGCGTTTCGGGACCAGACGTTCTACTTCCCTCACAACCTCGACTTCCGCGGACGCGCATACCCGCTGCCGACCTACCTGAACCACATGGGCGCGGACCACATGCGCGGCCTGCTGCTCTTTGCCAAGGGGAAGCCTCTCGGAGAGAGCGGGCTGCGGTGGCTGAAGGTTCACCTCGCCAACGTGTATGGATTCGACAAGGCCAGCTTGCAGGAGCGCGAAGACTTTGCAACCAACAACCTGGACAAGATTTTCGACTCGGCCGATAACCCGCTCACCGGTAAGCGGTGGTGGCTCGAGGCCGAAGACCCGTGGCAGTGCCTTGCGACATGCTTCGAGTTGAAGGCCGCGCTGTCATCTCCGGACCCCACGGCTCATGTCTCTCACCTGCCGGTACATCAGGATGGCACGTGCAACGGCTTGCAGCATTACGCTGCTCTCGGAGGCGACACTTGGGGTGCGCAGCAGGTGAATCTTCTGCCGGGAGAGCGGCCTGCCGACGTCTACTCGGCCGTCGCCGAGCTGGTACAGGAGAAAATGACGGAAGACGCCTTGGCGGGCAACATGTTCGCCAAGGCTCTGGACGGCAAGATCAAGAGGAAAGTGGTCAAGCAGACAGTCATGACCAACGTCTACGGTGTTACATTCATCGGCGCCAAGAAGCAGGTCCAGAAGCAGCTCGATGCGTTGTATCCGGACCTCGAGAAGGAGACGGGCGTAAGCTCACAAATACTTGCGTCATACGTCGCTTCCAAGGTGTTTGTGGCGCTGTCGACCATGTTCCGCGGCGCTCACGACATACAGAACTGGCTGGGTGAGATTGGCGGCCGTGTTTGCCGAGCCATGACTCCCGAACAGTTAGACCGGCTCGCTGAGGAGTCGGGCGAGGTTGCAAAGAAGCCCAGGGGCAAGGTGAAGTACACCTCGGCGGAACAGGAGATGGCTACTCAGTTCCGTAATACGCTTGTGTGGACGACACCTCTCCGAATGCCGGTAGTCCAGCCTTACAGGAAGAGCGGCACGCGGATGATCCCGACCTGTCTCCAGGACCTCATTCTCACCGCCTCGGACCGCGACGATCCCGTGAACCGGCGGAAGCAGCTCCAAGCATTTCCGCCCAACTTCATCCATTCCCTGGACGCTAGCCACATGATGCTGTCGGCGCTCGAGTGCGACGAGATCGGCCTTACCTTTGCTGCCGTCCACGACTCGTTCTGGACGCACGCTGCCGACGTGGATGCTATGAACACGGTGCTCCGCGACGCCTTCATCCGGATCCACCAGGAGGATGTCATCGGCCGCCTCAAGTCGGAATTCGAAGCTAGGTACCGGGGATCAATCTACCGTGCCAAGATTGACCCAACCACGGACGTTGCCAAGCAGATCCTCAAATACCGCAAGGAAAGCCGGCTAAGCATCAAGGAGGAGCTATTGCTGGAGAGACGACGCCAAGTACTCCTTCGCTCGGCTGACCCGGAGGAGGTGAGGCGGGGAAGGGAAATGGTCACGCCCGCTAGCATCTTTGAGAAGATGGCGACGCCGGACATGATCGCAAACGAGGTCGAACCTGAAGACCTCGAGCAGGAGGCGACTGACGACGAAGATGCGACGGGCGAGAGCGCGCACGAGGCGGACGACGGCGGCGAGACGGGCGACAGCGCTGAGTCGTTGATCGTGGACCCTGGTCTCCCGGCCTGCCCGAGAGACGGAACGGAGGGCATGGAGAACTTCGGGACGCGACTCGCCGATCTCCACGGGACCAACTACTTCCTCATGGAGATGACCAAGTCGCAAAGGAGGGTCACCAAGACCACGCAGAAAGACATGCTTTCGCTGTGGCTACCGCTCACCTTCCCGGCGATCCCCAAGAAGGGCAGCTTTGATGTGACAAAGCTCAAGGAGAGCAAGTACTTCTTCTCTTAAGCTGGACCCGTCACAGCCGGCGGGTTATGTACGTCTGTGTGTTTCTTGTACATTTAACAGGTCCATTGTGGCGTTCTTGTTCTATATGTTGTTATGTCGGGAGGTATGGCATGATTGGGCACGGAGTTTTCGAAAAGAAGGGGCTGCGTGTTGCATGGGCTGCATGTATATTCACGTCTGATGGGGCATGTACTGGGATGTCTCTATGCATCTAGAACTTTCGTATAGTAGACGAAGAGCATATATGCAAGCGTTAATTCTGCTTGAGTCGGCGGCTGGAGACACGGGATTGTCGTACTCTGTCATGCTCGCTGGGTCCGCTCCTTGAAGACACCTTATCCGACTTCCCATCCGGGAAACAGGCAAGACGTCCCATGCTTCCCGCTATCCCCATAGCCCCATCGCGAATGTTCCTCGGTTTGCTGATAGGACATCCCTTCCCTTTGACATAAGGGACGTAGGTGAATTTCGCAAGGAGTGGAGCTTTGAGCACAGTTTAATTGCTGTTTCATCAACGACATTACTATTCACAGATTTGCGAAGGCTACCCAATACCGTTGTAGGTGGGTGATAATTCTGCGTTCATGAGGCTGCCGCGGTGTAAGGCTGTCTATGAGGACGAGCCGGTTTTCGACTGTGGCCATCTGGATTCTGGAAAGATGTATGATAAATGTTCTCGTCTTTTGGGGATATTCATTTCAACAGACGCCGGATGAGATTGCTGCGGAACAGCAGCCAGGGAGGCTACAGCAGCAAGGGAAAGGAACACTGTTCCGGCGCCCATGCCTCCCCCGGCCATTGGCCAAATGAAGAGACGGACGGGGAACGGGAGGAGGAAGGGTTGACAAAGGTTGTGTTCGCTTTGGGCTTTATCCAGTGTTGGTAGCTTTGTAAAAGGTAGCTCTATTTTCTTCAGTGGAATTTGCTGTCCCGCTGGTATCTCCATACACCTGGGTTCTAAATTCTTTTACCGCACCTGGGCGCCCTTTAAGCTGGCAACCTTGCACACACCACCACTCGCCGTCACCAACTTGCCTAGGCCGGTCTTGCCCTCTAGTGCCTCAACGACGCCAGCATCAAAGGCCACCTCGAGATCGTCGGTGGTGGTGAAGCCGGGCTGGAAGGTCTCCCAAATCTTCTTCTTGGGGTTGAGCACCTTCTCCGGCTCGCCCTGCCACCCTTCGAAGTAGACCCTCTCGCCCGCCTTGGCATCCGCAGGCGGGTTGACGAGCTCGACAGGGCCCTTGTGGTCGTCCTCGCCTTCCTTGGGCTTCGGCGACGCAGCGAGCACCATGGCGGACGACTTGATCCCGCGCATCTTAACCGGCTTCAGATTGCACACCACCACCACCTTGCGACCCTGCATCTCCTCCAGCGGAACCAGCCCATTCAGGCCGGAGCAGACTGTCCGGCACACCTGACCTTCATACTCGGTCGTGTCTTCCGTGCCCGGCGCGTCACCCATGGCGATGGTCGAAACGTAGAGCGAGTCGGCTTCGGGGTGCTTGATCGCCTTGAGTATGTGGCCCACGCGCAGGTCGATCAGGCAGGGAGACACGATAGTAGGTGCGGGGGGAGCGGTCGGCTGCTTGGGTGCCCTCTCCTTTTTCTCCTTCTTCTGCTTTTGCTTGCCCTCGCCGGCAACGGCCTCGACCACCTTATCCTTCACCTCAGCGGCCTTATCGGCCACAGCTGCGGCGGCGTCCTTTGTCCGGTCCACGAGCGTCTTGTCTCCGCCAGCGGCGGCCGCCGCAGCGGCAGCAGCCTTTTCCTTCTTTAGACGCTCCTTCTCGGCCTTGGCATCGACAGGCGGCTTGACATAGAGGATCTCATCGGTGTCGACCGACACCTTGTCCGCGTCGGCGACGTTGAGGCCGAAGAACGGGCTGTTCTGCACAAAGTCGACAAGTCGCACGATATTCGGGCGGCCCTGCTGGCCTGTGCGCTGCTCCGGGGTCCATGACTTGACCAGCGGGGCGAGCGACTCGTACAAGGCGACGTCGGCCTTGCTAGGCTTGGTCCCGAGCGCCGTGGTGCGGGTCGCGAGGTCGGCGTTGAGCGTGTCGAGAAGAGCGTCGGACGCGGCCAGCTTCAGCGAATTGGCCTTGTCGAGCCACGCCTGAATTTCGGACTCCTCGGCGGGCGTGTATTTTTGGGCGTCGAGAGCGGCCATGATGCGCGGATTCGACAGCGAGATTGTGTTAATAGCCCGAAACGACACTTGGCGGAACCGAGAGACGCTTCGCAGGGCAACTGCTGGGCGTGCGGCGGCTCGAAGGGAGAACAGCTTGGCGGTTTGACTCGGGAACGACGGCAGATGTGGTTGATATTGACGTCGGCGCAGACCCGGTCCCAGTTGTGTGGTTTTGATACACTGTCAGGCTATGGTGGGGTGAAGACAAACAATTTCAGACTGTGATGGAAATGCGGGGCTGTTGCTTGAGTCAAAGAGGGCAGTAAGGTACAGTACAGGTACGAGGTAGTAGTGTAGTGTACCTGGGTTACGGGTATTTGGTCACGTTACGTAATAATGCAAGTGGCCCTTGTGGCCCCCTGTTCAAGGTGCTTCCTCGTGACAGCGCGCGGGCCTTTGACGCGCTACAGATTTGCGGAACCATCATTTGTCGCGTGCATCGCGCGCCCTTAATTGACAGATCCACTCGCGTTCGCCTCCCTCCGATTGCCCAGTGCGCCATCCCTTCTTGTCAATTGTGCCATCGTCATCGTGCCATTGCGTCTTTGTATCATCGCCTGCCCTATGCTCGATAGACAAAATTGCTTGTATACATAAGCTGATTGAGAATTTCCACTTGCCTTCGCGATTCCATCGAACCTTCTCTCCGACACCACTCTCGAAGGCGCCGATATTTGTGCCCATCTTGCTTTCCAACGATGCCTTACGTTGCATCCTCCGATGGCGACTCGAACAGCTCGTCTTCAAGGCTCTCATCAAGCCCACCTTCGTCTCCGCCGCCCGCATCTGCTGCCAGTCCGACCATGGAGAAGCCCAAGATGAGCTACACCAAGTTGCGGGAGGAGCAGATCCTGGCCGCGGAAGAGGAGAAGGCCCGGGAAGAGAATATCAAGGCCGAGGAGAGGCGCAGAAAGAAATGGAAGAAGCGGGTGCTGAGCAAAGAGGAACGCGAAGCCAAGGCTAAGGACCTGGACCAGCTCCTCGCCCAGAGCGCGGCCTTCAGCAGCATTCTGACCAACAAGACAAAGGTGTTGGGGCGGGTGGGCACCGGTCTGGACGGGAAGACGCTAGGCGAGCACGAGTTGACCATGGCCAAGCAGCCCAAGTGCATGGTTGGCGGCACCATGAGGGACTACCAGCTCGAGGGGTTGACTTGGATGTACGAGATCTGCGTCCAAGGGATGAGCGGGATTCTTGCCGATGAGATGGGATTGGGTATGTGGACCCGCGCAACGCATGAGTAAGAGGAATCTTCCGCATTGACACAGCGCTAGGCAAGACGGTGCAGACAATCTCCCTGATTGCGCTACTCCGCGAGCAGGAGAGCTATCTCGGACCCCATTTGATCGTGGCTCCTCTCAGTACTCTATCCAACTGGTTGGACGAATTCCACCAATGGGTCCCCTCTATTCCCGTGGTCATGTACCACGGCACGCCGCAACAGCGCAACGACATCTTCAAGACCAAGATCATGCGCCACCTTCGTGGCGGGAGGCCCACCGAAAGGTTCCCGGTGGTTTGCACTAGCTACGAGATGGTCCTCAAGGATCGCGTTGCCCTGTCCAAGATTAACTGGGAGTTTATTATCATCGATGAGGGACACCGCATGAAGAATTTCGATTCCAAACTGTTCCGCGAGCTCAAGTCATTTACGTCGGCGACACGTCTCCTCATTACGGGCACACCCTTGCAGAACAACCTGAAAGAGCTATGGTCGCTCCTTAACTTCCTGCTGCCGAAGGTCTTCCGCGACTGGGAAGCCTTTGAGAGCTGGTTCGACTTCAGCGATCTCGAAGACGAGGAAGGCACCGAAGAGTTCATTGCCGACAAGACCAAGCAGGAACTTGTCAAGAAGATGCATGTTGTGCTGCAGCCACTGCTTTTGCGGCGAGTCAAGGCAGATGTTGCAAAGTATCTTCCGAAGAAACGGGAATACGTGCTGTACGCGCCCATGACGAAAGAGCAGACGGACTTGTACAATGCCATCAACGACAGGAGTATCGATACGAGGGCATATCTCGAAAACAAGGTCGTCGAGCGGCTCACAGGCGCCACCAACAGCAAGGCGTCGTCTCCCAGTCGCAGCACGCGCTCGTCCAGGTCGAGCAGTGTCAAGCCGGAAACAAACACAGGCGTTGGATCACTGTCAGCTCAGCAAAGAGACACTGTTGCAGAGGCTGAGAAGACCGCGCCGCCCGCTAAAAACGCGTTCACGCTAATGATGGGAAAGCCACGTCCCAGGGGGAGACCTCCCAAAGCTCCGACGGCGGTTAAGCAGCCCGTCGCGGAACCCTCATCTCCGCAGCCAGCAAAGAAACAGTCCAAGAGGAAGGACGCACCGTCTTCGGAGTCGCCAGCACCCAAGAGCGCGAAGTCCAGCCGACAATCAACTCCAGCCAGCACCCGTTGTAGATCCCGGAGAGCGAGACAATCCTACAGAGAGGCCGATTCGGACGATGACCTGCTAGACGACGATGCGTTTGAGGCGAAGCTTGCTGCCGAAATAGACGAGGAGCAGACCGAGGAGGTGGAGACGAGTGTCGACGCGGGGGACATCGAGCGGGCACGAACGCTCGAACTTGCAAAACGCGAGATCGCAAGCAAGAAGCTCGGCAACCCGCTTCTCCAGCTCCGGCTTGTCTGCAACAGCCCGCACAACTTCTACAACCCCTCGGCGTCCGACTCTCAGTTGGTCATCGACGAGAGTCTCGTCACGGCGTCGGGCAAGATGCTCCTCCTCGACCGGCTGCTTCCGGAGCTCTTCAAGCGCGGCCACAAGGTGCTGATCTTCTCGCAGTTCAAGACGCAGCTCGACATCCTCCAAGATTACTGCACCGAGCTCCGCAAATGGCCCGTCTGCCGCATCGACGGCGGTGTCGCCCAAGAAGACCGACGAGACCAGATTCGAGAGTTCAACACCGACCCCGAGCTCAGGATCTTCCTGCTCTCCACCCGTGCCGGGGGGCAGGGCATCAACCTGGCGAGTGCCGATACTGTGATCCTCTTCGACAGCGACTGGAACCCGCAACAGGACCTGCAGGCGCAGGACCGCGCGCACCGTATCGGCCAGACGCGGCCCGTCATCGTGTACCGGCTCGCGACGAAGGGCACGGTCGAGGAGGAGCTGCTCATGAGTGCCGACGCCAAGCGCAGGTTGGAGAAGCTTGTGATCAAGAAAGGAGGCTTCCGGACGATGGGCCAGAAGCTGGACCTGCGTGAGGATTTGGATAAGGAGCTGCTCAGAGCGTTGCTGCTGAAGGATGGGCAAGTGTATAAGTTCTCGGGGAACCAGGAGGTGTTGAGCGATCAGGATCTGCACGTCTTGTGCGACAGGAGTGACGAGGCGTATGAAAGGGCTGCGGTGGGCGAAGGCAATGCGGATGGATACAAGGTCATTGAGACCGGGGCGAACGGGATCACGACGGCGGGGAAGGCATAGCCAAGTCTTGCGGGGGGTTATTATCGCGACATTGTGCTGGTTGCTTTTGTCGGCTTAGCAAGGCCAGCTCAAATGCGCCGGCCTAATAATGTACTCACCATAGCTGAGCTCAAGTACCTTGCATAGAGCCCTCGGGAGCTATCTAAGGTGGGTACTAGTAGGCAGGTACCTATGTGTACTAATATCTGAAGAACATAGAAATAGACACGTCCATTTTCAATCGCCCACCATGAAGCGAACAAAGATACCTATATGAGTATCGCCTGCAGAAGCCGCATGCCATTGACTACTACCTACTGTATTCACCCTAACCCGGGTCTCAAACCGTTATACTGTGTAAGGTACTAGTAGGAACTCACCAACCCAACGACGAGAGAAACTCAGCGGCGTGCCCAAACACATCCCCGAAGAAGTACAGCGGCTCCGCCACGAGGAGGAACAACGACCCCATCGCCGGCAACGCAACAACACCCAGCACACCGTCCACCGCCGCCCAGACGAGCAACCGAACCGCCAGCGTGGCCAGCACGGACCGGAGATACAAAGATCCCAGTGTCGCCAACTGGGGAATCACCCACCCCACCAGCAGTTCCTCGCCCGCCGCCGCCGGCAGCCAAGCGAGCATGAGGAAGACGATGGTGTATGACACCACCGCCGTGCGCGCCACCCAGACCCTGCGCGGCGCTTGCCACTGCAGGAGCAGGAGATGCAGCGTCGTTGCCCAGTAGGGGGAGGGGAAAGGAGAGAACGAGTCAGTGCGGATGTTGGGCGGCGACGGCGGGCGGAGGAGGGCCGGGATGTGGATCGTGGTGGTGAGCAGGGATAGGCGACACAGCAACGGCCGGCTAGGCCAGAGCAAGTAGGCGGCCCAGGAGCTAATGATCTTGAGGATGCGGGGGTGGGATAGTAAAGTGATGGCTGTGCATAGCAGCAAGGCGAGGGTGTGGCGTTCCGGCGAGAGCCAGGTTGGCGGAGGTACAAGTACATTGTTCGAGCGTGGCGGGATTAGGATTGATATGGTTGCTGTTGGGCCGGAGACTGTGATCGTGTAGGCTGTTGGGCAAGGGGAGAAGGGGGAGGGGGTGGCGTACCTGGGAAACATCAGGATGATTGTTGTGACGGGTTATGTACCTTATGGATGTGTGTTGTTGTGGTCGATTGGTGGCCGTGGTTGTTGCGTTGTGTGTAAGCAGCCAACGAGTGTTTGTCGGGTTGGTACAGCTTGGGGGCCGGACGCCGGTCAAGTCTTGTAATTATGTCTGAGTTGTGAGTTGGGTTGCAGTTGGGAATTCAAACCAAACCAGAAGTTATGGTGACAAGTGGTAGGCTTGGGCCGACTGTGAGGTTGGCGATGAAGAGGGCAGTAATCTGGGGGCAGAAACAGATGGTCTAAATGGGAAAATCTAAAATTGAGCACAGAAACTCTCCCTTGTTCTGAAGAACAAAGACGTCCCACGGAATGATGCCAGCCGAGGCCGCCTTTGACTCGATATTAGTATGGTCTGAACCAAGGCGCCATCGGATTGGATGGCATTGTCCGGCTTTGGTATTGAGTGAGCATTGTTTATTCATGCTCTAGTTGAATCCTCCTATTGTCTTGACTGAATACTAGGAGTCACAGACAATAGAGCAGCGACCCGTCCCATCGGACAATGCCCCTAGACCACAAAGACCAGGATGAACTTATCGTTCCATCTAACAATAAGAATAGATGGCTTAGTTGTTTAGGAGAAAGCAGGGACCTGACAAAGCGCAAGACAATTATTTTGTTGGAATCGCGACGAGATAAATAGCACGGTTCCTGACTTCACATGCACCTTGTGCTCCCCTTGCTCAGCATCAACCTTCATGTATTTAAGAACAACATCCTGTGAGCCGCGTCGAAGCCCCTAGGCACTCACACTTTCACTCTCAACCGATCCCAAGTGCCAACCCAAGACAAAGAGTAGGCCATAGGATCTACCACCAACTTCGCCAACTTCACCAAGACACGCACTTATAAATAAAAAATATACTAGCACAATGCCGACAAAGAGGAAAGCCGCCCAGTCGGCCGCTGAGGGTCGGACCAGCAAGCGCCGTCGCGTTGGCGACGAGTATCAGCCTCGTCAGACGCGATCCCGGGCGGCGCGCGCCAGCGCATCACCGCTCATGATGCTCGACGACCGCAGCAGGCCCGTCGAACTCCAGGAGCCACGGCGGACCCGAGCGTCACAGACAGCCTTTGCCGCGAGCGGATCGCCTTCGCTTTCTTCCACCGACGTGCCAGCTCGTCGTTCTGGGTCGCTTCGTGAGCGGAAGAGAAGACGGAACGCTACCAACGACAGCGAGGAGAGCCATGTTTCCAGCCCACACCGATCTCCCAAGAGAGCCAGGCGCAGTGGCTCTGAACATCCCAATAGCAGAGAACCCTCCGGCCACGGCTCCCGCTCCGGTTCCCTTTCCACCTCGGCCAACAGCAACCGCCACAACGAGGAGCGCGATATCGAGTTGGACTATGACGGTCCCCTGGACTACGGAAACCCCGCGCGTTCAACCCGTTCCAACACACCCAGTCCCGAGCCGATGGTCCGGGCCGCGGACGCATCCGGCGAGGAGCGCGACATCGAGCTGGACTATGACGATCCCTTGGACTACGGCACCCCCACGCGTTCAACCCGTTTCCACACACTCAGTGCCCAGCCGGTTGTCAAGGCCGAGGACGAGGCCGACACCGAGTCCGACTCCACGATATCACACATCAGGCCCGAGTATGGAGAAAGCAGGCCTAACTTCGAATCCAGCTCCGACTCAGCTTCGGAATCGGCCATCAAGGTAGAGTCCGAAGGTGATGCCTCCTTTTCGATGGCCCCTGAGGCTCAGTCGTCGTCCCCTCAGCCGGCAACTACCAATGCTGTGGCCGAGGGAGTGGACGACTCAGTAATGGAGCGAGAACGCCTTGAGCACGAAGAGGAGGCGGTGCGCTTCCAGCACGACAATCCCGCGCCGGCCACTGCGGAACCTGCAGAGGGACGCGAGGATGGGGTGGTGGGAGCAAGCGTGGCAACAGGCGCCGGACGGGGCTCGCAGCCTCCTGAATCGATCATCCGCTGGATGGAGGGGGAGCTCGGAGTCGAACTGGATGGTCTTCGGGAGCCGAAGAACAAGTACGACGGTGCTTGATCCGGAATGGATGAACTAAGTGGGGGGGTGGCGATGAGAAGCAGCAGACTTGTGGCAGAGAGCCATACGAGTGCGAAAATGAGGTGGAACAAAGGGATCGGAATAGACTTTGGTAGCGACTGGTAGAAGACAAGGTAAGAAGGAGAATGCCGCTGGACGGGGATGATTTGTATATTCTTTTCCTGTTTGACCTGCACATCAGCAATAGATTTAGAAGGACCCCAAAACCAGTGGCAATATATATAGAGTGCCCCTTCATTTTTGAACGAACCGCTTCTCCCCCTTCTGCATTTCCGAAGTGGCCCAGACAGAGAGCACAACGCAATAACGCCCAGGCCCTTTTTCCATCCCCTTCACTCTTCCATCTCAAATCCCCATCTCCTCGTCACTCACCCGGTCATCCTCCTCCTCCTCCTCATCATCATCCCCCCTCTCCTCCTCCTCCTCCCGCCTGGCCGCTTCCGTGCTCGCGCCGATCTTGCGCACCCCGTCCACGACGCCAAGCACAAACCCCGGCTCTCGGCCAACTCCATGGCCCCTACGCCGCGTAGGCTCATCAACCCGCCGCCAAACCCTTCCAGCTGCGACGTGCTACTCCGCATCTTGGCCGCCCGCACCTCCACCAGATCGCGCAGCAGACCCCGCACCTCCCCCGCCGACGACGATGATGACGGCGTGGCCCCCAGCGACGCCACGTCGTCCCCCGCGTGCGCGAGCAGCGACTCGGCCACCTCCAACCAGTGGTACGGCAGGTAGCCCGCGGGCGCGTCGGCCGTGCACGAGGGGCGGAAGGGCGCCGATAGTAGTATCACGTCGCCGCCGCTGTTTCCGTCCTCCTCCTCGTCGTAATAGTTATGATCTCTTCCTCCCCGTGAAGCGATGCCGGGACGGGACGGGTCTGCACGGGCGGGCGCGGGGGGCGGGTCCGAGAAGGCGGTGGGGTTTTCTTTCGTTTCGCGCTTGATGATCTCGGCGAGCGAGGACGGGTGCAGCCAGGGGGGGGGGACGATGTTGGCGCGGCGCTGCTTCTTGAGGAGGAGGGCGAGCCAGAGCGGCAGGTCTGTGCGGTGCGGCGGGCGTAGTGGAGGGGTTTTGCCCTGTCGATGTTCTTCTGATTTAGTGCCACTGTGTGTGGGGTGTGGGTGTGGTAAGAGGGAACAAAGGCTTTTATACTTACACCTAGCAGCTCGATGCTCTCGAGTCGTTGACGCGGCACTACCGTGACGAGTTCCATTTCGGCGAGGAAGGCCACCTCGGCGTGGGTCAGCCCCGGCGGGAGGGGGAGCGCCATTGTTGTGCTGACGGTATAGGGCGTGCGGGATCCTGTGTCACCTCGTCATGTTCAATTCGGATGTCAGGCAGCTCACAGCATGCGAACGACGTCGGATTCGAGGATTGGTATTGCCAGAAATCGTGTAATGGCGAGGTTACCGTAGACGCGCCGGTGATTTCACGTCGCGCAGATTCGGACGCGGGGCACCGCGGGTCACCGAGTTTAGCGGGGCTTGGCGTTTCACAGGGCTGAGAATGCCAAGCCGCTAGGCCGTCCGTCCCCGCGCCGGGGTCCACGAAGCCCGGACTCCGGAGTAAGGTAGCGAGTAGCGGAGCCTTAGATGCACATGTACATAAAGGACGGAGGGCTTAGTGAGTTGATTGATCAAGTACTAAGGTATTCTCAATCTCACTGCACTGCGTATAGGTACATACCTAATTTCTCTAGGTTTGCTGGCACGTTCTCGCTAGGAGAAAAGGGACTCGGAGTCCCGAGGCCGAAATTGAGGTCCTGTTGTCACAAGTCAACACAGGCTCTGTAGATTCAACCCAGCCACCAGTGCCAATCAAGATTATGATCATTATGATCACCTGCACTGCATATTACGGCCGTGTGCCTTCAAGATGGAACCACGCAAGGCAGAAACACCTGCAAAGGATATCCATTGCCTGTTCACCCGGACCGACCCGGCCATGACTTGATAAGTCGACTCGGCCCGTGTATACCATTACAATCATGAAACCCGCTTCAAGCGAAAAGAGAATCGAAAGCAACAGAAAAGCGTCAGTGAAAACCCCCAACCCCAACGCAACAGTCATTTCTTAGTCTTAGTCAACCCCCCAGGCCTTTTCCGTCGCTTCTGCGGTTCAATTCCATGCTTGTTCTTCAAATGGCGAACAAGACGGTCTTTCCGCGTACAGACTTGGTGGCATAGCTCGCAAACGTAGCGTTCTATGGACACGCCGATGCTGGCGGCCACGTCGCGGTGTCGGGCGGCGATGTGTTTGTTCAGCTCGGTCGAATAGGTATGACCCTTGTTGCATACGGGACATTTCACCGGCCGCGTCTGGAGGCGCCATTTCCGTCTTGGTTCGTTTGCTAGCGTCAGCGCCTTCGCCATATCACAGCAAACGACTGAAAAGGCAAAGGGACATACGAGGTAAGATTGGGAGGCTTGTCTTCCATTGTCAGGGTGGTGTCTGGAACGGCCGCTTGGGGTGATGATTGCGTGAAGGCACTGGTTCCCGAAAGCTCGATTGGCGTTTCGTAGGCAACACTTTCAAGTTCGGTATGTATTATACTGGTCATGGGGTCCTGGAGGTACAGTGGTGTGTTACTGAAGTCTCCTTGTGGGGATCTGCGATACGGATGCGGTGATTGCAATCCAAGGAGATCCGGTGACACGCATGGAGTCTCCCATGGCGTCCAAGGACTAGGGAAGCCCGTTTCCATTGAAGACGGACTATACCCACTGCCGCTCGAGCCATTCGTGGAGAAGGACCCTGGTAGGGGCGGCGACTGAAGCTCTCGAGGATCCGTGGAGATGCTGGACTCGTCGAAGACCGGAAGGTCAGGAAATAGACAGGGGAGGTTGTCGTCTTCAAACAGAGCTGCAGCGGCAGCCGCAGCGTAGGGCAGTGGATCATCGAGCCCGAACTCGTTGAGTCCAACGTTGCCAGGATTCGGTGGGTTAGAATCAATGCTTCGGCCGAGGTCATTGCCTTCCCAAGAGAACCAATCCGGGCACTCCCAGGGACCGCTTAGATCAAGACATGGATCCATTGCTGGTCAATGGTAAATGTTCCTCGGTGGTCCGTGACCTGGTCTGCGGCAGAGCCAGTTGTCACGTTGGGTGGTTTCGTTAGCTGTCAGTGAGTTGATTTTGAAGAGCAGTAGCTTTCTGTTTGCTTTTCGCTATCCGAAGTTTACGGACTGCGCTGGACCTTTTAGAGACGTATCCAGGTCCGGCAATCTGCTGTAATTGGATAGATGGGTCAGCTCCAGAAGCGGTACAGGAGGGAGTGCGATGGGAGGAGTAGTCACTCACGTTGTCCATGGTATACACAAGCGAGTGACCTGACGCCAGCCTCCTTCTATCTCCAACGGCAGGACCAAGTCTCCCCGACCGCATCCGCAACGCCGCACCATACTCAATATCCTCTCAAGACGCCCTTCTTGGAGAAAGCACACCAAGCACAAGGCATCCAGCTGGCCGTGGTGGCGGTCAACTTCCGTTGTGTCGGCATGCATCTCTGTGTGAGACAAGCTTGAAAAGAGACCGAGGTCTGGTTTGACGAGCAGAATTGTCGAGAGCATTCCGAAGTCTGCACAATGGAGTCTGTCACGGTTGTCAGTTATTCATTATCAAGGCCAACACCGAAGTCGAATGCGAGAGACTGATGCCAGACTGACCGTCTTCGTCCAAAACGGAGAAGGAGATTCCTCGACTGGGAGCGGAAACGCCGGAAACCCGAAAACTGTCCCCGAGACCAACGGTGCCCGTAAACAGGCGTCACCCGTCCGTAACATGAAGCAGGCCCCGGGCACGCAAGCCCCGGGAGATTTGTCCCGGGAGATTTGGTTCCCGGGGCTTGCGTGCCCGGGGCCTGCTTCATGTTAAAGCGGCCGAGTTAGTTCGGTGATGCTGCGTCGGGGCTCCGTTGGCCTCTCACTGAATTCACCAGGGTCGTGGTAAAGAAGATGAGGAAGAAAAAGAGAAAGGATGAGTTGGGCGATGCGAGGGTGCTCTGCGATTTAAACCCTTGGGCGACCCCTCACATGATGTATGTACAGTACATACCTTACATGCGAGAGACCTATCAGTGGTCGCATTCAATGCGACCCAAGGGCCAAGGGAGTACCCGAAAGGTGTGGGCAAACGGCAGTTGATTGGGTCATACGGGGGCATTCAACACAATGTGGCCTGCATTTTCGGTCAGGTTCTCTGGCCATCCACCTGGTTGCCTGCAGCTGGGGGGCTTACACACATGCAGGTCGCCTGGGAGCCCGACGCCTGAAAGAGAGCCTCTGCTGGCCATTGGCGACCACACCCATTGCATGCTTGGCGTGGCTATTGATCTGGTATAGTTGCGGAGAACAAGCTACCTTAGGTACCTGGTATCTAGTGAGATGCTTAATCGCACTATCAAGGCTATTGTGCTCAGTGAGTGTTCAAGGTTGGCGAAATCCCGTCGAGTAGACCAGGTAACGGTGTCACCTGCGGCCTGTCTGTTCAATGCTAAGCACCGGTGGGACACCGCTATTTAGGTAACTAAAGTATTACCAGGTGACACATGGCAGATAGTATAACTCCAGGTTCTGTTTGCCGGTTGAGGTTTATTGGGCCCAATTTGAGCCTGGGTACCCGGTATGCGCAATTGGCGAGGGGTCTTGAGAGGGGCGCTCGCTCATGCAATCTTCAAGAAGGTCTTGTCACATTTTCGGTCACTAGACATCATTGCAATTTGTGACTGTAGAGCGACATATCCCCTGACGCTTGAGTTTAACAAGGGCTGCCTGGGGCATACATCTCGAACCGAAGCCGACTTCTGTCGGGGGTGTTCCCCTCCGATGTCCGTTTTCAGTGTCCAGACCACGAGTGAAATGCTCCGAGGGCCCGAGGGGACAACACAGCTCAGCCGCAAAGTTTTAAGTTCGGGTCCAGACCCGGACCTTATCTTACCCGGATGTTTGGATTACTAACCGAGCCCATGGTAACTGTTTGACGGTAGCCTACCCGGGGCAGAGCCCTCTGGGAGCCACATCCCGCCGAATGCGAATTCTCATGCCTAGGTAGGTGACAGGTCGCTTGTGTTTTGCGCAACGATGCCATTTTTGATGTCAGATCGAGCCTGGCGCCTGGGCGCGCTCGCCTCAATCTCAGTTGTCACTGTCATACGGACCCTGTGGCGGTGTGACCAGGGGCCATCAGTTACCTAGCCTAGGCGCAAGAGCGCAAAGGATGAGAAGGCAGCAACCGCAGTGCTAGTTGTTACTGAGGCGATCGGATGTGGTTTCGGAACATACCGATCGTCAAATCTAAACATTCCGCATCTTTGCCGGTCATAGTCCCGTACCTACCAGAGCTCAAGGCCCATGCAGCCATGCTGCCCCTAAATCATCGGCTCCGTTACCCGTTCCGCTGGGTGGGGGCGGGGCCGTGATCGGGATCGGCTTGGCTTGCCGAAACGTGTCTTGGCAATGCGTGTGTGCTTGGTCAAGAGTACTCCGTACCAAAATAACCTTTGTATCCGCGCAAGACACTTAACATTTTGCGCATATTCTACTAGTACACGTGGGACTGCACAGACTACCGGCGCGGGGCAACTCCTCTCGTTCGACGTTTTACTGCGATCCGGTGGCTTGGCTTAGTGTTTGGTGTTTGTTGGTTTCAAAGTTCCGGTTTGGTTAGGCAGCGAAAGAAGCCACAATTGCTTGTGGACCCAGCTGTGGCTCAAATGTATACTGCACTAGTATCCGATGCGATGAGCTCGGATTATAAGCTCGCACTTCAAAAGTGACCATGCCGTTTACGCGAGTGAGTAAACCGTATTGGCGGTGGCCGTGCTCACAAGCATTCGCCGCATCCCATCCAGGTTGCCCGTCATAGTGGAGTTGGCCTTTGTTGAAGCCTCCAGCGGCATCATCACAGCAATCAACCGAACGCACCAATGGCTGGCCAAGAACCTTTGGAACTCTAACTCGAAACCTGGTAGAACTCAGCCTACTACCCAAGTAAACGATCATTTCTTGTGGCACCAAGGCTTTGCAGTTTTGAAGGAAGGAGAGACGAAGCTAGGCAGCGAATCTGGAAACCAGTTGGAAAAGTCTGAAGTCGCTGTTCGCAACGAGATTATCGCGAAGAGGTTGTTGAAGAGAACCTAATCTGACATCTTCCATCTTCGAGATATATAACCATGGACGCCGGGCAGAGATGTCGACAATCATCAACGACCAGCAACTCCAACCCCGACATCGAACCAGCCACAATAGTCTATTTCGAACAGTTCCGCCGTCTTCAGCAACGCATCTCAGATAGGCTCAACAGACCAGACCGTCCTAGAATCACTTCTCCCGTCCGCCTTTCCGAAATGTCTTCCGGGAACAACAACGGACACTCGTCCAAAAACTGGGACGAGGTGCTCAAGCACGGCTCCGCTCTCAGCATCATCAAGCCCGATGTTGCCTTTCCCTACGGCGGAAGCTCTAGCTCGGGCAGCACTTCCGGCTCCACTTCTGGCGGTGCATCAGGTGGTAGCTCATACCCTTCTGGCGGTGTAAGTCGTCCCTTGTAAGCTCTTCTACTCTGAGACGCTTGATCTGATATCTTCCCTAACAGCAGAGCTCGGGCGGTACCACCCGTTAACCATCTACCAATGAAACATCTCAAGCTGTCAATGAAGCGCCACATCTTGGGTCTCAAAATCAAGGAGTTGGGTTTTCTTCTGCCGATGGCGGTTTCTCGTATACGGTGGCGTTGGACAACAGGAAGTCAGAGTTGGCGGTTTTGAATAGGCGTTTTTGGACATTTTACAAGCTGCCAGTGCTCAGTGTTCAACACCACTCATGCGCTGGCGTTTTATAGCGTTGCTTCACAGCACTTTATCTTTCAATGAGTTAGAAATCATTCATTCCACGACCCGTGGTCCCCACCATCTTCATCAGTCATCACTAAAGGCGTCCCTCGCACATGGATCTTTCTCACCTTGCCCCGAACATATCAGATAATCAAAGCCGGCCCCGGGCGTGGCCAGGTCAGTAACGAAATCCGGTGGGGCAACGATTGGATGGCTGGGGGCCCGGGGGATGCCAGATCACGGCGCAGCCGCATGAGCGGGTGCACAAGACCATTCGCCACAGAAGCTCAGGGAGCAACTGGACTAGCTAATTGATCCTACCGCTTATCATCTGTTGATGCCTGCAAGGATCTCACTTCAGCCGAGTACCTAGGTACATAGCCTGACTAAGACGAAAGTTCCATCTAGGCACTGTCATGCCTTCAAACCTTCAGGGATATGCGGTCGGGGTTGGGGTGATGGGCAGGTGAGATTAGAACTATAGCCTCATTAGGTATCGATCAGAAAATGGGAATCCAACGGAAAGGAGGGTAGGAGGGTCGTGCGTTGAGAGAACCAGTGCTACATAAGAAGGCAACAACGTGTATGCTTAACTTTGTGACCACCTAACTGTGTATGTCCACACGGTCGGACGACTGTGCATGCACGCACATGAGTGTCGATGTAGAATACATCATGGGGCAGCTTGTGGAGGTGGTATGCCGCCATTGTTTCCATCGCCTCATAGGTGATTAGAGAATACCTTACCCAGCTAACATAATACTTTCAGAACAACACCGCCCCAGCGGCGGGCGCCCGCTCGACTTGTGGGCCAGACGTCAAATCAGCGGTAGTGCGCAAATCTGAGTCCATCCTAACTCTCTTCACGTCACTAGAAGAGAGATATATACGCCTTGCCTGTCTTTGCGAGCGTAGCCACGCGGTTTGGTCAACTGCACTAATAGCGGTTTTTCCGCCTGCCGATGACGCATTTCGGGTAGCCGATGTCCTCGGTAAACTTGGGGTGGACGCCAGTTTACTGCACTGCCGCGCAGATGCGCTAACCAACCGCGTCATCGTCACTACGAACTGGGCAGCTTGCAGAGCCTGGAATACTCACATTCCGCCTCCGAACCTCACTATCATAAACTTCGACCTCGTATGCTCACTGGAAATAACCTCATGGACATACACTCACCGTGCGTACCACGCTGGACTATCCGCCGGCGGGGGCCTCGCTTTTACCTTGGCCACAAACGGGTAAGTGCGAGCAAAGGCAACCCCACTTCGCTGATAGTCCTATGAGTACCGTTCGAGCTGACAATAGACATGCAGTAACTTAGGATGCTTGCTACATCTCGAGAGCGCCCTGAGGACGCGCCTGGAGACATGCACCCTCAAGGAGGACAAGGTGAAGGTCTTCAAGGAGCGAGCGAAGCTTGCCCATGGAGACTGAAGGAGGGTAGATAACATGATGTTATAGTTAGCCTGTTCTGGAAGGAATGGCTCCCCCAACCTAAACTGACACGATTCGTGTTTACGGAACATGATGTTTCGCTAGGAACATAGGAACATCACACGCAGGAAACGAACACAACGGAGGTCACCAGTTCCAATATTCGTTCGTCATCACCCAAATATAAGTCGACCACCCCCCATTCCGCCCACTTTGTAAGTCCACACCGCTTTTTCAACCCAACCACTTCAACTTACCACAACTCACTCAATCCCTTGCCAAACGGCCTTTTTCTTTGGATCAAACTGATGGATCAAACTGATTGCCAGTTCAAGATGGCTTACTCAGAGCAAGATAACGTACGTTATAAGCGAGTGAAACATATAAGCGAGTGAAACACCCCCACCTATACCACAATACTTATCTCCAGCTTTAACCACCTACCACTATCAACCAACTATGATTACATCAAAAATAGCTGAATCAGATGATTCTGCAGCCTCCTGGCAAGTGCGGGCGTTATGGCCAGGCTTGCCGCATACACCACAGCACCGAACCTTCGTACAACTCCCCCCTACACCACCACTATCCTGCTCCTTTTCTTCCGCCACCTCCCCAATCACGGCCTTCTGGTCCAGTAGATTCTTTGCGTCTTGTACCGCAAGCGATCCTCCAAGCTATACACGTGTTCTTTTGGCTTTCCGGCGCTTACTTAGTGCCTCGTTGGCCTTACGGAGGGAGGCGTTCTCTGCACGAAGGAGAGCTACCTGGTGCATTACGGCCGTTGTACTCTTGGCAAGCTGGTCTACAGCAGTCAACATCGAAGTCGGAGAGCTGTTTTGATGGTTGGCAATACGAGTTTTGCTAAGCGTTGATTGCGAGCTGGCTTCTCGGGGGTTGTATGGTGTCTGGAAGACCCAAGGTTGTATAGTGCTAGGCCGTGAGGTTGGGGGTGTTGGCGTACGAAGCTTGATATCCAGCTTAGAAAGCACCCTTACTAAATCATATGGCATAAGGCCAGCCCTAGCAAAGCCACCCTGGATATTCCTCTCGGTAATAGAGGAGAAGAAGGCCTTGCAGAACCTATAGAGGAACTCGACCTTGCTTATATAGTTGATATATACGTGTATCAAGTCCTCGATCTGGCGACCGTACGCCTGCTTCAACAGCCCAAAGCAGCTAACATCAAGTGGCTAGAGGAGGTAGGAGGAATATAGAGGCATGCAGAGCGTGATAATGTTGTTCTACTGGCAGTAGAGCTCGAACTCGGTTGAGTAGTGGCTTCGTGGCCATCGAGGATCAACAACCGGTATTTGCCCTTTGTCCGAGGCGCTATATAGTAGTCGAAATACTTGATCTAATTAAGGCCTACCGCATTAGTAGTCCAGCCATTCTCGGTAGTTGCAATACGCTAGTCGGCTAGGAGGTTGCACTTAGTATACCAGTTGGCAAGGTAGAACTATACTGCTAAAATAATGAACAGAGGAATAGCCTAGCCAAGGGCATTAATGCCTTAGATTACCGTCGCCTATTCACAGTTGCTAGGCTAGGCTAGCTTCGCCTTGCCATAGCTATCTAAGGTTATAACCACTATACCCGGGAAGATAATACCTATTATAAACCTAGTCTTGTCGAAGTTATAGATATTGTCATCTACAATACCGTACTTGGCCTTAACATTCCGTATAAGGGCAAACCACTCGCCAATGACCTTCGGATCCTCGCACTTTACCCTCTGGTAATCGTATCTTCGCGAATAACGCGTACGGAGCTCTAGCTGGCGTTTGATAAACCGATGCGCCCAGAGCTTGCCGATAGGGGGCGCGTCGTATATACGTAGCAGTTGGTTAGCTATCTTCTACACCACATAGTCTCGGCGGAAAAGCTCGTATAGATAGCTCAATAATATATTGAACAATAGCCTCCTCTTTAGATTGGGTAAGCTTCTTCGAATTGGCTGGAAGATCGCGTTATATAGGCCGGCCGGTACGTCGGTAGCCGAGGGTTGAAACTGGCACGTTATAGAGCTTGGCCGCGGCTCGAAGGCTTAGTTCTATATCATTTTCAAGAGCTTTGAGGGCCAAGGTTACCCTAGCTTCCTTTAAAGTGGAAGACATCTTTAGTTGTAGGAAAAACGCGTTGTTAGAGGTAGATGAGGAAGGACGCGTTGTGCCAAGAACTTAGTGTCCCGCTCGCTGATATGTCCCGCTCGCTGATATGTCCCGCTCGCTGATAATGTACGTTATGAGTAATGTTGTGACCTGGGCTCCTAATACTGTTGGAAAAAATGGCTTCCCCCAACCCAATTCGGTCAAAAAGCTGTTTACTACCTGTTGCGATGACTGGGGTCATAACTGGAGAATGTTTTCTACCCCCATCTCCCTCCATGGGCATTCCGTGGAAGCGTTGATTGATACTGTGTTTTGGATACATGTTTTGTCGATGGAGAGGCGGATTAATAACATCGGCGTTTGTGATGCTGTCATATCGAGGCGGGGCCGAAGGCTATTATATGTATTTGGTTGCGACGGTCGAGATGAGGGGACTTAGGGGGTAGATGGTGCTTGGGTTAGGGCTATATTCCTATGGGGCCATAATGCCTTGGGACCATGTCTCATTGTGCCTGCCTCTCTAATTCATCTACCATTTGTTCAAACGGTAGCATCGACTCTGGTGAATGTCCCGACTGAGCGGCAGGGCGGCGCCTGTTGGTAATGTCCTGTCTTCATTGACTCGAGTGTTCAGAATCCTACATCCCGGAACTATCATACCTCCCAATACTACTACTGGACACTTGCAATCCATCCATAAGCTCCGTCATTGCAATCTAACTTGGCAACATGAAGATATCACTTTCAGCACTTTCGTGCATCTTCTATGGGACGTTAAGCATTGCCCTGGTATGGCCGCTGTCGTTTTCTTCGCACAACTGGCGACGCAAAGCTAATACTACAGCCGAAAACACCAGCTTTCGCCGTCTCGGATCCACAACGAGACCGTTCCGCGTCGTCGTCCGCTCAGCGTCTTTGCATGCGACGAGAGGTGTATCGAGAACTACCGCAAGCGCCTGTCCATTAGGGATGACGAAGCGAGTACAACTGAGTCCAAACTCAACCCAGCGGACTGGATGCGCATTTTAGAAGCAATATTGGCGGATCGACATGATATTATGCTGAAGGATCTCAGTCCAGTCCAATTGAGGGCGTTCAACGGGGTACGTAGGTGCCAGATCACACTTAATGCCCGTAACCACACTTTTGCTAGTACTTACCATATCCGATGATGCTAGAAGATCGAGTGCGGAATGCAGTTCGGCAAGCGAGCGATAGCCAAGACAATCCAGGGCCAGGTCAGAACGCTGGACAAGCGAGGCGGAATTTGTCATGTGGAGGCCAGGACATGCCTCAGACTTGCCTGTGCGCGCGGCGGTGCCATCACTTGGTGCAACGACGGGGATAAACCGGTAGCTCGACAATGCAGAGATATCGCGACGGACGCCAAGAGTGTCATGGCTCGGTGCAAACACGGGCATCCCAAACATGGAATTATCTGGACTCGCGGGCAGATACGTGATTCGGACACCACGAGAGTCCTGGTCAACAAGGCGTTGTGCTGAGGTACGTTGGTTGTGGCTGTGCCGGTTCTCAGTTTGTATAGAGACGAATTCTGTGGCCTTTGGCATTGGTTCGTGGGCGTTCAAAATTCCAAAGCGACGAGGATCTGGGACTAAAGCTGAGATGGGAGGCACTGGAGATAAATTGATAGGCTGGGTTGGAAACCCGATTATATTGACATGGGCTTTGGGGGTTACAGTGCTCAGTCCGGCGGCAATATATCATAGGATCCCGCTCATATAAAGCCCTAAACCTAGCACTTTAAGACACGCTAAGGCTGACTCCCTTACTCTATTCTCACCTTTTTATCGTCTTCCTTTCTTCATCTTCTCGTTTTTCCCTTCTATTCCATGACTTTCTTTCCTTTCATCTCTATTTTCTTTTCTTCTTTTACGTGTTTTCCCCCTCTCTCCTCTACTTCCTTCTCTCAATCCTTGTGTTCCTTCGTTCTATGATTGTGCTTTTGTTTTGATTCACTTCAAAAACTGTGGCGTAAGATGTTTGATGTATGCCCTTAGGGCGGACTATGCGGGGATGGATGATGCTGGAGTTGTTAGGGTTATCAACGGCCATAGTCCCGTGGGACGAGGTAGTATAGTCCCAAACCGCCATCTTGTTATATTGTGTATTGTGAAAGAGGCTCTTAACATCGCCGATGGGCCCAGGATAGAGCATTGAGATCATTGCTCTTCTCAACCGAGGAAGCCCTGGTATGCACATGTCATCTCTCCTACAGAAAGCTGGTAATACCGATATTTGAGACTAAAAGGCGCTGTGAATGAGGCGCCGGTGAGTTATTAGAGGACTCTTCATGGCTTGCCGGACAGACTGGATCACCAAGGGGAAAGATCTCTTCCGTATTTCTTCGTTGCCGCCCAACGCCATTCCCAGTCGGCATGATCCTTCAGAGTCACTCCCGCCACAAACCGAAGTTACCACAGGGAACTGACCCCATACCGTTTCCACCAATGCGCTTGGACCCAACCCTCATCCTTAATATCCATCTTCCCATAACTCCTTACAATACCCCTCCGTCAACCGCTCATCCGTCCCATACGCCTCCTGCCACCCCACAAAGCCCCGGTCAAGCACGTACACCTTCTGCTCCTTCACCTCGTGACTCCCTTCCCCGGAAACAGCAGCAACGACACCCTCTTCCCTCACAGCTTGAGGAGTTTTCTCCCCGGAAGCCGTCTTCTTCCCCTTCAGCGAAGCAAGGATCCGCTCTCGCTCCCGGATATACCGCAGCGCGGCGGTCGGTCCCCGCTGCTGGGACAGCGCGCAGTGGAACACGACCGTCTCCTTGTCCTGTAGCTGGCGGACGAGGGCGGGCAACATCGCATCGAGCGTGCGCGACGGTACATTCTGGGAGCCCTTGATGTGCCCGCCTATGTAATCTGTCCGTTGTTACATGTTACATGTCAGGTTTCATTCACCAGGGATTAGGGAATGTGGGGTTGCTTCGTACCGTCGTCCCGAACGTCGATGATGGCGATGCTAGGATCACCAGCCGCGGCCGCCTCCTGGGCGGCGAGGAGCATCTTGGATAGAGAGGCGGCTGAGAGCCGCTGAAGGGTGCCGATTGTGGCCATTTTACTCTATTGACGGCGGGGTGTGTGCACTGTGACAGACTGTGTAGCCGGGGAAGAAATGTGAATGAACAAGGTAGGCAGTATCGTACTGATGCAGCTGGAGAGGAGGGTGATCCTCGCCAAGAAGTTCTCTTCAAATTCTGGCTTTGTGTTTCATATCTGAAATCGATCCTAGGAGTAGTGAGAGCACTGTATCCGTAGAGCGGACACGCTGAGGCAGCAAAAGGATGAGGACCTTGATGGCGGGGTCGATCCAGTCGGCCCGTTGCCAGATGCTGCCGGCTGCATCGGGGCTAGGGTCCACTCTATAGGACTACTAGTACTACTAGTAGTATATATAACGTGCATGATAAGCGAGCGGATCAGATAAGCGAGCGGATCAATTTTCTCTGCAACGTATGTCTCTACCTACTATATCAATTTCCTCCACCATACTATTATGTCTTCAATTCCGGCCGAGGCTAAAGTGGTTCTTGCACTTGAAGATTTTGAAAATGATTCTAAGCTAAGCCTCCGGGCTGCAGCAAAGATCTATTCTGTGCCTTATACTACCCTCTATCGCCGGCATACTGGCCGGCCTGCACGACGTGATACTTTAGCCAACTCGCGTAAGCTTATAGATCTAGAAGAGGAGGTAATAGTTCAGTATATAAGTGAGCTATCTATACGCGTATTTCTACCTAGATTATATGATATAAAAGATATGGCCAACCAACTATTATACGAACGTAATGCGCCCCCTGTCGGTAAATGCTGAGCTTATAACTTCATTAAACGCCAATTAGAGCTCTATACGCGTTATACCTGTCGATACGATTACCAGAGTGACGAAACCACAGGCAGTCCTGCCTCTGAAAGAGTTCGCCGGTCGAAGGTACTGCTGGTCGGACTGTAGATCTCGGTGAAGCCGAAAGGTTCACAACGATGCAAGTTGCAATGTCTGCACAGTAGGTGAAGGCTACTATTTGAATTGCTCACTGGAGAACTCCCAGAGTCCTCTAGAACGAGTGACTATATACTGCCTATCCTTGGGTGCTCTCATGTGCTCTATAGAGCTCCCTAGAGCTTGGTGCTCTGTTGGCTCCATCGAGAGCTTCCATCCCTTCATACTGATTGGCTTGGTGCCTTGAGCTCTCGTCTGCTCTCTAGAGCTCCCTAGAGCTCCTTCTCATTGGTCCTAAATGATTGGTTCAGGTGCGTCCTACGCTACCCGCCGGGTTGCCCCACCTGCAGCTGTCCTGTTGGCTTAATTCGTGACACAGAGAGCTTAAGTGCGAGGATCCAAGGATTATTGGGGAGTAGTTTACACTCGTACGAAACACTAAGGCCAAGTACGGCATTGTGGATAACGATATCTATAACTTTGACGAGACCGGGTTTATAATGGGAATGATCTGCCCAGGCATGGTAGTTACGACCTCGGATGGCCATGGTAGGACAAAACTAGCCCCGCCTAGTAACCGCAAATGGGCAATGGTGATCCAGGGAGTCAATGCTCTCGGCTGGGCTATCCCGCCCTTTATTATCTTAGCCGCGCAATACCACTTCGCCAACTGGTATACCGAGTGCAACCTCCCGGCCGATTGGTATGTTGCAACTACCAAGAACGGCTGAATATGACGGTGGAACGCACCGACTATGATGATGATATCATTTGCATATATAATGATTCATCATACCAAGTGATGATTCATTATGTATGTTCTATTACATCATGCATGCAAGGCTCAGACCTACTCGCATCTTGTATTTAAAGCCTACCTTGCAGTCTCGAGGATTTCTTTCCTCCTGCAAGTTCAATATTCTTACAATGCAGTCAGTTTACCACCAGAGGCTTGACCCTGGCCTTGAACGACGGCCCTCGTGACACTGAACTACCAATATAGTAGGCCTCGATTGGATCAAGCACTTCGACTTCTATATAGCACCTCGTATAAAGGGCAAGAACCGGTTATTGATCCTCGACGGCCACGAGAGCCACTACTCTACCGAATTCGAGCTCTACTGCCAGGAGCATAACATCATTATGCTCTACATGCCTCCGTATTCCTCGCACCTCCTCCATCCACTTGATGTCGGCTGCTTTGGGCCGTTGAAGCAGGCATACGGTTGCTAGGTCGAGGACCTAATGCGGATGCATATCAACCACATCAGCAAGCTCGAGTTCCTCTGTGCTTTCCGCGAGGCCTTCTTTACTTCTATAATAGAGAAGAATATCCAGGGTGGCTTTATAGGTGCTGGCCTTATGCCATACAATCTAGAGAGGGTGATATCCAAGCTGGATGTAAAGCTTCGTATACTAACGCCCTTGAACTTATAGGGCGGCACACCATAACCTTGGGTCTTCCAGACACCACGCAACCCTTGAGAAGCGACCTCGCAGTCAACGCTTATCAAGACTCGCATTGCCAACCATCAAAACAGCTCTCTAACTTCGATATTGACTGCGGTGGACCAGCTTGCCAAGGGTACGGTGGCTATAATATACAAGGTGGCTCTTCTTCGGTCAGAGGTCTCTTCGCTCCGCAAGGCCAACGAGGCACTTAGTAAGCGCCGGAGAGCCAAAAGAACACGCGTGCAGCTTGGAGGATCACTTGCAGTGCAAGATGCAAACGATCTACTGGACCAGAAGGCCGTGGTTGGGGAGGTGGTACAAGAAACGCAGCCGGATGGTGGTGGTGCAGGAGGGGCTCGTACAAAGGTTCGGGGCTGTAGTGTGTGCGGCAAGCCTGGCCATAACGTACGTACGTGCCAGGAGGTTGCAGAAGGTTCTAATTCATCTATTTCTGATGTAATTATAGTTGGTTCCTAGTGTTGATGTGTTGCAATTAAGGATAGTTGTGGTAGGATAGTAGAAAATGATCCGCTCGCTTATCATGCACGTTAGGTCACCCCAGGTTGTGGCATCTAAGGTATTACGGGGAGACACTTACACAGCATAAGTTAGAACGGACATACCAGGGTTGACATCTGGCAGACACCCAGGTTCCTTGTCATTTGGCCGATGGGTAGGCTGTGGCTACTTCCGTTAACGATACGTAACTGGGACATAGGTTACGTTAAAGTTCATGAGTCCGACCCAATCGTTATGTGTAGGGCTGACTGTACTTGTGTGCAACTAGTATGTCATTTCGACGACAATGTGTATCGAATGCTCGGGTTCTTACGGTTGGGTCTTAAAACAAAACAAGCAGCACGGAACCCGAACACCATACCAAGACTTCCCGCGATCCGGAGTCTAAATTCAATCCGGGGGTCGCGTAGCCGGCTGGAAAAGGAGTTAAAATGTAAATGCCCCAAGCGCGCCAAACCCGTTCCCCAAATATGGAACGCTCAGTACATAATCATCGTCATTCAGTAGATTGGAGGTGAAATAGAATAGGTCGTAGCTTCATCCTTCATATGCCCGATTATCGACATCTCAACATTTTCAGGCTACTAGTAATACATGCGGCACCCGCGTGCCTCCCGAGACAATTGCTTCGACGTCCACAGGTCCTCCCAGGACTCTCCTCTACTTGGTGGACGGGTTAGGGCTGATGGTCTCATCGGGGAATTTCCTGAAGATGTCGGCGATGTGGTCGATGGGCGCGGCCAACATGCCCATGGCCGACTCAAAGTACTTGTTCTCGCCCGCGCTCGGGTGGCTCCGGGACGGGACGAGGGCCTTGGTCCTGCCGAACTTCTTGGCCATGTTCTCCGACTCGCCAGCGCCCGCCGACTGGAGCGCCGTCTCCAGCGCCGGCAGGTCGTGGACCTCCTCCTCCTTGATGTGCGCCGACAGGACGCCCCACAGCTCCTTCAGCTTGGGAACTTAGTCGGACTGCTTCGGCTTCAAGTTCTGAAATTCCTTGAGCAGCTCCTTAACCTATAAAAGGCGCAGTTCGTTAGCAGGCCCATTTTAATTTTTACTGAAAAGCTCGAAGCGAATTGGCAGCTTACCCTGTGGTGGTCCTTGCGATCGGATTCGGCCATCTCGTGTCCCTTGCTCCCCATGTGCTTCTCGAAGGCGGGATACACGATCAGTTCCTCGGCCACGCTGTGGCGGGCCAGCTCCCAGGTAAACTGGTTGCCGAAGCGCTCCTGGTGGTCATGGTCAGAGGAGTTGACGACCTCGTTGTAGTATTGCTCGAGCTCGCGATGGTCCTTGGTGATGACTTCCGAGATGGTCGACATGGCGGCGGTGTTGATCCTGTTGGTGAATCGGAATTTCAAGCTCCACCCCAGCACGACACAACTTGGCGCATGCTACGTGTACCTGTACATGTACTTGCAGCTATTTCAGATAAGTTATGTAGATGATCGTCCAATCCGGAGAAGCGAGTTGTAAGCACAACCAACAGTGAGATTGAATGGCCCTGCTTTTTGGTGCGTTGTGTGATCGTGTCTCAGTGAATTATGATGCGTTTTGAATCCTCCCGGGTCTCCGGCCTCTCCTCCTACGTCATTCTTGGTCGCGATTTTGAATGCCATACTACCTTTACGACAACACGCTACAGGCAAATGTCACGGCACATGCAGGGCATAGCACTACTGTCATAGAACTGTCTAGTGTTTACCGGCATCGCCAGTGATCTACCATTCGTCCAGCCAACACCCGTTCCCGTCAAATTGATTCAGTTGGGCACGAGAAAAACCAACCTAGGTCACTAGAGCATAGACTCTATACAGAGACCAGAGTCCCCCCTATCTCCCGGCGACTAGGTATCCTTTGAGACGCAACGATGGACGTCGACCCCAACACTGGTCTTCCCATGGGCCTCGCCCCTGTCCATCCCAACGTCGGAAAAAAGAACGAGTTCAAGATCGGCGCCATATTTCCGTTCCGAACATGGCGGTCGCTCCCTTCCCTGTCCACTGCGCTACTCAACATATCCATCTCGACGGGGACTCTGATCGTGTCTCTGGCTAGTCTGGCCGTGTCTATCGCAGTATTCCTGCCGATCGGCGCGGTCAAGACCGTCGGGGATCAGGGCATCCGGTTCGTGACGGGGAGGAGGTCGTCGAGCGATGGCGCTTCATGGGGCGCCATCGGCGGACGGCGATGTGTGGTGATCAACGGTGCCAGGTAAGGGGCGCGAGAAACTCCCTGTTTTTGCCGACGAGATACAAGAACCCGTTCAACCAACCAACCGTGGCTTCCAGCGCGGGAATCGGGGCAGCATTGGCCATTGAGTACGCCGCACCAGACACGCACCTGGTCCTCATTGCGCGAGACCTCCGGCGCCTGCACGAGGTCGCCGCGAGGGTGCAGTCCAGGGGTGCCACGGTCGCTGTGCATTCGCTGGACTTCTTCGACCCGGCCAGCCTGGCAAAGCTCCAGCAACTGCTGCAGGAAGTGGACACGACCGCGGGGGGCATCGACGTCGCTATCTCATGCACGAGTGTGACAGGCCACCGCAGCGACGTCCTGGGGCCCAACCTCGCTCACATCCCCCCAACTGCTGCTGCTGCGCACTCTGCGTCGGACGGACCGCAAGGGAGCGAGTACTGGGGCGCCACAACCGCGTCGCGGATGCTGCAGGTCAACGTGGCCGCGTGCCAGGAGTTCATCCTGCGGTCGTGGGAGCTGATGAAGGCGCCGCGGCGACTGCAACTGCAAAGTGGTGCTACAAGTAGTAGTAACTTGGTCGGCCCTGGACCCAAGATCATCGTGCTCTCGTCCTCGACGGCCTTCTTCACGCCGGCGACCTTCGCGCTGTACGCGGCGGCCAAGGCGTACCTGTACTCGCTGGCCCGCTCGCTGCAGGTGGCGTCGGCGCCGTACGGCATTGGCGTGGTGGCTGTCACGCCTGGCTTCATGGAGACGGGCCTGACGGAGAACATGATCCGGACGGGAGCGACCTGTCCGCGGGCGATCCTGGGGGATCCGAGGAAGCTGGCTAGGAAGATCAAGCGCAGCGAGGAGGCGGATGAGCTGCTGGTTTTCTACCCAGTATCGCAGGTCTGGGCGCTGTTCTCCGCCCGCGCGCTGAATCCGCTGCTCGAGACGCTGGGTCTGTGGGCGGGAGCTGCAACGGGCGTTGCCTCGTGGTTCTTCAGCTAGGTCCAAGGTGCACCACTGCACCGTCATGTATTTTGTATGTATGTATGTTTATACCCTCAAGACTGCTTCGTTAACCACCCCAAGGAGAAAGAATTGTTCAAGCCAGTATCCGCCATGATCATTCTGCTACCTGGTACTAATGAAGCTATATCCACAACCACCCGGAGGTAGTTTGCACATTGGACAAGACATAATGAGGCTTAGTTCCTGTTCCACTTACAGTGACATACTCGGCGCATGCCGAGTACCGTGTGGTTCTACCTACATAACACTAGGCGCCATAAACAGGCATCGGCGGCGCGTATCCCACCAGCTTCTCGCCGTCCGAAGGCAGGAACGCCTTGTTGCGGTACCACATGTGCGCGTCCTTGGCGAGCTCCTGGACCTCCTTCATGTCGAACTTGGGCTCCGGCAGCAGCGCGAACACGCCCTCGGAGTAGTCGGGCGAGATATTGTACAGCTGGGCCAGGTACTTCTTCTGGATCTCCGGATACTTGACGTAGCGCAGGTACTTGGCCGTGTTCCTGCACGTGTTCTGGCGCTGCTGCGGCGTCATGACCTTGGTCCACAGCTGCGTGGCCTGGTCGTAGTCGTTCTTCTTGCCCTCATGCCAGTAGTGGCTCTTGCGGCTGACAATGCTGTCGTGCACCGCGTAGGGCGCCTCGGCCGTGTCCGGGCGGAACTTGTGGGCGAAGCTGTTGGGCGCGTACTGCTTGTTGCCCGCGTGGTTCGCGTCGACGCGCATGGGGCCATCGAAGTTCAGCGACGCGTACGACTTGGCCATGAACGGGCAGTTAACGGGGATCTGGTGCAGGTTCACGCCGATGCGGTGGTACTGCGCGTCGCGGTAGAAGAACATGCGGAACTGCAGCAGCGGGTCCGGCGAGTCCTCGATGCCCGGCACCATGCTGCCCGGCGAGAAGGCGGCCTGCTCCACGTCGCGCGTGAAGTTCTCGGGGTTCTTGTTGAGCACCAGCCGGCCAAACTCCTGCATCGGGAACTGGTCGCGCGGCCAGACCTTGGTGACGTCGAACGGGTCGAATCCGAGCTTGTCCGGGTCCGCCTGGTCCGGCTGCATGGCCTGCACGCACGCCGTCCACTCGAGAGCCTCGCCGCGCTCGATGGCGTCCCAGAGGTCGCGCTTCGAGTAGTCCGGATCCTCGCCGCACATGCGCACCGCCTCCTCGTCCGTGAACTGCTTCTGCCCGTGCTTGGCGACGAAGTGGTACTTGATGTACACGAAGCGGCCCTCCTTGTTGACCCACTTGAACGTGTGGCAGCCGTAGCCGTGGTTGTAGCGCCACCCCACCGGCGTCCCGTGGTCGCTGAAGAACATGAGCCCCGCGTGGTTCGACTCGGGCGTGTTCGCCAGCAGGTCGAAGAGCGCGTCGTAGTCCAGCAGGAAGTTGATCGGGTTGCGTGACTGCGAGCGGATCACGTCCGGCCCCTGGATCGGGTCCCGGCAGAAGAAGACGGGCTGGCCGCGGGTTGATTTTAAATTTAGTACTAATTCGTTACCAAGACAGAGATACGGCTAAAGCCTAAAACTTTGCAACAACTTACGAAATTCAGCCCGACAATGTCATAGTTGCCTTCCATGGTGTAGAACTTGATGGCGAACCCACGTGGATTGCGGCCCTCGTCCGGAAACTCCCTGCCGAAGGTCACGGTCGAGAACCGGACAAAGACCGGCGTCTTCTCGCCGACCGAGGACAGGAAGTTGGCTTTCTGACATCACAAGCGGCGTCAGCTCAGCTCAGTGTGCGGTTTAGGGAGGTACCTAGGTAAGGTCGGTAGGTAGTCCTACAGTAAGATTTGTGACATCCTTGGTGCATTCAAAGTAGCCGAAGGCGCCAGATCCGCAGGGGTGGACCATGCCTACGGGGAAGACGAACACATCAGAATCTGAAACCTATGAAGAAACACAGTCCATTCAACCTACGCTCCAGAGGCTTCGACCTGTTGAAGTGCTGCTGCTTCTGGAACAGGAAGACGTCGCTGGCAACGGGGATGCCGCCAACCGTCTTGCTGTGCGCCGGGTCGGGGAAGGGAACGCCCTCGTTGTTGGTGAAGTACAGGCTGTCGTCTTCACGCTTGCCGCCCGGCACGCTGCCCGAGACCTTGGCAATCACGTCGGCAGGGCCCTCGTTGGCGCCCTGCATATGGCTCGCCCGTGGGCCGCGGTATTCCCCCTGGAGGCCCGCGCCGATGGCCATCGCCGTGGCCTTGAGCGGATGCTGCCGCGGGTCGAGCTGGTTGGTATTGAGACTCATGTTGGGCAATGCGCGGAGTCAATGTGACGACCTTCAAATTCAACTTGGTGGTGATGACGGACGTTGTGCTAGTTGCAAGTCCGTTCGGCTCAGGATTCATACTATTTCCAAAAGGTCCGGCCGGGTGAATTATTAGGACAATGGCACCTTCCAGGCTATTGCTGGACACATGCATATGACGCTGATGACGTCCGCCTTGGCTCTGACGTACGGATCCCTACAGCGCGCACTTGCTGCCCCGATGCCATATAACGACAGCTCGTGCTGCCGATGCTACGTACCCAACAAGCGCGCCCGGGAGCGTAGGTATGACGCAGACGATCTCGAACAGAAACGACCCAATCCTCGTGTAGCATTTCTAATCCGGAGCATCATGTGGAGGTACTTGTACATAGCACAATTGAAGTCGGATTGAGCCAGACAAGCGTGCAGTATACTGACGTCAGTATAACTCCCCCGGTCGTCTGTTTCGGCAGGTGGGTCACCGTGGGTGGACTTGCGAGGTCGAGACCGACAGAACCACAATGCGGGGTTGATAAGACGTCGAGCAATTCCAACAACAGCCCGTATTAGAAAGTCGTAGCGTAGGCTGCCTCGCTGCTACTCTAACGCTGTGACTTGCTGTTCCTTTTCCAGCGCCTGGAGATCTTGAACCACTTGCTCGGCACTCTCATATTTCATTCGCCAGCACCTCATTGTGATAGCACTACAGGCGTGCTTGTCTTCGGGAAAGGCCCCGTTTCGAAATCTGTCTTCCACCTTCTCATACCACCCTTCTTCTCCGTGAACGATGTCGGGATACACGGCGTGTCCCATCATAATGAAGTAGAAAGTACACCCTAGCGCAAAAAGATCGGTTTTGATATCTGCGTCGAATGGGTCGTTTCGCGGAGCAGAGAATTTGCACGACTCGGCGCTCCAGCCGTCGACGAGCACTTTGCCGTCGGCCGATAAATGCCTCCCTTGGAAGTCGGCGAGTTTTATATGGAGGTGTTCGTCGAGAAGGAGATTTGTGGGCTGGATATCGCAATGGAGGACTCGCCGGCTATGAATCCACGCGACAGCCTCGGCAGCCTCGCGGCACCAGGCCAGTCGCTGCTTGACTGAAAGAAGGGGGTTTCCGAATTCAAGCATATACTCGGCAATGTTACCGTTGGTGGCGCGTTCTAGATAAATCCCAGCGTCCTTAAAGCCTTTGTATGCTATGATGCGCTCATGGGGTCCGATGATTTCCATTAGCTTCTTCTCCGCCTCAAGCCGGGTCATGTCTCCGCCGGGGGCGAGTGGATATTTGAGTATAGTCGAGTCGTCGACCTCGCCAATAAAGGCGCTGCCTCCCGAGGCCAGAACTCGCTTCACCTCCGGAGGACAGTAGTGTTGATAGACAACAACGGATGGTCCCTCGTCGTTCGACATGATGAGCTGTCGAGAATGTCCAGGTACGTTGTCGAGGGACAGTGGCGAAGGTTTAGGAGGGGATTTCGAACCTAAATAAGGCGGTGCAGTGTGTTTGGATGCCTGCGAGGTGAGGTGTGGCTGGGCCAATCAGTGGCAAGGGTGCCTGTAAGACGGGACGCTATAACCCTCGCAGACTGCATGTTGTTCCTGCACGATCTGAGACTAGATCGGCGTGCTAGTAGAGCGCCGACGGGAGTACGTCTAGCCTCCTAGGCCGCTAAGGCCAGCAGGGTTACCCCGTATATAGTTGCTAACTCAGCTATTACGCCTTGTAATTGTTAAGATGAAGAAAGGAAGGGCTACAAACGAGTTTGGTTAGCTAGGAACAAAATTCGCAACGCGTTAGTGGAACTTGTAGTCGAAAGGCGATGTTAGGATTATACCGCGATACAGATAGGAAACGGAGTTAGGAAACAGAAGAAGAAAAACGGCAAGTGGGAACGCGTTCCCCACCGTTTTAATCCCTACTCCGGTAGCGTTTTTAATACATGACCTAAGCCCTGCTGAGTTAGCAATTCGGACCTAAAAAAAACGTTTAACGGCCAAATTCAGATTCACGTTTTCGCCCTCCTATATCAACGACAGCCTTTGGTCTTCGTTGTTGTTCAAGGGGTGCGGTTTCTTGTCCTCATAGATAACGTTACAGGGTTTGGACCTTCTGAGCAGACACAAAAATTTTATGGGCAAAAACATACAACACCGAGGATTCCCCAGTGGTCACCCACCTGAGTACTGATTCGGCCCTTGGTAGTTTAACTAAGGAAGAGCGGACGGGATCCCGTGTTTTCCTATGCGTCGTGGTCGTAGGTGCAAAGTATGTCATGTTTGGAAGCCTTGGAGTCCAGGAAATAGGATGATGAGTCCCGGAAAATGGGATGCATCTGACGCCAGGAAAGACCGGCCACCCGCGGACATAAAACAACATTTTGCGATAACGTACATGATAAGCGAATGACACAGACAAGCGAATGACATACGACATCGGACTCACATATCTCCCAGCTTCTTCCTTGATTCTCTTTACAACACAAACATGCATCACAAAAACGATGATGCCCAGTTAATCTTAGCCATTCAGGCAATGCAAAATGACCCGAATCTAAGCGCTCGAGCTGCTGGCAAGATCTACAATGTGGATCACCAAAAAATAAGTCGTTGCAAATGCGGCATGAAATCACGACGCGATATTCCCGCCAACTCGCGGAAGTTGACTGATTTAGAAGAATTAATAATTGTTTAATATATCCTCGACCTAGATGCAAAAGGATTTCCTCCTTGCTTGTCTGGTATAGAAGATATAGCCAACCGACTACTTGCCAAATGCAATGCGGGATATATCGGGATATATTAGGCTTATAACTTCATTAAACGGCAACTATAACTTACTATATATTTTAATCGGCAATATAATTACTAGAGGGCCAAATGTAAAGATCCAGAAACCATTCATGGCTGGTTTACACTTGTACGGAATACAATCGTAAAGTATAGTATCTAGGAGGCAGACATCTATAACTTTGACGAGACCGGGTTTCAGATAGGTATTATCTCAACCGCAATAGTTATTATAAGCTCCGAACGGCGTGGCAAGGCAAAGTCGAAGCAGCCTAGCAATCGGGAATGGGCAATAGTAATCCAGGGCATCAATACAACTGGCTAGGCAGTCCTACCATTTATTATCGTCCAGGGCAAATATCACTTCTCCTCTTAGTATAAGAATAGCCTATTGCCGAAGGACTAGGTTATCGCAATATCTAAGAATAGTTGGACGACCAATAAGAGAGGCCTTAAATGGATTCAATACTTCGATAAGCATACTAGAGCTCGAACAGCCAGGGTTTATTGCCTCTTCATCCTCGACGGCCATAACAGCCACCACTCGACCAACTTCGAGGTCTATTATAAGGAGAATAATATTATTACTCTCTATATACCTCCCTACTCATCTTATATCCTCCAGCCAGCTAATATTAGGTATTTCAGCCCACTTAAAGTAGTATATAGAAAGCAGGTTAAAGAGATAATACAGGCCGGTATAACCTATATCACTAAGGAGGACTTCTTTCCCGCCTTCTTCGCAGCTTACCAGGCGGCGATAATATACAAAAACATTCAAGGAGGTTTCCAAGGCGCTAGACTTATTCCTTTTAGCCCCGACAAGGTGATCTCCCAGCTCGACATCCGGCTTAAGACGCTATCACCCTCGAACTCTCAGCCCAGCAGTGCCTACACCTAGGTCTCTAAAACGCCAAACAACCCGACTGAAGCCTTCTCATAGACCAATCTCATCAGAAATCGAATTGCCCGGCATCAGAATAGTTCGCCGACTGAGATTCTTAGAGCTGTTGATATCCTTGCAAAAGGGACGTCTAAGATAATGCATCAGTTGGCATTGTTAAAGGCAGAGAACCAGAGCCTTCGAGCAGCAAATGAGACGCTAAGCAAGCGCCAGAGGGCAAAGAAACAACGTCTTCGGCAAGGAAGATCGCTTAGTATATAGGATGCATAGGATTTGCAGGGCCAGAGAGAGGTGGAGGTACAGATCAAGGAGGAAACGCAGGCGGGTAGTGGTCGGAAGCCGAGGACCGAGACGCGCGCGCGGCGTTATGGCAACTGCGGGGAGCCCGGCCACAATGCGCGTACCTGTCAGATAGTTGTGGAAACATCTGAAGAAGATGAGACTAAGTAGTTTCAATTGTTTTGAGCTATTGTAGTGGGACAGATAGAGTTTTGGTTGCGAAGGTTCGATTTTGTATGTCATTCGCTTGTCTGTGTCATTCGCTTATCATGTACGTTAATGCTATGTAATTTCAGGGTTAGGATTAAGTTACCATAACGGATGCTGCTAAAACGGCAGGTCTCTAGTGCCGTTCTGGAGACGTTGCTCCCAGATGTCTCTTGCAGAAACGGGTCGAGTCCAATGGATAGGATGCGCCGAGCTCGCACGAGCCCAGGACTGTGCCCCACCATCCCTTTGCGACGACGACCAATTAATCTACATTTGTTGGGTTGTAATCAATCTACATTTGTTGGGTTGTTCATGCTGCAAGTCCCACCTCATGCATTCGGGCCATCCAACCGCTCGTCCGGTCCATGCAGGCGCCAACCATACTCCCGGCGGTGCTCCTGCAAGTCGTGGGCTGCTGCGTATGCTGTACGGGTTCCAGCGCTCCAGACGCACCCCTCTTTTCTCCTTTAAACCTCTCTGTCTATTCTCCTTAAGGCGTGGGATATCTCATGCCTTGAGAATCTTGACCAGCTCAGCAACGATGGCATCTCCTGCTTCTGCGGTGCCCGTGCTGCCGCCCATGTCCCTGGTTCTTAGCCCGGCGTCGATGGCAGCGCGGACCGCGTCCTCGACGATTTTAGCCTCGTGGGCGAGATTCAGAGAGTACCGGAACATCATGGCCACGGAAAGGATGGTGCCAATGGGATTCTGAAAATGATGTCAGCTCTGTACTTGCAGCGAATGAATAGGAATTGCCCGAAACGGGGTCTTGACGCACGACAATCCCTTTCCCTGATATGTCCGGCGCGCTACCTGTCATCTGCGTTAGCGACTGATTTCTACATGAGGGCTCGAGTGGAGAATAGGAGTCTCACCATGAATCGGTTCACAGATAGAACGCACTGCAGAGCCCGGAATCCCGCAGAGACTGGCGCTCGGGAGGAGCCCTATGCTTCCAGCTATAGCGCTCGCCTCGTCGCTGAGAATATCCCCTAAAAGCTCGTCAGCTAAACCGCCTTCGAGGTGAACGAGGGGCCTCGCTCACCTGCCAAGTTGGGCGCTATTATAACGCCATTCAGCTGCGTCGGGTTCTTGACCATGATCATGGCCGCGCTGTCAATAAGCTGATGCTCAACCTTCAGATCAGGGAACTCGTTTTTATAAACCTCCTCAACCACACAACGCCAGAGTCTGCTTGTCGCCAGCACGTTTGCCTTATCTAGCGAGATAACTCGCGAGTCTCCCCTGGTCCTGGCTAGGTAACCGCCCAGCCGCGCGATTCGCTCGATTTCTGGTTTCGTATAAACAGTAGTGTCGAACGCATTAAGTCCATCGTACTCTTTTCGCTCTCCGAAATACAGGCCTGAGGTTAACTCCCGGACTAACATCATATCGATGCCGCGGCAGACAGACGCCTTTAGGGGGGAGGACTCAATAAGGGCGTCGGACGGGAAGAAACAGGGACGGAGGTTTCCATAGGCGCACATCTCACTGCGCAGCTTTAGGAGGCCCTGCTCCGGGCGGACGGCGCCGGCGCCCCATTCTGGGCCGCCAACGGCGCCGAGGAGCACAGCGTCGGCGGCTTTGGCGGCGGCGAGGGCCTCGTCTGTGAGGGGGACGCCGGTCTGGTCGATGGAGCACTGGGGAGAAACGCCGAGGTCAGCAAGAGACTTCTCTCGTGGATGTCTTTGGACCCGTGTGATCCGTCGTCGGGGGATGACTTGCCCCTCCGAGCAGGTGGTGCTCCAAATTGAATTTGCCAGCAGTCGGGCTCAGCTCCTCAACCGTCTTGATAACCTGAATCCTGCGTCAGACGTGCTCAACTGCAGGTCGCAAATACCAGACTCGTACCTTAATTGCCTCAGCAATAACCTGTCAAATAACCCAAGTCAGGCTCTCTCCGTCTAGAGTCAAGGGTGGGAAAGCTCGGGGGGTAGTCAGTCACCTCTGGGCCACAGTGGTCGCCCGCAAAAACAACAATGTTGTGTTCCGCCATGGTTGCAATACTTGTCCGACGGAGTGTGCCCAAAGAAGAGTCCGTTGTATGTGACGAAGCACGAAAATGAGTGATTGGAAAAGTAAGTAAGGGCATTAAAGAATAAATTCGACAAGATATATAGCAGAGCGAAGTCGGGGACGGCTTGTTCGTCCGAAACCGCATGCTTTAACCCCACCTCCCCACCTGCCGAGAAGGAACGAAGGTGACGCGCTCGACCCTCCTTAGCCGATATCGCTGTGGGGCACCCACCAAAAATTATAGCCTACCTGACAAGTTCGGCTCAGGAGGGTCGAGCGCTCTCAGTTGAACTCCATCAAAAACATCACCCCTGTCTGTCTACCTGCCACCCACTAAAGTTGCTATTTAAGAGAACAGCGACACTAATATCCCTGGCAGAGACGGGTAAGTCCGTTTCACTACTTTACCTTTCTAGGGTCTTCGATTTGCAATACATTTACTGATGCATTCCAGCTTTTTAGATGCTTTTTTGATCACATCGGACTCCCCGACATCTAAGTTCGTCATCCAAGCCAAGAGGTGGACCTCTCATTGATCGCGAAGATGGCAAAGAAACGTGCCAGGGTGAGTTCCCGATATTCACTGTTTCCCTCATCGACTATTCTAACTGAATCAAGGCTGGAGCTCCACGTTCCGAAGGAAAAAGAAGACGCCTGGCTCCTATGTCTACCGATTCTTCAATCACGCCGAGACCAGAAGCAGCTGAGACTGCGAGCAACCCTTCGCCAAGCGCCACCTATCCAACGCTTAGATGTCCGGTTCCAGGTTGCGATGTCTAGTACAACACGCCCTCGGCCAAATCTTCTATGCGAGATCATATCAAGAAGAAGCACCCAGGGATTCCTTCACTCAAATGCGACTTTCCAGGTTGTCACCTTCTCTTTCATACTGGCCAAGAAAAAAAGAACACTACAGAAACGATCGCAGTGCAGACTCAGACACTACGTGGCTCTGCCCCGTGATCGACTGCCAGCTGGCATATAAAACAAAATGGCAATTGCACGGGCACGTTCGGAGATTGCACCCTGAACACGGCTGTATAGCATGCTCCAGCCCTCTGTGTCCTGAACTGTTCAGGTCCGACCAGGACAGGGACTCGCACGTGTTGGATGCGCACGTGGAGAGCGTTGTACATTGCCGCCTCAAGGATAAAGGCTGCAAATCTTTCTTCCTCGGCTTTCAGGCGGAGCTCCAACACTTCAAGACCGTCCATACTGACGAAGCATGGACCTGCCCAGTTGAAGAATGCGACGAGGTCCTCACGTCCCCTCGCCATCGGAACCGTCACATGGGGTCCAGTCACCCAGATATCGAATATAACAAATGTCCAGCAAGGAGATGCAATGAGATGTTCCTTAACCATTTGGACATGCAATCTCATCTCGAACAGAAGCATCCTCACATGCGGACTTTTCCTTGCCCATACAAGGATTGTGAGGTTGTGTGCAAATCCCAGCATGCGCTCCACCTGCATCAGAGATCTGAACAACTCAAGTTGGAATTTCCCTGCCCAATGGAAGGCTGCTCAAAAACGTTAACGTCAAAACTCGGGATCAAGCAACATGTCAAGGCTGTACATGAAGGCATCGGTTTTCCCTGCCACGAGGAGGGTTGCGCAAAGATTCTCAGTTCCCCGTCAAGCTTGGCAAGGCATATCAAAAACAGACACGGTCCCGTCACAGTTCCGTGCTTTCATCCAGGCTGCGAATCGGTCTTCCGTTCTGATGAAAGGTTGAGAAGCCATATGAAGAAGGTACATGATCACACACCACCACTGATCCACCTGTGCCCCATGGCAGATCGAGAAGGATGCTTGAAATGATTCCCAGACTCGAAATCGGCAGCCATGCATGCCAACGTGGCGCAGCATGGAAAATTTCCTTGTGTTTTGCATGAAGAGAGCGGCTGCACAGAACTGTTTGCAGACAAAGCGACGGCAACCTATCATGCATACAGACACCGACGGTGGGTTTGCTTCATTCCGCAATGTGTGGATAATGTCATGGGCCGAGGAAAATATATATCTCGAACATGAAAAGAAACATAGAGAATTAGGTCATTTCACCACTCTGACGGACGATCCGAAACCTAAGGAGTTCATTGTACGCACAAACTTTGCGGATGCGGATGCGACTGCGACGGCGACGGCGACTGCGGCCGAGGGCGACGAATCTCTTAGTGAAGATGACACCATCAGTGATTCTAAAGCTGATGACAGTCCAGGGAAAAGGGATTTCCATTGGGTGTCGGGAATTCTGGCCCCCTTCCCTCTGTCACGTGCCGTTTTCGCTATTGACACGATCGAGGAACAGCAGCGCTCCTTGTTGGAAAGAAATCAGAAGCTACTGGATGGTGAGTCCAGCTATGTACAGTCCATAACAACTGTCGATGACTGACTTACAACCAGAATATCCTGACTTCTCGACTCGTTCCCTTGCTCATCTGGGCCTCAATTGCATAGGGCCTTGCCGAATTGTCGACAATATGATCAGCAGACTTTGCCCATCGTCCGCGATCTTAAGCTCTAAGACCACTGCTCTTCGCCGCGGTGAAGGCGGACTATACATGCGGACCAGATGCATCTCGTGTCAAACGGAATTTGACCTGAGTAACGCGCTTGAGAAGTACGACCTTAAAGCAAGTAGCCATGATCAGATATGCGAGAAAAAATGTTGCACCAAACCTGGCTTCGACGGCTCAAGATTTTGCAAAGATCACCTCTCTTCATGGCGCGACCCAAACCCTCTTGAAACAGACTTCCCGCAACTTCAAAAACTACGAGAGAATATCTCTCCGTTTTTGCAAGTCAAGTGGTCCGACGAACCTGCCATGGGGAAAGTCCTTGCGTTCATGGACTCCATTGGGGCCGGGAAGTCGCCTGCCTCGGCGCTCAGATTCGTCAATCTTGAGTATAACATTTTCACGGGGAGAGTATTCGAAATTGGTATGTGCGATGCTTATGGAACTAAGACGATGGACTGCTGGACTTTATATGGATCCGAAGCCCTCCGCGCAATCAGTCAAACAAGCTCCACTGCTGATTGCAACATGGATCGCATGATGATATCGTCGGTCCAAGCACATTACTGTACTCAAGGCTCAAGGACTGCAAAGCAGGTTGCAGACGAGCTAAGGCGGCAGGGCATCTCACAAGAGACTTATTTCATAGTCTGGCACCTCCACAGAGATGACTTGTCACGATTGCGCGAGTGGCTAGAGTCAGAGGGGAGTATGGGGTACTCCCCCCTGACTCCCAGTGCATTCCATTAATCCCTTACTTTCAGAGAAACCTTCAAGGAGCCAAACTACCGAACAATAAGCGGTTCCCGTTGACCTTGCCAATCATCTTTCCCATCATGATGGGCACGGATCATGTACTGGCCGGGAAGAATCACCACTCCTTCGTGGATGCGCAGCAGCTGCAGTGTATGATGGCCATCTTTCGGGTGCTATGTCTGTCTCCTCAGAATCGTCCGGATGGTTGGTTAGAGCAGTTCCGTCAGGACCCTTCCTCACACCGAGCGGGCCTTCGCCAGTCCATGTTGGAGTCGTTCTGGGAGGATTCTTGACTCGGGGGCCTGCTACCGCGGTTTGGGAATGCGAATGTTGTATTCAGTTGCTTTCAGATGGCAAAATTCCTTAGGAATTGATTGCTTCGCACCTCTATAAGCTCTCTTGCTCGCGGCAAATCGAGAAAGTCTTTCATCCCTGGCGTTTAAAACACGGATGATCAGCGCCAGAATCCGGGAACTGGGCAGGAGATTTAAGTAGACGTGTTGTCCCATTGCACGTACCTCCATCCCAAAGGACAATTAAAACGGCTTTGTTGCGATTTTCCCTCTTCTCGTGTGAGATTACGGCCGCAGTGTTAAGTTCCTCCTCAACTACGTGTTAAGTTCCTCCTCAACTACGTGTTAAGTTCCTCCTCAACTACGTGTTAAGTTCCTCCTCAACTACGTGGAGTGTACAGTACCTAGACCGAAGACTGCATTGCCTGGCCGCTGATCGCGCTACGTAGCACTTGGCCCCAAACGGTCTCCTCTAGCAGCTTGATGCTTGGGGCCATGCGTGGAGGTTGTGAAATTGCGGCGTGCACCGGGTCTTTGGTTTGTACATGCGACTGTGTTTTGGGGTACTTCCAAGGTGGCCGAGGGTGCCAAAAATCAGCGGGTCGCGGCTGGCCAAAAATGGCCTCCACGACGGCAAACATGCACTTGGGCTGCAAGTTTAAAATGTTACACTAACCGATTTTAGTTGGTCGTGACCAGAGAGGGCTGAGAGCATTTACAGTGCCACAGACACAAGCCCGCGCATTTGCCGCTCCTCTCCGCCTCTGGACTCTCGACACCCTAGTGGCCCGTCCACATCGTCATGCTCCACGTGACTATGCCCATTGCGCTGGTATCGTTGTATCGTGCCGAACCCAGCCGGTTTGCACATTGGTTGATGATCACCTGCCAAGTCAACTCCCTCACTCTCTGCCGTCGCAACGCGTCGCGCCACCTAAATATGGCGATGGATGACTCTCGTGCCGAGGAGCACGCCTCCGCCTGGACGAGAACGCCGACGCCGAGGTGATGATCGGTCTCGCCGTCCCGGAGCAAAGATGGCGGAACCATCTTTCCGGGCTGCCGGCGCTCTCGGAGTGGGCCCCCGCCCCGCGGCGATGACAAGCACAGCCCTCCGGGTATCCCTGGTGAAGATAACATCTTGCTGTCTGGACACAGACGTCATCATACGATGCTCTGTGAGGGGTGGGCTGGCATACTGCGCAGGCAGTGGAGGAAGTTGCGTTGCTGAGAGGAGGAGGTGGTGGTCGGGGGAAGGGTGCTGTTGAAGCAGGAAATGTGAGACACCACACTCTGGAAAGTCCCATGCGTGTTAACTCCCCTGAAAGAGGCTTAATTACTTCGTTTCCTTTACCCCCATTTCGGAAATGCTGAACCCTTAGACCGCGTATCTAAGGCACGCGTAACTGCTTGCCTTCAACCCCCTCCTCCCTGTAGTAAAATGACGCCTCCATCCCGTACCGCTGATGCCAACCGCTTTGCCCGCGCTTACCGCTTCCTAACAGCCCAGACATACTCTGTGGGATGGTGCGAAGTTTTCGAATTTGGCAAAGTGGGATTGCGACGGCGGTGGGAGCTCGGCTACCACGTCCGCGTCCTCTCCGTTTGTGCTTGCCATCTCGTTTGAAGCGGACCAGGTAGATTACGTCAAGGCCATGGAACCTGTGGGCTATTGCAACCAGAAACGCTATCATCAGCCGTAATACACTGTCCAGCGGCGCACCACCCTCAAAAAATAATGCGGCCCTCGGACAAGCACAAAAAAAACGATGTTTTAACCTACCTAAGGCCTTGTCGTAAACATGGTCCGCACTGGGCCTCGTCAGTTGATAATCCTGCCGATGAGCAAAAAATAGTCTGAACCTGAGATGTACCCGTACGGCACGTTGAACCATTATCCATTATCCCCTTCGTTGGTCTTTTGCCCCTCCTAGGCTGCACTGAAAAGAATTTTCCGTTCCAACGATCCATGTCTCCGTTTCATGATCTTCCGGCAAGTTGCACGTAATATATATATATTCTCCTACTCCGCTATGCCTCGCTATTTACAAGGCGCGCCGGACTCTCTACTGCTATATACAAAGGAAAAACCGTACCGTTTAGGCCAGGTGAAAACCTTTGTCGGAAGTAATAGGAAAGACATAGTTCCAGTGATACATGCTGCTGCAAGTAAAGGAAAAAGGCCTTGGGAAAGCCTTGGGCCAACGGCTAGTAGGGTGCTAGCTCGGCTAAGCTGTGGCCACGGGTATGGCTAGCCGGGCTCCCTAGCTTCTAGTTCCTCATCAAGGTTCCGAGCGAGCCTATATTCCCCTAGCCGGCCTGAGTTCATCAGCCAACCCAATACCTTCTTCAGAAGTCTTCGGTTCCGGTAGCCTAGGCCCTGTAAAACAAGGCTAAGATCCCAGTGGGTGCGTATTAGTTGTCTAGGCCAGGTTCTTAGTATAGGTGGTATAGAGCACCAAATCACGAGATGCTCTACTGTCTCTCGGGCTTCTCCGCATTCGCAATAGGGGGTAGGCTGGTTACGGGCCTTTTGTTTGAAAAGAAAGTCCCGTAGGCCTATAGCCCCTGTACGAGCCTATACTAGTAGGGAGCTCTTAGCCTTTGTAAGGCCTTGGTGTTTCTGTAGGCTCTAGTTCGTGAAGAGGACTGTTGGTAGGCCTTCGTCGGCTAGCCTAGTTGGCTGTCCTTGGACTTGGGTATTCCACCTAGCTTCCTAGGCTCTTAATAGTGCCCAGTCTTCCTGGGTCTTAGCCAATAGTGGGCCCAAGGCCTTAGCTTGGGTATTCCATTCGGCCACTGTAGCCGAGGCCTTTTCGGCATCTGTTAGCTTTTCTAGGCTCCGGAGCCGGCGCCGTAGTGACCGGAACCTTCATTGGAGCCTGTTGCAGGCCTCTTAGATGATTTTCTTTGGTCGGCGCCTTGGGGCCTCTGGGCCTAGCTCGGCCTGTAAGGTAGGCTTGTTGAGCTGGTCTTCGAAGTCGGCCAGCCTCTTGTTAAGATAAAGGTCTAGGGGAAGGATCCAAGTTTCCGTCTCGAGATTCCGTATAGGGGTAGCCTTATAGGCTCCGGCTACGATGCATAGGCTTCAGTTCTGGGCCTTTGCTAGGTCCTTGGCTAGGCCTTGTGGTGAGCCGTTGAGTGTTGTAGGCTTGTGGAAGCTGGATGCCCCATAGGCTATTGCACTGCGAATGTACTTAGTATAGACCTCTCTGGCCCTGATTAGCCCCAGGCCCTAGGTCTTGGCTGCTATCCTTGATAGAGCAAAGTCTTAGGTTCTTAGCTTGGTAGCTATGCTAGCTCTGTAGGCCTTCCAAGAAAGCCTCCAGTCAAGCCAGACCCCTAGGAACCGGGCTGAAGCCGTTGGTTTGACTATAGTATAGTCATAAGGGTGGCCGGGTTTGGCTAGTTGTAGTGGTTCGGACCACTGTTTTCGGCCTTTATTGAAGTGGATCAGCTCTGACTTGGCCCCATTGAATTCCATTCCGTAGGATCTAGCCTACTATAGACACGTGGCCCAGGCTTGTTCCAGTTGCCAGCAGTTAATATAGGGGTCCCTTCTAAAGGCTAGGAGGTTGGTGTCATCTACGAATCCCACTAAGCTAACCAGAGGGTGCTTTTCCTTTAGTACTTTATATAGCGAGGCTATATATAGTATAAAGAGGACTGGTGATAGTGGTGATCCTTGTGGCACTCCAGTTCGAATGTTGATTTCCGGGGCAAGTTGGCCGTCGAATAGGAGTGTGGTCTTCCGGCCCGTTAGCCACGACCGTAGCCAACCTACAAGCCATGGTGGGAGCCCAAGGTCCCGAACCGTAGCCAGTAACTGGGTATGATTTACCCGGTCGAAGGCTCCTGTTAGATCTAGCTGCAATAGGGAGGCCGTAGCACGTTGTCTCCAGGCCTCTTAGATCTGGGCCACCACAAGCCGTATAGCTAGGTCTGTTGACCTATGTTCCCGATTTCCCATCTGTTCGTCGGGTAATAGGCCGTAGGCTTCGGCTGCCTCTGTGATTCTTTGGTAACCACTGTTTCCACTACCTTGCCAATAGTAGGAAGAAGGGAAATAAGCCTATAGCCTCCGGGGGTAAGATAGTCGGCTGGGGTTTTACCGGGCTTTGGGAGCACTATAACTATAGCCTCCTCTAGCCTAGCCGGCACCCATTGTAGTTCGAGGCATCTTTGGGCGAGCAATGCGAGGATCTTATATAACGGCCTACCACAAGCCTTCAATAAGCCTATAGGGAGGTAGTCATTACCCGGCGCCTTCTAGGAAGCAGCCTGGGCAATGGCATTTTCTATATCCCTAGCACTAACCATTTGGCTTATTGCGATCTTTGGTTCCTACGGCTGGGAAAAGGTGGGATCTCGGATGTTAGAGAGGTCGGCTGGCAGGCTTGGAAAGAAACGGTTGGCTAGGGCTTGGGCCTTCTGGGTATGGGTGGTATAGCCATCGATGGCCAGGAGCTTAAGAGGGCTAGTAGGCTGGAAGCTCTTGCAATGGGCCCATCGTTCTAGGCTCCAAAGGAGTGATTCGTTATGACTGGCTTCCTGTAGGGTAGATCTCCAGGTCCTTATTCTAGCCTATCGTATAGCCTTTGAAAGGTCCCAGAGTCTTTGGTTTAGTGTCACGAGGGCCGTCGTTCAAGGCCAGGGTCAAGCCTCTGGTGGTAAACTGACTGCATTGCAAGAATATTGAACTTGCAGGAGGAAAGAAATCCTCGAGACTGCAAGGTAGGCTTTAAATACAGGATGCGAGTAGGTCTGAGCTTGCATGCATGATGTAATGGAACATGCATAATGAATCATCACTTGGTATGATGAATCATTATACATACAAATGATATCATCATCATG